GACGTCAAAGACGCGCTGCTCGTGTATAGCTGACCATTCAAAATCTACAGACGTATGAAAATTACATTTCGAGCGCGACCCGCTCACTGCCATCGTCATGGACACCTGGCCATCGTGCTCAATGAGCGGAAGGCGCAGTTGAGTAGCGAGAGCCGAGCTCACGAGATCTACTGACGAACCAGAGTCTACTAACGCCTTGCAGGGATGCCCGCTTACACGAACGACGAGGACGATGGGCCTCGGGATGCGGCGGCCGCTCCCCCGCGGGAAGACGGCTGTCCGTTGCGCAACGCGTGCGGACGAGGACGCCAACGGCGCGGAGCGCCCCTTCGATACTGCGAAGACCGTCAGCTGACGCCATGGAAGACGCGAAGCTGGGAAACGTACCGGCACGTTGGACGCCATGCGCACCATCGTTGCCCACGCCTGTGCGAACACGCCGGACTCAATCAGGTCCTCCGCGGGCTCGCGAAACCAACGCGCGGGGAACGCGCCGTCGGGCTGCGTGAAGACGTCGAAGCTTCGACGCGCTGCGGCATCAGCAGGCGACTCGAACCAGCGCGACATATAGCGCTTCGGGTGAGCCGTGTTCTGATGCCCACCCACGAAGTAGCGCATGCGCTGATACATGTACCAGTACCAGACGTTGATACCGGCGTCAATGTCCTTGAGACGAAGACCCCACGACACGCCCAGGAGCGTGTCGCACACGAGGATGACCGGCGACCCAGAGTACGGCCGGAAGGCGTAGAAGCGGGAGAGGTCAGCGCGACGCTGCTCCTCGCCGACTACGCGTCTGACTGCCCAGTTGAGGGCGTAAGCGACGCTCTCGGGCACGAGATCCCCGAGGGTAGTGCCCGTGGAGTAGAGGTACGCCATGCGACGAGCCTGTGAGGTGTCCATCCCGAAGTCGACGCATATCTGACGCGCAACGTAGTCCTCCATCGAGAAGCCTTCGCGGATGAAGAACGCATTCGGGATGCGAAGCGGAGCCAGTTCGCGACGCCCAGCTTCGGCCTCAACAGTCTCGAAGAGGGAGACACAATCGTCCTGGGTCTGGACTGGCAGGAAACGGACGGGCGCGCCATCGCAAAGATACGAGAGCGGCGCGAGGTTGTGGAACATCGCATCGCGCAGCTTCTCGCCGTCGCCAGGCCAAGCGCGCACGGCGTTCAGCGCGAACGCACCACGCACCCGCCACTGCCCCAAGTCGCCAACGTATGAAGGGTCGCAGGCGCGACCGATAAAATCGGCATACTCGGGTGTCTCGCAGAGGGCGAGCAAGTCGTCGCCCGAGCAAAACTTGGGAGGCTCGCGCCTCGTGCGCAGCGCAATTCGCGTGTAGTAGTCGAAGAGCGGCTGCACGTAGAGGTGGGGGCGTCCGGGAACGTCGCCACAGACAAGCGGACAGTCCGCGAGGACGTGTGTTGCCCACGGCGGTGAGCACGTCGTGCAGCGTGTACTGTCCGGGTTAGACCCAGGTGAGTCGTGCGAGGGTTCGAACTGAACCATATTGACTGACAATGTAGTCGTGTTAGTGATGCCAGCACGTCTCTGGTCGAGCAGACGTGCCTGTTCGATTGCCACCGAGTGAATCGCGAGACCAGGAGGTCCAGAAGACGTCGAAGGTACGTGGTTCGCTTCGGGACAGTTTCGGCTTATATGGTCCTTAGACTCACAGCGGAAGCAGCGCCCCTCTTCACGGAGGCGCTTCAGGAGCTCAGGAGATTTTCCTGGCTTGCGGTTAGGAGGGGCGCGACCGTTCGCGCTCCTTCCATTCGGCGCGGAGGTACGTTGTGACCCCCTTGCCTGTCCGCTGAATTTACCTCCAGTGGTCCTCGAGCGTTCATTAGAGCTCGAGGTGCGCGTTCCAGCGGCAGCAGACGCGTTCGCTGGCGGCCTAGAGGAGGGAGCAGAAGAGCTCCCGCCTCCAGAACGTCGGGACGATGCAGATGCGCCACCCGTGCCGCTTCCGCGGTTGGGGGGCGATCCACCATGGTCGTCAGGGCGCCTGCCCTTCGCTTGGGCTCGGGCAGCGTAGCTAGCCTGCCAGAGCTGCAGAGCACGTCGGTACGTAGGCTCTAACTCATCAACTTCTTTGCTGAAGCCGTCCTCCATCAGGCGCTTCACGAGCCAGGAGTCAAGGCCTTCCCAAAACTTCAAGACCCGGTTTCGGCTGGTCTCCTCAGTCAGCACCACCCAGAAGCGCTCTAGATCGTGCATGTAGTCGCGGAGATCGCGATTGTCTTGGATACAGGACTTGTACCGAGTACGACATTTGTCTTTGTAGTTTAGACTGAAACAGTGATCGAATAAATCTCTGAAAAAGTCGTCTAGATTTGCGCTTCGAGAAGCACTAAGCATGTAGTTCTGCTTGTAGAACCTTCTGGCCTTGCCAGTGAGCCAACGCGAGACAACGTCGGCCTGCCGAGTGGCTGCCACTCGACCATCAGTGACATACTGAAGAGAATCAATGACGAAGGTCCAGAAGGCCTCATCGTCCTCCCGGCCGTCGTAGGACTCGGGAGGCTGCGGCTTAAGGCGGCTGGCCTTACCCGCGCTGTCAAACTGTCCGTCGTCATCCGAGTCTGAGCTCGGAAGGCCGACTACACGGCTTCTGATCATAGCCATGTACTTGTCCCAGTAGGACTCGCCCCCAGCTACATAGCTCGGACGAAGCTTGTCTTCGGGACTAGAAGCCTTCGAAGGACGTTCACGATGCACCGCGGGGGGCACAGAGGCCTCCGCGGTCTCGCGCTTGATTGCGCTCAGGTCACGTGTCGGTTGAACTTCGTTCGGCACCGATCGCTCACGTGCGACGCTCGCAGCGCGCGAGCGTGCGGCGCCAGACCCATCCGTGAGGAGTTCGACGAGATTGTCGTACCTCTCACTGAGCTGGCTGACCTGCCTCGCCAGTTTGGCATTGAGGGCGGCGTAGTCCGCGGCCTCAACAGTCTTGAGGTGGAGTGCATCGAACAGATCGGCGATCTGCTTGTTTTCGGCGGCGCGGGGTTCCAGATTTGCCAAAGACACCCTTGGCCCCTGATTGGGCACTTGAGCCCGCGATCCCCGAGCTCGATTTGCGGCATCCAGGATGTCCCGCTGAATCTCGGGATCGTGTTCGACCTCGTCGAAGTCGAGATTACCGAAATTGCGTAGATCCGGGCCTTTACCCTTATCCATCCGGTCCCTACTGTTTCCGGGGATAGAGCTCTCAGGTACGTTCACGCTTTCGGACTCGCGAGCCCCGTGCTCGCTGTTCTCATCATACTGAGGGAAAATTTTATTCGTAGTATTATCTACTTCCGTGGACTCTGGCGCGATAGCGCGACTGCCCACAGCACCCGGTGCACGCGGCTGAGCACCAGCTTCAGGCACGAGGCCGTCGGCGGCATGCGCGTGGGTCGGGGACTGAGCAGCGGCATCGGCCGACCACTCGCCCTCTCCAGGGTCTGCTCCGTCGAGAGCAGACACCTGGCGGGATACCCCCACCGTCGTGGCGGAAGCACCCGACGACGGCACAACGTCGTGTTGCACCGTCGCATGCTCGATGACCTGGTCATCGGCGGTGGCAGGCGGCGCATCTTGAGCGCCCGCCGTACCCGAGTCGGACTCGTTGTCCGAGAGTGCACTAGTGAAGGAGTCGTCAGTACCACGCCACGCGGTCTGAGACTCACCGGTGTCAACCGACGCTGCGCGAGGGCGGAAACGTCCGCTGGAGTCGCGCAGAGGTTGAGCTTTTGGCGCCATTGAGATTGTCGACAAGGAAGAAAGGGTAATTAAGCCGCGAAGGGTGCCGGGTTGATCAAGTCCGTTGCCTTAGCGGGGGGAATAGGGGTAGGTAGTGAAAACTTTGCTGGTTGCTGGTTGTCGAAGTCGAAGTCGATGTTTCTATCGAGGACGTCGAGCGAGAGAGTAAAAATATGAGGCGAGTACGGTGACGCGGAGAGCGGGCCGGGCTCGGCTCACGGAGATGATGAAGAAGATTCCCACGAGGTTACTCTGTAACGAAGTCTCGATTGAAAACCTTGCCCTCCTCCCTTGGAGGAGGGCCCTTTTATACCTACAGCTGTAAGTAGTCATAACTAGTCACGGAGTATATATACGAGTCATAAGAAACCAGGAGAACCTCAAGGAACTCCAAAGGAAATACCCCCGCGAGGGGTGAAGGCAGAGCACGTGGCGTCGGCTAAGGCCGAGGCGTCACACCGCCCTATCTACTTTACGGCAGCCATACATGGAGTCGAGTTATCACACTACCAACGGGCAAATGACACGACCTGCACGTATCCATCGGATACACACTTGTGCTAAGGAAGTAAGTGCCGGTCTATCCAGTCAAGCGCGTCGACAAGAACTTGAACATGCCGCGAGTCCCGATCGGCCAGGGAGGTTCCCCCATCTCACAGTTGAGTACACGCGAAGACCCAGGATTGCCACGGAACTTTGCGGCTCCCAAATCGCTGGTGTTCCGTTGAAAACCGTGGAGTTCCAATGCTCGATCACTTTAGACTTTGGCCACTGATTATGGTCGATTTCCACGGATTCGGAACCAAATACAGTCGCGATCACATTGATCGCCGATTGCCTTTTGCGGCGACGCGTTCCTCCTGAGTCCTGGCTCCGAAATTGAGGACGCCAACATGCACCTAATTCATCACCCTTTCTCAAGTCTCCCAGGAGATCTGAGCATAAGTGAGGGGTAACGGAAGGAGCGGCTTGCGAGGGGGCAACCCGAAGCGTCGGCGAAAGCTCTGTGCCCTATCCAACGTCGGTGTGCCCCGCGTACGACTTGGGACGATATTCTCGGTCATAGTTGTATGTCTGACATGACTCTTTGTGGACTTTGCCTAGTACTTACTGACTCGGAGTCACCCATGGGCGAAGGATGGAATTGTCTTTGCCTGTTGGTGGGCAGACTTGATGAACTGGACTTCGACACACGCTGGATATCCAAGTGGGACTAGGCGGGCTGAGAGTTGGCGAGGATATCGACGGTGGCCTTGGGGAGGGCGCGCCCATCTGGGGCGGAGGTCGCACCACAGTCTGGGTGAGTTTCTTTTTCCTTGGCAGGGGGGAGTTCCAAGTTGGCAGCTCTTCCGTTTCCATCCCACTGACCTTGCCCGCCCAGTTCATCGACCCAAAGAACGGTGTCTGCGGCTTCGCTTCGCCAGTGCTTCACATGCCGACGGATGTAGCATTGGCAGGTGAACTGAGAGCAGCTTTCCGCACGAACTTAGGCGCCATCCTGAAAGGCATGAGCGCGAGTTAGAAGGTGAGGCCGCTTGAACGGGCCTGCAGATTGGCAAATTCATGTAGTATCCATCCACGCGCCTATTTATACTTAGTCTTGTTCATCGACACATATACAAGCAGCCCACCATCTACAAGATCACCCTCCACCCCGCATCCACCGCCTCCTTCAGCGTAAACGTCTCCTCTTCCTGTTCTTCCCCCTCCCCTCCCTCCCCCGCAACGTTGAGCAGCAGCTCGTGCGCCTCGCCCTCGAGCGGCTTCGGTATGCGTTTCACCGTCACCGTCTGCTTGGTGTTGTCTCCGCTCTCGCCATCGTCGTCCACCGCCACCACCTTCGCTATCACGACCGTCACCTCCGGCGTCATCGTCGCGGCGTTCAGCTCCAGACTCGTCCACCCGACGTGCTTTCCAACCTCGAGCTGCGCAAGGGAGGCAACGGGCTGCGACGCGGTGGCGGAGGCGAGCGACTGGGCCAGCGCGGGGTAGGGTGACGGCTGGGCGGAGGCGTTCGTGGTGGCATTGAGAGAGGGAGCGGCGTCGTCGTAGTCGTCGTTGTACGAGAGCTGGATATTCGCCTCATCCTGGTTCTCCTCGGCGTAGGTCTGCTCGTACGCAGAGGTATCGTACTTATATCCCGACGTGTCCGCCTCCCACCCCGCCTCGACGTCCACGCTCGTCACGAAAACGTTCGGCGGCAGGTCTGTGCGCTCGGATGGCGGGACGAGGCGCGGGAGGCGCGCTTGGTGTCGGGGAGCCTGCGCTTTCGAGGATGTGGTGCCACATTTCGAAGCTGCCGCCCCATCCCCATACAACTCAGCCTGCGCCTTCGAGGTCGCCGCACCATTCTGCGCCTGTGAAGCCGCCGCCCCACCCTGCGCCTTTGAAGTCGCTGCGCCACTCTGCACCTGCCCCGCCCCCGCCTCATCAGCGAACACGATCCTCTTCGGCCCCGCCGGCACCTGCATCTTCAGATTCTTCCGGAAGTTCTTGCTCTTGTTCTTGTTCCGCAGCGAGAACATTGTGAGCTCGCTGTAGTCTGGGGCGCCTGCCATAGGTGCTTTGGTGTCCACAACAGGTGCATCGTAATCCTCCAGGGGCGCATCGAGGTCCATCTCCGACCACATGCTTCCCGCGAGTGCATTCGCCACGTTCGCTGTCGAAGGTCTGCCTAGAGGCGTCCCGTTCGTCGTCGACAGCGCCTTCGGGGGCGGCGCCATCGCAACATCGCCACCGCCTTGCAATTGCCGTAGTCGTTGAGCGCGTCGCCGCCGATTTCGCTCACGAGAAGTAGTTTTACCTTGGCCCGGTGGGGTGACAGCGGGTGGTTTTGTGGCACTGCGCGAAGTGTCAATTGACTTTCGGAAGCATGTAGAACGGATCTCACACTGGTGGCTTCTTCGCTGGTGGCTGCCTCGCCGGTTTCTTTGAGCTCTGCACAAGCGGCGCATCATCACTTGAATCGCTATCCGAAGAGGAGTCAGACGAAGAGGTATCGTCCGAGTCCGAGTCGTCGTCAGAGTCCGAGGTGTCATCAGAGCTATCGGATGAGTCATCTGAGGAGTCTGAGCTGGACGAGCTGGTAGATGGTGAGCGTTTGCGCTTCTTGCCAGCGGCTACTGAGGTTCAGTGAATGTCGTCGAAAAGACGTGGAGAAAGCTACTGACCTGGCTTCGTCGTAGTTGCTGTCTGGGTCGTTGTAGATGAAGCAGAGGCCTTTTCAGAGCACTTCAAAACAAGCAAGTCCCCGTCGCGTAACAGATCGCGTGTTGACTGCCAGTCCAGCAGCTCGAAATCATCGAGAAGTACTTGCAAGCCAGTTCCAGTAGGCCCCAACCCAGGTACATTTTTTACCAGTGACTTCTTGAGGTCTTCAATCTTTTCCCCTTCCACCGCGTACCAGAACTTCAATGCCGGAAGCGGCGGCAAACACTGCAGCTTCACGCGCATGGCCGAGGTGAAGGTTTTGAACAAGCGCCGGTCACGCGTGACTTTGCCACGCGCCAAGTGTCACAAGTCGCGGACACGTCGACGAGTGCGGCGCCCGCTGAAAGCACACAACTTCTCCTCCTCCCCCACCGACTCACGCTCTTTCCACGCCCGAGCGTGTCCCCTCCTTCAGCGCTCCGCACCGGCGCGTACACGAAGCTCCGCCAACATGGCGCAATACAGTTACGATGAGTCGGGGAACATGGCGGCGACGTTCGCCCTCAGTGTCCTCGTCCTGATCCTCGTACCTTGGACTATCTCTGTTCTTTCACCGAAAAGTGAGTCTACCCCATCCGCTGTATTAGATTCTATCTGACAAGGGGACCTCAGGCAGGAAGCACGTAAACAGAAAGGAAGGATGCACCTGCGCGCCATGCCTCGAGAACCAGCAGCGCCTCAAAAAGCAGATGCCCCGCGTCACCTTCCGCAAGAGGTGCGTCCCCCCTCCTTATAACCCTACTCGTGTCCTAATATCCTCACAGCTATGTGTTTCTTGCCCTTGGTTGGGCTGCCACGGCGGCTCTCGTCTACAAAGTCATCAACGCGACCCCAGGAGAGAGCGTCCTCTATGACCCCTTCGAGATTCTTGGCATTGCAAGGGTGCGTGTGCCTCCTGCCCTCACTTGTTCTCTTACCCATCTCCCTCCTAGGAAGCCACCGAGAAGGAGATCAAATCCCACTACAAGAAGCTGTCCAAGATCTAGTATGTGGCAAGCTATGTGGAAATATACGCGCTAATGCATCCCCAGTCATCCGGATAAGATCAAAGCGACTGCTGAGGAGACCCTTGAAATGATTCAGGATCGTTTCGTCAAGATTACCAAGGCGTACAAAGCGTGCGTCGAATACTCGCCGGTTACTCGGACTCTGCACTCACGCCTTCTTTCAGACTCACGGACGAGGTCACGCGCGAGAACTGGCAGAAGTACAACGATCCAGACGGACCGCAGCAGACCACTGTTGGCATCGCCATTCCTCAGTGGGTCATCGATGCTCAGAACAACATCTACGTCCTCGGTGTCTACGCCGTAGTCCTCCTCGTCGGGCTTCCCTATCTGGTCGTACGTATCCTGCCATTTCGTTACCGTTGCAGGTTTTCTCACCGAAACACAGTACAAATGGTCCACTGCGAACAGCAACAAGACGAAAGACGGCATCCACACCAAGAGCGCCGCCGCGTTCTTCAAGAGCCTCACGGAGACCACCTCGACAGAGCAGCAAATCCTCCAGATCCTCGTCAAGGCCTACCAGTTCGAGCGCACCCCTGTCAAAGGTGCCACCGACAAGGCTTCCGTCCTCAAGGACCTCGAGAAGCACCTCGTCGAGAAGGTTGGTGGCGAGACCAAGTGGGCGAACTGGACAGGGTCGGCGGCCTCCGATGAAAATCAGAAGCGGGCGATCGTTTTGATCTACAGCCACCTCGCACGCCTCGAGATCCCCGACGCGGACTTGAAGAAAGAGCAGGAGCAGCTCTTGCTGGCATCGCCTCTCCTACTGTCGGCCCTCCAAACGATCTCAATCACACGCAGCTGGTACCTCCCAACGGTGGCCATCATCGGGCTCCAGGCGTCCCTTGCGCAGGCTGTCCTCCCTTCGCCGCCGCTGACGGGCTTGGAGCAGCACTTGCTGCAGTACCCTGGTGTGTCGATCAGCGATATCAGGAGCCTCTCGCCCGCCGAGCAGAGCGCGCCCGGGCTCGTCAAGCACCTCGAGGCCGCTGGCGACGCGCGCGCCGCCGACGTCAAGAAGGCGGCAGAGAAGTGGGGCGCGGCCGAGATCGTCGACGCGCGCTTCAAGGTCCTCGGCGAGCGCATCGTCACGCCCTCGGCCATCGTCAACCTCGTCGTCAAGCTGCGCCTTCGGCCGCCCATCAGCGGCGCGCCCGTCAAGCCCGACACCTCCAAAGAGGCCCTCAAGAAGGCCGAGCAGCGCGAGGCCGACTTCCTCGTCGGCAAGTCCGACGCTGAGGATCTCGACAAGGTCGGTGCACCCGAGTCTGGGCTTGCACATGCGCCGCTGTGGCCCCTGCCCCGCAAGCCCGCGTTCTACCTGATTCTCGCCGAGCCAAGGCAGTACAAGATGGTAGTGCCGCCGTTGAAGGTCACAGACGTGCCGTACGCGAGCGACGCGGAGTACAGGTCGTACAAGATCCAGTTCCAGGCGCCGCAAAACGTGGGCGAGTTTCACTGGTCGGTGAGGCTGGTGAGCGACACGTTTGTGGGGGAGTACGAGGAGCAGGATATTGTGGTATGTGTTCGCCTTTCGTACGGCATCTTTTCTGAAGGCTCATCCTTCTCCCTTAGCTCAAGATCGACGACGTCAGCGCCCTCGACGCCGACGAGCGTGGCGACGAGGAGGACGACATCTCCGACCCCGAAGAGGACTCGCTCGCCGGTCAGATGGCAGTCATGCGCGGCCACAAGGTCAAGCCGATTGCGGAGAGTGACGATGACGATGAGAGCAGCACGGACGATGACAAGAGCGACGACAGTGACAGTGATAGCGACAGCGATAGCGATTGATGTGGTTGTTGTTGCTAGCGTAGTCGTTGGGCTTTTGGATTTAATTTATGATCCTACTGGATTTTTCTTCACTGAAGGCCTCTCTGAACACTCTACCCTCTTTGGCCCATCAGCGTTCTTCGCGGGTGTGCCAAATGACAAATGACCGCTACGAGAACAGCCAAGTCCAGGAAGTTCAGCAGAAGATCTGACCGTACTTGATCGTTGCGAAAGGTATCTCTGAGAAGGCGTGAGAATAAGGCGCAAACCATCACCACGTCTTGCTTGCGACCACCATCTTGCACTCCCGTCTCTTGCACAGGGGGCAATTCAGATGGACCAAGAACAGGCAATACCTCCAGAAGAGACTATACTGAGGATGGTGAAGCTGGAGCTGTCCCAGGTCTCTGGGACCGACGCGTCCGCACGTTCCTCAATTGTGGCCTGCGTCCTCGACCAGCTTACGCTCGATATGCTGAACACCATCCCTACTTTTCTTGGGTACGAATCGCTGAATCCAGATGACGCACCGTACTGCATCACGCCGTCCTCGGACCCCGCTGTAGGACTCGGCATGTTCGTGAAAGAGGACCTGACCGAGGGTGATCTCATCCTCGCAGAGCGCCCTCTGGCTATCTTACCTGCATCCGTTCTCGGAGGATTCTCTGAATCAGATCTAGAAGATCTGTTTGACCAGCTCACAGCACTGATGGACGATCGTGCGCGCTCTGCTTTCTTCGCTCTCGCTGATTGCCACAAAGGGCCCTGCCGTGCACTCGGCATCTTCAAGACGAACGGCATAGGTCTGGGCGACGATCTTGTATATCCCGATGACTCTGGCGATTCTGCATACGTTGGTGTATTCGAGCGTGCATCCCGCATCAATCACAGGTAGCGCTGTTCACCAGGGCCAAATACTACTTTACTGACTTCATCTTGCAGTTGCAGTCCGAACGCTGTATATCACTTTGACCTTCAGTCGTTCTGCCTGGTGGTTCGCGCCATCCGGCACATATCCAAAGGCGAAGAGATCTTCATCTCGTACAGCGAAACACTTCTGCAAGCTGCCACAAGGCGTCAGAATTCATTGCAGGACTATGGCTTCCGCTGCGCCTGCCCTGCATGTGCGATGTCAGATATCTCCGATGCACATCGCGCCAGGATCGGGTCCGCGCGACCTGTAGACTTGCGCACGCCGCCCGAAGAGATTGTCGCCATCAGCGGTGAGCAAGTATGGCTGATAGAGCTCGAAGGTCTGCAGATGTTGGGCCAATACGTCGAAAACGCCCTCTTTCTTATTGTCGCCTACACCGCGCTCGAGGATCCGGCACGCGCGGCCGTATACGAGGACAAAGTCAGGTGCTGGGAGATCGCCATCCGCGGGGAGCACGCCAACTTTGACAACATCGAGCTAGCGAAGAGAGCGGGACTCCGTATAGCAGCAGCTGCAAGGAACGATGATACATAACTGGCTATAGCGCGGCCGTAACTCCTGCGTTGGGAATCAGCCTCGCCTTCCCATCTTCCGCATTCTTCAGCGCGGTCGAACCAATTTTCCCCGAATACCCCGTCTCCCGCATCCACATCTCTAGACTTTTCGTCCCCGGATGCACGCTCCTTACCCACTCCATGTCCCGCTTCACCAGCCCGTCCCGCCAAAGGCTCCAGAACCCTGAAAAGCTCTCCGCGATAGTTGTCGTCGTTGGATTTTCCGCATTCGCTGCCGACCTCTCCTCATTCGCTATCGGCCTCTCCTTTCCAAAAAAGCACGCCAGCCACTCCTCGATACTAAGTCGGACGTGCACAGCAGGCTGCCCCGTGACGCGGCTGAACGTCTCGACGAGATCGTCCCACCCAATTATGGCGCTCGCAATGCGCAGCTCGGCACCGGAGGTCGTGGCACGATTGTCGAGGACATACCGCGCCCACCAGCCGAGGTCGTCGAGCGCAATCATCGGCATACGACCGTCGCCAATGGGCGAGGCGAAGACGCACGTGCCGTCAGCGCGACGAGTGAGGGGACCACATAGAGGCTGGGAGTAGGTGTTAGTACGAGTGGACAATGTGCGAACAGAAGTAGCTCACATAATTCAGCATCTCCATGTATACACCGGACGAGATGGCTGTCCAAGCCAAACCATCGACATCGTCGCTCGAGGGTTGAGAGCGAAGGATTTCGTAGAAGGCGCCCTTCGCGTCGTGGTGCTCCGTCTTGTATCTCGTCGCGTAATTTCCGAGCTGGCGTGCGCGTCAGCGTCTACACACTCGTATGCACGATGGTGGCCTAGCACACCTTCAGCCCATAATCAAGCCCACTCCAGATGAGATGACGCATCGTCGCCGTCCGTCTGGCGGCTTCGTAAATCTTGATGGCAGAGAAGAGTTCCCTGCGCGCCCCAACAGTGTACGTGTCCGTATTCACGAAGACAGCGTAGCAGTCCTCCATAGCCGCCGCGACGTCTCGTGGATTATCGAAGCGCCCTGTCAATAACTGGGCGTCCAAGGCAGAGACATGATCATGGCGCCAAACACACCTTGCACGCACTCGACCCCCCTCCTTGTCAGCTCCTGCGCTCGACGGCTCATCGGGTCGCGCGTAAGGACGCGCACGGAGTAGGGTGTGGGAATTCCATCATCTCCTGGCTTCAAAATCGCAGGGACGACATGCATCCCCCTTCGTATCTCATCAGCTTAAACAAGCGCCTTGCCAGCGGGCAGAAAATCACCCACTGTGCGCCCGTCCCTCCAATCACCAGAACACGTTTGGGAGTCGATGCCATGTCGCTGAATGGTCCTCAGGTTCCCACTTACCACAAACCTAGCTTTATACCAACATAATTCCTAGGCAGCGGCGGTGGCGCGCGGCCGGGCGATGCTCCTCACTCCTGCCGGGACGATCGCTCTTCCCTGGACGCCGCCCGTGGCCCTGCAACTGAAGCTCATTGTAGCCTTCCCTCCAACGCACCTTCCAGAAAGCCCGTCGGCTTCTTAGATGCGATCCTATAGACGCTCGAAGAGACGATCCTATACAACCTCGGGTCCTCCGATCGACGTCAGTCCCCCGGTCTTGTTGCGCCGCCGGCAGTGATTAAATATGCAGAGTACACCATCGGTCGGGCCTACCCTGTGCCCGTGACACAGAGAAAGCGGGACAAGCCACTAAACATGAAGTCCGTCGAAGGTTGAGGAATCGTCACGCCCCTACAATGAGCGGCGTCGACAAGAATGGACAAGAGGAAAATCAGCCTAAGTGAGGGTGTTGATCTCCAAAGCGCCGCAAGCGGTAAGTCATAGCTCCCGAGGCGCTAGACGGATTATCAAGCGCGGTATACGGATAACCAAATGCGATGGGCGGATTTCCGGGCGCGGCATCGCATAGAATGTCAGGCAGTTCATTCCAGACATACATTACGGCAAGAACGGCCTCAGTCATAGTACAGCTCGGCGAGGCAGGAGATCGTGCGAGAGCGCTTAAGATACCAGCTCTCCACATGCTTCTGCGCAGGAGTATAGGGATCCTACCCGACAAATTAGTGTTTGTGTGATATGACGGTAATGACCACGTACCGGACGCAGCTCGGCCACAAGCGCGAGCCTTTTCTCCAGCTTATCTCTAAGCACTCCGGTTGGCTTCTATGAGAGAAGACGCGGTCAGAGGAGTCCACATAGGGAGCCATAACCCAGCCCACCATCCTATACATCACATCCCGCAGCTTAAGCTCCTCCAGATACAACAACGCCATCTCCCGCGAGCGCGCCTTGAACTCGTACCCCCTCTTGTGGCGCCGCCGCTCCTCCTGCTGATCCAGATACCGATGCCAATTTACCCATCGTGAGTACTCTTCTTCCTCCACAATTGGATGCATGGTCCCAGCGTGCAACGCGGCCCAGGACTCGCGGCTCTAGTGTAAAAACGGCGTTAGCGATCGCACGAATCACGAACGCCTAAGGTCACCTTCGAATGTTCGCCAGCAGAGGCATGCGACAGCGCATCCGAGATATGGCGCTCGCGCGTGCTCAGCTCAATGGAGTACTCCAGACCAACCCATTCCTCCGAGTCGTCGGCGACAGCAGGCGTAGAAGCGGCGGCGGAAAAGTCCAGGGTACCCGAGAAGTCATCGCCGGGAGGTTCTTCATACTGAGAGATTCTTAGTATGTCGATCGTTACACCTTACGAGCGGGAAGAATGTCACAAATGGAAGAACATAGGAAACGGGAAGAACACCAGATGAGGGAGAATTGGACAATGAACTCACGATGCGGCGTTCCGGCTTCTTGCCTTCCCTAACTTCGGGCGAGTGCAAGGGAGGCGGGGTGTCGTCACGAAATTCGCCAAGGCCAGAATGTGCGAAGGAACAGAGCGAGTCGAAGGAGTGCGATTCGTTGTTCGCGATATCGGGAGTCAGAGGTGGCGTCAGATCGAGGTCAGAGCCAGAGGAGGCAGTGTCGTGTTGAGCAGGCGCTTGTGACGAGGTGATTTGAGCAGGAGACCCGAGAGGGCCCTTGGCGGGTCCGTGTACGAAGCCTTTGCCGCTGCGAGAGTTACGAGGTTCGAACAAGGACGAGAGCCGACGATTAGTAGACAGAGAGTGCTGCTGGTCGCCAGGGCCGAAGTTATCAAAGTATTCATCGTGTCGAGGAGAGTAAGGCGAGGTTTTCGCAAAGAACGAGGCGAGTGTGTTCAAGGCAAGACCATTGATGCTGCGAATGCGCGCGAACAGGCCAGCGGAGTTAGGATCAGAGCCAGAGTTGCTGCTGGCACGGCGTTGTTCGCGCTCAGAGTAAAAACTCTTGTCGTTCATATCGTTTCTGCGAGACTTTGTCAAGTGGGCGAGGTCGCCGAAGGCGAAGATGGTGGTTGAGGACAAGGCGTTTGCTGCCTCTACGTCATTGCATTGGTTCCACGCGACGCGTTTGTCACGTGCGTCTCACGCTTTGCCACGTGGTTAGCTTTAACAGAAAGCATCAAAATCTTGGAATCTGAAGTGGCAAGAGCATGACGAATATATTAAGGTAGTAAGAGGGGTCGTACACCTAGGCTACATGATCCAGAACAAGAGGCTACAACAAGGCGAAGTGAATACATATGTCCCCACTGGGTCATGAAGGCGTCTCGACGGCTATCGCAGCATGTCCTGATGGGGGCTTGAAGAATGGTATAGTGCGGATATTCTCCGGCGCTGGTCCACTTGCTTCGAGCTGCTTGCGCCCTCTGTCGGTCTGAAGTTTATATGATGGGTAAGCAGTCAGACCAGGAAGAAAAGCCTTGATGACGCACGATGCCGGAGCTTGCCATGCCGCGCTCCAGGCCCTCAAGCAGGGTGCATGCCTTGCAGAGGTCGTTACTGGACATGTATCCACAGCGCTTACATGTTTCTATACGTGGGTGTCAGCGTTAACTACACACCGAAGGCGCGAGAGGAATAAGATACGCACGCTGTGACTTCTGCGTCGCCTTGACCTCCTCGCGGATCTCAAAGGCCTCGCCCGAGTGTATGATATCAATGATAGCGCTGGGCCGAGCCGCCTCAAGGTCTTTGAGAAAGACGCGGGCATGACCTCGATACGCGTCCGGGGAATAAATGCACTCTGTCGAGAAGTAGTCGAGCTTCTTGAAGTAGGCGTACCTAGTCAAAGGAAGAGAGGTCAGCATGTCAGCTCGGCGAAGGGAGGTGTAACACGCACATGACAATCTCCTTCTCATACGCATACTTGAAAGGCTTGGATCGCTTGATGGTATCCTCGCCCTGGGTGCAGATCGACGTACACCGCCCCAGGCGTGCGATATCACCACGCATGACTAGTTTGTCTCATGAGCACCGTATGCCGCCGTGAACAAGAGAATACGCACTATTCATCAGCACAGTCTCTGCTATATCATCCGCATTGTGCCCAGTCACGATGTGGTCGACGTGGAGCATGGCAGCACCGCGATCGAGCGCCTGCCGCCTGAAGACACCGCAGAACGTGCAGTTGTTCTTCTTGCCAACCTGTGAGACGATGCGGTCCATGGTCCAGCCGTATAGCTCGTCGTAGGATAGGATCTTCAGCGGCATGTCGTACTGCTGTTGATTTCGCTTGACTGTCTGGCAGATGTCTTCAGTCAGAGGAAAGCGTCGTATCACACGACTGTACAGACGCACCTCCAATGAATCATCCCGATACCCCATGATCCCTTCGTCGATCGACAGAAGGAACAGATCGAGCCCATAATCATAGCGCTCATTCAGTGTCTTCAACACATACGCCAACACCGTCGAATCTACCGCACTTCATCAGCTACAATCCTTCCACCCATCCTGATACAACCACGCACCCTTCCCCCCAGATGCCCCAATCGCTACACGATCCCCTCTCTGGAACAACCTCGCATCCACGATCGTATTATGCACCTCCGTCTCGAACACATAGAAGAAGCAGTCCTTGCAGATCTGCTGCCCCGTCTTCGGCCGCCTCAAAATCGCCTTCGCAGCCTTGCACAGCGCGCAGGACTTGGGGGCCATACTCCTGCTTATGTGTGTGGGGATGCGGTGTGTGGAGGTTCAGGAAAGACATTAGCGCCCGTGTGGCGTGCCGCCGGCGATCCCGGCCCGTGGTGGCGATCGCCGGGAAAAATCAACATGTCACGCGTGACGGCGCCGCATCTTGTTGAATTCCGACGACGATCAAGCCGAGGGTGGACATCGTGCGATTGTGAACGCGGAGAGAACATTGATATCGATGGAGGAGGTACATCTGAAGTGGATGGCAGAGGCCATGAACATGGTACAAAATTTGGCTATAATACAGAAAATGAATAGCTGATTATCGTAGGCCCAAGAAGCACTGGACGCTGGTGAAGTCCCCGTGGGCTGTATATTCGTCAGAGACAACAAGATCATCGCCTCTGCACGAAATAGAACGAATGAGCTAAGAAATGTAGGGTCTTTGTTCTCTTTGCGGCGTCCTTTCACTCATTCCCCACAGGCGACACGCCACGCCGAACTGGAGGCAATCGACCGCATCCTAGCAGACAAGACGCTAACCCCAGAAATTTGCGAGTACCCACTTGATACGACGACCCTATACGTGACAGTTGAGCCGTGCATCATGTGTGCATCTGCGCTCCGGCAGCTGGGGATCAAGGAGGTCTTTTACGGCTGCGGAAACGATAGGTTTGGTGGTTGCGGGAGCGTGTTGGGGGTGAATGAGAGGTAGATCTCGAGGCCAATGAATTATCTCGGGATTCCAGAGGCTGATCGCTTGGGTACAGTGTACCTCATCCCAAGCATCCAGCCTATCGAGCGCACCCTGGCTATCTCCGCGAGGAGGCAATAATGATTCTGCGCCGCTTCTACGTGACGGAGAACACCAATGGTTAGTCCCTTCTATTTCTTCCTTGCATATTGCTAACATTGTGTTAGCCCCCAATCCTCGATCCAAGGCCAACCGCGTCCTGAAGACAGACATCCCGCCTCTCACCAAGGCCGGTAAAAATGGTGGCACCTCGAGCAATTCAAGGGCGTGAACCCTCGTCCTTAGCGCAGTTCATTGACATTCGGATTGACTGGCACGGCGGCGCCTATGGGGAACCTTCTACGCCTTTCTCTCGCAATACACAAGCTCGCCGATTCGAAGTATAGACGCCAACCCAAGCGGTTCACCCTGCATAGCCACGGACGGCCGACATGCAACTGCGATCGTGATATGCAGCTACGACCTCCGCCGGTGATACCATGTACCCTGTGCCACCGCGGCGCCCTTCGATGCGGGCTTCTCATCGTCAACGCCGCCGAGCGCGACGATCTAGCGCGTGCGCCGCCGACGCGTAGATCCCGAGATGCGGCGCTTGGTAGTTGCACAAAAGGACGCCCTGCGCTCTTGTACCCTTCACCTTTCCACAATTCCCGATCCAAGAGCCACCTGTTTCCCTTACATCTGTTCTTTTCTACTCTCGACATGCCTGACGCTCCCACTCTCAACCCGACCAAGAAACTCATCCTCGTCATCGGGGCGACTGGCGCCCAAGGAACTCATGTCATTCGCAAACTTCTGGAGCCTTCCTCCTCCGGCGTACCTTCTCCCTACGTCGTACGCGCCCTGACGCGCGATTGCACCCACCGCCGAGCCCGCGATCTGGAGGCTGAAGGCGTCGAGCTTGTTGAAGGTAAGACGGCCCTTCTAACTCACCGTACCTCTACCCAACCTATTTTGTTCGCCGTGCTGAGCCACTGACCTCGCAGGCTCCGTCGAAAATCTATCTGTCATCGCCCGCGCCCTCAAAGGCTGCTACGGCGCCTTCGTCAACCTCGACACCTACGCCCTCGGCGCAGAGGGCGAGATCCACACCGCGATCCGCATTTACGAGGAAACCTGCCGCACGCCTGGCTTCCAGCACCTCATCTGGAGTGGTTTGGATTACGGGAGCAAGGTAAGGCTCGCCTGAGTCTAGGGCCGAAGATGAGTCAGGAAGTGCTGACCGTAAGAGTCTTGTAGCTCGGAAGCTTCGACCCCATGTATGCTTGCGAGCAACAGGATGCGAAGGGGATCGTGACCGACATTCTGCGTGGGCAACCCGCGAATAATCCGGCGTGGACCGCATTGACTTCCGGTGTGTACATGGAGATGTTGAACACGGTTAGTCTTACCCTCATACTCATCCGCACATACCGCATATACATGAACTGACCACCCACCCCATAGCCCGTCTGCGGCCCCCTCCATCGCACGTCGGATGGCACAACGGTCTTCGCTCTCCCGCTCGGCAACGGCACCATGCCCATGATTGCCCTCGCCGACCTCGCCTGGTGGGCCCGCTATTCGCTGGACCACCCTACGCTTTCGGCCGGGAAAGAGTTCTGCATTGCCAGCGATATGGTCTCCGGAGATCGTGTGGCACGCGCATTCGCCGATACTTCAGGCCTGCCGGCAATGTATCTGCCTTTCAGCCTGGACGAGTGGTTCGAGTGCATGGAGAGGACAGACGCCCCGCTTGTCCACGGGGCGCCTCTGGTACACGGAACGCCCGACGGGATGAATGATACGACGATCCGCGGATGCTTCACGGGTTTCTGGCATTTGTGGCACGACGATGTGGTGCAGAAGGACATGGAATGGATTCGAGGGGTGCATCCGGGGACGCTGTCGCTCGAGAAGTGGATGACAATAACCGGGTACACGGCAGCTCCCAAGAAGGATGTGCTGAAGAACGTGGAGGATGGCAAGGGCAGAATTCGGGTCAATCGCGAGCGTGCGAGGGAGGTGATAGAAGCGCACATCTATGGGACAAGGGATTCGAGCCGAATGTGAAATCGTTTCGGGCCCTTCCTTACGGTGCCACCATCGCACGCCAACAGGTTACATGTACACTTTGTCAGTTCACGCAAGCGCTATGTAGTCGTACCGTATACTATATGTACCAATCCATCTAGACGTGCCGAACGCACGCACAGAACCGCGAGAGACAGAAAGCATAGCATATACAAGTAAATTATATCAAGCGGGGAAGAAAGAACGTATTGGACATCCGAACCTGAAGCGTCCCCAACGAGTGGTGATGACACGACGGCGAGCAGCATGCGCCGTGCATCAGTCGAGTCGAACGAGTGATAATCCCCATTGCATAGAATTCCAAGGCTAGGAAGGACCTGTAGTGCTCCGCGATTAATCCAAACAACATAGCGAGAAACGGAAAGTGATAGATCAAGGTCGTAAATAGGTGGTCAACGTCGTGAGGTTATGGCGGGTACTGTCATGAGGGTAGGCGCGTCGGGTCCAATTTTGATGTCCAGGACTGCAGCTCCTTGAGGTTAGGTGCTGCTAGGGCATGCGAGTTGGACGCCGTGAATAGTGTGAAGGAGTACGGTTTCTGTAGTGAATCGTCAGCGACGGCGACAGAAGCAAGGGTGTACGACACTCACCCCCAGAAGGGCCTCCTTCGCAGGGTCTGCCTCGACATTGACGCCGGAGAGGCTGACGATGCCGACCTCCTCGAGCTCGTTCGAGCTTGTGTAGATGTGCAAGTATGGTCTTCTGAGCACAAACCACCGCTTCTCCCACTGTCCTTGGACGGCGTCAGTGAGGATGTGAAGGTAGCCCTTCTTTGTTGCGCCATCGCTAAGAGTACGTCAGCCATTGTCGAAACGCGCTTGCTAGAGTGCACATACGTCCGTGGGATAAGCTTAGTTTCTGACACGAGCTTCAGGCCATCAAGGGACTCGTCGTACTTTTTGGACGTCTGGGAAGCATCGTCGTCGTCGCGGGGATCTTGACTTAGTACGATCTGGTACAAAAATGTCAGCATAAAACCAGATACGCATGAGGGCTCTTAGCACTGACCTCGCCCTTATGGCCAAATTGTCGTTGCCACAACTCGACCGACTTCCGTATCAAATCGTCTGCTCGCCATGCCAGCGAATCTGCCTGTATGGGCCGATTTGGGAGCGTCGCAAGGATGACACGGATAGCCTGCACGTCTGCTGCACGTCGCTCGGTAGACACTAGGCGGTAATAGTCCTCCACCACCGATATGCCTCGCGGTCGCCACGTCGTGAGCGTCTCCTCTCCGCGCACGTACTTCTCCGACGTGTCCAGTCGCCAGAGGTCCTTGGCCGACCGTGTCAGGGGAGGCGACAGACGCACGTTGAAGAGGTTACTCGTCTTCGACAGCACCTTGCTCGACCCGAGGAACGAGAGGAACTTCGATGGCGGGCGCGCGTCTCGGGTCTGCATCGTGATGGCGATATCCATGTCGAAGTTGACCGGCTCCGCGCAAGTATCAATCGCCACCGACCACTGCAGGCGCAGCAATATTCGCTGGCTCGACGACGTCACGCGGTTGAGCAGCGTCGAGTTATGAATGCTCGAGTCCCAGAGGGCCTCGCCGACTAACATGCCCGTGCCGTCTGGCCTAAACTCTACATGCTGATCCGCGAGTAATGGCAGCGTAACCAGTGCCTTCGACGTCGATTCGTGGACACGCCCCCTGCCGTCTAGCAGGCGAACATTGCCCACGCGAATTTTGGTGAACTCCAGCCAAGGAAGCTGCTGGCCAGAATTTGAGGCAAGTGAGAGCTTGATCCGTCGCTGTAGACCCTGGTGCAGGCAGAACGACCCTGGGTCGAGAGCGTTCTGCGCAACCACAGGAACCGGCGCGTATTGACCATCTGGAGCCAGCTCGCAGACCTGCACCCATGCCACGACGTCGTGCTGTTGCTGCACCACGAAGTCGTTCTCTGAGCGACGCATGAGGGGCAAGCCTGAGCCTGATCGCGAGTCCGAGGACGACGAGGGCGTGGCAGAGCCGGACGTCGAGGGATAATGCCTTTGTTCCCGCATCTCGTCCCAGCGCTCGAGACGCTCGACGTACGTCGGCCGCACGGAAGCAAAGAACTCGATGGGCGCATACCCTGTCCGCAAATGCGTGAGGGTCTTGGAAGTGGCGACGATGGAGAAGCTTCTCCTGAACTTGAGATCCGACAAGGAGTTGTCGTCCAGGTCGATGGCATTCGAGGGGAACACCTCCTCGGCTGTGATAGCCGGGCCCACGAAGGATGATAGGCGAACCTGCAGGTGCACGGCCGAGAAGTCGATCGACGAGAGGCCCTTGACGTTGTCGACAGTGACAAAGAAGCTGAGTTTCGTGCCGGGTGGCACGGTGCCAGGAACAGGCGAGGACGACCGCCCATTGGTGCCGTTGCTATATCTTGGCGAGACAACAACGTTGACCAGCTTGATGTCGATCCTGCACGACCCAATCGCCTCCGACGTATAACGGCAGAATATGGGAACGACAGAGGTAGACGATAGACGTCGTGATAGCGGTGCGAGCGACACGAGTGCATTGCCAATGAATGAGTACTCCGGGGGAGGTGAGTCGTAGAATGGTTCGTCAGACGAGAAGTGTTGCGTGTAGGAGGGTCGGTCGATGTATGTCGTGAGGTTTCGCATGCGCTGTATTTGCTGCTGCATGCGATCTAGCGACCAACAGTAGATGGCGTTATGCCTACTGTCTAGGACCTTCACCGCTACTGTCGGCTGCGTCGACGACGTCAGCCTCGGGTCAGACACATCGCCGAACTGGTCTAAGCCCGCGATAGTGTCAACCGCAGATGCAGGTGCAGCCAATGATCCGCCCGCAGAGATGGTAAAGTTGTAGGTGACGTCCTTGCCCAGCTCCTTGCTATGATGCCTCGTCAGCACATGGGAGACAGTAGGAAGTGGCAAGAGGTCGTACCTAATGATATTGGCCTCCTTGACAAGAACTGCATTCGACAAGACGACCTCAGCCATAGAAAAAGACCTATGCGCCCGCCACTTGTCCAACACCTTCCTAATCAGCCTCAATTGCCGCGCCGAATAGATAACCGGCTCAAACTCCATCGCCTCCGTATCCGTCTCCCCCCTCGCCCGCGCGTCGATCAGCCGCTTCATCTGCATCTTCACCAGACGCAGCTGGTGCTCCATATGGTCCTTCTCGACCTTCAGGTCCTCCGCCTCCGGGTCCGGCGACATGGTCATCAGCCGGTTCTCCAGGTGGTTCTGCGCCTCCCTCAGGTTGCCGTCGACCTCCGGCGACCCCAAGCTCGGCGTGACCTCTACACTCGTATCATCCGTCGCGTCACTGGAGAATGGACGCCCAGGATCGCTCCAGATGTCGTCTGGCTGGCTGAGGCTCATGCTGCTCTCCGGGCGTGGCTTCGATACGTGGTCGCGCATGGTTTTGACTTTCGCGATCTTCTCGAACAGCTTGTTGAGGTCCTCATCAGGCAGACTATCGAGCGCGGGGTCCAATCCAAGGCGCGCAAGGGCTGCCTCCCGCTTTGCGAAGTTCCAGTCGACGTCCACGGCGTCGTTCGACGATACGGACGTTGCGCCGTCGGCGGCGCCGTTGGCTTGAGCCTCCAGGTCCGCGGCGGAGATACTCTGCGAAAGCTGATGCTTCTGTGCAGCGCGATCCCGAAGTTTGCGAACTTCTTCGGGGTTGTTGAAGCGGAAGACGTGGTTGTCACCTGTCGACAATGTTCAGCACGATGACCCATACAGAGCAATTCGTCGCATACCAAGGATGATACGGTAGCCCGAGCGGAGTTTGTAGCCTTGGCCTGGCGCGATTTGCTTCCCGTTCAAGAAGGTAACACTGTCCGGCATGGCGTGCAGATGGACCTTGCCATCGTCGTTCTGGAAGTAGCAATGCTCCTCCATGATGTTCTCGCCACTAAGACGGATAGCAGCAGGTTTCTCGCTGTCCAGTCGACCGACCTGTACACTATTATAAACGTGATTCAGTGATTTGAGACGTGCGACATACCATGGTCTGCCCAGGCTTGAGCTGGTAGATCAAACATTCGCTCATAAGAGGATCCTCATTCTAAAAACCAGTTTAGTGATTCATTGCGCGGTTCAGCAAAGTACGACCCACCAAGTTGACCAAATGAGGCATCTAAAATCATCCATCAGTACCACTTCATCCTGCCAGAAATTCCAACGCACCTTCTTCGGCGTATGCACGCCCACCAAATTCTTCTCCACCGTAATCCCCAGTTCCTCCAACGCCTGCTCCCGCTCCTTCTGCACCGCCTGTGTCCTTTCCATCTTCTCCTCCCACGTCTCATTCAAGCTCTGCATCAGCTTCTCGCTCGTCTCCATCTGCTCCTGCAGCTGTGCCTTCGTCACCGTCCGCAGCTCGCCCTCCTTCGTCTGGTACGTGACCTTCTGCTGCTCGGGCGGCACCGTCGGATCGAACGTCGCCTCGCTCGACGCGCCCTGCACACGCGCGCGCAGCATCTCGAGCTCCTCCTTCAGCTCGCGCACCAGCTTCGCGTTCGGGTCCTCGTTGATCACGGCCTTGTTCTTGATCTTCTTGGCCTGGTCGGCGTAGCGGAGTGTACTCAGTGTCTCCTCGTAGTCGGCGGGGGCGATGGCTGCGATCATGGCCGTCTTGGAGTTACCACCCAGGGAGTCTTTCAGCAGCCAGGTTAGGACCTGCAGCAATTTGGTCAGTAACAGCATCCTATGATACAGAAAGGTACTGACAGAGTCACGATACGGAATGAAGTCCTCGGCTTTGCCCTTCTTGCCCTTCTTCGCTGGTGCGCCGGCATGCTCTCCGGCCGAAGCTAGGGCAGCAATGACTTTACCAAGCGTAGTCAGAGACTTGTTGATGTTCGCTCCTTCCTTGAGACGCTGGCCCGTTGCTCCTGTCGAGTTGGCTCGCTCGGAACCAGCCAAATCAATCAAGCTGCCGTATGTCAGCCACAGTTCTGCTATATGCGCACCCCACGTACTTGATGCGCGAGACCTTCTCCGTGTCCATGTTCGTCTCGACATCATGTCGCTTGGTGGTGAGCAGCAGCGTGAACACAGCGTGGGAACGCGAGGATCTATAAAGATGTTCAGTGGCGCGGAGGCGAATCGCAGTTCAGACGCACGTCTCGTTCATGTTCGTCGCAGCGACTGTTCGGGCTTTGTTACCCTCGTCCATGAGCGTCATCATCTCCTCGTAGCTGTTCACCATAAGCTTAGACAGGTCCTCGACGTACGGACCGAGGCTAGGGTGTTCTCGCACACGGAGGTTGCCCGTGTTCTTGGGGTTGAGAAGGTCGCGCACTTTCTCGTTGTAAATCTGCGCGAGTGTCAATTAGAGGTCTTGGGTAGGAGGTAGGTTCAAACGCACCTCGATGTACGATACTTCGACAGTAAAGTCGATATTGGGATCGGCGGCCTTGCGCGAAGCGACGCGCTCGAACAGCTCCATACATGTCTGGGGGATGATACCCTTATCGGGACCGTCTGAAGGGGTGTTCAGGAGGGGGGGAATGACAGAGAGGACGCATACATACAGCCCATCATACTGAATGAGCATGTCAGCAAGTGCCTCAATCAAAGTAGCCAGCCACGCACCTATAAGACTTGCCGGATCCTTCCCCATGTCAGAGCACATCTAATCTCTACCCGTGGCAACACACCTGTCTGTCCGTCTACCCAACCGTCAATCACGCGCAAAGGGACGACAGCACAACCCACTCACAAGCCATGATACAAGTATTGAACCCCGCAAATCCGTGGTCCAGCAGCTCCCTCCCCAGATCATCGAAGAGCGTCTTCTGCGAGCAGTACCCCGGCTCGTCGCGCGGGCCCGCGCTCCAGTAGCTCTTGTCGAAGCTGAACGCCATCGTCTTGCGCTCCGTCGCGCGCTTCGTGTCCTGCGACGAGCCGGCCTCGGGCGGATCGAGGAACGTCTGGTTCCCCTGCATGCGGATGAGCGGCTTCGCGCCGCGGGCGAGCTCTGCGCGCTGTGATCAGCAAACCGGCCCATGCGCTCTGCGGACGCGCGCACCTCTCGAGTTCAGCGGCCTACATCGCACGACGACCTTGATATTTCCATCGCCACCGTCCGACATTGCGAGTGCTGAGAGAGGGGGTACGAGTGTGGGGTATTTGTAGGATTCCCAGAGCGCGGCAAGCGCAGAGGGTTGTTGGGTGTCGGTAAACTTGTACGCGGATTAACGCGCGCGCCGACGAGCTACGCGGCCTGTTGAAGCGCGCTGCGCGGTCTAGGGGATGAGATAAATGAACTCGGAAAATTTAGAGAGAGGATATATGTGCGAGAGCGCAGAGCTGACAAGCAGCGCGCGGTAGGAGGACAAGGTACAATCTGTTTGCACGTGTTTGCGAAACGAACTTCACTTGCGATGTCCTGCTAATCACGAAATATCGCTCTCATAATTCAGGACCTTGCAGGCATTCATGACACTTTACTCTCGTCTCCCCTCACAAGTACCACCATACATTCACGCGGCTTCTCGCAAGGCAAATCACGGCGCTTACTACGCGGGCATAATGCGGGGGACTCTGCCGCGCTAGCACGAAAAGTGCAAAATGCAGACGCACTGGCGTCTTTCAGACCAGGCTCCGCCTTTCATGGCGTCGACAGACGTATGCAGCGGGTTCAGACATGTTGCCATGGACACCAGTCGCCTGACCAGCGGTCACCTGAGTTTGCGCTAAAAAGATAGTAGAAATCCATTGCTCTACAGACTGCCGATCTATTGGAACTCCGGTGTGCAGAATTCGCCAGGACCGTACGGCTACAGGACGGTCAGATGAATCCCTCAGCAAAGTGGTGCATTTACACACCTTCGACGTCAAAGCAGTCAAGCCCGCGCTGTTCTCGCTCGTTTGCCTGTTGCTCTGCGGGCCAGCCTTGGGTTTCTCGCCCTTGCTGAATGCAGCGAGGATGCGCTTCGTCGACTCGGGCGTGAGGTCCTCCTGAACACACACATTAGCAATATTTTCAGGAAGTAAGGCTGGCCAACGCACATAGAAGTCATCCCCAACGACCATCATCGGCGCATTACTGCACGCGCCCTGACACTCGACCTCTACCACCGTGAACTTCCCGTCCTTCGACGTCCCTCCCGGCTTCACATTCAGCTCGTTGCACACCGTGTTCAGGATATCCGTCGACCCGCGCAGCATGCACGGCGTCGTCGTGCACACCTGCACAAAGTGCTCGCCGATCGGCTCCCTAGACCACCCCCGTCAGCCTCTCCTATCCCCACCAGTCCTCGTTGATGCGCACCGGTTAAACATGGTGTAGAACGTCGCCACCTCGTATACACGCATGGGCGGCATCCCCAGCAAGCGCGCGACGTAGTTCATCACGCTAATGCTCGTCCAGCCCTTGTTCTGGCGCTGCCCGAGGTCGAGGAGGGGGATAACAGCCGCCTTCTTGTACTGCGGCGGGTACCGCGCGATAATCTCCTCCGCGCGCTTCAGGTTCTCCGCGTTGAACTCGAATGGGATCTGGGGAGGAGTGCGCCGATCGGTTAGCCAGGCATATCCCTTTCTCGCTGATGGCTGGGGGACGCACCTTGGGGTTGTTGTACGGCGTGTCCCGGTGCTACATAGCATCACATAAGCCAACACATCCCTCCCTCGCAAGCACAGCGGACGTACGACGAACAAGGCATCCGACCGGCGGCATGCGGAAGCGCTGAGGGCGCGCTTGCCCGCTGAGGGCGCACTCTGCAGCACGCGCTTCGAGGCCGCGCTAGCACTCTTCGACGCGGCGCGGGCAGCAAGTCGGGGCAGCATCGTCGGGGTCGCGGTCGGTGATGAGCAAATGCAATGATTCTGACGACGAGGGCGGAACGGGCGGGGCGAGCGCAACGTGGGAACGCTGATTGGCCCGGCATCAGCCGGGGGGATTGGACTCGGCATTAACCGAATGCGCGAGTGAGCGTGGGAATCTGGAAGATGAACTTCGTCACACCGACTCATACTTGTCTCTGACGCCCAATGTTCGCAGTCATATTCAATGACGAAAAGCGGAGGATATCCAATAGACAACAGTGTCCGTGCACTCGTCTGCCGTCACCTGCTTCTTCCACTAGCTAAAAACGCTGCGAGCGAGGTAGGAAACCCTTCCTTCGAGCGCCCGCCAGGTATCTTTCGTCGGTACCGCGCAGAGGAGCGACTCATTTTCTCTGCTGAAGCACCTCCCTCTCCATCTCCGAAACGGAAGTACGGATAGGTGCCGTGTTACTGTGTCTGACGCCGACGAGAGGTCCCTGCGCGAGCTGATTAGCAGTGGGATCGACGTATAAGAACCGCAGAGAGGACTGAGTGAAATACTACACATTTTTCTCCTCCCACATCACTTCACTGCTCGTCTCCCTCGTATCATGTCCAAGAACATCGTCATCGTCGGTGGACACGGTCAGGTTAGTCCTTCTCCCCAATCACCCCTTCCCTCCGACCTCACCAACATCCTCCCAGGTCGCCCTCCGCCTCACCCGCCTCCTCACTCCCAAGCACACCGTCACCTCCATCATCCGCGACCCTGCGCATGCTGCCGACATCACCGCCGCCTCCGCCACGCCCCTCGTCCTTTCCATTGAGGAATCCACCCCTGCGGACCTCGCCAAAGTCTTCGCTGGGAAGGACGTCGTTTACTACACCGCCGGGTCCGGTGGCAAGGGCGGCGAGGCGCGTCACAAATCCGTCGACCACGAGGGCGCGGTGAAGGTCTTCGACGCCATTGAGGCTGTGGAGGGCCCAAAGCCGCGCCTCATCCTGATTTCCTCCGTTGACGTGCGCGATTTGAAGAAACCGGCTCCGTCTCACTACGTGCGTTATCTCCTGGATTGCGTCGTCAAGCTCGAAGTTTCGCAAACTCATGGTATTTTCCCAGAACGCTGAGGACATCGCCATGTCGAAGGGCCTCTACGAGCAGATCCCGGCATACATGGCTGCGAAGTACGCTGCCGATAAGGATCTCTCGCAGCGCACTGCGTTCAAGTGGACTGTCGTCCGCCCGGGATTCCTTTCTGACAACCCTGGGACGGGGAAGATCACCGCTGGACGTACCCACATTACCGCAAATATCCCGGTGCGTATCATTCTATCTTCCTTTCGACTTCTACTGGGTCATTCTCCTTCTCCCTCCTTGCGACCTATGTTTTTCAGTACGCCTGACGCTGAAGCTGACCCTATCTGCAGCGCGACGATGTCGCCAAGGTGCTAGCTTCTTTGCTCGACCGCGAAGACGCTGCGTCGCTCGCCATCGACATCGTCGGTGGTGACACGCCGGTCGAAGAGGCGCTGGACTCTGCTATCAAGAACAGGGAGAACGCCTTCCTCGACCTGTAATTCATCGAATGGTATACCCCGCGTTTAGTTGTCATAAACAACCTCCATGTATATCTTACGAGTAACAATCGCATGCTTTTCCTACCATCCAGAATAAGCGACTGCCGCGAAGACGGCAGCGCGGCTCAACGCGGCACCTGCCGAATCGTGGGACATTGCGAAGTTGAACTTCGCGTGACGCAACCGCATCTTGAAAGCAACTCTCGTGTACGGTCTTCTCCGTGCATAAGCCCAATAACCCTCTTTCAATCTGCATCCCACTTTCAGCCTGTTCCGCGCCATGTCGAAGAAGGTCGTCATTGTCGGCGGACACGGGAATGTTAGTTATCTCCACATTCTCTACCTTTGAACACCTTACTCATCCTCACCCCCAGGTCTCCCTCCGCCTCACCCGCCTCCTCACACCCAAGCACACCGTCACCTCTATCATCCGCGATCCCGCACACGCCTCCGACATCGCAGCTGCCTCTGCCAGTCCGCTCGTGCTCTCCATCGAAGAGTCCACCCCCGCGGACTTCGCCAAGGTCTTCACCGGGCAGGACGTAGTGTACTGGTCCGCCGGCGCCGGCGGCAAGGGCGGCGAGGCGCGCACCAAGGCCGTGGACTATGAGGGCGCGGTAAAGGTGTTTGACGCCATCGAGGCGGTCGAGGGCCCTAAGCCGCGCCTGATCCTCGTCTCGGCCATCGATTTGCGCGACCCGTCGAAGCCGCCGCCGCCGCATTATGTGTGTATCGTTCCCCCCCTTGACCTCTGCCTCTTCTACGACTGATGCGGTGAGCTAACGCTGACACCCAGAACGACGCGGACATCGCCATGTCCGAGCGCATACGGAAGGCGATCCCGGCCTACATGCATTGGAAGTACGAAGCGGACAAGAACCTCGCGCAGCGCACCGCGTTCAAGTGGACCATCCTCCGTCCGGGAGGGCTCACCAACGAGCCCGGCACGGGAAAGGCGGCGGTCGGGCGCACGCATATCACGACGCCTATTTCGGTGAGTAAGAGCTTAGAAAAACCTTGGTCATCTCTGGGGTCAGAAGGTGGACCACAGATGCTTCAGCCAAGCTCGGCGGCCACCAGCCAGACTCGGCAGCCTTCGAGCCCACGCTCGGCAGCCTTCTAGCCCTGCACCGGCAACCTCCTCGCCCAATAGTCGGGTCCTCCGTGTGCCCGTCCGTCGATGCTGACACTGACTTACTCTACCTATTGCATTGCTTACATGCTCAACACTCATTGCTGACACTACCCTCCAGCGCGATGACGTCGCCAAAGCCCTCGCCCTCCTCCTCGACCGCGAGGACGCCGCCACCCTCGCCATCGACATTGTCGGTGGCGACGCGCCCCTCGAAGAGGCCCTGGACGCTGCCATCAAGAAGGGGGAGACTGACTTCCTGTACTGATTGTGCTGGGATGGTGAGAAGCCGCAGCTTGCTGCATGAAGCCATTGACAGAAGGTTGAAGCGTGAGGATGGAGATTGAGATGAAGTCTAACCTGTACGACCTAACGTTGAATGTATAACACCCAAGAATGTGTCTACCGCGTATACGGTCCAAGAAACCAGTGGTATCGGTTGAGAATTAGCCGAAAGTAGGTAAGGTATTTGTATCTATCATCGTCAGTTCTGTCCTGCTCTGCCTAATCGTGCAGATCCAGTCTCTCTCCAGAGCTGCCTCTATGACTCGAACTCCCCCCTCTACGCCTCAAACTCACCCTCTAATACGCCTCAAACTTCCCCCTCGCTTCCTCGAACGTCTCCTCTAACCTCCTCATCAACTCCTCCACATCCTCCGCATGCTCCTCCCACCCCTGCATCTCGCTCACGCCCACGAGCTCCGCGCCCCAGCGGTCGGTGTGCGCGTGAAAGACGTGTGGGCGGTAGGTTGGCGGTTTCGCGACGGTTGACTTGGTGTCGTGTGGGCCACCGTTGGCAGATGCTGTACCGTCGGTGTGGCCGTTCGCAGCGTCATTGGAAGTTCCATTCGCGGTGGCCTTCGACAACGGATTCCACGTCGTCAGCCACGCTAGCGATACCAGCGCAAGGTGCACGTTCGCTATGGACGCGCGGTAGGCCGTGATGGTGTGTACTGGGGAGCCGAAGAAGCGGGCCTATCAGTAATTCAGCTCTCACTCGCAGCATAGCAAGCCTCATGAACATACCACGTAGTACAACCAATACTGGAACGTCTCCAGCACAACATTCGTCAGCACAGCCGCCACCTTGGTATAGCACACCCCCGGGTCGGAGACGAGGTGGCGGGTCCTCTTTCCATTTTGTGAGTCGAGGGCTCTTCGGTCCAGCGCCCCTGCGATGAGCTGAATCTGGTATTTCGAACTCCCATACGAGCGGTCGGTCTTGGTCAATTGCCAGTCATCGAGATTGAACAGTCTGGGGTCCCCCTCGCCCGAGGAGGTCCAAATGACGCGCCCATCGTCGGGGTAGAGAGGGGAGGAGAGGAGGGGCTCGAGGAGGTGAGCCTGCGAGCGGTCGGTTCAGAGAGGTTCGCGGTTAAACCAAGACAACATCGTACGCACCAGCACATAATGCCCGAAGACATTGAATTGCCATACCCAGCCGAGGCCGTCTGCGCTCGTCTCTCCGACGTTCTCCACATTGAAGTCCGGATGCGTGACAAGGTCAAGGAGGCCGCGGGTGAAGAGCTGCTTCACGACACGCGAGTAGTCGATGCGCACGAAGCTCGCGCCACCGGCATTGAAGACGAGGTGCGAGATGTATAAATATCTAGATGCATTTGGGATCAGCAATTATATCCTGACGCGTCGCTCCAGACGATCAAATCACATACCTCTCCTTCAAGACGCGCGCCACCGCGAACACGCTCGCCAAGCTCCCCAAATCCAAATCCACAATGTCCACCTTCAGCTCTTCCCTGAACTTCCTCGCGCGTTCCGTAGGATTCCTCTCAACGAGCTCATCCAGGGTCTTCAGCAGGTCCTCCCTCGCAGCTTCCGCGTTCTTTCGCCTCCGGCACGCCATGATCAGGGTGAGGCCCTCATATGGGGGAGCAGGCGCGTCGATCACGCTGTATGTGGGGTTATCCGACCTAGGGTGCGCGTCGGAGGGATTGTCTTCGAGAAGCTGGGCAATGAGGCGCTGACAGGTCGCAAAACCGACGCCTCTGGGTCGTTGAGTATGTTGCAAGGGATGGGGGAAGTAGAACGCACCCATTCGCGCCTGTCACCAGTACTACTGGTCGGAATTTCTCTGCCATTGTCGAGGGGATGGATTAGGGTGAAGGAAAGCGATGAGGGGTATACAAGCGTCGTGGGGTTGCGCTTTCGGAGGAGGAACTTGCGTCAGACGTCGCTCACTCGTCGGTTGGTGTTCAATGAGCAGACTTGCGCGATGCTCGTGATCGCACCACTATTGAGCACCGGACCGACCATCCGAGCCACGTTTTCGAGACCGAAGTTGAACTTCGTCGCTTGCCTGCGACTTTCATCATGGTCTCCTCGAACGTGAATGACGAGAAACATACGTGAGATTACTTGTCATCGCAGCGGCCGAACTCAGTCGAACTGAGAGCAAACGCTTCACGGCTCGTCTGACAGAAATTCAGCCGCGCCTGGAAGGTTTCCCCCGCTCTGAACTTCCCTTCATTGTCTCAATGCACAGACGTAACGCGTCCAGGTAGACATCCCCACATGCCCTCTACTGGTTATCGCTCTCCTCGAGCACGGGCGCTCTCTCTTCTCTCGCTCAGCCAACCAGCCAATTCCTGCGTCCGCAGGGCCCAGGCACCATAACCCTCTCCCGGCCAAGCCGCCATTCACTCCCATTCGTCGTTCCCCCGACGACCGCTGATCGAACACACCCTGGCGCCATGTCTCCTTCGCCTCGACTGGCGCCCGCTCGGTGTCGGGACGGAGACGCGGTTCGACTTGGGATCGCGCGCCGGTGCTTATAAGATGTCGGGCAGTTTCCTCGTGGAGCCTCCTCACGTCCCCTTCTTCCTATTATCACGTAATTTATCACCTTGACCCTTGACTTGACGTGACGATGCGTGGACTCGCCAGCTTGCCACTCCTGTCTCTCTTTGGCCTCACGGTCGCGCAAGACCTTGGGGTGCCGCTGAACTGGAGGGTGCGTGGACTTCTGTAGAACTGAATGACTTCCCAGTCTTAACACGCCACTACCTCTCAGAAATTCTCCAACGACCGCCCCGACTCCGAGATCATCTCCATCTCCGAGGCCGCCATCGACGCCATCCTGCCCAAGCTGAAGGCTGACATCGGCGAGTTCGATGGCATCGGTTACTGGCAGTCGGGCAACGTCTGGTGCGTACACCCATCCTGAACACAACTGTAAAGCAACACTCACTCGAACTCTCTAGGGCTTCCATGGCGAATGAGGACTACCGCGCCGGCACGAGCAAGTACCGTGACCAGGTCGTCAGCCAGCTGAAGAACGTCTTCAACCTGCGCGCAAACTATGATCAGTGGGGTGTACGCTGTCCATCTTTCTTGCTTTTCTTCTATGCGTTCACTCAATCGAACCAGTTCAACGACGACGCCACCTGGTGGGCGACCGCCGCCTACTACGCTTACCGCGCGTACGGTGATCAGGAGCTCCTCAACAATGCCATCACGACATGGAATCATCTGAGCACCTTGTGCGTTTCTTCGACTCTTCAGTATTGCCTAAAAGGTCTCTTACCTGATCTGCTTTCCTCAGCGTTGTCACCAACGACGCGGCTAACTCGGGCAGCCTCCCGACGAAGAACTTCGGCTTCCAGGGGAGCTGTGACGGCAGTACGTCCCTTTCAGCCTATCCACACAGCGTATCACTGACAAGTCCATCATCCGTTCTCTAGAGACCATGGCTGGTGGTGTCTTCTGGGTTCGCACGCGCCCTCTGCATCCAAGACTCACCCCGTACTAACTTCTGCACCCAGAAAACCGACCCCGCAGACAACGCAATCAACAGCATCACGACCACGTATGTCTGCCCTTCGCATCCCATCAACAACCCAGCAGCCTGACTCACCTCCCCAGCCTTTACATGACCCTCTCCGCCTACCTCGGCGAGGCCACCGGCGACTCCAAGTACATCTCCGCCGCCATGCTCAGCGCGAACTGGGTCCGGGACCTCAATATGAAGGACAACCTCGTCCTGGACACGATCCACGCGAACGACTGCTCGAGGTCGCCGGATAACTGGTGAGTCTTTCGCCCTTTGGTCTCAGGGGCTTCGTGTGTCATTAAGTTAGGCTTTGGTTGACCTTCCATCGCACAGGCTCTTCACCTACAATTCCGGCAAATTCCTCGAGGGCCTCGAGATCCTCGTAGACCTCACTGATGATGAGGGCTACCGCTCGCTCGCCGCCAATGTCGCCAACTCGGCCATGAAGACCAGCGCGTGGAACCGTGCGTATCTACTCTACATCCTTGTCACAATCCCCCTTCCACCTAGCCCCCCAATCTCCAAATGCCACACACAATACTGACACTGACCCTACGCACAGGCGACGACGGCGTCATCACCGAGGGCGCGTCCCCGAACGAGAACAACGACAGCGTCGGCTTCAAGTCCATCCTCATCCGCGCGCTCGACGAGACGTACAACCGCCGGAAGGGCGACAACGAGGCGCTCCGCATCCTCATTCACTCGTATGTTTGCGTGCAGGTGAGTGCTTGACTTCTAGACTTATCTTTGTCCCTGTCCTTTCTTCCTCCTTTCGTTATCTCCTCCTTTCGTCATCTCCTCCTTTCTATCTCTTGTTAGTCTGCGCCGGAACGATGAGCTGACTACCTTCCCCCAGATGAACGCCCTCCTCGACCTCGCCGCCGATGGCAACAACTACTCGAGCGCGTGGGCCGGCCCGGCCCAGGGCTTCACGACGTGGGGTCAGATGGCCGCGCTCAACGTGTTCGTCGCGGCGATTAACGCTGCGTGAGGTGTTGGAAGAGGCTCTCGAGTCTTACCGACGCTCCTGGTCGTATGGCATCTTCGAAAACATGCACGAATAGCAGCAGTGGAAGTCGAACGGGAATTGGGCTGTAACTTATTTAACGGTAAATACTATTGTCGGGTAATGGCATCGACTTTTAAGGACGCGTACCGCACTGCCGGTGTACGGGGTACAAGGAAATTCTGGCTCGGCATCGGTACCTTCGTCGAGGACCCACATCTCATTGACCGCCACCCCCGCAAGTTGACCGGAAGTCCTCCTAATGGACGACGTTTACCAATCAGCATTGATTGGCATTCAGGAGGTTGCTGGTCGTACCCATCACGCATTTGCCGAGCACATCCTTAGCTTACCTTCGTGGGCTCGAGATGTTGAAGGCGGGCACAGTGGCCGGCTGTACAGTCGAAAGTTGAATCCGAACGAGCACCAACAAGCACGGCTTCGGCATTTCCCGAGTACGGCATGTTGCCATCAGAATTCCGTGAGCACCTGCTTCGCGCACTCATCCGCTCGCTGCAATACACTCAGCTGAATTCTGATGCTTGCTCGTCCTAAGAGTACTCTGTTACCGCTGGCCTGAATGTTTAATCGTTAAATCAGCGACTGCAAAGCGTGGCCGCTTCCTGGGCGCCTTCCAATCTCCTTTTCCTCCGACTTTCCACTCGTTCCGACATGACAGCAATATCATAGTGGCGTCCAGGTGGCGTCGATTTCACGGTAACCAATACGCGAGACCCTAGCGATGCCCGTACGCCCTCGCTGACGCACACCGGCGATCCCCCTCCCCCAGCGTGATGTCTTGCCGTTCGGACGTCCGTCCAGCTTCGCCCGTTCCGCTGGGCCAGGAAGAATTACACACGGTGGTAATGAGGGTGACTTCTCCTGACACCGGGCGTTCTGCTCAGCGCTGGGTCAAGTGATATAAGGACCGACTTCGTCGATAGTCTAATTCCCCTCGCTGCCCACTTAGCGATACCCCCTTCCCCACATCTGGCCACCCCGCCCCCGCCTTCCACCCCACCCGTGCGGTAGTGTTGAGGATGGTAGGCCTCGGCCCAGCATTTGAGAGGCTGGTGGTCACCAAGACGGACCTGGTGATCGCGACCTTCGTGAGTGGGGCAATCGCGCGCTCATCAGGCAGCATACTCACGATCGTGCAGTTCTTCGGGTGGACGGTATGTCGAGTGATAATCCACAGCACTACGGGCGCTCATCGCCCCACCCATCTAGCTCGGCTTTGGCTACTTCGTTGGTCTTCACTGCGTTCGAGAAGTGGTCAGGGCGAGGCGCCGGCTGAACACCTATCTTTTTCTCATATGGGGTGAACTTGCCGCGTGCGTGTCTGTCGACTTTCCGATTCGCGTATTCGCTGACCCTCTACGCGCGCAGATGCTTGGTCTATGGTCTTATCATCTACCTCTACTTATACGAGATTATCCAACCGAGCTTTGCTTACTTCTTCGGCGCGATTGTGTACGTTCCTGCCACCGTGCACTCGCAGCGCAGCTGATCCACATTTCATAACAGAGTATGGACCTTCCAAGTCCAGCTACTCCTTCAGATCATCTGTAACCGCATTGGAATTTTGATGGCCTCCCCTCGGCAGCGCGTAAGTACTGTTTGTCCTACGCTGTTTATTTCATGAACTAACTGTTGACAGATATGCCTGAAACTTGGTGTCGCTTTCTTGATCTTCCTGGTCAACGTATCGGGTGCGTACCAATGCGCTTAGCATTTCTATCACCCCTCATATTCGCCAGTCTTCGTCGTCTGGGTACCCGCTAAGATAGGCGCATCGGAGGCCTTTGTTAGGACGAACAAATGGTGGGACCGCGTAGAGGTGCGTCGCCAGATGCCTCAGTAACTCTTGGCTCTGACATTTAATCCCTCCCTGCAGAAAGTCATATACCTCACTATCGACATGTCTCTCAACTCATACTTCATCCTGACTGTCAAGCGACGGCTGGTCTCTTACGGAGTACGTTTCCTCAATTCAGTGTCATCTATCCATCTGACCCGCCTCTCACAGCTCAAGAGATACGACGCTCTCGTCCGCTACAACACGTACATTGCCGTCGTCTCCTGCGCTATGGACGTTTTCATCATCTGTGCGTGCCACTTCAGACTACTTAGGCCTTTCCCTCCTGCCACCTACTCGCCTTCCATCCTGTTTGCTCGCTCTAACTGCGTCACTAGGCATGATGTCACTCAAGAACGACTTCGTGTACAATCAAGTGCACCCCGTCGCCTACCTCGTCAAGCTCAACATCGAACTCGCCATGGCCGACCTTATCCGCAAGGTCGCTTCCTCCACCGGACTCCATATCTACGACGAGGAGTCAAGCGCTTCCGGCGGCACCAGTGGCCCCCGCTCGGGTGGCGGCTATCGCACGCGCACGAACGGGCCCATGGAAGTGCATATTGGGACGGAGGTCATGACAACGCACGATCAGGGCGTGCCGCTGGAGGAGTTGGATAGCAAGCGGGGTGGCGGGAAGATGACGAGTGCGTTTTCGAATACGTCCATCCCGTCGTTGGATTTTCACTGACCATACGTATCCATCTGTCCAGATGGCAGCGCCAGCGACGTCTGGGAGGGTACCGATGCAGATAAGCATTGAGCCTGGATATACCCATGCATCCGCCGAAAATGTACTATTTACTTTGGTCATTCGTTGCGCTCCAGATGTGCTCATGCTTCAGTCTGCTAATCGTCCGACTATGGCATGGAGGAGACAAGATAGAACCTATTGGCTAGCGACGGAAACATCCAGCAACATACTGGACTCTCGAAGGTTGCACTACTCGTGCTCGAACCTCCTTCTGTGTAGGTCGGCTACCCCCGAACCGACGCTCCTCTGCTTCCGCATTCAATACACGGCCTGTTTCATTGATCGAAGAACAACTTCTGCCCGTATGCGATGTGTCGCACTGTTCGATTATTGCGCTACGCTCGTGCTTTCACGCAGTAGTACGGCGCGACGCAGTCTTGATTGAACAATCCGTGAGTGGGCTCTTCTCTCTGAACAAGGGCCAAGGCCCAAAGTATAGTTCGCTGAGGACTTTTAGGCACCTTCAACAGTGTAGGCAGGGAATCTTGCCCCGAAGAATTTGTTTCACGCAAGTCGTGCCCATTGTTCTTATGAGCCGAGGTAGTGGAGGACGCCGTTTTCTCTGACGCCAGCGCCGCAAACTAGCCGTCACGGCACGCACTGCCGCCCAGTCCTTGTGCACTATATAAACAGGCCCCCACTCACCCCTCCTCCCTCATCGAGTTCACAATCCTTCAAACTTTCTGACTCACAACCACTCCCGTTCTCTACACAATGTTCTTCGCCGCTCTCACCCTCTTCTCCGCTGCAGTCGCCGTCAATGGCGCGGGGCTCAAGGCCGCGTCGACCTCGCCATACGGCCAGAGCACGAGCAACTTCGCTCTTCACCAGATCAACCCGTCCGCCTACGTCCTCGACGCGGGCCATGCTGTCGACCTCACGATCTCCGCCGTCGTCGAGGGTGGGCTGCTGAAGATGGTGTGCCCCACGGCCGGGCTGGAAGCGGTGCTCGTCCCTGTCGCGCAGTCGAACCCAGCGAACTACACTGTTGAATTCGTGAGCTCGCACGACGGCCTGCCGGAGGGCGCCGTCTTCGGCGGCTGGAGCCTGTCGGACGACAGGATCGGGCTGTCCAACGCCAACTTTACCAAGGTCGTGAACACGGTGAGTGGCATCGCATGGTATGACTTTGTGAGGGCGCCGAGCACTGACGATTGATGCAGATTGGCGACGGCGAGGGCAAGTTCGCAAACGAGCACACGGCGCTCTACGGGGACGATGTGTTCGCGTTCACCTGGGTCGACGAGCCCTACTCCCAGGGCGGCGCGTACTACTTGGGCTCGTACCTCGTCCTCGACACCGCCAATGACGTCGCGTGTTAAGTAGTGCCAGCGGTAGTCAGTGCTTTCTGCATCTGATAAGTGTCGATCAATGCGCTGATCCCTTGACAGGAACATTCGTATCGGCAAGCAGGGTTTCTCAGAATATCTTTGTGGGGTTCGAAGTCGGACAATAGCGCTCTCATAATATAGGATCCGGTCATAATGTGACAGTCGTTTATTCTGGACCTCATGAGAATAAGGGTGTCTACAGTTGAAAGACTTCTGCGCACGTTCGATTCTCGAACTCGGCTGAGTTCGACCCGCTACGGCATTCACCGGGGGCTAACTGTCACGTCACGGATATTGTCTGCATTCTCTTCTGTTCTCTTTTCTCGTTTTGCGGATTCGAAAGAGAAGTCCTCGTCGCGAACGATTGCAAAGCTATCCTATGCTTTTTCACACTCAAAATCGGGGACTCGCATGCGCAAGCCAGGCGGTATATTACCCTCACGGCCTTCCACTCACGCCCGACCGACATTAACACCGAAGTGGCGGTGATATTCTCTATTGAACTACCTGGGCATTTTACTCGACCCATTGTGGACATTTTCCAACGTCTCACGCACATAACCCGATGGCACGTATGTTTTCGCCCAGAATTGTCCCGATGTCAGAGTCGAGCGACTCTCGCATTGACAAATCTGACATTCTGACCACGGCAAGGAAGCACCTCCACTGAGTCCTCGAGTCCAATTTGACCCTTCTTCGGATATCTCGTTCCATTTGTCGGTACCTACAGGATAGGAGCCTTGCGTCTGCAAATGGTAGTCAAGGCACAATGTCCCCTCTCTGGATTTACGCCAGTCAGGTCAGCTTCCGGGACGGAGAGCCTTGCGATAAAAGGGGCAGCTGCCTCGAGATCGCCAATTGCCCTCGTCCCTCACCCGTCGGCGCCCGGGCCCCGCCTCTGACCCCGGCCCCGACCCCGCTCCCCTCATTTCCCTCCCTCCTGGTTCGAGACACCCTTTGGTGGTTTGAGACACCCTTTGGCTGCTGGAGATGGTCGCCTTCGGCCCTGCGTACGAGGAACTAGTGGTTACTCGGACGGATCTGGTTATAGCAACGATCGTGAGCCTTCTGTTTAGTGTTCACACTGGCAGCACGATCGACTAACTTTCCGTAGTTCTACGCATGGACGGTGAGATCGCACACGCGCCGGGCAAGGTGCACGTGTTGACGCCTCTTCCAGCTCGGCTTTGGCTACTTCGTCGCCCTGCACTGTGTCCGGGAGGTGGTTAGGGCGAGGCGGGTGACCACGTACCTGTTTCTCATTTGGGGAGAATTGCTCGCGTGCGTTCTGCTTCTTGCTCGTATTCTCTGACTCAACTTCGTCTGCAGTTGTCTGATATACGGTACAACATGCTGGCTATATCTCTATGAGGTTATACCGCCATCCTTCGGAATTTTCTTCACGACAACAACGTATGCTTTCGTAGCTGTTATACCCCCTTCACCATCGACTCACTGCTACTCGGCAGTGTTTGGGCTTTTCAAGTGCAGTTGCTCCTGCAGATCATATGCAATCGTATCGGTATTCTCATGGACACGCCCAGGCAGCGGGTGAGCGTCTCGCCACACACATTTGCCCTCAGAAATGCCTGAAGCTTGCCATAGCATTTCTCGTCCTTTTGATCAACATCTCAGGCATGTAGCTTGCTCCTACAAGTACGCATCGTCCTTACGCAACTCTAAGTCTACGTCGTTTGGGTACCTTCCAAGATGGGAGTAGGCGAGAACTTCAAGAAGGTCAACGTTTGGTGGGATAGGGTCGAGGTAAGCTGTGACCAGTCAGGAGTTCGCATCTATTGCTGACTTTCCCCCCCCCCCCCCTCCTACAGAAAGTGATCTATCTAATCATTGACATGTCCCTGAACGCGTATTTCATCCTAACCGTCAAGCGACGTCTGGTTTCTTACGGTGTGCGTTGCTTTGCTTGCCTTTTGCACAAATACACAGGCTCACTCGATCGCGTTCGTACAGCTCACGAAATACGACACACTCGTTCGCTACAACACCGGCATCGCCATCGTATCCTGCGCCATGGACGTCTTCATCATCTGTGCGCACCCCCTCTAGGTGCCTCGCCCGGCCCCTTTATCACTTACACAACCCCGCAGGCATGATGTCCCTCCGCAACGACTTTGTCTACAACCAGGTCCACCCCGTCGCCTACATCGTCAAGCTCAACATTGAGATTGCCATGTCCGATCTCATCCGCAAAGTCGCCTCCTCCACCGGCCTGCACATATACGGCGAAGCATCGAGTACATCGGGCGGTACCAGCGGCACGCGCATGCGTACAGACAACATCACGACTAGCGGCTTCCGCTCGCGCACAAACCCGGTCGAAGTGCACATCGGGACGGAGATCATGACGACGCAGGATCCGGGCATGCCACTGGAGGAGCTGGACAGCAAGCGAGGAGGTACGAAGAGGGATTTGGGGGTATCAAGTGCGTGTTTCCTCTTCAATGAGTCTCAGGACAGAATTGTTGACCTCGCTGCTGCAGGCGGTAGCGCAAGCGACGTCTGGGATGGGGACGACAACGACAAGCAATGAATGAGGGTATACCCGTGGGTTTTCGGGTCGAAACTTCACCATGGGGACTGGCTGCAGCGCTACTCACTCTGTCCTTATTCTATAACTTATGCACTCTACACATGTATACTCACAGCAAATCAGCATGTATTGCACGGAATGAAGCGTCGAACCCACGATCCAATTTCACAAAATGGTATAGTACAAAAAATATCCAGCCGAAAATTGACCACAGAAGTTCCAGGGAACACAACGCAGGTATAATCTCACTCGTCATCGTCCTCGTCGCTCGATGACGAGTCATCTTCATACTCGAAGCTTCCCGCTCCCGCGAGCTCCTGCAGCGACTTCGGCGCACCATTGTTAGGCGATGGTGGCGGCTCCATCGACTGCGCCAGGAAGTCATCGTCCTCCTGATAGTCGTCTGCACCCACCATATCCCCGCTCCCCAGCCCGTCATCGAGCTGTTTATGCAGCTCCTCCTCGAACACGTCCACCATATCATCGTCTTCCTCGTCGTCCTCGCCATCGCCGGCTTCCCCTCCCCCAAGCTCGTTCTCAAGCTCGCGCTCCAGGTCATTATCGACCTCTCCGCCCGGCATATCATTCCCGTCGATCTCCTCCATCTCCAGACCAAGGAAGTCAACCGGGGCGGCAGGCTCCTCGGCCAGCTGCGGCGAAGCCACTTCTTCCCAATCATCCTCTCCCTCATCCGAATCTTGCCCACCAGTGAGATCCATCGTCGGCGTAGCCACGGGCGAAGGTTCGCGAGGCGTAGGCATAGACACAGGAGGCGGTGTAGGTACGTGACCACTGGCGCCAGGTAGCGTAATGGCATTATTTGCCGTCGGAAACATCAGCTCTGCAGGCTCAGGCGATGCCTTCTTTTGCGGCACCGGCTGCGACTTGCGCTTGACCGGCGGTGGCGAGGGCCGCGCGCGTTTCGCCGGGCGCGCTGCAGATGCAGAAGGTTCGTTACTAGATGGCGGCGGTGACTCGCGCTTGAGCTTGCCCTTGGCGGAGGATGAGGACGCGGTGGAAGTCGAGGGCGTTTCGGGAGCGGGCTGAGATAGCTTGGGCTTCGTAAAAGGTTTCGGCTTGGGCTTCGCCTGCTTGGACTTTCCTTTCGGAGAGTGAATTTCATGAAGGGGTATCTCGCCCTCCTCAGAGGATTCTTGTTCCCGAAGGGCATCTTCGAGCGCGCCAGCGAGATCATCGCTAGGGGTGGGATCGGGGGCTGAGCGCTGTCAGTGCTGGGATCAAGATAATTGGACTTCACAACGCACCAGCATCGCCCGCCCCGGTTCGCCGCACGTAGGTCATGCTCAGACTACTCTCGACCTTCTCAAGCACGTAGCTTTGAGTCGCAGAGTCGTAAATGAGGACACATGTCCATTCGGCCGGGTTCGCTTCCTGGCCTTGCCATTCTAGAGTTTTGCCGTCCTGCGCGGGGGTGAGTAAAAGGGTTATCTTAAACCAGTCAGATCTACGCACCTTAGACGGCTGCTGCAACGTCACTGGAAAGTCCCTGTTCTCCGAGTGACGCACGACATGCCCCGCCTTGCTGGTGTCGATAGATGAGGGTTTATGGTTGTCTGAAGAGTATCAGAGCTCGCCCAGTTGCCCAAGTGCAGTGAGCATACATCGCACGCTGTACCAGAACTTGTCAAACTTGGAGGGGGGTGGTGGGCCGGTGCGGTGCTTGCGCGCTTGCAGCGCTTTCGCAAGCGAGTTGCCTACGGAGACGCTGTGTCTGCCGCTCGCGGGAAGCCAAGGCGTTTCTAGCGACATGGCCTATGGGATTTAAGCAGAGAGCGCGAGATCGTGGGTCGAGGGCAAGTGGTTAGGAACAAGGCCCGCTGTCGGCGGCTGGTTAGCGGCCCGCGGAAGCAACGCCACATCAATTGTGACCGTCACACAACAAGAACAATGAACAATTCAACCTCGACCTCAACCGCCACTCACGCCTTCCGAGATGAAGCAGGGAGATAGACATTAGACCGATACAAGAACAGAAATACACGATATAGATAAGTAGAAATGTCTGTAGAAGACAGGCTATGACTCGGCCTTTTTCTTCTTCTTTTTGGGTGCGTCGGCATCTGCGGTAGCGCCAGCTGCTGCTGCCTTCTTCTCCTTCTCCGCCTTCTTCCGTGCCTTGCGCTCCTCCTTCGACTCTTCCTCGCCCTGCATGATGATAAGCGAGGCGAGCGGCAGCACTGGAGAAAGAACACACCTTCACTGGTGAGCTCGCCACCGCGCTCACCGCCTCGCTCTCTCTCCGCTTGCGCTTCTTCTCCTTCTTCTCCCGTTTGCGCTTCGTCTCCTCGTCCTCGTCGACGTCCATCGCGTTCTCGTCCGCCTCGCTCTCGTCGCTCTCCTCCTTCTTCGCCTTCTTCGCTGCCTTCTTTGCCTTCTTCTCCTCCTTCGCCCGGCGCTTGTCCTCCTTCACACTGTCCTGCGCCTGCTGCGCCAGCGCCTTCGGGTCCTCGCGTTGCGCCGGCACCAAGTCCACCGCATCCGCCTGCGTGTTGTACGTCTTCGTCTCGCCCGACATCTGGAAGCCCTTCTGCTGCTTCCGTCCCGAGTCTGCAAATCGCCGCGCGCCACCCAAGTCGTTCTGGTATTCCAGCGCGCGCAACCGCGACTCCAGCTTCGCCCGGTTCTCCACGCCGATCGCCGAGGCCTCCGCCTCCGACTTGCCCTCCGCGTCCGTCAGCGCGTCCACGCGGATCGACAGCGCCGCCTTCGTCGCGACCATGCGAGCCATCTTGCCCTTGAGCTTCGGCGGCGCCTGCCCGATGAGCGACGCGTGGTAGATCAGCCCATACTTGGGCGTGTCGTGCTTCGCCTTGAGCGCACGGAAAAGCGCCTTCTCCGCGCCGAGGATCTGCACTGTACTGGCCGGGTGCTTCGCGAGGGACAGCAAGCTGCCCGCATGGCTGATAAGGCGCGCGCCGACGAGCTCGCCCACAAGCGCGGTGAGGTTCGGCGCGATCGCGTTCATGCGATTGCGCAAGTACTCCGAAAGTTGCTGGCGGTACGCGGAGATGGAGATGACCTGGTCGCAGAGAGAGTTGATGTGCGCGATGTCAGAGTCCGAGATTTCCGTGCCCATCGAGATCTCGGCGGCGGCCTTGAGTACGGCCTCGAGGTCCTCGGGGAGGAGCGCGGCGAAGGAAGTGGTAGCCGCGTTCGTGCGGAAACCCATGTGCCGGATGACCTTTGCGTACGCGATGTTGTCCGTAATGATCTTGGCCATTTCGGGGAAGTGCCAGCCGTACCATTCCTAGGGCGTGGGGTGGGACGCGGTCCAAGGATGTAGGCAAAAGCGACTGACCTTGACGCGCATCGCGTAAATGTTGATCTCCTTATCGAGATCGTCGAGCAGTGCGATGGCCTGGACAATCATCGTGTCCACCTTGTCGGGGGAGAACTTGAGCTTAAATCTGGTGCGCGTGTTAGCTTGCGTCCCTACGTGATTTCCCCTTGCGTACCTCGACAAAGAATGACTTAAGCCCAAGCTCATGGTCGCCAGATCCTTCGGGTCAAGGCCCTCCAGTAATGAGCCCAGCTGGTGGCGAATCCCTCGCCATAGATCCATCTGGTAGCCCTCCATCAGCGCCTGCGCGTTCACGCTGAACTTTTTGTTGATCGAGTGAGCTACAGGCCGCCGATCAGTGTCTGCCCCGCGCAAAATAACTTCAGCACTCACCCAACTTCGGCTCAATGACCACCAAGGGCTCCTTCGTCTTGCCCTTCGCCACGACCTCGTCCTGGATGAAGCTCTTCAGCCCCTTCCCGAGCTTCCCACTCTGCAGCGCGGTAATATCCTCAACCGCCGTCGCCGTCGAGGTAAATCGGTGGATCGCCTTCAGCTTAAGACTGCGCGACATCAACCATCCTATCCTGACCCTTTGAAAAGGCTACTCACAACTTGCTCGCCCGCTCTGGCGTCTCGAACTCATTCCAGAGGTCGGACGTCTCCGCGTTCTCAATCTTGGAGGCATCGGATACCTTAAAGAGGCAGTATCCGAGCGCGGTCTCGTATAGGACCAGCATTTTTGGAGGGGGGAAGACCGTTCGTAGGTGCAGAGGAAAACGACAAGCTTGACGAGCCCAAAAATTTGATCGCGCATAATGTGGGAAATAACTGCCAAGTTAGGAAGTGCCGCGGCGCCGAGGAGATAAAGAATCAAAAGTGAATGGGGGTTTCCGACTTCGCGCTCTACCTTACTCTTGTTTCTGACGGCCATGTACAAGGTTGCCAGCGCTGGAACGACTTGCTGGCACTCATTGAATGCAATATTATTCTCTTTACACTCAAGACAGCCTTCAGTGTCGGGGATCAGCACAATGACCGACCAGGTACTTACCCACGAAGCCGCCGCTATCACGGCAGCATGCCAGCGTTTGACGCCTTGTTCCCGCCTCTCATGCTGTCCGCACTGGTAGTTCTGCTGACGAGCGCCTTCGCCTCCTGCTCGGCGACCTCGCAATGGGTCTTCAGCGCCGACAGCGGCGTCAACCTCGCAGCTAATGACAACAACACATTGCAGACGCGCACCTTATCATCCCTCGCGTCCGACGAGTTCACAGCTCTCACTCATCCTCGCTTCCCGAACCACGGCGTTCGCGTCAAGAAGACGAGCTTTTGCGATCCCACGGTGAAGTAGGGCAGCTCCCTCCCTCTGCGGACACCTCTCAACTGGTTCACTCTTCAGCGTCTACACCGGCTACCTCGACGTCGACCAGGGCGCGAAGCATCTCTTCTTTGCCTTCTTCGAGTCCCGGCGCGATCCCGCGACTGGTAGGTGGCTAATTTGAATGCGTGACCATCTGACCCTACTTCACTCCCTACCAGACGATGTGATGATGTGGATCAATGGAGGCAAGTCGGTCAGTACCGCAATACAGATGACTCGCTGAACAGTTTCGGCTTGTAGGTCCTGGCGCTTCGTCCATGCTCGGCATGCTCATGGAACTGGGTATGCCGTGAGATCAAGGACAGGTTAACACCTGACTCAACGCCCTTCAGGCCCTTGCAGCATTGACATGGACAACAAATCCGACAACGGCACTATATGGAACCCGTATTCGTGGAACTCCGAAGCCAACATCTTCTTCCTCGACCAACGTATGTGGGCTCGCATACATGTTCATCCTTCTTCAACTTTACTCATCATTTTGCAGCGTAAGTCTCGCCACCATTTCCTATGCAACAACGTCTTAGGTCGTCTTAGCGTCGGCGTCGGCTTCTCCTACGCTGACTTCGGCGAGACAGTCGAGACCACCGAAGAAGCCGCTAAGAACGTTCACGCCTTCATCTCCATCTTCTTTGAGACGTTCTCGCAGTTCGCTGGGCGTCCGCTGCATTTGTCGGGCGAGTCGTACGGGGTGAGGCTTTCGCAACGACTTTATATATACCTCAAGCTCAAAATGGGCTGATACATATTTGACTCGTACATAGGGCCGCTACCTCCCCGTCTTCGCCAGCGAGATCATCGACCAGAACGCCATAGCCGCGCAGGAGAATCGCTCGCCCATCAACTTGCAAAGTGTGCTCATCGGTAATGGAATCACGGATATATCAACGTACGTAGGATTTCTTTGCTTCCCTCTTCTGCCTCTCCTCCCCCATCAATGCTCGCCCGGTCCTGCTGAGCTCACCTCATTCGCTGACCTGCTGTATCCCAGTTTGTATCCCGGCCGCTACGAGATTGAATGCGGAAGGGCCGCATTCGATGTGCCCTTCCAGTCTATTGAGAAGTGTGTCAGGATGAAGACAGCGGTGTGTTAGCCCTTTCGCTCTCATTTCGCTTGATAGACTCAAACCTCGAACGTCCAATAGCTCCCCCGCTGCCAAGCGGCGATGCAAAAGGGCTGCATCAACCAGTTCGACGCGATGAACTGCAAGGCCGCTGTGGCGTTTTGCGACAGCGAGCTGTCGACGGGCATGTGGGCTACAGGTACGCTTCTTTGCCGTTCGAGACGCCGCTCCTCATATTGATCCTCTTCACAGACAGGAACGTCTACGACATATCCAAGGTACGCACCGCTTCCCTGTTCCTTCTCCCCTTCCTTGTTCTCCCTCACTCACCACCAAACACCCACTCATCCATCAAGCACCCACTCATCCAACCCTCCCCAGCCCTGCCTCGGCGATCTCTGCTACGCCGAAAATGCCGTCATCGCCTCCTACCTCAACAGCCCCGCCACCCAGTCCCTCCTCGGCGTCGAGCGCAACTTCACTATGTCTTCCTCCGATGTCAACGCCGCCTTCTCCTCGCACCTCGACAAGTACGCCGTGCCGACGCAGTACTATGTGGCGGGCCTGCTGGAAAGAGGGATCAGGGTCTTGATCTATGCGGGGACGTATGATTGGCAGTGTAATTGGGTGGCGAATCGGTAAGTGGTAGAGGGTGGGAGGGCCTTCTGGACAGTACGGCAGAGAGATTTGACACTAACACGAACTCTCAGGCTCTGGGTCGAGAAACTCGAATGGAGTGACGCAGCGAGCTATCAGGCCGCTCCCTGGCGTAACTGGGGCCTCGGCAACAGCTCCGACTCTTCCAGCTTCACCAAAGCAGGCGAAGTGCGCGAGACGCCGCTCCTGACGTTCGCCACAATCCGGGAGGCGGGGCATATGATGAGTGATTTCGTTCGCTCATTGACACGTCGGCTGACGACGTCTTTGTGTGGTCTCCCCTTCCTTCGGTCGTTCCTCATCGTCTCCTTCCTTTTCGGCTGTCTGTCGTGGTCTTTCTATCGCTTCTCTTCGACGTCAGCACGTCCCTCATGATAAGCCTGCAGAGTCGCTTGCGATGGTGTCTCGCTGGCTCGCGGGGAAGCCCTTGTAGGCTGGCTCGAACGCTGGAATACTTGCTGGCTGCAATCTGAAGTCCTCGCACGCTCATCCTACCGTCAATAATGATCAAGTTCAACATGTTCATCCCGAAGACGGCCCACGTCTGTAGCTGACCACTTCGTAAGTACAGTACCCCGCGTCGGGCGGGGCGTTGCCCACCGGGTAGTCTCCGTGCCGTCGCGAAAGATCGTGGTAAGCAGCGCCCTGGTAGCACCGCGATGGCGTGCAGCAAACGATCGATGTGTTTGCATGCTTCTCGAGGGTGCCCGATACGTATGCCCAGCGCGAAGCATTTCAGCATCGCCGCAATTGACCCATCTTGGGCTGCGCTACTGAGCACTCCCCGCTCCGTCTCACCATCCCCTCACCGTCCACACCTTCCTCACCGAGCTCATCAAGCTCCGTGTGAACTTCCGCTGACGATTGGCTGACGATTGGGTGCGCGCTCAATGAGCTCGTCGCTATGACAATGGCGAGTATTGTCCGTTTACTGATCCTGATCGCCCGAGCCACCCGAGCCAATCAGCACGCGCCATCCCCGTCCCTCGACACGAAGTCGACACCGGCACAGTGGGACTCCCGCACCCACTGATGTGGGCCGGGCGGCTTCGCGATGGTCGCCTGCATAAAAGCGCACGGCGCCGATTACGACCTCCGCTTCTGCCCCCACCGCCCTTTTCCCTCCTTATCCTGGTGAGTTCCCCCTCGTCGTGGGCGGCGCCGTGCATCGTGTGCTGATCACCGTTGCTAGCCATTCGTTAGGGCTGCGCCCAGTCATACGCCCGGCGCCTCTGTGACTTCCTTCGACCTTCCGACACATTCCTTTCGTTTTCAGCAGGCTACCTTTCCCTACTACAAGTCTTCACGTACGGACCGACCCTACCCTTCATAATGTACTCCACTTCCATTCTGTATGCCCTCGCGTCGACGGCGATGCTTGCATCGGCCCTCCCAACGCGCATGATCAGGCGGTCCGATGCTGATATCACGGTCCTCAGTGCGCACTTCTTTGCCTTCTCGTGATGACCCTTGCTAACTAACACGTCGTGCAGAGTTCGCCGACGTCCTCGAGCAGCTCGAGAGCACCTTCTACTCGCAGGCGCTGTCCAAATTCCAGGAAAGCGACTTCACCGGAGCAGGCTTCGCCGATGCGCAAGTCCCTATCCAGCAATTCGCGAGCATACAGCGCGACGAGGCGACACACTCCGCCCAGTTGCAGGCTGCGCTTGCCGCCTCTGGCGCGTCTCCTGTCAGCGGCTGCCAGTTCAACTTCGACTCCGTGCTCGGTGATGTCTCAACCATGGCCGCAACCGCGCGCCTGGTCGAGCTCGTCGGTGTCAGCGCGTACATCGGTGGCGCGTCCCTCATCGAGGACAAGAACGTCTTGAACGCCGCTGCTTCTATCCTGACGATTGAAGCTCGTCACCAGACTGTGCTCAACCTGCTCAACGGCGGCACGACTGTTCCGGCCTCGTTCGACGCTGGTTTGACACCCAGCGAGGTGCTTGCGATTGCTGGAGGCTTCATCTCTGGCTGTGATGTTGGCATTCCGGGTATGTAAATTTCATTATGCGAGTTGCTGCTTTGCTTACCTGCGTGTATAGCCAACCCTACTTTGACGGTCACCAACACTGACACCGTCATGCCCGGCACGCTGTTGACGTTCCAGTCCGACGCGATCAACGGCAGCACTGATGTATGTGTGCTAGTCTGCCTATCTATGCCAACTCTGACGTCTTCCGTAGGGCATGTTCTGCCAGATGCTCCTTGCCGGTGAGCCCAACACGATTGCGCTCCCCCTGGCCGAGTGCAAGGTCCCGGACAACTTCAACGGCCCCGTCGCGCTCTTCGTCACCTCCGACGGCCAGCCGCTGCTCAACAACGTCAACGACCGCGCCACCTCGCAGCTCGTCGCCGGCCCGACCATGGCCTTCGTCGACAGCCAGCAGGAGCAGCTCTCCCTCCTCGTGAAGACCAACAACGCCGCCGCCGGCTCTGGCAGCTCCGTGTCCGTCGAGAGCGTCTCTACCCAGACCGTCTCGCCCGAGGAGGCCTCCGCCATCCTCGCCAGCGCGACGGCGGGCGGGTCCGGCGCGGCGGCCACTGGCGCCTCGGGCTCCGACGCCGCTGCCGCTGCCCAGGTCACCGCGGGCACGCCCTCGCCCAACGGCGCGTCGCCCGACGGCAAGCTCATCGTCAACGGCCTCTCGACCGTCTCCGACTCCGCGACCTCTGCCGCGGCGCCGTCGGCGTCCGCGTAAGTCACTATGCTCATGAGCGATCGCAGTGAGATATTTGGGACGGGCTTTTACGGGGCGAGCACGGACTCTGATGACCACCTTTCTTGATACCATTCGGACTATTCATGCTTGGACATTACAGACTCGGAAGGACAGTACACACTCTATTTCACCGTACTGATAACTTGCTCTACTGGATGTAGGGATTCGTAGTTTAGTATATATAAGGAGCGGGCGTGTGGCGTCCTTGCTGCACCATTTTCCGTGAGAGAAATCATCTGAAGGCGTCTAAAGGATCTGAAAGGCAGGATTGCTGAACACAAAGCTTCCTGGAGGAACGAATTACAGTAGACAAGCTACTCGAACGCGCGAATCAGCTGTCCAATCGCGAGAGTCTTCGCATTGCAGAAATAGCACGCGCGGAAATACAAGGCGACTCATATTACTAGATATCCATCATGCTGCGTGTATCGTAGATGTTGATAAATAAACGAGGTTCAACAAAGCTGGCGTGAAGGTCGAAACCGAGTGTCTGCAAGTGCAATTGGTAGCCATCTACTCCTTCTTGATATTCTTCTCCTTCTCCTTCTCAGTCCTTGCCGCGCCCGCGGAGCCGCGCGCGTAGCCAATCGTCCCGAGCAGCACAAGCACCGCGCCCGTCCACATCATCCGCTGGTCTACCCTCCCTCGCGCCGTCCCAAAGCCCGCGACGCTAAGCACGAGGCTCACGGCCTTCCGTATAACGAGGATGAGCGTCACCGTCAGCGAGCTCACGCGCGACGTGAGCCTGTGCACGCCCGCGGAGCAGACCAACTGCGTGAGCGTGTTGAGCGCAAGGTCGAGGAACGGCTCGGGCAGGCGCGTCTGCACGGTGAGCACGTCGGATTGGACCTTATATGTCTCCGAAGGCGTAGGGAGGAAGAAGGGGGATACGTAGGGCGATAGGGGTATCCGGACGGTCATGCGCGGCCCTGCGTTGAGCGCGGTAGTTTGCGCGACGAGGTCGTCCCAGGTTAGCGTGAAGAGCGGGAGGCCGAGGACGTGTAAGTAGAATATGGACTCTTGCCATGCGGGCAGGGGTTTCATGGCGCCTTTTTCCACAGGCGCAGCTTTGGGAAGGTTGCTAAAGGCGTAGTCTTGTATCAGGCCGAGACACCCAGAAAAGACGAGGGCGGTGAGGAGGATCGCGATACCAGTGAGGTAAGTCCACGTGTCCGCCTCTGCGGAAGACGTAGATGCCGAGCGTGAAGGCGCGGCAGATAGAGTGGTCAAGGCCACCCCTACCGTCACCACGAGGACCGAGATGACCTGAGTCAGGTTATATCTACGAGAACAGATATTGTCAGTGGGTGTATAGGAGACAGAGAAATCGCGAAAAGGACCTTTTTCCAGCAATCACACATCCAAGCACCATTGTGATGACGAGGCCAGCGCTCCGGAAGATTATATGCACGGCCATAGGGATGCGGTAGGCAAACGCAGCATTGTTGAGCATGGAGATGAGAAAGTGGAGGACCACCTGGGCGCAATAAATCGCGAGCTTGACTCGTCTCGGTCGTAGTCGTGGGCCATTATCCGTCCATACTACATGTTGCCTCAATCCGAACAGAGAAATGAGTAGGAACTGGGCGAAGGTGATGAGCGACCCGGCCTTTGGATAGTTTGATGTGAGGCGCTCGAGGGTGATGGCATTGCTAGAGTAAGAGGTTTGAAGAATGACTTTGACAGAGATGCGCGCTAGACTTGCCTGCAGCAGCCTCCAAAGACGAGACTGAGCGTCGGCACCCAGTCCATGGTGGACGTAGGGGTGATGTTGAACACGTGTCACGGCATGTGACGTGACACGCGCTCGCGAGTCGCGTGGCGTCACGGCCCCCTCCTTAAATTGAAAAGGCATCGTGAAGCCCTCGAGGCGTAAAAGGAGGACTTCAAGCGTGCTTGGAACGCGGCCCAGCGATCTGAGTGGACTCTGAAGCGTCAGCACACAGGCTCTCTGGGCGCAAGACTTCGACAAAGAGCGCGACAAACAGAAAGTGCGTCTCGAGGAGCTGCGTCAGGCGAAGGAAGAGATTGTGCGCGTGATTGAACGCCTGGAAGAAGCTGGCCGCAAGCGGACGCGATTGAGGCCAATCTGCCCTTTCTCCCATCCTTCGTGGGGTCTTGCTACAAATGCAACACAGCTCTAGGGGCTTTCCAGGCGCGCCAGGTCTTGAACCTCTGGTAACAATTGTGCACGACGCGTCTACATGGCCAGCCCACGTTTCTTCCTTCAGCAAGGCACTTCTGGGCACTGCGGAGAACCATGTGTGTACCTCTCACAGGTAGCGCGCCGTCAATGCTCACGCCACACCTAGGCCAACGTGATCCCCAGTCATCAACCGCCTCACGATACAACCTGGATCAAGAATCACCTACGTCCCGCGTCGATGACGGCTTTGGAACCAGATTCCCAAGGGCTCTCTATTGCCATGTTTGTGGAAGACGTCCTGTCTCAGACCGTCCCAGAGTTAACCTTTCAGTGCGTGTGCGTCAATTGCTCCTTTTCGAGTATCTACTAACCATGGTCCATTTATCAGTTACAACGCCACCTATGCCATTGCAGTATCTCCATGCTGTTCATTGATGCTGCCAGCACCCGGCTTGCCAGCGCGCGGGCTGGCGACCATGTTTGCCACCAAGCCGATTGACCTGACACGGCACCAAATCAATCTCGCTGCGACGGACTCGGTAAATTTGTTTTCACCATGATAGTCAAGCACTAACGTGGGACGAATGCAGACGTACACAGCGCAAGCGCATCTGCTTTTACCACAGTACCGAAATGATTCGGTTCCCCTGGCGTTGTTTTGCATCGCTTCGCGCGACGAGATATACAGTGCTATGTCCAGTGCCTTATTTCAGCGTCGTGCTGTTGGCATAACCACGCCGTTAGTGGGACTTGCTTTCGATGATTCGGTGGTACACCTTGTTTTAGGATGGTACACTGCGAGCCAGGGCCATCGCGCTTGCGTAAGCGTACTTGCAGCCCACGCGCATTATCCTTGTTGACTCTGCACAGTGCGATATCCATTTGGCGCATGGCGCCGTGCAGCATACATCAAATCACGGACTCGGAATATTCAACATCTCGTCTGCTGATTCCATGCAAGCACTTGCACAAGTGTTGGTTCGACTATCCTCGAAGCTCTGCTTGGGAGTGTCCGGCGCTCGGTTGCGGGTCTATAGCTCACGAGAACCCGTGCCCGGAGAACATGTAACATGGCGCGCCGATGTCAAAGTATGCGATATTCCTATTGACGCGCAGGCGCGTATCATGCAATGGCTGAGGTCTGCGTCGAACTCTGTTGTTTCTTGATCCAGACTAATGTTCCTAACAGCGGTATCGAAGCTTCACCTTCTCAAGGCGTCTCTGTCGAGTTCGTCACCTTCTGCTTCGCTTCGTACTCACGTACTGAAGACCACTATCACAGCCAGGCACAAACGCCCGTGTGAGTCTCAATGCTTGCCCCGTATCGGCTTTTCACGCTGACCTAGCCTTTGTTATAGGCAAGACGCTAATCCGATAACTATCCTGAAAGCCCTGTTGTATGAGAAGCGAAAGTATGTCTTTGCATCAGTGTCGCTTGCCCTTCTTCCTAATGATTTGAATGACCACGCAGGAATCGTCTGTGCGTTCCCACTCTATTGCGTGCACTCAGCTTCTCATGGGCTCACCGTGTCACCTAGCGCCTATCACATGAACAAGGACTGGGAGAATGCATCTTTGTACGCTCCCAACAATCTTGCCGATGCCCATCGAACTGAACCACATTTAGTCTCGCGGAAATTCGTCAGCTGCGTTCTTCAAGGGCTGCTTCAATCGAGATCTGGGCCGAAAACCAGGTCCAGCCATGCGCATGGCCAGCACCCGATTTTCCCGATGATCACTATGCCGTGGACGCGCTCGCTTTGGTGCATTGCGACCTTCTGTCGTGCTTAGATTTTTCTGATATTGGCGGCGATGCACCTGCCTTTCTGAGCGATGCCGTGCGTGCTCTACTCTCGCTTGTGAAGATAATGCTGAGTACTTCTAGAATCGAGCAGAGTGGGAGCGGTACAAGGAGGAAGTCGCTTGGGAGGTCCAAATGCGCAAGGACTGTAACCTTCCGGGTCTCTTTAGGGTCGCTGGGCGCGCGCGGGACGATATGATGAAGATACTTCCCTTGATCTTTCGTTCGTCCGAAGCAGCGCTTGCTGTAGGAAACACGCCGGGTGCGCGGATGCCGTGGGAGAGGCTACTGGCGGCATGTCTACACGGGGAGTCCTCTTCTCATATTCGGTACGTCGCACGACGGTTTCGTATATCACTCAATGTTAAGCAAACCTACAGCCATGACTGGCGCGTATCGCATCCTCGCAACATCTACTTTGACCGGGTGCACGATACTACCAGATCTGCAAGCTCGATTGGCGACGGAGGAGCGGCGTTCATCGACAGATGTCGAGCCTTATCCGACGGCTTGATAAGCCTGTGCTGGATATACCCAGACTCCAATCTGTCGGCTGAGGAGACGTCGGTGCCCGGGTGGTTGCACGATACCAAATCGACACTGAGCAAAGCGCTACAAGACGAGATCATTCAACGGATCAAAATCCTCGATGCCTGGGCAACGAGGCATTCGGCTGGTCATACTGAGGAAGTAGACTTGCGTGTTATGAACGCCCAAGCATGGGACATTTGCGACGCTGTCGCGTATCTGTCGATTCCTGTTCCAGATCTCAGTCTCACCGATGACATGCAACGGCGAGAGTGGGATGAATTTTGCATCATCAGCCAGTGTTCACGCAAGCGACAATACTCGGGCAGCATTTCCATCGATGGCATGACCGCACAACAACCTCAAAATGGCGGTGATTTTGTTGTTACGGACTCAGTGCTCCGAGAAGTCAGGCGCATGGGCGCCACTGCGGGTCTGCGCGTAGGCATGCCAGAGCTTCTTCCAACGCATCCGAGCGCGTCATGCGAAGAAAAAGGCGCCGACGATCCGAAAGCCTCAGGAAAAACCGTTGGTATGTCTGCCTGCTATCCGCAAGATGACTGCACTGAGATACATGTTGATCAGACGTGCCGCTCCCATACCTGTGGCTGGAAGACAACACCTACCCCTTCGCTCCATCGCAGACGTTCGACCGTGCTCGCTCGCACCTTCTCTCCACGATCCGCTTCTATCTCGCACTTGGGATATATGACGTTGTCATCTTCGCGCTAGTCACGGTAGGTTCATGCGCTCACCTTCTATGCGGATGGGGCACAGAACCCTCGGAGGAGGACTTGATGAACGACGAGGTGAGCAAATCCACGTCTGAACGGTGATTCCCCTGATATGCCTTTCAGAATGCCGAAGATGAGATCATCATTGTGGACAACAATTGTCCCGTTTGGGATTTGCGCGATAAGTCCCAGGCAGTCCGCTTTTGCGCGTTCCTCCTTCAGCTGCGTCAAACGCATTTGCCCAAGCTTCGCCAGGCGTTTGAAGCCCAAAAAGAGCAGTTCACGCGAGCCTGGATGGCGGACCCTACTGCTGCACGTTTTCAATGGACGATGAAGCACCAGCAGTCCAGCCCTCTGGTGTGCAATCTCCGCGCAGAACGGAAGAGGCAAGTAGAGGCAACGGAGCGCATCTGCAGCGATATGGAGACGATTGAACGAGGGATGACACGTGCGGAAGTACCTGCAGTGGTTCGGGAGGGTCCAGCTGCGCCTGCGTATTTGGCGGAGTTAGACAATTCATTCGCACGCACGGCAGAGCCAGATCCTTACTTAGTTGAACTACGCCACATAGCCTGCACCCAGCTCTCTAAATCGTGTAGCTGTCCATTCCATAAGTAGGATATTGTGGACAATAATTTTGCATACATGCGATTGCACAAGACATAGAACATGCGAATCACATTCGATTGGGCTGAGAGGTGTTATATCGATCTTAGAAGATCCATTGAGACGCCTGTTTGCTGTTAGCGACCTTCGCCCTTCGCTTTCGAAGCGCCCTCAATCGTGCGTGTAGCCCATGGTCCTAGGCAGCACAAGCGCCATGCGCGTCCACATCGTCCGCTGGCCCGCTGTTTGCCCTTCCCTCAAGGCCGCGACGCTAGTGAGGCTTATTGCGAATCTCGCGCCGACGACTCTGTCAACGAGGCTCACAGCCTGCACCAAACAAGATGAGCTTCGTCGCCAGCGATTTGACGCGTGATAGGAGACGATTAACGCGCGCGGAGCAAAGCAGCAGCATGAGCATATCGAGCGCGGGGAGAATGGCGGGCGTGTCGGGTTTGATGTTGAGGGCGTCGTACTGGACTCTCAAGGGGTCCAAGTGGACTCTTTGGGTGTCTATACCTAGAGCTTGCCGAGAAGTGCATCGAGGGAGATCTGTCCGAGGGCTTATGCGCGTTCCTGCGTCGAGCATGGCGGTATGCGCGACGGAGTCATCCACAGTCGATGCGAAGAGCGAAAGTGCGAGCACAAATGAGGATCCTACAGTACGGGGTCTTTCTCCAAGGGCAGAGATTCGATGGCGCTTTGATTCGCGCGCGAAGGTTTCGGGGCGTTGCTGGCGGGGACGAGGCCGACATAGCGAGACAAGTCGAGCGCGGCAAATGGTCGATGCCGGTGAGGTTAATTCAGGGTCTCCCACTGCGGAAAGCTCGGGCGCCACGCGTGATGGTGCAATAGATTGCTGCAGCGACGCCTGGCCCGCCAGTACGGAGATAACCAGTGTGAGAGAAAGACGAAGGTAGAGACTGACTTTTTCCTAGCAAAGTTCTAGCCGGTAGGTATCGTAAGACCGGAGCCAGCACCCCGAACTATGAAGTGCGCAGGCGTAGAATTGGGGAAGGCGAACAGCATCGTTGAGTCTGGAAACGAAGAAGTGGCGCGCCGCCTGCGCGCAAGAGTTGTAAGATGGACTGGTATTGTCCGTGGTTGTTGGCAATTATGGGCCCTGCTATATGTTGCCTGCTTTTGAGGAAGGAGACGAATATTAGACGAAGACGATGAGCGATCCGGCCTTTGGATACTTTGATGTAAGGCGCTCCAAGGTTATAGAACTGCTGAAAGTTACTCATTCAACACTTGAATACTCAGAAATGCACTAACCTTACCTGCAGCAGCTTCCGAAGACAAGACCGAGCGTTGGCGCCCAGTCCATGATGGACGGAGGGGTGATGTTCGACACGTGTGCTGACATGTGACGTGACATGCGCTCGCGAGTCGCGTGGCGTGACGGCTCTCCTTGGATTGAACACTGCAGCACGACGACGCTGGTCGACTCTATTTCCCGACCACGACTTGCTTACGATCATGGACGTCGAGGACTCCTTTCCTACGCTTAACTACGATGAGGAAGTCCCAGCAGAGGACATCCCACAAGACGGGGCTAACGACGGTGCCGCCGGTCGCGCGCTCGCAGGCCGCATCAGCAGCTCCAAGGTCTACCTGCTGTCTGAGATGGGCAAGGTGCGCTCGGTCGCTACCACTTCGGCGGGATAAGTTCAGGGACCTGATTGTCGGGCTATGCGCTCTTTCTCTTTCCGACTACGTTTTCGATATGTGTACGGCCTCAAACAGCGCAAACGCGAGCGAACTTCCGAAGATATCGCCGAGATGGAGGAAGAGGATGTGGAGATGAATGAAGGTGCGTGCAAGCCTCTATCAGTGCAGCCACTCGTCTAACTGTCTCTCGCACAGACCCCAGCATTCGCGCAAACGCGATCTTACTATGCGGTCCGCCAATCACGCAACTCCCCACTGCTCGCCTGTTCGCCTATGCCACCCACTACGACTGCCCGCCATTAGGCCTTGAATGGGTTGATGACGAAACCTGCGTCCTCGTCTATGAGACCGTGTCGCAGGCGCGCGTCGCCTTTGATCGCCTTACCCGCTCCCCCGGCACCAACGACGAAGGATACGTCACTGCGAAGACCTTCCCTGCCTCTCTCTGGCCTCCAGACGAGCGCGTCAGCGCCTCCCTCGGCGAGCGTGGCACCGCCCTGCGCGCGCCTATCCGCATGCGCTGGGCGCGCCACGAAGACGTGAAGCGCCGTGGCGCCCACCACGAGAGCGAGTTCTACCGGCGGTACGGTGAGGACGCGGGGAAGACGCCGTACGACCCGGACGCGCCGCCGCATGAGCTGGGGCGGAAGCGCAAGCGAGGCGAGCCCGAGAACCGCGCGTCGCTGCTCGAGCGGCTGGACAACGAGCTGGACAGCTTCTTAGCGGAGGGCGAAGCGGCGGACGCGGTACTCGACCCGGAGGAGGTGCTCGCGCGGACAGCGGAGGAACCTGTCGAGGAGATGCCTGCAGCAGCGGGTTCTAGGATGCGGTCAGACCTCATCGCAGGTGATGGCAGGACGCTGCTTGACCGGATGACGGATCCCGCATCCACGCCTTCGCTGGGTGACCGCCTCACCTCGCCGCCTCCCAAGCGGTCGCTCGGCCGTATGCGCGCCTGGGACGGCCCTGTGGAGGAGGAAGAGGACGATTTGTTGCCGCGTGCGAAGCGGCAACGCCCCGAGTGGCGAGAACGCGCGGAGAATGAGGCGCTTGAAAACACGGAGGACCGTGGCAGGAGGGAACGGGGAGGGCGCGGAAGGCGTAGGCGGGGCGGCAGAGATCGGTCGCCGAGGGACCGGGCGCCCAGGGACGGCCCTAGACGACGGGGATCGCCAGTGGGGAGGGATAGGGATGCTGTGCCGCCTCCAGAACGCGGTGGCCGTAGTCGCCGACCGCAGAAGAGCGCGCAGGAGCTCGACGACGAGTTGGACGCGTTCTTGAACGACCGGGAAGTGGCGGCGTGATTCTTTGTTATGTCCTGTTAATTCTCTGCATATTTATACGCTCCTCTCCTCGTCTCGAAAATAGCTGTACGAAGCGCACACCTCCGTCTCTCGACATCGAACTTCAGATGCTATCGCACTGTCGACGCCGCAAGTGGCCACAAATGTTTGGACCGTGAGAAACGGTACCGACACGTGCTACCGCTTCCCCACATCGACAATCGTCAACAAACGCGCTGATCGACGCGCTCGACGTTCTCCAGCCGTTCTTTGCTTGCTTTCTGCCTTCCTCTGCGCGCTCTTCTAACATCTTTACTGCAACAATGACGATGGAGTCTTCCGAGCACCTCGCTGGAGCATTGCAGGCCTTGGAAATCCCTCCCGAATTCATAAACTGGGATGACGAAGATCCTCAACTCCTGACGCGTCTAGAGCGATGGCAGGAAGGCGCGCGACGCGCCATGGAACTACTTCAGAAACGTCTTGAATATCATCAATCGTTGAGGAGGGAACAAGACCCGCAACAGGCGGGCCCTTCGAGGCTACCTCAGGCAGACCTTACACCAGATGAACAAACGGAGATCATCACAGCCCTTGCGCCCTTTGAGGAGGATGAGAGGTGGTCTGGCAAGGGTCTGCAGAAGAAGGCGCATGGTGAGTCTTACTTTCTCATTGCCCAATTTATCCCTCGTGCCCACACCTTGCCCCACCCGCTCAACCCCCCAACTCACCACACCCAAGCACAGACATCCTCGAATCTTCCTTCCCCCAGCCCGGTCGCGAAACCCTGACGCGTCTTCTGATAACGAAGATCAAGCCCGCATTCCAGGGGAGTCCCCACCCGCAACTCAATACCAGCACGGGCCGCAAGCTACCGCGACAGGCCGGCGGGGCGATGGCGGGGCAGGACTTCTACGAGGAGCAGGCGTGGAAGGCGGACGCGTCGGCGGTGGCGCTGGTAGGCTGGTGTGCGAGGCATATGGATGTCAGTCGCGCCTCCTTTTCCCAGACGCAGAAACGCGTAGCTGACAGTGGGCGATTGCTTTCGCAGAGAGAGGCATACGAGGACCTCTGGCATCTGATTATACCTCCCATCATGACGCTTCTGGACGACTACCAGAGCGCGTACAAGTTGAGGGGGAACGTGGTGGTCCGGGACATGCTGGCCCGCGTTCCCGCTGGGCTGCTGAAGCGGACCGGCGTGGCCGCGCTTTTGCAGACGGTGAGTTGGTCTGGACACCCCCGCCTTCGCACGTTTGCTGTGCCTCTGCTACCCCGCTGTAGCGTTGTTACCCCTCTGCCTGCGTGCCGGGCGTCTGCTAACATGCCGTGCTTCCCCACTTACCGTACCTCCCCCAACTGCCGTGCCTTTGCCAACCTGCCGAACCTACGCTAACTTACCGCGATTCTAGTCCCTGAACAAGTCCCTCGGCGTTACAGAGGGAACGCACGCCCCCGCAATCCTGCGCGAGGCTAGCGCCGCCATCCTGTCGCTGGTCGCGCTTACGACTGTGGAAGGATCTAGAGAGCGATTCGACCAGCTATGCGCGCTGCTGGGTGACGGTATCATTGGCACGACGTGGACTTACGCGTCGCGCGAGAAGGACGTGATGCTGGCATCTCTGCAGGCGCTACCGGCCGTCGTCGACGCGCTAGGTGTTGGTGCGGCCCGCTACCTCCGGGTACGTTCGCGGGACTCCATGCCAAGGGTCTCGAGTGGGGAAGTTCGCGTTTGGGCTGACGGGGCGATAGGTGCTGGTATCGCAGCTCAGCCATGTGCTGGAGGAGGATATGCCGGTGAAACACCAGCTGGCATCTCTGGAGGCGCTAGACAGTGTCCTCAGGCAGTGTGGGCCGTGTGTTCATCGGTGGCGGGGAACGCTCCTGGATGGCATCGCGCGGGCATGGGTGCGGCTGATGGAGAAGCAGGTTGCCTGTGGGGAAAGTATGTGGGCAGTTCCCGGGGTCGCCGCCTCAGCTGACGGGGATTGTATACAACAGAAGAGAAGGACGCGCTGGTAACCCGCTTACGGGGTGCTTGTGCGAGCCTCGACGCGGTCTGCGCCCCCGCGAGCGTGAGTCGCCTCGCAACGTACGCAGGCGAGGGTCCTTCGCTAACCATCCCCGCGCGTGCAGGCCGACTTTGGGAGGCTTCTCGCCGCAGATCCAGCCGTGTTCCGGGGCTTGCTCGAGCATGCGCGGCGCGCCTAGGGCCAGCAAACTGCCGAAAAGGGTCCGGGGTGCGCATCATGTTCTGGAAGTTCTTGACGCCGTCGATCTCATCCTCCGCGCTTTGGCGCGCCCACAACGCGCGCGGCGCCCCTGACGCGCCCCGCTTTTGTCCAAATAAAGGCCGTTCCTCGTTCCTTCCCCGCAATTGCGTGATGTGTTGAGCCAAGCGAGATCGTGCTGTAAGCGCTTTCGTTGTATTTTTCTGCGATGCTGGAGCTGAATGCAGAGGCCTGTGTGGCGCGCAGCGACGCGTGAGGGCGCGGAGGGATTTGTGGAGGTCAGATGTCCGCGCCGGGGTCGCAGGGAGATGTGCGACGGGCCGCACGGGGCGCACGCGGCTGAGTCCGGAAAGGGTCGGGTGCCAGATCGGATCGGCCGGAAGCATGATGGTTTGGCGCCTGGGCCGGACATTGTGGCGGCTTGCCGGATGAGCTTCTGAGATTATCTTGCGGCAGCCACGCCCTTAAATTTGCCCGCTCCGGGCTCTTGTCCTTCCTCCCCTCTCCCCCGCTGTCGTCCCCCGCCATCATGAGCATCTCCGTCGACGATCTCGTATCCTCCTTCGCCTCCAGCCATATTGGACAGGAAGCTATCGATCTAGCGGCACTCCAGGTGCGTCGCCACAGCAGCCTCTTTATCGTCGGTACTGACCTCGATGCCAGGCACAGCTTGCGCAAGTCCTCTTCGGCCAGCCCAGCGCTGCCGAGCCTACATCTATGCCCGCCCACTACACCCAGCGGTGCAATACACCCATTCAGCGCACCCCGAGCTTCAGCTTCGGGCACATGCAAGACGCTCAGCGATTCATGGCGGAGTCCTCACGTTCCTCCAACACCAACAACTGGCGGTCCGCCGAGACCTTTGCACAAGACGACGACATGGAGGACGAGCGCATGGTCGAGGATCTACTTCTCCCATCGCAGCACCAGGCAAGATCGCCCCCGCAGAGCCCCGTGCCCAGCAAGCCGTTCCCCGCGTTCCCCTTCTCAACCCCCACGTCTCCTCTCTTCCCCGAGACGACGTCGTTCGCGACATCAGACCCCTTCTTCCTCGCACAGGCGCAGGCACAGGCTGCCCCCATGCCCTCGACCTTCTTCGCTCAGAATGGCCGCCCATCGCAGCAGTCGCCGTTCCTCATGGCCCAGGCCGCATCGTACCCCAGCATGCGTGACGGATACCCGTTCGCGGGTGCGGGCTCGCAGACGATGGTCAGCTCTTGAGAGCGCCGGCGAAGTGCCCGCCCCACGCTCGCCACGTCCGCGGCGCCTATTCAACGGGACGCTCTTCCCCTCCCCATCTCTCGCGATATCACGCATCACATTATTCACCCCCTCTCTTGCGCTATCCTGTGCACCGGCGGCGGCTTGACAGGCTGCACCGGCGGCACGTCTGGCTGCACTGGCGACCCGATTGGCTGCACTGGCGAGAGTGACGCGCTGCACACCACCCGATGATGCTGGTGGCTGCGTCCCGTGCCATTTCAGTGCCTCCCCGGAGGAGACTCGAGGCCTCAGCGCGTTTGAAAGGAGATCCCTCGCAGGACGGAGCGGTCCGCGCGGCGGCACAGGTCATCTGCAGTCCGCGAATCGCTTATCGGGGCGTCCCTCCCTGCGCAGGGCGCGTCGCTGTCATCGCTCGCGTCACCGCCAGATTCAATCGCGCGTCACTGTCTCAGCCGGAATGCAGCGGTCTGTCATACTGCCGCCGTCTATCATCTGCCACACGCCAAGCCGCCACATATCCACCGCCGCCATCCTCATCTCCCATCTCTCCATCATCATCTGCATCGGTCTCTTTATCCATCGGCCTCTTTATCCTCCCGCACGGGGGCCCTCATGCATCGCTCGTATTTATCTAGATATTGGGAACTGTACGGACCTCTTCATATGCACGTTGGTTTGGTTCGACTTGTACTACCCTTTATAATTCATCGATCCCCCTACTCATTGCCTTGTCCTTGCATACCTACATACGTTGTCCTCGCCGTTACATACGTCCTCGTCCCCCTGCTACATACCTCTTATAGATTCGCAGTCAATAACCAATCTTGTACTTTACTCATGTCTGCTTGCCTTCAACTATTGTTTTTGGTCTCTGTCCTTCGTCCGTTGGTGTTGGGTACTCTTCTCGAGAATGCGGCTGCTACCTGTACAGAAGCGGTGAATTCATTGGCTGGTGATCATCTGTTGTGCTCGCTGTCGGAGGGTGGCGTCCTGTTTGTCGGAGGCTGTTGAGATCGTCTCCTTCTGGTTGGGACCGTTCGCAGGTCATCTGCGCGATGGTGGATGTCATCTGCGACACGGTGAAGAGGCATCTGCCCGGCGGCGTATAGGTATTTGCGCGAGGCAAGATCTTGTCTGTGCGCAACGGTGTTGTCGGCGATGCTTGCTATTGGAACAGGGTCATCTGAGCGATGGAAAGAGACACGACCGCGCGAACGAGATGAGGGTGAAGCAGTAGAAGGGGAAGTTATGCGGGGTAACCGAGAAGGAGAGCGGGAGAAGGCGCTGCAGTGATGCCACAGCCAGCGAGATCAGCGACTAGCAGATGTGGACAGGTGTCACTGCAGCAGTGGCTGCTTGGGGACCTGGAGACGCAGCGTGACTGCCTTCAGACTCAGAACGACTACCAGGAGATCTCAGCACGCCTGCTCGAGGACCTGAGCGGAGCGGTAGGCGCCAGTGCGGAGGAGGCGACCTTATGCGGGGAAGACGACCTTGCGAGGGGCTGGAAGCGTTGCAATTGGCTGGAGAGTAAGTGGATTCCCGGAGTCGCACTAGCATGCAGACACGTTGAGGGCTCAGGGCGTCGGATGACAAGGTAGACGCGTCGTAGGCACGATACACACACGTTCGGAGGCGCAAGAGGCGCGTCTGCTGATACGTAGAATCGTCTGCTGATATGTGAACAAGTCCAATGAGACGGCAGATGCGCCCGTGGACGCGTTCGGTGGCGTAGTAAACGCGCTCATCGACACGGTAGACGCGCTCATAGGTTGCTTGTAGGCCCAATAGAGACGCCCATAGACCTAGTAGACGCGTTAGAAAGCACAGCAGATGAGCCAGCTGACCGCGCTTCCTCCCTCGCGAGGCGTGCGGTCGTCGTGGGCCCAGCATGTTATCACGGTCATCGGTTGACGCGCGTCTGTCGTGGGCATGCACTCGTTGGATCGTGCGTGTGTACTCCCCGCATCGTGTTCGACGTCTGACGCATAGCCTAGACCGGGGGATGCGCAAGTAGCGTGCTTGCGCTGACTGTCGTTCACTGCTTCACTGCTGTGTCAAATTCACCACACCTCAGCACAGTGGCTGTCAAGCCCTGGCGCCCCAGGATGCGGGGGCGGGCCGCGGGGGCCCGCGTCGAGGTGGCTGTCCCGCTGCGAGATTCCCGTCCCCGCTTCGAGATTTCTGTCCCCGCTCTGTGATTGCAGGTCCGCGGTGCCCCGCATCTGGGTGATAGGTAGTAGGAATCTAGACGGAGAAGCTCGGGGAAGAAGGTGTGGGGAACGGCGTCGGCGCGGGACGATGAACTTGGGCAAAAGACGACGGTGCTTCTGGTTCAGGTAGTTTGCCGTGGAAAAGCGGTAGACACTTGAGAAGAACGATGGGACCCCTGAAAGGTGAGAAGGTGGAAAGCGTAGTGCGTATAGACTGGGGCCAGAATCCCTCGGGGAATTATCAATCGCCTACGTCCGATAAAGGTGGTTGAGGAGCTCGGAAGCTTTTGTCTCGAGTAGGAAAGCGCCAAGCGGGGCGTCCCACATATTCGTTTCGTAGGTGGCGCACGACGATGGCGAAAGACAGCGCAGCAGAAGGTCTAATTTTCCGAGGAAATAGCTGCACGATGGGGCCACCGAACCGGACTTTGGCGCGAGTTGATGGGCGTCTTCCGCAAAATTGAGCGACCGAGTATAATGACGAAGAGACTACAGCGATGGAGGTCCTGAGGAGGCGAAAGACAGCGGTGTGGACGAAAGTATGAAGATTTTCTGGAAAGAGGGTTGGACTGCTGGCTCTTTGCAGCACGCGGCTGTTTTCTGGTAAACATCCAGCAGCCGAAGCCAATGACTAGACAAGAACAGATAAGAAAGGGAGGTCATCGGAAGCTTGACAAGCCGAAGGATAAAGCGGTGAGAATGTCGAGGCCTCGGCTGCTCCCCGACTTCGACATGAAAGTCAAGAGGAGGAAGAGTGTGACGCGGGTTCAGTCACGGATATGGCGGATAAACAGGCCAGAATACTGCATCATCACCCTTTTAAGTCTTTTCCGCTGATCATACATGGGTGAAAGCACGCATCATATTGGAAGGATGCTGCGACAGAGTGCATTAAGATACTATGCCATTGCTATTGATACAGTCCGATGCATTGTTTTACGTCTGCCTTCTTCTTTCCTCCATCTTTCATTCAATCCCCTCTATGCCACCCGGTCCCCAAACTTCTGGCTATCCCTCTCTTCCCTGCCAAGGACCTGCTCCCGGTCGCCCGGCGGGCCAAACTGCGACACGCCCTGCGCGTCGCGCTTGCGGCCGTGCATGCCGTTGGTGTGCTCCTCGTGCGACGTCTGCCCACCGAGCGGCTGTCCGATGCCGCGGTGGACGTCCTGGGAGGTGGACCCATTTAGGGTATCCGAGGCGTGGGTGGTGCTGGAGCGCGTGGCGTCGCGGTCGACGTAGGTGTCGAGGCGGGTAGGGGCGGGCTCGGGGTTGGAGCCTGGGGGAAAGTGGTTAGGGGACATTTGAATGTGAGGAGTGAGGGGGTGGCTTACCAGCTTGGCGTCCGTCAACGATGCCCTGGTTGCCGGTCTCCTCAACGGCGTTGTAGTTACGGGAAGGGACAGCGGAAGACATGATTATCGTTGGTGAGTGGGTAGTTGCAAATACGGATGCGTTATATGAATGCAAGTTGTGCGTTGTTCGTCGTGAACGGTGAGTAGAGAATCGGTGTGCTCTGCGCTGTCTTATATACCTCCTCGCTCCGCCCGGGTTAGGTCACTGGGGAGGATGGTGATGTCGCGCCTGACATCACTTGGATTCGGGTATCGACATCACTCCTCGTCGTCGCGCCACTCGTTACCGCCTCGAAGATTCCGACTCCTCAAGTTGAACATTGCACGTGATCTTGACATCACTTCCGCGTCGGCGTCACGGGATACGCCCACAGCCGCCTACAGTTGAACTTCGCATAAAGTAACAGACAGCGCTGTAATTCCGCGAACGAGGGCAGATATGCAAGCTTCTTCGATACATACACATACACATGCATTGCACCGCATACATTGGACCTGACGGTATACCCGGAAATTCTTGCTTATGCGAAAGCCTTGCTCAATTCTGCGACAACTCGTCTCGCCGAACCCCACGAGCACTCGTATCCCGAACCTGCATGCCTATTGGACGGGTTAGAGCTCCCCAAAAACTTTCGAGCGATTCAATAACGTACCCGTAATTATGCACCACCGGCACCTTGCCTCCCTTCGGGCTTTCGAACCACTCTGTCTCGATACGCAACCCTGCCTTGCGTGCCGGCCGCCTACCGACGCCTTCCTCGACGATGAGAGGCAAGACATCGTCCAGCGTCGGCGTCCGTGCGGCACGCACTTCGGGCGGTGCAATCTCTGGACAGATGGCGAAGGTGCGCTCGAGGATGCCCCGGGCGATTTCTGGGCGAGGAGCGGGATACCTAGGGCCAGTGATCTAGACGCCTCTGCAGTGGGAGAAATAGGATGGAGAAGCTTACCAGTCATCCACATGCTTCGTACCCACCAGATACACATCCCCGCTCGCGCGAGGGAAGATCCCAGTGTGCTCCTCCCCACTCCCTCCAGAGCTCATGATCGCCTCCTTCACCCACGGCGCATGGATCCGCACGCTCTGTCCGCGCACCGGGTACACCTTCTCGTCCTCGACGCCGCCAAGCACTCGTGCTCCCAAGCCCGCACAGTTGACGATCGCTGCAGGCGCCTCGGCAGGCTGACCACGAAAGATGTTTGCGCCGCCCTCGAGGAGGACGTTAATGTGCGCGACGGATCCGCGGGCGAAGGTCCCGCCGGCGGCGATGAAGCGGGTGGAGAGGTAGTTGAGGTAGAGGGGTGGGTCGATGGTGAGGGTGGTGAAGGAGATGCCGTGCGAGACGCCTGAAGGGAGGGCGTCTGGGGGAAGGACTGTGAACTGGGTATGGAGTCAGCGGGGATAAAAGAAGGAGTAGATGTGAGATGTAGGAGAAGTCAGAAAGGGAAGGGTCACTTGCGTCTGGGAACTTCGTAATGGGGTTCGAGTCTGGGAGGGGTGCGCTGAGGTAGATGGTCGCTGGAAGGCGGCGGTAGCCGCGGACGTCGGGATCCGTGGTAGCGGCCTTCCAATGGACGTCGAAGGACTCTTTCTCGACGTCTGCAAGAATTGACAAGGTCAGGAATGAGGGAAGGTGATGATGGGGCGAGGCAGTGACCTATCATGAGCTGATTCCTAGCGCCGTCTACCCCGCTCAAGCCATTGAGCAGGATCGCGCCCTAGCGGCGATGTTAGGTCGCAAAGGTGGGTCGAAAGGGTATGCGCGCACGGCCCAATGGCTTGTATAGTTGACAGACTTAGGATCGCTGGGGAAGGTGTCTGCGAGCACAGTCACATCGTAATCGCCCTGCTCTTGAAGGCTAATGGCGGTGGTGAGGCCGGTAACACCTGAAGGACGTGTAAAACGACCGATCAAAGGGAGAAAGGATCGTGAACGCACCTGCACCAATTACCACGACGTTCTTGCGAGTACTGGCCATAGCGCTGGAGGGAAGAGATGGGAGATAACTCACTGCGGGATGTCGTGACCGCCGCTTCTTATCCAGAGCTCACGAGCAATTTCATAAGCAGTCTGTGTGCATTCGAGAGCGAGGTACAGCAGGCAGCTACTACGCGCCGACAAGAACGGAAGAGCGAGAAAATGGCGAGCTATTTCGCGGACAAATGGTGAGTCTTTGAAGAGGAGAACAAGGGATTCACGAAAGGAACAATGGGAAAGCGGCGATCGGTCAAAGCCCAAGCGCTGCATACCATCCGGGGATACAATACTTTTCCTCCTTCTCCATCATCATGTCCGACGAAGAGGTCGTCGTGAACAAGAACAAGGCGCACAGGAAGGACAAGCGTATGCGCGTATATCAGTTCTCATATTCCGAAGTCTGACTGTATCCCACTAGCATGGGATACCGATGATATCGACCAGTGAGCTTGAACCACGCATTTCTCATGTGAATAAACTGCTTACACGCCAACGTAGTGTGAGCATATGAATCATTATATACTGGACGCGGTGTTAACGAGGATGTAGTGGAAGATCGACCCCTTCACCCCCGCCGACAACAAGGGCGGCACATTCTTCGAGGAATCATCGTTCGCCACCTTGTTCCCCAAGTACCGTGAAAAGTACCTGAAGGAGGTATGGGGTGCGGTCACTCGGGCATTGGATCACCACGTACGTTCCCTACTTCTCATATGCGCTGCACGCACTGACCCTCCGATAGGGTGTCGCATGCACCCTCGACTTGGTTCACGGTTCTATGGCTGTACGGACGACACGAAAGACTTACGACCCTTACATCATTCTCAAAGCGCGCGACATGATCAAGCTACTAGCTCGTGGTGTCGCCGTCGCTCAAGCAGTCAAGATCCTCGACGACAACATGGCATGCGACATCATCAAGATCGGCAGCTTGGTACGGAATAAGGAGCGCTTTGTGAAGCGGCGGCAGAGGATTATCGGGCCGGATGGGAGTACGCTGAAGGTGCGTGGTGAACTTTTTCTTGACTTCCTGGGAGTTTAACGCGCTGCAGGCAATCGAGTTGTTGACCCAGTGCTACGTCCTCGTGCAAGGTAGCACCGTCAGTGTCATGGGTCCTTACAAGTCCTTGAAGGAGGTCCGCCGCATCGTCCTCGACTGCATGAAGAACATCCACCCCATCTACCGAATAAAGGTGCGCATATATCACATTCATCCTATGTTCCCTCGACCCCTGCTCTTGTCTTCCCATCCACGACTCGACCTCACCTCACCTAACCCACCCAGGAACTCATGATCCGCCGTGAACTCGCCAAAGACCCCAAGCTCGCCAACGAGTCCTGGGACCGCTTCCTCCCCGCCTTCCGCAAGCGCCACCTCAAGACGAGCGAGAAGACCGCGAAGAAGAACGAGCGCGCCGCAGCGAAGGGCGAGGCGCGCGCAGCCGCCGGCCTCGACCCGGAGAAGGTGGAGAAAGAGAAGAGCAAGAAGAAGGTGTACACGCCGTTCCCGCCGCCGCAACAGCCGAGGAAGGTGGACTTGCAGCTGGAGAGTGGAGAGTACTTCTTGAAGCCGAAGGAGCGGGAGGCGAAGGAGGCGCAGAAGAGGAAGGAGAAGGTGAGTTGGAGCTGGAGCCGTTGGATAGGTGATCTGACGGTCATCTAGCAAGCAGACGTTGCAGCGCAACGGCAGGCGGAGCGCGAGGCGGCATATGTCGCACCCGCAGAGGATGCGGCACCGACGGTCGAGGAGAAGAGGAAGAGGAAACGACACGTGGAGGAAGGGCAGGAGCCGGAGGGGAAGAAGGAGAAAAAGTCCAAGAAGGCGAAGGCGACCGAGGACGCACTGGCAGGAGAGGAGACGAAGAAAAAGAAGAAAAAGCACCGGCACGCGGAGGACGAGAATTAAGCATGTTGAGACATTCCCGCTACCATTTATGGTAGTGGGTCTTAGGGATGAAGCGCGAAATCGCAAATGCCCCTTCTCGCGAACTTTGGTAACCCCTCACGTGCTGGCACATGACTGGGTCTTTTGCGGTCTCGACTCTTCGGCGTCGGCCGAATGCACCTTTGCTCTTGCCTTCACCTACTTTTCGCCCTACTCTCGCGACAAGAGGGCGCCTGATGCGCCTTCCAGCTTGCGCAGCCATACCTTCTATCTCTAGAAATTTCGAACGGCCGCACTTATGTTCCTCCACGAAGACCGAGAGGTGGCTCATTCTCCCTCTCTTCCAACTTCGCCAGTTTCTGTGTCTCTCCGATACTCATCGACTCAATAAACTTCGCAGCTTCTCTGATTCTCTCTTTGTGTACGCACGTCAAGTTCCACCTATTTATCTTGAGTCTTTCGGCTGACATGCATTGCATCGAGCGGTATTGGGGACGATCACTATCGGCAACCGTCCGAGGTGCGCAAAGGACGTACGCGTGTAGGTGGGGAAGGCAGGAACGACGTCGTGAAGGTGCGCTCGTGCGGCGGGCGAACGTGCGAGGGCGCTGGGGCTCGCCGAATGCAACGCCGCGCCTTGAGTATGGGCCTCGGTGGCGGGCGATGACTCGTCATTGGAACTGGCATTGTTAACAGCGACATGCATAAAGATCACACAATGAAGAAGCAGCGGCACTGGCGCGGCTGGCGATTTGAGCACGATGAATAAATCATCGGCCACGAGAGAGCTTGTGAGGCGCGCAGGTCACTCGGTCCGAGTCCAAAATCAAGTAGAAGGCCACATGTTATATGGTAGCGGGCCTTGCCGTGAAACGGCCCTTCAGAGTTATTGGCTTAGGGTAGGTGAGCGCTGGCTAAGGTTGGGAGGACGACGTGTGGGGTTGGGTGTACGAGCGTCGAGATTGAGTGTTCTTGCGACGGCCGAGGGCGTTGATTATTCGCTGCTTTCCCCCAGGGCGTTCGCTCGTTGCAATGCGTGCAACAACAGTGGGATTATGTACGACGATATGTACGTTATGCTATACTACTTACCGACGATATATAGGTATACAACTGGTACATTGGCAGGGTCCTTGCAGTGTGTCTACTAAATAACGCGTGCGAGTGCTACCATCGGGTATCCGAACGCTACCGCTGGGTATCGGAGGGCTACCGTCGGGTATCGGAGTGCTTCACGCCATCCTCGCCGTTCTCGCTTTCGTGGTCGTGGTCTGCAAGGTAATCCGGTCAGCATGCAAGACTACAATGGGACAAGCAAAGCCAGAATTGCACGGACCTCTACTGGACGATAGATCACGTTTCTTGAAGTTGTCGAGGTGGATCGTGTCCGTCGCGACCTCCGTGTCGATCTGCACCTCTACCGGGTTCGTAGAGAAATGCACGTCACTAACGCCCATAGACCGCGTGCCGCGCTGCCCACTTGTGCCAGTGACGCTGCTGCTGACGTTCTCGAAGTCGACGTGGATGCCTGCGGGAGAAGTGTCAAGGTAAAGATCGAAGGATGCAGACCCGCCGCAGTCTGGCGTACTCTGTGAATCAAGCTGTGCAGTACCTGTGGACGTTGCGACCCGGCGGATGAGGTCGGACATGGAGATCTCGATGTTGAGCTTGACCATGTAGGCGACGGGGTGGACCTGGTTGTACACAAAGTCGTTCTTGAGGGACATCATGCCTAGGACGAATTCGTGAGTAGTGATCTCTGGGGTGAAGCCCCATCGACTCACAAATGATAAACACATCCATCGAAACAGACACGGTGGCTATCCAGGTATTGTACCGCACCAGTGCGTCGTACTTCCGCAACTGCGTGCCGTTTAGCCCACGACCAGAAGACCCGCGTCTAACGAGATACGCACGCCGTAGGCGACAAGGCGCCGTTTCACGGAGATGATAAAGTACGCGTTGAGCGCCATGTCGATGAACAAGTAAATGACTTTCTGCGGTAATGAATCAGTATACGAGAAGATGGCGTTGATGAAAGAAGTCCTTCGTACCTCGACCCGATCCCACACTACATTGATCTGCTTGAACTTCTCATCGACGCCCATCTTCGAGGGGATCCAGATGCAGTAGACTGATGCTATCAGATAGGCGTGCGGGGGATGTGGGGGAAGCGTACATACCGGAGATGTTGATGAGAAGGACGAGGAAGGCGACAGAGAGCTTCAGCGTGAGCTATGGAAGACTGAATGACAGAGACCTTCGTCGAAAGCCGAGGATGACGCACGCGTGATCTGTCGTCTGGTAGAAGCACTCCGACGCGGTTACATATGATCTGGAGGACGCATTGAATCTGCACGGCCCAGATGCTGTTTTTCCTGTTAGCGCTGGAGCTACGGAGTTGCGAAGGAGCCGGACGTACGTCGTCGTCGCGAAGAAAATCCCAAAGCCGGGTGGTATGATACCGTGGAGGTACAGCCAGCATATCGTCCCGTATATGATGCACCTGAAAATTCCGAGGGGAGGGGAGAAGGGGGAAGGCTCGGTCAGGTACGCCGCGTGGTCGTCGAGCCAAGGAGACGCACGCAAAAAATTCCGCCCAAATCAGAGCCAGATACGGTGAGATCCACCGCTTTGATCGTCTGAACTCGCGAACGCAGTGAAGACCGACGAAGTAACCGAAACCTAGCTGAAGGAACCACAAATGAGAGAGGGATCAAGGAGAACGGGGGAGGAACGCACCGTCCATGCGTAAAACTATACAGCCGCACATCGTTCGTCGTTAGCTCTTCAACAATTGCGAGAGGGAAACGGCTCGCGCACCATGGTCGCCACAATCAGGTCATTCTCGGTCACGACCAGCGGCTCGTACGCTGGTCCAAAGCTGACCATGCTAGCATTCGCAGAGTTTTCAACGGCTCGTGATCAATGTGGGGGAGCAAGGGGACCCATGGCACGGAGCCCGCCACCGAGCGCCCGAGTATATGTAGAGGTGGAAATCTCCGATCCCATCAAGACACGATGTTGTCGAGTTGTTCACGCGGTCGACCCCATCCCTGCCGGATTAGGCTTCGGACGCAGAGCCCGCCCGCCGCCGTTGCATGTGCATCGCTTTTGTGGCGCACAGAGGGCGTGCGGCCATTCGAAGAGGGCGTCTACGGTTAGCGCCCTCGGGCACGGCCGCGGCGTGGATGCTGGCAACAAAAGCCGGAACAGTGGGCGGTGAAGGTGCAGCACCCCACCGTCCGGTGACGTCTCTTGGAGATGTGCATCGAATCAAAATGCAGCGCGATGGTCGCAGGGCGGGCGAGAGCAACGAGGATACCGGAGGTGGAGGTTCGACTGAGACCGAGCACAGCTTCTTGGAGCTTTGCTCTTCATCGCCGCCGCCGCGCAGCCTGCCGATGTGATGAAGGTCGGGAAAGACCAGGATTGTCACATGTTCTCACGACAAAAGTTCAACACACAAGCACTTCAGGACAGTTCATCAAGGCAAGGAGACATGGTGCAGACCCAGATAAGAATTTTGATCCCCAGTTTTGAGCGGTAGCTGAGCGCTGAGGCTTCGAAGTGCCACCCATAATGAGGTTTCCCTCCGCGCATTTCAATCGAAGTCTGAGGTGCTCGTCGCCGCTGGTGAGATGGACGCGTGATACCTCTCGACGCAGATACACACCCTCTCCTTCTACTGGACCTTTGAAATCCACTTGTTGAAATTGATTGCATCGACTTCACGGGAGTTGCTACGTGCTGCCTGAATTCGCTGCGTGTCGAAATGATTGTTACATGAGACCCCAGACGCTTGCACCATTGCAGAACCATTGAGTGCTGTACCAAAAGATACATTGACAGGCTGCTTTGCCTCAGCGGTGGAGGAAGTTACGCTGGTCTTATAGACCTCAGTCAGGCTCAGACTAACGGGCGATGGGCATTCAACACCTTCTGTATCGAAGCAATCCCTATTCTCGCCAGTGTAAAAGCACGAGACTGTAGTGACTCCTCAAATAGACGAGTAGATTATGTTTAGGGGTGGGTTATGGACATCGAAGACGTCGACGCGGTCAGTTGCCGTTGGGAAGGAACAGCGTATATCGTGAGAAACTGAACAACCCTCCATCAAATCGCCTAAAAAGGAAGGTCATAAATCCGAACTCAAACTTCTCCGTTCAGGCTCATTCTTTCACTCTTCTGCATGGATTCCGAAGTTCTCTCGACTCGAACTCGGGCTGGGCAAAAGGAATGACGAGAGTGGGATTCGAACCCACGCCCCGGAGGACTAGATAAGACGGTGGGTTCGTATCCCAATGTCCTGATTCTATCTCGCCATGCCTGTCCTGCTCGCATTTTTACATTATGATGTCCGCTCCTCAGAGCTGCAAAATAACGGCCCGCTCACATCACCTCCGCCATATCGCTGATGAATCTTGTCCTACGCGTGCATATAGATACATCATCCGCGACAACAGTTGACTAACGAGGCTTCCCTCGCGCATGAGAAGCGCACCGACATGACTCAGGCAGCTGTGTACAGGCGAAGTCAAGTAGTTCGACCAGCTCGGGATCAGGTTCCTCCATGCGTGCAAACCTGCTGTCAAACTCTTCCAGATACGCCGGGACGTCCGTGTCGGGGATTATCGCGTGTTCCAGATGTTCCATCGCGCGCCCAATCTCCTCCCTCTCCTGGTGCAGCTCCTCGAAACGCTTTTTTTGTTTGTCGCGCTCTTTGCCGATGTCTCGTACCAGAGAGCTAGCTTGCTGATGCTTCATAGTCCACTGAAATCGCGGTGATGTCGGGTCCGCGTTCCAAGCACACTTGAAGTCCTCCTTCTGCGCCTCGAAAGCCTTACGAACCTTGGGTGCGTGCTTGTCGCGCAGCTGTATCAGGAACGCACAAAGCCTTATGGCCTGCGAGGTGTCGCGCAGATCCCAGATCGGACAGTTGACGTCGCCGATATGCATGTGGACATGGTTGAGCTGGAGGCAGTCTAGCGTCAGTAAGGCATGTAAAATACAAAGAGTGGGCTTACGGTATCGTTTGGGGGCGGCTCGGTGCCCCAACCGCAAAGGAGATGAGCGTGCGAACCGGCGGTGACGAGGGCAAAGACAACAAGGTTGTAAACCTTGCATGCTGCCAAAAAGCGCAAGGTGGAGATAATGCGCAAGCGCGCACCACCGAACCCTTGCTCAAAGCTGGAATAGCGACTGCAATCTTCCAGCCACAGAAAAGGAATTTGAAGATCTATTGGACAGTTCAGCTCCTGAATGCACGTGTCAAAGCATGCTGAGCGCACCGCCCGATCCGCTGGAAACTCGCTCTGCGGTCGACCCCTCGAGTAAAGCAGCGCTACTGGCCGATTGCTCGGTCCGTCCTAGTGCTTCTGCCTTTGAGAAAGAGGACGCCGTAGGCGCGCGCGCACCCTTCGCATTGACGCCGGACTTCTCCCGCGCTCTGCGCAGGACAGGATCCGCAACATCGAACCCTTCATCTAGACTACGCCTCGTCCAACTGGGATAATCTTCTGGGAAAACGCGAGGAGGGACCTTCGTCGAACGCTGGCCGATAATGCGGAAGCCCTCAATGAGCTTCAACTGGCCCGAGTCTGCGTTCTCCAAGTCGAAGACGTTTGGGATGGACATAAAAGCGACAGTATCGCATATATCGGAGGGATGAGCATCGAGGACGCTAGCGTCCATGAGAGCGTCACGACAGCTAGTCCTGCGCTTCCCGAACCAACAACAGTCGACGGTGTCACTTCTGCGCAAATACGCCTCGAAAACGGTCTTGGTCAGATCCTGCTTGACCCGACGAAGCCACCGAGGCTCGTCAGAGGAGTTTGAAGACCGGTGCTGCCATCGTAGAGTGTACTTGCCCGAGACCGTGTCCCGGTAGTTTCCAAGCACGCCGGAAGCACGATGAGGCCAGGAATCATCGTGAGCGTTGTCAAAGTATGCGTTGCGGGGGAAGGGCACTTCACGGTCTCGCCTACGCTCCACATAGTCAGTATCATGCTCTTGAGCGACGGAGTCGAGCGTACCGAATGTGAGGGCCTCGAGGATCCTCGGTACGAAGGCACTCTGCCAGCAAAATATCGCATGAAAGTCGAGACCTTGGGGTAGCCGCTGCCATGCGTGCGTCCGCCGCGACACGGCTGACGATTGGTAGAATGTTCATTATAGTTGCGCGGGCCTGCATTGCAGACTTGATTTTTGGTAGGCGATCTTTTGTACGGATTTTCTTCTCGAATGTAACCTCTGCGCAATATTGATCCCAGTTCGCCAGTAGAGGGGCCTACAGAACGTGAGGACACGCGAACCAACTCGATTGGAGTGCTTACGGTAAGATGACCGACATCATCGCCTTTCCGTGAACCGAAGTCCAACGACAGCAGGTACTGCGTGATGACAGGCTTGAGCGCGATTGCTCCCGGGATTCGAGTCGGAATATCGGGCGGTGGCCACGCATACGGCCGAACGTAGTTCTCAGCGAGAATATGAATCCCTGACGTATCAAGCGAAAACAAATCACCACCTCTAGATCTGGCAGAGGTAGTCAGCTCGTCGACAGAAGTAGAGCACTACGGATACGTACGAGATGTTCTCTCAGTCCTTGCCTTCTGGCTTTATACTGTATGCATGATCAGCCGGAGCATTACTTACCGTATAGAAGACAAACATATGGTATTCGCACTCGCTGTGAACAAAGGTTCAGCAAGAATGCGACCGGGTATCAAGTTCCAAGCCTTACCTCATCATGTCGAAGCCGATGTTCACAAATTCGGTTTCCAGCGTCTTGGCCTCGCTAGCGCGCGGGGTAATGTCAGCGCATGTAGGGGAGAAGAGCACGCAAACTCACCAATCTGTATACCTGCTTTGACAATTATGAGCTGCCCGATACTAATTCAACATCAGGAAAAAAGTTGGGACTTTGGTACACGATCTATTCGACCTACGCGGCGCTATTTCGGGCTATATTGGCCGAGTAGACCAAGTAGACCCTGTACCAAAGTCCCTCTACTGGGGCTACGCGCTGCTACGTAGCATTTGTAGCAGATTTTTTTCTCAGATGAATTCAGGCGGACAAAACGTACCTTTCGGGCGCCCTTCGCTTAGCTTTCTCCTTTAAGGCAATAGGCGGGATGCTTTTTGCATGTGAGTACGTTAGTCGATCCACAGACTTCATATGCGAACCTCAATGCATTCCGCCACTCGATGATGCGCTCGATCTTGGCCTGCGCATCATCCCCAGCAACAAGAGCACTTTTCCGCGCGGAGTCTACCCGCCATATTCGCTGACCAGTTCGCGTCACCATTTCACGGGAAAGAGCGATCTGCGCTCGCGCGGTCGCTACCACTCGCCTATGAGATTCCGCCTGCAGGGCCAGAAATCGGGCAAGCGCTGATGCAGAACGATGGTCGGCGACGTCGAAGGCTCCCACTTCATGGTCTTGCGCACTTGCGTGGGCGGGAGCGTGTGCGAAGCATACCTCGAACTGCAGATGAATGTCAGAATCAACAAGGACGAGTCGCGGTGAGTTCGAACTCACGTCGTCGGCTTCGTCCCCTTCTGATATCCAGCCGAACACGACGCGCACTGTCCAGCTGAGCGGCTCAAGAGCGAGTCCCGATAGAGCGTCTGTGATTCCGAATACCCGTCGCTGCATTATAGCGCTGGACATCACGCTATATATCTCCTCTTGTCTGGCCACGCAGGCGAGAGCAAGAGCCACATTTGAGTCTTCGTGTGGTAGCAGCATGATGTGGGCGTCGTCAATAGAGTCTGCTGGATAGCCGAGCATATCTAGGCCAGAATGGAGCTCCGCCTGGTTCATGTGAGCTAGATGACATCGTCTGTGCGTCTCCGCTCACCGTATCATCATTGTTATCCAACGGCAAGTTGGAATCGAGAACGTCTTTTTCGGATAAGTTTTCCCTCTTCTGCCGCTTCTCTCTGATGTCGATAGGCGCAGTCAGCAGCATTGTAGCGATGCGATGTCGAGGCAATAAATGAACCCCAGGGCTAGACGCATCAAGAGGATGTACAGCGCACGCGTACGCCGTATCGAAGCTTGTGCGTTTGGAGTCAGCTACTCAAGCTTGCACACCTGCCGTACTCACTGAGCGAACGAGCCAGGCGAAGACAAGGCGACGGCGGTGAAGGATGCAATCAGGCGCTCCGTAGAATCAGGTCCCATGGATGGTAAGCACTGTTCAGAGCGAATTTGTGCTGAGATCTGTTGCCACTCGACGGCGGGGAAGGTGGCTTCAGGTCTCGCCGTGCCCTCAGCAGGTGCAACCGGTTGCTGTTCGCGTAAGCTTTCGTCGAGTTATCACGGGATGGCTACGAACAGTTGGATTAAACTTGTTGTTCAGCGGGGAGACTAAGCCCAGCAGGTGCTTCGGCCACAAATCAGGAGTGGCCACGAGGATCGAAGAGACCGCCAGGCCTTGAGGTTGACTCATAGCGCCGCTCGAAGAGTGCGTCCACGATGGCTGAGTGGCGTCCTCGATTATGGGGAATGTCCGTAAGTCGTGGTCCAACATATCTCCTTGAACATCTGCAGTCAGAAAAAAAGGACGAAGGGTGCGAATTGAAACAGACCAGTGCATCGAAGAGACGCCAAAGTGACGAGGCGGGATTCGAAACCACCCGATTTGAGGGCCCGAGACAAGTCACGGTACTGAATTCTGAGGCCTACAGAATCAGAACTACTCGCAGCAATGCCCACGACAGTCAGATGCAAGCGGAAATCCGGCCATGCACCAGCCAGCCAGTCTGCCACGACATTACGTACCAGACCGCCCACACACCACGACGCACTGACACGCCTCTGCATCTGCAGGTACGAGATTCTTCTATAATATACATACCTCTACCTATATCCCTCTAGATGGTGCAAAATCCCAGTGGCCGGGTCGTCGTATTTTACTTGCGCTTTTGAGCGTCTCGTCACCTCACAGCGGCCTCGTTCCCACCGGCGTCGCTGGCCTCGTCGCTACTGGTGTCTGTACAGGCGACGCCGGCCTCGTCACTGCGGTCGATGTCGGCGCCGTCGGCGCGGGCGTCGTTTCCCCATACTTCGCCGCCTCCCTCGCTGCGCGCCGCTGCTCACTCGCCTCCGACGCCGCCCGCCACGCCGCGCCCTTGTATATGATAAGCACGACCATCGCGCTCGAGCACGCCATGAGCGCGGCCCAGAGGGTATATAGCCATCCGTCGCCGAGGCCATCCTATCGGATATCCCGCAGGAGCTAGTGTCAGCATGCCACCGGAATATGTATGGGGGGAGGTTGAGGAGGTCAGGGGAATGTGCGTAGGAGTGGATGAGTAGTGTGGGTGATGAAAGGGGGTGGAGGGGTGGCCGGGATGAGGTACTAGAGGTATAGAGAATTAGAAAAGTCAGGAGAAGCTGACCTGAAGCGGGACCGCGATTTCAGTGGCCACGAATGCAGATATACCTCGGAAGGCGCTGTTGAGCGCTACAGCATACGAAGAGCGGCCGACGTTGGCGTCGACGACGTAGCTGAGCGTGCTTGCGTAGACGAATCTGGCCGGGCCTTAGCATGGACCAAGTCTTATCGTGACGAAAGACGCACAGTTGGGTTAATCCCGTCATGAACAGCATGACACACATGCCCGAAATGTGGACATGCTCCTCCGTAATCCAGGCGAAGCCCAAAACGAATATAGGGAAGGATATCAAACCTGGGATCGTGCTTTGTAAACGCATCTGCATGTCACATTAGCCATTCCATACAAGTTCAGAACTGTCTGACCTCGCGCAACTCACCTCCGGATAGAATTTCCCCCCATTCCTCGCCCTCAGCCGTCTGAGTATCATATCCGACCACCGCCCGCCCAACAAGCTCCCCGCCAGCGACCCCACGCCGAACGAGAGCAGCACGAAGCCGATCTCGAGCGGTGTGTACCCGTAGTACGTCGACAGTGTGCGCGACGAAGTGTACGGAACGATGAAGCTGTAGGAGAAGAGAAGGCCTGGGATAGAGAGTATGTGGTCAGCGTACAGTCCATCGAGGTATGATTCATCGAGCTGCGAGCAAAATCTGGAAGGAAAAGGGAGAACTTCCACTCACCCGACGAGAACAGCATGACCACATTATTCGGCCTCCGCAAGATAGAGATGACGCCCGGGAACGGGTTCACGTCGCGCAGCGTCACCTTCACATCGGGCAGCGCCGCCACCACCGCACCCCCGTCCGCAATGACCGCCACCCCCGAACCCCTCTCCAGATCGCGCTCCGCGGGCGTCGCAGGGAAAGCCGGCGTCGGCGCGGCCGTGATGTCCGCGTCCGCATCATCCACCTCGGCGTCGTGCTTCTCTCGCTTCCCCTCCCTCCCCACCGCCTTCTCCCGCGCCCTTCTCCGCCTCCTCCCCTCCTTCGCCGCCTCCCGCAGCCTGCTCTTCAGGATGTTCTGATACGTCAAGCTCCGCTCCTTCCGGAACGTGTCCTTGAAGAACACGATGAAGCCGAGGAGGCTACACCCCGACACGATCGCGAGGAACCAGAAGGGGCCGCGCCAGTTGAAGCCAGAGGTGAGGACGCCGCCGAGGACGGAGGCGACGGAGGGTCCGAGGAGGGGGGCCATGTAGTAGACGCCCATCTGGGAGGTGTTGGTTAGGAGAAGGGGTGGGAAGGTAGGACGCGGAAATATAGAAGTCGACGGTGGGTGAGGAGGTAATGTGCGCACCTTGGTCCCACGCTCGGCAGGCTCAAAGATGTCTGCGAGGGTGGCAGCGCCGATAGCAATGACCGCACTTGAGCTACAGGCGCATCCATCAGTATCTTTCCAGCCCATCACCCACCAGCACTCACCCGACCGCCTGCATACACCTGAACCCGATAACAAGTCCAATGCTGTTCGATATCGCCACCTATTCGTCGCATAAGGGCACCGATCTTCACGCATATACACCGCCCAGCACGCAGCGCTCCTCCATGCCCATCCCAGAGAAATCACTCACAATAATCGACCCCACCGTGAATATCGCAATCGACACGATATACACCACCTTTCTCCCCTTCACCTCCGAGATCGAGGACCACATGATCGGCGCGAAGCCCTGGATGAGGATGAAGAGCGAGATGGAGAGCGAGATCTCGCCGGAGGTGGCGGGGAGGGAGCGCTCCATTTCGGCGACGGCGGCTGGGGGGTAAGTATGAGTATATGGGTGTGGCTAGGTGGGCATGGGTTGAGGGAAGGGGGAAATAGGGAAATGGTGCAAGTGAATGGGGTATATGCGTGCGATTCGACGGAGAATGGATGGGAGCAGAGGAGGAGTGGAAGTATGCATGAATGCGTAAAAGCATTCCAGAGGGTGATAACACGCACGATTCTGTATGTTCGCCGCCAGCCCTGCGATCATAGCGCCGGACGAGATCAGGAAGAGGGAGAAGTTCTGCGAGCAATTCCACCAGGTCAGTTATATGTAAGGGGAGCACAAGACGTCGCAGACACACCTTCCTGGCCACCGACCACTGCCGCGGATCGTTCGCCACGGGCATGTGCTCAATGTCGAGGAGGACGGGGAGGGATTCCTTCGCTGGTACCGGCGTCTCCTGCACCTCTCCCTCACTCGTCTTCTTCATCTCCCCCTCCTTGTCGATGTTCCCCTTCTCTTGAATGCCCATGTCAGTCGGTAAGTCGTTCAAAGCGTACAGTCGACGCAGTCGTGCGATCGTGCAGAAGCCTCGCTTCCGTGCGTTTGACTCGTATGCGTAGCGCGGTGTGGGTTTAGTAGGATGCTATATGTGTGGTCCAGCGTGCAATACGCAGAATAGTCTGTTCAAGTGCTTTCCAGCAGGGTGCTAAGCGCTGTAGCCCCCGGCGAAGCACTGTGGCGTGATTCTCGTGGCGATCGGGCGAGCGGGGTGAGTCAAGCGCGCGGCGGACGACTGGGCGTCGATCGCGGGCCAAGACCGGTGCACTCGAGCAAACGGGCCCGGCGCACTGGGTGCGGGCGAGGCTAGGGAGCGCGGGAGCAATGCCTGTGAACGTCGAGGCGAGGCTAGGGGACGTGGGGCAAAGCCCGTATGCACGGGGGAGAACCAATGCACCCAATGTACGGGGGAGGACCAATGCACTCAGTGAGGCGCGCAAACCTCTCACCAACGAACGTAACAGACAAGGACCAAGAATGCACAACTCGAGCCCGTTATCACCCCCGCATCGTGCTTTCTGACGCTCGAGAGACCCCGACGGGTTCCCACTGAGTTCCATCGCGTGTGGTCGTACTTCCCGACGGACCGACGAAGACAGGGGAAACACTCGCCAGGAGGACAAGTAGCCGGTATGTCGGGGCGAGGATGCCGATCTGTGGGTGGATGTGGGTGGTGGCGCGCCGATGAGCACGGAGCTATACCCAGTTCAAGGACTTGAGGTCGGTTCAGTATCTCGATTCTCGAGCTCTCAGCAGGGTGAACATGCTCAAGGACACACGGGATCGTACTTCCTGGCCCCCTTGGAAGATATGCAAAGCCTGACGACGCAGGCGAAAGATGTACATTACAGGCTACCGTAGATCCAAAGGCTGAGTATGAACAAGACATGGACAAGTCCGGGATGCAGCGTATATGAGGGAGCACATGCCAATCGTTCTCTTAGAACAAGTCCTCCAACGTCATCTGCTTGACGATATCCTATAAGCGCACTCGTTAGCCAAGAACGATGGACGCTGAGAAGGGTAACCGGTGCGGGAGGAATGGCGAAGATAGATCCCCTGGGTGGAAGACTCAGACACGCACCGTATTCGACACCATCAGCGCGAACTCCTCGAAGCTGAGCTTCCCGTCACCGTCCTTGTCCGCCTCCATAATCGTCTTGTCGACGATCTGCTGCAGTTGTTGGTCCTAGGAGGGGTGTTAGCGTGAGGTGGTACAGTACGCAACAGCGCAGGTGATACTCCATGACACGGTGCAGTGTGTGTCATATCGAGTATGGCGTCGACGTAACACGAAGTAGAAACGCACCTTCAAGTTGTTCCCCACCATCATCTTCAGCACCAAGAAGAGCTCGCCGTTCGATATGTACCCGTCCCGGTCGACGTCGTAGACCTTGAAGGCGACTGCAGCGAAGGGCGTCAGTCCAGTGCTTCGACGATTACATCGCGACAGCCGGTGGAAGGCATGCAAACGAATGCCGAGCTATGGTTCCCAGCGGTCGAGTCGCGTCCGCAAGACAACGGTACAGCCGAAAGATGTCAGAGCGACCACGCACACTTCAGCTTCTCGTCGCGTCCTCCCCTACTGCTGAACGCGCTGAGGCCACCGACGAATTCCTGGAAATCAACCGTCCCGCCGCCGCTATGGAAGATATGAGTATGGCCAGTGTGGTTGTCGTGTGAACGGAACGCACTCTTCATCGAAGATCGCGATCATGCGCGACGCGAGCGGGTTCGTCGCGATCTGTGGTATTTGCAAGAATTCCTCGCGGTCGATTGAGCCGGAGCGGTTGCTGAAGGGGAAGTATGCATTGTGAAATTGATGAATACGGCAGGGTAAGGGTGTAGAGAGAATGATAGTGTGGTAGATGGTGTATATAGCGGTGGCGGAGGTAGCAATGAAAGTGAACGTCAGCAAGCTAAACTACAGCAATCTGAAAACGCACCTGTCCAGTTTCATGAACCGCTTCTTGAGGCGGTCCAGCTCCTGCGGCGTGACTGTACACGGAACGTCAAGATCCTATCCTCATGGGAAGGCGCGCATAGTAAAGCAGCAATGCGCGCCACGGATACTAACAGTTTGACCGCCGCGACATGTCCTCCATGAACTGTGATTCTGTGGGGACAGACACACAAGGATAAGCACGCGGACAAAGTGATAAGTGTACGCGACGGACGTGTTTGGCCCATGGTGATGAGTGTGGAGGGAGTTCGTCAAGAGGTTCGTGCAGGTTTTGTTGCGTCAGATGCAAGTCCAAAGCGTCAGATGCAGGCTCAGGGCGTCAGATGAGAGGCGGGCCGGTCGTAAGCGCAGTCGATGGACAGGAGAAACGGAGCCCGCAAGCTGTGGGCGAGGCGATGGTGGCAATCAGGAAGGACGTGCGGTGCCCTCGGTCCTGATCCAAGCGCGTACTCCAGCGCGCCACGTGATGCAACTTTAATCACCTCCCCCTCGTCCCGAACGGCCATCTGCTCGTCGGGCTCTCCTTACACGACGACGTACTCTTGCATATCTGACAATTCTATCCCAACGACTCTGGAAACTCCCTACCGACTCCCTACTCACCATGACCGACCGTCTGTCCCTCGACGAGGAGGCGCGGTTGTACACCACGAACGCCCAGCGCGAGAAGTACAACAACCTGGCGACGCTCTTCGGCATCATCGTTGCGCTTGATTACTTGGAACGCGCCTACGTACGGGACTCGATCACAGCAGCGGAGTGTGTATCTGAGCTTGCTTTCGAATCTGCATACCTTTGATCCCCCACATCGCCACCGTCCCTATGACCTGCCATACCCTGCTTGCTGGCTCGCGCGTCACTGTCCCATACATTGTATACCTCTCATCACGCATATGCTAACGCATCCCTGGAGAGATACTCGCCCGCATGCACACGTCTCCTCTCGCAGTACAAGACCATGCTGAAGCTCGTCGCGGACGACGTGCCGTCGGTAGAGCAGTTCATGTCGAGGTATAGGGTGAGTGCTGCTAATATCACTTGCTTGCTCGCCCCGCTGCGCCCGAGTGCGTTCGCAGCATCGAGTCCGTCGAGCTAACGACCACGCAGATGGACCACCCCGCCGCCCTACATCGCATCCAGGTCGGCGTCCCCGCGACTGTCGAACACTCGAGCGAGGCCGGACCAGAGACGGGCAAGTGGGTTGCGGAGACGACGCAGGTTCGTGAAGTCTCTCCCCTCCACGCTAAAACCTCCCACTGCCTTCCCAATGCCCCATCCACCCTCGCTAACAATCGTGCCCTCCTTACAGAGCTTCATCACCTTCATGGACGCGCTCAAGCTCCGGCTGCGCGCCAAGGACCAGCTGCATCCGATCTTACAGGAGCTCGTCACGAGCTATGCGCGCTTCAAGGGGAGCAAGGATTGGGAGGGGAGGAGTCGGATGGTGGCGTGGTGAGTGCGGGTCGTTTCTTGGTTGTTAGAGGGATGGTATTGCGGTTGGGGCGCGTCGTGGTGTCAAGGGCTATGGTGTCGGTGTTGGCATTGGGCGATTTGCGCATCTGGTGGTCGGCGGCATCTCGTGTGGTGCGAGCACTCCTTTGGCGCCGCCGTCTCATTGCGCCGGGGTGTGCGTGTGTGCATGCGTCGCGTTGCTTTGTGGTACCTCGGCGCGTGCATCATGGATGATGCCTCCGCGTCGCCCCCGCTCGTCCCCTTCATGCGATCTTCTTTGAGTTCCCCTTCCTGCGATCTTCGAGTTCCCCTTCATGCGTTCTTCGAGTCCCTCTGCCTCTCGCGCCGCTTAGTCCCTCTGCCTCTCGCACCGCTTAGTCCCCCCGCCTGTCGCGCCGCTTAGTCCCTCCTCTGTCGCGCTGCTTACACCTATCCAGGCTCATCACGCTCAACGGCATGAAGGCGTCGGAGGAGATCACGGAGGAGCAATCGCGGCAGGTGAGGGTCATCCTCTGGTCTTGGTCTCCAGTCGAGATCGGTGCTCGGTCTCCACTCAAGATCGGTGCTCGGTCTCCATTCAAGATCGGTGCTCGGTCTCCATTCCAGAACGGTGCTCGGGATTCATTCAAGATCGGTGCTCGGTCTTTATTCAAAATCGGTGCTCGGGCTCCATCCAAGATCGGTGCTCAGTCTCCATTCAGGATCGGTGTTCGGTCTCCATCCAGTGTTGGTGTTTGTCGAGACCGAGCCGTCTGACCTTGCCTTCCTTCCAGCTGCTCTTCGACGTCGACCACGCCTACGCGGAGTTCTTCCGCAGCTTGAGCGACAAGAAGGAGGGATGAGGAGGGTGGGCGTGGAGGTGTGGCGGGGTCGCATGGGCGAGGTGGTGATAGCGTGTGGAATTGGAAGGGGCGTTGTGCTCGAAGTGTACAGATGAAAGCATGTAAGTGATCGAAGATACCAATGGACGCTGTACAGTATCGCAGGGCTCCTCGAAGGCGGCGGACTGAAGCAGTTGATCGACAACAACTCGAAGTACTTTCGTGAGTGTTTCTAGGAGCGAAAGAAGCGCTCCAGGGGATTTTCATGACCGAGAGTGTGGGCGTACACGATTCGGTACGTAATGGCGCGGCAGGGTGGTTAGCTGCTAGGCTGGTCGGCAGGCCGGTGCGTGCACCAGACACCTGCCAGACACTTCGCCATCGGAGTCTAGCAACGTGGCAGCAACGTATTGACTGGCGCTGCAAACACGCGTTCTCAGCACTTGAGAAGCCCTTCCAGACCCATAGATCACCTTGACCTCCTTCCTGTCGGACGACACTACGTGGGTATCATGGACAGCGTCGATCCGATTCCTCTTTTCAGTAATGCGAGCGCGTCAACCCTCCCTCGAGCCTCATTGACCACGCTCATTGTGCGCGACTCGAGGAGTTGGCCTTCTGTTTTGCTTCCTTTCGTCGAGCCACTCAATGGTACTGGTGGCGAGTCAGTCGATCGGGTACGTGTGCAATACTGCTAGCTGTTCCCCCTCTTACGGTTCTACAGTCAAGCGCAACGATATCGCCTGATGGGCAGCACCCTGCCTTGCTCTCCTGCTGGCGCAGAATCGAGGCGCAAATCAATTCCGAGCGACAACTTCCTCATCTCGGACCAGATTCCCACCATCGTGTCCTGGGGCTCGGTCTCGGGGATCTGTTGGCGCAAGTCGTACCCGGATCCAACGTACAGTACGTGCGCTTTACTTCTGAGATGGGCTCAAACAAACGATACTACCACAGCTTCATGACATCGTTCCTGCCTTGCGTGTTCTCTGGCCACTCGCACAACGTGGACATCCATACTTTGCCACAGCGAGAGACCGTGACAGCACTCCTCACCCTCCCGATTGATCTCCTCGGCGTCACCGCGTCGGAATCCGAAGAAGAGTCAGAGTCAAACGACAATGAGTCCAGTCGCCTTTCTGACATGCAGGACGATCTGGACGATGAAGGAAGTGCTTCAGCCGTCTCAACCCTCTCTTCCTATCAACGCTCGTCTCAGCAATTCTCGAGCGGCTCGTCAGAGCTAGTCTATGGCAGCGAAAGCAGCAGTCTCGTTCCTTCTACCTCGTCGGACACCTTTTCTGAAGCACATCTTCTACTGCCCCGATATCCCAGCGACTGCATCCCTGTTGCTGCGTTCTGCATTGCCACCTATGATGAAGTCTATGGCATCGTGGCCAGCGCGTTGATGCAAAGACACACTCTTGGCATTGACGCTCCGCTGCTTTCTCTTGCTTTTTCCCCGGACACTTGGAAAGTACAGCTTGTAATCGGCTGGCCATCATCGCGTACAAATCACGACTGCGTGAGTTTTTCGTCTCGTCGACGTTGTGAGCTACATACTGACATACGTTCACCCTCTGAAGGTAGATCTGCACATCGCGCATGCACCTTTGACGCAGGGAGAGGATCATGGCCTAGGTGTCTTTGACGTCTCCAACTTCGCTTCGCTACATGCCCTGGTCAATTTTCTCGTCGCCCATGCCCCCGCTCTTGCGACTCCGGTGGCAAATGCACAAGAGCTGATACGAAGCCAGTCGCCACCAGAGCGTCCGGTATTGCGAGCTGATGGCGCCGCAGTGGGATCGGCTCGTCTCGATTTTCGGACTCGTATCGAGGCCTGGCTTCGGGGCTTCAGGTCAGGGACTTCACTCCGCTCACAACGCGCCTGGCTGACGATTTGTGTGAAGCTCATCAGATTTACCCGATACGTTATCTCAGGAAGAGCGGTACGTCGTCTGTGATGGACTCTGGACATTATTGACCAACGGAAAGGCCGCGGGAGCATGCGCAAGTAAAGTAGGTGTTCAGGAACTCCGCTGTTCCTCGAGTTTAACTATCGCGCTTCTCTCAGCACCTCCGGCCTGTAAGACAAGCTATCTCTGCTGACGATAACGATCCTAATAATTTCTGACGGCTAGCGACTTGAAAGACCTGAAGGACGAGCGGGACAAGATCTTGCAGGATATCGCGAGGTGTGTTGTCAATTTTGGCCTATACTTCACCGCCACTCATACCTTTTTTCAGTCCTGATGAATGCAGCGTCCTTGTGTACGTGCAGTCCCCTGAGTGTCCGCTTCTATGCAACTGAAAATGAAACTGATCTGAAGTTTCTATCCTGAGTATCGTCAAGGGCGACGCATGACATCGTATGTACACCACCTCTCGCGTGCTCGCCCGCAATTGACATCTCGTTTGGTAGAGAGAAAAGCTATCCCGCTCCGGCCGACGTGACAGTGTTCGAAGCTCTGGTTGAGAACAACGTCGTGTTGCATGCGTGGCCCACCCCAGATTTTCCCGATGATCTATCCGGGATCAACATGACGAAGATGATCTGCGAAGATTATGTCTATGCCTACAAGTTTCCGGAGTCCATTGACAGTGATGCTTCGGTCGGTCTTTCGGTATGTCTCGCTGTCTTCAAGTTTGCTTTGTCTCACTGTTGTCAGTCGCAAAATTCGCAGGCCTGGGATGATTATACTCATGCCGTTGCCGAAGACGACAGACTACGCGACGCAGCTGGCATTCCTCCAGTCAGAGTCACCGCTGCCTCGCGGCTTGATATACTGCGAATACTGCCTGAGGTTGTCCGCATTTGCGAGAACGCGCAACGCGATGTCCATCCAACGGGATCACGGCAAAACTGGGATGCGCTCCTCCAGCTATGCCTCCAAGACGCAACAAACGTTGCGCTCCCATTCTCGCATATCCGGTATGCGCTTGAATATCGTACCTGTATTGCTATCACTGAGGCGGACGGTTTTGCAGATCGGATCGCAGTATACCTTTTCCTCGAAATGCCTACTGCGACGCGACGCACAAGAATCCCTGGTCATTCACGAGGCAAGAGCCTCTTACGCGTCCGTTCCGTGAAAACTTCTACGGTTTGCGCTGGTGTCCTCCTAAGGTGTCTCTTAGCACGGGGCCTGCTTGGCTTCGGCGAGCCAGGGCAGAGTTGCAAGAAACGATAGCGGAGGAGCTTTCCTCACGAGTGAACTGTGCGGGTGATTGGATGATCAGGCAGGTTGAGGAGAAGTCGCTCTATGGCGGCTTGCTTATCAACCTGCGCGTGCTGGATTCCGCCGCCGAGGCTTCCTGCGACACTGTTGCTTTCCTCTCCATCTCTGACGTGTTCTGCGTCGACCGAGCAGACAAAGAAAGTGTGCGACTGATTGCGGAGTTCAGCATCATTGGGAGATATACTCCGAACCGACCCTCGCGCCATTCTTTCACTTGGAACGACGCAGGCAATGCGAGGGCTCTGAACGCGACATACCCTTCCAGCCAGGAAGATGAAAACATGACTTCCAGTGACGACTATGCAGAAAGCTACAATGGTCAGTGGCGCGTTCTTCTGGCTCAGCCTTTTTACTCAGCAGCGCGACAGAGCTACCACTGCCGCTCCTTTGGCTCGAAGATAGCATGGTGCACGGGAGCTTCGACGATGCGTTCAATCAGTCGCGCTACCGTATCCTCTCTTCCGGTCGCTTCTTGGCAGCCCTGGGGATCTATGATCTTCCCATCTTCGCTATCGCCACGGCAGGGTCAAAAGCCCATCTTCTCTGCGGCTGGGCGACGAAATCCGCCCCCAATCCCGAGGTGAGTACGCCCTCTCACGCATGCCCATTTCGAACTGACATTTATTCGTAGCCTTGTGACGTCCTCGTGCATATTGCAGATATCAATTGTCCCGTTTGGGACCTCCAAGACACCAACGAGGCTATCAAATTTTGTGCTTTTCTTCTTCGACTCCGCCATCTGCACGCGCGCAGGCTTCGAGAGGCGTTTGACGCGTGCAGAGAAGAGTTTACCCACGCATGGCAATGCGACCCGACCACTCGCCGCTTCCAGTGGACCTTGCAACACCAGCAGCGCGACGCCCTACTTAAGGACCTGTATGTAAAGCGCAAAACGCAGGAAGACAAGTCAAGATATTGGCGTCCAAGAATACACGAAGTCGAGGAGTTGATGGAGGCTTTGGAAGTTCCCGCCGCTGCGGAGTCCTCTGTACTTGCGCGCGTGTGAGCACCGGACGACAGGGCTCGGCGCATGGATTCGGAAGAGCCCGATGAGCGCCAGAAACACATAACCTCTTTCCGCAGAAGGATCATGTAGTTCTGCTACCACGTGTAGCTTGAGTAGGTCGGTTCGTGAGCGGGCGGCGCAAGGCACTCATAACGACAATTTTCGTTGTGCTCGAATCTCAGATGTATGAGGAACAGCAGCGGTCTGGTAGGTGTCGAGCGGCACGCCGACAGGATTTGGGCTGCCCTACTAGATACAAGGGCAAGTACGTCAGCATGTCTTGACGTGCAGGGAATACATTGAATTCTGGTAGTGTGACAAAGGGATCGGGCGTGAAAACAGACTTCCGTTTTGCACATCCTCCCTCTAGTAGAAAGACATCCTTTCCTCTCCATCGAGAGACAAATAGAGCGGCAGGAAAAAAGAGGAACAACTACGTAACGACACCAGCAGGATTCGAACCTGCGCCCTCAGAGAGGAAGAGATTGAGATCATTCGAATCTCTCGCGTTAACCACTCCGCCATAGTGCCGTGGGATGGTAAGAGCTCCGTATATCCCTTGTCAGACATGTGCATGCTCAGGCCCACCATGGACGCTTTCCCCGACCGACGGTGCACGCAACAGCACGTTCGAGATGCTACAATACAAGTATGTACTTGGTACTGATGATGGGACCGGAGATCTTGCGCCATCGACGAATACGATGACCACTCCCAAGCAGTCCCCGTCGGTCCCATCAATTCACTCGGACCGTCCATGCCCTACGCTTTCCCGCTCCTGGATTGTTGTACGCCTAGCATATAACAGTACCTTACAGCTCATCCTTCACATTGCCCTCGTCGACCGGCAAGCAGAGCGCCGGCGTCGTCGCCGTGTACTGGTACTGGCACTTCTCGAGTTCGGAGACGCTCGTAATCGCGTTGTCAGTGCCGCAGGTGAGGACGACCTAGGGACGCATTAGCGGGGCCGCGAGTAAGGCCAAGGGACGAGGAAGGAGAGCGATTGTTGCGCATAGCGGCGGACATGAATCATTAGAAGGCAACTCACCGACACTGTCCGCTCCGGCCCATTCCAACAGCGCGCGCCCTTCGTGTAAAGCTGCTTTGAGTAGTACTCGGGCGTGCCCTTCTCCGCGTCGGTGTTCCACGAGCCCCATTTACTATCGTAGTTCGTCAGTCACTGGCATCGCGCAGACTATTGAACTATCGTGCTCACCCCAGGCTGAAGTTCGACCCGCCCTTGAGCGGCTTCTGCTTCGCCTCCTTGAAGAAGCACAATTCATACTTGTAGCTGAAAGAACGCCAAGTCAGCAAGGTTGCGCGTTGTCTCCTCTATTATGATGGTGACGGAAGATGATTAAGGAACGCAATACGCACTCGCCCATCTCCCGCTCGATGCACAAGTCCTGCAACTTCTTCCACTCGCCCTCCGTTCCGTAGCCGGCGGGATCGCTCAGCTTCGCCAGCTGCTCGTCCGCGTCCTTCTTATCCTTCTCTACCTTGGAAAGCGCCTTCTCGGCAGATTGCAGGGCTTGGCGGGATTTGGAGGTGTCTGGGAGGATTAAGTTGGAATTAGGCGCTTTGGTCGGAGGGCACACGAGATATATGATGGAAGAGAGGAAGGTGTGAATACAGAAGGGGCCACACGCACCGGTACCACTGGGCGAGTCCGTCTGAGGCTTGATGATCCCAAATGTCTGCAGCAATACTACGAACGCGTCCTTGAAGTCCTCGTACGCAGGGATGACGGAATCTGGCAGGTAGGCCGCGAGGTCAAAGACTGAACACGCATCAGCCCCAAATGCCACGAACTCCGCGCATGCACTATACACTCACTCATCGATCCATCCGACGCCGCAGACCCATCCTCCGACTCCAGCAGCAACTCCACATAATCCATCTTCAACAGCTCATCCAGATCCTGCTCCAGCTCCTCCAACGTCCACTCGTCCTCCGGGATCTTCTCATCCTTCTTCGCTTTCTCCTTCTTTCCCTTGTCACCCGCCTCTTCCTCTTTCGCCGCCGCATCCGCCTCCACGCCCACATGCGGGAGACCCGCATGCTCCTCCCACGCGCGCACGGCAGCGAGCACGGCCATGTCCTGGTAGTTCGGGTTGTACCCCGAGCGGAGCGTGTCGAGGATCTCGCCGAGCTGCTTCTCGGCGGCGGCGCGCTTCTTGTACTCGCGCTGGAGGGACTTGAGCGCGGAGGCGTGCTCGAGAAGGGTTTGGAAGACGGCTATAGAGCAGGTCAGTTAATGCACATAAGGAGAGGATGAGGGGAACGCACGCGACTGCTTCTTGCGTTCAAGGGCGGCGGCTGAGATGGACTCGGCGCGGTCGGCAATGTCTGAGGGTGGATGAGTACCAGGGAAGCGATACGGCGATGAGGAAATGCGTACCTCGCAAGCGCTCGACTTCCTTCGCGCGCACAGCGATCTCATCCGCGAGGTTCTGCACAAGACCCTCCAATCGCTTTTTCTCCTTCTGCGCGTAGGCGATGTAGGAAGAGCGGATCTTCGAGCCCTATTGTAAGCGTCAGCATACCGCGCAGTGTACAGGCATAAGACAGACGTACGGTCTTCTGTATCTTGAGCTCCTGCGCGCGTTTCTGACGGTACGCCTCGCCTACTTCCTTGCAGGTGTTCGGACACACGCCGGGCGCTTCGTCGCTACCGTCACAGCATTCAGCCTCTATACCGTGTGAGTAGGTAAGCAGGATTTCAAGGGGGGAACATACCGCATATGCCATCGTTCACGCGTGAGCTGGGGATGGTGGCGCCTATATGCCCTTCATTCCTGCAGTAGAACGTGCTATTCGGGCAAGCCGAGGTTCCTGCGCACAATGAATACAGGTCAATCAGAGAGGGAGTGCTACATACCTGGCTCATCACTGCCGTCCGGACAGTCGCACGAATCGTCGTTTACAAAGTCCCAAGGGATCTCCTTCGAGCCATCAAGACATCTCCACTTCCCCGACGCTTGGGGTGAGTATTTCAACAGTAAAGCGGGGGGCACGCCCAGCGTCTTCTCGTACGCTGCGAGCACTGGGCTCAAGATGGGGAGAAGGAGGAGCGCGGCGCGCATGACGGCGGCAAACAAGGTCGCAACGCGGGGCACCGTGGACGTGTCGCCGCCAAGCTCGGCGCGCCTGCCCGAACGATCCGGCCACGTGCGGTAACGCGTAATGTCACACCGTGACTAAATTATCAGAGCCTGCCGTCGAGCAGGTCCTCTCTCCAGCGACGACCAAGGCCAAATGGTGAGCCCCGTCCCTATGTCTCGACGCCGGACGCATCCCCCACCACCCAACTGCTGCTGTCGAGCAGCGCGCGCTCGCCAGACCGCTCTGTTGCGCTGGATTGCGTCGACTTCCCCCAGATGACAGACCCGCCCGATTGCTCACACCCGCCCCCAGGCGAAAGCAAAAGCCACTCAGGCCGCCTCCAGTGGCGGCAAAGCTGCCAAGAAGAAGAAGTGGTCTAAGGGCAAGGTCAAGGACAAGGCCCAGCACGCCGTCGCCGTCGACAAGCCGCTGTTCGACCGCATCATCAAGGAAGTCCCAACCTTCCGCTTCATCAGCCAGAGCATCCTCATCGAGCGGTTGAAGATCAACGGCAGCTTGGCCCGCGTCGCCATCCGTCACCTCGAGAAGGAGGGGCAGATCAAGCGGATCGTGCACCACAGCCAGCAGCTCATCTACAGTGAGTCGCTAACAATTTTATCGCGCGCGATGGGCACTGATCTTCCTCCCCAGCTCGCGCAACAGCATCAGATTAGAGCTGCTTTCCCTTCCGCTATGCTTCTGTATGCACCATATGTATCATTGCACGCACCCACAAAATTATGCTCTGCCCCAACCCACCGTCCCAATGTGTGAACCTTCGCCTCCTCCCAGATCGTAAGTACTGCACCGCTCCAAGACTGTCAACATCGGTGGCTATGTTGCTGTTGCTGCGAGTTGCTCAAACCGTGGGCTTCCTGATTGCGGGGAAGGGATACATCCGGCTTTCTTGTACGAAGGACGTACTTCCGGGGCTCTGCTTAGTACACGTCGGCCTGACTCTGCGTCCATTGCAATACAAGTTCTCATTATGTTGTCTATCGATACCGTTATATCTACATCTAGCCGCCGGGATAGCACTGCGACTGTGGGTTGTACTTACAAGGCCCTCTAGCTCTCGTTCCTCCATTCCGCAATCCTGCCCTCTACTCCTTATCCGCCTCCGCCATCTCCTTCCTCCACCTCCTCTGAATCTCAATCTGCTCCCTAAAGATCTTGTACTTCGCCTCCAACAACCGCTTCTCCTTCGCCGTCGCATTCGGCGCCACGCTCTCCCCCTGCGGCGTCATCTCCACCATCACGTCCCACAGCACCTGCGTCTGCGCCTCCGTGCCCAGCCCGCGCCCCGCCGCCTCCGCCGCGAAGCGCCCGAGCATCGCCGCGCCCAGCACGACCGCGTTGCCGCTCTCCTTGGGGAGCACGACGGGCGTGCCGCAGGTGTTGGCGAAGAGCTGCATCATGGGCCGGTTCTTGGCCTGCCCGCCGGACATGAAGATGGAGGTGATGGTGTGCCCGCGCTCGTTCATCTGGTCGACGATGTGTCGGGTTTGCAGCGCGATGGCCTCCATGGTGAGGTAGTACTTGCGCGCGAGGTCGTGGAGGCCGGCGTCCTGACGCAAAGATTAGCGAAGGGCGATCTAGATAGGAGACTTGAACTAACCAGAGTCAAACCGACGATGGCGCCACGCATTCGCGGGTCAGCGAGGGGGGAGCGATTGCCGTGCAAATCAGGGTAGAAGTGGATGTCCCTTGTGAGCTCGGTCGCATTCGCAACACCATGCTCCTTGACGAGCTCATCGAGGATGTCCTGGAGAACAACGTGGATGTTCTTGCCCTCCTGCTTAGCGCGCTCTTGCAGTCGCGGGTACGCAGCGTGGGTCGTGATCATGAAGTCGATGAGCTGACCAGTCGACGACTGGCCGCCTTCGTTCATCCACCATCCTTGGAAGACGACATCCTACAGAGATCCTTCAGCACGACGCGTCGTTAACATGGACGTCGCCTACCTTGTACGGACCCCACACACCAGGTACGAACACTCCGCGGGGTTCTGGGCTCTGCACGATATGGCACGTACTCGTGCCCGCGCACGCCGCCAATCTGTGGCGAGACTCATCGAGAGTCGGCACCACATCCGACAGCTTCCCATTCTCCACATATCTTGCCGCAACCGTGCCCATCCACCCCGCATACCTGCCGAGATCGGGTCAGCCTCAGCCCTCCCCATACAATTCAGAGTGCCCCTCACGCATCGATGAGACTGCTGCCGACGGCGGTGCCCTCGAGCAGCCCGAGCTCCTGCGCCGCCTTCTTGCTGAGGCCGTTCCCGACGGGCACACCGGCGGTAAGAACGTGCCGGTCCTTCGCGCCGATCTGCCTGAAGTCGTTGTCGACGAGCTCGCCGACACCGATCTTGCGCATAAAGTCCGGCTGCCAGCCCTCGCCGGGGACGAAGGAGTACTTGCAGGTGACGGAGCACGTCGAGCGCGTGCTGTCGCCGGTCGCGCGATAGGTGAGGAAGTCGGGGAGGTCGAAGAACTGGCATCGCGACCAGAGCTCGGGCTTCATGTGCCGCTTGAGCCAGAGCGTCTTGGGCATCTCCATCTCGAGCTGGGAGGGGAGGACATGAGCTACGTCCACATGAGAAGGGACCATCACTCACACTCATCGTGCCCCCGACGTAGTCCAGGACCTTGCTCCCGGTGCTGTTGATGAGGTCCGCCTCCGCCTCTGCGCGGTGGTCCGCCCACAGGATCACATTCCGGTCGCCGATCTGCCCCAGCTGCTCCCCCTTCGTCACCACTACCGGGTCCCCGTTCGCGTCGGTCACCGCCAGCGAGCATGTTGCGTCAAATGACAGACCCTTCACGGCTTCCGGCGCGACCTTCGCCTCCTTCAAGCACGTCTTGATCGCCGTCGAGATCGACTCCCAGATGTTGTTCGTCGACTGCTCGAAGATGCGGTGATCGTTCGGATCGCGGAATGTCTTCGTGTCGACAGTATGCGATGCGACGAACGTACCGTCGCGCTTGACGAGCCCCGCGCGCGCGGAGCCGGTCCCAACGTCGACGCCAATGAAGTAGCTCTCGGACATGGTGTTCGTGGTGGGAGTACGAGAAAAAGAAAGAGAGGGGGAGATGATGTCAATCAGTTCTCTTCCCCGGCTTTTTCCCCATAATTTCACCCCGCCGCCCCCTGGGGCGACGATGGGCCCGCTCTGCTGCAACTATGAAGCGTCGATTAGTCGGCGATCCATCCAGATAGCACATTGACCAACGTACATACAGACCGCGGCCCCGCACTTCGGTCGGAACTCATGCGATCGCGGGCGAGAACAAGCCACGGCGATTCTTCCAACGGGGTTGCATTCTAATACAGCACTACAAAAGTGATCCAAAGAACATGCAGGCGCGTGCGTTACAGAAGACTGTATGAGGAGGAAGGTGATGTTACTTAGACGACAAAAGGACCGGGGGCGTATACAGCGAAGACGGGGAACCAGAAGAATAAAATATGTATGCCATGCCATGCATCAAGCCGGCGGCGGAGACGCGGTTGCGAACGTGTACGTAGCCAATACATCGCGCTGGCGAGCGCGCGCGAAGTACGTAGCGAGCGAGAACATAAGGATGCGGATAAGATAGTGGGTGGTACCTGCGGCAAAGCGAAACCGAGCCGGGTATAGGTCGTGAGCGATGCGAACGGGCAAAGGAGTGTTAGGTCGTAAAACATGTCGTGAACTGCAGTGCGACGGGGCCGAAGCGGCAATCATGGGCTCGCCATTTGGGAGTCGTCCCCGGGTCGCATGCGAGGCGGAGTGCTGCCACCGAAGAACTTGCGAACATCCGGCGTGCGCCCACCGTCGCTATCCTCGACGATATCCATCTCGCGTATGGCGTCTCCATCCATGATCTCGTCAGCCTCATCAGCATCCTCACTGGTCGTGCTGGTGCTGTAGAGGCTGCTCGAGTCATCGGAGACGCTACCTGCGCTGGAATGCGCAGGCCGTATCGTGGGCTCGTCGTCCGTCGTTGAGCCGCCGTCCGTCTCGGTCTCGGTTTCCGTCTCGGTTTCGGTGTCGTCTCCACTACTGTACCTAGGCCGGAAAGCAGCAGACACAGAAGATGGCGCTTGCTCGTGGTTTGCATGTGGTGTCGCGCTAGAGGGATGCGTCGGAATCTGCCCGCCATACGCATCCACTGCGCCCATCGCAGGAGTCGGAGCAGCAGAGCCAGTCTGTGACGAGGACGGGATCGAGGACAAAGGAACAATGGTATGTGGCAACGGCGACGATGAGTGTTTGTGCGAGAAGAGGATGAGCTGCTCTGCATATCTCTGCATCTCATCTTGGTGGATGACAAGAGAGAAGTTGTTGAGCAGCAAGAATTGCAACTCCAGCTGGTTCAGCTCGGTGAGAGGAAGACCGCCGACCTAAGCGCTCGATTGGTCAAGGCGAAATTAGCGCAGGAAGCAGCAGACGCACCTTCGCATATCGCGAGTTAGTGTAGAACACGTCGCTAAAGAACTTGCTGGCGACCGTCACGCCAGCGATAACCAGCCGGTGGATATTGTACGAGTCGATCACGAAGGTACGCCCGGTCGCCTCGAGGCTCAGCTTCGACATGCGGTCGAAGTAAACCAGGAGCGATAAGAACACTTCGTTCGTCGTGGGGCAGTATTTGAGTATGCGCACGAGGTACGCCTCAAGCGATATAGTGGGGATGTTTCGGGCATGGAAAGTGAGGGTGCTAGAGGGCGTGGACAGCGCGGCTCGCGACGCGGTCGTCAGGGTATTCCAGACAGGCGCGCGATGATGATCGGCAGCATGGTGCGAGGCGTCCAGCCCCGACGCGCCAAGCTCGTCATTCGCAGATGCGATGTTGGAAAGCAGCTGGGCGAGGAGGCTGAGAAGCTCGGCCGACGGCAGAGAGTGGATGTCTACACGGGGCGCTGACTGTTGCATCGGTTGGGCGGGTTCTGCCTCCGTTTCCGAGTCCTCCTGCTCCTGCTCCTCCGGAGACGGCGCACGAGGCACACGCGGCGGCGGCGAGGACTGGCGATGGGGGAGTGGGGGCTGCGAGGTGGACTGCGATGACGATGACGAGGGGAGGGGCGCTGTGTGCTGCCGCTGGAGCGCGGGGAGCGGGTGGCGGGAGGTGCCGGCGCGGGACGTCGAGGGCGTGGACGAGGATGCGGCTGAGGAGGATGAGGGGATGGCAGACCCGCCGCCGGAGCTGGAACCCGCAGATTTGCGCGACTGACTCCGCGTGCGCGACGATGAGGGGCCCGACGCTCGATGCGGGACATCGGAGGCGAACGGGTGAACGAGCGCGAGCATGGTCGGAATAATGCAGTGATTTTGGGGCGAAAATGCAGGAGAGACAGATTCTAGTCTGACGGCGCGCTGTTTTGCCACAGATTTTGGACGTTCGGGAGAAAGAATCGCAATCCGGAGCCAACGTGCCTTCGTGACACGTGTGTCACGAAAGTGACGAATTTCGAACCACTCCTGCCGTCACGTCTCCTCACGTTCCTCCCCCCATCGTCACCCCAGGCACCTCTAGCTTGCTCATCCCCTCTCATCCTAGGACCGTCGTCCGGAGGGGAGCGGGTCTACACTTGCGATTGTGCTTGCTGCGTAAGCGAAGCGCGGAAGCTCACCGGACATGCCTCGCATGTCTTCGATTCATTGAGTCGGAGACTTCATTGCAAAGGCGCCGAGTACGTCCTTGAAGCACGCCGCGCTCGCATATCAAGCCAGCTGTCTCTTTGCGTCATAGCGGAAGGTCCTTCCCTCTACCCCTCGCACGAGCGCGCCCTCCGCGAACGCCTTCCTATCGTATTATGGTATACGTACGTATACTCCTCCAGTATCTGTATCCATGGTTCCTCAAATTAGCAACGCGCGAGCCGGGCGTTCATCCTCAATTAACCCGCGAATGACGATCCCGCCCCTTCACACAATCCACGACTCGAATAGTGCCTCGGCGCGACGGCACAGCTTGTGTTCGTCGCCGCATGGTATATCCGCAGGCGTCATTTGTACGACCTGATCGACCGCGGCTAGAAGCCCCGACTCCTGCGCGCGTAGGAAGTCAGCTTCACGCGCACGTCGGCGAGGCAATCCGACTTACCTCCACAAACGCGAACGGCAACTCGTATTCCTTCACCTCGTCCAACGCATCGGACACCGCCTGCAGTTCCTGCCGAGTGGCTTCGTCAGCAACTTCGCGCGGCCCGCGCATCGCAAAGACATACTGCACTGGTCAAGACCCGTTTCCCCTTCGTCAGCGAGCGCAATCGCGCGACCCACACGTTGACAACGTCTTCGCAGGGAAGGTCACTCGTACGCGCACGCTTGCTCCGCGCCGATCCGGGCGCAGAGGGCGACGCTTTTCGCTTCTTCCCGGTTTTCTGCGCGTGCCATCCGATTATCTGGGTGTCCTCTGGGAAAAGATCCAGGGCCACGCTCTTCTCCCTGGTCGCCGCGCTGGCCCCCTTTGTTGCCAGTGCCCTCTCCCTCTTTGTCCCCGACATGCTGGTCCCTTTCCTCGCTGCCACATTCGCCCCCTTCGTCGCAATGTCTGGCTTCTGTTTCGTTGACGCGCTCGGGGCGCTCGGGCTCGAACTCGCGTGATCGCGCCTAGACCCGGTCTTCTGCAGCACGTGTCAGGCTTGGCTTTGTCCGTGTGACACCGCGTTATACTCACCTTGCCTGAATCTTTGACTGCCACCTCTGTGCCGAAGCCATGCCGTGCCATAACCTCCCTGATCTTCAGGTGAGGTGGGAGCTCCTGGACAGTGTATGAGGTGGGGGTGTTGTTGCTGAGTGTAGATTGTGCAGTAGACACCAGTGGTGCTGATACAGGTGAGGGCCTTGCTGGAGGTGTAGTGCTTTCTGGTGTAGTAGCTGATGTGGTGGGTGGTTGTGTAGCCTCTCTCTTCATGTCTCTAAACAGAGCGTGACAATTTAGTTGCATAATCATTTGCAGATGATCTTCAGGCAGGTTGGGAAATGGCTGCTTCTGGTGGATGTCATCTATAGCCCAAGCAATTTGAGGATTAGCACAAGCAACTGGTCAGTGTTAGCCCTTCACTTGAGAAGGATCACTACTCTCACCCTTGTTCTTAGAGGCTTTGCTAGGCAGAAGGCTTCTCCGTAGCCTAGCAGAGACTGATGCTGCTTTAGCAGTGGTAGGCTCTGTTGCCTCTGCTCCCGATAGAGTTATAGAGCTAGCAGTCTGCACAGAATCAACTGCAGTAGATGCCTGGCTATCTACTGAGGCTCTGCGGGTATCTGAAGAGATATATTAGCCAGTGTACTTGGCAGAGCAATTATAATTGAACTGACCCAACAGAGCCTTGTGCGAGAGAGTTGGCAGAGGCATAGCCTTCTGTGCCTTAGTAGTAGGAGTGGTAGGTTGGTCCTTAAATGATTTGGCAGCTTGCGCTTTCCTGGACTTGACAGCGGGCTTCTTGTGTACTGCAATATGGTTAGGTATAGCCAAGACAAAGCAGAGTATGGACATACTGATAACTGTGTCCTGATCTGTCTTTTTCTGTCTGCTAGAGGACTTGCGCAAGACGGGCTTAGCCTTTTGCCTGGGTGTCTCTTGCTTTGCCATGTTCTGCTTGCCATAACATATGTAAGCTATTGGCCAGAGCAGTAGGACAGCACACAGTCTTACCAGAATGCAGGGAGGAAGGCAGAAGCAGAGCAGGAATTCAGATGGAGGCAGGAAAAAGGCCTGACAGAGCAGGAGGCAGCAGTGGTGGCAGGAGACAAGGTGGGGCAGGTCCTTCCTCTCCCCAGCCAGGCCTTTTATCCCTGGGAAAATCAAGGGGCATCTGATGCCTTTTCGTGTTTCAAGGCACATACGGAGCACATATTACCAATCACGAGGCCCAGACCAGTGATCCGTAGCCAGTGTACTGCCTTGTATGCTCTTCTGTGATAACGGTAGCTATGCTTCCACTCCATGCATCAGTTTCAGCCTAAGTTCAGGAGCTACGGAAGGCTTCTGTACTCCACGGAAAGTTGCAAAAGCATATAGGATTTCCCTGAAGCATAAGGCCATTTATAATCAGAGGTGGAGCATACCTCACAGGCATTACTTCTCCAACCTCCTCAGGCCCAACATCAGCCAGTACACAGTGGTATGTGAAGCAGCTCGAGTGGGCCTGGGCAGAGAAACTAACTAGAAACATTACCTGAGATTATATTGCTTGCTTGTAGTCTACTAGCTGTACACACTGCATGCAACTTGCCCTGAAGGGGGAGGATGCATAATTAGAAAGGCCCGCACACGACGGGGACCATTTCAAGCACCTACATGGGAGTAAGAGGCAGAAGAGGCCGCAAAAGCAAACAGACGTCAAGACCTGCCTGTTCAGGATGAATAGCATCAAATTCCCACGCTTACGACGAACTTCACACGCGGGTTTACGAGAACGAGGGAGTAGGACACACTGTCCGCATTATGTACGCACGGTGTACAATAAGTAGCTATGCATACTATATTTTACCGATGAGGAGGTTGCCGATCATCTCGCGGCCAGTGACATAGGTCGTCGTCCACAAGGTGCCGAAGTCCAACGTCGAGAAGAATGTGTCGGCGTACCCGAAGGGCAGCATTGGCGGGATCCAGCCTGCAAAGAGAAGTGAGGACGTAGAGCACGAGCGAAGGGGGAACGAAACGTACCACGAGCGTACTCGAGCGCAAAGCCGCCTTCGTGCATCTTGTACTGCTTCACGACACCGCGCGGCATGAGGTGCACATCACCCGGCTTGTATACCTCCCTCTCATACGAGCCCGGACGGAACGCCCACTGCTCCCCAACCAGGATGTTGAAGTAGTCGTCCGCCGTGTGCACCCCCGAGTGCCCCTCCGTGCCCAGCGGCGTGCCGAAGATGATGAGGTACTCGGTGATACTCGCGTGGATGAGGTACATCGCGCCCATGGCGCCGCCCGCGTTGTTGAACATCCACTCGGACGAGTTGGGGTTCAGGCGGATCTGCGAGGGGGAGTACGTCGCGGAGAGGTTCGCGTAGATGTAGTCGACGATCGCGGGCATGTCGCCCGGGTGCGTCGCGACGGCGGCCTGCGAGACCTGGTGCAGGCTCTCGGGGTCGAAGACATACCACCGGTCCTGCGAGGGGGGTGAGTGGGGGAGCAGGTGTAGGTCAAGAGGCGCGCACCTTGATCCCGTCGAGCACCTTGCCCACTTGCCAGAAGAACGCGAGCGCAAAGTACGCGATCACGAGGTACACATAGCGGCCCAAGGGCGGGCGCGCGTCCGCGCCAGAGTCCTGGGATGCCGTCGTAGGGGCCTTGCCGTTTGCTGCCTTCTTCGCCATGGTCGCCGTCACTGGTCGACGAGGAAGGGGAGCCCGGATTTTATAGCTGACGGTGGGGGGAGCGGACAAGCAGCTCGGGTCGCAAGCCGAGTCGTACCAACGCGGATCGTACCATGAATTATGCCGTGGGAACCGGCAGACGCGCCTCCCCGATCGCGTTTACCACCGCCAGCTGACTGACCAGGAGCTCAACGCGACATTCAAACGTCGCCCAGACCCGCTGCCAAGCTTGTTCACCATCGAGCGGTAGCGCCCGTATTCTCTTTTGGCCCCAGGTAACTAGGTATTGACAAGATATCGTATGATTAGTAGGGTAAATGCGTAAACGTCGTAGATCGTCATCCCGAGCACCCTCTACTCATCTACTCGAGCATCCTCGACAACATCTACTCCTTCGGCGGGAACACCTCCTCCAGTGCAGGCGGCATCATATCCGGCTCAGCCGGCGTCGCCGTCCCCGACGCCCGCGGCTTCTTCCCCTCCCTCTCCAACAACACCCGGCACAGATGCGCGCCGCCCGCGTAGAAAAAGATGAGGCCACCGAAGACGATGATGTGCCCGTACCACGCGAGGTGCCGCCAACACTCAATGGACGCGCTTGCGGTGAGGAGCATGAAGGGCGCCGCGGCGTAATTTAGGATGCAGTTGGTGAGGACGATCCCGCCGAGGTCGTAAGCGCGCTTTGCGAGAGAGGGCGCTTGGCCGGGTGCGGGGAGGAGTAGGGGTCGTACGTTCTTGCGCACGAGGCGGGCGAGAGAAGTGATGCAGGCGCCGGTGAGGAAAGTGAGGTAGTAGCCGGATTGCACGCCATGCTGAGAAAGCGAGGTGTGAGCGTACGGACATACGATGCGACGAAGATCAAAACTTACCCAGAAGGCGCTCGTCAAACTAGTGAGGACGCTGCTCTTAAAGCCGGCCTTCTTGCCCTTGGGCGTCACACGTTTGTAGATACACTCCTTCAACCAGATATTCGTCTTGATGTTCCAGTTGTCGAGCAAGACCTTGAAGTTCTCCGCGAATTCAACCTCGCGAACGTGAATGTTTGCCGCGCCGTCCCACGTCGAGCGCATTTGAGGCGTAAAGCCAGTGAAGCCGAAGCCAGTAACAATTGACGCGCCCTACTTTGCGTCAGCAAACGCCGAACAGCCAGCGAGAAGCAACCTACCTCAGTTAGCGTCCAAATCGCGTAGTACTTGCATCGCTCGAAGAAGCCGAACACTTGGAAGGTCACAAAGCGTTGCCAGTACGGAAGGTTGATGAACCACGGCTGAAGACTCGCGCTGAAGTTATAGGTGCCGCCGAAGAGCACGAAGAGGCCCAGAAAGATGAGGCCCTTGACCATCTTGCGGTACGCGACGCGCTTGCGGCCTCGGGGCACACGACGCTGGCCAGGCGCGACTTGCACGCCCTTGTACAGAGCGTCTGTGACGAGTTCATTGTACTCCGAGTAGTCGAGGTACGGCCCAACCAGCACGCCGGGGAAGTAGAGTCTGCGCTGCGTCATTGCGTCGTACTCTCAAAGTATGTCTTGGAACAACTTACGCATATCCAAGAAATGCGGTGAGGGACGGGTAGTCCACGACGCGGCGCGCGAGCTGCCACTTGTCGAGGTCCTCGGCTTTTTGACGCCCGTCGTGAATGTTCCAGGCGAAGGTCGTGAGCTTCATGACGAGGACCATCTGCGAGCCGGTGACCTCAATCGTCTCGTAGCTGAGGTTATAAATGACGCGAATAACATGGCTGGGAGGGGAAGCATCTCATCAGTACGAACACGATCGGACATGAACGTGGTCCCTGCACGTACTTTGCAGTGAGGTGTCCCATAAGCACCCTGCGCGGTCGTCAGACATGACGCGAATGAGCACAAGGTTCACTACGCACCAGAAAACGACCCAAGGCATATCCCGACTCGTGTTATACCGCGCCATCGCGTACGTGAATAACATGTCCGCTAGCAGCTGCGCGAACGCGCCCGGGATGTTCAGCACGGGGACATAGAAGAAGAACGCAGTAGCGATGCTAAACAGATGTCGTGCACTAGGATTGGATGAGGGAACCCGGATGTACAGGCTGCCCAGCGGGTAGGCGACCAGCAAGCAGAAGATGAGCTGGGTGCACGGTGTCAGTCGAGGACCAAAGGCAGGATGCGATCTGCGCACCTTGAGCTGGTCGACCGATGCGCCCACCAGGTCGGCAATGGGGCGGAACAACGCGTCCATCGCGTTGAACTCGGCGAGGGAGCAGGGAGCAGGCAAGTGGCAAAAAGCGCCAGTTCCCCAAAAAGAACGAGTCTTCCCCAGGTGCTTGATGACGTCGGGGTTAAGTGTTAAGAGAACTGGTTGCTGCCGCACTCTCAGCTTTCACAGGCACTATGGCGGAGTGGTTAACGCGAGAGATTAGAAATCTCTTCCTCTCTGAGGGCGCAGGTTCGAATCCTGCTGGTGTCGATTCGATTATGGGCGCCGCTTTTTTGTTGTTCCTGTCAATATATCCTCACCTCGAGTCTGTGATCCTGTTGTGCTATTCTGTATGCAGCACTCGTTGCCTCGTCATCTTGAAGTGCTGCATCTGCTCTCTGCTTATGCCTCAAGCTTTGCAGTCACTAACAACACGCTCAAAGGTCACTTGTAACTCATGGCTTATACTTGGCAGATTCGTGCGAGCGCAGAGCAAGTTTACATACTTCAACGTGGGTAGAAAGCCTACAGATGTATCATAGCACAAGGATAAATACAAGTCATTATTCAACGTCGAAATCTCAAGCATGGTTCTCGTCCAGACAGCACCAACAACCGCTCAGACCTGCGCCGCGCCCTGAGGCGGATACTGCGTCGGGGCCTGGCCATAAGTCCCCTGCGCCGGCTGGGGCGTGTTGTACGCGGGCTGCGGTGTGCTGTAGCCTTGGCTCACGGGAGGCTGCGTCGCGGCAGGGGCGTACGCCGTCGTTGGGTACGTCTGCTTCTCCGATGCCACTGCGCCTCCTGCGCCGTACTCCTCCTTGACGGACGACCTCCAGATGGACTTGCCGCCCTGCGCGCTGCGAATAGCGATGGCGAAGACGGACCAGAGGTAGGCGGAAACTGTGATCGTGGATTAGATTAGGATGAGGGGATTGTGGAAGGAAGTGAAAAAAAAGGATACGCACGGAACAACCATGTGATGTAGTTGAACGCCGTAATCGCAGAGAATTCGCGGCAGGCGGTGTTGATGTCGGCTGCGCGATCGTAAGTGGGGAAGCATGAAGACGAGGCAACGAGGGTAACGTACTCCAGTACGAATGGCAGCCGTCCGGGAATTCCTTCGCGACGCCGTCCGAGGCGAGGCCCGCGCTGGCGATCCAGAGCACCCAGAGGACGAAGAGCCAAACGACCTCGAAGGCGATCATGCTCGTGAACGCGCCCGTGCGGAAGCGATCCAATACCAGCCTGTGGGAGCCTATGAGCACATCATAGGCGCGCAGCGGGTGAAGGACGTACATGACAGGCAGCGTCACCAGCGTCAACGCCCCACTCGCGATGGTGAGGGCGGTGAAGGTGTAGTAGAACCCATACCAGTACGTCGTGAAGTTGAGGAGGTGCGCGGAGATGCCGAGCGCGATAATCCCGGAGACGACGGCGCCAGTCAGCGAGACGACGCGGAGGAGAGGGAGCCAGGCCATGGGTGGGAGGGGGAGCTGGCGGTGGGGACACGGGACGTACGGCGGGGCGTGACGCGCCAGGACGTTATGGCCGACCTTTATACGACCGAGATCGATTCAGGGGCGGGTGGCGGTGGTTGATCTGCATTTGCGCGTTGTCTGTTCATCACGGAATCGTGTTAGGCGCCCGCCTGTCCTGTGGCGTACTTCTTGCTTCGCGCACACCTCCCTGCCCTCGCTCTACCTCCCTGGCCTCCCACTACCCTTTCCCCTCCGAGTCTGGACAAACGTCTGAGGCTCTCGAGCGCGTCCTCGGTCGCGTAGAGCAGCGACGCCAAGCGCGCCATCTTCCGCATTACCAGCGAGGGAAGTGTTACAGGTCGGATATTGTCATCTGCCACCCCAGAAAGCCCCCGCCGCCGGGGCAGCAACGTATGATGCCTACTCACCGTCCTCGTGTACGCCCCCGGCTGTGCGTATTAGGCGCGCATGATCCTTCAGTGATAGATGGAGGACTACAGCCTTCCCCGTATAGAACAATGTCTTGAACGATTTCTCGCGCCGTATATCGCGCTGCAGATAGGTTTCTCTCTACTTCAGAGCGTTGCTATAGTCGTCTACCTGCGCACCCTCATCAGAAAGGCCAGAGCGCATCTCCGAACAACGGTATGCTTACCGATAAGCTTTCCGCTTCCCGAGGAGGGACCGCTTGGCGCAGACGCGGTACTCATCTCTACTCAAGCCATCCACTGTGATCCATCTCAATTAATCACCTCCGCGCACAGCTGCTGGGAATCAGGTAACAACAGATCATTTTTCGTGGGGGCGTAGACCCTAGTAACGCAAGTTCCGAGTCACAGCATCCGACGAGCAAGGGAGCGTCAAGCGCAGGTGAACGTGGAGGACAGGAGCGAGACGCGTCGGCAATTGCCGCATACGTCCTGAACAAAAGTCTAGCCAGATGAGGTAAGTCCAACGCCGCTTCTCACGTCCATTATCCCCTGGGCCTGCCTAACGTCAGCGGAGGGCACGTCCTTACGGAGGATACAGCGTACCGACAGTCTTTCCCTGTACAGTCGATCAGCTGCGTACCCGCTCAAAGCCGTGAGCGCCGTGCAAGCCCCGCCTCCACCCCGCTCGTCGCATGGCTGCCCGATGCCCGAGGCACCCATGCAAAATGGGTGGGCATCTTCGATCGACTCTTGATGAAAACGACAACAGAAGAGCGCGTTTCACAGCACAATGAAACCGAGGTCCGCGTGAAGATCGGTTGAATTGAGCCCGCAAAGTGCTTCCCTTCCCGCTCGCTCTTGCGATTCGTGCATCATTGCTTGCGACGAGTATGTTCAAGCAACGCCCAAAGTCTCTCGGAGAGAAACAGCGAGGGACAAGCGATGCCAGTCTACGGACGAGCGATACGAAGAAGCGAAAAAGCTGAAATTCATAATCAAAAGCAGGGCCGCGATTCGAACGCGTGAAGGCCCCCATTGAGCCGCCGTGCTGAAGGAGACGCGAGCCATGCATCTGGAGCCGGACCGCTCTGGAAAGAGAGAATCGGACGCCGAAGTCGAAGGTCGTATATCGGTTTTGAAGTGATCGTTCGCAGGGAGCAACACGAGCAGAGCAGGTGGTCCGCCCCTTCAGCTAATGAGCCTGAACTCCGTGATTTCTTGCACTCCCTGGAAAGTCGCAGTCGCAGTCGCAGGCCGCCGTGGGGCGCCGTCGTCCAAGGAGCGACACGAGCCGAGCAGGTGGTTCACCATAATGCCGCGCATAACTGCCAAGCAGCCGCCCGACACAGTGAGGCTGAACGCCGTGATTTCACTCTCAGGAATGTCGAAGTCGAAGTCGGAGGCGAATGTCGAAGCCGCAGTCGAAGGCGAATGTCAAAGTCGCAGTCGAAAGCGGATGTCGAAATTGAGAGCAAGGACTACACGCATGTATACCCCTTCGGCGATGGCTGTGCGTGTGTATCAAAAGCTGTATAGGTCTGGACACGTACACTTCTAGTGCGGTCAATGACGCTAGGGGATGCGCTAAGCGCTTAGGCGGGACCAAAGACAAAAACCATGGTCGACGCGCCCATCCGCAACCGCGCGTTTGAACGTCGCGGATAACTGAAGGGTAGGAGGATTCCGCCGGTACCATTGAGCTTGTAGAGGGCCTTCCGACGCAAGGGAGATTAGGGACGCGTTGCGGCCAGCAAGCAGGATGAGCGTCCGGGACAAGAATGTCCAAGGATTGCCTAACGCGGTCAGTTGATACGCACCACGTGGTAAGCCAAAGGAGGCCAAACAAACCTCAGCCGGCGCATAACCATGATTAGGTTCGTAGAACGCCCCTACCCTCACAAACCACTCATACCCTCATTGAGCCACTCAGCTATCGCGCACTGCAGACGAAACCTTGCCATAGATTGTACTTGATATGTACTGTACTGTAATCCGACCCAATCCCAAATTTTATAACCTCGAAAGTAGAACACACATGGGGTGAGACGAGAAGAGCACGGACGGTCAGAGTGAGGTCTAGTGAGCAAAGGCGTGAGGATGTCAACGAGTAGATGCGTGAGGCTGCAAACAGGTCGCGACGAGCTCACCCGTGGGCAGAGGCACGGAGGTTCTAACGTACAACGAGAGGAGTTAGCGATACAACGGGCAGAAGCGCGGCGGTTGGCCGGGCTGCGAGCACCCGCGCGAGGCCGCGGACGATGCGCAGTGGCGCAGGCCCTGCCGAGACGCGGGAAGGGACGAGCGACAGAAACGCTCGATCACGCGCTCGTCTCCATCGCCTCCACGACCTCCGTCGCTTCCTCTGTTCCCGTAGATGCCTGCTCAGCCTCCATCGAAGCACTCTCAACCTCCGCCTCCAGTGCCTCAGCCTCAGCCTCCGCCGCCGCGTCAGCCATCGCCAGCTCCTCCTCGTTCACCACGAAATCCGCGCCGCGCTCGCCGTGCACCCAGACTGGCTGGAGCCAGCCGAACCAAGACGATGCGTCCGTCTCCTCATCGTCGTGCGCTATCATCTCCTCTGCGTGCGCATGCCTGTGCTGGCCGTCATGGCCGTCGTGGCCGTCGTGCATGCGCTGACCATCGTGCATGTGCGCGTGAGGGTGATGCAGGCCATGGTGGTGCCCGTGGTGCGGTTCTTCCTCCTCCAAGAGCTCTGCCTCTGCTTCCGCCTGAGGCGTGAACTCCATGTGCCGCCGCTGCAGGATGCCGTGCGAGACGACGTGGCAGAGGAGGACGAGGGCGAGGATGGCAGCAAGGAGGGCGGTGCGCAGGCTGCGAGAGGAGGTCGGCAGCTTCTGGGCGGTCGTGGGCGAGGAAGGGGTAGGCGGGAGGGCGACGGGACCAGTCTGGACGTTCGTTAGCATACCAATTGACGATGCACGCGTACACTTGATCCCTACGCACCTCGCCTTCACATCGGAAGCTCTTCCACTTTGCCGCGAGCCGTTCGCGCATCGTCGGCGGTGGGGGAGGAGCGAGGAATGCGATAAAGTAGTCCGGTGCATGGTGAGATGGGGACGAAGGGGTCACAATGATGGCCGGCAAGGGCGACTTCTCCGTCACATCAGGCAGCGACAGATCTGGTGGAGGCATAAGTCGAAAGTTCTGAGGTGTAAGGGCCAGAGGTAGGTGAAGGAGGAACAGCAGACGTTCATGCGTGAGAGCAAGAGGAGGTGCTGTGTATTATGTCGCGACTACGTGGGATAGTAGGCGTAAGAGGGAAGCGGGCACGCACCAAGTGGCGCAGGAATCAACGTGTAGTCCAGACGCTGAGGGAAGCGGTTCAAGCGCGGGGCTGGTATCATGCATAGTCAGCTCGCAGTCCGCCGAAGCTAGAAGCCGCACACGCACCAGGACGGGGCATCTCTGCGTATTACCGTGTGCGAGGTCGATCAAACTCCAAGGTATAGGCGCGAACCAAAGCGCGAGGACGAACTAGGCGTCGAAGGGTAGAGTAGACCGCAAGGGGGATAGATGAATGGGATGAATATAGATCTCAGCAAGGAGATTTTAGGAATAACCAAGAAGAATCTACAGCGAATCTGCAATCCGAAGGAGCGCAGGGAAAACGAGTGTGGGGTTAGCGCAGCGAGCTGAGCTGGTGGACGCGGTGAGGGCTGCGGGGGCAGGACACGGCGCGCGAGATGGGGAAAGCAAGGAACGACGGCGAGAGGCACGCCCACGGATTTTCTCCGCGCGACACGGCATGGCAACACGGCCCCCAACTCGCAACGATCACGGCAAGTTCCGGTGACTTCATTAAGCATCGTCAGCGGCGCGTACAGGCGATTCTATGAATTTGTGCACGAAAAGAAGTCTTGAGAGGGCGGCGAAGGGTGTATGGAAGGGAGATGGAGGCTTGGAACAAAGACTGCTAATTCTGGGTCAAGTAGCCATCGGATCGCCTGATTCGACTCCAAGGCACATTCGGAAGACTCCGACGCGGACCAACAACTCGCGGAAGTATTTTCGGGGAAGCCTTCGCGATTGTATTCCACGTCTGCGATATGGGGGCCCTATGCTAGTGACGGTCCTGAAGTCAATTAGGCCAACAAATCTCTTTCGTTGTCCACACTCAAAGCCGTCTTTGTAAGCTACTGCATCAGTTATGCTCAGTAATCATCCGGGGGCTCAAGCAAAAAAGAATAAACTAGAAGCATCCATTTCGTCGAACTTCTCACGACACCAGCAGGATTCGAACCTGCGCCCTCGAAGAGGAAGAGATATCGAGCGTTCGAATCTCTCGCGTTAACCACTCCGCCATAGTGCCGATGGGAGGCCTTCGCGTCCGTCTGTCCTAGTTCTCTTGGCACCTTAGGTCGTCTCAAAACGACAGCTAACTTACCTCAATTACATGAAAACGAGAAGAACTAGACCATCCCCTGCCTAAAAAAATGAGCAGCCCAACAGCACTTGTGCATGAGCTTCGAAAGTCATGTCATGCCATTACAGTTGCCTTCTTCCCTTCCTCACGGAATATCTCCAGAGTCTCCCATGCCTTCCCGCTCACGATACTCTCCCGTGCACGAGCGACTCCATCCTTGAAGTCCTTCGCGATGCCCGCCACTACCAACAAGGCGCTCGCGTTCATCAAAACGAAGTCCAGCACCGCAAGCAAATCTGCCTCCACCTCCGTCCCCTTCCTCCGCAAAAGGCGCTGGAAAGTCTCCGCGTTCGCCTCGGGCGACGCGCCCGCGACGTCCCCCAGCGGGTGCGCCGGGAGCCCAAAGTCCGCAGGTGAGATGGTGCTCTCCTTGATCTGCTGCTCCTTCGCCGAGTCGAAGGTCCACACGCGCGTCGGACCCGCGCAGCTGATCTCGTCCAGCCCTTCGTAACCGCAGACGACCATCGCGCGCTGCACGCCGGCCTCCTGCACGCTGCGCGCGAAGGTCTCGCCGAGCTCTTTCTCTGCGACGCCGAGGACCATGCCCTTGGGGCGCGCGGGGTTGAGGAGGGGCCCGAGGACGTTGAACATGGTGCGAAAGGGGAGGGCTTTGCGGTAGGGCGCGAGGCGCGCCAGGGCGGGGTGGTAGTGGGGGGCGAGGATGAAGGTGAATGGGATCCTGGGGATCGGGTTCGCGATGTCGGGGGCGGGGGCGGGGAATAGGCAGTCTAGGGATTGCAGGAGATCGGCGGAGCCCGAGGCTGAGGTGCTAGCGCGCGATCCATGCTAGCGCCACAGGTCAGGCCTTGCAGTCCATCAAAGCTGTATCGCGCTCACCTTGACCACCCTTGCACCCGCGCCGGCAGCCACAACGCCTGCGGTTGTACTGACATTGAATAGCGAATACCCATCGCCGCCAGTGCCTACGATATCGACCACGAAGTCCTCCTCCCAGCCCTCCACATCCACCGCCAGCGCGCGTTCACGCAGGACGCTCGCCGCTGCCCTCACCATTTCTGGGCGCCGCTCAATGCGGTGCAGGTGCAGCGCAGTGAGGAATGCTCCGACGATAGTATCCGGAAGGACAGGCGGGTCAGCGAAGATGTGCTCGAAGGCGCGCCGCAGGTCCTTGGCCGTGAAGTACTCAGGCTTCTGAGTGACGCGGTTCAGCAGAGGCTTGAAGGTGTCGACGGTGTAGCGTGGCTCGGTCATGGTGAGGGCTGAGGGCAAGGATGGGTCTCAAGCCCGCTGGAGACCGCTGTCGACGTCGATGACTCTGGTCCGGGTTCGTCGCATCGTCGGGGAATGAACGAAGTCCGAATCAGTAACCTGGTCAGGTGTCAGTATCACTGCTTCGGCATACAATCCCACTATCCTCACGTACCCATGGGCTGCTCACTCCCTGCCACAGGAAATCGCAGCTTCACCAAGACGGTCTCAAGATGAGGGAGAGAGCAAGGAAATGCAAGATAGGATTACAATGTGCGAATAAATAAGCTAGATAATCTAAGACTGAATGTGTGCTTGCCTGCCCTGCTCACGGAACTCCACCAGCGCGGACCACGCCTTGCCGCTCAGCACGCTTTCCCTCGCCATGTCCGCGCCCTCCTTGTACGTCTTCGCCAGCCCGGAAATCTTGAGCAGCGCACCCGCGTTAATGATGACGAAGTCCAGCACAGGGATCAAGTCCTCCTCCACCGGCTCGCCGTTCCGCTGCAGCAGCCGCACGAACGTCTTCGCGTTCTCCTGCGCGCTCGAGCCGCCGACGTCCGCGAGCGGGTGCGCCTTCACGCCAAAATCCGCCGGGCTAATCGTGCTCTCCACGACCTCCTCGTTCTCCTCGTCGAACGACCACACGTGCGTCGGCCCCGCGCAGCTGATCTCGTCGAGCCCCTCGTACCCGCACACGACCATCGCGCGCGTCGCGCCGGCGTCCTTGATCGAGTGCGCGAACGTCTCGCCGATTTCCTTCTCGGCGACGCCGAGGACCATCCCACTCGGCTTCGCGGGGTTGAGAAGCGGCCCGAGGACGTTGAACATGGTGCGGAAGGGAAGCGCCTTGCGGTAGGGCGCGATGGCGGCGAGAGTGGGGTGGTAGTGGGGCGCGAGGATGAAGGTAAAGGGGATCTTGGGGATGGGGTTCGCGATGTCGGGGGAAGGCGCGGGGAAGAGGCAGTCGAGGGACTGCAGGAGATCTGCCGAGCCAGACGCCGAGGTGCTGGCGCGGGAGCCATGCTAGGGAGCGGTGTTAGTGGTTGGTTCAACGACCTAGGGAGCGGGAGCTTACCTTGATGACTCGCGCACCCGCGCCGGCGGCGACGATAGCGGCCGTGGTACTGACGTTGAACAGGGAGTAGCCGTCACCTCCCGTGCCAACAATGTCGACAATGTAGTCGCCCTCGCGGTCGAGGACGTTTGCCTTGAGCGCGCGCTCTCGGAGTAAAGCGGCCGCGGTCATGAGCATCTCCGGCCGACGCTCGACGCGCTGGATGTGGAGGGCGGTCATGAAGGCGCCTAGCTGCGCGTCGGAGACGGCGCCTGGCGTAAAGACATGCTCGAGCGTTGCCCGCAGGTCCTCGGGGGAGAAGTACTCGGGCTTTTGCACGAGCTTCTTCAGCAGCGGCTTGAAGGTTTCCGGCGAGTAGGTCGTCATGATGAGTGGTGCGTCGGAGAGAAGTTCAAGGTGAGTGTTATAGAGAGGGGGGAAGGTGAAAGTTGTCGCAGGTTGGGGATACGGGTTATTTATGTGAGCAGCCGGGTGTAGTAGGCTGTAATGCGCGTGTGGTTGAGCCGTTACTCGGTCGCCTGCAGTTCACTGACACACTCGAGCCTATAACGGTCCTAGGCGGAGATTCTTGCTTGGCGGGGAAGGAGGGTGCGAGCAGCAGCTGATCGAGTCACAGGTGAGGGGACGCTATTCACGGAAGAAAGCGCTCATCAGACAGGCGGATTTCTCTGCAGCGTTGGGGGCCACGCACCGGTGCGCTGAAGGGGTAGGCTGCGCGCTGCGATGTATGGCGCTCGTCTGTCTGCCGGCTGCGAGGCTGTCGGGGGCGCAGAGAGGAATGGAGGTCAACCTTCACAGGACCTGACCTTGACGCTCGCAAGTCACGATCAAGTGATGCCAGGGGGAAGGAGATCTGAATCTGCTTCCTTCCCCACGTGGCAAGAAGTTGGACTCACAATGCGAAGTTCACGCCCGAATAGATTCCCACAAGTCAGAGACGAAAAGAGTAGACCTCCCATAGTGGCCATAAAGCATAGAAAATATCTCCCTTTAGCGACAATAGCTTCGGATGAATGTATGTCAAAACCCCATACCGTAATCCCGCTGTATTCTGCTAAACGAGGCGTAGAAGAATGTGTGCTATGTTTGCAGTAAGCACGTCTTGCGCTAGCGATAATGAAGGGACAGTGGCTGCGCACGCCGGGGCCATCGTCCAATGGAAGTTTGAGACCGGTCTACCATAATGGACTGAATAGACAAGTGAGTCGCGAGTCCGATGGAAGGACGAAGAACGGCGTCCGCTGCCACTCGCAATCGCAACTAGAGCAAAGGCGGTACATTGTTCGTCGGGAGAGTCGCACAAATCGTGCCTGCGTCGCGGGGGAGAGGTGCAAGCGCGGTCGCGTGATGCTCTTTGAAGTCCTTGCCGGCGTTCAGTGCTGCACGTGAGTCGACACGGACGGACAGCGAGAAGATGGCACCCCCATTTTTTCACCCGATGAATGTGAGGTGAGGAGAGAGATCAAGTACATCTTGGTGGAAGTTAACTTGGGTGGTGGGGAAGGGAAACATGTCAATAGAAAATCAGTGACGGTCATGGCGCCATCGCCGGAGAAGTGAAAGTTGGGATCCAATTGAGCCACTGGGGGCGTCGGAAGCCGAGCAAACGACGTTAGAAAGGACGCCGCTCTTTGCGTGCTGCCAAAGGTAAATGACAGCCGTGCTAAAGATGAGCTGCAAAGACCTATTGAGAAGACTCCTGCTTACTGTGCTTCAGCCTCAAGCTAGCGCCACAAAGCACCAAGGTCGAGGCTTCGAAGAGAGTCGCTGATCCGCGAAGCCTCGCGCGACTAGCAGCGTCCGTGGAGGAGCGGACGGCTCTTTTTGGGCCGCGACGATAATGCGCAATAGTTCGCTCCAGTGATTTCGGTCCGGTCACAAAGACATCGACTTCGCTGTCAGTGGCTGTGGTGGGTTGACGTGCTCTCGGGAAACGTGTCGAGGTCTAGCTGAGAACGCGCCGGGTGGGAGGAAGAGCATCCTTCAATCGTCAAGTCCAGTGACTCAGTCGTGCCATTTGTGGCAACGTAGCTGTCGGTGGACGAGTACCTTTGTTAAGAGGCCATGCACAGGTAATGTCGATCGTGAAGCAGGTGATGGTGAGGAAAGAATCATGGTGGACGGTGATCTGAAGTATCGAGGAGACGCAAACTTGCTAGGCAGGCCGACAGCCGGCTAGTACTAGTCGAACGTCCGTCAAGTTTGCGGCCGATGTAGTTAAGCATCTGTCGGCGAACGGGTACCTTGGTAGACCGTGAGCGTGAAGAGACGCCGATCGTGAAGGAGGTGATGGTAGGGAGATGTTAATAGAGGGCGGCGACGTCTAGTCCCGCATACCAAAGACGGCGGCAGCGACCTACAGCCGACCTGTCGATGCGTTGCCGTGGTTGGGACAGTTTAAGACGGCCCTGGTCTAACGCTCGCAAGCCTGCATGAGACGTCCAGTACGGGAGTTTGGAGGAGGACGGGAGGCTCACCTGACCTTGATCTCTTGTCCACCAGGTGATGAGTCAAGAGGGAGGGATTTCCGAAGGATGGATGGACAGCTCAGAGGTGATGGGAATATGCAGAGAGACGTGCAATGGATGTAGAGAGGACGCGGGACGAAGACGAGGGCGATGCGTCTGTCAGTCTCGAGTATCGCGCATTCCCAAGTAGCTTGACGAATTCTGGGTGTCGGGTTACGGGCTTACCTGGATGCGACGTCTATCCGGGAAAGTGTCGAGAGCGAAAAGTTCTCCATGCGAGAAGCGTGAAACACGATAGAAAAGAGCAAACAACAGACAATCAGACAAGACTAGACACGATACAACGCAATGCGAGGTGCGCAGAGACTGTCACCGCCTCGCCCTCTTGCCCTCCTGCGACGGTGCACGTCAACAACGATTCTCATTCCGTACCCAAGCTTAGCTTAGCGAAGACTCTAACTCACCATCTCATCACCGTCCCAGCTCGCGCCACGCTTGCGACCTCGCGTATGTTCTCCATCATGCATATGTGAAGCTTCGTCAAGCTCCATCGCGTCGTCGCCGTCGTCCACGGTCGGGCCCTCGAGGGACCAGACGTTGAGCTTGGAGTCTTCGCCGCCGGTGACGAGGACGGCGTTCTGGAAGGGGCGGTGTGAGCCATCGTAATCCGTCTTCGCAAGGAAGAGAGGCAGGTCCTGGAACTGCAGATATAACGAGGAGTGCATGGCTGCCACTCACACTCTCATCCCACAACAACGAGCGCACGACGCCCGCGTGTCCGTTGAGCCATTTTTTGTGCAGCGTCCAGGACGGGGAGGAAGAGGAGGATGTGTTGGGTCGCTCGGAGATGAGGGCGATGTCGCCTCTGCGAAGGACGATTAGCACGGACAGAGAGGAGGGAAGGCATGACAGGCAAGCTCAATGACAGGTAGAAACGGGGAGCGTCACGCACTCATTACTCCCCACGAAGACCGCCAGCGGGTGCTCCGGGTCGCCCGTGCTGTGGCTTGTGATGAGATAGTCGGTGACCCAGGGTCGATCGATGCGCTGCACGGCGGGGACCTTGATGTCGAGGCTGGAGTAGCGGTCGAGCTATGGGGGAGGGTAAGTCAGAAACACTTTTCTTGCGCTGTTGACCGGCCACTATGACCAAGGACCACTACTCACCTCCCCTGACCACGTACTGAACGTCTCCATATCGCTCGCTGCCCAGATCGCGCCCTTCGCGCCGCCTGCGCCAACCCATCCTGCTTGACTGATACTGCAGCCCCAGTTCGCGACATGGACGACGGCCTCGTCCTCGTCATCCTCGGCGGCGTTAGAGACACTAAGAAGACCGTCGGAGGAGGCGGAGAGAAGGGTACAGCCTATCGGTGGTGAGCGGGGCACTTTGGAGAAGAGGAAGAGCGGGCAAGGGCAGCTTACCCGTGGGATCGAAGGGTGAGAAGTGCAGCGCAGTGATATCGTCAGAGTGTGTGGAGGAGTGAGCGCGGAGGGGGGCGGCGGGCTGCCGGGGGTCCCTGCATGAGCGTAAGCGATAGAAAGGTCGATTAGAAGCGCAAAGACGCACCAGTACAAAATCGTCGCATCCTCGCCCTGCAGATCCGTACCGCCCGCAACGGTGAGCCCGTCCGGCGAGACGTCAACCGAAAGTATAGCGCGCGATTTACCCAAGTCGGTCACTGCAACCTTAGCCGCTTAGCTCCCCGCATATCAGCATAGTCGCCTCCTATACTCACTCTTGATGCTATGTGTGTTACTCCGTTCGTCCCAGACCTTCACGCTCCCATCACGACCGCTCGATACGAGTGCAGGGCGCGTGAGGCCGGCGACGCTGCGTATAGTGCGCAGAGCGCTGATACCATTCTCATGGCCAGGAAAGCTCTGCACGAAGCGGAGGGAGGCCTGATCGAGGACGTCGATGGAGGTGCTCGGGGCGGAGGGGGCGATCGCGTAGCGGGAGGGAACCGCGGCGATGGACATGATGTATGCGTCGGACGCGATGGAGGCTGAGCATTCTGGGCGAGGGATATGCTGAAGCGCCGGGGACTCTTCGAGGTGGGGAGACATGGTGATAGCGGAGGACACAGAGGTGCGAGCTGGCGAGGTGATCGGGACGGAAATCGGTGATCGTGTGATTGTGCCCCGCGCGGTGCGGACCGATGCGCCGGTCGACGTCGCGCTCATTGTTCTTGGTTCGGAGTCGACCACCATGAACGAGCTGCTGATCAGTACGTGGAGAACGTACAGAGCGTCCTCGCCAACTCACCTCGTCTCCAGATACGTATCAAAGGCCCGCATACCCCACGAACATCTCAAAGGTCCTGCCGGACGCGAGCAGCAACATCGCCCGCTTCGACCCCTCCGGCCGCTTCGTCGCCGCCGGCGCGCTCAATGGCGTCGTCCGAGTGTGGGATCTCGAGACCAAAGATTTTGTGCGCCTGCTGAGGGGCCATGTCGATAGAATCACGACCCTCGAGTGCGTCGATCACAATTAGGCGTCCGTGCTGGCTATTGACGCGTTCCCCTATCCGCCACCCAGCTGGTCCCGCAACTCACGCTACTTGCTCACCGGGTCCGCGGATTGGAATGTTGCGATATGGGACTTGCAAGATAGGACTAAACCTGCGCAACGAATGATGACCTTCAGACACGACTTGCCTGTGCTGTCCGCGCAGTTCCATCCTCGGAATAGGTGTGTGCATACGTGAGGCACCAGTTCTATGCGCGTGCTAATGACCCTACAGTAAGATCATCCTCGTCGCTATTCAGGGAGATATGTACATATACGACCTCCGCCAAACCGATGGCATCTCCAACTGGGTCGTCTCCGGCGAAGACGATGCGACATACAAAGTGTGCGTGAATCCTCTTTCCGCATTCCCATTGGTCTAACTCACCTGCGCCTATCAATATTGGCTAACGTGTTCTCAGTACCTGCGCCTCCTTTGACCCGTCTGGTCGACATGTCTTTGTCGGAACCAGCAACGCCCAAGTCCACGTCTACAACACACGAACGAAGACGGTAGGCACATTGCGCTCTCTGCTGCACCTTCCTTACCCCTCCTCGTATAGCTCGTCGCCCGCCACCGCATAGCTGGGCTCTCAGGGCAAATACGAAGTGCGTTTGATACCGTTCATCTCTTCGTTGTCCCTTTCTCACATGCACTTCATCTAGTATCCGACATCCAATTCACGAAATCGGGTCGGTAAGCGTCGCTCGCCGCCCATTGCTTGTTTTGCGAGATGAGCGCGTCGTAATCCGTATTGACTGCCCCCTAGCCGCTTCGTCACAAACTCCTCCGACCGCACCATCCGCCAATTCGTCACGCCCACATACCCGCCACCAGATCCCGATGGCATGGTCAGTGAATTCTCTTTTTGCATCCTCGCTCTAAATGCTCTCAACCGTACCTCCTATACACCTCTAACGCCCCCTCCCCAGATCCTCGAATCCGACCTCGACGCCACGCACCGCTTCTCCGACCCCGTGAACCGCACTCAGTGGCACGCGCTCTCCTACTCGCCCGACGGCGAGTGGCTCGCGGGCGGGGCGGCGGACGCGGCGGCGCACAAGATATATATCTGGGACTGTAGTGGAGACGGGCAGCTGGTAAATGCGCTGGATGGCGGGACGGCGCCGTTGTTGTGGGTGCATGTGAGTGGCGAGGTGCTGGTTATTGAACGCGTGCCACCATTGTTTGGCACGAGCTGCTGCTCATCGATGGAATTTACGCTCGCAAGTTCTGACAGCTAGTACAAAGGATGGGTAGAGAAAGCGGAGTACTGACTCGTATTTCCCTCTAGTGGAACCCTGCGCGCTCGATGCTGCTGTCGAACACCTCCGAGGGCGCCATCATGATCTGGCACGCGCCCACTCAGGAGCGCTGGGGCGCGTTCGCGGGCGACTTCGAGGAGCTGGACGAGAATATCATGTACGAGGAGAAAGAGGACGAGTTTGATATCGTGGGTATCCGACGCACCTCGGCATGTCGTGCTTGCATGCTAACGCGCTCGCTCTGCAGGAAGACGAGGAGGAGATCGCGAAGCGCAAGCGATTGCAAGAAGAGGAAGACGTCGACATTGACACGGTCGATGTGGCACCGTATTGGCAAGTGCGTAGCTTACACTCCGCCCGTTGCTCGCGGTCTACTCATTCTCGGTGCCCCGTCTTCTCGTCCACTCGCTCCGCCTTCCCCCACGCCCCAACTCGGACACCCCTTCTTGTCGCTACCACTCGATTGCCTTACGGATATACTGACACTCACCGTTCTTCAGTTTCAACCCCTCCCCCGCCCCCCACCCAACGACGAGGACCTGCTCTGGGCCGACGAAGATCCTCCTGACGATAGCGCCGCGTGGTCTCTGAATCCGAAGGATTATACATCGACCGATGAGGAGAACGACCGAAAAGAGTTTTATGGGGACCTGTATAAGGAGTTTGATGAGGATGACTGAGGCCGATTTTGGACAGCCTATGGTTGTTATGTGTATGTGGACCAGCCTTGCTTAGAGATGCGTTCGGACGTGCGAGACGAGGTAGTCCAACCAGTATATCGACAGATCAGAAACACACTCATGGCAGTGCGCTCTCTGCGTGTGGAAACGATGGTGTCCAGGAGGATTGTCGTAAGTGTTATGTTTGCACTCATTGTGCGAATGCACTGTGAGAGTCTCGAGAAATCGACGTCAAGAGTTGCAAAAAAATTCAGATTCAGCATGGGACTACGACACCAGCAGGATTCGAACCTGCGCCCTCAGAGAGGAAGAGATTTCTAATCTCTCGCGTTAACCACTCCGCCATAGTGCCATACCAACAGCATCTCACTGACATGCTTCAACCAACATTGCGTTTTGGCGTCTTTGAATCACCCATCTGAAGAGATATACTAACGTCGTTCTAGCCGTGCAGTGGTAGCAAAGTCCGTTGTTCATATGATACATGATACAGGAATCTACAGGACCTTGCAATAAGATGCAGGGAACAAACCGCGCTTTCCATTGAACTCTCCGGTCCACCTGTGCGTCGGTGAGCAAGGCAAACACGAGGAATGGTGGATAAGGAATCCTTACCAGTCGTCCGACGTTCTTTCGACCAACAATACTCGCTGACCTTCCTGACATTGCAGGTCTCCCGGTTCCTAATGGACGTAAGCGAACATCAGGCAAGGCCCGCAAACGAGACGAGACGCACACTAGACGAATAGTCGTACAGTATCTCCACCCACTCACCCTGCGCCTCGGGCTCAGGTTCCGGCTCAGGTTCGGGTTCAGGCTCAATGTGCCGCACTGGCGGTGGGCCGTACTTGTTCGGCTTCGGCGTGAATGCAGGTGCGGTCCTCGGCGGCGTGAACGTCTCCTGCTTCGCTGTGTTGGAATGACGGAGGGAGCCCAGCATCTTCCCCGCGGACGACATGTCGACGTCGCCGAATTTCTATGCGCGCGGACAGTGTATAAGCGGGCATACGTCCGATCCTGCAAGCTATTAACGCACCTTCACCTGGCTCAAGCTCCCCCGCGATCCGGCACCCCCATGCCCCGCATCGTGCGACGGCGTCGGAGAGTGGTGCGATGAAGAAAAGGCCTTGATGCGGCTGGACACGCTCGCCGTCGGTTCCTCATGGTGGTCGTTCCCCTCTGCGTGGGCTGGCTTATGCGGATCGATCAGTCGCGCGGTATACCATAGTGTACACCACGTACGTGGCTCGACTGGCTCGCGTGCGATTGCGCATACGCAGAAACACCCTTTCCAAACGTTGTAGCCTTCCCAACGCCAGCAGATATCACGCCCGGCGCTGCATGCATCGCGCGCGTCGCGGCTTGTGTGGCTGACGCGCCCTGCTGGCCGCCGAAGACATCTGGACGAGATGCGAAGTATCTACGCGGATGTTCATCATGCATCCATGCCAGTAATTACCGTGCAACGCGACCTACTCATCTAGCAGGGTGAAGAACGCGTCCTTCTCATGCGGACCCAAGTTCGAGAAGACCATTGTTCGAGTACAAAGCCAAGGCACGATAGCGCCACAAATACTTCCGCGCGATCCCGCTCTGGGGCAGTTCGACTTTACCTTATAAAGTTCAAGAGCATCTCGCTCACGCACATAGGCTCAAGTGGAAGAAACAAGCATACACGGGCGATGCATATGTCCGCATGTGGAGGTAGAGACAAGCGCATACTGAGTACTGTATACAAGAAAGCAAAAACATTCATTGCCAGCCAAAGCCCTGGCCCATGTCGAACTCGCCCTGCGGCGAGCCACCCATCATCTGAGGTGACTGGTCGCCCCCGTAGCCCGCGCCATAGGCCCCCTGCCCGCCGGCGCCGAACTGGTTGCCACCAGGCATCCCGGCACCGCCGCCCAGGCCGCCCATACCACCCATCCCGCCGCCACCTCCCATTCCTCCGCCCATCCCCGAGCCGCCCATCCCTCCACCACCCATGCCAGCGCCTCCACCCATGCCTCCTGCGCCGTACATCCCGCCGCCGCCGCCTCCTTGGCCACCAGGGAACTGTTGCTGCTGACCACCCCATGTCTGTGACGCCGCGCGCTGCATCATCGCGCGTTGGAAGTCGGGGGTGCCCATACCGCCGCCGCCGATCGCAGGGCTCATGGGTCCGCCGCCTCCGCCACCCATGCTCGCAGCCGAGCCCATGCCCTCGTGCGGACTGCGCATGGCACGCGCGATGCCGGGGATGGCGCTGTTAGACCGGAGGGCGGGGATGTTGGGAGTATCGCTGCCGTCCATGCCGGGACCGCTGAGCCCGCCTCCGCCCATTCCACCCATACCTCCTGCGCCGCCCATGCCACCGCCGGGACCCATACCACCTGGGCTGCCCATGCCAAGGCCGGACTGCTGTTGCTGCTGCATCATCCGCCGTTCCATAACTGCGCGCATCTGTTCAGGGGTCATCCCGCCAGGTCCGCTCATGCCTCCCATCCCGCCTCCCGCGCCACCCATGCCGCCGAGACCGCCTGCGCCAGCCATCCCAGATTCGCCACCAGCCGCTCGATTCTGCTGCATCATTTGCTGACGCTGCATGAGGAAGAGCTGTCGTTGTTGGGGGTTCAGGTTTGCGAGTTGGGCTTGTTGCGCAGGGTTCAGGCCGCTCATGGGATTGATACCGCCTCCCATTCCACCGCCCATACCTCCCATCGCGCCCGCGCCCGCGCCGCCCATACCACCAGCGGCAGCACCGACGCCCATACCGGGTGCGCCTCCCATCCCCGACGCCCCGCCGCCCGCGCCAAGCCCATGCTCCTGCTGTTGCTGTTGCTGTTGCTGCTGTGCTTGCTTCTGCCTCATCTGGATGAACTGCGCGACTTGTTGCACCTGCATCTGCGGTGGCAGCTGCTGGAATTTTGGATTTGACCGCAGCTGCTGCAGGATCGGCGGGGGGTTGTTCGAGGTGAGCATCTGGTACGCCTGGCGGAACTGGATGGGCATGTTCTGCACCATCATGCCGAGTTGTTGCATCGAGATGTCGTTGGAGGAGCGCATGGGAGCAGAGTCGCCGCCGGGACGCATGGAGGAGAGGTCGTTGCCGGAGCCAGAGGTACCAGCGCCGCCCATGGCGCCAACGCCTAAGCCGCCGCCGATGCCCAAGCCGGAGGGTCCTGCCGCACCCATACCGGCACCGCCGCTGCCCATGCCCAGTCCTGGGCTGTTCATACCAAGCCCGGGACCACTCATGCCGGGACCACCCAGCCCAGCGCCGGAGCCGCCCATTCCACCGAGACCCATACCTGATCCTGAGGGATTCATGCCCGGCGTGCCCATACCAGACACGCCGTTCATGCCTGGCATTCCTAGCGTTGGCGATCCTGCACCAAGTCCGCCCATCGCGCTCGGTGGCTTTGCGCTGGGTGGACGCATGCTGCCATCGCCGCCAGTGGAAGAGGAAGGACGCATCGCCGATGCAGACGGTGGTCGACCTGAAGACGAAGGTGGACGCATACCCATAGACGAGGGCGGTCGTCCCGAGGACGATGGCGGGCGCATGCCCATGGATGAAGAGGGCCGCCCGCCTGCGGAAGACGGCGGACGCTGTGAGGGTTGTCGAGGGGATTGCGGGACCTCGTCCTGGGCATTGGAAGGGTTCTGACTTGGCGAAGCGCTCGGACGAGAAGGTGGTGGCGGCATCGACGTCGCCGGCGAGGAGGCGGAGGCGGGGGAAGCGGGAGGAGGCATAGATGTTGATGAGGGCGGGGGCATGGCATTGAAGCCGCCAGGTGGTGATTTGGTGTCGCCGACGTCCCGACGCTTGTTCATGCCTGACTCGCCAGACTCATCGCGCTCGCGCTTGAGGGGATTTGCCTCCCCATTCCGCATTGCGAGAAACTGTTGCCGGCGCGATATATCTTTCGCAAACGCTTTCTGCATTTCCGAGTAGAGTTGCTGCATGCGATCGGTATTGACGTTCTCAAGAGGGGGAGGGGGTTCCATGTTGGGCACCTGCAAGATCTGGGAGTTCTCGTGGGCCGTAAGGGAGAATTGGATGAGGTGCTGAAGGCGTAGGATGTATCTGAGGACACGTCAGAGTAAGAAGTAGCGAAGGGGGAGGGCGACGGACGGTTGGTACGCAGGCATGGCCATGCCTTTTGACTGACATTCCTGGCATATCCTATAGCGCTTGTGAGCAGATGTAAGTGCACAGACAAGGATCACGCACCTGAAGAGCTCCGAGGTAAGCTCAACCAGCACTTTTGCACGGGCATCTGTTTTGCTTTTGTCCGTAGGGGCTGAAGACGATGCTCGGGAGTCGCCATTCGTGTATTCGGGACGGGTAAGCGACACTTCGCCGGACGTTTCTCCGGGCTTAGGGCCATTATTTGATGCCGAAGCCGCCTCACGTTTCTCTGCTTCCCTCTTTTCGTTCTTACTGCCGCCGTCCTCATTGTCATCGGGTGCAGTTGAGAGCTCGCTGAGGGGGCTAGAGGGCGCGTCGCCGTCATCGGGTTTGGACGGCACGGACGCGGGCGCGGGCGGCTCTCTCCCGTCTTCTGGTGGTATGGAAATGACTGCGGGTGCGGAGGACGACGGGGTTCCCCGTTCGCCGTCGTTGGTGGCGGGATTGTGCTGGTACGGCGAGCTCGGGCTGTTCGTGTCACTTTGAAGGTGCGTGTTCGCGTTGGTCCAGTCAAAGCCGTTGGAGAGTGATTGATCCAGGCTCAGCATCGGCGTCTTCGCCGGTGTCGTCGTCGCTGCGTCGTCGTCGATGCGCGCGCTCGTCGTCGCGGTCACGGTTAAGCAGTGCACGTACCACCGTGAGAATTTTCATCGGAGTCTCAACCTCGGTCCGGGCCGTCCGGGCGTGCCCTCAGCACGCCGAACGACGAGCGCAGAGTCGTCGACGACGGCGCGCGCGTCGAGCTCAGGCCTCCAGGCAACGCGACGCGTCGAACGCGCTTGCTTATCGTGGCCGCGGACCGGAGGCTCGGCTATACTTGTGTCCATTTCAGTTGCCTCGGACGGCGGGCGCCTCCCGAGTCCCGATACCCGGCTTAGGAACATCAGAAGTCCGACAGCCACGCTGGCCCAGCGCGCCCCTGGAACTCACTACGCTCCTCCTTCTGGCCTTGAGCTTGTCCTACAGTTCGCTATGTCCGCAGCGCACTCGACGACGACGCCCGTCCCTCACGACTTCCGGGCATCGCAGCGCGCGTGGGTACTTTTGTCGCCACCGCATCTTCCAGTCGCCCGGTCGCGCTCCCCGCCATGGTGGTGTGGTGAAAGGAAGAGTGGCGACGTCCACAACCGCCCCGGCGCTTAATAACTCGAGATCACACGATCAGTGAGAGCTCGGCAGTTGCACCGGCCTCAGAGCCACGGACCTGGTCCGTTCCGTCGTCTGTACGGAAGAGCCACTCCGTACGCAGCAGTTGGGCCTATACGCAGGAGTCAGAGTAGCACTGAGACAGGGCGGGGCGGCACGTACGGAGTACGATATATATCGCACGTCAGGCGAGCTGGCGCCTGGGCAGAGGCACCTTGGCGTCTTATATGGCGTCTAATCTCATGACATCTGCAGTGCTGCATCCGCGCCTAGCGCGAAATGAATCTTCGGTGTAGGCATCGAGGCAATAACATTGAATTGCAGTCCAGAATTATACAAGCATTCTGGAGGGCGCAAGTCAGTGAGGAGTGCATCGATGATCGTCGACCATGCGTACCGCTGTTTTCCCTATGGCGCACACCTCCCCGCCGCCCACATGTGCTCCTCTGCCGTACTCTCACCCAGCTTCCTCAGTAGAAGCAATAGGTCAGGCGTCCCTTTCCTAACTTCCCGGTCCCTCAGTGCCTCATATTCCCCGCCCAGTTCCAACGCCTCCGCGCTTGCAAATGAACGGGAATGCATCTCGCGAGTGAGCGGTCCGCGGAGGGACTCGTACGCCCCAAGAATGCTTGTCAGAGGCGTCCTTCTGCCTTCATTGGCCCAGTTACCGACCAAACGCCCAATCGTGTAGCCGTCATCGATGGCCATGCCTGCACCTGCACCGAGGTAGGGGAGCATCCCATGCGCCTGAGAAGCTGTCTCGTCAGCACCCAGTCCTAGATTCTGTTCGTACCAATTTACGCACCGCATCCCCAATGAGCACGACATGTCCAAAAACGTAGCTAGGCGGTGGCCGTACCGTCACCAGTGCCCATCGCGATAAAGTCGGTGAGCCCGTATTCATCGCCTGAGATGTAGAGCCGTCAGCGTCGTTCACGAACAATGAGAATGCGCACCGCACGCACCTGCAGAAGCTGCGCCACCGCAGGCTCCCACCCCACGAAGGCGGCCTCCGCCTCCCCACGGGGTGCGTCCGTTGTGCGTGGCACGTCAATGGGTTCCTGACGAACCATCACAAGTACGTTCACAACAGGTTTCGAAGGTATAGGATACGTGATGACTTGCTAAAGGTGGTCGTCAGCGTATCCCTGTGGACCTTGAGATGAACCGTACCCCATCCGCGCCCACATACTGTATCGATAACCTCATTCAGTGAGACTACAAAGACAGAAAACGGTTACGCACGCACCCGCATAGGTACTTCCAACGAAGGATGGTCAGGCGGAAGGGCTGAGGCGTCTACCATTCCCCGATACGCGTATCTTCCGCACCACTGCGTCTTCGCGGACGAGGCCAATGCGTCGACCTCGGTTGCCAGAGCGCCCTGCGTCTTGAGTCGCAAACATTCATTCTCAACGATGAGCCCGCGGACGGTCGAATGCACCCCGTCAGCACCAATAACGAGGTCGCAGGTCGTGGTGCTCCCGTCGGCGAATGTGAGAAGGACTGGGTGGGCGGGTCAGTATTGACGATGATCAAGAGCCTGAGGGCGGTACGTACCCTCATCGTCTACCTGCTCAAGCCCTGTGACACGTCGAGAAAGGTGAAAGTTCAGGCCCTTGCGCAGTCGAGAGATCATCCGTGACTGCAACTCTGCGCGGAGGAGGCGGAGAGGTGCGCCTTTCGAACATTCATCGAAAAGTACACAACATGATCAATCGAGTGCCTACCTTCCGGAAACCTAACGTCGTAAAAGTCGACTCCCTCTGGTTGATCGCCTTTGCGCATGCGAAATGCAACTGGAAGCCTTCCGTTGCATCACTCAAGTCGATGGCTCTTAGGCACGCCTTACCTTCTTCGCCGGGAGACACGTCCAAACTATCCAAGACACCAAGGTCGCGAAGCAGCGCTACTGTCCTAGGCCAGAGCTGTGGGTTAGAGTAAGTGCACGTACGACCTTACAACTGGGGAGACACGTACGGTGATACCAGCGCCAATCTCTGACAGAACAGCGGCGGCGTCGTAGATATCGATTTGCAACGAATCTGGGTCAATGCAGTCCTTGTGAACACCGAGCACGACAGAGAGCCCTGCGAGGCCGCTGCCGCTGTTCCAGGATATGCGTTAGCGCTGGGAGATGGTGTAACTTGACGGAGACAAAAAGGAAAGACCTACACGATAGCCACGCGAAAGGGCTCAGAGGCGTTCTGTCTCGCTGAGGGAGTCCTGGGCGCGGCCATGGTGGTGGTCGTTAGCAACCGCGTGCTCACCGGAGGGAGTTAGCTTGCATAGTGAGGCACGGAGAGGTTGCATCCCGCGATGCCGAGCGGCATAGGGAGAGCATATCTCGTAATATTTCCAGGAGAGCGCTCAATGTGAGGCGCTTAATTGCTTCTCAGCGATGTCGCAGCAAGTCATGGGACAACGCCGTAAGAAAAAGGGTTGGCGTTGCATTGTCTGCGACGCTCAACGCTCATCCGTTCCAGATAATACAGCTTCTTCTGGAACGGGTAACAAGTTTGTTGCATAGTTCTCGTGGTCAATTACGCGGGGGCGAATGGGAGTTCAGATCAAAAGTTGAACTCAAGTTACGATGGGAAGAAGTCACGTCACGATCTGCCACGTGTGCCCGTGCCGTGACACTGTCACTCCAAGGGTGCACGACACGAAATTTCCACCGACGACGAACCGCAAGACATCCCTCTGTGAGTATGCCGTTTTGCTGCCCCGCCGACCTCGTATCCGCATGCTACGCCCCCAACGGACACATCTACGCGAAAACGGCGTCCAAAACGATCCAGGAAGCAATGGATTGGCTCGACTGGCGTTGGATGACATCGACAGAATCCCCACCTCCCCCTCACGCATCTTCCGATCCTTGTTCCGAGTCTCACATCTTCCTCAGAATAAGCAATGGGTCGGGTCATTCGGGCACAGAGGCGCTCTCACGCCATCGTACGTCTCCTGCGAGTCGCCGGATGCGTTGAATCGATATTTACACCGCACACAGTTCAAGGCGCACACCCACCTTAACAAGGCGCCTGCGCAGCTGCGCCCGCTCGACTACAGCGAGCGCAATGGCTACGTCCGCGGCGTGGTGAAAGAGATCATTCACGACTCTGGCCGGTGCGTCCTTACACGATCCCCCACTCCGATCGCGATCTAAATCTTCCCTTCGTGTAGTGGCGCGCCCCTCGCCCGCGTCGTCTTCCGGGACCCGTACCGCTACAAGCTCCGCAAGGAGACCTTCATTGCGACCGAGGGCCTCCACACCGGCGCGTTCGTCTACTGCGGCAAGAAGGCGCAGCTCGCAGTTGGCAACGTTATCCCCGTCGGCCAGCTCCCTGAGGGTACGATCATCTGCAACGTCGAGGAGAAGGTCGGCGACCGCGGTGCGCTCGCCCGCACTTCCGGCAACTACGCGACCGTCATTGGCCACTCGCCGGACGAGAACAAGACGCGCATTCGTCTGCCCTCCGGCTCGAAGAAGACCGTCTCTGGCTCTGCCCGTGCGACCGTCGGCATTGTCGCCGGTGGTGGCCGTATCGACAAGCCTTTGCTCAAGGCTGGCCGTGCGTACTACAAGTTCAAGGCCAAGCGTTACAAGTGCGTATATGTATGCAATATGCGAATATCTACTAATGATATCGCAGCTGGCCCCGTACTCGTGGTGTTGCTATGAACCCCGTTGACCATCCTCACGGTGGTGGTAACCACCAGCATATCGGTAAGGCGTCCACGATCGCCCGCTCCGCTGTTCCTGGCCAGAAAGTCGGTCTCATCGCCGCTCGCCGGGTACGTGCATTCCTGTCCGGACGGTGTATCTGCTTCTCATACTTTGATCATAGACGGGTCTCCTCCGCGGTACCCAGAAGGTCAAGGAGGTTTAAGGGGCTTGCGGCTGCGCCTACCTTTCACCTCGACTTTCTATGTACGACCCCACCCTACAAAACATGTACCGCGTATGCTATGTATGCTATCGACCCATGCAGTTTCATATGCCCCATCATCTCATTTGGATATCATTGACGCGACTAGTGAATGGCTACGGGCTGTTTCGGTGCGCACCGTCCCTCAATGGACTTGATAACAGGATCAGTCTGAGCCGCTTACCTTGCTATTGCCCAATAACAACAAGGTGGCTCCTGCTCAAAGTGGGTGTATCCATTCAGATCATGGTGATTACTAGGTCTACCAGGCAGCTTGGGACATGACGCCAAAGTCGACGACAAAATGCCCGAACATCGAAAGTGTTGCAAAACGTTGAGACGGTAGATTGCGGACGGACATCGACGGTGTCTGGAGCCTCCCGGAACCTCTGAATGGACTTCTATAGCTTATGTGTTCCCTCCGGCCTCGGGAGAAGTCCAAGATGTTTGCCCAGAAAGGGCACCCTGATCGTGACGCCTTTCCCAGAGTTTCCTGCGGGGATGTAGAAGTGGAGTTGATCTGCCTAGTACGCGACAGCCGCTGTGGCACTCATCCACAGCGCTGCCAGGATGACGAAAGGCGGGCCTGGTCGCAGTGAACTCAGTGCGTCTTGGCTGCAGCACATACCGTAATCTCGCTCTGTTTGCCTCCCCGTCGCAGAGGATTGCTGGCAGATCACTGGCAGACGTGCTCGCCACCGATGTCATTACGTGAGGTTGCTGGGGGCTTATAGAGCGCAGTGGTCGTAAGTGCAGCACGATCCGCAGGTCCCCCGCTTTCCCAACAACCCACAGTCCGCTCGTTTCCCGAGTAGGACGTCCCACGGGTTGCCCTGAGCTGATTATCGCCAGTGATCAGCAGACTCACGACGACGAGGTCATCTTAGCCGCCAACTCCAATCACCGTGCTAGTGGTGTCGGCGCGACATGCTTTCTCTACCGCAGGAGCTAGTGGACAGCGTGGTCGACGCGTTCCCGGAAGAGGATCTGCAGTCATTGCGCGCGTGCGCCCTCACCCATCGCCGCCTGTTGCATCATGCTCAAAAACGGCTGCTCTCTACTATCCGTCTGGTCGTACCCTCTCCAGAGCGGGAAGGTCACCCGTACTTCTTCCGCAAGCTCCTCGACGAATCGCCCCATGTCGCAGCTTACCCGACCACCCTCAGCCTGCGCGTCGGCGAGATGAACGCCATCGTGCCCGAGTTCGACAACCCCGACCTCGTCGCAGCGCACATCGCGCGCCGGCTCATCAATCTCCGCGAAGTACGCCTCGTCAGCAACCGGTACAACTCCCTCGAGGTCTGGTGGGACGGCGCCGCGCCAGAGGTTTCCGCCATCTTCGACTTCCTACGTTATGCGCCGCGCCTCAGTAAGCTCGTCATGCACAGCATCTGCCTGACGCCCGATGAGCTGCGCGACGTGCTGCTCTGCGTGCCCGCGCTCGAGCACCTCGTCCTCTCGCAGGTGCGCATCACGGGCCCGGTGGAGGCGCCGCTGCACCCGCTGCGCCGCCTCAAGTCCCTGGCGGTGCGCTGCACGCAGTTCCCCCCGAGGCGCTCGACGGAGCTGCTGCTCTCGCTCGTCGACGTCTCCGCACTCGAGTCGCTCGCCGTCGAGTACATGATGGCCACGCCAAACAGCATCGCATGGGAGCTCGCGACGCAGCTCATACACGCGGCCGCGCCTTCCATCCGCGAGCTGAACATCGTCATCCCGTACGCGATGTTCTATGAGGACACGTCGGATAATATAGGTGCGGTCTTCCGCCAGCAGGACCTTCCGGAGCTGCGCGTCCTCCGCATTGTGCAGCATCCCGGCCGCGACGAGAGCCCAGGGCAGTTCCCCGTCAGCCCGCTCTGCCGCCTCTTCACTCGCAGGCACTGCGATGCGCTGGAGAAAATCCGCGTCGAGGTAGCGAGCGTCGTCGAGATGGAGACCCCTTGCGAGCACTGGCACGAATTGCGCGATTCAGTACTCGCAATGGATCCCACTCGGGTCCCAACCCTCGAACTTGTCCTGTACGATGCCGAGGCGAATGAGGTTTCGCAGGTGACTACTTGTATGGGCAAGGTGTTTGAGGGGATGAAGGACAGAAGCGGCGGGCCTTTCGTATCTGTCACGCGTGCCACCGGATTGACGCTCTTCACCTAGAGTTCATTATATAGGCCTTCTTGTATGTGTCGTAATCCTTTGCCTGGGATTCAAGCTTTCCCGACCACCGTTGTAGCCTAGACTAGAAGTCCCCGCAAGGCTTGACAATATATAGCAGTACATGTCCGAACCCACTATTTGGTCTACCCAGAAATGTTCTGCTGGAGCTGCGACGCGGAACGATGTAGAAGAACGAGACGAACAGACCATGATATATACAGCAGAGGTGCGTATAGGTATGTACGAGGCTAATGTCCCGTATACGAAAGCTACAGACAAGACAATGTACAGAACATGACCGACATCCAAGAATCATCAAATAGTACACACAAGAAACCACAAAGCGCAAAGAGACAAAACAGAGTATATGATACAAAATGTACAACCAGCTCTTCGTCCTCTTTCGTCCACAAGTCGTATGCCATCATCACGCCTTCTTCAGCTTATTCTCCTGCTTGCAACAGTTCACCCACGCATACCACATCATCGTCTTCAGCTGCAGCACATCCTCCTTCCACCGCTTCTCCGCCACATGGTTTTCCTGCCTGAACTCCTCCGTCAATTTTTCGCACCGCTCCACGTTCTCCGGCGACACAAAGTCGACCGCGACCTTGATGCAGTCGCTCAGGTTCGACACTTGGTGCGCGCACCCCGCGGGGATCACGACCGCCTCCCCGGGCCGCTGCTGGAAGTGGAAGGCGCGGACGCCGGTGGCCGCGAAGAGCTCGTGCCGCAGCTTGTCGTCGAGGTAGTAGTGCTGGCTGTGGATAGGGTCCGTGTTGGTCCGGTGGAGGGCGTGACGCATGAAGTCACGGATGGTAGCTGAGTCTTCGGGGCGAAAGATGTCCCAGGCGGCGCCGGCGGGGATGGTCTCGTCTGCGGACGGGGCTGCGTAGGTCATGATGTTCAGCGCATCGGCCATGTCCATGTGCAGTCGCGTAGAGCCCTTGCTGCCTTCGCGAGTCGACGACGCCTGTGCATTGTACATTTTTGGGCCAAGATCGGGAGCAATAGTGTTTGTCGGGAAGTGTGAAGAGATGTTCATGACGCCGTCTCGTCGAATGTACGAAGGCACAGGAACCGCGTCCATGAAGTCCTTGTACAGCTCGGGGAACAACGTCTTGAAGTCCGCCATCGGAGGCCAGTCCTACAGATCCATAAGCTCCATCGCAACGCCTGCCACCCTCCCCTACTCACCTTCAACTTCCACACCATCTTGTCCCTCTCCTCATACTTCCCGAACGTCTCAAAGAACTCCTTCACGGTGATCTGCTTGTTCGACTCGTTCACGCAGTTCGTGATGAGGCACGACCGGTCGCCGTAGTGCTCGATGAAGTATTCCGGCGTCCACGAGATCTGCATCCGCCGCTCGAGACCAGTGACAATGAGCGGCTCGCCCCTAGCCAGGTACGCGCGCATCACGTCTTCCGTGACCTCCTCGTAGGGCATTCGCCGGATAACGTAGGACGGGGTGTCGTACGTCTCCGCCTCCCCGCCCTGCGCAGCGAGCGCCACAGCCCCCACCGGCGCAGCGCACGGCACCTCCGACAGCGCCGCCGCGGTCACAGGTAACGTGCCCCCCGCCGCCCGGGACCGATCCGCCCCCGCAAACGTCAGCGTCCTATTCGCCCGCCCCACCGCTTCGCTCTCCCTCACCATCGCCTCCATCTCCCGGATCGCCCCCGCCAGCTCCTCCTCCTGAAACCGCGTCACCGGCGAGAAATGCGTCGCCTGGTGCTCCCCGCGCTTCGAGCAGTTCAGGAAGAAGGGCAGGTTGTGGTGGAACTGGTTGCGCTTCTGCGTGACCGCGCGCTGCTGGTCGGCGGGGAGCTCCTTGATGGGTTGCGTGAGCTGCTGGATGATCTCGTAGCACGCCGGGCAGGCCTCGCGTCCGCAGTTGCGGCACATCCAGCCGGCAGAGAAGATAGAGGTGTTGCAGTGGTCTGCGAGGGAATGTTAGATGGGAAGAGGTAGGTAGGGGCCAAGGTGCGTACCACAGGTGACGCGGACGTCGCATTCGCGCTTGCGCTTGACGATGATGGGACTCTCGAGATGTGCTTGCTCGTCGTGAAGAATGGGCAACAAAGCCTTCGCCACAGCGAGCTATTCTTGTCAGCACATGCCAGCAACGATCCATGACATCCACGCATACCTTCATCGTCTTCAGCCCCTCCAATGTGGGCTTCACATTCCACTTGTCCGGGTAGTTCAACTTCGCCGGGTCTGGCATGCCCTTGAACGCGACAGTGACGATCTTGCCGTCCTTGTCCTTCCCAAAGTACCGGATTCCTTGAAAGCGGCAGGTATCGCCGGCCCAGCGTCGCGTGCAGGCAACGCACTTTGGGACCTCGCCCGCGGCGCTGCCCGTCATGCACCGCTTGACCTGTAGCTCGATCTTCAGCTCTTGTCGGTTGACGCCGAGGTCGGAGGATCCTGGGGGTTGTTAACTCGCAGCTCAGGCCGGACTATACTAACGTACTTTCGACTACAACGCGCTCTGCTGCGAGTCCGGCTAGCTGGGCTGCGATGGAAAGTCAATCCCGACGCTTGTATGGAACAGCGATAGACGCCGTACCATTCCAGTTGGCATTTGCGGCGCTCTCCATCCTCTTCTGCGCCGTGAAGCCACGTCGAGATGCGCCAGAGATGGTTGGCTTGGAGGGCTTTCGCTTCTTTTTAGCGGGCGCCTGATCCTCCTCTTCTTCGGGTGGAGGCGCAGGGCGCTTTTGTCGTGCCGAAGACGAGTTTGGCGCGCTGGACGTCGATTGCTCGGGCGGAGTCGTTCTTCGCGCAGCGAGCCGTACGGACATGCGCTCAGCAGGTTGATATTCTGGGAGGTATTGATAAGGTGGTGCCAAGGGTTTGTTATTGAGGACTCGCCGACAAGGGAAACGTTAGATTCATTGTGGGGCATGTTGTATTCGTCTGGGTATTGCTGAAGATCTGCCTGGGGATGGTACTCCTCCTGACGTCGGTAATCGGCTTGTCGCGGATACACTGTAGGGGACATTGAATGAGCTATTCCGACAGCCGCGGAGCAGGCTTACGTGGGGGCAGATTCGAGGGTTGTTGAGGTGGTGAGGGGGCGTAGGGGTCAGGATGCGAGGATGAGCTTGCTTGCGCAGAGTAGGAAGTAGAATGAGGATGAGAATGATGCGGGTATCGGTCCACAGCAGCTGCATGTCGACATCAGATGAAAGGGCCACATGCGAGAGGTCTAGACTGCTCACCTGCATGTCCCCCGTAATAACCACCATCGCTGTATGATGGCGCGGCCTCTTGCGCGTAGTGGGCTGGAGGAGCGGGTGCGTAGTCCCCTTGTGGACGCCGGTACTGGTGCGGCGCGTTGTTCATCATGCTGGGGCCCCGGCGCCTCGGTACATCATACGAGATTGCTTCCGAGTACTCGTATTCGGACGCCGATGGCGCCTGCGAGGGCGCGCTCGCCGGGGACTGCATGGCACCGTACGTTTGATACGGGTTGTACGCGTAGTGATCATGGGAGTAGCCGGCATACGAATTGGCGCTTGTGTAGGACGCGTACTGGGGTTGACCAGCTGGTTCTGGCGGATGCAAAAGCGATCCCATCGACATGGGAGCCGAGCGCGCGATGGGCATGGACGTGGGGCCCATGCTCGAGCTCATCGTTGCGGATAGCGCGCGCGGACGTCGTGGGTGGTGGTGAGAACAAGGAGGTGTATTATAGCATCTGTGCGGGCCGCCACTTGCCCGATTCGCCATCAAAGGCGTGACTCGTGTTTGACTTTCATGCTTTCGTCCTGGACCCCCACGCACGATCCACGACTCAATGGGCGCTGCCATCGATACCACCCTCATGCCCACTTTAGCCAGCTAATCGCCGACTTTATCACGCCTTGAGGCAGTGGGAGCTGAATTGACGCAGGTCTGGATACCAGATTCTAACCTCAACTGGCAAGACCGCCGCCACGAAACTTGACAGATCGCGACACGAAGGGGACACGGACATTGTATCAACTACACCCGGCTGCAATCGCTCTTCTCTCAGCCACCTTCAGCACTTTCAACTCCCGCGATGCTGCGGAGATCTTCCTTCGACCCTATCCGGTATGCCAGTCGGCTCACATCAAGGTTTTATCTTCGACGACACCCTATCAAGGTCTAAAAGTGCTACAGAGCTTTCATTGGATCGAATGCGCTCTGTCCCTGGCAAGGTCTGAAGAAGTGTACTCTTGATACAGCAATTTCTGCGCACGGGTCCCAATCATGAATGCAGGCGTAGTGATATTCACCACGCCCTGCCCCCTTCGGCCTCCTGACTTGGCTTGATGTCGGTTCCTACGTCGCAGGAAATGAAGTTTGGATCGGCGCGCCCTAACACGCCCTCACTGGACCTACTCATCTCGGTTCGCGCCGCGACAATTTCCGTTCGAGTCGTCTAGCGCGCCTCCTTGGAAATCCTTGCTCCCCCGATAACGCAGTTAGCAGGGACACCTCTCGCCTGCCAAGAGCGCCCACATCGGGTGCAGTTATCCTCGACGCGAGAACGTAATGCGACCTAAACTCACGACGCCGCAACGCCCACAAGTAATATTTACTCAGGAGACGACGCCGCACTGTCGTCCTCAGGTGCCACCGTCGTCACAGATACTCCGGCTCGCTCGAAAATTAATCGCACGATCGACTCTTACGATTGCAGTGTTATTCCTCCCTCCAACCCACCCCTACAAGGCGTCCATACAGCTCCACCCCATTATACCCTCAGCCCAATTGCCTGGATCTTGTAACTTGTTGGACAGCATCGTCTGGAGCCCCGTCATTCAACGCTGCGTTTACCGACGTTCTCAACCTCCTACAAGCCTCAACAACCTTTTCGAACTTCTTCGTTCAAACCTAGGCCAACCAAGGCCGTTCATCACGGGAGCTTCGTTCAATGTCTTACGCCTCGGGAGCTTCATCTACCGCGCAGAGCTCTACTCCCACCGCGCAAAGCTCGATTGCGCGGTCTCGACATCCGCCTATGCCAGTTAGCCTTCCTGGGGCTCGTTCTTTCCATTCTCTAAACTTCGTTATATGTCTTCTCTCGAACTCCCGAGCTCGTCGAATGCCTTCTCTGTAACTTCGTCGAAGTTCATTCCCACTGGCTGCTGTGTCCTCGGAAATCAAACAAGCCCGAAGTCGCAAACTTGGACACTGTTGTGCTCGCTCATTCCATGCGGACTACGCACTTCCTACAAGACTTCTTAGCCGTCATCAAACTCTGACCTTGTTTGTTGACTCCTCGGATTCTCGTACGCCACCTTCCATCTGGGTAAAATCTGCGATGGCTCCAAAATTCTTTCTTTGACGCTTCTACGCGTCCTCGCCACCTATCCGCGCGCCCTCAAGTCGCTACGCTTTCCCCTTCACGCTCCCAGCCACAGGTGCTGCGTCAGCCAATGATGATCACCGACCGACCTACGACCATCGATGGTCAACTGATCATTCGACTTGACTTCGACAGTGGACCCAGTGGACTTCGGCGACAGAAACAGTGGACTTCGACGACAGATACAGTGGACTTCGACGACAGATACAGTGGAACAGAAGCCTTCGATGCGGCTGCAGTGCTACGCACAGGCCTTCACCCCCGGCACACGAGCCTCCAAATCTGACATACAGGCCTCCGCCGCATTGTAGGGCACTCTGGCACGAGGAGGCGACCAATCAGTCGCGCGAGAATATGGGCGCTCATGATGTGGTTTGCAACCTTATTCTCGCTTACACTGTACGCGCTCGGCACTCCTGCGCCTTGCCTCATATTGCCAGCGGGCATCCAGGACGATACAAGAGACGCTCAGCCTCGTTCGAACTGCCTCTGTGGGACGAACGATCCTCGTGAATATACTACTTTCGCACCGACCCGCCGACGGGCCTGTGCCTTCGTCAGCCCTTCTGCGGTCACTGCGCGCGCAGCGACTGGTCAATCCCGACGTGACTCACCTGGACTCATTCCGCACATGGTTCGTATCACGAGCGCCATCCGCACGACGCTGACGCTGTTGGGTGGTGGTATATAAGGGAGTGCCTAATTTTGTCTTCACCTGCGTCCGTCATCTCTCCTATACTTGGGCGTCATGACCGAGGCCGCTTTCCCTTTTACCATTCGCAGGGTCTTGAACCCGACTGAAGAGGAGACGGTGGCTATTATTGATGTCATGACGGAGGCGTTCAAGACGGGTGCGTATAGGATACATCTCTCACCAGGCTACTATGTACCAAGTTCTGTCCCACAGATCACTCATCGCTAACGCGCTCGCCCCAGACCCCGGCTCCGTCCTCGGCTTCGGAAAATACCTCGACCTGGTTATCCGACCTCGCAACGAATACGTCGTGCGCGCCGTCCTCAAGACCGGCGAAGTCTACGTCTGCGAAGACCCCAAGACGCACCGCATCGCAGCGGTAGCGACCTGGCTCCCGCCGGGGAAGGAGGCGTACGAGACGTGAGTTGAAGACCAATTATGATGTACTATCTAATCGACGGTGCCTCGACGTATAGGGAAGCAGAGAGCCAGGCTGCCTGGGATGCGATCAAGGTATTCTTCCCTGAGAAGGAGCAGAGGTGGCTTGAGGAGGTGAGGATTTATTTGCTCTGGTTCGATGGATGGCGTCATACCCTCCGCAGTACGCCGCGGGCACGCACCAACTGGTCGTCGATTCCATAGGACCAAACGCAGAGCGCGACGAGTGGTACTTGCAGCGCATCGGCGTACATCCGGATTATCGCGCGCAGGGCATAGCGAGCCGAATGATCAGGGAGCAGCTCAAGAAGGTGGGCTACGGCTTCGGCCGCCACTGTAAGGCCTGGGTTGCTTACAATCATGCAGACCGACCCGCACTCCGTCGCCCTGCAATGCACAGAGAATATGGTCAGTAATTCCTTTGCCTCAATGCATATTTCTGGCGACTTACCAGACGCCAAAGGTCGAAACTTATAAGCGCTTCGGCTGGGAGATCAAGGGGAAGCAATCGTATACCACTCTCGGCGGAGACATAACTCTGTATGTTATGCTTCGTCCGTCATCGAAAATACAGCCGTCATGACCCTCCAAATCAATTCATTCACCGCTACGTTTGCCATATATTGGCATGTTGTCACCAACCTTGGCACAGTCCTGCCCGCAGTGCACAGTGATTTGGGCTCGCCTCGTCTGCTTTAGTGGCGGCAACGAATACCTCGCTCGACCGTTGCCCTTCACTTCAGCGCGTTCTTGCAACGAGCACGCTGAAGTTCACAGCCCACATTTGCTGGGGCGAGCACACGGTCAAAACTCCAGTCGATGGGTAAATCATATAGGTCGCAATAAACTATTTGCCACAGTATGCGCATGTAACATTGTCTGCTCAACCTACACCTTCGCGGTCCAGAAGATGGGAACAGGGCCCTCCTTCTGGTCCGTGAGCGACGTCCAAGCCTCGATCTCGAGGGCGACGTCGTGGACACTGCAGTCGTCGCAGATGGCGTTGAAGACGGTCTGCACTTGGCCGCCATCGGCTGTACCAAAGCTTGTCAACGGCCATGTCCATTGTAAACATGTAGATGATGATGACTTACCGCCAATGGTAACCTTCGCGCAGCACAGGTCCCTCCCGAGCTCCTGACGGAGGCTGCTAGCGAAGGCGGCTCCACCGACGGGCACGTTGTCGCACTTGCAAGGGGTGGTCGTGACCTCGCCAGAGTTGTAGGCTATAGAGGGGATGAGCGAGCCTGCAAGGTGACATGTCGGGATGAATCACGAACCTTGTCCGTAGAACGAGTACTCCTGCGCGACAGCGTTGCCAGCGAGGGCGAGGATAGAAGAGGCGAACAGGAAGTTGAACATGTCGAGCGTTGTTGTTTGGTCGTGAACTGTAGAAGTGAGGATGGTGCGATATGGAAGCCATCTTGCGACTCTGCAGCCTTTATAGGCGAGCTGAGATCGCCAAGGCACGTACTGCATACACAGGGATGCACTGTTGCTTAGGGCCCGAGGTATGGGAACTTGAACTCCGGCTCCTCGACACCACGTTTCGCAAATCTGCATTGTCCTCGACGAACAGCAGCGTACACTGAAGGTAGCTAGGTCATCATGAGACGCGACGTCCGACTCCATCATACACAACGACGTACCTCGTGCTCATACCGAGGTCGTCACAGAACTTCAGTAAATCATTGCCCTCAAAAAAGCAGTTCACCAGTAATCCACTCGTGAACATTGCGGTGACAGTGCAGACCATCGCTGCATTCAACAGGATACAAACAGGACGTAGCACCCAGACATACATCACCCGCAAAGTACGGACACAACCAAGTCCCACCGCGCTCATGACCTCGCTCCCTTCTTCTTCTTCTTGCGCCCGCCATCGCCCTTTGGTGCTTGCTGAATAGCACCCAAGACCGCCGAGAGGGTTTTGTCGACCGTCAGCGTGGCAGCTTTCGGTGCGGTCTCCATTTCAACATCTGCGGTCTCGATCCGCGCGGTCTTCGTCCGCTTGCCCAACGAAGTGCTGAACAGCTCGTCGATCTCGTTCTCCGGCCGTTGCCTTTTCTTCGACTTCTTGACGGTCTCCTTCGCCTCGGTTGATGCAGCGGGTGCCTGAGCTTTCGCGGGCGGTGGTGCAGGGATGGAAGGTGTAAGCGCTTGGGGCTTGTGCGACAACTGAGCGTTTCGCCACTCATCCGGCTTGCGCTTGAGCAGCATCAAGTTGAGCTTGCGCACGAAGAACTTCCCGTAGAACGAGCCGGCGAGCGCGCTCTCGTGCGGAAGCACGGCACGCGCGATCTTCTCCTACCAGATTATGAGCATCACCGTCAAAAATGTACGTCGCTGGGCACAGACCTTCAGATACGTATCCGCTGACGCAAAGAGACGTTCTGCGACGCGACTACCGATACGGTCGTCTACCAGCGCAGGCAGGTCCTCCAACCATGTCAAGGTGTACTCGCGCTTGACCTTCGCGCTGACTGCCGGCGACTCGAACACGGCGTCGATCACCCGGGAGCTTGTCGGATGGTGGGCGATTTTGAGGCGCTCTTCCAGCGGCAATGCCTTCAGGCTGGGAAGGTCAGCGCGATGATTGACAGAAAGGCACGACAGGCATACCTGTCGACGATAACACGATTGTGGGGGTCCGACAACCGCAACAGTGACTGCAGCAAAAGCGCGCCTTGAATCTTGATGGGGTCGGCATCCTTCTCATTCCCGCCTTTTCTTCTTGGGTTGTAGTTCGTCGGTGGTCTCTCGACGGGATTGCGCACGCCCTACATCTCATGTTAGGGACCTGTCATGCGTATAAGCCTGGCATAGAATCTTACCTGCGGCGTCTCTAACATCAGCAAACAAGGAACGAGCAGCGTCCTATCCTCCTCGGATTCTGATATGGCGAAGCCTTCGTATATACCCTGTTAACTCGTTAGACAGCACTGATCGACCGAGGGTAAGAGACGTACCTCGACACACGATGCTTCGCCAGCACGCAACATAGCAGCCCTCTCCACCAAGGCGCGCAGTACGTTGACGTGCGACATCTCTGTCGAGGCCCGTCAGCTCCCCATCGCACTAGCACGCGCATATCATACCTATTAATCGCCTGAAATTACCCTTCAGCTCCTTCAACGCATTCTCCAATTGCGCGGCGCTACACCTCTCCACCGCCTTCGCCACAACAAACTGCGCCGCCGGATGGCACGCCAACTTCGCAAACTGCCTGTTGACGTACAGATCCCATAGCGCATCGAATGTCGGTTGAGGACACCTTGATACGAGGATCTCGAGGAGATGGGAGGCGGTTTGGTCCCGGATAAGGAGGCCAAGGTAGTCGGAGGCGGCGGGACGGCTGTTGGGGTTTTGGGCTGGGGAGAGCGGCCGGTGAGAGGGAGATGAAGAGTAGAAAATTGACGATACTGACTGGTCGCGCTGACGAGGCCGACTGTTATGCGGTCCATCAGGGAATCAACCTCCTCAGTCATCCCGAGGTTCGCCTCGACCTCCAAGATCGCCTGGGAAAAAAGCGTCAGAGACGACCAATTCTCCCGAGAAAGAATTACTCGCCTGCAAGCACGGACTCGCTATCTTATTTGAGACTAGGGCGCGCACTTCATTCCCGTCCATCGTCTCCCGAAGGTGCAGAATACATCTCCTTGCGCACTCCGCAAAGTCCTCCGGGCGACCCAGTCGCACTTCCTCCTTCGCCTTCCCCTTTTCATCCGCATACACCGACTTCATCTGGCCCTGCTTCGCCTTCCATTGCGCGCTCTTTTTCGAGCGCATGTCGCGTACGGTGGATTGCAAGGGGCAGAGGAGGTTGAAGAGGGCGCGAATGACATGGGATGCGAAGGGGTTCAGGATGAGCTCGTGGAGGTTGGGGAGTACTTCCTGTGTAGATGGATCAGCGATGCGGAGGGAAACAGAGCATGGGGACGGACCTCAGCGATGTCGATCGTGAGTTGGGTGACGGTACGCAGTTCTCCCTCGTCCGAAGATGTCTTGACAGCGGGAAGGTCACCTCGCGCCTGTTCCAACCTCGTTGAGTGGGGTGCGGCATGATGACAGACTGCCTTACCTCGCGTGCCACGGAGTCAACAGCCACCTCGAAGAGCGTCTGGCACACATGCGAAGCAAAACGATTCTTGAAGAGTGCCTCGTAGCTGAGTAGGCGATTGATCAGTGCTCATGCCTTCGACCGCCAATCATACAACTCACGAGCCAGACATGCTATCCATGAAGACCCTCCTTGCGAAGTCGTCCATCGAGTAGAGCAGTCGCTCAAGGACTACCGAGCTCTCTGGGTCCGTCGCCAGCTGCAGCTCCTTCTCTGACATCTCGCGCAGCGCAGCTTCCACGAACATCCGGCGCTCTGCATCTCGATCAGTACCTCGCCATCCGAAGAGGGATTGATCACGCACCTTCGTTGGGCTCACTGGCCGCCCCTGCCCCCTCATTATCCTGCCAGTCACGCAGCTGAGTGTCGACGTTGCGGAAGTACGCCTTCACATCCGGGTCAAGTTCCCCAAATGGCGCGCTCGGGTTCATCTCGGCCTCCTGCTGAGGCGCCTGGACAATCCAGGACGGTCCTTCCTGCAGATGAGGCGGCTGCTCTAAGACGGGCTCAGGCTCTTGTTGCATCGGCTTCGGCTCTGCAGCATCATGCGTCGCATTCTTCTTAGTTCGCTTGCCTCTCTTTCTGAATTCCTTGGGCATTGTGCGATGAGTAAAGGGTGATGGCGGGGGAAAACAACAATGCTTGATGCCGATCACTATCGACATTGTACTTTTTGGCGGGGGATAGCCATGTGGGCACTGTAGCCCTCGGCTTTCTCCGCAGGAATCACACTTAGCACGCGTGCTCACCGTTGGACTTGCAGCCTGTCCCTCCCTCGATCCTCAATATATCTCCTATACATGTTTCCAGCATGCTGTTTTATTGTATCAAAGAATTGTCACTGGTGACCTCTATTCAGAGATCTCCACAGTCAAACTCGGATAAGTGCTACTTATTTCCTCCCGCCAGGCTGCACATGTGCGCGAGTCCATATCGCAGTGTATGAATAGATCTTTCAGCACAGGATTCCCCTGGGCTTTCATGCGCCGTTCCAGAAGCTTGTAGATATCTTCTTTGCCGACCTTTTCCGAGTGAATAGAGATGTGCAGTACTTCCAGCTGGGGCAAGTTGATGCTACTCTCATGACCACAAAGCGCGCGGAAGAAGTTACGAGACAAAGGGCTAGGAAATGCATGGTCTGGATATTGTATGCTCAGGTGCCTCAGGTGTGTCAGAGTTCCTATGCATGCAGCGAAAGCGTCTTGGTTCAGTGGGAGATTTTCGATTTTCAGAGTTCTGAGTCTCGTGCATTGCAAGATGGTGGCAAAAAGCGCACGGCCGCCAGCTTCATCGGGCGATGCGCTGTCTGCCCAATAGATCCGCAGGTAGGTCAAGTCTTCGAGGATCATTGCGTCCAAAAATCGAGCCAAGACTTGCAGAGGGTGTTCGTCGCCTGTGCCTTGAGTAGGGTTGATGTTCCGAATTTCCAGGTCGAGATGTTCGAGGCGGCAGGTTGGCTGCGAAACACTGGGTGATACGTTGAAGTCGCTCTCGCGGTGTATAACCGCTGTATAACGATGAAGTTTCGGGCTCTGTGCCAAAATCGCCAAGCAGGTCTGCAGGTTTACCAAACGAGTGTTCAGAGACAATTCATTGAGGATCGCAGAGTAAGGGACAAGCAGCGACGAGATAGTAAAGTTGTGAGGGAGTCGGACATTCTGTGGATCCTCCATCAGAGTGAGCTCGAGGTTGGACAGCGCTGAAGGCGGTAGCGAACTGTCAACGCTTAATAACGCAGCGGCCAAAGTGGCGGGGCCGCAGAACATTATATCTTGCCAACGGTTGGCGTGTGCTTTAAAAAGCGCAATGATATCCAGGCCAAGCTGTTTGCATGTCGGGTCATTGATGTTGAAGCGGATGCGTAGTCTCGTATCCTTCGAACGGTGTAGCCGCAATTGCATTAGCTTGACGTTGTTCTGGGAGTGAGGTATACCGTGATGGATGAGTGAAAGCTCGAAGGCGGACCAAAGTTGGGGTTCGTTCGCTATGAGATCTCGCCACAGACGGCAAACCAATGACAGATCCCTCACGAGGTTTTCCCTGATAACGCAGTAGGGCGAAAGACGATGTTTGAAAATCAATATCTGCAGCTCTTCAGGCAAGGCAATGATACCTCTGCGTTCCATTGTTAGGAAAGGAGATGAAGGGATGGCTCGAGGAAGAACTCAGGCTCAGGCGCACCCTTATATATGCCGCTAGCGGCTGTCCATTTTTCGTGGCGCGGACACGTCGAGAGGGCCGTTAGGCACCGCGCGCTATAGACTCAATAAGTTCTGCATCTATGCCAACGATCATGGAAGTGCCTGTGTTTCGGAGAAAGAGCTGTAATGGAAGAGAAGGGAAACGTGCAAACCATTAGACGCGAAACCTCGGAATCAACGGCATTGTCCGTTCGGAAGATTGTTGCAGGGCTTCCAGGCGTCTATGGCGTCAAACTAAAGGCTTCTCGAAGACGTTGAAATCGCAAAATATTCTGGCTTCTACGATGCGCTGATGATAGTGGTGAAGGACAACCCTTGTTGGCGGTTACATGCACCACGTTGCTTTTACCGGAAGCAAGCACGTGGTAAACCGCCTGCTTCGCAGTCGGTCGTATCTACCGGCCAGCGTGCATTATATCACACTAGTACCGCTGATGGTCCTCTCTATCATCCGCTGGGACGTCAGTGAGCTTGAACCTTCTTGATGTCGAGTACTGTGGGTCCAGCCGGTCGTCGACACGTGACTTTATGGGGGGAAGATTCTCGAAGACGCGTCCGCATTCGGTGGCCTTCGAACTTATAAAATGACCCTACGCGCTCTCCTCTCCGCATTCATCGACTCAGAACAATGGCAGACGCAAACGCACTAAAAGATCAAGGCAATAAGGCCTTCGCGGCCAAGGACTACGACCGCGCCATCGAGCTCTTCTCCCAGGGCATCGCGCTCGACCCTTCGAATCACGTCCTGTACTCTAATCGGAGCGCCGCACACGCTGGGAAGAAGGAGTGGACGCAGGCATTAGCAGACGCAGAAGAGGTGCGCCGGATATACTCCCATCGTGTTTCTTCATTCATGTATTTACGCAAGGCGTAGTGCATCAAGATCAACCCCTCGTGGTCGAAGGGGTACGCGCGCAAGGGCGCTGCACTCCACGGCGCACACCAGTACGACGAGGCGATCAAGGCATACGAAGAGGGATTGGCGAAGGAGGACAGCCCGGCACTTCGCAAGGGCTTGCAGGAAGTACGCGCGGCACAAGGTGCGTAAACAGCAGCGATCGGGAATTAAGCGCCCGTCTCATCCGTCCCCCTCAGAGGCCCACCAGCGCAACGATGACCCCACCGGCTTCGACAAGATGTTCGCGGACCCGAATCTGATTGGCAAGCTGAAGACGAACCCGAAGACGGCGAAGCTGCTCGACGATCCGGCGTTCGTGGCGAAGCTGCAGATGATGCAGACGAACCCCGGCCTCGCGTCCAGCCTGCTCGGCTCGGACCCTCGCATGATCCAGGTGCTCGGCGCACTTATGGGCGTCGACATGCAGGGCTTCTCTGGCGACAACGTTCCGGACGACATCCGCGCTCAGGCAGAGACATCACCGTCCTCTCCCCCTCCCAAGCCCCAATCACCGCCGCCCAAGCCTGCTGCCGAGCCCCCGCAGGAGGACGTCGAGATGGAGGAGGTAGATGAGGAAGAGGCGAAGGCGAAGAAGGAGGCGCTCGAAGCGAAGGCTGCGGGTGCTGCCGCTTACAAGGCGAAGGATTTCGAAACCGCTGCGACACAGTTCTCGAAAGCCTGGGACTTGTGGCCGAAGGACATCACTTTCTTGACGAACTTGGGAGGTGAGTTTTGACTGTCGCTCCGTATAATATGATAGCTTAACGCGTACTCCAGCTGTCTACTTCGAGCAGGGCGACTACGACAAGTGCATCGAGACATGTCAGAAGGCCGTTGACGAAGGCCGCGAAATCCGCGCCGACTTCAAGCTCGTCGCCAAGGCCCTTGGCCGCATCGGCAGCGCCTACCACCGCAAGGGCGACCTCGCGAACGCGATCAAGTTCTTCGAGAAGTCGCTCACCGAGCACCGCACGCCCGACATCCTCAACAAGCTGCGCGAGACGGAGAAGGCGAAGGCGGAGCTCGACAAGAAGGCGTACATTGACCCCGCGAAGAGCGAGATCGCGCGCGAGGAGGGGAATACGCTGTTCAAGGCGGGCGACTTTGCGGGCGCGGTGAAGGCGTACACGGAGAGCATTAAGCGCGACCCGGCAGATGCGCGCGGGTACAACAACCGGGCGGCGGCGTACATGAAGCTCATGGCGTTCGCGGAGGCGCTGAAGGACACGAACGATGCGATTAAGGTGGATCCGAATTTCGGTGAGTGGGCTTTGCCGGAAGTTCAATGACTGGTGACATTGATCTCTCCTACAGTCAAGGCCTACATTCGCAAGTCGAGCGTGCTCTACGCGATGCGCGACTACACGAAGGCACTTGAGGCCGTGCAGGAGGCAGAGGAGCACGACCCGGAACGCAAGCACACTGCGGAGATTCTTGCGCAGGAGCGGAAGTGCCAGCAGGCGCTCTTCTCACAGCGGCAGGGCGAGAGCTCGGAGGAGGCGCTAGAGCGGGCGATGCGGGACCCGGAGGTCGCGGTGAGTGCCTCATTTGCCTTTGTAGTAGACCGCCGTACTGACATGCACGTCTAGCAAATCATGAACGACCCGATCATGCAGCAGATCCTGCAGCAGGCGCAGACAGATCCGAGCGCTCTGCAGGACCACATGAAGAACCCGATGATCAAGCAAAAGATCATGAAGCTGATCAATGCTGGTATCATCCGGACGAGGTAGTCGGCTACGTGGAGAGCTATGCTCGACGACGTTGGTGCACGCGATGTAGATGTACGGGCCATGGGGCTGGCATTGTAATGATTTATCCATATCCAACTGTATTTTTGTGCATTGTTATTGATAGCTCTCAAGTTTCGATTGTCTTTCCGAACGAGCATACCGTCGGGTGGTTTCTGAGTTGTGGGCTACGTTTTCGGCCGTTGCCGAAGCGTGCATTGTTCCTAATTAGGTAATTCCTGCATCTTGATCACGACCTTCTCGCCAAATATTTGTATTTCGCCTGCGGGTTTCCTCGTCAGTATCGGTACTGGTGGCCCTTATGTATCAGAGCGTATCTTCATGTTTCCCAAGAAAATTGATTTGCAAACGTCCTTTTGATTTGGAGTGATACGGACGAAGTATCGTAAGTTGTCCTTGCCTGGTTCAAGGTTGTGGGTGCGCGCCACGTGGTTTTGCTTATTGCCCCCCCACGTGTTTCTCCTAAGCAATCCCTGAACTCCTCCTCAACGCCCATGTTCTCGCGCGCACACGGGCCATACCACTGTGTCCTCTGTGAGTCTCTGAGGCTTGATGTCGCTGTGGTCTATACCCAATTAATGCGTGGTCTCCGCTGGCCGGCGCTCCGTCGTGCGAGGGCCCGACACACCCATCGACTGCCTAATTTGAAGAATGGTGCTTATGTTGTTCGGCGAACAACACGCAGGTCTATTGTCTGCTTTGACCGGCATCACAGGCACAGCATACAGCACCATGCAAGAGGTCACATATAAATTTGGACGGGACGCATCGTTGTCCTTCCTCCATCTTTGGCCCCAAAGTCGCGTCGGTCCGTTGCAACTATGGAACTAGCCAACGCTGCTTCGATCTCGTCTATCAATGCTCCTGCGTCCTTTTCTTCTCTCCCCCTCGAACTCCAGGACCATGTAGCTGGGCTGCTGCCGAATCGTGACCGCCTCGCTCTCGCGCAAGTCAGCAAAGGGTGTACTCAGGTCGCTGAACGGTACATATGGCGGGACCTACACAGCGTCGCCCCTCTACTGCTCTGCCTGCCTCGAGATGCTTGGCGCGTCAAGCAAACGCCGATTGTACGTGCGCTCGAACGTACTTGATCCATCTCGTTAAAAAGCTAATGTATGTTACACAGAAAACCAGTTTTGGGAATGCCACTATCGTCCCATGCGTGGTCAGTACATAATCGACTTCCATTGTCAAAGTTAGCGTTGAGTCTGACACCTTCAAACAGTATCTGGAGCGCGAGCTCACTCGCGAGGACATCACCACGACTTTAAAGCGACGGGCCACGTACGTGCGATCCCTATCCGTGCACCCCTTGTCCGGCATTCGACCACTCGACCCTTCTGCGGGCCGTCGACAGCCACTCTACCTCCAGTGGGACACCCTCGTCGCCTTCACGAAGCTGATCAAGCACAAGAGGCTCTTCAAGTACGTGCAGTCGTTCCACGTCGGCCATTCGCACGTCTTCCACCACAGCGAACACGTCCTGGTGCCGCTCATGAACAAGAGAATCAAGACATTGTCGCTCGCCTGCCCAATCGTTGACCTCTCGTATGCCGTCCAAGCGGCGCAGGTGCAACCGACCGATCTCATCCTACGCTCCGTCGACGTCAATAGCCCGATCTGGGGCGGGAGGGACCGTCGCGGCGCGGTCGACACTGGGGTCCTGGGCGCGCTGGACCTGTGGATCGCCTCGCTCAAATCGCTCGACATGGCGGTGCCGATGACCGAGAGGGCCCTGCCTGTCATAGCCCGTGGCAAGTCCCTCCAGTCGTTGACGCTGAACTCCGTGAGCCTCCTCCGGCCCGTCGAAGGGCATGATCTGGGCTCTCTCCGGCACCTGTCAGTTACCAACCAGCCCGCGTCCTTCTCTAGGTCTCTCCTGGGCTCGCAGGTGCTCGAAGAAGTCGATCTCTCCAATGTGATGATACAGTCTGCAAACGATATCGCTCAACTGCTTGCCACACTGGCCCAGTCGCCCTGCTTGCGCCATGTCTCCATCGTCCGTCACAGCGGCTACAAGGCGGTGGCGGAGGACGGCTCACGAATTCATGGCTCGCTAAACTCGATGGACCTCGCTCCCCTCATGGCGCTCAGGGATCTGGAGACGCTCGTCATCAACGCGACGGACGATGTTCGTCTCACCGACGCAGACTACGGCGCGCTCGCGCAGGCACTCCCAGCGCTTCGCGTATGCAAGCTTCTCGCGAAGCCCGTCCCCTACTCACCTGTCCCGCCCGCCGTGGAGTGCACTCTGCGCGCGCTTGTCCCTTTCGCGGTTCACTGCCCGTCTCTGGAGGAACTGTGCATCCAGATGAATCCTGCGAGTGTACCACCCCTGCCGACCGACTTCCGTGGCCACGCCTCTCTTCGCCAGCTCCACGTTGGGCGTTCGTACGGACTCGAGGATCGGAAAGCAGTGGCTAAGTATTTGCATGCGATGTTCCCGTCTATCGAGCGGGTGCACAGCGAGCCGTTCAGTGGTGGCGCGGACCCCTGGTTCGGGGTCACCGCAGGGATTTGGGATATCATACGCCCGGGTGTTGGCGGTTTCAATATCTGGTCATAAGTCGGCTACCCCTCCGCTTGCTTCGTCCAAGGGTTGCCTCCAATTTGTTTGTAGTGCCCCTTCTATACATAAAGTAGTAATTAAATCTCACTATTCGTACCACCTATGTACATCTATATTGCTGCAGGGCTGAAGACCAGCATGCCGGGTGCGTTTCCAAGCCGTTGTGGGTCCACTCCGCTCGGGGGAATCGCGCAAAGTTCGGACCGTCAAGCGCCCCGCACTTCCCCACGTTACGTCAGGTGCAATTCTCGGCCGCTCCCCTCGCGTCCAGCTCGCGTCGAGCCTCCTCTCCACTCTTTTCCCTCCCGACCACCATCCCCTCGACGACCATGGCATCCATCTTCAGAGCGTACAAGTGAGGATTGAACTTCTCCACGTTGAGGGACGCGACGCGGGGACCATCCAGACTGACGACGCGCCCAGCTCTGCTCTTATTCGCCGGCCGTTGCTCACGCAGTGCGTGTCCGCGGCGACGCTCTTCGCGGCAGGCGATGTGGTTGCGCAGCAGTGGATAGAGGGGAAGGGGAAGGACCACGACGTGCGTGTGACTTTGCCTGGCCTGGTAGCGCTCGACTGACCTCTTCGTGCAGTTGATGAGGACAGCAAGGCTAGGATTCTACGGAGGTGCGTGAAAGGCCCAATCTCATGCGTCCGCAACGGTCTATGGGGGTCCGCCCCGGTGTGGACGCGCGTCGTGCTCGGGAACGCAACCGATTTCATCTCTCCCATTCGGCGTCGCATTCTCCCCCGATTCGCGTGTGCTGACCTCCCCGATCAGGCGTCCTCTTCGGCCCCCCAATCGCGAAGTGGTTTGACTTCCTCAACAAGATCAAGTTCTCAAATGCAACTGTCGGCGTGGTGGCGCGGGTGAGTAGGCTTTCTTCTTGTCCCCCACCCAAAATTCCTTTCCTATTTTTTCACTTTCCCTGAGAATCTATGCGCATGCACCCTCTTCCGCCCTCCGTACCAGCTTCACATTCGTCTGTCCCCTTCGTTGCTAATTCGCATCCTCACAGACGGCCATCGACCAAGGATGCATGTCACCGAGTGCGTAGCTCTTTCGCGCCCTTTTCTCCTCCATCCTACTGATGATACCACTTACTCGCTAGTTGCCATCACCTGGTTCTTCGGTTGGATGAGCGCGCTTGAAGGCAAGCCGTCCGAGGCGACGGAGAAGTTGAAGTCGGTGAGTAGGCTCGGACTCTCATGCTCAATGGATAGTCAACTGACAATTCTCTCGCAGGCTTTCGTCCCGACGCTGCTTCGTAATTGGTGAGTAGTCGACTATCTGGTGCTTGAGCGGCGCCTGCGTGTCTCCGGTCGAACTACGGAAAGACAGGTACTGACGCTACCCCTAGGGCGGTCTTCATCCCGGTTCAAATCCTCAACTTCTCTGTCGTCCCGCCACAGGGTCGCTTCGTGTTCGTCAGCGTGGTGAACTTGTTCTGGAGTGAGTATCGGCTCTGCTTTTGCTCATATGCACACTTTATCATCGTCTCTCCTTCGTACCTACAATCTTCCTTCCTTTGATCTCTGCTGCTTCCTTCTTCCCTTGCACATCCTCTACTCGTTCACCTCATCTGCGCACTGTGACCGTTGTACAAATGCTGACGCCTTGCATAGACACCTACCTCAGCGCCGTGAACGCGAAGCAGAAGGCGCTGCTTGACCAGGAGCAGGGCAAGCTCGTCGACCAGGGCACACCCGCGAGCGTCGGGGAAAAGAAGGAGTTGTGAGCGTCGTAAGGCCTTCGCAATGCCAGCGGCACAGGGCATTTCGCGCCCCTCCCATCCCTGAACCGAAGAAGACTCTCGAGATTGGCAAACATGACTCCAACTGGAGGTTGAAGCCAGGATGCGCGCGCTGACCCGAGCATCTCATACCATGACCGTGAAGATATCACATCACCCGGCAAACAAACTAGACGAACAAGCACATACTGTCCCATTTGTTAGACTTCATGTATACATATTTACTCACGTATAGAAGGCGGTACTGACGAAGACATCATTGCAAGATAATCTAGCAAATGAGAGGCGTGAGGCGAGGTAAATGATACCATGGCCAACTCGAGAATCCCAAGACGAGGTCCAGTTTGAGGAGCTCAGGACGAAGACGCCGAACGGCGCTTGGGCAGGCTTCTACTCCAATACGCCAGCTCGCGGCTAATCCACTTCCACAGAACATGGCTGTCCGACGACAAGAGCGAGCGCCCCTCGCACGGCTCGCTCTCCACGCAGCTAAGGGAGGGGAACACGGCATGCAAATAAACAGCTATTCTCTCCTCCTTCGAAACCATCGATCGCCCAACATTGAGCTTCCGCAGAGAATTGTTGCCACGAAACGGAGTCCCGTCGTAGTTTTTGGGCGAATGATGCACCCCCGACAACGCGTCGACCTGGATCGAGAGCTCCTCCAGAGACCGACAGTGCGCGGCAAACGACTCGAGTGCGTATAGAGTGCACCCTTCGCCCGGCTGGAGTACCCAGCGCGAGCCAGGACACACGCCGATGCTGCAGGTGCGCAGCGCGGGGAGGGCCCCGGCGAGCGCCTCGTAGTCCATATCGGCCAGCCGGACGTCATCTGTCGCGTTTATGACGAGCTTTTCGAGGTTCTTGAGTGAGAGCAGGGGCGCCAGATCTGCCGGGCGCAGAGAGCAGGACACCGGCGCTTGCTCTTCTAGTAGGCTGAAGAGGGACTCGGGTGCCCTCTGGCGGACGACAGATAGGCGAACGACGGATATGCGCCGCAGGGTAGGGCAGCGGCCAAGCGCGGAGAGCAATTCACTGACGTCGTCCGCGGTGTCCAGCACGACGCGCGAAAAGTTGACTTCCTCGAGGACGCGGGAGCCCAGGAGAGACATGGAGAACGCCGCTGTCTGCCTGATCGTCGACAGCGAGCGAAGAGAGTATAGCGAGTGCTGTTCGACGGGTTCTAGGTCATCGGCGGAATGCAGAGACAGCGAGCGGAGTGCCTTGCCCTGGACCACGATGGGCATGACGCTTTCAGCGTCCCGCAAGGCGAGGTCGAGCGTCGTCAGCGAGGGAATCCAGAACTCCAGTGCACCCACGATCCCACAGCACAGTCCGCCATCGCCCCTAGGCGATCCTTTCCACAGCGACCGGCTGTTGATACCCTCGATGGTGAGGCCAGACGGCCGCGCGTGCGATAGGCGCGCGGCTTCGTCGAGGCCGGGTACGGGGCAGGAAATGGACACGGTCTTGAGGCTTTCGGTCATCAGCGGCAGCAGCATGCGCTCGGGGTGGAGGAAGACGACCCGCTGCCCGACGTGGATGGTGTGTAGGCACTTGAAGAGGTTTTGACCTCGTATCGCGGTCATGAATTCGTCGAGGGTGTCGCGGTCGAGGAAGAACGGTTGATTTTCGTCGGCGCCGAGCTCGTGCATGCCGACTGACAGTGGGTGTACGGAAATGGTACGCACGTAGGTAGCACGGCGCTCGAATTTCCCTATGAAATCCTGTTCGACTGATTTGCGCTTTAGACGCTATGCGAGGGTGTGAGCTTGCATCCGGGTCCAGGCGACGCAACAGTGCACGCACCACACAAGAAATATCGACATTTCTATTGCCGGTGGCAGCAGGTTGGGACTGGAGAGAATGTTAGCAAGTTATAGCCTGTTGAAACGACTACAGGGGCATGCACATACCATTACGACGCGGTTAATGCACCAGGAATCGGGAGGCAAGCAAAGCAACAAGAGGGCGACGGTGGGCAGGTCGCGCCATATATGGCGCTCAGCAATTTCGATCCACTTGCTGCCAACCTGCGCAAGGGAGACGCGGTCATGGTTATGTAGCAGCTCTGCTACATTGTCCCAAATCTCAAGCGGGAGCGTCGCAAAAGGCGATGCCTGAGAGACTCTCGCAGATCGAGTCACCAGCGCCATAGACTTCAGAAGAGAACGAACACGACGCAGACTTGGGTGAAGTACGGAGAGAGAAAAACAAAACCTAGCTGTCTTATATGTCGTCTAGCCGGTGGCAGTGTGGTTGTGTCGCGGGCCAAGGCAAACAAAAGTATGACAAAGGCCTCCATGCCACACGTACCATCATCACCATTTACGACACTGTGCGAGTCGGACTTGATGTCTTCCGGTTGACATAGCGGAAGAAATCGCGAACCCTTGCGTTGCATGCAATGGGCGTTGAGGACAAGTTCAAGAATTGCTGAATCAGGAAAGACTTGAACGATGGCCCAAGTCACGTGGCATGAACCTACAACGAGCGAGAGTGGCACTCCGCAAAGACGAGAGTTTCTTTCTGCACAGGATTACCTGGAGTCATACAGTTTAAGAAGCAGACGAGTAATCATGACAAGACTTTGCGATGAAAACATCCAGTGAAGGTGCAAAGTAGTCACAAGTATGTTCGGGCGTCATGGCTGGCCTACACCACTACCATCCTCTTTCCAACTTTCTCCATCCTTTCTGCGTGCCCTGCAACTGCGCCTCTCAGTTCTCCCACTTGTGCGATCACGGGCGCATCGAACGACTCGGCCGCAACAAGCACCTGGTCGATCAGCGCGTATGGGAGCCAAGCGGCGGAGGCGTGTCGTGGGGGCTCCCCGCGGGTGAGGGTGTCCGAGACCTGAAAGCGAAGTCAGTAAGGCGCCAGGTGAAGGCCCGACAACACTCAATACCTTCTTCACAAGTGCGACCGCATGCCTGACCGCGTCCGGCAGTTTGTCGAACTTCAAGCTCGCCCTCACCAGATATTCATGCTGATTGTCCTCCAGCACCTGTACCAGCCACGGCGGCGGCTGCGCTCCAACCGACATAATACTCTCATACACCGCCTTGGTATACCGCCAGTCCGTTGCCCGCCCATCGTACCGCGCTAGCGCATCCCTCAGGAAGCGCCAGCCCTTCTCCGCGGGGGTGCCCGCCCAAGACGCGACGGCATCAGTGAGGAGCCAGTCGGCGTCGGAGAGCATGACGTCGACGCTACCGCGGGCGAGGCGGAGGCACTGCGTCGTGAGGCGGGAGAAGGTGTCGGTCATGTCTACTTGGAGGCTGCGCGCGGTGGTGAGGGCGGCGTCGAAGCGGTTGGAGGAGGAGAGACGGAGGACGATGGATTCTGGCGGCAGGAGGAATTCTGTGGGGTGGGTGTTAGTAAAGAAGAGACTCAGTCAGAGGAAATCAACGTTACCTTGCGTTTGGAGGATCGCAGGATCTCGGCGGATGAGATCTGCCTGGGCGTTGAGGAGGGCGTACTCATACTCGAGGTCGCTCAAGCGGATGACATCCACGCCATAGTTGGTGGCCAACTTGTCCGTTTTGAAGCGTTCCTCAGGAATGTACTTCGACGTTCGCCGCTTTTTGCGAGGCTGCGAGTCGACATCGTTTAGTGAGACGCATAAAGCCTCCGCAAGAGACGTACGTGATCAACGGTAGGGCATGCGATGAAAGGCTCTTGCTGGTCGGATAGCGAAAGCGCGTTGATTGCAACCAAGTACGCGTCCAGCTGCTCCACGACGTGGTTCGCGAAGGAAACCGGGTCGACAATGACCGCAGCGAGCTTGCGCGCGCGCTGATACATAGTCAATGCAGCTGCACATAGGTTAGTAGAAGATCACAGAATGTTCGGTTTACGGATTACCTTCTCCGTAATTCCCTCTCGACATGAACCAGGTGTACAACACCTTTGAATAGTGCGGACGCACGCGAGGGTCGACGTTCCGCGCTTTGAACGACAGCGCCTCCTCCACGTCCGCCTGGAAGGGCGACAAGTCGAGAGACACGAGCTTCGGGATGGCGCCAGACTCGCAAATGTGATATACTAAGCCCGTGACGAGTTCTTGCTTTCTAAGATCCGATGTTAGCTCGTCACTATATGCATGCTAAATGATAGACGAACGATAGCTTGTCCGGGGCAGCGATCAAGGCGGCGACCGCCTCCTCGTAGTACCCCAGCGCCGTGTTGCCCTTGATGATGGCCTCCCAGAGTATAAGCATCTCGTCCTCGTCGGTCGCAAGCGATAGCGCTTGCTGCGCGAAGCGGACCTGGTGGAAGACATAGTTCGACGCCTTGAAGAGCTGCGAACAGTGTACGGCGAAGGCATATTCAGAGGTCAAGGGTCCATCCGGTAGGAGTTTCGCCAGGCCCTCCCGTTCTGATGGGGACGAGCCGCTGTCGGGACCTAGGGGGTGTCAGAGAATTCATTAACGGGTAGACCTTTAAGCTCACCCAAGCATCCCGCCACTTTCATCAGCATGTCCGCAGCGTCGTCCGGACGGTGGCAGTCAAGATATAGCCTCGCGCGAATGTACGCCATCGCATGCGTCAATGGGAAGTACAGCGTCACCTCATGAGCCACCGACGTCGCGCCCAGCCGCCTCAGCCTGAAGCAAAGGTCGATCTCATGCGAGCTCACATCCGCTGGCGACGCCGAACGCAACAAGCCCGTCGTGTCGATGAACGCGCGCACCATATCCAACAGCTCCACATCCCCCGCCGCCCTCACCGACTCTGCCACCAGCCTGTGCAGCAGCGCAAACTCGGGCTGCGGGCGCGGGGCGCGGTATGCCGGGCCCACCGCGGGCGGCGTCGGTTTCGCGGGCTGCCGTGAGAGGAAGCGCAGCACGACGAGCCCGCGAAACACGCCGAAGAGCTCCTCAATGATGGGCTCCTCCCACGTGCTGAGCAGCTTCTGCTCCGCGCAGAAGTAGACGTAGATGAAGATCGCGAGGCAGAGCGAGTAGCGGGCTTCGATGGAGGCGGCGGTGAACGCGGCGATGAGCTCGCGCTGCCATTCGGGGAGAGGGGCGGGGATCGTGTCGTCCTCGTAGTCCTCGCCTTTGACGGTGCCGCCGACGAGGAGCTCGACGGCGGCGGCGAGGGCGTGGCTGAGGTCGCCGACTTTCAAGAGCTGGCCTTCCATCCAGGCGTTGAGTCCCTCGTCCTGGACGTCGTCGCTGATGATCTGCTCGACGTCGGCTTGGTTCTCGACCATGCCCGACAAGTGGAAGTTCTTGTCGGACTGGAGTACGCGAAGCACGTTATTCTCGATGGCGACCAGCGACGCGGGGCTCAATCGCGACTTGAGCTGCCAGAAGACAGAGAGGATGGAGTAGGTCTGCGACACGCCGCCGTGCTCGACAGCCTCGCGTACAGTGATGGCCTCGTCAGGTCTCACAGCGACGCCGGCACGCTCCCGCTCCACGACGAGGATATCGTCACCAGAGCGACCGAGGCAGCTCGGCCACCGCGCACTGCGCTCGATCTCCCGGCAGCGCGCAATGAAGCCCTCCCAGTCGCGCTTCAGCGCAACATTGTAGTTGTCGTACATCGGCAGGCCCGTTTGCGGGTCACGATTGAGTGTGACAGTGCACCCCACAACAGCCGCGATATTCTCGGCGACGTTGGCGTAGGATTCCCGCAGCTGCTGTGGCATTGGGCCGGGCAGAGAGCGGCAGTCCGCCGCATACTGCTCAATCGCCAACTTGAGCGTGAGCGACGAGAAGACGCCCGGGCTCAGCAGCGCTTCCAAAAACGTGTCCGCGACGGCCGGGCGCCCCATTAGGAGCTCGTCAAGGTATGCGGGGGTTAGCTCCCTTTGCGACGCGTACGTGAATGTGCGCCACGTCGTAGATAGATTTGGGGCCTCCTCAAAATTGATGTGCATCTGCTGCACGATAGACCGGCCGTGATCGTCCCAAAGCGCATATAGCTTGTCCCGCGCGACCGAGAAGTCCTGCAGGTGGTACCCGACGGTCTGTACGGTGCAGGGGATAGTGCCACAGAGCACGAAGCTCGTCTTGCGCATCTCGTAGACGTGGAAGCAGCCACCAGAGGTTGGCGACGCGGGCGAGGGGATGAAGACGATGACGCAGATGTTGTCTTTGTGTTCAACGGGTTTGAAGACACGGACCAGGGTCTGCGGTTCGGCGTCCAGGAGGACTTGATGGGTTTGACTTTGTGCGACGCCGGGGACGGGAGTGACTTCGCGGCTGGGGGTGGATGAGGCGTCAACCTTGATGGATGACACGCCAGCGTGGGGCTTCCACATACGGAGGGTGCGGTCGCGAGAAAGAGTCCATATAGGTAGGATATCAGAAGTTGAGTCCCATAGACCATCCTCCGACTGCCAGGCCGGCATTGTGGCAATGGAAATGATCTTGTCCCCTTCAGCGTGGCTCGAGTAGACGAGGGAGGATAGTTTCGCGCGCAACCCGGAGTCACTGGAAACAGACTCGGTCCATTGCTCTAAAGTGACCATGTTAGTGCTACTGCGAAGGCGCCTAGATCGTCACACACCATCTCCGACCGCATACATTGACATAGAGTCCAGTCTCAATAAAGAGCCATTGTCCAGCCCGACTACCACACACGAAGGATCCCTCGCGTGCGCGACACCCGAGAGCTTGCCGCTGCCATGCCCGATCGGATACTCGTTGATCGTCTTGAGTTCTCCCCACTGGAATTCGCCCGAGTGCACATCCTGATACACCGTGATTACAATCCGGTACAGTGACCCTATTGTCGTCACAGCGAGAATGTGCAGCTCGTCCACACTAGGGTAGAAGAAGGTTGGGGAAGGTAGGACCGGGCTGGGGAAGTGGAATCGGAGGGGAACAAGGTTGTGCTTGAGTGTCGCGAGCTCGATGAGTTCTCCGCCATTCAGCACGCGTAGCACGACTGGCCCCGCTACCCTCTTATCGTTTACGAGCGATAAAGACGCGTGTTCGTTCGGCAGGTCGTTATTCCTCCTGGGTTCATTGTTGATGTCCGCTGGCCGAACGGTAGGGACCTCGATGACATCCCCTTCGAGGGAGAAAAGAGAAGAGAAGGAAGCGGAAACGAGGAAGTGGTCGTCCATCGTGCGAGATGGGCCGCCGGGACGTGACGGTCGGGAACAAGGTGCAGACGCGTCGCGTGAAGGTCCAGTTGCAAAAGCGCGTCAGGTCAAAGCGTCGAGGCGCAAATGGAGCTAATTGTGACTTGCCATATTTGGTAATATCCTTGTGGACCCACAGGTCATCGGGACACAAGCCACGACTCGACTGTTTTGGCATCTCAAAGGCCACACGCAGCAAGTTCTCATCCTCAGCTTGCCACGACCCTTTGAGTGTACTAGGATGATCACGTCTCGTATTGACGCTCATGAACACTTTCGGGGGGTCGCCGTAACTGCTTAATGGCAGCAGTATTGCTCAGATATAGCTCCCCACACTGCGCTGCCTATCGTTCGATCAGAAAAGTTTGAGGTACAAGGATCGTCGCCGCCAGCTGACATGGTAAGCGTGTATACGGACAGAAGCTAACCATACAGATATGAGAACCCCGTCTCGCGACGTCGGAGCGGAGCAGGGCAAAGTCGACGGGGTTAACGCTCCGTCTGTCATCCAATTCCCTGCTATAACTAGTTCTCAGCCATGAAAAGCATCCCAAAAGCGTCCCGCGGGAATTGGGGGGACATGGGACGGACATGGAGCGACACCGGGCGTCATTTTACTGCAGGTCGGTCACGCCATGGCGGAGCTGCAACCTTGGAAACATCCGTCCGCCAGCAGTAGAAGATTCCAAGCGGACCAGCGCCTAGCAAGCGCTCTATGTCAGCCCCGCGCTCGCTCTATGTCGGCAGTCAATACGTAGGCAAGGACGGCAAGAGCGGGCCCTCGCCGCCGCAGGCGCTCAGCTGACGAGGTACGCGCTCGACCTTTGATCGGCAAATAAGGCTATCGAGGCCTTCTGCAGTCCGGTCAGTCAGCCGAGGGGGGCAGAGAAGAGAAGCCCCTAGGCTGACTGCGCGCACGCGTCCGCTAGGCGATCAGATGCCGCCCTCAACCCTCCGCGTAGGGCTGCGCGAGGATCAGGAGGCGGGGTTGTTGGATTCGAGGGTCGGAGAGTAGTGGGTGGAGGCGCTTCGGTGCGGATGAAGGTCCAGTCTGGGTGCGGATGAGGACGCGGGACGCGTTTCTTGGAACCCCAAAGGACCCGGCAAGTAAAAAGGCTGATCAAGATAGCCTAATCTAGAGGATAAAGGTCATTGAACCGTAAAACAGGATGATGACCTACGGATGAGACAAGGGCGGCATGCGAGGCAACAACGTGGGCGGCTGATACGCGCGCGCAACCTTCGCGACGATAGCCTTTGCAAGAAGAAGCTGTGCGCAGGGTTTTTGCAGCTTTCATTGGCAAGTGCCCATCTGTGCGATGAAAGGAAGGGAGGGAGAGGGTTAAGGTCTTCTGCGGTCTTTGGAGCGTCCGAAAGACGTGAGGATCAGTCCCGCACAGCCGATGGCTCTGCTGCCGAAGCCATATCGTCCACATACGTGCTTATGACTCTGATACGAGAAGTAAGGATATCATCAACGCCTTCGATGAGCGCCGCCGTGCGCGATGAGACTATAATCGCGAAGGTGGGCCGCTATCTGAATTGAGAGAAGAGAGGACCCTGCATGCTGGCCACGAGTATGACCTATAGCACGCCTGAGGGGCCAGAATTCCACAACGTGTCCATAAAATGATAGGAGCGCCGACAAGTATGTGATTATTACTGAACCCATTGCCCATGTCAACGAGTCGGTCCTAACATTGCAGCGAAATGAGCTACTTTCCGTTTCACTGCTTCATGTCTTTTGGGCCCTCACCCTATGTAATGTGTTGTTTTCCCATCGCACAGCGATTCATAGCGAGTTCATAAGTGACCGAGTCAACGAGATGAGCGCACGACAGAAAGAGTAGTTGCAATCTAGAAGTGACGGCATCTACCGGATATGGGAAAAAGGCGACATAGGCTTTGCTTTCCCTCCTCCTGGACCTCCATCAAACCGTGGCCCTCCTCATGCCTCGCGGCTCAGCACGCTCGCCGAGACCCTGAAACATGGCCTTCCAAAAGCGCGGAATATCTAGTACCTTCGCCGCCGACGTGCGTGCCCTCCTCGCGAGTGATCATAACCTGGAATCGGGACGGCCGGTACCCTGGTACCGTACTCTTGACAGGGTCCTCGTTTCATTGAGCCTCTGCTTCCTCGCTCTCTGCAGCAGGCGAATGAATCATCATCACTCAAAGCCCTCGGCTAGCCCGCCTGGGACGCCTGCGCTCGATTCTGTACCCTGCAGCCCAGTGCTCGACTGACAGTTTCTAGTCCCGCGGGAGACGCTGCCATCGGGCCTGCCACCCGCCCCGCTTCAGTCCGCAGGAGGTTCGCCCAAGCGCCGCTGGCTTTTGTCTGCAGTAGGTGCGAACGACAGGGGGTGTCAGCCACCAGATGAACAGCGAACGCGCCCACGCTCATGCCCGTAGCAGCTTCTCGAGCCGCCCTTTGTGTGCGCGCATATGGAACACCTTTGTTCCTTGCTCGTGCGCTCATCAAGGATGCGCCCCCGGAGGTGTCGCCGATCTATTTACATCGGTAGTGTGAAATGGAACGACCTCACGTATAGACAGGTCGCATCGCGGTCACCCTGCTGTGTGATCGGTGACCGTGCGCGAGTCAACCACATTGTTCATGCAGCTGCATGTATATAAGGGATGGGCGCGGCGAGCTTTCACCCATCTTTTTCGCCTTCTCCCCTTCTTTCTCTTTCTCTAGACTTCTCCAGTAGCCGGCTACTCCTTTTCGAGCCCACCTTAGATCGCCCCGCCCTACTTATAAGTCATGGAGCACTACTCCGGGTCTATGATGCTCTCTTTTGAGGCCCTCCTCATCCCGTCTGATGGTAAGTTGCCGTCAGAATATGCTAGCACGCGTCGAAGCAGTCACTGACGTTCCGCGGTACCGCAGGCCGCTCACCAACGCTCGTGCCTCTGGCCACAAGGTTCGTCTAGGCTGCGCCGGTCCTTCTCGGCGTTAGCTCACATTTACGTGAAGCCCCATGAGCGTGCCCAGCCACGGCATGATGTACGGCCAGCCCCCGCAGCGCATGCCTCACCCCGAGGTCTACATGGACTACGTGAGCCCCACTCTCGCCTGAATCGCATCTTTTCGGACTGACGGTATTCTCCCTCGTGCAGATCGCCGAAGGCCTTGGTCCCCGCGCTTGGAAGTACCAGGTGCGTAAACGCGAGTCACCCTTTTGTCCTTCGCTTTGCTCATCGTTTCTCCCAGCTGGTCGAGGCCCTCGATGGCATGAACCGCAAGTTCACGCAGCCATACGTGATCTTCTACCCGGTCGTCTCGCGCGACGGGATGCCGTTCCCCGTCAACAAATGCGTACGCGAGATCCAAGGGCGCTCCTACCGCGAGGAGCTCGCCTGGCGCGGCAACATCATCGTCGCCAAGTACCGCGACAGCCCCTTCACCAGCATGGTGGACGCCTCGATGGCCGACTTCCCCATCATCAAGAACTACCTGCTCACGCACGGCTCGCCTCGTTAAGCGATGGCTCAGTCGGAGCCCGTGCCCGTTGTGAATCTGAACCGTCGAATGAAGCATAGCATTGCATCGCAAAGGAAGGACTTTCACACAAAGTACATGTACATACACGCTAATATAGACTACAACCCTCTATGTATCTTCTAGTCTTGGGATAGAATATTGGTATTCTGGGATGGACGCGACGTGACGGAGCGTGATCGCGCCAACTTGGGCGTCATTTGGTCCTATCTTTCTTCTCGACTTCATCTTCCGACTTTGCTCACACTCCTTGCATACTTCTGAACGATCTGGGTGCAAGTTCCGCTCGTCTGTAACATGACGGTGACGCCGCCTTGCTCTTGGCTTCATAGGACCTCAATTTGTTGACCGGGAGTCGTGGCACGATCGCGACGCTCTGTCTGTCTGCCTCGGTCGCCGGCACTTACGCAGGACCGACGCTGTTCATGTGTGGACGGACCTTGGTATATGAAGACATAGCATACGTCGCGATCGTTCCATGCTCACATCGCGTGGCTTGCGACTCGTCAAGCGCCTGTGCAAGCTACGCTCAGCGCCTTCTCCAGCGTCCGCGGACTCTTCTTCACCTTCTTTCTCACGTGTGGCCACATAAAAGACAAGTCAGGTACTTGATCGCATTCTTCGACGCCCTCGAAGTCCAATTGCTATACATAGCCCAGAGCGCTTCGCGAAGTACATTCAGTATGCCACCCAACAGACGGTGACACTGGAAACAAGCCCGGCATCCAAGTCCAAAAGCGAGATAGACGACACGATCACAACTCCCCTTCCACTTTCTTCGATTCCTTCCTTCGGGACTCTCTGGGCGGAGCCCCTTGTCTCTCGCTGGTGTCCTTCTTGAACTCGTCGCCCCCCGTGTCTTTCGGGGCGGACTCGGCCTTCTTAGCCTTACAGTGCTCCGGAATCGGCGTGTTAGGGTCGATTGGCTCGTGAATAACACGCCCGACTCTCCAGTAGTCCTTGTGGTCCTTGTAGAAGTCCTTCCAATGCTGTATCCCCTGTGATAGAGTCATAGATTGGCCTCTGCGTTTCAGCGATCTGCGGAACCTCTACCTTGAGCTCGCTCTCGCTCAGCCCGCGTAGGTCATGCGTGAGGTGTGTCTTGAAGCAGCCCGTCCCAAACGCGCGCGCCGCGTCCTTCCCAGCGCTGAGACGCGTCCGTGTCAGCGCGAACGTCGCCCAACTTACGCTACCAGACTCACAAGAAGCTGTAGGAGCCGCCAGGTCGGTATGCAGACCCTTTGCTCACATCATAGACCTCCCCGTCGATCTGTCAATGTAGGGTTAAGCATCGGCGCCGCCACGCCCAACTCGCGCATACGCACAGCAAGGTAGACAGGGCGTCCGGGTACGCTCCCATCGTACTGCGCGAGCATTCGGTCCGTGAAGAGACGCTCGCCGCCCCACTGCGCGTTGACGTGAGTCTCGGAGAAACCAGCAATGCAGCGAATTCACTCACATTCGGCGTGTACGTCTTCAGGTGCACCCACTTCCCATCGTATCCCCAGACAAAGCTCCCGGTGAAGAACTTGCCCGCGAGGAGGAACAATAGGAGTGCGTATACGAGCCCACGTAACAGACCGAGCACGCCAATCTCCTGTGGCACCGTCGGGTCAGGCTCCTCGGGCCCTACCTTCTCACCGCGGGCGATTTTGGCGTCTCGCTCCTGCTTGCGCTCGAGCCATGCCTCATGCGCCGCTTGTTGCTTGTCGCGATATTCTTTGTATCTTTCATTCACATTTCGTCAGTCCGCTCGCCCAAGTCTCACCATACAAAAAAACCATAAAACCGCTGACTCACGCAAGAAAAGGCTGGTTCGCTTTCTTCGTCGACACCATGCGTCCGGGTATCGACGGGTCCGGGACCTTGGGCGTGTCGTCGGGCTCCCTGTACGGCTGCCGAGGCTCAGCGCCCGGCGCGAAGTCTCCCAACCACGACATGCTGCTGATGCTGATGGGTGTGGCTGGCAATGTGCAGGTCCACGACCTATCCCGTGCCACGTATTTCACCGCCCTCACGCGCGTGCTGCCCCCGCGAGGTGCCTAGAAGACGCACGAGAACCGCCTGATGGTCCACTGGAAGCCTGGTCGTGCGCGCAGAATAGAGTTCGCGGGCGGAAATCTGGATCTCTATGACGGTGGGAGGCAAGCCTGAGAACGGTGATGAGTGCGCTTGTTCACCGCCGTTTGCCGCACCGCGCCACACATTCCGCCGGCAACGAAGAACATTTATACCATCTACTCGACACTGACCCTGTCCAGTTCTACCTGCAGCGCATGTCGCTCTCCCGTCTTTTTCGGACACTTCGCACGACGGTCCGCAAGTAGCATTGCATACATCAAACCGGATTAGTTGTTACATGTATGCAAGGGATAGTCATATTGAAAGATTGTAATTAGTCGGGAGACGAAGCCCGAGAGTTGAGTAATGTACCGTACAAATTACAGCTCGTCGTTGAGGGTGGTGAGAGGGAGGAGAGATGTGAGAACAGGCGGGAGGAGAGGTAGGCAGACAGGGGGGTGAGAGGATTGAGGAGAGATAAGTAAAAGGGAACGCCCAGCCCAACGACGAAGGAGAAAGGCGGAGTATTAGGCGAGCAGATGTAAATGCGGGTGGCGACCGCGGGCATCCCCCAGGGCTGCCGCGGCGCGCCATGCTATGCGTGATGCAAGAAAGCCAAGACAATAAAAAAGATGAAGGGAGCCTAGGAGGAAACATAAGATGCGCATAGGGGAGATTGTGCGAGGCGGGGACAGCGACCGTGAGTGCGACGAGGCAGCGTGCGATATAGTACCTGTGCAAAGCATGTGCGAGCAACGAGAAAAGCATACAAGACCTGAGCGGGCGAGACGGACGGCTAGCCTATGGCGTCGCCGGCGTCTCCTGCTGCTGGGCAACGCCTGTGCGGTTTTGGTGTTCCCGCTCGCTGCCCTGCTGCGAGATGGTGATGTACGCCCCGCCGGTCTCCTCTTGTCTCAAGCCCGGGGGCATGGTCGGGTTGTTGGCCGACAGCTGCTTGATGTCGTTGTCGGTCGGGTCGAAGTCGTCGTCCCAATCGCGCATGGCGAGGAACTTGGGCGTTTTGATGAACTGAAAAGGCGTCGTTAGCAATTCGCGGGAGCACAGCGAACAGGCAAGCTCACCTTCGGAACAGAGTCGGTGGCCATCAGACGGAAGACGTGCGTCTGAATGCGCTCGTACAGCCGGATCATGTTCTGGAGCTGGGTCGCGTTGAACGCGTTCGCCTGCTCGGGCTCGACACGTCCGGAGAACGCCTTGCCCGTGAGATTGGTGACGACGTCCTCGAGGTACTTCGCCAACTCGTTGCGCAGGTTATGGTCGATGTTGAGCTCGCACTGACTCGAGGGCGCGAGGTAGGTGTTGTAGATCACGAACGCCGTGTTGATGAGCGACTCGTGGTGGCGCTCCATCGCCGCCTGACCGGGCGTATTGCGAGCGCCGCGCGGGTTGTTGGCCTGCGCCGAGGAGGTGATGTTGAACTTGCGCTTGAAGTCCTGGACCTCAAGCCAGAAGGACAGGTTCTCCTCGCAGAAGTTGCCGCGCAGGAACTCGCGGAAGAGGGAGCGAAGGGGAGGGTCCTCAAGAATGTACCGGAGGCGCTCCGTGTTGGACTCCTTCGACTTCTTGTCTGAGACCGTGTTAGCGCGATTGAGCTTGTTGGCGACCGACACCCGCCGCTGAAGCCTGGGATTGCCGTCGCCGTGTCCACGCGAGATGGACTCACCATGGTCGTGGTGGTCATCGACCGAAGAGCGCTCAGTAGAGACGTTTGTGTTCGAGGCACTCGGCGAGTCCACGCGCTGGTCCCAGTGCGCAACACGCTTCCCCTCCTCCGTGATCTTGTAGATCGCTTTCGACGTACACCGAAACTCTCCTTGTTGCTGCAAAGAAGGTCAGAAAAAGCAACGAAAAGGACGGGAAAGCGACATACAGAGACGGGCGAGTTACCGCCGGGCGCTGAACCGCGGACGGTGAAGATGATCGCGGAGTCGTTGTTCTTCCGCTTGTCACTGACGAGGGTGATGAGGCCGAAGCGCACGAACTGCGCGGCCATCTCCGCCGCCTCCTCGCGACCGACAACCGAGGTGAAATCGCAGAGCCACTCCAACGCATGAACGGCCTGGAAGCAGTACTTGTGCTGCTGCTGGGCCTTGCCGAGCAACGGCTGCGCCCTCTCCGTGACATCGACGAGGCCGATGCCCTTCGAGCGCTCGTTGTAGCGCTGGAAGGGGTCGACGGGCTGGTTGGCCGCGGACTGGTAGTTGGGCGAGCGGCCGACGAAGCGGCGGAAGAGGGCGGTGATGACGGACTGGGTGACGATGATCTCGTCGTCGGCACTCCTCCGCTCGAGGTGCAGAAGCTTGATGCAGATGGGCTGCGTGGCGAACACCTGCTGGAGGTGATCCGAGTTCATGCCGTTTCGTGAGATGAAGCGCTCCAGGACGTGTAGGCCCTTGGGCGTGAGCTGGTAGACGCCGCGATCCTTGAAGAGGTTCAGGGAGGGGTCGGCGGCGTTTTCGATTAAACGGGCGTCCATGAAATGCTGGCACATCGCCTTCGCCATGTCGCGTGTCATGGAGAACGTCGTCGTCGTCGTGGTCGTCACTATGCGTGTTGGGTCTCTGGGATCCGGTCCCCGATTAGATTGCGAGAATTTGAGGGAGGCGAGGTTCGCGGCTGCCTGGTCGCTGGAGGAGGGCGTGTCGTCAGCTTATCAGCGCGCGGGTCTTTGCGCAGACGACGCACGTTGTGAAGGAATTAGGGAAGGTCCTGAAGAACTGCTTGTTCGGCGCGAGCTCTAGCGATACTACTAATGTAGCGAAGAGGTCCAAGGTGTCCTGGAGGGCGATGTGGGTGAGCTGGTGCGCGCGGACGCCGTGGCTTGCGGCGACGCACCTTCAGGAAGGGCCGCCCGCGCTTCGTCGTCTTCATCATGTGCGACGACGTCGTCGGAACCTGTTCGTGGTCGGCGGGCATGGCGGGCAAAGGAGAGATGAAGAAGAAAAAGAAAATGGGAAGAGGGAGGAAGGCAAGCGCAGCGGCCGTCCAAAGTTGGTAAAAAATATCGAAAACACGATGGCAACCGGGTGGGGGCCGGCCCCCCGCCCCTTAATTGGTCCTCCTGTTTCACCACGTGTATGAATGAATTCCTCTGCTCCCGCCCGCCCGCCTTCGATCCCTGCGTCTTTCTCGCAGGAAGACTGAGATCCGCGTACGCTTTTGCTTGCTGTATGTCGACCATTCTCTCGACACAACAGGCCTCGCGCCCCCAACACACACCCACACGTGCAGCCCCAGTCGGTACATAATCATCAGGCACCATGCTAACCGGACGGCCACGCCGGATTGCGCAGGCCGGCGTGTCCACTGTATCGAAATCTCGCGATTAGTTTATGTATCGCCGCACGTCGCTCGCATAAATCCACGCTGCATTTTACCAGCGACGCCCCCCGGTTGCGCAGGCGTCGTCGAGCGAGGCAGCTACGCGACACACGCTGCTCGCGGCCATCTCGGCAGCCCTCGCTCGCCGCCCACGCTCCCGCGCATGTCATTGTCGCACGTTCCCCGCGGGCCATCACGCGCATCAAGGACGCAAGGTTCAGGAAATCGAATCTGTGCACCTGAACATGCCGCTGAACGCTCCCGAGCGCGCCCCATTGACCTGCCATATCAGGCAACTCCCATCGCCCGCCCCGGCCGGGTGTGCGGATCAGCGTCCCCTTCTGGTCGATTCCCCACTTTCCGGCGGGCGAAACTCAATTATCGCTGGCCCCGACAGGCCTCAGCGGGGCACGGCGCGCACAGGATCCTGGATCTCATCCAGAGGCGGACGCGTCAGCCCCCGGCTCTCTGCACCGCAGAATGTGGCAAGCATCTCCGGCGCGCCACTATCAGCGACGATCAGCTCGCCTCCGGCCCCATATCGTCATCCTGCGCGACCTCCCAGCCTTCGTGAACCTCTCCGGCCTCTCATCGTCCTCCGCACGTGTATTTCTTCCGACTTCTGCACGGCGATCCCCTGTCCTTGTCCCCGACGATCTCGCCAATCTCTGCCTTCGACCGCCAATCGCTGGCTTCTCCGAGCGCCAATCGCTGCCTTCTGCTCGGTCTCGCCTTGCCTCGCCCCCATCGCGCCGGTGTTGCGCCGTACAACCGCCAATTTCCAGTGACAGCAACAGCCTCGTTCACCACAATCTGCCAACGCCGACAGCGGTCTCGCACTAGGTGATGGAGACTGTTCCTCACGCGACAGAGACAGTTGGGAGCCAGTCCAGCACGCGACGGACACGGCCTGCGTCATCGTCATGCCATTCAATTTCCTCTCGACCCCACTCAATTATCTCCGGTCCGAACTTTTCGACTTGTCGACTTTATCGGACGTGCCGGCGGTAGACATGCATGTTGTGATACGGAAGAGCGCGCCGGTGGTTTAAAGAGCACGCTGATGTGCAAAGGAACAAGCCGATGTGCCAGAGTGTGCCAGGGGAACGCGCCAATGGTACACGCGAATGGTCCGACGCGATGTATGCTTGCTCCGACACGATATATGACCGCGCCGATGCTATGTCCGACCGCGTCGACGCTATGTGCGAGAGTTGCGACGCGACAGGAACGCTATGCAATCAAAACCCAGCGCTATATGATCACGACTCGGCGCTATGCACTCACGACCCAGTGCTATATAATCAGAATCCGACGCATATACTCGCCATCCGACACTGTATGCAAGCTTACCGACCTTGTATGCGACCTTACCGACCTTGTATGCGATCGTACTAGCCTACATCAAAGCCTCTCGCATCTCCCCGAACATACAGTTGACTCCCTCTTAACGCATACCCGTTCGTGGATGTCCCATGTTATGCCCTTTGAGAGAGTATGACTTACGGGAAATTCCAAGAAAATTAATATTGGTTCGGCAAATCCCGGTGCATGCCTTTTGGTCGGGTTGCCGATGTATTTCCTGTCAAGATCATGTCAGTTATCATGCACATGTTATCGTAAGGAGCCTAGCACTTACCTGATTGCGAGAAATGCCCCCATCGTGAGTTGGCTGTGATAAAATTGTGAACTACATACTCCAACTTGGACCCATAACCTGCCTTATACGGCGCGGAAATCCAATCCTTTATGCCTTTCGGACCCCGCCCTCACCATGCCTTATGAGATATCAGGTAGTTATGCCTTTTGCCAGCCTACCAAGTTGGTGGCGCCCAAAATGTATGCCTTTTCAGGGGTTATGCGTTATGGGGGCTATGCGTTAGGAGGGAGTCAACTGTAGCCGCTTGTGAGGCTTCGGTATGGCTTCACGGGTCTACGACACGGCGTCATAGGTTCCTGACGTAGCTTCACGGGTTTCCGACGTAGGCTTACGGGTCTACGGCGTGGGCTCATGGGTTTACGACATGGGTTTACGGGTCTACGACGCGGCTTCATGGTATGCGATACTGGTTTCGTGGGCTTACGGAAACTCGTCTGGATGGATTTACTGCTTGTCTGTGCTGTCGACGTATTTGGATTGCTTACCCAGAGGTGACCGTACCGCCTACTGCATGGTTTTACCGCTGGCTCCAGACAAACTCGGCCCTCTGCAATGATACACTTGTACAACCCCCTGCATAAATTCTGATCCACGTTCGCTGCCCCTACGTACATCCGTACGCCTCTCTGACCTCACTCTGGTCTCCTCCTGCGCCTCTCTGACCTCACACCGCTCGCAACACCCGCGCCCTCAATTTTGGTCACTCCATTGTTCGACGGAATGGGAGGCTTCATTTCCGTCGGGCGGGGCTGGCTTCGTCGAACGGAGGTGACGATCCCGTCCATCAGGGCTTGCAGTTCCTCCAATGGCAGTCCTTCCGACAACCCCTACCAATGGAATTCACTCCGTGTTGATGCTCACAAATGAAGGCGCTTCGCCGACCCTTCATAAGCATTCCCCCTTGTTGACGTTGATGCCGCCCTTGCAAATACGCTGATCCCCCCTCGCAAAATGAAGACCCTGCATATGTGCTTCCTCCTTGTTGACGCCCACAAACGTCAAGTCCCCATGTGCACTCGCCTTGTTGACCTCACAAACACCTCACGAAGCTCGTACCCGGCGCCTCTGGTATATTCTGCCTATTGTTCATCGGAGTCTCTTCGCGCATATACTCACGTCTCTTCCCTCCGCGGCGCCCACATTCCCAGACGCGGCGCCCACATTCCCAGATGCGGGACCTACATACTCAGGCGCGCCACACTTGACTTCTAACGATTCAGCTATGCGACGACAGCGATCTTTTCGGGATACATACGCGCAGCCATGGCATTCCAATGCGCTCCGAACGTCTACCATTGCACTCCGAACGTCTACTCATGCGCTCCGAGCATCTACTGCGAGGCTCCTCGAGGCAACGAACATGCTCCATCGGCGGAGATCCTTTTGACTCTCAAGCTCAATGAGAACACCTTCGAAGCCCTACGCCTGCCGTAAAGACGAAGTCCTCGCATGTCCTTCCTGTCGTGGGGATGTTTCTGTCCTGACATCCCCCGCGAAGGCCTAGCTTGCGAAGCCCAACCTCTCCTGGCGACAAATGCCTCTCGTTAGCCCCGAAGACCTTCGACCCGCGCCCTGTTACGCGCCACATAGTCTCGAGACGTGTAATTCGCCACCACGACCGTGTAAATCGCCTCTCCGACCGTGTACATCGCCTTTCCGACCGTATACATCGGCTCTATGCGCGCCGTATGCAACGGACATTGGCTTCCCGGTCAAGGAGTCGTATAGAACGTGAAACGTCTTCTCGGTAAATTGAAGATTCGTTCTCTTTGCCCTCGCAACGCTCTTGTGTCTCACTATAAGCGGTCTATAGCTACGTTTCTCTGACGCTTCCACGGCTTTACTTCACAGGGTTCTCTCCGGAAGGCTTTGCATCAGCATCTCTTCCTCGCATTTCTCAGGCGTATACATCTTCTTCTCTTTTGCGCCCTTGCTCTTCGTCTCTTTTCGTTCTCTCTCTAGGATTTTTATTCGTCCTCTCGCCAGGGGTTCTATTCGTCCTGCCACCGGGTTCCTTTTCGTCCTTCCTTCGGCTTCTCATGGTGGAACTCCACCGGTTCCCTATAGGAATCTGTCCGTGTTCCTCTTTCTCCTTACCTCGGTTTCCCCTACGTCCTCCCTCCGCGTTCCTTTCATACCTTCGGAGAGCACTTGCTTGATCCGGGCAGGCTCTGGATCTGCGGCGGGCTGGTCGCCTTGCGTCACTGATGTGCTTGTGTGAAGTACTGATGGCGGAGCGGCCAGGTCAGTGACGGTGCATCCTAGACTCACAAGGAAGGCCATCACGACAAAGACGTCCTCCCATCACTTACAGAGGTCCCTCTTCCGCTTCTCATTGTTCAGCATACGCTTCTCCGCGTTCAACATACGTTTCTGATTGTTTAACATACATTTCTCCGCGTCCAGAGTAGGCTTCCCATCTGTCAACATACCCGCTCCGCCTCCTAGTTGCGCCGAGGCGCATGCGATGGCCGCTGGTGTACGTACAAGTACGCTGGGGTACGCACGCTGGAGGCCGCGATCTCGCAAGATCAGGCGGATGCAGGACAGCGTCATATGGGTACTTGCAGCCTGGGGCGGCATTGTACAAGAGGGGGGTGTCATCTTACAAGATGGGGGCGGCATCATTCTAATCGTCGGCGGCCACTCGTACTTCTCAGGCCGCACTGCCAGATCATACTCACGCTTTTCGCAGCGGGATCGCCAGCATCTACGTTCTAGGGCGACAGCGAGCGGCTGCCGCGAAGGATCGAGCGTGGGCCGGGCAGAACTGTGAAGACTGGGGCGACTGCGATATCGGATTCGGACCACCTGGGACTTTCGACTAGAACACTTGAGGCCCTTTCGGAGAGTAGCACCGTAGTGCTATGGGTTCTCGGAGCATAGTACCGTGGACTCTCGGAGGGAAACGTCACGTCTTTTCGGAGGCTTGCACCGAGCTCTCTCTCGGACGGCTGCATCTCGACCTTCGGAACACGGCTTCTTACCTGCATATCAGTCCATCGCCGACGCCCAAAGCTCTATTCTCTCGATGGCCAAGTCTCTACTCTGGCGCTATACACGCCTACGTCTTCGGTCCACGACCCTGTCTTCTATGCACGCGCTCATGGCAGCTGTGAGAGCCCTCTCGCCTCCCCAAGGCTTCGCTGTCTACCTCGGTGGGCTCTGTATTGTATACTCGCACCTCGTCAGCGCGCACGGTCCCACCTCAACGCCCACGGCCGCGCCTTTAGTGTATTCTAACCCCCACGTCACCTTCGACCGTCTCTCCCACCCGCCAGCGACGCCCTTCCCACCCCTCCAGATACCCTTCCCCCTCGCCCAGATCCGCCGAATCTGAGGAAGCGAGCGATCAGCAATGTTGACGGCGTGACGTATGCGTCAGCGGGCCTCGCGATCTTGTGCGTGCGGCCTTTCGTTCTCAGGCGACTGATATATGCGTGGCTTTGCTTCTCCGGCAGTCGGTCTTATTTTCTCAGGCAGGCGGGGCCTTGCTCTCAGGCGCCCGGTCATTTCTTCCCAGGCGCCTACGCGGATCCTCCTGCTATTCAGTCCCTCTATTCTAGCGCCGTTCCTCGCGCTCTCGCTCTTCCTCGTGCTTCCACTACCGTGCCCCGCGCTCTCACAGCCGCTCCGCAATCCATCTCTCTACCGATGAACCGCTCACCCAGGCCTTCGGCGGCTCATTGTACTCTCGTAAACCTCATTGTATATTCTCGTAAGCCTCTGCTTCTGGCCAACTCATTGCACATTGCGCAGGCTCACCGCATACTTCCCTGGCCCATTGTACGCTTCGCCATCTCGCCGTGCCTTTCATGCTCACACAGTAAATCCTCCTTCTCTCACAGTGAAGCTGCGGACGTACCGTCGGCTCGCACAAATGGCGCGCTGCCATCCACGAGACTCGCTCCGCCTACAGATATGTTGCTTCGCGGGCCCCTGGTAATGCTTCGCTCATTCACTCCTGCCGACCTGGGCTATGCGTCGTTAGGCCTGTCGTATATTCCGGACTATGGACTTCGTACATTTCAGTCAGCTGCATGGGAAGTAGCTGTACGCATCAGCCGCCTCTCAAGCAATCATCAGCTGCCTCGCAGGCTGACCGGTATAGTAAGCTTATACTGTATGAGAACTCACAGCGAATTCGCAGACATTACCTGCGATCTACCATCTGCTCCTCTTCATTCAGTCTCGAAGGGATCTACAAGGCGAGGAACCCAGACTGCGAGCCGCCCGTGGCGCTCGGATTTGAACTGTGCTGTGTGAGAACTCGAGAGCGAATATACTCGATTCTATGCATGACGGATGAGAGGATTCTGCATATCACACACGACTCGTGCACTATGATTCCCGTGAGCAAAATCAGAAATGAAGATCGGAGAGACATCTCTGTACTGCAAGGACCATGAAGGACGGAGAAAAAAATCGTGACTATATCGACGACCGGTGCATGCCCCACAGCCGACTTGAACGACTGACCTTCGCATCGAACGTTGTACGAGTGCGACGCTCTACCACTGAGCTAGCAGGGCTTATACACCCTGAAAATCTTCACATCCAGTTCGAGCCGGTCTTTTGCTAACGCCTACTGAAGACGGCTTCGAGCTAGCCTTGGTGCACCTCGCTCACCCCTATCATCCATGAACAGACCGTCTCTATATACGAACGGTAAGGCTATGCCTAGTAGTGTAGGTATGTGCGGCACATCAAGGGATGGGTAGAGTAGTAGACAGCGAGGGAGGACGGTATATACATGTGTCGGTGGGAGTGCTGAACGTGTATGGTCGGGGTATGGACCGTATAGTCAGGATATCACCAAGCTGAGGAACGCGGTGGTGTCACCGCTCAGGGAGCCAGAGTACAACATCCATGAAAAGAGGTGTTCCGGTGGAGCAAGACAGCTCCGCGCTGAAGCAAGAGGGCCCGTCGCTCTTGCTCCTGGATGGTCGTACCCTGGCTGCCCGACCGTCGCGCGCCCGCCCGCGTCCCGCATGTAGAGTAAGGCGTCATCAACAGCGCGAGTAGAGTATGTATACGCGCACGCGCGCAGTGCGGAAGAGAGAGGGAGGGCGGAGAGGAGAATACAGAGATGATAGTAAGAGAGAAGAAAGAACAAGTGAGAGGAGGGACTAGTAATGATGCAAGCATATAATGATGATGCAGGGCGGTGGCCTATATGCGCCTCTCCGCGGTGATAACAAACAAAGATGGGACCGGACTCGCCAGTACGCCCAAGGGAGGGAAGAAGTCGAGGGATCCGTAAAGGTATGCCCCGACAAAAGTGTGGCCGCAGGCCTCGCGGGTATGATGACCGGCACAGGGTAGGGCGCGCCTCGTGGCGTCCATGTCCTCGCCGACGGCGGCTGGCTTCGCGGGTGGCAACTGTGCTGGAGGGCGACAGCGCTAGCCCAACGACAGTGTCCTCGCACCCGCCCTCTACAACCTCAGCCTCCCCGATTGCGCCGTCGACTGCGCGACCACCTTCGCCATCGAGCCCTTGATGACATGCTTCTCCACCGTGTTCGCGTTGAACCCCGCGCTCGTGTGGTTCGTCCGCCGCAAACGTCCGTCCTTCACCGCCTCGGTGGATATCGGCTCCGAGTGCGGCAGACGGTTCGTCGTGTCCGTGACGGAGTTCGAGCGACGATGTCGTTGCTGCTGGGGCTGGTTCTTGCCGCCGCTCTGGGCAGGGAGAGGGACGACGTTGCCTGACAAGGCAAATCAGACGACGAAAGATAAAATTGAGAAGTATACGCACCAGCATAAGACAACCCATCCTTCTCGCTGTGGAACCAATGTTCGCGCTTGCGCTCTGATACCCTGCAAAGTCCTCGTAAGCATCTACCTCTCCTTCCACGAACAATCCTACCCACCTCCTCAACGGCCTCCCATCCGGCCCCAACGGCGAGAACACCCCATCCTCCCCTTGCGAGTAATGCGCCAGCATCTCCGTCTGGCTCTTCAGCACCTCCGGCCCGACCGTCGAGAACGACATCGGCGACCTGGGGTCGCGGTCCGCGATACTCCGGTCGCCAACAAAGGCTGCCAGCCGCTCGAGCCCTGCGCGCATCTTCGCGTCGCGCTCCTCGAGCGTGTCCGCGACGAGGTCCGAGCGCGCGGGCGGGAGGCGCGTGAGGAACTTGACGAAGGTCTGATTCGCGATGGACGCGTTGCCGGGGACGATGCTTAGCGCACCGGAGCCACCTGTGTGCGCGTGCGGGTCAGCGATTGCGCGCGGGGCATTGCGGGTGGGTGCGGGTGAGAGCGAGCATATGGGTAGGAGATTGTGGGTGAGACACGGGGCGCGAGGTGGTGGTGCGGGAAGTGTGGCGCACCTTTAACTATGAACAGCTTCGCGCCGCCCTCTGCGTTAACCAACTGGGTGACAAGTTTCTCGGCGTGGACAATGGGACACGTCTCGTTCTTGTCGCCCTGGAAGCGCGGGGGACTTTAGCAGACCGAATGGTTGGCGTGCGGGGTGACATACGTGAATTACGAGAACAGGTTGGGTGATGGCGTTGTATACACTTTTGTTCAGCGGTGTTCTCTGGGTGGGGGGTCAGTTGTTGTTCGGGACTCGCGGATGAGAGGCATAGGAAGATTTATCCTCGGTCCCAAAGAACCGCATATGGATACTCTGTGGGGCTTTTTGAGTCGAAAAAGGAAGGAACGCACATGTAAAAGCACATTGATGTTCTCGACCAAACGTAACCGTTGGCGAGGGGCTGCTGACGTCTCCCAGAATTCGACAATCTAGTGTGGCAGGTTGGTATCAATCTGGTATGTGAGGGGGGTAAACGCACGTCGTCTTGCAGGTCTGGATCGCATTCTTGCTGTGGACAATGAGTATGTGCGGTGTTACAATGTATGCGAAACGCACCTGGCCGACCAAAAACGTAACGGCCTCCATCGCGACATGTTCTAATGACTCGAGGTCCTCCGCGCCGCACCAAGACGCGATCATCTCGTCGTACGCGGTGTACACCCAGAACAACCTGCGCGCATGTCAGCAGGGGACGTCGGGTTACACAGCGCAGCACGCACTCTGTCGGCGCGGGCACGTTCACTAGCGTCAGGCTCAGGCAGAGGTCGGGGAATCTGTAGCGACGATCAATCAATGTGGCGTCATGGGGTATGTGCGCGCGGCGTACAGTGCAGCGAAGCGCATCGCGGTGTTGACGGACATGCCCTCGAGCGCGAGAATGTGACAGGGTGGGAGGCCGAGCATCTGGGGAGGTGTTAGGAGGGTACGGGGGCGGGGCGGAGCACGCACGGAGTGACAAAACGCCAGGTCGGCAGCGTCTGTCCAGCTGTCGTGCCGACCGCTGGGGCGCGCACGCGAACGTCCATTGACGCGATTGTCAAAGGCTATGAGGTTGAAGCCATCGTCGAGGCGGAGGTCGGAGAACTGGTTGTGGACCCAGGTCGAGTCGAGGAAGTTGGGGTGGAGAATAACGACAGTGGGTTTCTCTGGGTCGAAGCCGCCGACGTTGTTGAAGAGGGTGTTAGTCTTGTAGTGGATGCGCGCGTAGTCGTCGTTGCTGTACAGGTCGACGTAGGGCATGGCGGTCTAGGACATGAGGGCGAAATACAAAATTACAGACGTCCCCCGCTCAGGGCCAGGCAGGCAACAGGGGTACTTTGCCCGTTTTCGGCGCCGATCAGATCACCATAATTGAATGCATTGCGTCTATCCAGAATGGCAACTGCGCGGGGACTTTACGGCAGACTTCCCATGTCTCTTCATGTCGGGGAACATACGGGCTTGTCCTGTAGCACTCATTGCCCCCTCCTCAACCCCCTCCTGCCGCCCCCCTCCAAGGCCCAGGGCGTCGCAGCCACCGCATTCGTCATCGGAACCAGCCCGCACCTTCTTCCAAGAAGCCCGGCTGAAAAGAAGTTCCCATGACCACTCCTTATCAGGATGCGCGCCTTCGTGTACGCCGCCACATCGTGATCACCTGCGTCCGAAGGTCCCGTTGGCGATGGCACCCTTCACGGCCCTCTTCATCCCTTGCAATCGTCTGTTCGGGCTCTGCAGGAAAGGGATGGCGCGAGGTGACGACCGACAGGAGGCTACGGCAAGAAAGCCGCCCGCTAGCTTCGCATGGGCGCCGCTTGCCACCGGACTGACGGACTCGACCCCTAAAGCGCGAGGTTGGGACAGTCGTTGTCGGTGAAGCGCTCATGCTTCAACGACGAGCGGACAGCGCAGGAAGCACCGGCGGTGGGCGCGACGACATTGCCATATACTGCCCAACACCGGGGAACCGCCGCGATACCTCGGGCTTCGTGACTCACCTCCGACACCACGCCCTGGATTCTCGTAGGCCGCTACTTGGGCTGGACATTCAGCTAGTGCGGACAGAACATCGGCAAGGAGCATGTATTCTAACGCCCGCCAGCCAATATACAAGAATGCCGGAGTTCAACATTGCATTGTTTGTCACTATTTGCTCCTCTACACGGAAGTAACTCAAAAATGCCACCGCTGACAGCGAAGCCAGCTTCGACAACGGGAGCAAAACATGTCCATGTTCGCTCGATGCTCGCAGTCCGCCACACACCTGCTTGCTGCCGGCCTGACCTGCTCATCGTCGGCCCTCATACCCGCTCGCAGTCCGCATCAAGAAGGTCTCTAAAGTCAAGTCGCCGACGGAATAACGAGACCGCACCGTGAGCTCGCCGCGACGGACGCGCCGACCTCGCGGGCAAGAATGGACTGGCGATCTCACTCGGTGCTAGATGTCCGTAGGAAATAGGAATGCAGCCGGCCATATGTGCAGTGTGCAGGGTGCATCATTATGCAGATCCCTCGCTCGACATGGACACGTAAAGCGTACGTCGGATTCATTGAGGCGGAGGCGGGCAGTCATCATGATTTTCATTCTGAGGGATTTGAGGAATTGCAGTGAACGTACGGCGGGGAGAACAGGCAGAGTAGGAATCACTGAGGGACTCACCTGCAGCGCTAGAAGGGCATCACTGAAGCGCAGGCGCCCAGATGAGCAAACAGATGACCACGAGCAACAGGGTCCAACATACACATCGGCCGAAAGGATATTCGGAAAAAAGCTGGCAGTCAGGCGCGCAAACAAGTCGTGTATTCCAGCATACCCAATACCCTGTACAACATGGACCCAGATTCCAATAGCTCACATTTTCTTGAATCAAACACGATACTACAACCCCTCATCGATCACCCTCAAGCCAACCCGAAGAACCTCAGCACATCATTCGCCTGCTCGGGCACCGTGTGCCCCACGCCCTGCGCAAAGATCGCCTCAAAGTCGGGACCGTACGTCGTGCGCGTGTACCCCGACAGCGGGTCGTTCGACGAGTTCGTGCCCGAGCCCTCGGCGTAGCCGAGGACGTTGGTCCACTGCTTGACCTCCTCGTAGAAGTTCTGCGGGTAGAGCGTCGTGTCACTGGGAGGGGGGAATGAGTACGGGACGGGCTGATGAAAGGAAGGTATACTCACGCAGACCCGTGCCAGACCTGCATCTTCGGACGCGTCCCGCTGAAGCCGGAGTAGCCGCTACGGGCTTGGTCGCCCTGAGAGGCGTTAGTATCGTGTATCGCTTTACGCTAACGAACAAGTCGATCTACTCACCCATTCCTGTGCGCTCTTGATAACTGCGGGAAAATGTTCAATCATCCGATGAACAACGAAGGATAGATGAATCAACTCACGCTGCCCCTGCGCGCACTGCGAGTTCCACATCGACGGGCCCGCGAAGCAGCCGTAGGGCACGCCCGAGAACGCCGCGCCAGCCGCGAAGAGGTCTGGGTAAGCACCGATGAGGACCTGGTGAGTAGCACAGTTGTTTAGCATGAGCCAAACCAACGACTACACGAAGCTACTCACATTCGTCATCATCGCCCCCGAGCTCGTCCCCGTCGCGAACACGCGCGCCGGGTCCGCGCCGTACTGGTCGATCGTGTAGCGCACCATGGACGCGATGCCGAGCGAGTCGCCGCCCGCGTCGTGCGTGAGCGTCGCGTCCGAGTGGACGTCCCAGCAGCCTCCAGAGTCGGGCGCGTCGGGGTACTGGGGAGGTTTTGGGTGAGTAGGCGTTCGCATAGAATGGGGAGATGAGGGGTGAAGGCGACGGAGAAGAGGAAAGGGAAGGAATAGTGAAGGACGAAGTGAGGGGAAGGACAAGCCACTGACGATGACAATGAAGCCCATGCTGTTCGCCAAGTTCGCGTACTGCGTGCCCTGGAAGTACGCCTGCGCAGTGCCCGTGCAGTAATGCATCGCGACGATGATCGGCGGGTTCGCGGCGAGCTGGTCGGGGACGTAGATGAACCTGCGTAGCGATGTGAGTGTCTCAGTCGTTGCCTACGTTCACTCGTGCAAGACGCACATCTGCACACCCGTGGGGTTGGTACCGAAGTTCGAGACCTGCTGCAAGGAGGCAGCGCTCGCAGCGCCAGCGGCGGCGAGCAGGGAGGTGACCTTGGAGAATTTCATGGCGAGCGCTGGACGTGTGGTAGACCGGTTGTCGATGTCGAAGGGAGCACCATGCGCTCTTATAGGTATCGCGGCGGCTGATACAGAGCTCGTGGAGTCTCGCATAGTCACCGCGAAGGCTCAGAGACGGATCGCTGAGAAGGATCAGCAGGCTCTCAGACTTACCGACCGCGCGGGATGCGTTGTATAGCGGGAGGCCGCGACGCCTTCCTCGCCGACTGCCACGCTGGAAGGAATATCCGCGACTGCATATGCGAGTATCCGGTCACATGAGCGCGATCCCAAGTTAACACCAGGTCGATGGACGAGGGAGTTTACCGGCGGGTGAAAATATGAATATATTCCCCAGGGATCGCCCGAGGAAGAGTCGGCGGGCCGTCAGTACATCCTCGGAGGACGCGTCTATTCGCTAGATTAGTGGGCGGTGGGAATTCATCTACTTACCCCGCACTGCCTGATCTCGAGGACGGTCGAGAACTTCGGGACTATGTCGGTCGGAGGCTTCTTTCCCATCGTTGATTCTCCCTCGTGGCGGGTACCCGACGAGTATCGTCTGAGGGTTGTTGTACGGTCGTATACGTACCGGCAAAGATAATCATACATTGAGCATTGAATACGTCCACCTAGTCGCTTATCATATCTTCCAGGACCGAGATCACCCTCTTCTGACGCTGCAAGGTACGTGTGAACCTCCTGCATATTCTACACTTGACAAGAGATCATACTCACCTGCATATCCGCCTTCGCAGTTGTAACGAACATCGCCGGCACCGCACGCTTTTCCATCGCCGCCTGCTGCGTCTTGACGAGCGCTCGCCATGCAGACAATACGCGCTCACGGTCGAAATTCTCGAGGTCTTTCCGGTATGCTCTTTGCAACATCTTTGCGTATTTCGATAAATCGATAACTTATGCATCGCTGTAGTGAAGCTACGCACGTCTGCCTCATGTGCGCTGATCCCTCCGCCTATCATCGTGGCTCTAGGTCACGAAGGTCAGTAGAAGTCCGTTGATAGCAGCGAGGTAGGATAAGATGAGATGCGATGAGATAGACGCGCATCTTCAGCCAGTTGATCATGACAGGGATGTACGGCTGTACTAGATAGAGCAGAAGTACTCACTTTGTCTTCGCCACCCGCACCTTCTCCTCGTGCTTCTTCCGGATCCCTTCGCGCTCAGTGGCGAGCTTCCTCTCAAGCTCATCTTGCTCGCGCTTGAGCTATGGGAATGTTCGTGAGATGTCTTAATAACATTAGGCCAGGTGGGGATAGGATAGCACGCGCCCAGGGCTGCATAACTCCCATCCAGGGAAAGATCGGCGCAAAGTGGGGCTTGGGAAAGACGACATGATGTGGAAATCCGATGGGAAGGCTTGGGAAGGGCGATCCGCTATCAGAGGCCACATCCCCATTCGACTGCCGGTATTACCAGGAAAGGCATAGCTTGTTCTGCAGAACCAGCGGCCTGGTAATTGAGGCAAATGATACGGCTATTGGAAACTATGCGCTCCGTATTTTTCGCACATTAATCAGAAGGGGGGCTCGCACGGATGGAGATCCTTGCACGAGGGGAAATATCTCACGAACAAGAGACTTAGAGAGAGCTACTTACCTGCTTCAAAAACGACAGAAACTCGGCGTCGCTGGACAGCCGACCCAAAGCAGTCAGCGATTCCGCATAGTTCAGCGACCGCGGGTCCTTCCGAGGTGCAGCGGGCTCCGGCGTGGGCGATTCGACCGGTATGAAAGTCGGTGGGTCGGCGGAGGCGCGAGCATCTCCTATGAAAGGAACAGGAGGACGCGAAGGACCACGAAGACCACCGTGCGCAGGCAGATGGAGATCTCGGCCAGAGGAAGATATTCCAGGTGGAGGCGCGACCGGTTGCTGCAACTGAGAGAGTAACTCCGCCACGGAAGGGGTGGGCGCCGTTGCTGGTGGCGCAGTTGGTTGTGAGGGCCTTGGGTCAACTGCTATAGCCCCCGCGTCTGCAGACTCTGGGCTTGGATCTACGAGCATAGGCCCCGGACCCTCAGTTGTCCTGAGTGGCAATGGACCACCTATAATCGGCGCCGAACTCGCAGATGTGCTCGCCACTTTCTGCCATTCGTCAGACTCCCGAAGCTGATCGAGCAGCGCTTTGATACTGGCGGGGTCCTAAAAGGTCAGAGCGTCGTCGTCCTCAGTATTGAAGAATGACTGACCGACATGCCGGCGAAATGCGTGCTGCAAATCGGTAGTAAAGTCGAATTTGTTCAGTTCGAACAACGCGCGCGAAGCGTGGCAGCGCGTGGCAACGTGACAGCATAACGATGCGTGCGTGATGGTCACAGTTCGACAGGAGCACGCTGCAGGCACGACGTTCGCCTTTGACAGTCCATGTCGAAAACAGGGCCTTCAGATGATCGAAAAGGCATCATCGTTGAGTACGCTCTACTGCAAAGGAACACATACTCTATGTCTAAGAGTACACCAAGAGACCCCAAGCCCCAGAAATTACACGCGAAAGGCAGGCTACGCAGTCCTCCCTATGTAGAATATACAGTCTTTCCAACGTTCCGAACCTCCATTCACACTCGTTCAGTTCGTCGATAGCATCACCCATCTAGAGGCTGCCCTCCGCCATCTTCGCCTTGTAGTACCTCACCATCTCCTCCAGGCCCATGCGCACCGTCCAACGGGGCGCCCAGTCCAGCGTCTGGCGCGCACGCGTGTTGTCCGGCCGGCGCTGCTTCGGGTCGTCTGTCGGCAGGTCCTTATACACCACCTGCACCCTCCGCGCCGGCTTCACGCCGTCCTCCGCCTGCACCTTCTCCACGATGTCGCGCACGAGCTCCGCGAACTCGCCGATCGTGAACTCGTCGCCGTTGCCAATGTTCACCGGGCGAGTCTCGTCCGAGTTCATGAGCGCAATCATGCCGTCGATGAGGTCGTGGATGTACTGGAAGGAGCGCGTCTGCTTGCCGTCGCCATAGACCGTGAGGTCCTCGCCCTTGAGGGCCTGGACAATGAAGTTGGAGACGACGCGGCCATCGTAGGGGTTCACTGATGTAAAATTAGAGGGATGTATGCGGGTATATATGAATTGTACGCACTGCGTGGCCCGTAGGTGTTAAAGATACGGACGACGCGCACGTCAACGCCATCTTGACGGTGGAAGCCGTACGTGAGGGTTTCCGCGACGCGCTTGCCCTCGTCGTAGCAGGCGCGCGGACCAATGGGGTTGACATGGCCCCAGCTGGGTGCCGGTTTAGTATGATGAAGGAGTATCTTTAGGACACACGTACTAGTCCTCGTGCTGAGGGTGAACTTCTGGGTCGCCATACACCTCTGCGACGCGTCAGAACGCCCTTGAGCGCGCGATAGGAGGCTTCACGTACCAGACGTGCTGGAGATCAGGAAGCGTGCCTTCGTACGCTTCGCAAGACCAAGCATGTTGAGAGTGCCCATGAATGAAGTCTTGATCGTCTTGACGGCATTGTATTGGTAGTGGGGAGGTGAAGCAGGGCAAGCAAGGTGGTAGATTTCTAGGGACTGATGTGAGCGAGCTTATACGGTTCTGGACAGGGCTATACACGTACGATCGCACTCAATCATGAAGGGCTCAACGACATCGTGGCGGACCATCTCGAAGTTGGGGTGCCCGACCCAGTGGCTGACAGTCGTCTTGGAGCCGGTGAAGAAGTTATCGAGCACGGTAACTTCATGGCCAAGGAGCATGAGGCGATCGACGAGATGGGAACCGACGAAGCCAGCACCACCGGTGACGAGGATGCGCTTGCGCTCCGAGGGAGGGAGGAGCCGCACGGGCGGGAAACGCGTGAGCGTGGTGTACGAGATGGACTTGGACTTCGGGTCGTAGATGGCCTGCGACTGGTACGCCTCAGAACCAGCGGTGAACGCGGCGTGGTCGGTATCCGCAACCTTGTTCTTCCCCGACGCATCCTCCGAGTTCTCTGAATAGTGCGGGCGAAGGTACAGAGCGCGCAGGGCGTCGATGGACACTTCAGAGTCGAAGCCGAAGCGCTTGAAGCCGACGGACTTGATCTCCTCGCCCTTGTTGTCGACAATGTGGATCTGCAGACAATGAGCTCGACACGACGGGCGCGGCACGGCGCGCAACTGACCGTGGAGGGCGACATGATGGCGGGCAGAGGCAAGGACGGATGGACTGCAGACGCGCCGCGCCCGATTTTATTTCCGCGCGACGGGCCCCTGATCTAGATCTTTTTTCTTCTCCCCTTCATCACCGCGCGCTCGAGCCATGCCGCGCGCACCCAGGTCCACCGGAAAGACGCGCCACGACCCGCTCCTCGTCCAGCTCGACGAGGACGAGACTGAGGCAAAATACGGGCGCATATCAGCACCGGGCAGGCGCAAGAAGTCGAGGAAGAGTCGCGACGGAGATGAGCCTGACACCGATGTGCGCTGAACTCCTGTCCCCCTCTCGGGTGCCTAACCTCACAATTTACCCTGTCAGGCTATCCTTGATCCCAAGACCTCGCGCCGTATCTTCGAGCTTGCGAAGGATCAGCAGGATGAGCTCGAGGGCTCGGACGACGATGCGGATGACATGCAGGATGAACCTCAGAACTTGCAGCCACGGACCCCAGTAGCCTTCGATGAGGACGACGACACAGGCTTTGACGATGCAGAGGACGCAGGGGACGTCGAGGAGATCTTCGTGAGCCACCGATCACTCAATTGTACCAGCACCCAGCTAATCACAATGCATTCCCCAAGGAAATTGACGAAGGGGACATGCAGACACTGGACGCGCTCCTTCCCCCCAGCTCTGGAGAGCGCAAAACACTCGCCGATCTCATCTTCGCCAAGCTGGACAGCGGAGAGACAGAAGAAGGCGGCGTAGTGCGATTCAAAACGACAGCCCAGCAAGGTGCGCCGATCGCTCATGCATACCATTCCCTCCTCACCTTGAATAGATCCGGACCACCCCGATCCTGCTCTGGGACTCGACCCCCGCGTCGTCGAGGCGTATAACAAGTACGCCCCCACCTCCCCCCTCACGCATCCCCACTAACGCATCCCCACTAACGCATCCCCCTTCCCAGAATGGGCATCTTCCTCTCCAAATACAAGTCCGGCCCGCTCCCCAAGCCCTTCAAAATCATTCCCTCCCTCCCTGCCTGGGCCCGCCTCCTCGCGCTCACGCACCCGGAGAACTGGACGCCGCACGCGTGTCGGGCTGCGACGCGCATATTCGTCTCTTCGATGAAGCCCGCGCAGGCGCAGCTCTTCTTTCAGGTCGTGCTCTTGGATGCGATCCGGGAGGACATCCGGGAGAACAAGAAGCTGAACCCGCAATACTATGAGGCGCTGAAGCGCGCGATGTTCAAGCCGGCGGCGTTCTTCAAGGGGTTGTTGTTCCCGATGTGTGAGGTGGGTGGAAGGTGTTTTGACTCGGAGGAATGGAGGAGCTGACGGGGTGTTTTCCCTTGACAGCAAGGCTGCACGTTGAAGGAGGCAGCGATCATGGCGTCTGTGCTGTCGAGAGTGAAGATCCCAGTGCTGCATGCAGCGGCAGCGCTGCAGAAGATCGCGGAGATGGACTACACTGGTATGCACACTTGTTCTGCGGCCACGCCATACTCTCCTGACTGTTCTCCTCAGGTCCAAACTCCCTCTTCATCCGCGTCCTCCTGGACAAGAAGTTCCAGCTGCCCTACCAGGTCGTCGACGCCATGGTCTTCCACTTCATCCGCCTCTCGAACACGTACAAGTCGCGCGGGCGAGGGGACGCGCACAGGCTACCGGTGCTGTGGCATCAGAGCTTGCTAGTCTTCGTGCAGAGATACGCCTCCGACCTCACCGCGGACCAAAAGGACGCCCTCCTCGACGTCATCCGCGTCAACCCGCACGCGCAGATCTCGCCCGAGGTGCGCCGCGAGATTGTGAACTCGGTCGAGCGCGGGGCGCCAAGGTCGGAGGGGGACGGGGATGTGGAGATGGCGTGAGGGGATGGGGAGATGGCATTATCTACTGTATTCAGTTATTGCATGTATCAGTTTTACGCTCATGGCGTCGTAGAGGCCTGTTTGTTTGAATCCGGACAGCGCAAGATCGATATGAAGACCTCAAGAATCAAGATAGACCATTCTGCAACTTGACTTCTTCAGAGTCGAATTACTGCCAGAAGGGACATCACACTTCGAGCGAGTTTTCCACGAGACGATGTTCAAGTATGTACGTATTGCATCCAAAAAGCCCTACATGATACAGCGTGAGCTCCTATTCAGACTAGGAAGACCGGGGAAAGGGCCATGCCTGCACAAGGTCGTGAGCAATAGCCAGCCAAGCAGAGGGGAGCGTTGACATACGATAAATTAGTGAAAATGCGTAGAAATACAATTTGCTGTCAGAGCAATGCGAGATCGGGGGCGCGGCTGGAGTGGTAGGTCAGCGTTGAGGACGCGTAGAGGACGGACAGGACGTACTGGATTATACGCGCACGCGCTTCGCTTCACCGGTGGCGATGAGGACGAGAGTCCAAACACGAGTGGAGATGGGGCCCATGGTGAAGATACAGAAGGACGATGTCAAATCGATACTGCAAAACCTCATCAGCGACTTCGCAAGGCATAGAGTGCAAAATTTACATACGATGATTGAATTCTGCTTGGTACGAGAGGCTCAAAGGGTATTCGAGCGTCCGCTTGAGCGTCGGTGAGAGTGGGCGTAAGGCAGGTAGGCAGCTGCTTCCTATCCTCCCACCCCGATCCGCCCTTCTTATATATCCAGCCGTTATCCCGCAGCACACAATCAGAAGAGTGCGGGGAGATGACCCCATAGCGGCGCGAGTGGGGTGGACGCTGAGTCCATCGAAAACGAGAGGCGGCGAGAGCGCCTGGCCACGAGTCGAGGCGGAGGCCCATTCGGGTCGTCTAGGGGCGCAGCGTGCGCGACGCCGGGATACCCCACGGGAGCCTAGATACGAGGGCGGTGTGATGGCTATTGTGGGATGGGGGGCTGCCGAGCGGGGTAGAGTTTATGAGACTACAAAGTCGGTAGATAATCGAGCCAAGGCGATTGGTCCAGACCGGCCGCAAGCAGAGCGTCCCATGTAGACGGAGCCGAGCGCGTACATCGCCAGTTTATTTGACCTCAGACAGCCATCATGGCAAGTACGATCTTCAGTTCGGCAGTCGCTAAGCAAGTTCACGACTGGAAGGAAGCGCAAGTCATGGTCGCTGGGAGCAAGTCAGTGACGGTCCCGGTTCGAACTTGTGACCGTGACTCATCGATGGTACACGCGGGCACGTGGGAACGAGCGATGTTCATCTCTTGCTCTCAACCGCCTCTCAAAGCTCTCTGCAATGGCTCCGCCCCCTCTCTACTACGAGAATGAGATATCTAGCAATGCCTGTGAATTGACTGAAGAAGAATTAGAGGCGTTCTTCAACGACACTGCAGCGCCTCCCGCTACCCAATCTCGAGCGAACGATGCGCCACGTGCAGACGAGAGACCGCGTCCAGGAGCGGCATCGACCACTGAGAAAGCACCTGAAATACTACCCGCCCCGAAGGAACCTAGTAGGCAGGTCAGGGTACAGGACCATAGGACGTTTGACAAGCCCACCACACCTGTGAAGACGCCTGCGAGGAACGGCGCATCGTCTCGTTCTTCCGAACCGCCCAAGGCATCCCCTTCTAAACCTACCTCGACTAAGAGCATTCCCTTCACTCCGACGCAAACGCAGTGCGCTCCTTCTCAGAACAGTCCGGTAATTTGACATCTTTTGAGCATTCATGATTGCTTCTAATATCCTCCGAGCCTGTGCAGTACAAGGGCGAAGAAAGCGTCTACGGCGTGCGTCGAATGACCATTCGGCAAGTTCTGAGCGCCAAACGGGATCATGGAGCCTCGCGCGACGATGTATGGGCCCTGGATGACGGCTACTCGTTCATCAACGTAAGCACACGCGATATCCCTCACTTCAATGGTTTAACCTTGGCAGGCTCTAATTGTCGCCAACGTGAGGACATTCAGAGTCGGGACAGGCGCGGACAAGGAGAGTCGCACCTACACTCTATTCGACTCCACAGGCCAACTCACCGCGAAGATGTGGGAAGACTGCCCCATTTACAATCACTTGCCAGACGAGTTGACGTGCGAGCCTCTCAATTGTTGGCTGTAGTTACCTTGCCTGACAGAGCTTTGTAGGAATCCGAAAGATATACCGGACGAAAGACACATCCTGTACGTTCGTGTGATCGCGAAGCTGGATGCATTTCGCTCCAGGATATCCTTGGTTGTCACGGATCTACGACCCATCAAGCATCCTTTCGAGCCATATGCGCACCAGTTCGGCTGCATGTACGACACCGTGCGAATCCGAAAGGCGAAAGGCATTGTGAGTGCACGCGTCGGCTATTGCTGCAGTCGTCCTCGCGTATTGATCGTTGCATAGACATCCAAAGCTCCCGAGTCAACGCCTCAGCAAGTCGAAGCGGCAGAGCGAGCCGAGACGCCAAAGAAGGCGGTGTCGCCGCTTTGGACGACAACGACGCCAAAGTCTACAACGACTCCCAAGCCTAGTCCGACGCCCAAGCACGCCCCAGCGGTAAAGTCAGCCAAGACACCAGCCCCCGTCGAAACACCAAGCCGCAGCTCCTCCGGCTTCAGCTCCTACGTCTCCGTGAACGAGCAATCGACCGCGTCCGACTCGGCGGAAAGCTTCGACATGGTCGATACGCCCGTCGAGGAGATGAGCAAGTCAGAGGGCAATCGCGACGTGACCCCCGCAGACACTCGGGACTTCAACTCTGCAGGCCCTCACCCCAGTAGTTTCGTCGAGAGTCCTGCGACCAGTGGTATGAGCTCTGCGACCAGTGGTATGAGCTCCGCATGCACAACGTCTGCGAACGACCTCACCTCCGTCGTGAGCCGCCTCTCGCTCGCCGACGAGCCGTACCCGGACCCGGCGTACTCGATCTCGGGGCATCTGGCCGCGAATAAGGTGGAGGGGGCGGTGGGGCGGGCGCAACATTCGCCTCCGCGCGCGCAGCAGTCACCTCCACACGCGCAACGGTCGCCACCGCGGGGGGCGCAGACGACACCGAGGAGGAGTGAACAGACGGCGCCGAGGAGGAGTGAACAGACGGCGCCGAGGAGGAGTGAACAGACGGCGCCGAAGAAGAGCGACTCTGCGATGTCACGAAAGAGCGAGCCGGTGACGCCTCAGCGAGTGACGCGCGCGACGCCGCAGACATCGCCCATACAGGATACGACGCACGCGCCGCGCACGCCTGAAGCCGCCAAGAGTCATCGGAAGAGCAAGGAGCACAGGCGCTCGTCGCACACTCACAATTCCCCTCGCACTCCTGAGCTCGACACATCCCCACGCACCTCTCCTCGCCACCCTGAAGCCCACCGCACACACGCCACCACCCCTCGCTCACCCGAACCCCTTGCCGACCTCACCACCGATCAGCGTAACATCATCCTCTGCATCCAGAAGGCGTACCACAAGGTCGGGCCCCACGACCAGTGGATCGGCGTGTACCATGGCGATATCGGGAAGTACGTGGTCTCAAAGAGTATCGCGGGGGAGAGAAGTATTTTGTGAGTTGGCCCTTCAGCCTGACTCGCATAACGCGGCTCCCGGAACCCTTGAGGAAGTCCTTGCGAGAAACTAAGCACACAATCCAGAGCCGACTTCAAGAACGACGTCGTGGCGCAAGCGGCGAGCATCTCGTGCGTAAAGCCCGCGTTGGCGCGCCGATTTACTCGCTTGCCCACCAGACACTAACGCATACGCTCCATAACAGAAATGACATCGAGATCCTCGTCGAGAAGGGGTACATCACGACGACGGTGGACGAAGACCACTTCGACTGTACGGATCACAGTCATGGGCGGTACAGAAGGTACACGGAGATTCTGGCGGACTTGTCATTGGATGATGATTGAAATGCGGGTGCGTGCATGTCTTCCTTGTTTTAGCTTGACGCGCAGATGCGTACTGTACCGGTATGTATGGAGGCAACCGGTAGGGGGTGCGTTACGCTAACAACCCTCCGCCAGTAGGCAACCGACCCCCACGTTAGGCGTTACGGTTGGTTGAATAGGCAACCATTCAAGGTAGATTTGAATTCTTGCTAGGCGGAAAGTGGACGTACATCGGCAGGAAGGCTCCGATGCAACAGTTACGACGCAAACAGCCTATCTCGGAGCGAAAAAGACCGTCTGGGCCGCGCTGAAAAATATTTGGATTTTCGACGGATTTTGCGCGATGGCAACCACCCCCTCCGTTATGCGTTACTTTCTTCTAAATAGCCAACTTTTTGGGCCCGCGTTACGCGTTACGGTTGCCTCCATACATACCGGTACAGTATACGCCCTTACAGACAGACGAAGACGAGGGGTGAAGAGAATCAGGGGGGGGAAGGCCGCAAGCGGCGGGGTGCCGAACCTTCAATGAGAATACACTAGTTCTTAGAGGGCTAACGCTGCGCGCGGCATGCGGTGAGTTAGGTATGACCCGCTGCTTTGTCATGTGATGTAGGGTAGGCTTGAAGGACCCCTGATAATAGGCGGAGAGCTCAGTACCCACTTTTGGACATTTGGGACGATTTGGACCCCCCACGTCGGAAAAATTGACGGACATTTGGGCCAAAGTCATTGGGAAGTCAGAGGAAAAGTCGGACATCTGGGCCCAAATCGGCCCATTTTGAGAGCGAGTATGCACCTACCATGTTTGGGAGTGAAATACATCGCTCAAGCAAAGACAATATAAGTAGAACGAAGCGGAGGAGAGGGAGAAAGTGGGGAAAGGGCAGTAATCCCAAGGGTGAGGTGCAGCAAGCCCCTCTTCGATGGAGGGGGCGCGGCGCATTTCGGCCAACTCAACAATTGTGGCAACTGTGCCACTCGACTCATTTCGACCTTTGTTGAATCGCGCGAAGGTGGGGATGGGGTGAAATAGATGATATTCGTAGTCTACGTACGTGGGGTGTAGGCCTAGAGTACCTACGACAACGGAAGCAGGTCCCCTCCTTCCCCTTCTCCTTGAACTTGAAGTCCTTCTCCCGAAGATTGGCGTCGGGCCTTCCTTCCCGTGCCGAGCGCCTTCGTAGACGTCGCACGACTACTCCTTGACGTGGCGGGAGCCCCTCACACACATTAAGTGCCCCCTTTCCTCCCCTCTCTTTCGACCTTGACCCCGTCTCACCGAGATAAGGCTGGATCCCGACAATTCGAGCGAGTACGACTTGGTAAACAGCTTCGTACCTTCCCTCACATGACGCCTCGTCCACTCAGACAAGCCCCCCACCCCTCACAACTCGCCCTCTGCGTGTACACCACCCCCTTCTCCTTCCCTATCGCATTCCCCGCCCTTGCCATACCTCGAGGAAAGATACGGCAAGCTCACAAAGTTGTTCCCGACCTCCAGGCGACTCCCCTCGATGATTCTTGAGGTCGAAACGAGAATGGAGGGGGCGGCGCAGGCGCCCTCTGGCGCATCCCTCACATCGCACATAACCTCATTCCCGCATGTTCCATCTGTTTCTTCCCATGCCGTCATCGTGTTGTAGTCTCATTCGAGGCGACGCCTTGCTCGTTTTCTGGCGTCGTCGAGGAACTAGCGCGTCGGGGCCGAGCGCGACGACATGGATGGAGGGATGTTCCTTCTCGCCGAAAATCACGTTCTCGGAACTCTTGAAGGGCGGCACGTCGGCGTGAAAGGGTCGTATTTGCCGAGTTCTGAAGAGTTGGTCAGTCATCTGAACGTCGCAAAGGCCGCGACAGGCTTACCTGGTCCCGACGTGCCTCCTTTGTATATGTTGAGCTTCTCCTTCGCGTGTATCAGCACGCGAAGGCTTCGTTGTTGGCTTAACACTCGTCGTGGGAAGAGCAAAGAGCTTCCCTCGACGATTGGGGTGCCCCATGGCCTTTCTGAGCTCGCCATGAGGAGGTAAGGGGTGCCCCACCCCTCCCGCATCCTTCACCAAGGGTGCGCGCGCATGCCTTCGGCAGTCTGGGGTCCACAAAAGCCGCCTGAAAAAAGGGATAAATATGAAATCAACGAATGTAACGATACGACTGACCAGAATATGTATCCATGGGGGCACAGCACCTCTCTCTCTCCAGGCCCGAGCGAGGGGTAGGGGTACCCCACCCCTCTCGCGTCGTTCACCGAGGGTGCGCACACATGCCTCCTGCGGTCTGGGGTCTGCAAAAAACGCCTAAACGAAGGAGTCAATATGGCATCCACGCGTTTGGTGAGGCAACTCACCAAATCAGGCGCCATCGGCGACGCAGCACCTTCATTTGGCCCCGCGCGAGGGTGGGGGTATCCCACCCCTTCCGCATTCTTCGCCGAGGTAGCACGCACATGCCTCCGGCGGTTCGGGCTCAACGAAAATTACTTGAACAAAGGGGTCAGCATGTATTTAACAACTTCAGTCAGAGCGACTCACCTAAACTCAAGCCCCTCCTGGACAAATGAGCGCGAGGCACCCATCCCTGGCCCCGCACGAAGGCCGTCAGATGGGTGAGGGTATCACCGTCTTCGCTTATTTCGCCTAGGAACCCCGCGCGCGCGCCTCCGGCGGTCCAGAATCGACAAGAATATCTGGAAAAACAAGGTCAGCATCACATCAACACAGGAGCGGGGTTGAGTTCGTGTATAGCACCAATCACTCACCGAGTCACGCCCATATTCTGGCGCGAATTGCCACTGAGCCTGAGCGAATGAGGTGCGAGGGTGGGGGTGGCCTTCACGTTTGCTTCTCTCGCTCGAGGGGTGCGTACGCGTGCCTCCGGCGGTTCGGGGTCGTAGGAAACTACCTGAATATAGTGTCAGTACGTTCATTTCGCTTGAAAGCGACATGGGAATCGGATAAACAGGTGGCTGGGGCATGACTAACCTTGTCCCCGACGTCAGAGGAGCAGGGGATGCTGCTGAGACCAGTCAGCATGGTCCTGAAGTCGCCACAACGGCAAGGAGGAAGCATCTCAACACACCTTTATCGGGTCACCCAGTATCTACAAGGGGTCGGGTATCTCACTAACTCGTCGAGGGGGCCCGCGCGTGCCTCCGGCGGTTCGGGAATCGCAGAAAATGGCTGGGTACGGGGTCAGCACGATGGATAGCAGTGACGGCAATGAGCTTACCAGCAATATCCATCCCCAGCCTCGTTCTGCATTGCAAACGGTGGCCTCGCTTGTCCGCGCCACGTCCTCGCCATCGTGCCGACCATGGTTCCCCCGGTCTCCCAGGCTTGAGAGTCGCGTGTAGAGCGCATGCGCGGCCCAACGGCGATGGCGGCGGCGAGCGCGAGGTCGGGGAGCATGGTGGTGAGAGGAAAGAAAGGGGCGCGTGCCGTGATTTTTCTGGGCATCCGAGACGTCGCGTTGGACGTTGCATGCGTCGGGGAACGATCAAAGAGTTCACTTTGACATCGCAATTGGTGCTCCCACAATACGCCGACGTCGGTTGGATGTCGATGACGACAGTGCCGCAGCGCTTGAAGCGACTACAAAGAAGGGTGGTCGTCGCGGAACGGGGCGATGAGAGCGAGCGGGGGAAGCAAAACGAGGGCTGGAGTCATTCACTCTGAGGACAGAATTCACGAATCTTCATGCGTGTTGGCAGCCGAGCTCAAGTTGCATCTGTTCCTGTAATTCAATTCTTACGAAACTTTCAAGACCGTATCTATAGTAAATCGGGGGGGGGAAGGCCGCAAGTATGGCGTGTATTCCGCCGAAAAAATAATCACGGTCGCGTTTCCGCGTCACGCAATCGCGGTTCGCCTTAGGGAGGCTGCAGTCATTGGAGATGGTGTAGAGGCATCCTACCCACCGCTCTGAACACTTCAATGGCCTTGGAACTGGCGAGGAGGGACAGAAAGGACCGCCGACGCTGTTCGGCCATTGCCGACGAGGGCGGCAAGTCGGTCCGAGATCGCCGCTCGTCTTTGTTCCTTCCTATTCGCACTCAGATGGCGCTGATGTAGATGGACCACCTCGACGTACTTATAAATCCCAGTTGACCCTGCCTTACTTGAGTTACCATGCTCGCTACCTTCGGGCGGTTTGAGGTTTCCGACACATAAAAAGCAAGCACTAATTCCAGAGTAACGGTAGAACTGTGTCCCTACTGCCTCTACAGTTCCCGGTCCGTGTGCGACGATGAGAGGACTAGAAGAGAGATGGGCAGCGAACGAGGCGGCGATCTCGGACCGACTTGCCGCCCTCGTCGGCAATGGCCGAACAGCGTCGGCGGTCCTTTCTGTCCCTCCTCGCCAGTTCCAAGGCCATTGAAGTGTTCAGAGCGGTGGGTAGGATGCCTCTACACCATCTCCAATGACTGCAGCCTCCCTAAGGCGAACCGCGATTGCGTGACGCGGAAACGCGACCGTGATTATTTTTTCGGCGGAATACACGCCATACGCAAGCGGCGGGGTGCCGAACCTTTGATGATTATATGGGTATTTACTATTCGCGACACACCGACACGCCGCGCTTCGCGCGGCGTGTCGGTGTGTCGCGAACGAGGCCCGTCTATGTCAACGTGCTTCAGAAAGGTGCTGTAGCACCAGAAAAAGACGATGATTCAACGTATATATCAATATCTACGCGAAGGGGGACGAAAGGGCGTGGGAAGAGGTGTTGAAAAGGCAAAAAAGGGCGAGCGAGGATTCTCGCTCGCGCTCTACGCGTCGCGGCTGCTAAGTAGCGTGTATTAGTGTGTACGAGGGTGGCGGGATGGGGAGGGGGGGTGGGATGCCTGCCAATGCGCGTGGTTTCGCGTCGATCGACGCGTTGCGTACATTGAGTGGGGGGAGGGGGGATAGCCGCGCTATGCTCACGGTGCTGGCGGCCTATGCACAGGCAAGAGGCGCTCCTCCATGCGCGCGTACAGGGATGCGACAGGCGCGTGCATCCTCCCCTCCCCCTGGCTCCCCTCCCCCTCCTCGTCGCTCACTTCGTCCCTCCTTGTTGCTCGCCTCGCCAATCCTCGTCTCGCCTATCCTCGTCACTCGCCACCTCGCCCCTCCTCGCCTCGCAATCTTTCTCCCCCAGCTATACCCTCGCCTGCCCTTTGTCCTGTGATTATATGCCTGCTCGCGCCCCACCTCTGCCAGTAAATGCACGGCGCACACTTCCCGTACTTAGTGTGGGCAAAGGTGGTATGGGTGTGGTACGCGGTACATGCGGTGACGGAGGCGGGAAGAAGCAGGCAGGATCTGCCCCGCCGCTGCCGGCTCGGGCGAGCCTAGCGCAGCCGGACAGAGGGGATCGGGACGCGCAGAGCACTGTGGGAGCTCTCAGCAATGCCCGGCACATCTCCAAAAACTCGACGACTCGCCGGGAGGGCGAGCCTGCGCGCGTGAGGGGGGAGGGGGAGGGGGTTGATTCCCGACCCCGTGTGGGCGATGCGCATTGCGCAGTGCGCAGGTGATGTGTGGGGCGGCGGTACAGCTATGAGATCGTATGAAAGTCACCAAGAGCGCGTAATGCGCCTTTGACAAGCTCCCCACGCCCTCAGATCGCCTCTGAGGGCGAATATGGTGCGGGGAGAGGCGAGTTGCACACCGCCGCGTGTTGCGACGACGCATCATCCCTGAGCGTCCCCAAAACCCCGCAGAGAAAGTAAGAGTTAGTTTCAGTACTTGTGCGAGGCGTGTTCACGCATCCATGGCCCCCTCCTCGATCGCGCTGTATTCTCGCGTTGAGTGACTGGGGTGTCAGGGTGTGATCAACGCGTAAGCGCGTTGAAGAACGCGTTTCTCGCGTCTTCGTATAGTAGCGGGTTATGGAAAGGAAGGGGGAGGAGATAGGGGTAGCGGAGGGAGCGGGAACGGCGGCGTCGTGGTGGTCGAGAGTTGAGAGACGGATGCCCGGGCCGGATAATCGATCCGACGTCCGAGCCTCGTTGTCGACGCTCTCGACGGCCTCGGACACATGCCGGGGGGTACTTCGAGGGCCTACTGCTACCACGATGTATTAGTAGGCTTACTCAATATATGATCCTGAAAGTTCTGTAGGGATTGGAAATCAGGAACCTACTGAACTCGAGTTCGGCTGTCGAGGTGCATGCAGATTCATGAATCCTAGGTGCATTCGACCCACATTTCGCTTCCCCCTCCACTAGGTTTGTACAATTGACTTTCAAACAGCTGGGACTGGATGTGGGGAAGGCTTCTCAGTCTTTCTACGTACTGATCGTTCTGCTTAGCATGATTGATACGACACAAATAACGAAACATATCTGCTGCCTGCTCACTTGCAGAGGTTGCAAGGTGTGGGTTTAATTCAGTATGTTCCAGACCTCGGCGTCCATTAAAAACTCGACTGTATACTCTATGCCAAATGCCAGATATGTCTATGTACTCATTTCGTAGAGAGACGCCCCTCGAGAAAGTTACCGAGGGCGTTTTATGCAGCGCCCAAATCGCCCCCAAGGTCCTAAATCACTACCTAGTGGCGGCCTCAATTTCGCCCTTCCTTCGCACTTCTTGCCATATTCCACCGCCCCTACTTACTCTCCTCGGCTCCCTTCAGCCTTTCTTGCTCTCTATGTCGCTTTGCTGCTCGACGCTCGTTCTCGCGCGCGAGTGACCGTGACTCGATGTCACGTCAATCGTCACACCTTGCCTCCCACCCCCACCATCGCTCACCCCCGACTGCGACACAAGCCCGAAGGCTCCCCGGCAACGCATGAGAGAGCAGGGGAGGGTGCTGGGTCTCTTCTGAGCCCCCTTAGGTGTGCTTCATAGCTCAGCACCATAGCAAAAACTGACGCAAATTCTAAGTACCGCTCGTAAACGCCTGCGTTCGCGAGCGGCGCTGCCCACCACGCATTGGCCCCCTGACACGCATCCTGCATCACTTTTATTACCTCCCCTTATGATTGCGCGTTCAACAGCGCTGGAGGCGGTGCTCAACAACCACAAACACCCCTCGCCGTTGGCCGCACCCCACCTCCTCCGCATTCGCACCTCCCCTACCTCCTCGCGACACTACCGCGTGTCAAGCGCGCTGCCCGTCAGCAGCTTTTTATGCGCGCTGGCGGGATCGATACCCCCTCCCGGGGACACGGCACACAACCCGCCATCAACGCCACCAGGCGAAATGGTGTTGATGCACGCACGGTCACGCCCCGCGTCCTCCCTCCCCACCTTTAGTCCGAGCTCTTGATCGGAATCGGCGGGCGAAGGAAAGGGCTGCTTACGGGCTGGAGAGGGGAATGCGTGACGAGGGGGCGCTGCCCGTGTACCCACCCCCGGTGCACGCGTGGCCGCGTTCATCGTGTAATTGGCACGTAAGCGCGTGCGGCCGGGCGGGCCAGCCGCGCTCGCATAAGCCGCAGCGCGCGGTACGATCACACCGACCAAGAGCGCACTCAGCGGATGCTGCTCACTGCCGTTGCGCGCACCCCTCCCGGTTAGGCATAGGTCTTAGTGCTTACACACGTGCTCCTCCATCCTCCCTCCCCCTCTTACTCCCCCGCCCCTCCCCCCTTCAATGCATACCTGCTGGCAAGGGGATTCAGCGCGTGTTTCGTGCCCGCCGCCGCGAATATTCTCGCGCGCGGCAGCGTCATCTTATTTATTCATATCTATATAACACCACATAATTTTCTATACATGTTATACAATGTTTTCCTAACTTGAAGGCATAACAAGCTAGCGCGAGCGGTGTCGCGCGCGACGCGCCATGTCGGCGCGATTGGGTAGTCGTCCCGAGGCGCGATCAAAGGCGCGTGTGATGCATATGGCAGCGGCATTTACCGAGCCCGACAACCTTGTCGTATGATTTTAACCAGCGGTACGACAAGTGTGAGTGGTACAAACCGGCCTTACAGCATTAGCTGCGCCTCCTCAGCGGCCTCCCATCCCTGCACGTGAGCGGTTGAGAGAGCTCGCAAGACGGGGCATTTGTGATTTTGCGCTTCATCCCTAAGACCCACAACCATAAATGGTAGCGGAAAAAATAGCCCTAGCCTAATGCAAGCAATTTATACAACCTCGCGAGCAGCCAGCCTACCCAAGTAATTTGGACTCCGACAGAGTGCTGGTCCGCTGTGGGTCCTTGTATATGTCATCGGCGGCAAGTACCGATGCATCGGCACGTGCCGCAAACACTTCTGACCGCTATTTTCGCATATCCTTGATGCTAGGACACTTAGATATAAAAAAAGAGGCATCCTACCGTGCATATGCATGCCTATGGAAGCCGGGACAGGGTCAAGAAAGCACTTCAGCCAGGATGGTTGGCCGGGTACGATCATTGGTGTCGGTAAGCGCAACGTAAGCATGCGGACGTAAGGTACGGTCTCGAACGCGAAGGAACCAATTCCCCAAAAGGCGAGGGTTGCCATAAAAGGTGAAGGTTGCCATATAGGGATTTTGGGATCAATCGAGTTCACATATAGAGCCAAACCTAAAGGTTCGGCAACCATAGGATAGGTCATATACACATGTACTGGGCAATGTAAGCATGGATTTTACGACGACGTTGGCTTCTCGTGTATCTGGCCGGGTCGGTCGCTGTTGAGACGAGTAGTTTGGGCTACAGGTAAGGTGAAATACAGTGGAAGAGTGGTGGGATGATGGGTATTCGAGTAGTGATATCACTTCGGGTATCGCTGAGGCAGGGTCAGTACCTCCTTCAGAAGAGTAAATAAGCAAGCGCACCCGAAGATTCATGCAAAAATACAAAAACGGGTGTAATGCCGTCGATGGGTCTATTGACAGTCGAATAAGTTACTTGATGGGCTGAATGGCAAACATGAGTCAGTCAGTTCAACAGGGCAGAAGATCTCACTCACTGTCAGCGACGAACCACCAATATCATGGCGGCGGTGTCGGGCACCCCATAAATTATGAGAGGGGATTTTGTGCTGACCTGTCTGCGACCGCAAGCCCTCGTTATATACCTGCAGCGCTTGCCCAGAAGAGCCTTGGAACGGACGATGATAGTAGATCTCCCCGAGTTTTCGCGAAGGCGAGGCCGGACGCGACGCACTGAAGGTGCACTCATGACCCTGCGGGCGTGTGACACTGGACCGCGAGCGTGTGACACTCGAACCGGAGTTCGCCGAGGCCTCAGGTTGAACACGCCCGTCATGTTTTCTCTTGCATCTGGACCCTTCGATGTGAGTTCGAACAGGTTGACGCCGCTGTCGACTTTGGGGACACTCAGATGCTCTTCTCCGACGAAGATCGTTGTCTCCGTGCCAATGTCCCACCGTAAATACAGCTTTGCTGTCGCGAGACACGCCGCCGCGAATGGAAGTATCGGTGGAACAGGGCCGCCGAACCTCAGTTCGTCGCTCTGACTTCACGGCCTGGCGGTGGATGTCTGCGAACACCCTAACGAGTACCACTGCGTCGCTGTCATGATCGTTGGTACGCCGCCTCCCTACAGCGGCGCAGGCGGGTCTCATCGCCAAGGATACTGGATGGGGTTATGGAGTTGGCTGTGCCGCCGCGCATCCGCTGCGTTTGGCTGTCAAAGTGTCTGCGCCGGCTCTTCTGTGACTGACTCGCACTTATGGTGTGCCCGGACAAGCTGCCTGTCTGTACTTATACGGGTGTCCGCGTCGCGCATGTCGTCTTCACGCATCCCCATCTTCTCTTACTCTTGCTCCGAATAACCATATCTTTGGATATGGTTCAAAGCGCTCAGCTGCGGCTCTCGTGTTTGCGCGCGCGCTACGATACCCTCGATACCCAGCGGCCTTGCGACTCGGACTCGGAGGCGAGCCACATATGTTTCTCGCGCCACAATGTCTGACATTACTCACCAGACGCCGAGCACGCCCATTATGACTCGTATACCCACTCACCTTTCTTCCAACCACCATCTTGTTCCTCAAATGCCACAAAACGACTCCCATCTCTCCTCCGGCTTCGACACCCTCCCGGTCGAGCTCCAGGGCCTCATCTTCGAGCAATACCTACCGGACTTCACACCCATCACTCCATCGCGCAAGGTCGACAGTCCAATCACACTCTCACTCGTTTGCCGCGAGTGGCACCATATCGCGCTGGCTACACCAAGCCTTTGGTCGGGGATGCACATCGTTGTGCAGGACGGTGGCTCTAATACAACGCAGGCGCGGAGAATCTGTAACCAACTGGAACGATGGCTTGCTCTCTCAAAGTCGCACCCCCTATTCGTCCGCCTCGAATACAACTACAATCGCAGGGGATCTCGGGTCTCTGAGTGCAGCCGCATCTATCCTGAAGCCCTCGGTTCGCGCATAGTGTCGATGCTCAGGGCACACGTTGGCCGCTGGCAGAACGTGGTCTTCCAGTGCCCGAGCACGCTCCTGCGGTCTCTAGTCGACGTCGATGGGAGCGCGTACGCCCAGCTGCGCGGCTTCACCCTCGACGTCACGAACACGCCCAGCACGGCGTGCGCGGTGGACTTCCGGAACCTCCATCTACCGCTATCGGCCCTGACGCAGCTGCACCTGGTCGCAGACTACAACCGCCTGCTATCGCTCTCGGATTGCCGCGACCTCCTCGCGCGCTGCCCGCGGCTGCGCCGGTGCTCGCTCAATGCGGAGTTTGGCGAAAGGGACAGCGCCGGCGAAGGTTTGCAGGCTAGCGGTGATGGTTTGCAGGCAAATGGCGAGCACCCACACTCCACCTGCGCCCTCGAGCAGCTCTCCATCCAGCTCCGTCCTAGGACCGGCACTGATGTCACCCATGTTCCCCAAGCCCTCGCCTCATTCCTCGACGCACTGTCCCTCACCAGCCTCACCTCCCTCACCTTGGAGTGGATGGGAAACGTCGCCCCGTCCTGCGCCGGCGGCGCGTCCCACCTCGCCAAGACCCTCGCACGATGTGCGAAGTTGGAGAACCTCGGCCTTCGGTATATCCCGCTCGGCACGAAGGATCTCCTAGCGTGTCTGCGAGGTCTCAGCGGCCTCACGAAGTTGGCTTTGGCGTATACGATGAGCGGGCACAACCCACAATCTGCGTCTCCAGTCGATAGGGAGTTTCTTTCAGCTCTCGAGTGCGGTACACAGAGCCGTTCGACGCCGCAATCGGCTGCATTGTCTCAATCAGCCGTGTCGCCTCAATTAGCCGCATCCCCCCAAGCGCCCTTGCTACCCCACCTACTCACCTTGCGCCTCGTCGCGCATTGCGCGGACATATCCGAGGAAGACGTGCTGGCATTCCTGGGCCCGCGCGTGGCAGGTCAACCAGGCGTGGACAAACTACGCAGCTTCAAGTTTTTATGGGGAAAGAGGGTGTCGCCAGATTTGACGAGGTCGCTGGTGGATCTGCGGCGCCCCTTTCCTGGCGTGGAGTTGGATGTGGACAGTTTCGGGTATGACAGGGAATATTAGTGGCGGGACGGCTTTTAGAATTTATCAGACGCACTCACACTCATCAAACTTATGGGCACGGATTACTGGACATTAGCTGTAGTAGGCGTACTTACATTCACGATGACAGGATGGACAATACACATGGAACTTGGGTCGGTGCTCGATCACGTCTTTATTCAGGAGATCCAGAGCAGGGCGTGAGTCACTGCGAAGTGAACCCAAAAGCATGCCTATGTGTACCGGCAGAGCGCATTGTGCACAGCGTCCAGGTAATTAGATGGGAGTACAAATCGCACATACAACAACATATATACCCAGCAAATCGACTGGAGGATCCCCTCAGAAGAAGCTCGAGAAGTCATACTCGCCCTCTGCCGGCTTGGCCGCTGCCTTCTTCCCGACGTTCGCGACCTTGGGCGCTTTTGCTGGCTTCTCAAACTTTTTGGGCTTCGGGGTCTTGGCCTCCTTCGCGGGGTTCTCCTTCGCGGGGTTAGACTTCGTCTCCTTTGCGCCCTTGGCCTCCTTAGTCGCCTTGACCGTAACCTCCTTCGTCGCCTTCAGCACCGACTTCGCCGGCACCGCCGCCGTCGGAGTTGACTTTACCGACACCTTCGCCTTCGCAGCGAACGCGACCTTCTTCGCGGGAGGCGGCGGCAAGGACTTGTCATTCGCCGCGCCGCGCTTGCGTTTTGAGGGTGGCGGGGAGGGAAGCTCCTCATCTTCGTCGTCCTCGTCCTCGTCCTCGTCCTCTTCGTCTTCCTCATCTTCATCGTCTTCCTCCTCCTCGCTATCGTCGTCGTCGGCCTCCTCCTCACCCTCCATATCCACATCCTCGTCCTCATCATCATCATCACTATCCGCCCCCGGTCTCGGCTCCGCGCCCCGTACCCACGGAGCGTCGAGCTCGACAGCGCGCTCATCGATTGAGCCAGGCGTAAGCTTGACGAGGCCGCCTGCGCGGCGGAGCTCCTTGCGCGTGGGCAAACGCGAGAGGATGGCCTCAACGGCTTCGGAGAGTAAGGCGGTAGACGCAGGTCCCGGCGTGTACCACTTTATCCTGCCGATGCTCCAGTCGCGGAGGACGACGCGGGAGGCGTTGGTGAGGTCGACGGCGCCGTGCTAAAGACGAGAAGGTAGGTAAGTATACGGAAATGGGAGACTTAAAAGGAGAGACGCACCTTCTTGATGAGCTGCTTCGCGCGAGCGACACCGGTGAGGAATGCCGTGCTGTCCTCCTTCATGAACGCCGGGAGGTTATAAAGGAGCATCAAGTCCTCCGTCGTCGCACGAGACACGAAGTGGTCCACTGCAGAGTGAAAACACTTAAGCATCAACGCATATACTCACTACAAGCCACCCACCAGCCGGCTCCGGGTCCTTCAACCGGTCGATGCGCCCCTTGTTGCGCATCAAGATATCGCGGGCGCGCACGACGTTCGCTGCCTCATCATCTGGAGGGAGGGGCACCCAGGAAAGGCCAGGGGTATCAATGATGGTGACCTTGTCGCTGAGCGACACTTCGTGCGGGACCTCAGTTGTGGTGGGTCCGCGGGACGAGGTGGCGAGGGTGTATATGGGTAAAGCGGGCTTCTTCAGGAGAGAGTTGACGAGGGAGCTCTTGCCAGACTGGGCAGTGGCGCTACTTCAGTACGAGCGCATACAGCGAGAAAAGGAGACTGACGTTCGTAACACCGACGACAGCCACAGTAAGAGACTCGTCGCCCTGCTTCTCAGCTGCCCACTTCTGCAGCTGCTCAAGGATGGGTCCAGCGCCAATGGCATCGTTCGACGGGGCCTTCCCCTTCCCCTTCGCATCAGGAACGGGAGGGGGCGGCAAGCATGCTGAGGATGAGCGGAAGAGGAAGGTCGGTCTGTCCGCACTGAGATGCAAGTACCACGCAGAGACGGCCTCGCGAGGGCAGAGGTCTGAGCAGTATCTTGTCAGCCAATGTTCCTTTTCCATCAAGTAAACATACGCACCGATTTTGTTCATCACGAACATGGTCTTCTTGCCCGCCCCGCTCACGTAGTTCTCCAGCTCCGCGCTCCTGAACGTCTGCGGGTCCCGCGCGTCCAGCACCTCGATCACCACGTCCGCCTTATCCAATACCGCGCGCAGATTCGGCAAGTCGGGGTCCATCAGCATCGGCGCGTCCTCCTCGTCCTCGTCCTCCACCTCCGCGGCAGCAGCAGCGCGCCGCGCATCCTTCAGAGAGACCGTAGCGACGTTGAGCTTCTTCGCGCTGATGCTCGCCACGCCATCAAAGTCGCCGTCATCTGAGAGCTCGGCGGCAGCGTCCTGCTCAGCAGCCTCTGCGTCAACCGCCTTCTTCGCGGCCTTCTTGCCCGTTTTGCGCGCGACCTTCTCTTCTGCGGCCTGGGGGATGCGGTCAGCACACTGTGGTTGTGGTGGGAGGGGGAGGGGTAACGCACTATCCGCCTCTGCTCCGCAACTTCCGCCAACAGCTGATCCTTGAAGGGGTAGTTGTTCGGGATACCTGGGTCCTTCTTATGCTCTGCATAAGCATCCCGTCAGCACACCCCACTCTCCATAGAGCATCGACACGCACTAGACTTCCAGGTCACATCCTTCTTCGCCGCCTTCGCCTTCTTCTTCTTCCCCTCCCTTAGCTTGTTGTGCAGCTTGCGCCGCTCATGGGTCTTGGTCCTGTTACTCGTCTCTGCCCCTTTGTGAGCATACAGGGCGCGTAGAGTAGCAGGGGCGCTTACTCTTTCTGATGCGGACCATTGTGAATGTTTAGGACAAAATACCGGTCTCGATCGATCGAAGGCGCGTCCCGGAGATAATGCCGAAATAGGGTTGCTATAATGCGCTTTGACAATTCGCCTGTAGCCGTTGACCTCGTTTGCTTCGCACCACTTGAATGTTTATACGCCAGACCGCCCATACTTGCCTCCATGTTGAGGACTTCGGCGAGAACATGCGACACACATAATCTACACACAGAATTATACTACAGACGGTAGGTGCGGTTAGAAGTACAACCATAAACCCACACATGTTCATCTTCGTCTTCTATACAATCAATCGACGCGTAGAGCGGCAACCCTGTCTGGACCGTCAGCCCGTCAGTCAGGGGGGCATACCCGGTAAAAAAAGCGGTCTTGCCGCCCAGGCTAAGCTTGGACAGAACACCTTCCTGCGCATGCATCTTCACCTTCACGAAGTTGGCGGGCCGCACGAAGCTCGAGCGCGACCTTCACCTTCTTGTCGTCATTCTTCCAGACGTCGAGCGTTGGAGGCCAACAGATTGCAGCTTGAACACTTGCATACATATACGGGTTGCTACGAACATATCGACGACTTGACAAGAAGGGAGTATTGACAACTTGGAGACTGGAGGGTGGTTCGACGAGGCGGACATTGACATCTGGGTTTTCTGTTTTCTGGGTGTCCTTTTCTGGAGAGATATTGTAGCTGGATGGGTTTTCGACGGGCTTGATAAGGTAAAAAGAACGTTCGGTCCGAAGGGAGAACAATCCGAGTCTGCGAGCCTTGAAGAGCCAAAGGCGACGGCGGCGACGTCGACGGCAACATCGAGGGAAGCAATGTTGCCGAAGACGAGGCCAGCGCCAAAGACGACAGGAGGGCTTCAAGAAAAAATAGACACCCTTGCTCTTCTCTGCTTCGTTTTGCACCTTCTGCCTTCTGCCTTCGACCGCTTGCGCTTCGTCGCGTTCGCTCACTAGCCAGCTACGACGGAGACCTGCAGGCAAATCGTGTCAGACCATTCACCACCTATCGGCCGGCGGGGCCGGAGCGGGCGCCTCGTAGTCAGCCGCGCGCCTCGGGCTGCTACCCCGCGGCGGGCTACGCGAGTAGCTGCGCCGCCTCCGATAGTCCGGCGAATAGCGCCTCGGCGGCGGCGACGCGCGCCTATCGCGCCAGTCGTCCCGACGATAGTCACGGTCGTAATCGCGATACGAGTCCCGGTCGCGGTAGTAGTCCCGGTCACGATCGCGGTCTCTGTACGAGTCGCGGTAGGAATCCCGGTAGGAGTCGCGCCCGCCACGGTAAGAAGAGTCGCGGTACGAGTCCCGCGGCGCACGGCGGTGGCCCATGTACTCGCCAGGGGTGGGGGCGTGCGGGCGGTCAGTTACGGAATAGTCAACACGGATGTTGCGTCCGTTGAGGTCCTGGGATCGCGTGAGATTTGGGGTTGACGGGAGTGGAGACGGACTCACGATGCCGTTCAGCTCCTGGATGCAGCGCGTCGCCTCCTCGACTGTGGACATGCGGATGAAGCCGAAGCCACGAGAACGACCGCTCTGCAGACGTCATGGTGATGAGCGTACGTGAAGGTAAACGAACTGCGGCCACGTACGCGCTGGTCGTAGACGATGGTGACCTTCTCCACCGTGCCAAAGCGACTGAACTCCTCGTCAAGGTCGCGCTCCTCAGTGCGAATGCTGAGCCCAAACACGCCCAACACCTGGGTCGGATTGGGCGCCTATGTGGCGCTTAACGAATATCCGTCAAGGGGGAACTTCGGGGACGTACGATGGGCGCGTGGGACGGACGCTTGGGGGGCACAGGCGACCTCACACTGCGCGCGTACGAACGAGCAGGGCTGCGGCTACGCGAGCGCCGGGAGGGGGGCGCGTCGCGATCGCGGTCGCGGTCGTCGCGCGGGGGCGCTGCGGGCGGCGCGCTGTAGTCCGAATACGGGTCGGGGACGGCAGCGGCGGCGGGGTCAGCGTACTGCGGCGACATCGTCATGGTTAGCGACAAGACGCAAAACGCGGCGTATTGGAAATGTGCCGCACCATATCGGTTCGAACTGGTAATGGTATAAGCTGTGGTGTTGACGTTTGTTGACTGGCGCCGCGCCCCTCTTATGGCGGGCGCGTGATGATCCGAACAATTCGGCCCGTGGCTTTCATTGCGCACAGATCAGGGTCAAAGGCGAAGATGCTTCCAAGAAGGACGATGCGGCCTTTGTACTGTTATTTACAGGGTCCTGTACACGGACTGTTGCATTGTTACCACCCTTTCAGACGATTTGGGAGGCAAAAGATGGAAAATCGAAGAAGTTCGACTTTTGGAATACGGGTCACATGATACGGACTTTGCCGGCAGCTGTATAGTTTGTCCTTCAGTCGTGCTCGCCATTGTGTGATCCAGCACCGACGTCCGGCAAGTCCTCAAGAAAAATGGCGAGTCCGCTGTGCCTGGCGGCGACGGGAGAGTCTTGCTGACGGTCGTCGTAATGTGCAGGGTATCGATCTTACGGCGCACCACGTCAAGAAGGGCCAGCGCACCGCGCCGAAGAGCGAGGACCCCTACCTCCTCCTCCTGGTGAAGGTGCGCGATCGATCCATTTGCACTAAGAGCAACGAACTTACACTTTCCGTAGCTCTACCGCTTTTTGGCCCGCAGGACGGATGCCCCCTTCAACAAGGTCCATACTCCCCGATCTCCCCCAATAAACATCCGTTAACCCTTCCATCCTTAGGTCATCCTCCACCGCCTCTTCCTCTCCAAAATAAACCGCCCGCCCGTCTCTCTCTCCAAGATCTTTGTCGAGACCCAGAAGGCCGAGCTGGAGGGCAAGATCGTCGTTATCGTCGGCACGGTGACGGACGACAACCGCATGCTGGAGGTGCCCAAGGCGACCATCGCCGCGCTGCGCTTCACGCGCTCGGCGAAGGAGCGCATCCTCAAGGCGGGCGGTGAGACTATCACCCTCGACCAGCTCGCGCTCCGCGCCCCGACCGGCGCAAACACCATTCTCCTCCGCGGCAAGAAGACGGCGCGTGAGGCCAACAAGCACTTCGGCATGGGTGAGTCGCGCTGTCTGTTGGTCGGATTGGTGATACTGACGAGTCGCAGGCCCGCACAAGAACAAGAAGCCCTACACCATATCGAAGGGCCGCAAATTCGAGCGTGCTCGTGGTCGCAGAAAGTCCCGTGGCTTCAAGGTGTAAGCTCGCCTACGAAGCCAACCATTGCATACCGGGGTCCAGTGCGCCCTTGGGGACGGGTGTACTCATATGCTACCATGCCATATGTCAAGGTTACCATACCTTTATTGTATCGTCTATGCTCTCGACATCTGCTTTCGCCCGAGCTGAGAATCGCCGTGATCCCTCATTGTGTTCGGGGCGTGCAGGGTGCCAGGCTGCTCAAGTGACTTAGATGTGCCGGGAGCGATAGCGGTGTTAGCATGATGTCCATATCTGGCCAGTTCAGCCAGCCACCCTGGGATGACTTGGGAAATATGGGTGGCAGGCTTCTACGGCTGCAGGTGGACGTGGGGCAGAACACATTGTTGTCTTTCCCGGTCTACAATCACACTTCTGACGGTTGCAGATGAGGCGCCGTTCTGCGTTCTATGTATCATAGCGAAGCGGTTGTAAGTGCACGATTTTCGTTTGATTTCCGTGCCCCACTGGAGAAGGTGTGACCACGAGTCACACTGACGCACCTGATGGCCCCGTGACGTTGAGAAAAACGAACATGTCATGTGACCGCCTGAGGTCTCTTGTTTGTTTGAAAGGCGGAAACTAGGCGCGTCGTTAACGAATGGGACCCTTTCTGCCACTTGATGTGGTACTAAGAGCCAGTAGAGTGCAACCTTCGCGTTGCTCAACCCATCAGGAGATGGTCCAGAGATACTTCTAATAGGAATTCGCTCTGCGTGATGCTGCAACTCGGGCCATTTCTGATTCAGGGGATGCATGAGGGAATGGATTCATACTTGTAATTAGCATCGTCAATAATCCTTCTGGCTTCCATCTGAGACGAGGAGGATGCGCTAGCCGCGTTACCCTTACAGTCCTGTACGCGCCCTTCATTTGGCAACGAAGGTTATTGTCCGCTGCGAGTGACTACGGCCGGTCAGGGGGGGGGGGGGGGGGGTTCGTAACAGTTGTCGGCTATAGAGAGGGCACTGCTCGCGGGACTCTGCCGGAAGTTGCGTCGGCTGTATTCAATTCTGTATTGAGTGCTTCCCCTCCCAAGGGGAAGTGCTACTAGGTTCACAGCGATTGCCGCCGTAGGTACAGTGCTTTGAAGGTACTATGCGCCGCTGCGCGTACTAGTGAGTCCCGAAATGACTGTGTCAGGGCGTGCCAGCGTCAATAGGTTGGCCCATGAACAATGGTTCGCTCGAGGCCTGCCAAAGTGGTGCCGAGGGTGGGTACCCCTCTGCGCCTGGGCATCGCCTTTGAGGCCACGATGAACAGGGTACTTCTAGGGCGGTTGTGGCCTTCCTGAGGTCCTACAAAAGTACCACTCGAAAGGTGTGTGAATTGGGGTATTTGGGAGTTTGAAATGAGCCGGCCACGCGCGTCCATGGATCGGGGGATTGTGTCAGCGCAGTCTCTACCTGCCGCCATCGTCCGCGACGGCGCTGCCGTCGCCCGGTACACCCCGACGATGCCCACATCCAACCTGCCTTCGTTCTCCCTTCACCCAGCACATCAGCAGTTTGAGGGTCAAGATGTCGCCATCCTCGACCTCCCAATGTTCCAGTACCCGATAGACCCCTCCCACCCCGAGCCCCTGCCCGACGATGTTGCAGGCACTCTCAATCAGCCAGCGCCGGGGACGGACCCGGCAGCGGCGGTAGATGCGCTCGACGCGAGAGACGGCACCCCACCAGGCCTCCATCGTGGCATACCGCGCATCTCGCGCTCCGCCTCGATGCCGCTCCCTTCCCAGCTCGGCCAGCTCGCCCATCCGCGACGAGGCAGGCCAAAGGCGAAGGCCGATGCGCTGAGGACCATGAGCGCGAACGTCGACGAAGTCTCCATGGAGCTCGCCGACTCCGTGTCAATGATCGTGCAGACCATGCTGCAAGTCTCGCCGCCCCAGGTGCTCGAGTCCGCCAAGGAGTCCTTCTCCGCGTGCACGCTCTCCGTCCCGACGGCGTCAATGTCCGCCATATTCACCTCGCTCAAGTACATGAACTACTTTGCCGGGAACATGTCCACCATGTGCGGCGACAAGGGCAAATCGCCCGTCAGAGGCGCAGACCTGGCCGACTTTGACATCGGGGAGATGCTGCAGGATGTCGGGGACGCCCTCGGCGGGCTCGCTGCTTATCACGGCGTCGACCTCGTGCTTTTCCACGGCGATGTCGGTCTGAAGCACGAGTACGTCAAGGGCGACGAGACCGGGCTTGCGTTCGCGGTGACCCAGGTGCGTGGCCATTAATCGCGAGTCCTTCTCTTGCTGAAATGTCTGCAGCTTGTTCGTCATGTTTTGCACACCTGCAAAGAACATGATACCATAGAATTGGGCCTTTTCGTGAGGCCGGTCGGTGGCGACCCCCCTTCTCCGGACGAGGATGAAGATGACACTGGATCCCTACTTTGCTCTATCGAGATCACGCATGTCTTCGGCCCAGGGTTCTCTGAGACGACACCCTCTGAACACCCCGACGAATCACTGGAAGATGAACCTCTCCGTCCCGCACCCACATTCCCCACCGCACTACATCGACTGCTCAACCATCTCGACGTTACTTTCGAGCAGGACTGCCCCCGCTCGGATCCCTCTGGACCTGGGCACACCTCGCGCGTCTCTTTTCAATTGGATCGTGGCGTCCCTTCTTCCCCCTCACCTACACCACTACCGGATGTCCCCGGCCTCGATGGAGACCGAGCGGCGTCCGAACCCACTCTTGACGAGCTCTTCCGATTCATCGAAACACTGCGCGGCAAGAAGGTCTCCCTTTATTCGGATCGAGAAGGCTCATTTGCACATCATCTGACGAGCTACTTGTCTGCCTGGGGTTTAGATGTCAGTCATATGTCTGATGCACCAGAAGAAGAGGGGCAGGCTTCTCCCTCGTCCCAGGCGGACGCGATGAACGATCCTCTGGCTTTCGCTCCTCAGTACTCTCCCAAAGGCTCGCCGACAACGGAACAACAGCAGATCAATCCACAGCCGGCGAGCTTCGTAATCATTGACGACGATATCGATGTCTTACGCGAGCGCTTGCAACTCTGCAGGATGCAACAGTGCTCTCCTTTTGCGCCTGCCAGGACAAACAAGCGCCCATCTCTCGCCAACAACCATCGCCCACGGTCCTCTCCTGCCGTCAACCGTATCTTGGGCGCGACCGGCTTCACTCCCCAGCCTCCACCACCATCTGCTGTCTTCGTCCACTTCACAAGTCTCGCCAACTACAAGATGGTCAAGGACGTGATGCAGTCCATCCTTTCTTCCTACAACGCGCCGCCGCCCGAGGTCATGATCATACCCAAGCCTGCTGGACCCCGCCGCTTCCTGACAGCACTCTACAACGCTGTCAAGAAGCCTATCGTCGACCCTATGTTTGCGCCCATCGCGACGTCGCCGATGAGCCCGGGTGTGCACATGCAACAGACGTACTTTACCAGCGCAGCCGGCCCGACCCCAGGTGGCGGACCCGGGCCCCGCGCCTCCCCCACCCATGTCCATCGCCCATCAAGCTCGCGCGCCAGCTCCGACCGCACAAACAGGACACTGAAGGACTTCGTTGACCCGTCTTCGCATGCGGTTCCGCCCTCTCCACTCGGCATGCACGACGGTAACGACTACTTCGCGCCGGACAAACTGCTCGAGGTACAGGGCACGAAGCCTTTGTCGACGGGCACAATCCTGCAATTCCAGAACGGCCAGCCAGCGGGCATCTACTTCGACCCGAAGGGCAAGTCGTCGGGTATCACGCCGCCAGAGACACCGGAGATGGAACGCTCGGTGGAGCGCGCATCGGGGAGGCCGTCGTCGTTGGCGAGGCGGACGACGTTCCAGGAGGCGAGTCGCACTGGGCAGTCACCGGCAGCGACGCCCAAGCCAAGGAGGCGGCTGACGTCGCGGGAGAATGAGGGTCTGCCAGGGCCAGCGTCGCCGACGATGGAGAGGAAGGGAACGGGTAGGCGATCGACGCCGACGGCTGGGAAGGGCAAGGAGCGGAGGATTGTGCCGCCGGTCAGGGTGCTGATCGTCGATGGTGAGTCGCGCGGCTTTGTGATGTGTGGATAGGCCGCTCACATTCCGTAGATAACCCCATCAACCGAACCATCTTGCAGACGCAGATGAAGAAGCACAACATTGGGCACGATACGGCGAGCAATGGTCAGGAGGCAGTCGAGAAGTGGATGACCGGGCACTTCGACATCATTCTTGTACGCACCTGCCTCTGGTCATGCAGACCATCTTGTTAACCCTTACCCAGATGGACATCAGGATGCCCGTCATGGACGGCTTACAAGCGACGCAGAAAATCCGCGCGATGGAGGAAGAGGGCATGTACCGTCCACCAGCCGGCGACTATCCACTGCCATCCCCAGCGTCGCGCTCACCCTACCGCTCCTCCGTGATCATCGTCGCCTTGACGGCCTCTTCCTTCGACGCCGACGACCGAAGGGAGGCGCTCGGGGCTGGTTGCAACGACTTCCTGCTCAAACCTGTCTCCCTCGCCTGGCTGTACGACAAGATCATGGAGTGGGGATCCATCAAGGCGCTGCAGATGTGTGCGGATCCGGACAGGGATACAACGCCCGGGACAATGGGTTTGCTTGGCCTTGCGACGTCAGCGGCCCCCCTTGCGAAGGCGCAAGCGGCAGCTCAGGCGGTTGCAGAGCGCTTGACGTTGCCGGCGACGAGGAACGCGACGCCGAGCCCTACGCGCGGAGGCAGCAGCGGCGCTAATCGTCAGGTGATGCAACCGACTCCGCGGAAAGCGCGCGATACCTTGTCGGCGTCGTCGACGTATAGCTATGGTGCGGCTTTGGCACGGGAGACGGAGAGGACGTCGAGCTTGGAGTCGACTTCGTCGCTGACACCGAGGGCGGCTCAGGGCGAAAGCCCGAACGGGCACGCGATGGTGACGAGCGATGTGCCTATGTCAACAACACCAGAGCCAATGTCAACCACACCCGAGCCTATGTCGACGACGCCTGAGCCATCACCTTCCGAGTACGATACTGCACGCACGTCTTCCGAACCGCCGACTTCGACGTCCACACGGTATGGCACGCCGGAGTCTGCGCCGGACGCGCATATTTCGCCAGACCCGCTCTCCCTGTCTGCACCGAGCTCGCGAGCAACTTCAGAGAGTCGATCCCCGCCAGCGTCCGAGCTGGAACGAGGTACGGTCTCTGTCAAGCTCATCCTAATCGGCTGACGTTCAGTGCGCAGCCTCAAGCGACGACGGTTCCTATGATATGATTGACCTCGGCGAAGGTGGGTGGGCAAGTAAGGCTTGGCGGGGCGGGAAAGCTGACAGAGATCCGGGAACAGGTGCGGTCGCCCCGCCGCCGAAAACACGGGCAGCGCGCGACGCAGATGAGCCGCCGAGGCCGCCTTCCGCAGAGGACGGGTCCGACGCCGCCACGGCAGGCGCCGAGGAGGGCGAGGGGGAGAGCACTGAGGGCGGCGAGGAGCACGAACACGACCACGAGCCGCCGCCCGAGAGCACCACCGAAGACGAGCCCGCCCCGAGCACAGAGGGCACCGAGGATCCCGACCCCGACTTGCCAGATATTCCTGACGCAGTTCCTGCGCGCGGGGGTGACCTCCAATGACGTGTTTGGGCGACCTTCACCGCGTTCTGGGGCTGGTGTCTGGTACCCATCCTGCTCTGGCCCATCTCGGCGAGGGTCGCCGCGCTCGTTCGCCGCCACTAGTCCGTTGATGTCTGTCTGTCGGCGCTCGGGGGCGACGCCTCCGAGTTCCTCGTGGTTCCTGCCTCCCTTCCTCACTTATTCGCCTGCCAGTACCCAGCCACCCATGCATATGCCCCATGCCCTGCGGACTCCTCTCCCTACTTGGCCCGCTTTCGCGCTGCGCCCTTCGACGGAGACATACGCTGAATATATGTATATGTGCATGGTATGCTGCTACCTATGTATGACGCCTGCAAGCCATTGGCCATACACGCCTTTTCATGATTCTCTCGTCCGGCGAGCTTCTCTTCACCTCGCCTCACTTCACTTGGCATTGATTCACTTCACCTTTTCTTTTCGGATTTTACTCCGTCTTGCTACCACTACTGCTGTGCATTGCTACATACATTACCATCTCTGACATTCTCTGTCTCTTCTCGCCTACGCTCTTCATTTTTGCCTTTGCGACGTTGGATGTGTACAAAATGGTGACTTTTATGGGCTTTGGGTAATGAAGTTGTTTACTGTCGAGGCGATCTTGGATTCTTGCCGCGCGAGTAGTCAGTTCATCGTCCTTGATGTTCTTCGTAGAGGTCGCGCATGGAAGGAAGGATTCCAAGTCAGGCTGGCTTGATCAGTGTTCATATGCACACTTGCGCCTTCGTGTTTCTTCCAATCACGCAATTTTCAAGCCGACAACAGGTCAGTATATTTCGCACACGAGATGAGGTCGTCCACCGGTTCAGCTATACAAAACAACACTACGTCGACGGACACCAAGATGTATGTTGTTCAAGAACGAGCTGCCTCCACACCAAGCCGATAAGTATAACAAGCATCGAAGCCCGCCCGATCAGTACTGAAGTTGAATGTCGCCCTGTGAACAAGTCGTGAGACACTTGTTCTATCATCGAGGACAAAGGCAAACTCACCTCAGCCACCTCATCCATGTCATGGTAGCTGACCCTCGCACCCCTCGCCGCGCGCGGATCCTCCTTCGCATCCGGCGGAGGAGGCGGCGGGGGACCCAACGGCCCACCCCCGCGCCCACCCCTCCGTCCGCCACCCATACCCCCGTTCATTGGCACATTGCCCGCCATCAACGGGCCCTCCAGTAGATGCATCGGCTTCGCTGGCAGGCCAGGACCAGGCGGCGGCAGACCCATCGACGGCTCTGCATACCCGCCAACGCGCTCTGCCAGACGCCGACCACCACCTGGAGGGCCAGGCGGAAAGGCGCCAAAGCCTGGCGCGCCGCCCATGTACGGGGGCATGTCGTACCCGCCGCGACCGTTCATGTACATCGGCGCTGGCGCGCCGTAGGCATCTGGGTACCCGCCGCGCGTGTAGTCTGGCTGCTGGGCGTACTGCGCGGTAGCTGGCAAACCGAAAGCCTGCGGTGGCGGCGCGTTACCAGAGACAGGCGGCGGATGGCTGAAGGGCTGGATGCGATGCGGGTCGAGGGCGAAGTTGTTGAAGTAGGTGAGCTCCTCGAGCGGCTTGAGCAGATCGGGGTGCTTGTTGGCGACGTGCTTCTCGACGAAGGTGGCGGCTTTGAAGAGCTTCTGGCACGACTTGCAACGGAACTTGTGCTCCTCCTCGCGTTTGATGTACGGCTCAACGGTTTTGGAGAGCTCCCTAAGATCGTGGTGAGTACACGAGACACTTCGAATGGAAGGGTCACCCACTCGTCATAGTTCTTGCCGCCGTACTCGCGAGGGTCAACCTCGTCCCTACTAACCAGCAACGCGAACTTCGAGTCGTGCCACTCCAACCACCTCTCGTCTATCGCCGCGTTAGCCTCACGTCATTAGATCCAGGGTCGACCGCTCACCATTCCTCTTCCAATCCCTTCCCCCATCCTTCCTCTTCTCCCGCTTCTTCTCCCCCTCGCCCTCCTCTTTCTTCTCCTCGCCCTCCTGCTGACCGCCCTCCTCCTTCACATCCATCGCCTCGTCGCCGCCCTGCTCCGCCTTCTTCGCTTGCGCTTCCTTCTCAGCCTCCTCGGCCTTGAGCTCTTCCACAAGCGCCGCGCTCAGCGGCTTCCGCTCATGTTTCACACATTTCCGCTGCAATTCCTCAACATGATCCGTCACAACGCAACAGTAGAAGCACGTATTGAAAGCTGCTCTGAGATAGGCAATAGACAGGTCCAGCGATACCACCACCTATATGCCGTGTCAGCGCAACTTGACTCACGAAAGAAAAAGACAACGCACCTTCTTCTCCTCGTACGCCTTCTCGTTGCTCGAGTCGACGAGGCCCTGCTCCTGCAGGTTCTGCATGATGGTCTCGATGCGGCGTTCGACTGCGTCTGTCCCGCGCTCTCTCGGCTCCTCCTCTTCCTCGTCGTACTCCGGCTCAGGCAGCGGCTCGTCGCCCTCCGCAGGCGCACCCTCAGGCTTCGGGGGCTGGGGCTTCTTGACCTTCAGAGCGCGCAGCGTAGCAGCCTGATCCTCAAGCAAGGACGCCAGGTGGCGCGCGCTCGCTAGGTCCTTCGCCAAGCGTGCGGGACGACTGGCGACCTCCGGAGCGTAGCGAATCTTGCCAGTGAACGGACGCTGGTTGTGCGTAACATGAAGCTTGAACCCGTCGATCTGCATGACTCGTGAGACGATGCCAGGTGGCGCAGGTTTATATACTGACCTTCTTGTCGATCAGCTCGTTCATGATAGTGCTCATGTCAGCATCCTCGGTGAACCTAATCCAGCCTGCACGATAGAAGTTGCGCTTCTGCAAGGGATCACCCAAAGCCAGGTAGTGGTACCCGTGGAGATGACAGATGTTCTGCAAAGGCCCCATAAGCGAACATTCGTACATCAGTACAGCACTACTAACCTCCTCCAGCTTCGTGCGCCCAATGTCAGGCGGAATAGTCCGGATCATGACCTGATTACCCTCGATGGGCACCTCAAGCTCATCACGCTGGTCCGGACGCTTCCCCGCATCGCTCTGTCCGTTGGCATTGTTCCGGTTCGCGTCTTCACCAGCGTCCTCTTCGGTGTCCATTGGGAAGTGCGAGTCCTCCTCGCCATTTGCCTCAGGCTTCGCCTTGCTCTCAGCGTCCCCGTTCACGGACTCTTTCGTAGTAGGCGACGTGGGCTCGGGCTCCTTGGTTTCTGGATCATACTTGCCCGCTTCTAGGTCGTCAAGGAAGGCGGCTAGCCTGCCCTTCCAGCCTTCCTTGCGCAGGCGCTGGCGCATCTGCTCGAACTCGGGCGCCGGATCATATTTCTCGGCAAACCAGGGTGACTTTTTGTGGTGGTCGAACATGATTTGCAACTGAGTAGGTCATTCAGCCAACATGTTCCACGAGTACTACGGACAAGCAGAATGCAACGTGCAAAAAAGCACGCATAGAGAGCCTGGGTCCTTCGAATGCGATGGGTCGAGTCACTGACCTGATTCTGGGCGAACTCCTTCTTGTACTTCTCCCACAAGGTTCTGAGACCATTGCGCGGCTTGGAGCCGTCACCCGCTTCCGCTTCCGCCTCCTTGTCCAGTCTGTCTTCCTCGGCAGCATCGTCGGGGTAGGTGTACCGGAACCACTCCGCATACTGCCTCAGACTGACGGGATAGTCGGCCGTGCGAGGGTCCATCGGACGACGGCCGCCCCCGTACCCGCGGCGCCCGTAGTCATATGAACGCGAGTGCGTGTCTGCATGCTCGGTCAGCCAACACGAGCATCCCATCATGCATGGCACGCACCATAGTCATCCGCATACCGAGGCCTTGGCTCATACCGGTCTCGATCGTAGGGAGACGCGGAGCGGCGGCGTTTGCGAGCTAATAACGCGTCGTCAGGCCACAAACACAAACGAACAACGCGCCACGTACATTCATCCCCTCCAGGGCTCCTGCTCCTGCGCCTGCCACCGTATTCGTAGGGTGGGCGGTCGTATGGCGCCGCGCCCGGCACGTAGGAGCGCTCCCTCTCGTAATAAGGGTCGAAGTCCGGGGGTGGGTATTGCTCCGGGAACGGCGGACGCGCGCCATTGTACGCCATTCCACGCGCAGGGGAGCGCGAGCGCGAGCGCCGCGGGGGCGGAGGATACGGAGCAGGCCAGGACATGGCAGCGTCGTCGTTCGCGGGTTACAATAACGAAACTGAGAAAGTGCGCGGACAGAGGCGAGGAGGCGAAAGGCATATCAGAGCCCGCAGGAGTACGAGGTCGAGCATAATGAACAGACCTGAGGAGAGCAGTGGCAACGACGGACTTGCGCGACGGGCTCGACGAGGAGCTGGCGTCTTTGGGCGTCGTTGGCGAAGCCGAGCGCGCGACAGCAAATCCGGCCGGACGCTTTCGGGCGGAGATTCAAATTGTGCCGCTTTTGGAAATAGTGACGCATTCCATTGTTTTCTGCGATCATCATGTCCCCTGCACAGAAATTCGAAGGCGAGGCGGACGCCGAGTCCTCCCGCTCCCCCTTGCATTCTGAGAACGAGGAAAGCTCTGAACATGAGGGGGGCTCTGAACATGGGTCTGATCACGAAGAGCACGACCCTGAATCCGTCTTCGATCCAGCAGGCTTTGCCGGTCCGAAGACCGTCAAGCCTCTAACTCGTGAAGCGCTTGCTGCGTTCCAGGCAGCCCAGGACAAAGCTGGCATCATCTATATATCCCGCATACCCCCTGGCATGCGACCAGCCAAGGTTCGCCACCTCATGAGCGCGTACGGGGAAGTCGGCAGAGTATACCTCCAGCAAGAAGGTGCGTGCCCTGCAAACACATCTTGATGCATCCTTATCCATTGTGACAGACCCCAAGCGTGCATACCTTCGCAAGAAGTATACATCGACGAACAAAGCCCACTTCACCGAAGGCTGGGTCGAGTTCAAGGACAAGAAGATCGCGCGAAGTGTCGCCGAGCTTCTCAACGCACAACCCATTGGGGGAAAGAAGGGGACGCGATTCTATGACGACGTATGGACCATGAAGTACCTACCAAAATTCAAGTGGAACATGCTCACTGAGCAAGTCGGTACGTGTACCGATCGCCATCTTCATCCTCAAACTTACACATTCTCCAGCCCACGAAGCCGCTGTGCATACCGCCAAGCTACGTGCAGAGCTGCAACAGTCGAGAAGCGAGCAGCGTGAATACCTCAAGAACGTCGAATTGGCTCGTGTACTCGACAAGCGCGCGCAGCGCAAGAAGGAGAAGGGGGAGGAATTTGAGCTCAAGCCCAATAATCGCAAGCGGCCAGCCGATGATGCGGAGAAGAGGGTCAAGAAGCCGAGACGGGAAGAGCCTACCCGTAGTCAGGATATCGGGGACGTTCTCAGTAATGTGTTCTAGTTTGCTTATCCGTGTACAGGGTGCTATCTGTGATACAGAGGACTTCGCCGCGACAAGGGTGATGTGGAGAGATTCTAGTGAAAGGTCTTGAAAGACGCAAATATGCGAACCATCTGCCAATGCCATCGTCCTGCACAGCTGAAGAGAAACGCGACGCCACAAATCGTCATTGACATGTCAATGTCATTGTCATGGAAGCTCCGAAGGCAGCACCGGGACGTGCACCTTCCGCGCCTCAACAGCACCTTGACCGCGACCATCATCACCAGTCCTACCTCACTTTCTTCCTCCGCTCATCCTCCCACCTCACTCACCCTCCCTTAGATCACCATGTACCAGTCGTGTCCCGTTGTCGACGAGCAGAACCCGCTGTACTGCCCTACGCTCTCCGCGACTTCATACCTCGAATCCCTCCGGCGCCAGGTCGCTCGCGATTCCTACGCCCAGCGCGCCCTCGGTGAAGACCCGCTCCTCTCCTTCGCCCGCCTCCTCCAGAACGCGCTCCAAGAACCAGGCTCGCAGCCGCGCCCCGCTCACAATACCCGCAGCACCACCAAATTCGAGTTGCACTCTCCCCAGCTCCCTCGCGCGCAATACTCCTCCATCGGCGGCGACCTAACGTTCGGCAGCAACCCTATGTTCGACAGCTCATTCTCGCAGCTCGACTCGACTGTATGCGATGGTACTACACGTCATCCGTTCCCATATTTCGACTTCAGGCCCCAGACTGTGCGTCCGAAGCGCAGACTCTCGGACTTCAGCGACTTCAACGGACCCTCGCAACTCGATCGGTCTCAGATGTCGAACCAAGACAGCTCTTTCGACGTCGTTGTCAAGCACGAATGCCTCGATTTCAATGTGTACGACCCAGACTCTGCGCCCCCGCCACCGTACTCTCCGATCCGAGCTCCGAAGAAGCGGCGCATTTCTGAAGAGCTGGTCATCCGCGACGAAGTCAAGATCAAGGTGCAGCAACTCGAAGGTGCGCACAACTTTTCCTTCGCGCCAGTCAGGCAAAACTGATGACCATCCGCAGAGGAGCTCTATGGCCCATACATCGGCAGCGAATCCCCTCGCGGCGTCTCGAACCTCATCGACCGTCTGAGCACATTACTTCCCGGTATCCGCCTCAAGGAGCGACTATATGCGCTGTCTAACCTCGGACACCAATCGATCGCTGACTTTCTCGCCGAAAACGGGCTACTGAACGCCGCGATTCTCTCGATCCTCCGCACCTCTGAAATCCGCTCGCTTGCTCTGACGACTTCACTCTTCGACGAAGATGGTTTGAACTTAGCTGGGCAGGATATCTTGCCGGGTATATGCGCCGTGTTCGACAGGACGCACTGAGATGCTGACTATGAGATTCAGTGTTCAGCAAGCCGAACAGTTTTCTGTTCTTGACGGAGTTGACCTGCTCGGGAACTCGGCTGCACGACTTCGACCTCATCCACATCCACCACTTGCCTCGGCTAGCGATGCTCATGCTAGACAACACGAACATCAGCAACGAAGCGTATGCACATATTCCCCGTACTCGCGTTCCTCGTCAATGCTCACTTTGCGCACTACATAGCATATACCTTCTTGTCCCGCTCAAGCGCTCGCTCACCTGGCTATCCGTCGCCGGCAACGCTGAGGTCGACGACGACGCGGTCCCGGCGCTCATCTTACTTGAGAAGCTCTCATACCTTTCTGTCTTGGACACGACGATCGGCATGCCGGGCCTTCGGCGTTTTGCGCAAGTCATCATGGACGAGGACCGCAACATGGAGATCGAGATTCCGCAGGAATGCGAGGACTATATTGATAGTGGGTCATACTTTCAACCTTCCGTTTACTCAAGCTTGTACTTTCGTCTTTAACGACGCAATTCCAGCCATGCACCTCAAGTACTTCCTCTACCCGACCCCGCCCCTCATCACCAACCCGGCGCTCTGCGCCCAGCTCTCCGCGGCAGCGCTCAAGCGCAATCTTGCCGCGCACGCGGCCGTGAACCCGAAGATCATCGCCGCGGGGACGAAGGCGGAGATGATGGAGCGGCTGACGGGTGTGCTGAAGGTTCGGGAGCTGGATGTGCTGGTGCGGGAGCTGATGACGGACCCGGGGAGCGAGATGGGGAGTGAGGGGAGTGTGGAGGTTTGAGGGTGTTTGGATGAGGGGGATGACGGGCGACCACTGTTCATTCGTACGCTTTCATTTGTTTGGTTTTCTGCAGCTCTTTTGTTCAGCTATCGTGTACCCACGCTGTCATTCGTTGTCGTGTTTTTCCCGCTGTTATACCCAGGTTGTGGCTGCGCGCGCAGGCGTGTGGTCCCGGCCTTCTCGTCGTGGGCGACCGAGTCCTTGTGTTCACGTTGTTGTAGAAGTTTTTCAAGTGTAACTGTAGCTATTGGTGGTCGTATTCAAGTACGTGAAAAGGTCGTATCTGTGTGACTACTCGGTCGAGCCTCGTGATGGACCAACACAACTGACGCATGGTCTTCACTTTTATCTGGCTTCCTGGATAACGAACGTGCACCCATCTGTCCCTCCCTGAATGCCGAAAAAAAATAACGTCGATGCTGCTCGCTTTTCTCTGCCAAGTGAAAGATTGCCGCAAGGGGTTGTACATGTAAACCACTCGAGCGGCGTGAGAGGTTGGCCATAGCCTCCTTCCACATATTGAAGCAATTCCGAGCATCCCGACCCACACCTTGCATCCCCTCTAGGCCATCCCTGCAGCTCTTAGACTCCCCAGCTACTACAGTGGTGCCTCTAGGCGGCTGACAGAGAGTGGACAGACATCGAAATACAAAACAAAAACAGTGAACAGGCGAAGGAACGAAGCCGTACAGGATGACCCCGTAATGCCTCACCCCTTACGTCCTACCGAGAACCGAACTTGGGGGCTATCGGGCTGCTCCCCCGAACCACCCCCGCGGTAACTTGGACGTCGTCTATCCGCTGGACCATAGGACCATGTAGTGTACGTTAGCGTAATTTAGATTATACACGTGTTTTCGAGGGGAAAACGGCTGGTCCAGCAATTGTATCGGGCTACTTCTGACGGCAAAGCTTGCGTTTTATGTACAGATACTCTGTGCACATTCTGGAAGTGATAGCTCCAGTATCTAGAGCTGGGTCGCGGTTCAGAGTTGGAAGGGACCCGGCAAACGCCGAGGTTGGCACGGCTTGTCGGCCCGATCTGCCACTCCCTCCGCGCGCGACTGCCACGGTCTGCTGCCGCTCGACAGAGCTCACTAGGCCCTGGTGCAACGTCCTCTTGCATCAGTCTTATGGCTTCAAACACTCTTAGACAAATATCCCGTTCTCCTACCTTTCAAGTTGCGCGCGACTAAGGGTTGTCTTCAATCATGATTCATGAAATGCACGTATCACCGATGGTTAGGTCGCAATCCAAGGTGCCTTCGAGGCAATGAATCGTCTGGACATCGACTCAAGGGACTCTACGAGCGTTTTGAGAGCGAGTGTTTTCAAGTAACTGGTTTACATTGTATGATACATTTCCCTTACTTCGTACAATCAACCTGACTTTGCCTCCAGATACTCAATGACCGTGTCGCCCCACGTCTGTCCGCCCTACATTCCCGTCAACCATCGCCTTTTCGTGAGATATTGATAGCGCACCTTATACCGCCGCACATCGTCCGGCCAGCTGCGGAGAGCACTCGCGAGGCGGGCGCCGACGCTCTCTTTCTCCTTGTCAGGCGTGACTGACTCGTCCTTCTCGCCCTTGTCAGGCGCAATGGGATTGTCGCCGCCAGATGCAGCTGTCGTCGCGCCACCCTCCATCTCGTACTTGATGTCAGAGATCAAGTACCGGTACGTGCGGATACCGAAGACTATGATGCCCGTGCCCGGCAACCGCTTCAGCGTCTGCCTTTCCACGCGCAAGCGCAGCCTCTCGGGTCGCACTTCGGCGGTCTGAGCGTGGCGGCGAAGGTCTGCGGCTGGTTTCTTGTTTTTGGTATCGTCGTGACTCGTCCTCGATGCGTCTTCGTCGTGGCTGATCTTCGATGTGTCCTCGTCGGGAAACTCCTCGCCCATGGTCGTGGCCGCCCAGGCGAGCTCGTCGGGGTCGTCGGCGGGGATTGCCGCAGTGGATTGTGTGGGCAGCACCTGCACGCCATAGTTCACGCGCACAACTGGCTTGTCGACCGCCAGGCGTGCAAAGTAGCGGTCCATGGAGGGCCGGAGGGCTTGTTCGTCTGTGCGGTGGATGTCAGTGCGTGCGATCTTGCGCTCTCTTCTCAGGCTCTTCCCCCGTTGGCTTCCCAGTCGCATCCGTCAAGAAAAATTTACCACTCACACCTTGGCACCTTCCCCTCCACATGGATATCCTCCAGCTTCATCCCGAGCTTCTCGCGCAGGCGCCAGGTGCCCGGGACGAGGATGGCGCCGCCCTGGAGGTAGTACTTTCCGTCGGCGCCCTCGGTGAGGAGCGCGAGGTCGTCGGGAACACTGGGTGCGGGGTTGAGTACGTACATCGGGGCGGGGTTAGACAGATGCAATAGGAAGGGCTATGAGTGCGATAGGAAAGTTTGGACTTGTGGACGGCCAAAAAAACTATATCAACTCACAGCAATGCACACGTCCTCAGCGCCGCCTCGCCCTCTTCCAGGGAGACTTCGCGCAAGACGCCGGATCTGTCGTCAGCCCAAATACGTGGCGGTAGGTTGTGCGTCTCGTCGAGGACGCGGTTGGTAATCGTGCGGGTGGCAGAGTCGAGAGTGAAGGACTCCGGATAGCGCTGAGCCAAGTATTCTGCCGTGGCGAGCAGGAGTTCGACAGCTACGACACATAGTCAACAAACATTCCTCGTTCATCTTTTTTGCACAGACTTGCAATGCTTACCTCCCTGCGCGATTCGCGTTCCTCTCACCACCGCGCCGTCGCCCACCTTATCGCTGGGAATAATCCGCAGAAGTTCCCGGCCTTTGCTGTCGATTCGCCCCCGCCGAATGCGCTGATAAGTCGCGTACTCGTTATCGAGCTCGAACCACTCGCTGTGGGGGAGGGACTTCAGGCCCATGGGTGATGCTGGGGGGAGGGTGAGCTCATGGTTGTATATATTCATGGTTGTGTGTATATCGGTGGAAGAAGATTAGAGTGGCGAAAGGATTGTAGGACGGGATTAGACGCGGGGAATAGACGCTCACTGGTATTTCGGCCCCCATTTGAAGGGCCGGTATTGGATGGGGGTGATCTGGGGAACATCCCCGCGGGCGGTGGGGTGGATGTCCGCGGAGGGGAAGGCGTATATGTGGGGAGGTATGGGGTGCCATTCTGATGATTATGATGAGTGGGGAGGGGGACACTGATTTCCAGAGTCACTGAACCTCCTGGCGTGCGATCCCTCTGGCTTTTGACGTCCGCCTCAGCGATCGGTGGCTTCGCACCTAGTAAAGGTTTGTCTACGGGGAGCGACAGTCTCCTCCGAAGGTATAGCAGAAGGACGCTAGTGATTGCTGCCAGTATTATAAGCAGCGTAGGCCGGCTGATCTGGAGATGGGAAACATGAACTTCCATGTTCACCTGATGGTCGAAGTCAAGTTCGACTTCCATGTCTTATCTACGCACCGTGGAGATCGCTATCGCATTGCACCTGAACACATATCCGTCGCTCACTGCACGCCTGGACCTCTACACCGTCCTCAGCACCGTCCCGACCAGCGAGCGACGGGGTACCGAATAAGCGTCCGCGCTCTCCACGCTTCCGCGGCGTATCCGCGCGGCGAGTCGCACTGGAACGGGTCTGGAGTAGCTGTAAGCACCGAGCAAGGTTGACGTTTGAAGGCGTGTCCGAGTACGATGGCCGGGGACGTGCAGGGCGACGCGGAAAGCATAGCTGCGAGCTAAAGCCGTTCTTGCCTCTCGCCTCCATCTCCGACCCTCCCTCTTCCCTCCTTGTCGCGCAGAACAAGTTCCTGCGACCGTCGAGCGCTGCAGAAAGTCATGGCGGACCAAGACGCTGGGGGATCGGGAGTTCCGCGGCCCAAGGTCATGAAATCGAACTCGACCGCGGGGACCGTGCGCCCGCGGGCGGACAACGACGAGGGTGGCAGGCCACCCACGAAGCGCGCCCGGAAGGCCATAAACTGCGAGCCCTGCAGGTGCGCGCGCCGTTTCGTGCAAGCTGGGCGCCTCACTGACGCTGAGACCGCAGACAGAGCAAACTGAAGTGCGATAGGTGCGTGCCTCCTCGCCTCCCACTCCCCCTCGCTTATATACGCCCCCAGACACCGCCCCTGCTCGTCCTGCGTGCTGCGAGGTATGTCGAACGCGTCCATTGTATTCGATGGCTGACCGCGTCGCGCAGGAACAACGGCGTCATGTTATCAGGACGCGCGTGGCCCTGAGCCCGAGGCCCGCGGAGAAGACGTGCAGTATGTCCTCGGAGATCTCTATGTTTTCCCCACGCTCATGTTAGACCCAGCCACATCAACCCGGCGCAGGAGATCAGCCGCCTGCGCCATTCCATCTCCCTCCTCGAGTCCTACATATTCTCCTCGCAGCCACCACCACCGCCGAACCAGTTCATACCCGCCAATGTGCCACTCCTCGCGCCGTACGGGCCCATGACGCCCGTCCTGCCCAAGGTCGAGGTTGCCACCGAGTCTGTCTCCGCGGGAGGACCCGTCCCGACAGGTGCAATCCATCAGGGAAGGGGTGGGCTCTATGCAGGTCCCACGAGCAGTGAGACGTTGCTGCTGATGGTGAGTTTTGCCGTTCTTCCTCTGCCTCTCATGTCTTCTAAATTCCCGCAGCAAAAGGGTGGCAGCGAGGAGATTGACCGTGGGCCGAACGACGCTGAGACCCCTACGCCTGAGCTGCGCTACGACCGCGACCTCATCGAGATGCTTCCTCCGCTGCCCATCATGGATGGGCTCATCGAGCACTACTTTGAGTACGGGAACTGGGTCTACCGTCATGTCAGCCCAGCTGCCTTTCGCACGGCGTGGGCGCGGTACAAGAACAATCGCTCCTCGGACCGCCTCACGCTGGCGACGGCGGCGGGCATCATGGCCGTAGCGATGCGCTACCTTCACCCAGGCTCGCCGCTGCTTCTGTCGTTCGGCGCGCGCACGATGGACGAGATTGCGCAGACGTTCGCCCACGTGTGCACGGAGGCGCTCACGCGCCATAGGACCGAGGCCCCGCGGGCGTACTCCATCGAGCTCGTCGAGCTGCTGCTCGTGCGCTGCCACCACCTGACGCTCCTCAAGAACGACAGCGAAGAGCTTTTCGCTATGAAGGGCGAAATTACCATGATTGCGATGGCACTTGGCCTGCACCGCGATCCGGGCAAGTTCAAGATGCACCGGGACGTCGCGGAGCGCCGGCGATGGGCGTGGTGGCACGTCGTCCTGCTGGAGCGCTGGCAGTCCTTCCTGCTCGGCCGACCGCTTTCAATCGCGTCGCACCACTTTGACACGCAGTTGCCGTCGTACTGCGACCCGGCTATTGACAAGACGGGGAGGCTGTACTTGCCGAACCTCGCGCTCTTTCGGCTGGCGTTCATCCTTGGGGACATAATGGACGATGCGGTGTCCGTTCGGCCGGTGCCGTACTCATCCGTGCTTGCGAACGACCGCGCGCTGACGCAGTGGCTGGATGCGCTACCCGCCGAGCTCGACCTCGATGACTTCAGGCTAGCGCGCAACCTCGCCAGCACAGACCCTGCCCTGCGTCGCCTCGGCGTGCAGAGCGTCATCATCCGCGCCAGCTACTACCACATCCGCTTCACGCTGCACCGACCGTACGCCGCAATCGCAAGCGCACTCGCGTCAATGAAGCAAGCCGCCGAGAAGGACGCCAAGGACGAGGTGAACGGCGTCTCGCGCGAGGAGGCCGAGAAGATGGCGCCCTCGCTCGAGATCGCCGTCGCCTCCGCGGACAAGCTCATCGCGCTCGTCGCGCAGTCCTCGCCCGACTTCCTCGCGCACGAGACGCTCGCCGTCCCCGGGCACATGAACTGGGGTCCCTTCCACTGCTTCTCCGCCGCCATGTTTTTCTCCTTCCAGCTCATCGCGAACCCGGACCAGCCCGGCGCATCGCTCTTCCGCGGCAGCGTGCGCAAGGCGCTGGCGACGCTTGAGGCTGCGCAGGGCCACGATTCGACGGGGCTTGCGGCGAAGGCGTTAGATATTCTGGAGACGCTTGCGCCGTTGTATGGCCCCGAGTTCTTGCGTGCGACGCCCGAGGGGCGGGAGAAGCAGCGCGCGCAGGTGTTCGCAAGGGTGCGGCGGCTCGCGTTCCCGTACTACGACCGCGGGGACCCGCGCCATGTGGCCGCGTCCGCGGAGAGCCCCCGTGGAGGGCTAGCGTACTCTGCGAGCGGGAGCGTGCCGACCGACAGCCCTGGCGGCCTAGTGAGCGCGAGCCCGCCCGTGCCTGTGGTGGCGGATAGCCTAGTGAGCGCGGTGCGGTACGACGCGCCTCCCCAGCAAGCATATCATTCCATGGCGCCGCCTCCGCCTCCGCCGCCTCAGCAGCAACAGCAGGGGCTGGGGTCCGGGCAGGATCATGGGATGCCAACTGGGCATGCGCCGCAGGGTTGGCAAGGCGGGCGAGCGTGGGTGCCGTCGCAGGGGGCGACGGGGATGGAGCGCTACCAGCAATTCGCGCAGCAGCCGGTGGACGACCCGACGATGTGGGGCGCGGCAGTTGGCATCGCGCAGGGCGAGTGGACGCAGCTGCTGCGCCCATACCACCCGCCGATGGGGCATATGTAAGGAGATGTGCCGGAAGTGAGTATACTTGGCTAGCAATTGTGACATTCCACTAACATGCGAATTAGGTGGGGCTACCGGCGATCTGAGGTCTGAGGGCGAGATTTATTGATAGACGATGAAGAGTGGTTCTGCTGCTGTCGTCGTGTTTTCTTGTTGATGTGTACGCTATCTGTGGGGCGACCCGATATACACGTTGTGCTTGGTATTGTACTTGTACTTCTGTGCTTCTAATACGACTGCTGATCTTGCTGCAACGATGTTCGACCGATCGTCTTCACGACGCTTAGCTTTGTCTGTCTCTAGCTGAAGGCTATAACAAGTCAGCCTCTTATTCATCGAATTCCTTGGTGGTATTGTCGATGTCAACGCCAGCTGCCGACGCGGGCGTTGATTCATACGGCCATGAAGGTGCATACTTCATTTTCTTTCCGAGTTCAAGCATCGACTCGCGGAAACCAGTTGCCCTTCAAATACATAGATTACTCATGAAAAGGCTGCATAAAAAGCAATAAATATCGTCGAGAACTAGCCCATCCCAAAATCCCCCGAAGCGCACATTCTACTGGCACACAACGTTGTACTGCGACTTGGTTTCCGTGCCGATCGTGGAGTCGAAGTCCATGTACATGGAGCGCTCGCCCTCGTCGAGGTAGCCCTCCATGAGCAGAGCCCCTGCGAAAGGTCGTTAATACAGCTATGGGCATGCGAAGAATGAGGACTGACAGTTCCAGTGGTCCTTCGTCTTGTTCTTGTACACGAACCAGACCCAGCCGGAGGCGAGGAAGGGCAGGCTGCCCGAGCCCTTCGTCGTGCAGGACTTGGTCTCGAACTGCGGTGGATGTCAGTCGTGGGGAGGCGAGAGCGAAGGCAGTAAAAACGAACATCGAGCTGGCAAGTCTGACCATCCTTCTGGCTGACGGTGACGGTCGACGTGGTCTGCTGGTTGGCGGTCGTCGACTCGCTGTAGGATCATGTCAGCCTGAGATGCCGGAAAAAGCGGTGGATCTCGTACGTCGTGCCAAGGGTGTTCGTCACAGTCGTGGTGAGGGAAGTCTTGAAGGTCACGTCCGCGACTTCAGGGATGCCGAACTTGACATCCGCGCCGAGGCCAACTGCGACAGAAGCTTGCTCTACACATCATCAGTATAATTTTCGGGGTTCAAGCATGCGATAGACGCACTGGTGGTCGTGGTAGACAGCGTGTAGGCCGTGCCCTCGATCTGCGACAGAGCCACAGTGCCGGTGGTCCCCGAGAAGTCACCGCCGCTGGACTGGGACTGAGTAGTGCACTGAGGGTCGCCTAAAGATTTGTCAGTAAACATTGATCTATCGAAGATTTCGCTGGCATACCGTTGATGGTGATGTCGACCTGGTTGTTCGTAACGCAAACACGAGCGGGCCTGTCTGCGAACTATCCGCGCGTCAGTACCCTATAGGCATTGATATAGTCCTTTGCTTACATCGGGGTTGTTGGTCTTGATCTCGCGCTGGTAGTCTCCCCACATATCATTCGCCGTGCTCTTGAGCTTGTCCCAGCCAGGGACTATAACAGCCGTTAATCTGGAAACGGATGCGACGAGAGACGCTACTCACGCTGCTGCACCTCGCTAGCGCTGATGTCAGCGCAACCGCCGGCACGGCTCTGGATGGCCTCAAAGACATGGCCCTCCATAGCACCAAGGTGGATGCCGCGGTTGTCGTAGAGGTAGATCACGCCAGTCTCGGGATCGGCAGCGAGCCTGGTAGCCTCGCGAGGCATGTGAAGGAGGCGGCGCTCGGGAGTGGGGGTGGCCTGGGCGACGAGCGCCATAGCCAAAGCAACGAGAGCGAAGAAGCGGGCCATTTGGGTAATGGGAGTGCGGTGAAAGGACGTCTGAAGAGAACGTAAAGAGAGGAGGATGAGCTGAGGAGGGCTCGAGAGAAGTGTACAGTGATTAGAATGAGGAATGGGGACTGCACGACCGACCTTTTATACTTGCTCGATCTTGCAGATGACACACAAGGCGGTCATGTCCGCGACCTGAGCAGAGGTGGCGGCGACGCTCGCGCGTGCGCGCGCCTTGGGCGGTGCGCGTCAAGTCAAACAACCGGCACTTCCGAGAGCGCCTATCCTTCAACTATTGTACGAAGGCACGGAACAGCAAGGTGAACGAATGCTGATCCCGACTCGAGGGAGTGTTCTACAGGAGAGCGCCGGCGCCAGCGCAGTTCGTACCTGGTAAGAAGATGATGCTCGGTGAGAGTCGAGGAGTCGCCGCGTTGCACAGCCATTCGAGAGCGGCGAAGCGAGGGCTCGCCGACCAGAGATGAGTAGGTGGGAGATAGTAGCGTTACGCGCGTGCTCAGAGTGATGTGTCGTTGGTCTTTTCGCGCGCTTCGCGTTCTGGAGATCGTAATCCCTGCAGCTGCAAGAACTGTCTTCAGAAAAGACAGAAGTTTGGAATGTGTCCATGTCTGCAGTCGCGCGTCAATCTCGCTGGTGAAGACGCCTGCAGGGACCACCATGGTGGCACCAGACAGAGTCGCAAAGGGGAAAGGGCGGAAACTGCCGGCGCTCCTAGGTTCCACGTGCGCCTTGACGCCATCACGCAGGCGCAACGAACTTGTCTTCAACCGTGACACCCTTGCGTGAGCAGAATAATGGCACTGGACGGACTCATCATACTAGACAATGTCGGGTCTGTGCGCATCTGACCACATACCCATAATTTCCACTCACGCACCCAAAAGCCGGCCCATCATCCAATCCGGCTTCAGAGGCTTCTCCGCGGCGTACCCGATGGTGCACATCGACGCTGTGAACAATGCGTTCGAGAAGGCCGTTAGGCCGACCGATGTTGACCCTGTTATCTCTGTCGACTCTTATGGGACGAGCGACTCGCCTAGCGCGTGCTGCCATGTCGCGACGGCCGACATACGCGTCCTTTGCCCCGTTAGCGGGGATGGTGAGCTATATTGGGTTGTTACTCTAAACGCGCTCATCATTTTCTGTAGTGGACACTCTGCTCGCCTTTGCGTTCATCGGAACCTTCATCGAAATCTTAATGGAATATTTCGGCAGCGTATCTGCCGCGACGCTCAAGGAGAACTTCGACGTCGTCTATCAGGTAAACCTAACTCTCTTCCACTAATCTGATATTCCATCTGACCTAATGCACGCAGCTTTTGGAAGAAACTCTCGACGCCGGTGGTCACCCACTGACCACCTCTCCAAACGCACTGCGCGATATCGTCCTGCCACCTTCACTACTCAGCAAGTTGCTGAACGTAACCGGCGCTAACTTTACTTCGTCCCTCAACTCGGGTGGCTCTGCCGCAGGAGGAGCATTTTCTTCACCCATACCTTGGCGGAAGGCTGGGGTGCGGTATAACAATAATGAGGTTTTCTTCGATGTCGATGAGCAGTTGCGGGCGGTTGTGAATAAGTACGTTCACCCATAAGAGATGCCGCGTCCGTTTTTGTAGCTGACGCGTTGGGATTAGAGCTGGTACATCACTGTCCAGCAGCGTGTATGGCAAAATGGAATGCAATGCAAAGCTATCGGGTACGCGCTTCGTACTTCCTCAGGTACTTTCATTGATTCATTATCCGTAGGTACACCTGACCTACTTCTAACCTTCACAAATCCGCACGTTCTCACAGACTGCGCCTTCCACCCCTGTGTACGGTAGGTGATTGATCTCATGCCCGATCTCGATGTCTTCTCACGCACCCCAGCCTCCAACGTTTCGCCCGCGATCGTGCCCTCTCTTTCGTCCCTCCCGACGGGCACTGCACACTGATGCAATACCGCTACGCGCCTGGTCCGTCTTCGACAGCTACACCCGCCGCATCCGCCGTCGCTGCGCTCCGCGAGAACGTGCCGCTACCCGTGTCGCTGAAGATCGCCGTCGATTTGCCGCTGGCGGGGGATGAGCCAGTAACCTTTACCCTAACGCTTACCTCCCGCCTCACTACGCGCGACATCGAGGGGTTCACCGCCGAGTTTGACCTCGGGCAAGACGCGACGGCGGTGAAGTGTGTGTGCTCGAGTGGGCGGTCGACGGTGGGGTCGGCGTTGGCGGGCCCTTCGATGGGGGCGTCGTGGCAGTGGGATTCGAGGGCGCATGTGAGGCTGTCATTTGGGATAATCTGGAAGCAATGACTTACGATACATCATAGACCGTCAAATGGACCATCCCGCGCGTAGGGCCGGCGGCCACGTTCACGATCGAGGGCTCCTTTGCGTCGGGGTCGCAGCAGTAAGTATTTCTTCTAGTACTCAACTTGTTCACACTGAACTGTCGCTCACAACCCCGCAGCCCCCCACGCCCCTCGCACGCCATTCGGACAACCTTCGCGATCCCGACGCAGACGTTCTCGACGCTGAAGGTCGACCAGCTGAAGTTAACAGGGGAGATGTACAAACCGTACAAGGGCGTGAGGGGGAAGAGTGATTGCGATATCGAGTGGAGGTGGTAGGACTGTGGAATGGAGAAGAGGCCTGGTGTCCAGTTGGAAGATCGAGATGGAGGAATATTTGTACATTGGTATGTGTTACAGTAAAAGTTACACGGAATCCCAAGTTCGGTACACGCAGTCAGAATCTAGGATGCTCGCTACATCCACATCTACTCCTTCCCCCCAAGCAACAGCTCCCCCGTCTGCTTCGTCGCGTCCTTTGTCTCCTTGATAATCGCGCTAAATTCCTTGAATTTCTCACCCGCCGCATCCCCTACCAGCTGGAACGCCAGACTCTCGCTCGTCGTCACCACCGCGCCCTCCGCCTGCAGCCTTCGCAGCGCGATGGGCACCTCGAAGGCGTTGCACGAGGATACGGCGTCTGCTACCACATGGACCTTTCCAGGGAACCCGACGTTTGTGCTACCCCCGAAATCCGAATGACTGAGCAGATCGAGCGCGGTCTGGAGGACGCAAACGTGAGACTCGATGCCGAAGAGGACGACGTTGGTGATGCTGTTGTCCTTGATGTGATTGATAACGGGTGAGATGGCCATGGAGAAGAGGGTCTTGTCGTAGGTGCCGAGCAGGAGAGGACCGAGGGAGTTAAGGTCAATGGCGGGGTCAATGGGTCCTAGTGCTTTGAGGACGAGGCGGATTAGGGAGCGCCTGAATTGACTTCGAGATGGATTTTACCTTGAGCTTTCTGCGTAGTGGCGACCACCTTCACATCGAGGGTCTACTCAAATAAGCCATCCGTGCCATGCTAGGCAGCGAACAGTGCATACCTTAGCGACCCTAAGCAACTTATTCGTAGACGCGACAACAGCATCGAAGCCATGGATTGCGTTCCCTGTCGTGATTGGTTCACACGAAGTCAGTCGAAGGAATTTCTCGCGCACTAAACCTGGTCTGAATATCGCAGAGGAGGAACAAAGTCGTGCGGGGATTGAGGCGAGACATGACAGTGGGTGCGGGGAAAGGGAGCTAATCTTATCTCGAGTTTATCTTTTCCGCTTTTGGCAGTCATAAAGCACGTGAGGCGATGGTCAATGTCACGTGCGTGGTTCGACTTCTGTGCGACATTAATTAAAGGCCGCAGGCGTCTGCTGTCCAGCTCTTGAAGACGCGCTTCAATAAAAATCTGTATATTCTGGGACAAATATTTTGCTACACTTCCTTCTTCGATCGTGTTTGTACGACTATCAAAGGCAGGTGTGCTTGAGTTCTCAACCAGTGACAAGGTCAAGCTCTCTCTTTGAAACTTGAAGCTTGAGACCTCAAGGCTGATAACTCACTGTTAGCTCATGTTCCAGGGAAGCCGTACTCAGGCGATGCTCAATGCGCCATGATCGTAATTGGCTCTCTTCCAGCCGGACGTGCGCGGTCCGATCCTTCCCTGAATTCTTGTTGACCTGATTAATTCTACATCCTCAAACACATATCCGGTTCCATATTCCCCTCCATCACCTTGCAGGATGGCTGTCGCGTATCAAGCCACGTCAGAGGGCGAGCCTGACGCGCCGAACAAGGACGTATGTGAGCGACATGCGCTACATTGCCGTAAGGACGCATGGAAAAGACGTTTCTCGACGACAACGGACGCGTTCCGCCCTCGAGCTCGCCTGAGCGATGAACTCGGGTCCCTCCGTGACTTCGAGAAGGCTTATTTTTCTGTCGTCGTCCTAGAGTCTGTTGTTGGGTCGATATGACCAGAAAATAATCACAGACGGCGGAGGGATGGGGTGCACGTTGACGCCGCCGTCTTGCGTGCCGCGGAGCAGTTGAAGTAATTGAGCCGACGCAGGACAAGCGCCGAGGACCGAGAGGGGGAGCGCGAGGGAGCGCGGCGCGCGTGATGATGATCTTATCAGGGTCGGAAGTCCGGCGTCGGCCGGCTTGGTCGATCCGCAGCCGACGGACGGCATGTTGGGGTTCTTCAGGACCTTTGCTTCCCGCCACCACCAGCGTCGAGCAGATCCAACGCCTGGCCGTTTGCTGCTGCTTCCTGCGCTGCTCGACCGTCCTCGAAGGGCAACAAGTCCGCCCCAGCGCTCAAGCAGTCACCTCTCGCTCCCAAGTTCCGTTTTACGGCGTCCTCTCCTTAATCACACTCTTTAACAGAGATCTTTCTTTTCTCGCTTCACGCCATGGATTCCACTCTTATTGCCCACGACGAGACGACGGAGAGACTCAGGGTGTGTGTCCAAATTTTTGCTTTCGGTTCTAGTTCGATAACGTGGCATCTAGTTCGAGTCGTTCAAGATGGGTGGTGCCATACCGCCCTCGGCCCACCGCCGCCTGAGCTCTGGTCACCGTCGCTCACACTCAAGAAATTCATCAGTATCTTTGTCAATGTCTATGCCATCTATTGCAACGAGACCCCAACCCCCCGCGCCCACACCAGCCCCAGCGAATCCCCCTTCCCACGACAAGCGCAACTCCCATCACAGGCGGCGCTCGTCCGTCTCTACTCGGCGCGAGTCGGCGGAGATGATGGGCGTGTCTATCCCTGACCTTCCGACCTCCGTATCCGAGGACAACATCAACTTTGGCGAGAAGGACTCCATCCGGCGCCGTGCCCTCATGGCGCTCGAGGGCAAGGCGGACATGTCGTTTTCGAAGGTTGAGATACCGGAACTTTCGCACGATATGCCGTCCTTCGAGTTCGGTTCGTGTTTCGTGTGTACGGTCCAAAGCTGCGGGCTCACGTGTGATTGTGTAGCAACGAAGCCATCATTTCCGGCCGCACCTGGATACGGTAGCAAGCGCGACTCTTTTAAGCTCCCGCCATCGTCTTCCTCCAAAGACCAACTCGGCACCCTTGTGGAGGAAGAAGAGGAAGACGAAGAAGAGCAGTGCGCGCTCCCGCATTCGCCACCGCCCACGCCTGTCACGCCCACTGTGCCTGCGCCTTCGCGTCCGCGCCCGGCCACGCTGGCTCTTCGTCCGCTCTCGCTTACGCCAGAGACGATCGGCGCTTCGCCGCTGCCGACGCCCCCCAGCGCTTCCCCGTCCCCAAACGCGGGTCTTCGTCAACTGTCGCTCATGTCCGAACGCCAGGCAACCCCACACAAGAAGCACCCTACTCTCCACCTCGACCTGTCAGACAGCCCCTCACCGTCAGTGAACCGTCGCAGCAGCATCTCATACAAGAAGTCGTCGTCCAGCGGTCTGCCTACGCCGGACATGACCCCCACGTTCTCCGACCGCCGGTTCTCGCTCACGAGCCGGAGCAGCATGGACAGCAGCAGTACGGGCGGCAGCGATTACTCGCCCCGCTGGAGTCACTGCACGGCGCCGTCCAATTCATCGTCCGTGTCCAGCTCTTCCAACCCGTTCAACCGCCCGCTCAGCGCCTCGGAGCAGCACTTTCTGTTCAAGTCCCACAATGCCCTACTCGCCCGTATCACCGACCTCGAACGAGCTCTGAGCGGGCGCAGTCGAGACAGCTTCGCGGGGCGACCAGAGTCCATGTCGTCCTCTACGTCGTCGGACGCCCGCCACATGTCCATCACCTCAGACGCGTCGGAGCCCAACGACGAGATGCTCCGGCTTATCGCCGATCTCAAGGCCGAGCGCGACGAGCTCAAACGTGATGTTGATGGCTGGCGCGTGCGCGTTGGCGACCTCGACAAGCAGATGGGCGTCCTCGCGAAGCGCGTTGAGACCGAGCGCCGTGAGGCCTGGGTCGCACGTAGCCGCGTTGCCATCGTCGAGGCCGAGAAGGCTGCCGCCGAGTCTGACAAGGAGACTCTGGCGCGCGAGCTCGACGACTGCAAGTCCACGCTCGCCAGTGTCGTTGGGGAAAAGGAGAGCTTTGAGAAGGAGGTTGAGGCCTTGAGGGAGGCCAACCGCGCCTTGCAACAGCAGGTCGAGGAGCTCCAGGAGGAGATGCAGACCATCGAACACGTCCGGGACGAGCAGCTCATGAACACTCCCAAGCCGACGTCCTTCCAAGCGCCGCCTGCCCGCCCTCGCGGTATGACCATTGAGTCGCTCGATTCGGAGAGCTCGATGACCGATGTCGAGGCCGACAACTCCATGGACACCTTCAAGTTCGGCTTGAAGTCGGTTGTGGAGACGCATGAGGTCGACTTCGAAGAGGAGGACCCTGAGTTCTACGAGGAGGACAACGGCCTTGCCGGCTACGAGGATGAGGACGAGCTCCAGAGCCCCGTCCTCGGCTCGTCTTCGTCGTTCTCTGACGACGAGGATGACGTGCCCCGGTCTACCCAGCACCTGCTGACCGAGGCGACGCCGGTGCCCGACCCGCAAGCCACGCCCACTCTCAACACCTCCTTCAGCATGTCGGAGCGCCCGACGCACCGTCCGTCGTTCTCGCGGTGGACGTTCCCCCGTGGCGCTGCCCTCGATACCACGAAGGAGGAGAATGACAAGTTCTTCGGCTGCCTCGACAGTGACAGCGAGGTCGACCCGCTCAGCCCGCGGAGCCCGACGTTTTCCTTCGAGCGCAGCAAGGAGCTCTTCATGGCCGGCCTGCGCAATGCCACGTCTGACCAGGTGCCGTTCATGCTGCGCACCAACCTCGGCATCGCGGACGAGGACTCGATCGCGCCGCGCAGCCCCGTCCTGGATGTTGTAATGGAGGAGGATGAGGAGCAGGAGGAAGAAGAGGAGGAAGAGGTGCAGTCGGAGGATGATGAAGAGACGTCGGAAGAGGAGAGTGAGGAGGAGGAGGAGGAAGAGGTGGAGGAGACCTTCAAGTTCGGCGACGTGGCAGGCATCACTATCACCTTGACGCCGGCGGACTCGGACGAAGTGCAGGAGCTTAGCACGCCTGAGCCCTCGCACGAGTTTGAGGACGACCTACCGACGCCCAAGACGGAGCAGCCTAACCCGATGATCTCCATCGTGGTGACCGAGCCGGAGGAGTCAACGGAGCGTCCGCAGGAGCCTGTCATCGAGGCCGTACCGGAGCCCGTCGTCAAGGCACCTACGCCCGTCAAGCCCGTCCCATTGATGGAGCCGTCTGATGATGAGGATGAGGAGGTGGGGACGACGTTCAATTTCGGCCGTCCTCCGGTACGTCAAGCGTCGCCGTCGAGTATTCCGCGTGTCAGCGCCAAGTCGCTCGCGGACTCGCCGCGTTTCTCAACGCCCAGCCCGGACAACTCAAGCGTCACTCCACCGCCGAAGCGCGCAGGCCCAACTGCGTCGTTCATCCCGCAACCGTCGAAGTCGACGCCAACGTTCATGCGCCAACCCGCACGGAAGCCGCTCGCACCCAGCAACAAGGTCGCTGGCACTAACGGTTCGCGCAAGCTGCCTGCTTCACGTGCGTACTGTACTGATACCCCCTGTGCTCAGACGAGCGCAGCGCGTGCGACGTCGAAGCCAACGCGGTTTTCAGATCCTCTTCCTCGCGGACGCGGTACCCCAACGCGGCTGCCCCGGCTGCGTCAGTACTAATGCAGAGCGTCGACCTCACGGGCGAGGCGCTCTTCGATGGCACTCCGCGCATGCCCAGCACGCCGCCGACGCGGTCGATTCTGCCCGCGCAGATCACGTCGCCGCCGCGCATCTCCTTCCAAACCCTCACGAACCTCATGTCCTGGACGTCCTCTCCGCGGCAGTCTCCCAAGGCTGCGCCCTCGACGAATTCTTCTCCGAAGATAGATGTGGATGTTCCCGTGCCCCCGCCTGTTGCGCAGCGCGGCTTTGTGTCGCGCGAGCGGCAACTGGCCCAGCTGCGCCTTCGCTTCGCGCAGGAGGGCAGGATGGGTATTGTTGAGGTCTCGGGTCCTGGAGCTGTTCACTTGTAATAGAGGTGTGTTCGCTGTTCTTCATTTCGATGTTCATGTCGTTGACCACCGCGTACCAGGCCCGGGCCTTCGCCCAATCTTGCAATGTTACGCACGGACTTGTACTACCCCCCTACACGAACGCTTTGCTCACGCTCTGCGATCCCCAATGGCACAGTTATCGGTTTGTTGTTTTACCTATGCACCCGCGTGCTGGCGTGGCGCGGGCCTCAGCGGGGTCCCTCCGCCTCGCCGCTCAAGCGCGCACTTACCCCCCGCTACCTACCTATATCCCAAAATCGTGTTATGTCTCGCTCTTCGATACTTTTTATATGCGGCGGCTTGATGCTCCGCGTCGTTTTCGAATCCCACTTCTTTCTGTGCCATAGGGAAGGACAAATCGTTCTGTCTGTCTGTCTTCTGTGTATCATTATTTGTCTTCTTTCTTGCGAGCAACGATGTTTTGTTTGCCCGTGATGATGCACATGAGTACGCACGTATGCCTATATGCTGACGAGTACGTCATCTCTTATCTACCTATGAAAATCTGATCTTTGCTTTTTGATTTTATGTATGCGAGGCAGGGCATGTGCAGGACCTGCAGCGGCACGAGAGAAGACTGGGACAACTGCCTGTGTATGTCCATGTTTGTACGTATGGGCGCCAAACGGATCCGCTGACCATAAGACAAGTCTAGGCCAAACGGATCCGCTGACCATAAGACAAGTCTAGACTCCCGATTAGGATGTTCGACTTCGCAAGCGCCCGCCGCTCTTCCTCGAAGACTTCGTCCCATGACGCCCCCTCGGCTGTCGCTATGATGAATCCTGCGTCTTCCATTCGCCAGCCTCGCGCTAGACGAACACAGGAAAAATCCAGAAGGACGGGCGCCCACTGGGGCCCCGCACCCCCGCGTATCAGCTGCGTCCAGAACGAGTGCCAGAACGAGTGCCAGAACGACCGATTTAGGTCGAGCCGGTCTTTGTTGTGGTCGAGCCGTCGCTTGCTGAGGTCGAGCCGCGTTCATTATGCCCGTGCTCTCCTCCGGACTGATTGAATTGGAGCGACGAGGCCCAGGTCGACGGGAGGATGCGGGTAGATGCGATACTTAAGGTGGGTGGGAGGAAGGGGGGTGAGCATCACTCGTAAGAGAACCCTCCTCTTCTGAGCTTCGCTACACCGAGCAATCGTCGACTTCTCTTCTCTTCTCTTCTCTTCCCGTCGCTTAAGACACTCGGATCGACATGTCTGCTTTCAACAGGATCAGGCCCAGGTTCAAGGACTGGTGAGTGGCGCATGGTGGCGCGGGTCGATTGAGGTGGCTAACAAGGCGTGCAGGTACGCCGTTGAGGCACTTCCTATCTGGATCATCGTCGGTACCGTTGGCGGCCTCGCCTGCCTTTCGGTCTACCGTGCCGTGCAAGCACCGAGTGTGACATGGACGAGTGAGTACCCGGGCGCCTAATTGGCGAGTTCATCGCTGACTCCCGCTTCAGAGGAGAACCCTACGCCATGGAACCGCATCAAGCAAGACGAGCGCGTGAAGCTCATGCAGGTCAACCAGACCTTCGATAAGAAGTGCGTTGCCTCATAACCTGCTTTGCCGCCACATTCTAACCTGACCTCCTCCCTAGGTGGCACCGCGACCATCTATAAGCTCGTCGCACATTTGCCTTCTGCCGTCATGCATCTCTCGCCTCGCATCGCTTGATATCCAACCGACCGCATTCTCGACGACGTCGACGACCGGCGCCGCCGCGTAATATCGCGCCGCCCACGATACGCGGACCACTCCGCCCTTCCTTCTAATCAAGCTGTATTTTTACCACTAATTTCTCCTTCGGGTCTGTGCAATATCATTATGTGGAATCAACCTCTGTGCATGAACCTGAAGTCTGACGGCAAGCTGAAGCAGGAGAATAGGAAGTGGGTGGCGCAGTCTCTTCTCGGTCGCAGGGGAAGTAAGCATGGTAGGCTCTCATTTCATACATCGCTAAGTAACAAGGTAAGTCCCATGCATATTCTTCGTCTCTTTCCTCTCGATTGATCCCTTCGACTTGACGTTGAAGAACTTGGGCATCCGGACAGTGGCAAGTTGTTAAGTGAGTACGCAAGCTTACGGTCTATCGTTCTTCCTCATCGGAGTTCCATCTTTCCTCTTGACCTCCTCACCCCCTGCAAGGCACTCCGCGCCAACTCCGCGCCCCTTGGCTGTGGGGAATGTGATGTCACGCCCAAGTTCGTTTGCTTACATACGCAGGGCCCACAACCGTGGGAACGCTTCTTTCCGAATGCAGCCGCCCTATAAAAGGCCAAAATTCGCACTCGGAGGCTTATTCTGCAACGTTTACTTGCACTCAACTCATAGACATGTCTGCCCAGTCCGCTTTCCGTCGCAACCTTGGCCACTGGTTCGCCGTTGAGGTCAGTCATAGTCTATTGTAGCGCATTCGGAATAGGGCTGACGATCACCGCAGGCGATTCCTATGTAAGTTGTCTGCGGAGGAAGGGAAGCACGGGTGCTCAACTATGACTTTAGCTACATCATCATGGGCGGTGCGGTCACTGGCGCTGCCTGGTACGCGTCGCGTCTCGCGCGGGCTCCTCACGGTGCGTAGCAACGGTCTCTCATCCCGATCATGAGCTGACTTTACTTCCTCAGTCGTCTGGTCGCGCGAGAACGCCACGCCGTGGAACACCATCCAGCCCAACCAGAGCCCGAAGATGTTCAACGTCAACCAGGAGTTCGAGTCCAAGTACGTTGTGCCGCGCATCCTTCCAGGAACTTCGTCCTGACGTATCACGCAGGTGGAACCGCAAGCTTCTGTAATGATGTTGCTGGTTATCTTTATTCGGAGTCTGTCCCTCTCGCACTGCTATATTCGCGCTCTGTACATGTTCTCTACCCTCGTTGGATAATACATCCAGGCTTGTAAACGACGAACGTCCGACCGATGTCGCATGATTCCGGGAAGGCGGCCCGCCTGCCTCAAGTGACAGCGAGCCCTATCGATCGATACTTCCCCAGCCTCGTCCGTCCCCTCCGTCGACCTCCTTTCTTTCCTTCCCACCACATTCGTTCAGGCGTCGCAATGGCTGCAGCACCCTCTGAGCTCGAGCCAGCCCCGGGCGACCGTGTGGTAGGGTTGACCCTACGACGTCATCTGTACTTCCTAATCCCCATCTACCCCAGGCCGTACTGGAGGACGGTATACCGGCCCTTGTATTCGGCGCGGCTTGCTTTTCGCACTTCTACGCCGACGAGGCGACGCTCAAGTCGAGTAGCCTGCCAGCAGATACAGTCCGCATCGCCCTACGGTTTGTTTCCACGATCGCGTACAAATGAATTCTGAAGGGACCCTACTTCCCCAGCTATGGCATCACCGCCTTCGATACGTCGCGATACTACGGCGAGTCCGAAGTTGTATTGGGCGAGGCCCTCAAGGCGGTTGCCGATGAGTTCCCCCGGGAGTCCTACCAGATTGTACGTCTGCTCACCATACATAGACGTCTACCCCGAATACAGAGAACATGCACTCACCAGCGCTTCAGATGACGAAGTGTGGGCGCATAGCCGGTTCGACCTTCGATTACTCCCCGGCAGGCGTCCGCGCAAGTGTCCTCCGCAGCCTCGAGCGGCTGCAGACCACCTACCTCGACACCGTGTACCTGCACGACATCGAATTCGTCGCCACGCCGTGTGCGCCTCGCACCGAGGGGAACCACTTCGGCGCCCTTGGATCGGAGGCGCACAAGTACGACCTCGTAGCCGACTCTGCCCACAGCGGACCCCTCCCCTCCGCCACATCACAGGGCCTCCCGGACGAAGCCGCCTTCTACGACCTCGCGCCCGGCGACGCGGCCAAAATCCGCGGCCCCGGCGACGAGCAGATCCTCGCCGCCTTCGCCGAGCTCCGCAAGCTCAAGTCCGAAGGCCTCGTCCGCCGCATCGGCATCACGGGCTACCCTCTCCCGATCCTCCTCCGCCTCGCCATCCTCATCCGCGCCACGCAGGGCGCGCCCGTCGACGCGCTGCTCTCATACTGCCACCTCACGCTGCAGAACGCGACGCTCGCGGGCTTTTTGCCGCATTTGTTGAGGCGCGCGGGTGTGAAGACGGTGCTGAATGCGTCGCCGTTTAGTATGGGGTTGTTGACCAGTGCGGGGGCGCCGGGGTGGCATCCGGCGCCCAAGGGGCTGAGGGAGGCGCAGGCCAAGGCGACCAGGGCGCTGGACGCGGAGGGCACGGATTTGGCGGATGTGGCGTTGGGGTATTCGTTAAGGGCTGGAGCGGGCGTGCCGCTGGTGGTCGGGCTGAGCAACCCGCGGGAGGTGCATGAAAATGTGCGTGTATGGCGGGAGGTGACGAAGGCAACGTCGGCGGAGAATGAAGTCAGGAGCAGGCGCGAGAAGATAGTTCAGGATACCATTCGCGAAGCGGGTTTCCTGGATTGGTCTTGGGCCTCTCCCTGAGTTGTGTAGCTGCAAAGATGAAAAATGATGTATTATGTGCCCATTCTGTCAACCGCAAGCGAAGACAAGCCCCATCGTAGCGACCACTTGTTGGCGCGATCCGGCGACGGAGTGCTCAAATTTCAACCCTAGCGGGTCTCGTCGGATAGTTGCGTTGCTTCTTCCTATAGAATATCCCCCCTCCCTTTGCGATCGTGTCCCCTCTCGATGCAAGAGCGCCAGCAAGACCCAGAGACGACACATCCGAACCGTGCGCGCACAGACCATGTGACCGTGCACCCTTGCGGGGTTTCAATACGTCGGCAATCCCCGGAGGCCTATATAGCCTCCAGTTTTCCGATCGCGTCTCTTCACCGTTTACAAGCATGTCCGCCAGGGCAGGGTCCTGCTCGCACCTATACGCAGGGCTGTTAATACTGGTGGACTCGATGGTCAGGCCACCTTAATCGCTCCAATCACGCTTTCTTAACGTAGAGAGGAGTTTCATGTCGTGGCGACATCTCTTCCTCTTCTCAGGCTTCTTGTTATTGTCTTGCCTCTGTACTCCTTGTCGTCGATAGCTGCAATATATCTGGCTTTTTTCAGACCAACGATGCTCCAATCTCATCGCCGTACGCGAGCGAGAACCCAGTCTCAGCCCAGCTACGTCCTCCCCCTGGGTGTGCAATCTTCAATCGCGGTCTTCGGTCGTTCCCCGGTGGTACTAGGTCAGCTGAAGCATACGATCGAGCCTGCGGACTTTTTCACGTTGTGCTGAGGTCTGACGCAGGCTTTGGACAATCCTCAAAAATCACTGCAGCGTCGCTAACGCTGGAAGTCTGAAGCGCGGCCACGTGACCGCGTCCTTCGAGAAAGCACCGTTCCACTTCCCGCTCCACGCTATGACTTCCTCCCGAGCGCAGAGCATGTCTTCGTAACCTTTGAAGTCATGCTTTCCTCATGTTGGATAACCTGACATCACGCCGTCGTTTCGGAGGGTATAAAGCCCTTCACTTTGTCTCTCATCTCTTCACTTCGCATCGCATTCACCAACACATCCAACTCAAACCCTTCACATATACAACTTCCAGCGATCCATCATGTCTTCTCGTCCGGGAGCCCTCCAGGAGCAGTACAACAAGCAGATCCCCGACCCCGCGGACCAGTCAGGCTACCGCGCGACGGTAGAGACGCAGCGTCAGGACTTCGTCGGCGCAGACCCTGCCATTGAGCGTCAAGAGGGCACGAAGGTTGATACAGCCGTTGTTGATATACCGAACGCTTCCTGACGTGCGATACAGCTCTACCCTCGTCCCGAAGACGTTCAGACCTGGGAGACGGAGAAGCAGCCGGACCCTGCACCGGGCCAGGGCAAGGTAAGGGTACTCAGGATGTTTGCTGGCGAAGTGAAGGCTGACTTGTGCGACGCAGAGCTCCGGTGGCAAGTCGCAAGGACGGCACCATAATTCAGAACGTCCGGGGAGGTTGGAGGATTAAGTGTTGCGTGGAGGACGTGCAAGCAATCGGATCCAATGTATTTCTATGTTCAACAAAACAAACGTTCGCCACAGGATAGGTGTAGCAAGAATAAGGGCCGTCGATGTGCAGTACAAATACATGTGCAAGACAAGTACAAGAAATCCTGAGCAATAAACAAGAAAAGGTACGGTACGAGTTACATTGAGAGGGGCCTATCGTGATCCAGCGAGCGGTTAGCCAGTGTAGAAGCTGGGGATGGTCATGACCAGGTCGTCCATATACCAGTAGTCAGCCTTCTTCGTTTTCTTTTTCTTCCCGCCCGTCTCCTGCGGCTCCGTCCCCTCCTTCACATCGCGCACCACCTGCACCCACGTCCCCGCCACCCCCATCCCCACCTCGATCTTATCCTTCATATCCACATCCACCAGCACCGAAATCTCCTTCTTCAGTGGATCGTGCCCCTTCCCATCCCCGCCCTCCTCCACCACCGGCCCCCTCGACGCCTCCAATATACTCGGCCGATTCAGCTCCAGATCCACCCCCTCGTGAAAGTCGGGCCACGGCTCGAGCACGACGCGCGCGAAAATCCCGCCGAGCGCGTTCTCCACCGCGCGCGCGGGCTCGACGTCGGGCTGGCCGGCTTGGGGAGGGGAGGGCGCGAAGACGCCCTTGACGCGGCGCATGGAGTGCTCGACGATGCCCCACGTGTGCGTGGTGCGGAGGGGGGCGAGGCCGGGGAGGGCGAGGAGGGCCTCGTGCGCGGGGGGCGCGAGGGGGATGTCGGCCATCGGCACGTCCTCGTCGTCCCACGCGCCGGCGCCGCCCCAGCCGCTCGCGCCCTCGCCCTCGCCCCAGCCACCGCTCGTGTCGCCGCCCGGGGCGCCCCACCCACCATTCGTGCCGCCCCAGCCTCCGCCGTCAAACGCGTCCGCGCTGGGAGGAACCTGCTCGTCCTCGGGGTTCACGAACGACAGCCGGCCGGCCTCCACCTCCTCCCTGATCACCGCATTCGGGTCCACCCTCCCATTCAGCACCGGCAGCGCCTCGCTGGGTTCCACAATCTCCGTAATCCTCGCCTCCGGCACCGGTCCATGCGCACTCGGCGTCCACAAGTCGTCCGCGAAGTGGAACGCGTTGGTCTTGCGGCCCCACAGCGACTGGCAGCCCTTGCTGAAGACCGTGTCCGGCATCGCGCGCGCGACCTGGGAGGTCTTGGGGATCTCGATGACGGCCTTTTTGGCGACGGCGAGCGCGTCGGCGAAGCCCTTTTTGAGCTTGGCATCCTTGATGATGCCGCTGCGGGTGACGAACGAGAGGAAGAACTCGATGATCCTGGGGAGGCCGAGGAGGTTGCGCTCATGGCTGGGTAGTATGTTAGTATCGGTAGCTTGCATGGGAGGAGATGAACAGACTAGATGTGCCCGCGCTCCCTGGCATGGGAGGAGAGAAAACGGCGGACCACGAGCGCGGGGTCAGCAAGGAAGGCATCCAGTTTGGGATTAGCGGGGCCAAAGCTATCGTCATTCACGACGTCCATAGTCGAAGGCGGGACGAAGGGTGCACCCTCCCCATCGACGATCTCCATCGGCGCGTCATCCTCATCGTCGTCGCTGTCAGCAGCAGCGTTGGGCGGCGCTGTGCTCTGATCCATGGTGCCGATGAAGCGTTGGAACTGAGGGATAGTCAGCCAAAAAAGCCTGAGTTCGCTCCTCATGGACTACCCACATCGTCGAAGAGTGCCCGCGGGTCCGTAGGCCCGCTGCCCGGTGACGGCCACCAGCGCTTATGCACCTCTATAAACTCCTGCACCAATTGAATCACCATATCATCCGGTAGCATACTGCAGACCCATCGTCAGCCCCTTCCCTCCATCCCATCCACGAAACACCACCCACTGATTATAATTTCTCGTCGGCCGCATCGTCCCCTCCACCTCCTCCCACGTCTCCCACCAATTCGCCTTCACCTCCATCCTCTTCGGCGCCTTCGGCTTCGCACTCGTAAAGTTCCTAAACCTCGAATCCGTCTTGCACTCGTCGTCCTCGTGCGCGCTGCTCAGCGCGACCGTCGGCACCCCGTTCGCGTCGACCTCGTCCGCCTCGATGCCGCCGCAGTGGCGCTTGATGCCGCGCTCCCTGAAGGCGGAGAAGGGGGTGATGGTGACGCCTGCGGGGACGGCGGGCCAGGGAGGGTAGGTCAGATCGTGCACTTTCTTTTGCTTGCCGTAGGCGTCGAGCTCGACGGGTGCGGGTGCGCTCGTTCCCAGCGCACTCGACCCGGCCGCTGACTCGTTGGACTTGGTCACCGATGCACCGGTAGTAGCCGCTGGGTCTGCAGAGGCATCGAGCGCGGTCTTTGACTTGCCATCTCGCACATCGGGGGCATCAGGAGGTGCGGACATGGTGGTAGGAGGTAAGAACTGTTGTTAGGCGCGCACTCGTACTCGGGATCCCACGAGTCAAAGTTCAACTTGGAGGATCGCAGCCGGGGCTCTCCCACGTGCGTGACGCGGTGGGCAAAGCGGGACGTAGCTGTACTTCCTCTTCATCGCAACCTGGCCATGTCGCATGCTGGGCATACTATTTTCCTTTCAACCACCTTTCACTCAAAGCACGGATAGCTCAGATATGCATCCGACGAACTTATGAGGGCCTGTCGGTCGCTTGGTCGCCGAGATTTGGAGGTTCGGAGAAAGCAAAGAATCCCACATACATGTCACGCGTAGGCATCCAGTACCCTCATAGAAGACCGAGAATACATCTATATCAAGCTACGCGTACAGCTTCCTTTCGTATGGTACCTTCTATCTCAATCCTGCATACAAACCCAGGCGAAGAACCCATGAGCTGGTCAGCGTAATCCCGTCAGCTAACCAGCGCTGCGCTGTAAGACAATTCGTCCTTCCCTGCGAGATGGTCAGTCAAGTTATCCCAAAATCAAGGTGCACAAGGTGCGATAGAGATGTCAGATAGACGAGCGCGCTGCGACCACCCGAAGGCAGCCCAGCGTCGCCCTAAAGCCGGACGTTGATCACGCTCGCTCCTCGTGCCCTCGACGAGCTTGAGAACGGTCATATGGCCCCGGCAGTGTATCATCACAGAGTAGAATGAAGGAAAAGTTGGATGGCTCACCTTAAGAGAAAAGAACCCTCAACGAGCTCGTCGTGGTGGAAGGAGAGCAATAACGGCCGCCTCGCGCCGGCGCGATCATTCTCGGGACCGCAAAGTCGCACAGTCACGTGGATCCAATGTTTGTCCTTGGCGGTGGTGCACTGAATGGCGCATCAACACGCTGCGGGATCATATCCACAGGCATGCGAGGATCTTGGTAAGTTTACACAGTTGCGATTACCTGACTGGACGCAGATGACGCTTTGCAGGCGCTAGCGCGATGTTCTGACTTACAAGAGCGAAATATGACATATGTACCCGTTTTGAACTTCCGGGTTCGGCGTCTCTGACTGTGGGCAGAATATGCAGGCCAAATGGAGCTCAAAAGAGCAGATGTGAAGCATAAGAAGCGTTTGGTCATGGCCAGTCTTTTGCTCTAGGGCAGTACTTACAACGGCATGTTCAAGCCGACTTACAATGGCAAAGGCGAGGGGATGACCATGGGATGACCCAAGGACTCGAGCGTTGATCCAGGTGTTCGGGGTTCATGAATGGCGTGAAGCGGGATTACAGCTCTTCTGGGAATGGTACGCACAACGGAAATGAATCTTTCGCAGCGACGTACTTCCCAGTCTATTCAGACCTTCTTGTCCATCCGACCACAAGCGCTGCTATGTCATCTATCGTCGTCAATCCATAGGTCAATCTGGAGGTGGCTGGCTTCTACTGCGGCAGGTTATGGACGTTCGCATATCGCGCACGGAACGCGTGGCGGAATGGAGGCCAGCTGATCCACACGCTGCTGGCGGTAGCCTCTTTCAATCGCCGAATTTTCCACGGCAAAGGTTGAAAGAAATATGCTCTCGAGAGGCCTGCGCGTATAAAGGGGTATACTGAAGGACCCTCGTACGGGGTTCCTGCGCATAGAGGCTGAATGAGGTGCCGCAGGTGTCTGGGGAATGGAGGACGGCGTGGGCGCGCCGCGATTGGGGGCGGGATCGATAGCGCGGTGTCCAAGCGTATTTGCATGGAAAATTATGACGTGATTACCCAAACAAGTGCAAAGGGGTGACAAAAGATGGGCGGGGACTACGTCAGACGTTTTTCCTTCGCGCCCTTCGTCATTGCAGCCACCAGCCGAGATCATGTCGTCGACGTCAGCGAGCCCTCCACCGCCTCAGGAAAACAATGGTCGCAGACCTGCTCCTCGTCCCACAGTCCGCAAGCAGACCCGCTCGGACTTCGCGCTCGAGCCGAATCCATTCGAGCAGTCCTTCTCCGCCACCCCCAACCACTCCAATGTCAGGCAGGACGACCGCAACGACCGCGGCGCCAGCCAGCAGCCCTCGCTCGGCCCATCGTCCAACGACTCCGACCAGAAGCCCCCCTCCCACACCCAGTCCCCCAAGCCGACCCTCCCCCCGCTAGCTGCCCTCGCATCGCCGTCCGATCCCAGCTACTACTTCAACAACCCCGCGCTCGCAAACTCCCTGCGCGCTGGTCCCCTCTCCCCCGCGATGCTCGCTGGCCCACAGGCGGAGAACCAGCCTCCCCAGCTCCAATTCGACCCTGTCTTCCGCACTGGTCTCACCCCGCGCACCGGACTCACCCCGCGGACGGGGCTCACCCCCGGCACCGGCCTGACACCCTTCGTGGGTGGACCAACAACGCCAAACACGCAGGCCTTCCTCGCATACCTCAATAACACTCAGCCCAACCCCACCATGACCCCCAACACGCTCAACGCGATCAACGGAGTCCTGAACGCGCCCCAGCCCCAATCGCAGCAAGAGACCCAGCACTCGATGCAGCAGCCCAGCGAGAACGGGTACCTCGCCCCCAACGCTGTCTCCACCGCTGCCAACACCGCGGCGAACGGGCTGTTCCTGCTCTCGCAGGCGCACCAGGAGCTCACTAAGAGGGAGGAACAGGCACGTCAGCATGGTAGTACCACCGCACCAGCCAATGTGATGGGCGGTCAGCAGCAGGTGCAGCTTAACGGCGCGGACAACAATCACAACGCGAACAACGGCAACGGACGGCGGGGCACGAAGCGCAAGCAGAGCGGCGACAGCCAGGCGCCATCGGAGGGGAAGAAAACACGCCAGTCGACCCGCCGCCGCGCTCAAGTACAGCACGACGACATGGGCGACGATGACGACGATGACGATGACGAGGAGGACGTGAAGCCTAAAGCGTCGGGCAACTCACGCGGGAACAAGAAGCCGGAGACGGAAGAGGAGAAGCGGCGGAACTTCCTCGAGCGGAACAGGCAAGGTAAACAGAAGGCCTTCCTCCTCGTCATCAAACTCCAACTCATGCGGTCACTCCAGCCGCCTTGAAGTGTCGTCAGCGGAAGAAGGCCTGGCTCGCGTCGCTGCAGGCCAAGGTCGAATTCCTCCAGACGGAGAACGAGCGACTCACGTCCGCGCTCGTGGCCAGTCGCGAAGAGATCTCGCGGCTGTCTGCCCTTGTCGGCGGCGCAGGCGTAATAGGGGGTGGCATACCTGGTAGGTGGCACCTCCTGCTGAATAGTGTCTCAGCGCAGAGCTGATGACGCTGTCGTAGCAGGCGCACCAGGCGTATCCGGCGTGCCCGTCGCGAGCGTTGGCGCACCCGTAGCCGCGGGTGGCCCAGCTCCCATCGGCATGCCCATCGCAGGGTCAGCGGTCCCGCCACCCGCGGCGCCGCAGCCCAAACCGGGCGACTCGCAGCCTGTCAGCATGAGCGTTCCCGTGCCCGTTGGCATCAAGGAGCGCGGCGAGAGCAGGCAGAGCGATCGCGGCTACGGGTATTAGCCCGATGTTGTCGCCGCCGCGTGAGCGCATACACGGAGCTGCCGCGCGTGCAGGCGTACGGTATGGGGGACGGTCAATCCACGGGGCCGTCGTTCGTTGCTTCTCTTCCTTCCCTTTGCGCTCGCCCCTCTTTTGTCTCTTCGCTGGTTGTCCCACTTGGCGCAGGTATTTCTACCTTGTGCTGGTACTCTTACCTCTCGCTGGCTATCCGGTGGTATCAGGCATGTCATCAGATCGGACGATTCTTTTTTCTTATGTCGAATACTTACGCGGCTTCTGTTGTCCTGTTTTCTTGCCCACCCCTTTGGTGAAGTGGTCTCTGCTTGTCGGGTTGCCGACGTTTATGAACCGGACGGCCTGCTCTACGCCATACACGAAGTTAAAAGCGTACTATGATACATGTACTCTAGTAGGCTATACGAGCTATGTACGTATATGTAATATGAACCTACGATGTTGTTCTATTCGACGACAGCGAGGAGCTTGACAAGGAACAGAAAAAGGATATGCCACAAATCCCGCCTTGGTTAAAGAAGTACCTGAGCGTAGGGGAGGACTTCAATGGGGACGAAGACCAATTCAAGCGGGGTGCACAGTCCCAGAGATTCGTTTGTCCCACCTGAGTCTACTCTGGCCTGCTCAACAGCTGTGCTGCCCACCAAAACGAACATCCGAAAGTCGAACCTCGCAGTGGGCTCAAGTCCATAACGTCCACGTGATGCGGACTGTGGTGGCTGTGACGACATGTCCTTGTCGCGCGCACCGCGCCGCTTTGACCGCGTCGCCTCTTGATTTCATCCCATCTTACCTCCTACGACGATGGCCTGCCCACATCTGAGCGAGATAACGCGTCTGGAGCCCCCGAGGCTCTCTCAGTCTGTGCATAGGGAGGAGTGCACGCAGTGCTTTGACAATCAGGTGAGGAGGAGGGCCGGAGATTGCTGATGAGCGATCGTGGCGGGGAGGGGCGACGAGACGAAGTTTCGGAGGGCAGCAAAAATGGGGACGTTGTCAGAGTTATGAAGAGGACGGAGGAATAGTCTGAAAGATTGCTATCTCTTAGCTACTCGGCGCTTACGGCTTGGAAGTAGATCGTCAATGCTGACAATGCATGCAGGATAGTCCTTCTGGAATCGACGTGTGCTTGACGTGCTTTAATGGAGGCTGCCTTGATCCTGGACGACACCATGCGCGTACACACGCCCAACGCGCGGGGCATCCTTTCACGCTCAATGTAAAGCGCAAGGCGCGCCCATCGGAACATAGGGTGTGTGTATGCGCGTCTGTTACATGGGCGCTTGCTGACGATGCTCTTTCTCCGATATCCTATCTGCATCTGCGCTCTATCACCCTGTCCGTCGCCTACATATCCCCTCTCGCATTTATTGCGCCTCCTCTCCAATTGCTTCGTTAGGCTAAGTCCGAGGAACCGCCAGCGAAGATGAAGAAACTTGCGATTGTGGAAGAGCGGGAGGAAGACAAGTACGAACATGTCACCACTATCAAGTGCTGGAAATGCAACCCTGAGACTGGCGCACCCCTCCCCGAGGCCGCCAACGACGACAAGGTGCGCGGCCCCTTCCCATTCACCGTAGCGCCTCCCCCTCCAGCCCGATCGCCATATACTCACGTCACCCTCATCCTAACCGCTCCCACCCCAGGTCAAAGCTCTCATAACCGGCGTCATGCAATCCATGTCCTCCGCCCGGCAGTCCGAGGTCCAAGCCTGGGAGGAGGAGATCCTCCCCTGCGAGCACACCCTCATGCTCCCCCAAGCCTCCACCGGCCCGATCCCCCAGTCCGGCCTCGCGCACTGCGCGGCGTGCGACCTGCGCGAGAACCTGTGGCTCTGCCTCACCTGTGGCGCGCTGGGGTGCGGGCGGCAGCAGTTTGGCGGCCTCGGGGGCAATGGGCACGGTCTGGCGCATTTCGAGGCGACGGGGCACCCGGTGAGCGTGAAGCTGGGGACGATCACGCCGGAGGGTGGGGCGGATATATATTGTTATACGTGCAACGACGCGAAGCAGGACCCGGAGCTGGCCGCGCATCTGGCGGCGTTTGGGATCAATGTGCAGACGCAGACGAAGACCGAGAAGAGCATGACGGAGCTGGTGAGCAGTTCTTCTCCACGACTTACCCTTGTTCCGTGTACTTACTGCCCTTTCAGCAAATCGAGCACAACCTCAAGTACGACTTCTCGCTCACCTCGGAGGACGGGAAGGCGCTGGAGCCACTCTTCGGCGCAGGCTTGACCGGCCTATCCAACCTCGGCAACAGCTGCTACATGGCGTCCGTCCTGCAAACAGTCTTCTCCCTGCCCGCTTTCCGCGAGCGGTACTTTTCCGTCGATGCTCTCAACACGCACGCAGAGACCTGTAGCGAGCCCTTACCCGCCGCCTGCGTTGAATGCCAGATGCGCAAGGTCGCGGATGGCCTCGTTAGTGGGAGATACGCGTACCCGGCGCCTACGCATGGCGGCTTCGCGCAGAGCTCGCCCATACCAGAAGGTATGCTCGTGCCGACGACTTCTGATACGAGCTGACCATCCATCTCTACCACCAGCCGAACCCCGCAAGCAGGACGGCTCCGTACCCGTCTTCCAAGCCGGGCTCAAGCCGACGGGTTTCAAGGCGCTGATCGGCAAGGGCCACGAGGAGTTCTCGACGATGCGGCAGCAGGACGCGGAAGAGTTCTTTACGCATTTGTTGAGCGTGCTGAGGCGGGATGCGCATAAGAGGAAGGATGGGAGCTTGAGGGGTGAGTTATTTTCCCTTCGCGTGTCTTCGGTTAGGTGCAAGTGTGGGTAGTAGCTGAGAGGAGGGGAAGGAAGGGGTCGTGAGGGAGACTGGCGAATACTCACGCGAAGCCCCAGATGCAACCCAAATCTTCTCGTACGGCCTAGAGCAACGGCTTCAGTGCACGGACTGCAAGCGGGTGCGATACCGCGTGGACGCGGCAGATACGGTCAGCGTCGCGGTGCCGGCGGTGGAGAAGAGCAAGGACGCGGAGGGAAAAATTCAGTACGAGGACGTGCGACTGATGGATTGTCTGGAGGCGCTGCTGAGCCCGGAGACGCTGGAGTATGCGTGCCCGTCGTGCGGGAAGAGCGTGTATGCGAATAAGTGAGTAGGTCTTGTGGTGAGGGGCGGATGTGTGGTGGGATACTTCGAGATGCAGGAATACTGACGCTTTTGTAGGCAGACGAAGTTCGCGTCCTTCCCAGAGGTGCTCGTCGTCCACGCGAAGAAGTTCACGCTCGTGAACTGGGTGCCGGCTAAGCTTGGTGGGTGTCAATCTCCCAACACTCAACCCCCAAGTCAGTCCCCTCTGCACAACAACTTACCCCGCCCCCAGACATCCCCGTCATCCTGCCCGAGCACGACACGGTCGTCCTTGAGGAGCGGCACCTCGGACGCGGCTTGCAACCCGGCGAAGAGCCCTTGCCCGAAGACGCCGCCGCCGCCGCCCCCGCCCTGCCGGAGTTCAACGCCGCGGCGCTGGGCCAGTTGGAGGCGATGGGCTTCCCGACCGTACGGTGCCAGAAGGCGCTGCTGGCGACGGGGAACAGCGACCCGGAGGCGGCGATGAACTGGCTGTTTGAGCATATGGAGGATCCGGGTGAGTGATTATAGGTTCAAGGGCGTTGAGGGGATAGCTTATGGAAAACGATCAGACATCGACGATCCCATTCAGCCTAGTGGTGGCGGCGGGGGTGCAGCTGAGCCGTCCGCCGAGCAGGTGGCCATGCTTGCGGATATGGGCTTCACGTCCGCGCAGGCCAAGAAGGCGCTTCGGGAGACGGTACGTCGTTCAAAATGACTTAACCTTAATCTCCAGTCCTCATGATCATCTTCAGGGCGGCAACGCCGAGCGCGCCGTCGAATGGCTCTTCAGCCACCCAGACGACATGGGCGAGGAGTCCGCGCCTACCGCATCGTCAAGCGCGCCGGCGCAGCCCGGGATCGGCGGCACGAAGGAGGCGCCCGTGCGCTTTGCGCTTAAGGCCTTCATCTCGCACAAGGGCCCGTCCGTGCACTCGGGTCACTACGTCGCGCATATCCGCGTAGGCGACGAGTGGGTGCTGTTCAACGATGAGAAGGTGGTGAGGGCGGATGCGGAGAGCGTGCGGGATCTGAAGCGGTTTGCGTATCTGTACTTCTTTGAGAGGGTTTGATGCGGAGGGGTTGATGCGGACGCAAATGCAATAAAGGCATGCAAATGCAATAAAGGCATGCAAAGGCAATAATGGGGGACGGGGTCACAATAACATAGGTAGTGGAATTGCATGGGTTTGGGAAGCACTGTATAGTAGCAGCAATCACAAACTAGTTGACGAGATGAGAGGCAGGGGGGTAACACGAGACTGGGCATCGTACTTGAGCCCAGAAATCTGAGAGAAGTTCAACCATGTTGTACACGTGATCGTGAGAAGCGAGTCACGCGTGTTCTTCGGCGCGTCGCGTCGCGCTGTTACACTCATTCTCCTAAGTGCGAGAGCATCTTTAAGGCTTTTAACTTCGAGTGTCGGCTCTTCTGGCTGAGTCCGCGCACTGCCCTACCCAAGAGTGTATCTGGAAGCCTCTTCGTATGTGTAAAGCCCGGCCTGCGTTGGCAGACTGGGTCGACAAGATCACCTTCGCTGCTCACAGACAGCCGATCTGGACGTGGACCATGGTATCGCTCTATCAGTCCCAAATTTGGTTATGCCCAGCATGGACTCAGCTGCAAGGTAGGCGAAATGAGTACCCTCGCTTACAATGTTTCAATTGGGTTGCGAACGCAGTGCTCCCGCGGAACAAGCAAGTGTCCTGGTTTCGTCCCTTCATCATCGACCACTTACTTTAACATCTGGTGCAGAAGGCCCCGCCATCCACTCGACCTCCCTCAAGGCTTGAGCTTCGCCCGAAAGTCTTGACAAGTATCAGCGAACGCAAGGAGTAATCATGCACGCGCGTCGGAGCGACGTGATGATGTCAGTCTCCTGCGGCTCCCTCAAGTACCACCCAACCGCCGTGGCCTCCTGCAATTAGCATCCTCATATCACCCCATCGCAATGTACGCACGATCCTCTACAGAGTACCCTCGCAGGTGCGTGTTCTGTTGAACAATGTGAACATCTGGGACTGACGATCAACAGGATGTCCGCGGGCGCTTATGCTGCTGCACCGCGTCCCGGAGGCTTCGTCCCGCACGGAGGCATATCCTCCCCATACGGCTCTGTCCCCCGCCCGGGCGATCTACCTCCCTCCTCAGTCGGCTCCTCCATCGCACCCGGCACCCCTCGCGCATCCAGCGCACCCGACGCCCTCGACTACCCGATCAACATACCGGGCAGCCCCGACACGAGGATCAACGCGCTGGCGACGCTTCTGGCTGAGGAGCGTACACGGGCGGATGCTGCCCGGGAGGACGCGTTGATGCTGAGAGAGGAGGTCATGGCGCTGAAGGCTGCACTTCGGGACCGTGACATGGAGATCGTGGACCTGCGCAGGGAACTTGCGACAGCGTCATCAGCGGCGCGGGTCTTTGAGGCCCGCGCAAACGAGGCAGAGGCGGGTGCGGCAAGGCTGGCCGATCGTCTGCCCTTGCGAGATGTTCCTCCGGGCACCCTTCCTCCGTCGCCGCCCATGAACGGTATGCAACGAAATGGGTAAGCTGCATGAATATCATGCATCGACTGTCCTAACCGTCCTTGATAGTCCACAACCCATGCCGTCGATGACCGCCCCTGGCCCCATCCCCGCCCCCGCACCGATACCCGCACCTCTAGTTTCCCCAACACCCCTCCGACCCATGCGCTCCCTCGACGCCGTAGTTGACACACCCATTCCCCCACCCGCCGGCCCCGGCCTCGTCGCCACCCCCGCCGCCGGAAACCGAGCCCCCGTCCTCGAGAACGCGCCCGCCCCGCCAGGCCGCATCCCCACCGCCGTCATGGACACCCTCCCACCCGGCTTCGTCCCGCACCAGCCCGCAGGCTCAGGTGCAGGCGTGGTCATCAACATCCCATCGCCCGGCTCCTCGCGATCCTCGACGTCTCCCGTCACGCCCGATTTCGCGACACCGCTGTCGCCGCTGTCCACGCCGAGCGAGGTGACCTCGGACGATATCATGATCTACCCGCGCACCACGTCCGCGGCGATGAACACCGTACCGCTTCCCGGCGTGAAGAACCCCTACGACCCAGGGCTGCCGTCCATGATGAGCCAGCTGCGAGTGTAGTACCTACTGGCACTTTATCCTCATCGGCATCCAACGTTGCGTATTTGAGCAGCATGTGTAGCATATATAATTTATCGTAAACGAAATGTATGTATACTGTAGTGTCAGCCAGATGTACAGACGTCCCGAGATCCTCAGAGCCTCCGATAAAAGAAAAAAGCGTATGAAGTTCGAGCCTCATCTACCATGAAAGCCTTCCAAGCTCGAGCAGCGCACGCATCACTGACAGACGACATTGTAGTTCGACTTCGTCTCCGTGCCGATGGTCAAGTCGAAGTTCATGTACGTCGAGCGCTCGCCCTCGTCGAGGCAGCCCTCCATGAATAGGGCCCCTGGAGTTCGATGTCAGCAATGGGCATGGGTTTCGACCAAGTGGAAGCAAGCGACGCACACGACTGCAACTGCGTAGTCGGCGCATCGGTGGACGGGAATGCCTAACAGAGATGTGCGAAGTCCAGTCACTCCGTCGAGCGCTTGTCCGGAGCGCGAACAGCCCAAAGGCACCGGGCGTCGAAGGCGACGACACTTAGGTTGATATACCGAGTCAAGGACGCGATCTGCGACGGGCTGTCATCCTCCGGATCCCTTCATGAGAGACCACCGCCGCTGCCGCACTTCGTACCTGTGGACGTCGGTATGGACGTGTGCAACACTTATACCTTACTTCCGACGGACATGAGGGATACACGAGTTTCGAGCTCACCTAAATATCATCCGAGTCCGAGCAATAGTCGTGCGACATATTCACCATAATCAAACAACGACGTACATCCGTTCCCCTACTTGCTCTCCAAATACGGCACAAGCACATCCTCATACACAGTCGCTCCCTGCCCACTATTAGCACACCTGCTCTCCAACATTGACCCGCACCCCACTCACCTTATACGTCCGCACCTGCTCCGGCCACCCCCTAATCGCACTCGCAAACCGCTCCGCCACACTCTCCCTCTTCCCCTCCCCCACCTCCTCCGTTTCTTCCTTAATCTTCTCGATCTCCCACACATACGTCCGGATCCCAAAGACAATCGCCCCGCTCCCGGGCAGGCGCCGCAGCGTCTGCCTTTCGGTGCGCATGCGCAAGGTCTCGGGCGTGACGATGAGCGGCTTGCCCTCCGGCGGCTGGTGCGCGTGGCCTGGGCGGTACTCGTCCTCGGGGCCGTTCGTCGTCGCGGACCAGGCGAGCTCTTCGGGGTCGATGGGGTTGTAGGCGGAGTCGTAGACCTTGGCGTTCAGTCCGGTGGAGTTGATGGGCGTGGTGCCGGAGGAGGGGTAGGTCGAGTCTTGGGTGCAGGTGGGAGGCTTGGGCTGGACGATTTGGAGGAAGTAGTTGTTCCGGGTGACGGGCTTGTCGACGGGGAATTTGAGGAAGAAGCGGTTCATGGAGGCGCGGAGGTTTTGCTCGTCTGCGTGCGTTGATCGATGAGCGTTCTCAAGAGGTGGGAGGTGGACGACTTACAGTATGGCACATTGCCGCTGGTGTGAATTTCGTCCAGCGGGCGACCTATCTTGTCCCGCATGCGCCAAAATCCGGGCACGCAGATAGCGCCGCCTTGGAAGTAGTACTGACTGTCATTGCCTTCAATCATGATAGCGAGGTCGTCCTGAACGCTGAAAGAGGGCAAAATTTGGAGTCAAGCAAAGATCGTGTAGCGAATGGTACTCACAGTAATGCGCAAGTGCGCAGAGCTTCCTCTCCTTCCTCGCGCGAGACGTCTCTCATCTGGCGCTTCTCGCCTTCGCCGTGCCATAGCGGCGAAGGCAGGCTATAGGTTTCGTTGACCGGAGGTATAAAGATGGACCTCCCGTCGGAAGAGAGCTGGTAAGACTTTGGATAGCGGCCAGCGAGGTAATGCGCGGCGGACAGCAGAAGTTCGACGGCTATAGGGTGAGCGGATGAGAGATCTGTTCATCTCATTTTGCAGTAATCGACTTACCAGCCTGGGCGCAAACGCCCTCCCGGACAACATCTCCGTTCCCCACCTCCTTCGCGGACAGAAGGCGGACGACATTGTGTCCGCGGGTGGCGATGCGATGCTTGCGGATACGATGGTAGTCGGGATATTGCTTGTCCACCTCGAACCATTCGGACTGGTTCAGAGACTTCAAGCCCATAGTCACACTAGGGAACAGTGAGTTAGATGAGATGGTAGACGCAAGCAGTAATCCTCACTGATATTGGCCCCATCTCCAAGGCCGATAGATGATGGGGTCAATCTGCAAAACATCACCGCCTGCCGTAGGATGAACCTCGGGCTCGGAGAACGAGTATATATTGGGGGGAAGAGGATTCCATGCTAGCAAAAGAGATTGCATGAGATCGAATGTGCTACTTTGAGATGTGGAAAGGCACTCACTTCCGTGCGGCCTATTCTTGTTCTTCTCGTTCAGAGACGCCAGATCCTCCGCGGGCGTTTTCGCTCCAATCTTCAACTGCTTTCGCTTATAGAGCGCCAGTACAGCGGCGCTGATCGCAGCTAGGAGAGCTAGTCCACTCAGATGAGCGCTGGAGAATCCATAAATTGAGTCGTTCATAGCGTCAAGCATTCTAAGCCGTTGCGAGCGAGATGGTGGACAGAAACAAGAAGAGGATCGAGATAAGCTCGTCGACGGGGGTCAGCCTCCATACCTGAGGCTCCTTCCCACGTAATTGCCTCTTATCGTCATATAGGGCGTGCAGGAGACGTGAATGGGGACTTCGCCTTGGTCACAGGTGGTCGCTTCAGCCGCGCTATCGGACCCGCGGTAGACAACTGCGACCTCAGGTTGCGAAGATGGACTCTATCATCGCGCTGAAGTCGCCCGCGGCCAATATAACGCTTCAGAAGGCATAGATAGGCGCCCAGTATCTCGCAGAAGGAAAGCTCTTATCGTGCGAAGTGAGGGTTCGGGATAGGAGAACCACGGCATTCGCCGAAATACACGTGACTAAAGCAAGGCAACAAAACATTGACAAACGCAAGCGTGACGCCCACACGCTATCACAACGCAAAGCAGCAATCGTTCAATGGAAAAGGGAGGCAGTAAACGGCTGTCGAACTAAAACTCTAAGGGCTAGCGTGGTCAGGTGGTAAGTACATGCTGCAAAGCAGACTCCGAGGCAGCGCATCTTTCACCGCAAGTACAGCTGCCACATTCGTATCCGAGTCCCTGGACCCCTCTATCCCCTCCTGCGCCAGACCCAGTACCTCGTATAGCGCTGGCGGCAGTTCCTTGTGCGTATTTTGTACCTGTCTGTTCCCTTTCTCCCCGAGCTGCCCAGCTTTGAGTCTGCGATAGTGCTTGCTGTATGCACTCACACCGACTGTGCGGAGGGCAGGGACTTTGGGAGAGCCCTGAAACTCCGCACCCGTACCTTCAGTGGGAAGAACGAGGTAGACCGAAGGCTGGCACGTCACGGTATGGGCGACGTGAAAGTCTGCGATCATAGAGGTCTCCGCTTGCGCCGCCTGGACTAGGTCGAGGAACGCGATGTAGTCCTTCTGATCGAGACGTCATACGCGACCGGATGCGTCAATAGCGATATGATCGTGCGTACAGTCCGTGTATTTGTTGGCGTTGCTGCGTGTAGTAGGGGGCACGACAGATACCTCTTCTGCATCGTCCCCGGACGAAGCGGTCTGGCGTTCGCTCTCGTGAAGTGATGTTGACACTTCCCGCGTCGCAAACACAGCCAGCCACACAGAGTCCCCGGTCATGCCACTCGAGGTGACCGCGAATACCAGATTATTTGACGAGAGATGCGTTGGAAGCGCACTGTCCTGCACGAGCGTTGCTCTTTGGCGCCAACCATCATGTGGCGATGACCATGTCAACAAGGGAGGGCCATCTTCGCAAGAGATATTCGTCGCTTGGGTCCTCGCTCTGTGAGACTCAAGGTCGTCGTGGCTGCCGCTCGCGCGGCGGAACACTGCAGCGAAGAGAGAATGAGTCGATCGCCTCTTGACAGACATGACCGCAGCGAGAAGGAGAGATGCCAGACACGTTGTATTAAGCGTTCAGAGACACGACTGTGACACGTGTGTGCGGTCTGAGGAGCCTGGAATTCATACAATGATGGAGGTTGAGGTCAACAGAGAACAACGTGGCCTTGCCACATGTCACATTCGTGACAACCACTTGGCGCTCAACCACTGGCACAAAGGAAGTCTCTGACGGGTAGGTATGCGCTCATCCCTGTACGCTGTCATTAAGCCACTCCGTCCACAAGAAGGAATTGTACTCACGAACTCAATGCGGCGCTTTCCTCGCCCTCGCTTGCACGCCCACAAGGTTCGCGTGCAACGCCTTCGTCACCGACGTCGACCCGCACTTCGTCGCTCGCTGGTACCTGTTCAAGATCGTACAGGCGACCTTGTTCGCCTTCCTCGCCGCCAACATCTCCTGCAATGCGCGAGGGTCATACTGGCCCGCATGCGTCTTCGCGTTCAACACGTTGCGGTGGACCTTGTCGACGGCCTTGAGGAGCGGTATAAGGCAAGGATGCTTTTGGATCCAGAAGACCGCGTTCTCCATGTCGATGTCGTTGTTCTCGTATATGATACGCAGCGCACGGACGTGCACCTGTAGCGGTCCGTCGTGCGAGAGGCACTTTTCGCGTGGCGTCCGATCCTCCTCCCAATTCGCCTCCGGAAGTCTTCGGTTTTTCTTCCACAGCACGTAGAACTCGCGTTGCTCGAGGCTGAAGGTTTTCATGGCCTCTAGCTCGAAGTTGATCTCTCCTCCCACCTCGAGCATGCCAAACGCGACGGCGAGAGAGGCGCCAGAGTCGACAATGCGCCGCCACTTGGCGGATTTCTGCACGATCTCGCTGACGGATTCGTCGCCGGTAGGAATGACCTCCTGGGGTAGGAAGACACGAGGCAGGTCATAGTTGACCTTGCATACATCGCGAGGTGGGACCAGTCGACCTGCGGGTGTTATCGCTTTGTGAATCGCCGTGCGCAGGGAGAGCCGCTCACTCATGATATCGTCCGCGCGCACTTGCGTTGTTCGAGATGGAGGTGAGAAGAGAGCGAACGAGCTTACTTATTAGCCCAGCGAGGAAGGCCATGCTAATGGCGTGGCGCTGAGCTTGAACTTCTCAATACTAGGATTTCCTTTTCGAACTTGGCCCGTGTGACCGCGTGTGTGACAGCGAACGTCGGCACTTACCGAACTTGTCCTCGACCATCAGCTCCTCGGATTGCTGGCCAGTTAACTAAGTGGATGGGTTCAAGCAACACTCTGCCGGCTGACCTCGAGGTCCGCTCTGTCTTTGAAGTCTACTCATCTACCGGATACAAGCCCTCCAACGCATCCCAGTTCACCATCCTCGCCGCATTCTTCCTCTACAGGTCGCCCCCATCGCCCTCGTCCGACACCGCCGAGATCAAGATAATATCGCTCGGAACTGGCACGAAATGCCTGCCGACCTCGCAGCTACCTCTGCACGGTGAAGCATTACACGACAGCCACGCCGAGATTATCGCACGTCGTGGCGCTATCCGCTGGTTTCTTGAGGAAATCCAGCGGATGTCGCAGTCGGATTCTGAAGATTCCGAGTGGGTCTCGAAAGCATCGGAAGGGACGTACACGCTCTGTGAAGGCGTTCACGTTGGGCTGTATATCTCGACTCTGCCTTGTAAGTATCTTACCTTCTTTCCTCGTCAGAGCAAACACACTGACGAAACAGAAGGCGGAGACGCATCGACCCGCTTCCTCGCCGCCGCACCACAAGACGCTGAGATAGCCGCTCTGAAAGAGTCAGCGGTGCGCCCAGTCGTTGACCCGACCACCGCAGCACGCGGCCGGGATAATTACGCCCTCACAGGCGTACTGCGTACGAAGCCCGGACGCGCAGACGCTCCACCCACAATGTCCATGTCATGCAGTGACAAGATTGCTGCATGGAGCGTTCTGGGCTTCCAAGGCGCGCTCGCGAGCCTTGTCCTGCCGAAGCCAATACACATAGACCACATCGTGGTCGGCGATGTACCCGAGGATATGCGTGACACCGTGCTAGAAGACTGCGAGCGCGCGCTTTGGAAGAGAGCTGGCCCAACTGCGCATCGGCCAGTCATCAGCTTTATCTCGCTCGACTTCATGCATTCCCGGGCGGCAGTGTCCTCCGCTTTAGGGACGCCATGCAACACTTCGTCTAATGAATGTGAAACCTTTTATCCTTCGCGCAAGTTTTCAGTCGGTTGACTGAAATTTGTAGCTCTCAGCTGGATAGCGGACGCTGTTCCACCGTGCGAGATCATCGTGAACGGTACAAGACGCGGCGTACCTCCCAGACACCAACTACGCCCCAAATCGATGTGAATCTGGTCTGAATTCACGTCGCTCCAGCTGAACATACCCTCTAGACCCCGAATATCGCAATTAGGCCTTTTCCGTGTGTTCTGCTCGTTGAGGCCCGTCCCGTACGCATCGTACCATATCACTGTGGCGATCCTACTCATCGTTTGCGCAGGCTCGGCACGACCTACTACGAGATTAAGAATACTGCGCAAGAATACACGCTCGCCAAGTCACAGCTGATAGGCCCTCAGGGTGCTTTTGCCGGATGGCAGCGAAGTGACCCTACGTTGCAAAAATTTGACGCGGAAGGCAACATCGTGAAAGATGTTCACCAAGCGCAGTGCTCCCAATCTGATTTATCTTGACGCTGGCTTCACGCTCGCCTACGCTAATGCATAACACCTCTCGTCCACCGTACATTATCAACACAGTAAGGATCATTACAAGAACATCAAGTGCAAGCGCGTACTGTCGTAGAAGACTAGAGAGCGCGTAAAGTAAGGATAGGCTGTAGTCCATGAAAGAGAAAGGTGTCGTGTACAGGTCGTGTATAAAGCCAGAAGACGACGTGGCCGTCTAGTTGGCCTTGGCCTTGTCGTGGACTGGGAAAAGGTCAACAGCCCCGTTAGACCCCGAAACAAATCGTAAAAACATGAATGCATATAAGTGTGTGCTAGAAATCCAAACCATCTAGTCGTACAATCCTTTTAAGATCTTCCAAGGGCCAGATAACCTGCGAGACGTGAGTGAGTCAACGGTCACGATCGGTCGAAGGGCTGCCAACATACCAGATCCATCCCACATAACTTTACTCCACCTTCGCCCTCGTCTCATCTGTGGCATGCACATTGTTCGCCGGACGCTCCGTCAGCGGCGGTGTCGAGGTCCCGAGCGTTGGCTCTGACAAATTGCCACCGGCCATCTTGATCGTCGCCGCCGACGGCCTTTGCACCGCCGCGTTCAGGGCTTCCGTGGCGGTAGTCTGCCCGTTCGAGATCGCAGGCTCTGACTTCGTCGGTGGAAGGTCCATGGCCTGGATAGCCGGTGTTGAGACCGTCGATCCATTATACGAGGCCATCTCGTCGTCGTCGCTGTCCCCGCGCGTGGACCCAGAAGAGTGACTGCTAGCGCTGCTCTCAGCCAGCTCCTTGCGCAGGGCCTCGAGCTCACGCTCGAACTTGCGGCCGAAGACCTCGATGTAGTACCCGCCACCGTTCCACACGCTAACCGCGAAGATCATGATCAGGAACGCGCCACTCCATCTCGGGCTATCGTATAGCGGCCAGATGGCTGGCAGGATGGTGATTATGGTGTACACTGCGCGAGAGGCTGGTATTAGCATGTGATTGTCCACGTAGATCCACGTCACTCACGAAGTTGACCACCCATAAACGCTAGTTCACGATATGCTTGGGGGACATTGGCAAGGGCGCGGCCAATAGCACTGCGGCGGTCGTTGAGGAAGTAGGAGAACGAGGTTGTGCGCTGCCCGGACTCGATCTTCTCGCGGCGGTCTATCAACACGAGCTTCCAGTACAGGACCTGCCAGATGAGATCTGCGGCGGTTTAGTACGATGGCTATGAATGGTCGACGGGGACTTACAGATCCCCCCGCTAAGCAAGATAGCCTTGAGCGGGTGCAGATGGGGCAGCTCCTTCAGCGCTGGGTATCGTTCCTCCGCGCCAGGGTAGAAATGTCGTATGACCGTGAATGTGAATGGGCCATAGATGTGTATGAACAGACTAGTGACCTTATCCTGATCGTGAAAGACGAGCGAGTTGCGCCAAGTGATAACCGCACTTCCCAGACTTCCGTGGCTGAGGCAGTAACACGCGACGAAGAGCGCCGGGCTCCAGGGCGCGAGCCACAGGAAGATGAAGTTGAGGATGGTGACGTAGTAGCAGAGGTCGAAGAGGAAATAATGCCATGCGCGTTGCTTGTACTTGTACCAGCGGAGGGGGATGAGGTAGGCCGAACCGATCGTGTACGCAAGGGGCACGTACTGCGGTGCCATGCCAAACATCAACGCTGAGAAGAGGACGGTCATGACACCGACGAAGAACGAGACCTTCTCGCGCGTGCGGACGACCTTGGTCGAGTGCCACGAGGCGGAGAGGCGCGTCATCCGTTGTTGGATCTGCGCGCAGCATAGGGCGTGTTAGAAAGTCGCGAGGTAGGGGACGCGCGCCACGCACCTTGAGCTTAAAGTTCTTCATCTCCTTGTCGAAGTCAACGGCCAGCCCCTCGCTCGAGCGCTCTCGCAGATCGCGAATGCGCGTCTTGAGCAGGTCGCCGGCGGAAAGGTCACGGATCTTGAACGTCTCCTCGGCCTTGAGCTTGAGGCGCTCACTCTGCGCCTGCAGTTTTCGCTGCCACAGGTCGACATGGGAGTCGAAGTACGTCTCGATCGTGTCTGACGAGATGTCAACGCGAGCGACGGCGAGGAGGGCGGGGTGCAATACCCAAAAGCGTGAACGCGCTTGCCCAGTCTGAGACATCGGGCTCGCGTAGAAACCTCTCAAAGGGTGCGGGGAACGAGCGTCCACTTAAGAAGGGTGGGGAAGGTGGTCTTGACATGGCGGTCTAGGAACAAGGAATAAAGCGTGATGAATGGCCAGGAAAACAAAGATTCTGTTGATGTGGCGCGCGCTTGGACCAGCGGGAGCTTTGCGGAGTTGCGGTCCGGCGCCGTCGTCACGCTTCGGCGCGCCGCCATTCGCCATTATTTCTTCCCTTGTCTTCGACCGCCATTATGTTTGGTAAACTCAGTCCGTATCGAAGCCTTCCAGTCAAACGAGGAAGCTGACCAGACTTAGCACATCTGGCATTCGACGCAATTCTCATCAGCGCTTTCCTCGCGGGCATCAAGCGCACAACTGGTTTAACGTGAGGTCTATGCTGGCAAGCCACTACGCCGCTAACAGCCCTTCAGACCAGCACTATCACAAGTACCGAACAAAGACGTTCGTCGTATGTGGCGCTTTCTCCTGTCCACTCATCGGAAACTCACCTCAGCTCGCAGAGATATTGGCCTCTTTCCTGGAGACAGGTATAGTGGATTTACGGCGCTCTCATGGTCGGGCCTCATGATAAATGCAGGGGAATATGTCTTTGACTTCGCTGTAGTGGTCCTTGGGGTGCGTGGTCTGCGAAAGGCGACGTAGCAGTTATTGATCATCCACAGAGGTCCAAGTCTTTCGAGCGAAAGCGATGATCGCCTTGCGCTACACCACTTGTATCATATCCCTTCTCGGTATATTTATTCCAGGCCTTTCCCTCTCGTCTCTCATTGGGCTCCACCGAACGGTATCACAATGCACATACACGCGGTATATTGGCAGCGTACTAGCCGAGGAAGTTATAGACGAAGAAGTGCAGGACGATGGAGCCTATGGCGAAGTCGGCAAATGCTCTGCGGACGGTTTAACGACAGTTACGATAGTGAATACCTCCACACACCTTTCAGGGGATACGTCCTTGAACTCTCCGCGATTGTCTGGGTTGACTTGGGCACGCAATGACGCCGTGAGGACGAACTGGCCAACCGTGCTTCCAAAGCTGCGGGAAACGATGAGATTGAGGTGGGGGGTCATGCATGCCACGCACCCAGCAAGGAAGGCGTTGAAGGGGAAGTTGGTGACAAGGATGCAGTACAAGAATTGAATGACGCCCGAGAGAATGAGGAAGACGAGGAAGGAGTCGACGAATTTGAGACGATCCGGGGTTTGTTCGTTATATGCCTTCCACAAAGCTTGTAACGCATCCTTCTGGGATGCTTCAGAGGGCGTGCTCGTCGTCGCTGTCGTCTTCGGCGCCATTTGTGCTTCAAAGTTCTGCGCAACTCGCGAGACGTGGACACTTCTCGGCCCGCGGGATCCGGCGAAAGCGCCTGCCAAACATGGCACGCCGGCGTCTTCGTCCAAGTTTTCTGAATTCCGCTCGCCGTCGCGTATATCCTCGCCGCCGACGCCGACGACGACAAACATGCTGAGGGGACACGTGTCGCTAGTGCAATGGCGTCCTCGCCGCCTACCGACGGCGTCGAACTCACTATGGGGACGCGTCCTCCAGCACAATCGGCGCGCTTTGCACACCGTCCGGCCCTTGCCGTACTCGGTGGAGGAGGGATTGGGACGGTTCATGCCCCCGCAGGCACTCAAGACGGTGGCGGTGGACTACCTTGGGGGTCTGGTAGAGCGCCTGAACAATGAGATACGAGGTGCGTTGCATGCGACACTCAGCAACAGAATTGATTGAGTCGCATGCAGACACTGAGCTCGAAAACAAGAAGCTCGTGGACGTTATCATTGGTGCCGCGCAGCAGGAGAACCAGGTGCTCGCGTTCAACTACGGCAGCCTTGCCCTCAACACCAGCTTCTTTCTCCGCCAGCTCGTGCGTAGCCGCGACCACCACATATACTTCTCGCACTCACCCTCCCCCACAGAAACCTCCCCCAGCAATCTACTGGGCGAAGCAGGAGCGCGACATCATCGAGCGGAAGCGCAACTCCCTCCCGGACGCCGACGCAGAGGACTTCTGGCAGGCGCTCCGGGAGCACATGCCCGCAGACCACCAGCCATCGGCGCTCGCGACCCGGCTCGTGGAGTACTACGACGCCGCCGGTACGCTCGTCTCCGCAGCCAAGGAGTACGCAGGCCTGCCCGAATCCTCCCCCGCGCGCGCCGAGGTCCTCGAGACCGTGACGAAGGCAGCGCGCCAGGTCACCGAGTACCTGAACGGACACAGCGAGATCCAGAACGCGCTGTCGACGACGCTGCGGGAGGGTGCGGACGTGCCGGCGCTGGACTCGCTGGTCGCGGAGGGCGGCGAGGCGATTTTCACGAAGCACACGGCGGCGCTGAGCACGGCACTGAACGCGTACACGGGATCAAGCTATGAGTACTCGGAGACGCACGAGCGGAGCATGAGCTACGACCTGCGGACGGCCATTCGCACACAGTATGGCTCGCTCGCGCAGCTCAAGAGCGCGTTCATGGGTGCGGCGTCTGGCATGTTCAGCTCGGGCTTCCTCTGGCTTGTCAGTGACTCACGAGGCAACATGGGTATCGTCCCTACTTTCGGCCCGGGCACGCTCCTCATCCGCTCCCGATCACATCTCGCTGCAAGTGACGCGGACTTCAAGGTCGGCCCGGCATTGCTACCTAACCCGAACCGCGTACCGGAAGAAATTGCGGATCAGTTCGTGTCGGAAGAGGAGGCGACGGATGAGAGCGTCGAGCGCGATCCCCTGGGCCTCGAGTCCGTCTGGCTACCAGAATTCGCGCAGTTGCGAGACGACCTGGCCAAGAGGTTACGCGAGCAGGCCGAGCGCTCCTCAAAATCTCCCTCCGGCTCGCGGTCGTACAGCACGAGCGCCGTCATGCGCAACATCTTCAACCAGCGGCCACGATCCATCCTCGACGACGTTGACGCCGACTCGAACCCCATCGACGTCGGCATCCCCGCCCAGGCCGCACTCTCGGACAAGCTCACTGCGCTCAACTACGGCGACGTGCTGTACCCGCTGCTCTGCGTGCCCATCTATGAGCACGCATGGATGAGCGCCGGCTTCGGCGTCTGGGGCCGCGAGGAATGGTTGCGGCATATGTGGTCGGTCGTCGACTGGGCCGCGGTCAGCCAAAACTACACGGCGGCACAGCCGCCAGCGCCGGGCAAGAAATAGAGGGGCGCACTGGGGAGGATGGCTCAGGTATTATATCAACGTACATACTCAGTACTAATCGCATCGATACACACCCCACTCGACTTGCCTCAGCGCGACGAATCTGCCCCCGGTGACGGTGTGAAGACTGGACAAGCGCGCGACGCCAGAATCAGCCATGGCTTACGTGGAAAGACTGATTGTGGGAAAATCAGATGGTGGCAGGCTTCGTTGAGTCGCTCGTCCATTGTTCTCTCCTTGCAGTCTACTGCGGTCCCGCGGGAGATGCCGATGCCACCCGCCCATGCAGGTCCCTGGCCCAAGCACACGACAACGGAACAAGGTCGCGGACATCTCTATGGGGCAGAACATGCAGGGACGAGCTTCGCCGCGCGTAGTGTGGTGGGCAAAATAGATTGAGGGTCGGCAGGGCAGGCAGAATGGCAGAACGGCAGATGCCACGTGCGGCAGAATCGGCAGAACCGGCAAATTACTCCGCTGTCGCTGTCTGCTCCTACAACCTTGTCCAACCGTCTCTACTCTACAAATCGTTTCTTGACGGCTCGAACTGCCGAATGGCCGTCAACAGGATCCAAGAGCACCGACGAGCCCTCCGAGGCAGGATCCAGGTCGGTGTCTGTAGATATTGTCGGCGTCACATGTACGGCAATCGCCGAGTCACGGTTGTTGTAGCGCGCCCATTTCTTTTGTACTGTTTACCGTTTGCACTCGCGTACGCCCGACGTGTGAACGCGGCAAATCCTATTGTCCTTGCACCTCCCCGCGCGCGACCCCGTCAATATCAACAGTGTCGACGGTCGGAGCTGTCCCACTCAGCTGCTTCTGCTGCCGCATATACACGTTTGCATCGGTCTGTGCCGACGTGCACCCGTGAGGCCCAGTTCGATAATTGGGGAGGAAGTTATCGGGGCCTTCAATTCATGTGCCCTGGCTTCTCGGGATGTGCCCACGGTACTTGCATCGCCAGTAGTAGTGCCCGCTCTGATTATTCACGGGATCGAGCTTGTCAAAATGCTCTAATGCGAAAGCAGCCAGTTTGCGGCCAGCATCAGACCTGGCAGACATTACAAAAGGTGGTGGGAAGAAAAAAAGGGAATATTTGAATTGGAGGACAGCTGCGAAGGCAACAGGGACACTACGCGATACTGATTTCCAAGTTATATTTCTGCCAAATCTGCCATGGAAAATTCCGGGACCTCGTGGCAGGGCAGGGCAGAACGCATTCTGCCAATTCTGCCGGCAGAATGGCAGACACTGCCAACCACACTAGCCGCGCGTATGCCTTGCCTCTGCAGGTTCATTGTGGCCATAAATGTACTGCGCGCATCGATATGGAAGCGCTTAGCGCGCCCGAATCACAATAGGTGCTAGCAACGCATCACGGTAGGTCATGGCCCTGATTGATGACTCCCTTTCCTGGCCACAAACACAGTACCTCGTGTCGAGCCTCCGTGAGTAGAACCAGGCGGTGCAGGGGTATAAATACCGCGGGTCCGTATTCCCTCGCTCATTGTCCTCTTCCCACCTTTTCTGGCTCACTGACTCATCCTCCATCATGCGCCCGAACTACTATTCCCTGATGAACCAACCTCAACAGCCGGCCTCTGCGCCGACGGCGCCTACACGCCGCCCCTATCCCGACGAAGACTGCCAGCCATTCTTCGGCTCGTTCGACAGGACCACCGAGATACCCTACCTTCTGTGGCACGACAACTTCGTGGGCAAGATACAACTGATGAGCACCGTACACTCGATGGACCGAACCGTCATGGAGCGCACCATGACTGAGCTTTGCCACCACTGGGCCGTCTTCGACTACCTCGTCTGGGCGCGCATCCTCGGCTGCGGGGACAGCGCCCCGAGCCCGGCGCTGCTCTCCCACCCGACCGCGCAGAAGCACGTTCACCACACGCTGCTCATGTGCAAGGCGTTCGGGGCCTTCTGGGCGATGTACCACGCGCAGAAGGAGGGTGTGGCGCTGCCGGAGCTTGTGAAGGCGGTTGCGGACGTGCGGGCGTGGCAGTGGCAGGCGGGGAGTGGCATGGTAGGCCCGGGGAAGGTCGCACGCCCGGGGTGGCAGCATAATCAGGCGACGCACAGGCAGCAGCCAAGAGCAGCGCGCATAGGAGCGTTCGGGCCCTCTCAGCCTTATGGGAAGACGAGCGCAACGCCTCTACTGACACCGCATGCGTTCTCCATTGGTCTATGCTCACGAAGCTTGAAGGTGTGTCGAGGCTTCAAAGCTTCATGTTGCATCCAGAAAGCTCATCGCTCTCCTTTCAGGTGCGCCATAAGCTCGTTGCAGACGCACTGCCATCAGATCTCCATCGAATTCTATTCAATGTCGCATTGTCGATAGGCTGCGTGGTATGTTAAGAGCGTGCTTAAGGTGGCTGCAATGCGAACTCTGACATTCGCTGCAGTTCAGCGCAATGACATGCTACGCCGGCTATAGCGGCCGTTTTCGCAGCATGGCAGCGTTGCTTCTCCCACCGATGCAGGCCGCTGAGAACCTGCTCTTGTTCCAGGAACCCGTCACTCTTGGAGGCGCGCTTGCGCAGACTCTGGTAGGTCAGTCAGTTTATCAAACGGTGCTTGTCTTATGTTCGTCTAGCCAAAGATTGCCGCACTAGACGAGACGACAAACGTAACTCATGGCGCTCAAGCGTTCGTTTCCTCTCAGCCTTCCGGGTTCCTGGGCCAACCTCCTCCCGGCATGCAAGCCTCTTTCTGGCCCCAGAATGAAAACTCACAACAGCAGACATTGACGTCGAGTCGTGGGTCAAATAATACATGGGGAACGAACATTCCTCCGCGCCTCACACAACAGAAGGCTATCGCAGCTGGGCTGCAAGGTTTTGGGTCCATTCCCGCCTCTGTCATAGCCTCGACGGGCGCTGTCAATAGCAATTCGCTAGCAATGGTCTCGCAAACGCAGCAAGCCCAGCAGTTGACCGCATCAAATCTCGCATTGCTTCAAGCGCAAGACAATCTTCCGCCTCCCCCGGGCCTCGCGCCACGGCCAACTCACCAGCGCACCGAATCGATGTCCAAGTGGCAGCAGGAAGTGCAAGCCTTCGCTGTCCAGAAGCAGCAAGAGGCGATCCGAAAACAGCAAGAGGCCGCGCGCAAGCTGCAAGAGTCCGCCGCGCGCATGCGCACCGAGGATCAGCAAGCGATGATGCTGCGCGCGGAGATGCACCAGCAGGCTGTGCGCAAGTGGCAGGCTGAGCAGGAGGCTGAGCGTCTCGCGCATGAGCGCGCGGCGACTGTCGCGAAGCACATCGTATTCCTTGTCGAGCAGTGTCAATCGCGCTTCGGGGACAGCGTCGCAGCGACCCTGCAGGCGATTAATGCTTATGCTTTTGCGGCCTCGCTGTGAACCTCGCCCGCCCATAGGCGGTAGTTCCCTTTCTCCCTTCTCCATTTCCTCCTTCCCTTTCTCTCCGCTCTGCCGTCCTTCTCTACGCCTTATTCCCGTGAAATCCTTGCTTGTTCATGCTTTCTTGTACTATGCTTTGCTCTGGGCTGCGATTGACGCCGTGTTTCCGTGTACTTGATATCCAATTTCTCCCAACTCTCCGCATTGTACGCTCGTACCCGTTCATCCTCTACTCGGACCAGCAGTGATTCAAATACAACTTATCTTCACCCACACATGTACTACTTGAGTACTTCACACTTTTGACTTGGAACGCACGATAGCTTTAGGACCAAATAGACCAAAATATGTGTCACATGCGCGCCACCGTGATTTGAACACTCTTGAAAGGCGCGACCATGTTGCTCAACCAGCGCACAAGGCGGACTACTATGATCCTCTCTGCTATGGCTTACAACTATCCTTTGACGCCGCGAGAGCGCGATACCTGAAGCGAATGGACTCTGACAGCCTTCTGCTGCATGGCGCCGCCTACTATCAGCACCCATCAGGAATGCTCGACACCCTGGACGCGGAAGGGCAACCTCAGAAACTCTACTGCGTTCTGATGACACAAAGTGGCTACGGGCATCCCTGGGACTATAACCATACTAGGACCCTCTGAATGCTTGTATACGCTCAACGGACCGCCATCTCATTTCTCGCTGGGACCGCCGGCTTCAAGGTTCGACGGCTGATGAAGAACTGGGCTGACGAGGATCGACGACTTCACTTCCTCGGCTCTATTCTCCGTAATCTTGCTGCTTTTCGAGCTTCATGTCGTGACTTGCTGGTCTACCAACCGCGTTCATTTCGACCCTTCTCGTGGTAATCTGCGAGGCGCAGATTTCACTCACGACGCAGCTGCGGTTCGAAAAAATTGACTGCTATTGTGCTGTCCCACCGGCGGCCAGACTACAACCAGAATTCATTCTATATCGACTTCAGGTCCGATTGGACGCGGCCGGCGTCGACTTCGCCCCTTCGTTTGGTTTAGATGTCCAGCCCGTCGCTATCAACTCCTTCCGGATATCCAAGGATTGATCCCTCTCCTTCGGAGACGAGGTATATGGTTCTGTGGACCTCTCTTTTGTCAGCGCAATCCCGCATCGTCCTTTGCGCTCCCGCTCATGCAACTACCCGTGTTCTCGCCTGCCACCCGCTTCTTTATCCCGCCTTTTGCTTCTTTCAATACGCTCGAATGCTGAAGGGCGGTCACTAATCCATGCGGCCTGTCATTCCATATTCTCGCTATTCAGGTTATTGCTGTCCTACGCATCTCAGTCGTTTGCTATCGGACTCCCAACCAATCATTGCCTTCATTCTCCTCATCGTCATTCGCCTTTTCGAGCCGCGACCTGCATTCGACGAATCAGAATGCCTTCCAAATCCTTGGTGCTCACGCGCCTACGGTCCAACTCCCGAGGTTCCGTTCTATTCCCTGTGTCCGCTCCTGCTCGGCCATATCTTTGCCCCATCAGTTTCAACGTTCCCTCATTTTCTTTAGATGCGCTTGGATTGGTTGAATGCGGCCGGAGAACGTCCACGAGCAATTCTTCCTTGAAGTTCCGATGGTCCAACCTTCGATTTTCTGAGCCTCCCTTGCCTTGTCCACGTCTCTCCTCTTCGACCCAAACCTTCGGAGCCGCGCTCAGAGACCATTGTTATTCGTTCGAGAACAGGGCGGTTGCGGTACCATCAGGAAGGGACGTTGCAATCAAAAGCGACGAATATACAAGGTCCAGAGCACATCGCCTAAGTTGATCTAGACCGGATAAGGGCGAGTTCTCATTGGTCCGCAGAAGCGCAACATATGCTGGGCGCCCCGGAGCGAGAACGCGTCCAGACCCCGCCAGCGTGTCCTTCCCGACACGAAGCCTTTCATCCGCCGCCATCGCCGACGTCGAGCATGCCTACCTCGACGCTGTTCTGCACAACGAACAAGACCAAGCGCCCGCGCCCGAAAGGGCTATGGGTGTCGCAGGTCACACAGTCACATCGCCCGGCTCGTCACAGAACGCCGAGCCCAGCTCTGTCCGCCATCATCCCGCTCAGCGGGTTGCACAGCGAGTGCTGCAGCGACCACGAGGAAGAGCTAGCGGATTCCCCACCCTCGACCCCATCTAAGCGGGCCCGTTATTCAACCGAATCGAGTGAGGAAACGGCCAGTTCTGGTCACTGCGGTGGTGCAGCACATCACCCTCCCCGAGTAAGCGGCTGGACGAAGCGAACGAAGGTCATGGACACAACAACAACGGCAAGGAGGGGATCCCAAACAGGTCTCAAGAGCACCTGCGATTTTGAGGACTGGGAGGATTTGAAGGACCTGTTCCAGAAGGCAGCCGAGCAGTACGAGAGTGAGTCTAGAGCGAGTGGCGCGTCCCATCTGTATTTCTGACACCCCCGCCTAGGCGACGATACGTCCGAGGCTCTCGCCCTCCTCCGTGGAGTCATACACGAGTGTCACCGATTCCTGCTGCACTATCAAGATCCCTCTGTCCTGTTCTCCGCACCATCCCCGCGCGAAGAGTCCGAGACTCCCCCAGATCTCTCACCCTCTGAGGAGAAGCTGCGCAGCGAATGGAGCTTTGAGAACATTCAGAGCGACAGCATCAGCCACAAGAGCTGCCATCACCATCGACACGTATCCCAGCCTCAGCCGCCCTTGGCCCGCAGGAAATGGTGCGTGTCTGCGGTCCACCATATTTGGAATCATCGCTGATCTCCCTCACCCGTAGCAAATGCCGTGAACTCCCTACCGCCTTCCATGCCATCCTTGGCTCCACCCTCTTCCTCTTCGGTAACCTCATCGCTCAAGATCCCAATGTCGCCCTGGAAGGCGAACCAAATACACCAATACCCTACTGGCTAGCCGCGCTCGACGTCTTCGAGACCGGCGAGAACCTCCCCAAGCGTACAGACGGTCGAAGTACGTGCGATGCTCCTGAAGACTGGCGGATGGCTATCGTCTGGGGCCGTACGCTGGTTTGCATTGCAGAGGAGGCTATCGAACGCTCGAAAGACACCCCTGCCTTCACCGCGGAGGAGCCTGCGTGGCCAAAAGAGTCTCCCTTCTCAGTCATCGCCGCCCGCCGTCCTCCCATCACCCTACGCATGTCGCTTGCGGGCGCGACAGCCAACGACCTAATGATCCTCGCCATGGACCAGTTTTCTCGTGGGATCTTCCACATGCCGCACCCTCTTCATGCAACTCATGCGCAACCCCCACCCGACGGCGCCGAGGACATGTCGACTGCACCGCCCACGTCTGCGACCGCGACGGACAATTTTTCGCGCGCGAAGGAGTTGTACACTGTAGCACACGAGGTCCTGCTGCTCGCCGAAAAGCTTACGGTGCCTCGGGAACGTCAGTACTGGGCTTCGTGGGCAGACTCGGTCTTTGAGCAGATGCGTATGGAGGCCGACATGGACAACTGGCGCGGGCCAATAACGCGCATGCGCGGCAAGTGCTGGCTCACGTACGGGTCCGCGCGCCTGGACGAGATTGAGGCGCGGCTACAGGAGGCGCACAGCGATGCGGAGTCTGACGCCGTCCTGGCGAGCGAGAGTGCCGTCGAGGCACGGCACGCACTCGAGAAAGCCATGGAGTTTTTCGAGCGAGCGCTCGAGTTGTCGAGCCGGCCAGACGCCGACATGGACCTCGACCCCACGACGCAGGAGCGGGACGCGCTCTCGGAGACGAAGGACCTGCTGCTAGAAGCCGTCCTTCCGCTGCTCGACCTCACGCCGGAAAAGTCGAAGCGCGACGAGCTGTACGCACGCGCTGTGCGCGTCGGTGGGGAGGACGTCGTCAGGTTGCTGCAGGGTGACCCGATGGATGAGGACGAGGATTGAGTGCTGTGCCCCGTGCTCTCGCTTTCGTGTGCTGCTTACCATTATCATCTTGGCTTTCACTTGCATCATATCTGCTCTCGATACTCATTACTCATCGCATCTATATCATTCATGTATTAGACTTCGTATACCGCTGTATACCAAATGCACGCTCACGTCTTGATCTTCGTCTTTGGCCTGCAAGGCCCATCTCTCTGCGTGCGTGCTCTTCTGGCTCATGCTTCTGTTGGCCTTTTCAAATCCTTGCGAGCGCTCTCAGTCAACGGTAGGCCCCATAGTAGGGGTATGAAGTGCGACGGGCCTAATGTATTCGCGTTATGAACAGGCCGCAATGCCCAGCTTTTTGAGCGGAGATGCGTCGGAAAGAAGGACAGCTAGAATTCATGGCTGATGTCCTGGATGGGTCGCGGCTGCATCGATGGTTGTCATCGTCTCCAGAGGGTATAGCTACGATGTCGCAGCGCAAGAAGGTGGAGCTGACCACGATGGGCTGCGAGTGGCAAAAGGTGAGCGTGCCTCACGTGATTGTTCAACTTCTCACGTGGTAGAATGGCCATTGTTCTTTTTTCCTTACAGTATTCTTTGCTGACCAGAGTCGGGGGTGGTAGAGATAACTACCTCATTCAACCCTTGAACCCACCGTCTCCTAACAGTAGTGTGTTGTCTTGTAGCGCATTCTAACAGTGAACGGGACGATGGGATGCTTAGGTGTTGCCCTAGCTCGCCAACATCACCGCAGGTACGACCAGCTTCCAGGCTAGAAGTTCAACAAAGGCCGCGCCCCATCTGGAGATATAGGGGTTCTCTCGGGGTAAATTCACTAAGTCCGTGGGCAGGGACCGGGGAGAGGGCGTGTCAGTTTCCTTCCGTTGCCGGCTCTCGCTGCAGTCTGCGCGAGTCCACACCTGGATCGTGTTTTCTATGTGGACCGTCCGCCCGCCCCCGCAGCCCGCTAACGTTGGCGGGACCTCCGCTCTGGCCGCGGGGCCCGACGCGCCCTGCTCGCGCCCGGAGTCGCGAGCGCATGGTACCGGGGCCGAGCCGCGAAAGGGCCGCCCGGATCGAGCAGAATCCTCGCCCGAATGCCGAAAACGGCAACGGGCGGGTAGCATGACGTTGCGAGATATTTCCTCCCGCCGCCCCTGCATCTTGACTACTAACTACCATCTTCCCCCACACCTCCACGTTCCCCGCCTTGTCGTCGCCGCCCCCGATGTACGCCACCGCGGCACACGACCACAAGACCACCGGCCCCCAGGCCGTCATCGACGGCATCGACAGGCAGTTCCAACTCAGCAAGGATTCCCTTGTCGAAATCACAGAAGCCTTCCTGCGCGAGTTCAAGCAAGGACTCTCGAAGTATGGCGAGCCCATGGCCATGATGTGCGTGCTATCAGTGAAACGGGATCGATGTTCGATCAGCTGAACTGAGATCAATAGACCGACATTCGTGACCGGTGTCCCTGACGGTTCGGAAACTGGGTGCGTCGATTGCCTCCTTGCATCGCTATGCAGCTGACTCTTCCCTAGTACATTCCTCGCCCTGGACCTTGGCGGCACGAACCTGTATGCGTAGCGACTCCTTTCCCTTGCCCTCTGCTAAATTCCCGATCAGCCGCGTCTGCGAGGTCGTCTTGAATGGGGACCGTACATTCGACCTCACACAACAGAAGTACAAGGTTTCTGACGCCTTAAAGACTGGCGAAGCTACCGACCTCTTCGGTAGGCAATTCCTCCTTACCCGCGCCTCTGTGTCTGACAGCCGCGCGGAAAAGACTACTTGGCGGATTCCGTCGACGCTTTCCTCACCACCCACGCCAAGTCTACCGCAAGCGCGCACGTACCTGGGACAGAGTCGCCATACCCAACGAAAGCCGACTATAACCCGGAAATCGTCAACCTTGGCCTTACCTTCTCTTTCCCAGTAGAGCAAACCGCGCTCGACGAGGGAAAGATCTTAACCTGGACGAAAGGCTTTTCCGCAAAGCATGCCGTCGGAAACGATGTCGTAAAGCTCCTGCAGGATGCCTTCGACCGCAAGCACTTGCATGTGCGCTGCGTCGCCCTTGTCAACGACGTATGTGCACTAGGCCCTTGTCCTGTCCCTTGCTAATTCCCTATAGACTGTTGGTGCGCTTCTATCGCGAGCGTACACCGGCGGTGGCTGCACACTAGGCGCGATCTTCGGCACGGGCACGAATGGTGCCTACGTCGAGCAGGTTGCCAACATCACCAAACTGGCCAACTCGCCCGCTGCTGCCAAGGGCGGGCAAATGGTCATCAACACCGAATGGGGCGCATTCAACAACACACGCACGCACCTCCCCAACACGCCCTACGACACCTCTCTCGACCGCCGGAGTATCAACCCGCGCTTCCAGGCGTTCGAGAAGTTCATCTCCGGGATGTATCTCGGCGAGATCACCCGCAACATCCTCGTCTCCCTCGTCGACGCCGTGCCGAAACCGCTGCTTTTCTCCGGCGCCTCCTCGGCAACGCTCAACCACCAGTGGGGGCTCGACACCTCGGTCATGTCCGAGGTCGAGGAGGCCTGGGAAGCTGGCAGGGAGGGCACGTACTCGGGCAAGCCCATCGACGCGCCGGACTTCGAGTCGCTGTCGGATGAGGCTGAGATCGACGAGAAGGTGAAGGCGCGCTTGCAGAAGATCAAGGACATCGTCGTACGGCGACTTCAGCTGCCCGCGAACGACGTCTCCCTGCGCGACGCCGCCATCGTCCGGTGGGCATGCGCGCTCGTCGCGCGGCGCGCGGGGCTGCTCAGCGGTACCGCCGTGGCCGCTGTGCTCATACAAACCGGGCGCGGCTCGCTTCTGAAGGGCGAGCCGAACGGTACGAATGGGAAGGCGGCGGAGCCGGAGGACAAGTTCATCGTTGGTGTGGATGGGAGCTTGATCCAGTTCTACCCGAACTTCGAGCCGACGATGCGCGAGGCGATCCGGATGCTGACGGGCGAGTCCGTCGAGAAGAGCGTCGAGATCGGGCTCGCGAAGGACGGGAGTGGGGTCGGCGCGGCGCTGTGCGCGCTGCAGGCCATCAAGCAGCTGGCATAGCGCATATACGGTGTATCGCAACGCCGTGCGCTGTGGCCAGTCATGCAACGTGCATAGGTAGCACAGGCGCGTCGCGCGTAGAGACGAGCAGAGAAGAAATCAAAGTGTGTAATAATCATTATAGCTCACGTATACTCACTTATTGTCGAGCATTCTATTCTGTACTACATGGGTGTATTTTATGAAGTACATAGCAGCTGGAGAGCGAGCTTCTATACATGAGGAGGCGTCGAAAGCTAAGTGGAGACTGTCCAGTGGTCCCAGGATTCTTTGCAGATTGCATCCCAGACCAGTCAGAAATCATGCTCTTAAGAGTTTACCAGTACAAGACCTTGAATTATTGCTCACTGAAGCGAGCGGGACCCAGCAATTGGAACTAGACCTCGCAGAGCTCATCACACTCAAACGCATGGAGGAGATAGTCAAATGTCGACTGGTTGTGTATGCTACAACACAAATAAGTTAGGCGATAAATACTAGTGTGTACACCCAATAGATAGTCGTGCATCCCGACGGGGGGAGGACGTCAATCAAGTCGTCTCGGGGTCGTGGGTGGGAGGCGCTCTGCGATGGTCTCCGGGTGGTCGACGACGGGATGAATCCCTGGCACTCTTCCCGATAAATAGCCATGCGTAATTTTTCGCCAAGGCATTCAAAGGAAGCTCCAGTCGACGTCGATGTTGCCCTCGCCGAGCGCAGCGAGCTGCTGGAAGGCGGCGCTGGTGAGGTCGAGGCCGTTGGCGGCGCAGCCGGGGCACAGGTCGGCCACGGTGACGGTGACGGACTTGCCGGCGTCTGCGGGGGATGATCAGTACCGAGGTCACTACAAATTCAAGCCCGCAGAGAAAATGAGAGTCGAAGGGGAAATGATAGAGACGACTCTGCAGATGAGGTAGCGAGCCTAGAAATGTAGACTTACGGGTTGCAGTGAGCTGCTTGCCACCTGAAAATCGTGTTAGCTCCTGAGTTATGTTGGGAATAAGAGACGACTTACAGTTGGCACCAGCGAGGTACTGGTCGGCGGAGAGAGCGACGACCATGTCGGTGTTCTGGAGGACGTTGCCGCAGGCGCCGTAGCCGCCAGCCGGCTCGTAGTAAGTCGCTGAAAAACCGTTAGTTGGCAGACCGGGAAAGTGGATAAGGCGACTGACCCCTGCCGACGTTGCGCGCCTCGATGGAGCGGGTCGGGAGGGCGAGCGAGGCGCCGGTAAAAGCAAGGAAGACAACAGCGAGCTTGGCGAACATGGTGATGTGCAGAATATGAACTGGGTGTAGGAAGAAGGAAGGTGTGGAGCGAAAGAAAGCTCGTGGAGTGTAGAAGGGGAATGCAAAGGGCGAGAGAAAAGAAGTTGACTGATAAGGAATGGGAGGGCTACCTCTCTGCCTTATATATCGCGAGCTGAGAGGGAGGGCGGACTTCCTCGGCGGAGAATAACCGCCTGTGCGAATGTCGAAACGTGCCCGCTGCACAGACAACGGCTTTGACTGTCGCAAGGCATATGCGCGACGAGAGCGCGCGAGGGCCACAAGTGGAGCTCTTCGGTTGCCCGCAATTGTTCGACAGTTTTGGGTACGGAACCGACCGTGCTTGCGTACTTGTTACTTCCAGATCGGTCGGCCATCGAGTGTGCAGGTGTTTGGACCGTTGCGCCCGTCGCCATGTCTACGTATTGAGTGTGCTGATACATGTCGAAGAGCACAAGCGAGCTTTAATGCAAGGCACAGCCGTTCTGGCCAATTGTGACCCTTTTCAGCCTCGGATATTGTCAAGTATGGTGTGTCATGGAAGTTCAACTTCAAGAAGCATGGTCGTGGGAACACTACGGGGTCGGCCGACATCCTCGACGCGCCGCGATCACGTGCAAATGTGGTACATCACGCGTCACTTTCCTAGAACTTATCCCAAGCGTCCATCATGGAGTCGGCGCGTACTGCCCGCGAAGCTGAGCAGAAGAAAGCGGAGGAGCTGCAGGCGCAGATTGCGGCGCTACAAGCCCAACTGTCGACGGTAGACCCAAGCGTTCTCGCCGAGACCAGGAAGCCCACGAAGCGTAAAGAACCTGAAGACAAAGTCCTTGCACCTGCGACACCTTCACCCAGTGCGTGGCCCGCATTTTCACCCTGAACTATACTGAAGAGATAGCAGAGAAGAAACGTCGCGTATACGACGATGACGATGAGCGGCTACCTATACCCTTCCATCTGCCAAAGGTCAGCAAGCCAGCACCCAAGCAGCCCGCACCCGTGAAACCTTCGCCATCAATTCCGCCAGGAAGGTCGAATCTACTCTCAAAACTCGCCAGCTCCAGTAAGAAGGCAGATGAGGAAGAGCCCACACGAACAAGATCATCAGGCTTCGCTGAACGCCCACCCACTCCACCGAACCTAAACGCCCCAAAGCGAGATGAGAACCTCGCGATCATCGACGAAGTCCCGATCGGTCCTGAGGACCATAAAGCACCCTTCGATGATCCAACCTTCCAGAAGCTCGAACCCAACTCTGGCATCAGGCTTTCGTGAGTATCACTCGGCAAGGCGCAAGCTGGTGCTAAACACTTGGCAGATCTCGCATCCTACCACACGAAGACCTGCAAGAGCATCTTCGCGGTCGTCACTACCTCTCACCCTCCCGCCTCTACTCCAACGTCCGACTTCTCCCAGACAAATCCTCCTACGACGTCCCCGTCGAAGGTGACTGGGTCACTATTGCCGTTGTAGCTGAGCGTGGGGCCGTCAAGCAAACACACGCGCCAGAAACGGTCGACCGAGACGATGAGGGCAAGCCAAAACGTGGCCAACCTCCTCCGCCCGAGAAGCCGCGCAGCAAGCGCTTCATCAGCTTCACTCTCGTCGACTTCGGAGCGCGCAAGTCTTCGTCGGCAACTGGTGGCACATCAGTAATTCGTGGAGATGCCTTGCTACGATTACTCCTATTCGAGGCGGACTCCTGCGACTTGGTCCAGCACGATGACGGACGCAAGCCCACCAAGGTCTATCGGGGTGGCAGTCGAGGCGCATTCGAGGCGCTCTCGAAAGTGAAGGAGGGCGATGTGATAGCTCTACTGAACCCGCGACTGCTCAAGCCTTTCCAGGTATGACCTTATTTCCAACTCTGCCTTTCCATCTCACCCCCTCCCAGAAAGCCGGCGACAAGCCCCACCCTCGCAGCAACGTCCTCGCCGTCACCCCCGAGAACGCCGAGTCCATCGCCATCATAGGCCGCGCGCGCGACCTCGGCCTGTGCGCCGTCACCAAAGCCGACGGCAAGCAGTGTCTCGCCTGGTTCGACAAGCGCGTCAGCGAGGTCTGCGACTACCACGTCCAGCAGGCCGTGCAGCGCAGCCGCGCCTCGCGCCCCGAGTTCACCGCGAGCACGAACGGGATGTCCGCTTCCGCGAAGCACAAGCAGAAGCACGGGTACGACCCAAGGCGGCGGTGGGGCCTGCAGCCGGAGCAGGAGACGGGCGGCGCGACGTATGTGCTAGGCGGGCATGTAGTGCGCAATGGGGGCGGTGGGGGTGGGGAGATGTTCGTGGGAGAGCGTATTGGGCGGGATGCGCAGGCGAAGGCGGCGCGTGCGATGCAGGCCAAATCGGACAAGGAGACGCTGCAGGCGCTGGCGAAGCGGGATAAGGAGGGTATGCGGGATGTGTTAGCGGCAAGGGAGGCGGCGGCGCGGTTGAAAGAGAAGGAACGAAAGGAAAGGGAGAAGAGTGGGAAGGGGAAGGAGCAGGATAAGGGGAAGGGGAAAGAGCGAGCGGCGGAAGAGCAAGCGAGGAAGGAGAGGGAGAAGGAGGAGGCGGAGGACCGGCCGAGGTACACGGCGGACATGATCAAGAACTTGGGCTTCGACCCATCGCTGAAGCCGGGGCAGCATAGGCAGAGCGATGCGGAGATGCAGAGCAAGGTGAGGGTGGTGTCGATGGTGCGATGGCGTAGGTGCTGACTGTCTACAGCTCGACGCGCTTTCCAACTTGGCTGCTTCGCGCAAAGTTGTCCTTGGTCCGCGACCGGGGCAGAAGATTCGGTCTGGCGTCGTTGCGCCCAAGCAGGAGCTCGTCGACTTGTCGGATTCTGAGGAAGAGAGCACGGACTGGGATGACGCGAAAAAGGAGGCATGGAAGGAGCGCATATTGGAGCGGAAGATGTGGGCGGAAGCAGAGGCATAGCGCGCAGCTTTCTAACTAGATTCATGCATCTCACTTCCGATACTGCACCCATCTCTCGGGACTTTAGCATCTCTCGACGCACCTTACCCACACTACACTGGATTTATTTGCATATTCTCGTCCATGATGATCACGGCAGCGCTCTATTGAACTATGCTCCAGATAATGCAATGATCGAATGGGTAGTAGGCAGATTACACGGCGTTGAGGTCGCCGAACTTCTCCTTGTAGCCTACGCGAGGTTAGCAGGTCGTATGAGGGGAAGGTGCGGGCGAACTCACCAGGAACCTCCCACTTGCCCTTCTTGAGCATGGTCTCGACGACCTCGCGGAGGCGCGGGTGGGCGTCGCCGACGTCGTCCGCCTATGCAACGAGTCAATATGGTAGAATGGGTGAAGGGCGCATGGCTACGCACACGGAGGTTCTCGAACGAGCGCGCCTCCTCGATGTTCGCAAGGGTGGCCTGCAGCTCCTTGAGCTCGATGTCGATTTTCTCCTCGGTCTCCTTCGCCTTCGCGACCTGTCATGGAGGTGAGCTGACCGCCTTCGCCCAACAACCCAAACACGCACGGCCTTCGCCTCGAACGCCTCGATCGCCTTGACGTGCGCGGAGACGTCGTAGGTGACCGGCTTGAAGTTCTGGATGATCTTCTCGGCCTCGTCAACGACAGCCTGGTTCTTCAGCACGGAGCGGTAGTGCGCGAAGTCGACGGTCGTCGGCTGCGCGGCATACTGCCCGTGTTCGCGCTGCGCGTCGCCGTGGCGCTTGCGGAAGGCCTGGACGCCGGCGATGGTCTCTGTAACTGAGGTCAGAGTCCCGTTCCACCTGCGCATTGCACGACCACGCACCCTTGCCGAGACCAAGGGAAGAGTAGATGCGGGTAAAGTCCTATAGCAAGGTCAGTGCCTGCACCTCACGAAGTATGACTTGGACGCGTACGACCGCGGCTTTGGTGGCTGCCTTGGTGGCCATGACTGCAGGCAGAGAGTAAGCACTTGGGGTTTTCGGCAACGCTGGGAGATAATCACCGGAGAAAATGAGGAGAACGACGAAGACGGTGAGCAGAACAGGCCGGCGTCGCCCGGAGCAGTCTTTCCTCGGAGCTCGCCGGCCGCGCGGTTCCCTTTTGCGGTTTTTCGGGCCGGCGCTCCTCGCTTGCCTCCCTCCGTCATGCCGGTGGCAAGTTGGACTCAGAAATCCGACTGTCTATCGAGCACTCCTTGCTCTGAACCGCCATGTCTGATATCGCGCTCCTGAGCTTGGGGACAGTCCTCATCGACCACTTCAAATATCACAACTCAGAAGGGGATTTCGAGCGAGAAGAGCGCCATGTTGGCGGGGGAGGGCTATTCGCGGTAGCTGGCGCGCGAATATGGTTGCCTGCTGCGCGTATCCGCATCCCTGTCAGTGGAAGAGAAAACCAAGAGCTGATGGTCGCGCTTGTCAAGCTCAGCACAAACGACGAAATGTGGATCTGGGATGACGAAGATACTCTCGAAGCTCTGATAGAATACAGAGGTGTCGAGCGCAGGCAAGTATCTTTCCCGTTTTTCTCTCTTATTTTCTCCAGTCTCCATATCATACTAACCTTATGGGCTACAGCTTTCGCTACGTCAACCCACGTCCACCGCGAATGCTCTCATCTGTGCCACAAAGTATCGCTCAGGACGCTCAGTGCTTGCACTTCTGCTGCAGTCCAGACGTTCTGGCCGAGAACATAAACCATGGAATTGTTATCCCTGGACAGCTCCTCGTCTACGAACCCATTCCGCCGTCGTGTATCGCAGCAAATCTCGATACTCTGCGCATCCTCCTGCCCGACATTGATATCTTCTCCCCCAATCACGAGGAAGCAGAGGCTTTCCTATCCGAATCTCTACCCCCAGGTAGCATCTCGGCGTCACTGGTAGAAGAGATGGCGATTAAATTTGCCTCTTACGGGGCTCGGACAGTCGTCATTCGCTCTGGCGCTCGAGGCTCGTACGTTCTCAATGCCGAACCGTCGTTGGGCGCGCAGGAAAGTCGCTGGGTTGACGCGTACTGGCGGCCAGAAGAAGCCACAGAGAAGGTGAAGAGCACAACTGGCGCGGGCAACAGTTTCCTTGGTGGCCTGTGTGCCGGTCTAGCGTTGGCGGGCCGTGACATCTTTAAAGGTCAGAACAATCGTCAATCGAGCCGCTGTGTATCTCATGAATCTGTCTTCGCAGCTGCTGCATACGGGAGCGTGTCAGCGTCTTATGTTGTTGAGCAGCAAGGCCTACCGGCGGCGAGTGTGGAAGGTGGCAAGGAGCTATGGAATGGGGACGCGCCTGCAGCTCGCCTTGCTCGCTTGCTACCATGATTTGCGCACTCAGGATCGGTCAGCGGGCCTTTGTGGGGCCAAAAGCGATTTGAAAGCATTATTTCGAGGTTATACGGTAAGTTCAGGGGTATATGCTGAATGATCCGGATACACGAGGCTAACATCGACTGCGTCAGGTTATGCTACACTAGATTCTTTCCTTCTCCGAGTCTGGGCCTATCACACAACCCCTTGCTAGAGGCCGCTGCCTAGTAGTGGTGATGCGTGCCGTGCGTCGTCGTGCCATGGCCGTACCCTCCCGTCGAATGCCCATACTCTCCTCCATGCGTCGTATGATGCCCATACCCGCCGACGGTCGACTGCTCGTACGTCCGCGGCGTCGAGCGAATCCCGAGCGTGCGCTTGATGCGGACCATGAGCGGGACGTGCGTGCTCTCGCCGCGCTTTCGCAGCTCGTGCTTGGCGTGGCGGCGCCCGGCGGACGTGGTGTTGGGGTTGGCGAGGGCGGCTTCTGCAAAAGGGAGGCGTGGTCAGAGGTGAGGACGACAGGAAAGCGGGTCACAACGTACTATAGCCCCCTGTGACATGAGCGGGGTCCTTGTGGTGGCGGACTGTCCGGCGATGGTGGTGGTGGGTGTACCCTCCACCCGAGCTGGGCGCGGTGGCATGGTGGCGGCGACCGAAGAGAGGCATGATGAAGTTGGGATATGAGGTGGTGATTGGTGATTGGTGGTGGGTAAAATGCGAACGATTATTTGTTCGTAGAGGCGCGAAGCAAGAGGGCTGTCAAGTGAAGAGATCCCACTTCTTCCTGCCTTTATACTTGCAAGTCCTGATCAACGACGTCAGGCACTGCGTGTCGCTCCGAGGGGGATTCTCGCAGCAGGGCTCCATCTTGCAGTGCTACGACTCCATGATTCCGTCAAGCCCAGGCATGCCTTGCAATGCAGAGGGCACGCTGCACTCGCTGGCTGTTGGCGTCATCATCGCGCAGTGCCAAGGTAAGTTCCCACGGTTCGACGAGATGAAAGACTACCTAAAGGGGATGGCTTTGTTCTCACTCGTACTGTAGATTCAGGCCTTCAGCAACTGAGAAACTGTTGGGAAGCATCCTGTACTTTTTTAGGGTCTCTTGGCTGGCCTAGTCGGTGCTTGAGAACATCGCCGGCCTGATTGCAGGACTAGCATCTTTAGGTCACCACGCTGCGAGTGAATGAGGGGAGACAATATGCAATGGTAGTGTATTGTATATGAAGCCATGCGAGGGAGGTAGCAACCAGAAGACGAACACTACGCCGTCGCAGCAGCCTCCGGGATGACCTGGTTCGGGCCCGCCTCGAGCGCCAGCGCCGTGAGCTTCTTGCGCTGCTTGATCTCCTTCTTCGCCTTGCTCAGCTTCTTGCGCATCATCTTGCGCACGCGCTCGCTGTTCTTCGTCCGCACGCGCTTCGCCGCCAGCATGTCCTTCGCCAGGTTCTCCTTGAACTTGAAGCGCGCGTCCTCGACGCACTTGCCCTTCGAGCGGCCCTGGCGGTCGGTGAGCTCCGCGCGGATGTACTCCTCGAGCAGGCGCTGCTTGTAGAGCTGGAAGGAGCGGAAGCGCTTCAGCTTCTGTGCACGGCCGTGCGGGTTGCAGAGCTCCTTGGCGAGGTAGCGCTCGACGGGGGGCGAGTCGCCGAAGGGCGCAGTGCCGAGGTGCGGGTTGAAGACATGGAGGAGGTACTCCATTTCGGAGGGCGGCGTCGGAAGGGGGTCCTCAAGTCGCGAGCTGAACGCGGGGAACTCGTATGTGACCTTGGACACGACGTCCGCAGGCGTGTCATGGGCACCGGCTAGGGCGACGCGTTAGTATAGTTCGAAGGGAAAGGATGTATGCACGTACGAGGGTTGGGCTTTTGCGGGATGGTTTTTGGCCAAGGGACCTCTATCCGCTGGCCGCGCAAGTGTGGTACGGTTGGCATAAGCTTCACAGCGAAGCGTTGCCATGACCAGCGGTGGTGGAATGGGTCCCACTTCGGCTGCGTTGTCCCTACACGCTGAGCGAAGACTCTGCAAGATGGTCAACCTTTCCGATCACAAAAGGGAAGTACACCACATACTGCAGGGGTCGCGGCTCGCCGCCCTCCTCCTTCGGCGGGAACTCGAATTCACCCATGAAGAGGCGACATCTCGAGTAGTGGTAGCTGATCTTGCCAGACCGAGGGTTGTTCTGTGATATCCCCTGTCAGCACTACACGCTGGCAAAGTAGTCCCTCCACGCACCGGCAGCTCCTTCAACCACACCCGATTCGACAGCTTGTTAATCTTCGCCACCTCCCTCAGCGCGCCGTACCGGTCGCCCACGACCTTGACCTGGTCCCCAGGGACGATGTTCCACCACTTGATGCGGTCCCGGAGGGGCGCCATCTTGAACTTGCTCCCGTCGCCCGTCTGCGGTGGGCGCTTCAGCCACGACCGCGGCGTCGGGAGCATGTGCCGGAAGTTCGTCGTCCATGGCGCGGTCGCCTCTACCGCGTTGTAGAGCACATCCTTCGTCGTGAAGGCCCGGACCCGCGGCATGGCGCGTCGAGACGAAAATGCAAGTCGCCGGAGCGGAATAAGGCGCGTTGTTTGGCTCAAACAAATTTGCACATAATTTGGCGGGCCGGGCAACCCGAGCTCAGAGCCCGCTTTCTGAACGCTTTCGTAGACGGTCGTTCTATATCATGATATAGTTCGTCATAGAAGTACACTGTCGACTCGGGATACCGGTACATTTAGATTACAGAACGCAAAAAGAGTCAAGGAGGGAATCATAGCAAAGAATAATGAGAAACAATAAATAGTAGTGTGGGTATACGGACGTCGTCGCTATGAACTGTCCATCCTGGTCCCAGAAGATCTACCGGAGGCACCTCCTCCCCAGGTCGACGCTGAGCCAGGCTCTTCTGTTTCTAGCGCCTGAGAAACTGCGTCAATTGCCTAGTCAACGAACAGTCGTGGCGAGCGAACGTACCTCCAATAACGCCGGAATCGCGTTGTCCACCTCCGACTGTGCTAACCCAGCACCAGCAGCGATGAGCCTCCTATACTCGTTCACTCGTCCCTCATTGCCCGCCTCCGTCTGCACCTTCACCAACTCGTCGAACATTGTCCTCCGCCGCTTCCTGAAGCCCGCCACCTCCTCCCTCAATGCGTCGCACGCCCTCGCCAACGCCTCTGGGTCCTCCGGAATATCAGCGTACAGCTGCTCGAGGTCACTGATATCCTCCTTCAGCGCCGCCGCCTTCCGCTTGCCCTTACCACTTGGATCCGGGGGCGGGGGCATGCTGAGCGACTGCGAGGGGTCGCCGTCAACGCCGAAGGTCTCAGTCGCAGGCGTCAACATCAGCAGTCCGCCCGCAGCGTCCCGGATCCGCTGCTCGCGCATCTCCTCGTCGTGGACCCACTTCTCGAAGCCGAGGCGGAAGCGCTTGCCCATCTTCTCGTTGAGCATCGACTGCAGCTGTTTCAGCTCCTGCTCCAACTGAGGAAGCTGGTCGGCCTGCGTGCGAAGCTGCCCAACGGTGCGCTGGCCGGCAAGGATCTCGGACTGGATTCTCCTCAAAAGCTCCTGAGCCTGCGTCATATCGCGCTCCTTGTCCCGCAATTCCTGGTCGAAGGAGGTCGCGAGACTGTCCAGCATACTGGCCATGTCGTTCACACAGCGAGTACTAGCGCGCTGGGCGGCCGCGGAGTAGTGCAGCGGAGGTTTGGTGTCGAGAGCCCAGGCAGCGAGGGGGTTGCGCGACGGACCCGGAGTAGGCGCACTGTAGTGATTCGGTGCCCCGCGGGAAGCGGCCTGTCGCGCGCCCGGCTCTGGTGACAGGCGGAAGCGCTCATCCTCAAGGATGAAATCCTCCGTGCTCTTTCCCTCGTGATTCATAATCTTCGGGTCCGCACCGTGGTCAATGAGGAGCTTGACGAGCCGCTTGCTTCGACACCGAGCTGCCATCGTCAACGCAGTCTCCCCATCCTCGTCTTGGAAGTTGAGTACATCCGCGAGCTCCTTCGGGTAGTCAGCGAGCCGGTTCAGCACTGTCTCCATGTAGTAACGCGCAGCGTGCGATTTGCCCTTCGACATGGCGACGTCTACGATATGGTGGAAGACAGTGCGGTTGTAGTTATCGATGTTGAGTGTAGACCGATGCAGCATCTCGTAGAGCTCCGGGAACTTGCGCACATCGTAATTGTTGGCGAACATGACGCTGCGCATAAGCGCGGTCTGCCCTGCCTTATTGACTTTGAACAAGTCCGCGCCAGCGGAGAGAAGTAGCTTTGCAATACGGATCCGACCCATCGCGCAGGCCCAGTGCAGTGCGGTATGTCCGTCATCATCTATGACCATGTTTGGATCGAAGTCGGGGGGTGGGTTGATGAGGACTTGGGGTATCTGATTGGTGTCTGAGATGAAGTATTCGAGGATCTGGTCGCAATATGAACGCGATTGCGGTCCGTCGTTCGGCATAGCCTCGTCGGTGTCGTATCGGTCTCGAGCGCGACGGACGACTCGTCTGCCATCGCCAGCGCTCTGGCTATAGTCTGAGTGATATGAGACAGGAGGGCTTTGTATGGGGGAAGGCGTTCGCGAGCTAGACGACGCCTCGGAGGGGGAGGGAGTCATCGAGCCTTCGTCGTCTGAGGCTGAGGCTGACATGGTTTCGACTTCGGATTCGACAGTCTCTTCCACAGCGCGTGTCGTGCGCGCAGTCACGACGGACGCAGTCGATGATTCGCGGCGAGCCACGCGGTTGTTGTTGTTGGCCAGGATGTGCTTCGGAGCAGGCGGTGGGCTCTTCGCAGCAGGCTGGAATTCGATGATGGGTCGTAGGAGATGCTCGCAGTTGTACTGACGCGCCAGGCTCAGCCCGCGCTCTATCGGGATCCACGTCCCTGCACAACGTCATAAGCTCTTTGCCGACGCGCTGTTCGGGACGGACGACGCCCACGCACCTTGGTACTTCCCGTACCCTCCCTGCACCTTCTCGTGCTCGCCCTTCTGCACCTCACGCTCAAGCACACGCGTGCGCTGCGGCTTGTCGAACCCTGCGACCTTGAGGATCTGCGTCGCGTTCAGCCACGAGTCGGAGCGGCGGCGCATCACGGCGACGCCCTTGCACATCCTGCGCACGCGGTCAGCTTCCCCACGCGTCTCAGCGCGTCGCAGACCCTCACATCTCGTATACGGGCACGCCGCTGTACGTCGCCTGCGCGATGGGCCGGAGGGTCAGCTTAACGAGCAAGGGGGTGGGAAGGGGCGCGCGAACCTTGAATATCTGCGTCTCCGGCATGCTGGGCGGATAATCGCGCGGAAATCGGCGCTGGACGCGGTGTACGTATGCGCGCTCGCTGTCGAAGGGTCGCGCTCGCTGTTGTCGGCGTTGACGGCAGGAATTCAGAGGGTGCGCGTTTTGTCACCGCGTCAATAGATCCAAACAACGCGGATATTATTTGGAGCGCGTACGTAATATCGCGGGGGGTACTGAGGCCCCCTCCCCTCGTTCCTGACAGTGGCGGACCGGGGCACGCGTCCGCTTGAACTTGAACAGTCACCAGCCATGTCCGAGCCCATTCAAACGCCTGAGGACCTCGTGGATGCGTAAGCCACCGCCAGCAATGAATGACATCCGCACTCAACGCGCACAGCTTCAAGAAGTCTGGGGAGTTTGACCGCATGCGTAGGGAACTGCTAGCAGAATTTCGAAAGAGTGTGAGCGTCTTGGCCCTCTTTACTTCGTATCCTGACTCCCCCTTCAGGATGGCATCTCAAATTTTCGCACTCGAGTTGAAGACATCGCACAAACGCACTTGAGGAGGCAGAAGGAACGCAGGAGACCGACAGATGGTGACACCGATGCCTTACAGCGCAATCTAATGGCCGAGATGGATAGGTCAGAGGTTTCCCTCTTCATCTCAGGCTTTCTCACATGTCGTTCAGGTTTCCCGTGGTTGACCGTGCCATAACGGAGATGCGTGTTTTCAGAGATGACTCCACCGTGAAGACGAATGTGAACAACTCCTTGATGCGCGTCCTGCTGAAGAGCAGAGGCGAGCCAATTCCCCCTGGTTAGTGAACAATAACCTTCGGAATAGCATCGCACGTTCACTCACAATAATTTACAGAACTCGAGGAGATGCACGACGACGGTGACCTCTCACCTCGAAAGGCGCGTTCACCTAGCCGCGACTTCCGAGGGGGAGAAACCCCTGACGTGCGACGCGATGAATCTGAAGTCCGCGAACATTCACGGGGTGAGGTAGCCACGGAGCCTCAAGAAAGCCGCGGACCTTCGCCTGTCGCGGACGCACCCGCAGCTGAGATTGCACCCCAAAGCCGACTAGAGAACCAGTCGCCTGTGGCCCAGGATCAAGGTCAAGCTGCATCTGCAGATCGGCCTGGTATTCCAGACGATCGTCAAGAAACCGCAATGGACGTCTCCATCGCCCCGCCCACCGAAGCACAGCCCGTCGATTCACCTGTCGATGCCTCTTCATCTTCGAACGGCGCTAACGCACCTCTGGTGAACGGTGATGCCTCCCATGCCTCTCCCGAACCCTCTCCGGCTCCTGTGGAACCTCCTACATGACTTTTCGATACCGCTTGCTTGCCCTATGCTGTCTTTGCTCTCGATGCTATTCCCTTTTCACGATTTCCTTCTACTCGACCTCAGTGGGTATCCCCATTTGGGCCAGTCTTTGTCTCAAGTCAAACCGTGAGAACACGAACGGAACTCAATGACGCCAACTGTGGCAACTCAGTCATTCCCATTGGTCGCTTCAGGCAACGCGTAGCTGCAGCGTGTTCGTCCAGCAGACCCTGAGCCTGCTGATACGGTTTAATATCCTTTGGACCTGACAAGTTGCCTTGGAGCCGGACTCTATTTTGGAGTCGATATCGAACAGTATGTTCTTCCTAGCCTTTCCGTGGAGCAACAGACGAAGTATACGTCGCGGCTGATGCTGAAGGGCACGTTGCGGCAGCAGACGGTACTTTGGAGTACAGTCCAGAGCGTACGATGGAGCAGAAAGGTGATTCGCGTGGGAGCACTACGCAGGTGGCTGACGTCGCCCTGTGGCGATATAAAGGGAGGAGAAGGGGAACGCGCGCTTCTCTCCCTCTATCGCTTCCATTGTCGCAGGATATATCTTCATCGTTGTCTTCGACATTGCAGGACCACTCATCATGCCCCTCTTCGGCGGTCGCACTCCTCGCGCCGCACCCACAGACGCTGGATATTATCACCATTACCATCGCCGCACAACGCATCAGCGCAAGCCCCCGCTCATGACGCGTCTGAAGCACGCCTTTGGGCTCGGGTCGAGCGGCTCCCGCGGGTATCGCACCCACGAGATCACACATCGCAGCGTTGGCACTGGGCATCACAATGGTGGCAGTGGGCATCGGTCCATCGGTAGCTCGGGTTACCCCACCGGTCACCATCATCGCTCGACGGGCGCGGGGCACCATCACTCGGGCGGCACGGGCTATCGCGACCATACCGGCTCGACTGCCTATCGCGCAGGCAGCGGTCCTGACCAGCGCGCCATCCATATCCGCGCCCCTACCCCCACTTACGATACCACACCCGCGTACGGCTACGGCCACGGAACGCAGTCCTCGCACGGCCATGGCCACTCGTCGTCCCATAAACACTCGCATTCGCCACATAATTACGGACATGCATCCTCCCGCTCCAGCCACGGCCACTCGTCGCACAAGCACCGCAGCCATTCACCCGCACCCGTGGTGTATGCTGGCTCCACTCACGGCTACGGTCATACCTATGGCCATTCGCCCGTATATGGGTATGCGGCTACAGGCTCGTCGACGCGGTCGCACGGAGGACACTACAATCACGGCTACGTGCCGTCGACGGCGTCCACTCATCGTACCCATCGTAGTCACCATCGGTACTGATCCACTGCTCATGACAGAGTGGTATTGCTGTGGCTAGCATAGTACTTTTAGCGGTATCCTTATGGGCAGTATTTTCGACGTACGACGACACCCCATGTTTCTCTGGTTTTGGTGGGTCACGCACGACCCTTGGTCTTCTTCTTCACGTTATACCCACATATTCCCTACAAAAAGTATGATACGGTATAGATATACTTCTCCCTCTCGCAACGCATCTGTTGATCCGAGGGGCGAGGCGGAACGCTACAGTATGAGCAGGATGCGTGGGTCCGGTCCGCTTGTGAATGTGGCCAAACAATGGCAAGCGGACAAATAAAGCCATTTCCTCCTTTGACCGCCATCAAGCTCGCGGATTTGTCGGTTGCCGATATCCGAATGCAACCCCTCTATCATCTTGCGGACCTCAGCGTCCACGAATAGTGTGCGAACGGCGTTCATTCATGCAGATCTTCGCTGCTGCTTGGCCTGGGGTATGCCCGCTGAGCAAGCAGCCTCCCCGGCGCCAGGTAACTCGGTAGCGCACCCCGTGTCCGCTCCAGTCAGCCGAAGACCCTCGAGAAGGCCGGTCCAGGGAAGCTTGTAATGTGCTCATAACGTCCTTCATCGTCATTTCTGAGAGACCGGGCGAGCAATCGGTATCACCACCCATCCCCGACCGTCTACATAAGACGGCGCGTACTTTTTCGACTGACCACATTTCTCCTTCGACCGCCAAGCCTATCGCGATGTCTCCCGTCCCCGACTTCCCGTCTACCTTCAAGGGCGACCTCGTCACGCCCGATAGTGCCGACTACGAGGCTGCGATCGCGCGCTGGGCTGTGAACTCGAAACGCCGCGCCAAGATCGTCGCGTTCGTCAAGGACGCGGAGGACATCTCCCTCGCGGTCAAGTACGCGCGCGCACACAACCTCGAGATCGCGATCAAGTGCGGCGGACACAATGTGCCCGGGTCCTCGTCGACAGAGGGCGGGCTGGTGATCGATCTGAACCGGTATATGGACTACGCGAAGGTCGATCCGGAGAAGAAGGTCGGGTATGTTGGTGGGGGTGCGCTGTGGAGGACGGTGGACAAGGAGGCAATTGAGCATGACCTTGCGACTGTCGGAGGAACCGTAAACCATGTATGTGTGTGCCTCTGTGAACTTGGACGTACGAGACTGACCAGACATCTAGACTGGTGTATCTGGCCTTACCCTCGGCGGCGGCTATGGATTCTTGTCTTCTTCTTACGGCCTTGCTCTCGACAACGTTCTCGAGGTGCGCTTTCGCAGTCCATCTTTCGCAAATCCATCTCAATCCTTCACCAGGTCACCATCATCACAGCCGACGGCTCTATTCTCAAAGCCAGCGACAAGGAGAACCCCGACCTCTTCTGGGGCATCCGCGGCGGCGGCTCCAATTTCGGCGTCGTGTCGGAGTTCGTCTTCCAGCTCTACGACCAACGACGAACAATCTTTGCCGGCCCCGTCGTCTTCCCGCCGCCAACCTTCAAGGACCTCGTAGCCATCACAGATGAGTGGTGGAAGAACGCGGACGAGAAGGAGGCGATGCTGCAGATTGCTGCCGTCGGTCCAAATGGCAAGCCGGGAGTGATGGTGCTTTTCTTCTACAACGGCTCGGAGGCTGAGGGCCGCGCGCACTACAAGAAGTTCTTTAATCTTGGGCCCGTGGCGGATATGGCGAAGGAGATTCCGTATGAAGAGCTCAACGCGCTGCAGGTGGGTGTCGTTCTTGTTCGATATGGCCCCGCGCTCATCTTTCTCCAGAATGCCTTCTCGGAGCACGGCCAGGGCGTCTACCAGAAGGGCGTCGCACACAAGAAGCCAGACCTCGACTCCTTGCAATACGCTTACGACCGCGTTGTCGAGCTCGCCGAAAAGGAGGGCCCGACCCCAGTCATTCTCTTCGAGTACTTCCCGCTCAAGAAGATTGTCGCCAAGGGCGGCGACACCAGCGCTTTCCGCCGCGACCCCTACCCCTCCATCCTCGTCAACGCCTTCTGGAAAGAGGATACGCCTGAGAACGTCAAGCGCGGGAGGGACATCGTGTACGACATCATCGCGAAGATCAAGACGTTCAACCCGGACATGTCGGCGGAGCAGCAGCAGGGGTATGGCAACTACGACGATGAGTCGCTATCGAAAGTCGGGACGGACAAGGCGAAGCTAGTGTTTGGGAAGCACTATCCCCGTCTGCAGGAGTTGAAGAAGAAATACGACCCAGACCAGGTGTTCCACAAGTGGTTCCCCATTACTCCTGCGCCTTGAGTGCATTCCGTATGTCTATATCCGATGTCACAGTGTATAGATACTTTCTGTTCGTGTTAGAGCAAAGGGGAACAATGAATAGTGATGTTTGTACATGTCACGGTCTGCCTCCTGCTTTGTGCATCCGTCATCTATGCTCGGGATGCTACGAGTCTACGCAGCAACTCTCAAGCGTAGTTCCGAATACCTTATCTCTATCCATCGCTACCTGGGCCCTCATCTTCCCAGTGCCCAGCGCGCCGTACCATTGAGCGCAAACGAGGATAGTCACCGGGTATCTGCTGATAACCCCAGCGGTAACTAGACCGCTTCCCCGGACCCATTCGTTATGGCATACATATGCTAGCGATACCCAGCGCTCCCCCTCTACCTCCCCTCTCCCCTTCATCCCATCCACAATGGCCACCATCCGCCACGAGTTCTACGACCCCAACTGCGCGGACGAGCAGGAGGTCAAGCTCCCCTCCGCTCCCCGCGTCACCCTCAGCGCGAATGCGAGCATCCAGCCTCCCCTTACGCGCCGCGGCACTGGCCCGGGGATGATAATGTTCCTCCCCTCGCCCGACAAGTACCAGGCGAAGGGGGGCAGCTCCGCGGAAGGCATCAGCGTGCAGAAATCCCTCGACCCCGAGCCCGTGCAGAAGTGGGCGGAGGAAGGGTTCGCGGTCGTCGGCGTGGTCGAGCCTGCTGCGCCGAACGCGGAGTGGGACGTACCGAAGGCGCTGGCGGAGGGGCTGAAGGCACTGCGTGCGCTTCCTGAGTTGGACACGCAGGACAAGTTCGCGATGTTGGGTACGTGCATCGCACCGATCGTAGCTTCCGATGGGTACTGATCACTAGTTGCTTTGCAGTGTACGATGCGAGCATTCTTGCAACGGTGCAAGAAGCGGCCGCCCAATACCCCGAGCTCGTCTGCGTCGTCACATTTGCGTCCGAAATCCAGGACAAGTCCGCATCAAAGCCCACCCTCTACCACCTCTCCGCCGCCGAAGCACCGACGGACACAGGCTCGGTACAAGCGCACGCATACCCCGACGCCAAGTCCCCCTTCTTCGTATTCCCTTCTTCGCCAGACTACGACCCCGGTAGCGCAACGGCGGCACATTGCAAGTCGCTCGTCTTCCTGCGCAAGCACGTCGGGGGTCCGAACTTCGACATCGAGGCGGTCTGGGACGAGCACACATTCTTCGAGTTCGAGCTGCGTAGCGTGGCGCGGACGATGGGGACGATGGTGCAGGAGCCATATGTCAACCATGTCACTACTGTAAGCGTCCACCGTTCGTGCGAGCTCTCGACGCTCAATCATGCTGGCATAGATGACAGGCGGCGTCGGACGAAAAGAGCTTACCGCGTTCTACCGGGACCACTTCATCTTCAGCAATCCGCCAGATACGGTCATGAAGAACGTCTCACGCACCGTCGGTGTCGACCGCGTCGTCGGTATGCTCCCTTCACTGGCAGGATCTGGACGCCTCGACTCACTGCCTCACAGACGAATTCATCTTCTGCATCACGCATACCACACAAGTGGACTGGCTCCTGCCAGGCGTACCACCAACGGGGAAGAAGATGGAGATCCCGATGATGGGCGTCATCAACGTCCGCGGCGACCGCTTATATCACGGTACGTTCCCTTCCCCAGACGCCCCTGTGCCTTCAAACAAGCTTGGGATACACGGTGATGCTCACCTGATCTCACCTTCCAGAACATATCTGGTGGGACCAGGGCACCGCGCTCAAGCAAGCCGGCTTGCTCCCCGACATCCTCGAGGTGCCCACAGCGAACGGCCCGCGCAAGCTCAAGCTACCAGTCGCCGACGAGGCCTGCGCACGCCTACTAGTCAACGAGTCCGACGGCGTGTGCAATGAGATGCTGGACTGGGGGTATCAGGATTAGACAAGGAAACTTCGCAATTTGGATGGAGGGTAACAGACGGAAAACTTGCGAAGTCAGTGTGGAATTTATGTGTACGATATACAATGTGTGGGACGTCGTGAGGAAAGGGAGACCATGATGATTATAGCCGGGCGTCCGCCGGCATCTTCTTGATCGCTTGCCGTACGCCCAAGTCGCCCAAGACGTCCTCGGCACCTGCCAGTACTGGAACAAAATGTCAGCAACCGCGCTCTGCAAGGATTTCGTTGTACCTACTCGCGTCGAAGCCGGATGTCCGATGGTACTGTGAAAATATGATCAGCTTTCTGGTACTTTGCACGTTCAACAGGATCCTAAACTCACGTTCTCGACGAGCTTGCCCATACCAGTGACGGTGAGCCCGCGGCCGCCGAATATTTGCGTGGCATCTGCCACCCTGTGAATAGAGTTCTTCGTTCAAAGTCAATGACGCCTCACCTTCCGCGGTCTCCCTCCCTGACTTCGAGATGAACTGCTTCATGAGCGCAATCGGGCCCGCGAGATTGCTCGACATCTGCGCGTAAGTCATCTGGGAGGGGCATTGTCAGCCTTTAAGTTTGTCTTTCTGGTAGCTCCTTGGGCTCGAATTGTTGCAACCATCCTCCTTCCCAAGACTCACATTATTCATCTGATCCGTCACCGCCTCCATCCAGCTCTGCCCCGCCTCCACCCGCGCAATCATATTCGCCAGCTTCGCCCGTATAACCGGCTGCGCGGTGAGCGGCTTGCCGAACACGACGCGCTGCGTCGCCCACTTGAGGCACTCCTCGACGATGGTGCGCTGTGCACCGAGCGCGGTGCCGGAGACCATCCAGCGCTCGTGGTTGAAGTTGCTGAGAGGGGGGTTAGGTCAGTGTTGGGAGGGGACGAGAAGGAGGAAACAGTGGAGGGGGAAGGGTGGAGATGGGCAACGTACGTGAGGATGACGTTCATGCCCTTGCCTACTGGGCCGAGCGTGTTACCGATGGGAACACGGACCTACGAAGGGATGAGCAGGAGGACAGGAAGACGCGTGCAACCAACTTGCCTTGTCGAAGGTCACATATGCCGTCCCTGCCGTCGACGAGTAGGCTGTCTTAATGGGCTTGGTGGACACACCCTCTCCTCGCGGAATCAAGATGACCGTGAAGCCCGTCTGCGAAGACCATAAGCGGCACGTAGACTGCACTGATGCATATATTCACCTCCGTCTTGCACCCGGTCGTGAAGTAATCCGCGAACGTCCCGTTCGTAATCCACCTATCGGGTCGCAGGTGAGCAAATCTACCTGATGGATCAACATTCGTGGCACGCACTTCTTCGTCCCGGTGATAACCCAGTGGTCACCGTCCCGGACAGCAAACGTCTGCAAGCCGTTCGTGTCGCTTCCAGCAAATGCCTCCGTGATTGCGAGGGCGATGTACTTCTTTCCTGACAGGATCTGTCGAATAAACTTCAATGACGCTTTCCTTATCATGTGTGAGGGGACTGACCTCTGGTACGACGCGCTCCTGCAGTTCAGGGGTGCCGTAGTTGAGTACGGGTGGTAAGGCAATGACCAGGCCGTTCAGCAGGCCGTCGACGAAGCCGCGGCAGCTAAAGCGAGCCATTTCGGTGTTGATGATGAACTAAGGACCAGTCAGCCGCTACTTCAAGCGATGTATCCACAAAGGCATTCTCACCTCATGAAAGTAGTCAAACTCCTCCGGCTTGACCACACCTCCAAGTAGCGTCTTCCCCTTCAGATGCTTCCCAGGCCCCAGCCGCATAGCCCAGAAGTTCAGGTCCGCCATCTTGTCCACCAACTCCTGCGAGACTTTCTTCCCATTCTCCTCCACCTTGATCGCCTCTGGTCGCACGGTCTCCTCGAAGAACTTGCGCACGGCCGTCTGGAACGCGCGATGGTTGTCCGTGTAGTACGGGCTCTTGAAGCCCGCGGAGAGCCAGGTGGGTTCGGCATAGGGGACCTTGGAGAGTTGGCCGGGGACAGGGGCCTTGATGCGCTCCTTCTCGCCGGTGATGGTGCCGATTTGCAGGCGGGCGTACTGGGGGCGGAGGAGGACTTCGTGACGGTGCAAGCCGAAGAAGGCGTTGGTGGCGTCCTGTCCTGCGATGGCGTCCGCGTATAGAACGTTGGCACCGCCAGGGTGCAGGTCGGCAAAGCGGGAGAGGTCAAAGACTTTGGCGTCTATGACGACCCACTACGAAGGGGGAGTGAGAGGGGCTTCGCTGAGGCGTCCATGATGGTACTCACCAGGTCTCCCTCCTTGTTGTGCTACGGCGGTTGTCAGTGAAATGTTGACCAGAGTGGACTGTCTGCGCACCTTGGCAACCTCGTCCCGCGTGAACTGCTTGGAGGCCATGGTGGTCAGAGTTAGACTATGTGCACCGGGCACTCATAAACCCCGCAAGCCCACGAAGCTGGGGAACGCCTCCCATGAAAATCACATGCAAGCATCAGCTGCCCCGAGCCGACATGAGCGACAGCTGCGGGGTTCGCCAATGGCATCCCGGCGAATGCAAACGGTGAACGTCCTGCCCTTACTCTCTCTCTCTTACTCTCTCTTACTCTGCTCATGGAGGTCCGGGAAGAGCAGAGTCTGCCCAGATCGTTTACAGGAACAATCCCCTCGTTCCTCACCGCGATAAGATAATGGGCGTTTATCGCTTCACGTGGCGATCGCGCCGCGCTTGCCGCACTTGGCACCATCGGGGCTGGGAACCTGCTCACGACCACCATGAGTCCCCCGTCGCCGGACGCGTTATACCATCCTATACCTCAGGCGCCTGTTGCGGCGAACCCTGTACCGCCCTCGGATCCGCGGCTTGACAGCGCGGATGCTGACGAAACAGACGACATCCTGCCAGGAGAGGACCATGAACGACGACCTGTGGTGGTTGACACGAAGCTATGGTGGATCAACTGCTTACTAGGATGTGCGGTACTGCTACCTTGGAATGGTGAGTGAGTGTGCCTCTGTAAGGGATGAGCTGACCCACCCCGCTTAGCCATCATCACCGCGACACCGTATTTCTTGTCGCGGTTAGAGGGATCACCTCTGCAGAAGACGTTTAGTTCTTACCTGTCCACATCCTTCACCGCGTCCAACTTCTTTTTCCTCGCATGTGCGACCGCAAGGTCAAAGAGGGTGCGTTTCCTCCCATGTCACCGACCGTCTGTTCATCGCCCAACCCTCAGACATCGCCCTCGCGGCAGATCTTCGTCACCCTCATCGGCCTCGCAATCATGTCGGCCCTACTGAGCATCAGCACCTTCATCCGCATCTCCCCCGGCCTCTTCTTTGCCTGCGTCCTCATCAACGCAATCATCCAAGCCGGCCTCGGCTCCTTCATGCAGACCTCCGCCATCGCAGTCGCCTCCCTCTTCGGTCCCCCGGCCGTACAGGCGATGATGGCAGGCCAGGCAGCCGTCGCGGTCGCCATCAGTTTGGTCCAAGTCGTCAGCGCCACCCTTTCTGTGTGGGCACATAGGGACTCCGTGACGACGTATGAAAGCGATGGCTCGGCGGAAGCGCGCTCTGCTTTTGTCTTTTTCACATTGTCTTCCTTGTACTTGCTGCTGGTAGCTGGTGCTCACGCCTGGATGGTTGCGCAGCCGGTGTATCGCTCTGTGACCGCCGCACTGGAGCCGGCTCGCAAGTCTGACGGCGGCGCCGACGAGAGGCGTGCCCTCGTGTCCAGCGGGCCTTCAGGCCAATCCGCCACCGCACAAATCTGGCGCGTCGCGAAGCGCAATGCGCTATACGAGATAGCCGTCTCATATGTCTTCGCTGTGACTCTGGTAAGCAATTCCCTCGCCTATTTTTTATCCCTCTTGCCCTCTGCTAACCCTCCTTTAGTCTGTCTTCCCGCCCATCACCATCTCCGTACAGCCCGTCAACCCGTCCTTCCACCCTCTCCTCTTCAGCGCCGTGCACTTCCTCGTCTTCGGCCTCGGTGACCTTGCCGGCCGCTACCTCCTCTCCTTCCCCCGCCTCATCATCTGGGACGCGCGCCGCCTGCTCACGCTCTCCCTCGCGCGCACACTCTTCATCCCCCTCTTCTTGCTCTGCAACATTCAAACCCCCTCTTCCATCTTGCTGCCCTCTGCGCCCTTGATCAACTCGGACTTCCTCTTCATGCTGCTGTTGTTCTTGTTTGCGCTGTCGAACGGCTTCGTGTCGAGCGGGTGCATGATGGCGGCGCCGTCGCTGGAGCATAATCCACGGTTGAGGGGGCGGAAGGAGGATGTGGATGTGGCGGCGACGGTGGCGAGCTTCTGTCTGGTGGGTGGGTTGGCGATGGGGAGCATTGCGAGCTTTGTGGTGAGGGGGGCGATCTGTCAGTGCAATCCGTTTAGGGAGTGAGGAAGGGATGTGGGTGCGGGGTGGTAAAGTGCTACGGTAATCTACGTGTACAAGTAATGGACCATGCTCAGTACGGCGACCACGACGGGGCACGGGGTGAGCCAGGTGGATTGCCAAGTCCATGGATGGGGTGTCAGTGGTTGCGCGCAAACAACCACCCACAGCCTTCGGCTTCGGCCGAGGCGCGGCTCAAACGCGCAAATACTCGTCAACAAACACCGACCTTTGCTGATCCGTTCCTCCATCATCATTGCTATTGTCTCCTCCGTTCGGCGCCCATCTTTCGTCAATGTTTCGAGGGAGGGGAGGCCCAAGAAAAGATTCGTTGCGAGAAGCGGAAGTTTGGGAGGGAGATCTTGGGCAAAGGGCTGCCCATCTTTGATGCTCAACGCGCACGCTCAGGCTCAACCTCGGGAAGGTTTGACTGGCACTCATGCGTCCTTCCTGCGACGCGCGTTTGGTATCGCCTCCTCAAGGAAAAAGTCCGAGATGCGCAGCCCGAGGACGCCGCGACGCGTCGCTTGTCGTTACTGACACCGCCAGTGACGATCTTCCTCTATGATTTGCGTGATGAAGGACAGCTGCTGATGGTCCTGTGGTAGCGGGGTCTCGGACTTGGAATAGATAGGTCAGCCACTCAGCTTCGCTTCGAGATGCTAACTCGACTACACCAGGCTATTGTTGTATCACCTTGTAGACAAGCATCTCTACCAAAATCCCACTTCGATACGTTGAGGTTGTTCGTACCTCTTCGTAGTCTATACGGACTCAGTACGAGCTCGCAACGGCGAGGCCCCAACACGGCTGCGCGCAGCTGAAGATCGATACTTCCCAACCCTCCCATCACCCCGTACCTTTTCTTACTTCTTTTCCATCGTTTCGCGGCCCCAGCCTCACGCTGTGCTATTGTACCTATCTATGGAGCCCTCCGCGCTAATTACTGATGACGACACCACTCTGCATCGAGCGTTCGGACGAAGACCCTTGTTGCCACTCGCTTCGCAGCCTCGATTTCTGCGACGGGAAGGACAGACGAAATTTCCTCGCCTCTATTTTTCACCCTTCCAAACAGCCGCGACGAACGGGGTCTTCCATTTACAACTTCATCTGTCCGAAGGGTGCGTTTGGTCTCTTCAAGCTCGTGTAGAGTCCGTGGGCTCATCACCATCTAGGTACTCGCCCGTCGCTAGGCTACCTCGCTCAAGGGCCAGCTCGACTGATGCTCTAGCGGGCGTCTATCCACCGAGCCTCGTCAATGAATACTCTATGAGACACCGAGTATGCCTTTGAACGCGGTCGTTCAACTTGAACATCGAGATCAGCAAGACCATGTGCCGAACTTCGCGCCATCAATGTCCACTGCCACCGTCGCCGCGGCGCGTCCGACCTTTCGTCCTCCAAACATCCCTGGTCGGACGGCACTGCCCGAGCCCTGTACATGGCCCGCGAGCGCTTACCACGACGCTGCTGCGCAGCGCACAATCCGTTCACCAAGCGTCTCAGCGCCCAAACGACGCGTGCCATCTCCTGTCACGACGCAACCCGCACCATGCTGAATCGCTCCACACCGCAACTGCCTTCTATGACCGTGGGCACCCTCCTTCTCGAGTACAAAAGGCCCGCGGGGCGTCCTACTCAACCATCAGTGAACGTTTCCTCCCTTTCCTCTTCAGTCCTTTCCCTTTGTGCCCCGTTCGTCTGCGCCTTCGTCCTTCGTCATGGCCCGTTTTTCGTTTGTGTTTGCCTCTCTGGCCCTTGCTCTTCTCGCCAGCGCGACCCCCATGCCCGAGCGCCGCCTTGTCGGCATCCCGCATGAGGCCCGCAAGCTTGCCCTCGACGAGTTCACGAAGCGCGTCATTGCGTTCGACGCTGCCGGCAACAACCTTGGCTTCATCGAGCACGGCACCATCCAGCCGACCAAGCGCGATGGCTCCTGCAGCTCGCTCAGTGCTGACGATGCGCAGAAGCGTAAGTACTTCATACACGCGCCGAAAGTGCCAACTGAGCTGACATTCCCTCAGTTCCCGGCTGGGACTCCTTGAACCAGAAGGCCAAGGACAACTGGGGTGATGGTTCCCGCAAGATTGTTACGAACGACGAGGACGTGAGTTCGATTGGCCTACTCAAGCGGGGGCTTCATCTAATGTCTTTTCAGTACCCTACGCAGCCTGCCCAGGTCTGCGCCAAGGACGCCGGCGACATCGCCATCGACGGCGACCCTTCGTGCACGAAGCAGACGCAGACGCTCGACACCACTGTGACGGGCACCAACGGCACCGCAACCGTCAGCCAGACGACCGGCACCTCGTTCTCGTCGCAGCAGACCACCAGCCAGGAGTCGTCGATCTCCCTCGGCGAGACCGTCGAGGTCAAGGTCGGCATCCCGGAGGTCGCGGACGTCACCTCGTCCACCTCGCTCTCGACGACCTTCACCAACACGCTGTCCAAGTCGTAAGTGTCATTGAGTATATGGATGAGAAGTGGTTGCTGACGGGTCCTCAGGACGACCACCGAGTCGAACCAGCAGACCACGCAGACCGTCGCCATCGCTGTCAAGGACGGTGCGACCTGCAAGGTTACCTTCGAGGAGACCAGCTGCACGACCAAGGGCTCCGGCCAGGTTCCCTTCACCGCCACCGGCTGGGTCTGGTTCGAGTACGACGACAAGACTGAGGGCCACTACAAGTGTAAGTCCGCTATTCTTCTGCTTCACCAGCCCCAACTAACATCTCCCCAGGGGCCCTCAACATGGACGATAACCTCTCCGAGGAAGACCGCTCGTCGTACATGAAGTTCGACGCCGTCGTCAGCACCGACACCAAGGGCAACTACCAGGCCGCGTGCTAAGCGTCTCGCTTCACATTCCAAGCGTCTCGCCTAGCCTCGTCCCCCCGTACGAAGCAACGAATCGACGACCACATCAGGAAACGGACTCAATGTCGCAACGCTCACTGTACCACGCACACTATTTACTATTTACACCTAACTTATGAGCGGGCTACCCTGTAGTTTCTGCCATCATTCATTCACTTTATCTATATGCAGTACACCGCCGTGTGTACTGCAGATTCATTGCTCAAAAAGGCCATGTTGTGCGAGAGGAAAAGCATCGCAAGATACATGATTGCATGTGCTCGCCGTTCCTAATCATCCTCTATCTTAGGGTCAAGGGGCGCAATGGGAGGTTGGGGACGTCCTGCGTATGGTCGGCCCTTCCCAGAATACTACAGAAAGTGATGAGTGGGAAACCGGACAATGTGTGCAATACTCACACGTAGCTCCGTCTGGCAATGCCTGGTGAGTACACTCCTTAACGAGAAATTGAAGTCACAACATACCTCCTTAGCATTCCCATCGGGGTATCGACTTACAACGTGAACCTCTACGCCAGCTTCATACCAGTGGTGCATATAATGCCTCTTGGCCGCGATCAGGAAGGGTATCTTGAGCTTAGGCCACGCTGCATTCTTGAAGTCCCTATGGAACCCTACGCTTGCGCTCTCCCGAAGCTGCTCCAGCGTGATGACACGCCGGCATTGTGGTACGGGGCAGTGCCAGCGGTTGCCCGTCGGGATGTCGGGCTGGGCCAGCGTCTTCGGGTGGATGCGAGAACAGAGGTCGTCGTCGGGAAGGTAGTTGTCATTGCAATCGCTGTCGTCGTCATCCTCGCTGGATTGCTCCTCGTAATTTGAATCATAATGGAAGGGCGCGCCTTCTAGTCTGCGATTGGGAGGATTGCGCTTCGCAGTCTCCCTCGGCTGATATGCTGTAAGCGTCGCACCCACGAGAAATGCTATCATGCGTACCTTCGGCTTGGGGCCCAGTGCTACTCGCAACTTCTCTTGCCAGTGGGCCTCATCCGCACCGTACTTCGCCAGATAACGTACGTCGTCCTCAATAGGGCCCTCGCTCTCATCTTCTCTCTGAAGGAATGGGCCCCAGCCCAGACCTTCCGGCGTCCTCCGCTTCGCACGAACCTTGCGGCAGAACTTCAGCCACTTTGGGATGTCAAGGAACTTGCCCTTGGAGGCCTGTGCTGATACGAGCGCCTGCGCGAGAAGCCAGTCCGCCTGCAGGCCAAGCATGACCTTGATCTCTACGTCGGGTATGTATCGATGACGACCCGGCTTGGGTGCGTTCGCCGGCGCGTCCTCATTGAGCGAGGCACGAAAGAGGTACGACTCCGGATCCGGGTCGTCGAGCATCTCCTTGTACTTGCGTATGAAGTACTTGATGTCGCGATCCTCGACGGGGGTCTCGGGGTCAGTCTCCTTGAGGTGAATGAGGAGAGCGAGAGCGCGGTATCGCTCGAAGAAGTTGCGGCTGAGGGCGTAGGTTTGGATATGCAAATTTTCGACGATGAAGGTACGGTGGACTCTGGCAGCTTGATGAGTTGACGACAGGCGAGCTTGTACTGCAGTACCTGCTGTTCTTACTCCACCACTGTATTTTCAGTTCATCGTCTGCATGCTTGTCACCTGCACACGGTTGAGTACTTGTATCCATAAAGCAAACATTGGCTTTCACCATTCATGAAGGCGGCCGGAACCTCGCTCATGGTGAAGCGAACGCGCAATTTGACCTTCTGCTTGCCGTGATAGATTGACTCCAGCTCAAGTCTTGGATGACGTCCCGTGCAATCCTCCTGAAGCCTCTTCTTGCCAGCTTGAGTGAGCCAAGAGAGATCTTCGACCTCGAGGATGGCACTGGCAGTGATGGGGATCTTGGCATCCCAGCCGTCCGGCGGCCTGGGGATGAACTCAGTCTCGTCGAGTCTGTGAAGGAAAAAGTTCAATAAGTAAGGTATATACGCACACGAATGATGTCTCTACTCGAACGATTTTGACACGCAAACGACCCCCACGCCCACCACGCCCAAAGCGCACGTTTCCACCCACCAACAGCCAAAAGAAGACAAAACACTCACCCAGTAACCCTGCCATCGCGCTTCATCTTGAAATGAGTGATGGACGTCAATTGCGGGATAGCGCCCCCGTCTAGCACATCGTCAAGGTTGTACGGCCCGAACGGCTTTTCGAGGGCGGCGTGCAGAACCATGAGGTGCTTCTACAGTAGTAGGCGCCTGTGGTACTTCTACGGTGATAGATCTTGATCTTTTGTTCACTCCAACAGACCTAAAGCTCTTATACAGCAGCAGAATTAGAGACCCTTGACAAGAACCTCAAGTAGGAAGCAGGCCTGCCTGAGCACGAGGATGGAAGCGCTAACGAAGTTCAGTGCCCACGCCAACTCCTAGGGGCATTATTTCCCACGCTCCTACAGCGCTAATTCGACTTCAAGCTCCTCCGAAATATGGCGCACGTCGCGCGGGTCGTATAATACTATACAACTGTGAGCGATTCACAGTAATGGGTATAATACAACTGCAAATTACAGTAATAAATAAAGCATAGCGATAATAAATATGCGAGGCACAGCGAGAACAGTGTGTAGATGATGAGGAGAGTTCCGAGGGTTGGGTGGGGGTGGATTACGGAGGGGTATAAGTAAGGAGTGCGAGCGGTTGCTCATTGGTACTAGTACAGTGTGTAAAGGGAGCGAAGGAGTCCATTGGCACATCGAGCGGGGATCCTCTACGAAAGAGCGCATCAGTGCAGGCTGACCTTCCAAAGGCCACCCGTGTCGCGAATGCAGTATAGCCTAGCCTCCTTCCAGTCGAAGGGGACGGGGTTGGCCTGAGGTGGGTGTTAGCTGGTTATCCTCATTGAAGTGCGCAAAGGATGATGCAGCAGAACAAAACGCACCTTGAAATAGAGCTTGCACGACTCGCCGAGGGACCTGGCGAGCGAGCGCAAGTTCAAATTACCCATCGAATTCGAGCGGAACTCGACGCGGTAGTTGGCAGAAGGGTATCCAGGCCACTGCAGTACCATTTAGTCTCTCGCCACCTCGACAGCCAGTATGATCCAAAGGACGCAAACTCACCTCAATCTTCATATCCCTCAACGAGTTCGAATGGACCCGATACGTATACTTCCCCGACACCCGAAAATCGTCGCGCAGGATATCGCGCAGGCGGATCCCGCTCTCCTCCGCGTGCTTCACGCGGAACTTGATCGTGTTGCTGAACATGCCGGGCGCGATGTACGTGGCCTCGGGGTACGCGAAGGTCACGGCGCTCGCTGAGCGGCGGTGCCCGCGGGCGGCTGGGTGCGCGGAGGACGAGCGGCCACGAAGCGCGGAGGAGGAGCGAGCGTGGTGTGCGGAGGACGATCGACCTCGGTGAGCGGAGGGCGACCGGCCACGGTGGGCGGAGGACGAGCGACCACGGTGCATGGAGGATGGACGGCCTTGATGGGCAGACGACGACCGACGCCCGCGATGGTACGCGGGCGAGGCGGCCTGGTATCCAGGAGAAGGACCTTGGAACACGGACGACGAACGACGACCGCGACGGTAGTCGGCGCCCTCATACCCGCTATCACGCGCGATAGCGAAGTCATCTACGGCTGCGCGAGAAGACGTGTGAGCACAACGTGCAGAAGAACGAGGTGTGGCTGAACGAGGGTGGGAGTCGTGTGGTGGGAAGAGGGTATGGTAGAAAGAGGGTATGGTAGAAAGAGGGTATGGAGAAACTCACACATGCGACGGGAATGCCTCGAGGTAGTTGGGTAGACGCCGGGCGTGGATGGGTAGCCACCAGGGGTGGTCGGATAGCCGCTGGGAGTAGACGGGTAGACGCCAGGGGTGGTCGGGTAGGCGCTGGGAGTGACTGGGTGGGCGCCAGGCGTGGGCGGGAAGGGCGTGGGTGGATAGGCGCCATCGAAGGGCGAGAAGACTGGGCCCATGGGAACGGCGGGCGTGCCCATGGGCAAACTCGCAGGCGAGAAACCCCCGCCAGCAGGGGTCGTGAAGGAGTGCGAGCGCCTGCGTGCTGAACCGGCAGGGATCACAGGCAGCTCTGAGTACGCGGGCGAGAAGCCACCCCGCAGGTCGCTAGCCTGGGAGTACGGGCTGTAATCTGGGAACGTGGTCAATACATGGCTGAACTCGTGAGGGGGCGGTCCGGGCGAGTGGCGGGTCCTGCGATGGACGGTCCACCCTCGTGAGTAGCGGGGACGGTCCGCGCTAGTGGCGGGGGCAGGCGTGACAGCGCCGGCACTCACCGAACGATTTGTTGGACACCATGCCTGGGGAGGCGCGCGGGTGGCCGAACTGGAAGCTGTCCAGCTGTCGGTGGTCGGGATAGTACGGCGTGCCGACGTGGTGGCGGGGGGTACCATGTACAGGCATGTGCGGTGTACCGTGAACGGGCAGGTAAGGGGTACCTTGAACAGGCAGGCGAGGGGTACCGTGGACAGGCATGTGCGGAGTACCAAGCACAGGCTGAGGCGTGCCCGCTGCGTAGCTAGGACTAGCGAAGCCAGTGTTATCGCCCGTCCACGAGCGACGCGCGTGTGCCTTCATCGGACTCCTCGGGAAATTCATAGTGGCAAGTGAAGTGTGAAGAAGTCGGAGTAAAGTGAAGCAGTCGTGAGTGAACTTTCGATAACGGGTGGCGTGAGTGGTATACAGTGGCGCGCAAGATATGGATGGGGTGCAAGGGGAAGAAGAAACAGATTTGGCCGAAGCAGCAGTCGGGTGGCCTTTTAAGGGTGGTCAAACAATAGGCGCATGTTGGGCACCTCATGCCAGAGTCGTGTATCATGGATATGAATGCCACTGACGGTGCATTCAGTGTCTGTGTTCTGAAAGGGTCTTCCGCCGAAAGCGCGTTCACACGCGCTATTCATTCGCTGGTCTGGTCTCCCCCAAAATGAGTTAGTCCTTTGTGCCCCGAGCGCCGGAGATAGTTGATCGACCACAGAAGCAGCGTCAAGGCCAGCGCGAGTACGTAACGGCCACAAAAGCAGGTGGAAGCGCAACAATCGATCGACCATGTTAGGCAGTGCGTAGCCAGGAGCTGCATTTCTGTGAGAGATGCATGGACTTCTTGCATGCTAGGCTACAGCTTCGGAACGGGTCTTCGCCACCTTCGCGACTGGCGGTGTAGTGCGTCGACCAGCGTACGCGTGTACAACGCGTGTTGGAAGACTAGCGCTTCCTCACAATCACATTGTTGGATTCGCAGTCACTGCGTGCGTTGATCATCTTTGAGGGCGCAGCCGACGTCGCAGACAAGAAAGGGCCGAGCCGGGGGCTCTCGCACGAAGCCGAGAAAGGCAACCCAACCGTGATGAGCGCAAGTGCCAACCTCGTGTATGTCTTTGTTTGTAAACGGATCAATTGATCTCGGAACGGAGAAGCCTGACGCGGTCACGCGCCCCGACGCATCCGGACGGTCATTGTATTTCTGCCCTTGCCTCTTTCTCCTCCCCCCTCCATGTACTCCGTGCATATTCACAGCTAACCCCAAGATACGGATATCTCAGACTCATCCCAGCCTTCGGAACGCATCTACCCTTTTCCCACTTCGCCAGAAGGTCCTTGACGCGCATATACCCAGCTTTGACGCGTTTGTGGGTCTCGAGTTGGACGTAATCCTCCACAGTATTTTGGTGGTGCGTCTTTGTTTGATTTATACATGCAACTAGGTCGCTTACGCTCATGACAATATAGGTATGTTGTCGTTGTCGGTTCATTTCGGCCTCCACATGAACTGAATTTACAACGACCTTTAAAGCTTCGGGTCGACTTGAAAGGAGCTGGATGATCGCTGTGACCCAGGACGAGCTGCCCATATAGAGATTCCGATTCAGGACTGGTCTATGAAGATCGGAGGTTCTTTGAGACTTTGTGGCAATTCTGACGCTCGGTGGGGCCACATGATGGTTTGGCGGAAGGCGCTTGCCTCCAGTGACAGTTAACCGAGCACAGTGCGCCTTCGCTTGCGACACAATACTCCGTCTTAACGTTGCTAACCAGACAAGTAGCTTGCAATTGAGACGCGCCTCGATGAGTTACCCGGACTCAGCGTCGGACGCGGTGCCACAAATTTACTCAATTGCGGCGCGGGAGAACCCTGTACAAGTCCATCAATCACCTTCATGGCCAGTACCTGGCCGTCGCTATGGCAATGTTCACTTCAATGGACGCGCCAGGGCGAAACACGATCACGTGCTAAAGTTCGACTTGGGCGATGCAAGCCACGGTGAAGACGCACGGGCCCGATCCAAGCAAGTCCAGACCCCAGAAACCTGAATATTGTCTGGCTCTACGATGCCTGTAGCGAATAAAGAAGCTAACATACAAAGGATAGTACATATATGACTATTTTACATAGTGATGCGGTGGTTCCCCAAAGGTATCGTATCGAAGATTACACCCAGTCCATCCTACTAACAAAGACAGAAGGCATACGATGAAATCATCCTTCCAGACGGAAAATACGACGACCAGGTTGGCTTAAGCAGCGCCGGAGCTCGGCGGAGGGTCGCCAGCTCTCGCGGAGTGGACTTGAGCAAGTCTGGCCTCTCTTTCGCGCTGAAATCGTCAATGTAGCGATGGCGGGAGCGAAGCGGAGGCGGGTACGTACGTGGTGCTGGTCAGCGGTAGCGAGAACTTGGTCCGTCTCCGCCTTCTTGCTCTCGAGCTTGTGGTGCAGAGTCTCCTCGCGCTGCTGCTTGATCTAGAAGGTGGTATAAGTCCCTGCGTTGCCACGCTGCTAGTAAGTCGCCTATACCTTCAGCTCCTGCTGCGCCTTGTTAACGTTGTTGACAGCGACGTCGTGCTGGTGTTTGGCTTTGGCGATCGCCTTCTCCGCGGCGGTCTCCTTCTTCTCCGTCTTGGCGAGCGTATGGCTCGCCTTATCCGACGTCTATGGGGTGGACGATCAGTCGCGTGCGCAGCAGGAACTAGCATTGCGAATACCTTGGAAGATTTGGTCACCTCTTTCTCAAGGTGAGCGAGATCCTTCATCGCGTGCTTGACCGCCTTCTGCTCGGACTTCTCGTTCTTCTGCACATCCTTCTCAATCTGCTTGAGTACGTCCGCAGGAGTCGTAGAGCTGATAGGCTGCGATGCCGACATGGTTATGGTGAGTTCTGAGAACGTTCTTGCCGCCACCGGGGGCTAACGGGCATATTATAGGGGTCCAGCGCAGCCAGTGAGGTCATCGTAGAGCGGAGCGCAACATATCGAGATGCTTGTCGGCGGAGCGAAATGTCGCGGATGGCAGCAAGCATAATGGAGCGCAGAAAGGGGCGCTACAAAACAGGGCAAAACAGACAAACTCGCAGCATGCGATCCAGTGCACCCCATTTGTAATTCCAGGGTGAGCGTTGACGACTCCCGGCGAAGGACCCCGTGGAATAATTGTTCGTAACTTGATCCCCAGTTCTGAAGAGCAGCGCGCGAAAGTCGACTCTTGACGCCGACGGTCATCTCGAGCAAGTCGCAGTCCGGTCAGGGTCTCGCATGATGGCCAAAAGCAACGACGATCGGCTGACTCCCGGCGAACCGCGGGATGATTTCTTTTCCACGAGTGCGGAGGATCTCCAGAACCAGCGGGACGCTTGTCCTTCGCCACCATATCGACAGGCGCCTTCTTCTTCTAATCTTCGCCTCGAGGACTTTGGCGACCTCCCTCCCTCCCCCGCGTACCACAGCCGGGTGAACATGCTCTCCGACGAGCACCTCGACGAAAAGGCTGCGGCCGCCGCGCGCGAGAAGCGGCCAGAGCACGATCGCAGCAAGCCCAGCGTGCACTACCTCAACGAGGTCTCCGCGCCCGAGTACCACGACAAGCAGTTCGACGCGGAGACCTCGTCCATCGGCACGACCGATGACGAGGAGGAGATGTACGACTGGTCGGACGACGATGGGCTGGAGGAGGAGGAGCACAAGTACGAGGAGCAGATGGGCTTCCACCGCAAGCGCACCGGCTGGGGCTTCAAGCGGTGCGCTACTTCCTCAAAGGCGGCAAACGTGTCAACTGACAAGCTCTCCGCAGCATCATGACTGTGCTCTTCTCGACGCTGATCGGGTCCACCTTCCTCGCCGGCCTCCTCGTCACCCCCGCGCTCCTCATCCACTTCTACTGGTACAAGAAGGACCCGTCCGACGACCGTCGCTACATCAAGGACAACGTGCAGGCCTGGCTGTTCTGGGCCGCAGCCAACATCCTCATCTCGTGGTACTTGGCGATGATCGTGGACGTGATACCCATCATCGCCACGTTCTTCATCTCCCTCGTCTGGGGGCACGTCAGCGAGTACATCAAGTCGCGCATCGAGCTCTATGTGTCCGTCAAGAACACGTTCAAGCCGCTGCTGTACGCCGCGAGCGGCTGGGCGAGCTGGGTCATCATCTTCGCCCACATCTTCAAGCTGTACGACACCAACGACGAAGAGACGAGTCAGGCGGCCTATCTGGACAGGGTAAGTCCGCTCGCGCGGCCGGTGTAGCATCACGCTTACCTGTTGCAGGTCTATCAAGTCATCGAGTTCCTATTCTTCTTCGCCCTGGTCGTGTGCCTGCAGAAGATGCTGTCTCACGCCATTGCGTTCGCCTTCCACCGCACTGCATTCAAGGAGCGTATCGAGGAGGTGGCTCAGGCCCTGCGCGTCATCGAGCGCCTCCGCGACTATCACCCCAAGAACCGCTCCCGCTCCTCGGGCTTCAACAAGTTTGGCTTCAACACTCCGACGCTCGAAAAGACCGGCTTCGAGTTTGGTGTCAAGAAGCGCCGCGAGCAGCGCAACAGCCGCGAGGTCGACACGGACGACGGCCACGACGCCGATGGCGAGGATGACAGGGACAAGACGCTCGTCGACAAGAAGGCCAGGGACAAGAAGAAGAGTGCGAGCTTCTTCCACCGCGCGGGCTCGTCGTCGCACGCCGCCGACGTGGACATGGAGCTCATGGGTGGCTCGTCGCGCCCGATGACCCCTGCGTCAACAAACACGCCTTCGCCGCACCGCTACCCGCCCACTGGCACCGGCACAGGCCGCCCCGGCGACGAGACGCCAGAGGTGCTGATGCAGGCTGCGAAGGCGCTGAAGACGGCTGTCTTGCACGACGCGCGCAATATCAAGGGCGAGCAGACCGACAACGGGCTGAGCTGGAACGTCAACAGCACAAGCGAGGCCAAGGTACGCCCTCTCCCCCCGCCTTTGCCTGCGAATCACGCTAACGTAGCCTACAGCGCCTTGCCCGCTCGCTGTACTTCCGTCTTAAGCACCCCAAGCGGTCGTACCTGCTGCCCGAGGACTTCAACCCGGCATTCCCCACGCCCGAAGAAGCGCAGAAGGCGTTCCGCGTATTCGACAAGGACAACAACGGTGATCTGTCGCGCGCGGAGATCAAGCAGACGCTCGTCAAGGTGTACAAGGAGCGCCGCTTCCTTTCGCGTTCCATGCGCGACGTCGGCTCTGCCTTGAAGACCCTCGACAAGATCCTGCTATTCTTCGCCTTCGTCGTACTGTTCTTCATCTCGCTCAGCGTCTTCGGTGTCGATATCGGCTCGAGCTTGTCATCTGTCTACACGATCGGTATTGCGGCGAGTTTCATCTTCAAGTCGACGGCGAGTAACGCGTTCGATGCGATCATGTTCTTGTTCGTGACGCACCCGTATGATACGGGTGACATGGTGTTCATTGACCGTGAGTTCATTGACGTCTGTAATTTGACGACTACTCACCGGCTTTGCAGAGGATATCCTCTTCGTCAAGAAGATGGGCCTGTTCGCGACGCTCTTCACGCGCGCTGATGGTACGGAGACGTACTACTTCAACAGTATCCTGTCGACGAAGTTCATGTGAGTATGCCTCGCCCTCACTGTGTTCGTCTCATTGATCCCTGCGCAGCACAAACGTTCGCCGCAGTGCCAACATGTTCGAGAACCTCGAAATGCAGGTGGCTTGGGATACGCCCCTCTCCAAGCTCGACGAACTCGAGAAGCTGCTCAACCAGTGGCTTGCCACGGAGGAGAACCGCTGGTTCGAGCCGAACACCATGGTCGTCCTTCAGCACTTCAACTACCAGCGCTGGATCGAGATCACCATCGGTATCGGCCACAACGGGACGTGGCAGGACTGGGGTCTACGTCTTGCGCGCAAGACGGCATTCCACGCGGCAGTCCAGTACTTCTGCAATCAGCTGGACATATCGTGCTACAACGCCACCTTGCCGATTGTCTACGCCGACCCGGTTACGCACCAGTATGTGCCCGAGGCCCCTGCTGGTGGTGATGACGAGGAGCCAGAGGAGCAGCCGCAGACGGAGATGCAGCGCCAGCAATCGGAGGTCAAGACCATGCTTGGCTTCCGTCCGCCAGAGGCCGTGCGCAAGAGCCACCTACTGCGTGCTCGCAAGAGCAGTCGTAAGGGCGCGACGCGCGGTGTCACGGCGACGTAGACGCAGGTGATGGACTGCGAAACGTGTCGACATATTTTCTCTTGCATAATATCCTCAATATCCCATATCCCCTGTTATCCATGTTATACTCACTTGTTTTTACGACTGTTACACGAACTGACTGTTTTCCAAACCGTGGCGCCGGGATAGATGCCCGCGCTTATATCCTTCACACAACTTACTTGTGCTCGACGGCGTAGATAAAGAGGTGACTTAATCAAATAAATACAGTCCTCATTGGTCGCAGAAGAGACTCGACGCAGAAGGGGGATTGCAAAAGGCGAAAGATCGTTCGAGACCAAAGCGCTGGTGGAGCGCGCGTGATTTCAGCTTCAGTGAGCGCCTTCGGACGACTGGAGGGAGGTGAGCGGAGACGTATCTCCCTCGAAAGCCAGTTTTATTCCTGACGACATATGTGCTTCATTCGAGTCGAGTTACTAGCATTACCGAGCGATCCAGATAGCAGAAGGTCGTCAGAGGTCTTGAGATGTGCTGGGGAATAGCCCCCCGCCCCGTGTTGCTCTACCAAGATCACACACGCTTCAACGGCGCTTTCGTCTCTAACGGTCTTTCGCTTGCTGTAGATAGACTTAGACAGATTCTCTCTGGTAAGGTTTCTCTCCGGTAAGGTTTCTCTCCGTGAAGGATTAGATTCCGCTGATACCATCAGCGTGACGAACTGTGACCGATTCCTCATGCTCGTTCCAAGTTCCCGGTCTCTCCACGCACTTGCTTTTCCCCTTCATCATCCTTCATCGCATCATGCATCCGCGCCGCAGGATGCCCCTCACCCTTCATCAGTCAGGCTCCCTCACCGACGTGACGATGCATACAGCGTCCGATGGTCAGTCCGACGTGGAGCCGTCTGCGCGCTTAGAATGTGCGTGGATTTCCTACCGATACCACACCTCGCTTGCTCATCGCACTCATCACGCAGTCTCTACCGACTACGACTCTGCGCCGCCTCAACCCCAAGTTTCGGACTCCGAGGCGATCGCCGAGCCTGAGGCCCCTCATGCTGTTGAACAGCCGAGTCGTCGTCGCCCGGTCCTCAAGGCCGGCCGTCGCGAGAACCTGAGAGGCAAACTTGTTAGGCTCATGCAGATGCCGGTGGAGATGGTGTACGAAGTGAGGCCTCATCCTCTCGCAACATGCCTCTGATTCGACCGAGTGATACATGCCAGGTTTTCCAGCATCTCGATCCCCCAGATCTTCTGAACGTCGCTCGTACCAACAAGGGGATGAGGAACATTCTCTTGAACCCAAATGCTCAGTTCGTTTGGACAGAGGCCAGGAAACACGTCAAAGCCCCTCCGCCTCCAGCCGGCCGCCCCGAGCATCGATGGGCGAGCCTGTTGTTTGAGAAGCAGAAATGTCGGGTGCGTAAATATCCCGTCAATCATACGAGTACGAGCTGATTGAGACGTCCAGTTTTGCAACCACTCAGGGGTCTCGCATATGGACTGGCTCCTCTTGATGCGCATCTGCTACAAATGTCAGAAAACCAAGTAGGTGGTGCCACGTCCCAGCACTCTCGCATCCACTGACGAGAGCAGTCTCATCAAGGAGAGCAGGTTCGCAAAGGAGTTCCCCAGGCAGGATCCATCCGTGCTCGATTTGATCCTCTTCACCGAAGGTATGCTCTAACTTTCTGCGTCGTCATCAACCCTGATGTATTTACAGAGCGGATGACCTCGCGCGGCGTTCACAATTTCTACCTGCGCTCTGATATCGTGCGCATGCTCGCGCAGGTCGCCTCCTACCAAGAACGGATCAAGAAGCACGAGGCTGGCGCGGAGGAAGAGTATGAGCAGTTCCGGCAGCGCCGCCTTGAATTTGTGGAGGAGGTTTGGCAGGTATGCCGCGCTCTCCCTGCCCCGGGCATCCGTTGACCTTGCGCATATGCGATCTAGCATGCTGACGAGTACGTCGTCTGGGAGGGTTATTACCGTTCTGTGTCCTTGTCAGAGGGCCACCGACTGGCTGATGAACGGAGGGCTGCGTGAGTGTGTGCGGCAGGCGTCTGATCTGCGTATTGACCCATAACATAGCATTAAGGAGCAGCTACTGTTCCTAGGTCATGACGAGCGAGACGTAGAAGCAGCACTTAATAACACGAAGATGAACATCGACAAGAAGGAGCTGACAGAAGCGGGTGAGCGACGCCGATGGCCCTTCACTCCGCCCTCGTACTTAACTCTTGCATAGCCTGGGGCCGCATTCGCGTGAAATGGGAAGAAGAGGTTCGCCGTCAACGCTCAATTCGGGAAGAGATGGAACACCTGCGACCCGAGCGCGAGCGCCTGGTCACCCAAATCTACTACGCGAAGTACTGGAAGGCGGACCCGCCCATCCAGTGGAACGACTATCACCATCTGGCGCTGCCTCTGCCATACGAGATCTTCCAGATCTCTTTGATCAAAATGCTCATCGAAGCCAACGTCGACAAGGTCGTCACGCCGCACCACGTCTTGGAGGCCCTGCAGCATAGCGCCACGCAGATCGAGGAGTTGCGCGCGAAGCACCTTGATTTCCTTGCCAAGCTTTCCGGGCGCATTCGCGAAGGCATAGCACAGGCCGGGCTGCTGTCCCAAGCCCAGCTCGACTCGCTGGTATCCCCAGCCCAGATCCTTGGCTTGATGATCGCGCAGTGCGATTACAAGATCCTCGCTCCTTTGGAGGCGGCACACGAGATGGGCATGGGACTCCGGCAGTTCCTCACATTCTGGCGCTTTCATCCGAACCGCGCAAATTTTCCTCCTGCGATTCTACGCTGGGAAGCGTTGTCCCACATAACCTTCAACAAGAAACGCTCCATCGTGGTGGCGTCCCTGCTGGACGCTGCGAAGGCTCCAAGGACGAGCGCATTCAATGATATAGCGCTCGGTCCGCGTTTTTACTGCCTGCGGAGCCCGATTAACGAGGGACCCCGCTCGCGGTATAAAGTGGCATTTACCTGGCGACATGCTGTGCGTGTTCATAATCTTGGACAAAGGGTAGGAATTACTGACGCATACCTTAGATGATGCACTTCATGAATTGTCACGCTGACTTGGAAGCCGATTCGGGCTCATGGCATGCGCTTTCGTCGGAAGACACTCACAGAGTTTATACACTGGAAGGCCCTGTTGGTATCAGAGCGAAGTGTTGGTCCTGCGCGCACTGCTCTGCGCACTGGCAGAACCTGAAGTCCTATCCGGAGGTGCAAGCCCATTTCCAAGCAGAGTAGGTTGACGCCATTCAGTGATGCGGTACCATCTAACAGGACAATACTCACAGACACGGCGATAAAGAATGGACGCAAAGAGATGCTGTGTTTCTGCCTGTCGAGCCACTTCCCTACAAGCCCGTGCTTTGCTTTGAGACTCACTTCAAGTTGCCTACCCACTGGCGGCCGTAGTTGGCTACCGCCTTCCCTCTGCTCGCGGTAACTCTGGTACAGCAAGTCCCATGCACGTTCTGTCCTTACAATGTAATGTATGATGGATGTAACAATGATCAATTTGCGCCCCGTGCGAAACTGGAGGTCGCCGAATCGAACAAGGAGCAACGCGATCAGCTTTGTTTGCGCGCGCTTGACAGACCCGGGCACGTGCGCTCTCCCGTTCGGGTCACGGCACGTCGCGTTCGGATTTTGCGGTTGGCGCTTCTTGTCCGTCACCACCATCTCCCCGCCTCCGCGCGCGGCCCTCCTCCGCGAAAAATGGCTCCCCGCTGCGAGCCTCTATGCCACTTTGCCGACAGGTGCGTATCCGACGTCTCCGACGCGCGCGGTGGCGCGTATGTTCGAATTGGACTCTGATCGCACGCGACCCCACAGGCTGTATTTCACGACATTCGCGAACCCTGTACCCCACCCCGATACTCTCAATGACGAGCTCGCCGAGACAGGCTACAAACCACGCGTACGCGCGCGTCCAAGAGGCGGACCGAGCGCTTCGCCCGACGAGGGCGCGCTATACTACTACTTTACCCTCGACGACCAACTGCTCTACCTTTCCTTCTTCCAAGACTGGGGCCCCCTCAACATGGCGATGGTGTACAAGGCGTGCATCTTGATCCACGAGCTGCTGGAGGTGCGTCGCCACCGTACCTCATGCCACTCACGTGCTTACAAACGGTCCCGCGTAGGAGGAGACACTACGGTCATATCGACTCGTACTATATGCCTCGAACGACCCCAGGAGAAAGGCGAATGCCGCGCTGATCATGGCGCTCTATGTGGTGCGTGTCAATGTCCCTCCCGATCACGCGCCGTTACTGACCTACTGCTGTAGTTGATAGTGTTACGACGCGCGCCATGGGAAGCCTTCCACCCCATTGCTGAAATGGAGTTCATGCCCTTCCGCGACGCAGGCCGCGGACCCTCGGACTTCAATCTCAGCATACAAGACTGCCTCTGGGGCGTCTGGAAAGCACAACAGAACGGTCTATGCGACATGAACGAATTTGACGTTGAGGACTATGAATATTACGAGAAGGTGGAGAACGGCGACTGGAACTGGATAACACCAAAATTCATCGCCTTCGCATCACCAGTCGAGACGAATTGGTTGAAGAACCAGAAGGAGGCGAGAGAGAGCCTATCGCATTCGACGTCGTCAAGCTCGGGCTCCAACCTCGCTCTGCAGAGAAGATTACCAGCACCGTTCCAGAACTGCCTCGATTACTTCGAGAAGCGAGGTGTGAAGCTGGTGGTCAGGTTAAACACCGAACTATACGATCGCAATCATTTCCTCGACCGAGGAATCGACCACATGGAGCTGTATTTCGACGACGGTACCAATCCCACGGACGAGATAGTACGAGAGTTCCTGGATACCTCGGACCGCATCATTGAGAACGGAGGTGTTGTCGCAGTGCACGTGAGTAGTATTGTCGTTATCTCACCCCATTCTCTATGCTTACGATGCGTGATTGCAGTGTAAAGCAGGCTTGGGTCGTACCGGTACGCTCATCGGCGCGTACATGATCTGGAAATACGGCTTCACCGCGAACGAGGCTATCGCCTTCATGCGCATAGTGCGGCCTGGCAGTGTCGTCGGTCCACAACAGCAGTACATGTACCTCAAGCAGCTGGAGTGGTCGAAGTGGGCAGCAGTGGACGAAATGAAGAAGCAGACTGCGTTGGCGAAGGCAGCCGCCGCGGCGGTCGTAGCGCCTGCTACGCCGCCAGCCGAGCCGATGGATATGGACGAGGAACGCGCGGGCATGGCGACGCCGACAGGGCAGACTGCATCGCCCGATGTCGTGCTACCGCCAGTGACGCCCAGTCGGCACGTCGCTGCTGCGGCTGCGAAGGCGAAAGCCATCGCGCCTCCTGGTCAGCCGCGGAAGACGCCAACGGCGAAGCGCGTCGCGCCGATATCGGACGACGAGGACACCAGCGACGTCCTACCTGCTCTCAACCTCAACCCCGTCGGCACGCGGAGGGTATCGCGCAATTCGAGAGCCGTGGCCGCGTCCCGCACTGCCGCATCCGAACAACGACCAACACGGGTCACCCGTTCGAAGACGAACGCGACGACGCTCAAGGACACCGGGGGCTCGAACACCACCATTGCGTCACCAACGAAGGGCCAGGGTCCTAACAAGATCCCCCGCCTCGCCTCGACGCGCACCACCGCCGCCGCGAAGACTGCCATCGCCGCCGCACGCGGGCACTCCAAGACCGCCTCCCAGTCCGCTGCGAAGGACCCCAGCACCACATCCACAACCTCCACCCGGGTTACCCGCCAACGCGCCGCACCGCCCGCCTCGCCGAACAAGTCCACCGCGAACACGTCGAACGCCTCTAATCCCGCGAACCCCAACCCTCCACCATCGCCTACGCCCTCGCGCCTGCCGCAGCTAAAGCGGCCGACGCACCACACGACGTTGAGCGAGGTGGCGAGCTCGGTGACGCTGAAGAAGGCGAACACGGCGGAGGGGTGGATGAGCAATGCGGGGGAGGTGGTGGTGCCCAAGGGGAAGTCGGAGAGGCCCGGGTTGCGGACGACGAGGAGGCGGCGGAGCAGCTTCAGTAATGCGGATGTGGTGGCATAATGTCGTAGGTGGTTATGGCTCGCTAGCACTACATTTCCTTCCGTATTCCGTGTTTGTCGCACATTTGGTCGCTTATGTGGATCTCTTCTGCGTTCATGCGCATAGCTTTCGCTTTGAACCTGGACATCGCTTTGCATCTCCCCCAATCTCGCGAATCCCACTCACGTACAGTTATGGACACCTGCATCCGCGTTTCTGGTCGCTGGCGTTTTCCCTTCCTCGCAGCTTCTGCTTGCGTTTTCCGTCTTCTCTTTTTCCTTCTCTTCAGATTTCATCTAGTCGTCCTATCTATTCCGCCCGCAATGGTCTCGTTTGGTGCGTGCTCCGGGTCATGACGCCGGCGTCGACAGGGTTGTATATGGTGTATGCATAGAACATTGGTGAATGACGATACGGTATTTCCCTCTGCATTCACATGAGGTTGTAGGAGCGCTCATGAAGCAAGTCTACGCGCATGGAAGAGTCCGATTGGGGGTGGCAAGGTATGACCGATATATAACTTGTGCACCTCATACCGAGCTCACCTCTGCCATAGACGTTTATCGCTCTTCTGCGCTCGAGCTCAGCTGATCAACGCTGTCGATCGTGCGCGCACTTCGCTTCTGTCCTATCGTACCGGAGATGGTTCAGTGCATGGAGCGGTGGCGTCGTAGATTATCCTGTCTTCGACATTCCGCTCCACGCGCAAATGCCCGTGAACGTCGGTGCCGGCATACAGGGGAGAAGCAAGTGGAAATTGTCTTCTAGTATCAATGCTCAAATATTCTCTAGCCCGCTCAGCTGCGTCTAGGGAGAGGGAGAAGTCCCCCTGTCATTCTTGGCCTTGCGACTCATTGCATTACCGGCGTTGAACAGAGTTTAAGCTCATACAGGCGCCCGAATGGGGTGACTTCATATCCGAATACCCTCGCGGTGTATGGTGATCAGGTACTTCGCGTCCATGCAATCCGGCCAACGTTCATGTTGAGTCGCTTTTTCTCCCGCTGTGGCCCGTTGAAAATCGCTGACAACCGTTGACATCTAGCAGCGGCACATGTAGCTGCTGGTACGAGAACAACCGGAAGTAATCGAGGGCTGGCGAGCATCGAGTTCATTTCGTGGATCGCCTTCTGGGGTGCGGTCGTCGTATAAAGGCCAGTGCGTGCATGCACCCTCATAAGTCAGTTCACTCGAACTCGACATCCACGATCTTTTGCCATCCACGCTCGTTCTTCCCCTCTTCATCAAAATGGTTTCTCGCGTCCTCGCTCTCATCTCCGTCGCGATGCTCGTCGGCGCGCGTCCGTACGTGCAGAACGTCGGCGATGTTGACCTCAACGACGTCGACGCCACCGTCGGCACTGGCGTTGTCGACACGGGCATGTCGGGCGACCTTCTTGCCGGCCTCTTGGCCAATGGCCTTTTGGCTGACCTCTTGTCCGAGGACGCTGATGGTGAGTGTTGTATGTTTGCATCTATTGCGAGGCTGAGCGTAAGTGCAGGTCACATCCCTGAGGTGACGGGCTCTTCGACTGAAGAGGCGACTTCGTCGTCCACCTGGAGCGGCGCGTCGTCGAAGCCGACTGACTCCGTGCGTCTGACCTTCTCTCCCAACGTGTGTTCGCTGACTTACATACGCAGGCCCCAACCCAGTGCAACTCTGGCACACTCCAGTGCTGTGAGAGCACGACCGAGGTATTGCCCACTTCTCCACCAAAAGGACGATGATACTGAAACGCTCTACAGGCCAAGGACATCGACCGCGTCCTCCTCAGCACCCTGCTCGGGGTCGACGTCGGCAGCATCACGGGCCTCATCGGCAAGAACTGCTCCCCTGTCAGCGTCGTTGGCGTCGGCGCTGGTAGCACTTGCTCGACGCAGACAGTGTGCTGCGATGGAGACAGCTTCGTAAGTCGCATACCGCTCTGTGCAGCACTCGGTACTAACCAAGCTGCAGGATGGCCTCATCAACCTTGGCTGCAAGTCGGGCAATGTTGCAGTCTAAAATATCTTTCATACCCTCGGTAGATCTACTAGTATGTTACTGCTCGAACCATATGATACACCTTGAACGAATGCGCGTTTTGATGAGGTTAGATGCCAGTTAATGGCGTGTGTGCTTCTGATAGAGTGATTGTCACAGTCACTATGGTCAGACAAGACTCTAGGGTATCTGTACTAATATTAACAGTTTGAACAACTCGGCGGCGTCAGTGTTGAACCACGTTGTCATCCAACCTCATGCAAACCTACCGATTGGGGATATGACCTCAGAATAACGTTCCCACTCAACGCTTCGGGACAGCCCTGCCTCACAGCCAGTTTTCCAGCAGTCAGCGGCAAATCGAATTCGACCTAGTACAGAGAGCAAGGACAACAAACAACGGAGAAACAACCGAAACTACAGAACGATAGCATGATGCGCGAGGATTACAGGGATGCTGAGACCGCAAAGCAAATGCAGCGCGATAAATACGAGGCCTGACGATGAGCAAATACTCACATCCCGTTACATGCATCAAAGCTCGTCACCGGGCTTGGACAAAACCTGCACAAGATTCAGTGAAAAGCGGAGGGAGAGCAGGCCGAGCGACGCACCAGTGCAGCCGAGGCAACGGCACCGAACATTTTGTCGTATGCGTCCGCCTGCACTCTTCCCTCATCAGGGGAGGCGACGTAGACACCCGCGCGATCAGTGGCGCGACCTAGGAGGCTGCGTACCGCAAGGTGCGTCATCTGCGAGAACGAGGGTGTAGTAAATTCGATTTCGCGTAGAGCCGGAAAGTGGACGATATCGAGGAGACCGGACGACATCGCGTAGGTGGCGTCGTCGAGGGTGAACGTGGTGAGGTGCTGTAGAACAGGGAAGTCGTTCTGCCAGTCAGACGGATCGCTGTACTCGTCCAGGTCGACGGTGGGGCCGAGTGTCCATGCGAGCTCCTTGAGCTCAGGCGTCAAGCACAGCACGTTGAGGAGCCCGTCCGAGCCGATGTCGGCGACGCTGATCGATCGGAGCTGCTCGTATGGGAGCTCGACGTTGAAGATGGAGAGGGTGGGCCCGGCGATGATGACGCTGGTGAGGGCGGGGGCGTTCTTAAAGATCGCGAAGTCGACGGATCCGGTGTCTTCTTCTTCTGCTACTCTGGCGTCGTCGTCGTTGTCGTCGTTGTCGTCGTTGTCGTCGTCGTCGTTGACGTTGTCGTCGTGCTCGATCTTGACGTGCGTGAGCTGCCCTAGCTTACCGTTGATTGGCAGCAGGCTGCGAGCGGCTCTGCCGAGGTCCGTGCGAACGGTCACCGCCGCCCAGCGGTGGGACTCGTCAAGCACCGGCCTGACATAGGGCGGCAGCTCGCCGTTTTGCTGGTGCTGAGCGGCGAGGATGACGGTGAGCGGCATGTTCTTGGATAGCTTTAGATACTGCTCGACGCGGGAGATCTTCTGGTCGTCCGACAGGGTCGAAACGGCGCACGAGGCACCGACGTTCACCATCTGGTAGAGTCTCCCGCTCTGGACGGCTCCTTGTACGACCCCATTCCATAGCTTGCTGGTCAGGCGGAGTCTTGTGCAAACGTCGGGCTCTCTAGCATCGAAGAGGCAGTACTTCGGTGACGCTATGGCCTGCTGCACAACACAGAAGCAAATCTCCGTGAGCAATTCGTTCGGCAGGACCAGTGACACGGAATGCGTCGGCCAGGCGAAAACGGTCGGGGACTTGGTAGGCTGCGTAGCGCTGAGCGTCGCGGCGGTCGCTGTAGCTGGCATTCCCAGCGAGGGAAAGGTGCGCGGGAGGGTCGTTGGGCTGAGAGTGAGCGGCATCGACATGGTTAGCAGTCAAGGGCGAGTGGAGGATGGAAAGAGAAGGCTGCACCCCTTACAGGGGAGATGTACCCCCGCCGCGTCATTGGGCACCCGGCACACGAGGATACGGATACATGTGCATTGCCAGCACTTACCATAAATGGCAAAGGGCCGTCCGTCGAGGGTTTATCCCATGGCCAGCCCGCAGCCGTACAATCAGAAGAAGCCCCATTGCCTGTCCATTGCGCATGGACCAGTCCATATGCTTCAAAGGCGTGTGGATGGCGTTTCACAGTAGACTCAGACGACGAGGCAACGAAAACAGGCGATTGTCGGTAGACAGCCTCGGGGAGGGACGACGCCTTGAGGACGGCGACGAGCGGGATGAGGCACGTGAAAAACTGACTCGTTACGCCAGATGGCATGTTCGCTGTGAGACGCGAAGATAACGGCCAAGCGACGAAACGTGTTTTCGCGGCGACGAAAGTGGCAACAAGATAAGATAGCCCGGCTATTTCCGAAGTTCAACCGTTACAAGTGGATCACCCGGATGTCACGCTGTACAGTTTGGCCCAAAGCCACCCTCTCACGTGATCTCCTGATTTCTGCCGATCTGAGGGACGTGCTCGCCATCGCCGCCGACGTCAAGACCCCTCAAGATGAGGTGAGTTCCTCTGCCTGAACGGATTGCTGAGAGTATGCTGACTGTATGCTACTCGCAGTCACCGTAAGGTTAGAACAGAAAATTGGAACGCGAACACCATATGCTGAAAACACCGATCTCTGCAGTACGAGGCACCCCGTCACGGCTCCCTTGGCTTCCTTCCGAGAAAGCGCGCTGCGCGCCATCGCGGAAAGGTCAAGTCCTTCCCCAAGGTGTGTAACAGAAATTGTAGGGGCAGAATCAGCGATCTCAAACGCGTCTTCAGGATGACCCCAAGAAGCCCGTGCACTTGACTGCCTTCATGGGCTACAAGGCGGGCATGACCCACGTTGTTCGTGATCTTGACCGTCCAGGCTCCAGTGCGTAGCCCAACCACTCTTCCCCCCGTCTTTGGCTCTGACATACCACACAGAGATGCACAAGCGCGAGGTTGTGGAGGCTGTCACGATCGTCGAGACCCCGCCTGTCATGGTTGTCGGCGTCGTCGGCTACGTCGAGACCCCGCGTGGCCTCCGCGCACTCACCACCGTCTGGGCATCCCACTTGTCCGACGAGGTCCGCCGCCGGTTCTACAAGAACTGGTACCGCTCGAAGAAGAAGGCCTTCACGCGCTACGCGAAGAAGGCGTCCGAGAACGACGGCAAGCTCATCTCTCGCGAGCTCGAGCGCATCCGCAAGTACTGCACCGTCGTCCGCGTCCTCGCGCACACGCAGATCCGCAAGACGGGTCTCAGCCAGAAGAAGGCGCACCTCATGGAGATCCAGGTCAACGGCGGCTCCGTCGCGGACAAGGTCGAGTTCGCGCACGGTCTGTTTGAGAAGCCGGTCGAGATCGGCTCCGTCTTCGAGCAGGACGAGTGTGTTGACATCATCGCCGTCACGAAGGGCCATGGCTTCGAGGGTGTGACTCACCGTTGGGGCACCAAGAAGTTGCCACGGAAGACGCACAAGGGTCTCCGCAAGGTCGCTTGTATCGGTGCATGGCATCCGTCCAAGGTCATGTACTCGGTGGCGCGTGCCGGTCAAAGTACGTGCCTTCGTTCCCAGTTCTTTCTCTTCAGTGCTCATCGTCCGTGCAGACGGTTACCACCACCGTACCGAGATCAACAAGAAGATCTACCGTGTCGGTCTCGGCAGCGACGACGGCAACGCGTCCACTGAGCACGACATCACCAAGAAGGCGATCACGCCCATGGGTGGCTTCCCGCACTACGGTATCGTCAAGAACGACTACCTCATGCTCAAGGGCTCCATTCCGGGTACCAAGAAGCGCATCATCACCATCCGCAAGTCGCTCATGGTCCACACCTCCCGCCGGGACCTCGAGAAGGTCTCCCTCAAGTTCATCGACACCTCCTCGAAGTTCGGCGTAAGCTGCCTTGTGCTGTCTGTCGTGAACATCTGGGATGCTGACGCGTTTGCTTGCAGCACGGTACCTTCCAGACCTTCGAAGAAAAGGCCGCGTTCTTGGGAACGCTCAAGGCCAGGGCTTGATCTACTCGGCGGTCTGCTCACTTCCTTATGTAGTCGTTATGCTGTACTCCTCCCACTACCCATCACCATGCCATATGGATATGCATAACTGTATCATCATCACGACGCAGCGAGCCCGAGCTTTCCCTTTCGCCTGACACAAGGAATGGGTTAGGGACCTTAGTATGCTGACGTTGACGACCCGGCAAGTCCACCGTCGACCTGAAATTTCCGAGGAGTCCTCCCAAATAACGAGCTGGAGGATCGTACGAAATCAGTGAAGACATGATAGATGCTAGGTTGTTTGTGCGTGCGAATGGTATTATTGACGTCTAATCTACTCGCCATCCTCCCGCTTCCCCTCTCCCCCCTTCACCCCATCCTCTTTACGACCCGACCTATCCCCTTTAACCTCTGCCTCCCCTTTGCCATCCGCCTCCCTTTTACCTTCCGCCACCGACTCCACTCCTTCCTCCCACACCAGGCCCTCCGGATGATATAGCCACTCGCGCAGCGACCGCAGCCGCTGCTGCGACACCATGTACCTTTCCCCGTACCTTCCCTCCAGCATCTCCCACACCTTGCGCACCACGTCGCGCCGGTCGCCCGTCGTCTTCCGGAACGCGGTGAGGATCCAAAAGAGCGTGCTCCGCGAGGGACGCGGCTCGGCGGGCAGGGACTGAAAGACGCGGAGGATGGGGAGCAGGGCGTCGAGGGTCCAGGCGCTGGGGCTCGTCGGCAGATCCCCGCGATAGCGCTGTGGGCGGGTGGAAGCTGCGTCATCCCGCCGCGAGCCATGGCGGGCGAAGCCGAGGAAGAGGGCGCGCAGGACGGGCATAGCTGGCGCGTAGTGCCCAGGTACGAGCTTGCCCCCCTCGTTCTCGAACAAGGGCGCGCCCCGCTCGTCGTTCACCTGGCTCAGCATGTCGCGGAAAGCGCTGAGGGCGCGGTGGAGGTCGCCGTGGTGCGCAAAGGCTTGGACGAGCGTCGTCCATGTGCCGGCGTTAGGCTTGAGCTCCGGTGGGAGATCGAGCGCTTCCGCATCGCGCAGGCGGGCGGCCAACTCCTCGATGGCAAGCGGGTCGTCTTGGGTAGGGTGCAGCTGATGCCTTAGCACACGGTACGCATCCGCGACTACATCGATGCGCCCACTGCGCGCGAAGGCCCACAGTGCCGCGTTAAGACCATCGAGCCCGAGCGGGTGGCCCTCCAGGCGCAACTGTCGAAGCGTCGCGCGCACGCCAGAGAGTTGCTGCGTGTGGGTGTAGTAGTTCAGGAGCGCCAGATGTGTAATGCGGTTCGGAGGGAGGCCGGAGGATTTGAGGAGGGAGGTTGCCTTGCGGACTGTCGCTGGATCGAGGGTGCGCGCCGCAGCACTGAGCAAGGTGGTGTAGGTGTGGATGTCGGGCTCGGTGGGCGCGATGCGCTCGCGTGAGGGGGGTTCGCCGTCGTCCTCTCCCAAAGTAGACGCGCCAGGCGCGCGACCAGCCGTCATGTCGGCAAAGGTGTCGAAAGCGAGGCGTACGTCCCCCGCGCGCGTCTTGCGCCATCCCTTGGCAGCACCGTCAATTAGAGCATTCCACTCGTGCGGCATGACCCGGCCGCCTTGACGCGCGAGGTATGCGAGCACGGATAGCAGACGCAGGAACCGCGGGCGTGTCTTTGGGCGTGCGTGGGCGAGGACGCGCGCGACGCGGTGCAAGTGAGCATTCGGTATCTTGTGATGAGAGGGGGACAAATTTGCGGGAGCAGGGAAGGCGAGGAGGAGGGAATACGCGCGCCAGGCGTCGTCCGCGGACTGGGTGTATTGCAGGAAGAAGAGGATGTCGGCGCGCCAAAGAGCGCGCGCCGTCGAGGGAATCGTTGCAGGGTCGGGAGGCGGGTCGCGCATGAAGACAAGATCGTCGTCGCGCGCGTATACGACTTCGCCGAGTCCATCCGGGCCGATGACGAGCGGCTTGACGGGGGATGGCGTGAATGGGCTGGCGGGGTAGGGAGGCGTTTTGTCGGAGGTGGGAGGTGGAGTGAAATAGCGTTCGATTTGGCGCTGACGGCGCTGCCTGTGGAGGATGCGCAGGCGCGCGAGACGGCACCATTCGCCGTGAGAGCGCTTGCGAGGAGGGTCCTGCTGACTGTCGTCTGTCGCAGCGGTGTTCTCGCTCTCGCGTGCAGCATCTTCCTGCTGCGCAGAGTCCGCATTTGCACCGTCCTCCCGTTCCCCAGATGCAAAGCTGAGTGTCTCTTCCTCCGCCTGCTGCAGCTCTGCGAGCGTGATGCGCACCGGCGCGTCGCGTCGGTGCTCGCGCCTTCGGGTTAGGGCCGCTCCCATATAAGTTAGTGGTGGTGCGAACGAGGTAGTCGAGCGAGTGAGGGGGCGCTGTGAGTATGCCGAGCATGACCGGAGGGTGCTGGAGACACGTCTGGCAAGTCCCAGCGAGGGCGCTCTCAGCATCAATGACCAGTGCCGTCATCCTGCGCATCGTCAGTCGCTCGTTGCTAGGCATAAAGCACCAGACTCACCGCAACCAGCGCCTTCCCTAGTCATGTATGTGCGCCAGCGACGCGACGACGACGAGCAACGTCTACAAAAGCGTCGAGCACAACGTCCGGAATGACGGGGACCAATCAAACTACAACAATTTTCCGTTTCGGGCCGGAATTCTGGTCGGCAAAGGCCGATGCGCAAGGAAAAACAGTCTGAAGGCCCAAGGAAGGTCGTTGTGGTAGTCTGATGGCCTTCTGCGCCTATTCAGAGACGCTAAAGTTCTCCGCGAAGGCCATATTTCTCCGTTACATGTTCTTCGACATTCGGGATATGCCGAAACGTCGCGTGCGCAGGAGCGCGTGGCTCACCGGAACACATCCAAACAAACGCCGAAAATCCGCGTTCTCCAGGTGTTCTCCTCGTCCTCCGCGCCGACTCCCTCAGACATGGCCGTACGTCCCCACCGACTCCAAAAACGTCTGAGTTGCTCACAACTTAGCAGTCCCGCTCCTCCGCCGCGCTCCGCGCCCTCTCCCGCACCTCCGTCGCCTCCCGGTGAGCGCCTCTCCGCACGCAGCTCGTCAATACTTCCCGACGCGTTATAACCTTGTGCGTTCCCTAGGGCACGCTTCTCGACCTCCCCGCGCGCTTTCCAGGCAGCAGCGGCGGCCAAGCCGGCGTCGGAGACCATCAACCGGATAGTAGACGACATCTCTGGCTTGACATTGCTGCAGGCCGCAGACCTTGTTACCGCGCTCAAGGTGCGTCGCGTACGCGTTGCCGCCACAGGACTTGCCACTCAAACCGTATCCCTTTGCAGGAGCGGTTAAACATCCAGGAGATTGCCATGCCCGCGGCGGCGGCACCGGCTGCTGCTGCCGCACCAGCAGAAGACGCGGCGCCCAAGGTGCGTTGTGTAAAGTCGTGTACAGCGAACATATGTGCTGACGCAACTTCAGGAGGAGGTCAAGGAGAAGACAGTCTTCAACGTCAAGCTTGAGTCTTTCGACGCTGCCGCGAAGCCCAAGATCATCCGCGAGGTCAAGGCCATCGTCCCCAACTTGACGCTCATTGACGTGCGTGTCCCATCACTCTCCTCCCTAGGTATCGATGTCACCCCCTCAACGTCATTCCCCCTTCCCTTGAAACCACTCCTCGTGCTCCATGAATGTTCTTTGCACCCCTCTGCACTTGTATCATTAAGCATGTTGCTCACCTCCTCCCCACAGGCCAAGAAGTTCGTCGAGGGCGTGCCAAAGGTGCTGAAGGAGAACGTGACGAAGGAGGACGCAGAAAAGCTCCAGAAGGCCTTCGAGGCCCTCGGCGCCGTCGTCAAGCTCGAGTAGACACCCTCATGTCACACTCTGGCCTTCTAGCTTACCCCCTATGGATCCATCCTCCTAATCCACTGCTCATACATCATGCGCATATGGAAGGCGTGCTTCATGCAAATCCAAGTCTGTTGGTTTCGTTTCACAGGCTCTAAGGGTACATGGGGTAAGGTATACAATTCTATATATCATAATTGGGATCCTTCGGCCCATTGCATCGTCTAACATAAACTGCAACATTTCGCCTTCGTACACGCTAATCGCCGTCTTCCGACGTGTCTACATCACTCAGTAGTGCCATTCAGCTTACTTCCGTAGGTGAGCGCTTGTATGGACGGGCAGCCTTGCGTTGACGGTACGCGCTGCTCTTCACTCCATACCTTTCGGCCTTCAATGCAGCCCTCCGAACCCGGGACCGTCCTATCCGTCGTCGAGGCGTTGCGGGTACAGGCTCTGGTCCAGGTGCTTGAAGATAAACAGGTGGCGTCGACAGGTACTTCTTGGAAGTGCGAGCATGCAACACTTCGATCGTCAAGTCGATCACAAGAGGTAGAACGCCGGCAAAGACAGCGTCTGCGCAAGGAAGATGATCGAGCAAAGCTGGCGGAAGGTGCTCGAGCAGTGCATGCGGAAGGCAGGGCCGAAGCTGCTGCCACAAGATTTGCACCACGCCTCCAACGAAGAGCAGGGACGCAAGGCGGAGGAGAGCAGGAGCGCAATCTGTGACGAGGACGCTCACCCAAAAGTACATGATTGAGGGGAACTTGTTCATGGGGGTGGGGGAAGCGTTCATGGAGATGGGGGAAGCGTTCATGGAGGTGGGGAAAGCGCTGTGCGGAGAGTTGCTTGAACCGTGGGCCGAACGCGCACACACAAGCTCCCCCAACCACTGCCTGCACATCATCCCCACGAGCAACGCCGCGAGGCTGAGCGCTAGCCCCGCGAGCCAGAACACGTTGAGGTCGTTCACACCCACATGGACGTCGTGCGCGAGGCCGGTGACATTCTGCCTTTCAACGAGGAGACCTTCCAGAGCAATAAGCGCTGGCTCGAGGGTGGCGGCCGCGGTGCTGTTCATCGTTGCCCTCGAGTTGTTCACAAGCGCCAGAATCTCGCGCAGGTACTCCGTTGGGAGACCTTCGGGCTGCTTCGTGAGGCCTTGTAGGCCGACTACGACGAAAGCGGCGTGGATCATGGAGAGGAGGAAGGCCTGTGCAATAGGCGCCAGCATGGCGTCAGTCACTACACGGGTGGGCAAGGGTATGGAACTACGCACCCAAAGCAGCAAGGTGTCGACCTCCTCGCACAGGCGGTAACAAGGCGCGGGATGATGGTCGGCGAACAGCTTGACGAAGATGAGGTCAGGCCAGGGAAGGGAAGCTTGGGGTATGTGTTCCGAGGTCGCGGGCGCGTTGCTTGCCGGTAATGTGGCGAGGGTGCTATCGCTCGCCGCGTTCGAGGAACCGTTTGTGGCAATCTATGGACAGACGAAAGTATGAGATGACGGGAGAATGTGCGGTCAGGTCGAATACCAACGCACCAAGATATCCGGCGCTTGCTGCATACTGTCGGCGGTGCTCTTGCTCCCAGAGGCCTATTCGACCTCAGTACATTATTACTGGGAGGTCGCATAGCCCAACTCACCTCGTACTCGACGTCAGAAGAAGACGCTAGGGTGTGTGTCTGCAAGTGTTAACGCGTCAGTCAGAGGAGGCAATATGTCGGGCGCTTGAGGGCGCTTACTGCCTGCTGCATTGAGATCTAATCACAGGCTTTTAGGCTATAGATGGCGGCGCCTATGTAGAGATTGTGGCGCAGGCGCAAGGCTGAGATGCGCAGGTCGAGAGGGCGAGGCGTAGCTTTCGTGAGGCGAGAGATGAAAGTGAGGGTGCAATTGTGGCGGTGATCCAACGGAAGGCCTTATAAGCGCTGCCCGAACGCCCACACGCCGTAAGTGCATGTTCTATACAGCTTCTATTGATGGGCCCATGGGAGATCAGTGCTGAGTATAGAAGGGGTATCGATGGCATGTGACGTGTAGTAGAGCGATATGAAGACTGACCTGACGACTGAGAGGCCGAAATGAGATTCGATAGCATCGATTCGGTGAGGATGGGCATCTCGTTGAACGCAGGCGAAGACAGGATCGTTCAACTTGATTGATTGAGAGCGCAACAGCAGAGCGTGCGTATCGGATGTCACCACAGCTTGATGGTCAGCCTGACGCGGCAGGATGCAGCACGTCCATTGCGGTCTGGATGCAGAAGGGTTAGCTAGCGCGGTCCTCATAGCTGAGGGTGAAAGTCAAAGACTTAACGGTGACGCTTAGACCGGTCATATACCTCTCTCGAGCGCCTTCGTTCGGAGCCATGTACTAGGCGCGAGGCAGGCCCAGGTGAAACGAATGATACTGCGAAAAGCGCGCGAAACAGTCGGTCGGAGGGCATGCACATACTATACCGAGGCAGGCAGAACCAAAGAGGAATCGACACTCGGCCGAAATCTGCCACTGGGGCAGGTTCGAACGCGGAACGTGCCGCAAACATCACGTGCCAGCCATCTGACCCTCTCTCTGGAATGCCGATGACCAGTTCCTCGCCACACAGGACGAGCAGACTTTGCCCTGGAAGAGAAGCAAAAACAAGTCCGTAGATCTTGCCCAGGCGCGTAGCTCTGTGAAACCAGTCCAGTCCAATCCAGTCCGATTCTTTGGGTTGCTGCAGCAGAGCCATTTTTTTTGTATCTTGGCCCGGCCAGGGTCTTTGAGTAGTTCGGGATGGGGGGTTATGACCGCTCTGCCATCCCGACTACGAAAGTACCAAAACGTACCCTATACTTATACCCATTTTCCACCGAGCTTTTCTCGCGAACGGGAGCTGCTGGGGGCGCGTGGATGACCTAGAGCAAGAGCATAGGACCATAGAGGACACCTCGTGACCGCGGAAGGGACTAGGATACACGATGGCGCACAGTATAGCTCTCTTCAGTCCACTGGCGCAGGGCTTGTGATACTGGCCCCCTAAGCTAGGAGAAGTTTGAAAGCGAGTAGGTACACGCGTTGCTCGGAGCAGCATTGAAGAATAAGGCCCGATTAGCAGAAGAGGCTTTTCAGAGATGAAAGCAGGTATCAAAACAAGCCTAGAGTACAACTCGAAGAGTTCGCTAGCGGCCCGGTGCTTCCAGGGCCACTGCCGCTGAGCAGGGTGCTTGCTTCCACAAGAGCGCGCTAGGCCCAGCTTACAAAGGAACAGTAAGACGATCTTCATTGCGCAGTACGTTGCGCTCAAGGCAGTAGGCAATAAAAACAATATAGACATATCGGAGTCGAAATACAGCGTCCAGAGACCCTTGCTCCGCGCACAACAATATACCCCACCAGGGAGACCAATAAACCCCTGCTGAGGATCTCGAGCTCGCACCCCACGAGATAAGTACCTAGTCCTCGGAAAGGTACCTGTACTCGAACCGGAAGTCGCTCTTCTTGCGCTGGCACCACGAGCCCTCCCAGTCAAAGTACACGTACACGCCCTGCTCGTACTCCTCCGTGATCGCCTGCGGTTCCGAGTGCCGCTGGAACCACGTGAGGTACTTGACATGGAAGCGCCACGACTGCCGCTTGAGCTCCCTGGCAGCGAGGAACCTGAGACGGTGCGTCAGCTATTCGTGGTGGAAGCGGTGGGGATGAGTAGACGTACTGCTGGTAAGTCCCTGGGAGGTAGTAGAAGACGTAGAAGAGCGTCTCTACGTCCATATTGGTGAACGCACGCGGCGTGCTGAGGTACGGATGCGGTACTTGCGGGTAGTACGCCGGCGTCTGGTAAGGGTTCCTGGGCACATAGTACTTCGGCCTACAAGAACAGTTCAGTCAACACTCCGATCATTCACATTGCGCAAAGAGCACTCACTTATCCGTATCCGCCGGCTGGGGCAGGTTGCTGTACCCGCCCTCCAGCATCTTGTGCACCTGGTCCAAGTTCGACATCCGCACGTTCGCCTTCTGCTTCGCGTTCTCGTACGAGACAACGAGGTCCGACAGCGAAGTCAAGTTGCGCTGCTGCTGTTGCGTCTGCTGGCCCGGCTGAGGCGGCGCGAGCATGCCCTCGCTCTGCGATGTGGGCGGCTTGACGCCAGGAGGAACGACAGGCTGCGCGCCGATCGGTGCAGGGGATGCAGTCGCGCCTGCGCCTGGTGTTGCCGGCGTGACGGAGGCCTGCAGCTGTTGCGGCAGCGGTGACGTCGCGGGACCGCCGTTTGATGTGGAGGCAGGAAGCTGTTGCGTCTGCGTCGTGTCCGCAGGCTAGACGTAAATGAGTGAGCGAAGCACGCAAGTGTGGATCTTGCTCGCTTACTGGAGTGACGCCTGGAGGTGCCACAGGTGCCGCCTGAGATTCAGATGATACGGATTCTGCGATAGTCGATTAGAAATGCGTAGGGAGCGCTGCGAGGAAAAGCACCTTTCCGCGTCGCAGTCAACTTTTGCGGTGATGCGGCGGCAGCGGAACCGCTTCTTGAGCTAGGCGCAACAGCTTCTGACAACGATGGTGATTGTTGTTCTGAGGCCAAAGACCCATCCGGTATTTGTGATACTGAGGCCGCCGAGGACATCATTGGACTCGTCACGGACGGGTGCGTGAAGCTAGGCGATGACGGCGCGTGCGACTGCTGGTCCGACGTCGATGGTGGTATTGACGGCGATTGTGAAGGCGCAGTTTGCGGTGTCGATTGCGATGCTGATACCGTTGTTGTGCTTGTTGACGGTGTGGTCGTGGGTTGTGCCGTTGACGGGGTTGACTGGTTTACCGCTTGCGCTGCCATCTGCGCGTACTTTATTGGCGGAAGTTGTGCTGGTGGGCGCGGTGCCGGTTGCGTCGTGGACAGGCCTGCCTTTAATATGCTCGACATGGGTTGTTGCACAAAGTTCGGAGGAGGTTTGGCTAAGGGGGATGTTTGATGGATGGCCTATAAGCCAGCAATGAATACGCGTACCATCGACAGAAGGTTCTGCAGGGTCCTTGTCAATGAACAGGTCGAAACCAAAGAAGACCGACGCACTTCGTAATGAGATGTTCGCCTTCTTGAGTACCGGACTCTCCTGCTCGCGCTTGTGCTCGACATCTTTCTCCTTGTCTTTCTCCTTCTCGTGCTTGTGTTTGACGGGTGTTCGAGGCGGCAAGTCTGGTCATCTCAATCAGAGGCAGCGCAAGGTCGACAGGGCGGCACAATACCTTCACTGGCCGATTCCGATGCGTCATCCTCGTCATTCAACAAGCCGAACTTCTCTTCCTCTTCGTCGAGTCTCAACTCATCGTAGATGCCCTCGTCCTCGTCGAAGTCCTCTTCCTGCGTGACCGTCAGTCATCGTATCCGCGCCACACAGATAGTGACACGCACCGTGTTGCTCTCCACGAAGTACTGCACATCATCCTTCAACGCATTGACCCGGTCCGTCGTCAAAGAGCCATTGTTGAGCAGTCGTAATATGATCTCCAGTCGGCTGATGTGCCACTTTCTGCGATCGTTCAGCTGCTCGAGCTCCTCCATCCGGCCCGCCGTGTTTGAGGCCTTCTTCTTCTTCCCCGTACTTTGCAACGCCTCGACCTGCGCTTCCGCGGCCTCGACCTGCATCTGCAGCTCCTCCACCATGGACTGCAGCCACTGCATCGCCTCCTCCTTCTCCTGCTCCTTCGGATCGAGTTTCGCGGCTTGTGTTAGGCCCTCCTTGGAGAAGGCCTTCGTCTTCATCTCCTTCTCGCAGGCCTTGAACTTCTCCATTTGCTGAACAATGGGCGATCAGCACGCGCCACTGACAGAGTGGAAGTACGCGCAGAGGCGCGCTGGGCGATGGAGGATGTATGATGGGCCATGTAGGGTATACGCACCGTCTCGATGAGCCTACGGTTCTCCAGCAATTGGGACTTGTCCTTGATGTCGTTGCTCGCGACCCAGGTCTTGATCTGGTCTCGTAGCCGTTGCAACTTCTTAATCTGCGTCTTCAAGTCAAGCTCGAGCTTCTCCTTCTGCGTCTGGTTCGTCGACGCCTGCATCTTGTCGTATATGCCCTCGAACAGCTCGACGCCCTCCGCGACCTTCTTCAAGGTGCGGTCGATCTCGGCTGGACGCGCGGTCAATACGGGTACACCTTTGTCATTGTTTCCGAGGCGCACTCTGTAGTTTTCGTGCCGCCATGGTGGGCAGAGACGGTGGACCGGTATGTGTTGATGAGACGCGCGCGCGGTGTCGCCGGCGTCAGCGCCTGACAAAATTGTCGCCTATTTACCTGTGGCCTCCACAGCTTGGACCGAATCGCCGAACAAGCCCTTCCAAACGCGGATGTTCAACTTCAACTTGTTCCCAGCCACAAAGGCGACACCTCGTCTGGCTCACGAGCATTTGGATCATCGCTCGATAATTCTCTCTCAGCTTCCTTATTGCGACTATGTGCCACTCTCCGCTCAGTAAATGAAATCGCGCTTCTGGCCTCGGGGCGTACCTTCTCGACGATGGCCTGCGCTGGCAGGATGACCGCGCTTTGTGGTTCTACACGTTACGCGCGCTAATCTTGTGCTACAAGGCCTTGTGTCGGTGCTAACGATGTTCCGGTCCTCTAAGTCCTCGTCCAAACCAAGCTAAGTACCTCACCGCTGCCCGTCATCGAGCGGCGAGCTCGATGACTTGTCCTTGTAACATGCCTCGACTTACGGGAAGCGTCCCCTTGTACTGCGGCAATGAAGCTATCGCGCCTGTAAAGCGGATACCGATCTTCCTGTGAGCACTCAGGCGCCTTGTTATCCCGTCATGAGACGCGGTCCTACGTCTTCAATGCTTATGAGTGTGCCTCCGTCCGGTATGTACCGACCTTCCACGACACGACTCCTTCCCAATGGAGAGTCCTGAGATGCGCGAAGACGTCGGGCATTATCCAAGGCTCTGCACTCTCGAAGCGCCGATACCAAGTCATGATCATATAGCATGCCCCCCGCCACAAAGGACTGCCGATTCCCTTAGCGGCTTTCAATCACCAATCACCACCCAGACCTCCTTACCGAGCTCCGCAGGGGCTGCTCGACATCTGGCGGGCGCGCATAGAGTAACGTTATTGTTCAGATCAGACTCGATAAGCAGATCGAAATGGACATTTGTATACCTTAGTAGAGGGTGCACTGCCGCCGTTAGCCCTTGTATAAATCCGAGACCTTGCAAGTTCCCTCCCTAAGTCTTCCCGCGAAGCACGCAAAGCTCGCCGTCGACGTGATCGACAAACACATTGGACAACACCAAATCCATCAAAGTTGGTTCATCTTCCCACGTGGCCGCATACGCTCTTGACCGGCGCGGTCACGAACTCTGTACGGACGCCCCTGCTGCGCACATCTGTCCTCAGCGACACCAGCCTAGGCGCCCCATCTCCTCCCATGAAGTCCTTCCGAAAGTCTGCGAACAAGGACTCGATCCGAAGCCAGATATCTACGCCGTTACCGTTACCCGCGGTCTCCAAGCCGCCCTCCTCTATCCTCCCCCCTCAGAAGGTCATCCGTGCTCTCTCAACTCACAGGCCTCGGGCAGCGCAGGAACTCCCCTTCAAGAAGGGCGACTTCTTTTATGTGAACGGCTCGGTAACGGGGCCGGACGGCCAGCCATGGTACGAAGCACACAATCCCGCGACGGGCGCGCGCGGCCTGGTGCCGTGTGCGATGTTCGAGGAATTCTCTAAACCCAACACTGCGTGCGTGGCCTTTACTTCCCCTCAACTGCTAGCTCACCTCCGTTGCAGTTCGCGTGTATCGCAGATAGGCGGCGGCGATGGCGGCTTCCCCCACTCCTCCCCTAAGCCCCCCACCAGCGACCTCCCGCCGATGCCGTCCCGCAAGTCGGGCACACAAATCTTCTACGCCGTGGTGCAGCATGACTTTGTCGCCGAGCGTGCGGATGAATTGGACGCAAAGCGGGGGGACTCAGTAACCGTCGTTGCGCAGTCGAATCGCGAGTGGTTCGTCGCGAAACCGATCGGTCGCCTAGGCCGCCCCGGTCTCATCCCCGTTTCCTTCGTCGAGGTGCACGACCCCACTACCGGCAAGCCCGTGCAGGACGTCCAGTCGCTCATGGACAGCGGCATCGTGCCCCGGGTTGAGGACTGGAAGAAGAAGATGTACTCGTACAAGCAGAACAGCATCGCCCTCGGTGTCCTCGACGGTCCCCACGCTCGCCAGTCGCAGTCCGTACCGAGCACGCCCTTCGGGCATCCGCAATCGATGCACCAGCCGCCGCAGGTTCCGCAACAGCACCATGAGAACGGCTTGTATCATCCGCGCCATCAATCCCAGCCATCACAGTCGCAGCGTGATAATTACTTCCCATCCTCACCGCCTACGCAGTACCCAGACGATCCGCCGCAGGAGCCTGAGGTGCCCCCGGTGGAGCCTTTGCCGGAGGGGCTGCTGCTCAAGGCGGAGTGCGTCTCGTTCCACTTCGAGATGGACGAGTACTGGTTCCGGGTGGACGCCATCTACCAGCCATACCCTCTGCCAGGCTCCAATCAGCTTCCACCAGCGAAGCAACTGGTGCTCTTCCGCGTGTACAACGACTTCTACGACTTCCAGGTCAGTTTGCTGGAAGCCTTTCCCCGAGAAGCCGGGCGCGAGGGCGACGAGCGAATTCTACCATTCATGCCCGGGCCGGCCGCGCATGTCGACAACGAGCTGACGCAGACTCGGCGAGAAGAGCTTAACGAGTACCTGCACCAGCTTTGCGACCTCACGAAGATTGGCGCACGCTCGGTCGTGGAGCACGTGCTCGTACGCGAGTTCCTCGCCCTCAAGCCCGGCGACGTGGAGAACCACCTCGAGCCACGCTACGACGAGCTGGAGGAGCTGGACTCGTACCGCCAGAACGATTACGAACTGAACGACCAGATGCAGCGCCTCAACGTTGATGACCACGATGACTATGACGACCGTTACGCCCCGCCCGCGCCGGACCGGCACCAATCCTCCCAGCAGCGACACCCCTACGCGCAGTCCACCCCGTCCACCGACAACCTCAGGATGCACGCGCACGTCCAGAATCACCAGCGAAACGGCTCGCAGTCCTCCCTCGGCCGCCACAACTACCCCGACTCGCGCGGGACATCGCCCACGCTCGACGGTGCCCACTCCTCGAAGTGGGCGACCTCATCTTCCGTGACCGCCGCCTCGTCGCGCTCCTCGGAGATGCACTCGCGCGCGTCCGAGGTGCAGACGCGCTCGCGGTCGCAGTCCACTGCGACGAACCCGCCAATCTCGGGCGCGAACCCGTCGCCGGCGTTCATCAAGATCAAGATCTTCGACCGGGTGTCGGACGACTTGGTGGCGATCCGCGTGCACCCGCAGGTCGGGATCAAGGAGCTGACGCTCAAGATCGAGGCGCGGCTGGGCGGGGACGTGCAATACTTGCACTATCGGGCGGGCGAGAAGGACATCACCATCGCCACGGACGACGAGCTGCGCGCGTGGATAGACTCGACGGACAAGTACGTGCTGTACGCGGACTAGTGGGTCGTCGTGTGCTCTCGGGCACGCAGGCGCGAGCAGGGTTTCGCGAGTGCAGAGTGCTGTGTGTGGGCAGGACCAAGAACGAAATGAAGAACAAGTGTACGAAATCTACTACATATACCGCTAGTTTCTGTTGTCTCCATGCGGCCGCTTTCTTAGAGTGGCCGGTGTTTCCTTACCAGTCCAGTTTCTGGTGTTCTCTTACCTATGGCCATCCTTTCGCTCTTCGCGGCCAGTGTTATCTCTTTTCCTCTATCGCGCCTCCTTGAACCTTTTTATTCCCTTTATCTTCTTCATCGAGCGTAACATACTGTCGCCTTCGTTCTCGATGTACATAGTGGTATCAGTATCTACTAGCTCGCGGAGCTTGTATTCTAGCTTAAAGACATAGTCTATGCATGCGATGGGTTTCCGGTGATGAGAATCGTTTGACTTTGAGTGATTGGGCCTGGTATAGCAATTTGGATAGTACGAACGGAGATGGCCCAACGTAACGTCTGAGCACTCGAGCACACAGGAGACTGGCCTTGCCCTCAAATGATGACACTTGCTCAAGTTCACGGTGGCCAATCGTTGTTTGGCCGTGTGTCAACTTGGTATAGCCCGGATCACTAATTTCCTTTTTCGTCATTATACTCTCCCGTCATGTCTTCGTTCGCGCGGTTCGTCCGCAATGTGTACCGCGTCGGCCCGCGCGACGCCTACCAGCAGCTCATGCACTTGAACGATGTCAAGGCTGGTCGTTTCATTGGCGCGGACCAGTAAGAGCGAGCATTGTCGCTCGGAGAATACATCCGTGCTTACCTTCCCTTCGAGGTTCGGCAACAAGTACTTCGAGAACATGAACCCGCGCGAGGAAGTGCCAGGTGCGTACCCCATTCTCTCAACTCGATCAGGCTGCTGAACCTGTACCAGGTCGCCAGCGCTGGGTCATCTTCGCGCAGGTGTGTACCCCGATCGGAGGCCGTGTACGCCTGGTTGACCGCATACCCAGGACTCCATCAGCAAGCAGTACTACGAAGATAACTCGCAGATCCCTCCCGAGTGGCACTCATGGCTGCAGCATATCCGCGCGCTGCCCCCGACTGAGGACCCCGTTGTCCAGAATTTGTCGCCCCCTTGGAAGCAGGTGCGCCCACGTGCCGTGAATCCACACGCCCTCTAACCGCGCCTTCCCTCCCCCTTTGTAGCAATGGACGGAGAACATCTCCGGCACGCGTGGCGCGTACCGCTCGTACAACACCGTCAAGCCGAAGATCGAGGCCTGGGAGCCCAAGACGGCCGCCCGGGCGTAAGCTGACGGGCGGCATGCGCCGGAGTGTGGTCCCGCGAGCGTACAGTGTACAACTGGTGCGAAATGAATATATTGAGCGTGCGCCACGCACCTTTCGCCTCGATGCGGGACGTGCTGGCCTGACGCAAGCGGAAATCGTTCTTTCCTATCATCGGGACTGGCTGCCTGGCGTGATCCGAGGGACCTGTGGGCCGCGAGGCGAACCCGAGCGGCTCCCGGTGCCCGTTTTATCGACGCGCCGGGCATCTACGAGGGTGGCAGCGTCTGCTTTGTGCTCCTCTGCAGTCTGTGTGGGGCTTACATCGGAGTCTCATGGTGCGGTGCGTGGTCAGCTGGAATATCTTCCCCCATTATCGGCGCGATTTTCGTGAGCATGCGCCGCCTTGACGACCCCAGGGCTCGTCAGGGAGGTTCTGACCGACGTTCTGCACCCGGTTGACGTATGGGTGTGCTTCGGGAAAGGCCTCGGACGTAGAGTGTCAGCCTGTCGAGGCGCCGGCACGGGATCCCCAGGAGCGTGGGGCTATTCGGGACCCTGGCGCGCAGGAGCCACATAGTCTCAGCGCAGGCAGCGTTTCCACCTTTCCCCTGCGCCGCCCCTTGGACGATATCGCGGCGCGCACGGAATACCAACGACCTGGCATTCGCTGGGGAACGACTAGGACGGGGACGACGTCGGGAGGCGCCCTTTTTTCGCGCGCGAATACTGACGCGCTAGCGCGGCGCATCCGTGCGCTTCTTACTCTAGTGCCGTTTCTTAAGACCATAAGGCGCACGTCCGGGCAGGCCAGCCGTTTTCCGGTCGCCTCGCTTCTCTCCTTGTCTCCTCCCACGTCCGCGCCACCTCCCCTCCCTCCAGCGCAGGATGAGCATGAACGCCCAGCCGCACATGGTAGTCGACAACACCGTCGGCGCGTCGCTAGTCGGCGCCCTCTGTGCAGCAGCGTGAGTCGGACGTGACTTATGTTGGTTTTCCGCATGTGATCTGATCGAGGATTTTCGTTGCAGCTTGTATGGCGGTACGAATGATAGATGATTATATGCTCGATGGCGGAAGCTGACCGCTCGGCAGTCTCCTGCGTGCAGACCTGGTGGTATTTCACGCGATATGGGGCGGTACGTGCTTGGACGCGACGGACGCGCACCACACTAGCTGACGCGTGCTGCAGGACGTCTGGTACATCAAGGCTCTTGTGAGGTCGTCGGTCCCCAGTCGGGCTCGGAAATTAACCTTCGCGTCAGGTCCTACTCGTATTCGTCTTCGACACGGTGCATCAAATATTGATCTCCCATACGGGTACGCCGGTTTTCAACCTCCTCCCAGTCGCACCTCATCCTTGCAGTCTACTTCTACGTTGTATCAAATTACAACAATCCCGGTAGCCTCAACAACATGACTTGGTTTGTTCGCATTTCTGTCTATCCCGTGCTTAGTCTGATGTTGTCGCAGGAGTATACTGGTTCGTTAACGAACTACCCAATGACGATCGAACACTGACGGGTTGTCGTGCAGCTGGAGGTCTTGTTCAACGTATGTTCATCTCGTACATCTTCCTTCGCAGCCGTCTGACCGTCTCGCAGGGCATGATCGGCTTGCTAGTTCAAGGGTGAATACAACGCCACCTCCGCGTCCAAACATACACTAACTTCTGACCAAGCTTCCTGACCATGCGGGTGTGGAAGCGTACGTCGCCTCCCATATACAATTCCGCCCCTTCCGCTGACATTTGCCCTGCCACAGTGAGCAATAAGTGCAAGTGGCTGACGGGCCTCATCGTGCGTATACCGCATTTATGTCGCTTGCCGGCTACTGACATCTGCGCCACAGACGGGTCTGGTGGTTAGCGAATTCGGTACGTCGAGCGCAGCAGTGTTTTTCAGGTGAAGGGCTGTCGCTGAGTGATTAACGCTTGCAGCATGCTCGGTCGTCTTTACCGCGAAATCGTGAGTTGGGGTCTTGTGTATGCGTGAAGGCCATGTTGTTGATCCTCGCGCAGCCTCCAGCTGGAAACATGGTCCCAACTTTCGTCTATGAAGGTGCATTTTGAAGGCCTAGCGTCGCATCTGGCGTTGCTGTCAAACCTCCCCCGTGGGCAATGTCATTATGCTGATCCTTTCCCCTCCAGCCCCTCTCCATGACCGTCAACGTCCTCGGCGCGGTCGCGGACGTCATCATTGCCGCCGGGCTCTTCTATTACCTGCACCGCTCGCGCACAGGGTTCAAGAAGTCGGACACGATGATCAGCAAGTTGGTGAGTAGTAGGCGAGACTTCTTTCCACGCTTTCACATTTGTGTGGGCTTTCTGGGGGCTGCGGAAGATTATCCAAGCCCGCGCTGCTGCTACCTCGTGCTAGCGATATCTACTACCTCAAGCTCGCGGTTTGCGCCGCAACATTGCGTTAGGCTCATGGCCCACTTCATTTCGCGGAGTTACCATAGGCCTTCGGCCCCAGATCTGCGGCGGCCCTCTCGCGGTGTTGCGCAAGCTTCCGATGTTTTCCGAGCTTTCAGCGTTGCTTCAAGCTTGTTCATCTAAGCTAATCACCACCCAGATCATGTTCGCCGTCAGCACGGGTATGTTGACAAGCGTCTGCGCCATTGGGTCCCTCATCTCCGTGAGTGTTCTCCATGTTGTCGCGGTGCCTCTTTGGTCGCTCGCGTCCCTGGTTTGCTTGGTTGCGATGCGAGCATCAGCTCGACCCTTTGCGACTCGAGCGGCCTCCAGTCCCGCCTTGAAGACGACCTTAACTGATCCGGACTTGCGTAGATCTCGGTCTGGGGAGACACCCTCATCTACGTCGCGTTCTACTTCAGGTAAGCCCTTTTGATCTGCAGCGCAAGCGACCTGGTACTCATCGTCTGTCGCAGCCTGGGCAGACGTGCGTGACTTGGCCTCGGTTCGGGGTTCGTTAGCTGACGTTTCTGCTCGACATTCTCCCGCCGGCCTTACCTTGCTTGATCTAACAGTGTAAGTTCATTAGTATGCATCCAGCCCCGACCTTCTCGTGCCCCTCCCCGTAATCTCGCCGTCATGACCCCCGAACTCACGCACCTCTCCAGATACTCCAACTCCCTCCTCGCCACGCTCAACGCGCGGAAGGACATCCGCGAGCTCATCGACGACCCCGAAAGCCTATCGTTCTCGTTGCAGAGCAGGTCAAAATCGATACATAATCGCACGTTCGGATCGCAGGTGAGTCCACAGCCTTGGCATATGGTTGGACAACTTTGGTGTCCGCTGCATGGTGTTCCTGTTTGCTGGGCTGTATTTCGCTTCGTCTGGGATTGTTCTCCAGCTGGTCTATGCTCTTCGCCCTTTGCTCCTTGACCGCGGCCGGCGGTTGGAATTGTGCTTTTCAAGTCCGCGACGGCAGGCAGTCTGTCATTGACTGGACTCGCTGTCGGCTTGCCCCCTCGTCTCGCTGACCGGACCTGCTGCTACTCTTTCTGTACCTGTTCCTTTCGCGCCATTTTCCGCGCGTTCCTAATCCTGTCGCTTGAACTTTGGGACCTGATCCTCCCCCTCGCCGGTCTTACGCTTTACACTTCGCTTCTCCGCGATTGTTACTCCCTCCGACGTCGCTTGTTGTTGCGCTACTTGTTAGTCTTCTTAAAGACGGCACGCTAACCCTCCCACCCAGCGCCCGACGAACATTTCCGTCCAGATCGAGACCATCCAGGAGCGCGTGCGCGAGCAGGAGCAGCGCTCGCAGGACGACCTGCGCGAGTCGGTACGTTTGACTGAGCGGTTCTTGGAGCGGATCACGGGGCGGGAGGCGAGGGGCAGTCGGGGGAGCGTAGGGAGGGACACGAGGGGGAGACACGGCCTGAGTGTGGACACAAGCGGGTCGAGGGCGAGGGCCGTGGACGAGTTTGGGGTCCTGGAAGGGTCCAGTGGGCTGGACAAGCGCGCGACGTGGCGGACGAGGTCGTCCACGTCGTCGGATGAGGATGGAGAGGACTTGCCCACGGTGACCGGGCGTGCGGACTTCAACGCCGTGTCTGCGCAGGCGGACTCAAGCTTGGAGCGCTCGCCGCGCTTCCCGCCCGGCACGCCCCTTGCCTCACCGCCGGACACACCTCGGGTGAACAGCAGCGGGTCGCGCACGCCGACACCGACGCCTACCTCGGCGACGAGCGAGACGGCGGTGTGCTTGTCGGACAGCGCGCCTCGTCTGTCGGGGTCCGATAGTCATGCCGCGGGCTCCGACAGTCATGCCACGGGCTCCGACAACCATGCCACCGCCTCCGACAGCCATGCCCCGAGCTCAGAGACATACACGTCGGACTCATCGCACACATCTCATGCGACCATGCGCCCCTCCGAGTCCATCCTCCGCATGCCCGAGCCCGCGCTGCACGTCCCGCACCTCTCGATGTGCGCGCCCGCGCCCTCGCCGCACTCGCCCGCGTCGTGCTATCCGACGCCGACGTCCCCCGTGTCTCGTCACCCGAGCGCCTCGTTCGCATCCCGCCATGCAGACTCCTCCGCGTCGCGCTACGCGGACTCCACTGCACCTCTCTACCGCGCCTCCTCCACCTCCAACACCCCGGACCCGTCCCCGCTCTCGACGGACGCGCTGCTGCCTTTCTGACGGAGGGGCCGGCCCCCTGCCGCGTGCAGGTGGGTCCCGTCCTGCCCTCTCTCCTCACTCATTCTTTCTCCCACTTCCTCTTCCCCTCCAAGTTCTGGTGTTCGCCGTGCCCCAATCTCCTCCTTTTTCCTGTCACCCATCTGAAGGATGAGTATCACAATGCTGACACTACCTCCCAGACCGACGCCGGGACATCGACAACGCACGAGACGGCGACGGGGGCGCAGTAGATGATGATGGTGGTCTTCGCGCGTTACCGGTTGATAAGAACGATCTATGGATGGACGGCCGGTGCGCGCGGGGGCGGGCGGTCGTCGTAGAGGGTTGACGAGGACGGACGTTATGCGATGTTTTGTGGGAGGAAGTTGTTGAACTCAGCGGACGCGTGGAAGGGCGTCGAGGCGTCTGACGGCGTCTGTGGCCACGCTGGGCAAGGAAGAAGTCCTTCATCTCTGTCTCTCTTTTTACGCCTTTTTGTACGTCGGTCAGGTTGTTGGTTGGTTGGTTGGTTTTGGAGACTCACACTCGCTATCGTTCTTTGCTCTTGCTTTCTTCGTGCTACCTAGTTGTTACTTACGCGCTACTTACCTTCTCTGCGAAGGTCGGCCCTTCGCAGTGCTTACGCCTTCTTCCTTCGATTGTCGAACTACTACTCATATTCGATTGTTCGAAGTCCTTACCTTCGTGTTGATGTTGTTTTCTTCGCTCAGGCTTTCCTTGCTTGTGTACATACCCTTGCTGCAGATACTGTGTATATGCTTTGTACTCTTTCGCTTCTCGGACTGGTGTCCGAGGCAGCGTCCCTCGTTTGAACATGTTTGCTTGGATGACCATTGTTTGGCGTTGTGGGTGCCATTGTTTGTCCGTCCGAGGTTGTTTGTTTGTTCGCCCTCATTCGTCCTGAAACGGACAAGCATGGGCTTGTCAGGCTTTCCTGGAAGCTCTGGGGCGGGGCTGCCAAGGAGGATGCTCCGACTGCCACTGCTAACAGAGATCAAGTCGGCCTGCGTCTGCTTCCTTCTGAATCATGCCGACATCTGGTGCAGCCAAAAGTCTCTGAGCTGTAACGCTTGCGCTGACAACCTGGACTCTGACGGCACTGCGGGCGACACATGGACGACATCGACCTGAGCTCACAGACTTCTCCGCGTGGTTCTGCCCTGGTAATGTCGGGAGAGGGCGAGTCTATTGACGGTGCTAGTGAACACCAGGCCCAGCCCGTGAGACGCGGGGTCCCTTCGTCCGGCTCGCATGCGCCCCAAAAGACGCGCCTTGTATTCACTCGCCCTCCCCCTCGTGCAACGCGAGCGCATGACGACGCCCGTCCCCGAGAGGCGGCGCCGTCCAGAGGGGGACGCCAGGCTCGCCTCGCGGCGCAAATCTCCCGGGATGCGCGGTGGATCTGCAGCCTCATTGCGGGTGCGACGTTTCCCCAGCCTCATTGCCGGACGGACTGCTCATTACGGGTGCGACGTTTCAGCGGCCGTGCGGGGCGGAGGGCGGGACGCCAAGGACCCTCCCGCGGACGGGGTGTCTATGTCGGGGGCGACATACTACGCGCGGGAGCTGGCGTGCGCTGCCGGCATCATTGAGCGAGCCCGGTGGCTAGCGGGGGGCCTGGAAGACGGCCCTGGGCTCGGCCGCGGAGGGGGCGGGTCGGTGCTGGCTCGGGCGGGGGATCAGAGCGATCAGCACAAGTTCGACTTGTCTCGTCAGGGAAGCGGCCTGGTTTGGCAGATGCGGCCCCGCGGTCCGCGGTATATAAAGGCGGGCAGAGAGCGACGGTGGCGGGTATCCACCAGCAGCGACCATGGCCCCCCTCGTCTTCTGGCTCGATGCCTTCTGCGCCGGCGTCGCCCTCTGCCTCCTCCGCATCGCCTTCCGCAGGTGGCGCGCTGCCCGCGCACGGCCCCCGCTTCCCCCGGGCCCCCGCGGCCTCCCCCTCATCGGCAACCTCCTCGACATGCCCTCCGAGCAGGAGTGGCGCACCTTCGCGCGCTGGGGCGACCAGTACGGCGGCCTCTCCTCCGCCACCATCCTCGGCCAGACCCTCGTCATCGTCAACGACCCCAAGATCGCCACCGACCTCCTCGACAAGCGCTCGAGCACCTTCTCCGACCGGCCCGTCATGCAGATGGGCGGCGAGCTAGTCGGGTGGCGCAATACACTCGTCCTGCTCCCGTACGGCGACCGCTTCCGCCGTTTTCGTCGCCTTTTCCACCAGTCAATCGGCACCCGCGCGTCCATCAAGCAATTCCACCCGGCAGAGGAGATTGAGACTCGCCGCTTTCTCCGCCGCGTCCTCGCCCAGCCCGACGCACTCGCCGCGCACATACGCAAGTGAGTCCCTACCCGCGGCGCTCTACTTCCCCCTCTAACGTATATACTTCATCTAGGACCGCCGGCGCGATTATCCTCCGCATCTCCCATGGATACGAAGTCCGCGAACACAACGATCCGCTCGTCGCACTCGCTGACGACGCGACCGAGCAATTTTCGCAAGCAACGAGCCCCGGTGGCTTCCTTGTCAACACTATTCCCGCTCGTGCGTGTAATCCCACTTCCTACCCGCTGCATCTGACGCTTCCTCAGTCCGCCATATTCCCGAATGGTTCCCTGGTGCCGGCTTCCATACTACCGCGCGGCAATGGGCGGCTACGCTCGCTGAGATGGTCGAGACTCCGCACAACTTCGTCAAACAGCAGATGGTGCGTTCTTCTGACTGCGCTAGCCCTACTCTTTGCTGACCTCTTCTAGGCCAAAGGCATCGCGCCTGTGTCTTTCACGTCAAGGCAACTCCAAGAGAAGCAACTGACGGCTGAAGACGAATTCGACATCAAGTGGGCAGCCGCGTCGCTCTATTCCGGTAAGCACCCTGCTAGTGTTCTGTTTCCCTCGCCAACTTAGACATAACAACAGGCGGTGCTGATACGGTGCGTTCAGTTCTAGCCTCTGGCCCGCGCCACAATCATACCAGCACTCGCGCTGTCTGGCTATCCCGACACTCGGCTATTTTCTTCCTTCCCGCGTTCCTTGCTGCTGTTGACCGGGACTACTCGACACATACTAACATTTCTTTAGACCGTCTCCGCCATCTACGCTCTCTTCCTCGCGCTCGCTACCCACCCCGCCGCCGCGCGGAGAGCCCAGGCGGAGATCGATAGCGTGACCGGCGGGACCCGCCTGCCAACCTTCGAAGACCGCGCCAGCCTACCATACGTAGACGCGCTCGCCGCGGAGGTCTTCAGGTGGCATACGGTAGTGGTGCGTAGTCTCATCGCTTTGTTCTCCGCCGTCGCTTACTCTGTTGTAGCCCCTCGGTATGTCTTTAGCGTGTGCGGTCGTTGATTTGACTGTGAACCTAACCTTCCACTAGCAGTCCCGCACCGCGCGATGGAGGACGAGGTGTACAACGGGTACTTGATCCCGAAGGGCGCGCTGGTGATGCCGAATATCTGGTGAGACCGTGCCCTTGACAGCTCTTGTGACGTCGATCTCATCCTCCTCCTCCCTCCAAGGAAATTCACACACGACTCGCGCACGTACGCGAACCCCTTCGTCTTCAACCCCGACCGGTACTTTGGCCCGCACGCCGAGCCCGACCCGCGCGCGACGGTCAGCTTTGGGTTCGGCCGGAGGGTCTGCCCGGGCTCGAACCTCGCCGACGCGTCGGTCTTCATTGCGGCGGCGATGTCGCTCGCGGTGTTCGACGTGTCGCCCGCTGGGGATGATATGCCGGTGCTGGAGGAGACGACGGGGACGATAAGGTGCATATGCCGCAAATGCCTTGTTGACGTCGCGCTGACACCTCCCTCAGTCACCCGAAGCCCTACCGCTGCACGATACGCCCGCGGAGCGAGCAGGCCGTTGCACTCATCCAGGGCGAGCCATGATCGACCCTTCCTCGGGCTCGGTGCTGCAGGGCACCCAGTCTCGCTTGCTTTTGCAGGGCACCTGGCCTCTTCTACCTTACCTAGCAAGCCCACGCTCGTTTCCCTCCTTCTTCCGCGCCATCCGTCACCTCTGCGCCATCTCCATCTAGTGCTGGTCATCTGCCTGGGGTCTCTTGCGTACTTCCTCATTTTGCATATCTTCCTCGCTACATTCGCCCTCGCGCCCGCGTCGACGCCCCACGCGCACCAACTCATCCACGCACGGAACAGGCGCTCTCCTCCGCCTGCGTCGGCCACGGCATTCGCCCCCGCCTCTCCTCGACGCTCGCGTCCGCTCCGGCTAGTCGCGTCCGCGCACTATCGCGCAGCCTTTCATCTAACGCTAAGCATGGTTGGCTTTCCCCGCCGCCGCTATCGTATTGGCTCTCCCCCGATGCCGCTATCGCTCGCCGTGCCCCGCTTCAGCTACCGTTGATCCTTCCCGCTAAGTACCGGTGACTTTTATTGCGCGTGGACGACTTTGATTGCGAGTAGGCTACCTTGTTTGCGCGTCATCCGATCTCTTCTTTCTCGTCCTTCCGTTCGCTCGACTACTTACTTATTCTCTGTTACTTATTGCTCTCTCTTCCTCTTCGTCTCCGGTATCGGCGTTCCGTGCTCGTCTGCCTTTCTTCCCATCGGGTCACTTTCCGCTCTGTTTACCCATCCATCTCTTCCATGAACCGCGTCTGGTCGCTCCGCTCTCGCTATGTATGTATGTATTGTCGGTCCCGGTGCTTGAGGTGGTCGGTGCTCGATGTACTGTATTGTTAAAAGGTGTAATAACAGTAGAGGGAATCCGAATCGAATCGAAAAACAGCTCAGAACATTCCTGTGTTCGGAATATCATCAATGAATTTGTGGCAAAGTGCTCAGCGTCCAACTGCGCTCGAGTTGACGATCAGTCTGTACGCTGAGTCCTGTCGTTGTCAATGCCCCGCCGACCTGCTAACTGCGCTGAGCGCACGTCCGAGACCGAAGGGCGGCGTGGATGCATCCTTCGAGCTTCAAACTTCGTCAGAGGAGTGAACGGTCCTCCGCCGGGTGTCCGCTTGTCGGTGATGAAGGGAAGAAGGCGTAGTTACAGCAGCATATAAAGGTGACGAGTGTCTGAGGGTGGCCACGAGGGATATCGAGGTTGAGCTTGACGGACGGCACATTCGCTATGTTCCCACTGCTGCCTCGCGCATTGCCAGCACCAGCCTCTGAACCATGTCGTTGCGCTACAAAATATGCTTACGAGGGTTTCTCGCGCGACCATGCAGGTCATTATGCCGACCGTGATATCACCAAGGATAACAACGCAAAGGACTTAACGAGGCTTACAGCGAACATAGACCGGTCGACCAAAGTACGAAATCACCGGGATCCGGTCGCAGCTTAGCGGGAGGAGATCGCGGGCGATAGCGTGGCAAGCATCCTGGAAAAAGAAGAAGGTCACCCAATGTGTAAGAAGGCCGCACACGTTGTAGGAGGAACGCGCAGAAAGGCAAGAAGACCGTCCGAACAGGCAAAAAGAGCGCAGGAAGATGCGACAGGAGGGATTCCAGGGGCGGACGCCGCACGAGGGCCAGACGCGTGGACGAAGAAGAGGCGGGAGAGAAAGAAAGAAGGACTTGACAGGGAAGCTGCGGTAGCATGGCGTCGAAAAAGGCGTACAACGGGAGGCAGCGGCGGAGGGCGATAGCGGGGCTGGTAGTAAGGAGCAGAGCGGCAGGGGTGGCATCGGGGTGTCTCACGACATGAAAGGCCTGGAAGTCGGTCATGTAGGTAAGGAGGGCCGGGGTATGACTAACGAGGAAGAGAGGGGGGGAGGGGATCAGGCCTAGTCGTGGCCACCGATGACTGAACGTGACCACCCACGACTAACATAGTACGAGCTGATGAGGTGGAGCAGCTCTCGAAAGACTGATACACTTGGAGGTCGCCGACAACGCGGAGAGCGTGCGCACCGAGACGCGGATGGATGATAGGTCGTGTGGGATCTGCAGGGATGATGCATAGTGGCGGCATGATAACCTCCGGACGGCCTGCCTCAGAAGTATGAAAAGCCAGAGAGTATCTGGCTCAGTGTATCGGAAGGCCGCAAGGAACAGTGGTCAGATGTGAGCTGGCTCGCGAGGGTATGATGCACGTTACTATGAACGGCTCAAGGGCGGTTTGCGAGGACGTTAGGGGTGGTTCGCGAGGACGTTATGCGCACTTCGTAAGGCAGAGACGAGAGTGTCGGGTTGACGAAGTGACGGAACAAGCTCGACGCGAAGTGACGATGGGTGGTAAAAGGGGATTGTGGCGCATGTATAGTGTCGCATAGTCCTGAAGGAGAGAGACTATGCTGGTCTCGCCCTCAATGGCCGAGCGTCGGGTACTTGGAGGAAGTGGGGAGGGCACGAGGGCGTTCAGAAGGATTGTCAGCGCCAGAGATCGAAAGGTCTTCGCTGCCACGAATGTCGAAGAACGCAGAAAGACCGAGACCAAGGAGACAGCGTTTTACATTCAGCCTATTCGAGAGAAAGATCGAAGAGCGCGAGGGTCGAAAGGAGGGTTGCTGCGTGCAAGGGAGGATGGTGATGGCTCGCCATACGGTCGGAGAAAGACAACATGTCGTACAGTAACAGCGCGAAGACGGTCCAATTCGAGAACACGAGACATAGACTACGACCGTCCAGAAAATGCAGACAAGACACAGAGGGGTGAGAACGCGTAGAACTTGCTATACTGCCGCCGCCTAGTAGGGAGGAGGAAGATCAGACCTTGCGCCGCGACCACGACGACGCCTTCCTTCGCCATTGCCAGCAGGCTTAGCGATCGCTTCAGCCACCGAGCGGGTCCGAAACAGACCGTGACCCAGATGCAGAAAGTCGCGATCGCAGTCCTGCGCGCCATGCTCGTAAGACTCGCACAGGCTGCACCAGTGCAGCTCTGCTGGGCAGTCTTCGACACAGATCTGCGTGTTGAACGTCCGGCACGCCGGAGGGCGGTCTTCGTTCTGTGGGACCCATGTTCTCGCGCCATTTCTGTCGAGGACCTGGTACGCGGGTGCATACTTGGCGCGACAGAAATCTGGTCGTCCGCAGACTTTCGTGGGATTGCCGCAGCACCAGCAGCGGCCGAGGGCGTACTTGTTCCGTTTCTGATCGCGACGGGGTGAGTACAAAGCAGCAAAGCTGAGATGATAACCCACCAGGGCATCGGCAGCCATAGCAGAACCAATAGCCAGCAATGTATCATTATCGACAAAATCTGGGACGGGCTATGGAGAAAACTGGCCTTAGCAAGCAACGCGACGTGGGTGTAGATGCCCACCTGGAGGAGTGCCTCCGGCAATGGCGCAGGAGTGTCTACGACACCCTCATGTTCCATCTCAATCAGGGTGCCATCGTCATCTTCATCGGCTTGTGGGGCGATGTTCTCGTCCTCTGCCATGGACATGCAGTGCTCGCTATAAAGAGGATGAGATTCCGCTCAGGGTGGCATGCAAGCAGCTGCGTACCAGCGCATTCTCTTGACTCGGGAGTCTCCTTCGCGGATGGTGTCCCTTCGCCTCTTGTTTGGAACGCCAGACATGATAATGCTTCGATATGAAGTGTGATGACTCTCGGGACGGCGTCGGCGCGGGGGGCTCTTGTTGGAACCCGCTTAAGCAAGATTAACTCGTGACGTGAGAAGGAAGTCGGCGAGGGCTGAGAAAACAGGTCTTCGGTTGAGTTGAGCCGCAAGGGTACGTATGAAGTGCAGAGAAGAGACGATGTGGCGCACATCCTGCGTATATAGGTTTGTTTGGTCGAGCTTGCCACGCGCGTGCAACAGAAGGCGCCTTCACCGAGTTGCGCGACAATGCACCACAAAAGTCATGCCCTATATGTCTCTGCGTCTGCGGTTGCCAAAGAGCTGTAGACATATGATCCATGAGATGGTAATGGTGGATTGGGAAGAAGAATGTTCGACGCTCGTGGAGGACTCGAGCGTTCCTCGTCACCCGGAGGTCGGCCCGCGTACCCGAACCGGCTCTCCTGGTGTGGCGCCGACGGTCCATAGTTGGCTATCTCTGGTCTCCCCTCCATGTCGCTCCTTCCCCACGATCCCGCCTCGCTCACCGACAAGGAAAACGTTGCGAGCGGCGGCGACGACGCGGTCTGCCAGCCCGTCCACTGCTTCCATGCATTCGATACGCTGTACTGCGCGCTCACCGATGCGTTACCGATCCCGCCAGCGTATCCTAATGACAAGTAGTACGTCCTGACACTCTAAGGTACTCAAGGTCGTGCTCAACAGTGCCTAGCCCACTCTTCGTGACCTGGAACACTCGGCGAACGGGTCGCTCCCCGCGTCTGCGGGGATGTATAGGGACGTTTGAGAGCTTGCCGCTGCATGAGGGCATCCCGGAGTACGCGCTTATCAGCGCCTTCCGCGACCATCGCTTCCGCAAGATCGAGCGCAGCGAGCTTCCCAGCCTCGAGTGCGGGTGCGTGGCCCGTCTCATTCCATCCTTGATGCTCACCTATCCAGGATCTCGCTCCTCACCGACTTTGAGGACGCGGACACCTACCTAGACTGGACCCTGGGCGTCCACGGCATCCGCATCAACTTCCCCCACCCCTCCTTACTGCCCGCCACCTCTCCCTCCGGATCCCCTTCTCCGTACTCGTCATCGACGTCCATCCCGCGCGTATCGAACAAGCAGCGCTTCTCCGCTGTCTACCTGCCCGACGTCATGCCCGAGCAGGGCTGGGACAAGATCGAGTCCGTCGACAGCGCCATCCGCAAGGCCGGCTGGACCGGCCGCATAACGGAGGACCTCCGCCGCAGCGTGCATCTCGTGCGCTTCCAGAGCAGGAAGTGCACGGTCGGGTGGGACGAGTATGTGGCGTGGCGCGAGGCGTCGGGGGCGGAAATGTGAATGGCAGGAACTTTACTGGCGACGCAAGACATCCACTTACACGTAGAGTCGCACAGATGTACAACTACAACAACCTTCGCTTCAAGGGTCCTTTCCTTTGTCTGTACAATACAATGATCATCTCGGTTGCATAGATTACTACAATGGCTGAAGGCGACGCAGAAGTGAGCGGTTGTACTCACTCTGTACACCTTCCTCCGTTTTGTTGGCGCGCCTCGGCGCCGCCGTATCGTCAAAGATCAGCTTGACATGCATTCATGCCCTCATAGCCGGGGCGTTTACCGGAATGAGCGCCCAGACTTCGCCGATCGCCGCGCCTCCCCCGTCGCGCGATCGCGCGACGCGCATCTGGCCATGTCACCCGCAATTCGTCAACCTTGCTCTTGACCACCATCCTACATCCCATCCCACCAACTAGACGCGATCCCGTCATGACCCAATTCCCCACACTCAAGAACGACTTACTGCTGCGCGCAGCGAGAGGTCAGCCCTCGTTGATCATCGCATCGGCGCCGCCGATGTGCTCTCGTGTCCTTGTATTCACGCGCCGTGCTTAGGCGAGAAGACCGAGCGCGCGCCGGTCTGGGTGATGCGGCAGGCGGGGAGGTACCTTCCCGGTGCGTGTTGAGGTCCTTCTAAGCGCTATAGACGATCGTACTGACAGGGCGCCCATCCTACCTAGAATTCCGCGCCCTCCGCGCCCACCACGAGTTCTTCGAGATCTGCCGCACCCCCGAGCTCGCCTGCGAGATCACCGTGCAGCCCGTGCGGCGGTACACCGGCCTGCTCGATGCCGCAATCATCTTCAGCGACATCCTCGTCATCCCCCAAGCCATGGGCATGGAGGTCATCATGAACCCCGGGCCACACTTCCCCACCCCGCTCGACACGCCCGCGGACGTAGAGAAACTCCCGAAGGAGGTCGACGTGGAGAAGGAGCTGAAGTACGTGTTCGAGGCGCTGACGCGGACGCGGAAGGAGCTGAAGGGGGAGGTGCCGCTAATTGGGTTCTGCGGCGCGCCGTGGACGCTGTTTGCGTATATGGTGGAGGGTGGCGGGAGCAAGACGCTGCAGAAGGCGAAGACGTGGCTGTTCAAGTATCCGCAGGAGAGCAAGGCGCTGCTCAAGCGTATCGCGGACGTTTGCATTGACTACCTTGTCGGGCAGGTCAAGGCAGGTGCACAGGTACGCAGCGTTTCTTCCAGCTACCATCCTATTCCTGCTGTTCCATTCCATGCCGAGCTTCGCGTTGACCTCCTTCGCAGCTTCTCCAAGTCTTCGACTCTTGGGCTGGCGAGCTCGGCCCCGACGACTTCGCCGAGTTCTCCCAGCCCACCCTCACCCAAATCTCGACCGGCGTCCGCCAAAAGCTTACCGCCTCCGGCATCACCGTCCCCCCACTTACCCTCTTCGCCAAGGGCGCGAACTACGCCCTTGGCTCCCTCGCTGAGCACGCTGGCTACGACGTCCTCGGTCTCGACTGGTGCATTGACCCCGCGGAGGCGCGCAAGATCGTCGGCGGGAAGGTCGCGCTGCAGGGAAACATGGACCCGAGTCTGCTTTATGGCGGGCGGGAGGCGATTGAGAGGGCGGTGAAGCGAATGAGCGAGAAGTTCGGGAAGGAGGGCGGCTGGATTGCGAACTTGGGCCACGGGATTACGCCTCAGGTGGATCCGGAGGATCTGAAGTGGTTCTTCGAGTGCGTGCACAAGTACTCCAGGGTTGCGTAGACCGCCCTTCACTTTGCTGAAAAGGAGGTCAGGCAAGAGATGTACGCATATTCAATGTATCTACCAGTGTACTTAGCGAGTTCCTCAGATATAAGTAAGTCGCTCCTCGTGAACAGCATACCGCACGGGGATTTGTGGCAAAGACTGGGACGTGTGAGGGCGTAGCCCCTATCATGAATTCACAAACAAGCTCGCACCCTTCCCCATATGGAAACGGGACACGCTGCTCTCTCTCGCTCTATCATGGCCCTTCGCTTGCGTCGGCGAATAGTCGATTGTCACTCACATAAACGAGTGCTTCTCACTTCGACATATAGTACAGCTGTGTAGTTGACCAGCTACGCGTAGGTCATACAGACGGACAGCCTCAAGGCGGTTAACCAGGGTGCGGACGCTTCGCTTCCATTTGGCGCCCACCTGCTCACAAAGGCACCTTCTCAGATACTAGAGTCTGGCTCTTTTGTCTCCTTACGGGGCACGCTGCTGACTCGAGCAGTGCCATCGCCTGCGCCATATAAAGGTGAACACGTCCATACCTCCTCCGTTCATTGACGTACCTGAGGGACCATCGATATTTCCATAATTTCCAGCGCTATGTCATCTGTCGAAGTCACTGACACTCCGTCCGCTTGTGTCCTCAAACCTGCGGCCGCTCGATGTCATGTCAATCGGCTCCCTTTAGAACTTCTCGACGAGGTGTTCAGTCTCGTGGTCATGGACCGACCATCCCACTCCTGGGGGATAATGTTCAGAGCCGGCATTTTTGTCCATGGCGCTCTGGCCCTTAGGTGCCGCAAATGGCGCGACACTGTCAGGTACTTGATTCGACATCCATGGAACTTCACGACGGTCCACTTGGGCCACGACTGCTTGACCTCGGTTCTGAAGCCCAACAACAAGGAAAAGAAGGTCAGCGATATATTGGCTTTCTCTGGCAGCCGCGAGCTCGATGTGACGCTGGATTTCCGCGCATCCAGTGTTACAGGGAAGAGATGGCTTCATTCCGTTCTTGTGCAGGCTTGGCGCTTCCGCTTGTTGACCATTCGTGGCGATCTACGGGACAAGCGCGTGCGTAAAGCCTTCGATAGGCTTCAGTGTGACAGCGTACCAATAGATCACGGTCGCCCTGTCGCCCTTCGTCGTCTTACGCTCGAGCACATCCCCGACAGCATGCCGAGCGATTCATCTGACACCGCGCCATTACATTACTCTGTTTCGGCACCTTTCCTCTCGGAAATTTACCTCGAAGGCCCAATGTCCAGCTATCTCGTTTTCCCCCATTTCAGCCACTGTCCAGGCATCTGCAAGCTCGTCTGTAAGGACTTTGGGATAGTCACCTTGTGTTCACTCCTGGGGAAGACGGGATTATCTGAATCGAGTCTGGAGGGGCTCGACTGGGATCAAAGGCCGAGCGCGATGCCTGCCGGCGAGCATGATCATGCGGAAAATAGGCTATACCGCGTCCTGTCATCACCAGACCCTCCAGTGACGATGCACCATCTGAAGAAAATCACCCTCCGGAATGCTGCATATGCTTTGAAAAGCGAGTTTTTCGACAATGTGTCACTGCCGGCCGTTAAGGAGATCACCCTTGACGATATCGAGCTCAAGGACGACGTGGTGGACGCGGTGAGCTACGACTCCTTCGGCGAGAGACGTCGTACAGGAAAATTCACTGTCAACTGTCTCTATAGTGGTCATCGGAAACGTAACACGTACAGTCGACTAGTCAACTGGCCGTTCGGCACACACGAGACCTGCGAGTGTTGTTTCCGGCTGACCGCTTTTGGAAAATGCAAAAGCCCTTTGATGAATAGTACATAAGGAGGGGAGTTGGGTTGTACGAGCATGAACGTACCGACTCATGTCATGACTTCAACTTATCACGCCTTGCCAAAGCACTCTAGACATTGAGGAAAGGTTTTATATTCACGAGGATACTACAGCTCAATACAAGCATATCCTAAGACAAAGGCTTCAGCTCATCCAACTTATGAACTGCATTGACAGAGTTCAACCGAGCTGAAGGTATGTTATTACTGGGTGTGCTTAAGATTGGCATTGCACCACTCACGATTGAATCACAATTCCTCGCAACGAGGAATCGGTCCAAGATGGCCAAACTCGGTATGGATGCGAGCTGACGTGGGTGAAGCTTACCGAGGTCGCCCGTGGCAGCGCTAGAATCATGGGCGAAGTGAACTCACCTTACCCAAGAAATCTAAAAGGTAGAGGCGTGTCGCGAGGCTGCGCACGACAGGTCAGCACGGGGACGTCAAAATAATTGGTTTTGCGAGATTGTATCGTGCCGCAGCAACGCAAGCGACTTGGTAGAAGGAATGAGTCTGGAGAATAGTGATCAGCTCATGCGCGTCTCGGCAACGCGTAGTCTTAGGACTCACAGTTATACGCGCCGAGCGTGGCGCACGCCAAGTTCAGACAATCGTTCCTACATCCAGCGTGAGTCTGAACTTCCGACGTCAGAAGATTGCACTCACCATTCTCAGTGTGTTATACGGTCGTGACGACAGTTGCCGAGCTTGCCAACGGCGACGCAGAGTGCTCCGTTTGCATGGGCCTCGGCGTCAGAACGCGTGGGCAGCCCACGCGTCGCCGCGTGATCGTGGCTCGTCGGCGAATGAGGCGCGGCGAGGCGGCCTGTCAGTCGTTTATGCGTCTGGGAATGCGTCGCGAGTGCGTCGAAAAAAGCGCGGGAGGTGAAGACCAGGTGCGAGGGTCAGTGAAACACTAGGAAGTTGGTGATGATGAATACTCAACTTCGGTTCAAAATCGACTGAGATCCGGCAGGACAACACCGTCATCTGGTAAGGAATGGTCAGTCGAGCTGAGGTATTGGAGACGCGGAGAAAGGAGGGGGGGCGATGTCGATGCAATCGAGGCGGGATTTCCTGGGAGGGCAAGGGGAAGGTCTAGGGCGAGGGCCGAAAGCCGAGGGTGTATGGTCACGATGTACAGGAAAGACAGGAGGACGCGAGGGGTTGACTAGTATGGAGAGGGACGGACCCAGACGAAGGGGGGGGGGGGGGGTCCCGAAAGCAGAAGAGGCGGTGCTGGGACGTGCATTGTACCTGGGGTGCGCCACTTTTGCTGTCGCCGCCAACAAGTGCCGTGAAACGCCTGCTCTCCGCACGACGTTTGCGCGAGAACCACCCCAATTTCTCGCACGCGTCGCGCGATAGTGAAGCGGAGGAGAGTTCGTGGGGGACGTGGGGAAGGCGCTCTTATCGGGTTATGTGAATTTGTCCACAGCTCTCCATCCCCAAGGACGGTGCCGGAGCGCGCAAGCACTGAGGCGAGTATCCGCGATGCAATTCTGTGCAGGTGAGCAATTGACACGAAAGGGGAGGACGCGTGTACGCACGGTTCCCCGCCTCCTCGCACACGCATTCGAGCCGCGGTGTTCGCTGTTGTTGAGCATTTGGCACGAGGAAAAAGCAGCTCGATGATTTGACAGGGCACAGAGAATAACTGAAAGAGAGCGGAAAGACATGGAAAGGTCGCGGACAACGCAGGGGAGGGGATACGGTCGGACGTCGTAGACGGAAGCAAGCAGCAAGGATTACAGCAAGAGGATCGGGATGATATTCGGCCCGCCGAGCCGATTTGACAGTGAAGGGCACAAGTAGGCAGCCCCATGAGCCGAGCTTGCTCCATGAAAGGTGAAGATAAGTTTGGGCTACGAAACCTATGCTCTTGAATATTTTGGAGGATTCTGACGGCGGGGATACGGCAAAAGACTAGCCTGTCGAACATTGTGGCTGTGCGTCGAGTGATGGGGCTGTGCTAACGGACATTGCCGAATCCGCACGTGTACAAACAATATTCAAAGCGTCACACCGACAGAAACTGAGAAAATAAGACTTGGTACAGCGGAAGAATATGTACCAAAGACTACGCCTGAATTCTTATCAACGATCAGAGCAATGACGAAGAGGTACATCGAACGATTGCCCATTCGACATTCGGAGATAACTTTTGATCGACCGCTTGGACGTCTGATCTTGCTGACGGTCCACCGGTGTAAGACGAGCCTGGCAAGCAGGTCTCGTAATAGCGTATAGTCCGTTCGACCTACATATTGTTCTTGTTCGCAGCCCTGTTCCATGAACACCGTTTTCTAACTATAGATGTATAGAGCGAGCACCAGTAGGCGACGAGTAGTTGTATTGATGAGGAGTTGGGTATCTCCTTCGCAAGCACAGTATAAGCGCGCTGTGCTGGTGCTGACTTGCTCGATGTGCCACAAATCATAGGCAGCAATATTGTCAGCAGCCCGTCACTGGCTTTACCGCCAAGGCGAGAACAGTGATTAGACAAGGCTCAGATTAGCTGAAGGCGACGGGGAATTCTGCGAGCGCGATAACAAGAAGGGAGAAACATAGATCTCCCTGCCGGCAATTTCCGAGAAAGCTACTGCAGGAGAATAACCACCGCCGACGCTAGCGCAGACTCGAACGCGGAACGTGTTGCAGCCATCACGTGCCTCTCCCACTTTCCCTTCACTCCGCCCCTCGTCCGCGACCCCGCAGGCGCCGTTTGTGGCAGAGCAGGAGGTGGCAAGGAAGCTCCGAGGCAAAGAACAAAAACAAGTCCGTAGACGTTGCCCAGGCCGTAGCACTGTAATCACAGTCGCCGTAGCGGTACCGCGCCCTCGTAAGGGAGGCATATCGGGATGGGCGGTCGTAACCACTGAACCATCCCAACTGCGAAAGTAGGTAAACGGACGGTTAATATATACCCACTTTTTGGCGCATTTTGCTCGCGAACGGGGATTGCTAGAGGCTCGCAGATGGTGTCAATCAGAAGCCTAGGAGCATTGAAGAGTTCCTGGTATACATCGGAGAGCGAGAAGGAGTAACATCGTGCAGAATGACGGTCTCTAAGTTTTGTAGGCATTGCGTTGAAGACATGAGAACATTACGAGCCATCGCACTCGTTCCTCATTACCAAGGCATCGATATCATCTTCTGAGGACGAGTAGTTCGGCGAGTCAGCGATACCAGCCAGTAAGAGCATGATCCTTCGGAGGTCGTTGGTCGTGAACCATAGCGTGCGAATGCGGTTCCTGCCGTGATCTCGGCAACGTCCGACTTCCCCAATAAGGAAGGCGTGACAGCTCGTGTGTCCCAGAAGAACCTTCACCTGGTCCGAATACGAAGGATGCTCTGCTGCTGCTGCTGCTGCGCCGCCTCCTTTGGATATACTGCAAAGTACAAGCCCTGAATCTTGACAATTCTGACCTTGCACGGTAATCTGTCACAGACAAAAACACCGCGAACTGCGGAATCGTTTTGTCAAGCGAGCAGTCGCCGACCCTTTCATCACTAGTCCCCTCTTACTGAGGCCGACGGTGAGCCCCGTACCCAACGCTCTCATCTGACTGAACACCCTTGAATGGACTTCTGCAGTGGCCAGCTCTCCGTGCGGCGTCGACCGAACTCCCACGACACACACGGAGCTTGATGGGTGGGCCATGGCTCAAAGAGAACAAAGGCGAGGGCAGTTGGTCGAATGGTTAGTCTGCCATGCTTCATTTGACTACCGCCAGAACATTCCCCGTATGGGAATTGTGTCGGCAACTGCGATGCGCAGCTGCACCGGAGGGTATGCGCGCCGCCGTCGTAATATAAGGTGAGCCGTTCGTGCGTGCTGCTTCTCGCGCTCTCCATCCCACTCTTTCGCAACGAACTGCCGACAATGCCGCTGCCGCTTGAGCGCTCCTTGTCTGACGTGTTGCCAGTCGCCCCTGCGACGTCGAGCGCGTTGGCGAGCCCAGCGTTTGCGCTCGAATTCCATTCTCCGGCGAGGGAAGGGCGCATCACAAAGGCCGACCGAATTCAGCAAGCTCTTCTAGCAACGGCGCTTAACTTTTTCAGTCACTTGCCCGTCGAGCTGATGCTGATGATCTTCACCGAGGTCATCAGTGAGGAGACGTCCTCCTGTGACTATACCTTCCTCTACGCTGGGCTCTACACCCATAGGCGCCTGGCAGCGGTCTGCAAGTGGTGGCATGCGGTCATCAAGGGCATTCCGCCGCGAACTGGGAGGCGGTTGTACTGTAATGTCAACCTCAGCATCAGCACCTCAATGACGCCTATGAGCGCGGGCGACATGGCCTCTATGCTGAGGGACTACCTAGCAAACTCCGGAAACGAAAACCTGAACGTCTTGATTGACTTACGTTGTGCCACTGGAAGCCTTCGACCGTGTGCCCTCGCCCTCATCGCACAGTCCCATCGCTGGCGGTCCGCGCGAATTGTAGGAGATCTACACGACGAAGACGCCCGCTCCGCCCTCGCTATGCTCACCGGCCGACTTCCAGTCCTACAAACCCTCGAGTTCGGGCACATCCCTGCGACCGAGATCAACGAGACCACAGAGGAAGTTGACTTCGGCTTTCTCGCCCACGCCCCAGCGCTCACGGAGCTCTTCCTCCTTGGACCCTTCTCGGCCTCTCTCATCAATATCACGATCCCCTCCAACAACATCATCCGCAGCTTCGGCTGCGATGGAATCGAGGCTTATGTGCTGCTCGACTATCTGGACGAGATGCCCGGGCTGCAGGAGCTCGATTTCGCGTACGATGACTATGAGGAAGACGGTGACGAATCTGCCGATCCCGAGCCCGTCACCACCAGTCTTGGGTTGCCTTATCTCACCAAGCTCATCCTTCGCAACACGGCTTACGCTGTCAAGAGCTTCTTCATCGCCGCTGTGTCCCTGCCGGCCATCGAGAAGGTCATTTTCAGTAAGGATGGCTTCCATGTTGCAGCTGCCTTAACCGCGTTGAAGGACAGGAAGCGTCAAAGGGGTGATGCTGACGGGGTCATCACCCGCTTCCTGCACTAGTCGCTAGCATGCATTCAGATTCCCTCCGCCCAACAATCGCATGCTCTGTACTCCTACATAGTAATTTCGCTTACCTTTCGCGCTGGAAATCCAGGTGTAGCGCCGTGTGGCTCCCTGAACGCTGCGTCTGCACCACTCACTTCTCCTATCTCGCTTTGTATTTTTCCTTGTTCTTCTAGCCTGTCTCCTCACGCCCATAATACAGGACTGGTGTCTACAGTTATGTCACCATGCATCGTCTCTGTACCGTAATTCAGCTCGTAATCTATCATGGCGCCCTCTCCGAATTCGCGGGCCGTGCTTTTCTCTCATCGAGGACTATCGTCCTTCTTATAGCATCGTTTCAAGTACGTGACCACTATGATACAACAGGATATCCTGTACAAATCGGGGAACCATATCTTCATCCCTCACACCACCTCCCGATACGACGCCTTCCCCTTCTCCCCGTCCGCCACCCACTCCTCTTTCGTGACCCGCTCGTCGTCCGCGTCTTGTTCCTCCTTCGCCTTCGTCCTCGATGCGCCCAGATCGTCCTCCACACCGATGGCTGACTCGCCGACCTTGTCGACCTTGTCCCTGTACGCGGGGATGAAGTTGACGCAGAGCGGGTACGTGTAGGCGGAGACGAAGAACATCGTGGGCACGATCATCGCGAAGGCGGTACTGTTACGCACGTCGGCGACGGCAGCGAGGATTGGAGGGACTGGTCGATGAAATTAGCCAGGGAGTGAGTGGGAAGACGAATGAGAGAGATGCGTGAGCAGAGTAGAGGTGAAGAAATAATCCACTGCATCGAGAGAATAGGAGAAAGTACTCACCACACGCGCCTCCGGAAACACCGCCCACGATCCACCCAGATCCTCGCTTCGTATGCCGGCCCAGTCCACGAATACCCAAGGCGACGATGGTCGGGAAACACACGCTCTCGAAGAACAGCGTCAACATCAGCATCGCTAGGCCGGTATTCCTGGAGATGGGAAATGCTCGTCAGCTTTCATCGCACTTGACTTCCCACATCGCGGCTGGGGTTCCTCCGCCACGGCTGGGTTTCTTCCCCCACGATTGGGCTTGTTCCACCACGACTAAAAACTCACCCTCCTTCCTTGATACTCGCTGCACAGAACGCGATCACCCCGCTCAGATAGATCAAGAACACGATCCGTGGCTTCACAAACTTCATGAGCAGCGCGCCAGAGAAGCGGCCCACCGCGAAGCAGCCCTGCGCGGCGGCGAGGAAGTTCGCGCCGAGTGCGCTGTCCGTGCCCGGGCGGACCTCCGTGACGTAGTTGATGAAGTAGCCGGCGATGGCAACTGGGGAAGGGTTAGACTTGAGGTGAAAGGGAGAGGAGATAATGCTCACCCTGCGCCCCAGTATAACAGAACTGTGCCCAAGCAGCGTGGAACAAGGTGTACTGCTTCCAGAACGGCTTCTCATTGTTGTCGCCGACGTGCGTGAGCTCGGCCTGCTCGGCCATGTCCGCGTCTAGTTGTTGGAGTTAAGGTAAGCACATCGCATCTAGACAAACATTCTCAAAAGAGTACTGACCTGTCACCTCCGGAATAGTCACAAGATAGAAAACGACGGCGAGGCAAAAGACGAAAGCCCCGATGGCGAGGTAGACCCACTGCACGCTCTTGAGCGCGTCAACGGAGTCGCCGGTGTCAGTGAAGAACACGTAGGATCCGAGGACGGGGCCGATGACTGGTGTGATGCGTTAACCTAATCACTCTACTAGAGTCAACACACTCGGACTCACCAGTCCCCACAGCCTGTACCGCCTGCGCCAGGTTGATGCGCAACTCAGCGTACCTCGGCGGTCCCGTCACTGCACGATATTCATCAACAATCTGCCTTCATGAAGTACAACTACCCAGTACGCACCCGCCATGTACGGATTCGCCGCGGTCTCCAAGCACCCGAGCCCACTCCCGATGATGAACGTCGCGCCGCAAAAGCCGCCGAAGCTCTCCTTGAGCGCCGCGGGCCACATCATGAACGCGCCGATGCCGTAGAGGACGAGGCCCATGATGAACGTCGCGCGGTAGCCGTAGTGCCGGAGCACCCAGTTGCCGTAGCCGAGGGAGGCGAGGGGGTAGGCGCCGAAGTAGGCTGGAGGGAAGACGCGTCAGATGGTTTGTGAGACAGGAGACGGATAGGGAGGGGATTTCCAGGGAGAAGGGAGGAGAGGGAACGCACCGGCTTGCAAGCCTGACGATCTGGTACGCGTGATACCGAGTGTGTTCTGGAAGTGCTTGTTTAGGGTGTCGAGGAGGCCATACGCGAAGCCCTGCAATCCAAGTTTGAGTGAGAAGACGGCGATCAGACGCAAGAGTATGAACGCACCCATAGGAAATACAGGATCGTGACGAGGAACAGCGGGAAGATTGTCTCTCGCAGCGTCAAGGCCGCCGCATCCGTGACGCGATTGCCCACTTTGAGCGAGTGTCTCTTGAAGAAGCCGGTCATGGTGGGCAGGGCTTGAGTAAAGTCGCGTTCTTCGTGTCGCGTCGTATACAACCCGCGGACCAGATGCGATCGTCGACCCGGTGGGAGCGCAGGTCAGCCAAGCCTCCCCCTTTACCTCACTCCCGCGCTTTAAGTGAGCTCCTCCTCCGACGGGCCGGTGGGTGCGTCTATAGCGCTGTGGGGGTGCTGTGGGAGGGTCATCTGAGGCCGGATGGAATTCATCAGAGGCCGGGTAGCATTCAGACGATGCGCGAAGGTGGCGCGTTGATCATGGGAAGAACACTTCGAGGCACCACCAAGGAGAGCACCCAGCATCACACGGACGCGCATCCCATGACCAGCCGCTGTCGCGCGTTGCTGCGGGGGGATGATATGTGCGTCCTAAGAGTGGTCGTTGGCCTTGGAAAGGAGAACACAGGTGTCGAGAACATCGTCTTGCTGAACAACGCCTGAAAAGCTACATCGGTAGATTTTGCGGTCGTATACGCGGTGAGTCCCAAGCTTCACACCCAAGCCTGTCGCTATCAGTCGATAGAAGGGCCTGACGTGGTATCGACGACATCTAGCGCTAGCTGCTCACGAACATGTTTAGACGGGGTGCTGGGCACCACGTGAGAGCGAGCGGTGCGGAGATGCGGGGCATCAGCGCGGCCCGCGGGGCCCCGCATGTCCGCGGTTATTGAGCGGGGTGCAATTGGCGCGCTAGGCAGACATGGCGAGGAGGTATAGAAGGTGAGTGTGCCGGTCTTCCTGTCTTCTACCAGGAACAAGTGCTCATTCTGTATAATTCCCTCCGTCAGCGAAGTCTCAACAGGAATGGAGAAGCGGCGAACCTCCGAATCTATCAACACGTCGCAGGCATATCTCAGTGAGCTCTCGAAAACAACGTGCCCAAGCTCAGAACAACACTCGCCAGCACAGATCTATTGCTCTCTCGCCTTCTTATAGTCCTCTATCCACTTCTTCTCCACCTCCCCCTTCGGCAGCACCACGAAGCTCAAGCAGCCGTCCCTCAGCTCGAGCCCGTCCCGCGGCTGCCCCTCCTTCGCCCGCGACGCCTCGAACACCGTCCGCAGCGTGTGGTTCTTGCCCACCTTCAGCAGCCGCTTCCCCCGTGTCATCGCGTACACGTTCAGATTGCCCGTCACATACTCCCCTGCCTTGTCCCACTCCGGGGGAGGAGCTTGGGGAGGGAACATAGCCTCGAGGTGCGCGCTAAAGGGCGTGTCCTCGTGGAACTCCTTGATGAAGTCGGACTGGGCGTGCTGCGGGTAAAGGAAGAAAACAGGGAACAGCAGGCTTGATTTTGTCGCGTCTTCGGGGTCCCATTGAGGCTCGGCGTCACTCTTGTCGCCGGAGAGGAAGAGGCTCCGGGCCTAAGACGGTAGGTCAGGCAACTCGTACGCATACTGATGGAGAGGATTTACCCTCAGTGCTTTTTGCATCAGGAGCTTTTCCATCTCCCTCTGCTGCTGTGCACGCTTCTTGGCTTCCTTCTGCTCGATGAGCTTCACGGCGCGTTCGCGGAGCCCCTTCATCGCCAGATTATTTGCATCGAACGCGAGGGCCCTGTCGCAGCAATCGAGCGCGTCTTCCGCGCGCTCAAGCGCCAAGAGTGCCAGCGCAGATCGATAGAAAGCCTTCGACGAACGAGGGTTCAAGGTGATCGCCTTCGAACAATCCCTCAAAACGGAGCCGTAGTTCTCTAAGATCCTGGTCAGTTCAGCGAGATCCCGGATATCTAGGTGGGGGCGAACTTACTTAGCTCAAGGTTGCATGCCGCGCGATTGCATAGCAGGGCCTCCTGTAATGCCGGATCGGTCGGCTTCGCGTCGATCGCTTGGGTGTAGAAGCCCAGCGCCTCGCGCCACCGCTTGCCCTTGAAGTAGTCGTTCCCTTGCTCCTTGAAGTTTTGTGCGACCTCTGGTAGGGTTTTCGTAAGTAATTCCGATACCAGTACATCTATAGGACGGATCTTACTCACCATCCGGCGTCCCCTCATACGCCAGATCCTGCAGCGCCGCGATCGTTGCGTCCTCCGTATCCTCCTCCGGCAAACTCTTCATAAACAGTGGAATTTTGTCGAACTCAGCCAGCTTGGCCTCATAGTCGATATCTCTCGGTTGTGGTCCTGTCGCTGCCATGTTTGAGGTGGTTCAGGGCGTGAAGCCGTACAGATGTGATGGTCGGAAACAAGATAATGGTACGCACGTGGTGCGCGATCGCCATTGTTCTCGACACTCGCGTGGCTACCCGCTGATGTTGTGGCTATGCTGCGAAGCACTTGTTCCCTTTTGGGCGGACCGCAAGCGCTCGCTTCGAACCGTCATCTCCCGACTCACCTCGGGCCCACATCCTATCTCTGGGGGCGTGAGACCTGATTTCATGTACCAAAATAATCTTGAAAGTCAAGTATAACTGATCCTCGCTTTCTGACTCACTCCCAACTCTTCCCGCGCCTTCACCTGCGGCTGAACTTCTAACGACGATATAGCCCACGGACTCATATTTCCCTCTGACAATACTCAGAGCCTTTTCTTCGAGGCTCTTTACTGCACGCACTATCATCGCCCGCAGCAATCTTGAATACACACCGACCAGGTTCATCTTTTGAGTGGTTTAAATCATGCGTGCAGTGCGTGGTCTGAAGGCTGCCTTAAATGACTCCGGAAGGTTCAAATTCAAGGTATGTTTGGATTTTCACTTTCATCATCCACAGCTTCATTGGCGTACTCAACCTGCCCGGGCTTCTAGGAACCGGAGGCTGCTGTGGATAGCATCGTCATCGGAGGAGGTTACTTGGGTTACCTTCTTCACGCCCTCCCAGTATGCTTACTTTTGATAGGTGTCGTTGGTCTCGCAATTGCGCGAAGACTGATACAGCTCTTCCCGAGCAAGTCTACATACCTCGTGGAACGACACAATACTGTCGGTGAGGAGACGAGCTCGAGGAATTCGGAAGTTATACACTCGGGTAAACGGTACATTAACGATCCCTCTCAGTCTCTGCTGACATTTTGGCAAGGTCTCTACTACCCACCGGACTCGCTGAAGACCCGCTTATGTCTTCGTGGTCGAGATCTGCTGTACGAGCATTGTGAAGCCAACGACATCCCCTTCCGCCGCACCGGCAAACTCGTCGTAGGACACAAAGACCAACTCGACTACATACATGGCCTCTACGCAAAAGCCCAGAACCTCCGCTGGCCCGCCAGCTACGCGCGCAAAGCCGACCAGCACTTCGCCGGCAAAGGCCCCGTGCTCCCCGTCGAGCTCCTCTCCGGCGCACGAGCCCGCGAGCTGGAGCCCGACCTCTCGCCCGACATCGCGGGCGCGCTCTGGGTCCCCGCCACGGGCATCATCGACAGCCACGAGCTGATGCAGAGCCTCGAGCGCGACGTCGACGACGCGGAGAACGGCGCACTCGTCTACTCGACCGCCGTCACCCGCATCGACCGGCTGCCCGGCGAGGGCTGGGTCGTGCAGACCGCGACTGCGGGCGCGGGGCCGGAGGATGCCACCGCCCTCCTCGCGCGCACGGTCGTCAATGCCGGCGGGTTGACTGCGCCGCTCATTCTGAACGCTATTGTGCCAGAGTCCGCGCGTATCCCGATGTACTTCGCCCGCGGGTCGTACGCGTCATACAAGGGGCCCGGTGTCGCTGCCGTGCGGCACCTCATCTATCCCTGTCCTGAGGTCAACCAGGGCAAGGGCGCCGCCGCCTTCCAGTCGCTCGGCACCCACCTCACCATGGACCTCGCCAACCGCATCAAGTTCGGGCCCGACCTTGAGTGGCTGGACCCGCCGGTGGGCGAGGACGGGATGGAGAGCGAAGACGCCGCGGACTTCTGGCAACGCCACCTCGTTCCGAACGACGCACGGATGGACGAGATGTACCAGGCGGTGACGCGGTACCTGCCCGGTGTCGAGCGCGATGGGTTCCAGCCCGACTACGTGGGCATTCGTCCCAAGATCGCAGGTCCGGGGGCGGGGTTCCAGGATTTTGTGATCAGGGCGGATTACCCGGGCGAGCAGGAGAAGGTGAACCCGATGATCAGCTTGCTTGGGATCGAGAGCCCGGGGCTGACGTCGAGTCTGGCGCTTGCGGAGTATGTGGTGGATGGGGTGTTGAAAGGGGCGGAGCCAGCGAACTCGTGAGGGGCTGCGAAGCCGTGCATATGATCTGTCGCCTCATTTACGAGGGGGGCACAGCTTGCAATGTTGTAAAGCATAGTACAATGATTTGAGGAAGCAGCGATACAAAGTGATGGACCAAGGGTCTATTGGTGATAAAATACTAAAGTGATGTTATGAGTCGACGAAACAATCTCGATAAATAGCCGTTGTGCACAACAAGCCCAACCCCCATGCCCAGGTCCACTATACGTAGTTGACAACAAGCCTCTCAACATCGCCTCCGCCATCATGTATATCGCTCTGCAGAGCAACCATGACCTCCGTCTCGGACTTCTCGTCTCTCTTGATGGTGACCTCCTCAATGGCAGGGAAGCAGAGGAAGTCAAGAAGCTCGCTAGACACTGCCTGTGCCGTGTCGCGGATGATCAGCTGCTTCAGATGGGACAGTTCCAGAGCGATGTCTTCGTCCTCTTCGATGCAGTGGCAGCAGGTACAACTAGCGTCGACGTCGCCGTCCTGTTCATCGCTACAGAATTCCCAGTTGGGGCTGGCGAGGCCAGAAGGGCCCGAGAAGTCCAGTCTCTCCAAGTTCGGCATCAACACCAGGAAGTCGAGGAGCACTTCCGCGTCCATGTCCTTGCAGGTGAATGAGGTGATGTTATCGTAGAGCACGTACACGTCGATGAGGGACGTGCCCAGCGAGCCAGCGAGCGTGAGGTTCGTCAGGGCGAGGGCGTGCTCGAAGAAGTCGAAGGCGACTTCATCCGTTTCCTCTTTGATGGGGGCTGTTCCGACGTCCTCGAGCGATAGGTTGCGAAGGATGGGAAGGTCACCGGGGTGGGCGATCAGGGAGAGGGCGGAGTGCGCGCCCTCGTCGCGTAGGTCGCCGATGATGGAGAGGGACTGCAGGCGGTGAGACTGTTCGAGGACCGCGCGAACGTATGGCGGAATGCCACCGCTGACGAGGCTGAGGTCGAGCCTCACATTGAGTGGCTCGCTGCCGGAGAACCCTAGGTATTCGTGCATCATGGAAGCCTTGACGTCGTCGCTGACCATCGAGGTCGCGCAGTCCTTTCCCAAATGAATATTGCTGTAAGTCCATGGCCTCCGCCGTAGTGCCACGACTATAGCGCGCCACAATGCGCAGACGAGAGCGAGACGGCGATGCGCGTACATGCCCCGTTTGAAGAATGCGGAGCTGACAGTCTCGTCGATGAGAGCTGTTACTATGATCTCGTCCAGGAGTTCGAGAGGTAGGCGGCGGATGGGTCCGTGTTGGATAATGGATGTAGGGGCTTGAGCGCTTTGACCGGGCATGATCTGCGGCTGCTGAGCGATGGTGGTCGATGCCAAGGACGCCAGAGAGCCCGACGTCGCAGAGGCGCCAGCCAGTATGTCGGGAATGGAGTGCGTCTGGATAAATGGCATCGTCAGCGCGGATGTACAATGGATCTGGGTTGGCAGGGGATGGGGTGCGCTGGGGACAAGGAGAATGCATAAGCACTCGTCTTATATTACAGCGGCGCACATAGCCTCTCTCGCAGCTGCGCATCCCGACACTGAGGTCGAAATTTCCATACGGGGCAGTACTCAATTGAAACAGGGCGGGCTATAGTCAGGGGATCAACCGACCTGCTTTTGTTCTCTTTCAGCAATGGCCCGCCCATGCGAGCTCCGAGCAAGTCGTGGGAGTCCGCGTCGACGCCGCTGACCTGAGTTTTACACTCAGGGTCTTCATTTCAAAAGAGAGCGTTGAACCGTCGGCCTTGACGAGGGGCAGCCGAGCACGGAGACAAGGGCTCGATTTGAGAGTCCGAGAGATAGGTCCGCAGTTACAATCGTCGCAGTATTGGTGTCGTGAGAAGCCCGTTTCCAAAGGTGAGTTCGCTGAGAGACTTGATTCAAGACAGTTGGGTGATATGCGAGGAGTGGCGGCGCGGCACTTCGGACATAGCGCGGACTTCGTGGGAGCAGGCGAAGAACACCATATTCGCCTGTCGCATAGACGCCGCAATGAAGGCCTCGAGTTTCCGAGCCCACAAAGAAATTGCGAACCCACCGAAGCGACCCGGAGCCTAACTTTGGCTGCGGCCCAAGTTCGCGCGATTCGAAGGCTAGTGCCGGTGGAAAAAGTCACGAACATGTCACGAGTTGAACAACAGTTTTGCCTTTTTGGGGACCGGCTCCGAGCTTCGCTGGAATCACGCCATGGCCTTCACTCCGGTCCATAACCGACGAAGTTAAGCCCCAAGATCTATTTCACCGCCTTGAAAGCGCATCGTTATCTAGAAAGCCCCAGCGCGCGACGCGTCGTGCCATGGCCAGCCACCGTTGCATCTTGCGCGTGGGGCATCTAAAGGGCGGCTCGAGAGCACCAATCAATGCTGCCAGCTAGAGTCGCAATGGCGCACTGATTCGAGTCCCTGTGAAAGAGGGTTGGTCTCGGGGCAGAAAAAAGGAGATAGCCGCGAAAAGTGATACCTACCCACAATGGCAAAAACCTTCTGTCATGGCATGCTGTCTTTCCAAGTGGCAGCACCACCAAGCGACGGTCCTGAGACCGAGTACCCCAGCTCTTGGACCGCGTCTTGCAAAATGGCCGTGATCTCGCTCCTGTTATCGTCTTTCGCCTCTCGCAAGCCTTGTATTCGATCCATCTTCTCGCCAGCCAACGGCGCGCCAAAAGTGACGCTCAGCTTTTGGCCGACGCGCGGGAGGTACTTGTACGGGAATACCCGGCCCTCAGGCATGAGTTTGTTGAAGCCGGTGAGCCACATGGGTATGATGATTGGGGGGGCCTGGACTTCTTGAAGGATGCGTCCGCTGGGGAGATTTAGTGACGAATGACAGGGATATTGGGGCAATGGACGTACACGCCCCAGCGGAATCTGGGTAATCGGGCGATGTCGTCGAGGACGGCGTAGGTATCCGGCTGGTTTACCTTGCCCTCGCCGAAGAGGTGGATCTAGAAGGGTAAGATTACGACGAGACAAGATGCGAGAATTACCCACCCATTCGCCCTGGTCGAGCTTTGCGATGGCCGTGTCTATGGAGGGCTGGTAGATGCCCTTTCCACGGAAGGTCTCGAGGACCTGGCCATTCCGGAAGAACCAGGAGAAGACGCTGCGGGTAATTGAGCGGTCGTCGGTGGAGGTAAGGTTTGCGTACGGATTAGTGAACATTATATCGGACGCGCCGAGGGTCCAGCGCATGAAATGGCTATTAAAGTAGTATGGAGTGGGCAGCACGCCCCATGTGACGGGGTCATCGAGCCTGAGTTGAAGTTCAACATTGTGTTGTGGGTCCGCGCGTTCGCGGTCACGCACGTCGAGATGTGGTTCGAAACTGGACGCTCCGTCAGCGCGGCGGGATATGGGACTTACGTAAGAACGTGCCGGTGACGACGCCGCGCCTGGGCTGCGCCTCGAGGGCGGCCTGGAGGTGGTGGAGGCCCGCGATGTCGAGGGAGCAGAGGCCGGACCTGAGGAAGGCCTTGCAGGTGAGCCCGACGGCGGCGACGGTGAGCATCAAGAGCGGCGAAAATTACAAGTTGAAGTTCGACTTCGGAGCGGAAGCTGTCACGCGTCTTATGTAACGCGTGGAATATCGTCCCACTAGTCCCTCGCGCCCACCTCGCCCTCGCCCCGCTCACCGCGTCGTCCCCCCCGCACCCAGGCAGCCGTGCCGAGCCCGTCAGCGGTGTCCGCCCGCCGACGGCATCGCCAACGATGGTCGCCGCCGCCATGCTCAGCTCCCTCGCTGCCCTCCTTGTCGTCTACCTCTTCATGCCCGCCCTCTGGTTGTCCTTCCTGAACGACGACCCGTTCGACTACCATGACCACGGCCGCACACTCGTCGCGTCCAGTGCGTGTCCTGCAGCCTTCTTACCCCGCCCCCGCTGACCCCGCGCCAGGGAACCCATTCCGAGAGACGGGACCGCCGGCGAATATGGCTAAGGTGCGTCTGGTCCCGTGCGCAGGCAGTGCAGTGGTCTGACCTTTCCCCCAGCTCATCTTGCTGCGGCATAAGGTACCCGACCCCTACCTCCGCCTCCCTGGCCCGCGGCTGACTTGCCTTCCCCCTCCTCCCAGATCCAGACCAGCAACAGGAAGCGGCGAAACTCCTCGCAGGCGCGCCCTTCCCAGCGACCATCCTTCCACGTCGTGCAGTCCCCGCGCCCGAAAAACGCCTGGATACGCCTCGGGAGACCCTTCGGCGGACGCCAGCACCACTGAGTCGAGCCGAGCACGCCGTCGCCCGCGCCAGCATTCGTGCTGCCCGCGTCGACGCCTACTCTGCCCGCGCCAGTGTCCACGCTACCCCGCTGTCGCTTCTCTCACATACCTCTGCTCCCCGCATGCCGCCGCCCGTGGATGCGTATCTTATTCTTACTTCCGACGATACCCCCCATCCTCGAGCACCCATGCTCGGACTGTATATCACACTAGGGATCCAGCAAGACTTTCGTGTTCACCGGAGACTCTAGTCCTCATAGGAGGCTCCTCGTCTCTATCGGAGACTTGGGTCTTCGTCGAGGCTTTCGTCTTCACCGCTATCCCGACTATTATACCTTTCATATCCTGTAACTCTAGGGTGCACTACCGCGCGAGGGCGACATACTTAACCTTTCAACGAGGGCAACATACTTTACCAACCTACTCACTATTGGGACGACACAAGGAGACGGCGGTCCACCATGGGTGGAAGCAGTAGACTCCGCTACGAGAAGCAGTGCACACGACCTTCGAGAACACAAATATCACAATGCTTGACGAGCTCATGACGTTTTCCGCAGACGGTTGGCGTCGGATACGTTTAGCAAGCGTCTCTCCACGCCGTGAGCGTGTAAGCAATGGCTCGATAGTCTGGGAAGCCCAAGATCTTCTTTCTGGACATAGACTGTGATATGATGCTGCGACCATGCTTCCTGAATCCAACGTCGACGTCGACCACGGCTATCCATTCATGCACAACCAACGGAAATAATGGCTTCCACTTGACCATAGTACTTCAAGCTTTGCTGGGCCTTACCGTCTCCCTCGTGTGACATGTTGACGGCGGTTGACACTCAGCCTATGCTAGCGCAAAGAGTTCGTCAAAATTGTCTTTCTCAATGACGTTAGATCTTTCTAATACCGAAGGTCCTCTTGAATGAAATAGCTGTGTGCGAGAAGCACGTCTGCTTTGCATGGAAGGTACATGCGGTGCCGGTCATAGCGCAGCTTCGGCAGGTTCCGGTTTGGCCATTCGGTGGCATACCAGCGCTCGTCTGGTGGCACCCAGCCGTCGACTACAGGCTCATTGCCATCCTTTCCTAGTCTTTCTATTCCCGGCTACCTTTCCCAGCCGACGGGCCTTCATGCAGGGTAAGTAGATTCATTCGGACCATCAAGTGAGCTATGACCATCCCCAGCGCATCGCATTCGAACAAAAAACACGCGGGTCACAAACTTCTTGCAGGTCATGGCCGACAAATAACAAATGGAGACCCTGATGACCTACTTATATCGTGGTGCGCGTTGTTGTCGCCCCCTGCATTACCGTTCTCCCCCCTGCGCAGATTACTCGTTGCCTCCATTGCGCCCCATTACTCGTGTCCTCCCCTGCACCAGCTTATCTGCATCAACCGCAGCCAATTCATGTCTCTCGAGCTCGTCGATGGTCGTGTCGTGGCGAGGGCCACCGAGGAGAATGTCAAGGAGCGTCGCGCAAATATCAAGAGTCCCTTGGAAGCCGCCCCCAAGCCCTTCCCGATCAACGATCTGCCCAACGAACTCCTGCACACAGTCTTCAGCTTCGCCTGCACCCCGAAGCAGTTCAAGCAAAGCAGAGCCTCGTGCAACTTCTTCAGTTATCGCGACAACATACCCCGCGCGCTCAACGACGTCTGCGCGCGGTGGCGCTCTGTCATGCGGCACCCGACGGCGGCGACCTTCTACCAGTTCGTCTACTTCGGCAACCATACTACGTGGTCGCCCTTGAGCACAGAGAACAAGATGCTCTGGGTCAAGACGCACCTCGAGCGCTCGCGCGACAAGCCTCTCGTCGTAGGCCTTAGCGACTACGTGAACGTCCGCAACGAGTTCGTGCCATATATCGATCTCGTGTGCGCCGAGTCGCACCGCTGGAAGGAGGCGACGATCTTCGGTGACCTGCAGCAGCCCTGGGCGGGGGGGAAGAGGGAAATGGGCCTGCTGAGGAACATCTACGACCGGTCATTCTGCGCACGCAACCCCAAGCTCCTCGCCGTCGACCCCCTCTGTCTCGATCAACTCGAAGTGCTCACGACCGACCTCGACGACGCGGGCTTCCTGATCAGCATCCTCGCCACGACGCCCAACTTGCGCGAGCTCTACTGCGCTCACGAGCACGGCGCGCACAGCTTAGAAGACATCCCCGACGATCTGTTCTTCGAGGAAGGCGTGTCTCTTCCCAAGCTCAAGTCGGTCTACTTCGGTGACGCACATTGGGCGTATTATGCCGGGATCTCAGCGACTCTGCGCCCGCCTGTGCTGGAGCAGATTGTTTTCTATGATGCGGATAGCGTGTGTTTCTTCCATGAGGGCGAAAACGTGGAATTCGAGTTGAAGCAGCACGTCAAGAATCCCGACCAGGTTCGCGTTATATCACACTTCCCTCAACGTCTGCTGCACTAGCGCCGAAAGATTATGTCAGAGCGTTCTAGTTACAGTCTCGATACTATACAAATAATTAATACGTCTTGTCCCTTCTTTTCTCTCATTCCTTGGGCTGTGTTCTGCTTGAGGCACGCCCGTCGACGGAGAAGATAAGCAGAAAGCTGCGACTGCTGGCGAGGCTCTTAACATGACTACGTAGAGGTCAAGAACGAAGAAGGGGAAAACCTCGGTCGGACAAAGAGTGTTAGCAACGTTCGAGTTCCCACTATAGTGGGTAATAGCTTTGTTTGTGGGCCTTTGTTCTGCCATCACATACCCGATGGGGTTGGAGCACATGGCGTTCAATGTTCGCCTTGGATGTTTGTCCATCAATTAATCCGTTCTTTTGTTCCACCACCACCATCGAAATCCCCTCGTCACTCACTGGCCTCACGAGCGCGGCTCGCGGCACGTTTCCTATCGCAAAGAAATTGTGTGAGGGTGGCTCGCGATCGGAGACTACGATGACGCCCTTCATGGAGTCGCAGATCGAGCAAGTCGGTTGCGGCATCCAGGACTTGCCACTCGAGCTTCTGCTCACCATATTTGACTTCGCCGTGGAAGTCACCGTTGACGTGCAGCTCTACGACTTCTTTGACGTTGCGCACAACACCTACCGCGCCCTCCGAGATGTGTGCCCGCACTGGCGCACGATCGTCGAATCCTCCCCTGCAGCTACGTGGTACAACAACGTTCTTCTCAGCAAGCAGGCCGTCAAGTCATCTCTACACTGGACGGAGAAGTCAGACTGGGTCAGAGACTACCTCGCCCTATCCGGCGACGCGCCACTCAATGTCTATCTGGCCTTCACTGGTGTCACGCTGTACTTGGAGCACGTCTGCGACGAAGCGCACCGCTGGCACACGGCCACTATCGTAGGCAGCCCTCGCGGTGCGGTCGACTACTTCAACATGCTCCAGACCACGCCGGCGGCGCTTACGGACCTCGTACTGGTGTTCGAACCTGGCTTCTCGGATTCTACATCCATCCTCGAGCTCCTCCGCTACTGTCCCAGCCTCCAAACGTTGCGACTCGAAGCAAAGGAGGTCATCACCTTCAGTACTAGGGACACTTGGCTGTGGATGGTAGAGCCGTCGTGGTACCCGGACGGTGTGACTCTTCCCTGCCTCACGTACCTCTATATCGGAGAATGTAATTGGCTTATGGACACTGGTATCGAGCGCATTCTGCGACTTCCCGCCCTCAAGACCCTCCGCTGCTGTTCGTTCAGCATACCTCGGGAAAGAGCCCAAGCTCGCTGCCTCGTCAATATCGTCGGGGTTCTCGCGGAGCACGTCAAAGACCTCGACGCCCTGGACTTCGAATATGAGTTCGGGGTTAAATTCTTGTAGTAGGTGTCGAAAACAATCATGTCATGTTATGAAGAAGGTCGGAAAGGAATGTTGCTTGTTGAACAGTTACTGCAAGAATATTCTTAGACAGATCGAGCTTTCTGCATCATAACCCTTATTCAAACCATCATAGGATCGGATATATCTATACGTCCCATTTCATATATCATTGAAGCGCCCGCGCGCTGATTCATGTACGTTCCAAAGTCGATTCCTGACGCTTTCAGTTTATACAGTATGTTAATCCGTAAGATACCTTTGTACATCGCAAACATCTACTCGGTCATATTGTGTTTCAGGCAATGGCACCAAAATCTGTCCGTCATTTGGACCCGGGCAACTGCTTCCCTCGTACTACGAGCATGGCTTGTACCTTGTCTGATTGCATGTCCGTCATTTCCTGGTCCGAACTTATTTTCACGCAGCTCACCATTCTGTCTCATGCTCATATATCGTCGCTCAGGTCCCTCGCACGTATATACACGCACCCGGAAACCGGACAGCCAAAGATACATCCTCCGGACTTTAGACGCATGTGGCGCGCTTCCAACATGGTTTCTTCGACTTATCTTCAGTCCACCCTCGCCTTGGCACGTCAGATCGCACACTACGATGCGACAGATGATACTGTCTCCGTGCACCTGAACCACTTCTGGTCGCCCGGATGACCATGACGCGGTGGCATCGACCCGGGAATGAGTGGGGATCGTCGTTGTCCGTCAGTGCTGTTCCTGGTCCTGCCGCCCTCGAGCTATTAGCTGCCACCGCACTAGGCCAATCGGGCAAGGCTCAGAGCATCCACATCCGTCCTTGACGTCCATTCAGCCGCTTCCACGTACTCACCCACCACTGACCCTCGGCCTTTCTCGCGGCCGCGTCCCCAGAAGTCCTTCTAGCCCAGACGATCACGCTCACCTCAGACCTCACCCTTGTTAACTTCTCGTCTCCCCTTCCTCACCCGAGCGATGGACGCGCGATAATCTCGATGCATTATGGTGGCACCGTCGATCCCGTCGCGCCTGTCCTGGTGGCGGCGGGAAGTGCCGAGAAGTATTGACGCACTCTTGTAGACTTCCTTTTCTGGCTAGAAGGGCTGCCATATGCGGATATTCGTGGCCCAGAGAGCGGGCGCGGGCCGGATCTCCCTGAGCGCCTATCACTGCTAGCGCGCGGGAATCAGCTCGTCTGACCTGTGTGCACACGAAGGTCTTCATGCAGGCGATAACGCACGGAAGTTCCTAGGCGCGATACGCGACGGATAATATCGTCCATCTATCGCAGATCCCAGTCCAGGGTCCGGTGTCCACCTACTTACCCATAGGTAACTTGTACAGAGAGCAGAGAAGATGTGGAACAACGACGTAGACGAACAAAGGGGGCGTTAGGTAGAGTGAGGTATAAGGTAGAAGTATATACAAAAGAGAAGATAACTAAGCGAACACACGGACTACGGGACTGTAACTGCGAAACTGAGACCGAGAGCACTGAGAGATGGGATGGGCCGGGACGCGTGTGGGGAGTATAAACAACATGATAGTGTCGAGTAAACAACACAATGTGCGTGTTCGAGGGAACAACATGCGTGTGATGTCGAAACAACATGGCGTATGTATGTGAACGCGATAGACATGGGATAGATGCGCTACCCACGGAGAAGGGAGACGGGTACATCAGAATGGCCATCCAGAACGCGCGAGCTACACAACGAACCTGGAAATGCGTACGCGGACGAGCCCCGCGATAAGTGATGATAAAGCAAGTGGAAGAACGAGAGTGGCGAGACAACGGTCCATTCGGGGCACGGTCAAGTCGGAGAGAAGGCAGAGTGCAGGTGGATGGCTGATGCGCGGATGGGGGAAGGTTGATGGTGAAGGGCTGGAGTGGCTGATGTGCGAAAGGCGGCCTGATGGTTGCGTGCGTGGATGGGGGCGCGTGATGAAGAAGCAAACGAGCGGACGGGCGTGTACGTTGATGACTGGTGGGTGATGGGTGCGGACATGAATGGTCGACGCGTACGCGAATGGCGTGTGGCAGTCGGACCGACGAGATAAGAACTGTGGCGGCGGGAGCGGCGAAAGAATGCAGGTCTCCGCGACCAGAACGATCCTCATCAACAGCAACTACTCCACCCGGAGGAGGACTGCGCCGTCTTCTCACGGGCCTCCTCTGCGTCTGCCTGAGCGGACCATGCGGGAGCGGTTGGCGTTAGACAGACGCTATCTCGCTTCTTCAGGTCGTTTTCGCGCTCGATGCTGTCCTTCTTCTGGATGATCTCGCCTATGAGGCACTCAAAGAGTTGCACTATGCCTATAGACAGTTAGCAAGACTTGTAGCCATAGTAGCGGAGGGGACCTTACCAGTATCGTCCTTCGCTGACACCTCGAACAACTGCATTCCTCGTGCAAGACCCCACTCTGGCTCATCGTCCTCGTCTATCACCGTGCGCCCCTCATCCTCGTTTATGCTATCACTCCCCGAGTCAAGTTCCTTCCATCCGCCCGCCGCCGAGCCAAAATGTGACCCGAATCGCGAAGGCAATTGGCCAGCCTCAAGAGTCTTTGAGCGGTTAAGCCCTGCTGTCGAGTGAAAGCGTGGCCGACTTCTTTGCTGCTGCACAGCGGTAGGTCGCCGTTGCAGTGCGGCGCGCAATGCAGCGGATTGAGAGATCGGGAACTCCTGGCGCTCTGGCGAGGATTCCGAGTCTAGTGGCGCTGGACTTGCTGGTGGTGAGCGGAGTCCGGGGAAAGAGGTGAACCTGGGCCGGATGTAGGATAGCGTAGAAGGTGGGGGTGGTGGTGGAGGCGGCGATGGGGGTCGTGTTGGAGGAAACCAATTGTGTAGCGACAGACGAGCCAAGTCTGGCGTGACTTGGCGACAGTGTCCGAGATCCGCCTTCGCGCCAACGATGTAGATGATCAGGTCTGGCGAGCAGTTCTTGTGTAACTCTGACGAAGTACACATCAGCGACGGCGCTCAAGCGACGAGTGACGAGTGCGGCGCACCTTCTAGCCATCCCCGAATGTCATTGAACGTCGATACGTCGGTTATGTCGTATAGTAGAAGAGCCGCATTCGCGCCTGAAAGGGCATCGATTACAGCTTGTCAAAGAGCGATGAGATATGCGCGAACCTCGATAGTACATGGGTGCCTGCAGTCGGATCGGTCAATAGCGGTCGCTGGGACGCGGTGGCAGACGTACCATGCTACGGAATCGCTCCTGCCCCGCCGTATCCCACAGCTGGAGGCGGACCTTGAGCCCTTGCAGGGTCACCTTCTTCGTCACGAAAAACGCGCCGCTTGTGGACGTCGTGTTCTTGGGGTCGAACTTGTTCTGCGTGTAGCGTCTGAGCAGGCTGGTCTTGCCCACACCTGCGCGGGGAGTCAGCGGGTGCGAGATCGCGCGCGTAGGGGCGCACCTGAGTTGCCCATGATGACGATTTTGCTGTCAATCCCTTGCTCGATGAGGCGCGCCTGAGCGTAGGGATCCCTACGAGCGTACTGCGCCATGGTGATGTCGCGCAGACCAACCGCGGCGTTGTCGGAGGGGTAAAGCGTTGGGTGGGCGGTGCCGCACCACCGGCAGGGAGGAGGAGGAGGGGGAGGAGGAAAGGATGAACGCAGGAGCCAAGACCTGGATCGGAATTGCCCAAAACGGGTCGACCTTGGTTACCGAGCCGCACAATGCAAGTCTTTTCCCACACTTCGTTTCTGCTCAACGGCCAAACGAACGCGGGCGAGAGCTTCACCGACGCCTTCTTAAGAGCGCGCCGACGCCTCTGGCCGCCCAACTCACACGGACAGAGACGCCTGCTCTCTCTCAGCCCACAGGCCGCCCTGACTCCGGCATTGTGGCACATGTCATACTTCAACGCAACACAGCTTCATAACACTCATCCGATCCGGCAGCTTCTGGCGTCCAGCCACTGACATTCACGATGACATCGGAGTGCGCAAATCTTCCAGTCAGACCCGGAACTGACAAGGGCATCCATATGGCATAAGAATTTTGCGATGAGTGCGGTATGCATAAGTACATGTCATAGAATCGCCCGAAGACCGAGAGCAATCGCCTACTCCTGGGCGACGACGGGGAACTCAAACGTGACGTCCTTGCCCGTCAACCGGCGGTAGACAGACGAGAACGAGTCGAGCTTGTACTCCAGCGACGTGGCGTCCTTCGAGTCGAGGAAGCTGCAGAATCAAAGATCTCGAATGAGCCAGAGTGCGATGAGGCGATAAGGATGCAGATCACGCACACTTTCAGGAGCTTCGATCCATCCACGGAGACACGGGTGCGCTTGCCGACGATCTCGGTCGGGAAGACGAGGTCCTCGAGTATGCGGTCGTGGACGTTGGTGAGGGTGCGGCTGCGGGGGCGCTTCTGCTGGACACGCGAAGTGCGCGTCGGCTTGCGGAGCATGCGGCGCTGGGCGACGAAGACGACGTGGCGGTCAGAGAACTTCTTCTCGAGCTCACGGGTCAGCCTGGGGGAGCGCAAAGACGCAAAAGGTCAGTGAAAAGCCGTGATACGCGGCTCGATCACGCACCTCTGCTGGATTTTGTGGAAGGCCTTCAATTGCGGCACCGGGACGAAGACGACAATCGCCTTCTTGCCACCACGGACATCAACCTCGCGCGCAGCGGAAATCTGGAGGGGGCGCAGCTCGGACTTGAGCTCAGGGACGTTGTTCTCGAGGTCGATCAGCGCCTGGGCGACGCTGGTCTCCGTCTCATCCGGGGGAGTGTTGGGCGCGTTAGCCGTGCGGAGGATCTTGTGCTGGACAGACATCTTGTGGTCCTAGGAGTGAGAGGGAAGGCCGTCAGCTGGGATGTTCGTGATCGAGGACCTGGGGTGCAATCTGGGACGCCATCCGGCCGAGCCAGCGTCAATCCAGCGATTTCTGCCGTTCTTTCTGCAATCCGGGCAGCAAAACGCGCACAGAACGACAGAAGAGCCCATAGTCGTCGAGTACAGCAGCAGCAACACTCACCCTGGTCGCCCTTCTTGCTGTCGGTGTCGGTGGATGCGCCTGTCGCTAGATTGCACGACGGTCACGTAGATGTGACTGGGTCACGAATCCGCTGTGTCACATTTGTGACCCTTTCAGCTTGAACTTGGGTTTTGCTCACTAAGGTCTCGTTCTCATCCCGAACTCCGCTACTCGGGGATCATCAAGCAATGCATACCTATCTGCCAACATGCATCTACACCGACAGGCTGACCGCGCTATATGCTGCCATGCTTGAAAGATGTAACCGTGATCGTGTATATCCCGGAGGTTCTCGCGTACACGCTTGGATATGCTCGGTCCACTGACTATGCCGAACCTGAAGCGGCTGCAACTCGAAGAAGCCTGCGCTACAGACCACTCAGGCCTACAACCCATGGACGTCTACTCGTCGAGCAAGAGGCTTGAACTAGATACTGGAACTCTGTCCGTGCTCGACGCCTTCCTGGACCGCCGCACTCTCGAGCATCTCGCATTATCAGCCTCATCCATACCAAGCCAAGATCTGGTCGCTATATTGGAGCGCCCTTCTTCGCTCGCCAACCTATCCATAGAGGAGGAATACTTCACGGATCTCTTTTGGCGGACTGACCCCGCCTCCGATCCTGTCTACGTCTGATGGGAGCATCGTACATTGCGTGACTGCCACGGACGGTGTCGCGCCCTCTCTCCTCCCTCGGCTACAGAGGCTGACGGTGAGAGGCATGCTGCACTTCGACGCGTCGGCGCTCTGGCCATGTCGCGGGTGGATCCGCGTTTGGAATACCTGGCGATCTATGCCACGGAGGACTGGACGCTAGAGGACACGGAGGATGACGCGGTGGCCCAAATAGGAGAGCCATGAACGAGGGAGGTCTCGCGCGGGTTGATACCCCTTTGGCGGGTTTGTATGCACTCGCAGATCTTAGGAGAGCGACATGAGATGATGTTTCGATAACACAAAAAGAAATGTACAGGTACGAGTAGCAAGTATTGTCCTATATCTGAAAGGCTAAGCAGGTGGTAATACCCCTAGCGTTTGGAGTATAGTATCGAATCTATCACTATCTAAAAACTCAAAGTCCATCCATTGAGTCGATGACCGCACATCGAACTGCATAAAGCACTGGTCACCCATAGCAAGCCGTAGCTGCGCCCTGGTATCCTCATCTACATCCTCTGGCTTCGAGTACAATCCGCCAAAGATATCCAGATATTCGAGACCTGATGGCAAGCGTGATTTGACCATATCCACCAGCATAGTGTGGCTGAATCGAAGTACCCCCTTGATTGACAGCTTTTTCAATCGAGGCAGGAGAGACGGTGCAGTCTCATTCATTGCGGTCAAACGGCATAGGAGGTCATCATCGATGGAGGAGTATGTGGATGCAGCACCAGCAGGTATTTGACGGTAGTCCTCGTCGATCGAGAAGGATGTGAGCGAGGGCAGACACTCCAAGATGGATGTCACATGCGCCCTAGGCATGGCAATTGTGTGCAGAGCGAGGGCGTCGAGGCTACACTTCGAGCGATCAAGCCAGTCGGCGAATTCTACCAATGGCCAGCTTTCCATCTCGAGCTTCCGACGCACCGAACCTGGTAAGGCATCGGGGCCGGGGTTGTCCACACCACCCAATTCCAGAGATCTCATATTCGGTGTTATCAACGAGCCGAAGATATGTCCCAGAATTTCGGGGCTGCCAATTACGAAGGTGGTTTCTTCCAAGTGCGGAAGCGTCAGAGTTGCCACGCCCGAGAAGAGAGGATCGTGCCGAAGATGCACGCGTAAGTTGACGAGCAATGATGAGGCAGTCAGGACTTGTGAGATGATAGCCCATGTGGAGAACTCCGTGATTTCTACGTCTCTCAGCCGGGCCCACGGCAGAGGGGCGAGTGGTCCTGTGTAACTGTGTAGACGCGGCGCGCGGACGAAGTAGTCGCTGTCCAGATCACCTCGCGCGTATGTTGTGACCTCCAGCCGTTCGAGAAGGTCGCTGTCGGGCACATGCGGAAGCTGGCACAGAATATGTGCGACTACACCGTGAAGCGCGCATGACTTCCAGCGGGCGATAGCTTGGACGATCATACCTAGCAGTCGTATGGGGGAATGGGCTGCCGACGTCTTGGCGAGGTTCCAGACAGAGAGCACATCGACTCGCGGGAGGGGCAATGCCGCAGAGTTTTCGAGGTAATGTAGGAGAATGGAAATAGACCGTCCACCTATAACTTCGTCGTCTTCTGCCTGGTCGATCTGCTGGAGATCGAGTATGATGGGCGGGGCCCATATCTCGTGGGTGGAGAGTGCAATGAAGCGCCAGTCGCGACAAACCCAGCTGATCACGAGAGCAGGACAAGGGGGATCTTCATACAAGCTGAATGGGATAGGAAGGACCAGCGGTTCGTCTTCACAGACGTGGACAAAGATCGTTCCTAATAATTCCGTAGGGAGGTTGTTGATGGGGAACACGGATTCAGGAGAGTCCCATTGACTGGAACGCTCAGAAGTGTCACTCTCGGAATCGGAGAGCATCGCGCTTCGTTTGGGAGTACAGTACTTCTGCATCGTGGCATAAATGGAAGACTCCAAGGAAACTGAGGCGACACACCTCACCCCTGGCGCGAGCAGCCCAAAGCTTCCGTTACAAGATAGCCTCGCAGGCAAGAGAGCTATCGATCAGAGCAGAGGCTTGAGGCGATGGGCGACGATGATGGTCGAGAGCAAACTTGGTAATTGCCGCAACCGGGAATAAGGCGGTCACGTGTACCTTATTATTCTGCAAACCGCGTGCACTATCTGCCAACATATCTACCTTGAGACCCTGAAGGCGATCCACACATACAGTACTCATAGAATCGGTTTGAAGTCCACACCCTTGGAAATTGAAGCACTGGAATCAAATTCCATAATTCCCTCGTTCCCTATAGCCAGCCGAAGCTGTATTTTGGTGTCCTCGTCCATGTCGTCTGGCTGTGATTCCGCTCCTGCATATATACTGAGATATTCCAAGCGTGGCGTCGCGCGTGACTTCACCATATCCAGCAGCGCGGAATAGCTAAGTCGAAGCTCGCCTTTGATTGACAGCCTCTTGAGTTGAGGGAGGAGAGAGGGTGCGGCGGTGTCGACAGCAGTAAGACGGCGTAGCAAACCGTTGTCAATCGAGGAGTACACAACAGGCTCGTCTGCAACTTCCGCCCACGCGGAATCAGCCTCGAAGTCCTCCCAGATCGTGAAGGATTGCAGCGATGGCAGACGCTCCAAAATATCGACGACGTGGGCTCTGGGCATAGCGATCGTAAACAGGGAAAGAGCATCGATGGTGCACTGCGAGCGGCTGAGCCAGTCGGTGAACTCCGACAGCGGCCAGCTATCCAGCTGGAGCATCCGGCGCGCGTTCCCGGGGCGACTACCGGGGTCTGCCTTACTGACGCCCTTCAACTCGAGATATTTCAGTCTCGGTGTCGTCAGCTTGCTGAACATGAACGCGAAGATATTGGGATTGCCCACGGTGAAGTTCGCTGCCTCCAAGCGCGGGAGTGTGCGGGGCTGCCCTTCCAGCCAGCCTGGGTCGCGACAGAGGCAAAGGCGAAGCTTAACTAGTGCCGGACAGACGGAGAGGACGTGAGTGAACGTGTGCCCCACCACCGTGAACTCCGTGATGTTGAGCTCGCTGAGCTGGGCCCAGGGAAGCTCAGTGAACGGCCCTGTCCAAGCGTACAAGCACGGCGCTCTGTTGAAAATCTCGCTGTCCAAGCGATGCCAGATCGATCCAATGACTTCCACTCGTTCGAGGAGATCCGGTGAAGATCCCATGCCCGACATGGAGCGCGTCAGAGCATTGGGGACCGCACAAGTCTTCCATCGGGGAAGGGCAGAGACCATCAGCTTGAGGACGTCTGCGCTGCGTCCCTTGGAGGCTGTGAGAAGCGAAATGTCCAGGACTTCGACGCGCGGCAGCGGCATCGTCAAGGATCGTGAGAGGTAACATTCCAAGATGGCGGCAGAACGGATTCCTGCTTCTTCTTCCTCGTCCGCCCAGTCAATGTGCCCGATATCCAGTACTACAAGCGGGAGGGCCCGTGTGTTCCACACGGGGTGGTCCTGCCTGACTCGAAGCTGTTTAACCAAATTTACTTGCGAGACTGCGGATATGGGCTCCCTGGGCCTTACTGGCAGAAATGACCGCTTCGTGTCGCCCCTTCAAAACGCAAGGCCTGCAAGTCGCGCTACTCGGCTGATTGAGCGCCGTCCAACGGACATGTATTGCTTTGGCCTTACTGCCCGCTGCGTGCTCTTGCGTTCTGCGAAGCAGCGGAAAGGGGTCAAGGAATGGAACCTCATGCCTTACTGAACTTGAGGTCGCGTCCGCGTGGCGAGATAGCCCTCGACGGCAATCAGACGCCTTACTCACAGGCGTAGAGGGTATAAGCGACGCTGGCTTGGATGGTATGGCGGCGACCAGTCATCGCCAGCACCAGCATGACGCGCGAACAAAGTCAGCATGGCCGTTAACCTTGCATCCTGAGCCTGCATCGCGAGGCTGCGGTCCACGATCACTCCGAGCCTTACTCGTAGGCAGGCGATGTATGAGCGACGCTGTATTGGGCTGTACGGAGGCGTATAGGCGTCGCTAGCAGGCCGGCATGACGGGCGGACACAACTTGTGTGGGCGCCGCTTGTCGCCACGTGCTGGATTGATGGGGGCCGGCCCCAGCTGCTGCTCCTTTATATTGTAGATGGTCGGCGCCCATAGCTCGGGGGTTGAAATTGCAAGCTCGCGCCAGCGGTGGCATACCCAGCTGACGACAAGGGCAGGATACGTGGGAGGAGCAGATAAGGGGTTCGGTGGAATGGGAGGAAGGAGCAATGGGATGTCGTCGCAGGCGTGACGAAAGATTATCCGCAGCAATTCATTGGGAACTTCGTCAAAGCAGGCTGCGAACACAGACGGTGCGTTTTGCTCAGATGCGCCAGACGCGTCACTTGGTGCACCAGAGGCCATCGTATCTTCTACGCTACAGAAGCGTTAAGTTACAGTTACGCAGGTGCCAGGCGAATGAAGGTAACGCACTAAGGGTCAAACCTAAAGAATTTAGTACACACGAGAGTGGGTGCAGAGGAAGGGTGGTTGCGATGATGATGGTGGATATCAACAACACAGACGACTCCGAGCGGGCGTCTACAAATTGATTTCGGCATTCAATACGCAGTCACGTGTGTGACAAGTTCAACAATGACACCCTCACCTACAGATGTAGGGCAAGAGACTAGCGACACAAGTGGTGATAGCAGAACATCAGGTCAAATATCCAAAGCTTACATCTTCGAGCGCCAACTCGTCCATCTTGTGCCTAAGAGGTGCGCGCAGATACTCCCATTCCTGTAGCATTTCCGTGGGGGGTTGTTGATATGGAATGGGGGCTGATCCATCTCCCTCATCTTGGGATTATTCATAAGACAGCAATACACTCGTCGTAGGACTTCACAGAACTCGCTCTCCGCCGGGTTCGCAGACGTCGTATGAAGGGATCGAACTCTAGGGAGGTGATGATGGTGAGGGGATCGACTAGCGAATTGACGCTCGTAAGGATTATGTCACGTACGGGTTGCAAGAGATTGAAAGCAAACAGCCTCCTTTGTGCATCTTCCTGAAGGGCGTTACTATGACTCCTTCAGAAGCCCGAGAACAATGTCTGCAGCGTGCCTCCGCCCTCCTGCCTCGCGACACGCCGTCTGCGCCTCTTTCGCCCGCGCTCTGGGCCTTGAGCCCTCCTCCTTCGACATGACACGCCTCAGCGCAATGCTCAGCTCCGCCGCATCAATATCAGGAGGATTAGTCTTGTTCCCGTACACCCCGAAGCCGCGGTACTCCGCGACCCTCGCATTGTAGTACGTGTCGGACCACTGCGCGAGGATGACCTGTGGCACGCCAGCCATCGCGGCCTCGTAGTACGAGTTCGCGCCACCGTGATGAACATAACAGACGACGTTGGGGTGCTCGAGAATCGCGGCGGGCTCGGCGTCGAACCATGTGACGGCGCGCACGCGGGTGCGGTCGTGTGAGGTCGTAAGCAGCTCGTCGAAGAGGTCCTGCAGCGCGTCTCGTTGTGGCAGCTTCCATAGGATCTGAGTGTCTGAGCCGACGCCGCCGAGCAAGCCCGAGAGCACGCGCCGAGCAACGGGCTCGCTGTACTCGCAGTGCGTGCCGAGGATCACTAGCACGGTCTCCCCGCGGTCAAGCCAGGTAGCCAACTCCGGATCGCTCTCGCCGATGGGAGCGAGGTCGCATAAGATGGGCCCGCAGAGATGCATGTTCGGAGGCTTGTCGAAGGGCAGGTCGATCGTAGGTACGCCAGCGGTGATGTACGTGCGCTCGGGGGCGACGTATGTAAGGCCCATGGAGGGGAGACCGCCGGAGCAGCCGCGGGCGGCACGAGCGTCGTCTAAAGCCTTGGCGTACGGGCTCGTGAGGACGGCGTACATCAAGAACACGATGTGCGCGATGTTGACGAAGGCGCCGTACCAAGGGAGAGGGCAGGGAAGGGCGGTCGCCATTTGTGGGTGTGAGAGAGGCTGATTGGCGTTGCAGACGAGGGAGGGGAGGAGGGGAGAGAAGATGTGGTACTGTCGCTTGAGGAGAGAGCAGGCGTCCATCGCTTGACCGAGGACATTGTCGATGATGATTAGGTGTGGATCGACGCGCTCGATTACGCCAACGATGTCGTTGACAATCGCCTGCTTGTCGTTCAGTTCGAAGGTCGACGGCTATAAAGATTGCACGCACAGTGTATTCGTCTGGTGTCCAGGGCACCATGAGACGGGCGAACTTTGGACATGCTGCGAGCGTAGGCGTATGCTGCAGAGGCATATACTCCGTTATGCGATCCATGGCGACAAAGGGTGGGAGCCCGTCGATGGCATGAAACGTAGGAGAGCTATGTCCACCTCTGGCTGTAACTTTGGCCATCTTCTTGAAGCGGCTGCCCAGTGAAGCGAAGGATGCGAAGTGCAACTCTACATCTGGTATGGCGCGCGAATGGATCTCGAAAGCGGTTGCGGGATGAATGGTACTTTGTCCGGATTGGTGAGGAACAGTATTCGTTGAGGGGACATGACTGCTCTTGCTGGGCGTCTCCAAGCATCGTTCTCGACGCGTATATAAAAGTCGATAAGTTGTCAGCTCGGACGTACTTTATGCGGGCCAAGGTCGACAAGTTGAGTCACCGACAGTCAGTTCATGTCGCCTACGTATGCGTGCCATGTCCAGACGTCCCAAGGTCTAGCTCAGCGGTAACAGAGATCCGGACACTATGTGGGACGACAATCAGATCGAATATTGTGGAGGACAAGCAACTACGGCCCGTGGGAACGCAAGAAGGTTACTTGAGTGCATCTCCTTTTGGGCATCTTTGTTCTTTTGCGCGTCCGTCCCTGCCGCTCGCTGGACAAGTTATCAAACAAACATTATACAGAAGGGCAGCTCTCGGGAATTCTCACATACCTCACCCAGTAATCTCAGTGTTCGCACAATGCAGAATACCAAGTAGCTTGTTCCAAAATACGATGCTGATTGTACAAAAGCGATGCGAGTGCAAAAGAAAAGAAAATGACAACGTGCAGAGGGAACGCCCATAGAGACCTTCCCCAACTCTCAAAATCCTCCTTATACCCCCAAGCAACCCTCATCTACGACTCGAACCTGGAAGACCGGCTTAAACCTGCACCCTGCAAGATGCTCGGCGCCGCCTTCAGTGAGCGCTTCCTCGGCTCTACCTGCTGGCGAGCGTCCGTCGCGGTCTGCCCAGGGCGCAGCGAGCCGCCGCCATTCTTGACCTTGTTGCCGACAATTGTCGCTCTGGTGGTAGCACGACCCGTCCCGCCTTGCTTACGCTTCTCCCGCATCGCCCACTGTTCGGACCTGGGGTCGGTCGGCCCGAAGGATGCCTGGCGCGACTGCAGAGAAGCGTCAGCATGTGTACATCCACAGCAGTAGAGAACATACCTGGAAGTCGACCTCGTCGTCCGCGACGGGTGCACGCGTGGGAACGGCCTTGACGATTCGGACGCGCATCGTGTGATCGTCATCGTCCTCCTGGTCGACGAGAGCGTCGATGTCGATGGGCTCGCCCTCCTCATCCGCCTGAAGACATTGTCAGACTCCTTTCACTTGATGCGCTATTCTCGCAGTACACTCACCTCGGCATTACGTTGCACAAGCTCGCGAAGTTGAGCTTGCACGGACACCTTGGATGGGCGACGCTCTTCCTCTTCGTCCTCATCCTCGTCCTCGTCACCCTCCTCGTCCGCATCGGCCATCTCCGCGTCTTCTGCAGGCAAGCGCAAGCCGGCGCTGTCCTTAGCGAGGTAGGCAAAATCGTTCGCATCGTCGTCGTCAAGGGTCGCAGTGTACGCCGCCGCAAACGGCCGCGTCTCCTCGCGCGCGCCTACCAAAAGTCAACCAAGACTCTTCCTCACAAAGCATCATCCACTCACTCAACGCCTTCAGATCCGTCCTCTTATCAAACGCCTCCTGCATCATCTTCCTCCTCGCCGCTGCATTCCTCTCCTCCCTCTCCTCATCCGCCAGCTCATCATCCTCATCATCCAGCCCCTGATTCCGCTTCCTCTTTCGCATCTTCCCCTCCACCACGTCCTGGATCTTCTTCCCCAGCTCCTCGTCCTCCTTCGCCTTCTGCTCCTGGTGCAGCGCCTCAACCTCCGCCTGCGCGAGCTGCTCCTCCGTCATGTGCGCGTCGTCGACGATCTCCTTCAGGTCCTGATCTAGGTCCTCGCCGTCCGCCTCGTCCCCGCTGCCACGTCCGCCAAAGTCGGCTTCGTCGTCGGACTCGGCGGCCTGGTCCTCGACGTACTCGCTCTTTTCGAGGCGCTTCTTGGGTATCTTGGGTTTGGAGGCGTTGGCCTTGAGCACGGAGAAGGCGTTGCGCGGCGGCACTGGCGGAGGCCCCATCGACCCCTCCCGACGGCGTAGGCGACGCATAGGTCCAGGGGAGTCCTGGCTAGATGAGGGTCCCGCTTGCTCGCTCGGCTCCTGGGTAGCATCGAAGAAAGCCGCCTCCAGGGCGCCATCGTCCCAGTGTTGCGACCTCTGTCTACCAGACAACACAGGGCTCAGCGGCTCCGTGGTGACCGTGGACTGCGTCTTCATCGCCGACTGAGGAGAGAAGGCGCGCTGCACCAACGGGCTTGGGAGGTCTGGCCTCGTCTGGGTCAGGAAGCTGCGAGGTCATTCAGCTAACGATGCGAGCGACACAGGCTCCAGACATACCCATGATCGTTGATATACATTTCCTCCTCAGACCTTGGACGCTGCTGCAAGGCCGCTTCGACCAGGGCATTCTGTTCCTTCTCGAAGATCTCGTCCGCTGCCTTTAGCTTGCCAGGCGACACTGCAAAGGCCGGCCGCAGGCTCAGATCCTGCGTGAGGCCCAGCGACTGGCCCTTTCGGAGCTTCTCAAACCCAGCCTGAGACTGAGATTCCTGCGACTAATTAGTCTCGCCGTCGAACGCAAGCGCAACAAGCACATACCTTCTCAGACCCAAAGGTCAAGCCTCCACCCAAAGCTAGCGGTTCTCCAAAGGTCAGCGGGGGAGGAGCCTTCTGCGTCCCGCCCTTCTGCGTCTCCGAGTCGAAGAGCTCCGAGAAGCTGCCCTCGAGCGCCATAGGCTTGAAGCCTCCACCGAGCGCTTGCGAGAAGTCGTCCGACTCCGCTGGCGCCTTCCCCAACTTGCGCTTCGAAGGACCAGGCGCATCCTCATCGTCATCATCATGACCGATGCTCAGCTGCAAGCGCTCCGTGAACGACGTCGAGCGTGTCATGCCCAACGGCGACGCGAACGGATCGTCCTCGACCATCTCGATGCTCGTTAGCGGTTTGCGCTTGACCTGCGAAGGTCCATTGCCCCGCGAAGGGCCCGCGACGGGCGAAGCGTTCTCGTCCTGGAAGACGTTCTCGTCGTTCTCATCCTGGAACCCCCCGGGCGACATCGAGAGCGTCGAGTGCAGGTCGCGCGCGAGGTTCGTCATGGTGTGCCGGAGCGGCGGACGAGGGGGCGCCGTGTTCTCTTGGTCGGAGTCGAAGTTGGGCGGTGGTGGTGGCATCTCGTTCTCCTTGTCGAGCTCGTCGCTGGGAGGCTCCTCAAAGGTCGACACTGACCGCCGTTGATGGTTCAGGAAAGGGTTGTGGTTCTCGTCCTGCGATATCATCAGCTTTGACTCGTCAGGGTCTCGGGATGTGGAACTCACAGCGGGAGAATCCTCCTCATCAGACTCGACTCGGGCGAGCGGACGCCGACGCGAGCGCAGAGGCGCAAGCGCCTCGTCCTCGTCCTCGTTCACCATAGTCACATCCGCGTCAGCTTCATCCTCCGACGGCGTGATCTCGCGAGCATCGGTCGGCTTCTGCTGGTCCTCCGGCACGTACTCGCCATCATTCTCGTCCTCCTCCTCGTCGACGTCCATCTCGTTGCCGGCACTCTGCTTCTCAGCAGCAAGACGTCCACGCTCCAGCAGCTCCTCTAAGGACACCTCATTATTCTCCACCGGCTGTGACGTCCCGAGCTTGCCACCTGCCCTCAGGAAGGCCTCCTCCTTAGCTCGGGCTTCAGCTTCAGCTTGAGCGCGCGCCCTCTCCAGCAGGTCACGGTCGAGGTCTTCCTTCCTCTTGGGTTGCTGGCCGTGCGCAAGCGGAGCCTTAGCCGGCCGCACTCCGAGCGTGTTCAGCGCCTGCTGGTTGCGCGACGGTCCCTTGCCTGCGCCTGAGTGGAAGCCTTGCGTGGTCTTCCCGACGACGACGAGGTCATCGTCTTCTTCGTCTGACGGCGGAGGCTTCACCCTCTCCTTCTCCTTCTTGATAGCCTGCAGCTTGAGCTCGTGCAACTTCGCCTTGCGCTTGCCCTCGTCGGCTCGGCGCGAAAGTTCCGCAAGAGTCGGCAACTCTTCGTCCGAGTCAAACTCATCCTTCTTCAGGGCATCCATCAGCGGCAGGGGCTGAACCAGAGGACGCTCCGAGCGAGCGCGTTGCGTCTGAGGTCGCGAGGGCCTAGGCAGAGAGGGCTCGTGGTGCACGACCGGCGATGAGAACTCGTCGATGGGGTCCGAGCTGGGTAAAGGCGGCAGTGCCGAGGCAACGTCGTGCGGCTTTACGTCCTTCTGCGGCTCTTTTGACGATAGTGCGCCGCCGCCGAGGAGGGTGAACAAGTTCGCCTTGGTGTATTTGTTTGGACGCTCAGGCTCGGTCGCACGCAGGGAAGTGTTGCGTTCTTGTGCAATGCGCCAGCCTTCCTTCTCCGTCTCCTGAAGCTGCTTCTTCGTAGGTGCCTATACGATGTTGAATTTCGCTCTACTATGTCAACTGATGATAGCATACCTTCACTTTAGGCTTCCCTTTCCCGCCTTGAGCAGCTGTTGTACGCCGAGTGGCAGGCTTCGTCTTCGCGTCATCCTTCGCAGGCGGCACTGACGGCTTCCCGGCGGAAGAGGGTTTTCTCCGAGGCGAGATGGTCACAGTAGCCGGCAGCTCGTCATCTGAGTCGGAGGGCGTTCCTCTGAAAGCGGAAAGCGGCTTAGCAGGCTTCCTGGGCGCCTGCTCTTCGTCGTCGTCCGAATCCGCCACGATCGCACGACGAGGTTTGGATTTATGGCGGGGGATGGGAGAGTCGCCGAGGCTAGATTGTGATGATTCTATAGTTTGGTTGACTGGCGATCGCTCAATAAGCGTCTTGGCTGAGGATGGGAGGTCGGACGCGTCGAGGGACACGTCGGGCGTGTCGTGAGCTGCAAGCGCATCGTGTGGCTGCTTCCTCCCAAGCGCTTTCCCGGGAAGCTCGTCGACCCCTTCATCGTCTTCATCGTCACTGAAGGCTTTCAGCTGCTTCTGCCAATCCCAGGCGAATTTCGTGGGAACAGCATTGTTGTCCACTTCGTCGTCTTCGTCGTCGTCAGACGCGATGTCGCTATGGCTGGGCCTGGCGCGTAGAATAGTAGATAGTGGTGCGCGCTCGCGCAAGGGTTCCGGGGATGCCGCCTTGGCGGCCGTGCTAGCCAGCGCACGCGCGTTGTCCGCTGCAGCAGGTCGCGCACGGCCATAGGTCCGCACAGCGCGCTTGATCACCGGGCTGTCGTCGTTCGCGGGCGACGGCGAGCGTCTCTCGGTATCGCGGGCAGGAGAGAGCGCCATGTCGTAGAGAAGGACGCGCGAGGCGAGACACAGGTATGACAGGGATCACCGGCAGACGATGCGCTTGCCTGTGACGGCGATCGCGGACGCGCGGCACGTGCGTGTGACCGCCATCCCGACGCGTCAACATTGCACATGACGTCACGCGTTGTGGGCGCGTCACCTGTCCGCGAGGCGCTGGATGCCTTTTTGGGCCGCGCGAGAATCAATAAATGGCATGGACACCCACAGGTCTATCATTCCTGTCAAGTACCAAAAGAGACTGACTAATACGATCCGATCCATGACTGAAGAGGTAGCACAACAAAGGGGTACGAGGTGAAAGCGAACATCGGTAGTCAACCGACTACTAAGTCTATGGAAAAGCCAAGCCTGGCAAAGTGTGGTAGGGGTAGAACATTGTACGTTCCGAGAGATATGCAAAAGGGCTGCGAGCGAGAACAGGACAGAGGAGGGGTAGGTATCGCCGGGACGCCATGGAGGAAATAGAACAAAGTGAAAGATGCAATCACTTGCTTTCCGTCTTCTCCTTCCCCTTCTTTTCCTCCTTCTTGGGTGACGAGAAGACGCCCTTGAGGGACCCAAAGATGGAGGTCCGCTTCTTGCGCATACTACTTGCCTTGATCGTACTGTCGGGCGATCCTGGCTCAGAAGGCGACGAGCTGCCCTTGACGGTGCCAAAGACCGAACCGCGCTTCTTGCGCGCACTGCTGAAGCGGGAGGTGCTGCTCGCCGGGCTCGACGGCGACGTCGACTGCTCAGAAGAGAACCGCTGCTTGCCGTTCTTGACAGGCGTCACAGGCTCTTTCTTCTCCTCTGCAGGAGACCCAGAGGTCCCGTTCGTCCCGTTCACGGGCGGAGGCGGCGGCGGTGTTGACGGTTCTGCAGGCACAGAGGGCTCGGCAGCAGGGGTTGGCGTCGCAGGGGTCGGCGTCGCGGGTGTAGGCGTCTCTGCGGCAGGGACTGGCGTCGCAGCCGTGTCCTTTGCCTCCTCCACAGCTGGAGTCGGCTCAGGCGTAGGCTCGGAGGCGGCAGCCTCCGCAGGGGCGGGTACAGCTTCAACAGGCGTGGGTGCAGGCTCGTGCGTCGACGGTTGCTCCTCCGGAGTAGCCTTCTCCTCTACGGCGGGTGCAGGCGAGGCCTCGACCGCCGCTTGCGGAACAACCTCCGCGGCGGTCGTCGTCTCCGGTGCGGTCACCGGCAGGATGGGCACAGGGACCACCGGCGCGACCTCCTCGACCTTCACATTCTCGATGGCCGCTGGCACCGCCGGCGGGGCATCCTCGACCTGGTAGCACGCCAATCAGCGGGAGATCGACAAGCGAGAACGACAACAACGCACAACATCCGCCTCGTGCTTCTCGATACCGTTCACCGTCGGCGCCGGCTCGGCGGCAGCAGCGGGTGCAGGCGCAGGCGTCGACTTTGGCGCCGGCTCAGCTTCAGGCTGGGGCTCCGGCTTCGCAGGCGCGGTGTACACGTTGTTCAGGTTCCCCGCGTTGTCCCACTCCGTCGGCTGCGCGTTGTCGGTCACCCACTGCCCATCGACCACGAACTTGTAGGTTATCTTCTCTCCCCACGGTACCCTTGCGCGCCCCTCGAACCCCTCCGCGCCCTTCGTCAGCCGCAGCGAGCACGACCACTAGACCATCCGCAGCTTAGCTCGACCCGCGGGGAATGACAGCCGCGTGTGCACGCACCTGGTCGAACGTCCCGGTCGCAATAACCTCGTTGGGCTCCGTGCGTGGCCTGGGGGCGGGGTTTAGAATTAATGAGGCGTGTGTGCGGGGAGTCCCTCACCAGCGGAACACTACTTCGTGCGTGTCAGTCATCTCGGGTCGTGAACAGTCGTGAAAGCTTGCGGAAAAAAGCTGCTGATAGTCTGATGTGGGGTAGAACAACTTACGTTAGCAGTTGCTCAAAGGGGATATGTCATAGGCATCCTCCGGGACGACATGTTGAACTCTCATCGGCGTCCCCGACAGAGATATTGCGGAATTTGAGAGGTGAGATGAAAGTCGCATATCAAGATTCTCAAACCGCATACGGCTCGTTGAGTCCTGCTATCACCCGTTGCCGCGTTGAGTGACCGGCCATAAGATAGGATAGCCGTCACCATGCAAGGCCTCGCTGACTTCTTATAAGTCCCGCCAACATCTTCGAAGAAGTCTGCATGTGCTAGTATATAACCTCCTCTTCACCATCCGATAGTACCTCGTCATCCTCCTCCTTCCACTTACCCGCCGCTCGCGCCTCCTGCAACAATTTCGCAAGCACCTGTGGATCCGTCTCGACCGCGTCTGCATCCGCACTATTCTCCTCGCCCTCCTCCTCCATCGAATCTTCGTCGTCAGCAGTTGGAGGAACGTTCTCATCGCTTCCCTCGTCTTCGTAGGTTTGCAACCCTTGCAAGGCGTTATTGGTGGGCTCCGCATCCGAGCTGGCGTCGCTGTCGCTCCCGTATTCGCCCAAGATATTGAGCGCCTTCCCATCCCCCACCTTCCGCTTCTTCATCGCTCGTGGCGGGCGATACGGCTGCACGTCCTTCCACTGTCGACGTATTTGCACGGTAGATCCTTCGCCAGTGCCACCGACGATGACATGGCCGGAGAATGTATCCCCTGACCACAGCTCGATGGTGGGGAACTCGACGAAGTGCTTTCCGCGCAGAACATCTAAGAGAGTTTTGTGCACGTCGAGCTTGTGGTGCGCAGAGTGCATTGGGTCGTAAATCGTCGTGGTGAAAGTGGGGAGAGCGGGGGAGTCGAAGTCAAGGGGGAAGGTGGATGATAGCCAGTCGGGGGCGTTCTTGCGGAGTCTTATACTGGAATGGAGGATGGAGAGGAGCGTAGCATCTGTGCGATTTCGATGGCATAGGACGGAGTATGTGTCTTTCTCGTGGTGAAACTTGAACTCGACGGTCAGGAACGCTTTCTGCGCTCTGCAGGCGGAACTGAGCTTAGCGCAGAGGAATAGCAGGCAACGTATACTCACTTGAAGTCCCACGTCGACTGGTTGAGCTTCTTCCGCTCCATCCCACTCGGCAAGAAGTCGATGTCAATGTCGTGCGCTTCCAGCTGCATCTTCAGTACATCTCTCTTCGCCGACTGCCTGCCTCCCTGCTTCCTATTCCCCCCGCGCATCCTCGCCATCCCGCGCGCCACACCAGTCGAAGAGGCCGCAGTCAACCCCTGCTTCGCGATCTCCTTCCCCCAGTCCCCCACATGGCGCCCGATGTCCTCGAGGAAGGTGTAATCGTCCATAAGCGCGCCGTAGCCGTACTCTTTCAAGGGTATGTACTTTGCTTTGTCGCGCTGACCAGAGCATCCGGAGGTCGACTTGTGCGTCGTGGAGCATTGCAGAGAGCATGATCTCAAGCAGCAGCGAGGACAGGTGTAGATTGCGACCTTCTGCTTGCAGATCGCGCAAGGTTGCTGTTTGTCCGACTGGAATGCCGAAGATGAAGCCGCGCTAGATGTGCTGGCCTCGGAATTGTCCATCTCGTCGGTGTGGGTGAGGGATGCAGGAGAGATGCACTGACGATCGGGCGCTTATTTCGGTCCGTAGGAACCGGAAGCAATTTTGATTTCAGCATGCGCCGTGACCTACAGCGTTGACGAGAGATCCAACCGTTATCAAGCGGTTATAGGTTTGGGACCTATGAGTCGACGTTGACGGCTAAGCCTTATCTAGGCAAATAGAAGGGACCTAAATTTTGTTTTCGTAGCGCAACGCGCCTAAAAGCATCATGTTGCAAGGATATCTTCTCTACGTAGATCGAGAAGGCCCTTCATCATCAACTGGACCTCCAATATCGCCGCTATCGAATTCTTGACTAGTGGAAGTTCTTGTGTATTCCTTACTGGGGCGGCATTTTTGACCTCGACTTTCCACAAGCTATCAACGTGTGCTGGTATGGGCTGTGCCGTCTTCGGATCGACCTGAACGAGGGGCGTCAGCGGAGTCCTTATATGCACGGGGGCTATGAGGGTGCTGATAATATGGGCGTGGGGGCAGAGGACGTACATGCTCTATCTGAAAAATCTGAATGACCAGACCATTTCGTCGGAAAACGAAGCCACGCTTATACACTTCTGACCTTCGTCTGTGGATTCCATCAGTATAATGGTTAGCAAAAATAGAGAGTATAGCTCGTACACATATCCTAGAGCAGACGCGAATGCCAGGCCGTCGCCCTGGACGAGACAGGTAGCCCACGGTCGTACCATGGCTTCAGGGTACACGCGAGACGATTCTGGCTTCAGGTAGGAGTATAGCACCCTGAACATCAAGTGAGCCAGTGTCAGAGGTGGCGCGTAGATGGTCATGTTGCAAGAGAGCTAACGCACCAACTTGACTTGTCTTCCGTCGTGTCCTTCTGCGCATGCAGGATCCCTTGGTCAACAGGCGCGTCTGCCGGACGAACGAGGGGTTCGAAGACGACCTCTCGTAAATGTAGTGGGGCCGAAGACTCGCTATGTAGCGTCATGCGATCCAGTATAGCTTTGAGATCAACCGGCGAGAACACGCCGTATAGAGAAACCTCGTATTGGTGGCCTTTGTTCATGAAGGTAGAGGCGAATTTTCGGAGCGTGTTCGGCGTGAAAGCTCAAGATAATCACTGTGTACGCCCTTGTAAATGTGTGTGGCTTGGTGCTCGTCGGATATTAGAGTCTGGTCAAGGGTCAGTGAATGGAGTTTGTGGCAAGGTGATGGTTCGCGTCAAGAGGTGTGACGATCACGTGCACTGAAGTTGAACTAAACTGTTAGGGTCACCCAAACGACACCTCGCACTCGGTCAATATCACCTTCATATCACCATCATCGATGTGGGTGATGGTACATGGATCGACCAACTCGCGCAGAGCCCTGCTACCAACCTGCGACATGAGGCTCGCGCGCACGCTGGAAGGTGTATTTGGGGGGGCCGGGGGCGCACGATGTTGGTCAAAGAACGCAGCAGCAAGGCAAGCTCAAGAAGGTCAAAGTACACACGGATTGTTCGTCTTTGTCTATCGCTACACAATCTTCGGTTCTTCGTACATATTGTATACATAGCACGGTCGATTCTACTTATTTTTCATCTTCTTCAAAGCAGTTGTACCACGATGCCTGACAGATGATCAGATCATATGCCCGAGATCGCTCACAGCAGAACGTCAACGTCACGAAGACTTACCGGCAGCAATCGTCTCTCCACCTCTGCGGATGAGAATACGGCCCATGTCCTTGTTCACCGAGAAAGGTTCTATTGGAATCGGCTTCGCCACGCTATTGGGACCTGTCATGGCTGTGGCGCGGAGAGAAATGTGAACCTCGGCGGAGGTACTCTTGGTAAGTACGCTATTGGGATGAAGGGATTAGATGCTTTGCGGCATATACTTTCCATGGCACTCACCGAGGGTGCTCCTTCAGCACCTTACCCGTTCCCCTGTCTAGCGTGGCAATCAATTTTGATACTGTTGCCGGCACATCGCGCGAGTGATGGAAAAGCTCGACCTGCGACACAGTGAGCATCAGTCCCAGAAAACGCGTATTTATGCTCACCGTCGTGCCCGTCGTGATTGGGATTTGGACATCGAACACGATGATTCTCGCACTGAAGCTCGCTGCTAGGGGTATTGGCTCGTGCGGCAAGCACAATACGGACCCAATGTTCAAGTTGATGGGATCGATGTTGGTGAGGTAGAGCGTAACATTCGACCCCGATGCCGCCCATACGAGGCTCTCGTCTTCCGTCTCAATGGCTGCGATGTCTGAATCAGCTCGCTGTTCGCCTGACATTTCTTTCAAGACATACTTTTCACGTACGCTGTCTCATCTCCAGGAAGCACGCGTACGCGATCCCCGACTTGCACGATGCCACCGCAGATGCGACCAGAGACCGCAGTTCCAGACGTCGAGCCTTTGAACACGTTGGCAATTGGGATGCGTAGAGGCGCAGTGATGTCGCGCGCCGGCGGGTCGAGTTGATCTATGTGATATCAGTGTATTATCCCAGCACAAATTTCGTGAAAACAACCTAGGACGTCCAGTAAGGTCGGTCCGTCGTACCAAGCCTTCAATAGCGCGGCCTCCTCGTCCTCCCTGTTCGCAAGATTGATGCCCTGCATGGCCGCCACAGGAACGAAGCTCGTCTTTGAAGGCTGGAAACCCGTCTGCACCAAGAAGGGCTTCAACTGTTCGCAGATGTCATCGTAACGGTCGCGGTCCCAGTTCACCTGCAAAGTATTTTTGTCAGCATATCAGGCAGGATGCATCGACTAAGCATAGCATACCTGGTCGAGCTTGTTGACAGCAACAACGACCTGCGTGACGCCGAGGCTGCGCACGAGGATGAGATGCTCTCGCGTCTGCCCTCCTCGCTCGAAGCCAGACTCGAACTCTCCCGTTGTCGCATCGACGACAAGTAGCGCACAGTCCGCCTGCGCAGCGCCTGAGATCATATTTGGCACGAAGTCCTTATGCCCCGGTGCGTCGAGGATCGTGATTTGTCGGTGCGGCGTCGTCATCGCGCGAGTAGCGATATCCATTGTGATGCCACTGTACAATTCCATCAGCGTGTTCGGTATTCAAGGAACAGATATACGCACCGTTCGCGCTCCTCCAATGTGCCGTCAAAGTTCCATGCCCATGCGAAGCTGCGCTTGCCGACCTTACTGCTCCCGCGTTCATTTGCCGTCCGCGTCTTCTCATCCAACGCTCCCAACTCATACAACAACCTCCCCATCAGCGTCGACTTGCCTGCATCCACGTGTCCTGCGTGAGGTATGCATCAGCTCTCGTCCCTTCCGCCTCACTGAAGAACCACGCACCTATCACCATCAAGCTCACTGCCTTCTTGCCCCGCGCCTTCTTGCCCCGCGCCTCCTCCGCCTCGATCGCACGCCTCGCCTCCTCCAGCAGTTTCTCTCTTGCGAACACCGCCTTCGGGGGCGGCTCGTCCACCGACTTCTCCTCTTTCTCACCTATATTCAGCCCCGACAGATCCAACTGCCGCTGATCCATGCCTCTCGCCGGTGTCGCCGCGCCACTCTTCGTTGCACCGCCGCCTTTCTTCTTCGGCGCAGGTGACCCCGCACGCGAGGTCGCGGCGGACTTGGCTTCTTGCAGAGCACGTTGCGCGGCGGCCTTTTGCGCCTTTTCACGTTCTTTGGCAGCTGTTCGAAGCAGAGGAAGTGGGAAAATAAAGTCATCAATATCATTATCATTAACAAAATCCCAGAATGACACAACAAGGAAAGGAACGAAGAAAATAAATGAGGGGAACGGGGCGGGGACCTGCAGGTAGGACGCATCCAGCAACAGCCTGCTTCAAACGGCTACGGACGTTGCCGTCGACGTTGACAGCGGGGAGGACGTCGCAACGGAGGACTGGCGCTTTGCATATCCGGTATGTTTGCGCGCGTTCATAACTACGTCGTCCGGGCTTGGGGAGTCAAACGAGAAACCCAGCGGCGGCGAGAACGTCGGCACGGGCGGAGTGTGCTTCTTCGATTTCCTGCGGTGCTTCTCTTTGCTCGCGCTCGAATCCTCATCAGAAAAGGGCGATGCCGTGCCCTCAGCGCGTTTCTTGTCCTCCTTGCGCTTGCGCCGCTTGGCCTCTTCCGGGTCGACGAGGAGAGAGCCAAAGGTCGACGGAGACGCGCGACTGCCCTCCTTCGGGGACCCGAAGATGGGCGGGCGCATGAGCATCGGCTCGTCGTCGAGAGGGGACTGCAGTTGCGGCGGTGCAGCCTCAATCTGCGGGCGCCGCTCCTGCGCGGCCTTCTTCGCCTTGAGCGCGAGCTTCGACTTCTTCTCTGGCTTGTCGCTGCCAGAGAGCGGGCGAGGGGCCTGCCCTGGCGATGGTAGAGGCGCGACGTAGGGTGTCTTGCCCATCCGAACGCGGTCGGGGCTGGCGAGACTGTAGAGGGACTGATAGGACGTGGTGATGGCAGTAGTAACCGTGGGACCGTTGGCGATAGGCGTGAGGTACTCCGTGTGCTCATCGGGCAGTGCAGGCGCTTTGCGGGCGACAGGGGCATTAAGGATGGAGGTGCCTTTGGCTGCTTTCGCTTTCGCGAGGAGCGCGAGCTTGGACGGCTGCTTCTGCTCCGTAGCCACGACAGCATCCTTCGTCTTGGGTGACGGAGCCCTCGCCGTTGCATCCGAGTGCACGGAAGACGGCGGTTTGGGCGTCGAGCGCGACGATTCCCTCCCCGGCGACTTCGGCGTGGACCAACTCTTCTGATCGTCATGTTCCTCCTGCGCCATCGCCGCCTCGATAGCCTTCCGAACATGGGAGCTCATCGATGTGTGAGTACGTGTTGGAGAGCCGGGCGCTTCAGACGGCTCGGGAGTTCGCCCCGCAGTCGATGTCGTCGGCGATCGCAAGGACGACGAGGTCGGCCTCAACGCAGGATACGTCTTGACCGATCCGTCGAGGGTTTCGCTGTCGCCACTCACACGCGAGCTGACGCTGCTCCTGGCACTGACCGCACTCCTCGCCTCGCTCGCCGCACTTCTTGCACCTGCGCTCCTCGCCCCTGCACTAATTGCGCTGACGGCACTCCTCGCACTGCTGCTTGCCCGGCTACTCGCAAGCTGCGAGAGCTTTGACTTCTTGGGAGTAGACACAGACGCCGAGGAAGGAGCATGAGACGACACGGAGGGAGACTTGGGTGGCGCAGGAGAAGGTGCCTTATGCGGCGCAGCAACAGTGCTTGGGTGCAATCGACTTGCTATACTCGCTGGCGGCCGAGCCTGCTGCTCTGCTGGCCGGCTCGAGCGCGACATGATATCCGGGATGTCCGGCATCGTGTCCATAGGCGGGACATCGACGCTGGGAGGTCGTGGCGGAGGGCTGGCAGTGACAGAGGAGTGCATGGAGGGCGCAGGTTCATAGAAGGATAAACGGTGTAGAGCGGAGCCGGATGGAGACACAGGGATCTGGTTGGGGTCCATGACGGGTGTGCCTTCAGGAGTGCGGAAGTCTTGATGCTCTGAATTACTGTGCATGAGTTTGTGGGGAAGAGCGTAGGACAACAAACGCCACGCACCTATTATTTGTCCCAGTGAGGACAACGATTCCGAGCCAAACGTCTCCCGCTGAGCATGCACGCGAGATGGCACCAACGGCGAGCCTTCCGTGCGTTCAGTGAGCTCCGTAATACGACTGAGCGGCCGCCTCATGGGTTGTGACAGGCTATCCGTGGTCGAGTCATAGGAGTTCTCGTACTCCCCATACTCGCCACTATCCCGCTCCGCGTACTCCCCTTGATCGTCCTTAGCGTAGTCCTCCGGGTTGCCATAGATGTTCTGCGAGCGCGCGAGGACGATGAGCGGCACGCGAGCCTCAATAGGGTTGACGACGGGCGGCGGGATGATGGGCAGGTCCTTGTCGTAGTCCGCCGTCGGGTCTGGGGGTTCTTGTAAGCCCCGGTGGCCAGTTCTATTTCCCGAGTTCGCGATGCACCTGGGCGCGGCCCCGCGTTGTCCCCCCGCAGGCGAAGAAGAGGTGGGGGATAATAAAGAAAGGGAGGATGAGGGAAGCTCACCTTTGCGCTCTTGGGCGGCCTTCATGCGATCCTGTTCCTCTGTGGGGTGTCAGATGGGGGACGCAAAGGGTGTGGGTAGGGCTCACCCATGCACCAACGAATGGTCTTGTCGATGTCGAAGTAGAACTCCCATAAAGCGTCCTTGATCTTGTTGTCCGCCAGGCCTGACTGATCCTCGGAGCCAACCACCTCGCGAACCTGTACGAGGCCGTCTTCCATCAGAGCTTGACAGCATATTAGACATCGTGCCAGAGTTCAGCGTGCGCCACACACCCTGCTGCTCCTCCGTCATCTCCTCTTCCGCCTCCTCCTCGAAGTCATCATCCAACTCATCTGTTGCACGATCAACTGGCGCTCTAGAGACCCCACGACGACGCACCATGGATATTGAGGTTTCGAATGTCCCTGTGGCGCGACATGAATGCACGAGATATGTGGGCTCCCGTGGTGAAGGAAGTACGAGGTCAAGGGATGCTCAGATGGTGGAAATTCGGGATGCTCTCCCCGCGCGGGCGCCACGCGCATTCGCCCTGCAGCGGCAATTCCCGAAACCCGGCCCGTCTGCCGGGCAGCGAGTCGTCGACGCGTGAATTGTCGCGCTCACTTCGTCGTGTACGTTCACTCCGCAATCATGTTCGCAGCCCTCAGGTCCGCCTCGTCCTCGCGCATGCCCGCAAGGGTAAGTATTTGAATCATGTATGCGGACCCAATGTCGAATATCCACAGGCGTTTAGCACCAGCGCGTCGCGCGCCGCAGACCTTGCCAAACTCACCCTCATCGGTCGTCTGGGCAAGGATCCCGAGGTGAAGACGACCAAGACGGACAAGGAATACGTGACGTACGTGCTAGAGCCCTCACCTAGATCATACCTTCGTCTAACGCACATATAGCTACGTTGTCGCAACCAGGGCGTTCCCTCCCCCTCCCCCTGATGCGTCTGGCGGTATGTCTCTCGGCTTGATCATAGACACCCCCTTCTACTCTTCCCTCATGCTACGCGCACCTTTCAACGTCGCGTGCTTTCTTTAACGTGTCTCTTTATTCAGAGCGCCCACCCGCCGCCGCGACCTTCCACCGCGTCTTCTCCTTCAACCCCAGTTACAACAAGTACCTTGCCACACTGAAGAAGGGCACGCACGTCTACGTCGAGTGCAACTTTGAGCTCCGTGAGCCGGAGAGGAACGCGGACCCCACCACGCCGGAGGGCCAGCGCCAGATCTTCTTGCGGCATGGTATGTCCTTGGATATGTAAACTGCGGGGGATCACGCTGATGGATACACAGAGCAAATCCGCGTCTTGGGCTACCCTAAGAACGACCACCCCGCTGAGGAGTCAGACCACGAGTAGTTTTTTCGTGTTCTCTTGCTATTCCCTTCCACATGCATCCGTGAATTCATTGCTTTGCGTCCGGATGAATGAACCCCCTCTCACTCATGGCGCACTGGAAACCTTGAGCCTTGTAACAGAGCATGCGAGCTAGATGGATACAAGATGCAGGAAGTACAAACATGAAGCAAGTGGGAGATGCAGATACAGAAGACGACCAAAAGTCAACAACAAACGATACCCCCCTCATGATTGCTCCTGAATAACAATCTTCTTCCTCTCTGCTTTTGGCTTGCTCTCGCCCGCCCGTGTGTGCTTCCGTCTCCGCTCCTCCTTGACACGCCGCGCCTCGAGCATCGTCCGCTTGAGCGAGGCTGCCTTGTAGACGGGTTTGGGGAGGTGGCGGGTCCTGAGAGGGGAGAAGTCAGCAGATGTTTTGACAGCGGGCTTCGACTCGAAAGGGGAGGAGAAGGATGGTAGAGAAAGAGCGCGCTACCCACCTGATGACCTTGTTGACCTCCTTGTCGTTCTTCCACCTCTCCTTGAGGCTGTCGCGGTACTCCATCGCTGCACGCTCGCGTGCGGTGATGATGCCAAGCTTGTCCGAGGCCTTCGCCTTCCATACGCGTACGTTCCCATCGTCGGAGCCGGAGACGACGAAGCGTGCGTCACCGGTGAAGATGGTGGAAGATACTCTGGATAGTGGTCAGAGTCGGTTTTTTCACAGGAACCAATCCTCTACACACCTCTGCATCCGCTTCGTGTGATACACCTCCGGACTATGCCCCCTCCCCTCCTTCCATATCCTCACCGTCCTATCCCACCCACCACTCACGAACTCCAGCCCCGTCGGTGCCCAATCACAGCTCATCACCGCCGCAACGTGCGCCTTATATATCTGCGTCGGCGTATCCAAATGCCTTATATCGAACGTATAAAGGTTATGGTCCTCCGACGCCAAAAGCACGGAGGTTGGGAAGGTCGGGGACCACGCGAGGGAGTTGTTGCGCATGTTCATGACGACGCGGCGCTCGGCCTTGCCTGTGCGGATGTCGTAAAGGGTGAAGGTGCGGTCGGAGCCGATGCTGGCGAGGACGGAGGATTCGGCGAGGTTGAAGCGGACGGCGGTGACGGTTTCGGTGGAGGTGGGGAATGTGAGGTTGGATACTGGGGCGCTCCTGGGGTGGGCGTTAGTTCGTATCATTGTGAATGCATTCAGCATGTACGCACTTCGTCTCGTCCCATATCTGCACTAAGCTGGATCCTGTTGCGAAGACAGGGTCTGTCCGATGATGATCGATGGTGTTGAAGGCGTGCTTTGCGGGGAAGACATTGACGGGCTGCGAGAAGGGGATGTTCAGCACTCGGTCGGGGGCGTGCTGGGAACATAGCAGACGCACCTCCTCTCCGTGCCCCACATCCCACAACTTGACAGTCTTGTCCACCCCACAGCTCAGCACCCTCCCCTCCCCCGCATAGCACACCCCTGTCACCTTCCCCTTGTGCGCTTGTGGTACGTGTAATCTTCTTTCCCGTGTCGAGATGTCATGCACGATCAAGCCTACGCGCAGGAAGAAAGGTTCTATTAGCCACCTCGTCCCACATCTCCTCCCATGCGACTCACACACCTCCGTCCCAGCTTCCGCTCGCCACCGCGGACAGCGTCCCGGGTTGCCTTGCCAGGCATTCCACCGCGTCAACGTGCCCTTCTAAGCTGGCTACGAAGGGTTTGGCGAAAATGCGGTCCATCTTGGCAGCGTTCAGCGCGCGTGTACGTTCTCTTGCTTTAGCAAAGGGGTGGAGCAGCGGGTCAAGATTCCGTGAGGTGGGCGTAGGATCGCCCGGACGGACAGGGAGATGTTGGGCGGGTGCATGTTGTAGGACAGATATTTTCTGGTAGAGGGGAGGTTAGCTGCTGAGTTAATGGATTGAGGAGGATGTATTGGATCAGTGAAAGTATGAAAAGGCATAGGAAGTACAGAGGAGGTGATAAGCGCTTACCATGATGGACAGATCGGGGAACGAAGAACAATGGACGAGGGAAATTTGATCGGACCAGGGGCGGGTATCGGACCGGCACTGGTGTCACGATCACGAGACCAGCGCGTCATTCGCGAGCCTCATTGTGACCATTGTCCACCCTCTTCTCGTCCACAACAACCATCTAGCACTCTACCTACGAGCACCGTACACTTCAACAACCTTTCCCCCTCGTAAGTGCATATTCTCTGGCGTTAATGAACGCCTACTTCCCCGACCGATCACTAGCTAGTTCACCCTATGTCGTTCACGAACCCCTCCGTATGCCCTAAGAACGCGAGGCTCACCCAGCGTGGGACTCTGTACGACGCGTCTTACGGACGCGTCATTAAGAAGCACCCCGCGCCAGCTCAGCGGGACTCTACGCGCGCGTACAATCGCGTCGATCGTCGAGCTCGCAAGCGCACGCGCAGCCAGGGTGGCGCATCGCAGACCGACGTCGCGCCTGCTAGGAAGCAGAAGCAGGCTGAGTTCAGTGAGAGAGTGATTCCGAGGTCTACCTCTGGCGTGAAGCACGCTGTTCTGAAGAGTGAGGACGTCGTCTTCAACCCCAAGCCCAACGGCGACGACACTGCTACCCCGATCGAGCCTGCTCGTGAAGGAGCCCCTGGGTCCGCTAGCATGGCGCACCCCAAGGAACTTCCCGTAGATGCGGAGACTACCAGCGCACTCGTTCCACCCAACGCGTGTTCTGCTGCTGCGAAGCCTGAGGGGCTTGAGACTGGTGCATCTGGCAGCTCGAACGGAACCTCTCCTCAGGCTCCCGATGAGCCTCATAAGTGCCTACTCGCCGAGCCCGCCAGAAAGTACCTCAACTCCCTTCTGCGCATCAAGCCTACTCCCGGTGACCTCGCGCTCCAGGCGAGGTACGAGGAGAAGGCAAAGCGCCGTGCCCTTGAGAGAAAGCCGTCGACCTACATCCCCGGCGACATCAGCAATCGTGCACATCTCTGAGTGGACTGATTGGCCTGATTTGTCTGATTCGTCTGAGTGCCGAGAAGTTCAGGCCTTTTCAGACAGATTACAGGCGCAAAAGTGATTTTTCAGTCCAACTGGCTTTGTGCTGGCCAGCTTCGTCTGGGGCTGGTCTGACTCGTGTCTGAATCGAGTCTGATGTACAACTGCTAATCGTGCGCGGTATGTAGGCCTACAGGTACAAAGGATATTCGCTATGCGTGCTGAGAGGATCACGACGATGCGAAGGGTCTAAGGATCGATACAATGAAATACCTCGCGCCGAGCGTACAATATAAGGGTGGAGAAGACGGTCGGATGCGCACGCCGTCGCACGTTGCTATGCGAGTTGAATCTGCTGGGGCGGAAAAGGTCGTCGGGGAGGGTGATTGAGCAGTGCGGCGAGAGCCGCTAGTGAAGCGATGAGAAAGGGCAGACAAGGTCACGATGACCGCCATGCATGGCCAGAATGAGCTGTCGCGCGCGAGTCGGCCGTACGCCCGCTACAGCAGCAACACGGTGCATGGCGGAAAAGTCGTGCGTGTTGAGCACTGGGATTAGACGGCGAGCACAAGCGCGCGGCGACGCGTCAACGCGGTCGAAGCAGAGAGGCAGAATCCGCTCCAAGTCACAGGGGGTTGCCCTAAAGTCGATCGTCTGATGACGTTGTCGCGTCGGTGCCAAACACACCATGGCCTTGACTCCCGCCTTTTCGACCACTACAACGCCGCCGTGTCGCACGGCTCGCTTTCTTTAGTCGCCTTTGCTAGAACTCGTCGCATTTGCGTCAGTCTCCTCAACGACGCTCGAGGCAAGCCGACACCGGCACATTCTGTTACGCGCGCAATCATCGACGTAGGATTTGCGCCGAGGCCATAGGTGCGTGTGCTAGTGCCAAACCGGTGCCCCGTCACTCATTTTCTACAGGCACTTTCTATCGTTGTCTGCGGGAGCGCAGCGTCGCCCAACCCTCCGCGCGATCCATTCTACAGAAGCGGGGCAGTCGCTCTAAATATGGTACATGCATCTCCAGCTTTCATAGCGTCGAGTATGATCTCTGATAGTGCTCCCGTGCTAGGTCGACTTTGCAAGCGCGTTGTGTCTGGCCATCACCGGCATAGCACATCATTCGGGTGTATACACGCGCGTCGTGTTCTCGTAGGCTTGCGCGATTCACGCTAGAGTGGTAGATGTAGATACAGTATATCCTGTAGTATCCGTAGTATCTAGGTAGCCTTCAATACATTCATTTTCGATTTAACTACCGTCTGATTGGAATGGCCTATAAGATGCGTGTTCTGAGGCAATGAGACGGCCTGGCTATGGCCTATGAATGACCTGAATAACGTCTGTGCGAGCGACTGTACAGGGTCTGTCCAGTCTGAATTGTCGACGTCTGAAAGGGCTGGTCCCAGCAATGTCGGACTGAACTCAGGCAAGAACCTGTAGGAAACAGTCAACCTGCCTGAGCATCTGATTGGTCTGAACTGGCCTGAACGGCCTGATTTCAGACCAATCAGACAAGTGCACGATTGCTGATGGAGGATGACAGCGACCTGCCTGCTTCCAACAAGCAGTACAGGTGGTGCGCTCTGCGTAACGAGCGTGGGTTGATGCATCGCATCTGAGTAACTGCACCCTCTAAGGTCCTCCAATCATGTCTTCATAGAGTCTGTCGTCTGTTGTAGACCTCGCCGTCTGCTACAGATGATAGATGTCTTGCTGTACCGAATATAACATCGTTATGGAAATGCGTATCCGCTCTTGTATACAGTATCTTCAGTCCGAATGGTCGTACTCCGTGCCCGAACGCTGGCTCTGTCGAATCATCCCCCGGTAAGCACCATCTCTTCTACTCCACCAAACGCTTAACGCACCTGAGGCGTATACTGCGCACCTCCCTGCGGGGTGTACTGTTCCCCTCCTCGAGGCGTATATTGCGCGCCGCCCTGAGGCGTGTATTGTGCACTTTGAGGTGTGTACTGGGCTCCTCCCTGCGGCGTGTACTGGCCCTGTGGCGCGTATGAGTTGCGGGGCGAGAACTGGGAGTTCTGCGGTGAGAACTGCGAATTCGCAGGCGAGGCGGGTTCGGGGAGCCATCCTTCCTTCAGAGGGGTTGGTGTGAGCGAGGGTTTTGGGAGAGGTTCGTGTGGGACCATCCAAGTGGGGGTGGTAAAGGCGTAAATTGCAAGGTGGCGATGGAACGAGGACAAGGAAGATATCACAACGTCAATGGGGACATCCGTAGGCGACATTCACAAAGAAAACATCAATGAAGGCGCGAACGTACATGGTTATCGTGGATAGGGACAACGGGGACCGACTGCCCATTCGAAGCTGCGACGGAGGGCGCGGGCATGCCGGCGCTGCCGCTTGTGCGCATCAGTTTGGAGATGAAGTCGCGGACGGTCGTGACGACAAGCTGGGTGAGAAGGTCAGTCGGGCAATGGGATTGATGGACGGAATGCGAAGAGGATAGTGAAGGGTTGACGAATGGCGTACGTTGTGATCATCTTGCGAGGATCCTGAGTAGCACGACTAAGATGCATGTCAGCTAGGTTGGTGTAGCCCTGTGCGAGACCACGTACGACGATAGCTATCGGACAGCACGGTGCGTTCTGAACCATGTGTCAGCTTATGCCGCCGTCAAGCATCGCCCGCCACTCACATCAAGCCATATAGGAAACGCTATAGCACTATCAGCAATCCATCCTTCCACCCCGATCCTGCTCACTCACCTCCCCCAACCACCTTCGCGTCGCTATCCAGGCCTAGCTCCTTCGCCGGCTTGCCGAGCGCGTTCAGCGCCTTCTCCACGTAGAAGCTCGAGTGCCCCGTCCGGCGCACCACCTCGATGAGCCCGTGCGCGACCGCCCAGCTGTCCAAGCCGACGTCGCCGATGCCAGAGGCGTGGCCGAGGTCGCCGACGGTGCAGGCGAAGAGGGTGTGCCCGGCGATGGTTTGGATGGAGATGACGAGGCCTTTGCCTTTGGCGTGTCGGTGGGAGGCGCGGAAGCGCTTGCGGATGGAGAGGCCCTTCAGTGGAGTTGCTAGTCAGTACAGAGCAGCAGTGGCGTAGGGGTGTGCAGCCGCGTGTAACGATGCTGAAGCGACGCAAGACATTCCACGCACCAAGGTCACCGCATCGGAAGCGGAGAACGACGCGAATCTGTATCGGGACTCCTCCTCGAGCGCCTGTGTCGCTTGCGCGTGCGCGTCGGGCATGGTTTGGCTGTAGAGTCCGCTGAACATGAGGCGGGGGTGGGTTCACGAGATTAGGCAGGCAATGAGGTCAAGTCCGTTTCATTGAGGTGAAGAGAGTTTTGGAAGGCAAGGCGCGCGCCGCTGAGATCAGGGCCACCGCCATGACGTGCGCGCGAGGCCTGTCTGGCGCGCAGCATTGTCATATCGCGGGATGATATGGGCGTAATTATGGGGGATGGTGTGTAGATGTAATGATAGGATACGGTGAGGACGAGGGCGTGGAGGGAGGAGGCAAGGTAGGGAAATGCTTCCGTCGTTGCGACGCCCTGAGGTCTTCTCATCTTCCCTCCTTCGTGCGGTTGATCACTCGAAGGATGTGCGGTCCTTCTCTGCCTGGTCTCACTCCGTTGTACGGCCAGAATTGCTCTGAAATGGTTTCTCACAACATAGGCGCTCGCAAGCGCCCGTGCTCACGTCAAGCACGATGCGCACATGATTGATCGCGCGCGTACGCCCGGGCACGTCGACAGCCGAACATCGCTTGCACCTCCCTCTCATCCTCCCTTTCCTGAATTCCACCCTTGCTTAGCCTGAGAGACAAGGATCCGGCGCGAGAAACTGTGCCCATAGTTGCCTACACTCTACCTCGACTCGCGCCTTCACCTACACCATGGAGTTCTTTAGCGGCGCTGGCGGGGATCCACTCAAGCCCTCTATCTTCGAACTCGTCGCGCAAGAGCAGCTTCGCGACTTACTGCAGCCTGCGCTGAAATATGTGCTTGCTGTACGTGTCTATACTGCCGACCAACTCCCCACTCCCTTCCCCGCATCGGACCCCACATTCCTCGTCCACCTCGATCCTAGAGCTCCGCCTCGATCCCTGCCTTCCTTCCCTCACACTTCCCTTCCCCTATACCTTCGCATACCGCTTCCCCCTTCGCCTCTACCCCAACGTTTTCTCACCTTCTCTCAAGGTTTTCGCCCAACGCTACCCGCGATACCTCATACGCATCGTCAACCGCCATGAAGAATTCTACGCCCTCATCATGCTCATTGTCGAGCGATACTACTTGAGAAAACATAGTACGTGTCCGCCATACAACCCCTCTCCCTGTCCTCTGTCCTCTCTCGCCAGAGAATGCGTGCAGGGTGTGCTTGGAGCAAGGAATACTAACAGACCACCGCAGACGCGTCCTTCGCGGAGAACTTCTACGGCATGAAGCGAAGAAGAAGACCTTTTATCGAGACGGATAGGGCAAGGGTTGCGTCGGGGATGATTCCTCCGGCGGAGCGATTGAGGAATAGGGAAATTCGGTGGTCTTTGTTCTTCCTGGTGCGTCTCAAGAGCTGTCAATCATGGCAATAGTATGCGAGCTAACTGAACATGAGTAGGTTGCGATACCCTACATTCGCGCGAAAGCCCATGATTGGTTTGAGGATGTAGGCGGTGGGACGCACATAGATATTCTGGATGACGAGCCAAGGTCGGGGGCGTCTGATGGTAGCGAGGTGCGTGGAAGTAAGGAAAACTAGGCTCATGCTCATCGTCAGTGATTCACCAGACCTGGTGTGCACGGCTGAAGCGCGTCTATAAGACGCTGTACCCTTGGGCGAACTCTGCATTCGAGGTCTGGCTACTCATCAGCAATGTTGCGTATCTGTTCGACCAAACACCATACTACCGCCCATGGCTGAAGTGGATAGGAGTGGATCTACGACGCTTGGGGCCGGAGGACTTCGTGCGTTGCGACCATAATGAAACTCTTCCTTCCGCTAACCTCCCTTCAGCGAGCAGCTATGCAAGCTCAACGAGCAAAGCTTACCCCAGAGCAACGAAAGGGCATCATGGCAAGAATACGACGACTAATCCTCACCTCGCCTAAGCTGTTGCTCGACTCCCTACGACTGCTCCTCCCAACAGCGATATTCTTTGTCAAATTCCTTGAATGGTGGTATGCACCTGGCTCGCCTGCGCGTGCGCTCTCGGCTACGCCAACGGGCCCTGTCGTGCCTCCACCTCGAATGCTTCCGCCTCATCCTCAAGGGATTCCTTTCGATCCGACCAGCCTCGGGACGTGTCCAGTATGCCGTCAGTCGATCAACAATGCGACTGCCCTGCCGTCTGGGTATGTCTACTGCTACCGATGCGCATACGAGGAAGTAGAGGAGCGCGGCCGTTGTCCGGTGACGCTGCTGCCGGCGCAGATGTGGCAGCTGCGCAAGGTGCTGGTGTAGGTGAGGCGCGAGAAGAGGTAGCGGTATGCGGGAAGGGCGGGATGGGTGGGACGATTTCGCGAACGTTCGTAGTAATTGGGTACTTTATGGCCATCGAGTACCATCGATCTACATTCACGCGCCCAGCGCAAGTCGAACCGTGGGAGTGCTATCACGAACGTTCGCGGGCCCGATCATCGAGCGCGCCGCGCCCCCGGCTTGTATCCTCCCCTCATGTGCTGGGAATCTACCATATACAGTTGAACCGCCCGCACCCATAACGCGTCGCTGCCCGCGCGGGACACGGCATCATGAAGGTCTGTCTGTCCGCCCGCCGAGCGCGAGAGCGGCTGATTGAACGTTAGGCTCCCCATCCCCTCCCCCATTGCCGCCCCCGCGAATGCAGTTTGGGAAGCATATCCAAGCGCAGCAGGTTCCCGGGTGGTCACAGTACTACCTGGACTATAAGTTCCTCAAGAAGATCATCTCGTCGCTGGCGGACAGGCGCCCTGCGTCAGACTCGGCGGCGCTCGCTCTCGGCGTACGGCCCGCGGACATGGTCGATGCGGACGCGATCTCTGCTCTCTCGCAGGCGTCACAAGAGCCGCCGATCTTCACTGACACGGACGCAACGCGCGGCGACGACGTGCAGGCGCACAAGGCCGCGTTCTTCTTCAAGCTCGAGCGTGAGCTGGAGAAGGTGCGCAGCCTGAGACCTCATCCCGTCATCCGCTCACACTCCCCAGATCAACCTCTTCTACCTGCAGAAGGAGGCCGAATTGCGGCTTCGCCTTGAGACGCTGCTATCCAAGCGACGAGCTGCCGTCCTGCGTGGTGTGCCCTCTAGCCCAGACGATGTGGCGCAGAAGAACGTAGAATGGAGCGCGGTAGAGGAGGGCTTCCGCCTGCTTGAGCGCGATCTCGGCAAGCTCCAGGTAGATATGCTCGCGCACCCGCGTGCCACTCATCCGCCCACATACCCGCTAGCAATATATAGAGATCAATGCCACCGGCTTTCGCAAGATCCTCAAGAAGTTCGACAAGCGGTCGAAGAGCTCAACGAAGGAACTGTATCTTGCGCGTCAGGTTGATGTGCAGCCGGTGTTCAATCGTCAGGTAAGTTGGGCCGCTTACCCCAAAATCGAGTATTGACAGGCCTCCAGCTTATCTCTGAACTCTCGGACACCGTGGCGGCTTGCCTGCTAGACCTGTCCGATCTCTCGTCTGGGCTCAAATTCGAGGGTGGCGCAGCGAATGATGTCGTCGCCTTGCAGATCATGACTGAGCGGAACTCCGGTATGGGCCCGTTCAACGATCTGGAAAGCAACCTCCGCCGCGCCGTCAACAGCCGCGACTCCACGGCCCTTGCTGACTGCGTTCGCTACTCTGAGACCCTCGCCTCACAGCCCGGCGGCAAACCGCATGTTACGCGCATCTTGTGGCGCGTCATCAACGAGGCTCCGGAAGATCTCGCTGATCTGGTACTTTCCTCGCTTACGAGTCCCTTCGACTTCCAGTTCGTCGACGATATCAATGGGCGGACGTGCTTGCACGAAGCAGCTAAGTCCGGGTGCGACCGGCTCGCCAGGATGTGCATCGAGCACGGCGTCCGGGTCGATAAACGGGATGCGTATGGCCGGACGGCACTTCACTATGCCGCCCTTCACGGGAATTCTTCGACGTGCAAGTTGCTTCTTGAGGCGCAGGTACCACCAGATGCTCTGGATCTCGACAACTACAGCCCACTTGTATACGCAACTCTGTGCGGCAGCGTCGAATGCGTCAAATTACTTCTCGACATAGGTCACGTCTCGGTTGATCCTTCGTCAGGTGCTGGCGATCTTATTCCCCTGTCTCTCGCCTGCCGCTCCGGCCACATTGACGTGGTCACTCTTCTCCTCGAGCGCGGCGCGCGCTGCACGCCGAACACGAATGGGGAGTACCCCATGCACCTCGCCGCTCGGGAAGGGCGAGTCGGCGTCTGCGAGCTGCTCCTCGAGAGCGAGGGCTGGGATACGCCGGACAAATATCATGAATGGACGCCTCTCTTCCACGCTGCAACGCGAGGGCACCACGATTGCGTTAGGGTGCTTCTCGCTGCTGGTGCGCGCGCCAATATGGTCGACGAGCTTCAACATCTTCCCGTACATTACGCGGCTTGGTACGGCCACGAGCAGACTATGCAGCTCCTCCTCGCCGTCTCTGACAGTGCGCAGACGCCCTCGGCCACCAAGGTCGACTCTCCGGACAAATCCTGCTTGGAGGACAGCGAGATCGATCTGATCCCCTCACTTTCCCTTCCGCCACCGATTATGCCGCACCGCGTATACGGGCACAACTACCTCGATCGAAGTTTCCTCGTACAGGTGTCTCTGAGCGGGAATAACTTCCCCCACGACCCGCTCGGTGTGCGCCTGCATCGGCGACTGCTCAGCCCGGCTTTCCGTGACGAGTACCTCCTGAAGAGCACGCCCCTCAAGCTAGTGATGACCGCGGACCCAAGCGGCTCGCGTGCTCTATTCACTTTGTCATTGCCACAATCCGCGGACGATCAGGCGACATTCTCGTTTCAGATCCCGTCGCTGGAGGCATTGTCGTTGGAGTTCTCGATCTATCCGAATTTCGGAACGAGGACCATCGGGCGGGCGGTGGCGCTGCCTTCAATGTTCGCGAATGCGCTGGGGCAAGGAAGGTTTGTTCTACCGATCTTGGATACGAGGCTGCATGTTATTGGCGAGGTGAGTATGGGACAATGGAATTTGCGCACGCATTGGCCTGAATCTGTCTTCATCAGGTGTCCTTCGACCTGAGCATAATCACACCCTTCGACCAAGCCACGCTTGCCATCGGCGGCGACGTCGAAACTTACTGGAAATCAATGTCCGGGCCCTCCATCTCCCAACCAGGCCTCCCCTCCCTACCCCAACGCTCGACCTTCTTCGGTTCCCAGCAGACATCGCCATCGGCCCAATCGGTTGTCAGCGCCTCCGGCCTGTCCATTGCCAGCGCCTCCGGACCACAGCATATTACCGTCTCTTCTCTCCAGGGCGAGTATGTTACTGCGGTCGTGCAGCTTACGAAGGACGGGAAGCCTGTTGTATACGCCGAGGACTTGCTCCCCGATGTAGGATTGGGATTGGAAGTTGACGCGGGGCAAGTGACGCTGGCGCAGTTCGAGGCGTTGGCCAGCAGGCTGGGGCGCGCTACGATGTCTGCCGAGGGATCCGGTGCACCATCCTATGCGCGTGCCATGGGACGGGCGATGCTGCCATTGGGCAGGCTCTTGAGGGTGAGATTTTTGTGTAAAGAAATTCCTACCGTTTGACTGTACAAGCAACAGACGTTACCGTACAACATAGGATTGAACCTCCGATTACGACCGCCCATTGACTCAAGATCACATCGACACTCTGCATACGTGGACGTCAACGGCTTCGTGGATGCGGTCTTGCGGGACATATACGACACAACGGCGCTCATCGACCCCCGCACCGTGCGGAGACGACTCATGTTCAGCTCGTCGTCCCCGGAGGTTAGCGCCGCGCTCAATTGGAAGCAGCCCAACTGTGCGTGCGCCTGCTTGGGCTCGAGTAATGATGCTTACCATCTCATAGACCCGGTCTTCTTTTCGACCCAATCATCGGCAACTGGGACATCACCACTGGATGAGCGGCAGAGCCTGAGCATCGGAGAGGCGGTCGACTTCGCACGGTCTAATAATCTCCTGGGAATCTTTGCTGATGGCAATATGCTTGTGCGTGCATCCTTGCCGGCTGCCGCGATCACGAGTCTCTGACGCTCTTCTAGGCTCGTGTACTCTCTCTCTTGGAAGCTGTACGCGACGCGGGACTGTTGATCGGCGTCCATGGCGGAGGTGGTGATCATATCGCAAGTCTAGTAGACGCGTATACTGAGGGTGATCTGGTTGTGTACGCCAAAAGGACAGCTATAGATGATCTGTAGTACTAGTAATGCGTGGACTAGACTTTGTATCTTCAGCCATGTAGTGTCTCTCAAATTTCATGTATCCTTACGAGCTGATGCACGGGCTATGAAACATCGTGAACGACCTTTTCGTCGCTTAAGAAGCGTCGAAGAGATTGCTCCCTTCGAGTTGATCGTTCATATTTGCACTGAACATAGAACATACGATGATACATGCTCATAGAGTCTAGAGATACATGACCGGACTGGGTCATTGTATGCCGCGAATGGCCTTGGAATGCCTGGATAAACAGAGTCAACCAGAATTGAGCCTCTGATGAGAAGGAATACGTACACTTCTCTGTGGTGCTTGTTCAGAAGAAAAGGAGTGCGGAAGGCCGCCGTGCTTCCGTGTCCAAACTTCACAATGCACTGAGCACATCGGTAAACGACGCCGCGAGTTGGAGCACTACTTTGTGTGAGATCACAAGCGCAACACGATGTTATGTAAAGCAACCCACGGATTCTGGCGGCCCTTGGGCGCCTGGCAAAGGGGTCGTGCAGACGCTTGAGAGGGTGCCTTAACGCGCTGTTTGGCAGACTTGGTGCACGCCGACTGCTGTTGGACAGCGACCGAACTCTGGCTCGGCACGAGTGCCTTGTCGGGCTCAGCACAGTGGAGGTTCGCCAATGTCGCCCGATAGATTGGTGTCTTGTCCCTCACGTGCGCAGCCAGTACACGCTGAACCAAGGGGTCCTTTAGGGCATCTTTGAGGGTTTGACCCTTTTTGTTGACGAACTTTTCGAGGCTGCCAACTTTCGTCAGTCTCCTGGAAACGGTAAATGTGGGCGGAGAGGTCCGGAACGTACTCCTCAAGATTCTTTGCAAAAATCGGGCGACTCTCGGTTGCAACGTGGTGCCTCCACGCAGATAAGAAGAAATGGAACTGTCATAAGGGTCAGAGCGCAAAGGATGATGGCAAGCAAAGCGTCGCTTACAGGTTCCAATGCTTTGTGCAACAGCCTCAGGTTGTCCCAGTGCTGCAATCGTATGCATAAGTTGTAGCAAGCGGCAAGCAAACAAGCTGCCCACCGCCAGCGTCTCGAACTTCTGTACCAGAGTAAGCCTGGTCATACTTCTTTCGAAGGTAGCGGCAGCGATTGAACATGGACTGATCATCTTCGGGGCGGATGGCGCAGTGATTGATGTTGTCGAAGTCGTTCATGTAGGGAATGTACGAGTTGATCTCGGCGAGGCCAAGGTAATCGTTTGGGAAGTCGATGGTCCAGTTCGGGGCAGTGAACTCATTCCTGCAAACAGCGTCAGATTTAGAGGGCACCTTTCGACGTCACTTACGAGCAAACTCGAGCCATGCAATCGTACTTATGGTGAAAGATCAGCGACGATACTACTGGATAGGTGAGCGGCCTTGCACATACCTCTCCGCAAAGGCGAATTCGAAGATTGCTCGAGAGCGGCGGGCCGCCCGCAAACTTTTCGCATGCCTATACAGCGATGGTCAGCATGTAGCTACACCGATACAAGACGTGGCAGAGCATACCGTGCAACTTCCCCCTGCCAGCAGGAGTCTGTACCAGATAGTATCCTCCTTGTTGATAGGCTTGAGGCACGCTGGGAGGTGTTGTGTCGCGTCCGAAAACCGTTCACAGATGGCGAGGCTCGGCGGAAGCTGAGCTCGCTGGATTGCAGCCTCCAAATAACGACCCTTGTCGATCAGCGCGCTAAAACGCACATTTGTGGCGCGCAAACATTGCAGGTCGGCGGGAGAACACACGAAAAGAATGTAGTCCAGAATATCTTCAGGAAGCTCGTACAGAGCGAGATGCGCTAGAGGTGTCATGACGGATGCTGGGTGAGAGTAGGAAGGTTGAATGGGAGCCATAGATGCAATTGAGTTTAGCTGGTTCGGTATCCCTTTTAAGGGGGAAAGCCGTTGCCGAACCCAAAGGATATGTACTTGTGCCCATCTATGGCTTATTGTTCACGATAGAAGTCCGCCCTCGACGAACCGACGACGCTCAGGCTAAGGATGAAATTAGAACCAGAATTTCCGCATGTAACTCCGAGTCCTTTGTTCCGAATTAGGCAATTTCTGCTTGATCCGTCCGCGCCATGTGCTTCAACGGCATTCGCCGCATCAGTGAACTGAGTTCATTTGTCACATGCCCTCATCTGGTGGGAATATCTTGCTTTCGTCCGACGCCTTATTGTCACTCTGGTCCACTTCATCTGCTTCTAGTGCACAGAATCTCATAGGGAACTATGGAAACAAGTGTCCATTCTACTTCATCAGAATGCCGGCATAGAGCAGCGGCTTCGGGCAGCGATAGCGAGCGGCCGCGCAGGTTTGCGCAGGTCACCTTGCCCGATAGTACTTAGGATTCTCTCTTTTCCGCTCTTTTTCGCTTGGTCCTTACTTGCCGGTCGGCCTTTATCTAGGACGTGCCCATCTGAATCTTACATTTCCAGGTCTTTGCAAGTGGTCAATGGTGTATTTGTGGTATTACATCCTGCTTCTGACTATTGCTGCTGAAGATTTCCAGTCTACTAGTCTACTGTAGCACGCGATGCAAAGCATCTGAATGTCGATCAAAAATTGCGCACTGCCTACAAGGGATCGGCCTTGTAGCGCAGAGGGCACGCGTTCTGCCCAAGGGCAGTCCTAGCGGATGAGCGATGTCCGACGTGTCCCCTCCCCTTGCACGTCAGAGGAAGGGAGCGCTGCACCCACGGTGCCGAGTGCCAAGGGGCATTGCTGCAGTCTGTGCAGAACCTAGTTTCCTTATAACCTCGTCGAAGGGCGCCTCTTCGCCGCCGCAAGCGGCAGCTAGAGCATGACATCCACCGCCTCTCCCCACGTCCTGCGAGACGTCGCCTCTTACGAGACGAGCCCGCAGGTCGCTGCGCACCGTCCACCAGCCGTCATCCCATAGGGTCCATGAGCCCGCGCCTACGCAGGGCAAGCCCCGCGCAGTGCGAGCTCCACATGGGCATATCGGCAACTGGCAATCCAATACGCAGGGAAGGAAGGATGAGGAGAAAGGTTGGCGGGGGCCTCTTTATATACGGGCGAGGCACGTGCAGTCAAGAGCGGGCCGGCCGTCGGACACAGTTCCTTTTGTTCTCCCTTTCCGGTCATCAATGGAAGCTCTGATTTCGGCAAGTGTTCTTTACGTCCCAATCCTTCGCGCAATTTGTATCCTCCATACCGTCTTGCTTGCTACCCTCATGGCACCCCGTTCGAAATGGTCTCGCACTCGACGCGCTAGGGCGACCACCCAACCTGAGCCTCTGCCTGCTCGTGCTATCAAATATGGGGACCTGCTCCCGCCCGAGCTCTGGCGGGAAGCCTTCTCATACTGTCTTCCGCTCACTCTCTTCGCCGCACGCGATACCTGCCGCCTCTTCCGCCGCATGATTGACCGCAACGATGGCTCCCTTCTCGCCCGCGCTCCCCTCCTACTCTCAGACCCGCCCCCGGATCCCCGCTGGTATATGCAGCGGTCTCGCAACGAGCACGTCCGGCAAATCATTGGCGAGGTTTTCGGCATCACGGATCCTTGGAGTGATATCTATGGAAGCGCTGCGTACACGAAGATGCTGTATCTGCCCGGTTGGTGCCATGTAAGTTCTGCTCAAACTGAATAACCACGGGCTTCCTCATTACCGAGGTCAGATGTGCAATGGGCGCGCAGAGGGACCTCCCGCCTCTATTACAAGCAGCATAGGCAGGGTATATCTGTGCTCCGTAAGCCTCCGGTCATCGTCCCGTCGCGCTCGCCTCTCATCTACATCTCACCTATCAGCGCCGCTGCCGTTGAGACTTATTCCGGTAAGCCTGTCTGTCTCGACTTATTTCCTATTGCTGATGTGTCCGGATTGCTGGCACAGAAGTCGTACCCGCAAGGTCGTCAAGCTCGCGCCAAAGAACTGGCTACCGAAACCATCGCTGCCGATGGATCGCTACCTCACGCCGTGGGTTCCTAACATGTCCATGGTGAAAGGGCGCAAGACGATCGCCGTCGCGGCGTGCGACCTGGTCAGAGCGCGAGAGGAATATGAACAAAATGTTTTGGCTTCAGCAACCGCCACTGAGCGCAGGCGGGAGCGCAAAGCTCTCTTCACGGTGCGCACGTTCGTTGACATGCTTGCGCTAGCCATGACGACTCACATCTTTTTCTAGCAATACAAATCTCGCTGCCGCCAGAAGAGGACGCTCGGGATCGTGAGTGGGCCTTTTTGCTCGCCCTGCCGACGATTGAAAATAAACACATCAAGCTCGAATGCCTGGTCGAGTATTGGAAGGAAAAGAACGACTCGAAGATCAAGCAGAACCTGAAGATCAACAAAGCACGGTACGTCTTCACACAGTCTACTACACCAGTACGCAACGCGGAGCCAAACGCTAGCCAGGTTGCGTGCATTCGCAAACGAGCGGCAAATACCGCTGTCGCAGGCGCTCGGCAACCCAGACGTGCAGCGCGCCCTTGTTGCGCACTCGAGAGTGTTCGCGCTCATCTCGCCATCCATCTTGAGCGACGCGGGCCTCTTCAACCCAACGTCCAACCGCGTGCCATGTGAGCATTGCCACGCAGTCGTCGCTATACACCGTTTGGAATGCCATATAGCTAGCAGGTGAGTTTCTTCTCGAAGGGCTCGTTCGTGCTTTTATCAACGTCCTCTCAGCCATCCGAAGCAGTTCCCTTACACTCGCCTGGGCGCCACGACAGGAAAGGCAGAGTACCGATGTGCGCTGTGCCCTCTGCCTGCACTGAGGTGGTTTTCGGCCGTCGCTTTGCAGGCGCATCAGCTCGACAAGTGCGTGGTTCAGATTGCACTGATGATGATGACTCACTGCATGATATCAGGCATGGCGTGCGTGGTCAGGAAGAGCAGGAGTAGGAAATACAGAATCAGGTGACCCAGTGTGTACAATCGCTGGAGTCCGCAGGACGACGACATGAGTGTCTGGTACTGTGCATGGACAGTCATGTAAACGATGTTTGGACACGTGCTGCGAGAGAGGGATTGCACGGAGGGATATGCCTCCAAGGGTCGGTGGCGTAGTTGGTTATCGCATCTGTCTAACACACAGAAGGTCCTCAGTTCGAACCTGGGCCGACTCACTGACAGGGATGGTCGGTGTTTTTGGCTCCTCCATCGTTTGCTGATTTATACCTCTGGCTCACCTGCGATGAGCCTACGTCGAAGTATACTAAGGGCGACTCAAGTGGACTTGGAGCTGAACCATCCTCCAAATGAATGAAATGTGAATTGCCGCTGGTTCCAGCGCGGCGCTTACGATCAGTCATCATGATCTGAGAGGCAACTGCGATCGGCGAAGACAATACTTTGGTCTCGAGCCCTCCCTTCTTATTTTCCTGCACCTTCAACTCGAGACATCCTCCCCCATATTACCCCGCGACAATGAACCCAGCGGAGCAGCTTGCACACGGCACGATGTTGCAGCAACAACTGCACAAGCTGCAGCAGGAGAAGGCACCACACGCGGAGGGAGGGGAACAGGAGCATGAGCACGAGAACGAGCCCAAGGCGGGCCCGTCGTTCGTTAGTACACCACCGGTGATCCACGAGGGGTATGGCTTCAGGCCGACATCGGGCCCTGCGACGCCGGGGAAGGAGTTGCAACCGTCGGCGCATGAGCAGGGGGTACGCTCACCACTTCCCCCGAATGACTACGGGCTTGGATGGCCAGGTGCGTTTTCCCTTCTTGATTTACAGAGGCCTATACCATACACCCTCGTATAACGCTTCACCGATCATCACCACTCACAACCCCTTCCCAGCCAAGTCGACCGTCCTGCGCCTGAACGCCACCGCCGCCGAAAACCAGGCGCGCGAGGAGAAGATGGCCGCCGCCGTGCGTACCATCCTCGAGTGCATCGGCGAGGACCCAGACCGCGAGGGCCTCTTGCGCACACCCATCCGCTACGCGCAGGCGCTCATGTACCTCACGAAGGGGTACGAGGAGCGGTTGGTCGGTATGTGGTTCGCTACCCCTCGTGCTTGCGCGCAGGCGAACTGACGATCGGATTCGCCAGACGTCATCAACGACGCCGTGTTTGCGGAGGATCACGATGAGATGGTCATCGTGCGCGACATCGACATCGCGAGTCTGTGCGAGCACCATCTGGTCCCCTTCACTGGCAAGGTGCGTTCCCCTCCTGACCCCTCCTCCCTCCCTGTGCCCCATTATATTCCACTTTTCTCCTTCCCCCTTCTTCCAATTACATACTCAAGCCATCCTCCAGGTCTCCATCGCCTACATCCCCAACAAGCTCGTCCTCGGGCTCTCCAAGCTCGCGCGCATCGCCGAGACCTTCAGCCGGCGCCTCCAAGTCCAGGAGCGCCTCACAAAGCAAATCGCCATTGCCGTCGAGGAGGCGATCAAGCCACGCGGAGTAGCCGTGGTCATGCAGGCGACGTGAGTGGTCCTGTTCTGTTTTCTTCTCTTCACATCGCGCATCGTGGTTTCCTTGCGCGTTCTAGTCCCTCTCGCCTAATCTCGAGTGCTGACGCGCGTTTCTTCTTCCAGCCACCTTTGCATGACGATGCGCGGCGTGCAAAAGCCGGGTTCGCTTACCGTCACCTCCTGCATGCTCGGCTGCTTTCGCACGCAGCAGAAGACGCGGGAGGAGTTCCTGACGCTCATCAAGCACTAGACGCATCCTCGTTCAAATAGTCAGGCCCTTTGCGACTCGAGCAATAGCCCTACCTCGCCACTCACCTACCACACTTCTCTTACAACCCTCACCAGCCACCTTTTTCACCATCCACCCCTCCTACACACCCACAAGTTGTACCACAAGCGCGTTCAACACCGCCTACACGGAATTCAACATTCCCTAGCATCTACTAATCCGCCAACTACTCATCTAATCGGCATCTGTACGCATTCACCTATATATGTTACTGTATCCATCGCCATAATTTATGTATCATTGTATGCGGAGTGGGTAGGGGAGGAGGAAGGGAGGGGGGTCTGAATCAATCTGTACGCCACAGGTAATTTGGATTCATGCGTCAAAATCGACCTGACGACGTCTGCTGGGCACGTTCTGAGGTTGGTTTTTAATACGCAGCGGGCCAGAGGACATTCGCACCAACAAACAGAACTGTACAGCACGAACATAGGCCTGCGTCGTTGTTATGCAATGCCATAGACAGGACGTGTGATAGCAGGACCGTATAAATTACAACAACCGACATCATTCATCAGCTCGTTATGCACCTCCAACTTCCAAGCGTACAAGTCTCGCCGCGTTCAGCTTTGAAACTGGCTCGGCTTGTTCAGTCCCTACATCTCTCAATCCTTCCTCCTCCCCCCACGGCCGCCACTCCTCCCTGAGGAGCCAGACCCATCGCCCAGATAGCTGTTGATCGCGTTGACGTTCGAGCCGTTGGGTCCGTAGCGGTTGCGCTGGAGGATCACGCGCTGGCGCTTATTCTGCCCATCGCCGTTGGCGGCAGGTCCGTTGTCGGGCCCGTCGTCGCGTTCTGGGGAAGCAGTCAGAATCTGTTCTGAATCGATTGTGAGATATGGCAGCTCACCAGCGAAGGTCCGCTTGCGATCCTCCTCGCGGCGGGCACCCTCTCCCCGGGGGCCTTCATCGCGCCGAGGGCCGTCGTCACGCCGGCCGCCCTCGTCTCGTCGTGGACCATCTCCGCGAGCAGCCTCCCCACGCGGACCATCATCCCGCCGAGCGCTCTCGTCCCGCCGTCCACCGCCCAGCGACGGAGCCTTGTCGAGGCGAGAGAGCAGCGTACCACCCGCGGGTTGCGAAGGGGCTGCAGGCGCCGAGGGTGGGGGCCCGCTGGTGCTCTCGGTTCGGTTGCGCTCTGCGCGAGGTGCAGACGGCGCGCTTGGGGGTGGCTTCGCGCCAGTGGTCGCCGCCGGGCCCTCGGGTACGCGCTTCTCTGCTGCCTACAATACATCGTCAGCAACTCATCAGCCACCGGTCGGAGGAACTCTCACCCTATCACTGGGAGCAGCCCCGCCGCTCCTGTCCGCAGCGCCCTCTGCCGGGCCATCGCGCACGTCCCGCCGCCTGCGGTCGCCGGGCTCACGCGGGCGATCCCTCCCCTCGTGTTCGGGGCCCCGCCGGCCGCGTTCGTCGCCCCGGCGCTCGCGGCGCGACGAGCGGTGTCCCCGCTCCCGCTCATTCTGGCTGCGTTCAGCCGAGCGTGGCCTCTTGGGGTCGGGTGCACTCACATCGTCGTCGCCGCGGCGCCGCTTGCCGAGGCCCTCCTCCGCCGCTGGGCGCCCTGGGCCGGCCGCGGGGGCATCGGGGCGCGCGTCTTGTCGGGCAGAGGCGCGGTCGTCCTGCCGTGCGGAAGCGCGGTCATCCTGGCGCGTAGTGGAACGCTCGTCCTGGCGCGCGCCAGCCGCGCGACTGCTCTCGCGCTCCTTGCGGTCACGATCCCTGTCACGGTCCTTGTCGTCCTTGCGGTGCTCGTCCTTCCGGTGGCGGTCCCTGTCGCGGTCGCGATGATCTCTATCGCGGTGGTCACGATCCCTGTCCCGCTCGCGTTCACCGCGACGGTCCCTGCCACGTTCACCGCGATCTCGCTCACGATCACCGTCCTTCTCCCTATCACGTCCAGAGCGCTCGCCATGTATGTGGCTCGCGCTATCTCTGCGTCCAAGAGGTTGCGCGTCGCGGCCGTTGGGATTTCTCGAGGAGTCGCGCTTGTCATCCGATGACGGACCATCGGTGCGTGAACGGCCTCCACTGCCACGGCTCTCAAGGCTGGCATTCCGGGTACCAGGACGGCTCTTCGGTGATGGCGAGCGCACACGAGGAGAGGCCGTGGCTGAGGTACCTTGACCTCTTGGTTCGCTTGGGACATTGCGGTTCATGCTTTGCTTCGCAGCATCACGAAGTTCTTGGGCGGACGGTGTCGAACTCGGGTTCGCAGGTGGAGGCATAGGCGGTGGAGGCATCGACGAGCGAGGCGAGTTGCGATGGCCGCGAGGCGAACGGGGTGGATCGCCCGTGAGGACCGGGATGGGATGAGGAGCTTCCTTCGGCTGTTCCGACTGTCGAGGCTTGTCGGGCAGCTGGGCAGAAGCTTCGGGCGCCTTGGGCTTCTCGGCTGGCTTGTCGGGTGTAGACGCAGCCGCCTCTTGTGCCTGCGTTCGTTTGACGACGGATGGGCGAGCAACGCCTGCGACACTAAGCTTGAGGTGAGACGAGCGGTCAGCGGTACCCGTGGGTGCCGGAGAGGGAACATTTCGTGGTTCGGGCGTCGACGTTTGCGTACGAGGTCCGGTCGGCGTCGATGTCGCGGGAGCAGGTTTGGCAGGTATGGGTTGCGTAGTAGGCTTGGCAGGAATATTCGGCTTTGGTTGTGCCACTCCATTGCGCTGTGCGGGTGCAGGAGAGGCAGTCGACGGTGTGCTCGTCTAGGGACAATCAGTAATCATACACATAACTTGTGCCTCATACTCACTTGTGGGGCGCCAGCCTTCGCCCAGAGATTCTCGCGGCTCTTCAAAGCAGCGGCATACCTAGGACAGAGTAAGTCATGCCCGCATACGCGTATTTTCGCCACTTACGCCTTCCCGAGAATCTTCAAGTCGCCTCTCTTCTCGTCAGCAATGGCCTTGTCCACGGCCAATGACAATTTGATCCCGCAAGTGTCGTCCACGGAGTTCAACGGGAACACAGGAAGGATCTCCTTGAGCACAAGGATGGTATTGTACACGTGCATGAACTCCTGCGTCTGCAGACCCCTGCAGATGGCCTATACAGATGGTCAGCTGTGGTCACGGCTCTGCGTTCAATCTATCCATATCACTTACAGCGCAAATCCGTTTGTGCCACTTGCTCAGGAACTGCCGGAAGGTCTTCCAGTCAACGACATCTGAGACGCTGATGTGGCGCGAGCTGTCCGCTTTCCAGGTCTTGATCATTCCCGGGTTGATCCACGTCTTCTCGTTCGACTTCAGACGGTTGTCGGTGAGGTACTGCGACTCGTCCTGGTGCCAGGCAAGCAAGTCGGACAAAACACCGCGCAAGAAGCGGCCATAGTTGCGGGCCTCATACTCTGTGCAGGTGAAGAGGATCACCCTTACGGCCTCGCCTAAAAGCTGACAAGGACATGATGAGACGGCGTCCGCTGTAAAGGTTGAACTGAGATACCTGATCGTAGACCTTCATTGTCCAGAAACCCGGAGTACCCTGCGTGTGCAAGACCTTGATCATCTGCACGCAGTAGTCCGCGTCCATGGGCGACAAGAAGCAACGAGGGATCAAACATTGCTCAATGAATGCGCTCGGAATGCCCCTGGGGTTAGCTGTAGGAACGTTGAGAAGCGCGAACACAGCTTATTATAGCAAGTTCACGTACGATTGCCCACAAACCATTTCTGCTTCTCGCGTACCAAACGCTTCAGCGTGAACGTCCGCGACACCGTGTGCTCCTTCAACTCGCGCGTGAGGCTTTCCACAGTGCGCTGATATCGTTCGCGCAGCTTGCGGTGCATCGACGCCGCAGCCGGAGAATGCCTGCTGGACTGGTACTTCCTGTCCTCCTGATTAGCGAGACTCCGGAAGGCGTTGACCTCTTCCTGGTAGCGTTCAAGGGGTGGCGCGAGATCATAGGACGACATTTGCCAGAAGGTGGTATAGAAACCAACACTGTGATGGAGGTCAATGAAAGCGCTAGCAATGCGAAGCCCAAACTCACCCTAGCGCATCGCAAGCACCCGGCGAAAGTTTCCTCACGTCGTCGAAGAGGGCAGATAGCTGCGGAAGCCATGGTCCCTGCATCCAATTTAGCAATGTATTCCACACGGAAAATACGACGAACAAACCTCAGACGCGCTCGGCTTCACCACCTTCGCCGACGAATCCACATCCATTGAGACGTCCGCAGTCTCCGCCGCTTCTGCCTTGCCATTGACCTTCACCTCACTCGCTGGCTTATCCACGGAGGGCGAAGCAACCCGCGACGTCGCCGGATCCTTCTTCGCCGCCGCCAGCGCCGCCTTCAGACTCTTCTCTTTCTCCACCGACATGCGGTCATCCTGCTCCAGCGCCGACTGCAGGATCTGCGCATGCAGCACGGGACGCACGATCTGCCAGCAAATGGGCGGCGCAATCTCGTACATGCAGCCAAGCTCGCGGATAGAGGGCAGAATACGCTTCTCGTACTGCGTGATCGACTGCACCTTGGGGTTGGTGAGGAAGTCGAGGTATTGAAGGAGGACGCCGTGGATCTGGGGGATGTTAGTCACCAAAGATGCAGAAACGATGGCGATGGTACGCACGAAGTCGAACAGGTTGGAGAGCGACTTGAGAGGAAGCGTCTCACGCTCCAAGGCATTTTGCCTGTGCTGCGCAACTTGGATAAGGAGAGGGAGGGCCAAGTTCGAGTCGAGCAGCGCATCGATGAGACGCTGGGCGACCTTGCTATCCGTCGCCTTGCGCTCATAGTCCGTGCTGCTGTTGCCCCGCCTGGTCGACACCAAAGCTTCCGCCCTCAACAACGGCCCACCCGCCATCGCCTGCACCTGCTGGTCCGACAACGACGGCAGCGGCTCAATATCCACCATCTTCCAGATCAGCTCCCTCAGCACCACCAGCTCCGACGTCTTGTTATCATACAGCTGCTGCACCACATATCGCAGCACAGGCTTCATATCCGGACCAAACCGGCGGAACAGCAGACCCGTGAAGGACGCCAGGCTCTGCAACCAGTCGGAGAGGTTTACGCCGTCGTCCTTGACGCGCGGCTTGGTGGGGTGCGAGAAAGCATCGAGGACGACCCAGACGAGGATGTCAAGGCCCATGAGCGTGCTGAACTGCAGCGCGCGGATGAAGACAGCCGCGAGGTTGTCGTACGCCATAATTTGGCCGACCGCGTTCGTGAAGATGATCGTCGGGTTCGTGTGGCAGAGGCGGGCCATCGGAGCGGAGAGCGAGTCAATGCTCTGGTGTGAGAGGCGGCGCAGGATGCCCTTGGACTCGCGATCCACCTGGATGCGGCGAAGCTGGAGTTCCTTGTGACTGGCATAGGTGTGATGCCGCCACTCGCCGTACATCTGCCAGCGCTGCTCTGGCGGGTACAGGTTGACGAGGCCCCAGACGTCGACGGTGAAGACAGCGTTGCCACGCGTCATGGAGAGGGCCGGAAGGAAGAAGAGGCGCAAGGCGTTGAACCAGAACTTGAAGGCGGGATCGTCAATCTGGCCAGCATCGCGCTAGAATATGTATTAGATGTTATGAATGAACAACACGACAAACTCCTTACCAGAGGGTGAAGTTGCGAGCAAGCCAACCTCGTCAGCTTCGACACAAGCAGACTATCCCGGTACAGGTGCACGCCAATATACCTCAACAGCGGTTCCACCACATCCGGAATATCCTGCAGCGACCGGCACTTCGGCACCCACTCGTCCCACTGCGGAAAGAAGAACACGAACTCTTTCGTGCTCGTGCACGGCGGCACGGGCGCGACCAGCGTCAGCAGGTGCTTCCTCGCCGGCGGCGGCGCCATGCCCGTATTCCCATACCGCAGGCGCGGTTGGTGGAAGTCGGCCTTGCAATCCTTACCCTTGAAGTGCTCGGCCTTCCGCGCCTGGTTGAGGTCATGGATAGCAACATGGGTGACACGGATAAGCAGGTCGGCGAGCTCGGGGTACTTGTCGACAAGCCATGTGTGGCGGGAGAGGATGTAGAGGGCGGGGCGGAGTGCACCGACGGAAAGAAGGGCATTGGCCAGGCCGGCCTTCTGATTTGGCGGGAGCCTCTTTGCGAGAGGCTGAGGGGGCGGTGGTGGCGGGGGCTGGTTGGATGAGCCAGAGTCGAGAGGAGCTGCGGCGGCGAGGAGACTGTTCTGTGCAGCGCGGTTTTTGGCGCGCATATCCTCCTCGTACTCCTCGTAATATTTGTGCATATCGTCGCCGTCCTCCGGTGCGAGCTTCAAGATAGGCTCAACATTTGGGATACATCGTTGAGGATGGGACTCACGTGAGGGTAAAGGCCTTCGAGCGTGATGAAGCCTTCGTGTATTAGAACTGCTGCCATAGAATAGAGATTGGCTGGTGTGGTCGTCACGGTTTTCTGTGCAGCGAAACTAAGCAAAGTATGACACGTATCGATGATCTGTATACTGACCTGATAGTGCTGGAACTTGAAGCCAAGCACCTGCGCTAGTATACGCGGGCGATGCTCTGGATCGACTGCCGCGGTGTTTACAGTTTCAGTCATCGCCAGAATTTCGTCGAGACTCTTCCCGCGGTACATGTCAGGCGTGATTTGGGCAGGTGGGTGCCGGTTCTCAGGCGGAGCAGCCCATGGCGAGCACTGTAACAGCGCGAGGAAGAAGGTCGAGTGCGTCGCCAAGTGTACAGAGAAGATGTCCAAGATGACGTCCAGAGCGCGATTCGGATCCAAGTCGAAGTACCCGACCAGACTGATGAGCTTGCTCCAAATCGGCTTCACGCGCTTCTGCAGGTCCTCTGGAGACTCGGTTGGGCGGCCATCCTGAGGTGAGTGCGCGGGACCCAGGGCTCCAGCGATTTCCGTAGCAAGCTTACTGTAACCCTCTGATTGCTCGCGCAAAAGGTTAAACTTGTGCTGCTTATAGCTACATCCGATGTGTCAATGACATCGTCCGAAGTTATATGCCGGCTTGACTCACAAGAGCGCAGTGCGCCTGCGGATCTCCTTGTCGTTGAATGGCTTGACTACTGCCAGGAGTCCAACGAGTACCAGGAAGTGGTTATCGAAGCGCTCCCGACAGCACGTCTTGCTGATCACCTCGCGCTCCTACTCCCCGTGAGACGTTATTCTTTGTTCGCGAGTTATGTTTACACACCAATAGTTTCTTTACGAGCGAGACCATCGTATCCCTATCCTTCTCCGCATTCGCTAGCGCCTTCGCGGTGGCTTCGTCCGCCTTTTCGCTCGCCGCCTTCGTGGCGTCCGCGAGCGTCTCCTGCAGCTCCGCGTCCACCGACCAGAGCATATCCACCAGTTGGTCCCCAATCGTGCTGGCGACCGGATGGGCCGAGGAGGACGGCAGCTCATTCACAACTGCTTGCACAAGCGCGACAAACTCGTCGATCGCGAGCACGCGCCCGCGCGCCCATGTCGTGAACATGCCATAGAGAAGGGTGTTATATGCGGTGAGGAGGGTGTCTTGAGTCTTCATACCCGCCGGGGCGGTGTGGGCGGAGACGAGGAGGGCGCGGCTGGGGGAAGGTCAGTGCATCATCGGAGCGGAGAACGTGTGCGGCGCACCATTTCGCGCCGCCGCCTGCGTTCCATTTCGCAAGACATGCTTGCACGCTCGCGATGGTGTCCATGACGAGGGAAATATGTGAGGGTTGCGGTGCTCCTGGCTGTGGCAAACAGACAAGCGCGCCGCGAAACAACAAGAGAATGGTCACTGACGAGAAAGGAAAGGATCACATGCAATTGTTCTCGGGAAATGCACGTGGGATGCGGCGCTTGCCGAGAGCACCCACAGGCTCCAAAGAGTTTCCTCCATCTAAAATTTGGGCTACACTCGGAAATTTTCTCTCAAAATCATATATCTACAAGTGATGAGACTCGTGAGCTACAATCAACTCGTCAACGTCGTTGCGACAAATTCCCAGTCTGCACTCAGGCTTTCCACCTGCGACACATTCCTCCACGGCTCCGTCTCGTTCGCCCTCGCTCTCTGGAATACCATCTTCACATCTCCCGCAGGCTTGCCACCGACAGTGACGGTGCTTCCATTCACCTGCACCTCCGCCGTCTCATCCCCTTCGACCCAAGCAAACAGCCTGTTCCCCGGCTGCGAGAGATCGAAGGCAGCACCCGACGCGCTCGAGACGGTGACGTTCCACGCCGTGCTAGCGCTGCTGTTGGTCGAACCCGTAGTGTTCCCCACCGCCGCCGCAGTAGCAGAAATGCTTAACGGCGCCACCCCACTCGGCCACCGCAGGTCGCCCGCCTCGGAGCCGAACCCCATATACAGGGAATCAGGCTCGACGAAGAGGCGCGCGTTGTAGAGGTAGCGCGTGGCATTGACGGAGGGGCGGGCGTGGTGAGGGTAAAAGAGTTCCTTGTCGGATCCCTGCGCACCGATGATGGACCCGTGGCCGGTCGAGTATACGGAGCCTAGGGGAGTAATATGTCAGCGAGTCGCAGTGATGTGGAGGGATTGAGAAGGGGGAGGAAAGAGGAAGGAAGCAAGAAAGGCAAGGCGAGAGAGAGTAAAAGAATCAGGAAACTGACGACTGGGGTCCTGCGACAGGATTGGGTTGGACGGACTCTTGACGTAGGGTCCGTCCACATTGGACGCATACGCGTAGCCAACGCCGTAATCTGGGGACTCGTAGCTAGCCGCACATATCAGTATCGCGTCTGAGCACTGCGTTAGACCAAATGTCGACTCACTTGTTCGCGCTGTAGGTCAAGAAATAGACCGGATTGCCCGCCGAATCGTAGCGCTTGATGGTCGTCGACCCTTCCGACCACCTGCGATTCTTCTTCGTCCCATTGCTCGCCGCATAATCATGCACATGCGCATTCTCCCACACCTACGCACACGGTCTTCAGCATCAACTCTACCTTGACACCACCGACGCAATCTCACCTGCGGCTGCAACTTGCTCGAAATCACTGGCACCCATCCATCCTTCCTCGTCGGGCCCGGATACGTCTCATTCACCGACTGCACCCACCCCTCCGGCTTCCCAACATGCACATCCCTAAAACTCTCATGCACCTTCGGCATCGTCTTCGCCTCCGGGTCGATCCACCACCCCTCGTCCAACCTCACCGCATAGATATTGCTCTCCTCCACGTACTCCTCAAACACGTCGTCCCAAATCCAGTTGCGGTATGCATTCCGCGAAAAGAACAACCAGATAGAACCGTCATCGTCGAAGAACACGTTCGCGTCGATGCTCGGGATGTAGGTGCCGTTGGGCGCGGTTTGGCCTTCGGCGAGAGTAGAGGGCGGTACAAGGTAGGGCGCGTCCATGAGGAGGTTAATGTCGTGATAGTCGGGGTCGAAGGGGTAGTAGTCGATGGGATTGGGTTCGATGTTGACGAAGGGGCCGGAGGGGGATTGGGAGACGGCAACGCCGATCTTGCTCGCTTCTTCGAAGTCAGGATATCTGTGAAGGGTGTGATAAGGATGAGGGGGGAGGGTTAGGAAGATGAGGGAGGGATGGATAGGTGGGTACGCGTGGATGGTAAAAGGGATCTTACTCAAAGTATGCAGCGACATCCTTGGGCTCTGTGTACCGACCGGCGTAGAATCTGAGCACGCAGGGTCAGGAACACAAGTACAGCTTTCCAAGTGAGATCACGTACAGGAAATACCACCCGGTCTTCTCATTGTAGTAGCATTCAGGCGCCCAGAACCAATCCTGCGCCCATATCCCTGAATCCGTCTCATTCTTGATCGCGCCACCGGGAACCTTGCTCCAAGTAGCCATGTCCGGGGATGTATAGATCCCAAATAGCCACCCATCGTCCGCGCCCTCGGTGCTGTACGCCCAGTACGCGCCAGTGCCAACGTCCCAGCGCACGTAGGGGTCCGCGGCGATGGTGGAGGGGTTATCGTTCGTGTAGGTCCCGTCGGTGTAGAAGGCGGACGCGGCGAGAGGCGCGAGAAGCGCACTCAAGAGGGAGGCGCGCATCGTGAGGCAGGCGCGGCAGTGATACCTCCGTAAGTTGGTCGTGAGAGACGTCGAGGTCGTTGAGAAGCTTTGGGGGTTCCTTGTAAGGTGTGGGAGGCAACCTCGCGCGACCCCCGCCTCCGCCCTCGACTTAAGTACCAGCCCACACCGGCGGAATTTCAACGATCAGCGCCTCCGACGAGGTCCATGGCGCGTCCATATGCGCCCGTGGGTCGGGACGGCCACGGGAAGGACCCCGGAATATACGCATATAGGCCGTCCAGCGGTGCGGATAAATCGTGGGGCTCCCGGCCGGTAGGCCGGTCCAAAAAACGGTCAAATTGGGGGCCTGAGGGCTCGAAGGCCAGTTCAAAAACGCGGATATATACAGGGGAGACGGGGAGGCCGTTCCGAAAAAGTGGATATCGGGCGGTCGATTCGAACCTCCGACCTACCCTCAAACCAGACGCACGCGATACCGGTATGGGCGATATAGTGTCCGGAAAATACCTGCGCACCAAAATGGAAAGCTCGAGGCTAAGTTCGCTCAAAAATCGGAAGCTGAGTGTCGAGGGCGCGAATTTGCGAAGGTCTGGAAGGGACTTAGTCGTTTAACGTGCCATATGTGACTCATTCCCTAGTCGAGTGTGTCCGAGCCGGTACATGTGTCCCATTCGAGGTGCACCGGGACTTGCCGTGCGCCTCTGATGCGCCCTTCGTCGGTACTCACGACGACGACAGCGGCCTATGTAGCGGTGTTTAGGCCGCGGGAAGGCGCTCAACAGGGTTTTATACAATGCACTAGCTATCTGTGGGCCACTCTGTGAGGCAGCGAAGCGCCGAGGCGGTGTCGCCGTTGACTGTCGGTTGCCACGTGCGAGGCGGGAGGCGGGAGACGGAAAACGGCAACGACATAGAGCCGTCCACGTGCAGCGACGATGGGCCCTATGCAGGTCATGGCGAGGGCTCCCCACGACTAAGTCCCTTCCAAACCTTCGCAAATTTGCGCGGTCGACACTTAGCTTCCGAATTTGAAGCAAACTCGGCCTGAAGCTTTCCGTTTTGGTATACAGGTATTTTCCGGACACTATATCGCCCATATACCGGTACACTAATTGACCACTTTGTTTCGGTGGGCAGTAGCACCCTACACAACCTCTCGTGTCCATTGGCACCTTCTACCATTGGCAGGCTCGATATTCGAAGGACAGCGGTGCGTGGTAGCACCTCGAATGGCTATGGGAGGCAATTAACTTTCTCATTCATACGTCTCAACCTTCTTTCGTTGCAGAGGCTACGCGCAAAGCGCGTAGGGACCCTGTGAGAAAAAAATCAGATTTTTCCCGATTTTATTGCCATTTTTGAAGGCCGTCCCGAGAAAACGGATAAATCCTGGGGGTCCCTGGAGGCCGTTCCGGAAAACGGATAAATCTGGGGGTCGAGGGCCCAAGAAAAAAGCGGATAAATAGGCGCTAGAGCCGGATTTTCCAGGACGGCCTATGTGCGTATATTCCGGGGTCCTCCACGGGATCGCGAACGAGCAGGAACGGAGCTATGAGCAAGCAGGAACGACCAGCAGATGTTGGGCAGATGACCAGCGTCCGTCGGGGACGATGCCGCGGGGGTGCGGGCGCACCTGAGGCCTGAGGCTCACTGCTGACGTCGTCCGTAAGGGCGTCCGGCAATTACCGAATGCTCTTCGTTCCGATCTTCCACCACCACCCTCATCCCGAGCAGCGGCAAGAGCAGCGTACTGAGTTTCTATCTAAAATGCATGCATTGCCTGACAGATGTCTGTCTCTAGCGCTCTGAGGCGACGATGCCACGCAGTCGGGCGCAAAGGCATGTCACTAGAAGGTCAGTGGGGCCGTTCGACATCCCCTATATGCGCGCCGTTGCACCAGAAACAGATGGAATGGATGATAAGGGAGGCGAGATTACCAGATGAAGCCTATATATCGTTGAAGATCCTCCAGGTCCTATTACCTGCCATAGTCACCAGTCAATCTAAGGTCAATCGCCCCTCCATTCCGGATGCCTTACACACCTACTCGAGTACGCTAAGTGCGCTCGTTCATGGCGCATCGTGTCAGTTGACAGAATGTTCAATCAAATCAATGCATATCGTCCTGGGATCCTCCTTTAGACCATGTCTTGTAGAAGATACCGTATAAATACTGGGTGAGGTGAGCCCGAATGCCAGCTCTCACCCACTCGCCCAGTCTGAGATCGAGTGAGTCCTTCTCCCGCTTGTAAAGCAACCTCTCTGAGCTACAGACCCATCCAACAGCAATTCGACATGCAACAGTCCGCCTACGCCGTTCGCTCGCAATCCTTCCGGTCCGTACGGGCGGAAGCCTATAAAACCGTCGTCCGCGACACTATCAAGTCGTACTATGACCATCCAGATAGCCAAGAACCAGGACGCCAGCGGCTCCCCGTCGAGGCTCCGTACGATTTGCCCCTTTCCGAACCTACGCCCTCGAAACTCCCCATCTGCATCGTCGGCGCTGGCTGCGCTGGGCTCTATGCGGCGATGATCCTCGATAGTCTCGGTATTCCGTACGAGATTCTGGAGGCCAGCGACCGCATTGGCGGGCGCATCTACACTCACCGCTTCAACGGCGACAAAGGCGCCACCGCACCGATCAACACTCCTGCGCGCTACGACTACATCGACATCGGTGCGATGCGCTACCCCAATATCGGCTTCATGAAGCGGGTCTTCGACCTCTTCGAGTTGCTCCAGCTTGATAAAGATGGACTTCTCATCGAGTACAAGTTCTCCTCGGAACACACGTTCCAGCACTACAACGGCCGACGCTACCCAGGGGTCGCGCAATCCAACGACATCTTCGATGTTTCCGTCGAGAATGGAGGAACTGTGCCTTCTGCCTACGTCGCTTGGGGAGCGGATAGCGTTGCTGCCGAGGTGTATAAGCCGTTTACCGACCTTTTCAAGTCTGAGAAGTTCTCGAAGGCATGGGCTGTTCTTCAACAAGAGGATTCGCACTCTACGCGCGCGTACATGCGCGGCAGAAAGGAGAATCCTCTGCCCGAGGCGGTGGTCCAGTGGCTTGAGACCTTCGAAACCGCCACCGGCCTCTACAACGACGCTTTCGTCGAGAGTGTCATGGACGCCATGGATTTCGGCAGCGTGGACGCAGTGCGAAACCCCAAAGGTGGCCTAGGCTATAGTTGGTACTGCATCGACGGAGGCTCCGACATCATCACTCGCAAGATGATCAGCATAATCTCTACGGAGCCGCTCACCGAGAAGCGGGTGACGAACCTTGCGAGCACCCCGAAGGGTATGGCGGTGACCTATCAGAAATCAGGTGTGATAAAGAACGCTTCATATTGTGCGCCCTCACTGACTACATTTGTTACCCAGATGGAAAGGCGACTACGACGGAATACTCGCAGGTTATCTGCACCGTGCCTATGGGCTGTCTCGCGGGCATCGATATACCCGTGGGAGACCTTTCCTACTTGCAGCGCATGGCGATTCGCTCGCTGAATTACGACACCTCGACCAAGATCGCGCTGAAGTTCGAGTCGCGCTGGTGGGAGGACCCTAAGATCATGCCTCATGGCCCGATCAAAGGCGGCATGTCGTCGACCGACCTTCCCATCCGTACCTGCGTCTACCCATCCTACGGCTTCTCGTCGTCTGGCCAAGTCCCCGGTGTGTTGCTCGCGAGCTATACGTGGGCACAGGATGCTCAGCGTCTTGGTGGTCTTGCGGCGGGAGTGAAGGGGTCGAAGGCGGACAAGGTCCTCATCGACCTTACGCTGAAGAACCTATCGCAGCTGCACGGCGTGCCAGTCGAGAAGTTTGGACCGCTCCTTGATCACTACGCATATGACTGGCACAACGACGAGAACGCGCGCGGCGCGTTTGCCCTCTTCGGGCCGGCGCAGTTCAGTCAGAAAGATTCCGGCAGTAGCCTATTCGCCAGCGTCAAGGCCCCTGCAGCAGGAGGGAAGCTGCACATAGCCGGAGAGGTACGTGTTTCTGAATGTCCACACGAAGTGCACGATTGACATCTATGCAGGCCACATCGGCGCACCATGCCTGGGTGCTCGGTGCCCTCAACTCCGCCTGGAGGGCCGTGTATAACGCGTTGGGGATGCGCGAGGATGCGAAGGAGAAAAGAGAGGTTTTGATCAAGAAATGGGGCGTGCCAGATGAAGAAGACACGACCGACTTGCTGAAGTTGGCCGCTCTTTCCTCCTACGGGTATCTTTGAGTATAAGTCACAGCTGTATCATACCTGCATTGATGAAACCAAGTCTCGTTTGGTACATTGCGCAGGTATATGCCATTAACGGCGCCCGACGCTGTGATCGCCTGCGAACGAACGAAAGCTCGCGAAGGAGAAGGACAAGTTGAAGTTCCAAGTTTAGCCGGTCGGGCGGGCCGACTCGCGGTCAGCGTCATTGGTCGGGATGATGTCATCACCGATCAGGTCCCGCCAATGCGCGCCCGCCGACTCCGGCGGCGCGTCTCCAACTGAGCGCACCTTGAGCTCATACCACGACCACCTGGCCTGCATACCCTCCTCCTCGTCGATAGCGTAGACCGCGTCGCTGAAAATGCCAGCCGCAAGCCTGGCCGTCGCGATGCAGGCGCGTCTCGCGGGGCACGCCTGTCGTGCGCGACCTACGTCCCTCGTGCGCAACGTGCTCGACACCACGGCACGCGCTAGGGGCTACCACAACCCCCCCTCGAGGGCACGTACCGCCGCGAAGGCGCCCCCCTCCATCCTCGCCTCCACCCGACACGCATGGACCCGCCCAACGCCCTCCATCTTGCAGCACCCGACATTCGGCGTACGCTTCAATTCGACCGCGCCCGGCCCTGTGCAAACGATCACTCGCCGCTGCTTGAACGCGGCCAAATGGTTCGGCTTCCTCTCCGCCGGCTTCATCGCCTCCATCGCCTTCGGTACCTTCGTCCTCTTCGTCCACGACGCCTGCACCTACTCCGACGCGCACATCGACGGCGTCCCTGTCAACCCGCTCGCTCTACACCCGCACAAAGGTGGCCCGAAGAATCTCCCCGTGGTCGAGGTCCTCCTCCGCGATGAGGAGGATCCCGAGATGCGCGAACTCTCGTCCAAGCCCCGACTCGTCATTGTCGGCGGTGGCTGGGGTGCGATGGGTGTCATTGAGAAATTGAAGCCCGGCGATTACCATGTCACTATTATTAGCGCGGAGACCTATACGACGTTCACGCCGTTATTGCCTTGTATGTCTCCTCTCGAAATGCATGTAACTCTTAAACTTATATCCCTTAAGCTGCTGCCGTCGGAACTGTCCAGGCTCGCTCGCTCATGGAACCCATTCGCAAGATTATGGCACGCTTGAAGGGACACTTCATCCAGGGCAAGGCTGTCGACATTGTCTTCGACGAACGGCTGCTGGAGGTCGAAACCGCGGACAAGGGCCACATCTACGTTCCTTACGACAAGCTGGTTATCGCAGTCGGCTCCGTCTCGTCCACGCATGGTGTGCCCGGCCTCGAGCATTCCTTCCAGCTGAAGACCATCTCCGACGCGCTGTCAATCCGCCGTCGCATCCTAGGTAGGTAGTAACTTTGTCCGTGTGCTTCTTCGAAGCGCTAATGATTGCGCACAGAGAACTTTGAGATCGCGTCCCTACCTACCACTACCCCAGAGGAGCGCAAGCGCCTGCTCAGCTTCGTCGTCTGTGGCGGTGGACCGACCGGTGTGGAGGCTGCAGCGGAGATCTACGATTTGTGCCAGGAGGACATCATCCAATATGTGCGCTTTAAGTCCCGACTGATCCTCCCCTCCACATTGACGATGATCTGCAGTACCCGAAGCTTTGCCGCGAGGAGGTCTCCATCCACCTGATTCAGAGCCGTGAGCATATCTTGAACACGGTACTATCCTTCTAACATCGGCCCTCGTGTCGCCGCTGACACGCACTCTCCATGCAGTACTCGGAAGCCATCTCCCGCTACGCCGAGGAGAAGTTTAAGCGCGATGAGATCGACCTCATTACGAACGCCCGGTACGTCGCATAAATCTTTGGCGTGCCTTTTCCGCGCCACTCTCTCCCTCTCCTGGTCCTATTCGCAGATCCTCCGCGCTGCCCAACTGCCTCACGTATATCCTCGAATCACATGACTCATACGCTTACGCCCCCTACCCTCCAGCGTCTCCCTCATCGGGCCTGACAAGGTCATGTACGCGGTGAAGAACAAGGAGACGGGCCAGTTCGAGCAGCGGACGATCCCGACGAACTTTGTGCTCTGGAGCACGGGGATTGCGATGAACCCGTTTACGCATAGGGTGACGGAGTTGTTGCCGAATCAGGTGGGTTTTGTGGTTTTTTTCTTCACTTATCGTCTCTGTACTTTTGCCTTCGAGAAGAGGGCGTTGCTTGCCAGCAAGAGGAGAGTTGCTGGGTAGAGGAAGGAAGCTGACTGCGACCAATAGTTCCACAAGAAGGCGATTGAGACGGATGCGTATTTGCGGGTCAAGGGGTTGAAGGAGGACGGCGTGTATGCGATTGGGGATTGTGCTACGGTCAGTATTTTGTGCTTGCGGAACGAAGTAATGAAGCTCATGGTGCCGTTAGATCGAGACCTCTGTGGTGTCGCACTTCATGGACCTGGTCGATGTCGCTGACAAGGACAAGAATGGCAAGATTGACTTTAACGAGTGGGAGATTATGGGTATGTTGACCGCGTTCCTTCATTCACGCGATCTCCTGACCTGTTCACCAGTCCAGGAAATCCGGAAGCGTATACCCATGGCGGACGAGCACTTAACCCAGATCAAGGACCTGTTCGTGCAGTACGACTCTGATGCGGATAACTCACTCGAGCTCAATGAGCTCGTCCGCTTGCTTGAGGATCTCGGGAAGAAGATCACCTCTTTGCCTGCTGTGTGTGATTTTGATTCCCTTTCATAATCTGATTCCTCACCTCCCATCCAGACCGCCCAAGTCGCCTCCCAACAGGGCAAATACATCGGCAAGAAACTGCACAAGCTCGCCCTCGCCCGCGAAAAGCACGGCGGCAACATCTCCACGCACCAGTCTACGCCCACCCCCGCCTCCACCCCCGCCCAGCTCCCGCGCATCACCGACGAGGAGGTCTCAAAGCCCTTCAAGTACTTCCACCTGGGCTCCCTCGCGTACATCGGAAACGCTGCGGTGTTCGATTTGGGGAAGTTTCAGCTGATGGGTGGCTTGGCGGCGATGTATGCGTGGCGGAGCGTATATTGGAATGAGCAGGTGAGCTCGCGGACGCGGGCGCTGTTGATGATTGACTGGATTGTGAGGGGGGTGTGGGGGAGAGACTTGTCGAAGTTGTGAGGATTTTGAGAGGGATTGACAATTGTGCTTGATAGCATGGACTAGTTTAGATGAGATGTTCATGATTATCTGGATGTTTTGCTATCTAACAACGTGTGGATATCACTTGTGCTCGCATTATTTATCGATGAGCTCCTAGCAGTCGTTCTGGTCCAGTGGGATGCCTTTCGAGGACGTTGACTTACAAGACGGTAGCTTGCTATTGTTCCTTTTCGGCAGTCTGCCGCGGCCCGTCGGCACCCCCACGTTCACGTGTCGTGCCGACATTCGACGTCCTCGGCGGGCGCGTCATGATGGATCGCTATCCTCCCCTCGCCTTCTTATTTCTTCAGACTTCTCTTCTTGCCACTCCCGACATCCCATAGACCACCTCTAGAGGCTCCCTTCGCCCCCTCACTTATACCAACCCACTATGGCTGGTTCCGATACCGTTACCGAAGCTCTGACGCTCGCCGTGCAAGACGAGGCGCGCGACGCGAAGGCGGAGGTCGACGACCTCGTCAAGCACGACGTGGACTCGACGGACTCGCAGGTGCGCTACCTCGCGTATGGTGCGCGCCTGAGGACAGCGCTGCGTGCGGGTCAGCGATACATTGCATACGTGAGTGCCTAACGCGTCGAAGTGGCGAAGTTTGACGAAATCGGTCGAGTAGACGAGCGATGTCGGCGAGGCGTTCCGCCCGGTCGTACCGCCATGGGTGGTGACTGCAGCATACGGCGTATCCTGGGCATATCTTCTTGGGTGCGTTTCGATTGTGTACCCTCGAGGATGTGTTGCTGACCAGTGGATTTCTTCGGCCTTGCATTATGCACCATCCTTCCCCGACATTTCCCGCATTCAATGCATCGTGCCTTTCTGCAGAGATGTGTCTTACGAGACCTACAAAGCCAGCAAGAAGGGTCCTACGCCAGATGAAGTTGCCAACTTCTCCGAGCCAGTACGGTTAGGGCTTGCCGCCACGCAACGTGCAACTTTCCAGAGCATAGCATCAATGTCAGTCCGCTCCGTTGTCAGCTCTCTATCAATGTTGACAACTCTGTTCGCATTTCCCAGGGGTCTACCTGCCTTGACAATCCATACCATTGTCGCCCAGACGAAGAAGGCATTCACGAACGTGAAGAACCCGCGCGTGAAGTCAGTACATCTCATGTGTAACCCCTCGTCCCCTTGGCCATCTAACATTCACCACAGAGCATGGGGACCTACCTTGACGGGTCTTGCCGTTGTCCCGTTGCTTCCGTACCTCTACGACCACCCCGTCGAGACAGCCACAGAGCACGCGTTCAACTGGATCCGGTCCCAGTGGATAGGACGGGGTTCAGGCGGGGTGAAGGAGCGGACTGACCTATAGGGCACTTGAGTAAATCCTTACTGTATTTATCGGCCCGAGATGGAGTGTAATGAGTACGCCACTTTCACCAACTTGCGCCGCTAGGGCGTTTCATGGCTACGTTTAGCAGACGATATACTTAGCCTGGTACGCTTTAGGTTCGGCAGATGACCCTGCGTTCTTGTCGAAGACCATAATTGCTAGAGCAAATTTATTCGGGATTGCGCGCCGTTCGAGAGACCCCGCAGCCAGAATCTGCTCATCGGCCGCGGCGATGCGATCGAATGTGAGGCGCACGCGCGGGCGGGCGGGGGCTTCGCTCTTATCGCGTCTCGAGCGGTCCCCAATCTCTTCCTCTACCCCCACTCGCATCGCCTGCTACCTCTACCAACTATGCCTGGCCGCCTCGAGCACAAAGTACGATCATCGAGTCCCACACGATGTGCGCGAAGCTAACCCGCTACGCGTTCAGGTCGCGATCGTCACCGGTGCCGCATCGTTAGTATCATCCCTCCCGTCCCTTCCTCCCAAGCCCCCTGCCCCTACTCCCGCCACGTCCAAGCTTACACCCTCCCCCCTAGCGGCATCGGCCTAGAATCCGCTGTCCTCTTCGCGACGGAGGGCGCCGCGGTCGTGCTCGCGGACGTCAATGTCGACGCCGCGCAGAAGGGTGCGGACCTGATTACGCAGAAGATCCCGGGCGCGCGCGCGATCGCGGTGAAGACGGACGTGAGCAAGGAGGAGGATATCAAGGCCGTCGTGGACCGCGCGGTCAAGGAGTGGGGGAGGTTGGACGTGATGGTGAGTGGGGGCGATTGGTGTTGGGGATGATGAATGGGCTGACGATTTCCCCTCATCGACTCGCCTACTTATAATACGTGGTGTAGTTCAACAATGCAGGTGCGTGGGCCTGCGCATACAGACAAGGGGGGCGATCGATCCTGACACGAGCTCTTAGGCATCATGCACCCCGAGGACGACAACGCGCTCAACACCGAGGAGCGCATCTGGGACCTCACCATGAACATCAACCTCAAGGGCGTCTGGTGGGGCTGCAAGTACGCGATCCTCGCGATGCGCCAGAACCCGACGGACCCCGCGAAGGGCCTCACAGTCGGCGGGAGCATCATCAACACCGCGAGCTTCGTCGCGCTCATGGGTGCGGCGACCCCGCAGCTGGCGTACACGGCGTCGAAGGTGCGTGGGGTGGTGAGGACGGAAGAGGGAGAGGTGCTGACGAGGTGTCGGTCGATAGGGCGCCGTCCTGGCGATGTCGCGCGAGCTCGCGATGGTGCACGCGCGGGAGGGTATTCGCGTGAACTCGATCTGCCCGTGCGTTGACTTCTGGTCGTTGTGGTCTGGTGCGAGGCTAATGTCTGCATGCTAGGGGTCCCCTCAAGACGCGTAAGCAGCGCGTTCATCGGGCGCTATGTTGTGCTGATCTCCTTCGCCTTCCCCGATTCACATAGCTCTCCTCATGAACTTCCTCAACACCCCCGAGAAGCGCGACCGCCGCCTCGTGCACCTCCCGATGGGTCGCTTCGGCGAGGCCATCGAAGTCGCCAAGGGCGCGCTCTTCCGTGAGTAACCCGTCTCCATGCTCTCCATACTGATCTCTGACCACTTCTTAGTCGCCTCTTCCGACAGCAGCTACGTGACGGTCGGTCTAGACGCACTAAGCGAATCCTACAGCAGAAAAACTGACGTTCTCATAGGGCCAGGACTTCAAGGTTGAAGGTGGTCTCACCGCGGCCTACGTAACTCCTCTGGGCGAGCCCGCCCTCGAGCCGCCGGCCAGCCTTGCGAGCTCGATCTGACTACATGGTGGATCGACTAGAAAGAGCTATCTGTGAACGATGTATAGACGTGTAGACGAAAGATGTATGTTCTGTATGTGTGTATACCAGTCTACTCTGTTTCTTTTCATCTGTCTCAGGCTGTGTGGCACACTGCTATAATTGCCACAAATTGCCAGTGGATATACAAATTCACTCTTCATTACAGGATTAAAGCAAGTCCCTTCAGGGTGTAAGAGGGCGCGGAATTTTCAGGAGAAAGACCAAAATTCAGGGCCAAATATGCGCCTGTCATTTTGCTTGCGCTCCCGAGGCGATGTCGAGGGTGGCTGTAAGTTGATCACCTGACGGGAGTAATTCTGCTGTCAATGCACGTGATATCCCCAAGCGAGGAAAATAATGCAAGGTGCTATTGTTGCTCCTCGTCTCCTGCTACCATCGTCGCAAGTATCTTCCCGTCTCGCTGCTCCCTCGTCTGCACCGAGCTGCTCAAACGGACGGACCACAAAGTGCACCGACGTAACTCGAACCGTGATCCATTGATCTTATCAACGCACGTGGCGTTGCCGCCGTTGTCGCGAGTAGCCGCCGTCGGGGGTCCGGGCTAATGTCATCGTCGCTGTGAATCGCAGCTTATTCTTAACCTTCATGTTGTCCGCGTCGACGACCACCGCCAGCAACAGTGCTGGCGGCGACGCAGGAGAAAGCAGTGGATCCGCGGGAATGCATCATCTGAACACGACCGGTGAGCGGCTATTTGTCACTCCTCGGTCACCCCATTGTTGACCAACGCGAACACGTTGAAACAGACCTCAAGCCGACGCTCAGACCGGTCTTCACGCGCCAGGAATCAGTGAACATACTCTCCTACTACCAGTCCCCGCTCGCAGACCAGGGCATCAGCTACGCGCAGCAGCAGCAGCACCAGCCCAGTGACGCCCCTGCGCAGCGACCTCCCCTTCGGCAGCGAACACTTTCGGGTGGATCGTCATCCTCCTCGAACTACTCCGCCGCGTCTGACACCGAGGCGCGTTCAGCAAACTCACCCGCTTCCTCTCGCCCGCGCTCAAGCATCCCCTCGGACGGTGGCAGTGATCGGCGCCGGGTGGCTATAGTAGAGCTCGACCAGCCGCAAGATCACCGCAAGACGCGATCAAGCGAGAGCGGTGCCGACGACGTATTAGCTGAATCGCCCGGACTACGCTCACGTCGCGGCTTCCGCAACGACCTCCACGGCCTCGCCCTCGTCGCGCCTCCCGACGCGTCGCCAAGGGCGTATTCAATGCAAGCGCCACCGACTAGCGCTCCATCCGCGTCTGGCGAGCGACGCGAAACCCATCATCACACACATCACGGTCGATCGGCGTCTGAGGCTACACAACCACCTCGCGCTAACAAGGGCAAGCGGGCCATAGGGATCGTGGGCACCACTGAGCAAGAGAATGCGGCGCGCGCACGAGAGACAGCTCGGCGCACCCTGCAACCACCTGTTCTACAGTTCCCGCAGTCGCGGTCACCCTCTCCAGGAGGAACGTCGGAAGCTTCTGGACCACGGCAACGGTCTCCTACGCGCTTTACTGTATCCTCCGGGCATCCCCCGTTCTCGAGAAGGACAACCGAACAGTCGATCCTTATGACGCCCGAGATCGGCCAGGAGAAGGATGTGACCACACGCGTCGCGGCGCCCGTCATCTACGACTTGCACGATCAGTCCTACTCGCCCCCGTCCTCCCATTCATCCTCGCCGCGGATCGTCGTGGACAGTCCCGCTGCCCGCAAGTTTCAGGACGTCCCCTCGTCCTACTTGTCGTACCAGCCCGGTGAGTGATCGCCTGCTAGGCGGTGTATGCCCGTGAGAAGCGATCGAATGCTCATTGTTATATCACAGGCGTTCATTCTACCGCAGGACCTCTCCCTCCCCCTCCTCGCACGGTCTTAAGAATTGACCCAGCCACTCCCCCTCCTCCACGTCCGCCAAGGCTGCATTCGCCACCGGTATCGGACTCCTCGGCTGAGATGGATTCTATACGGAAGGCCATGACATTACCCGCGAATGTCTCGTCAGCAATCTCTTCGCGAGTGTTGCGCACTCCGGGCTCCGAGACCCATGCTAAGACACCTACGAAGTCTTCGGAGGCGACGATGGAAGATGTCGATAGTGTTGGGTATGTGATCACTCGTTGACAGTAGCCTCGTTCTTGCTAACACCGCGCAACAGATCCAGCTCATTCTCTCAGAACTCGCATCTCGTGTCTCGACCATCCGTGCATTGGAGAGAGGGTGCTTTCCCACCATCTGTGAATACGTCGTCGACGAGCAGCTCAGAGTACAGCGGGGCGTCGCCGCCGCTAGAGGATGATCCTACGATATCGCGCTCTATATCGCACATATCCCACCAGGCCAGCGAGACGCTCACTGAGCGGAACATCGGTCCTTCCATAGCACGCGATCCCTCACCAGCACGCGGTTCCTCACTCGCACATGAGCCACGATCGGAATCACCCACCGAGATACGCGTGGAGTCGCCAGAAGGCAAGAGTCAGTGGCTGGACATGGACAGCGAGTACGAAGACCGCGGCTCGCGGCTGACGCGCTACACGTCCTCCGCGACGGGCCACTCGTCATCACGCGCCAGCCACTCCCCAACGCGCACGGAGTCCAACCTGGATCACTCGGAGGGCCTGCCGAGTCCCCCGCCGAAGAGCTTCCGGAATAGCTTTGCCGTCAACGTGAAGCGGTTCTCGTCCTTGCCGCGCACGCCGATGAGTCCCGCCAGTGACCGGCGCGTACGACATGGGCTGTCACTTGACCGGGGACCGTCGCCACCTATCAGTATACCGCTGCCACATGCGCCCCGCCCGCATAAGCGGAAGAAGGACCCGTATCCGTCTGCGCTGTTTTGTGCTGAGGTGCATTCAGAGAGGAATACGGTCGAGCGGTGCTCCATATACATCGAGAAGATCAACGAGCTGTACAACTATGACAGTGGATTGGGCGACTGGATAGCGGCGGTCAAGTTCAAATGTATGCTGGTTCATTCTATTTCGTCTACCCGATTTGACTTGCTTCGCAGCCACTGTCGAACGCTCGAAGCCTTACTTGCAAGGCGTATCATCCCCGCCTATGGCACAGACACCAAGACATCCTTCTCGTGGCTCAGAGATTTCGGAGGTCACCTTCCCTGTACGGCTGGACTCGACAACAGCTACGGACCTCACCGCTCGCTCGGGCGATAGCTTAGCACCAACATCACCACCGCCAGAGCTCCCCTACCAATCCCTCGCCAACTCACTCGCCAGCTCGCCCGGCAAGTCACCCATACCTCTGCGGGCATCGCCTCTCACGAACACGCCGCCCACGAGTATCCGCTCGCTCGTCGCGCCGCACAAGCCAGGCTTCTTTGCGTCGCTTGGAAGGAAGACAAGCGTGAAGCGCGAGCGGCCACAGATCTCGAGCCCGATAAGCCCGCCTGGGCCGAAGGTTCTGACGAAGAGTCCGCCCTCTGCGTCAAGGCCGCCGATCGCGCTACCTACCACCAGTGCACCGAGCGTACCTGGTGGCCCGCGCGCTCTGCCGAGTCGGCACTTGTCGCGGAGGTCGCATACAGCGTTCCCTGGGATGCAACGCTTCTCCGCGCAGCCTGGGATGAGCGGCGCGATGTCGGACTCGGGGCACTCGCGCACAACACACGCGCACACCTCGCTGCTGCGTCGGCCGTCTCTCAGCGCGGTGCCGCCCATGCGCTCGTCATCGTCTTCACCCCCGAAGGTTGCGCCGACTTCCTCCAAGTCGGGAGGTGGGAAGGCGCAGGCTCAGCGCGACGACCCTGAGTTCAAGCGGCAGCTCGAGAACCTCATGAACCTCCTCCCGCACGCGGACAAGGACACGCTCTCGGGTTACCTCCGCCGGACGGGGCAGGACATGCTCGCGCTCGGGCAGTACATAGACGACGAGAAGAATGGGCGCGTACGTCGGGACTAGACCGGCTTGTTCTCTTCCTTACGATTCGCTCCTTTGTTGATGATACAGTAGTCTTGCTTGCTTACATGCTTCGTTATCCCTCGAATGCTCCCTCGTCAGTTCGATGCCCCTGCTCCTTCGCCCTTCGAACGTTGTCTCACCTTTCGAACGCTCTTACCCTACCCTACACCCCCATCCGCAGGTGCCGGATGTCTGTCGCTCTTTCGTCTGTCTATCTTCTTTGCTTTCCTTTGCCATTCACGTCTATATGCTCATACCCCCTGGGACTGTCTGTACGTAGCGCAAATGTACTTTTATACAGCATATACTTATAGTAGAATAACGTTATTCTGCAGAGTCCAGTCGAAGTTCCGTTTGTAGAGCGTGGCGAGTGATCCGTAGTGGGAGGAAGAGTAGGTCCGAGACTAATGCAAGAGGCAGGAGTTCGCAGCGAGAGTGAGAGCTCATAGCGACAGCGAGGGCTCGTAGCAGAAGAGACAAGAGACATCCATCCATGAAGAAGGCGAGTTCAGAGTAGGCCGACGAGACAGAGTTGGACGCAGATCAGCGAGGTACGCGAGATGGTCGGAAGACGCCAGCAGGTCTTGAAGCGCTTGCGGGGAAAGCTGCGAAGCCCTCATCAGCAATAGCTAAGTGTCACCAAATACCCTTCACGAACCATTCGACTGCATCCTCGGCCGCGTTGCGCTCGACATCGCGCGACCCCACGAGCCAGCTTGGTTCGTCGACAGTCCCTGATGCGTCATCGAGTGGCGTGGCTGTTGCGGTTGCGCAGGCATGAGCATCTCCCGGACCGATTCAGCGTCGTGCATGCTCTCCGAGCGGTCGGAGACGTTGCCGGAGTACGAGATGTTGCCGGGGTGAGAGGCATTGCCGAGGCCAGAGTCCTGCTGAGCGACGAAGGACTGGCGGTGGGGCTTGTGACGTTGCTGGGGCTGGGCTTGCGGTTGCTGGTTCATCCAAGCGCTTTGCGTGCGACCGGCGAAGGCATTGGCAGTGCGCGCGACGAGGGGCGTGCGCTGGATCTGCGAAGATACGATCGTTTGTCCGTGCGTTCGTTCAGCGTAACCACAGAAGCACAACTACGAACCCCGCTAGCCTCCATCCCGCCGACGACCTCCTCGATGTTGACCGAGTTCCCGGGGTTGCCGCCGAAGTTCCGCTGGCGCGCATGTTGGTAGTCCTCGCGCCCCGCATTAGCAGCGGCGGCGGCCATGGGGTCCGGCGTGGCGGAGGGGAGCAGCGCCTTGCGCTTGAGCTTGTCGAAGTGTGCCTAGAGCAGGGGAAATAGCAGGAAGTACGCGAGGGCAGGCGAATGCGCGCATGCCTTGAGTTTTTGGTACTCCTTGTCCCGCTCGCGCTGCGCTTCTTGCAGGTCGCGCGTCTTGCGCCGCTCGAGCTCGAGTTCGCGTTGAAGTTCTTCGGCGCGTGAAGTAAGGTATGATCAAGCAGTCCGGCGAGCCACGCACCGTTCGTCTTGTCATTAAGCAGGCTGATTTCGCCGTTGGCTATGATGCGTGAGCGTGAGCTGTTAGCCTCCTCGCGGCCTTCGCACCTTCGCGGACGACGTTATCCAGCTGCTTCTGCAGCTGCGCGTTCTTGTCAGTCAGATTTCGCACGACGGCCTGCTGGAATGAGCTGTCGTGCGTCAGATTCCACGACGACAGGAACACGCGCGGCCTACTTCTCTTGATGGATCTGGTACTGCCAGAAGGAAATGGCGCTGAACGGCTTCGTCAAGGTGATGCTGGGAGGACTAGGCTTTGGCACACCGGCTGCAGATCTCCAAAATGATTGAGGGCGAGAGGCCGGAGAGAACAGACTGCATCGATGTGAGCGACGCGGTATTGAGAGATCTCGCGCACGTACCGTCTTGTAATCATTCGAGGGACGCAGAGAACAAACCTTTTGAAGCCTGTCGTAGCTAGAACAGGACCACGAGGGTAGTGTACTCACGACGACGTCATCACTTGCGAGATGAGACGCTTGTCAGCTAGTCGATGTGATTGGGGAGGAGAGGAGAATTCACGGTTCCGTCAAAGAGGTCTCGCAGGCTGAAGACGGGTGGTCAGCAGGACGTCAGATGTGTGGGTATATGCGGACGCACCTGGGCATAGTCGTGCCGCAGTAAAGAGTTCGTTCGCGCACTCCACTGCGCAAGGAGGTTTGTGAGGAGATGATGTATGCGCCGCGAAGGCGTACCGCAAAAGATGTGAGAGCCTGATCGCGGGTGAGTGGTGTGACTCAAGCAATTTCTGCGCTGCGCATCGGGTGCGTACATGTAGTCTGTGGGAAATCTCAGCTCAAGAGGTGCCCTCGGCATCTTAGGCGGGGACGCACCACAACCGCCTTGTCCGTCAATGACTTGCGGCACGTCAAGCGGTTGCACTTGAGGTCCGTGTCCATTATGTGCCTTCTCTACTGGGATCGTTCGGTTATGATGGTATAAAGCAAGACGCGGAACGGCTAGAGATCACGACGGATCGAGAACAAGAGGCGCGTCGTTTGTCCTTGTTTACTGAAGTCAGATCGGGCAATGATCGACGCAACTGAGCGCAGCTCGTCCGCTCACTGACGCGCTCCCTCTACTGAGTGAGTAGACACGATGGCATTGAAAGTCCAAACAACTGATATCATGTCATGGCCGTACCCGCTCACTGGTAAACATGCGAGTTCCGCGCTCGATCTCGCATGCTCCAGCGTGCCGATCATCAAATCAAAGAAGTCTTGAGGGCGCACCGGATTGATCCCGCATCTTCTGAGCCTCGACCTCATTCATGCACACCCATCATGTCCCAAGGCCACAATTGACTACTCTCATCTGTCCCTCCACCTCTCATGGTCAAGGGAGTACCTTTTTCCCTGCAAAACTCGCCAAGGCAAGTAACAGACCACTGCCATGACCTGTTCTGTGCAACTCATCAAAATGGGGAATTATCCTAAAAAGGCAGGTGCGCTCTTGACCCCCTAATTAGGAAGGTTTTTTTTCACTTTCAGTGATTATGATGCTGTTTCCACTTCCCTCAAGCCCCAGCTCAGTGCACTGTGGTAATAGCATGCTTTATGTAGTAGGCACAACTGGTCTGTTTGGTCATGAGATACCTAAAGCCTGAAACTCTGATTGTCCTTATAGTCAGAGCCTCAGGCACCTGCTCTGGAGCACAGAATTCCGCTTCCATGGCTCCCATGTGCATCTCCCCAAACCCCAAAGATGCGAGACCACCTGAAACACGAGATAATATATTGGATAAGCTGATAGGGGCTGATAAACCTAAATAGGCAACCTGTTCTGAGTATAAAGGGGCCAAATGAATTTTTGCTTTTGCCTCCTACTCCCTGTCTTGTGGTCGCTCCCAAAGGGTTTGTGGGTACTGAGGGTCACCTGTATGCTTGTGAGCTGACTCTCAGATGGCAGAGGGCTCCTGAAGGCCTTAGAGAGGCCTCAAAAAGCGACATAATGAGTAAAGATAAACAGGAGACTGAACACAAAGACCTAGCCATACCTAGTGCTCAGAACACTCAATCTGCAAGTGTACTGAAGGCTACTAGTACTTCTTCTTCAAATAAAAAGGCAAAAAAGCGCACTGTAAGTAGGCATAGACCATGGCTTTATACTACTCAGTACTCATGTACAGTACAGAACATAAGATGGGATAGCTCAAATCATATACAGAGTTACACAACATCAGAACCACCATCATCAGTTCAGCACTATGTGCTTGATAGCAACCTACCACTCCATACAGCAAGGGTGATGACCAACCAAAATTTATCAGAAGGAGCGCTCCCAAGGTCACGTGACTTTCAAAGTGGCAACAGCAGCATCTCCTCACAACATGCAATGCTGCTCAACTTGTGGCAGTTTCATAGCCAGGATGCTTGCAAAGCCCATCTCAGAGGTATGAGGTACCTCCATGCCATGCAGAGCCATCTAAAGATCGCTTCCCCAGGCTCGGATGAAGCAGCTAGCTCAACAACTCGGCCGACTTCGACAGCCTCCAGTATTTCGGCATTTTCCGACATTTCGGCACCTGCCGAACCGGTCGCCGAAAATGGTAATCGTTCTGACCCCGTGCCGGTGCGAGCTGCCAGCGCAAGCATTGCGCCTACGTTGGACAGTACCCAAGGCCCCACCAGCGACGAGGGGTCATCTTCTGAAGAGGAAGAAGATTCAGCTAGCGTCCGAGAGGCTCGCCGACTGGCAAAGGGGAAGTACCCCGCGATCGGCACGCCACCGGGGTCACCGATCCGCCGCTTTGGACCAAATCCGGCCGCGACTCGCGCGACTCGCACCCAAATCGGGAAAGCGGATGCGCACATACCCGTCAGACCGCTAACTATCGTGCCCGAGGCCGCGGAAGTGCAGACGGTGCCAGGGCTATCGGCGGTCATCGACAAGGCGGCGAAATTCCAGGACGAGGGCCTCATTCCCGATGTTGCTGTTGTTCCCGAAAGCGAGAGCGAGGACGAGAGCGAGGATGAGCGCGACGAACTTCTCCCAACGGATGACGACGACGCGGCTGTCAATGACAACGTATCGCATGTGTCCGATAGCGAGGACGAGCGCGCGGAGTTGCGTTGGGGCGTCATACGACCGGGTACGGAGGACGCGCTCGCGACGCAGGGCGCAATGGCGGTGGACACAGAGAACAATGCGACGAATTTACTAGCGCGCCTCGACGATGCGCTGGCCTTGAACGGGCCGCCGGCTACCTCGCCAACCGAGAGCGAACTGTTCGGGGCCCCCGAGCAGCCACACACCCCGTCGTCTAGTCCCGGAAAGCCGCGCTATAGCGAGGTCACTCTCCGCCGCTTGCAAGAAAGCGAGGCGCACCGCGAGGAGCTTCGCCGCCAGAAGTACGAGGCGGCGAAGGCGGAACGTACGCGCGTCGACGCCTTTCGACTCGACGCCCTCGCTGACAGCCTCACGAGCGCTTTCGGAGCGACAGGTAGCGCGAACAATGGCGAGATGCCGGTCGACGTCGCGGCACTTTTGACCCAGGCAAGCCCGCACCCGCCTTCGCGCGACGCCTCTCCCGCCGTGCCCTTCACGCGGTCGGGGGCGCCTTCTCCGGCGTCGTCGCAATTCGTGGTCGAGCTCTCGCCACCGCGGGCTGTCGATCCCGATGTTTCCTCGGCTCGACCGTCGCCTGAATCACTATCGCCCAGTGGACGCAGCAAGGCCCCGCGCTGGCCGCTCCCGCAGCGAAAGCGTCCGCGCGAGGCGCAAGAGGGGCCGTCGGTACCTCCGGTGATCGTGGCCGCAGATGTGCAAAACGTCGCGCATCGCCCACGCATCCCGCTTCCCTCGCGTCGGCGGACCCAGGGCGCGCAGGAGCACGACGCGGCGGGTCGGGTGAGGCACGCAGGGAATTCCCACGAGGCAACCTCGGCGGCAGCGCTTGTTATCGAACAACGGCCGGAGGGTGAAGTAGGCTCCGCTACTGAGCCCTCCTCGAAGAGGGCAAAGGTCGAGAAGATCATCACGCATCCGGCCGTCAAGGCAGAGGGCGTAAAGAAAGAGAAGGTCAAAGCGGAGAGAGTCAAGAAGGAGAAGTCCAAGACGAAGAAGGCCCGCAACGCACGAGTCGCTCGTGCGAGCATCGCGCTGACCCGCGCAAGCTCGTCCCGCGTCCCACCCGCCTGCAATACCCCTGCAGTGAGGATCCATCGCGGTCCCCTCCTGGCCTGGGTGATCGACTGGGTCAACCAGCTCGAACGGATGATATTCCTCCTCGAGTCAAAGAAGACGGCCAACGACCTCCCGAACGACCTGCTCCTCGTCCTCGCCACGATCACCGCACATGTGAATCATCCGGATTTCACAGTCCACACGAAGGACGGCTTCATGTTGGTGCAGTGCAAGAAACTCGTAGAGCTGCTGCATAGGCTACGGGAGGATGCCTTCTGGGAGGAGCACGTCCAACGCCCAGAGGCATGGGGACCGCACCGACAGCAAATAGCGGCGTTGTTGCATCTTTTGCGTCGAACGTGGTTTCCCAGGAGTTCAAGAGTCGAGGATACGTGAGACACGGCGACATTTTTCTTGTTCGGCACACCGCCGCTGGGCGGTCGGCTGTCTCGCTCGTATTTTCTTGATATCTTCGTTGTTGCGGTCGCAGCTGAACAGTCGCGCTATACTTTTTGAATACACACCGTTGACAAACAATATAGATACACTTACAGTTTGTTAATCTCCTGGACGTTTGTTCCCTTGCTTGTACTCGTACTCCTTGCCATTATTTCTTGATATTTACTGTGTTAATTCCCTCGAAAGAAGAGACAGGGCGTCAGGAGAGACGAAGGACGTGTCCTGCGACTGCGTCCGTTCCGAGGTCAGGGCTTCGGCGTTGAGCGAGTCTGCGACCTACTTCCGTGTTGCATTGCGCCTGGAGAGGGAACTGGTGAGCCCCGCGCGCGCGCCAACGAGCTCGTGCTCAAGCAGTGGAGGCACCATGGTGGTCGAAGGCAAGAGACAATTTGGCGCCGCACAACACGATAGCGTGACGTTCATGTCTTGTCACATCCGCTCACCTTCCGTTCACGGCTGGAACAAGGAGAAATAGAGGGCTTCCGTATCTGGGCGGAGAGCCATTTCATATCCGTGCGAAGGGCTCCCCTCGCCTCGCACGGATATGGAAGGCCTCCCCAAGGGAGGCCTTCCATATCTGGGCGAGGATTTTCAGAGGCACGTGCAGTGTTCGGAGGATGGCTCGGATGCTTGATGTGATGGACTGAGTAGAGGCAAAGCCAACCGAGCTGCATATGTGGAACGTGAGGCATTGATTGCGTGAAATATGCAAGGTGTATGAGGATATAAATTGGGCGTGCGTAGCGGATAGCTGGTCATTAGTGTGAAGTGGGTAGTAGTACAGTGCGAATGATAAATATCGATTCCAAGAAAGCAGTCGATGGTTCATTCGAGGCGGTTCATGCAAGCGAGGCGACCCATGTCGCTGGCGCAGGGGAAGTATGATGCAGGCAAGGGAGGAGGGGGCGACAGACAAATACGCATGCACGCGAAGGAGCAGCCACCTTCCCCTCATCCTCACAGCTTCAGCGACTCAGGGAAGTCGTCTGGGAAGCTGCCTTCGCCAGCGTACAATCCCAGAGAAAAGTCTGAGCCAAATGAGTCGTCGAGGCCTGCCTGCGAATCGTCGAACTGCGCCTGCGAGTCGTTGACCTCGGCCTGCGACGCCTCTTCGTCGTGCACTTCAGACTCTTTGTCGTGCGCTTCATGCTCCTCGTCGTGCGCTTCACGCTCGCCATCCCGCGAGCCTTGAGCATCGTCCTCATTCCCTTTCTTGCGCGCGACAGACTTCCCTTCACCGCGAGCGACAGTCTTCCCTTTACCGCGCGCGGCATTCTTCCTGAGGTGCGCAAAATCCTCGGCCGTCCAAAGATCGCACGTCATCGGCTGCGTTGGGCTCAACTGCGGCGACGACGACGGGGTCTCCGCAGGCGTAGCGCTTGACTGCGTCCCCGATGACGGAGCGCTTGGCTGGGTCTCCGCCGGTGTAGCGCTTGGCTGTGTCTCCGATTGCAGCCTCACCCGAGGCTGAGCCTCCAGAGGCGACGTTGTACTGAGCTGCGTCTCCACCGACGTCTTCACCCGAAGCTTCGTCCTAGACGGCAGCGGTGTCGGCCACTTGTCGCGATCGTCGTACGTCCCGGGGACCGTCTGCGAGGACGATTGGGAACATGCGTCGTCCTTGGACGATCGGGAGGTGTCTTCCTCCGCGTGCTCGCCCTCTGCAGATCTCAGGTTCCACAGATAGTCGTACGAGCCAGGCTCGGTCTCCGTGTACTGAGAGAGGGGGCGAGACGCCGGCGAGCCGGGAGGGGAGGAGGGGACCTGCCGGTGCGGGGATGAGAGAGGTTGCGAGCCGCCGAGCATGCGCTGGTATGAGGTGTCTTCGTCTGCGACGCTCGAGGCAACTTCGTGCCGAGATATAGGCTTGACGGGGGACCGTGATTTGACCGGGGATGTGCTGTGTATAGGTGAGCGACGGCAAACATATTGAGGATCAGAGTACACACACCTGCGCGACCTCCACCCCAAGAGCGGGAAGCGCTCCTGGGACTGTGACGTGCCCACGCAGTCATCCGAGTCGAGGGCAATCGGAGACTGCGACGAAGGCACCTCGTCGTCCCAGCGCCGCCGCGATACAGGCGTGCGTGGGACCTTGAAGACGGTGTCGTCCCCTCTGTTGTGAGAAGCTGGCTTGCGCGGGGATCGTAGCCAGTCCTGTGTAGGCTGAGACGACGGCACGATCTCTTCGGAAATTCTGAAGGGGAACTTGAAGGGAGGACTGCTCGGAGGATCCTGCGAGGACTTCGGCCCCGGAGGAGGCGACTCGCGCGAGGTGCGTCGACGGGGGAGGGTGACAGGAGTAGGCAGAGCATGGCGGTCAGGAAATCTCTTCGTCGCAGCTGCTACACGAGCATCGCCCACGGTCGGCCGCTTCTCGGGCGGGTGGCCGGTGAGCGGTGGCGTATGCAGAGTGAGGGCGCTGATCCTCGATCCGATGGGCGTGCTGAGCGACGTCCCTGCGTCCAGCAGCAGTGGTTTTGAGCTGCTTCGCCCTATACCGATGCTCGGAGGCGAGACGGACGACGAGGGCCCTACTTCCCGGCGGTTCGCCCCCGCTGATTCATCGATTCGGTTCGCATCCAGAGGGGCCGTGTTCTTGATCTTGTTCGCCGTGACAGTACTGCGGAGGACACAGGAGGAGGCCTTGCTGGACCCAGCCTTGCGTGCCTTCGCGCCGGGGGACTCATCTGCGTCCTCCTGCTCTCGCCGTCGTTTGTGCCCGCGTTTGTTCTCCTTGAGCGGCTTGAAGAACTCGGTGATCGGGCGGTCGACGCCCATCGCGGAGGTCGAGTCAGAGAGACGTTGTTCAGTGGATGGTGAGTGAGAGAAAGAGAAGGACGAGCGCCAGGTTCTATCCAAGCTCTGACGCTGTGGCCATCAAGTGGCGGGACCACTGAAAGGCCCGCTCGACGCGTCGCGTCACACCACCGTGACGCGCGCGTGCATAATCACCGCTGCTTGCTGCTGCCCACGAAAGACGCGTCAATCGCGTCGTGCTCTCTTCACTTGTCCTCTCTTCACACCCAGTCCTCGGCCTCCCATCCACCATCCGCCAATCCACCTCCAAGGCATGACGTGCGACATCCTCACCGGGAACACCAACACTCCAGCCACCACCTCTGCCCCCTCCCCCTCGGAAAAGCGCCGCATGTCTGACTCCGCCGACGCGCCGACTCTCGCGCCCGCCGCGATCCTCCTCATCGAGCGCCACGTGACCTCGACGATCGCACACCCCGCCCGCTTGCGCGTCGTTCACCATCACCGACCGTCATCCTTAACCGCCGTCCCCCGTCTGCCGCCGCCGCCACCGCTAGTGCGCGCATACACCCGGTCCACCGACGCGCTCGACCTCCCGCACCCAGTCGAATTTCCGCATACATCCCGCCCTCTCTTTCCCCCATACCGTCACATCTCCGTCCCGCCCTCGTGTACATCCCCCCGATCCTTCCTCACCCCCTCCACATCCCTTCCCTTCCAATGTTCTCCCTCCGTCCACCTACCCCTCCTCATCTACCCCACTCGAGTGTACACCGACGATAGAGCTCGTTGGATAGCGGCGTCGGCCCGCCAGGCCGACCGCCACGCATCTACAGCACGCAGTCACCTTCCGCCGCGAGAGGAGACGGGGAGAGGACGTACTGAAGCGGGTCGCCCGATGTCTGGGACGCATTGGCGTCGGGCGCGGGGAGGCAAAGGGTCAATGGCGAGGAAGAAGAGGGGGAAGGCAAAGGGGGAGAAGGAGAGAGGGAAGGATACGAAAGCGGGGTAGGGGGGAGAAGGGGAGGGAGATGCGAAGGGGGGGAGCGCGAAGGGGGAGGGAGCGCGCGAAGATAGCGGGAAGCCGGAGGTGGAAGCGGGGAGAGAAAGGGGGACGCGAGGGGGATATGCAAAGGGAGGAGGGTGCCAAAGGGGGACGGTCAGCCGACGAAATGAGGGGGAGATGGGGGAGGGGGAGGAAGAAAGGAGGGAGGTAGAGAGGGAAAGGAGGAGGTGCTATGCGAAGGGAGAGGAGCGAAGGGAGGGGAAGATGCCAAGCGAAGGGGGAAGGGGGAGTCGCGAAGGGAGAGGGTGAGCGGTGAAGGAGGACGAGGAAGGGTGGCGAGGTAGAAGGAGATGAAGGGGCGCGAAACGAGCGGGGGAGGGGGCGCGAAGGGGCAGGCGAAGGAGCGCGAAGGGACAGGCGTAGGAGCGCGAAGGGAGAGGGAGAGGGGGTGAAGGGAAAGGGCAAGGTCGCGAAGGGGTGCGAAGGGTTAGCAGACGACGCGCGAGACTCACCTACCCGCCTCTCCTCCATCTCCCCTCCCTTCCCCTCCGTCTTCCCTTTCGTCTACTATAGCCTCCACCCTATCTCTTCCCCTGCCCGCCCTCGACTGATGATGGATAGGTCAATTCAAGGTGTGTGCTTACTCCCCTACCTATTTCCTACTTTACCCTCACCTTCCCTACCTTACCCCACCCCTACGTCGACTCCCTACCCTACCCCACCCTCCCCTTCGTTGGTATCCCCCCCTACCCCACCCCACCCCACCCACCATCCTCGCCTGTCCCACCCTACTAATAATCCACCCCTTACCCTGCTACCTACCTCCTCCCTTACCCCCGTCTATCTATCCTACCTTACCCTACCCCTACCCTACCTCCTCCCTTACCCTCGTCTATCTATCCTACTTAACCCTACCCCAACCCTACGCTTACCCTACCCCACGACGAAATAAGAAGGTGCTGATTGTTCATCTGCCCCTCCCTCCCCCTTCGACCGCTCCTGTCGCGTCGTCGGCCCCTTTCGCGTCGTCGGCGACGTCTCTCGCGTCGTCGGCGATGTCTCCCGCGTCGTCGGTGATGTCTCCCGCGTCGTCGGCGACGTCTCCCCCGTTGTCGGTGATATCTCCCGCATCGTCGACGATCCTTCCTGCGTTGTCGGTGATGTCCTCCTCGCCTTCGCCGACCCCCTCGTGCCCTTCGCCGACCCCGTCCGTCTCGTTGGAAACATCTGCCCACCCTCGTCGACGACGAGCGCGCCCAGGACGATGCCTCCCCTACCCTTTCCGACCCCCGCCCCGCCTTCAGTGACCCCTTCTGCGCCCTCGACGATGCCTCGCCCGCCCTCGGTGACATCTTCCGCGTCGCTGGCAGCATCTCCCGTGGCCGCCTGCCACCTTCCCCACCGTCGGCAACACTTCCCCCACCCCCTCGCCGCCCTCGTCAACACATGCGCCACTGCCGGCGATGTTTTCCGCGTCGTCGGTGACGTGGCCCACCTTCGCCGACCCCCTCGCCGACTCCCTCGACGACCCCTTCCGTGCCGTCCCGCCTCCTCCCGCGTCCTCATCGGCGCCCTCCCGCGGCTTCATTGGCGTCCTCCTGCGTCCTCATCGGCATCCTCCCGCCTCCTCGTCGGCGTCCTCCCGCGTCCTTGCTGGCGTCGTTTGCAGAGTGACACGGTCATCGTAATCGGCAGTCTTCTCATGTAGCCCCCAAGGAGTAGTGCGCTGCATTACGAGTCAGTGACGGTGTTCGAAACTATGGGCGAGGTCAGTAAACGTGGGGGACCAATAAACGGCGCGACGAAATCTGAGATCAGTAAATGGCGCGAGCGAGGTCAGTAAACGGCGCGGGGGGAGCAGTAAGCGACGCGACGAGATCTGAGATCAGTGCACTACAAGACGAAATCAGTCAAAACGACGCGACGCGATAAGTAAACGACGCGATGCGATAAGTAAGGGAGTAAAAGTCAACGCGCGCGGGCCAGCAAACAGTGAGCTAGAGATCACGAGATCTGACCGCGAGGTATTCAAACAACGAGCGCTTGGTCATTAGGCATCCCGAATGGCAGCGAGTGGAGGGAAAGGATGGGTAGGTAAGGGACGGGTAGGGTGCGTAGAGCGTGAGAAATGGAGGGAATAGGGTAAAGAGCGTAGGAAATAGAGTAAAGGGCGTAAGGGATAGGGTAAAGGGCGCGAGGGAGAGGGTACAGAGAGTAGGGAATAGAGTAAAGAGTGTAGGGTATAGGGTAAAGAGCGTAGGAAATCGAGAAGGGAGCAAACAGAATCAGATAGAAGGAATGATATGGGACGAAAGAACGAAATAGGGCAAGAGAACTCACCTGAGGATGACTGCAGGGTCATCTGGTCGGGGTGGTAGAGGAGAGCTTGAGTTTGAGGACGAGATCGAGGTCGAGCTGGAAGGCGAGGAGGAGTGGCTCGAAGGCGGGGGAGGATGCGCTTGAAGACGACGCCGAGGGAGAGCCTTCTCAGAGACTCGAGCGCGAGTTTGATGCCTAAGAGACGCAGTCAGAGAACAAAGTCAATGAAAAGAGGGTATGCGACGCACCTGACTATGCCCCGCGCTCAGACCCCAACGTGTGCACTGACAACTCGTCGGATAAGATGCTTGAGGACAAAGCAGATGCAAATCTGAAGGAATGAAGCATCAGTGACCAGCGATACGCATGGAAAGTGCGAAGACGTACCGGGGAAGGAGAGCAATGAGATCTTATTGATGAAATCTGGAAGATAGACAGTGAGAAAGCGGTAGCGGCGAGGCACGCGGGAACACGGACCTAGTAGCAGCGTATACAGGAAGGGATGAGTGCACTAGAAGGACGCGTCAGTAAACGTGAACAGGACGATGTTTTGCGCGACTCACCGCGACGACGTAGAAGCAAAGAAGTATGAAGGAGCGCGTTAGCAAGAGTAGAAACCGAACGACAGCAAAGGTACTGACCGGATAGGAAACGGCGGCGGGGAAGACGGATGGGTAGGTCGGCGGCAGCGAGGTCGGTATTCGGCGAGCAAGAAGGAGGGCGAGGTGGGGAAGCAAGACTGTCGAGGAGGGAATGGAAGAGCATCGAGCTCTGCCCTCCAACCTCCCCGCCTCCCGCCTTATGTACCCCTCCCCCACGTCGGACAACCTTTCCAACCGCAGCATCCCATACAAGCGGACCCGACGCGCCCCCGAAAAGCAAGCGCGCGTCGAGATTCACTTACGAGAGCGCGGAAGATTGCCTGCCGCGCAGAATGGATGAAGTTTTCGACGTATCGGCGGATTGACATGTTCCAGCGCGCGGGGTGCGATCAGTGCGCAGGTTTGAGGAGGAATGAATCCGGGAGTCGTTGGAAGCCGGGGGCGGATCGGCGGGAGTGCGCTGCATGTCACTTTGTTCGTGGATGTCCGCGGCGCGTCCAAGTCCTTTGCATTGCTTGAACGGTGCAGAGGGGTAATGTGAGTGTATGAGAGGATAGTGAATGGAATTTTTTAGAAGGCTTCTCGAGCCGCGACAAGGTCGGAGGGAGCAGGCGGCGGCGTCACTCAAGCCGGCGCCAAAAGTTCGAGTTCAAGGCGGGCCTTCCCTTTTGGGAAGGCATTGAGAACCAGAAAGGAAGCGTACTGGCACGCGCATCCTGCACAGCGCCCCGCTCGCGCTCTCGCACCTAGAGAAAATCACCACAACATCAGGTATGTCTTTGACAGACCGCTGGTCGATTTGGAGGAACCTGCGCGCTCTGCGCCTGCTGTAAATGGCTTGTGAGCAACAGCGGGAGAATGGCATGCGCGAGGGCCGCGCAGTCTTCCAAGCTTCGAGGTGTCGTTTCATCACCTCCGAGTAAGCTTGCATCCGACCCGAATTGTTCGCTGACAGCGGGAACGCGCTGGGATTGAGTGGAAGATGCGTACAATCCAGGAGGTTGGTTTTTGCAAGTGTGGGATTGCGAGCTTCCAGTGCATTCTTCGGGCGGCGCAACGTCATCCGAGTACTCGTTTCATCCGACGGAATCGCTCGCTGTGATTGCGTGCCGTCAGGTGGAAGATTGGGTGTGTGGTGAACCTGTGAGCAAGCAGACGAGCATGGTCAGTAACGCAATGAGCAGACGTTGTGAGGTCACCATAGTCGCTGGGTTACATGAGGATACATTTGAGAGCATATTCCTGTACTTTGACTTCGGAGACATTGAGAAACGACAAGCCCAGAGACGTACCAAAAGCGACGCCACATATTCAAAACCACCTTCGTCGCGCTATAGCACTGCAACGGAGGCGCGAAGGACGGTGTTGAGTATACGAAACCTGCTCAGAATCATATTCTGCATCGAATTTGGTCGGGGGGTATTTTTGGGCGAGTGCGCACAGAATGGAGGGCAAGACGTCGAGATGAGCATGCAAATGTCCTCGACCTCCCAAAACGATAAGCAAATTCGCAGATCTCGCCCATCGCAAAGCCAGGGATGGGTGCGAGGGTCATAGGCGAGTGCCATATGACCTCTTTGGCCCATCGCTGGCCCTTGGATCGCGCCCAACGTCGTCTGCGATGGTGGGGGCCCGCGATTTGTGGGTTTTCCGCGAATAACAGACTGCCGGAAGAGGCGACGAGCGCGGAATTTTCAAGATCGTCGCTGAGAATGTATCCGAAGCGTTTGGCGTTCATTCCGAGGCGGCGGACGAGCGCGATGAGTGAGAGTCGAAGACAAGTAGGCGAACGCAGCCGCACGGACTTGACGGACCGCCCTCCGGTCCCTGATTGGCGGCGCCACAAACTCCGCCGCTAGCTTGTCCGCGACCGCCATTGGCGACCGTCTGAGGACTCTGTGCCTGCGCTTACCTATACTCCTACAGTATCTACTGCTTGAATGTCATTCCCCGCTTCTATTCCTGACGTCGAAATACCTAGACCAACACTACTCGAAGCCAAGTCGCGCGGCCACTCAGCATCAACAAGCAACGGAAGCGGGTAAATAGGCGTCAAGGTATGCGCCTCCGTCATTGCGACTCGCTCGGAGTTCTAGCTCTGTGCCTTGCTGGCATGCGAGGATGGTCATTGAGCTCGATTTGGAAGGCGCTCGCTCCAGACGCGCTGGCACCGCGCGAGCCATGCCGCCGTGAATACCATCAGCGCAGGGCTCTTGCCTTCACGCGTCAGGTGGAGGTACGTCTTCGCTCACTTCTGAGATATGCATTCCAGTGCGCTCTAGCGATGGCTCTGTTTCTCAGCGTGCCGGCTCGTCAGGAGGGTACACGGGAGGGGAGTAAGGTACGGCATTTCGTTCTTCACGCACGTATAACCCCACGCCATTATGACATAAACTCACTAGACCAGCAAGGCTTAACCAAGCTTACCCCAGTGGACAATCGAACCCCATCGACCTGCTTCCACGAGGCGTAACGCCGCATCAAAGGTGAGCTGAATGTCAGCGCGGAGATACTTACCTCACATCGAAAATACACTCGGAAAGCTTCAGATGCGACGGCGCGACGTGCGCGGAAACTCTCGGGCGTGGCGCGGGAGCGGAAAATTTTAGCCTACTCGGACGAGCGGCGGGCGCCTTGGCGCCGCCCATATGTACTCGGTCGGCACCTTTTCGCTCTCAACCTTTCCCCCTCTCCCCACGTCGCCGCCGCCGACGTTCACCAGCTCCCACCGTTGCCTTGCCGAGCATCCAACATTCAAGGTCTCGGTAAGATCGGCCCAGCTCTCTATCTTCTCTTCTCTCGGATGCTGACAGTCTATTGTAGTCTCTCCTCGACGCGCTCATTGCGCGTGCCCATCAACTAGGCCGGCCTCCGCATCGCACCCTCGACATGGTCGTGGGCCCTGCAGGTCAGCGTCCATGTTGCTTTTCTCGACATTTTCTGACCGCTTTCGAAGGCCGCGAAATGCAAAGTCGACGTCAAATGTGCCGAGGTCCGCGCCGGTGCCCCTCGTTGACCGCCGCGATTCGGTTTCTTCAAAAGAGGGAGGGGCGGAACGAACGTTGCGAGCGGCGCGCAGCGCCGCTATGCTCCCAGGTGCCAAGTGCGTTCTCAACTACACCTCCTTTCGAGCGGGTTTCTGACGCGTTTTTTCAGACTGTTTCCACGGGCTCCCATCAACGAGAAAACCGCAGATTGACGCCAAATGCGCCGAGGTCCGCGCTGGGGTTTCTCGCTGACAGCCGCGGCACTGGCCCTTGTACACGTACTGGAGGTGGAGGATCTACGCGACCAGCAGCGCGGAGCGCTGCTTGGCTTCCAGGAACAGGTGCGTCGATAACTTTGCTTGCCCAGCCGTGCATTCCTGACGTTTTTCTAGCAATCCTCTGGCCCCTTCCAAAATCAGAAAATCTGCAATTCGACGTCAACTAGACCGAGGTCCGCGCCCAAAGTTCTCGTTGGTGTCCGCGACTTGTGCGGGTGGGAGGGGCGGCGCGCAGCGCCGCCTAGCTCGTCTTATCTTCCCCACCTCGCATGCGTGACTGGCCGACATTCGTCCTGTGAATCTACCGCGTATCTGTGCGTCTGCATCTCTTTTCTGACGCCTTCGCTTCCCTAGCCCTGTCTCGATCATATCAAACGACGCTCAAGCGACTCGAAGGGCAGTCCACCCCCCTTGACACGATGATCCGCCGTCTCGCGAGCGATCAAGTCACGGTGAGTTGTCAGTTATTTCATCCTTCCCATCCTGAAGTTCGCTAATGCGCCTCTTCCCCAGACGCCTCTACCTCCTCCCTAGCTTCGTCTCAACATCTTCTGCCCAACCGTGGAGTCTCCACGCGATCCGGCTCTGAAGCAACGTATCGACATCCCGCGAGCGAGGGTAAGTGCCTCCCACTCACGTTCTGTGCCCCTCGCTAACCCTCATCTAGACCTCGGCGAGATCGCCAGTCCGCCGCTTACTTTGCTCCCCTCATCACATGCATGTGCGCAGACCCCTCGCCACCTCTGTAGGCGATGAGGCAACGTATCGCCGTCCGCCGAGCGAGGGTAAGCCCTGCGCACTCAACTCGATTCACCTTTGCTAACCTTTTTCCAGCTCCTTCCCTTCGAGCGTGGCAGACGTTACCGGCTTTTCAAGCATTCCCAAGCCCTCGCCACCCCATCCATCCTCGTCTCCACCAACTTCAACATCTCGCGAGCTCTCGGTGCCGAGATCACGTGAGTGGTTCGACTTTATCGTCCGCCTTCCCTGACGTTTGCTGCAGGCTTTCAACACTCCACGGGCGTCGCTTCGAGTAATTATCGTTCGCGCGCGATCCCCTACGGCCCCCCTCCGACTCTCTGGGAGACTGCTTAGGCGATGGGTATATGGATCTTCGTCCGCCGAGCGGGGTAATGTCGTGCTCGATGTGCACGTTGCTCCCCTTCTATAGACCTTATCCCCCCTCCCCCTCCCTCTTCGCTTTTATATTGTTGATGGTGGCCTCGTTGTATTTTGTTCAACACCTGGACTTGAGGGAGACGGGCCCCTGACCTACTTTGAAGGGGGTGGGGTCAGCACTCTGTAGTTTGCAGCGTCGTCAGTATAGCTTGTACTACGTACGCGATGCAATGAAGTTTACAGCCACATTCTCGTTTCTGCTGAAAACAACAAGCCTCCGTTTCTCTTGTGCCCTTGTGCCATGTCGTCGTTGGTCGAAGGGATGGTAAGCCCGCGGCTGGTGGGACGAAAAAAACTTCTATTCCGCGTATCGTACTACATCGGGGACGTTGACGAGGTACTATCTAGCCCTTGTTCGGGGCCTGCGAAGGTTCGCGGACATTTTCGTGAGCGGAAGGCGCAACTGCCGCACTCGTCGGGGGGCATGGATAGCGTGAAGGGGTGTCTACACGAGCTGAGGGGCGAGGGGAAGGGCGAGTCGGTGGGCCCCCTCCCCACCACATCCCCTCATCTGAATCACCATGACAAGCGGTGCAAAGCCCCTTCTCAGCACGGAGAGGGAGATGGCCGTCGCCAAGTTGCCACCTACCCCTCGGTCTCGTCGGACGCGAACAAACTGACACCTAGCGTACTAGGGGAGGGGTGCCAAGGTGTCGCAGGCTGCGGTACTCGGCTCGCTTATCGCGCGGCAGCGGGTATATAAGCGAGGGGAAGGTGAGCGAGCCCTTACCGTCTCTATCCCTCCCCCCATTCTCGCTCGTTGGGGTCGTATTGCTGCTCGTCGAAGTCGTGCTGTTGAAGGGAGGGGTCATGCTGGGGGAGGTCATGCTGGGGGAGGTCATGCTGGGGGAGGTCATGCTGGTCGGCAGCATCATGCTGGTAGGGGGGATCGTAGACGCACAGTAGCACTCGTAGATAGACCCCCACGCCCCCCGCGCACGGGCCCCTTGACGGGGAGACCGTGCGCGGGGGGCCCGCCAAAGGAGGGGTGGGCGCTAAACACAATTCGATTCTTGCTGTCACTCCACCGCGCGACTTGCACCACCCACTGCACAATGGCAGTCCAAAGATCGCACGGCGAGAAGGACCACGCAGACGAAGAAGCAGCCACCTTCCCCTCATCCTCACAGCTTCAGCGACTCAGGGAAGTCGTCTGGGAAGCTGCCTTCGCCAGCGTACAATCCCAGAGAAAAGTCTGAGCCAAATGAGTCGTCGAGGCCTGCCTGCGAATCGTCGAACTGCGCCTGCGAGTCGTTGACCTGCGCCTGCGAGTCGTTGACCTCGGCCTGCGACGCCTCTTCGTCGTGCACTTCAGACTCTTTGTCGTGCGCTTCATGCTCCTCGTCGTGCGCTTCATGCTCCTCGTCGTGCGCTTCATGCTCCTCGTCGTGCGCTTCATGCTCCTCGTCGTGCGCTTCACCACCGCCATCCCGCGAGCCGTGAGCATCGTCCTCATTCCCTCTATCGCGCGCGACATTCTTCCCTTTACCGCGCGCGACAATCTTCCCTTCACCGCGCGCGACATTCTTCCCTCGATCGCGCGCAACATCCTTCCTGAGGTGCGCAAAATCCTCGGCCGTCCAAAGATCGCACGTCATCGGCTGCGTTGGGCTTAACTGAGGCGACGACGACGGGGTCTCCGAGGGCATAGCGCTTGGCTGCGTCCCCGAGGGCGGGGCGCTCGACTGAGTCTCCGGAGGAGTAGCGCTGGACTGGGTCTCCGACGGCGGGGCGCTTGGCTGGGTCTCCGCCCACGTAGCGCTTGACTGGGTCACCGCCGGTGTAGCGCTCAGCTTCATCTTCAAAGACGAAGCGCTGGGCTGCGTCTCCGACGACGTCTGCACCCGAAGCTCCGTCCTCGACGTCTTCCCCCGACGCCTCACCTTCGACGGCAGCGGTTTCGGCCACTTGTCGCGATCTTCGTAGGTCCCCGGAATCGTCTGTGAGGACGATTGGGAAGAGGCGTCGTCCTTGGACGATCGGGAGGAGTCTTCCTCCGCGGGCTGGCCCTCTACAGATCTCAGGTTCCACAGATAGTCGTACGAGCCAGGCTCGGTCTCCGTGTATTGCGAGAGAGGGCGAGACGCCGGCGAGCCGGGAGGGGAGGAGGGGAGCTGCCGGTGCGGGGACGAGAGGAGCTGCTGTTGTGGGGATGAGAGAGGTTGCGAGCCGCCGAGCATGCGCTGGTATGAGGTGTCTTCGTCTGCGACGCTCGAGGCAACTTCGTGCCGGGATACAGGCTTGACAGGCGACCGTGATTTGACCGGGGATGTGCTGTATATAGGTGAGCGACGGCAAACATATTGAGGATCAGAGTACACACACCTGCGCGACCTCCACCCCAAGAGCGGGAAGCGCTCCTGGGACTGTGACGTGCCCACGCATTCGTCGGAGTCCAAAGCCACTGGGGACTGTGACAAAGGCACCTCGTCGTCCCAGCGCCGTCGTGATACAGGCGTGCGCGGGACCTTGAAGACGGTGTCGTCTCCTTGGTCGTAAGAAGCTGGCTTGCGCGGAGATCGTAGCCAGTCCTGTGTAGGTTGCGAAGAAGGTACGATCTCCTCGGAAGTTCTGAAGGGAAACTTGAAGGCAGGACTGCTCGGAGGATCCTGCGAGGACTCGGGCCCCGGAGGAGGCAACTCGCGCGAGGTGCGTCGACGGGGGAGGGTGACGGGAGTGGGCAGAGCATGGCGGTCCGGGGGCTTCTTGACGAATGCTGCTACATGAGCATCACCCGCGGTCTGCCGCTTCTCGGGCGGGTGGCCGGTGAGCGGTGGCGTATGCAAAGTGAGGGCGCTGATCCTCGATCCGATGGGCGTGCTGAGCGCCGTGCCTGCGTCCAACAGTAGCGGCTTCGAGCTGCTTCTTTCAAGACCGATATTCGGAGGCGAGATGGACGATGAGGGCCCTACTTCCCGGCCGTTCGCCTCCGCTGATTCATCGACTCGGTTCGCGTCCACAGGGGCCGCGCTTTTGCCTTTGTTCGCGGTGACAGTGCTTCGGAGAACGGAGGGTGAGGCCTTGCTGGACCCAGCCTTGCGTGCCTTCGCGCCGGGCGACTCGTCCGTCTCCTCTTGCTCTCGCCGCCGTTTGCGCCCGCGTTTGTTCTCCTTGAGCGGCTTGAAGAACTCCGTGATCGGGCGGTCGACGCCCATCGCGGAGGTCGAGGTCAGAGAGAAGTTGTTCAGTGGATGGTGAGTGAGAGAAAGAGAAGGACGAGCGCCAGGTTCTATTCAAGCTCTGACGCTGTGGCCATCAAGTGACGGGACCACTGAAAGGCCCGCTCGACGCGTCGCGTCACACCACCGTGACACGCGCGTGCATAATTACGCCTGTTTGCTGCTGCCAACAAAAGACGCGTCGAACGCGTTGTGTCTTCTTCACTCTTCCCCTCACCTCGAAGCACTCGTCCTCCCTCGACATCCCCACCCCCATCTGCCTGCTCACCTTTGACTGATGACCAACGACACCCTCACCGTGAACACCAACACCCCCGCCACCGCCTCTACTCCCTCCCCCTCCAAAAAGCGCCGCATGTCTGATTCCGCCGACGCGCCGACTCTCGCGCCCATCGCGAACCTCCTCATCAAGCGCCACTCAGACAAGGCGCGTCTCCCGACGCGTGGCTCGCCCCTTGCGGCGGGGTACGATATGTATAGGTACGCAGCGTTTTCATACGCCTGGTGCGCGGGGATCCAGCACTAGGAAGGTTGGGGGAAATAGGATAGCAAGCTGATGCAAGACACCCAGCGCTGAGAAGACCGTTGTGCCCGCGCACGGGAAGGCCCTCGTCGACACGGGGATTTCTGTCGCGGTCCCCGCGGGCACCTATGGGCGCGTCGCGCCGAGAAGTGGGTTGGGTGAGTGACTGTCCTGGATACTTCACCAACTTCTCGAACCTGACCTGCACCCTCCCTCCCAGCCTCGAAATTCATGATCGACACCGGTGCGGGCGTCATCGACGCGGACTACCGCGGCAAGGTGTTCGTGCTGCTGTTCAACTACTCGGACCAGAACTTCAACAGTGCGTGCATACGCTCTCTGATAGATTCCAACCACCAAGCTGATGATGCTCAACAGTTGAAGTCGGCGACCGGATAGCGCAGCTCATCCTCGAGAGGATCGTGAATCCGGACGTGATGGAGGTCCAGGTGGGTGTTTCCTTCCTTTCCATTCCCCATTATAGATCCTTGTTCGACGGCGCTCATATGACATGCAGGATCTCGACGAGACGCTCCGCGGTGCTGGCGGATTTGGCTCTACCGGAGGACATACTGGCCTCGCTGCATAGACTGTCAGTGCTGTCAATGATTTTTTCTTGTGCCGCTATATGTATTGTTGCATGTGTCTTGAATCTGTCGACCAAAGACTGCTCTTGCACCTCGTTCGAAGCCGGAAGCACGCGTCTGTCATTCGGGTCAAGCCATATCACTAAGTAACACGGAAAACAGAGGTCATAACATCCGATAGTTCATACAGGCAAGTATTCGTGTACAGTATTCACGCTCAATTAGCAGTCCTTTGCAACTATCCTGATTCGTTGCACCCGCGTTAGGCGAGCCATTCTCCATAGTCGGGACCTTCAATCCAGTGTTCGTCTTCACCGCCATCATCTTCACTTCAATCTTGCGATCCATCTACCCCTCCCCCCTCTTCCCCTCCTGCGCCTACCCTCCCCCTACTGCGCCTTCTTCTCCTTCGCACGCCGCGCCTCACCCTGCGCCTTGCGGATGCGCGTGATCTCGACGCCGATCGCGTTGTTGAGCTCCTTGTGCAGCTGCGGGCGGTAGCCGAGCACGAAGAGCTCCTCGATGTGGACGAAGAACGGGGCGAGGACGATGGCTGGGGATGGGGGTTAGTTGACGTGGGGTGGATGGGGAGGGAGGGGGGATGGAGAGGAAAGGGTAGGAGAAGAGAGGCAAGGGTAGGAGAAGAGAGGGAGGGGGAAGATGGGGAGGGAGGGTAGGGGATGGAATGTAGGAAGGCGAGATAGATGCATAGACCGAAGAAGAATTGAAAGCACGCGACAACGATAGCCGGCCAACTCACCTCCGAGAAGGTTGTCCAGAAGTGCAGGCGCACGGCCCTCGGCAAGGCCGTGGCCGGCGAACTGGAATAGCCAAGACGTAACGTGCAGCGCGAGAGCGAGTTGGAAGTGGTCAAGGCCCTAGGGGAGATGTTAGGTAAGGAAGGTCATTAGATAGGGCAGGAGCACAGGGATGACTAGGCTGAAGGGAGATCCGGAGATGAAGAGAGGCGGTACGCAATCAGGGAATGGTACGGAGGGACTTACAGCGAAGGTGCCAGAGGTTTCGGCGAAGCGGGTTGCGGAGAGCAGAGATAGGGCCATCTGAGGGAGGTAGAGGAACTAGAGAGGGTGTCAGTCGAGCTGGTAGGTGAATGCGCAGGCATGGGAAGCACTCTAGGAATTACTGTACTCACTGCTGCAACGGGATCGAGGGCGAAGTAGTACGCGGCAACCACGATAGCGTACACCGTTGGCCAAGAGGAAGAGAGTGCAAGATAGTCGTTAATCTTATAATGGAAATCCGGGAAGAACGACGGCGTCGGGAGGGACGAGGTCATCACGAATGCCGTCCTGCGCTCGTTAGTCCTTGATCAGCGCTATAGACCTCCCCACCACACTCACCACATAATCGTGGGCACAAATATCATGTGTATGCCCACATTGACCTTATTCGAGTGGTACGCGCCGTAGAAGGTGAGCTGGGGACGCGGTTGAGCGCCGATCAGGGGGTGGCGAGCGTCGGTGGCGTCGTCGTACGCACCTGCGCCTTGACGTCGAACAGCGAGGCCTTGGTCGACATGGCTGGCGGGGAATGAGGAAAGGTGGTGGGGGATGGGAACAGGTGCTGGTTCTCGAATGCAATGGACCGCCGGCTACTGGTTCGCCCTCCGGGCCCGGGGGACGCGTGCGACGTGCGGGACGCCGGGGTCATGGGGTCCGCCGCTGCCGACGTCACCGGCGGCGACATACGCCACATAACCGACGTGGAAGCGCGCACGTGCGGCTAGCGCTTCGCGTCTGCTCGAGTCTGCCACTGGACATCATCTGCTTGCTGCTGGAGGGATTGATACACCATGGTCAGGTCAACAACAATTGTGCGCGCGTCTGACGCGCTCCCCCTCGCTGCTTCTGTGGACGATGAGCAGGTGTGTACTATTCTCTTTACGACATGTTGTTGAGCGCGTACTTCCCCTCCCTTCGTGCACACCCGTTCTGGCCGCCGCCCTGTTCCAACAACAGGACATGTTCTGACGTGCTCCCCAGACGGAGCAAGCTCTGCAAGAGCATAAGCAACAAGCAAAGCTCATCTTCCGGCGCATAACCCCCAACGCCGAGCCTCGCTGCTCGATCGAGAGTGGGCAGTATACGCTCCAGTGCGTCGCGCTCAATCCCGTCCCCCTACATCCAAATAACCATGCTATAGCTATCTCATCTCAGACAACGTCGTCTACCTTACCATTGCGGACAAGGTAGGTCCTGCTTCAAACTAGGAATGGTTCCTGTGAGACTCACGCGCTTTGGATAGTCCTACCCTCGAAAGCTTGCCTTCTCCTACCTCGATGAGTTGTCGAAGGAGTTCTCGACAACGTATGGACCGAAGGTGGATACTGTACGCAAGCCATATGCATTCGTGGGCTTTGGTACGTTGTGTATTCTCCAGTAATCTCCCTAGTGGCTGACCTTTTCCTCCTTCCCCTTCCATTTGCCTGCTCACCACCAACCTTGACATGCTTCCCTTTCACCCCCTCTGGCAGACACCTTCATGTCAAAGACTGCTCGCCTATACCGCGACACCCGGACATCGTCCGGCCTCGACCGCCTGAACGACGACTTGCAAGACGTGACGCGCATCATGACGAAGAACATGGAGGAGCTGCTTTGGCGAGGAGACTCTTTGGATCGTGAGTCCCTCACCTACATTATGCTCTCCCCCTTCATCACTGCTTGCACCAAGCGACGCGTCTAGCGCATCATGACGCCTTAACCTTCTCGTTTCGCCAGTGAACCTGGGATGGACTAACTTCAATTGCAGGGATGTCCCACTTATCAACTTCATTGCGGTCCGAATCCGAAAAGTACCGCAAGGCCGCACGGCAAATCAACATAAATGTGTGTCTATTTTCTTTACGTCCTCTCGTACTTGTCCTGCGCTTTTGTCAACGGCTACCTCGTACACGACCCAAAATTCGCAGCTCGCTACGGGATGAAGACCCCGAATGACACGCCCATATACATCTGTCGTGTTTGGGCTGCGGCGCCCTCCCGCTCTACTGGCTTGTCCCACCGCTCCGCGCCTCCCCACAATAAACCCTGACCACCTATACCCAAATGTCTGACCACCTTTTTGCAGGCCATGATTCGGCAGTACGCACCATTAGGTGCGGTCGGGCTTATCCTCATCATTCTCATGTGGTGGAAGTTCTTTTAGGGGGGCAGCGTGTAAGTATTGTTAGGCGAGCGCAGGCCTCACGGTGGGGTAAGGTGGCGAGTGCGCTGCGGCGAAGGGTACGTGGACGCTACGCTAGAGCATCGGGGAGGTTGGTACTCTCGGGCCCGCGAGTGCCCTGTCGACGTTGGGTGCACGTCCGGCTACATTGGGTGCGCTGTACATGGTCCATATTCTAGTCCACTTTTCTCTCAATCATTCGGCATATATACCTGCTTTTCATGGACTTGTATAATGGTCACACTGACGTCGAGAGGATGGATATTTCATCTGGGCCGAGGAGCGTTCGTCAACGGGTCCTTCATCCCTTGCTTCAGACCCTTTCTTCAATCGCGTTTCCCCTGCGCGTCCTCGCTACTTATGGTCGTGCTTTGTCGTCGCCCAGCATGGGCAGGACCCTAGGCGATACCTGGGCACGCCACGCCTTATCATGGTCTGCTGATGGAATCGATGCCCCAATCCGCCTCGAGGCAGTCCTCTACTTCTTCAGACCCTATCAGCTGCTACGCCACTCACCATCGCCCGTCATCGCGGCCACCTAGCGCCTTGCACAGCGGTTTTCCAGCACAAAAAGTAGCGGGGGAAGACTCGAATCAACACCATGTCCAGCATCTACCGCGCCGCGTCGCCGTACGGGCGCTCAGCGTCCCCGAATCCGTACGGGGCACATCCTCCCGCGTCGCCGTACGCGCAGCCGGCGAGCATTCCCTATGGCGGGCAGCAGGCGGGGTCTGTGTACGGGCAGCCTGCGGCGGCCTCGGGGTACGCGGCAGCGCCGTACGGGCAGGGCCCGACGACGCCGTATGCGCAGCCCGCGACCTCGCCGTTCGCACCCACCGCGCCCTCGCCCTACGGCCAGCCAGCCGCATCCCCCTACGCAACATCGACGCCCGCGTACGGCGCGCGCGCGGCCTCGCCCTACGCGCAGCCCTCGATGCTGCCGCACACCCCAGGGCCCACGACGCCCTATGGCGACCCCGGCATGGGCGGCATGGGCGCGCCACAGCCGCAGACGCAGGGCCAGGCATCCATCCAGCCCGGCTCGATCACGTATACCACATCCACGGGGCCCGATGGGCGCCTCGTGTACCATCCGTTCAAGTGAGTGGCGAGGGAAGGGGGACTGGCGATCGATGCTGATCGCGCGCGTGCAGAGCCGTCCCCGCGTCGTACAAGACGTCGACGGGCATCGTGTCGGGCATCCAGTGGGTGCCTGCGGAGGCGACGTCCGTCCTGCCGAGTGGCGCGCAGCCGGCGAATGACGACTTTATGTCCTCCTGGACGCGCACGGGCCGCCTGAACGCTGAGGAGGAGCGCTCGGTGAAGGAGTGGTGCGTAGCATGCAGTATTTGGCGGTATTTGTTCGGATGGCTGACGTCGATGCAGGCAGCGCGATGAGGACCGCCGCCGCCGTCGCGAGGAGCGCGAGGCGTCACACCGCGTGAGGGAGAAGTCGCGCGTGCGGGAGCGCTCCTCGGTGAGAGGCGACGACTTCGAGCTTGAGAGGGCGCGGGACCGTGACAATGCAGCTCGCTCGCGCCGAAAGAGCTTCGTCGGGCCTGCCGCGTCCCCGTATGCCGCCACTCAGACGTACGGTGCGCAGGGCATGCCCGGTGGCACGAGTCCTTATGCGCCGCCGGCATCGCCGTATGTGGGCAGTAATGCTGGTGGATATGCGGGGAGCACTGCAGGCACTGCGGGAGGGTACGCTGGGAGCGCTGCTGGGGGCTACGCCGGCAGTGCGGCTGGTGGGTACACTCGCGAGCGCAAGTACAGCACGGGCGAGCAGCTTGCGTCGCATATGGCAGACCTTGACCTCGACCGTGGTGTGGATTACAACACGCGTCAGTCGCGCCGCCGTAGTGCTTATGGTGCTCCTGATGCTGGAGGTTACTCTACTCGCCCTACTACGCCTGGCTACACTGGTCAGGTATATCCAAAGGTAGGTTGTCTTCTGGCGAGAGATCTCTGTTGCTAACCAGAATTATCAGGGCCACATCATGGAAGGTCAGCCTATCCCTCCAGGCCAGCCGTACCCAACTGCGCGCTCGCGTGCCACCACTCCCGCACCGCCCTCGCACACACCCCTTCCCGGTATGCTAATGCCCTCCTCCACAGCAGGCCCCTTCTCTGACCCCTACGCAGGCACGACCAGCTCCGCCTACGGCGGTCCCGTAACCTTCCCCTCCGCCGGCGTTGGCGGCGGCGCCTCCCCGAACATGGGCGGCAATCTCGCCCTCGCCGGCGGCCCGCCCATCCTCCCCGAGACGGGCCAGCTCGCGCCGCCCGAGAGCTTCAGCCGCCCACCGAACGCGGCGATGCCGTACACGCCGTTCGCGAGCCCGATGTACATCGCGCAGATGACGGACATCGTGCGCGATATCCCGCCGATGCCGCTCGTACTGGGCCCGCACGACGTGTCGCACGAGGACTGGACGCGGATGATGGCGGACATCGCGAGGGCGTGGGCGGGGGTGCTGCCCATTGCGCAGGATGGGCGCAAGCAGAAGCGCTCGTCGCTCGTGTCGCATATGCTGGATGCGTGGAACCAGAACTTCTACATGGCGCGCGGGGTGGAGGTCGTGCTTTACAAGGGCCGCGAGCGTCGTTCAGGCCCGGCATCGGGGATGATGGACGGCGTGCTGCAGGACGGCCGCTTCTCGGATACGGAGGAATCCGACACGACGGAGAGCGACCTCGACGACGAGAACTCGCTGACCGGCGCATACGGCGGCGCTTACGGCGGAGGAGGAGCCTACGGGCGCGGCGCGGACGGAAACTATGGCCGCAACGCGGATGGCCTGTACGGACGCCAGGCCGGGAAGGAGGAGCGCAGGCGCCGCCGGAGGGAGAAGCGCGCGAGGCGGAAGGAGCGCGAGATGCACAAGGTGTACTCCATCCAGATTATTTGCCTGCCGTCGGGTGGTCCGGGTGGTGCTGGTGCTGTTGCGCAGGCTCCGCCGATGACGCCCGCTGGCATGGCGAGCCCGTACCACCGTGGCTACTAGGTGAATACCGGTCTCGCGACTCGCGAGTGGATTTTGGAGAGACTGAAGACGATTAACGCCTTGATACCTTTGAGAGGAGAGAAGATCTATGTGACTTAGCAGCAGAGAAGTCTGCCAGTCATTATTATGTACGGCCTCAATATGTTCTGTATCTCGTTCTTCTTGAACCCCTCACACGTCTGTATCAGATTAGCTACAGTATTGCACGCAAGTTGCGGAATGGAACCATATATTTATATGTATACTTGAGCCTCGAAAACACGACATAATGCTAACTGAATGAAGGATTCGGCTTGTCAGCATGGTTGGTGCAGTAGATTCCTGAGGCAAAGACGCACATGTCGGTCAACGTCTGCGGTTTGCATCGATGACATAGAAGCCATCCTCCGTTTTCTCTGCATGCTTCAAAAGTTCCCTCCCCGACGGTTCGTCGCTGAGAAACACTGGGGGCGCGTCCGCAGAGGTATCTGGTCGCTGAGTAACTTCTACTCCAGCAGTGTCGACGAGCTTGACTGCTTCGACGAGCCGTATGAGTTCCTCTAGCTCATGCTTGATGCGTTTGTGTTCCTCTGTGCCCTCCTCTGGTGGTAAGAGAGCGGAGAGATCGTGCAGTCGACGCAGGGCAGCGTCTGAGAGCGTCGGCTTCGGGTACGAGGAGAGCAGCTCATGCACCGACCACGTCGGCTCGAGGGGAATGCCATAGCGGTCTACCTTCGCCAGCACCCCGCCCGCCGCCTTCGTTGAGCTCCATCGAGCGCATCGCCAGAGTCGCACCGCGCTAAGCGCCCGACGCGAGATGAGTGCAGACATGCAAGCGTGTTGAACTCGGCCCGCGCGCTCCGATGTGGCGAGCGGGACTGCTTCGGGCATTTTTCCACGCCCTCACCTCCGTCTCCGACTCCGTCACCCGCGATGCTGCCCACCGCCGCCCGCCGCGCCGCCGGCCCCGCAAACATCGCCAAGTCGCTCGAGCGGCTGCTCCCCAAGCCGAGCGAGCGCCCGCCGACGCTCTCGTCGTTGCCCGCCTCGCTCCCGCGCGTGCTGTCGCGCACACCGGATGGCGGCGTTGGCCGGCGCGTGCACCAGGTCCGCTGGTCAGAGAAGCAGATTTCGGACTCGTACTGGGTCGTGTCGCGCACGCAGTTCAAGCTCGGAGGCTCGCATGGGAAGGCGTGGGGCAAGTTGTACTGGAAGGGTGCGTGTTGCTTTGAAGAGGAGTGAATTCAGGCTCATATCGGCTTCAGGGAAGCCCGTCAGCGACAAGGAGGAAAGGATACGGGGGACGTTGAAGTATTCTTGGGCCGAGGGACCGTCAAAGCCGACAAGGGCAGGGAACACGGAAGCACAAGCATCTGGGCCTCAACGCGCAATTGCATAGAGCATGCAGCGCCATACACTGGCCCTTCCGGTAAGCGCGCTGCATCCTGCCTATACCCTTATGCTAACAAATACATGCAGCTTGTCCCCCTCATACACCCCATCTACACTTCGATCGTATGCTTCGATCGTATGTTCGAAATTCAAGCATTGCATCCGCAAGTCAAAGCTCAGCATGTCGGATGACTTCTTGCTTTACTTCTATAGTTAACACCGTTCAACTGTCTGCGTGCGATAATGATAGCGTGCGTGTAATGTAAGAGAACTATGCTGGTGTGCGAGAGTATGAGTATCCTAGAGGAGGCGATAGACCAAACCGCGAGGCGCAGTATGAGGAATAGACGCGCGAGAGCGTAGAGCCGATAAACACTGTTACGGGGTATCCAGGCTGCACGACGACGCAACCTTAGACTGAGAGGGGAGGTGAAGAGACGTCAGAGACAAAGTAAGAACTCGAGAGGCAACGAAAACAGCCAGAAAAGCAAGCCAACCAACGGCTACGCCACCCTCGCCTTCTTCGCCACCGGCGCTCCCGCCTCCGCTTCATCATCGTCGTCCACCACCACAATCGTATCCTCCCCACTCGGCGTCGGATCCATCACAATTGTCGGCGGCATCGCGCCCTGCCCCGTCGCCTTCCCACTGCCCTTACCCCCCGCTGCCTTCCCTCCTGCACCCGCCGCCTTCCCCTCCCCTTTCCCTTCCTTCCTAGCCCGCTTCCCAGCCTTCCGTGCCCGCCGCTCCTCTCTCCGCTCCTTCAGCACCCTCACCATGACCCCCGTCAGCTCGCCCAGCGCGCGGCGCGCACCGAGCTTGCCGAGTTCGTCGAGCCGCGCGGCACCCAGCCCGCCGAAGATGCGCGGGTCGAGGACGAGGGCGCGCTCGTGCAGAATCATGTACCCTTCCTTGGCGGAATTGTAGGGGGCGTTGGGGACGTGGTCGGGGTGCGTTGGCGGGATGGGCCCGAGGGTGATGGGAATGACAACGTCGGGAATGGTGGGAGTAGACTTGGCGGCTGAAGCAGGGGTAGAGGTGGCGGTGGGGGCGGGCGTAGAAGTTGATGCAGAGGTGGAGGGAGTAGCGCCTGATTGGGATGTCGCAGGCGGTGGCGGCGATGTCACGGACGGCACCACCGGCCGTGGAGTCACAGACGCCGAAGGTAGAGTGGACGAAGCAGTAGGCGCCGGTGATGCAGACTGCTGAGCAGCGGTCGAGGACTGCGCAGGTGTCGTGGTCGCCGGGAAGGTCCACGGCTGGGCAGTCATGAATGAATACGGGTTCGGCTGACGCTGCCCCAGCGCATGCGCATTGTACGCAAACACGCCAGTCGTACCCGACACCGCCGTCGTCTGCGTCATGGGCACAGTCATAGTACCCGTCGCAGGGGTAGCGGGAGTAGCAGCGCTACTAGTGCCCGCGCCTGCACCGCTGCCAGACGCAGGTGCAGCCTTGACCGGCAAGGGCCGAGGCGTCGACGTCATGAGCGGTGGCGGCGGCTCGTTCTTCACGACGCGCTTGGGCGGCTGCTCGGCCTTGACCTTCTTCTTGGCCTCGTTGGCGGCGCGCGCCTCCTGGTCTATGAAGTTCTGCTCGTAGTCTTCGTCCAGTGACCAGAAGAATCCCTTGCCCCGGTCTCCTCCGCACCGCTCCCCCTTCTTGAACGCGCGACCGGAGGAGAGGTTGTGGCGTACAGAGGACTGTCAGAATGTCAGCCACTGTCGAGTTAGTGATAGTGAGCATATATGCACTCACCATCCATGTGGGCTCTGCATATTGGTAGTATTCGTAGTTGTTCATGACCCAGGCGCATATTTCCTGCAGTGTCGCCTTGCCCCCGATGCCCTTGATAGCCTTGTAAATCAGCTGAGCGTACGTGAGTTGAGGCTTGGGTGGCATCTCCTCCGGCCGTGGCTTGGGCTTCGGTACGAGAGGCGCGGGCCGCGGTGGTGCGGGCTCATCGGCATCTGGCTTCTTGCGCTTAGTAGGCCTGCTTGATGAAGCGCGTGATATGGAGTTCGAGTCAGGAAGCTGGGTGTCGGGCGCGCGCTGGATGGGTGGCGGCGTCAATGGTGGTTTGATTGGTATCTCCACCTCCTCTGGTTCAGGCTTGGTCTCAGGTCGTGGCGGCGGTGAATGCGAGGGAATAGAGGTGGGTGGCGATATGGACGTGATGTCGACGGACGGCGAGCGTGCGCGGTTCGTGGACGAGTGCGAGCTGGGCGAGGGCGTGTCTTCGGGCGGAGGTGGAGGGGGTAGGACGAAGTGGAACGTGCGCTGCGCAATCTGGATTTGCGAGCTGTGGAATAAAGGGTCAGCAACGGTGGCGACGTGACAGGGCTCTAGCACGTACCGTTCCCCCAAGGGTGCACGCGTTCCAGACCCACACCACACTCCATCCACCCACGCGCCATTGCGCCCAATTACGTCCAGGACAAAGCGGTCCGTATCCTGGTCGTACTCTATCTTCGCGTGCAAGCGCGAGACAGACTTGAGCCCGCCCAGGTCAACGTCGACCTGCGCGTTGTCCGCAGCGGCAGACGTAGAGGGCGCCGCAGGGTTCGGGGTGGTACGACGTCCGATAGTAATGGAGAGGGTGCGCACGTAGAACGTGTAGCGGGGAAAGACGAGCGAGTAGTACGCGGAGATCTTCTCGGGCGCAGGCTCCGGTGCCGTCGCAGAGGTCTGCGCGTCGAGCTGCGCGGCGTCCAGGCTCTCCATGGCGGGTGCGGCGAGAAGTGAGGCGAAAGGTGATGACGGTTGAGGGCACAAACGTTCAAGTCAGCACTTGACCGGAGATTGTCGCAAATAGACGCCACGTGAACGGGATTCTGAGCTAGGCGCGTGACGGCGTTTGCTTGAACGTGCTTGCAGCGAGGCTGCGCGGGCGAGAATCCCCCTTATCGCAGAAGTTTACAAGGCCCTTGTTCTGGTAGGGAGGGGGAGATGAACGCGGATAGCAAGTTTACGCTCACGTGAAGAAGGGGTGAAAAACTTCCCGAAAAGGAAAGTTGAACTATCATGATGGTCCCTTTTGTCAGCCTTGTTCGATAGCGAACCCTCTGCTCAAGTGCTACCGCTCAGATATCAAATTCTACTTTGCGGATAGCTAGTGTACACGATACATAGACAGTAGACCACGCAGGACAGCATTAACTTAGCAAGCAAGCGTGAAAGGTGTGGCAGTTGTATACAGCGGTCATATGCATGAAGGGTATCCGCATTGAATCCTTCTATAGCAATATGATGCTTCTTCATCTTCGTCCCTGGCTCGGGCTCAATGTCGATGAGGCAGACCAGAAGCACCGTCATCAATGCGGCCCGTACTGCATCATGAACATCGCTCGCCCTAGCCCTCGGAGCCACGCCAAAGCCTCGGACCATCGCACAACCCCCTCAGAGCGTCGATCGCCCCATCGCGAGTGGGATCGAGCTGATACTGCTTGGCGGGATAAGCCCGACCTCCGTTACTACCGCCGTCACACAGGTCGGTGGCGTGAGGTCATACAGCGGCTCGAGGACCTCAAGGGTCGCGGTTGTGCCGGTGGCGGATTGGGAGAATTTGGGCGGAGCTGGGAGTGCGGAGTTAGTGTGGGAATACGAAGACTTGCTTATCGGGGATGAGGGGCGTGATATCGGGGAAGGGTTTGTTGGAGGGGAAGGCGGGTGAGCCCGCGAATAAGAGCTGCACATGACGAGGAGGTCCGCACGGAGGGATGACGATGAGATAAAATAAAGATGTGATACTCACCCAGCTCATTCTTGCCGAAGCCATCGAGCATCAGGCCCTCACTGAACTTGTACGTCTCGCAACAGACGACGACGGGGATGCCGTACTGCTTCGCCAGCATGGCAACCATAGCGGTGCCTGCCCGTGAGTACACAGCTCCGTTCGAGTGCAGGGAGTGGGCACCGAGGAGGACCTAAGGGGGGGGGGGGGCGTTGGCAAGAGCCTGTATGTAATATCGAGGTTTAACTCACCATTGATGCCTCGGTAAGCACGGAAGGTAGTGCGGGAAGGAGTGTGTAGGTGCACTGTATCCCTGCCGCGGTGAGCGTGCGGAGAAGGAATTTTCCTGCAATGCAACGTTAGTCTCGACTACTCGATACTTCAGAGTTTACAACCAACCTTCGAGCAGAGGACGCGAGTCAACAACGACGACCGAGAGTTTCTTGCCCTCTTCGTGCGCATGCAAAAGGACCTTCTCGACGACAGATGATCTACAAGCAAGTCAAGTTCCATAATCGATACGTTAGCGCACAACATACCTTGCGTAGACTAGAATAACGTCGCCGTCCTTGATTTTCTTGCCCGCAATATCCTCAATGACCTCGTCCGCGGTGATGATGCGTTCACGAATGTAGTCGTCGATTCTTGCGCATAATGCGTCTTTGGCCTGTAAACCGACTTTTAGTATATGTGGCGACGAGCGAGCGCGGTGCGCCACCCACATCCTGCTCGGGCAAGTCGATGTCGGAGCCGCTGATCTCGAGCTTGAGCTGGCGAATCGCGTTGCCCATAGTGACGCTCATGGGCCTTGCAGAGACGAGGTGGGTGATTTGAGGCGAAAGGTGGGTCATGAGGTGGCGGGATAGGGTGTTGTGAGCAGGCGTATGGTAGTCCTGGATGACCTGAAAGAGAGAACATTAACAACACAGTCTTGAGGGATGGGCAAGGATCTCTTTGATCGACCCATCTGGTATATGAGGCCACTCACCGCCTTGAAGGCCGTAAGCGTAGCTATACATCTCGCGTTCGCGCCAGAGATCTTGAACTCGGAGAACAACAGCCCAAGTCGAATGATTGCAGGGTGGATGTCGCCCTTGATCTGGTGCCCAGGTGCTTTTGGCAGACCAAAGTGAGAGAATATGCGCAAGCCGCGGTATTTTGGCGTCTCGTCGTCTGCGGCGCCAGAGGCCGCGATCGACATGCGCCGCTGGTGCATCGAGGGCTTCGAGCTGCCAGCCGGAGGCTTCGAGCTTGACGAGGACTTTGCATTTTGGTTCGAGGGGGCAGGTTTTGAGCCAGACGCCTTCTGCGCCTGCTGCTGTTCGAGGCGCGCTGCTTTCGCCGCGCGCTGGGCCTCTTGCAGGGCCTTGCGCTCCGCTTTGGTCATCTCCTTCTGCGACTTTTTGACGGGAGCCCCGGCTGGGGGGCCGCCTGCTTCTGGTGCGGGGCTCATTTTGGGACAGGGATCGGGTGGCGTTGGCGGAGGCAGACGAGTTCAGTGTATTGTACTTTCGCGAGTCCAGTCATTATGGGCAACGCGTGACGTCTGATCGACTTTGTGGCGTCGGTCACGGATTTGGTAACGCGGTTCTGTCATCGCTGCATCCGCGCAAAGCCAAAACTTCCGATTTGGTCTTGACCACCACGTCGTTTGCCGGCTGCCACTCTTTCAGCCGCGCAGGTTTAGCACCTAGATAAAGGACCGGTCAAAATGGTGCGTAAAGTGCTTGTTATGCATGATGTTCAGATACTTACACGAAACGCAGGGTGTTCCCGCGCTCTTCCGTTGGTTGAGCAAGAAATACCCAAAAATTGGTGCGTAAAATGCGTGTCCCCTTCACTCTCAAGCTAACGCAGCGTCCAGTTCAACCCGTTATCGAAGAGGAACCGCGGCAAATAGGAGATGAGGTCATTCCTATAGATGCTAGCGGACGCAACCCCAATGGTGTCGAGTTCGACAATCTCTACTTGGACATGAACGGTATCGTGAGTGACATGCGTGTCGGTGGAGGATGCTTGCTGAACAAATATAGGTCCACCCATGTACACATCCGGAGGGGAAGCCTGCTCCGGAGACCGAAGAGGAGATGATGGTGGAGATCTTCAACTACACGGAGCGCGTCGTGAACATGGTTCGCCCTCGCAAGCTCTTGTTCATGGCTATCGGTACGTTTCAAGTCAATCTGCCGCTAGTCATCTAATGCGTCCACAGATGGCGTCGCGCCGCGTGCGAAGATGAACCAGCAGCGGTCGCGTCGTTTCCGTGCCAGTCAGGAGGCGCAGGAGAAGGAGGACGCTCGGGCAGAGTCCCTTGAGCTCTGGAAGTGTGCGTAATCACGGCTGCTTATTAGAGCGAAGCACTGACAAGCGCTTATAGCCATGGGCAAGGAGCTCACTGACGAGATGAAGAATCCGAAGGCCGCCTGGGACTCCAATGCTATCACCCCCGGCACGCCGTTCATGACTCTGCTTGCCAACTCCTTGCGCTACTGGACCGTTCAGAAGATGAACGAAGATCCGGCGTGGAAGGGCGTGCGTATAGCGATGCTTTATGAGTTAATATGGTACTGACTTGCAATACAGATCCAGGTCATCATCTCGGATGCATCCGTTCCCGGAGAGGGCGAGCATAAAATCATGGACTTCATCCGGCGCCAGCGCGTCAATCCTGGGCATGACCCGAATACTGAGCATGTAATCTATGGACTGGTAAGTCGTCCCTAGTATATGCTGCATAGGCGATGCTAACATTTTACAGGACGCTGATCTCATCATGCTGTCACTAGCTACACACGAGCCGCATTTCAGAGTCCTGCGTGAAGATGTGTTCAACCAAGACGTGTCCAGTACCGCATGCCGCAAATGTGGCAAGGAAGGCCACTACGCCGCGCAGTGCACCGCGCCCGAGGGCTCCGCTCCAGAAAAGCCCAAGGACTACAAAAAGCCATTCATCTTCCTCGACGTGTCCATCCTGCGCGAGTACCTCGAAATCGAGCTCGACGTCCCCAACACTCCCTTCCCCTTCGATCTCGAGCGCGCGATCGACGACTGGGTCATGCTCATCTTCTTCGTCGGAAATGATTTCCTGCCCCACCTGCCCTCGCTTGAGATCCGCGAAGGCGCGATTGACACGCTCCTGAAAATTTGGAAGACGGAGCTGCCACGGATGGGCGGCTACCTGACGAACAACGGCGAGATAGAGCTCGCACGCGCGCAGGTTATCCTGGAGGGCATTGGCCAGCGCGAGGCCGACATATTCAGAAGGCGGCGTGAAGGTCTGTCTGATGATCACTATCGTAATCTTATCGTGTCTACCCATCCACTTCAATGGGCATTGGGATTGGCATCGCGCATTCGTATGGGGCATCTGCCTGAATTGAAGCGTGACGTGAATCCCTGCGACTGCCCTGGCACTGCCATCGCCCCTCCTCCCTCTATCATCTATTCCCCCAAACTCCCGTCCTCCTTTACAACCAAAACCCATCCATCCTACATTGAGTTGTCATCGATGCACGTCGGCGCTCCCTTTTCTCCGTGCCGTAATCCCCTTCCATGAAGTTCTATCCTTCCCACGCCCTTCCCATCCCCTTCCTATACCCGAGTTCATGTTCGTGTGATGAGCGAATTATTGACAAGTGAATTACAGCCGAGCAGCGGCAGGACCACAACGCGAAGCGGCGCAAGCTCGAGCAGGAGCAGCGCAAGAATGCGTCTGTGCCCGTTGGACCCTCGCCCTCACTAAACCTCTCCGCGCCCCTCAATGGCGGCGGCCCACCCCTCATCCATCCTTCCCTGCCCCAGCGCCCGGACTTCGCCGCGCGCGCGGATAGCCTCGGGCTCGGCGCGCCCGTCGCTGCGCCCCCGCCCGCGATGCAGTCGAACAGCGACATCGTGAACAACCGCGGGGCGATTCGCACGGCGAACCTCGACGCCGCGAACAAGCTCAAGGACCAGCTCTTCGACCTCGTCCCGCTGGGACGGGGGAACAAGCCGGCGCCGCCGAAGCTGAACCCGACGCTGCCCGACAAGCCCGTGACGCCTGAGGAGCTCGTCGCGGCGACGGCGACAGCGACGCCTCCCGTAACGGCGCAGGTGCCGCCGAGGCCACTCGCGGCGGGGGACAGCATGGAGTCGGACGACATGATTCCGGGCTTTGAGTCGCAAAGCACAACGGTGACGACCGAGCCCGGGTCGCAGGCCACCCTGGACGGGATGGATGGGCAAAATGGACACGCCGAGGTGTCCAAGGCAGACGCCACCATGGAGAACGGGGACGCCGACGCGGAGGGCGAAGAGGATGCGGAGGGAGAGGTCGACATGGACACGCAGGACGACGATGACGATGTCCCACCGCTCGCGGGCAAGAAGCGTAAGCTCGACGAAGGCCCCGCTGCGGAGGACAACTCCACGGAGGAGGAGGAGGAGGAAGAAGCCGCGGCCAATGCGAGCCTCTACAAGATGAAGAAGAACGCTGATGGTTCGATTGAGCAGGCCGACCATGTTCAGTGAGTATTTGCGAAATCACTTCGAGGTGGCGGTGTGCTAATCTTTCTACTAGGCTTTGGGAACCTGGGTACAAGGAGCGCTACTACAAGAACAAGTTCGGCAAGGAGTACAGTGACGAGGAGTTCAGGAAGGAGTATGTGATGGTCTTGGCTCTTTATAATGCACTTACTAACGTCGCCCTCAGTGTCACCACCAAGTACATGGAAGGCCTTGCTTGGGTCCTTCAGTACTACTACCAGGGTGTAAGTTGCCTTCGAACACCACGTTAAATCCCACTGAAATGCTTCCCAGACGCCCTCGTGGCGGTGGTATTATCCTTACCATTTCGCGCCCTTCGCCGCCGACTTCGAGGACGTCGAGAAGATGGACCTGAAGTTCGAGATGGGCCAGCCCTTCAAGCCTTTCGAGCAGCTTATGGGCGTCTTCCCCGCCGCCTCGCGCAAGCACATCCCCGAGGTCTTCCACCCGCTCATGACCGAAGCGGACTCGCCCATCATCGACTTCTACCCGACCGAGTTCTTCATCGACATGAACGGGAAGAAGATGGCGTGGCAGGGCGTCGCGCTGCTGCCGTTTATCGACGAGCGCCGCCTGCTGGACGCGATGGCGGAGGGATACCCGTCGCTGACGGAGGACGAGATTCATAGGAATCGGTGGGGAAATAATGTGATTTTCGCGTCCGATGAACACCCGGTATATCCCCTGTACGAGGCGCTGTATGGGAAGCGGAAGGGTGAAGAGGTGGGCTGAATGTTTTTCTGCACTTTACTCTCAATGACTGACATCCATCCTCCAGCCCGTCCCCCTCGATGTCAAGCTCACCAAGGGCATCAGCGGCACCGTTCAGCGCAACCCCGACTGTCTGCCGGGTTCCACCTACGATAGCCCGCTTCCCGCCCTCAGAGACATCCCCAACGACCGCTCGCTCTCCGTTCTCTACTTCTTCCCCAAGCAGCTCTCCCCGCACCGCTCCGTTCTCCTCCCCGGCGCCGTACCGCCGCGCCGGCAGCTCACAACCGCTGACCTCACCGCCACGCGCAACGGCGGGCGACCGCCGCGCAAGAGCTACGACAACCGCAACACGGGCCGCGGCGGCCTCTGGCGGGAGGGCAGCGACCGTGGCGGAGGCTTTGGTGGGCGTGGTAGGGGCCCACCGCCGCACCAGCGGGAGACGCGCCCGTATCCCTCGGGTGGTCCGCCGGCACAGAACGGGTATGGCGGCGGTCGGGGCGGCTATGGTGGTGGTGGTGGATACGGCGGCTACGGTGGAGGCGGGGGTGGCGGCGCCAACCGCGGTCGGCCGAATGACTATGGAGGGTACGGTGGTGGAAGCCGGGGCGGGTACAACAGCCACGGCGGCGGAGGCGGCGGTGGGTACCCCCAGCCAAGCAGCTATGGCGCCGCGCCGCCTGCAGGCGGGGGCTACCCTGGCTACGGTGGTGGAGCTAATGGTGGTGGAGGCTACGGCGGTTCGGGTGGCTATGGCGGCGGCGGAAGCGCTGGATATGGCAACTACGGATACGGCAACCAAGCCCCTGCGCCTGGTGTCTACGGCGGCGACCCTCGAGGTGGTGGTCGCGGCGGTGGGTATGGTGGGCAGGGGTATGGAAGCTCGCGAGGTGGAGGTGGGTACGGAGGATACAATGGCGGAGGCGGACGTGGCCGAGGGTGGTAGATTGCCCTGAATTATCGTCTTGTGGACGTGCAGTAGACTTCGTTCTTCCAGTACTGTAGTTCTTACTCTAGTGAATGTTTGCCTCTTGTTGTCTCCTCTTGGTTCTCGTCCCCTCAGAAGAGTGAAGTGCATCACCGCAACAAACTCGGCAATGAACGAACGTTTGTTCCGCCGGCATGGCCGCCACATGGGAGAGTTTCGTTCATCTCGGGCTGCGCAAGTCGCCATGTCGATGATTCCGCACCCACAGCCTTCCGGAAGATGCAGGCCCCACGGGGTTCAGATGCGATATTAGTGTGGAAAGTGCGGTCAGAGCTCTTGATTCGCGTTCATCGCACAGACTCTACCCCCCACGCGCCGACGAGCGCGCCTTCGCCACGCTCTCAGCGCCCTGCAGTGAAACTATATTCCATACAAGTCCGGAAACGTGCAGCGCGCGCCCGGCAAGCGCCCATCAGCCTCGCTATATAAGTTGGAGAAATCACCGTCCGAACCTGTCCGCTCCAGCACCCGCCGCCAACTCGACACCGGGACGGTGATCTGCGTCCGGAGAGTGTCAGAGAGCGTTGTACGTACTAGCCCCCGACGCGCCCCAGCATAAGTCCGGTGCGTGCTGTCGAGCGACTCTTCCGTGTTCATGCCCGCTCACCCGTACGTGCAGATCGAGATGTCCGAGATCAACGAGAAGGGGGCGGTCCCGCGCCATCGCACGCACAGGACAGATGAGGAGGCTGGGGGAATCGAGGACGCCAACAGCAGCAGCCCCTTCTTCGCGAACGGCGAGCGCCACGACACGGAGCATGCCTACCCTCCCCACCACCACCATCTACACGCCCCGCATCTTTCGATGGAAAACCATCCTCACTTGCAGGATGCTGTGGATGGTGCGCACCCCGCAGCAAAAATCAAAAGGAAATGGTACTCAGGCGTCTCCGCAGGATGGGAACGCTTCAAGAACAGGTTCAATCGAGTCGGGAGGAGGAAAATTGGGATCGCAGAGAGCTTGAAGAACTTGGCGAAGCAGTCATGTTGGTTTGCCCCCGCTGCATTTCTGCTTCCGGCCGCTTATTTCCTTACAGGGCTCAATACCTTCATCGTCTTCATTCCAATCGGCTGGGTCACACATTTCCTCGAGGTACACCGTAGTCCAGTCGGCGTCCCTCACACCGTGGTCTTCATCTGTGCGTGGACTGCTTCGTTGATACCCTCTGCCTAATTGCTTGCTTCACAGTCAACTTCCTTGCAATTATCCCCCTCGCAAAGCTGTTCGAGTATGGCGGTGAACAGATGAGCTACTATGTCGGCAAGGAACTCGGAGACCTTATCATCATTTCCCTGAACAAGTACGTCTTCCCCGTCCCTCTTCCCGTGTAGCCATTGACCTCGTACAGCGTCATCGAGGCCACGCTTGCCATCATCCTGCTCAACAAGTGCGAGTTGAGATTACTACAGTCCACCATCATCGGTGTCGTAATCTTGCATTTGCTGCTCATCCCAGGTGTCTCGTTCATCATCGGCGGTGCGCGCGTGATGCACCAGGAGCTTGCGCCTCATCACTCTGAGCTGAACCAGGCTCTGCTGACTGTTGGTGTCGTCTGCTTGTTGCTGCCCGCTGCGTTCTTCGCTGCTATCGACCGGGGAACGGCCGCGGCAGCAGAGCTGGGCTCAGCAGAGAGCGCGGTCTCGGACGCATCGCGGGCCATGTATCTCTCTATAAGCCACGGCCTCGCTATCATCCTGCTCGTTGTGTATGTTTCCCCTCCCAATGAATCACTCCCACAACTGACACCCCGACAGTTACATTTGCTCCCGCGTCTACCTCCACAACCCGCCCGGCGACGACAACGCGCTCCGCCCACGCGAGAACGCGCCCGAGGAGCACAAGCGCGAGGAGAAGCACCTCGAGGAGGGCGACCCCGAGATGTCCCCCTGGGTGTGCATCGCGATGCTCGTCGTCACCATCGGCATCATGGCCGCGACCGCCGAGTGGCTCGTTGACAGCATCGAGTACGTGCGCGAGGGCGGCCGCATCACGGAGGAGTGGTTCGGCCTCATCCTCCTCCCCATCGTGTCGTTCTCGGCGGACGCGGCGGTGGCGGCGGCGTTCTTTGTTAGGTATCTGTTCAAGAGCTATCTGGGCAAGCCGACGCCGATCAGCACGCTGGCGCAGGCGCGGACGATTGATATGGCGATTCAGGTGAGAAGCGTGACGGGATTTGCGAACGGTTCGTGTGTGGAGGCTGACATGACGAACGCTAGTTCATCCTGTTCTGGATGCCATTCTTTGTACTCATCGCCTGGTGGTCGAGCCGGCCGCTGACCCTGCTCTTCGACCTGTACGAGGTCGCCGTCATCATCGGCTCGTGCTTCATCGTCAACTACGTGACCGCGGACTCGAAGACGAACTGGGCGGAGGGCACGGCCTTGGTGGCCTTCTACGCCATGATCGTGAGTTGCTCCCGACACTTTCTTCATACATGTACGGCTAAACTGACTTGTCGTAGGCCCTCACGACATGGTTCTACGCTGGCCAGGAAGAGATTCACCACCTAGCTATCTGCACAGCGGTCGCCGCGAGTGGTGCAGCGGAGGGCGGCGGTGCCGAGGCCGTTGCTGCTAGCCACCACTGAGCTCTCAGGAAACCACTGAATATCCTGGCCGAGGACAATCCCTACCTACTACCTACTGTCCGCCGGATCACACACAAACACTCGCATCTGCACATACGCGGCACCCACTCCATGTCGAGCAGGTGCACGCTAACTTATTCTGAGGCGGGCTTCTCTACTGCACATACATACCATCGGATTTATTTAATACCCTTCCCTCATTTTCACTGTGGATTTACCCGCGGCTACATACTCTTTTGGCTGCTTGTCTATCTCACCTGTCTGCGGTTCGCGTATTCCAATTGTCTGCGGCTGGCATATCTCACCTGTCCGCTCTTCGCATAACCCTCCAATATCTACGGCTCACATCCATAGCACACTGTTCTCATATCTGCCTGTCATCTCTATACGCGTTACTTACCTTGCATGGAACCTGAATCGTACACGCTAACCTTGCATGATGGAGTTGAAACTTCGCAAGTTAAATTTAGACTTTGCGTACAAAGCACATGCTACGCTACAGCGTTTTCGGAAAACCTTGTCATGGACGAACTTTTTTCGTGAGCTGTCCCAAAAACCCAAAACACGAAACTCGTGGGAACGGCTGCGTAGTTCCTGGCTGGCGCGATGCGCCAAGCTGACTTCGTCGACGGTGCGCAGAGTCCCTAGGCGTCGCTGGCGGGCTTCCCGACGTCGCTGGGGACGACCTTCAGTCGTCTGACCGCCGGAAAAGCCGCGAAATGGACGTCAGAGCGTCGTCCGGTGCAGAGGCCGCCTTTGGGTCACCGGTTGAGAGCCACAGAGCGGCTGAGTCCTTCGCTGCTCCCGTCGACGTTGGGCTTGGCATTCCCGCCCCACAGACCTCAAGGCGCGCTTCAGGCAGGAAGTGGGCATCTATCTTTGGGTTTTTCTATTCTTAGGGTTTTTGGACGACGCTCAGAAAAAAGTTGCAGATGACAAGGTTTTCCGAAAACGCTGTACTGTAGGAAAGGATGAACGTCTTACAAGACATGTTGCTGATTCACACTCACGGCGGCGAGGGCTCTTGCAAGCAGATAGGACAGAGGAGAAGCTCAAGTCTTTCACAAGAGTGTTTGGAGTATCCATGAGTCATCCCCCCGGGAACACAGGCCATGGCTTGGAAGCTTGCGTGGTGTTCTTCAGAGTAACAAGCTCTGTTGTTGCGGACATATGCTTACAACACGACGTCGTTGCCGGAATATTCATAGTGTGCAGTGAGGTTACATATAAGTATATGCGTGCCCATCATCATCATCAACCCGGATCGGAGGAATACTCAATGTTGCCCATGCGATGTTGTCGTTTATGAGATGCCACGGTAGGTGGCGATCTGGTCGAGGGCACGCTCGCCCTGGCCATCGGTGAAGCCGGTCATGCAGCTGTCGTAGGTGTAGTCCATGAAGTTGTCTGTGGTTGAAGGTCAGCATTGCCCAGAGCGAAGCAGAGCAAGGCACTCACGGATCGGGTCCACGCCATCAGCAGAGCAAGTGTCGCGGCCCTCGGGGCACTCGTAGGCAGGCTCAGACTCAGCAGGCGTGTCGTCGACGTGGTCGCCCTGGCCATTGCAGCCGCCCTGGAAGGTGTGGTACAGCCCGACCCAGTGGCCCGCCTCGTGCGTAAGCGTCTGCCCGAGGTTGTAGTTCTCCGTCGCGCCGCCCGGCGTAGACGAGAACAGCATCACTACACCGTCGTCCTTCGGTGCGCTCTCGTAGTCGCTCGGGAACGTTGCGTAGCCGAGGAGGCCCGCGCCGGTGCCGGACGTGAAGCCAACAGTGTAAACGTTGAGGTCGGACGCCTCGCCGACGCGGAGCGCCTCCTTCATCTCCGTCTGCTCGGAGGAGTCAGGGCCGACGTTGTTGAACCACTCGGCGTTCTCCGTGCGGGTCGTGTTCGCGAGGGTGAAGCTGAGGCCCATGCTCTTGTAGGCGGCGTTGAGGGTGTCGATCTGCGCCTCAAGCTGCTCGTCGGGGACGTTACCACCGGCCTCGGTGCTGTTCGCGCTGATAACGTGGAAATAAACGTTAATGGGCTGTACGAGGGTAAGCTGTCGCACTCCGACGAAACGGAGAATCACTACGTACGTCCGCCGCAATCGCCTTTTCCTTCGCGAAGGAAATCCTGTTGGCAGCAAAGTGCTTCTCGACCTCGACGATGCGCTCGTCGGAGATCGTCGTGCCACAGTTCCTGGAAAAACACATTAGCGAGATCTCTATCTCGCAATAAACATACATACCGGCCACCAGCAGCGCGGGGAACGTTAGGGAACGCAGCCACGGTCGAGGCACCGAGCGCCGCAGCGATAATGGCAAAGTTGAACATGGCTGAGGCGAGGGTGGACCGGATGGACAAGGACGACCAGGTAGGAGCTGTATACCGCTGGGGCTTGAGAACCCACCCTCGTCGTCCGACGCCTTATATATCCGTCACTTATCGAGTGCCGTTGCATCGCTGCACATGGTGGGCAACGTCCGATAACCCGTCGCCATCATGCGCGGAATAGGAAGTGCGTGATTACAGCGCGTTGGGCCCCCGTGACGCCGCGTCGCGACCCGCGGATGCGTCAAGATGGGTGTGCTTCAGCACGCGCGGCGGCGGAGGTTGCGGCTGGCCGACCTCGGTGTTCGATTGACGAAAGCGATACTCGAGCAAAGTTCGTCCCTCGGGAGTGTTCAAAGCGCTGCGCTTCTGATACCTGAGAGAAGTTGATCGTTCCGTGAAGTCCTGCAACAAGCCTCCTGCGGATCTGAACCATAGCGATAGCCGTTGTATGACACCTGGAAATGGAAGGAAGTATTGCGCATGCAACCTCCGAGCCACGTTGTGGCTGGCGACCGACGCATGGGCCGAGAGATTCATGAAATACGGTCCACGCGTAGATGCCAGATTGAAGTGGTTATACCCAGGTCATATCCCGTTCTCGACACGGATGAATAGCGAAGCATGCGCGTGACGGGTGCATGGTGGGCCAGCAGTGTCGTCACCGCGTCGAAGGCAGCGTACGCCCTTTCGTGCAGCAGTGGTGGGGCGATGCCCATGTACAGTTGACACGGACGATCTGACGACGTCGGGAGAATCGGTCCTGCTTCCTTGCCGGAGTGAAGCGAAGGTCTAGGATTACAAAGCCCTGAATGAGAGCTATTAGTGACGGGCACACGGAGAAGAGGATGTTGAATGAGATAGCGCACACAGTGCATGCTGCACTCAATGCCAAGGAACACCGTGAAACCATCGGCGCGAGTTTGCCTGCGTCGACATTACCTGAGTACCATCGGACTACGCCCGCAAGGCGTTGAGCACCATCCCCCGACACCTCCAGGTGCAGATAAGCTCGCAGACGCGAAGCACAGTATGTGATTGAGGCTTGGCAAATTGCGGATGGGTTTTTGTGTGGCTTCGACGAAACATAACATGCATTTCGGGATAGGAAAAGAGAGGTCAAGAAAAAGAAAATAGCGCAAACGAGCACGGCACAAGAAATGACGATCGAATCACCTGCCCCTCTTCTCCCCCTTCCACTCCTTGAAGATACCGTCCAGGCTCTTGTGCACCAAGTTATTCGGGATGCACTTGATGATCTCGCCCAGGCGCTCCTCGACCTCCTTCCTTGCCCGGTCGCCGACAGCCTTCCGCGCGTACTCGAGCGTCATACGGAAGAGCGCGATGACGGAGAGCGAGACGTGGGTCTGCTCCTTCGCGTGCGCCGAGTGCTCGTTGTGCGCTGCGAGGAGAGGCCCGGAGAGGTTATGGGGCGCGACTCCGTCGGGCTTCTGGGTGCTGTTTGCGGCGCGCTCTCCGCGGACGAGTCGTAGCAGGATCTCGAGGATGTTGTCGGAGTCGCTCATGTGCACTTTGAGGAAGCGCTGTCGCTCGGCGAGAGTACCGACCGAAGAGCCCGTTGACCAGGCCTCAAGGACAGTCGCGATTGTCGGGAGCTGGCGGGTCGTTAGCAAGTAGAATGATGGCGATGAAGATGCGCGACATACTGGATCAGGGTCCATGACCACGATGCGCTTCTCCCAGCCTTTGTCAGCGCCGCCTGCTACCCAGAACATACGTCCAAACATGTTCTTCAGCCACTCGTGCACGTCGCCGGTCCTTGCCCACTTCGCCTCCGATAACGGGCGGTCGGTGTCCAAGTACGCGATCAGAGTCAGTTGAGTAGGGAAATTCGTCAGTCGTGCCAAAGGCGGTATGCTTGGATCCTTCTCCGCCATCTCGGTGATGGTCTGCATAGTGAGGTAGAGCGTCTCGGGCTCAGTAAGGCATTCAACCTAAGCAAAACGTCAGCACTCCGTTGTGAATGCGACCTGAACTCGTCACTCACAAGAATGCCCTTGACATCGTCGCCTGCCTTTTCGACATTGATGAGTACCTCCATGCGTCCCTCCTTGCGGTACAGTTTGAGGTGCTGCACGCTTTCCGCATCGACGATGAGTCGTCTTGTACCACCAGCATACGAGATCGAAAGCCGATTTGCCGATGGCGTGCGTACAGGCGCGTCGGTCTTTGTCAACGCGAGAGGTCCCCCGTCGACCGGGCCCGCCATATGCGCATCCGTCGTGGGTTGTGCAGTCGGAGGTACGATGTCAATAGCGTTGTCCGTAGGCTGGCTGTCCCCTACTTCGCTATCCGGCTCCGTCGTCGCCTGGCTCTCGACGAGCTGACTCTCGGGCGGATCCGTCGCTTGCGACGCCTCGACGTCCTGCGCGTCGCCCGACAGGCTCTCGCCGAGCACGAGTGGTACGGGCTCCCCGTCCATGGGCACCGGGCCCTTCTCCGGGCTGTTGGGCTCCGTCGGCACCTGCGCGTCAGTACCCCTAGGCTGATCAGCACCCTGTTCGTCTCTGAAAGATGAGATATCGAGATGAGGAGCAAGTTTAGCGGAAAGAAAACGCGAGCACGGACAGTGAGGGCGCCGTATCCATCGGGGCATTCGCAACATTCGCAGAAGTAGCGGTAGCATCAGGGGCAAAAACATCTCCGCCGGCCGTCGGCCCACTCGTGGTGGTGGCAGTGGAAACAGAGGTCAACGCGCGCTCGCCCGTCCCATTCCCATTCTCGCCCACTTCGTCTGGCGCGCGCATGCCCACGTCGCCATTCATGCCTTGGGAACACAGCGTCAGCGGGCACGGGGGCGAACCTCGAAGCGAGGCACCCGTGTTGCCCGGTATACCATGACGACGCTTATCAGACGAGGGAGACTCACCATCTTCGGACATGGGCACGCCGGCCTCGGAACCTTGACCTTCTTGGCTAGTGCCCTCCGTGATGGCGGCCATGAGCCAGTCGCCGGTCTCGCTGCCCTCTGCGGCGCTGGGGGCGACGCTCGACCGGTCGTCGCGATAGCCGTTCGCGAGGTGCGGGGGCAGGGGCCGCTTGCGCTCGTCCTCCGCGTCGTCGCCGTCGTCATCCTCGATCTTCTTGCGCTTGCCTTTGCGAGAGTCGGAGACAGAGCCGTAGGTGAACGACCCGCCCTGGTCTGCTGCGGCTGGGGTGTGGAAGTAAAGACGGATGCGAGGGGGAGGGACGGAAGCAGCTGCGTCCGCGCGAGGCCCAGTGGGTATGGCCTTGGCTGCGTCGGGCTCGGGAGGTTGTATCGCGTTCTCGTCGAATACGGGTTTTGGTGGGAGAGGAATGGACTGCGTCACGGGCCGCGGAGGGAGGGCCCTCGGTGCTGTGGGTACACCGTTTGTCTTTGTCTTGTCTGAAGATGATGGTGCCTCCGGGTCCTTGAGAGCAGCATCCGCTTCTTCCTGGTTTTCTTCGACCTTCATGGCCGTTGACTCTGCTTCCTGAGCCTCGCTGGCGGGCTCCTCAACCTCCTCCTTCACGGGTGGTTTCGGCGCCGGTTTTGCGCCCCACTCCCACCCAATCTCGACGAGCTCGAACCCGATCATCTTGAAATCCGTCAACGTGCGCTTGTTCTCGTCCTTCTTCCCGCCCACGCTCGTCATGCTCGCGTTCATCGAATCGCGCGCGCCCAGCGGCTTCGACGGGATCCCATGCATCGCGCCACGCCCGCGCATCCCACCATTCGGGCCAGCATTGAACGAGCCGCGCCCCCCACGGTTGTTGTTATTCATGCCGTTGCCGAAGTTACCGCGCAGGCCCCCAGCGCCGCGAAGGGGGAGGGGCCCGCCGCGGACCTGGTTGTTGTTGTTCCCATTGAACGGCTGGCGCATGCTGCGGTTGCCGAAGCCCCCACGATTGGGGCCCATCGGCCCCATCGAACCCATGCCGCCGCCGCGACCGCCTCGGCCGCCCATCATGCCTCCACGACCGCGGTTGGCGGGACCGGAGGGTGGGCCGCCGCGCCCGGGTCCTGCGTTGAAGCCTCCGCCGTTGTTGTTGTTGTTCATGTGGAACGACGGGCCGGAGGGTGCACCGAAGGGAGGCGATTGCTGCTGCTGGGGTGAGCGCATTTGGCCCTGGGGTATGCCGTCGAAGCGCTGGCGCTTGGCGGGAGGGAAGCTGTTAGGCGGCGAGTGCTGCAGGGCGCGCGGCTGCTGGGGAGGGTTGAATTGCGGTTGTACCGGAGGGGTGGGGGTGAAGGTCTGGGATGGGGCACCTGCCTGGGGGATGTAGGGCTGGTACGTCGCCTGAGGCTGATACGGATTGAATGGTGGCTGGGGAGGGACAGGAGGAGTAGGTTGAGGAGGCTGGATGTACTGAGCTTGGGGCTGAGGTGGATGTTGAGGCGCCTGAGGCTGCTGAGGACGCCAGTTGGGACCATAACCGTAGTTCGCGTATAACGCGGACTGCTCCGGCGTCGGACGCGGTGGCTGAGCTGGCTGAGGCGGCTGCCACTGAGCGTTATATGCGCCGACCGTAGGTGCTTGGGGGTGCGCTGCAGCACCCTGCGCGGCCGCGGCGGCTGCCCAGTACGCGGAGTAGTCCTGCGCAGGAGGTTGTGCGGGTGGAGGGCCTGGCGGAAGGGGCGGCTGGTGGTGCGTGTAGGAGGGCTGGGGGACGAACGGATTTTTGTGCATTTTGTTCAGTTCGGGTAGTGATTCAGGCTCAAGATGATTCGTTCAAGATGTAACTGCAACTCGGTTTCGTCAGCCAAGAGAACGATCCTCTGGAGGAGCAGAAACGCACTTATATTCCCAAACAGTCACTGGCGATGAGCTTCGTGTTGTTTTCTGTCTGCTGTACAGCGCAACACGAGCCAAAAGGTGCTACGATTTCTGCGACTAGAATTTGCGTCAGTTCAGCGCATTCCCTCCGAGAACAAAGCCCGAACTTACGTGACGTGTGCAATTGTGTGTACGTTCAAGTACACCTTGTTCTACCTACTCCAAGTCGCAGCGATGGACTGGAGAACGTGCAGCGAGGCGACGTGGAGGAGGGAGGCAAGAGATCTCGGGACGTTCCCTCCGTGCGCGCTTGTTGAGTCGACCAAATAAACAATGACCTTGTTTGTCCGATCATTTCAACACCCGGCGACGCCTTTCGAGGCACCCATGTTATGCTCAGATATTCCTTATGGCTGTCTACAGAACGCAATCCTCTGGACCACCCAAAGACACTGTAATTTCCCCCAACCTCCCCCAACCCGATCCCTACGAAGTACTTCCCATCGGCGCATGTGGCAATCGTGGCGCAAGCTCTTTGGCTTGAGCAGCTTGTCGTCTTTTACGATGCTCCGCTTGGCGCACTATGATTTTCGTTAGCATCAATCTCACCTCGATATTCAATACGCACTGGCAAAGAAGTCTCGATGCAAAGCATATCGTTGGTGCGCGGGTGTTGCGGGTGCAGGCGGCGTCGATGGCAACCCTCCCGGTGGCGCTGGTGTACTGGCTTTGGAATCGTCCTTCTTCTCCTTGTCCTTGTCCTTTTCAGCGCTCTCCCCTCCTCCTCCTTTGAATAACCCAAAGAACGACCCGGACTCGGCCGTTGGCTTATCCCCCTCCTTTGCCTTTCCATCCTTCTGCTGCTTGCGTTTTTGCTTCTCTTCGTACTCCGCCTTTACCCTTGCGATCTCTTCCGCGCTCACAGCACCTTTCGAGGCACTCGGCGTGCTCTGGAGTTGGGTGGCGAAGTTCGGGTCGGTTAGATGCGCCGGACAAGTGTATAGGAAGTCCGTCGTGTTGATTGTGGCCAACACTGTTGTCGTGGGTTTATAGCAGACATAGCACCCCTTCGCCGTCGCCACTGCCTACCTCATCGCATGTCGGTACAGTATACACAGTCCCGTCATTCACTTACCCGCTTGTAGTACACGTTATCAAACGACATGGTTCTGGTCAAGGGACTCTATGGTGCATCGTGCTCTGCTGACCCGTCAGATGCCACCATGCCCTCCCACAAGCAGCCCCCGCTGCCACGTCCGATGCGCGCCGCACCCTGCCGCACCTATCGCACGCCGAATCGCACACAGAAGTCATGGTGACGCTGCACGACGGGGTCGGGTGAATGATCAGGAGGCTTCCAGGATCGATTACCAAGAGAACGCGCGCACTGGTTATAGCTATCGCCTGTCTCTCTAACTCTTCTTCCGATATCCTCCTTCTGCTCTCACCACCACGACGATGTCCGACACCGCTGGAAAGACCATCACCTGCAAGGCCGCCGTCTGCTGGGGCGCGGGCGAGGACCTGGTAATCGAGGACATCGAGGTCGCCCCGCCTAAGGCGCACGAAGTGCGCATCCGCATCCTGCATACTGGTGCGCAAACTCTGCGCGATAACGGCTATATTGGGTACTGACAGGTTTCTAGGTATCTGCCACACCGACGAATACACCCGTAGCGGCAAGGACCCTGAGGTGCGCTTCCCTGCATCTCGTTTAGCGCGACCCACTTGCTGATTGGCGATCGTTTTAGGGCCTGTTCCCCGTCGTCCTTGGCCACGAAGGCGGAGGCATCGTACGTCCCCTAGCACCAATCCCTTCCCCACCGATCTCATGCGATCTCTCGCCAGGTTGAATCCGTCGGCGAGGGCGTGACGAGCGTCGCGGTCGGCGACCATGTCATCCCCCTGTACACTGCCGGTACGTCATAGATCACGGCGAAATATCATCTCCAAGCTGACATGTAGCGCAGAATGCCGCGAGTGCAAGTTCTGCAAGAGCGGCAAGACCAACCTGTGCGGCGCTGGTACGTTCCGTTCATCCTCTATCGCGCACACAAACTCATTCCCTTTCCAGTCCGCGCTACTCAGGGTCAGGGCGTCATGCCCGACGGTACCAGCCGCTTCACTTGCAAGGGAAAGTCGCTGTACCATTTCGTACGTTGTCCGAACAATTATCTCCCGCACATACATGCTGACATATAGAATAGATGGGCACCTCCACCTTTTCGCAGTACACCGTCGTCGCAGACGTCTCTGTCGTCGCTGTCGACAAAAAAGCACCTCTTGAGAAGGTCTGCCTTCTCGGCTGTGGTATCACCACCGCATGGGGCGCCGTGGTGAAGCAGCCTGGCATCAGTGCGTGTCCCTCTTCACTATCCTTCCCTTGCCGATTCCTTCCATCGACCGAATCATCACATGACATACTCACCCTCCTCATAGCGAACTCCACCGTCGCCGTCTTCGGCTGCGGCGCCATCGGCCTCGGCGTTATCGCCACCTCCGCCCTCGTCAAAGCCTCGCGCATCATCGCCGTCGACACGAACCCCGGGAAGGAGGCCTGGGCGAAGAAGATGGGCGCGACCGACTTTGTGAACCCCGCGCAGTTGCCGGAGGGCACGCGGATCCAGGATAAGCTCATCGAGATGACCGATGGAGGGCTTGATTATACTTGTGCGTTCAGCTCCTTCTCCACATCTTTCCCCTCTACCTCTCCTCCCCCCTCCCCCTTGCCTCCTCAACCACCTCGTACTAATCCACCCACCCCCCAGTCGACTGCACCGGCAACGTCCACGTCATGCGCGCCGCGCTCGAGGCGTGCCACAAGGGCTGGGGCGTCTCCACCATCATCGGCGTCGCCGCCGCCGGGCAGGAGATCTCCACGCGCCCCTTCCAGCTCGTCACCGGCCGCGTCTGGCGCGGGTCGGCGTTCGGTGGCGTGAAGGGCCGCACGGAGATCCCGGGCCTCGTTGAGGACTATCTGAATGGTAAGGTGAAGATCGACGAGTATGTGACGCATCAGCGCAAGCTGGGCGATCTGTACAGCGGATTCCATGATATGCATGTGAGTAGATGGATTGGGTGAGGGGGTGAGAGGGGAATGGAGTGCTGACGATGCTTTTGCAGGCCGGCGATTGCATTCGTTGCGTGGTCGACATGTCGTAAATTCGCAAAGAAGGCAAAGAAATGCACGACGTAGTTGTACGATTATTCTGTAACCTGTACTTTCCGAAATGAAGGTGTCGAGGTTGTTGCCACAAATGTTTTTGTACTCAAGGATATGCAGCTCGGAGATAGTATGTTCATGAAAGCCGTACTACAGAATCATTAGCGTGTCGATAGATCATAGATTACATCCATACACATAGATCCTCCTCCCGTCAAACCGTACCCCTCACACCAACTCTTGTCAAACGCCCCGACTGACCATTACCCGCTCCTGCCTGCCTAGCAGCGCTTTCCACAACGCGACCAGTGCAGCTACGACCTCTCGCCTCCTCGTGCCGCTGCGCCGCCATATCGAGCGCACCAGCATCACCACGCACAACAAAAAGGACGCATCCAGACAAAGTCGCCGCACGATAACCCGCGCTGGCGACCGGGTATCATCACGCGCGAAGAACTCTTTCACCCGCTCCGCCCCGTCGGCCAAGGGGCGCAGAACCAACGACCACAGGCCCATGTCGTCGAGGTCGTACGTTCGGCGCCCATTCGAGCCTGAGCCAGAGAACACGGCCGGGCTCCGCGAGGCGGGCACCTGCAGGTGCTCCATCACCTCGAGGCGCTCAGACAGCGCGGCGAGGTGCGCCTGCACGTTGGCCACCGCGCTCTCGAGCGAGGCGCGAGAGGGCGGGCGCGCGGGGTCGTACGCCCCGGCCAGCCGGTGCACGCCCGCGGAGTAGTTCGTGAATGCGCGCGAGGGCGCGGAGGCGGGGTATACGTTCTGGTGGGGGTATGCGTTCGGATTTGCGTTTGAGGATTGCAGCTGCGGCGGCGGACTGGGATCCGCGAACGCGGAGGGCGTCTCGAAGGCGGGTTGGGGCTGCGTGGCGGGGACCTGGCCGGCGCGCGGGTGGTAGTAGCGCGGGCTGGGGGCGGAGGAGGGCGGGCGGGAGCGGAGGTTGGGGATGTTGTTGAGCTGGGTGACGACGGAGAGGGCGGGGACGCTGTGCCGGCTTTCCTCTTCCTCGTGCGCGTAGTCGTCGTCTTCGTCGGAAGGCTCCTCTTCGGAGCTGGATTCGCCGGGTGCGGGTGCGCGGTTGGGGGACAAGGGATGGTTGGGGTATGGATATGAGATGGGGGTAGGCTTGTTGGATGCGGTGGAGCCAGAGGAGGAAGAGCCTCTGGATCTGGAGGCTGGAAGGGAGTCAGTTTGGCAGTATAGGAAATGCGCCATGGGTGAACGGCCGTACCGTTCATGATGCGGGTACCAGAACCACTCCCAAAGGACTCCAGCTCCTTCACGTAGTTCGTTGCAGCAGTCTTGTCACCGTATTTGCGCAGGACCTAGGCGAATGGCGCGATCAATCGTCGCAGCACTTCGGCGGTATGCGCGGAGCCTGCTCACCTTGAGCAGCGCATCTACGTAGAGCCACTTGGCCTCCAGGGGCGTCAAGTCCTTCTGCTTGTTCCAGGCATCCCTGCAAGAAAGTTATCAGTGTGCGCCGCGGACAAACGTGATAAACACGCACCATTTCGCTCGTCCAAGCATATCCCAGATACCCGGGCGAGGGGACTTGACGTTGCCCACCGTCGCTGCATCCAATTAAGACCATGTTTCCTTGCACCATGGACCCATATCTCACCCTGCTTATACAGACTGTAATGCGACTTCATAAGCTCACGATCGCGTGTCACTTGCACCCTACTCACCTGTACATCGTGAGCTTCTCCTCATAGTCGGTCTGGATAGGTCCCGTCTTCGGGAGACTTTGGACGATTTCCACAGCGCGGTCGAACTGCGCGTCGATGAGTTCTCGGGAGGACATGGTGTGTAGTTTGTCTGGTCGCGTCTCCAGCGCGTCCAGGTCGCGGAAGGAGATTGAGAGTGCCTTTCACGTGTTTGACGGCCGTCGGGACTGGCGAGGACCCCGCAATATACGCACAAAGGCCGTCCAGCGGTGCGGATAAATCGTGGGGGTCCCGGCTGGTGGGCCGGTCCAGAAAATGGATAAATCGGGGACCTGAGGGCTCGAAGGCCGGTTCAAAAACGCGGATATATACAGGGGAGACGGGGAGGCCGTTCCCAAAAAGCGGATATCGGGCGGTCGATTCGAACCACCGACCTACCCTCAAACCAGACGCACGCGAGACCGGTAAGCTAATTGATCACTTTGTTTCGGTGAGCAGTAGCACCCTAGATAGCCTCCCTGTGCCCATTGGCACCTTCTACCATTGGCAGGTTTGATATTTGAAGGACAGCGGTGCGTGGTAGCACCTCGAATGGGTATGGGAGGCATTTAGTTTTCTCATTCGTACTTCTCAACTCTCTTTCGTTGCAGACGCTACGCGCAGAGCGCGTAGGGACCCTGGGAGAAAAAATCAGATTTTTTCCGATTTTATTGCCATTTTTGAAGGCCGTGACGAGAAAACGGATAAATCCTGGGGGTACCGAGAGGCCGTCCCGAAAAACGGATAAATCTGGGGGTCGGGGACCCAAGAAAAAAGTGGATAAATGGGCGCTAGAGCCGGATTTTCCAGGACGGCCTTTGTGCGTATATTCCGGGGTCCTGACTGGCGACGGCAGGTGCCGAGCTTGCAGTGCTCTCGACTTTGACGGTGCTCAAGCTTGTTGTTCCCCCCCATCATCGTCTTGACCGTTCTTCTGTGTGTCTGCGAAACAAACTGAGATTTTCCATCTTTGTAGATCCTTTCCGCGGCTTGCAAGGCCTTCGGGCGCTTAAATGAGGCCGTGGGAAAATACCAGCACCAATCGACCATGATCAGCTCAAGCTCGACTTGGTCATTTCCATTGTTCTCCGCCGTCAATCATGTCGACAATCACCATCCAGTCTCCCGCGGACTTCCACGTTCACCTCCGGCAGGGCTCTCTCTGCAAGCTCACGACCCCTCATGTCAAGCAGGGGGGCTTCGACCTTGCCTATGTTATGGTAAACACCGCGCATGAATGCATACTTCCTGGGTTGATCGCAGGTTGCACCAGCCAAACCTGAAGCCGCCAGTGACAACTGTCGATCAGGCGGTCGCGTACAAGGCAGAGTTGGAGGCCATCGACCCCAGTGTGGAATATCTGATGACGCTGTACCTCTCGCCGGAATTGACGCCGGAGGAAATCAAGAAGGCGAAGGCGGTTGGGATTACGGGTCAGTGAAATTGCGTCTATCGGCTGGACTGTCGTTGAAGAAATGTAGGTGTCAAGTCATACCCTCGTGGCGTGACCACAAACTCAGACGGTGGCATCGAGTCTTATGAGGCGTACTACCCCGTATTCGCGGAAATGGAGAGACAAGACATGGTCCTCAACCTCCATGGCGAAGTCCCCTCCGATCCTGATACCGTCAGTAAATTACTTGCCTTTTTCACTCACCACAACCCTCTCATCGTCGCCGCAGGATACCCATGTCCTCAACGCCGAAGCCCGCTTCCTCCCCCACCTCCACAAAATCCACGCGCAGTTCCCCAACCTCCGAATCGTCCTCGAGCATGCGACGACCCGCGCTGCAGTTGAAGCCGTCAAAGCCTGTGGCCCCACCGTCGCCGCCACGATTACTGCGCACCACCTCGCGCTGGTCGTCGACGACTGGGCGGGCCAGTCGTGGAATTTCTGCAAGCCTGTGGCGAAGTTTCCGAGCGATAGGAGCGCGCTGAGGGAGGTGATAAAGGAAGGTGAGTGCTGCACGAAAACCTGGGGGATGCTTGAGGAGATGCAATGGCGAGGTGTATGGGCTGATGACACTCCCCAGGCCACCCGCGCTTCTTTCTGGGCTCCGACTCCGCGCCGCACCCGCCGCACGCAAAATCCGTCAGCACGCCCGACCACGGCTGCGCCGCGGGTATATACACCTCGCCCATCCTCTTACCTCTGACAGCACACTTGTTGGAGTCCTTTGGCGCGCTGGACAAGCTGGAAGGCTTCGTAAGCACATTCGGGCGGAAATTTTACAAGCGGGAGCTCGCTTCAGGAGCGCAGGCGTCAACGGTAACCTTGCGGAAGGTGCCGGAGGGCGTAACGGTGCAGAAGGAGTACACGCTGGCAGAGGACTCGCTCGTACCTTTTTGGGCGGGCAAGAAGATCGGATGGGAGATCGTGCGGGATTGATGAACGAGGGTGACGAGGACAGGCTGACAGAAGGGGCGGAACAGAGGGAAACATGAACTGTGCTGTTCCTGTTTGGTACGTCGTGCAGTCCTGTTTGGAGGGTCGATCAAGTTTGGTCCGCGGTCGTTCAGCCCTGTTCCGGTATGGCCACCTCGTTCAAGTATCTGTCGAAGGTAGTACTGATCAGTAACCTGCATAGCGCATCCTTAGCAAAAATGTAAGCCCTCCCTCCTACTCTGTAATAAATAAATGTGATATAGGCGTGCTGACGATGGTGTTACACAGGTACGCATAGTGATAAATACACGATAAATACGAACTGTGCACCCCGGCGCAGGTTGGCCGTACGGGGGGAGTTGTCCAACCACGTCTCGCAAGATCCAAGGAACGAGGTACATACGCACAGTTCATGATGTGCCATACGACGGGAACGATCAGGACCATACGACAAGGGCGATTGACCTGTGTGACGGCAATCGCGCGACATGACACAGTGCATCCGCATCGTACACATCGGCACACATCGAACACATCAGCCCCTCCTCAGAAGAATCCCGCCTTGCCGGCGCCCGCGAGCCGCGGACCGCTGCGGGCGTAGGACGTTGAAGGCGCGGACGACGACGCAGCATAGGACGAAGACGAAGGTGAAGATGCAGGCCGCGGGCCGATGGGCAGACGGGGCAGTGCGCGGCGCTGCGAGCCCTGGCGCGAGGGAGGTGCCGATCTTGGCTCTTCCATCCGCTGCTGCATTGACGGCGCAAAAGAACCAGAGGGCAGCGTGAAGGACCCGGAGGGAGTCGGCGGCAGCGGTCGGACGCGAATCGGGGTCTTTCCCTTGTCACTTCGTCTTCCGTCGCTTCTCGCGCTACGTTCCTCCGCGTCGCATTTGCCACACCCATCATCGACTCTCCTAGTCTCCTGGTCGCTTCGAGCCCTACTCCTTGCGAGCGCGTCTCCGAGATGCGCGATCGCGAATGCTCTGCAGAGGGGACAAATGTGAGCATCGGTGTTTGGCGCTTGCGAGAAAGTTAACAGGACGAACTTGAGCACGGCGGAGCGGATGGAGTCGTGGTCACGATCTTGAGTGCGATCTTGGGCGCGCGAGGCGCAGGGCCCGATGATATCCTCGAGCGTGAAGAGGAGAGAGGCAGACGTGTCGGCGAGGACCTCGTCGCTACCAACCCCGAGATGGATGCAGGAGCGGTCGGTGTGGGTGCTCATGGCGTGAGAGGGGGAGAGATCCGAAGAAGAAATATGAACAAGAAGGTGAAGGCGAAGGCGAAGGCGAAGGTGAAGACAAGGGAAGACAACAAAGGGGTATATGGGGCAAATATACAAGAGCTGAAGAATAAGAACGGCAAAGAAGGCGAACGATTGATACCAAAGCTCGCTAGTTGAGCTGTGTATATATGTCACCTCGCGCCGCCCAAACGCCAGCCGGGCGGAAAGTCAGAGTTCAAACAGTCACACCATCACGCCCATGATAGCTCTGCCTCGTCGCACCTCGTCGCATCTGGGACCACCGTTGCGTGTCGTGTCGAGGGATCTCCGTTGCGGTTTTCGAGTCCTCCGTCGCAACTTGCAGCCGTTTCGGTGCTGTTGACAGCAATTCCGATGCGTAGGACCACTTTCGAGAGCAGTTCGTACCTCTGCCGCTTCCTAGGCCTGCCTCGTCGCATCTCCTCGGTACGTCCGAGCTGTCAATTAACCCATCAGCAACGCGTACGCGGAGGGGTACCCTGCCGTGAGACGTGCGGCCTGAACATGTCCTTCGACATCGGACCGTCGGGATGCTCCCCTCCATCGCCACTTCATACCCTCCCCACCGCCACTTCATATTCTCCCCATAGCGATCCAACACGCCCATCATAGCACAGTACACCCATCGGCCCCAGAACGCCCAACACGCACCCTTACCCCGGATACGCCCCCCTCGCATTCACGCGTTACAAAAGCGGAAACGTCCCGCGTGATTGGCGCGTGATGTGTGTGATCGCGGTGTGGGAGACGAACAAAAGTTGCCGGATTGGGTAAATCGATCAGTTCCTCTGCGCGCCACCATCAGCAGTGAAGAGGGCGGCGTCAGCGGCTGAGGAAACACAGGAAACGTGCATCAGCGGGCAGAAAACGAGTATCAGCGGTGCAGAGACCTGCATCAGGCCGAACTTGTCTCTGTCAGTGTCGGGGGACAGCGCTCCGAACTTGCAGGCGACCGCTTTACGGCTGACTTGCGAAGACTCAGTGGGGCTGAATCGGTGCTGTGGACATTAATAATCCCTCCGCTATGTCTTCACATCTCGAAGTGATCCCAGACGAGGAGGTCGGGCGTGAAAGGGAATTAGAAGAGAACCTGGACTACGCAGATCCCCTTCGACATCTCATGCATGGCGCCGACGACTTCTCTGATGATGGCGAGGGGGACGACGGTCCTCACGCCGACGCCACCGTCCTCCCTGCGCAGCGCCCCTCGATACTCGGCGACACAATCACTCTGACTTTTCCCGACTCGGTCGCGCACGTCGGCGCAACGCCTGTAAACGTCCGCCTCAAGGTGGATGCCTCCCCGGGCTGCGGCGGGATGCACTGGCCCGCTGGGCAGGTGAGTTGTGTTGCATTATTTTTTGTATCGTCTCGTACTGCCGCGTGCCGTCCTGTTCGGTGTGGCCACATATCTATTCGCCCACGTACCCATTCACCCGTTAATCCAACTGCAACTTCGCCACTAAACTCAAACTCACCGCCTGCTGAACTCAAACTCACCGTCTCCTCCCAGACCCTCGGTAACTACCTCGCCTGGCGAGGCGCCTCTGCGCTCGCCGGCCGCACCATTGTCGAGCTGGGCGCTGGCACCGGCCTCGTAGGCTTCGTTGCCGGCGCTCTCGGCGGCAACGTCCTCATAACTGACCAGGCGTGCGTGACCGCTCGCGCTCCCGCCACATAACCGCCCCTCATGTGTGATCTTTGCGCCCTTTTGCAACACGCGATATATCTTCCATACGCAATGCAATCTGTGATACAACGCGATGGCCCAACGCTCCGATGGTCGTTGCGTCGAACAGACCGCTCTTGCCGTTGATGCGCGAAAACACGGCATTGAATGGGCTGGAGGACCGAGTGAAGGTGGCCGAGCTCAACTGGGGAGTGCTCTCGGTTTGCGGTGTGTCGGGATGGCCGCTGATGCTTCCTACAGGGGCGAACCGTTACCGGAGGAGCTGCAGGAGAAAGTCGATATGGTGTTGGCGGCAGACTGCGTGTACTTCGAGCCGGCATTCCCGTTGCTGGTGCAAACACTGTTCGACTTGGTGCATGAGGACACGGAGGTGCTGTTCTGTTACAAGAAGCGGCGAAAGGTGCGGGTAGTCAGCTTGTCAAGAGGGCAGGATCTGATTGTGCGTGGCAGGCCGACAAGCGATTCTTCAACCTGCTGAAGAAACACTTCACTTGGTCAGAGGCAAGTGATGTGGCGCGTCAGAGTCCGAGCAGTCCACTATAACACGCACCTACACAGGTCACGGACGACCCGGCGCGGCCAATCTATAACAAGGATGCAATATCGTTGTTTCGGCTACACCGAAGACATTGACGCCGACAGAATTCGACGCCGAAGGTTGGTTGCGACACCGTGGGGTGATGAGAGGGTTCGGAGACCGCGATGGGATTGTATGGAGGCCTACCACGATAGAATCACGGGTAGAGCTTGGTGGCGCATCACTCAGCATATAAGGCCATGCAGAAGTCGTTATAAATATGCAGGTCGTACACAGCCCAAACGCTATATAGTGCGCTTAACCTCGAAGAATGACTGGGGGACGCGTTAATCAACCCAACTGCGTGAGAAGGGAACGAGGGAATGCGCACTTTTAGGTAGTACACCTGCCATCCGACGACGGCGAACAAGACGACAGCCTGAATGATAGACCACCACTTGACGCGGGCGTTTGTGGACTCTGCGGTGTTCCGGTGTACGCGTTCGCGGATGACGATATATTCCTGCTCGTCCTTAACTGCGGTGAGGCCATTGGAGAGGGAGCGAATCTCGCGCTCAATGGGAGCGACAATGTCGGCTGGGGTGGCGCGCGGTCAGAACGTGCGAGGGAGTGAGGGAACCTCTACGCACCATCTTCACTGATGTAAATGACGCCGTGGACGTTGAAGCTGGGCAAAGGGAAGTCAGTGTTGCGTTGGGGAAGTATGGCGTGGCGCGCGCACCTGACGGTCTTGTCTGCGATGGAGCTCATCATATTGGAGAAGCAGTATTCGTGTCTCCCGTCCTTCTTTGCGGTGAAGGATGCGGTCCCCGTTGACTGCTTGACCTGCTTCGCCAGTACCTCGCCTGATGGGTCCGTCAACTGTAGCGAGCGTTGTTAGTTGGAGAGCGCGCGTATATGCATGTTCACGCACCCAGAAGTCAATATCCAGATGCCCGCCTCCGCCGACTTGATATGTCACTGTCATCTGCGCGCGCCGTCAGACTTGTTTGCTGAGGGTTCGTCGGTTGACGCACCTTGTCCTGGACATGCAAGTCCTCGAAGAAGCACTCCTTCTTGCCCGCCGGCACGTCAATTATGTGCGCGGCAACAAGGGGAAGAAGACAAAGCAGCGACAGCCAGGCCGCGCAAAGTCTTGGTATCCATGTTCGTGAGTCCATCGCGGTCAGCGGCGAGCAGAGCGTGCGGGGGGCGCTGCCTTCGTGTCAAGAACGAAATTGGGTCACGTGTGCTTCCACGGCGAACGCCGATCCGATTCTCTGATCTTGCCATCTTTCTGCGAGCGTGCGCGTCTTGTCTTCATATTCTCAGTTCCCCCGACCGCTGCATCACCAAACGCGCCATGTCTGAAGTCCCTGATGCCCTTGCTCCCCGTGTACGTTGACTGTCCCTCGATGGACGCGATCTGGCCGCCCGAGCGCGCACGCTGACGCCGTGCCACAGGAGGAGGAGACCGACGTGCACTTCGAGCCGGTCATCAAGCTCACCGAGCAGGTCGACACGAAGACGATGGAGGAGGAGGAGGACGTCGTGTTCAAAATGTGCGTCATCTGCCTCCGCCGCCCGCGATCGCGCGCTGATGATATACAAACCACTGGCCAGGCGCGCGAAGCTCTTCCGCTTTGATACCTCTGGATCGGAGTGGAAGGAGCGGGGCACGGGCGACGTCAAGCTGCTCAAGCACAAGGAGACGAGCAAGATCCGCCTCGTGATGCGTCGAGACAAGACGCTCAAGGTGTGCGCGAACCACATGGGTGCGTCCTCAGTCCTCAGTTAGCGCGATGGGTGACTCATAATGTCGCAGTCTCGAAGGACATGAAGCTCCAGCCCAACATCGGCTCGGATCGCTCGTGGGTATGGAAGGTCGCTGCCGACTACTCTGAGAGTCCCCCGACCGCGGAAACCCTCGCCATCCGCTTCGGTAATGCTGACAGTGAGTGCCACACTATTGCGTGGACGTACTGCTGACATCACGTGCAGACGCCAACGCCTTCAAGACTGCTTTCGAGAACGCGCAGAAGGCGAACGCGGGCGAGGCGATCGACACCCCGGCCGCGGAGGAGCCGAAGGCAGAGGAGGCGCCCGCCGCCGCCGCCGAGCCCGCTGCTGAGGAGAAGAAGGAAGAGGCCGCTGAGGAGAAGAAGGAGGAGGCAGCCGAGGAGAAGAAGGAAGAGGAGGTGAAGAAAGAGGAAGCCGCGTAGATATGTGTTGTTGTATTCCTAGCCTGTTTCCCTTTCCTCACTTACACCAGTGGCCCCGTGGATACATTGCACAAGCCTTGCCTTTTCTTGTAATACTCATCCTCCCTTGTGATGTCCACATCTGCACACCATATTCCAGGTCAACAGTCATGGGTATTCATTCGGCGCGTGCATGGTCATAAAGGTGCGTGACGGCGAAAGACGAAAGGAAACATGATACAGAACGCGTACGGGTACACTGCACATCAAGTCAAGAGAAGAAAATATACGAAAAGGCATCCACATCCACTGGCAGGACGACTCGATAGTGCACACATACGCCAAAATCAAAATCTAGGATCATACAAGGCTCGCATTAGGCTCTCTACACTCCTTCAACGCCAGGTTGGCTTCGACCGGAAGCTCGTATCCCCTCCACTCGTGTTTGGATCCACCACCGACGTGTTCCCCACCCCCGCGGAGCGCAACTTCGCCGTGAACGAGTTCACTGGCCGCCCCGCCATCGAGGGCCGCTTCACGCGCTTCGCCGGGCTGCTGATCACCACCCGCCTCGGCCCCACGCTCGCGCTGGGCGGCGACAGCTGAGGGATCATGCTCGAGCGGCGGCGGCCCTTCTCCCTACCTCCAAGACCGATACCCGACCGCCGCCTCCCTGCCGCGCCTCGCGGTGTTGGCGGCGGGCGACGCGGGCTAGCGTGCCCTTTGCCCTTGTTATGCGAAAGCACGGCGGAGAGGGACTCCTCAGGCTGGTTCATGCTGCGGTCGGACAGAGGCTTGCCACGGCGCGGTGTACCAAGCGTCTCGTCGGCCTCGGTAAGACTACCAAGCGCAGGTCCGGCGCCCTTGCGAGCCTTCAGGAAGCTAGGATCAAGGCGACTCGGGCGCTTGCGCCCCGGCGGTCCAGACGTCGACGCATTCAGCAGGTTCGAAGACGACGAGGGAGCCGAAGGTGACGGGCCCGCGAAACTGTTGTCCCCGCGATCCGTCACGTCCTCCCAGTCGCTCTCCGACCCGCCCATAGACATGGACGAGTTACGCCCCGAGGCGGACGCCGTGCTTATGTTCGCTGCGGAGGCAGGTGCGGGACTGGCCGGGATGACGGACAGGTTGAAGTCGGGCGGCGGGTCACGCATCGACATGTCCAGCGAGCCCTGGCCGGCCTCGTCCTTCCATTGCACGTTCTTGCCCTTCGACACCTTGCGCTCGCGCTCGGGCGCACGACGGTACGGCTGAGACGCCAGACTCGTGCGCGTCGACCGGCGCGGGGCGCGGCGGCGAGGAGAACCAGCTTCGTGGCCGTTAGTCTCGTAGAGCGACGCGCGACGCGACGACGACGCATTGTTGTTCTGAGACTGCAAGACCGCAGGCCCCGAGCTGATACGGCGTGTGAACGCAGCCCCATAGCCCTTGAAGTCGCCCAGGCCATACACATCCGGGTTGCGCTGCTCCGATGAGTAGTCCGCCGTCGTATGCCCCACCAAATCCGCAAATGCCTCGTCGTTCTTCTCCTTCAACGTCTCCAACACCCCCGCCACGCGCTTGACCACGCTCTCCATATTCTCTGCGTCGTTCTTGACCGCGTTGTTCAGCGCCCGGCTCGCGTCGCCGATCTTGACCGTGCAGCGGCCGACGATGCCCGCCAGGCCGACCATGAGCTGCGAGATATCGCCCACGGCCTCCTTCAGTACATCCCTCTCCGCCTCGGCCTTCGCCTTCTCCAGCTCCGCGCGATGGCAGCGGGCGTCGAGCTTGACGTTCTCGACGCTGACGTCGTCCAATCGGTCGGAGCGCCGCTCGGAGACGGCTCGCATAGTCGCGTCGAACATCGCACTGGCGTTGGACGACTTGTGTAACCGCGTGTTCCAGTTCGACGTGACGTGGATCGCCTCCTCCTCTGGCTTGGCGAGGGACTGCAGCACCGAGCGCTCGGCGAGTAGGTCTGCAGGCAGAGGAGACGGAGAAGATGCTTCAATGGCAGCAATCTCATCCAACCTGCTCCTGATGGCTGCCAGGCGCGTGCTGGCGACTGCGAGTCTAGCAGAGCAGTGCGCACCATCCACAATGGCGACGTGCGTCTGCTCGTGCTTCGCCTGCATATCACCCTTCGCGCGCTGCACCTCCGCGCTCGCCTCCGCCTTCTTCCTCCGCGTCACGTCATTCTCCGCCGCCTGCTTGCCCGCGAGCTTCTGCTTCAGCTCCGCGATCTCGATGTTCAGGCGGTTGATTGCCTCGACGTACTGCCCGACGTGGCGGTTAACGTTAACGACATTGCGCGTCACAACCTTCGTCTTGATCCGCGTCGCGCGCTCGGCGTAGACCAATGTGTTGTGCGTGTCGTCGAAGTGCTGCGAGGTGGGCGCGACGCAGACGATCATGACCGTCTTGCAGTTGCCGCCGAGGGAGAACTTGAGGAGGCGCGTGAGCTTGCTGTTGCGGTAGGGCACGTGGCGCACGGCGCCGCCGCTCTCGCAGAGGGCGTTGATGCAGTTTCCAAGGGCGAGAAGGGACTTGTTGATGTTGGCGCCCTCGACCATGCGCTGGCCCATGTTGGTCGTAGCCGCAGCACGCTCGCTTCCAGCCAAGTCGATGATAGACAGAGTACCGCAGGTCTTCTGCTCCGTGAGAGATGCGGTGCGAGGCGACTGAGTGACGTGAACTTGAAGAACAGCGTGTGAGCGTGAGCTGGTCTCGTTCGCGTGCGTTGGACTTTGGGTTCGACGGCTGTTGCCCAGAAGCACGATCTCCTTGACATCGTCCGCGGTATTCGGCTTCAGTTCTGTCAGGCCGACTACCTTCACGGACTTGTCCTCGCGTATGGAAAGACCGCCGCGAGGTTGCGCTGCGCCAGGCTCAGCGAGAAGGTCGCGGATCTCTTCGTTGTAAATTTCGAGGAAGGTGACCATGACTTCTACGTTGTAGTCTTCTTTACGCTCCTCAATGCGTTGGAAGAGGTCGGCCATGGTCAAGTAGATGATGCCTGGGTCGCTTTCCGTGCCACTGATCGTGTGCGTCTTGCCGCAACCTGTTGCCTAACCTACTGTCAGAACGCATCCAAATAGATAGATATTCGGACGCACGCCATATGCAAATACGGTAGCATTGTAGCCATCCAACAAGCCCTTGAGCAGGGGGCGCGCAGTCGCATCGTACACATCTTGCTGTCGCGCCTCGTGGTCGAACACGCGGTCGAACATGAAGCGCTTGTCCTTGTACCGCTTCGTGCCAGGGGGCATAAATCCTCTCTCCATAAAGGCCTTCGCGGGATCACGCTCTTGCGGATCGAAGGTAAGGATGCGGTCGTCAATTATCTCGACGATGTGCCGCAGCATGGAGGATGTGGTTGCGCGGCCCGGGGTCGAAAGGGCACCATCGCCGCGGATGGTCGTATCATAAGAGGGTTCCGGCAGTCTCTGCGCCTCCCATGCTGTCGGTGGTCTTACGCGGACTGGGCGAGGGATCGTTAGCGACGTTGACTACGACGATTGCGACCGCCACGCACCGGCCACCGTTATAGATCCTGCGGCGACCATGGCGGGATATGATACAGTCCAGAGTCCAGTATAGACAGAGCTGATATGGTCCTCGGCGTCGCGCGGGCGTCGTCGAAGAGCGTCGGGGTCGGCGGCCTGATGTTGGTCGTCGTTGACAAGATGAACTCGCAAGCCCGCGTCCTACACGTGATCGCGCCTCGCGTGACGTTCTCACGTGTGACTCAAGTTGAACTTGCGTCTGACCCCGAGTCTTGTTGGGTTTCTTTCGTTATATGACCACGGCTAACATCGATGAGAGCCGCGCCTGTCTTTTGAACTCCAGAGGGGCGTGACTATCCAGATACTGAAAGGGGCTAGCACTTTGTGGGTCCAGTCGGCGTTTGCCGGGAGGATTTGCGTTGGATTTGCTATTGCCGCGCGTCTTGGCTCCGTTCTGTGCATCTACTCGAGACGCCACAATTTTGACCCCCTACAGTCCAAGCATGGCGGCTAACCAAGTGGGAATGCGTCGAGATGACTCCAAGAGACCTCACGCGTACCTTCCGGGGCTCAATTTACCAGCCAATTTCGCTCTCCCTGACCTTGAGTTAGTCAGGTCTGAGGCTGACATCGGTAGGCGTCGTCGTCAAATGTCACCGCATTTGCCTTCCAGTTTATTTATCTTACTCTACCCAGCCCTCGACGAAATTCGCAGTCCAAGCAAGGAGGAAACAATCACAGTCGTCAAGCCTGGTCTTGGACCAATGATAATCAATCATGCGCTCTCGAGGAGCGTACAGTACCCAAACCTCTTCAGGTTTGCAATGTACTGCGCCGTTGACGAAGGTCGGAACCATTTCTTCAAATATATTGACAGCACTGAGGTGAATGTATACAGTGCCGAACGACATTCTCCCACAATGCATCTGGGCCTGCGAGTTCCACATTCGCGCTCTGGAGACTTCCACAGTCGACCAACTGAAACACACGGGTGCCCTGCTGCCACATCCGAGCGCAAACGTCCAATATACGCTGGTAAGCTCTGGCTCGTCATTCCGAATGTCAAACGGTCCCTAAACCGTGCTACTAGCTGCAAACACTCCGTATTAAAATGACAGAATATTGTCTGTAAGTGAAATTGCGCTGGCCGATAACATGGATTGTTCACATTCACCCCTCTGTAACAGACTACCCCAAATAGACAAGCCCATGGAGGCGCTCCGTCACTATCATACCTTCATGAAGACGAATGAAGAGCAGCGAGGCGTCACGGACCCTTGGAAGGGTAACATGTCAGCACTTTGTTCATCTCACACAAAACCTCGTTCACTGACATCGTTCCGTTGCTCGCTCGTAGGCGAGGCTTGCAGGACTACGCCATCGTTCTCGCGCGCTCCCGCACCAACGATACAGAGGCGAAGAAGTTGCTCAGCAAGACGACCAACACCGGTTCAGGCCTCGAGCTGCGCCACATCGTCGTCGGCAAGATCTACCTCGCACGCGTTCTTCGCCGCCTGGGCGAGATCAAGAACGCAGAGACTATGTGAGCGACGGCCACTGAACCTGCCCAAATATATCCCTATGCACTTTCACCAATGATACGCGCGGATACTGACACCACCGCAACTGCAGGGAAAAATGGCTCATCAATTGGTTCAAGAAGAACCCAAACCGCATCAACGACAACATCCTCGTCCAACTGTTCACCACGGACATCGACCCCAAAACGGACCCGGTCCTCTTGGGTCTGGGCGGCTCGGGGTGGCTGGAGGAGCGCAGGGCGACGCTGAGGTCAGAGCATCGTATCGCAAGGATTTGCCGGAATTGTGGGAAGAAGTGAGTGGGTTGTATCTCCAATAAGCGGTTGGTTCTCCGATTGGCAACTCGTATACTGACGAGGGACGTTATAGGGAGCCGGAGGTTAAGCTCATGCAGTGCTCGCGGTGCAAGCATATCTATTACTGGTGAACTGTCAGGCTGATAGGTAGCAGGCGATTGTACTGACCGAAGCACAGCTCCCGCGAATGTCAGAAGATCAACCACCCGTATCACAAGTAAGTCGCTCAATTCACTCAGGGAACTCCACTCACTAGTTCTCACCCCCTAGGGAGCAATGCAAGTAAGACCACCCTCTATTTCCTCTCGGGCTTCCCTCTCACGCCAACCCACCCTACCTCCAGAGAAGCCGCCGCCCAACTCGCCCACATCGCCAAACTCAAAGAATCCGGGCAAACCGCCGAAGCCCGCCGCGCCGCCCAATGGCAAGAATTCCGCACCCTCCCCGCCCTCCCCGCGAACACCACCCTCCTCGCGCACGCACTCTCCCTCAAACGCGACCCCGCCCGCTCACGCACGCACATCGTCGTCAAGGTCGTCCAGCACCAGCCGCACGCCACGCACGCGCACGACCACTTTCGCTTCACGCACGTCGGCGTGTTCAAGCTCGACGACATCTACCCCGAGATCGAGGGCATCATGGGGCTGAATAAGGGCGAGGGGAGGGTGTATATTCGGGAGATGCTGGAGGAGTTCGACGCGGGGCCGGGAAGGGAGAACAAGAAGGAGGGGGCGAATGTGCGCTACCCGATATTCGATCTGGCGTTCTCGCCGGATCCGGGGCATGTGCAGGCGTATCTGTCGTATGGTGGATTGTGTGCTGGTTTTGGGAGCGAGAACTGGGCGCTGAGACATTACTGCAGGTGGGATGGACCATAACGCGATTATGCGGAACCCGTACGACCCGGACTGGAGGAAGAAGATGAACAGGGCCGGACCCCCTCCCGAGCCAGTTCGGTTCGTTCGCAAGAACATCAAGGACTCAGAGCATATCTTTGACTGAGGACGATAACCCCTGAAAGAATGGCGTACCACCTAGCAATAGCGAACCTGGCTTGGACAGGGTTACGAGACGATGAGATCTTGCTGCGAATGTATCCATCGAAAAAGAACAAGACACCTTCAGTAGTACTACATTATACATTGCATGAATTACCCTGCCATCTGCACGTCCTCGTCGCCCGTTGTCTGCGGCGCCGCGGCTGGCGCGGCGTGTCCGGGCGTCTCCTTCGGAATCATCGTCTTCAAGAATGGGTCAACCTTCTCGTTCTCAAGGATCCTGAACGTCAGCTTCGCGTGGACCTCATTCTCGCTCGGCGCGCCGATGATGCCGATTGAGGTGTTATTCACGTTGAGCTCCTTGTCCTGCTGCAATGTCTCGCGCAGGGCATGCAGACCGTGGCGGATGAGGTCGTCGAGGGATGCTAGTGGGGAAGTATGCGATTAGATAAAATATTTGTGGCAAGTAGAGAAGATGGATCGCACCATCCGCGAAGCTCTCGTAGTGCTTCTCGAGGTATGTTTTCGCGCTTTGGCTGCGCGCGCCGATTGACATGGCGTAGTATTCGTAGGAGTTGCCAGAGGGAGAGAATTCGTAGAGATGCGGGCCGGACTCATCCTGGCCGATGACAAGGAAACCAACACCATATGGACGTCTGCCATATTCTTGCGTGTTCACCTGGGCCTCTGGGGAACAGAAGTATGAGCGATTGCCTGTTATTCTTATATGGTGTAGTAACGCACTGTCTGCAATGGACGACACGAGACGGTTAACAGGAACAGGGCGGTTGAAGACCATGCGCGACCCCATGGCTTGCTGGCGCATAAAGTTGCTATACAAGCGATCAGCAAAGAAGCCAATCCATCGCAGGAGCCACACACGCACCTAAGAACACGCGCATCGGACGTCAGTCCTGCGATCGCAATCCCAACATGATCATCTATTCGGAACATCTTCTGCTGGTACGAAGCCAGCTCGCCCGTTGAACGCTATAACCTTGCTGAGCATCACATCGAGCGTGTCCGTTTCATATTGCACACCTTCAAGGCCAACAAGATAGCATGAGTCTTTGAGCGCAGCCCCACGGCAGCAGATCCCTGCTTTACGGCCTCGAGCGCGTACTCGACCTGGTGCAAGCGCCCCTGGGGCGAGAAAACCGTGTTATCCGAGTCGTATGTGTTGCGGAACTGCGCGGGGGTCGCGTAAGTGTCTTATCATCGCCAAACACACGAGCAGGACGCCGACCATGGTGAGCGTAAAGGACGAGGACCTGCAGGTGACGCGTCTAACACATCCACGCGTCTCTGCGTGCCCGATGGGGATGATCCCAACATCGGCCCGGCCGGGGCGTGGGAAATCGCCGCGCAGCTATCGCGTGCAAGAGTCGCGCGGTAGTGCAAGGTAGTGCACCACTGCTGCTATATTCCGCGGTGATGCTGGAGTGTGCTTGCTCAATAATTCATTACAATCCATCAGGATATTTCAGCAATTCCCTGCATGAAGGTCATAACAGAATAGAGCGTATTTATTAGTTGGCATATTTATCGACTTCTTCACTTAAAAATGCAGCTCCACTTCATGAAGCGGGTAATGCAGAACTTGCGAGGGATCATGAACATCTTCGTGGGGCAAGTTGGAAAATGAGGAACATCACCCGTATTCGAACTCTGGCGTGAACATGTGATGGCCTCGTGCGCGCTCAGTAGGAGGGCGGTCTCGTCGATATCCTTGCCGTTCTGACTGACATCAAGGCATGCGTGCAGGATGTTCGAAAGGGACTGTCCAGGCGCACACGCATGAGGGAGAGAATCGGCAGGATACTGACATGCACGTTGGCGCCGAATGCTGCTGGAGACTCGTCGAATTGAAGACTCTCTGCCTCTTTACATTTTGTTGTCTCCATCTTTCACTTGATGTACGCTTTGTGATGATTTTTCGTTTGTGCTTTCGTTAAGGAAGTCTCTGATAATTATCGAAACTGATACGCTCTAATATCTGTCTCCATAGATGCTTTGAGCACCGAAGAACTTTTCAAGCTTGCTTCGCATACCTCCCACTCTAACTAAATCCCTGACGACATCTTATCCGACAGAGGGAGCGAACCGCCGAGGAGCAAGGCCGGCGCTCTAGCTATTCAAGTTGCGACGTCGAAGGAGCTTGCACAGCGGATGGCGGATGTGACAACGAAGGCAACCGAGAGGTACGATAAGGCAATAGACTGCTTCATCTGCCACGAGAACGGGTCGACGGCCCTGGTACCCAACCGCGGGTGTCCGCTTCGAGTTTGATCCAAAGAACGAAGTGGATTAGTGAATACGCTAGTGTCAATATATGACATGTACCAAAAGGCGAGGGACGTGGAGGGTGAGGAAAACAAAGGCAGAAGCCGCGGCGACAGAGACTCGCGGCGCGCTACCGACGTGGTCGAGGAAAGGAGAGCCTCGAACACGTGCGTATCACGCTCTCTTCGTACGTAGACCTATTCTGGGAAACCGCTTGTGCCTTGCTATATCCCAGATTCCCAAGCCTTTCACAAATTACTGAGCAAACACACTCTACTGCTCGTTATGCCATGGACTGTTGAGTGTATTGCAATGTTGCTACTCTTCATTTTTGAGGTTATCTTATGCCATACAACGGAGTTAAGCTTGTTGCCTCAAATGTGCCGCCAGGTCAGATCAATCATTTGGTGTCTATATACACTAGAGGGTCGAGGTGAAAGCAAGGAACACCATGGATGATGCATTCCTGCGCTGGAGTCAGTATGCACGACGGTAAGCTTGTCGCCGCGTCCCTTTTACATAAATTGTAGTACTGCGCGTGAGCCGCGCACTCTCGCCCCCACTGCACTCCTGCGCTCGAACTGCGCGAGCGCCGCGCGCCTTCGCGTTCAGCCTCACACCTTACTTGATTGTCTGCCCTGTCCTAACAAGGGCAAGGCGGATGACAGGGTTGCGTTCAGCAAGGTCTCGCGCCGACGTGGTTTCAGTGAACTGTCCATCATGGTGCTTAAGTATCAGCTCGTCAGAAAGACATTGGATGGGTCGAACGGGCAATTACAGGCTCACGTGTGGCATATGTGGGATTTTTAGTGTTACAGTGTGTTTACGAAGGACAGAGAGACGTCGCTTAGCTGGCACAGTAGTCGCAGTTACCTTGGAAGCGAAGGGACGACGACGATTCAAGATTTCGATTCACATTCCTCGAGTGCATTAGGCAGCGCCAGTGATGAGAAGTCCAAGGAACTTGATTCGTGAGCATAGGACGAGCTGAAGATGTTATATCGTCGACGCGGCATGGTGAGAGACTCAAGAGATCGGCGCGGCAGCTCCGCGGCACTCGCAGCACTTCCGAGGCACGTGCGCGGTCATTTCACAGGACCCGGCCCGGCCGAGCCGCCGGGCTATTGTGGCGAAGTGGAGGTGCTGTAACTTGTTCTTGATTTCTAGTTGCGAAGTCGGCGTCGCGCGCAAGAATGGTGATGCTGGAGACTCGCTCACGACCTTTGCTACGGGATACATCGCGCGCGTTCTGCTTTTCTGTGCGATGGATCCGGACGCAGCCGATGCGGGATCATGTTCCCCCACGTCGCCCGCGGCGTACAGCGCAGGGTGCACTGGATGCGAGGATGGCAACGCCGAGGGAGGTGTGTGAACATGTCATTCAACTTGCGCGGGCTCATTTCCGACCATAGCTCACCCACTATCTGGATCAATTCATTATAGGCCAGGAGAACGCGAAGAAGGTACTCTCAGTCGGGTACGTTAGTGTTCCCTTTCCCCTCCGTATCGCTTCTGAACGGTCACAAAGAGTCTTCAACCACTACAATCGCGTTCAGGCCAATGCATCTTACCGCGAAGCGCAAGAAGACGCACGGCGGGAGTACGAAGAGAGCGCACGAACCATCTACGATCACGAACGTACGTCCCCTCGCCCCCCCTCTTCCTATCCGCTTCGCTAACCATCTCAGCTCCCTCAGCTCCACCCGGTGTCTCCTCCGCCAACGTCCAACCTATGCGACGAAGCAAACCTCCCCACCTGACCTTGCACGCGGACGCGATCCCATACCCATACTACGAGAAGAGCAACGTGTTGATGATGTGCGTCGTGGTACACTCATCCGCACCGGTCTGGACTGATGAGCTCGCTAGCGGTCCAACAGGGTCTGGTAGGCGCACGCTTCTCCGACCTGCACTCACGGCTGAGTGAGCATAGGGAAGACGGCGTTAGCGAAGACCCTTGCCCGTACGCTGGATGTACCGTTCGCTGTTAGCGATGCAACCGCGTTTACACAAGCAGGCTGTACGTAAAGCCTGAACTTTGCTAGTTTTTCCGTACTCACGCGTCCCACAGACGTTGGCGAAGACGTTGAGATGGCCATTCACCGACTGGTGAGGTAGCAGACGAATGGCACTCGCACATCACTCATCCACCCTCTCTCAGCTACAAGCAGCGAACTGGAATCCGGAGCGCGCAGAGTAAGCCTCGCTCCCTCTCTTTCTCCTCTCTTCCTTCTCTTTCCCCTCTCTTTCCTCTCTTTTCCCTCTCTTTCCCCTCCCTCCCCTCCTACCCTCTCCCCTCCTATCCCCCTCCATCTCCCTCTCCCTTTGCCTCCCCCCACTCACCCCCACCCAGACAAGGCATCGTCTTCATCGACGAAATCGACAAGATCGCGCGCAAGTCCGGTTCCGGCGGCACCGACAGCACGCGCGACGTCGGAGGCGAGGGCGTCCAGCAAGCGTTGTTGCGTATGCTCGAGGGGTCTATCGTCACTGTGCAGGCGAAGGGCGCGGTGCAGAGTGATTACTCGTCTTCGTCGACGGGAAAGGACTCGGCGGAGGGCGCGCGGGGGAGGCTTTCGGCGGGTGAGTACTACACCGATACTCGAAGGAGGACACGACACTTTGAGGCGGACACGACACTTTGAGGCGGGCACGACACTTTGAGGCGGACACAATTACTGATACCTCACTCATCCCACCAGCGAAGAACGACATCTTCCAGATCGACACGTCGAATATCTTGTTCATCATGTCCGGTGCGTTCGAGGGGTTGGACAAGGTCATTGAGAAGAGGATAGCGAAGGGGGTGGGTTATTCGAGTTTCCACCGCGCGAGCTCATGCTAACGCGGCTATTCTCTGATACTCAGTCTATCGGCTTCACAGCCACCCTGACGCGTGAATCGAAGAACAACTGGCCGTTCTTTTCTCCGAACTCGCAGAACATCCTTGAGCAGGTTGAGATCAGCGGTATGTTCCTTGTCATTTCACGCCCGCTCCCCTCAACTTACTGTAACGGACCCCTCTCCCTTCCAACTTACTACCCCCTTCACTAATGCACCCGTCCCCTCTTCCTCCTCTGCATCACCTGTTAACTCACCCCACCCTCCAGACCTCCTCGCCTACGGCCTCATCCCCGAATTCGTCAACCGCCTCCCCTCCATCACCGCCCTCGCCCCGCTCACCATCCCCGACCTGCGCCGGATCCTCACCGAGGTCAAGGGGTCGCTCTTGTCGCAGTACACGAGCTTGTTCGGGTACTGGAGCGTCGAGATTCGGTTCACGGGGGACGCGATCGATGCGATTTGCCGGAGGGCGTATGAGAGGGGCGGGGGTGCGCGGGGGCTGAGGGGGATTATGGTGAGTGGGTGAGGAGGGGAGAGGCGAAGGAGGGAGGTGCTGATGTATTTGTGTAGGAGTCGGTCTTGTTGGAGCCGATGTATGAAGTACCGTGAGTAGCACGGTTGTTTTTCCATCGCATCTACTCACACATAAATTGCTGCGTGTAGAGGATCTGTACGAACTATTTCTTCAGCTTGACCTCGACGCCCTTCGCTCACTGACCACTCAATAGGACGTCGCCTTCGTGCTCATCACAGAGGGCAAGGTCAAGGGCGTCGAGCCCGCACGGTACTGGAAGCGAGGCGAGGGGAACGAGTTCTGGCACGAGTTCGCGAACTTGGAGCAGGCATATAGGTCACGGATGGGGCGGAGGACATGAGGCGGCTTCTCAAGCTACTTGCCACCTGGGAAACCGTCACGCCTGGAGGTTGAGTTGTATGGCTCCCACGAGTGCTGGGAGCAGTGTTTGTGCTGGCCAATTATCACGAGCAGCTAGCACTTCAATGTGGCACGCCTGCAGATGCCTCCTACCTCGTCGGAGATTGAGGCCTTGTAGCACGTTGTGTTGTACCATCATTAATGAAACTTCATGAGAGGAAGAGGAGCGTCAGGTGGTTGTGATTCAGTTGTCTCATCGGTCGTAACCGGGGACCAGGGAAGGCATACAATAAAGCAATGGACAGCAAAGCGACGATGTGGCACTACTCAGAGCGCGTTTTCAGCTGTGCGCGCATTCAGACTTTGCGGATACAAGAAGTAGGAGCACGCACCTGCAAACCATGAATGCCCTCAATCTCCTTCTTGAGGGCCTCGTTCACGAGCTTGTGCTGCTTGACGAGGGGGAGGCCCTTAAATGCAGGACTTGCAATCTCGATGTTGTAGAATGCCCCACAGCCACCTTGCCGTCATTCAATTCTGCCCCTTAGATATGAGGATTGGAACACGTACCGGAGGTGTCCTGCACCGCCAAATGTGTGGGGGAGAACCGCTCCTTCAACTTGTCGGCGATGATCTGCTCTCCTTCGCTTAGCCTCGGCCCCGTTGTTGTTTGCCAGCGCAGGGCCTGCAGTGTTGGCGCACGCAGCAGCTGTGTCGGCTGCGCGAGTCGTCGTCGGGCAATGGAGAGCATGGTGGTCGTGGATAACCCAGTACGGCAACGCGCGCTTGAGCGCGCTGACGAAGGGCGTGCGGCGCGCCGGGCCGGTGACCCGTAAGCGCGGAAATGCGGCGTCCTGATTGGATCGGCACGCACTCGACGAGTCCATCGCGGGGCGGTCGAGGCTCATAAACCGCGGTCCTCATCTCCAGCTTGACCTCTACACCCACCTTCCCATACTCGACAGCCCTTGTGCGAGTCCGAGATGTTGCTCGCCGCCCTCCGCGCGCCGTGTCGTGCGCAGGGAGCACAGGTCACCCGCACTTTCGCACGCGCATTTGGGAGCCGTTCGCCAGCTGTCGCGCGCCCTGCGTCGCGCGTCCTCAGCCAGGTGCGATGGCCGGGTACGCTGCGGCAACAGCTCGCAGTCGCACCCAGTGCTGGCCGCTTCTACGCTGTCGCGGTCAACACCCCTCCTCCATCAGAGGCACAGCAAGTACCTCCCGTCGCAGAGGCAGAAGCACCCCCGAAGGTCGATGAAGCAGTCCCGCAACTGGTTCCAAAGTCTGTTGGCATTTGGCTCATGTCCTGCTCCGTCTTGGTCCTCCTCATCGTCGTAGTCGGTGGCGTAACTCGCCTCACCGAGTCCGGTCTCAGCATTGTCGAATGGCGCCCCGTCACTGGTATCATCCCTCCTCGGAATGCGGCCGAATGGGAAGAGGAGTTCAACAAGTACAAGGAGTCACCCGAGTTCAAGCTGTGAGTACCTTGCCCATTCTCATCGATATCCTCACTGATCGACCTGCTAGGCTTAACCACCACTTCACGGTCTCCGAGTTCAAGAAGATCTTCTACATGGAATGGGGCCACCGCATCCTCGGTCGCCTCCTCGGTGTCTATTTCCTTGTCCCCTTCGCATACTTTGCTGCCCGCGGCCGCCTCGACAAGCGCACACTCTACAAGTGCCTTGCCATGGGCGGCCTCATTGGCGCGCAGGGTGCAATGGGCTGGTACATGGTTAAATCGGGCCTCGAGGACTCTATCATCCAGGAGAACGGCGTCCCCCGCGTGTCGCACTACCGTCTGACGAGCCACCTCGCGCTGGCATTCGCGTTGTACGCTGGGATGTTCTACGAGGGCATGGCGATCATCAAGGACTGGAAGTATGCGCACGGCAAGCCGTGGAGTGGACTGAAGGACGGGACTACGGTGGAGGAGTGCTTGAAGCGTCCGGCTGTGCGTAGCTTCTTGCGGCAGGCTCGGTGGGCCACTGGCCTTGTCTTCATCACTGCACTGTCGGGTGCCCTCGTTGCTGGCTTGGACGCGGGCCTGCTCTACAACGAGTGGCCGTATATGGGCAATGGCTTCATGCCGCCGAAGGAGGAGCTCCTTGACACCAGGTACTCGAAAACGGCCGATCGCTCCGACCTTTGGTGGCGAAGCATCCTCGAGAACCCGGTCACGGTCCAATTTGACCACCGCACCATGGTAAGCGGCTCAATCTCATCCTTCGCTCTCTGCTGACATCATCACAGGCCTACATCTCGTACTCCATGGTGACCGCCCTCGCCGCACAGGCCCTCTACCGCCCCGGCTGGAAGGCCGCGCTGCCCCGCGCCGCCACCATCTCTATCCTCGCCGGCTGGGTTGCTGTGAACGTGCAGGTCCTTCTCGGCATCACCACGCTCCTCTACATGGTCCCCACCTCAACGGCCTCGCAGCACCAGCTGAATAGCATGGTCCTGATGAGCGCGATGTTCCACACGCTGCTCTCGTTGCGGAGGCCGAGTGCGGCGGCTCGGGCATGGCGTGCGGCGGCGGCTAAGGCTGCCAGGAAGTAATGGCATCGACGAAGTAGTTCGTCGGCGTCTGCTTGTACTGATACATAAGCATCTACTTAGCTATCCACCACTCACCTAATGACTATCTTTCTGCATGGGACCTTGACAATGCGTGCCTCACATATTGAGAGCTGCTGCAATCCCGAACGTCAGGTCTCCAGGCCAGCGCACTGTATCAGTGCTTACATGATTGGATGGTTGATGGCATTGTGGGTCCATTGTTCGGCGTTTGCCGCAGCTCTTCTCTTCCAACCACATCCCAACTCCTCGACGCGTCTGAACCTGTACAATGGCTGTAGTTGTCCACTGCCAGAACTCGTATATGCCGCGCTGCTCCATGAAAGATCTTGTCCTGCCTCCCAACTTCACGCTGCCCAGTCTCTCGCTCGTCAGGGAGCAAGCCGAACAAGGTGAGGGGTCCTGCTCAGGTGAAGAAAGTCCGGCTTTAGTGGAAATGGGAATACGATATGCCACTCCGTGGGACATCTTTGAGATATACTGACCCGATTGCTTTTCTAGCTCAAAAAGATATGCGCGACGCTCGCGATCCTTTATCCCCAGACTTTGTGGACGTACCTTCAGGGATCATGCGAGTCCGCCATGCTTTGTACCTCGCACGACAGTTCTTGCACCTCTTCAAATTTGCCGTATACTGCCATATAGATGATAGTACGCATTGGAGTTAACAGTTATGGTCTAAAAGGACGTCGCTCACTTATTCGGTTCCCACACCCAGTTCCCGACGATCTCTTGCCCGAGTGCATCTGGGCATGCGAACGCTTTGTTGATGCTATCAATATGTCTACGCTGGAGGGTGTCCAGGTTATGACTCCAGAGTTGCTGCCAACGGGCAGTACAGACCAAGCCGGTATGAAGGTGCCAGGTCCTGATCTGCGCTACCTTCTCGTGAGTACCGGCTCGTGCCATATGCAATTATCCCTTCTGACCGTATACTTTAGGTCCAAAATACGCGCGAGAAGGCCCTTTGGATGTATTTGTGAGCGGCGCCGTGACGCATCTCGCCGATTTTGCGTATTGACAGCCCTCGACAGGCAGCCAGAAGTGGACAAACCCGTCGAAAGTATCCGACTCTACAACGCGATGCATAAAACGAACGAGGAGATCCACAAGATGACTCTGGAGGACCACCTGGCAGTCCCGTGAGTGCCTTTGGAACGAGCCTAGCCAACTCAGCGCTGACGACGGCCCCAGGGGGGCGCTGTACGCATATGCCACCGCCCTCGCTCGGGCGCGCACTGATGACGGCGAGGCGAAGAAGTTGCTCCTCAGAGCCGCCAGCCCCGCATCTGGCTTGGACGTGAGATACACGGCGCAGTGTAAAGCATATCTCGCGCGAGTTCTGCGGCGGCTGGGAGAGGTAGAGGAGGCAAAGAAGCTGTGCGTGGCAGTCCTTTCTCATCTGCCGGTCCCGCTAGTGAACTCAACGCTGACACAGGGAGAAGTGGTGCATCAATTGGTTCAAGAAGAACCCTTTCGGGGTGGACGACAGGACACTGATAACCATGTTCACGACGGACCTGGATCCACGAACCGACCCTGTTTTACTGGGTCTTGGTGGCAGCAAATGGCTCGAAGGTCGCAAGCAGACTCTCAAGACGCAGGACCGCCTCGGTCGGCTTTGTCGCAACTGCAATAAAAGGTATGTATAGAACGACTGGAGAAACTGCGCGCCCTGATCAATGTCCTTAGAGAACCGCAGGTCAAGCTCATGCAATGTTCCCGCTGCAAGCACATGTACTATTGGTGGGTGTCGACGCCCTGCTTTCAAAAGTCAGAGTCCCTCATCTGCGCTCCCAGCTCTCGAGAATGCCAAGTCGCAAATCACAAATATCATAAGTGAGTCGCAAATAGATGATGCCGAGTCCTTCTCACCACAGCACAGGGACTTCTGCAAGTAAGGAACCCCAGACGTTCTTCCCCCCTTTCGGTGACTGACGACGATGACGGCCATTCAGAGACATGGCCAACAGTATGGCACGCGCCGCCGAGCTCAAGGCCTCCGGAAAGACAGAAGATGCACGTCGCGCTGAAAGATGGACAGAATTCCAGAAACTCAATGGCCACCCCGCCGATACCACACTGCTCGTCAGTGCGCTTGGATTGCACCGCGATCTGAGCCGCTCCCGCACGCACATAGTTATCCGCGCCGTCGAACACCAGCCGCGTGCCAAGCATCCGTTCGACTACTTCAGGTTCACCTACGTCGGCGTCTTCAAAATGGAGGACGTCTATCCGGAAATTGAGGGTGCCATGGCCTTGAGACCGGGGGAAGGGAGGCAGTGGATCGGGGAAATGCTCGAAGAATTCGACGCTACACAGACGGGGACCAAATCGTTCTTCCCGATATTCCACTTGTCGTTCTCGCCAGATCGCGAACACGTCCCGGCATGGTTAGCTCATGGTGAGTCGCGCGAACTTTGTTGCCTTAGGCGGGAGACGGGCTCAACGGTCGATAGGTGGCATGTCCAAAGGGGCCCTCGATACACTGCCTTACGACCCTTATTGGCGCCAGAAGATCAACAGATTGGGCAGCCCCCCTAAGCAAATTGCCCCTCTATTCGTGAGGAAGGGCATTCAGGACGCAGAACACATATTTTAGGGTTCCTTGCAATTGGTGCGTACATGCTATTTCTGCAGTTACAACTTGACGATAGATTGTCGGCCTTTCAGGGTGGAAACAGACGCTCAAGAGTTTTCTTGCTACTTCGTGGGATCGGTGCCGTGTACGAGGGCTCCGGGGTTATGCCAGACCCGGTGGCCTGTGGGAGCTCAGTTGCGATCTTGGGAGCATACAGGAAACGGCGTACCAGTCTGCGTGTCGTATAATACCTTGGGCGGGTTCTTCGCACCAACCTCGTCGGTCTGCTCCTTCGTCGTAAGGAGATCGACCACCTCGCCATACTGGCGCCCGCCGTGCGACTTCATAGCGACCGTGTCACCGACGTTGATGGGCTCGCCGTGCTTGTCCTCAATCTTGGAATCAGATGCGGGCATGGTGGCTGCTGGATTGGGTGACTACTGAAGTATATGTTTCGTTGAGGGGCGAAGCTGAGCGCGTTTTTCTCTATGGTAGAGGTTTATACCCTGAACGTCTCTGAAACTCGATCTTTCACTAGACTGCACGTCATGACGGATGTCTGACATAGACGTCAACGATGTCGCTCCGCTGGAGATGGCGATGTCCCCGTAACGACGGAGGTTGGACGAGTTCAATCGTTGAGTGGAAGTTCAAAAAGGCAAAGTATGCCAGTCGCATTCGTGATACATTGTCTATGATAGAACACTTCGTTATACACACATTCGCAGTTGTACATCGTCCTTAGATTCGGACAACAATGAACGGAACCTTAACGGAGCGTGAGCTTCACCCGAAGCGGAAGTGCGGATTCAAACTTACCTCGACATCCTCGCCCTCCTCATCAGAAGCCATGACCTCGACGACGAGCGTCTTAGTATGCGGCGGCAAAGGCTTCTTGCTCACATGCTCGACCAGCTTGCTGAATTGCATCGGGAGACGCTCTTCGCTCTGTTGCCTTGTTAGCCCGCAATCGAACACGCGACAATGATCACTAACCTTCTTCTTGCCCACGAACGAGCTCCACAACATGCTCACACCCTGGCTGACCATGGAGATCTCGAGGTTGTGCTCCTTCTGGAACCAGTCGATCATCTCCTTGAGCGTCGGGTTCTGGAACTCAAAGCGGTCCCAAAGCGTCCACTCAGTGTTGCCGTACTTCTTCTTCGGCGCCGCGATGGGCTCAGAGAAGCCGAAGAAGGGCAAGGCGAGGTTGACGAAACCGTTCTTGTACGCCTCGAGCTTCCGCTTGCCATCAATGATCTACAAGCGACCGTTCAGCAACATCACATATGCCGAGTCACACGACACGCACCTTGTACAGCTCCAAGCAGACCAAGCCCGTCACGAGCGATGTCGTGGTCGCGATGGCAGGGATAATCTTGCCCGCAATTTGCTTCGTGGTATGGCGATCAGCGGGCTGGATGCTGTAGTTGGTGGCACGAAGGTTGGACGCCGCCGTGATGAAGTCGATGTGGTGGTTGGTGTCATCATCCTTCTCGAACTCGACGGGCGACAGGCGGTAGCCAGCGAGCGACGAGGGCGGCGGCAGTTGCTGGGTGAGCTCGGACAGCGAGTCGGCTGTATTGGTGAATTCAGTACATGCAGTAACGTCAGAGAGAAGCAACTCACGATCGGCTGCACCACCCTCTGCTTGCGGAGGCGGCTCGTTCTCGCTGACCTGGACCTTTACACCGCTCTTGGGCGTGAACTCCGGGACAATGACGGACTCCGCCACCTTGCGGAAGAGGTTGGGGTCAGTCTCGCCACGCAGGCCGTAGTTGTATGCGTGAAGGTTAGCCGCGGAGATGATGAACTCCATGTGAAGAGGCTGGGCGGACAGAGGTCAGAACTTTCTGCTCTTCGTGGGAAATCAATGCACCACACGTACGTTGGTCGCGTCGAACACCAGAGGGTCCGGCGCTCGCTTGGGACCACTCCAGAAGGGCTGCCCAGAGCTCGTCACGGCGTCCTTCGGCAAGCTGTACAAGAGTTGCTTGATCTCGTTTGCAAACTTCTCCTCGAACTGCAGGCGCGCCCAGACGATGCACTCTTCGAAGGTGAGAGGCTTGTTCGTCACGAGGTACGACAAGAGCTGCTCGACCTGCTCCTTCTGCTGGCCGGAGTACTTGAGGGTGCTCTCGAGATAGTTCGGCTCAGACAGGTAGGAGTTGACAGCTTGGGGCGGCTTGACGAAGAAGTCGTCGAAGAGGGAGCGACTCCACTGGAGCATCGTCGGCATTTGAAAATCAGATTAACGAGCAGAACGTACCTCAATTGTATGATTGATGGCGTTCGGGAAGTTCTTGACCGTGCAAGTCGGCGTCTCCTTCTCTGGCGGGTCCTGGGAGGACGCATAGGACTCCGTGAGGTCAGGGATAACGACCTGGGTGTTGCCCTTGGTCCCGAGGGTTCCGGACTCCAGAAGGGGCTTCCGGTAGAAGACACAACGCTGGTCCATGTATAGACCTTAAAATGCGTCAGCCTCACCTTTCAAAGCAATGAGCCAAGCTTTACTTACGAGCCTTGACATTGTCCAGAGCGTTCGTAACGCCGTCGATGTTCGCAAAGAAGTCCTCGTCGTAGATCTCTGCAAAGACGTTTAGCGGAGGCACTCAATCTCAACTGGAGAGCGCACCCTCTGTCGTCGGGCCCACCGGCTCCTGTTTGGACAGGATTTTGCCCTTCAAGTCAGGGTTCATATCCGAGACCGCTTCAGCCGCAACCTCCGCTTTGAACTTGCCCAAGTCCTTCGGCCTGAACAAGAACTGTCGGTTCAGGTTGCTCTTCTCGATCGTATCCAAGTCCGTGACATGGATGATGCCCTTCGGACCCGACGCAAGTCCCAGCATGCTCCAATTCTTCAGCATCTCGCATCCAATGGCACCAGAGCCGACGAGGAACTGGCGGTGGTTGGCAATCTTGTCCTGGAAGGCCTTGCCGAAGACGCCAATCTGACCGTCGTAGCGGGTGCCGAGGGGCTGGCAGTCAGCCTCGGTTGGCATCTGGTCCGGCAGGGACTCGAGTGAGTCGAAGTACATGTGCTGCACCATCGGGTGGAACTTGGCAGAGCAGGCCTTCAGGACCTCCTGAGCGACGAAACCACCAATGACGGCGTTCAAGGGCGAGAGGTCGCCGACGGCCTCGTACGCCAACTCGCTGATGATCTTCTCGTCCGCCTCAGGGTCAATCTTCTTGGCAAGAGCGACAACAGCCTGGGCATCCTCGGGGTTGCGAGGGCGCGGCAGACGGTTGTGCTGGTCGCGGAAGGCAGAGAGAGCCTGGAAACCGGCATGAAGAATGGGAGGGCGGTCGAACTTGGCGAAGTCGGTGAAGAAGAACTCGGGGGACTTCAATGACTCGCGCAGGGATTTCTGGATAAATAGGTCAATGACGAACTCTTAGTTTGGATAGTAGGACGTACGAATTCGATGATCTTCGGCATCTTGACCTGTGTGAAGATACCACCACGAACGTACTCCGACAAGTTGCTAGTGTCGCCAATAGAGAAGGTGTAGGGCCCCTTAACAGTGACCTTGCGAGGCTCGCAACCGTTGAGCTCGGTCATGCCCTGCACTTCGGAGAACGTAACGAAGTCGCCGTCTTGCAAGCCATGTCGCGTTTCCTCGAGGCAAGTCACAATACCCTCCTTGTCCTACAGTGGCGAGCTGAGCATATTTACGTTCGATGCTATGCCAACGACGTACCTTGTCCACGGAAGCGATCATCCCTGTTAGAGGCTGCTCGCCAGTGGGATCAACGCAGGTGAACTTCGCGCCGAAGTCATTGAATGCCGATCTGAGCAGGGGTAAGCACAGTTGGAGAATTGAACTGCGGGAACACGCACCCAAAGAGACCGCGCGTCTCAGCAGCGATGAAGTGCACACCATTGTTACGCGTCCAATCGTTGATCTCGAGCTGCTTGCTGATGGGCACACCACAAAGCACGACGACCTACAAGATGTAGATCAGTACATTGCGCTGTGGATATATCGCGTCAGACGCACCTGGAAGCCCTGGATGAGGTCGACCGTGATCGGCTGGCCAGCGTTCCCTCCCAAGTTGCGCACGGGCACATATGCGTTGAGCTCCGACAGACGCGGGTGTGTCGCCTCCGCACGCGGGCGCCCGATGTCCTCTTGGCGCAGGAAGAACTGCAAGGATGTATGAGATCAGCTATCGCGTCGCCGCGCGCTTACGCGCCACTAACGCACCTGCGAGCCCAGATCCTGCACCGTCACTGGCTCGGGGTCGAAGATGGTGACGGACTTGACACCGGCGAGAATGACGTTCTTGGCTGGGGAGGGAAGGAGCCTTAGTCAGGAAGCCGGGGTCGGTGTCGGGCTGCGCTCACCAATCTCGACGCCCAAGCCGTTCATGCCCACGATGAGCACGTTCGACGCTGCCATTCGCTTCATCGCTACATAATATATTCAGCTTCCCCTTCCCTCCTCGCAGCGCCACCAAGCTTGCCTTCGTGGCCCAGCACATAACTGCCATCCGACCCATCAGCATCCGCCTAGTACCTCGGCAAGCAAGAAACTCACAGCTGGCGCGAGTAAAGGCCCTCATCAATCGCTGCCTCATCGACGTCCATCTTGCCCATGTTCGACGTCTCAGTCATTGTGCGTGCTGTTCGTGAAGATGATGGGAAAGAGAAAGAAGAAAAGTGACCTTCGCTGTTCCTGCACCGCTCCAAAGGCGTACGGTCACGTGATCGAACTGTAGGTCCATGGCGGACCCGGTCGAGAGAGTACGAGACAAAACAAGTAGATATTCGTTGACTGTATTACTCGCACGCATTGCCTCACAGTCCTCAAAGATGCACCATTCTGCGATACACAAGTAGCCAAGTCGACGAGAACCGTACCAATCGCCGCACGTACTCCCCAAGGGAAAAACCCCTTACTTCCGATAGAACTGTGCAAGGAGTCAGTAGAAAGCACATAGGCACCTCTCATGCTACTCACGTTGCGCCTGAACTGGAACCACAAGGAAAGGCATCCACGGTCGAAGCTGCTCTTGAAGCCCCTCTTATGCGAGAACTCCCACTCGCGGTTGACGATGCGGAACGCGATGTCCTCATACGGCGGACCCGCGCTGAACATCAACAGCACCGTCTCCTCATTGCCTGGCTCCTTGATGATCTTGTAGGTTGGCGCCTTGCTCTTGTCGATGAGGTCCGGATAGAATATGTTGAACTGGATGAGATGTCAGCATCTGACAAGCCAAGCTACAGCCGGCACTCACCTTATACCCCTGCACCACCTTCGGGGGCGGGTTATCCGTATCGTAATGCGTCTGATTGTACTTGTTCCACTCGTAGCCCGTATGCACGCGATTGAAGTACCGTGGCTTGCGCGGGCGGAACTTGTCTTCCCAGGTATACGTCGTCGGACGCTGAATGGATTCCTCCATGTTGAACAACTCCTCCTCCTCGTCGAGGTCTTTCTCGGCTTCCGCACGATATAGAGCCTCGGACGCGAGGTCAGCGTTGCTGGGCGCTTCTTCCGCGACGACCTCGGGCTCTTCGACAACGGGTTGGGAGGGCTTGGCGACAAAGCGCGAGGCAGCAACTTCGCGACGTTGACGGATCTGCGAGGGTGAGCAAATGATCCAGATTGGCCAACTCGGGAATGCTTACGAGCGCGGCGAGAGCCTCCTTCTGCGTGAGTATGTCAATGTCGCGCTCCTCTGCAGGCAAATTGAGGATGTCAATGGGCTGAGGACTCATAGCTCGATCGTAAGGCTCCGCTTCGTCCTCGACCACGTCCTGTACAGCAGGTTGCACAAGCTTGGAAGCAGCAGCCGCCTTTCCCAATAGCTCTTCCTGCGCCTGCAAGGCCTGGTCACGCTGGCGCTTTCGTAACTGCTCCAGGCGATTGCGGACGACCACTTCGTGAAGACTCTTCAGCTTGGCCTACACATATGTCAGTTCTCGACGCTCAAGCAAGCCGGTGCCTGAATTCACCTTGGCTTTCCAGACCAACAGCTTCTGCAGCAGGCCCTCCCAGTAATCTGTATCCACAGGTTCGCCGCTCGTCAACTTCTCGTGGACCTGGCGCTGCAGTGAGGATAGCTGCTCGTAAGTCTTGCCCGACAACAGGGCGGCTATATCGGCTTCAACCGCCGCAGCAGCAGCAAGACCGAGGCGTTGGTCGGCCTTTATCCTTTCAAGGCGATCTTTGCAGACGACCATCATGTTCTGAGAAGTGCGTCAGTTTCGCAATCGGTACCATAACGGGAGGATACGTACGGTCCAGAAGTCAATATTCACGTCGCTGTGCTCGAGAGTGAGATAGCGCTCGATATCCTCGTGAAGCTCCTCAGTTTGGTCGGGCGTAAGGTTCTGCACCCGGTCAGCACATTGCTGAAGCGAAAGACAAGAAGCACGCACATCGAATATCTTGTACGGCTCGTCCAAGTCAATCTCCAGACCTGCATCCTCATTCTCCTCTTCTTCTTCCTCTTCCGTAGGCGGGTTCACATACTTGAGGTTCATCGCCAAGAAGTCGATGGCCTTCGCCCTCTTCTCCTTGATGCGAATCGCCGCTCGCCGCCTCTCCTGCTCCAGCCTGAAATCCCCCTCCTTCGCCACCCACTCCGACATTTGTGCGCTCTCCTGCAAGCGCTTCAGTCGCATGTCCTCCTCTTCCCTCAACCGCATCTCCGCCTCCCGCTGCGCCCGCTGCTTGTTGAGCTTCGCCAGCTCTTCGCGCGCCTCCTCACGGCGGATAGCGTCGCGGCGGGCGGCCTCGGCAGCGGAGATGCCTTGCTTGCGCTCCTTCTCGTTCTTCTTGTGCCAGCGAAATTGCTGCCCAAGGTTGGCGTCATGGAAGGGATTGTCGGTGGCGCTGTACACGCTCAGCTCGGCGATCTGGCGCGCCTCCTCTTCTTCGCGCAGCCGTTTCTTCTCGGCCTTGCGAGCACGTCGTTCCTCGGACTTGTCGCGCTTGCGCCTAGGTAAAGGTCAGCACAACAACACCAGATGCAATGGCACATAGCACGCACTTCTTCTCCTTTCGATCCCTACTGCTGCTGCGGCTATCACTATGCCGCCGCTTGCGCCTTGATCTCTCCTCCCCTTCTCTGTCTCTGCTCCGACTTCTACTCCTTCGCCGGCTCCGACGGTCATCGGCATCGTAGTCGCGCCGCGAGGACTTGTCAAGCTTGGATGAGCCCTTGTCCCTTCCGCTGCGGTCGCGGTCGCGTTCGTCGTACCTTCTGCTGCGCGGTGAAGGAGAGCGGGAGTATGAATGTCTGCCCATTGCTGGGGTCGTGCACGATGATGAGCGTCAAAGCTGAGGTACTCGCTGTTCATCCAAACTCGGCAACTCGAGCTCAGCACGTGCTTGCGGTCAACGGCCCGACTCCCCCGCGCCTCAAACAGGCGGAAATACAGCAAAATCTTCGATGTACGAGGCAAACCATGATCCATTTCATTCCTCCTTTCCGCAATACAGACTTTAGTACATGTCTTATCAAAATATATGTTCTGCATCCTGAACACCTTGGAAGAACTGGGCGAGTGTGGCGGGGGAGTCGCCAGTCCTGTTCATCTTCTTACGCCAGTCCGGGTCATGCGGAATCGTATTGCCTGGTCGACATGGCCCTGCCAAAATGTCAAATTCGCTGGCATCGCAATGGAGGGGAAGTATCTTACTGCATCCCAGTATTCTCTCTCTGGACCCGGGAACGGGGGAGAACGTCAGATGCAAGATGGGATGTGCTGTGACGCCGTCAGGCTTCGTCTTTCCAGGCCCATGGTCGAATTCGTCAAGCATCTCTTTGATGTACTGGCGGCCTTCGCCTCCTTCGAGGTTCAGTATACCTTCGATTTCCATGTAGACATCCTCGATCTTGTAGACGCCGACACGGGTGTAGCGGAAATAATCGAACGGCTCCTTCGCACGCGGCTGATGCTCAACCACTCTCATGACTATATGCGTGCGCGAGCGATTCTGATCGCGCTGGAGTCCGAGGGCGCTTGCCAGCAGGACGTTATGGGCAGGATTGCCTGGGGTATCGCAGAAGTCTTTCCATCGCTTGGCAAGACGTGCGTCCGACTTCTGGCCGGAAGCCTTCAGCTCAGAAATGCGCTTCAAGGCCTCAGCTTTTTCCCTGGACAAGATCCGGTCAGAAAGACAATGACGACGTCGGCTCTTGTACGAACTTGCATGTGTTCCTGTGATGCCATGGTCAAGATTACTCTTTCTGTATGACATGGTTACGCACTTGTGGTAGGGGTAATGGGCCTGCTGACATTCGCGCGAGCTTGTGTGCTGATGAGCTGGGCGGGCCGATAGCAAAGGACTGTTGTCTGCTCACCAAATAAAAATAGTGCTTACACCGGGAGCATTGCATTAGCTTGACTTGGGGTTCCCTTTTGAGGTGCTGGGTCAGTCGAATTCGGGGCACAAGATCAAACCCTCACATTTTACTGCAGTTTCGGCAGAGCCGAACAATGCGTTGCTGCGTCCTTGCAGTTACCCTGCGATTTTTCAGCCAATCCAGACCTCCTAGCCCCAGGATAATGGGGTCGGTCTGCGGATCGATGTCGACGGCAAACAATTGCATCAGCGCTTGTTCCTGTAGTGTGTGCGGGTTCTTCTTGAACCATGTTATGCAAAAACGCTCCCTGAAGCAGTCAGTGCATAGACGCAATACTGCGCTGAGCAAATGACTCACAGAGGCTCCGCTTCTTGGTCCTCACCAAGACGGCGTAGGACGCGAGCAAGATAAACCTTGCACTGCGCTACCTGGCTGGATACAAGGCCGGACCCGGGAGCAATGGCTCTGTTCAGTATCGCCAAAGCCTCAGCATCGGCAGTTCGCGCCCGCGCGAGCACGATAGCATACGAGAACAATCCATTGCTATAAATCGTCGAATCAGAAAGCGTCAAAGATTCCGTCAGTCTGGAAACTGACGGATCTTTCGCCCATGAATCCTCGGTGGCACCTAAGTTTGTACTGTTCGTTCGTAGAAATGCACGATAGTGACCAAGCGCCTCAACAGGCCGATCAATTTCTGGGAGTCTGCAGAGACGTCAGGTCCTCCCGGCAAAGAAGGATGATATCGAGACTACACGGGCTTACAAGCAATGATTGACCAAGTTGGAACGGGTCGCCTGTATCTGTAAAATATACCTTGTTAGTTGTACAGAGAAAGGTCAGTGGCAGGGATAACGCTATTCCTACGAACCAGCAGTGTGCGATGGAGTTGAGTCCCATCCGAAGGTAGTACTCCTGCGCAACGGAGCTGCTCTACCGACGAAGCTTCGGCGCCCCATATGAACCGCTCGCCAGCCCAGATACACTCATGAAGGATATCCTTCGGCACTAAGCAACTCAATCTCAGATGTGGTACATGGATGGCAGTGACAGCACACACCCTTATCTGGATCGCTATGGATAGCGTACTTGACCAAGTTCGGGAAGTCGAGACTGTAGGCCAAAGACAGGCAGATCTGCACCACCTTCTCACCAGACCCGAGGAACACAGTACAATTTGGACCTCGAGGGTTGCGTATAACGTCCGGGACTGAAAATACCAAGCTTCAGATTGTACAATAGTCACACTAGGAAACCTGCTAGCTGGGCGCACCTCGCGAAGCTTCTGCTCTGACAAGCTCAAGATCGGGCAGCTTCGAGCCCGCAGCCATGGTAAACCCAAGCTCATCAGCGGGGCCCAAGCCTTTAAAGTCCACTGGATTGACCATCGCGAATACAAGATGGAAGGGGCTGCGAACGTCGAGGTCGTTGACGAGATCAACGCGGAATTTGCCGAATTCTGCGGCCATCGCCAAACAGATTGTACCTATGGCCGCGATTCATATGACCTTGCTGAGGCCAAGTGCAAGCGACGATCCTGAAGAGGACATCAGACTCATGTTACGACGGATTGGTATCACAGTCTAGTAGCTGGTCAACAAAGAATGAATCGGTAGATCGTTGTTTTCCTGTGTAACGACAGCCCAAGAATGTCTACAATCGACGACCACAAAGTTGCAGACACCGACAGGGGAACGGTAGGTAATTAGCAGAAACAAGATACAACCGATCAGAACGCACGTATGTAGTAGGAAGCATAGGCAACCACGTCAAGCGCAGGAGACGACTATGTAATGTGTGAGGGAGGAAGGACTATGGGAGTATACGCCAGGGGTGGCTATGAGATCGGATCGCCATAGAAAGGCGCCGTAGACGGCCATGAAAGTAAACGTCAAAAGGGGGCTATCACAACAGCGCACGTAGCTGGAGTTAAATAACAGAACGCGAGGCCATGCAGTCCGTGTCTGGTAATGGGCGGGGGCGGCCGGGCATCCAGCCCTGAGGCGGATCGTGCGCCCCGCGGCGTCTCGAGCAGGCAGCCCATGTCGCCGAGAACGCGGCCCTAGGCGGGCGAGTAGGTGATGGCAGGACAGGGCGAATAATACATGCGACGCGAGCGCCGCGAACAACGGGTAGCAGATATGCGACAAAAGAACACGACATGAGGTGAATATGAACACAGACGAAATGTTACAAGCCGCCCGGGACGGAACGAAGAGACCGCAGAAAAGGAGATGGCAACGGGATTCCTAGTGGAGAGTGGTATGGCGGAACCGGGCGCGCGCAGGCGGTGGTATGTTCGGGCGAGGCGGGCTGTCTATGGTGGGGCGCTCGGACTGGCCGGCGGTTCACCAGGGGGACACGTAGTCCATGTTGACGTGTCGGGGGTACGCCGGCTGTGGGTAGACGCCGTACGCGCCGAGGGCATGCCACTGGAGAGGATCGGCCATGCTGGGCAGCGGCTCGCTGACGTTGAGCGGCATGCGGAGTTCTCCGTGGCAGCGGTAGTCCCTGTGTTGCGAATACGAGCGCGCGTGATTATGCGAGTACGAATTATCTTGATCGTAAGAAAGAGACTGCGAACGCGAGTGGGACATGGCGGGCGCGACCGGTAGAGCGTACGACGGGTATGGGTTGTAGGCGGGGACCATGGGCGGCGCATAGGCGCCAACGGCCCACTGGGTGTGCGGATCATACGCGGGCTCGGGAGGCGCTTGGAAGCCCGACTGCGGGACGTGGTACAGCGGCGCTTGGGTCGCACTAGGAACGACGGGCTGGACGGCGACGTAAGGTCGGTTCGCGCGATGGCTGTCCCGCAGGATCGGCTCATCCGCGGCAGGGCTCCAGCGCGCGGGAGGTGGCAACTCGCCCCTCGCCTTCGCGTTCACTGCGGGCCAGTCGCCGCCCTTCAACGCCGTGTGCGCCACCGGCGCTTCCAGAGGCGGAATGTTCTGCTCGCGGGAGGAGTTGCTCCACGTCGAGCTCGCGGCGCTGGTACGGCGCCGGGGCACGTACTCCTCCCTGAGCGGGCCGTCCTCGTCGAGGTCGATCTCCAACGCGTCGGCGTTCATCGCCATCTCCTTCTCAATAAGCTCCCGGCGGCGCTCTGCCAGGCCAATGAACACAGGCTCCGGGGTCGGCGATGATGACTCGCAGGCGAACGGTGCCTGTGTAATCTCATCGATGACCCTCTTTACAATCAAGTGCGGGTTAGAAGACGGCCGGCCGATAGGCTGATGAGAAGGCGGCGAGAGCGCGAGGTGGTAGTTCATGACGTGCGATAGCCAATGCGACCATGCCGTGGGTGGAACGGACATATTGAAGTCGAAGATGGCCAGCGCGAGCGACTCCAGACGGTTGATGGACTGGATAGGGATGTTGGTAATCGCTTGCCTACAAAATGAAGTCAGCATACGGCGACGAAGAGCTCCGCGAGATCGTGACGTACCATGTCTTGTTGGAGAAGGTGTGATCGTCCAGCCACTTATTGGCGAACATGCACCCGAGTACGATGACCCGGAAAGGAGCACTCTGCATTATCGTGTCTGGGTCGGTGTACCCGCCCAGCAATTCGTGACGGAAGCGGTGTTCCTTGACATGGTCGGGGCCGAGCGCGGTCGGGCCAAAGTAGACGGGAAGTCGGGCGATGTACCAGATGGCGAGGAACACGGCCGAGGGCTGAAGCAGCGTCGACAGCAGAAGCGAGTGGACGGCCGTCGCGATGTTGCTCGGCGGCGTCGACGGAAAGCCGGGGACAGGAATACTGCAAGGATCGTCAGCGGTCAAATCATGTATAGGCGTGAAACGAACGAACCCTTGGCTGTACAGCGGCTGCAGGCTAAGCCCGGTTGTGCAGACCTGCCACACGTAGTTGGTGATCCATTCTGCGAGCGGGCCTGCCAGCTTCTTGTACTCGATGCTAGCGCTGGGAGTCGAGACTTCCTGCACACTCGGAGCGGGCTCCTTCTGCTCCCGGCGCTCAGCTACCGGAGCTTTGGCGAGTACGGCAGCATCGCTGCCGCGGACGCCCTCCATGAAGCCATCGTAAGAGACCGAGCTCTTAGTGCGCACGACCGCCCTGTCGACAAACTCCCCAAACGGCGTGACCGGCTCGAGCGGGCTCGAACTGGGGTCAGCGCCAATCGGCGAGTCCGCCTCGAACACCGGCGTGAAGGCGCCCCTCTCGTACATCTGCCCGTCTGCCATCTCGGCGTCATGCAGCGGCTCCGCGTCGCCCTGCTCCGAGTCGGAGCCCGAGCTGAAGCTGTAGTCGCTCATGTTGTCCTCCTTGTTGTCTGCCTCCGCAGCAGGCGACACGTAGTCCATCTCGATGTCTGCACCGGATTCTCGGCTGCGCAGCGAACCGCTCCAGGTGTTGCGGCTGCCACGAAGCATGGGCGGAACGTATGCTTCAGCACACTGTCCTTTAATGGCCGACGCGTTCTCCGCGCGGGCCAACCCTTGGTGAAAATCCGGCGGCGAGTCGTCGCGCCGGGCGTCCTCCTCCCAGATCCTGCGGGGCTTCGTGCGCCGCCAGGTGGGGAGCGAGTTGATCCACTCCTCCCTTGTACCAAAGGAAGGAGGAGGCCCGGTGGGCGACACGGGGAGCGTGCGCGTCAGACTGTGGATGGGGTGATTGCCGTCGTCGATCTGTCGTTTCTTGATGACGGGGTGGGCGGCGGGCTTGATGAAGCGCGGTACGGGGACTGGCATGGGCTGGTGTGGGGATGGTGTCGAGATACAGGCGCGCAACGGACCGTTGTGTGCTTGCAACTCGAGTGGCTCTTTTCTGTGAAAAAGAGCGAGAAAAGCGAGGGAAGGGGGGTCGTAAATTGATGTCGTTAAGAATAAAGATGCGGCAAGATAGAGAGACGAGAAAACGACGAGAAGCGAACTATGCAGAGACGGGAATAACAGGGATGATGGGGGACCGTAGCTTCAGTGGCGGACGCACAGCGAAGGCGTGCCTTTTGTGTCGTGCAGCAAGCCGGACCTGCGCTGGAGTGGCTGGTTATGGATCTCCTGGAGCAGCTGGGGCCCGTGCTTCAGCTGGTCGATGGATGTGATCCTCCTCGATGACGCCTGCGGACAAGCCTGGGGTCGCCGCTGCGCTATTCGACGCTGCTTGGCGCTGAGCCTTCGCCTCCGAGAGCCGCTATACCGATGCCTGGTGAGGGCCGGGATGAACAGCGTTCGAGATGGTGGTGGTAGGAGAGAAAGGGACGATCCTGCCGACGCCAAAGCCGACTTGGAATTTTCGGCGTCTCCACGCCTGGTTTTCTATCAATCACGTGGCGCTTGACTCGACCTGATGACAGTCCGTTAATCGACATCGATAGAACGTCCGTGGTGCGTCTATTGTGCGAGAACATGCTACGGACAAAAGGTACAATCGCTGCTGTCCAGTCCAGTGGCCAGCTGTGGCCACCCAGCGCCTTTGCTCTCGACAATTTTCACCATGCCGGATGTTCGGATTTCTCGCCGGCCGGTCGGCCCGGGTCGCGTCCCTTAAACTCAAAGACATGCGGCGCCGGGTCCCGCCATTGTCCTCCCCAACGTGCTCGCAACCAGCCGCCATGTCCACAACATGTCCATGCTCCTGCCGACGCCATCGACCGTCGCGCCGGGCCGCGCTGCGCCTTACATCAGTCTCGGCGCCCCTTTCCCTTGCTCGCTGGCTCCTGATCAAAAATTCAGCCCCTCATTTCCGCCCCATTGAATGCGAAAGACCCCTGGCCCGAGCGGGCGCGCCCTGGGAGCGTTTGAACTTCGGCAGTTACCCGTTCTATGCACAGCGCACGTCCGCCTGGTCCGCCCATTGGCTGGCCTGCCTAGCAAACCCCGTGGAACAACCGTGGCCGCACCTCCCCATCACCGTGTTGACTGCCGAGGGTACGTGTCCCCCATAGCCTTCGGTTAAGAACGAGTCCCCTTACTTCATGTGTAAGCCAGCCGGATACTCGTACACGCTCTGTGGGACCACAATCAAGTTGTGGTCGACGCTGAAGGCGACAGTCGTCGCTGGTAACCGAGATGAATTGGCGCGACGTATCTGGATCATCTCTGAGCTGTTCTCGGCTGCTCGCTCGCCAACCCTCTGCCACAGTTGCTTAACTGGGTTGAACCGCGCTCTTTCGCTTGCCCATCCTACCGGATCGATGCATCACATCATAGCCATCTCCCAGTGACTTGCTGATGATATACGCCGCTAGCGCCTAACTGCATCTGTTACCTGACTCACTGATCTTTTACCCCACTGTCTGAATCCGCTACCTGAAGCGAAGTCCTCTGCTATACAAGCCAGGAAGGACTTCTTCGCGCGCGCACGATTACTACCCTGCTCCTATCGCAACGCTTACCCAACATGTCCTCTGCGGCGATCCTTGCCGACCTTTCCCATGATCGTGTGCTGGGCGTTTATCTCGTGGCTGCTACGTCGTCGTCGGCTCGTATATACGCGGCCGGCCCGTGCGCGTAGTCGTACGTCGCCATCTGCGCTTGCCGAACGACAGGAACCCTGGGAGAGACGGTCCCCCGTGACGTGCGAGTGCAGTCGATGTTCGAACTTCGGGTTGTGCGCCGCTTCGTGAAGCCCTGCAGTCCTTTTCTGGCTTCGACAGGCTCTTTCCGAGGTTCTCGCAGCGCTCGAGGTGCGCCCGATACCACGATGATTGCTACGAGGCATCACCGAATTGAACCGTGCCCGCCTCGATCGCTTCTTCATCCGTGGCCACGATGATGAGTCGCAGAACTCAGGCCGCCTTATCCCGGTGCTTATACTGGTGCTTACTGGCTCTCTACCCCTTGAGCGCTTGCAAAGGCGCCTGAAGCCTTCATCTCGAGCATCGCCTCATATTCCCAGACCTTCTTTCGAATGTACATCCAATACCATTGACTTTTGCTTCACTCCTTTATCTCCCTCTTGTGAAATATCCCTATGCACGCATCAGCACGCTCACCGTCTCCAACGCCCAACTATACCTCCACTTACCCGGCACCTCAGGCATCCACCCCGCCCGATACTTCGTAAAGAACTCCCCCTTCGGCGGCAGCGCGTCCGGCTCGTCTAAGCTTCCGTAGAACAAGTATACGTTTTCCCCTGCATGTTCGCCGTACTCGAGGATCCCCGACCCGCAATCGCCGCAAAATTCGCGCGTGAGGATGCTGCCTGAGCCGTTGTCTCCCTTGTGGATCTTGGGTGAGGCGGAGGTGGGAGTGAGGCGGAAGGCGGCGCGGGGGATTTTGGCGGTGACGCCGAAGGCGGAGCCGGTGAATTTCTGGCGTGTTGGGGTTAGTTGGGTGATTGGAAGTCGTTTGGTGATGGGATTTGGATAGAAGAGAGACGGGGGACAACTGTGAGGGTGGTGGCTCACCTTGCAATTCGGACAATGACAGATGCTCATGCGCGCTTCATCGGGGGATGCGAGATCGAGCTCGTAGCGGATCTTCTTGCAGAAGCAGCCGCCTTTGTGAACCGGCATACTGGTGTGTGCTGAGGTTGTGTAGAGGGTCAGTTTACCGGAATATAGGGAAGTAAGATGTTCGCAGCAGGCCGCTGCCTGCGTTCTGGACGTGCACGCGAAGATTGAGGAGTACATGGAGGCGTTGTCATACCTGACGTCGATGTTGGGCCCGACAAGTTCAACCGTGACTGTCACGCATGCGGCTCGGCAAGCGCCGGATCTCTGCTTCACTGCTGTTTCACAACAAGTGCGCGTACGATACTGCAATGAACAGATATCTCTACGTGTAGTTAGAAGAGACCACATTATCAGGCACATTATGTGGGTTCTTTGTGGGCCTTCAGAGCCTCCTCATCCTGTTCATGCCAGTGCCAGTGTTCGTTATCACTGTCATGTTCGAACAGTACCTCGGCATGAGCAATGCCAGTACCATACGCATCACGCATCCGCAACATCTTCGCCACCCAACCATCTTGCTTGGTCATGCAATATCGGAGACACATAACCCTCAAGCGCGGTAGCAAAGGTGTTCCCTTTCCATCGGGCGTGAGGAGCGAGATCGTCCGCTCAGTGATATTGCAGGAGCGTAAACCCACATAGAGCCTAGTGACAGCCGACATTTGGGGTAGGCAGAGGCAAGCAACGAGCGTGGACTCGTCCATGCCGTAGGCTTCCAAATCAAGGGACTCCAGTCGACCATCTCGAATACGGCCCAAAAAGTCGAGCAGAACGCTGGAATCGAGGAAAGGCCAGTCATCACGAGGTCGGGCATAGATGGTGTCCAGAGAGAGGTATCGCAGGTTGGGAAGGGTAACGATAGAGAAAACGCTATCCAAAGGCCCGCCGTTCTCAGGCGCCTCCACAAGAAGCGTTTGCATGAATTCGTGACATATAGGAGAAAGCCTGAGCGCAGATGCGCTTATGGAAGTTGAACTCAGACTACGTATACTCGCGTGTAGTTTTCTTAGCGCCGGCGAGAAACACAAAATCTGTATAAACTCGAACTCAGTGATTATGCCGCTGCGGAGCTCGATGCACGAGAGTATCTTCCAAAAGGAGTCGGAAGGTGCGCTTTTGAGAAGTTGTCTGACGAAACCTCCGGTGGGAGCATAGGCGCAACGAAGTACGCGCAGCGAATCTGTCGAGTAAAGGGACGCGATACGCAGCATATCGTCAACATGAACGCTGGCTTTGATGTGGACACTCAGGATTTCCAGCGAAAAGGGGACACCCTGAGGGAGAGGCAGCATTTCAAGACTCGATTGTCTTCCGATAAATATTCTGAGTTCCCTGATATGCGTAAGATTATTCAAGATGGATTGAAGCACACATTGACACGTTTGAGGGGCACATAGCATTTCTGTATTCCTGTCGACCTGGAATGGCCTTCCCCATTGACTGCTGACCCGATAAGTGATCAATACATCGCCACGGGAGCGTCGCAGGTAGAGCTCCGCAAGTTCGCGCTGATCACGATCACTCAGACACATCCGAAGATTGAACTTCCTCCAAAGATGAGGAAGATCAACAATTATGGCGCGCCAAAGAGAGCAGACATGGGCTATTGTGAGTGGCACAAATTAGGCGGGCTCGTATGCAGTGCGAGAACCGGAACAGCTGTATGTGAAAATGAGGATGAGAATCTCTGTCGGCAGGTCATTGATCGATGGGCCGCAGGTGAGGTTGCTGAGTTGAGCTGAGAGAGGCGTGTTCGATGAAGTCGGCGAGCACTGATAGCGGGTCCCCTCACATTCTTCGTCGCTCAGGCACCTGCACTCGTCCGGTGAGGGAGTGCTGAGGCGCCGCGAAAGAACTAGACGATCTTCGCGACCACTGGAGTCCCTCAAGCGACGGCTCAGACTGAGTGTGCACCGTCCGACGGCAGAAGGGCTTTTCTGTATGAAAGTTTGGCTCCTCTAAAAATGGATGCGACGTCGGAAGACGAACTCCAGTTGGCGACCGACGCCTTGGGTAAAGTTTCTTGACGGCCGTTGTCAGTTTGTTGAGCCAGCCAGGACGCTCGTCGTTGAAGTATTTCTTCTCTCTCATGGTCCGAGAAGAGAGGGGGTGAAAGTCGGATAGGTGAGCTAGCGCAGCTACGCCATTTTTATACCTCCGCGGGCATTTGTGGCGCGCGCTTTTGTCGAGGCTTGCCATTTTCTCTGGATTGCAAGAAGCGCTGCGGATGGACCTTGTTGATTGCTTCGCGAAGCCCTTCCGAAGATTTGACTCTCAGGGCCGAAGTAATGGACCGCAGGGCAGAGGTGGAAGAAGACCAGCTGCGTGATGGTGGGCTCTGCAAAGAGTGGAGGCTGTGGTCAGCTTGTTGGACCTGCCAGGGCGCCCTCTGGGAGAGTGTTTCCTGTCACTCATGGCCCAGAAGTAGTCGCGTACAGAAGTGATTAGGTGAAGGTCGGATACACGAGCTCGAGCAGCTGCGCCTTACTTATACCCCTGTTGGCATTTGTGGCATGCGCTATTGTCGGGGCTCGCCATGACCTCCGGTATTGTAGGAAGCTCTGCGGCTGGACCGTCGTTGCTATTCCATTCCATAGATCCTGGTCCGATCTCCGGATTACCGTGCCGGAGTTCTCAGGCAGGGGGAGGAGGAGATGGTTGCCGCGGTCAAGTTCCCCGCGGAAGACCCGGACCGTGTCCGGCGTTCGATCATGCGCGCAAGCACCGACAAACATATCGCTCCTTGTCGCCGGCGTCCGCGACCGACGTGATGCCCGTTCTCAAAGCCCCTCGGATATCCCTCGCGAACTTGCGCCCGGCTCAAGGCTCGCAGCATGCGGTACGCTTGGCCCACCCATGTTCCAACGAAGTCGAAACTGACCCTCCGACTAGCAAAAACGCGTAGGTCGCGGAGAGGGCTCACGCCACGGCCGTACCGCCGGTCGCGGTAACAATGGTCAGAAGTCGCGCTCCGGCACCGGTCTGAAGCCCATGTTTGAGGGCGGTCAGACCACTATCGTGAAGCGCTTCCCGAAGCACGGCTTCTTCAACTTGTGCGTGGTCTGTTACATGGACGGTGCACTATTCTGACGGAAGTATGCAGCACTGGGAAGACCTACGCGCCGGTCAACTTGGACCGTATCCAGCATTGGATAGACCAGGGCCGACTGACGTCGTCGCCGGAGAAACCGATCACTGCGCGCGAGCTCGTGCAGAGCGGCTGCGTTCACGGAGCGCACGAGGGCGTGAAGATTTTGGGCGACGTGCGTCTTATACTACTCCAATCGGTGCAACCGCTAATCCTTGGCTCTGTAGGGCCTGGCACATTTCAAAACTCCCATTTACATTACCCCTTCACGCGCATCCAAGAGCGCCATTCGCGCCATTGAGGCAGCTGGCGGCAAGGTGGTTTGCAAGTACTATAATGCCCTGTCCTTGCGCAACTGCGTTAGGGGTGTCACTGACAAGGTGGAGGCAGCGCCGACAAGACGGGAGGACATCAGTGCGTCTCATGCCCAATATCCATTACTCCTGACTGACGCGCTCTTTCTCAGTGTGGTACACCGAGTACAACAACCGCGGTTACATCGCTCCTCGCACCTTGAAGCTCTTAGGAGACCAGCCTTTTGTTGAGGAGCGATGGAAGGTTCTGTCGGAGGAGCTGAACAAGTTCAGGCAACCCGGGAAGGGCCTCCGGAAGGACAAGAAGCTGTAGACGTGCCTTTCCCTCCTTTACCTGTGACGCAGCCGTGCATATACATACCGGCAATCTATATCCTCGCTCTTCTACCATAGCGCTTGTCAGCTCGACTCTGCTTCGAGCCGAAAGTGTCAATATGTCTGGACAAGCAAGACCAAATATGCGCTCGGACAACGCCGCGTCACGTTGTTGTCCTTTTCTGTCAACAATGGCCAACCCATTTCGTGATACAAAGGGATTACTGCATGCTGCAACTACGGCCGACGATGTACTTATATGTGCGCTCTCTTGAGGAATCGCACACAACTTACCTTCGTCCTCTAGCAGGAATCATGGGCTTGATCTCGACGCTTCGCCGTGCGCTCCGTTGCGTTGCTCAGAGGCTTAGGCGTAGGCCGCCGCATGAGGCGCGTGGCTCGTTGATTACTTTGGGATCTGCAAAGCTGACGGATACTATGTTGCAGCTTGATCCGCAGTCCTTGGTTGGCGAAGACAAGTCTGCGTTTCCGAACATGCGCTGGCCCTTGTCGGCGCGCACTCGTCTCGAGTCACCTTGCTCAATAACCGTTGACTCCGGGAATGCTCTGGTCGAGGGTCAATTGCCATCGGGAAATTTCATCAATCGCCTGCCGACTGAACTTCTCTCCCTCGTATTCCTCGCGAGCGCATACGAGCCAAACGGCAGACCACACCTCGACCTGCACTTCGTCCCTCTGATTCTCACGCACGTCTGTGCGCGCTGGCGCGCAATCGCAGTGAATATGCCCCCACTTTGGCATCGATTCGATCTGCGGCCTTGCTTAGAGAAGGGCTGTGCCCGCGAGCTCGCCGATACCTGCGCAGAGCGCGCTAAAGCCATTGGCCTGGACATCTCGTATCACGAACTCTCCTTCAACGAGTCTGACGGTTCGTGGTACGATGGCACTACGAGGCTTCCCCCAGAGGTCGAATTTTGCGACTGCTTGATGTACTTCATCATTGAGTATATCGACTAGATCAGAGATTTGGATATCTCTGTCGGGGAGCAGTCGATATCGCGATTTGCGATCCAAGTTCACGATCCAGCTTCCGCACTGGAGAGACTCCGCGTGACCTTCCTCTGCGATCTTTCGAACCCCGGGATTCTAGCCAATCTCTATTCTGGACCAAACCTTACGGACCTTTCTTTGAACGCCAACGAGCGTGGCAAGAACTTTCCGCATCTAGTGGAATGCCCGCGGGATGTGCCATGGCACCAGCTTGTTAACCTCGAACTTCGTGCGTGTCCGATCACGCAGGCGATGTTCATGGATATCTTGGGAAGCGAATCCTCGCTGCAGCGCGTATCCACGCAAGTGCATTGCCAGATACCTGCAACGGCGCAGGATCGTCGTCCCATTCGGCACGACGCCTTGCAGAGCTTGACGCTTGAAGGCGACGGCCCACTTGACAGCATTTTCTCGGGATATTCATTCCCGTCTTTACGCAGCCTGGTGTTGCAGTCTACGACCTCTCCAGGGGACCATCCCGCTGGGTGGCCCTTTTTACAGCCCGGCCTGCTATCGCGAATCGTGGAACAGGCTCGATTGGGGTTGGAGACGCTCCGCCTTGATATGTGTGGCACAGTAGACGAGTCGATGCTCATCGCTTGTCTGAAGCTGCCCACCATGTCGACGCTGCTCAAGTTGTCGTTACGTGCATATTGGCCCATGTTTACCGAACGGTTCATTCATCTACTAAACCCGACCACGAACGATGGCCTCTTATTGCCTCGTCTCGAGCGTCTTGTGTTGGAGTACTGCGCTACAAGGGACGGCGTGGTCGCAGATATGTTGCAAGCGAGGAGAGCGATGGCCGGGAAGCTGAGATACGTCTGGGTGCTGTATGGAGACGGGCGACACCCTCTGGACAAAGAGGCGGCTTATCAATTTCGGGGCTTCACGTAAGTGTTATGCACGCATACTGTACATATCGCTCCGGCCCCTGTCAAGAACATCAAGTATGCTTTTCGTGCACTTTAGTAAAAACTTTGAAAGACCCGGTGAGAAATAGTATCTGCGCCGGGAACTCACATCCGCGCACAAACAAGAACAAATGCACGCTAGGACAACGCCGAGCCATGTTTCTTCCTTTTTCGTCAACAATGGATGCAACCCTAACCGCGATACAAAGGGAATACTGCATTCTGACACAATGGTCGGCGACGTACTTATGTACTTCTCCTCGCTTGACTCCAATTCGATCGTACTTTCGTCCTTGAGTTGGAATCATGGGCCTTTTCTCGACGCCTCGCCGCGCGTTCCGCCGTGCTGCTCAGAGGCTTGGGCGCAGGGCGCCACACGAGGTGCGTGGCTCACTCGCTGCTTATGATATCACCGCGCTAAAACATGCTATGCAACAGCTACATCAGCAATCCTGTGTTGGCGAACATTCCCCGGCCTGGCCCTCGGCAGAGGACTTTGATGATCATGATGCTCTACGCAAGGACCCCATGCCATCGGGAAATTGGCTCTCTATCTGCCCGCGGGTCCCTCGAATCTTTCTTCCCGCTGGCACCCTCTATATGCCGCCCATTGACCGCCTGCCAACCGAGCTCCTCTGCCTTATATTTATCCTCAGCGCGCACGATCCCTATGAAAGACCATACCTTAACAGAACTTTCGTTCCCTTCAAGCTCACGCACGTCTGCAAGCTCTGGCGCGACATTGCAGTAGACATGCCGCCACTCTGGCAGCGCTTTGAGCTGCGGCCGTGTGTGGAGAAGGGCAGCCACCGCGAGCTCGCCAAGATCTGCGCGGAGCGCGCCAGTGGCTTAGGACTGGTCGTTGCATACCACGAACTCTCTGTCGACGAATATGACGGGTCGTGGTTCAACGACCATACTGGGCTCCCCCGCGACATCGATTTCTGCGACTGCCCGATGGACTTCATCATCGAGTATATCGACCAGATTAAATATCTGGACATCTCTATCGGCGAGAACTCTATTCTCCGACTTGTCGACGAAGTGGACGGTCCTGTCCCCAAACTGGAAAGATTGAGCATGACCTTCTACTGCGATCTTCCGGACCCCGAGATTCTGGCGAATCTCTATTCGGGACCCAAGTTAGTGGACCTTTTCTGGAGCGCCAACGAGTGCGGAAGGGATGTTCCTCATATGGTGGAATGTCCGGATGCTCCCTGGCGCCAGCTTGTCGAACTCGAACTGCTTGACTGTCCGCTCACCCTGGACATGTTCATGGACATTCTGGAAGACGCGCCCTTGCTGCAGCGCGTGTTTACGCAGGTGGACTGTCAAAGCCCTGTGACGATACAGAATCAAGGTCCCATTCGTCATGACGCGCTGCGAGACTTGACGGTGAAAGGCGACGGCCCACTCGACGTCGTATTCTCCGCCTACTCGTTTCCGGCGTTGCGCAAGCTCGCCCTGTGGGGCATCAAGTCTCCTTACGACCCCGACCCCCCTGGGTGGCCATTTTGGCAACCTGACCTTCTTCTGCAGGTCGTGGGGCAGGCGGAGCGTGGGTTAGAGCGGCTACACCTTGATGCGTGTGGCACTATCAACGAGTCGATGCTCATTGACTGCCTGCGGCTACCTCAGATGTCGACACTCCTCAAGCTCACGATTTCGACAACTGAGCCGGTCATTACTCAGCGGCTTATCACTTTGTTCGACCCAGCTACAAGCGACTCTGTCTTGTTGCCTAGCCTGGAGCAGCTGATTTTGGAAGGGTGTGCGACGGAAGACGGCGTCATCGCAGAGATGTTGTTGGCAAGGAGGGCAAAGACTGATAAACTTCGTTATGTGTTGGTCGACTACGACTCAGGCACTTGGGCTTACCCGCGGCTACGCGATGAGGAGGTAATCGAGGAGTTCTTTGAGCCTTACTAAGGTCGTTCACGATCATACAGCGGCCATATACTACGTACACGTACTCTGTGACTACACATTTACTACTACTTTCCAACTCGTCCCTCGTAGAATCTGAAGGAGGGAATCTCTCAGCTCAAGAGATGCCCTCTTGGGTAGAGGCGCATTCTTCGAGGCAATAAGAACAGAGCCTTTCGATTGAAATGTACCCTTCTTCCTGTAGATGTCGAAAAAACGTTCATATCGGCGCGCATCCACCGCAAAAAGATGTTCTGGCTGGGACGAGCCGTATTGCACCTCTAGTCGCGTCAGCTTCAGCACCCTAAGTCCTTTCAGCAAAGGTGTAATGGGAACCTCTGTCCTCAAGATTGTGAGCCTCTTAAGGTTCAACGCGTGGACCTCCATTGGCCACTCCTTTCGGTAATCACTGCTGTTGACCAAGTGCCCGATCTCCAGCGAGGAAATGTTCGTCGCGTGCCATAAGAAGGGAAAACATTGTGGCGAGGTCATCGGTGCCCGAATTTGGACGTCAACAAGGTCCAACCAAGAGTATCTCCGTGTCAAGCGGCCTGAGACGCAAAGGCCGTCGGTACGACTGACATCCAGCCGTTCCTCTTCGTCGATGCTGATGTGTCGGTAATTGCCGACCTCTGCACTGGTCGCGGCAGAGGAAGGAGCGAAGCTCACTCCGCGCCAAAGTCGGGGCAGTTGCGCAATCCTTTGAGGTTTAGGCTGGGGGCGGGTAGTTGGCGAGGTCGAAGCGCCGCTGAGCCCACCGTTATAAGACCGAGACTGCTCCTGCGCACGATGGCCCGTGGGTTCGACGAAGCGAGAGCGGCCGTTATCGCTGCGACGCTTGAGAGGTTTGCGAGAGGCTCTCTGGGGCTCGGGCGCTGGTCGACGTCCACCACTCCCCGAAGCGACGTGAGGAGCCGACCCGAAGTACACCCCGGACCGCAAGATGGATGGATTTGCACCACTCAGGGCGGCAGGTCGTCTACCGCTTCGAGGCAAACGGTCGGCAAGAAGAGGGTCACGGCGAGTCGTTGACCGACGTTGGCCGCCTCGCTCTTCACCGGTGTAACGTTGCGAAGTCGGAGCTGGCTCGGAAGCGCGAGAACGAGCATTGCCACGAAGTGGGCGGGGCGCCGTGTTCGAGGATCCAACATGCGCAGGCACACCGCTCGTACTCTGGCAGTCTCTCGTAGAAAGACGTGCAGGGCTCTGTCGTTTTGTTTCGGCCGGTGAGACATGAAAAGCATTTCGAGCGGTTGCTGTCACACCGCCCTGAGGCGCACGGCCAGTACGACGCTCGGACCGGTCCTTCTGAAGTCGCCGTCGTATACGAGAAGCCGAATTTTCAGGAGGGTTGGGAGGCTGCTGCAGATCATGAGGTCGAAGGCGCTCCACCGATGCTTTTTTACGACATTTAAGACCTGCTGGGGTGTAGCGGTCGGGTTCATCAAGCGCTTGATACTCGTCAATGTTCAATGGATTATGATTCGCGTAAGAGGCTGTTCTCGGGCTGCGAGGCCTCGGCTTGTGGAAGAGGTGGCGCTGTTCATGTTCAGCATATGTTGCTCACACAATCGCAAGGCATACACACCATGAAATTCTTCAGTGAGTGCGCCATAATGGAATCCAGACGCCTCGAGCTCGACGGGATGGGAAGTATGATAGATATTGCTATCGGACATCCGTGAGCCAACGACGCTACCTGAGAGCGTAGGTCGCTCACAAATGCAGAGACGGGTGAGCAGAAAGCGCGAGGTATGAATTATCTCGGATACGGTCACAAAGTGGGCAGGGAAGTCTGTACGCAGAGACGCTGCGCTGCTCGGGGATGAAAGAAGAGAAGGCACGGTGACGGAACGTACCTTCACAGCTGGCTTTTAAATCTTCCATTTCCTAACATGTGTTGAAGGCGCGGAGGGCGTCGACCATCGGCGTGGGTAAAATTATGTATGGCCCAAGTCAGCTCACAGGTCAGTGCAATAGAACGTCGCGGAAGGTAGAGAAGCTCGCCAGCCGCCATCCGTGCGTGCTTTTAGCAGTCCCCATAAAGTCTCGATACGGATTGAGGGACGTGTAGCCCATATCTCGGCGACCAAGCTAGAAAAACAGTACACTCAGCTCACCCGGAGGCATCTTGACCGTCTTCTTTCGCAATGAACAGACACTAGCTCTTGCTGCATAGTCAGACCGTGGGTCAAGGATCTGTGCAATAGCCCATAGTGACATGCCTCCGTGCTTCGCAGTTGAGCGAGAGGGTCCGTCGGTCGCAATTGTCAGTGCCAGCCTATTCAACGCGCCGGGCATGGAGGTCTTCCGGAAGTCGGCCAGCTCTCGCAATGTATACATAAGCCTGAGCCAGCCCGGATGGTAATAGATGCGAGAGGGCCAGTTAGTGCCTCAGAAGCGCCGCTTGCCTGCTGAAGGTTACAGGTTGAACGTTGAGATCTGAGATCGAACTGCGTGATTCCGTCCGAAGATCCAGGCTCCTCCCCAACCAGCCAGGCAGGGAGGGTGCGAAGACTGAGGGAGAGGGAAACAAAGGGAAGAGCGACGCACGTAGAGTAGCGCTACGTACAGGACCTGTCAACCTAAAACACCCAACCAATTCCACCCTCACCTGGCCGGCTGGACGAACACATATACAAACAAACGGTCCGATGCATCCGAACTCCCCGCGCGGCGAGTGTTGACGGCACATTCCCCTTTCCTGAGAATCTTGCACCGATCAGACAGGCGCCTCTTCAGCCCCATAAAACAGTATCACTTCAGTATCTGCGGTAATCAGCAAACCAGAGCGAAGGGGATCGAGGGGATATCTCAAGGGACGAGGCGGCGCATAAATCAAGCACGCGGGAGAGACGAAGGTGGAGCAAAAGGGACGCATGGGCAGGAGCAGTGCGGTGAGTCCCACGCAGACTGTACTTACATATCTCATTGTGCAGATATTTGCACGTCCTGAATCGGGGGAGCCCTTGAACAACTAACACGCCTCAATATCACGCCTCGTCGTGTATACCCCTCCTCCGTTTCATTTTTCCCTCCACCCGCCCTCATGCGCTGTGTCAAGCACCCCCTGAGCACGTCGGTGCCCCATCGCTCCCCCCACATAGCCAGCAAGCGTGGCATTGCATGTCAGAATGTCAACAGCGTTCTGCGCACCCGCGAAGACACGTCGACGAGATATGCCACGCACGCGAAGTCAAGACGCTCTCGCAGTCATTCTGTACATGGATCGTGTAGATGAGGAGGTGCGAGCTCGCTGGCTATGCGATGCTGTAGGCGATGTACGCCCTGCACGGCGCACACGCTGTCCGCCCTTTGCGATCGGTTTTTGCTGGCCCTTCGCCTGCATTCGGACTGCGTATACCCCGTGAGCCCCCCCTCTTTTTCCATCGACCCCTACTGTTACTTCGTACTTCTCTACCGCACCTGTATTCCCAGCACATTAGGGTCGTTCAAACATGGCGGAATTTCGCGAAAAGGAAAAATTCGGCTCTTTCGAACAGAACTTTTGGCGCGGGATTTGGCCTTTTCGAGTGATTTTTCGCGAGAAAAGGAAGAATTCGATTATTAGAGCGCGTCTGCCTAGGATTTTTAGGCCCTATATCAAATTCAACGTCGAGTAGGATTGTCCATAAAATCTTTGAGAACGCGTGAAATCTCTCGAAGGCCCCAAAGAATTTCCACCTCGAAATGACAACAAGACCCACGGTGGGTCTCTCCCGCTTGCGCCCCGCAAAGAGAAACGCTCTCTTGTCCTCCAGCTCACTCAGGTAGGTGAGCGACGCCTGTGTTGACCCAACCCACCACGCTTCGGGAGCGCATGAGGGATACGAGACGCTATAGAGCATGTTCAGCGCTGACCTCGCCGCTAAGATTTTCTCCGAATACTATGAGATCATCGTGGACATCATTGTGTTTCCTACAGGATTTTCGTGAAAAAACATTGCTTTTTCTGTAACTTTCGTGTAAAATCCTAGGCAGATGCGCTCTATTCTGAACAGAGGTTTGAACACAGAGGAAGGACATGTGGCTGTGTCGAACAGGATTCTCGCCCGTTTTCCCCGCCAAACGGTACCTTTTTCAGATTTTTCCCTTTGCGCACAGGAAAAATACGAAGACACGAAACGAGCTTTGAGGGACCCTATTGTCTACCTAAATTCAATTCTGATAAAATAGTTAGGTGGGGGACCCACGATAGCTCACGCAGGGGCTTACAGCGCGCCTTCGGCGCGCTGGCCGCGCCACGGCCCGACGGCCCGCGCCATACGCCACCGCCGCTTGAAAGGCAGCTCAGGACGTCGAGCGCTGTCCTTAGGTCACAAGATGTACTTGCCATTAGAGCGCGTCTGCCTAGGATTTTTAGGCCTTATTTCAAATTCAACGTCGAGCAGGATTGTCCATAAAATCTTTGAGAACGCGTGAAATCTTTCGAAGTCCCCAAAGGATTTCCACCTCGAAATGACATCAAGACCCACGGTGGGTCTCTCCCGCTCGCGCCCCGCAACGAGAAACGCGCTCTTGTCCTCCAAATCGCTCAGGCAGGTGAGCAGCCTCTGTGTGGACCCATCCCACCACGCTTCAGGGGCGCATAAGGGATACGAGGCGCTATAGAGCATGTTCAGCGAAGACCTCGTCGCTAAGATATTCTCCGAATACTATGAGATCATCGTGGATATCATTGTGCTTCCTACAGGATTTTCGTGAAAAAACATTGCTTTTTCTGTAACTTTCGTGTAAAATCCTAGGCAGACGCGCTCTATTGTCTACCTACAGTGCATACGAGCATGACGTCGTTCACCGCTCCCAACAGCGCTCAAGATGGAGAGCTCTGCTCATCGTTCATGCTCAAAGAGAGGCCCGACGCTGCACGGTAACGCGACGTTCGAATTTTCTCACGAAAATAGGTATGCGTGTGCATAGCAGGGTACGGAGTACTCTTGCAAAGTTTCAAACAGATTTGCGAAGAGAGGCGCGCGCTGCGCGCGCCAGAGCTCGCGGAGCTCTTTTCGAGTAATACCCGGAAAAAGATTTGTACTTGTTTACACGGCAAATCTAGGGCAGCCATCACGAACTCACGATTGCTCACGCTTCCCCTGCCTCGTACCTCGGCGGGGCCCCTGCGTGAGCAATAACATGTCTCTGAGGCGCCCCTTCGACTTTGCCGTCACTCCTTGCCTCTCATCTGTTAGAAAATTATGACAACCTTTCTTCTCATTGACGATTCTGCTCCGTGTTCAAAACTATCCTGAGCGCGTCGTGTTTAACGAGAGACGCGCTCGACAGCCAATTGCTCGCGCTGCGTTGCACCGTGCGCGGAGTTCGGATGCATCGGACCGTTTGTTTGTATATGTGTTCGTCCAGCCGGCCAAGGCAGGTGAGGGTGGAATTGGTTGGGTGTTTTAGGTTGACAGGTCCTGTACGTAGCACTACTCTACGTGCGTCGCTCTTCCCTTTGTTTCCCTCTCCCTCAGTCTTCGCACCCTCCCTGCCTGGCCGGTTGGGGAGGAGCCTGCCGAAGATCGGACTTTGCCGTAGCACGTGTTATCCGAACTCACTTGCGTCACGTCCTGTCACGCTGGTTCTTCTTCCAATCGTCCAGGCATGATGAACGAAGCCTCAATCTAGGTTAGAAGGATGCACTCCGCTCATCGAGACGAAGACTCCACAGCTATGAAAGTGCACACCTGACGCTGCATTCGGCAGCTCGTCTATCCCATGGACCTCCTTCATAAGTCTCGCCGGGTATTTCGCTGCGCCAATGACCTTCTGAGGCGCAAGGCGCGCCATGAAGTGAGCGAGTGTCCTCTTCTGCAGATAGTAGACATTCTATTCGACAAGACTGGTCAGCATGATATTGACAAGCGGTTCATAGAGGGACTCTTCCAAACCTACTGGGAAGAGTGATTGGACAGGGCCTACAGTATATACGTCTCCATTGAACATCTGTAGCCATATACAGTAGACTTCGACGCACGCTATGATACAGCACTACCGAAGTGCATCAGACTATACATCGTGACTGGGGGGGGAATATGGTCAGTGAAATATTTGAGGGGGGTCTGTGCCACCTCTCGCGCGCGTCGTGACGCGTGACCGCGCGCCTCATTTCCCCCATCACTCGGCTGCATACATGTCCTTCTACTTCCAGCATCCTGGACAGTTCACGAACGCACAGGATCAGGGCGCTGGGACCAACATGCAGCCGCAGCACAATGGCCTCGACTCGATAACTCTCGGCCAGCTGAAATCCCTCGTGGGGACCGTGCCGAAGCCCAAGGTGCGACGACGCGATCTGGTGCTTGAATAGGTGCTAACGCGCGACGTAGCAATGGTACTACGACTTCAACTACGATGATGAGGATAATGTGATGAATGAGATCGAGGAGTTCTACTCCTATGTCGAGATGCCGCAGGCGGCAGAGAATCTGAGGGCCTGGGAGGGATCGTTTGACGGAGGTGCGTTCGAAGTTGTGCGAGGCGATCCACGTGCTGATTCAGCTATTAGACTGGTTAAGCTCTACGCCGGAGCAGCGCAAGACACATGTCGAGTTTCTACTTGAAAGCTTGGAACACAAAGATCCCGAGATTCGCTTCACCAATGCGCGTCGACTATTCTACATCCTGCAAGGTGCGTTGCGGGTCCTTCGTTGCGCATGGTTAGCTGACAATTATTCAGGTACCTTCCGCGAGACTACGTCCCCCGAGCATCAACTGCATTGGATCTTCGAGAACTGTAAAGTCGTCCGGGGCGCGAACGGTGTCAGCACGATCGTTGAAGCCATGAAGATCGCCCAGTCCAAGCATGATTTCCTTTGGTGCGTCAGCATCCTTCCGCTTTATTTCACGATGCTGACAGCGCGAAGCGGGCTGCAGGACCAGGACCTCGAGCACTTCAACATCTCCGTTCAAGACAAGAACGACCTGGTGGAGGAAGTGACCACCGAGATCTCGGTCTACCTCGGCATGATCTACCACATAGTCGAGGTGTTCAAGGGACACGAAGACTTCGCGGATGAGCTTAGTGCGTTCGTCCAAGCTACTCTTCAAGTATACGCTGATGGGCCACACAGTGAGTCTCGACCCTCCGCTCCCGGTGTATCTGTGCAACGTCGTCGCGTCATTGAGGGACAAGTCGAACAAGGGCTACCCTATCAAGAAGGTGCGTAATCTTTCCGCCTGAGTCTTCGCGTCGCGCCGACGCTCCATTGTTCAGCTACTCCTCGTCTGCTGGAAGACACTACTCGCATGCTGCGGTGGTATACGCGACCACGCGCGCGTGAAGACGCTCGCCAGAGAACTTGCAGGTCTCCCCGAACTACCTGAAGAGAGTACGTATAGAATCCCTCCCTGTGCGCTGTAGCTCACATCGCGCAGAGATGCCCATCAAATCCGCACCGGAGGACATCGAGCAGTTCCACCAGGAGACGACCGTGAAGTACCCTACCTTCCAGCCGCAACCCGTACAGGCACCCATACCATACACACCCGAAATTATCAGCAAGCTTGCGCAGGCGCACGACGCCATCCCCGTGCGCCACCACTACCACCACGACGACATGGACCAGCAGCAGGCCTTCTCCGCCGGCGGTGGCCTCAATCAACAACCCGGCGGCTCCTACCGCAACCCCCAACCACCGACGCCCGCTCCCTCCCCGCCCCCGCAGCTCAAACCCAAGAAGCAGCAGTACCAGACCGACCAGAACCGGCCCTTCCTCTTCCCCTTCTCGAGCGTGAACAGCAGGAACCGGGACGGGTCGGTGCGGATGGTGCCGTACGCGATCGAGGAGGCAGAGATGCTGTACAACAAGCATCTGTATGTGAACTTGGCGACGTGGCAGATGTGGAAGACAAGGGAGGAGTGCATGAAGACGGAGAGCGGGCTGGAGCACTTGCCGGGCGGGGAAAGGGCAGAGAAGGAAAGGGAGGAGACGGCGACGACGTTCGAGGATGTGAGTGTGGGTATGGACGGGTATGAGAGGTCTGACTGATTGGGATGTAGGATGGCATTGAGGGCGAGGATCTCCCGGACGTGGCGCTGCTTGACGAGAAGATTGAGGAGACCGAGCAGGCCATCAGGGACGCGCAGACGACTGCTGACCGCAAGAAGGCCAAGCAGAGGAAGGAGGATCTGATGAGGCTCAAGCGGGTTGAGCAGATCTACGTACGGCAAACTTCTTTTCTGCCAAAATCCTGCTGACAATGTTGTCAGGCGGCTGTGCTCCCGGTCCTATCAAGCTGGGTACTCGTGTTACTCAAGCTGCTGCTTGCAGCTGTTTCCGCAAGCACGAACGCGCAGAACCAACCCTCAGGTTTCCCGCCAGGCGTTACTTCACGTGCGTAAGCTGTAATCATCATGAGTACTTCGGCTAACATGCTCTGTAGCGCCGTCAGAACAACCCCCACAGCCACCTATGCACCTGGACGAGATCGACGTGATTAGGCATCGAGAGATCACGTCGAAGGCAGTCTCCGCCATCCTCATTCTCATGCTCAAGTGGTTCAAGGTCTCTCGTGAGTATCGCTCATTTTCGTTGCGCAAGTAACGCTCACAGTCGCTTGTCAGACGCGATGAAGTTCCATCACCTTGGGCTTCTCCTGTTAGACTCGAACTGCCTACTTCTACTTCTGAAGATGTTCGGCTTGCAGGAGGTCAGCACGGCCGTCATCTCGAAGGCCGACTCTCCAGACAACAAGTGCGATACCCATCTATGACGTTCCTCCAGGCTCACGCTGACGCTTGTTTCTCACAGCTTCTTCCGCTACTGTCTCCTCAACTTCTCCAGCCGGCAGCAGAATGTGCGCCCAGAGGAGGAGATGATCCGCCCCTCTCGTCGCACCGAGCAGCGCGAGCGCGAGCTGCCCAATGGAATCCGGGTGCAGGAAGAGGTCGAGTTCGTGACCGACTACTCATGGCGCAACTTCTTCTCGAACATCAACTACGCGAAGATCATGCAGAAGCTGTCCAAACATCTGTCGTTCCGGATATGCATGTTGGTCACGTATAAGAGTTCGGTGAGTGGGTGGTGGTGATTGTGTCGACGGCGATGTTGCTGGTGGAAGGAAGCTCACGGACGTTGCAGGCGGTCTTGAAGCGCGTGTTGAGGGTGCAGCACCCGATGCTGCAGCTGTACATATTGAAGTTGATCAAGAGTCAAGTGCCGTATTGTGGGCGCAAGTGGCGGCAATGTAAGGTCGATTCCCGTTGTGGCGAGGTGGCGTTATTGACCTAGCTTGCAGCGAACATGAAGGTCATCACGAGCATCTACATGAGCATTCGGCCGGACTTGCGCGACGAGTGGCTGACGGGCACGGAGCCTGATGATGGGCAGGACCGACAGGTATGCCTTGGACCCTGCTACCTGCTACGACGTATTGATCAATTGTCTGCAGGTTCAAGAGCTCGCCCTGAAGCATCTGGTCAAGTTCTGTGGGTGCATGCTTAGACGTGTCCCGTGGGCATCGACTAACGTCTCGCAGACAACACTCGGCGCTATGGCTCCTCGGCGGTCGCGGCACATCAGAACGCGATGCACCGCCGCTCAGGGAGCATGTCCCACTACATCGAGGGTCTGCAGGGCGGCCCGGAAGGCATACCCCCGCCTCTTCCACACCTGGGCACTCCCAACGTCGTCGAGGCGGACGTCTTTCCCCCTGTGCGCTCTCAGGCGCCGGATCCGTCGATCTTCCTGCCATATATCCCTGAAGACATCGCGTTCGAGGAGGAATACGAGGAGTACCTCTCGGACCTCGGCTTCGCGGACGAGCAGACGTCGCACGAGGGCGGCGGTGGCGGGTCCGCGTGGTCCCGCCTACCAACGCTGGCGGCGCAGATGACGGAGGGAATCAGCGACAGCGAGAGCATCGGCTCCATTGGCGACCTCGGCGATGATTCGCGGTTGGACCCTTCGCGGGATGATCAGGAGCTCGTCGACGAGAATGTCAATAACTGGGAGGTGCGTCGATCTACTAATGATCTATGGATGCAAGCCTGACCACCATCTCACAGCACATGAGCCCGAAGACGATGGCGGCGCTGCCGAAGTCACCAGCACGGTCACCAGCTCGTTCGCCAGCGCGGTCGCCTGCTGGGCGAAGGCATAGCAGCAGTGGGAACGGTCTCCGGCCGGTCATACCGTTCGCGCTGGACGATGACACCCCGTTGGACTTGGCAGAGGAGGAATTGGAGGAGGAAGAGCTTGGACCTATGCCCAAAGAGCAGACTGACGGGCCGTTTGCATCGGGAGCTGGTGTGGATGAAGTGGAATATGCGTATGGGGTGTAACATCTTCGCAGTTGTACGAGTCAGATCGATGCAGATGGTGGAATGGATATATTGAAGCCATATTGTACTGTACGCTCATGGAGACGCTGCGCGTACGTACGGACCCGATGGCGGATGGCGCGGAGCAGTCATAAAATCAGCGTTAGAAGTGATCTGCTGGACGTGGCTCGCTGCTCGGACTAGTGATTGTCCTGCGGAGATTTGGATGTCATCCTATACGTAGATCGAATGCCAACCGTCTCCAAGGCGATTCGGAGCACGGCAACTGCTGCACCTAGTAAGGGGGGGGGGGGTCAATCGCGAATGACCGGTGAAGCAAGCGACTATCCGCATTGTATTGACGTAGATACAGCTGGCAGATACTTGTGTGAAGTGCGCCGGAAAGGATACTTGTGGTTGCTGGCAAACGAGGCGAGGATGTGCGATTGAAGTTGGCTAAGGCGACCTCGAGTATGAGCGGCTTGTAGAGCAGAAACTTGCGATGGCAGCCTGATGAATCGAGGGGAAGGGGCCATACCATAACCAACCTTTCGCTGCGTTGATTCAGTTGGGTGTTCGAAGAGAAGGCCGCGAGTTTATACTCACAAGTACAGGACAGCGTCTCGCGTCACCGAGAGCAGTGGATCCAGTCTTGAGTTCTCCTGGGTCTATGTTCGAGCAGGGGAGCATGTCTGGCAACGTGAGGGGCAGAAGCACAGCAACTGAAGAAGAACGTCGATGGGGGAAAGCCGGCTACAAGGAAGAGATCATGAGAAGAGGGCTGGGAAAGGAGGGCGTCCACTATGTCGCCGGAGCACACGTCCTCGGCGACGACGACGTCGAGGTTGTGCAGCGACAAGCGTCCAACGCTGGGGTACCGTGAAAGCGACGTCCTTTGTTTACAAGTTTGCGGACGTTTTGACGAAGTTGTTTTTCGCTGTCTGCGGCAATTTGGCTTCGTCGTCCAGGCCGGCCACAACGTACCCAAACAGACCACCTCTTTGCAATACACGATCGTCGCGCTCGCCGTCGCCCGCATCGTCTTGCTCGTCGTCGCCGTCGTCGCCCCCAATGAACATGGCCCGTGCGCACGATCAGGAAAGTCGCACGGGCGGCTGACATAAGCAGTCGCCTGGCGGCGCCAGCCCGGCTTGACCTTCTCGACCTTTTTCCCAACGTCCAGCACACCCCCGCTGTCGCCCGTTCGCGTCTGCCACCCTTCCCAACACCATCCACCCATACCTTGTGAAGTGAGGCGATATGGCGACCCCCGGGCAGCCTGGCATGCCGATGATGGCAGACCCGAATATGAATCCCGAGTACTTTCAGCAGCAGCCACCCCCTCCAGGCCAGCCACAGCCAGGCGAGGACTTGACGGGTGGCTTACCGATCAACCTCGACTCCTTGAGAGACGGTCCGCCGGGGAGCAAGCCCTTTTACCCATATTCGACGCTTATTCGGTGCGTGCGGTCGCTGTTCCATCCCGCGGGATGGACAACGCATCGCATAGCTAACGGTCATGTTACAGCTACGCGATCAAGGGCTCCCCCAACCAGAAGCTCCTCCTCGAGGACATCTACTACGCCATCGAGTCCCGAGTGCGTATATGCGGCGAGATCAAGCGTGTGCAAGCGCTGACGTGGCCACAGTTCCCTTACTTCAGAACGGCACCCAGCGGCTGGAAGGTGAGCGAGCACACGTTTGAGCATCTCGTGGATGTGGTTGTGGATGAGTGCACTGCGCGTGATCGCGTTTCTCATCGCCGTTGTTTTTGTTTGAGTGGCTTTATTTGTTGTCCATCGTTTACGATCTCCCCGCGTCTTGCCCTGATACTGACTGGGGTCGATAGAATTCTGTCCGTCACAACCTCTCGCTCAACCCATGCTTTGAGAAAGTTCCGCGTCCGCTCACCGACCGCGGCAAGGGATCCTACTGGACGGTGAACGATAATGTCGACCCGCGCACTGGTGTGCACAGGGTGCGCAAGAAGAAGGGTGGCAAGGGCAAGAGCCGCGGAGACTCTGTCGAAGCCGATCAGGATTACCACCAACACGCCGAAGCTGGCTACGATCCCCAGCAATACGTTCAACGTCCTGAAGATGGCGGCTCCCCAACTCAACCACCTCCTGCCCCTTACCCCTATCCTCCGTGAGTCACCGTCTGGTCGACGATCAACACAACTCTGAACTTTCCTCTCAGTTTCGACCCAAACTTCATGATGGGCATGCGCTTTCCACCAATGGGCGGACCTATGCCCATTTCACCCGAAGAAGGGCTTGAACTTGACGAGAACGGCAACGTTGACTGGAGAGCGGCGTGGCTCAAGGAGATCGGTCACCTGCAACAAGTCACCGCAGAGCAGGAGAAGGCCGGCGTGGACGCAGAGTGGTATCGGATGATGCTATACCGCGTTAGGACAGCGCTCATGCCGCCCGTTGCGGTAAACCCGGACGGTACCGTCATGCATATCCCGCCCCCTCACCTTGCGCCGCCGCCGCCAGCCCCCGCACCGCCTGCAGACGGACAGCAGCAACCGCAGACGGCGCCACCGCAGTGATCCTACTTTTCTCACCCTCGTGAACCCAGGTCCTGTATCGCTTGTCCTTCGCTTTCTACCGCTTCGCTATGGATGCTTTTCGGAATTCGTACCACCTGTGATGATGTGCCTTGTACCGTATCGTACTCTTCTTACCCAATCCTCTCGTCCCGCAGAAGACCTAGGAGCGCCGCTTACAGATGCTGATCGTGCAGCCTTGTCATAGTCGTGACCCTTAGCGAATCATCGATCCTATGTTGCTGTTGTTGTCTATACACGTCGTGTATAATGAAAGAAAGATCTCAACAAGGTCCTCACCCAGCAGACAAAGTGACCGAGCACGACGCTCTCGCCCGGAACAATGCGCTGAACAGTGCACTCGAACGGTCCCCAGTGTCCCCACCTGCGGCGACCCCGCGAACGACTCACGAGGCTGGATCGGCCGATGCGGTAGGCCGGGATGCGGCCGAGGCCCTTAGTCAGATTAGATACTCCCATTTGCGGGTTTGCGGAGTCTTGTCATTCGACCACGGAAATTTATATGCCGCTGTGAAAAGTCCCGTCCAATCGTACCCTCTCCCCGTTGTCATCCACCATCATGTCCCCGTCCGCCGTATACGAGTCTGCGCCGTCGAACGGATCGACGAGCACGAGCGCGATCCCCGCAGCCGTGCCCTTGAAGGGCAAGGCGCTCGTCATCGGTTCCCCAGCCACTGCAGCAGATGGGAGATTCCAGACCCTTGTGACGGAGCTTGAGGCCAGCCGCCCGGTTGAGCGCCAGATGTTAGATCGCCTAGTGGATGGAGGTGCGTGGGGTGGTAGTGGATGCCATGAGCAGCGTCGCTGACCTGCATCACCAGCGACGACACTGGAGCCATCGTCATACGGCTCTGCGCACATCACCCTCGCACCAACTGACTACCAGAACCTCCTCCCCCAGCTGCCCAGCTTGCTCTCGCAGCTGCTGTCCGGCCTGAGCCCACTGGGCACGCTCCACCTCCTCCACCTAACCGAGGCCTTCAAGACGCTCCCCACGGAGCTGACGCTCGCCGGCTTCAACGTCCTCACCCCCACCATCACCCCCGACGGCGCGCTCATGGCGCAGAAGCCCGCGCACGCGCCCGCCGCGGCGGTCTCCCTCGCCTCCCGCCCGCTCGCGCGCAAGAAGACGGACCCCGCGGCCAAGAAAGCACTCTGGTCCCTCTCCGCTCCCACGACGCCGAAGATCGACGCGGACGCGCTGCTGACCGACGCCGACCGCGCGCGGCCCGCGGCGTGCGCGCCTGCGTCGGCCTCGGGCCCCAAGCGGAAGCGCGCGTGCAAGAACTGCACGTGCGGGTTGAAGGAGCTCGAGGAGGAGGAGGTGCGGAACAGCAAGGTGGTGATGATGAACGCGACGGGCGAGGGGCTCGTGGAGGTGTCGCAGGGCGAGAAGGAGCGGCTGGTGGCGGCGGCGAAGGCTGCGCCGAAGGCGACGAGCAGCTGCGGGAACTGCTACCTGGGAGACGCATTCCGGTGTGCGAGCTGCCCGTACCTTGGTGCGTTGATCGGACTCTGGTTTTTGTTTGTATGCTTACCCTGCTTCAGGCCTTCCTGCATTCAAGCCTGGCGAGAAGGTCGAGATCTCCCTCGGCATGGATGACATTTAGATTTCCCTCGTACCCTCACCCTCATCACTGGCTCCTCGTATGAGCCTTCTGTATCTGTAAAATGCATTGTAGCTTTGTAGTCTGCTATATACCGCGAGCGTACGCCGCTGTCGCCCTTCTGCCTTCAGTGCTTGTCCGCCCACCTTCTCCACTGCTTGTCAATCACCTCCTCTACTCGTCTTCATTCTCCACTGCTCGAAGTGCTCGTGTACATTGCTCCGCGCGCGCCACCCGGCACGTTGCTCGGCCCGATCAGTGCGTGCAAGATGAGGCTGCTCTCTCGTTCTGCCGTCATCTACGCGCTCGCTGCTTGTCTCCAACTCCATCCATCTATGCAGGCTAACTCGGGCTGACTGACTCTCCTCGTCTCTTCCGAACTCTCCTTCTCTGTTTCTCGAGCGATAGATCGACGAAGAACGTTACCATGAGCAACAATGGTGCGCGCATATCCCCGTCCTGCAGCACCTCCAACGTTGATGAACGCATCCTCATCCTTGTTTCGCACCTCACAGACGCGTCCGTCAAGCTCAACCCCACCGTGGACTTCCTCGCCGGCAACATATCTGTGCGTTCACATTCCAGCGGCCTCTCGGAGCGCCCTCACCATCCCCAAGTGACCGATCCACTGAACACATTCCGTGAACGTAGGGCATAGCAGGGCTAGTCGTCGGATATCCCTTCGATACCGGTGCGTATCGGTGCTGCTCGTAACGCGCTTAGTACGACGTCGAAGCTAATCAGAAGTCTACAACTCACAGTCAAGGTCCGCTTCCAGACGCCCGAGTACCAGTCGCGGTATAACTCAACGTTCAATGCGCTGACGACCATCGTGCGCGAGGAGCGCTTTACGGGGCTCTTTAAGGGTATTATGTCGCCGATCGTATGCGTCTTCCTTGCCATCGCAGTACTGAGCTTCGATTGACGCGCTCATCAGGCGACCGTAGCTCTGATGAATGGCCTCGTATTCGCGTCGTACCGCTTCTTCATGAAAATCCAGCTAGAAGACGCGCATTCCGTGCCCACGTTGTGGCAGATCTTCCTCGCTGGGTCTGGGAGCGGGATCGTGTCGTCGTGAGTTGAATCCTACTCGCTGTAGATGAGCGCGTCACACTGACGGTATCATTCAGCATAATCACGACGCCGACGGAGCTGGTGAAGATCAGGCAGCAGGCTTTGTCGACGCGAACGTCTACGCCGAAGGTCGCTCTTGCCATATTGCGGGAGACGGGCCTGAGAGGCTTATATCGGGGCATCACTTCGACGGCCTTGAGAGACATTGGGTACGGGCACTACTTTGTTGCGGTGAGTTGAGAGTTCGACGGTTCTGTCAAGACGTTACTCATGTGCAACTCGTTTAGTATGAGGCGACCTGTCGCTACTTCGCCACACCGAAGACCGTGGTTCGGGATACCGACCACTCGTCTATCATGTCCGAGGTCGAGGAGATTAACGAACTCTCGTGGCCCGCGCTTCTCCTCGCGGGAGGGGCAGCTGGTATAGGTGAGTCAATCGCCTTCCTCACCCCGTTCCTCTCTAACCCATCCCCAATAGCCGGCTGGATATTCACCTTCCCCTTCGACGTTATCAAGACCCGGATGCAGAGCCCGCCGCAACAGACGCAGAGTTCCTCCCCAACGCATAATGCTTCTGGGGCAGCTGCTCCGTTGTTGGACAGGCCTGCGGCGTATCCATATAGGACGACGTGGTCGACGATCTTGCATTCCTATCACACGGAGGGGATGGGGGTGTTCTTCAGGGGGTTGGCACCTACTTTGATACGGTACGCGCCACTCTTTCTTATGTTGACATGAGGTACTGATGCTGTGCTCCAGCGCTGTCCCCGTCAACATGGCGACCTTCGCCACTTTCGAAGCAGTTGTGCATACTCTCTCATAGTTTAGGCGTAGTCTCACATAGCTAAGGCGTACTACCTTCTAATCAATAAATCGATCGCAGCACGCTCGAAGGTGCCGACTGCACTCTTCAAGTCACTCGATTGATGCTGGATAATGAATGCCAGGCCCTGGGGTACCATCAAGGATTTGGGTTTAGGCGTACTGGCTATACGCGGCACGAGCGGCACTTGAGCTTTGACAGCAATGGCTGTGGACTAGCGAGTCTTGGTACTGCGTAGCTATCTGCTGCGTGATGAACGAGTGGCCACTGGCCAGTCGAGACGGGGTCACGGGATCGCGTAGCGTGCAAGGGTCGGCAGCTGCCGGATTGTCTTGGACGCGACCGTCATGTCCCATCCTCCTCTTGCCACGATGCACGTCGACTTGCCCGCAACTCAGTCTGGCATGCACACGCAGGCTACGCATCGCTGTCTCTTCATTCCCGAAGTGCTGGCACTCATCTGCGAAGCCTGCATCGATCCGCCAGACGTAGACTCTGTTGCCGCGAGAAACAGAGGGATGCGCTCGCTCGTGAGGCTGGCGAGAACCTGCAAGACGATCTACGCCGTCGCGATTCGGTGCATATGGCAAAGTGTGACGGAGATCGCGATATTGGCAGAGTACACCATGCCTGGGTGCTGGGAGATCATCAGGGACCACCCCGAAGTAGATGAGGGGGTCCCGAGCTCTGTGATCGTGAGTGCGACACTCCTTGTGCCGTCTCGCCTGGCCGAGTCTCCGCGACTGTATGTGACAAAGGCTCTTCGCAGTTGCCAGCACGGTCGATACAAGAAGAGGACCTCAAGCGCTTCCGCTTCCATGCGGCATTTGTCAAGAAGATGTCGTTTGGGGGAAGCGACTGGCCAAGGCTCTTCGTTGACGACTGCATCATCGCGCTGTGTCTCACGGCGACCGGCCCCCTCCTCCCGAACCTCACATATATTGCATGGGATGTGGAATTGAACCTATTCTACCTCCAATACTTCGCCTCGCCTACAACCCTCGAGCTCCGCATTAATGGGGGGTCTCTGACGGTCGGCGACGCGTACATCTTGCGATCTACTCCTCGGTGGTTTCCTAACCTAACAGACCTCTATGTGGGATACAGTTCATCGTTGGCGGACGGGGCGAAGCAAGCTATCGACATCCTCGGGAAAGCCATCTGCGGTTGGAAGCTCCGGAAGCTTGAGACGTCGCACATCAAGGAAGAGGCGCTCCGGAGGCTCGCCGAGTTGCCCTCCCTCTGCGTCCTCACCTTGGAGGGAGGGCCAGTACAGATTGGGCGCGCGGTCAACGCGTTGTTCGGCAACCCTCAGGGTCCCCGTTTGGGCTTCCTTCAATTGTCAGAACTGGTGGTGAAGACCCCGGGATTACGGCTAAGGCATGCCGGCTCGCGGGACTGCTGCACGTTTCCTGCCTTGGAAACCCTGGAGCTGGGATTATTGCTGGATCCATGGCAAGCTACCTTTATGCAGATAAGCAACCTCTGTCCATCCCGTCCTCGCCTGCGTCGACTTGTATTGGAGGACGAAGACCACCCTGCCGCGGGCGTCTCGCAACCGATACCGGCAACGGACATCAGGCTCTTAGGGCCGTACACACACCTAGAGGAGTTGATTCTCACTTCCATCTACGGATTCCACGTAGACGAAGCTGACGTCTTATGGATCGCCAGATCGTGGCCCAAGCTCCGCGTGCTGCACCTGCGACCGAAGTACAGGCAACGCGACGATGCGCGCCGGCGCATACCGCCGCTGCACGCGCTGCGACATCTCGCCCGCCATTGCCCCCGGCTCGCGGACCTTGCCATCGAGGTGGACGCGACCGCTGTCCCGCTTGCGGAGGCACCGACGGACGCAGTGCAGATGGAGCTCCGCCTGTGGCGCGCCGGCTGGTCGCCGATTACAGCACAGAGCGTCCCGTACGTCGCAGCGTACCTCTCGACGGTCTTCCCCTGCGTCCAGAACATCGTCTCGACCATGCCCGGCGCCACCTTGCATGTACCGGAGAACCTGAATTGGCGGGAGGTCTGCAGCCTCATTCCAGTCTTCAACGCCGTTCAGGGACATGCGTACAGACGCCTCATGCACGGAAGCGCGGACAGCGGTGAAGTGATCAAGAGGATGGTAGGCCTTGTAGAGTGATGGGCAGCTACTCTGCGGATGAATTCTGCCCGCGGATGGACTATGCCCGCCTGTGTTGGCAGTTATGCCTCGCGCGCCTTTCTTGCTGTACGTTTCCTGGATTACCGCCATAGATCTGCTCGGCTGATTCGCCTGAGCAGTTGAGAATATATACCCTGTTGCTGGTGAATTTAATCAGAGTCAGACTACAACTTCTTCGTCGCGTTCGGTGTGAACGCGTCACGTCAGGTGATCGCGCTGTGTCGCGGGTGTCAGCGCGAGACGTCGACGCGAAGGCGGCGGATCGGCGATGTCGATGATGGAGCGAAGACTAGCGCTTGACAGCCCCGAAGTATAAAGACACACTCGCCCACGTTCTGCGCTCCGTACTCGCCACCATGCCGCCCACGCCCTTCGCCCTCGTCACGCCCGCGACGCGCGGGCTGTCGCTCGCCCTGGCGCGACAACTCCTCCAAACGACGAACTTGCCCCTCTTCGCCACCCACCGCTCCGGCACGGGCGACGAGCTCAAGCAGCACGTCCTCGCGCCCCTAAAGGACGTCGACCCCGCGCGCCTGCACCCGCTCCAGCTCGACCTCACCGACGAGGCGTCCATCGAATCGGCCGCGCAGACCCTCGCCGACACCCTACCTTCCGACGCCTACCTCGACACCGCGTTCTTCACCGGCGGCGTGCTGCACCCCGAGAAGCAGCCCGCGGACCTCGACCTGTGGAAGATCACGGAGAGCTTCCAGATTAACACCATTTCGCACTTGCTCATGATCAAGCACTTTGCGCGCTTCGTGCCGCCGGCGGTGAAGAACAAGGAGGACATCCCCTTGTCGAAGTGGGTGCATGTGTCTGCGAGGGTGGGCTCAATTAGCGACAACCGCTCCGGCGGGTGGTACTCGTACCGCGCGTCGAAGGCGGCGCTGAACCAGGTCATCCGCACTTGGGACTGGCAGCTGCGCATGCAGAAGAAGCCGGTGATCTGTGTGGGTGTGCATCCGGGGACGATGAAGACGGAGTTGAGCAGGGCGTATTGGGAGTCGACGGCGAAGGAGAAGTTGTTTGACCCAGAGTACAGCGCGCAGAAGCTGGTGGAGGTGGTGAAGAATTTGAAGCAAGATCAGAGAGGGAAGGTATGGGATTACAAGGGCGAGGAAGTACTACCATAGACGAGAAGACCCTTCGTGATCGGACAAGCACTGTAACATAGCAAAGCACGAGCACTTGGCACAGCACACACCTACCTGATAGGCAACCAAATCAATGGACTGAGGACTGCATGCAGCGATGATGAATGAGTATGTCGACCACCGGTCGAACATATGTGACGATCAGTTTCCACTATAAACAACGCCGGATATACAAGAACTTCTGGTGTGAAGTACGAAGATCGAAGTAAGTATGCAAGCGGGTGGGTATGAACGCATCCACCGCGCCCTTCACCCCCAGTAGTTCAATCAAGTCCCAAATGATAGTAAGGCGACGGCCTGAGCTTTACGCAGCGACCGCGATGGTCTGGCCCATCGTCATCTCCTCGACGGGGAGCTTCAGACCGCTAGACTGCTTCGGCGCCAGCGGCGCAATGGGCGTGCCCTCAAGGGACTGGCCGAGCCGCTTCGCCTGGATGTGAGACGGGATGGGGCCGAGGAGCCAGTCGAAGCGCGAGCGCGCGGCGACCACCGCATCGTGCGACACCTCGTTCGGCTGGCCGTTACGGAGGGTGAGCGGCGCGCTGCCGTCCGCCAGGCCAACCTGCTCGTCCGTCCAGATGGGCTCGACGAAGTCCTGGCCGCCGGGGACGCCGACAGACGCGCGCCCGCCGAGGCGCTTCCAGTCCTGCACGCGGTTGATGTTGAGCTCGTTGAAGACCTGGTCGACGGCGCCGATGAGGTGGTCCATCTGCTCGAGCGTGTGGCGCTGGGTGACGGTGATGCGGAGGCGCTCCTCGCCGCGGGCGACGGTCGGGTAGTTGATAGCCTGGACGTAGATGTCATGCTCCGCAAGAAGCTTGTCGGACGCCTGCTTCGCGAGCGCGGCATCGCCGACGAGGACGGGGACGATGTGGGAGGGACCCGGGACGACGGGGATGTCGAGCTCCGCGAAGCGGCGCTTGACCTCGCGCACGTTGACCTGCTTGAGCTGACGGTCGCCGAGGTACTCCTTCTGGTAGACGACGCTCGCCTGGGCGCCAGCGACCGTCGCGGGCGGGAGGGACGTCGTGAAGATGAAGCCAGGAGCGTACGACCGAATCATGTCCACAAAGCGGGCCGAGCCGGCGATGTAGCCACCGATGGCGCCATACGACTTGCCCAGGGTGCCCGTGATGATGTCGACGCGGTCCATGACGGTGCCCGGGATAGCGTCCGGGCTATCACCGGCGGCCTTGTGCAGGTCGTAGTCGAGATGCTCGGCGACGCCGGCCCCGCGGGGTCCGTACAGGCCCACAGCGTGCACCTGGAGCGTTCTTAGAACAATGACCCTTATGAGGAACAATAGAACGTACCTCGTCGAGGAAGGTGATAGCACCGTATTTCTCGGCGAGATCGCATATCTCCTTAATAGGGCCAATGCTGCCGCACATGGAGTACACGCTCTCGAACGCGATGATCTTGGGAGTCTCCTTCGGGTACTCCGCGAGCTTCTTTTCGAGATCGGCCAGGTCATTGTGTTCGAAGATGACCTTCTTGGTGCCAGAGTGCCGGATGCCTTGAATCATGGACGCGTGATTCATCCTATCAGAGAAGATAACACAACCCGGCATCTTGGACCCGAGAGTGGACAGGGTAGCGTCATTGGCAACATAGCATGACGTGAAGACAAGCGCGCCCTCCTTGCGATGGAGGCGCGCCAACTCCTGCTCGAGACTGAGATGGAGGGCACCGTTCCCAGCGATGTTGCGGGTACCGCCGGCGCCATGGCCGTATTTGTCGAGGACGCGGCTGCGATCATGATGAGAAGAGGCGTATGTGAGGGAGATGGGGGACGTACTGCATAGTCTCCAGGACTACCGGATTTCCACCCATACCAAGATAGTCGTTGGAGCACCAAACCTCGACTTCATCGGTAACCTTCGCGGTGTGGGCCGTCGGGAAACGGGCCGCGAGGCGGTTGATGTTGTTGAAGTAACGGTACGACTTGTCCTGGTGCTTCTTGTCGAGCTCCTCCTCGTAGAACTTTTCATAGTCGAAGCCGCCGGCCGCCCTGGGAGACTTGCCCTTCTTGTCTGCGGTAGCAACGGTCTCCTTCGGGGCGGCCGCCGGCTTGGCCTGAGCCTGCGCCTGAGCGGCATGGAAGGGACATCCCCCAGCCTTCTTGGCAGGCTGCTGCTTGCTGGCAGCCGCGGCGGCGAGGTCCTCAGCGATGCGCGCGGCGTCACGGGCCGCCTTCGCGTGGGGGCACATCTCGACGGTAGCGTTCGGGGGAATGGTGATGCCCTGGTCCTGGTGGATCTTCTCGACGTCGGCCTGCCCGGCAACGCTCGCGTAGCCTGCGGCGAGCTGCTTGCCGCGCACGTCGAGCGCGGGCCCCATGACGGGGCACTTGGTCGCGCGCTCGGTGAGGGCGGAGATGGCGGGGAAGCGGGGGGACGAGGAGGTGCAGAGGGAGCGCAGCTGGGAGGTCTGCGTGCGCTGGAGGAACGGGCAGAGCGGTTTGAAGCTCGACAAGGTCGAAAGCCGGGACATGATGGCGGGAGGGAAGAACGGGTGGGGTGAAGTCCCGTGTTTTCCTTATAAACGGCCAAGTTACCGTCGGACACTCGGGCGGACGAAAATCAAACCGCCGCAATTGGCTGAGGTGACCGCACACGTGATGCTGCCGCCGCACCGATCGGGTCACCCGGCAGCCTCTTTTGGTAATCTTTGTTGCGGTCTGGCCACACAAAATCGGGGCCCAACGGAGCCCCAGCATGTCCCCCTCACGTACATCAATCACTCCTGCGCAGACTGGACTCGCATCTTCCCTGAAAAGTGGGAAAACCGGGGGACGGAGCGAGCAATCCAGCATTGCGCTCGTATCGCTCCCGATGCCGAGCTACCGGGCACCGCCGTTCGTTCATTCAATGACGCCCTCTCCGCGGAGAAGAACGGCGGGTATGATGCAAGCCGTCTACCCACCGGCCAACCTATTCGGAATGCGACAAGCCCACTGACTTCCACGTCCCTTGGTATCCTGAACCAGCTCATCTGTGTGCGTCAAACGACCACTGCTGCCATCGCGGAGCCGTAAGGGTAATTTGGTATGACAAGTCAAAGGAAGGGGTGTAGTCAACTCTAGAAATTCATTCTCTCGCACGCACCGACGGGTGTGCATCTTGCTGTCGTCCTCGAATATCAAGACCACCTCATCCATACTTTACTTCCCAATAGAATACCATCGTATTCATGGCGCACATTCGCTACGTGTGAAGTCAAGAGGCTCGGTGAAGATTATAACAGAGAGTGCGCTCACCAGAGCAAACGGTCGCGCAAGATGAGACTCACGTCTCGAGGAACGCAAAAGATATCGCAGACCGGACTTGGAGGCTGCCTGGACACATTCTAATTCTGTTTAAATATGTGCCGCACATATCACAATCAAAAGGCCTTCAGCGAGATGCTGTCTGCAGAATTCCCTGTTCTCTCACGTACATCGCAGGCAAGATCAGCGACCCCACGGGTACGATGAAGAATAGCTGTCAATGACAGACGCAACCGTCGATGCGGGGCATCGCAGATATCAAACGACCGCATCGCGAACGGGGAATAGAGAGAAGCTGCAGTCATTGTAGGAGCGATGTGAACGGCCTGCGTCCAGGGCAGTGAGTCAAGGGAACTTGACGTGCTAAGGACGGCGCAGGACAGGGATCGAGGGGGGATACTGCTGATGACACAGCCCACCGCAAGCCCGTCAAATCCTTGCGTAGTGGAGCTTTGGGGGAATTGGACTAGCGCGAAGAGGGCACGTAGAAACGGCGTCATGAAGGTCAAGAGCAAGATGAATCGGATGGAGCGCCTCCTCGGGATTTGCCGCGCGCCCTTCGCCCAAAGCAGGACCTCAAAGGCTGGTCGTCACTTGAAATTGCAGCGTAATTCTTCCTCGTTGCTTTCGAACCGCCCAAAATGGGTTCCCCTTACGAGGTTACCCCGGAGGACGCCCGTTTTCTGTGATTCTTACAATCTCCCTCCCTCCGAGCCGAACCACCGGCGGAACGCTCCTTGCGGATGATCAACTGGCTTGCCAAGGGACCACGCTACAGCCTGTCTACCCACCGGCCAGCACCTTAACGTTACTATAGCTGGCCGAGCACGCTCTCCAATACATCCACCGCGAAATCCACGTCCTCCCTGGGAATGTTAAGACTGGGCACAAGGCGCACCGCGTCCTTCCCCGCCGTAAGCACGAACACGCCCCGCTCGCGCGCCATCTCAACGACCTTCCCGGGGTGCGCCGGGTCCTTGAACCCCAGCCCGAGGATTAGCCCGCGTCCGCGAATCTCTGGCTGCAATACAGTGGGGAAGTACCCGGGTAGCTTCTGCAGCCGGCTGACGAGGTGTGCGCTCGTCTCCTGCACCTGCTTCGCGATGTTCTCGCTGGAGAGGCGGCTGAGGACGTGGAATCCCAATGCGCAGGCGAGCGGGGAACCGCCAAAGGTCGTCCCGTGGGTGCCTGTGGGAATATGAGGTGAGAAGGTGTCGGTGGCCCGGCTATTGTAACGGGAGACGGCAAGCAACAAACACACCTGCGGTCATCACCTCCGCGACCGAGTCGCGCATTAGCACCGCGCCGATGGGGTAGCCGTTGGCGAGCGGCTTCGCCATCGTCACCGCGTCCGGGTGGCAGTCGAGCGGCAGCTTCGAGTGCGCCCATATGGAGCCCGTCCTGTAGAGGCCGCACTGAAGGGGGTACCTGCGTCAGATCCGAGGATCGGTATAGATGGATGGGCATGACTGACCTGAATCTCGTCGTAGATGAGCACCGCGCCGACTTCGTCGCACCGCTTGCGCAGGGCGCGCAGCCACTCCTCGCTCGCAGCGTTAATCCCGCCCTCGCCCTGGATCGGCTCGACGATCACCGCGCACGTATCCTCCCCTATCAACCCCTCCAGCCCGGCGACATCATTCAGCTTGCCCACATCCACGCCCGGAATGAGCGGTGTGAACGGCTTCTGGTACTTGGGGTTCGTCGTGACGCTCAGCGCGCCCATGCTGCGGCCGTGGAAGCCCTGCTCGAAGCACACGATACGCGTCTTGGCGCAGCCGCCGTCCTCCCAGGAGCGGCCAGTCTTTGCGGCCCAGCGCTCCTTGCCGACCTTGCGCGCGATCTTGAGCGCGCCCTCGTTCGCCTCGGTGCCCGAGTTGGCGAAGAAAGCCTTGGCCCCGACGCTGGGATCGCTCAGGCCGAGACCTCCTTCGCGCCGAGTGAGCTCGACGAGGAGCTCTGCAAGACGCGGGGCCCACTCGTTGTGGAAGACGTTGCTGGTATGTAGGAGCTTTGAGGTTTGCTCGGTGATGACCTTTCCAAAATTCAGGAGTAGATCATGCGTGAAGACGATCCTTCATACCTTCACGAACTCCTCATCCCCATGACCCAGAGCATTCACCGCGATACCCGCGCTGAAGTCGACATAGCATCGGCCGTCCGTGTCCCAGACCTTCGATCCCTTCCCGTGGCTGAGCACAAATTGCGGGCGGGCGTAGACCGGGAGGAGGTACTTTTCTCCCGTGGCTAGCGTGTCGCGGACGCTAGGGGAAGGCGCGGAGGGGGTATGGGTGGCGGCAGTATAGCGCGTGCTTGGGCCGGACTAGAGAGATTGGCGTACTAGTATTAGTACGGATGGGAAGTGATGAGAAGGGGAACGCACCTGAGCCCGGACTGAAGTGCTGAATCGCGCGGCGCCCGTGCGCGACGATCGCTGAAGGGTGGAGAGGGAAGTAACGGCGCGCTTCATTTTCGTAGTTATCGAGGGAGAGGAAGAGAGGAGGACGCGAAGGCTTCAGACAGGTGCTAGATATAGTATCTGGTCCTTATACTTCGCCGCCGCCTGCAGGGTGAATCGAGTCACAGAAGTCGAGGGATTTGCGCGAGTCAAGGTGTGAGGGAGATAGGAGAAAGTCCTAGTATGACTCGAGTCTTTCTAAGCGTAGGAACTCGATAGCAGGTGTGCGGGAAGGTGTGGAAAGACGGAAGCAGGGGGAGAAGGCGCCCAAGAGCTCTGATGGGCGTCTAAATGCAAGGTGCGACGCCTCAAAAATCGTGCGATAAGATAGCGATAAGATTCGGCAGCGTCGGCCGTGTGCATCCGGAAGCTGCGGGCCGCAAGTTCAACTTGTCCTTGACGCTCACCGCCGTCTTCGCCTTCGTCCTAACCATCACTTCGTCGCGTCTCACATTTTGTCAAGAGCTAGATCGCACTGCGCTATGAATATAACTTCCCATATACGCAATAGCGCTCGCCCACCTAAGTCAGGCGCAGGCTTGCGGTGCCAACGCCAAAAATTTGACCAACAGACGGGGAAGGGAGGTCAATCATGCTGACCCATAACATTCCAAGGGCTTTACTTACAACGACAAGATTCCTGCCAAAGATGACTGTCTATAGTACTGATCCTGTCATGTCGATGGGGATCATTATCAACGCCGCACCATTGACGCATCCCGAACGCCTTCTTAGGTGCTGGTAGGAGTAGGGCAGACAGCACCATTTCCAAACAACACCCAGTATACTCTTAAGGCACCCGCATCCACTCTCTGCTGTGGCTCGTGTAGCAAGGGCTACGGCGATCTGTTCGCATCTTAGCTTCATCTCTTATAACTCCCAAGGATAGCACCTCAAAGCGAGGGTAATGAATACACGACTAGGTACGTCCTTTAAATGATCGCAATCTTCATACACTCGTGAGAACGAGGCCGTGAACGTATATAAGAACATGGAGCCACGACACCTTTGTGCTAACCACCGCGCCCATAGATCATATCGCGCATGTTCCCAACGCTGCTCCTCGCAGGCACCGTCTTCATCGTAGTGCTGTTACGCACGCTATGGAGGTACCTCACATCACCCACCCGATATCTACCAGGTCCATCTCGAGGGCGCCATCTTCTCGTGGGGGCTTACAATGAATTATGGGCATACAAGGCAAGCAGCACTTCTTCCTCTTCGCATCTTATTTGTATCATCCCGCTCACCGATAGGCATAGCGTGGACCCACCATCTGCATGGACAAGTGGTTCGAGCGCTATGGGAGCGTCCTCAAGTTTCCGGCCACCCTCGGCGTGAGCTCACTTCAGGCTGTTTTACGCGCAGCGACGGTAGATGGGCGCTGACGATGTGATAGACAGATCGCATCATGACGATCGACCCCAAGGCGCTCGGCCACATCCTCGCGCACGATGAGGTATACCAGAAGCCGGCGGGATCGCGGTTCAATCTGGCGCAGACAATTGGGCCTGGGCTACCGGTCACAGAGGGTGCGCACCATCGCCTGCAGGTAAGGTCTCCGATTTCAACCAAGGAGGCCCACTCTGACCCCTCGTCTAGCGCAGGATTATGGTATACACGTCGGCGTCAGTAATGCGAGTATCTATTCACAGTGACTGCAGAATGCTGCCTTCGGCTCGGGGAGCATCAGCAGGGTCACCGGTGTCATCGTAGAGAAGTCCGTGAAGGTGCGGCTCATACGCTCGCTTTTGTGGTAGATTTATGACCTAACGACTCCCGTAGCTCTGCGAAGAGTGGAAGAAGGAGATCAAGCAGTCTGATGGTGTAGCGCGTATCAACGTCATGCACGGTCTGTCAAATGCTACGCTAGACGCGATGGGCAAAGCCGGTGCGCACCAACTCGATTGGGGGGGGGGGGCTTCGATACGCACAGTGCACTCAACCATAGCGCATTCAGGTTTTGGCTACGACATCGATGCGCTCGACGCCCAGCACGGCAACCTGAACGAACTACTCGTCGCCTTCAATACCTTATTCGACGTGCAACACGCATCCAGGGCGAAGCTGTTGCTACAGAGCTGGATTCCTGTCCTTCGACTTCTGGTACGCTGTTTGTCCCGCAGTGCCAGTTCCTACTGCTAACGACATTATACAGCCCTCTGGCCGCAAGAAAGCCCTCGATGAAGCGCAGGGAACTTTAGACGCAATCGGTTCTCAGCTCCTCGGTCGTGCGAAGTCCGCCACAGAGCAGGAGCAAGGTGCGGGAAGCGACGCTGCTCGAGACATATTCTCCAATATTCTGCGCACAAATGCAAGGATGAAGGAGGTGGACCGGCGGATGACGGATGAAGATATACGCGCCCGTGAGGTTTCCACTTCACGGGGTACCACTTGATGTTGAAAACTTTACCAGAGGTGGCTGCCTTCCTGGCGGGTGGCTACGAGACGACCAGGTGAGCGTTCGGATGGCTTAGATGTTCCTCGACGGCACTAACTATTGCATCGATCAGCACGGCGATGACCTGGGCGCTCTTTCAACTGTCTCGTTCGCCAGAAATGCAGAAGCGCCTGCGCGACGAGCTGCGCTCGCTGCAAACCGACGAGCCCACGATGGACGACCTGAACTCGCTCCCTTTCCTAGACAACTTCGTCAAAGAGGTCTTCCGGTACTACCCGTCTTTCACCTGGTCGGCGCGGGAAGCTTTGCAGGACGATGTGATACCACTGCAAGATCCTTTCGTCGATAGGCGAGGACGGGTTTGTCATGAGCTTAGGTGCGCAGTGTTTATCCAAAATGCGAGAATCATCAACCTGAATGCACTTCGAACAGAGTACGAAAAGGACAACACTTCCTCGTCCCATACCATTCGGCGAACAGGAGCAAAGCTATTTGGGGCGAGGATGCATATCAATTCAAGTAAGTACCGACTCCTTCGCCATCGATTGTGGTGTCGCTCTTACGGAGAATCGCTTGTGTAGGCCCGACCGATGGGATTACCTCCCCGACACCGTCAAGTCTATGCCTGGGATTTGGGGAAACACCCTCGCGTTCTCCGCTGGCGCGCATGCCTGCATTGGGTTCCGCTTCGCTGTTGTTGAGTGCGTGTCCTGAGTTTCTTACCCTTTTTTTCTCATAATTCCATTGCGTCGTCTCCATACGCTTATAATTCCCCCCATCGGCGACCCTTTATGAACTGACGGTACAACCACAGAATGAAGTCCCTCCTCTTCTTCCTCGTCAGGCACTTCGAGTTCGAGTTGGCGGTGCCAGTGGACGATGTGCGAATCCAGGTGTCTTTGGTGCAGCGTCCGGCGCTCAGAAGTGAACCACATGTGGCCTCGCAGCTGCCAATGCTCGTGCGTGTCGCAGCCTAGGCGAAGTACAGTATGTACGATGGGACTCTATGCGTAGTTCTTCTCCTGAAATCAGAGTCTCTTATCGAGGTCCGACACAGGCACTCTTTGTATGCTCTGTCACTCCGAATCTGTAGGCCTTTCCTATTCCGATGTAGTCCGAGTCTGTACCCTACAGCAAGCTGCTGATCAACTGTGCTGACAACGAACAAGTCGCCCAAACGTAAATGCCCTATTTCTCCTTGATCGGCTCGGAATAGACGGGTTAGTAGCAAATCTCTTCGCGACACGTCGCTCGGGAAGCCGTTGAAGGCCCTTCATCTCGGTTGAAGTTCGCGCGATTGTTCACTGCCTTCCCCAAGCGGAAGGCCTTGAATGCCCGGAGAATGCCGCAAGAGTCGAACTGCGCCACAAAAGCAGGTTCCCTCCCCCCAACCGCCTGCGGTCGCGCCCTGGTCGTCGCGTCTCCGTGATGTCGCACCATCTCTTTTTGTTGTCGCCGTCCGATACGCCGCTCTATAGTCGGATGATCAAGCAGACGAAGCCCGCAGCGAGCGTATCGTCACCCCTGTCGGCGAATTTGCCATCTTGGTCGACTTCTGCGTTCGCGGGCACGCTCACTGCGTTGTCGGGCGCGTCGGGCGCGGCGCACCACACGTCCGGCGGGGGCATGCGCATGGGCGGCGGGCAGGACCCGCACGTCATCCAGATGATCGCGAACGCGAGCCTGGACGTGGTGGAGGACGTGATGCGCAAGGAGGGCGCGATGTACTTGAAGTCGGTAGACAAATTCAACGAGTGGACGGTGTCTGCCTTTATCACGCCTGGGAGTAAGCGCGGCTCGTCGCCTGGGTCTGGAGTGCGCCACTGACTGCGCTGGCAGATATGAAATTCATCTTACTGCACGAAGGAAAGAACGACGATGGGATAAGAGCGTTCTTCACAGAGATCTGGGAGTTGTATGTGAAGGTAAGGACACATATTCAGGCTCAGTAACCAGGCTAATTGTTGTATGCAGACGATGTTGAATCCTTTCCATACGGCGCACACGCCTATTCGGAGCACAGTATTTGATGCGAGAGTGCAAGCCAGCGCAAAGAAATGGTTGTGATGGGCTTCCCGATTCGTCGAAGCAGGCAATCGACGGAATGACAGTCGGACTGGGTCGAGGGCTTCTTGTCATGACATAGCGCGTCCCCCTGCTGTGTTCTTTGAGGCGTATGTAGCACCAGAATGCAATGGACAAAGGGAAAGCAGAGAAGAGCCACCCATTGGTTGCTCTGCGCGTGACACACGTGTCGTGAGCGTTACGTGACTGTCTGTGCCTTATCTAGGCGACGGAGCGCAGCTCTTTCTTTGGGAGTGGGCACACGCGGTTCCAGATCCGGCTTGTTTGGTCGTGTTGATCTCCCCCAAGGGCCTTGTCGTCGCATTGTAAATCTATCTCGTCCTGCGTTTCGTCAACCTGCGCCCTGAAAATATTCATACGGCCTCCTGAGGTGAACATCCACGAGGCCTTGCTTTGAAACGGAATTTATCATTCAGGCCGAATATATTATGCTGTAATTGGCGTTTAATCGGTTGGCTGGAACGGAAAAGACAGGTATCAAAGCAAGGAAATGTTCCTTCCTTGTTTCCGCTTGAAATGCGCTACTTTTCATAATTTTTGGTGCAAAACTGAGGAAGGAGTTAGGTAGGCAATATTGTAATCGAAACGGTCAACTAGTGACCACAACAGTGATGCCATCACTAATTAGTGACCCTCTACCTTGGCCCAAATGTCGACGTTCAATCCGACTCGACCAGCGCCCTCGCACATGCTTCATTGGTTCTTATACTCACTTTCCAGTCTATACTGCGCTATTCCCCGACTTGAATTGCCCCAAAAACAGCTGACACGGCGCCATGAAGCTGCCAGCGCCGTTCCGGTATGCTGCCTTCAGAGCCGCTATAGAGTTGTCGGGCGACATCATAAGCACCACGAAAACTGACCCTGATGATAGCAAGACCTTTGAGAATGTCGGGAGTGACTATACGATGGACCGAGCGGAGTCTGCGGATGTTTACTCTTCGAAGTCATACCTAATAGTGTCCTCATTGGCATGGGCCCGATATTCCCGTAAGTAGCCGGGGAGAGGTTTCCATAATCAGGAATACTATAGAATGTATGTTTGGGAACATATTGTTCTCACAAACTGAAGTCATCTGAGTCCTACGTCGCTCGCTAAAGGGGGAAGTATGCGGCGACATCGAACATGTGTCGTTTGGCGGGGGCGTCAACACGACCAAACAAGCCGGATCTGGAACCGCGTGTGCCCACTCCCACTTTCTTCTCAACATCGACTGTCTGGTTTGTCGAAGGGTGTTGTGGCTTTCTTCCCCGCTTCTTTTCTCCTCTATATAACTTTCTCTTCTCCAACTCGGCCTGAAATCGCTGTCCCGAGCCTCTAAGATCCGCACCAGTTCTCTGTGCAAAGCACAGCCAGCTCGTCTGACCGCCCGCGTCTCAGCCGCTTTCTTGCTCTTTTCAGTGCGTATGCCACTTCCCCGGCGATGAGCACAACGCTTATATAGGCCCCAGCTGTACCCGCCGCCCGAAGCTCTCCCAGCCCAGTTGACCCCCCGCCCTGTTCAATAATAAACTCATCATCTTAATCGACATCTGCTCTTTCTTTCCAGTTAAAGACTCCCAGCCATGACTACCGCTCAGTCGAACCCCCGCGCCAACCTTCTCTCTGGCCTCCGCACAGGCGGCGTCCGCGCCTCGTCTCTCCAGATGCCCCACTCGGCCGCCCCGACTGCGGACCATTTCAACATCCATCGTTACGCCGGCCAGCAGCCCAGTTACTACGAGGAAGAGGAGGACGAGGTGCCGGACATGCACGGCCAGACGCTCTACGTGCAGCAGGACCCGTACCGGTCCCACGCAATGACGGCTGCCGTTGATGGCCCGAACTTCGGTCGCCAGCAGCAGCATCAGCAGGCGTCGCGCCCCCTCAACCCGCACAGCGCTACGTTCAACCCATCGTTCAACTATGCCGCGCAGCAGCAGGCTCAAGCCCAGGCGCAGGCCCAGAAGCTGAAGCAACAGCAGCAGCAACAGCTCGAGGCACAGCGTCAGCAGCAACAGTTCCAGATGCAGCTCGCGCAGCTAGAGCTCATCAAGCTTCAGGTATGTGGCCATAGTACGCCACACACTCGCGCGGTCTCTCATTCTCCTCAGGGTCTCTACAACCAGAACGTCCAGCTCGAGCTGCTTGCGCAGCAGCTCCAGAGCCAGCAGCTCCAGCAGGCTCAGCAGCAGGCCCAGGGCAGACGCGTTAGCAACGGGTTCATTCCTCCTGCGTCCGCCGCGCCGCACGCTGGCGCCTTCGACATCCGTGCCGCTACTCTCAGCGCCCAGATGCGCCGCAACGGACAGGCCGAGCAGCTCGGCATGGGAGCCCCCATGACCGCGAGTCTGAATGGCAGGTTCGGCAGCCGCTCTGCGAGCATGCAGCACCCCGTGCCGGTGTCGAACTTCGACGCCGCGAACACAAGCACGGACTCGTACAACTCGACCACCGTTATTAGCGGAGGCACGCCCCTCGGCGCTGCGTCTCCTCCCCCGTCCAAGTCCGACAGCGCTTCGTCCTGGCGTCGTGGCGGCAACAACAACTCCGTCCTGAGCGGGAACAACCGCTCCGTGACGTCGCCGCCGATCAAGATCACGCCCCCGCGCGAGTCGTCGCCCTCGCAGCCCTCCGCGGGCCCCAGGTCGCGCCCGAAGCCGCTCCAGTTCAACCCGATCGCGCAGCAGCCCATGGGTGCGGTCGCTGTCAATGACGGCCTGGACGGCGACGACGACAGCTCTTCGACGGGCTCTTCCAAGTCTCTCTCCCCCACGACGCCCGCATCCAACTCCTCGAACGACATTCCGATCATGCCTCTCTCGCCGCGCGAGGAGGCTACGCGGAAGCTCTTCGAGGGGCTTGGTATCGGGCGCCCGTCGTCCGCGAATGCGCAGGCCAAGCAGGATGCGCACGTCGTCGAGGCGCCGGCGGCGACTCACCACCGGTTGGTGAGCACGCCAGTGAGGCAGCCCCGCGGGCCGCCTTCGGGGGCGGAGGAGCTGGGCCCGAAGAACTTTGCGACGAGGATTCGCCGCAAGGCCATCGGCGGCCTCGGTGCGCTCATGGGTGCGCGTGAGCGCCGCGAGGTCGTGGAGGCGTACTAGTTCTGAAGGCGCCCTGGTACCACATACCGCACCATAATACGCCTCGATACCGAGTGTTGCGAGAATCTGATCTTCGATAATGACGGACTGCTGTTACGATGACCTGAATATTTATTGACGAGGCTGCGCGGAGCGTTGTATCTGTGCGGAGCGTTCTGTCTGGTGGATGGGGAGGAGGGTATGTTGACCCGTGGAGGGTAGTACCTAGCATGTCGTTCGAGTTGTATCAATGCTGGGGCTAGATATATAGGTGACGACGCGCAATCGGTCGTGCCCGAAGATATGCTGTCGATGTTCTGTGCCTTGTTGTAAACAGTCTACCACATTCTTTCGATACATATCTTTTGTTTCGGTTCTGTGGGGCGGCTGCCTGAGGGCATGCACTTGGACTGTCAGGAATTCGCCGATTCGATGGTTGTAGGATCAGTGTGTAGGGTATAATGTAGGCACAATTTCAATTGCGATAATGGGTCACCGTGGCTTGTATCTTTGTCAATGTCGGGGGTATGCAAAGCATGAGGCCTGAGGGTGCACAATGGTCTGGCCAGAATGGGAAAGGACATTGTTCACCCAAAGAGGACAATGCGTAGCGTGACCAGCTGATCTGTCACGCGTGACAGGTCCAGCCAGCCCGTGTCGTGCTTGGCCACTGCCTGCCACTGACTTTGCGTGGCTCTCTCGGTGGCTTCCTCAGAGAGTATACATGTCAAGCCCTAGCCGCGTACTATTTTTGTTGATGCTCAGGTATGCAACAATGGAGACGGGCGAGCAAGTTGACTTGGAATGGAACAATAGCGGTCACAGTTGATCCCGATCATTGATGCGCGGACCCATTGTTCCCCGGATCAGGTTGCCGCAAACCAACATTGTCCGCTGGCCATGCCGCAGGTATATAAGCCTGTGTTGGTGGCTGGTGCCTCCCATCCTCCCCCGGATTCATCAGTCGCCCCGCTCCGAGTAGTCTTTGCTGTGCAAAGCTCTCTTCTCTTCTCTCCGTTCTCGTTTCCTTCACGTCGCCTCACGACTAGCTCATCTGTTGCTCTTATTATTCTCTTCATTTCTTGACATTTTACGAAGGTGTGTTGACAGTGGCTGAGTGAACGCTACGAATACTGACCGTCGTCCCCCAGTTATCATGGCTGCTGTTGTCGATGCTCCCTACGCTTTCCTCTCCCAGCCCCCGCCTTCTAAGAAGCGCGCTGGGCCGGCTATCCCCCTCCCCTCGCTCCCTCTTGGAGCCAACAACGAGAACGAGCGTCCCCGTCTCCGCCGTGCTGCACCTGCTCTCACCGGGATCAACGTCTGGGCCGCTCAAGTCCAGCCTGGTTCCCCCGCTCCGCGCACTCCTGGCACGCCCTACACCCCCACCAGCCCTGGGCGTCGTTCCTCTACCTCCCGTCGTAGCTCCCTCTCCCGGCGCCGCTCCACCTCCCGCTCGATCACCCACCGCGCTGCCCCCGCCGGCTCCTTCCTCAACCTCGTCGACACCCCCGCCACAGGCAGCTACAAGACGCCCGAGTTCGATCTTACCGCGCTCGGCTACGACACCGTGTTCGTGAGCCTGCCCAAGACGCCGCTCACACCCGCGCACCTCGCGTGCCCGACGCAGATGCCCCCGCCGCCGCCGTCCCCCGCGGGCAAGCGCGTGCGCCGCTTCCCGTCCTTCGGCATCCTGCGCCGCGGCCGCGGCCGCGAGCCCAAGGTCCCCGCGTCGCCCACGGTGGCGTCCTCGCGCACGCACACGAAGAAGTCGGGCAGCGCGAGCAAGCCGCGCCCGCCCCCGCTCAACAACGACCTCCTGCTCGCGCAGTTCCTCGACGGCGGGCGGCTCGACCAGCACGCGACCCGCGCCATGAACCGCGCCGCGGAGGGCGGGCCCGTCGGCGCTGTCCACCGCGACGCGCAGGGTGTGATGTGGGTTGACGCCGCGGAGCCGCTTGAGTACGCGCCGCTGCTGGGCTCGCCTGCTTCCTCTGAGGGCAGCTGGGTCGCCTTCATGCCCTACGAGCGCCGCGAGAGCGTCTCCAGCGCAGGTTCCTCGACCGCTGATGTCGGCGCCGTCGTACGCCCCGCCGAGATGTGCGCAATCCCCGCGATGCGCATTGTCCGCCGCGCTGGTGGTGAGGCGCGAGACCGCCGTCGCCGTCGCCCGGCCCCGCTCATGCTGTCTTCCCCTCCTGGGATTGCGGCGCAGAAGGTCCCGGTGCAGGTCTCGCCTGCTCGTCGCACTGGCTTCTCCGACTCTTTTGCCCCGGAGCTGTGAGCGCACCTTTGCCACACTATAAGCATCTTTGGGGTCCTCGCACACTCTACCACACGAAAACGACAACACGCACACCCATGCCACGCACGACTACCCGTATGCCCGGCGACATCTATCCACCAGCCAACCATCGCCGCTCATTGAGTCCCTCCGCGCGATACCCGCTGCACCCCACCCCATGCATTCCGTCCGCGACGATATGCTTCTATGTCTCCCTCTCCTGGACATTGCTATGGTTTTCCCGGACTTCTCTCATGTCCTTCTATCCACCTGGACTTCTCACGTCTTCATGCTCATGTCCTCTCTTCGCTCGCGCCCCACTGGCTTGCCAGCGGCCGGCTCCCGATGCCCAAAATGTAGATACCAGCTCTTCGACTTTCTTGTTTACATACGTCTCCCTTGCTTCCTCGTCCGCGTTGTCGGCTACCCAGGCTATCCTGCTGTCTGTACCCTATACCTGTACCTCTGTATACCCTGCTCGTCCATAGTTGTCTGTTGTATACCTTAGTGGTCCTAATAAAGCGGGTCTGCGACCTGCTAATATACTTTTCCTGAGCTATCTTCTCCTTCCTCGCGTTTGTGACTGAGGTGGTTGGGCGGCGAGCTCAAGCTCGAGAAGGACTGGGATTTTCAGCTCTGCGCTTTCCAGCAGCTTGCTGGAAAACCTATCTTGTTCAAACGAGGGGCACGGTTGAGCGCAGTGAAAGGGACGCTGGTCGAAACGCATCTACTTACGGAAGCGAGTTCAAACTTAAGTGAAGCCCTCGAGGACTTTTCAATGGCAATAAACGGGTATTAGAGTAAGCAAGACTGGTAGCACGACGTACAACACAGAATAAAATACAGAATGCATATGGTCCGATCCATGAAGCCCTTGCTTGAATGCAAGGGCCAGAGCTCCCAACCCATGCAATTCCTCCAAACCTCTATCGAACATCTAAGGCGCCCACCCAATTATGCCTTTACCGCCCGGTCTAGCTCCTTTATGAGGAGATCGTTGACTGCCTTGGTGTTGTCCAGATATACTGGAGGATAGTCAGCGCCGATGAACGAAGATGGCAAACGGGGACACTTACCATGGTGTCCGGCCCTTGCCACGACGTACATGCGGCCCTGGCCATTGCCCGCCTGCCTTAGGCGCTCGACGGACTCCTCCCCGCCGCGCGGGTCCATCCAGTCGTGCTCGCCGTAGATGAAGGTGACGGGGATCTTGAGCGCAGATATCCGGTCGACGAGCGGCATGCGCGCGTGTGCGCCAGGTGCGAGGATGTGCGATATGCAGTACTCGCCGGACCCCTTGGCGAGCGTGATGTTGAGGATGTAGTCGTGCATCTCGCGCGTCTCCTCCTCCGTGAGGCCGGTGAAGCGGCGCGACGAGTACTGCCCGACGAGCATCGGCGCCCACACGCCCAGCGAGCGCACGACCTGGAAGGGGCTCCAGCCCTGCTCCCAGAGGTAGGAGAACACCTTGCGCTGCTTGGACTGCGACTTCTTGACCTGTTGCTGCTCGGCCTGGATCTCCTGGATCTTCGCCTTCGTCGCGGCCTGCACGGGCCCGTCGCCCGCGGGCTCGACGTCCGTCACCTCGCGCGAGGGGTCGCCCTCTGGCCCGCGCGGCACGCCCGCGGGGCTGATCAGGATGAGCTTGTTCACGCGCTCCGGATACTTGAGGGCGTAGACGACAGAGAAGTAGGCGCCGAGGGAGTGCCCGATGAGCGTCATCTTCTCGAGCCCCATCTTCGCGCGCCAGTCCTCGAGCGAGTCGACGAAGAAGCTTTCGGACTCAGCGACGCGGCCGGCGACGTCGGTGCGCTTCGCCTTGACGGTGAAGGGCACGCGCGCGGAGCGGCCCATGCCTAGCCAGTCGAGGGCATATGCGGCGCTCTGTCGTCGGGCGACCCAGTCCGCTAGTGCGGGGAAGTTCTTGTAGAAGAAACCGAGGCCGGCGCCGTAGCCGTGCAGCATGATCGCTGGTGGGGGTGCATCGTCTGAGGGGGTGGTAGATTGGATGGCAAGGGTGTTTAGGTAGTGGTGCGGCTTAGACAAGTCGACCCGCTCGCGGTGCGCGGTGACAGGTAATGACGGATCGGCGGGCTTCGAGGGGTCGGAGGTGTAGAAGGGCAGGCGCCGCAGTAGCCGCTCCTCTGATATTGCGCTGTTCTTCTCCCCCGTTGACCACCAACTCTTCAACGACTCAGTGAAGGCGGAGGGTATGGGTGGCGCGGTGGGGAGCGTCGAGGTAGACGCGATCGAGGCGGCTGCGTTGTGCATTCGGGGCCGGAGAAGCAGCGACAGGGTGAAAGGAATGCGCAGATATGAGCGCAAGGTGGGCTCGTGATGATGGTCAGGTTCAAGTTATATCGACAGCCAGCAGACGGCGAGACAAGTTGGAGGCAGTCAGCAAGTGCCGAACAAGCACGCGGCAAGACGGCCGGAGGGTGACGTACGGCACGGATCCCGACCCGTTTGGGAGAACGGGCATAAAGACATCTTACAGGCCCCAAAGTGGCCGCGTACGCTGCAGTCAAACGGTGCAATTGCGCTGTGAGGGAACATACATTGAGACGAGAGCATGGAGACACACTCTGCGTTGAAGTCGAAAATCAATCTGAATGACTTCCTTTTTGAGCGATTAGGTCAGCGAGGGAGCGCGTCTGCACGTCTTGTCCTGAGCGTTCACGATGTACAACGGCATTGGACTGACGACTCCCCGCGGAAGGTTAGTTGAACACCGTAATGCGGATGTCAACAACTGACGGATTTGCAGCGGTACAAATGGCTACGTTCAGCGCAATTTGTCGGTCTTGCGCTCGTACCAGACTGGCCAGGATAGGGCAAATTCCTGGGACGCTCCGCCTCCAAAGCATCGCGAACCGGACCAGGGTATCTTGGATCATGAGCGCAAGCGCCAGGTCGAAGTCAAGTGTCTAGAACTCCAACTGAAGCTAGAGGATGAAGAGTGCGTGCAGCCTTTCGACTCGTCAGCTTTGACATTGACATACATGCAGAGTTCCCGAGGATGACATCGAGGCCCAAGTATCAGCCCTCCGTGAGAGGTTGCTGGCAGACCTGGCCGCTCTCGCACCGAACGCAAAGTCTTTGAAGCCCTCCGACACTCACGCCATAGCAGCCGCCAAAAAGTCCGAACTCGACCGCATGGCGCGTGCCCTCGGCACACGCAGCGACTACGTTGAGGGCGCCGCCTTCGACCGCGAGAAGCAGGAGGAAGAAAAGCTCAAGCGCATCCAGGAGCGCGAGGAACGCGACAAGAAACGCGACGAGGAGCGCGCGCGTATGCAGGCGCAGAAGGAGAAGTGGGAGGCCGAGCGCAAGGAGCGCGACCGTCTCCGCCGTCGGGAGGAAGATCGTCTGCGCAAGCTGAGAGAAGAAGGCCGTGGGGCGCCGCCTCGCAGAGACCGCGATATGCCCCCGCCGCGCCCGCCTCCGAGGGCGTATTCCCCGGAAGCGGGATCGAGGCGCAGGCGGTCGCCCTCGTCTTCGCGTTCCCCCTCTCGTTCACGGTCTCCGCCTCGCCGCCGTATGCGTCGGTCGGTATCGCCGCCGGCGCGTCGCTCGCCTCCCCCTCGCGCCAGGGCCAGGCCGTCCATCTCGCCTCCTCCGCGCTCTCGTCGCGGCCGGTCGCCCTCGTCCTCCCGTTCCCGTTCGCCGCCCCCGCGCCGTGGTGGACGTGACGTCTCGATGTCTCCGCCGCCTCGTAAGGGTCGTCGTGATTCGCCGTCGCCTCCGCCGCGCAAGGGTCGTCGCGACTCCATGTCCGTCTCGCCTCCTCCACGCCGGCGCTTCAGCAGTCGATCTCCTCGTCGTGACAGTCGTTCTCCTCCGCCTCCGCGCGGTGGACGTATCAGTCGCTCTCCCCCTCCGCGGAGAGTGCGCGACAGCCGGTCGCCGCCCCCTCGCCGGGCCCGCGACAGTCGTTCGCCTCCGCCGCGTGGCGCTCGCTCTCCTTCACTCCGCGGTCCTCGCTCTCCGCCACCCCGTGGTCCTCGCGATAGTCGCTCTCCGCCGCCCCGTGGCACTCGCGACAGTCGCTCCCCGCCGCCGCGTCGCGCTCGGCGCTCCCCCTCGACTGGCAGCAGCCGCAGCCGGTCGGTGGGCAAGGGTAGGAGGGCGCGCTCGGCGTCGACAGGGTCTTCGATGAGCGTCAGCACGAGCTCGAGCAAGAACTGAGGAGAAACGTTTCCGAACAAATCCGTACTTCACAAAACAAACGTGGCTATAGTTAACGGAAAACATGATAGCTTCGATGGGCGAAAGTGCGCTCGGGATCAAAGATACTCAGCTCTTCACCATATAGCAGTACAGAATATATCATACGGTCTTTCGTGCCTGTCATTCCTTGTTAATGAGTGACACCTTGATATTCCCTGAATCAGCCTCTGTCTTTGCGCTTCAAGTCGTCGACCATAGCGTGTTGCGCTCTGCACAACAAACCTTGAGCAACCCTTACCATAGATAGATACTTCAACTTCAAAACATCGTCCTCAAAAGCAGGTGCAATGATGATACAATTTCCTCACTCAAAGCTTCGCCGTCAACCCCGCCTTCTCCAACAGCGCCTTCTCCTTCCGCTTGCTCTCCTGCTGCTTATGCAACAGCCCCGGCGCGCGCTTCAACTCATTGCGCCCGACCTGCTGCATGTGGACCTCGTCGGGCCCGTCGGCGAAGCGGAGCGTGCGCAGCTGCGCGTAGGTCTGCGCGAGCTGCTGGTCCTGCGAGATGCCCTCGGCGCCGAAGGCCTGCATGGCGCGGTCGACGACGGTGCAGGCCATCTTGGGGATGGTGAACTGGGGGGAGAGGGTGTTAGTGTCGAGTAGCGGATGAACAGCGTCTACACGCCCACCTTCGCGATAGCGATCTCCTTCATGGCGCCCTTCGCCCGGTGCTTGTCGATCTTGAGCGCGGCGGACAGAACAAGGAGCCGCCCAGAGTCGATGTCGGCGCGCGAGCGGGCGATTTCTTGGAGGATGGAGCCTGTGGGTTCGGCATCAGCAATGAGAGCAAAAAGAGGTTCTGGTGCAAATGACAGCGAGAATGAATAGACACTGACCGTGCTCGTGCAAGTATTTGCCAAAGGTCTTCTTCGCGGGGTCAGTGACGCGCAGGATCATGAGGTCCAGCGCGGCTTGCGCGGCGCCTATTGAGCGCATGCAGTGGTGGATGCGGCCAGGGCTGCACGAAGGTTATTACACTACACCGCCCATAGAAACTGTCTAACTCACCCAAGGCGGCCTTGGATGATCTACACAACCGTCAGCCTCCATCCCTACGTTGACACGATGAGCGCCTACCTCGAAGCCCCTTCCCCACCCAAGGATGAGGTTGCTCAACGGCACGCGGACGTTCTCGTAGATGACCTCGCAGTGCCCCTCTGGCGCGTCGTCGTACCCAAAGACCTTCATCGGGCGGATAACTTTGACGCCCGGGGTGTCGACGGGGACGATGACGATGCTCTGCTGCTTGTAGGCGCTCGCATTGTTGGGGTCGGACTTGCCGAGGACGAGGTGGAGTTTGGTGCGCGGGTCGCCAGCGCCGGAGATCCACCTGGGAAGATTGATTGGGTGAAAAGGGCTAGACACAGGAAAGTACTGACCATTTGTGCCCGTTGATGACAATCTCGTTACCCTCCTGGCGGATGGAGGTGCGAATGTTTGTGGCATCGGAGGAGGCAACTGCGCCACATAAGTACAAGTTTACCAACGAAGAGCAATGATATATACCATGCTTCTCAGTCATAGAGAATGCTGACCGAATTTCGCCGTTCAACAACGGCAAAAGCCATTTCTTCTGCTGCTCGGGTGAGCCGTAGCGGCCAAGCACCTCTATATCACGAGTTCAGCGGAGGTTGCTCGACCGGTTCGGTTGAAGCACATACCCATATTTCCGGTGTCAGGAGCAGAGCAGTTCAGCGCCTCCGACGCAATTTGGCCAAAGCGACCAAGGATTTCCGCCATGACGGCGTACTGCGAAGACCGTCAAGATGTATTACGACTGAATATGTGGGTGAAAAGCTTACCTCCAAGTTTGTGAGCGGTACACCGAATTGCGGGTAGTGAGCCTTGCTGAGGAAGAGGTTCCATAGGCCGAGCTTCTTCGCTTTGACCTTGAGCTCTTCGGTAATGGGGATACCACTCTTCCAGCGGAGAGTGGGGTCGTCGGGCAGCTGCGCCTGCGCAACGCGTACGGCGGGACTGATCTCTTCCTGCGCGTCAATAGAGGGTAAGCGTATGTCCCACCCAGCGAGAAGGTTACACGCACCTCACAGAACTTGATGAGCTTCCCCAGAGTCTCCTTTGCGAAGGGGGAGAACTTATCCTCGACCTAGTACACGGTCAGATGCTGGGGATGTACAGATGCGAAACCGCGACTTACCAGCGCCCAGGACGCCTCGGACGTGTACTCGACTACGGGGTGCTTCGACATGATGGGCAGAAGAGAGTGAGGAGAGCCCAAGTCCGCGTCGTTAAAAGAGAACAAGATGCGCGCCCGGTTATGCCTGAACCGGAGTCCGTGGTCACTTGCGCGAACATGATGCGGGGTAAAAGCCTCCGGTCTAGATGACCGGTCCGAGCTCCGAGGGTGCAGGCAAGTTCCCACGGGCTAGCGTGCGAAAGCGCACGGACCAGCGACGCCACATGCTGCCTCGTTGAAAAAAAGGTGATCGGCACCGCTTGCACACCACAGTCAGCACCTTGCTCCCAACACCCACCAACCACCCATCGGGTCGCAGCAACCACAGCAGTCGCATCTGCTCCCCATTCCCACCACACCAACCACCCCACGCACCCAACACACATCAGCAATGGCCAAGTCCTTGCGTTCGAAGGTCAAGCGCTCCTTCCGCAACAAGAAGCGGGAAGACAGCGTCTACGCGGCCACCGAGGCTGCACGGCTAGAGCGGCTCAACGCCAAGCTACGAAACACAATAGCGACCGACGCAGACGGCGATGTCGCGATCGCAGACGAAGAAGACAGGAGGAAAGATGATATACCAGGTTGGTCCTGGCTCGCTACCTTCGGGCTGCTAGACGCAGAGGACGTGTCTATCGACACAATCTCCGACCTTCCATCTGACCCCGAGCATCTGTGGAAGCGGCGCGGTGGCCGCGTCTACCTTGCCGGAGAGGAGGATGAGTCAGACAAGGAGAACTTCGGTTTTGGCGGCGATCTCTGATTTTGTTCATTCATTCCCATGTTTTGAACAAGATCACTGACACCGCTCTCTTTCCTAGCCGATGGCACGCCCGGGGGTGACGACGGCGAGAGGATAGCAGGAGGAGGCGAGGGCGACGACGCAGGTTCGCATAACGTGCTATGCGCACATCCAAACACGCGTTTATCACGTTCCCTCCCAGGCGCAGATGGCTCTATGGATGTCGATGGCGCACCCAAGCAAACTACAGCGTCGAAACGCGTGTCGACCCATGGTCCCCGAGGCTCGCGCCGGGAGGAGTGGCGGTTATCGAAGGGCATGCCTGCGCGCCCGAAGTCGAAGGGTCTCAACCGGCAAGGAGGAATAGCAGCACGGGTTCGTCCGGGACGTCCCAAGAGGAGAAGATGAAGCGCATTGCATTGCATTGTCTGTTGTATCATGTACTATACCCTACTTTATCATCGCACTGGTGTGCACCTCACCATCGGGACAATTCATAGATTGCATCCTGGGATTCATATTTGTGTGATTTGAGCGTTTCGTTCAGGAAGTGATTCTACCTGAAAGGTGACAGCATGGAGACGTTCCTCGTCGAGGACGTTCATGACTGGATGACTGCATTCCTTTGAGTCAAGCTGTCGGTCCGACTCTGAAGTCACGAGGGGGCACGGGCGCTTACGCGCTCGACGCCGAGCACTACTTATTCCCAACCTTCTTGGCTTACTGACACCCATCCCTATCCCCCAGGTTTCTACCATGAAGCTCGCTGTAGTGGGGGGCGGCCCCTCCGCATTCTACGTCGCTTCGCGTACGTTGCAGCTTCTCCCCAAGCAGGTCGCGCCCAACCTCCGGATCCACCTTTACGATCGCCTCTGGGCACCCCACGGTCTCGTCCGCTACGGCGTCGCGCCAGACCACCCAGAAGTTAAAGTGAGCATACGAACTTCGAGTGTATATGCCCATGTCAACTGAACCGCCAGTAGAACTGCGTGCACAAGTTCGACGAGGCGGCGAGTGACCCGCGCCTGAAGTTCTTTGGGAACGTCAACATCAGCGCGTCGCGAGAGGACCCGCTGCCGTTCCCTCACGCCGTGAACCTGCCCATTACCTCCCTGTTTGAGAACTACTCGCATTTGCTATTTTCCTCCGGCGCCCCCATCCCCCGCGCGCACGATGCGCTGCCGACCTCGTCGCCGCACGTCCTACCCGCACTGTCGCTCGTGCACTGGTACACTGCGCACCCTAGCCGCCCGCAAGTACCTGACCTCAGCAAGATTGAGCATGTCAGCATTATTGGGAACGGGAACGTTGCGATGGATATCGCGCGCATGCTACTGTCGCCCCTCGAACACCTCTATCCCTACGACATTCCACTACCCGTACTCGACGCCCTCAGCAAATCCGCGGTGAAGCACGTCAGCATCATTGGTCGGAGGGGACCCCTGGAGGCGGCGTGCACGGCGAAGGAGCTGAGGGAGCTGCTGACGCTTCCCAATGCGTCAATGCGCCCGATAGACCCAGAGATGTTCGACACAGCGGTGAAGCCGACGAGACAGCAAGCAAGGATCATGCAGCTCATGCAGAAGGGGTCAGCGCAGTCCTACGGCACGACACCCCGTACTTGGTCCTTCGATTTCTTCCGGCAACCCGCGGGACTCAACGAGGCGCCCAACACTCGCCCCGACCTCCTGCTCGAGCACACGCGCGTGGATCCCGCTACGGGGCGCGCTGCCCCAACCGGCGAGCGCAGCGCCCTCCCCACCGACCTCATCGTCACCTCCCTCGGCTTCCGCGCAGAGGCGCCCCCACGCATCGCCGGCGGCGCGCTCGACGCAGTCAAACAGCTCGGGCACCTCGACACGCTTCCCGGTGGCCGCGTGCGCGGCCTCAAGAGCGTATACGCGAGCGGCTGGGCTGCAAACGGCGCGCGCGGCGTGCTCGCGAGCACGATGATGGACGCGTACGCGGTCGCGGCGACGCTCGTGGGCGACTACAACGCGGCGCGGGGCACGGCTCAGCCGACGGGCGAGCCCGCGGACGCGGAGTCGACGTCGGTTGCAGGGACGCCGGATGCGCCCGTGAGTGTGAAGGAGGGTTCGGCGCCGGAGTCGGTAATGTCGACGGGGACGCCGCCGATGGAGGTGATGAATGCGTTTGCGGAGGGGGAGGGGCCGCCAGGGGAGATTGTGGAGGCGGAGAGAGAGGGGAGGGTTCTCGGGTATGAGGCGTGGCGGCTCATTGATGAGGAGGAGAGGCGACGAGGGAAAGCACTCGGGCCGGATAGGGAGAAGGAGAGGGAGCGCATGAGCTGGGAGGAGGTACAGGAATTCCTGTCGCAGCGAAGGTAGAAGACGAACATCGCGTACGGGGCGTCGCATATCAGAATTCCGGCGGCGTAGAGATCGTATAGCTGTAACGAGCACGGTTTGGAGGAAATTCAGGTCGGCAGGATCGTTGAGGTTGTGAAGTCCAGGGAGCTTGTACGTCCGTCCAATGATTCTACCGTGAGGGGTCCATGACGATGACTTCTTTCCGTGCATCGAGCTATTTCAGTGCGCCTACGCTCGCGTATGACAGGCAGTCGAGAGGGGGGAATGAGGCTGTATGTCCGCTAGGATGGTGTTGTTAGTGTGGATAGCGGTTCGCATGATGAGGATGCAGGTCATGATAGGTACAAGATGGGTACAAGAGTTTGAATGATGCGATGCGACGCAACGTTTGCAGCCACCTTTGGCAAGCGCTGCATGCGGATGACACGCAATGGGACCAGTGCGCAGGAAGATTGGGCATATGCATTGAGGCTTGCTGCATTGTCTGGATGCATATGATGTACACTATGAGGAACAAGTGACGTTATGTCCTCTTACTGAAAGACGAAGGCATTAATTATCGAGACCACTGCTGACACCGTCGTTAGCACGCGCTCCAACCGCGGTCTCAGGCTTCGTTATAACTCACCAAGTGCTCCTTGCCTGAGGCGGAGTAAAGCGTCAACCGAGCTGGCATCGTGGTCCACTTGTATTTGCTGAATATTATTGCAATCGCCGCCACCATGGCACCCACCCGCTTGCGAACAGGAGGGGGTTGGTAGCGTATCTCAGCGAGGTGCCGAGGGGAGAAGCGTTGAACTGCCTGCTCGATATCTATTCTGAACTGGATTGCATCTGACGTTGCCGCTTGTAGATTGCTACGTGCGCTGGCGAGTAGGGGCGGGAGTTCGGCAAGCGCGCGGTCTTTTCTGCTTTCTAGCAAGGTGGAGCCTACCAGTTCTTGCCGGTAGCGGTTGATGAGAGATCGAATGCCTGGGGGGTCGGAGAAAAAGGCGACAATCTCGCGCTCGAGATCGAAGAGACTGTCCGCAAGGGTCGACCCGCTTGATATGACCTCGTCTAGATGATCAATTACTGAGCGATGATGCGCGGTCAAGTCAGCGAGGGGGAATTTAAGTGCCTCCTGCTCCGATGATATTATGGCGTCGCGAATTCCCAAGTACGCGCTGTGGAGGGCACCCCACATCTCGGTGATATGGTCAAGATAGACGGCGACTGGCCACATTGCGGCCTGAACAGATCTAGCCATCTGTCCCTCGGGATCCAATTCGTTCGGCAGGACATCGAAGGCGCGCGAAAAGGGGGCGCATACATCGCGTGTGAGCACGAAGAGTTTTTCTCCATGGCGATACTCCGGTGGCAGCTGCGTAGCATGTGTGAGCACGGCGTGCATAATGAACTGAGGCGGCGTGCCTGTGTAGACATGAATATATGGTTGTTCATCTTGAAGGTCTAAGTTCTGCAACCGTGACGCAGTCGGTCACAAGAAATGTCAATGGCCTTCGGTTATCGGACCGGTTCCGCCGGCCACTTCACCTTCATGATCCCCTGCGCGTAAGTACATGCTTGAGATTACATGCTGGGACCTCGGTAGGCTTATCAGCCTGGTTCATGCTCAAGAACGACAACTGCGGAAGCTCAGAACTCGTGCAGTCGACTAGTATGTGCATCGCATTGCTATTTTGCTCACCGACACTGCCTGTCTACAGAGCCCAGTGTGGGACGTAAAATGCGTGTTTTCCTCGCCTTCTTCCCTTAGACGGATAACAACACGAGTTGGGGTACATCTGCGCCTGTACATGAGGTAGTTTTAGGCCGTCTGCCGAGGATATGAGTAGTTGGCAGCCTCGCAGAAGGGGATCTGGGGTCGGCCAGGCGCTGCGCCGAAGCTGCTTCGAGTATAGAACTTACGTCTGCAGTGAAGATATAGCTGATGCCATCGACCCTAAGCACTCAGCGTGCACAATTCAGAAAAGCATCACGCCTGCCAGAAGCTGCATGCCGGAGGGGAAGGCATGGTCAATTATATGGGCGCCTATTGGCAGTGACGATCTGCTCAGGGGCGTCTTTCCCGTATTCGGCAATCATGTTCGACTTCGAGGAGTGATCTCGAGTGAGTGCCTCTCTCACGCCGCCGTCGCGGAGGGTTCTGCCACCGAGGATACCCGCGCCGCGCATAAGGACCCTTGAAAGGGACCGGCCTCGAATATACCCCATCTTGCTTCCTGCCATCTCGTCGCGGAGGTGAACGGATGTACAAGTCTTCCTCGGGGCACGAAGACAGCAGGTGTGTTGCTTGTAAGGCTCGTCGTTCGTATGCTGAAGCGCCTCTGACAGGCTTGACAAGACTTACAAGCACGACAAGAAGCAGTATCTGAACGATGTGCGCGACTCTGGGATCGCCTCTGTGACGCACAAGGACAAAGGGAAGGAACACCGGCGCGCGAGTGCCCCGGTTGACAAGTCGCATCACCACCGCAAATCCAAGTCCCGCTCCCGCACACATAGCGCCGCGTCAGGCGAGACACTCCTCCTGCTCCTGCGCGAACAAGAGCGCGATGCACAGAATGCGAGGAACCTGCTGCGTGCGGCCATGGACGAGGTCGACGCGTCGGCGAGTCGGCTGGCGGAAGCAGAGCGCGAACGACGTGAACTCGCACAGGCCCAGGTGACCCAGCGACTCCAGGCGCATGCAGCCACCGTCCAAGTCCAGGTCGGCGCGTCCCGCACAAAGCACGAGCTCGAGATGTACAAGCTGCAACTGGAGGCCGCCCAGCGTGAGATCGCCCGCGCGCAGAGCGTTGTGCAGATGATGCAGACGCAGCGCGACGATGCGGAGCGCGCAGCAGCGAAGGCCCGCACCATAGCGCGCCGCCTCAAGGAGGAGCAGATCGTGCTCCGCGCGCGCGAGCAGGGGCGCGAGGAGGGCTACGCGGAGGGCGTCGAGCGTGCGCGAATGCTGTCTGAGTTCGGGGAGGACGGGCGCGAGGCCATTTATTACGCTATACGGAGTGCCGGTGCGGACCCGCGGATGCCTGGGGATGGGACGGCGTACATCGAGGACCTCGAAGAGACGCCGTCGTCGCGGCACACGCGCCCTACGCCGACGCGGTCGCGGTCGTCGACGTCGGACCGGGATACGGAGGGGACGCGCCCTCGTGACCGCACGTCGCCGCGCACGCCAAAGCCGCCCTCCGAGGCAACGCGTCGTACGTCGAACTCTTCGCGTTCGAGTCGCCATACATCCGTAGCGTCTCCACCGCCTCTCAACCATGGTCCGCCGTCACCTGTTCAATATCTGGACCCGCAACCTCTCACCATGCCTGCGTCTCCTCCTGCTCCGCCTGAGCCACCTTCGCCTCCCGCACCCATGCCTGAACCAATGGTCATGCCAGAGCCCGAGGTCCAGAATAACGTCCCAGACGCCTATTCCCCTCAGCCAATACCCATCCCTCCGCCCAAGCAGTATGCTACACGAAACGCGCCCTACATCCCTCGCGAGCGCGCCACGCATGATATGTATGGCTACTCGCCCAATCCCAATGGCGTGACATTCCCCAGTCAAGACGAAAATCAAGCTAGGAAGGACTCCTTGTCGTCCGCTGGAGGCTATCCTTCTGGCTCTAGGAGTCAATCTCGCGCGCGGAGGGATTCGACCTCAACGACTTCGTCTGCAGCCTACGAGCCTCATCGCAGCAGAAAGGATTCGGCTTCCGGTCGTCAGTACGCATATGGACAACCCAATGTTCCCGTCATGCAAGTTCATGTCCCCACCGACGTGGATCCTTACGACCTGCGCGGTCTGGGCAAGCCAGCGAAGCGCGCCTCCATGGGCTCGTCGCGGTCAGGCGTCACAGGCGATATAGAGTCCGAACTCGGTCGCACTCATAAGGTGGAGGAGACGCTGATGCCGTACATGCCCATGCCGCCTCCGCCGGCATCATACCTCCGGGGAGAGGTTACAGAACGGTCCACGTCTGTGCAACCGCAAACCACACATACGCGACCGCGCCGGGATTCGCAGTCATCGCAGTCAAGCGCAGGGTACGGCGGGTATCGACCGCCCTCCGCACCATACGCGTATCAACAACCTCCGCCGCGCTCGGCACCGACTCCTCCCGTGCGCACAGCGCCAACGCCTCCGGTATACCCACAGACATATAGACAACCCCAGCAGCCTGTCTATTCGCAGCCTCCGACGCCTGCGTGTGGCCAATCTCAGGCGCCCGTGTATGGCCAGCCTCAAGCACCTGCATACGGTCAACCTCCGCCTCCAGCTCAGCCCGCGTATGGTCGGCAAACCCCAACGTACAGCCAGCCTCCAGCTCCCGTATATGGTCGCACCTCGCGAGGCAGCCATCGCCGGACGCGCTCCGCGTCTGATGCGTCGGATTCATCTACTACAAGCATGTCGCAGTTCGACCTGACGAGCCGCCCTCCTCCTACACGCGGCCCTCTGAGTGCCATACCCGAAGACGTGAACAGCCCAAGGGTCTACGAGAGTAGCAGCTCGTCATCGGGCGGTTCGCCGGCGCAGAACATATATGCCAGTCATAGCACGCCCCAGTTCCGTGTGCAGCCGCCGGACGAGGAGAGGGAGGAGCCTCAGCGTTCTGCGAGTCGGAGCAGCAAGAGCTCAATGTATGGCAATCGGCGGAATGTGGCGGACTGGGCGGAGTCGAGCAGTGAAAGTGTGAGTCTGCTCGGGATATGGACGGGGTGGCTGATACTGACTGCAATTAGCAGACCCCGCCAGGCTCGAACCATCCGACCACACCGAGCGACCACTTGCTCACGCCTGAGTACCGCCCTCGCAATTCGTCGCGCGAGAATGTCGCCTCTCCGAACGGTGGTAGCTCGGATAGTCGCCGATCGTCGACGGGGTCGAGCAGCTTCAATATCATCATTGAGCCGCCTGTGCGTTGTTTCCCCATTATACCATCTTTCGAAGCTGATTGCCAGCTTAGTCCCGCCCGACATCCGTCTCAGGCAACATTTCTGGGAACAATACCCCTATGAACACTAACTTCGGCCTGCTGAGCCCACAGGGGGTGATCGCGCCGGCCCTACCACAGCAGCCGCGAACACCTACGCAGCCTGTGCAACCGCCCTTTATACCCGCTATGCCCATGCCTACGGACTCGGAGCCGGACGATAGTCACAACAACAACCTCCCACCATGGATTCGTCAGCAGCAACAAGGCAATGGCACCCCCGCGCCTTCCCAGCAGCCCCAGGGAATTTATGGGCAGGCGCCTCGTCGTCCGTCCCAGCCGACGTACGGCGCCCCGCCGGAGCCTCCTGTGCCCGTCCCTGGCCCGCAACGTAACAACTACGACTCGAGTACGTCGAGCGGGTCGGAGACGGACACGTCTGAGGCTGACGAGCCTCGGCGCACACCGCGTGCCTCCCGCTCGACGACGCCAACTTACGCCGTAGCGCCCCAGCCGCCCGGTTTTTCGTACCCTTCATCACCTCTTGCTGGGGTGACTCCGAGTCCGGGAACGCCTGGAGCCCAGCAGCAGCGGCGCGTGTCCAGCGTTTACGGCCCTGCGACGCCGACGGCGGGCACGCCCCAGCCTCCGCAAGCGAGAGGCGGCGTGCGGCGCGCCTCGGTGTCGTACGCGACGCCCGGCAGCGCGGGTGCACCGGTCCATGGCACGCCCATGATGGGAGGGTCCGACGGAGGCGTATATGGCCTCGCGCGCTCGACGAGCGAGTCCGACGGGGACGTCGATCCCGCAACGATGCGCAACACGCTCGCCAACTCGGGCAGCATGCGTTACTGAATGTGCAAAAAATATGCTTTCCTGTATGCAGACCCAATCAGTGTGCAACACTGATACCGCTTGCTTGTTCTCGGACAGGACCTACGCACGTTCTGCTGATCTATGTACGAATATGATTGGGACTCCCTTTCTCCTTCCTCACTGTAGGTCTTTCTGTCGCTCGGATGTTTGTGTGTATCTATCGTTGGCGTGTAGCGGATTTCAGTAGTCTTGTTTGCTCTCGCTATCGTTATTGTTCTATGTACTGATAGTTTGTTCATTCTTTTAGGCGCATTTCTATACAATGTGATGGCTTTCTCACCGGTAGCCGCAGGTCAAGCGCGCCTGTTAGGGACAAAACCTTCCCAAAACCGGTGCCGCTAATACGGTCTATTGACACCCGTTTCGAGGAGCCTGGCAGTGCCTGCGATGACGATGGGCACATCATCCTCATCTTTCCCGACATGAAGTGTATCCACGTCGAGGACATGGATTTAGCTGCGACCCTCGTCGGGTAAGTACTAGTAGAGCATCGAAGGCCAAGGAGGGTGGCGACCCCATCTTGAACTCAACCGTCATCATGCCGAAATTCGAGTCAGCAGATGACGCGGTACCGACGCGAACACGTACCTAGCAAGAGCGTGTTCGGATACCACTCGGCTTCGCTTCTCATTGACTGACTGGCCTCACAAAAGCTGTTACAGTGCGTTTTCTTCCCGCATCATACTGGAGTGGTCGCCAACATACACGTTCTGCAGCCATCCACCTAGACCATTGTCGAACCCGTGCATGACCTTGTGTAGACGCTCAACAGATGTATGCTCTTCTCAGTTGACGACTGCGCGGGTTGCTGATGAAACGCAGCCATGGCTCTACAGCACTCCTTCGACGAAGTGGCACTGCCCACTTACACAGACGCTGAACTCGAGCACTATATCAGCGAGTGCGCCTCCATCAGGACGACGCGCGAAGAAGCGGTCCGCAGGCTTTCGCCTCATCTGGTCGCTAAACCGGTCCATTGGCCTGAGGATCCTCAAGACGAAGTTCTTGCGCTCGAACGCGCCCGCGCCATCGGCATCAACGTTCCTGCTGTGCGTCGCGTCGTACCCTGCAGCGATGATGGCCATTTTATCATCATGGATTATATCGACGGCCCGACGATAGAGCAGCTGTGGAAGTCTATGGGCCTGCTCTCTATGATCCGCATAGCATGGCAGCTGCGGTCCTACCTGCTTGCCATGGCCACTGTTACCGCGCCTATCACAGGCGGCCTTCACTCTGGTCGGACACACTCAGAGTGGCTCGACGCCTTGTACGGCCCTGTGAAGCGCGCGTCACCGGCCATGTTCACAAACCACCTCAATTGGTGGCTCACGGACTGCCGCCCCTCTGTTTGCGAACCGCGACCGGACTTGACGTTGCAACCCGCCCCTCAACATATACTCGTACACCAAGATTTCGTACCTCGGAATATGATAGTCGACCGGCAGGGCACTCTTTGGATCATCGACTGGGCCCATGCTGGCTTCTACCCAGCTTTCATGGAATATGTCTCGATGGATGCGACCAGTGGACTTGCAATGGGCTGGCTCAGTGCGCGAACGTTGGCCGCATGGTGGGGTAGGACTAGATGGGCCTTGCTCCGTTTCATCGCCTGTGGATTTAGCTGGCGTTATAGCAAGCAGCTTGCGGCGTTGAGAGTCGTGCGACAGCGGTCATTGCGCTTTCGACTAGCCAAAGGGCCGTACTCAGGATCCGAATGACAATGATGCAGTATGTGGACTCCTCGACTGCTAAAGCGCCTAAGAAACCACCAACATTGCTTACCCATCTGCGACAGCATCATATGTCAGAAGCCGGGCTGTTCCCCTCTCCAACACGGGCATCGAAGGAGCAGGGCGGGCGATGCAGGAATGGGGAGAACGGACATCACCACTAGAGATCATGAGATGAGTACAGGATAGATGTTAGATGCAACCTAAGAGATACCAATGATTTGTTTCATCTCGCGAGCGACGAGGGGTGAGGAGAAGAATTGGGTCTGCCCTCGTCCTCTGCACACATCGGCGAACCCGACCTTCGCCCCGGTCACATACGCGCTACCCACCATTGATCAGCTGCCGGTCTACGGCATGTTGTCCTCGCCGCGCCGTGCGAGCGGTCTGATGAGCGGACCCATGACCTTGAGAACTTGGAATACGTGTTCGCAAACAACTTGGCTTCGCTCATCATCGACTTTGTGTTTTCATTTTCGGTACTTTCTACCTGACATCATGTTCCTCCTGTGCCGACGACCGCGCATCCCTCTCCTGCGAGCCAATCCTGCTTGCTCGCGTTGCCTTCAACCTCCATTGAGGGCACCATTTCCCAGGCTTCTCAGTACGCAGCCCGCTCATCCGACGGATCCAGCGAAAAGCGATTCGTCTCGGCGATATACTATTGCCGTATTGCTTTCTACAGCGATAGCCAGTAGCGCGCTCGGATATCTTTTTGCGAAGCGCCAGACGAGCGCAACTCCAACTTCGCTCGCCGACTCTCACGAAAACCGCAGCTTGACAGGCACTCCAGCCGTCAACGACGACAAAGAAGGCTACGGCTCGCCAGAGGACTTCCAGAGGGCAATTAATGAGCTCCGGGATGCTTTCGGAGACGATCTCGTCTCCACCGAGCCAGACGTCTTGCTTCAGCATGGGATGTCCCCGTATCAGCAGGAGCCTGGTGCGCATGGCATCCCTCTCCTTCGACTGCTTTATAGATCGTGCCGAGAGTGAGCTAAAGGCACTTACAGGCAAACCCCACGCCGTCGTCGTATCTCCTCGGTCTACGGAAGAGGTCGTCAAGATAGTCAAGATTGCCACAAAGTACAGAATGCCGGTCGTACCCTACGGAGGTGCTACGGCCATCGAGGGTCATTTTCACGGAGCGAGTGCATCTGTCTTGTATGCGTCGTAGTGACATAGGGCTGACTGACTGTCTTCGCAGGGTCACCCGCCGGGAATCTGCGTTGACCTTCATTTGATGGATAAGGTGCTAGCGATTCACGGTTCGTGGGAATTCGCCTTCGCACTTGACGAGGTTGAGTAAGGATTTACGGACAGAGGCGGACTCGGACATCGTTTGCCAGGCGGGGGCGAAGTATCTGGATGTCAACAATATGCTGAAGGAGCGAGGTGAGGTCAAATATCATCGTTCGCGCATGAGTACACTGACGGAGGAATATCAGGTATTCCATTGTTCATACCAGTGAGTAGCGCGACTCTTTTGGCGGTTGCTTTCATGAACGGCGGATGTATAGCTAGATCCTGGACCTGGCGCGACCCTCGGCGGCATGCTCAGCACTGGATGCTCGGGCACAAATGCAGTTCGCTACGGGACAGCGAAAGGGGAATGGTTTTTGAACGCGGTAAGCACGTCGCAGAGGCGTAAAAAGGTCGAGATAAATGCTCACGAAGTTATCCTTGCGCCGCACAGACCGTCGTCCTTCCCTCGGGTGAGGTTATCAAGACGCGCCGGCGATCCCGAAAGTCAGCCGCAGGTTTTGACCTGACGAAGCTGTTCATCGGTGCAGAGGGGACGCTGGGTATCGTTACCGAGGGTGAGTCAATCCCTTGCGTGCTTGACCCGAAAAAATCTATGAGCAGCTTGCCGACCGCATTTCCCGCAGTGACGATTCGGTTGGCGCCAGTGGTGCCTTCCACTGTCGCCGTGGTCCATTTTCCCGACCTGCGTAAAGCCACACAGGCAGTCATTGAAGTGATGAACCAAGGTGTCGGTATTCGTGAGTTCTTTCCCTCTGTTGCCGTCCTGTTCCCTGAGTCTTTGCCGCAGAATGCGTCGAGCTCCTCGACGACCTCTACATTCACGCCATCAATGAGCACGGCGCGGGTTCGCATAAGTGGCCTGAAAAGGATACGCTGTTCTTCAAGTTCCAGGGTCGAACGCCCACAGCTCTTCAGGACACCGCCGACACGGTGCAGAAAGTGGTCGAGAAGTACGGGGGCCATGGATGGACGATGGCGGCGAACGAGCGAGAAGCGGACGAAATCTGGGCAGATAGGAAGAACGCGCTGTTCGCTGGGCTGGCGCTGCTTCCGGGGAGTACGGGTTGGAGTACGGACGTTTGGTGAGTGAAGGTGCGTCCGTTAATGCTAAGACGGGCTGAAGAAGATCATATAGCGTACCGGTCTCGCACCTTTCGCAGCTCATCTACGAGACGAAGGAAGACCTAAAGCAGACTGGATTGACCGCGGCTGTCATCGGTGAGTTATTGAGTTCGTCCTGTTGGAAATGATCTGGTTTCACCTTCGCTGCAGGGCATGTCGGGGATGGGAACTTCCATTCCCTCATGCTGTTCCGGAACGACGAAGAGCTCGCCCTCGTCCGGGATGCGGTGCACAGAATTACCAGGCGGGCTATTGCGCTCGACGGGACTTGTACGCTTACATTGCTCGTTGCGTTGAAGGTATCTGACCACGTCGCGGAACAGGTACGGGTGAGCATGGCGTGGGCATCGGAAAGCGGAAATATCTAGTGGAGGAGCTTGGAGAGGGCACAGTGCGCTTGATGAAGACCATTAAGGACAGCATTGACCCGCTCAACCTCTTCAACCCTGGAAAGGTGATTCAAAGTCTCTTTCCTTTCCAAAGGATGTCGCGCTGACGATTCCGAAGCTCTATCCGGATTTGCCTCCAAGCCACAAGTCTTGCGTAGAAGCATCGTAGAAAGAGACTTCGACCGTGTGCTTGACTTCCATAGAAAAGGATAGGCGGAGACGTCTTGCTCTATATTGCATTGATTACGGGAGCGTTGTTGGAGGCTGCATAACGGCCAAGACCTCATGAAGGTTGAGAACAAGGAAGTTCGACGCGTATCCGACTGTGGACGCGTTGTTTGAACCCCGATCAAAAGTTCGGAAAACATATCCGGACCTTGTCCCCGACCACCAGGATGTCCGCCCTCCTCGCTAGCTGCAGCCGCTCGCCAGCATGTAGCATGTCCCGCCACATCCTCCGGCGAGGCATCTCCAAGACCGCAGTTGCCGCCAGCGCCACGACCCCGGAGGGCAAGCAGGTCGCCTCGCACGCCTCCCTCCCCGACGCCCGTATGCGCGCCCTCATTTCCCTCTACCACCAGTCCTCTAGCTTCGTCACGGAGGAGAGCCTGGACCAGCGCATAGACGAGGCGTTCGCGTACAAGAACATGTCCTCGCAAATATACAACTACCACTACCAGATCACCATGAAGGACCTCGAGCACCTCGTCCGCCGCGAGAGGGCGGCACCGCGGTTGACTAGCGTCTCTGGCATGATGCGCGGCTCCTCGAACGGGGATGCGCCGGACCTCGCGTTCAGCGACAACCTGGACAAGCGCGACATCAAGATGATCGAGGCGTTGTACGGCGTGGACCGGAGTGACGGGAAGCGGTTCCTACCTGGGTTGGACGCGGTGCGGGACGAGATGGAGAGGTTAGAGAGGGAAATCTCGGAGGACGAGCAGCATCACCAGCAGCCACAGCAGTGATTGCGACGAGTACGTCTTCATGGATCTGGCAGTTGACATATTGCTGACTTGAATGTAGCTTCAGCTGCATGCTTCTTCGTCCTTCGTAGGGCTTCCTCTCAGGGAACACGGTCGAGCGCCTGCTACCGTGCAGCATCACCTACCTCCTACCATTGTTCATGGGGCACCCCTGATAATCTACCTCGACTTGACACACCATTCATGCCTTACGCTTCGCCAAATCGAAACGCCGTGCCTTGCCTCCCCTCTCACCATGATAGGTGCGCCAGAGACAACTCATATTGAAGATGCATGTGCGTTGTATGACTGCTATACTGTGAGCAAGGGTCTCTAGGCATACAGGCACGAACATCAGCAGAATGCCAGACTTAACCGTTTGCTTGACTTCTCAAGTCTGCTCCTGCACGTGTAGCCGGCAGTCAGTCATCTGCGTTGTCGGAAATGGAAGACTAGTGACTCTATCCGAGCTCAGGTCTACATGACTTCGTATTCTCACGCAGCAGCTTGCTATCCTACGACCTCCACCCATGAGCAACGGACAGTACGCCCCGGCTAATATCACCGTCGAGCAGCTGGCGGCGAACCCATTTATAATGGGTCAGCACCTATTCCATGTCAGTAGCTTTGCCATGTTGTCCGTCCTCGGGTTGACGTGTGCCCACAGACCATCGCCTCTGTCCAGTTCCCCTCCGACAATGGAAACAACCACTGGATCATGGATAACGGCGATGACAAGCTACTTGAGTTGCTGGCCGCTATGCCTCATTCACGGCCGAGCAATGTCGAGCGCAAGTTCACTTACCCTTGCGTCTTCACGAACCCGCGCAAGCCAGGGCGACAGATCAAGGTGCGCTAAGCGCCGAGCATGTCATGAGCGAAGATGCACTCTTTATCGCAGATTGAACCGCTCATTGGCACAGCGGACGATGGCGTGTACTTGCGCAGGTCCGACATCGAGAAGCTGGGGCTGAGGTACACTGGCTATGTAGCCAGTACCCGACAGGGCGACTGCAGGATGTGACTTAGCGCCCAGCTTTCACTGATAAGCTTGCTGATCTACCCTTTCTAACAGCTGGGAAGGCGTCCAGTTCAACATCCCTAACGACCATAACGCCGGGCAGACTACGTACTCGTCCCTCCACGTCTACGAGCTCCCGCTCTGGGTCCACAAAGTCCCCCGCGCGGACAACGCGAGCAACAGCAAGAAGCACGGCATCATCGGCACGCCAATGCTCACGAATCACGTCTTCTTCATGCACCGCGGGGACGCGCACCTCATCGACCTCGCCGTCCTGCGCGCGTCGCCCCCGCTGTTGAGCTGCTTCGACAAGATGCGCCCCCTCGCGTGGGCGGCACTCGTCAAGCCCAACGCCCCCGGCCAGGCGATCGGGGTGCATGTGGGCAGGCCGTTCCCCGGGCGCGCGCTCGAGGTCGCGCTCGCCGTCGCGGAGCGCTGCCCGCCGCACGCACCGTTCGACGCGTTCGCGTTCCACGGCGGGGAGATGGTGAAGAAGATGCATATGGGCGACTTATCGAACCCCGAGATCGCGAAGATGCGCCCGGTGGTGCGCGAGGCGGAGGCGTGCCGGGTGTGCGGGAGGGAGGACACGGCGGTGAAGCTGGAGATCTGCACACGGTGTGTGCAGGAGCGGAGGCCGCAGAGGGCGCTGTACTGTGGTCAGGCGTGCCAGAGGAAGGATTGGAAGGAGAAGCATAAGGCGGAACACGCCGGGGAGTTGCCATGGGGTATACAGGATCGGGCTGCGCGCGAATGCGTGCGACACAGGAACGGTGACCTTTCCCTACCTTTGTATGGCGCGGGATACTGAGCCTTCATCGCTGGTGTGGGGCCGTTGGATGGTATAAAATCCGCATTATATTGTATCGGTGCTATACGAGCTATATCTGCGTCCTTATGACCAGTGTCTATGTCTTGTCGTTCCAGATGTCGAGGAAGAGCCTCCACAAAATCGAGAAGAGTAATCCCTGGAGACCATTCGCGAGGATACGCGTCTTCAGTCCGCGACCAAACAAGCCCTGCAGACCATCCGCCGCGATTACGGCGCGCGCGGCGTCCATGTACCCAATCTTCGTCTCGTTCACCTGGCGGTAGGTCTTCACTACGCGCAGGGAGTTGGAAATCGTGTCGGAGACGACGGAGGCGCAGAAGCCGATGAATGCGCGGCGGGCGAGCGTTTGCAGCACGGTGTGCGAAGGCGGAAGGTTGGCGTCGAGGTAGTTGTATGTGCCAAACCACTGTGGATAGTCAGTACTCATCGTCATACGCGAAGTCAGGCGGGATGGCAACATACAGGATAGTGCCCTACGAATGTGGCCGCCGCAGTTGCAATGGCTCCGTACCAAAGGGTAGTGATGCCGTACTTCTTCACGCGCGCTCTCAAGATAGCCATCCCAGGCTTACCCTGCGTCTGCAGCGTCGTTTTCACCGTATCGATGGGCGTCAGGACGATCCTAAACGCCGCGGCGGCCAATGAGGCAAACACCGTCTTCACGAGCGCGGGCAGCGCCTTCATGAACGTGTTCGACTCGAGCAGCGCGAGGATCCCCGCGTTCGCGGCCGTGTCGCCGAAGCGTGAGAGGGGGCCTTGAATGAGGGCGGCGATGAGGCCGCGGTAGTAGCGCGTCCAGCCGCCGTCATGGTAGAGCGTGCGGATGGCGACGGTGGTGGTACTGCCGTAGCGGTACTGGTAGTTCATGACGGTACGGAGGGGCTGGGCGCATGTATAAGGCGAAGCGGCGCGGCTTGAGATGGTAGAAGCCTACCATTAGGAGGAGGACCTGCAGGACCATGGCTAGGGGAACGCTGTTAGTATAGGGGTATTCCTGTCTTGAGACTGTGCTTACCTGCAGCACCACTCAGCCCCCCACCCAGGGCTGACTTAAACGCCTTCTTGAAGTCGAACTACGACGCGAGTAAGTGTCTGGATAGGGGCAGAGGCTGAGAGGGGACTCACATGCGTATCGTCCGCATCGATGAACGCCTTCACGAACAACGCAATGAAGAACAGCGCCACCGCACAGAGCACGATGCGCCAGAGCAGCGTGTACACGCTGACGCCAGCTTTCACGCGCTCCTCGTCCTCCGCAGGCTCACCCGCCTCGACGTCGCGGACGCGGTTCGGATCGGTGTATGACTGGGCGTCCGGCTCGGCGAGAAGCGGCCGCTGCTCGTCGAGCTCATCCAGCGTCTTCGTGGGGGCCGACATCGCTGCCGTCGATGGTGGGGAGAGACAAGGCGCGATTGAGCAGCATCCTCGCGCGAGCGTCCTGACCAAGCAGCTTCGGTATCGACGCGCTTTCCCCGCGGCCCGGCTATCGCTATCGCGCACGTGCGGCACGTTATCTGGACCCACAACGGCATCCAGCTCAGTTCGTTGGCGCCAGGGGACGGTCTACAGTGGGATTGCACAACATTGGGGGGTTACAAGAAAGAGCTACAACCCGGAATGGTAAGTAAAGAATGTCGGTGGTCTTATACGTAGTGTGGATATACTTGCGCAGCGCCTTCTTATGGACTGACCCTTCTTGAGCCTCGACAATACAGAATCCAATGTCCTTGGCGTTTCTTATGACCCTGGTGCGACGGCACGGTCTGTGTATTTCGGGAGGTCCCGCGTATCTCGTCAAACGTCGCCTGTATGGGCCTTCTGAGAGGCCGTCGTCGTGCAGTCATCAGAAGAGCCCGCGCTCATCTCAAGGTCGTCCGCGCGTGAGTGCGACCGGCTCCGCACAGCAGCTTCTAGGTCCACCGAAGAGGCATGGTAGGGCAAAACTTCGTGAGGCGTTGTTGTGCGCGAGGGACTCCTGCCGGTTAGTGTTAGCACCGCGCCAAACACCATGCAACTACTTCAATGAAGGATATATAGTAGCGGATGTTTGGACGTACGCAAACTCGGCCATGGAGTAGTGCTCCGTGGTGATCACCACCTCCGCGGGCCTCGTAATTGAGTACCCTTGACTCTTAGTGTGTGCACCCAGGTCCTTAGTATGTGTGTACGGCGTGAAGCTCTCGCGCCCGCCCGGTATGCTGTTGAGGCCGGAGATGGTGTGCACGTAGACGTCCGTCGTGTTGAATTCAAGCAGGCGCATGACGCAGCGGCAGGCGAGGATGGAGGAGATAGACGCGGCAGGGATCTGTGCGGAGTGTTAGCGAACGAGAGAATTGGCAAGCGGAGGGATGGACTAGGACTGGACTGGATACTGACCGTTGCGATGACATTCATCATAGCTGAGCGGATAGGGTTAAATTGAGAATACCAAACGCGAGGCGGATGCTCACCATTGAGGTTCAATACGTTGAGCACGGCTGGTATGCAGTTTGAGGAGAACGTCAGAAGCTGAACGATGATTAATACTCAAGCAAGTTGCCAGTCGGCAGAGACAAGACGCACGAAGTACACCAAGCCATCCTGGAACAGTAGCTTCCACAGATCAGTCCGAGCAGAATGCTTGTACGTGAGGGCCACGGTTGTAAAGATGAGTACAGTGAAGTCGAATGCAATCGCTGTTGGTTAGTTAGCATCCCAACCCGTCCAAGACGAACAGCAGTAGAAGGACGAATGGAAAGCGAACGTACTGTAGAAAAACGTAACATTCAGCAGGCCAGGATTCGTCTGCGTCACATAGCACGCGCTGATCTCCGGGTTCCACGTCGACTCCACAATGAACATCCCGCGCCACAGGACGGCCCAGTGTGCTACGCAGAGGATCCCGAGGAGGACCACGACGAGGAGCTTGCGCTCCCATAGTGCGATGCTAAGCCGCTACCATAAGTCTCGCAGACAGGATAGAGTGAGTGAATACCTACGTCCTTAGCATCAGGGAGGTGGATGATGACAAGAGGGTCATGTTCCCTGCCCACTATTCGTCGTTAGTAGTGCCTCCGGCTCAACGACCGACCAATGCATACCGAGTTGAACGTGTATAGCGCCTGATAGGTCGGTGTTCAGCACGTCATTACGAGTAGATGAAGAAGCAGCCCACTCACGCGACAGTTGACCTTGTCGGCGATATGTCAATTTAGCGGTTGGGGGGGAGACGATGCCAAATCGTACCTCTGTCCGAACCGACATAGATACGATGCTGGATTCGATAAGCATCCGCCACGATAATGCCTAGAAGCCAGGCGACTTACAGGCCAATGAAGGATAGGATGATGCAGTAGCGGCTGAGGAAGAAGAACACTGGCATCGAGACGCGTTACAGGCTGCGCGGGTGGTTGAAGCCATGGATATGCTCACCCTGTCGAACGTATGTCAGGATCGAGTGTAAAGAGGCTATTGGAGAAAAAGGATGTGAGGCCGAGAAGACGTACCAAAGGCCATCGGAATTTACGCCGCCGCGTGATGAGCGACCACTCGAAGTCGCAGGTCACGAAGATCTCCCAGAGGTTGAGGCCGAAGAATGTGAAGATCAGCTTGTCGAAGACATCTGGGATTTAATTGTTTTAGTACTGTTAAAAGGATCGAACATAGCTGCGCACCATTGTCGAGGGCGATCTCTTTTGGGTCCGACCAGTTGACCATCGCTATGAAGTATGTTCACCAGGGTGCAGAGGTCACAAGGAGGAATTGACGCACCTGCAGACACGGTAAAGGGTTGCACACAGTGAATGAGGATGAGGGGGAAGCTACACTGCACGAGACGGAGGAAAAGAAAGAAGGGGGCAAGGCTTCCAGCTGCGCGCGCGGAAAAGTCTGCGTCGCGACGCAAGTGCCACTCATATACACGCGCAGGCCCAGTGCCTGCGTTCCGTAAACGCGAGCCGACTAGCATGTCTTCTAGAAACACGGCGCTAGAGCCTCGCGCCACGTCACACACACTTCCCCCGCTACCCCTCCGAGGCTGACACTTGCATATCCTTCACAAAGCCCCCGCGCTGCCCGTTGTTCAAGGCCGTCGGAGGATGAAAGGTGTAGAGCCAGAAGTGCGCGCGGACGTGCAGCCCGGCGAGGTCGTCGGGCGTAAGGGTTGGGCATAGCCCTCGCGCGTGCGCGCTAAGAGGCGGAAGTGTCATGAAGAAGCGGGAGGCGACGCAGGGGCGCGCCACGAGTCCAAGGTAGCGGCGATGGCTATTCGCTTGGTCGGGCTCGTTGCTAGGTCCTGCGTTAACGGGATGTCGAGGGTTGGGCAGGCGCGCCACGCAAAGCCCGCGCAGGACGTCGACAGCTAACTGCATAAGAGGCCGCGCGGGATCCTCATGAGTGGGATTTACACGCCGGGTGGACGTGATGGAGCGGAGGACAGGGAAAGGAAGAAAGGGCGTCTCTGGTGGCGCGCAAAACCGTGTCGTGACATACCTCGCGCGGGTGGACTTCATGTCATGCCGCGTACATCGCTTGCCCCGATGTAGGTTGCCGGCGTTGGTGAGAACGGACGGCCGTATAGGCAATAGGCTTTTCTGCCACCGGCCTGCTAGCAAGGTTACATTCAACGCAAAGCGAGCACGCACCACCGATATTGAGTCAACTATCAAACAGGTGGTACCTTTGCTGTCGCCCTAACAGCTTGGAAGTATCATCATGAATGACTGGTCAAGAGCCGATCTTCGCAGCATCGACTCGATCCTGCGCTCGTATAGCTGTGATTTTCGCAAATTCGTGGCGCAAATTTCTCTGTGGCTGGTAGAATGGGATTTTGCACAAACGCCATGATGTACATCTACACATGTGGACAAGGGATGCCGTCGCTTGAGTCAGAGATGCTTGCCTAGCTGCACCACACCGCGGTCGAGCCATCTGCACCGGCGCTGACTAGCCACGGCTGCCGGGGCACCCAGCGCACGGCAAGGACGCCGAGGCCGTCTGAGACGGTGTGGCCGCGCAAGATCTTCAGCGGGACGATGAGCGGGTCCGTCATCAAGTCGTTGTACACGCGCGCGTGGAACACCTGGATAGACCCATCGTCGGACGACGACGCGAAGAGGGGATAGGTAGGGTGGAACGCTAGCGCACGGATGGCGCGCGTATGATATCTGGAAACCCACCATCAGCATACGGCATTCTCGAAAATCTGTCAACAACGAGAGACAAAGCGCCACCCACCTCAAGACCTTATATGGCTTATCGCTCAGCTCCAAATCGAACCAGCACAGCTTCCGGTCGTACCCGCCCACGATGAGGTGGTCGCCCGAGGGGTGCACGTCCATGGCGGAGATCCAGCGGATGCCGGGCATGAGCGTCTTGAGGAGCTTCTGCTCCGCGAGGTCGTAGAGGCGTACGTACTGCTGCGTCGCGACGAAGAACTGCGGCTTCGTGGGGTGGAAGAGCACGGCCTGGACGGCGCCGCGGATCTTCTTGAAGGGGGCCTGCGAGTGCCGGCGGGTGACCTGGTGGACCCAGACGCCGCCCTGGGGACCGGTGCCGGAGACGGTGGCGAGGTAGTCGCCGCGGCGGTGCCAGGCGAGCTGCTTGGGGAGGGAGGAGGTGGGCGGGAGGCGGACGGTGAGGATGGCCTTGTTGTGAGTCCAAGCGCTGAGCGAGGCGGAGGACCACTTGACGGGTGATGGGGTGGCGGGTGCGGGGGGAAGCGTCGACGGTGCTAACAAAACCTGTGTAGCAGCAAGCACCGGCGCTGACAGATGTGGCGGGATGAAGAAGTGCAAAGTTTCCTCTCTATAGAACGTTGAGCACTGTATCTGATGCAGTACTTAGATTTGACACTCACGTTGTTGCCACAAAGTACGACACGTCGGTGCGCGGACACCATTCGACGGCGCCGATGCGACCATCGAGAGTCCAGCGCACGACCTCGCGACCGACGGTGGGTTCCCAGAGACTGACAACGCCTGCTTCGTCGCCGCTGACGACCCAAGCGCCATCAGGGCTAACGGCGACACATCTTGCGCGCTTCGAGTGTTCGAGTCGCAACGAGCGATAGTTCGGGAATGGCTTGAGGCTGCTCGGGCTGGGCAGCTTCGGTATGAGCGAGCTCGGGTCGACATTGAGCTTGACGCGTTGTATGCGCGGGGCGAGGTAAAGGTCGAGCTGCCGGTTGAATCTCTCCTTCATGAACTGATCGTACGCCGGCACATGGCGCAACGACGAGTATTTCTGCGGCAAGAAGTCGCGCTCGCGGTCCTCTGGGTCCTGCGCCTCCCACTCCGCGCGCTCCGCATCCGTGGGCAGGTACTCCTCCGGCGGGTTGTACGACTCGGCATTCGTCGGCAGGCGCGGCTTCGGCGCGGGGAGCGGCGGCTGCGAGGTGCTGGGCTCCGATGCCCAGATGTTGTAGAACTCCATTTTGTTGCTCGCCTTGGGCTTGTTGGGCACGATGCGGCCCTCGCGGATGGCGCGCACGATTTTCATGACCTTCTTTTTCTCCCATTTGGAGGGGATCCAGCGCCGCTTGGGCTCGGGGGCGGCGGAGAGGGGCATAACTTCCTCCTTGCCCTTGCCGGTAAACCATTCGACGGTGGGTTCGTAGGGGTCATATTCGGCGTCAGGATTCTCGCCTGCTTGTAGGCGGCGAATGATGTCGAGCTCCTCGTCGGTCAAGGGTCTGTCCATTTGCGTGTTCTTGTCGAAGGCGGACGTCCTGCGTACATGTTAGCATGCTAGCGGAGAACCTGGTGGGCAACGACGCACCATGCTGATGGGTCCTCTACCGTGGACAGGAACTTGTCAAGCTCATCGCCCTTCGCAGGACGCAGAACGCGCTTCCCGTTGATATCATAGCCAATGTGGGGGAGATCATCGTACCAGTGCATAGGCACATTGCCGACGCGATTTGGTGTCTGCATAGAGGGTCAGATACCGAGGGGAACTGCTGGCAGAAGGCGTACGTGCATCTTCAGTGGAGGAATCCGAGTCGTAGTCCGGTTCGATCTCTGGGTAAACGCGCTTCGGCTGGCCAGTGATCTCAGAAGTCACTGTCTTCGCCTTGGGGAAGATGTGCAGCTCTTCGTCGTCGTCTGAGGCGGAGGTCCCCTCAGTGAGTTCCTCCTCATCGTCCTCGTCTTCATCTTCAGATCCCTCGAGATACGACTCGTCGTCGGAGCTGTCGCTGCCTGCGTCGATCTCGGGGAAGTTGTCCACCTCGCCATCGTCTGAGTGTACAGATTGGGCGTCCTCTTCGTCGCTTAGCATCTCGAGCGCGGTGGAGTCATTGAAGGCCTCGGAAGCAGGCTCGGCGGCATGCTTCCGCTTTTTGGAAGGGGCGACGGCAGTCATGGAGAGGGGAAGGCGGGAGGGGAGGACAAGAACAGTGCTCCTGGAAAAAGTTTGATGGAGTGATCGGCGCGTCTCTGCAACTTGTCTCCCGCCACGACGCGACGCTCAAAGCCCATCGCGCAATGCACGAAGGCCCTTTACTCGTCGCAGATACCCCCTCTTCCAAAGAAATTAGGAACGCTCAAGTCTGACTTGAGTATTGTACTGCCACCTCTGTTGCTCCTCGGCTCTGCGGACCGATGATTCCCTCACTCGTACGGCGTTCGCCGAACGCATCCTACTCTTGCTTCCTGCCTTCACTCAGTGCCTGCGCATACGAAAGCATGGTTATCGGATGCTATGACGCCTCAGTGCATGTATGCTCTCGCGCGTACTTCAAAGTGCGTCTCACGGCCGCCGACCGAGCGTGAGCAGGCTCCCACTGATGTCCCTTTCCCGGTCAATGACTACGATCTTGTCATTGCTTGCCCCAGCTCAAGATTGAAGATAGAAGCTGTACGCATATGTGGACTTCTGCTCAACGGTAAGGAAAGGCTGTTTTGAACACGATCCCTCGCTGTCAGTGGACTTATTGATCGATGTCTGCATGGTCCTTACTGCTGGCCGCAATCTGCATTTCTGTCCGCTTGTGGGGAAGAGTTTGTCTTGAGCCAGCCGCTGCTCTGAGTCTACTGACGCCAGGGAATAGGTGGAAGCGTTCTTGACACCCATCTACTCTTGTAACTCTCTGTAGGTCCTACTACGGTGATTGCCGAACGCCTTTGCTTCCGTCTTTCATCCCCGCGGGCATAGCCATGCACTTCCTTTTACTTAGCAGTTGCAGGTCTTGATGGGGTCGCTTAGAGGCTCTACTCAATGAGCTATGCCAGACAAGATGCATTGCTCATCGCGATAGACCAACACGTATATTGCCAAGTGCCTGCGACATGGCGGACTAGGTACGCAGTAATACGGTTCAGGCGGTGCGAGTAACCTCATTATCGACGTCGATTCTCGCGTTACCACCGTCTTCACATTGACCTGCCGCCTGCTGTCAGTCCATGAGTCAGCAGACCGAGAGGCTATATAAGAAGCTCTGCGAACCTCAACTCGATCAGTGACGACCTCCTTGCGCTATGCAGTCGTTCATGAGAGTGCTTTTCTTCGCCCTCGCCCTCTGCACGGTTACCCAACCCGTGCTCTCGGGCCACATCCCCCACGCTGATCCTACGGTGGCGCTAGGCACTACAGTCATCCGAGGGGTGAGATCAGGCGCTAATGTTGACTTCTTTGGTGGTGAGTGCAGCTGCGTTCGTACCCCGTTCTCGCATATCTGATCGGTTTTCTCTTAAGGGATACCCTTCGCCGAGCCCCCCATTGGCGAGCGGCGGCTAAAGCCCCCAGCTTTGAAGAGGAAGCTACTAGAATACGAGTACGACGCCAGCATGCATGGTCCTGCATGTCTACAGCTGGTATGGTACTACTCATACCCTTGCCCAAAGCCAGACTGACTTACATTTGTGCTCGCCCTCAGAGTATGTACGCCTCAGAGGTGTCCGAGGACTGCCTCACCCTCGACATCTATCGGCCGAGCGGAGTGTCGGGCCCAATGCCAGTACTTTTCTGGTCTAACTCCTTTTCCTTCCGCTCATTGTCCGCGTCCGCTCAACTTCAATCTTAGGATCTATGGAGGCGGATTCTACCAAGGGAGTACTAGCCAATACAATATGACCAACTTGGTTGAGCAGAGCGTCAAGAGGGTATGTCATTTGCATTCATATGTGTGACGCCGTTCGCTAATATTCTCGAGCAGGGGACCCCCGTCATGGTCGTCACGTCGAATTACCGAGTAGGCCCGCTAGGCTTCCCCCAAGGGAATGAAGCGCAAGATGATGGCGTGCTGAACCTTGGCATTTTGGACGCCAAAGTGGCTCTTGAGTGGGCGCAGGAGAATATCGGCGCGTTTGGCGGCGATGACAGCAAGGTACAGGGTTCCTGCGTGGCGATATGCATGCTGTTGACTGACTGTGAGGACCACTATAGATCACCGTCTTCGGTCTCAGTGCAGGTATGCTGCATCCCTCGCCAATGTTCTCGCGTTGATCTCGTTGATGCCCGCAGGGAGTATCATCATTAGCATCCTTATGCTTGATCCCAATTTCTCTGAGTTAGCCCGCGCAGCTGTACGTCCAGTCGCCGCGCTTATCGACTTTCAACTCACCGTCTACTGTCATCCAGATATTGGAGTCCGGCTGGGCTGCCACACTACCCCTCAAGTACCCTACCGACAACGAAGCCGCATGGCGCTCCTTCGTTCACGGAATTCCCGAGTGCGCATCGACCATAGATAATAGCACGACCCTGGACTGCCTTCGCGGTCTCGATAACTCGAGCGCATTACTTGCGAACATCAATCCACAAGATGCATACGGAGCAAGTCTCTTTCCGTTCGGTCCCGTCATCGACGGTCCTGGAGGCGTCGTGCCCGATCTTCCCTCGAATTTGTATGCACACGGAAATTACACACTGTTGCCGACAATATCTGGGAATGTCCTTGACGAGGGTGCGTACTAACATTAATCGATAGCGTAGATATTTTGACTGACTGGGTGTTCACAGGCACTTTGTTCGTTCCCAATCCATACGCGAATCTGACGACAGACACGATCGTCGACGTCTTCATCAAGAACTTCTCTACGCCGCTCATCGACGCCGAGGTGTTCAGCAGCTCGATCGCGAAGGTTGTGTCGCTTTACCCAGAAGACCCATCCGCGGGCTCGCCTTATGGCACTGGCAACGAGACCTTCGGTCTGCATCCTGGATACAAACGAATCGCTTCGTTGGGTCAGTGATTCTATTGGTCGCCTCTGCATGTACTGAATCATTATGCAGTCGGTGATATCAACTTCGACGCCCTACGTCGCGGATGGGCGCAGATGTCCGCCTCAGCGGGGGTGCCGACGTATAATTTTCTCTTCAGTCAGCCTCAGCCTGGGTATCCGCCAGCGCTAGGAGGTGCGCCATGAACCGTTCTTGACGTGAAAATGCACTAACACGGGTTGATCGCTAGTTCCTCATGGGTCCAATAATGCATACCAATTCGGGACGGAGGAGCCCGCGGACCTCGCCCTTGCGACGGCCATCATGGACTACTGGCTCTCTTTCGCGACGAGCTTGGATCCGAACGATGGATTGGGCTCTGCGAGACCGGAATGGCCTGCATATGATGTGGACACCGAGGTGTGTATCGGTATCATGATTGCGCTTGTGCTAAATGTTCGGCAGGTGCTACTGCAGCTCCAGGACGGCAATATCACGACCATACCGGATGATTATCGCAAAGAGAAGATCGACTTTGTTCTCGAGAACCCACTTGTATTCCACCATTGACCCTGCATAACTTTGTATAGGACAGAGTCAAGCTTATCACGATCTGGTACACTCAATTACGACCCATTACGTGCGGCTCATGAGCAGGGAAGTATGCGTCAAGATCCCCGTCAGCAGTCATGGCAGAAATACATCTCTTCACACCAGGCCCGCCTTCGCTGGCGAGCCAGGCGCTACACCTTCCGCCGCTTCCAGCGCCTCCTTCCAGATCTTCTCCTCCATCGCGCGACCGACGGGCGTTTCCATGTACGGGATAGGCCTGTTGGATGTCAGCAATAATACGATGACACGTTCAATGGGCAAGACATACGCAGACACTGTCATATCACAAACCAACGCCCCATGACTATCCTGCCCCGCGGCGGCGGAAGCAAACACGACGCAACGTGCGCCGACCTCAGGCGTACGTCCACGCAAGTTGGAGATGGGTTTGATGAGAGCGGCCCACTTGGGCGCGCCATCCTGGGACCCCAAGTTCGTGTTCACCTGCCCGGGGCATATGGCGTTGACGATCACTCGGTTGCTGTCTACCTTCGCGGAGAGGGCGTGCAGGAAAGACTGGATGATGAACTTCGTGTCGCTGTAGTGCGAGATGAAGTTGAAGTATTTGGGGTTGTTGAAGTGCGCCGCGATGGGCTTTTCCAGGTCGACGGGCCGCTTCTTGAAGGTGTGGCGTGTCGCCATGCGTGAGCCGAGGACGGTGATGTGCGCGGGTCCGCCGGTGCGCTGGAGGACGGGGAGGAGGAGGATCGCGAGGATCGCGTTCGAAAGGTGATTGACCTGGTACCCGATCTCGTTCTTCGTCTCAGGGGAGAGCTCGAAGTTGAAAGGGTAGATGCCGGCGTTGAGGACGAGGATGTCGACGGCGGGCACCTCGCGCTCGACGCGGGATGCGAACTCGACGAGGGATGCATGCGAGGTGAGGTCGAGGCGGAAGATGACGATGGTGGGGGCTTGAGCGCGCTTTGCCACCGACGGTTCTGCGAGCAGCTGGCGCTTAGCGTCCTCACCCTTGGCCGGAGTGCGGACAGCGAGGATGAGGTGCGACAGACCGCGCTGAAGGAACTGCTTCGCTGTCTCCAAGCCGAGTCCAGTGTTGCCTCCCGTGATGATAGCAGTTTTCCCGGTCAGGTCAAGAGACGCAGGAAGCTGAGGAACAGGGCGCTGGACGACGGGCATCTCTGCCGCGCGTTCAGCTTCGGTCTTGTGGCTGCTGCAGGTCATGGTGATAGTGCGTTAAGGGGTGGATAGCGCTTGTCGATGTAGAGGTTGACATCGCGGAACTGAGGCCTTATATTCAGACACTGTCTTGAGATCGACAGAGACAAGTTCGACAGAGACAATTGTGGCAACGTAGTCCGTCGGGCCGCGGCCGGCTGGTACGCGATTACGCCAGCAGGCGGCAGGCCCCGAACCCCCTTTTATCCATTCCCTTGACTAACAGCTTGGTCTCAAAAAGCGGTTGCTTTCCGGGAGCATAGGAACGTCCCCGCTGCGCTGCTCCGGAAGAAGAGGCGTGGGTACAGACAGGCATAGAGTTGGTTGTAAGTATAGATACCTCGCTTGTTTCGATTGAAGGCTTGATGTTCGAGGTGTGGCCCGAGCAGGCGTGATTTCTATTATACCCGAAAAGGGAACTATTGTCCCACGGGCCACGCGATCGGCCCGCACTACGGACGCGCTCTTGTTCTCCGCGTTCATCACTCCAACCATAGTTGGAAGTACTCGTCCCCAACGATGGTCAATTACGGCGGAGGTACGAACCTTGCTATGTTAATGGTCCTTCGGCTCAATCCACGAAGATGAGGTATCTGCCCTCGTCCTGGACCCCGGCTCCTCGTCCGTTCGTGCTGGGTATGCGGGGGATGACACCCCTCGCGCCATCATCCCCTCCGACGTCGGTCACCGGCTCTCTGCAATCAATGACGACGCGACTCTAGAAGATGTTCCCATGGCTGACGCGTCCGACGCGGGGGCGACGCTCGCCGAGAAGGAACGCGCCATTGCGAAGAGGAAGGCCGTTCTCAGCCGCCTGTTCGTCAATCAGATCGGCCCGTCGATGTACAGGGATGGGATGGAGGTGACGAACCCGATGAAGGATGGCATGGGTGCGTTGTACATTCCTTCAAGGGTGTATGAACGCTAATTCGGTTTGCGCGCAGTGAAGGACTGGGAGACGTTCTCTGGCCTCGTCACGAATGCGTTCCCCGACATCATGCGCGTGAATTTGACGGAGCACCCAGTACTTGCCACAGAACCGCCCTGGAACAGCCCCGCGAACCGCGAGCGGATGGCGGAGATATTCTTTGAGGAGCACCAGGTCCCCGCCTTCTATATTGCCAACACTGGCGTCTTGAACTCGTGCGTGTTACTTCCAAGTCGTCCTCCCTGTCACTCACGATGCGTCAGCTTCGCGGCGGGAAAAGGCTCCGCTCTTGTAGTTGACATCGGCAGCAAGATGGCGAGCGTCACACCCGTGGTTGATGGGTTCGTGCTACGGAAAGGTGCGTCCCTCTTCATCATCTCGATTTTGTCTGATTCATGAGCGCCCTTCAGGCCTCAACTACTCAAGTATACCCGACTACGTCCACCGCCTCGCACACGACGTCCTCGTCATGCCCTCACAACATCGCAAGGGCATCGACCTCCTCCCCCAAGCCTTTATCTCCAACAAGCAGCCCGTCGAGCCCAACGCAGACCCACGGTTCACCCTCCGGCAAGACCTCTTCGAAAAGTCGACGAAGACGTACAGGGACTGGGCAGAAGCGCGGGAGGTCGATGAGTGGTTGCAGAGCGTGGGCGGCGTGTTGGAGACGGGGTGGAATGATCAGTGAGTGTGGGCGTTGGTGTTGTGTGGGTAGTGATGACTGACGCGCGTAGGGTCGCGATACGACACGGGTCGAAGCAGTACGAGTTCGCTACTGGTTATAGCACGTACTTCGGTCCGGAGCGGTATATCATTGGCGAGCAGTTCTTCAACACGAATGTCGGGCAAAACGTGCGTGCCTACTATCTCTCTCGTCAATCCCGACTAACTTTTGATTCAGTGGGTCCGCCCACCAGGGCCGATACCCAAGACGCTCATGCACATGCTGGACGCGGCGCTGAAAGCCTGCGATCCTGAGTTGCGGCAAATCCTGATGAGCAACGTCGTCGTGACCGGCGGCGGTTCGCTGCTCACCGGGCTCACGGAACGTCTGGCGCATGAGCTCAAAAATCACTACCCATACGTGAGTTGTCGCCTATGCGGACCGATATATGTCGTACGACTGAAGCTGACGCCCTCGTGAAGGCCAAAATACATGCGCCAGGTAACCCTATTGAAAGACGATATGGTGGGTGGCTAGGAGGAAGCATCCTGGGAAGTCTGGGCAGCTTCCACCAGTTGTGGATTAGCAAGGAGGAGTGGGAGGTAAGTGTGTCGCTACGCATTTTGAAGCCTCGCTAACATCGCATACAGGAGCACGGGAAGGCGATCGTCGGACAAAGATGCAAGTAGGCTCAGTGTAATCATCCTGTCTGTATGCTTTGCGATGCTCTTGATATACGGTATTTGACTGGGTCAATTTGGATATGGCGCGCTTCGGTGAGTCATGCTGGCTCGCTTTGTACTGACATGATTGCGCAGGTCAAAGTGCGAAAGGGATCCAGATAGAAAGCTCGTATCATGAAGGAAGTACGACCAGAAGGTTAAGACGCATCGACAACCTTCACCTCGGTGACCGTGTCGTGGTCGGTGGCGGTCTTGCCCTTGACATCGGTCACAGCGAGTTTCTTCATCGCGGCGTCGAGGTCGCCGGACTCCTTCGCTGGGCCCTCCTGCGCATCCTCGAAGTGATCGTCTTCTGACTCATCCTCGCTATCCTTCTCGCTCCCCTCGCTCACGCCCTCCTCGTCGTCGTCTTCCTCGTCTTCAAAGTCAAGCTGTAATCCACGTCAGCTCCCCAGCCCATTGAGTATACAACCACCACGCACCGGATCGAAGATCACACGAATGATCAGGCTACAGCTCGGGCACGTCGCGATGTCCTCGTAGTTCGCGAGCTGCCTGCGCGAGATCTCGAAGCGGTCGCCGCAGGGGCACGGGTAGTGGAATACGCCCTTCGCGGCGTCCCAAGCCATGTCTTCAATCTCGATCTCGTCGTAGTAGGCGCCCATGGTGGCTGACGCGGCCAGAAGGGGTATGGTATGGGTGAGGTTGGGAGATGGACGAGGAGGACAAGGTGATTGGTGATTGGACGGCGCTTACGAGAATTGAAATTCCCACATGGCACGCGAGCAGGGGATCAGGTGATTTTGGACCCACAAGCGACATCAAGTTCGGAACCTGTTGCACAGGCGGAGGAGACCCTTGACCATTGACATTGAGGCTCTGCGCCTCTCAAAGGTACAGCCTGGAGCACTTTTCGAACGTTGGTCCTCTACTGATTATCTCTACATCCAGAACGCGCGCGTCGAGCGAATCAAGAGCCACGATATCCTTCGGGAGGGCGATCGCATGAATGGGCTCTCGTTCGACAATGGCCCAGCAATGGCCAGGATATTTTTATGACCTCTATCTTAGGCACTCCTCGGAGCCATCTTCGAGTGGCTGTATACGCGCAAGATTGAGGCGCTCGGGTTCCTAGCTATGGGTGTCCGAAATTGTCAGCGGATAACAGAAGCATGCGCTCCGATAACTGTTCCGTCGATCCCTAGCTGCGCACGAGGAAAGAGTTCCTGAAGTTGGATAACAGCTCTGACCTACAGTGCCTTCGGAACACCACAGTAAGTGCTACCCCGCATTTCTGACTGCTGAACTCTGACCGAAGTCGAAGTTGGCCGGACGAACGGCCCGGCGGCATCTCAGCGCATGAGTTTGCGTGGTATCAGAGGTTCTGTCGTGAGCCCACTTCGTCTCGTGAGTTGTTCCTGTGGCAATCACGCTTATCGACACGCAGGATCAATGGACGCGAAGTTCCTCCTCGTCGTCGAGGCTGGGAGACGCCAACGAAATCATCCGCCACTGATGCTCAGCAACATGGACCCTAGCGAACAAATCAACCTCAACTACGCGGCCGTATATTTTGACAGCAGACGGCGCTTCGATTTCTCGCTTCCCCGAGAATACCGATGTCGTACGTCGATAATGAATGCTCTGGCCACTGTATGGGACTGACAGCGATGTACTATCAGCATGTGCTCTCGACCTGAATGCCACCCGTGCTCCCATTGTGTCTAATCTGGCATATCCATGGAGCATGGCTTCGATACTTACCGTACCTTCTTTTCGTCACCACAAGGAACTCCGAACAGGTGAGCTGCTCACACGCCTGCCATTCGAATCCCGCTGAACGCGCTACCGAAGAGCAGTAGGCTTCCCCGCGCCTGTTTGCCCGGAGATTCGACGCACCTGATGCTAGGACCCCGGAATATACGCACATAGGCCGTCCTGGAAAATCCGGCTCTAGCGCCTATTTATCCGCTTTTTTCTTGGGCCCTCGACCCCCAGATTTATCCGTTTTCCGGAACGGCCTCCAGGGACCCCCAGGATTTATCCGTTTTCTCGGGACGGCCTTCAAAAATGGCAATAAAATCGGGAAAAATCTGATTTTTTCTCACAGGGTCCCTACGCGCTTTGCGCGTAGCCTCTGCAACGAAAGAAGGTTGAGACGTACGAATGAGAAACTTAATTGCCTCCCATAGCCATTCAAGGTGCTACCACGCACCGCTGTCCTTCGAATATCGAGCCTGCCAATGGTAGAAGGTGCCAATGAGCACGAGAGGTTTTGTAGGGTGCTACTGTCCACCGAAACAAAGTGGTCAATTAGTGTACCGGTATCGCGTGCGTCTGGTTTGAGGGTAGGTCGGAGGTTCGAATCGACCGCCCGATATCCACTTTTTCGGAACGGCCTCCCCGTCTCCCCTGTATATATCCGCGTTTTTGAACTGGCCTTCGAGCCCTCAGGCCCCCAATTTGACCGTTTTTTGGACCGGCCTACCGGCCGGGAGCCCCACGATTTATCCGCACCGCTGGACGGCCTATATGCGTATATTCCGGGGTCCTCTGATGCTTCAGGACGCCTGGCCGCCCGAAATCTATCTGTCCAGTGTGGCGGCCACTGTTCAAACGCCTTGGAGTTCTTGGCAGAGCGTGCCTAGCCCTCTTCACGCGGCTGTCACGATGTTGCAGGCCGGTCAAGTTCCACCGACCCAGGACTTATCTGGCGCTCCGAGAGACTCCCCACATGAGATAAGGTACTATTCCTGGACGAGATAGTTCCTCCGCCACCGTTATACTAAAGGGCCAGCTCACCATCGGGGCGACCGTGCGCACGCTCTCCTTGCCCCGCCCCGTCCACCGACCATGTCGAACAAGGACAAGGACTCCGTCGACCCCAAGCACGGCGTCAACCCTGTTGGCGCCGTCACACCGAGCTACGACGATGAAGAGAAGTTCGAGAAGGAGTTGGGCTACTCGACGGAGGGTCCCACGACCGCCTCCGACGACGACCTTGCTCTCAAGCAGGCCACCGAGCTCGCCGTAGGTGACCCTCCATACCTGCCTGGTTATGGTAGCTGACCCCATTACAGGAGCGTCTGCAAGCCGGTCAAGCGTCTGAGCAGGAGTACAAGATTGAGAATGCGCACGATATTGCCATCAAGGTCTTGAGCACCCGCGACGACTACGAGCTCCCGGTCATCACCTTCCGTATGCTCTTCCTCGGTTTAGGCTTCTCTGCCTTCGGGTATGCCCCTTTGACTAGCATACCGTATTGCATGCTGACTGCTCTGTAGCTCCGTCCTGGCCCAGCTGTACTACTTCAAGCCCCAGACTTTGTCGGTCTCTCAGGGTTAGTCTCACTTGTATCACCACCTTTGTCTACTTACCCAACCAAACTCCGAATAGGCTTCCTGCTCATCATGATCTACTTCGTCGGCAAGGCTTGGGAGAAGATCATCCCTCGATGGGGTCCTCTGAGGTACATCAACCCGGGCAAGTTCAACATCAAGGAGCACGCTGCCGCATACATCATGGCCTACACCGCCAGTGGGTATGTAAACTCTAATAGCTACAATCGCCTGTGCTCATCACTACACCAGCTCCGCCACCGCCATCCAGGTCATCTCCGTGCAGGACTTGTACTACGGCAACGAGGTCAACCCGGGCATCGCTATCTTCACCCTACTCGCCTCTCAGCTCGTCGGCTACTCCTTCGCCGGCCTCCTACAGGAGGCGCTCGTCTACCCATCCATCACCTTCTGGCCGACGACCATCGTGCCGGCGAACATGTTCCAGGCGCTGCACTTCGACGGCGGCCTGGGGTCGAAGCGCACGCGCATGTTCTGGACGGTCTTCGCGGCTATCTTCTGCTGGGAGATCTTCCCGCAGTGGATTTTCCCGTTGCTCACGGGTGTCAGCATCTTCTGCCTCATCGACCAGTCGCACGAGGTCATGCGCAACATCTTCGGCGGTGTGAGTGACTTGACCGTCGTGTTCGGAGACGCTGAGCTAACGCAGTCGACAGGCGAGCAACAACGAGGGCATGGGTGTACGTGTCGCACATGCGAGTACCAAGTCGCCGTGTCTGACACATCTTTTAGCTTTTCGCCGTCTGCTTCGACTGGAACCTCATCGGGTCTGCCTGTCTGTACACCCCGCTTTGGACGCAGCTGAACGAGGATATCGGTATTTGCTTTACCGTGCGCTGACTTTTTCTTGCCCTTCTGCGCGCAGTTAACGTCCGTCCAGTATATCTTGATGTGCGCCGTCTACTACGGTAACATCTGGAGGGCGAAGCAGTTCCCCTTCATGTCCCAGGCCCTCTTCGACGAGACCGGTAAGTACTTTCGTGCAATGCGACGTTTTGCACCTGACGAATGATGTTAGGCGAGGAGTACAACCAGTCCGCTATCCTCACCGATGGCAAGTTTGACCCTGTCAAGTACGAGGATGTCGGCGTGAGTCTCCTTCCCGGCTTTTATTGACAAAGACTGACGCGTCTGCAGCCGGCCTTCTACTCCGCGACCAACGCGCTCGGCCTCATCACCAGCAACCTTGCCATGGGTGCTACGGCGGTACACGTCTTCCTCTTCTACTGGAACGAGTGAGCGATGTTTCGAATGCGCACTGACTTTGTATTGACTGTATCTTCAGCATCAAGCCTTTCGTCATGTCCTTCAACCCTTGGAACAAGGGACACGCTATTGTCCACGATGAACACTTCACGGCGATGAAGCGCTACAAGAGGATTCCGAAGTGGTGGTGGTTCACGCTTCTTGCGTGCGCCTACGCTATGGCGCAGGCCACCGACTACACTGGCCACTCGCATTTCTCCTGGTGGGCGCTCACGGTTATCCTGATTATCTCGTTGTTCTTCGTGAGTGGCTCGTCTTCCATGAACCCTCATATCGTGTTGACCTTCGTTGCCCTCAGACTACTGTATACTGCACGACATCTGCCCTCCTCGGCTTCAAGGAGTTCGGCGGTCAGCTCGATGGCTTTTACCAGATGATTGGCTCGTACATGGTCCCCGGCGATCCCGTCGCGAACATGTACGCCGCCCTCTATGGCGGCCAGCCCACTGTCCAGGGCATCAAGCTCCTCGGCGACCTCAAGCTCGGCCAGTACATCAAGATCCCTCCCCGCGTCAACTTCCTCGTCCAGATCCTCGGCTGCATCGTCGGCGCGCTGCTCAACTACGTGATGATGCTCTCCATCATCAAGAACCAGCGCGAGGACCTACTCTCGCTCTCCGGCACACGCCTGTGGTCCGGGCAGAACGCCCAGAGCTACAACTTCAACGCGATTGCGTGGGGCGCGCTCGGTCGCGAGATGTTCTCGCCGGGCAAGACGTACTACATGGTCCCTGTCGCGCTCGCTATTGGCGCGGTCCTCCCCATCCCTGGGTACATCCTGCACCGGAAGTACCCCAACAACGTGTTCTTCGCCAACATCAACACCGGTATCATCGTCCAATACGCGTGCTACCTCTCGGGTGAGTGGCCATCACACGGGCTCGGGCGCGCGTGAAGCTAACAAGGATACCAGTCGGCATCAACACGTCTGTGAATACCACGATGACCCTCGGCATCCTGTCCCAGTGGTGGATCCGTCGCAAGTACCCGCGCTGGTTCACGAAGTGTACGTCGTCACGGACAGCCTCGTCGACCTTCATGCTTACGCCCACGCAGACAACTACATCGTTGCTGGCGCGCTCGATGGTGGCACTCAGGTCATTTCCTTCATCCTCAACCTCGCGGTCTTCGGTGCCGTGGGCGAAGGCCACCTGTTCCCCGAATGGTGGGGCAACGATCTTAGTGCGTTTTTCTGAACCTTTACAACACACGAAACTAATTGCTTGTGTCCCCCAGAATATTCTGCCGATAGGTGTAAGGCGCCGGCGTAGAACTGTAGAATAGGTCTTCTTTTGTACTTGGGTCTTCCTTTGTATTCAGTCACTTTGCTGCTTTACTTGGTACGATGGCCTATGTCTGCTCTAACCCCTGCTCCTCCGCCTTCGTCGCTGCTGAACGGTCGACTGGCGTAATATGCGCTCCGAGCCAAGAACCCCAAGTTCCGTCGCCCGTCGTTTTCTCGCCCTTGTGCAGGGGCCCGCATCTGGCTCAATTGCTCGAGGCCGTTTGGCCGTGCTCGACTCAGTCGGCTCCGCCGCCCTCGACAGAGTGAAGCGCACGGTCGCCTGCAACGCCTGTCTCGCAGTGATTCCTGTCGATTCGCAGAGCTGCGCCACATCGACAGAGGCAACAGCGCGGTCCAATGTGTCTTGCGGAAGGTCGGGGAGGCCAGACGCGAAGGCAAAGAATATGGGCGGATCTCCAGCGCGTCGACAGGGTTTGGGTAAGCGTCGGAGTTTGTCGAGTTGCTTGTGCAGTGTTAGATGCGTTTGACAGAAGAGTGCTGTACACTTACATCCTCTTCCAAGCTCGTGGTTGGATCCATACGGGCCAACGCGCGGTTGACCTCATCTGCCGTCAAGGGCTCGCCCTGCCTACCGTCGAGCGCGACCCACACATGCTCATTCCCGTGCAGCTTCAGCGCAAAGAGCAGGACGCATTCCTCCGACAGTCGGAGTATACAGAAGGGTGAGGAGGGATTGGCGTGGTCGAGCCATCTTTCAATCTCTGCGTCCGTGCATGCGACAGTCGTAAGCGAAGATGTCGATCCCGCCACTTCCTTTTCGCAGCTGTAGACCCGAGCGCTGACGACACCCCTCGCGGTCCGGTGCTGCAAGAGAAGACTTATGGCTCGAGCATCCGCCCACGAAGGAGGCGTGCCCTTGATGTCGAACAGTTGCCGCAGCGGTGGCTTTCGTTCGAGGTGCCGTGAAAGCACGAAGGCTAGGCGTAGACAACGAAGCTCGGAAGCGTGGGGCATTGGCTCGGAACGCATGCGAAGGTAGTCGATGTTGAAGAAGTCGACGTTGTTGTTCTTGAACCATAGTGCGCAGCTGACGAGCATGAAGGGCTCGTCGATAACTACTTGGGAGGCATCATGGTCGACGAAACGACCGTAACCTTCCGTCACAAGTCGGACGTACTCTGCGTCGTACTGATGCGAAGCTGATGAATCGACGAAGACACGGAATAGAGCATGGTGGAGCGTTGACCGAACCAGCCAGTCTGCATTGGCGTCAGCAAGTGATACAACACACATAGGCAGACACGATACCTCGCATGGCCCAGAATGATATTGGTCGAAGAAGTCTCCACGCTTGTCCGAACCTATCTCCTTCGGATTCCGTCAGGTCGTCGGCGTCGCGAGGCGAATATCCTGTTGCGTTCCGTATGTAGTCATTGAGTAACTGGTGAGGCTGCGATAGTCCGTGTCGAAGATATTGTCCAATGAAAGAAGTCGTGAAGCGATGACTGTTGATGCTTGCTGAGCTCATGCATTATGTAAGACCGTTCAAAACACACCGTCCTCGAAGCCAGGTCCCCAGTCGCCGCAAGAGCCTTTTCCCACTGGCCTCCTGGAGGAAAAGAGGAGGCAGATATCGCAAGATGTATTGCCGGTTCGAGCCTACAGCGTCGAAGCCACCTGTCGCGGATGTCCATCTATAACGACCGTATACCATCTCGACAGGGTCGTCATGAAAGATATCTCGCGGGAGGCATGTCCCAGTGATGATGAGGGAGAGACCGGGTCGTCCTCGCCACGCCGTGAGCAAGCGCTGCATGTACGGCCGCGAATCGTCAGATGGGAAGCCGTATGGGATATTTGCCACACTATCATTGTGACCCAGTGACTGAGCTTCGTCGAGAACAGCGAAGAGCGGAACATCGGCGCCTAAGCGATGATGGATGTCCTTCAGTACAGCCTGCAGATGGTGGTCGACATATGCATCTGAAGCCTTTAGAAGAAAATGGCTGATCGCATGGAATGGATCGCGAGCTAGCAGGGCGCTGGGCTGAAGCTGACAATACAGCCAACGTTGTTTGTGTTCGTCGGTAAGACATGGGTCAGCAAGATCGAGGAAAGCTTTGAAGACCAACACTTGCGCGAGGAGGACATCCTTGTAGCGGCGGATGATGAAGTCAAAATTATGGTGCAGCGTACTCGGATATGAAGGCATGGAGGGGTGTGGTAGCTTGACTACGTCAGAGAAAACGAGGCCGTTAGCCACCACAGCCCCCACGTGTTTACTCCCGAGGCCGCTGGAGTCGAGTCTTGCGGCAAAGTAGAGCCCCCAGTGTCGACACAGGCCTTCGTATAGTAACCGAGTTTTTCCTGAGCCGGAAGCGTTAACGAAGAACCTATAATGAGCTTAGTCCACATCATCGCAAAGGGCTTCTAGGCAGACGTACGTATTCTCATCCTTACGGAAAACGGATTCGAGGTTACGCTCAAGCGTCTCAGAGGGTATAAGGTGACCAAGATCGTGTAGGACTAGTAGTGGTTGTTCATGTCTATCGCAGCGAGGTATCTTCAGGCTTGCCACATGATCCAAATGTTCGTTGTCGTCGCAACGCGGAGACCATGTGTCGAGTGTGCGAGATCCCCGGACCACTTCTAGGAGGGGTGGACGGATACGTTGCAGAATGCCATCTATTTGGCTGTTGACAGCCGAATCGCTATCAGTTGGGTTGTAGCTCTGCGACGACACCGGGAAAACAGCATCTTCATGTTGTCAGTCAGAAGGCAGTGACAACTGATCGTCAGAACTTACTCGGATGAAAGAGTGACGTGTAGTCGTTCTTCGAATGGGCGTTCTCAAGCATAATTCGCCCTTCGGCGCATTTACTGAGAGCGTCTTGGCAGGACCGTAGAGAGGTATATCGAGCGTCAGGGTATATATCATTCTCCTCACATGCGGCTCTTAGGATATGCGAGAGTAGATGCGCTGCATCGTCCAACATCAGGAAAACGCCCTATACTATCGAGGCTCGACCACGCCGGTGGATTTCTACAATAGCAATCAGCAATGTAGCCTTACTATATCGAACAACGTAGTGAATGTAGTGGAGGTCAGCGCGACATAGGACGACATAGCTTCACGTAGGTATGATGGGTGCTACGTCGGTCCCCATAGTCGTGACTATGAGCTATTCTCTCCCTCGTAGCTGATGGTAGTCTTCTCTTGAGTAATCAATGTCGGCATAAGTGACTGCTCGATGTCGAGCTCCTACAATTGAAGTTGGCCTCTGAACAGGTCACGAGCATTGAAATCAAGTAAAACCATTCGAGAAGCTATCTAAGTGTCGGTGCAAGACGAGAGAGGATGGCGATGAGGGTCGTAATCTTCATGGAGGAGTGACTCATCTGCTCGACTAGCCGCCTTCGTCGTCGCCGCCGAACGGCTCACCGCAATGTTGTGCTGCTCAAGTCAGTTGCTGCGGCTTGAAAAGTTGAGACTGCGGTTTAGCTTGCTCCGCGCGTCTCTGAAAGAGAATTCGATGAACGCAGGTGTGTTGCCAGACAAGAGGGCAGCACAGGAGAATGAAGAGTAGCGCGCTGAGGATGGTGAAGGCAACAAGTAATGCGAGCACTATGGATATACCACAGTAATCCCTTCATCAGAGCTCGCATGCTCATTCAATTCATGGGAGCCAACATACAGTCTGTGAATAGGACAATGAGGGACTTGGCCAAAGCTACGAAGGACTTAGCGAAGTGCAGGCTCCGATCGGACGTCCGGCCCGTCTAGCGCGTCCACGTGACCTTCCTATTTTTTCCGGCCACGTCGACAGCCGATCCGAATGCGCTTCTCCTTCTTCCACCATGTCGACCGTCTATTATGCCCACTCTCGCGCTTGCTGCCGCTCATGGCGACTTTCTAGCACTGCAGACTTTATGTGATCATGTCGCCTACGACGGCGAGCCGCGCAGCTTCGCGCCCTAGATCAGTTGCGTGCTTGACTTGGTGCGTGCGCAATATAGGCTGCGTGTAGTTGGAGCTGACTTCCGTGCAATGTAGGGAAGTTGCGCGCTGACCATATAGTGGGTTGTCGCTGCGCCTGGCGAACAGAGTCGCAGTACACCGCTAGGCGGGCCTTTTGCACGTACGTACCTGTGGATTTTGTCTGTTCGATCTATCTTTGTTATGCTTACTCGTGTCCAGCACATCGTCAACGCGTCAACCCCTTGCCCCCTTCATCCTCTTGAACCTCCTTGCGTGGCCCTTTGGCGCGGTTCGGTGTGAGGAGGCCACACCGTGAAATGTGACCTCGCAAATCCCGAATCATGATGGACGGGGCAACACAGTTCTGTACTTAGTCTCTATTGTGCAATGCTGTATTAGCTTAGTCCTGCAATAAAACCCTCTCTTTTGACTTTCTGAATGTTTGATGTGCCGATTTGAAGCCCAATAGCTTCGAATACTGACATTACCTGCATAAATCTGACGCAAACTACGATGGAACTCGATACTATGGTAGTTACTGGTAGGAACGGGCATACTATGGCCAACTATGCAGGTCACGCTAGGTCCTATGGGGACCTACATAAAAGGGTACTTGTCAATGTGGGTATGGCGCCTATAGAACCTATGTAGTGCCCCATAGACAAGTCAAGTTTTACTGATGAAGTCGTCTTTTATGGCGTGTGGCGATATGTGGTTTGTGGCATCAGCAATGCGAGTATTGAACCCTTCAGAGAACGATAGACTCATAACAGGCGGTGTTGAAGCAGTAGTGGAGATGCGAGTGTTAGGCTGACGGTGACGGTAGAAGACAAGTGATAAGTCTGAGCGGGTATGGAACAATGGAAGTCGGACCGACTGTAGCCCGTCGAGTCTCGACCCGGATCAGACACGTGATCCATTGTTTGTCGAACAACGATTGAACAAATGCGGCGCAGCGGCACACCTTGAGTCTATGTTGCGGACATTTATTTTTTCCCCTACCGTGACTTATAGCCGTCCCATAGTCCAATCGACGCCAGCCCCTTTTGGGCTACGTTGGTATCTTGAATCTCAGGAGACATGAAGCTGACCGCTTGAGTCCTACAGAATATTACGCTGACAGGTGTAGCGCCGTGTAGAACTGTAGATAAGGTCTTCTTTTGCACTTGGGTCTTCCCTCATATTCAATCATGCTTGCTCCTTTCCTTCCCCAGGATTCAAGCAATCGTGGGTGGATCGGTCCACGTCCTGCGTGTAATTCCCTTCACGTTATTTCCGCTACGCGTCCCTAACGCGGATGGAGTGAAGGCAGCATTGTTTGTACATCCACTGCCTGGGCTCGCAAGCCGCAGAGCTTCCCGTGAGTCAAATTAGCTATTCGATGCGTGGAGGTGGATCGAGACAGCCGCAGGACTCGGTCTCTTCCATTCCCGGCTATATGTGCGCTGGTCTATCTATGCTCTATACCCTCCCCCCCGCGCACCCATCGATGTTGAGTCCATCGGCGATATGCCCAGCGGTCGCGTGTCGTTGACTCGCTTTCATGGAGACGCGCCGACGCTTTTAGTCCGAAGGTGACGGCACTGGCATGAGGCCTAGGACTCTGCGACGGCGCTACGTGTGCTGTGTTCCCTACTAGATATGCTTCCCGTCATCGTCCATTGACTGAGCGCCGTTGCTGCACCGTAGTGGGACGTAGCGTGCGGACTGTGGGTTGCGTGGTCGAGCGCCGCTTCGATGTCCGCACGTTGGAGCCCTCTACCATCGACCTTTTCGCGGAGGGATGGGAGGACTCCGTCGTATCGGGCAGGATGAAGCGCAATAAAGACTGTTCGAGGTCCTCCGATGATGCATGCCAGTGCACATTGCTCCGCAAATCCGCCACGTTCACAGCGGCCACCGCATGGCCCGCGGCGTCGTCAGCCTGGGGGGCGGTAATTGTGGAGGCGAAGGCGAAGAAGAACGGTGGATTGCCAGCGTGCTTAGAAGGATCTGGGATGTTACGCATCTTGTCCAGCTGCTGTATGGGCCGTCAGTCCCGATCAAGGCCGCAACGATCTGACGCACCTCGGAATCAAAGTTGACAAGGGGATTATGCCTTGCAATCCTCTGGCCGATATCGGCGACGGATAGCTCGTCAAAGGCAGGATCGCTATCCAGTACGACCCAAACATTCTTGTTGTCGACTGAGAGCCTCAGCGTGAACAACAGTGAGATACTCGAAGACCGGTGTAGAATGCAGAACGGGGTGGCATCGGCGTGAGCGAGCCAGTTGTCGAGCTCTGCACTCGTCGCCGCAGTGGTCACTAAGGTGGACGTCGTCCCGGAGGATTCCCTAGTGAAATGATAAACGCGAGCGCAGGTCCTGCCCTTCGAGGTGTTGTGGAGGAGTAGAAGGTTCGCAGTACGCGCGTTCGCCCACGACGGAGGAGTACCTACGAAGTCGAAGACGTCTCTGAGCGCTATCTTGTTCTCGAACTTGCGGGCGAGTAGGTATGCCAATACCTCGGAGCGAAACTCGGCGACATGCCTTGGATGGTCTGTCAGAAGGCGAAGGCGAAGATAATCAAGGTCCAGGAAATCGGTGGCGGATGTTCTGAACCAATGTGCGCAGGTTACGAGAAGATAGGGCTCGTCGATGGCAATATGGCAAGCATCGTCATCGACAAAACGACCCAATGCCTCCGTGACGACGCATACGTGGCGGTAATCATATCTGCAGACTGATGATGGGTGAACGAAGATACTGAATAATGAACGGTGGACGGTTGATTTGATCAAAGGATCTGGCAACTGTAAGCACAAAGAAGTTCGTGTTCGAAGTGACATACGTCGCATGCTGTATAGCGAGTGGCGTCGGAGGATCCGTTTGGCAGTTTCATATCGCGGTCCCTCGGCGACACTGAGATCGTCCGCGTCATGAGGCAGGTAGCCGGTGCCATTATGGACATAGTCGTTCAAGGATTGGTGCGGCTGCTTCGTTCCGAAGCGGATATACACCGCGATGTATGAGGCTGTCAGTCGATGCCTACAGCCTCATCAGATTGCGGTTAACGACGTTCATGAGTGATAGACACACCTCCCACGGAGCCAGAATCCCAGACGGCGTATAAGCTTCTGTCCGCTCCTTGTCCGAACGAAAGCCGAAGGGAGGTAGCGAAGAAGATAGCACCGATTTGAGTCCTTGGAGTCGAATGCGCCCGTAGCGGAGCACCAGCGGTACTTCCCGTATTCCATCTCCAGCGGCTCAACATCCCAGATCTCCTTGGGAAGCTCTGTACCGGTCACGATGAGTGACACTCCAGGACGGCCGCGCCACGCCAGTATCAGCCGCCGTAGGTATGCTGGAGCGTCTGCTCTCGGAAGCCCATACTTCGATTTATCTGGGCCGTCGTCATTCCCAAGCGCCTGAGATTCGTCTAATGCAACGAAGAGGTGCGCATTACCGAGGCGTCGACGAATGTCGCCCAGTACCTGCTCGAGCGCATGTTCAATGTACTCGGAAGAGGCTTTGATGAGCACGGCGGTGATAGCCCGGAAAGGATCCGAGTGTTCGCGCCCCAGAGTCACGGATTGGAGTTGACACTGAAGCCAGCGGGCCTTATGCACGTGCTGAAGATCGTGCTCGTCGACGAGGCGTAGGAATTCGCGCATGACGAACACCTTTATAGCGACGGATCAATGCCTGAAGGTTAGCCTCGCGCACAGCCGTGTAATTGGGCGCTGTGGGGTGTGGTATGACCGTCAGTCCGTCTGGCTGAAGTAGGAGGCTTCTGGCGGTAACATAGTCGACGCTGGTGCTGCCCAGATAACTCGAATCAACTTTGGCGGTCAAATATAGACCCCAATTATGAGCTAATCCTTCGTAGAGGAGCCTAGTCTTGCCGGAGCCAGACGTGTTGACGAAGAAGCTGTATGGTTACACTGAATGACAATTCGTAAGAGTTGACCAGACAAGACTCACGTGTCATGCTCGCTATCGAATATCTTGGACAAACGCTGGCGCAGGACGTCTTCATTTATCATGCGCCCGATGTCGTGTAACACCAACATGGGCAGACCTTGGTTTTCAGGAATTTTGAGGGAAGCAACATGGGCCGCGTGTGCAGGGTCTCCGGTAAGTGGCTGCCACGTCTCGTATGTGCGAGAGCCATCCGCGATGGCTTGCATTCTCGCACGTGAGTCGTGCAGGACGCTCTCGATTTCGGCAGTGATGGCATCGCTCGTACCGACAGCAGTGCGTGGTTGCCTGAGAATCTCGGGAAGAAAGACAGCTGTCCAGCGTAATTTGAGTAATCGAGGCTACTTGTTAATCTAGCGATAGACTTACAGTGGTCGAATATTGTTTTATACGTCTTTGTACGGTGCACTTCCTTCATGATACGTGCAGCGTCTTCGGAGCTCGAGAGGAGATCATGGCAAGAGGACAAAGCGACTCGTGCTGGGTCGGCATACAGGTTGTTTTCCCTGTACATCTGCCGCGAAGCGCGGGAAAGCACTTCAGAGAGTCCCCGCAGGCTATAGTCATCGTCGTCGTCCGCGTTCGGGGGGATGTGTGCAGTCGCCGCAGCTATGAGTTGGTCGAACTCTGCGGAGAATGAGAGAGCCATCTCGAGGAACGGTTACGACGCTGATTTCCTTCTGCATACAGCAGAGGATATAAAGCACTGTGCCAGCGTCAATATGTGGCCCGAGGATGCAACCAGCAAGTTGAAGGTGATTCACGTGACGGCTTTCGTGGGAAGAGTGACATCAGTCACAAAGGGTTGGTGATCCTTTGAGGCACGCTTACATGGTTTGCACTGGCCAGTATGGTCAATGTGTATGGCCAGGCCATCGTGCCGGTTTGCATAATCTCAATTGCTTTCGCGCGCTTTGAGCTCATCACCCAGAGTCCAATCGACCGTCATGACTTCGCGGCGGCAGCTGCAGGACCCGCGACCTGTTCTCATGCTGCCCTTGTTCGGCGTGCGAAACGGTTGCAACGGCAACCATCGATACACAGGAGCGATACCTTCTTGCGCCGTTGCGCCTTGTTCTCTGGTGACATTGTTAGACGCGGCGAGAACTGGTGAGAAAGGCTCCAACGTATTACCATTCGAAGTCCACTGAAAATGTGAGCGCTTTCAGCATGTACATAACCATGACTTCTCACATTATGATCTTGCAGGAACCCATCCGGGATGCCCTCAAGGAGCTACCCGACCCCCATCCGGATGCCGGCGAGTTTGGTGTCTTGCGCGTCGTCGCGAGTTACCCCTTCAGCGTCAAGTTGACGGAGGCGAAAGTCAACGGCGACAAGATGGTTAGCGGTGGGATGCCGGATTACTGGGATACCAGGAAGCATGGACCGCTCGCTATCATGAACATGGATCTCCTTGAGCGTCTTACCGGTGATGTGTCGCCAACCCAATGTCTGCAGCGCTGGCGGTCGAAACAGCCGTGGCAGTCTACTGCCGACAGCGGTAGGGGGAAGCGAAAAGACAGGGAGGAGGACCCTGCGGAAGGGAGTCGCGGGGCAAAGCAGCCGAAACTGGCGGAAGGGGGCAAGGGTGTGGCAGCGGACAAGCCGAAGAAGGAGGGGAGGGGGGACAAGGGGAAGCGCGGCAAGGGAAAAGGGTGGGGATGAACTATGGGAATCGCCGATATGAATTATATCGACACTAGGCAAATACAGGATCTACAGTTCTGCATCTCCTTCTGCGTTCATGTCGTGGATGGTAGGTCCGGTAAGCGATCCGGATATCGTGCGCGTATCCTCTCCCTCAACTCCTCCTCGTACACCTGATCCGGTCCCAGCTGATTGCCCAACGTCAGCCAGCCAGGCCGCACGTTGTGCTTCCTCCCGAAGATCTCGACCTTGCGCCCACCCGGGCACATGCGCTCGATGAGCCCATACACCTCATCCGGCTTGCGGCTCGTCTCGCGCACCTCGGAGACGATGACATCCGTGTCGAGGCCGCGGTTCGCCCAAGGCGGCAGGCGGAAGGGCTGCGAGGGGTCGGCGGGGTTCTTCACGCCGACGAGAAGGTGCTCCTTGGTGTGGTTGAGCCAGTGGCCGGTGCGGCCGGTGCGAATGAGGCGCTGGAGCTGCACGGGGTCAGCGAGGGGCCGTAGACGGAGGGCCGACATGCATACCTGATTGGTCTTGATCCAGACGATCTCGTCGACGCGAGTGTAGCCCCAGACGCGGAGGCATTCGCGGCCGACCTCCATAGCACGTCCGGTGACCCAGAGGAACAGGATGCCCTCGTCCTGCAGCCTCGGGATGGGCATTGCCTTCATCTCGTCGTCTGTCATAGTGCCGTACGGAAGCTATGATTGGGCATTAGAGATCTACGTCGCAAGTAGTATGGCCGAGTTCACGTACGCTCATATGGATATCCCATGGCGGGTCGGCCATGATAACATGAAATTTGCCCAGTACTGAGTAGTCAAAGCGTCGAAGGTCACAATTTATCCATTGCGGCGGCAGCTGCCCCATCATGAGCGAAAAGCCAGTATATCACTCTGTCGCGTACGCACCATCTCGGTCTTGTTCCCATTCGGGCCCAAACCTAGCTCGAGCCTGTGCATCTTCTTCCGCTTCTCCACCTCCCGCTTGCGCTGCATCTCCCTCGCTGCGTGCTGATGATGCTCGCGCTCATCACCAACATCCCAATCGAGTTCGTAGTGCAGGTATCGACACGGGGCTTTCTCCTTCCCCCTGCCGCCGGCGCCCAGCCCGGATGGCAGCGACGTGGGTACGCGGCTGTTCGGGGGTGCCATACCATGGCTATGCGCGGTGCCGGGGAATGGAGGGATTGACGGGGACTGCGCGTACGTCGGCTCGGAGTAGCAGGTATTGAGGTACGAGCAGTGACCAAGGGAGGGATCGGTATGTGGACGGATGAGGGGACGGAAGTGTGCGCAGGAGCAAATACTGGGGGTGCCAGTAGTGGCGGCGCGAGCCTTCGCACATTCTTCCTTGGTAATGTTGGAGCAGATGGGCTCGAACTTCTCGTCTATGGAGTGAAACTGAGAGAGGTGAGCACCAAAAGATAGAAGGTGGGACTGACAGTATCGCGCACCTGTTCCGCGACCAGCCTTCCTCTCGCCGTACCCTTCAGTATGATCGTGAACGCCTCTCGCATCTCCTTGCTGACGTTACTGAGTTGATTCTGCACAACTGCTGTGTGCTCTTCGCGCTCGACCTCCTCATCCGTGCCGGCTGCCGAGTCGTCCTCCTCGTCGACCTGACGCTTGCGCTTCCGCGCAGTGAAGGTTGCATTCGCACTGTTTCCTGCCGTCTGCAGCGTGATGTCGATGACACTGAGAGGACCGTCTTCTCCATTGCGCGCAACAGTCAGGGTCCCTTGGTCCCACGTTCGAGTCAGAGTGTCGAGGATACGCTCAAATTTACGAAGGTCTGTCAGGCGCAAACGCGCGTAGGGAGCACCCGGGGGAAACAGTCCTGCTGGAGGCTTGAAGGTGATGACATGCGCGAGGAGGTCCATGGAGGACATGGGGAGTACGATTGACTTGTTATTCACGAGACTGTGCAGCGCTGCAGCAACGAGGATACGAAGTTCATCGTCCACTGACATGATGAACACGGCGGAGATGACGGGAGTGAAGAACAATGGGATTAGATGAAAAAGGAAATGCGGAGGTAGCATTCGGGCCGCTTCATCGCCTCCAGGCTCCGAATTACTTTGTCTCCTGCCATCATCATGAGTATGTTGCTGCATTTTCTGACTTGCGAATTATGCAAGGACACTTCCTGGGTCCTCTTCCTCGCTCTAGAGGCGCTTCAAATTCAACGCTGGGGTGCTCGCCAACTCTCTCTCCTTTGCGTGGCTCCTATGTTACCACACGCATTCATCATTGCCATTGGCAATCTGATGGGGGTACCTGTATGAGCTCGCTAGGAGACTGCATGTACAGTAGGTATTGATCAACGAATGTGGCGCGTACAGCCTTCGTTCTACTCTCATCTGATCTCCCGAATACAGCTCGACAGCTGCGACAACCCAGGAGCGGAGCTCATAGGGGTCAGCCGCGCATACTTATATATCATCCCGCCGTCTCCCTCGCGTTACAGCAACCCCCCATCCTCTCCCTTGCCCTCATACCCCGCTAACGTTGTACCTCACCGTCAGCTTCGACGCCTCAGCATGATCATGACTTCCCTGAACTTTGTGGACAAGGGCCTACTGAACTCCAGTCTATGCCTTGATGACGGACGCGTGCAGTTCACGACGAAGACGAAGAGGAACTGGATTGGAAGGACGAAGGAGACGCGATTACTCCGCGGGACTTCGGACTTGTCTGTCGCGTCGATTCAGTGGCGGAACAAAGCCTTCGAAATCAACGAGAAGACGTACTCAATCAAACAGCTCAGGACGAAGTCCAGCTGTTGGACGCAGTCGGTGTTGTCCATCTTGTGCGGCGTTCGAAGACTAACCGAACCTAGGAAGTCTCAATGGCAATGGGGATCGAGGACGTACTCCGTTAAGTGGAAGAAAGGCGGCTGGATGGTAGGTCTTGTCGCCGCATCGGCATCGGATACGAGTGTCCAGCAGGTTTGACACGCGCAACCAGATATTCCCTCCATCTTCCTCTGACCCAATAGCGACGCTGAAGCCGCGGAAACTGCGTCTATTCCACAAGGACGTACCAGCGAGAGTTACACTTCCATCCTCTCACTATGGGAGCCTCAGCGACGATGCCCTGTTCTTCCTTGTGCTCCTGATTCACTTGCAAGCTACAAAAGAGCGGAATGAGGTGCGTATTCGTCTATGTCTGGCAGTTGTGTCTAATCGCTGATGGCGCCGCAGGGCAAGGCCGAAGCTGCTGGGGCTGCGGGAGACATTGCAGGCGCGGTCGCGTCAGTGGCCACTTGACGAGATATCAAAGTCTCTCTGTTATAATTGATACGTTCACATGCCTGAGTAATTCGTGCTTGTGAACAATTGTACCCGCTCTGCCAGTCCAAAACTGCGTCGAACCGTGACCAATCACACAAACGACTCGTCACCTTCCGTCACGCGGTGGTCACGGCAGTGAGCTTTTCTTCTTTCACGATCGCCTTTCGGAAGTGAGGTTCGTATACCGCTCCCGAGCTCTGCCCTGAATAATCTTAACTCATGGTGAACTCAGCCCCTCAGTATGTCTCATCCACTCTCTCCGAACTCTACGTCGGAGAGGACATTCTGCCTATGTCCGCCTTGCGGGGCGTCGCTCAAGACAAGCGCATCGTATACGACTCCAGAATCCGCTCTGGAGGACCTGCATGCTGGACATGTCGTGATGATGCCTCAGGAGATCCAGCGCATCTCAACACTCGCAGACGATGCCGAGAGGGATGCGAGCGCTCTAGCACAGGAGATTGACCGCCTTCGCGTTCTTGTGGCCGACATGGATACACACAGACGCCAGGCTGTCGCCTTCGCTGCTCAGCAGCGCCTCCTTGTTGCCCCAATCCGGCGACTGCCGACGGAGTTGCTGACGCAGATACTCGCCGACGTCTGCGCAGAGGAAATCACCTTTCGCTTGTTGCCACGGGATTCCACTCGACGCTACAGCTTTAACACGAAGCCGCGTCCGCGCTATCCAGCAGTCGTTGCCAGTCACGTTTGCCGACGGTGGCGAGCACTCCTATTTGACTCACCGTCGTTGTGGATCCCCAATGGCGGGTTGACAATCGGATTTGCTATCGGAGTGCAGGCTTCAAAGCGGTCCTGGAAAAGGACATGTGCATCGGTGCGGAGGGCCGTTGACCACTATGCTGAGCGCTCTTCTGGGCTTGCGCTTGAACTGCAGGTGGACGATGATACTTCCAGCCCACGCAAAAGCAACGATCCGCAAGTCATCGCTGTCTGCGGGATCATCGCCAAACATCTCCATCGCTGGCGTCTGATTCATATGCCCGTGGTTGTCGCCCGTTGCCTGCACGAATATACCGACGACGCCATCCCGGGACTTCTCGAGGAATTATCGATCCCCTGGTTCGATGCACGAGAACACGGGGATAGGAGGGTGTCCTCCGTCTTCTTGATTGCGCCTCGCCTGCGCAAAGTCACCGCGCCTCAGGTGGAGCGAATCGATCTGCCATGGGATCAGCTCACCAATATTCGTGACAACGCATGGCTATCTCACGAGGGAGCAGTAGAGCCTCTGTTTGGTCACCGGCTGCAAACTTTACGGATCGCTATCGATCACAGAATGCTCGCAGATCTCCAGAACACTCCTCATCTCACACGACTAGATCTCGCCACCGACCACTTCGTGGAAGCTACTTGTCTACTATCCTGTGTTTCAGCACCGGCATTGACGCAACTCATCCTACGAGGTGCCTATCCGCAAATGGATGACCCAGAGGAGAATCAGAGCGGTTGCAACATGTGCATTCATACCAGGGATGAAGAGGATGCATGCATCGACGCGTTCCTTAAATTCCTTGACCGCTCCCAATGCCGATTAACCTACCTTCGGCTTCATTACCTCTCGCTCGCGACGCCTGTCTTCATGCAGGTGCTTGGCGGATTGTCCTTCCTCAAGTCCCTCATCATGATCGACCCCTACTACGATCATGTAATCCCGCAAGAACCTGGAGCGGATTACGACTATACGTACGAAGTCACGGAACCACCGTCAAGCATCTCCAGTGATGTCTTCCTTGCCATGATGGGCTCGGTGGATGCTCAGCCCATACTCCCTCGGCTCGAGCATTTCTCTTACGATGGTGGTGCTAGTGTTGCCATGCTAGAGGGGAGCATACGCCCTGTCGTAGATCGGCTCTGCCAGTCGAGGACAAGCCCACCATTATTGTTTGAAGTCGAAGGCGAGCGCATATCGGGGTACGTTGTTCGAGGTTCTGATGTCTCATCGAACCTTACGAGTCACGCAGGTGAAAAAGTCCGTCCAATTCCGGACGATGGCGACGGTCTTCTGGCAGAATATGGACTTGAAGACATTCAAGCCTGTCAGAGCGCAGCTCAGACGGTGTAGCTGGATAATTTCATTCGTCCTCCTCACTCTCGCAGGACCAATGAACGGTGTTGGGACACGCCGGGCTGCGAAGGGACTTGTTTCGTCCGCAGGTTCTTCGGATCTGTAGCATACAAGGCAAATGCAAAATTCCTCTGTTGGGATATGGTCGTCGTTGTACACAAGTTGTTCGGATTTTGGTTGGCATTCGGTCGTACGAATCAGTGCGGCTCGCCTGCGCGATGGCCTGAGTGTCCTTGTGGTTTCGTTTCCAAGTGAGCGCGACTGAGCAGAACCGCATTCTCACTGCGCGTGCCTCTAAGTATGAGCCTCCCATCGGACAGAAAGAGCACGGGCGTTATTAAAATTTCTGTCGGTGAGTTACCTGGCACGTGCGTTACGGTTCGGTTTGTGTACTCCACGTGATTCTTCGCGTCACGTCGCATCACTCAGGTTACGCTGAACTTCAGTGCCTCCCTCGACGACGCCGACGGCGGCCAGATCACTGTCTGAGGTGACGATGGAACAAGAGGGCTCTCAGCTTGAGAAGCTTCTGACCCAGTGCAAGAGCAATGGTGCGTCGCCATCCTCTTCCCCAAGCCACTGGCTAATGGGCCAATCCGAGCAGACGTCGACGTCAAGGTCGACGCGCTGAACAAGTTGCAAGCCCTATTCGAGGCGGGGACGGAGGTACGTGTTCTTGAATATCAGTAATGGCGGGCGGGGGCTGACAATGATGGCCACGAACGCGCAGATCGACGACCCTGATGGCCTAATTAACGTCCTCAAGACTTGCTTACGGACCTCAAATCTGCATCTTCTCAGCGCCGCCGTGGCCGCGATACCCCCCGCCCTTCCAATACTCTTCTCTCGGAATGTAACATATGCCCATACCCCTCCCGGACGCCCTCGCTCAGCGATGTCGTCCAACTCCAGTGTTGCGTCTGGTGTACTGGACATGACACTTTTGCGGCACACGCTCAACGCATTCTTACCTCCAGGAGGTCTGATTGAGCGACTCGGAGACAAGGAACGCGTACAGCAGAAGGCCCGCGAAGCGCTCGTGCTCCTTGGCGGATATGCGTTTCGCGCAGGTGGCACGAGTACGCTCTCGACACGGCGAGATGGGCGGGGGGTTGAGACGCCCTTGATGATATTTGAGCGGTTCCTCCGCGAAGCAGGCTTGACTAGCAAAGTATGGAAAGTGCGCGAGCAAGTGAGTGTTCATCCCCGCATCTCAAGATGTTGACTGACGAAGTGCTGTAGTCGATATTGACGCTCGTGCACATCCGGCGTTCGCACCATCAATTCCCTCTACGGCCCTTCCTGCCCATTCTCGTGGGTGCACTAGAGGACACAGATGCGCATGTACGCGACTGCGCTCGCGTGTCTGTCGTCGAGCTCTTCACGGGCCCTGCAGTCACAGACGCCGCACGCGCTGACCTGAAGAAGGAACTGGCGAAGAAAGGTGTTCGCAAGACTATCGCTGACTCCGTCTTGGCACAAGTGCTCTCCGGCGCTTCAGCACCGCAGGTGCAGATACCCGACTCATCCGACGGCGGCGAGGCATCAAAGCCCAAGGAATATATACCCCCGAGCATCGCGCTACAATCCCGAAAACCTTCCTCGACCAATTCAACGGGTCCCCTTCCTCGGACAGCGAGCTCAAGTACGATACCGCGCCCTCCGAGCCGGGCTGCTGTCGCATCACCACCGCTGCAAGCGCCCCCGAGCAACGAGAATGCAGAAGTCCGCCCTGTATATGTACGTGATGTGCATATATGCGCTTCAACAACTCAACACAACCTGCATAGATCGCTTCTAGTCGAGATCTGGAAAATGAGTTTGCGCAGGCTGCACCTGCCTTCGAGGTGTGTATATTTCGAGTGATACTGGGCTTTTGAATGAACGAACGCATAACAGGGCAAAGAAAGCGAGCACAATTGGGCTGCTCGCGAAGGCACTATTGTCCGTGTACGCGGCATGCTCAAGGGTGAAGTGCATCTCAAGTACCCCGATACCTTCTTCGCGTGCCTCAAAGACGACTTCATCAAATTGTCGCTCAAGACAGTATGTTCATTCAAGTTTTGCAGCCAATATTGAGCTCTAATCGAGATTAACAAGCTTGCGAGCTTACGGACCACGGTCGCTGTTCACACCTGCCAACTCTACTCAGAGCTCGCCGTCGCCCTTGGCTCAGCTTTGGACCCATTCGCCGAGGTTCTCCTTACAAATCTCCTGGGAATGTCCGGATTCACCAAGAAGATCACCGCCCAAGAGTCGCAAGCCACCGTCACCACGATCATCACACATACGACACCTCCTCCGCGCGCTATCATACCTCTTCTGTGGCACACAATGCAAGAGAAGAGTGTACAATCACGAACTTACGCTGTCGCGCACATCAAGCACTACGTGGAGGTTCACGGGCAGCGTGCTAGGGCTGCGATCGAGTCGCACGGCTTCGTGGACATACTCGAAAAGGCGGTCAAGAAGAGCGTCAGCGATGCGAACCCGTCTTGCCGAGAGAAAGCACGCATCGCTTTCTGGTCATTTGAGTCGGTGTGGCCGGACAGGGGCGCGGTTATCCTCGATGCTCTGGACAACCAGGCACGCAAAGCAGTAGAGAAAGCATGCCCGGATCCTTCTCGGTTGGCTACTTTGTCTGTGGCTGCGCCGACGCAACCGAAGAAGAGCAGCGTTGCCGCCGCCATCGCCGCCAGCCGGGCAAAGGCGAGGGCGATTGCGAACGCGCCTCCTACTCTACGACACCAGGCAACGTCAGGGTCTCATACGACGCCTGCACGACGCGCAGGATCGCCCAGCACATCTCCGAAGCTATCGCAATCTGTTAACCGCCCTGCCTCTCCTCTGTCTCCACCATCAGCACGGAGCCGCATCGTCTCCAATGGTGTACCACGGCCGCCGCTTGCGACGAGCACCTCTCAAACGCGGACGACGAGCTCAGGGAGAGCCTCGCCTACATCGCCACCGATGAACCGGCGTACCTCCTCGCCGCTGGCTTCCCCAACTCAGCCCTCGTCTGGCTTCCGACGAGCGGTCAATACGGCTCTTCCGGCGTCGCCACCCCCTGCGCGGCGAGACATGTCGCTGTCACCGCCGCGGCGTATGCCGAATGGTACTGCTCGAGGCGCAGCTGTACCACTCCCTCGACCGTCCATCAACGAGCTGTTTGCATCGGACGATCAGTCGCTATTACTTGCTTCTGGCATCCCAGTGCCGGACGACAGTGATTCGGAGGGCTCAATCAACTTGATGACCTTCTCGTCGCCCATTCCGATGGAGAAGCGTGCAAAGCCCCGTGGACCCAAGTCGACATCGCAGGAACATTCTCTGTCGCCTGAGTCCTCGACATCCATGCTCTCGACGCCAATCCGGAACACGCTGTCGTCGGACTCGATTGCGGATATGGTGAACAAGCCAGCGGTGGTGGAAGATGTGCTCAGCGCGAACGCTGAGCAGGCAATGAGCGCTGCGGAGCGTCTCCTTGAGCTCAACGACTCTGAGGATGGGATGGACGTCTTCCCTATCCCTTCGTCGCTCCTTGTGGGGAAGGTAAATGGGAATGGTGCAGCAACGCCAAAGCCAATGAAGGTGCCCAAGCAACAGAAGCTCTCGCCTGCGCCCTTATCGTCACAGCCGCCGAGAGCGCCGGTGACGCCAATGAACCGAAACACGATGATCCTCAGGCAAGCGTCGCTGTTCAAGGACAGCCCTGTCAATGGAGCTCGTTCAGCGTCTCTGATGGATGTCCTGCAAGACCGCAGGCAGGAGACTGGATGGTGGTTGAAGCGCAAAGCTTGTACGTTGTGCTATGGCGTGCTTCGAGGTTCTGGACTAATGCTTTGCCAGTGATGTCCCAAGGCACTCCACTGAAGAGTAGCGATTCGGAGGTCGCAAGCGAGCTGAACGCGTACATAGCGCAACTGGAAGGCGACGATTGGGATGTACGGACTCTTCAGAAGTTGGCTCTCATCTGCAAGGAGCGGCCTGCAGCTCCTAGCGCGTCACCGCCTCTCAGCCCGCGGCTCGATGAACCCACCAATCCTTTCGCGCCGCCGGAGTCGGACAACAGCGAGCTGTGGAAGCAAGGCAGGGCTTTCGACAGGTTATTCGAGTCCCTGCTGAAGGCTTTGAACCCTGAGCGGGTACGTATGTTGCCTTCTTGGCACTGCTTATGACTGACGTCGTATGTCCAGGCGGAAGAGGAGCTCGAGTATGGGCTGATCCTTCTCTGGGAGATCCTCGAGAACCAGTGGTCCTTGCTGGAAGGTCGCGAGGGCGACGCCTTTTCTGCTCTTTTCCAGGCGCGCTACAGCAACAAGGTCAACGTACGTATATGCAATCTTCTGCCCCTGCTCTTTGCTCATCTACATCCTAGGTCTTGGAGGCCACCAACAGTTTGCGCGATGCGTTGTGCGCCCGTATGGGCCCGGTGTACGGGATCACTACGTTGCACGCCAGCCTCAAAGTCTTCCATGCGGAGAAGCCTTCTCCCACTGCCGATGAAACCATTAAAGCGCAAAGCTATGCATTCGGGCTAATGGCTCTGGGCAAGCTCATCCTGCGCGTTCCGGCGGAGATCGTAGAAGAGGAGCTCCCGCGCTTGAAGTCTACGCTGATCGAAGTGAGTAACGCTACGGGCATCCTTCCCACCTCAGCATACTGACTATTCGTCCAGGGCTTGAATGATAAGTCGTCGCTCGTAGTACGCGAGTCTGCCGCTGCGGTCATCATCGCGGCGCAGATGGTCATGCGTGACGAAACACACCTGTTCGCCCTCCTCGACGGCCTCGCAGACGAGAAGAAGAACCTATTGACGTACTTGTTCGACAAGCATGGAGCCCGGGGTACAACGGCAGGGATGGACAAGTTGGAGAAGGAGATGCGGCGATTGGATACGAGGACGAGCACGCCGCCTCGTCGCACATAAGCCCTGCAAGCTTCGTGCCACCTCTTTCTCGATGTCTTCTTTCTGTTTGGGCTCTCCCCTTTCATCAGACTACTTCCCCTGCTACGGGTTTAATCCGATGCGACATCCTCGCATTTGCGCATTATATCACAGTAAGTTCGGATACCTTCAGTTTCAATCCAGCAAGTCTCGTTGTATACATACAATATATGTCCTCGGCATCGCTTCGTTCTCGCATGTTTTCGTAGTTACATACCTCTCCTCTCCTTGACTTATGCTTATGATCTTTTATGCCCCGAATCATTGTCGCCCTATGCCGGACTGGTGAGCATAAGCGTGGCAAGGACATGCGTCAAGAAAGAAATACAGCCACAGTACATTTTGTGCGTATATTGTGCTGAATTAAGGCTCGTCTATAAGCTTCTCACTTTCGCTCTTCATCTTTTGTACCAACAACGCAGCTCGGAATGGATGCACCGCCATCCCGGGCACGGCCTTTAGCAAGGCGTCCAAGTCGTCATCCACCCAGTGGCTTATGGCCATCAGGGCGCCGAAGGACCCGAGGCCTGCCTTCTTGAACATGTTGAGGTAGGCTGAGAGACTGAGCTCCGGCCGCGAGAGCAAGCGTGCAGTAGATTGCAGCCAGAGGTCGGGGTGGGCAGCGAGGTAGGCCTGGGGGGAATGAGCATTAGTGAGTCTCGGTGTTTATCAGAAGTCCAGCAGCCAGTCGCACTCACCCTCATTCGCCTCCGCTGAGCCGCATTCTCTGTGTCGCTGCCCTTGATCCCGCGGACGAGCACGAAGCGCTCGACGACCGTCAACTCCACCGGCGCTACCGTCTTCAGCATCTTGTGCAGCTCCTTGTGCGTCCAGCTTCGCAAGGCAGACAGATCCCCCACGGTTCGTATGCCCTGTGCGGCGAGGTTCTGCGCGCGTTCCGACAGGTCGTGATCGAGGTTGGCGAAGAAGCGGATATCGATGGGAGCGGAGGAGCGGGTGATGGACTTGGTATCCTCGGAGAGAGAGGTGAGAACCGTGTGGAGAGCGTCGGCGGAGGCTTGTAGGTCGGTGCTCAGCTTCTGTAGGGTGCGCTGAAGGACGAAGCGATGGACGGGCCGGAGCTCGGGAAGCGCTTCGTCGAAGAGTAGGCGCAGGTCATCGTCTGCCCAGCCTGCGAGCGAAAGGAGGGGACCGAGAAAACCGAGGCCGGCATTTTGGAATGCGGCGAGGTAGGGCGATAAGTCGAGCGCAAGGCTAGAGAGGTATCCGGCAACGTCGGTTGTCCAGATCGCGTGAACCTTGTCCAAGCGATCCTGAAAGAGCATTAGCAAGCTTGCATGCCCAGATCGCCACGAGAAACCCACCCTGATCAAAGACTTCTGCAGAAGACCATTCCAACCAATGCGCTTCAGGCCCCGCACCAGCATTATGCGCTCGAAGACACTGAGCCCCGGCAGAGTCCTCTGCAGTCCGTAGTGCAGTTCGGTCTCGGGCAGGTTCCTGAAGGGGATGACGTGCGACGCGCTTCCGAAGTCAGCGGTTGGAAAGATGGGCTCCAGGGCGGAGAGGTCGACGTCAAGGTTGGTAAGGAAGGCGTGGAGGAATGTAGACTGGTGAGGCTGGCCGAACTGAGGAGGAACATGGGGAAGGGCAGCCAGGACCGCGGGACCCCCGTCATCGACCTCGATGTCGCTATCGTCCGACGAGACGTAGATTGGGCTGTGCGCGCAAGGAGATGACTTGCGCTCGGGCTCATCTTTATGCTCGAGTCTGTGTCCATTTGCGAGCTCCCGTCGCTCGTGGTCCATGGACTGCTCGCGATGCTCCTTGTCGGTAGGCTCGCTGGCCTCTCCCTCAGGAGGCTGGCCGCGGTCTTCTCCGTCAGGAAGAAGGATGTCACCCTCGCTCGGCTGACCGCGACCTTGCTCGTTAGGTGGCCCGCGCTCCCGTCCATTGGCCTCCTCGCGCTCCTGCGCAGCGTCGCCGTGCTCGGGTTCGGTCACCGTAAGCTCGCGAACTTGAGCCTCGATATCCTGAACGGCGCCACGACCGGAGCCTTGGGTCGCATCGAAACCGGTACCCGCCATATCGTTGCGACCGGCACCCAGTGTGACATCATGAATGCCATCCTGCGTGGCATCGGGGCCCGATTCGTCTGGGTATTCCAAGTATTCTAGCTCATCAGAGTCTTCTTCGTGCGCGTCATCATGCACAATCGGCGCTGCCGGCGCATCCAAGCGCACCCTTTTGACGCTGTAGGCCGAAGACGAGGCGGGCGTTGAAGATGCCTCGGACATGGAGTAAGGCCGGGGGGTCGCGAGGGGAGACATCGCTGTCTGCGATGCACCCGCTGCTGTCTGCGACGAGTCTATGGGGCCAGCGCTATTGGAGGCTAAGTCATCTGAGGGCTACAACTCATCAGCACACGTACACAAGGACCGACCCAGAGACATACCTCGCGCGCCCGCTTCCTGAGATTCGGGAGCTTGATTAAAAGCAGAGAGCGATCAGGGGCTTCTTGCGCTTCTCGTGGCGGGTACTGCCTCACAAACTCCTCATCTAGGAGCTCATGGTCCTGAGAAAGGACGTCTTTCTTCACTAGATTGGCGTTGCGGACGATGCGTTTGATGGTCTCTGCGTGGCCGCCCTTGATCTCGGCGATCGCGAGCGCAGTGAGGCCGTGAGCGCTCATGCAACGTATTTCGGCCCTGGCCTTGCGAGAAAACTTCGACCGGCTACAGGTATGTATGAGTGAGGATGTGAGTGAGAGTGTAGGTACACTTGCAACTTCGGCTCAGACGTCTTGTTATCCCTTTCCCTGGCTCTTTTCATGGCTGCGGCGACTTGAGGGGCCGCAGCCGCGTGACGTGTATGCAGGACGGCTGCGACGTTGTCAGGAAATGCGTCGTTTTGGGGAGGACACACTGTTAGGTCACCTTCTGGAGAGACAGGAGGGGTCATGGGGCCCGTTGGGGCCTGTCGTTCTTCACCTCGAGCGCCCGTCTGCGCTGACATGACTTGCTGCGACGGGGAGGAAGCCTCTGGGGGGAAAAGAGTGTGGGCGACCGGTGATGCACGATCAGAGACGGCTGCAGGTAGGTGTCGAGTGCTAACCTTGCGCCTCTCGGCTTGCTGGCGTCACCTGTACCACCGATGCGGTGGACACCGCAGTGGGAGGCCCTCCCTCCGTTTGTTGTTTCTGCGCCTGCGGGCTCACAGCGCTAGCACTGAGATCCTTATACGAGGCTTGCGTTGTGTAGCAATATGGACCCTGCGGTATGCAACGATATCCACCGACGAAAGGAGACGCCGGCCACGGTTCCATGGGAGCAAGAGGAAAGACGGCGACGGCGCGGGGGCCCAGTTTCCGTCATCCTCGTCGGCTGACTGCTATATCTGCGCCAAACTTCTGTGGATCCTCGAGGCATGCGCGCCCTGACATTGAGTTTCAACCTGTCTATAGGAAAGGAATGAGAGCTGACTGACAGCGTCCTGATATGCACGGAGACCGAGGACCTTCGATGTCGAGATGGTCTCCATGTGGTCCTGGATGGCAATCGAGTTCCTTTCTTGGGTGTCGAGCTTGTTTCAATACGGAGACGATGGGCGGGGACAACGTGTGAGTGTTAGTGCGCGCCAGATAATCGGTATGTACATCATGCCGTGCCAAGCATTCTCTCCCCCTCATCCCGCAAGCCCCAAATGAGTATCATCTGTCTGAGAACACCCATACCAGGGACGGCCTCCTTCAACAAGGCAAGCATGTCGTCCTCGCTCCAGTGGCCAAGGGCTATGAGCCCGCCGAGGAAGCCCATACCCGCCTGCGTCAGTGCGGGGAGGTGCTCCGACAGATCGTGATCCAGCTTCGCAAGAAACTGGGCAGCCGGTCGTTGCCAGAGGTGGGGTTGCTTGTCCAGAGCGAGCTGCAGAATGTTGTTGAGCGAAGACCAAAGCGAGCAGGTGCCCGTAGAGCAAGTCAGACAATGCACGCACCCGTAAAGGTCCTCGCTGCGATATGCCTTCGGCCTTTCCCTCTTGGATGCCCCGGACGAGGACGAAGCGCTCGACGACTGTTAGCTCTGGCACGATCTCCTTCAGCATGCGATGCAAGTCGCCAGCCTCCCACACCCGCAAAGCAGCCATATCTACAACGGTGCTGATCCCCAGCTCTGCTAGCCTCCGCGTGCGTGAGGACAGATCGTGGTCGAGGTTGGCAAAGAAGCGCGGATCGATAGGTGCCCAGCGAGACGGGTCGCATATGTTAAGAGCAGCGGCCCGTTGCGCCAACGGCTGATACACCTGGATGAAAAGGCGGAGCACGCTGACAAACGACTCGCCAAAGTCGAAGCGCTTCAACGTGTCGAGGAGCACGAAGCGGTGGGCTGCCTTCAAATCGAGACCGGCTTCATTGAAAACGATGTTCAAGTCGTCGTCGGACCAGCCTGCAATGACGAGTAGCCGGCCGAGGGTAGTAATTCCTGCTCTGCGGAGCGCCTCGGCGCAAGGGGATAGGTCCATCGGAAAGCTCGCAAGAAAGCCGTCAATCGGAGTCGTCCAAATTACCGCGACCTCGTCCAAGCGTTGCTACAAAGCGGGTCATGTCCATGAGTTATCCGTCTTGACATCTGCAGGATGTCAAGTGACTCACCCTAGCCACGCTCTTCCCAATCGTGCCCTCCTTCGTGATACCCTTGATTCCTCTCACTAAAGCCGTGCGCTCTGCCACAATGAGCTGCGGCACGGCCTTCTCCAGCGCGAGGTGCAGGCGCTCTGCCCGCCAGCCACGCAGAGGTACCACATCCTGTGCACGACCGAGGTCACAGGCGAGGAGCGCCGGGTGATAAGCAGACAATTCAAAGTCGAGGTCGGCGAGGAAGTCGTGGGCGAAGTCGGGTGTGTCCGTTTTGTGTGTCTCGCGAACGTTTCCCAAGAGCGACGATCTGGTAGAGCATTGAGTGCTGGGAGCTCGGACGCCCTCAATGGGTCGAGGGTCCGTCACCGCCGCTGCCGTCTCCCTATCGCCACCCCCCGATTGCGAGTCGGCATCACCTGTAGGAAACGTGACTTCCTCCGTCCGGCGTTTTCGCTTCTTTGCGCGCAACGCGAGCATCAGAGGTACCTCCGGCTCCGGTGACGATAATGGCGTCAGAGGAGACTCCTCGCGGCCGTGCTGCGCACCAACGTCGGGGCTCTTGGTACGCTGAGGTGCGTTGTGAGTCCTCAGGCTTTCAACCACTGATGGAATGTAAAAGCATACCTTATTCGACGCATCCACAACCACTGTCTGCGCCTTTGGCGGATACTCCCCCCTAAACTCCTCATCCACGTATTCATAGTCCTCCGCGACGTCGTCCTCGACACTTCGTCTCCGATTTGAGATAATGCTACGCACTGTGCCGGGCGGAGCGCCCACAAGGGCAGCGATCTCTCCGACGGTCTTGCCGTGCTGGTGTAGGATGCGAATTTTGGCGCGGTCACTGCGAGTATATTTGCGACGGCTGAGGGAAGGTGATTAGAGAAGGAGAGGTGGTTATCGGGGCGGTGGCAAGAGCAGGATGGACTGCCCGTGATTAACATGTAGGCGTACCTTTTCGCTAGAGTGGGAGCAGGGGCGGAACGTGCTCGAGGCTTAGCTGCAGGTTGTACATCGTTGCGGAGCGCTATCGACAGCGACGAAGTCGCCGGCGCCTGTCCACCTCTGCCAATCACCAGTGCACCTCTATCCAACGCTTGCGGTCCCTGCTGCCTAGCCAGCAAATCCCTAACCACCTGGGGATAAAGTGCCGTGTCCAACGGTAGGTGCGGAGGGGATTGCGGGTAGTATGGCAACAGAGGTCCAAAAGCCGACGGAAGGTCGTCAGTGTCCATTGCAAAAACCAAGTCGGTGTTTATCGCAGTAACAAGGGGGGTTAGTTGCGTTAGTCGGGCAAGTAGGATGATGAGTGAAGGAAGCGAGAAACAGGGAGAAATTCTGCGTCGATTGCCGCCTTATGGGCGCTAGGACAGTAAGCTTCATGCCGTAACTAACAACGGCAGCGCCTCGCGATGCTTGGTGAAGCTAAATAGTCGCGTCGTCTGCACTAGCGTATCGCGCCGTAGCGCTGGCTAATCAGATGCTGGGGTTGCTCGGGGTTTGCGATAACTAGAGCGGGCACCTAGTCTTGTCATGCGATAGATAATAGCTTGCGCTGCGGTATGACATCTCTCTTTCGGAAGAATGAGTGGAGGTTGTTTCTGAGTGATCGACTACGTACACGGTAGTGGATTATAGGTTCCGAATTATAGCCTACGCAAACAGGACCAAGTACCACGCGATCCCAGTCAATATCCCCGTAACATGCGCCGCCGTGCCAACTCCGGGGCGCTGAGGAGTTGAGTATTCACCAGTGAAAAGTTCCGTGAAAGGAAAAGAGAAGCAAGAGGGAGAGGAAGGTTGTCAGTAATTATACGGGACAAGGTCGATGGCCACGACGTACATTATCCATAGCCGTCCCATACACGTCGTACGCGAAGAACCCGCCCACGGCAAGCCAGGCGGGGACCGGGATGATGCCGTAGATCATGAAGGTCATGCGCGGGGCGGCGCAGGCGAGGAAGCCGAGGACGGCGTCGATGGCGCCTGGTCAATGAGTAAGCACATTTGAGTCTGTCCGTTTGCAGGAGGTAAGGTCTACGCACCGCTAGCACCCAAGCCGCGACTGTTGCGGCCGACGTAGGATTCCCAGGCGATGGAGCCGAGGCATGAGGTGACGGCGCCTGAGGGGAGGGCGTCAGGAGAAGTTCGTCGTGAAAGAATAGATGGAAAGTTTCGGGGAATGGTAGGAGGCAAAGAGCGAGCGGTATTCAGGGGCAAGAATCGTAGTGGGGATGAGAAGTGCAAAGAACTCACTAAACAGGTACAGCGTCAAGAAATGCTTCGGGCCCAGCATCTGCGCCACCGCGCTGCCCATAAAGTAGAAGGTGAACATGTTCATGAAGAGGTGTCCCATCTCGGAGTGCGAGAATGCGGATGTGACGAGAGTCCATCTGTTGGAAGTGAGTATGTATGAGCGATAAGCGACAAGCAGCGTGAAGTAGCGCGAAGGAAGCACGCACACTCTCCCCGCCTTCAGGTTCTCCCAAGAGCCCGTCCAATTCCTGTACATCGACGCCAGCAGGCTCGGGTCGCCGCTTCTCTGTTTCCTTCGCTCAGTCACTAACATGAGGCTATGAGATTATCACGCACATAGTTCGTCGCCGCTACCTGCCAGGTGAGGAAGATCAGGACGTTCCCGATGATGATCGCCCATATAAGCCTGTCGGGACTGAGGCGGTCCCAGTCAATGAAGCCATTGCTGCGCGAGGAGCCGCCGCGGTAGTTATGCCCGCCAGGGGTGTACCGCGGCAAGCCGGAGGGTGGTGTTCGCGAGAAGAGGGAGGGTGGTGTGCTGGAGAAGAATCGAGGCTGCGGGCGGAGGAGGCGAAGGATGGGGGAGGATTGGGATGTAGAGGAGGGAGAGGACGTAGATGCGGGTGTTGCGGCAGGCCTACGCCATGCTTGCAGGCCGAGCCGTGCCACGCCGCGCGAGAGGGATGTAAAGGTCCGGTGCGCGGTGCTGGCGTTCGCTAGGATCGTCCTGCCCAGCGAGGGTGTGATGCCCACGTTATATCTTGCAACGCCTGAGCATAGGAAGGGTATTGGAGGCTTGGGGCGAAGGGCGGACTCCGCCAGGCGCAGAGACATCATGGTCGATCGCAAGCCAAGTCCGCCTCCGAGACGCGTCGTGCGGCGCCTCGACGCGGATCGGGATGCCGGACCGTTAGCCCTCGGTCAAGTCCGTGAATGCGCCCACACACTGGTACCCACAAAGTTGAAGGTCCAATGGGAGTTCGGAAATTGGTGGTAACCTTCTGATTCTCTGTACCCAAGCAGCGGTAGTTGAGTACTCTGGATTACTGTAGTGAATGTACTGTACTATGCAGAAGTCCATCGTCCATGTATCGCCTACCACTCATTCAACGACTGACACCCAGGCTTCGAAATATTCACACCACCGCGCAGAAGCTTAGGCAAAATCTTTCCTCCCTCGATTGTCTGCGACACAATGGCCTCCACCTCATGTGGTGTCACCCGCCCGTACCAGACGCCGAAGCCGGCGGGGGTGTAGATCTAAAAGTTCGTCAGCTTCGCACCGTCCACATGTCAGCTTCCTCTTCACTCCAGGTGCGTGGCGCTAGCAGAAGGCTCCAGCAGCGCTACTCACGATGCAATTCCCCGCGAACTTGTGGCCGCCCATGTGCGAGTTCTTCAGGATCAGCGCGCGCTTCTCGTTCTGTAGGCCCTTCAGCTGCGACCTGATGTGCGCCTCCTTCTCTTCAACGGTTCCTTTAAAGGCTTCGAGAGGGTCTGAGCCCTGTGAATTAGTTATTAGTATGCGGACTGACATAGATAGCGAACGTGGCTGCGGAGGGTACAGAATGATGAGGATGTGCACGGCGTGAATAAGGACGTGCACGGCGTGTATGAAGATGGACGTGGTATGCACAGAAGTGTAAAAATGCATCATCAAGCTCACCATCTCCACTGTCGGATCCTCCAGCCTCGTATCAGCCTGCCACCCCCTGCTTCCCAGCACCTGGCAAAAGCTCGTCTCCAGCGTCTTCGCCGCGATCGCGCATCGGTTGTCTCGCCGTTTGTGGGAGCCTGGGATGGATATCGTCAATGGCTTTCCTTCATTGCTCTCCCTCCCCCCCCCTTCCTCTCCTCCCTTCGTCAATCCCTCTCCCACGTCTCCGTAGATCACTCTTTCTCAGCACCGCCCTATGAAGGAATCCACTCACACAACAAAATCACCACCCCATACGGTATCACCCAAGTCCCCATCTCCGGCGGTGTGTTACCCGGGCTCGCTCCCGGCGCCAGCGCCGTATCATACAGCGCCTGCGCATCCGCCTGAGTCCTACCCACTCCAGTGACGAGGGTGTAGTCGGGGAAGACGAGGACGGTTTCGTGCGGAGGTGCATGTGAACTCGAGCTCCCGGAAGTGGGATCGTCGCAGAGGGTGGCATGACTACCATTGAGGATCGACAACCAAGAAGAGGAGGTGGAGGCGAAGACGCCGGAGACAGGTTTCACGGGTGGTGTGTTTGGATCGGAAGCAGAGGCAGCAGGAGAGGAGGTGAGCGACCCCCACGGCTTGGACTTCGTCTTGACGCGGGAGAGGTAGGAGGCGAGGGAGCCCTTGGTCCAGGTCACCTCGATGTCCCAGTCGGATTTGCCCGTGGAGATGATGGCCATACGTCGGTAGGGCCTGACGGACCCCAGCATACGGGTTTCCATGTCCACGTCGAATTTGTAGGGGTACTCTTCGTGGCCTGGTGGTGAGCACGACTAATGGTTAGTATAAATTCTGTATACCTCGAGGTCATCAGTTTGCGCGACCAGAACAACCCTCTCACCTTCCTCGCAAGGCTCTGCACACGAACGACACGGATCCGTCGCAACTGGTACGGCAGCGCCCTCGAGCTCGCGCGTGATGCTCTCCTCGTCAGTGTTCTGCCAGAGGACGATGGACTGCAGGGTGCGGAGTTTGGAGAGCATGGTGGGTGTTCAGCAATAAGGTGGCGTCAAGCAGAATGAAGTTGAACGAAGACGGTGGCGAGGGTGAACGGGCGGGTAGCAGGGGTTGCCTCGCCCCGATCAATCGGTCGAGCGAAAGACAGGTCAAGCAGGTTAGAACAACGTCGACGACAGCAGCCATACTGCCTCAGCATATATAAGAAATCCCTTCGAACAAGCGGCAATGTTCCTTCGGTTGACGCGGATAGGCGGCGGGCGCTGTATCTTATCAGATTACGAGCGTGTAATCACGGTGATGACACGAGGGCGGCGTGTCATCGTGCATGGCTGCAGTGTACGCGTCGAGAAGGCGAGTATCAATATACGGCCCGAGGGTGGCGACCTATGGAAAGGCGGCAGGTGAAACGCATACCTAAGTATGTGATGAGCCCATAAGATCGCTTGTCATAGTAGGGCCTTCGAAGGAAATGGGCGCGAGGTAGGATCTCGTCTTGGGTGTGGCGCCTTTGCTGCAGAGGGTTATCTTTGAAAGGGACAGCAGATACTAGTGGTGTCCTTCGCATAGCGCTAGCGTAGACAAGAACCAAGAACTCAGAAAAGAGGCATAGTCGTCGGAAGATAAGGTGCACACTGGCGCAATGACGACCGTGACGAGGTTGGTTAACAAGACTGATGACGACCATGCATTCATTGGCGGGCTCGCGCGTCTGTACAGCTTTCAGTGCCGTGCTGGCGACTGGTCACTGCAATCGTGCAGCTCGCCAACCTGCCGAGCTCCCGCGTCAGTAGAGATTCGCCACAGCTAGCATTGGAGTCGAGTGTACGTTGACGGGTTGGGTTTCAATGGACGGAGTCCCGTCCATCTTCTCTGGACCTGGCATATGTCGGTGACGATGGGTAAGAGGGTGCTGTCGATGGGGAAGAGGGCCATCGATAGCGCGATGGTGTTGCAATTGTTCCCCCTTCGGCAGGGCCGCGGGCCGCCATAGCCGATCCACTCCGGGTCACTCGGCGCACGGGTCGGACAGTCGGCGTACGGATCAAACGCGGTGCTCACCGTCGCTCTCGCAAAACTGAACAGGCGCCCAAGAGGCGCTCATGGCAGACGCGTCGACGTCGTATGCAGCATCGACAGCCCCTCCACCGAACACGGCAGAGCTAAGCGCGCGCCCCATCGAGGACGCGCGCGTGCGCCTCCCCTTTCCCGACCGCCTGTGGATCGTCCCCCTGGGCGCGTCCGTTCTGGGCACCCTCATTGGCATCCGGCGCGGCGCGCGCCACGCCTCGCTGCAGTACAGGGCCGAAAATGCACACAGGCCACCACGAACGGTCGGCGGGTGGTACTTCTACCACAAGACGAAGAACTACAAGGTGATCCTCGGTGCGCTGCGCCAGGGCGGGCGCACGGGACCGCTGGTCGGCGCGATCGCTGGCACGTACGTCTTCCTCGAGGAGCTCGTGGAGCGCGCCGGTTGGGGGGACGTAAAGGCGATCGCGGCCGGGTTGGGGACGTCAGCCGCGGTCAGCGCGGTTTGTCAGTAGCGGTGTGCATATGCGGGTGGCGTGCGCTGACCAGTTGTCCTAGATCGGTTGCCGTGGTACACAATGAAGCGGACGATGGGCCTGGGGGTGATGGGGGGATGCATGATGCAGGCCGTCTACATGGGCATCGCCTGGGCGGAGGTGCAGGCGAAGGTCGAGCGCGCGCAGCGGGAGGCCAGGGAGCGGGAGGAGGAGGCCCGCGATGCCGCCAAGGGCCCGGACGCTGGGCCGGACAGTATGGCGGTGGCGGCGTAGATAGAGTACGAACGGCAGGAGGAGCTCCCGCGGTTTGTAACCTACTTTAGGAGATATGGTGATGCCTTGCTGATGCTCCACTTCCGGGGGAGCTCGCGCGCGGGGAATCTGTCCTGACCAGAGGCGCGATGATATCACCTGCTCTTCCACTTTGACTTTGACCGCCATCTTCCCCCCGAACTCTCTTCGCACCAATCATCCATCATGCTCAAACTCTGGCCGTCGTCGCCGCAGCCGCTCTCGCTCGACTCCCAATTGACGCCCAAGCCGCAGAAGATCGAGCGGAACCCATTTGAGTCCGTGTCGTCTGACTCGCGCCCTCCTCCGGCGCCAGATGCACATCAGCAGCACCAGCAGCCCCCGACGCCGACTGGCACTTCATTCCACCATCGCCTGCTAAGTCGCGCGCCGCCATCGCCCATCGGCCCCGGCCGCCAGCTAGGGGCGACGGATCCGGCCGTCGGCACGAGCGGTGATGTGACACCTCTGGGTTCATCACAGCTGCAGCCTCAACAGAACCTCCATCCGTCTTTTGCTGCGGCTCTCCCCACGACCCAGCTCTCTCTTAATGCCCCGGAATTCAACATGTCCTCCCCGCCGCGCAGCTCCAAACGCCCAGTTCCAGACCTCTCCCCAGCGCCATCGCCATCGCCCGCCCCGGCCGGCCCCAATGCTTCCAAGGGCAAGATCCATGTGAAGCTCATCCAGGCCCGTGGCCTCAACGTCCCGTCGCCGAACTCGCGCCCCTACGTCGTCGTCACCTACGACCAGAGCGAGTTTGTCAGCCGCGACCCGACCGATGAGACGGATAAGGAGGTCCGCGGCGTACCCACGCGCAACGCCAACGGCGCTACTACCCCCGTCAACCCTCCTCCCACATCCTCCTCTTCCGCCCTCGCCGCCTTGGGAAAGGTCTCAGCCGCCATAGACAAGGCGACGAACGGCACGAAGAGCAACAATACGTCCCCCGTTTCGTCGCTCGGATCGGGCAAGAGCGACAAGAGCCTTTTCGGTCGCCTGTCTGCCCACAACCCCGTCTGGAAACATGAGGTCGCCTTGTGCGTGGTCATCCTCCCTGTACTTGCTGCGCCACTAACGAAAAATTTACAGCGACGTCACATCGTCGAAGTCCCAGCTCACGTTCAACGTCTATGATCGCACCCAGCTTAACCAGGGCTTCCTCGGCATGGTCCAGATTACGCCCACACTCGTGCACGATCACACCGTCGACCAGTGGTACAAGTGCGTACGCCTTCTTCATCCCTCTGCCCGTCGAGTCGAGTCCCTTTCGAGCTGCCTCGAGAACGTCGGCAAATGCCGACCAACGCCGCCACCGTCATGCCTTTGCGCATACCGCAATGAGACAGTTGCAGTCTGTCAGCTCTGGCGTGGGCGCCCGAAAGCGTCACAATGAGCGCCAGGCTCGCTCAGGCGCCTATCTTGATCTGGAGACTCCTTGAACTCGACGGCGCATCAGTGCATCTATCGCTCATTCGCGAGGCTGACTGAACCTTCCAGGCTCCACGCGAACGAGAATGAGCAAGTTAGTGGCGAAATTCGCGTTCAGATTACGTACGAGCAGTACAAGGTACGTCTTTCTACTTGCTTGCCACTAGCGTTGCCGCGAGGGTTTGGGCCGAATCGGAGAGCCGAGTCGGCGGCTTGGTATGCCCGGCTTGGAGCAGGCGCCATACGTCGCGTCGCTCTTCGCCGTTCGACTCCCGAGGGTAGCAAGCATCATCGTGGAGCTGCGCTGGCTTTGTGCCAGCCGCCATACCATTGCTTGCGGCAATACGATGGGATAGAAAACTCCTGTGGCAATTGTGCTAACATGGATCATAGAACAAGCGAACACTGACGCCACGCGACTTCGAATTCCTCAAGCTCATCGGACGCGGTACCTTCGGCAAGGTCCTTCAGGTTCGCAAGAAGGACACGAAGCGTATATACGCCATGAAGATTCTGTCGAAGCGCGAAATCGTGCAGAAGAAGGAGGTTGCCCATACGATCGGCGAGCGCAAGATTCTGCAGACTTCGCTCGAGTGCCCCTTCCTCGTCGGTCTGAAGTTCTCGTTCCAGACCGAGACGGATCTCTACCTCGTCACGGACTTCAAGAGCGGGGGCGAGCTATTCTGGCACTTGCAGCGAGAAACGCGCTTTACCGAGGAGCGCGCCCGCTTCTACATCGCCGAGCTTGTGCTTGCGCTCGAGCACTTGCACAAGTACAATATCGTCTACCGCGACCTGAAGCCCGAGAACATCCTTCTCGACGCCACAGGCCACGTCGCTCTATGTGACTTTGGCCTCAGCAAAGCCGACCTGCGCCCAGACGAGCTCACCACTACGTTCTGCGGCACGACCGAATACCTCGCGCCCGAGATCCTCCTCGACGAGCACGGGTACTCCAAGATCGTCGACTTCTGGAGCCTCGGCGTCCTGCTGTTCGAGATGTGCTGTGGCTGGAGCCCGTTCTACGCGGAGGACACGCAGCAGATGTACAAGAACATCTGCTTTGGGAAGATCCGCTTCCCGCGCGGTGTCATTGGCGACGAGGGCAAGTCGTTCGTCAAGGGCCTGCTCACGCGGAACCCGAAGAACCGGCTGGGCGCGACGCGCGACGCGGAGGAGCTGAAGGAGCACCCGTTCTTCAAGTCCATCGACTGGCACCTCCTCGCGCTCAAGCAGGTCACGCCGCCGTTCAAGCCCGTGATCGAGTCGGACGAGAGTACGGCGAACTTCGACACGGAGTTCACGAACGCGGACATCAGCGAGATTATCGGCGACGAGGGCGAGAGCGAGATCGACGAGGACGACCCGAGCGAGGCGTGGGTGAGCCAGAGCCTGAGCGAGTCGGGCGGGCACATGCCGTTGGGGCCGCTGGGGCAGGAGAAGACGGACCCGAAGAGCCCGACGCTCAGCAGGAATCCGAGTCGTGGAGGCGGCATCGAGATCAAGGCGAAGAAGCAAAGGAAGGGCGCGACGCAGGGCTCGCCGTTGACGTCGAGCGTGCAGGAGAAGTTCAAGGGCTTCACGTACTCGGGCGAGGGCAGCGTGCTGAACGGGAGCGCGATGGCGGGTAGACGAGGTGCGGAGAGCGGAACTGAGGAGGATGGGCCGGAACCCACGACGGAGGACGAGATCGACGACACGGGGAAGAGCGCGGGGCGGTACGCCAAGTCGCGGAGAAGAAAGGGTTTGGAGTTTACGGGGTTGGACGACTGAGATTCCTGGTGAGTGCGGGTCGTCGGTGTCGCCATCGTCGACGGCAGCTGATAGAGTTTTTGTAGGGATCGGATTATCTGCTTTTGTTTTCTCTTTTCTCTTCTGCTCCCTACGAGGGACCCTGGCCCCTCATGCGCGCCGGGGTATCTTGACTGTACAAATCATAGGCTAAGCACCCTGCACTAGTGTCTCGTTTTCTCGCAAGTTGAACTGAAGTGTACCACAATAATTTACTGCATTTGGACTTTCAATATAGACCACAGATCTTCTTACATCCTCCCGCTGCAGTGCTTCCCGCTGATGGTTCCGTTCTTGGCGGCCCTGCTACTGGAGATGTGGAGGTTGCATAGGTGAAGTGAAGCGTCAGACTCGGATGGGTCCACGGAGTCGAACCGTCGGCGGCCGGAGGAGGATGAGAGAACGAGGTAGTTGTGCGAGCCATCGTGAGTCACTCAATACTTCCGCCAATCCAGTGGTGTATTTAGATACGTACAGTAATCCCCAGGAAGCCATGCGCAGCTGAAGCCGATTGCGCCTCCTGTCGGCGAGTATATAAGACCAATCTGATAAGATACGTGACTGCCGGTCGTCCGCGTCAAGACCTCCCTTCGAATTTACCCGGCGATGTCGCTGTACGCCTTCTTATATGCTCTTGCCATGGACTCGTCTGCTGACCAGGCTCTCTCCTCTTGCTCTGTCGCTCCTGCTTGTGGTTGGAACGCTATTCGTTGACCTGCTTGACTGATCCATCGACTTCCCCTATTCCGATCGACCCAACTGCACGATGTCGGTGATGCACAGGCTCCGCACTCTCAAGTCCACCGTCCTCGGCCAGGACACCAATGAGGATAACATTACCCATCAGTTGGAGGCAGCGTCGGTGCCCGTCGCAGCAGACGCAGCGTGCCGATCGTGCGCTGATCCGTGCGATGCAGGTGCGCACAAGCGCCCCCTCCTTCCCTTCATTGCTGACCTCGGGAAACGCGCAGGCCATGAGGAATACCCATCCAAGTTCGATGTGGACATGGAGACGCGAATGCTGGGCTCAGTGAAGCCGTACAGGCGAATGGTGCGTGCGCGCCACCCGATCATTGCTGCAGTGAACTCACCCTAGCTTAGGTCGTGATCTCGACAGGCAAGGCCGACTGGGCGCGCGAGGTCACAGACGTGAAGGGCACCCTCGCTTCCTACCTCAGCAGCGTGCACCATGCGAAGCCGCACGGAGACCACCACCATCATCATGCGAAGGCAGCGAAGTCAGTCGACGGCGTGTTCGCCGCTGAGACCGCAGGGCGCTTGTCCGTGCTCAACGGCAGCCACGACACCCTGAGCGATGACCACCAACGCGAGACTGTGCTCGTCTTCCCGGACTACACGATCGTCACGGGCGTGGCACCGACGCAGGCGGACGCGCAGGCGTTCTACGACTCCGCTCTCGCACCCGACGCGCACATCGGCAATGCTACGGGCGAAATGAAGACCTGGGTCATCCCGTACAGCTGTGTCATTCTACTCTGTAAGCTCATCGCTGTTCCCTTGCAAGCTCGCGACCGTCGCTCATAGCACTTCCCCATGTAGGCTCGCACAAGCGCCGCGACAACCGCTGCCACATCGCCGCGAAGACACTCGAGAGCAGCTTCTGCAACGCTTTGACCAAAGAAGGTTGGCAGGTCGACACGCGACTGGAGGACCCGACAGCGCATATGGTACGGTCCCCTCCCTTCACCTTATGAGAACTTTCGCTGAGCTTGCCAGGGCAGCGACCCGCTTGAAGCCTTCTCTGGCTCTGCTGAGGAGAAGGAGGCACACGTGAAGCAGCAGCTCAAGGGCCTGCAGTCCGAGAAGCGCGCGCTGATCCTGAAGAACTCGCACATAGGCGGGCACAGATACGCAGGTAATGCGATTGTAAGTGGCTTTTCAACATCGTTGCGGTGTGAAAAGCTAACGAACTTGCAGCTCTGCCTACCCGCGGGACAGAGCGTCTGGTACGGACGAGTTACACCGCACGAGGTCGATGCTATCGTCGCGCAGACTATCGAGGGTGGCAAGATCCTTGCTCCTCTGTTGCGTGGGGGCAACAATATCGCGAGACCAGGGTGCAAGTCGTTGCATGAGTGGTAGAGGGAGGCGTTACTAGACGAGGTCGGGATGTATGTTATCGCATCACAGTCAATAGAGCGTATCTGGGCATCGTTCGGTGAGCTCTGGGATGTCCTCGGCGAAGCCTCCGACCAAAAGAATCCTCAACTAGACTCAGCTTACTCCGTTGGCTCACTCGAGCAAAGGAATTTCCGACGGCTTCAGTTCATTAGCAACAACGTCCTAGTTTACAGTTTGTCCACGCCCCGCGCGGTACGAAGTCCGTGCCCCGCCTCCTACATACTTATACACTGACAGTCCGTACGTGTGTTCATTATGCGGCTGGTGCTACAGATATTGTACAAATACAAAAAAAGCAAAGAATATAGCGAGATTTCACCACAACGAGCAGCGGCCATAGATGGATGATAATAGACATAGACATAGGGAAGGTTGGGTCAGAACGGAGAAAAACGACGTAGGATGACGGTCGAACATATAGATATGGGAGCGCAATCGGGAACGCACGAGAGCACAACCCAAGGCAAAAAGGAGGACGACAGGCAACGCCGCATCAGCCCGGCCCGTCGTTCGTGTGGTTCTCGTTGTAGACGAGGGGCATCTCGGGGTTGTACTGGAATGCGGCGCCGTCGAAGCTGCTCCAAAGGTCGGCGTTGCTCCCCCGCGCGGGCGGATAACTTCCATTCGTGTTCCCGTACGTTCGCAGGAAGTCCAAACCGCTGAACGGCAACCCTGGCTCCGCGAACTGCGCTGTGAGCGGAGTCGATAGACTCCCCATGTTCATGTCGTCGTAGCCAGTCAGATGCGAGTTGTACCCGCCGTATTGGTCGCCGTTAAAAGCCTGCCCGCTCTGCGAGCTCTGCGGCGGGAACATGTCCAACCCGTCGCTGGGCCCAGCGCCGTTGCCGTTGACGCCATTGCCCCATCCTTGGGCGCCACCTATGCTCTGCATCCCATAGTCGGCGAATTCGTACTGCGACGAGCCGGACCGCGACGGGGATATTGGCGGAGGGCCGTAGAAGCTGCCAGACATGCTCATGTGAGGGATGTCCTGGCCAACGTCCATTTGCTGGCCGGGCGCTGGCGAGGGGAGGTTGACGGAGGCTGGCGAGCTGTGCGGACTGGCAGCTTGCGACGGGTGTGGGGATACCGGACTCGGGAACGTGTTGTAGTAAGACGACAGCGGATTAGCGGTCAGCTCGTCGTCATCCAGACCGCGTCGCCGCGAAGACGAGCGGGCGCGCTGGGCTGAAGGGGAAAAATCAGTAAACCAGAAAAATACATCGGCGGTGAGATAGGCACGCACAATTACGGTAGGGCGAAACCGCATCGAGCCTACGGTTCGATGGAGGCCCATCGCGCGACAGATTGCGCCGCGATCGACTCTTGATAGCCCGTCCCGCTGCCGCCGCATTCGGGGGCGCGGTCGATATGTGCACTGAGCGCCGGCCTTCCGCCAGGGCGGGCGCGACGGTGGCTGGCGGCGGCGTCTTCTCCATCGCATTGCGCGCCATCGCCTGCCCGGCCGTATGCGCCAGCTCGGAGAGAAGCTCGCGGCCCTTCTTCGCGCCGGGCCACACACCCTCCCACGACTGCAGCGCCACCAGGGGCGCCTTCGCCTCCTCCATGGCGGCCTGCGCGGCCTGGGTGTTCGGCGTGTGCATGGCGTAAAGGAGAAGGATGACCGCGGAGCTGAATAGGTGCTGCAGGAAGAATGCAAGGTCGTGGGATGGAGGCACAACGGCTTTCACCGACGGAGCGAGGTGAATGCAGGAACGAGCGGCGTTGACTGCCTGGACCGTCGACTTCGCGCTGAGTTTGGGGTTCGCCTGTACGCGCTTCACAGGCAGGTGGTTGCGGTGAAGAGCCATCTGTACGGAGTAGTAGTGGCTGAGCAGAACGGTCCCAACGCAAACATGCTCGTCCCGCTCCGACCTATTCTTGAAAACCTCGGGGATTTCGTCAAGCCATCGCTGCAAGGCTGTATCAAGGATTTCCACCGTCCGCTGTAGTTGAGCCTGCTTGTCGGGGTCCCCGTTATCCTTGACGATGTCCAAAGAGTAGACTTCGCGGAGCATGCGGCCGGCGAGATGGTACAGTTTAGTCAGCAGGATGAAGCCGGTCATCAGGAAGGGCCGGGTATTTGGGGCCACCTTGTGCATGAGGTAGTCGGGCAGGTAGTCATCATCGACGGGAACGAGCTGCTCCACGTCGCAGTCCGCGTCGTTGATACCCAAGGGACGACCGAGCGAGAGTGCGAGCATGCGGTCCATCACGTAGACGCCCCAGAAGATCTTCCTATGCGTCTCCTTCTGCACCTCAGACAGGTTTCTTTGCCGGCGAGGCGAGCGCTATCAGATGATCAGGTCAGGAAAACTTTGGCGGCCTGCATGGTACGCACATGAAGCCCCAGGTCTTGCGACATCCGAACCGCTTGCCCTATAAGCAGCCACGCTTGTGGGAGGCAGTTGACTGCACACAAGAACGAAGACAGCAGCGTGAAGCATTGGACGTGCTCTACCTGGATCTTTGCATGACTGATATAGTGCAAGATGAGGGCACTGAAACGAGGGTTGAGCGCTTGTTCGAAGGCGGGTACTATAGTCCGAGTGCAACGCACCGTTCATAATAGATCATGCCCATACCGCCGTCGTCCATCCGGTCGGGGAAGACGATGGGTGCGCCGCACGCAAATACGGCGAATACGAGGGAAATGAAGGCTGTCTCAGTCCTGTGCTTGACGATGTCATGGGTGTTATCCATAAGGCTGACGTATTGCTTCATGAACGTCGGTTTGTCAATAACCGGTAGCAGATAATGGAGGCGGCTGAAGTAAGCGTCGACCTAGCCGGGGTATGTGGTAAGTTAGCAGGTAGCTAGGTGGTCGAGGGACACACCATCCGGTCGGCCAGCTCACGCTCGGGGTACTCGACCTCTTCAGGGCCAGGTAATGCGCGCACTTTGCCGAAGAACACAGTGGCGGGGAAGAATAGCTTGTTCGGGCCAGATTCTGGAGGATTCTCTTCCATCGGCGACTGATGTTGCAAGGGAGTCGTGGTGATCTGGCGCAGAGACTGTATGAGGGACATTGATGACGAACCCCCCATCCATCGGCCATGCCCGTATTCGTCTACAGCGAGCTGCCCGAACGAGTCGCTCACGTCGTCCTCCTCGACCTTGATAGGCGAAGGCTCGGCGGAGGGTGCTTGGGCAGGGGTGTTGTTAAGTATGTTCGCAGCTTTCGTGATGTTCTCTGCGGGAATTGAAGGAATGGCGCGCTGGATCTCGGCGAGATTGCCGCCATTCGTTGATATGCCAATCTGGTCGAGCACAGGTGCGAGCTGATTGAAGAGAGTCTCCATCTGTAGGAGGCGTCCCTCGAGCTCTTGGACGTAGCTTATCTGAGGTGAGCGCCACGATAAGCGGAGGGGGGCGGGCACATACTGTCTGCTGAGCGCGGCCCTGTCCTTCGTCTGTAGCCAGGTGCATTGCGATCCCGAAGCCATACATTGCGAGCAGGTGGGTTCGCTACCATCGCACTTGATCTTCTTGCGCCTGGGGCTTGTTAGAGTATGTGCGCAGCAGAGGGGATGGGTCGCACCTGCAGCTCTCGCAGGCTCTCCACACCCGTCTCCGCTGTAGCTGTAGGGGCTTGTGGATGTCCGAGCCAAACTGCTCGCTGTCGTCCTGTTGCTTCTTCTTCGTGGGCAGGGTCATATTGACGAGCTCATCGCCCTTTGCCATTCGTCGCGCGCACAGAGAAGGAGGGAACACGAAAGCGGAAGCCAAGCTTGTCGCAGCCAGGAATGGTATCTCTGCCCACGTGCATCTCAGGCACCCCACATGTGCATCATGTTGAACTCAATTTAGATCAATTATCTCCCTCTCGTGGCAGACGACAGCCCTATACACCGTTTGTGGCTACGAAGATGGCCACGATGACTGAGATCTGCGCTAGAAACTGGTCTGTTGCGAAGTTTGACAGACGAAGGCGTCCGGGCCCCGGCGCGCACCGCCGCATCTACTAGCGTTCCCATTGGGCCGTACGAAAGAATCGGGCCAAAGACCCCACGCCCTACCGCAAGCCTCTTTCCCTCAGTCCCACATGACGCCCGCCTCTGCCTGATACGCCGGGCGCGCCCGAGAGCAGCTCGATACTGTATGACAGCCAGCTGCGCCTGACATCGGCAGAGGAATGCAGGAATGGCAGTCCCATGCGCGGCCAAGGGATCGATGGGTAGTCGAGGACGAAGCAGGTAGAAGGATGGGCCTATGAGGACTTGAGAGTGGGAGATAAAGCGGTGCTGAAGCCGGGATAGGCCGTGTGGAGGAGTCGAAACGCATTGAGGGACGCCGCCATGCGGAACAGCCAACCTCGGCCACGGCCCACCTGTGAAGACCTTTGAAGCGTAAGCATCGCGTCCCCACCAACCGATAGCGTGTTGATTCAGGCAACAGCGAAGCCGGCAGAGGAGAGCGTGGGGCGGGGCTGATCAGCGCAATATCACGAACAAAGCAGGCCAGAAGCTGACGCGAGAGTCAGTGCAGTATAAGCGACGGTCAGGAAAGGTCATGATGTCGATTGAGTGATTATCCAAATCTTTGTTTTGGACGAAGGTGCAGGCTTCGAACTGAAGTTGAGGGTGGGTCAAGAAGGGATAACCTCTTCGAAGTGCTTGTAAGTATATATGTGAAGGCCGAAACTTTTCTGTTGAAAGGCGAACAGCGAGAAGCACCTGGAGTCTTGAAAGTGATGACGAAGAGTAAGGGCAACAATGAAGGGAAAGGCCGACTGTCATCAAGTTGGACTTGAGACCAGGTTGTTTGGCAAAAAACACTTGAGAAAGGGCACGCACGTACACGGACTACTACATTGAGGCGGGAGAATGAGGGCGTACGACAGCGAGTTGCGTTGGTGTTCAAAGTTGTATTGAAGTGCCTGAGGTCTCACAGAGACAAGAGGGTGAGGACGGAGAACAAGGTGGAGCGTATGGCATTTCGAAAGCCAGGGCGTCGAATGCACTCGACGTTCAGGACAAGGTGGGCTCACCGAAAATGGTCGACCAAATGCGGATTTCCACGTGAATGACCGGAAGATGCCGTCACCGCGGAAATTTCGTCCTCTGTGACGACACGGCCAAACATAACCCTCACCGCTGGACGCCATGGCCGACACGGAGGCGAACCCCCCAGCGAACGGTGCCGCGACCGAAGTCGAGGATGAGGAGACCAAGGTGTGTACTTGCTCCTTCTGCTACTCGCCGCGCGTGTGCACCCAACGCGCGAGACGCGTGGGTGGGGGAAGCACACATACGCGGACGGGGGAATTGAGGACAAGAGCACCGGACAAGATGGTTGACTGGCCTTGCAGGAGATCATGCTGATGAAGCAGCGCGTCGAGGAGATGGAGAAGGAGGCCGCGAAGCTGCGCGAGATGCAGGAGGCGGCGGAGAAGGCGTCTGAGTCGGGGGTCAGTGGGGGCGCGCCCATGGACACGGAGGAGGACAAAACGGCGGCAGACAACCGCAGCATATATGTCGGAAATGTGCGTGGGTGACTGATGATGGTGTGTATGGACAACTGACTGGGCATGCAGGTCGACTATAGCGCGACGCCAGAGGATATCCAGGCGCACTTCCAGGCGTGCGGCACGATCAACCGGGTGACGATCTTGTGCGACAAGTTCACTGGGCATCCGAAGGGGTGCGTCTCCCTCCATCTCGTGATTGCTGCATATGTTGACAAGGCCTGCAGGTATGCATACGTCGAGTTTGCTGAGCCTGAGCATGTCGATGCCGCTGTCACAATGGACAACTCCTTGTTCAAGGGTCGGTTGATCAAGGTACCAATTCCCCTCACTCTCCCTTCGTATCACCTACTGACAAGTCATATAGGTGACCCCAAAAAGGACAAATATTCCTGGATTCAACCGTGGACGCGGACGAGGCGGTTACCGCGGCGGATACCGCGGGGGCTACCGTGGCTATTCGCCATACCCAAGAGGGCGGGGAAGGTGAGTTCGTGGCTTCCCATCCCCAGGTATTCGTCTGAACTGTTGCAGGGGACGTGGCCGCGGCTTCTGAGCTGCTACATTGGACTGTATCTCTTGTACTATCATATACTGCAAAATACCGTAGAAGCACACCGTGCAAAGGTGGCTGTAATCGTATGCGTCCCCGCCTACTGCCCATATTTGCTGCATATTTATTGGGGAACAGTCGTATACGCTATTCTATGTGACCTTCCATTCGCATGAGGAGTCAAAGTAACAACTTGCCACGAAAGAGCAGAACTGTACCGCAGAAATCGAGGACGGAGAGGGACTCGAGCGTGACGTGACAGCTTGCGATCGACGCTCTTCGGCCGGCTCGAGGCGCTTGTTCTTCCCCGTTGACCGCGACGCCGACGCGACCAGCCATGCTCTCCAACGCGGTCAAACGATGGCCGCGTCTGATGTCTACCAGGACTGGCGCGTCCGCTGCCTCCGCTTCCAAGGCCGCGCCCCCACCCCCGGCACATAAAGCCAAGCCCGCCTCCAGCGAGCCGCAGCGCAGGCCGCCCGTGCAGCCCCGGCCCTACCCCTTCGCACTCAACCCCATTCGCATCGAGCCCACCGCGACCCTTCCGCCAGAGCGTGTGCTCAAAGGCAAAGGTGTCATGGAATACGTGAAGGACACGCTGCCCAACGCGCGCCGCAAGGCCGTCGCGGACCGCCTCTTCGGGCGCAACTCCCCCCAGCGGGTGCCCATTGGCTCGGTCCTGACTGTGCAGCAAGAGCACGCGCCGACGCAGTTCACGGGTGTGTTGCTGGACGTGCGCCGCCGCGGCCCGGCGACGAGCTTCCTGCTTCGGAATATCGTGCAGCGGACGGGCGTGGAGGTGCGCTTCTTCGTGTACTCGCCGCATATCAAGGATATCAAGATCAACTCGCGCGCGAGGGGGACAAGGAGAGCGAAGTTGTACTACTTGCGGGACTCGCCAGAGAAGATGAACGCTATTGCGTCGGGGAGGGCCAGGTATGGTTCAGCTGTTCTCGTCTCGTTCTTACAACTGACTATTGCCCCAGATAAAACCTTCCCTATACTCCTCGGGAGCGTGCCCTTGATAGGCGGTGGAATATGTCGGGAGCCCTTCATATCATGTTCCCTCTATTATTCCTCGGGCGCTTACTGGTAGTGATAATGCATGCCCCGCCTCATCCGATATTTCTGAGTTTCAATAGAGTGAAAGTGTCCACATAGCTGGTAAGACAACATAAGCGCCGTCTTCTGAATGCCTTGAGCAAGTACGCTCTGCGCCGTCTGAAGAGGTCCGCGTGCCGGTGATCGAATTCGGCATCGCGCCGGACTTGGCGGCTCACGGACGCTGCGGTGCACGTTTACCTCTTGTCCTCCACCGTCGTCGCCACTATGGCCCCCGGTCGCCCACGGTCTCTGCGCACGCTTGCCTTTGGCGCAAGCCGCCGCGACTCCTCGCCCTCCGCTGTGCGCAGTCCGTCTCCCACCTTCTCCGATGCGACGCACGCCTCCGCGATGAACTTCGGCGCCAACGGTCCTGAGAAGATTATCACTCGCGCAGACCTCAAGGCGAGCATTCAGGCGTATGAGGAGGTGCGCCCCCCAGATAGTCGCCCAGGTCGTGATGCTTATCTGGCTCTAGTTAATGGAGAATAGCGCGCGATACCGCAATGCGCTGGTCGAGATGTCGCGGGCGACAGCCGCATTCGCGGATGCCCTGGAGGCATGCAGTGGGTGCGTGGCTAGAAGACTGAACGCTATACGTCTTCTCACATACCCTCAGGCTCAAGGGCCCTTCATACGAAGCGGGTACACGCTTATTGGCTGCTTCTGGATTGCATCATCTCATGGGCAATCACTGGCACGTCTTGGTGCGTCGCCGTCCACCTCTCTTTACCAGTATCTGATCACAGCCTTCAGGCCGATACCATCGACAAGACCTTCGAGAAACCCCTTCGCCAGCACCTTGATACGTACAAGACCATCGTCAACGTGCGTCTGATATCTCACCATGCACCATACCGACGCTTCTAACGCCATCACAGGAAAGGTCGGCACAGTATGAGCGAGCTCTGCGGGAGAAGAGCCAGGTTATACGACAGACGGAAGCCCGGAACATGAACAGGAAGGAACGCAGTGCGTATTGTCCCCGATTTTCCTCGTACCCCTATGCTAACCCCACACAGATTTGCAGAGCTTCCGTGAAGCCCTGACTGTACTACAACGACAAGTGGATGAGCTGGATGAATTGAAGGTCGACCACTACCAGGAAATCATGGAGCATGAAGAGGAAGTGTGGAATGTGGTCCAAGGAAAGGTGAGTACGCTGCCAGTTCCTTCATACAATTACTCAAAGCCGGCAGACGTGCGTGGTCGTACGCTCCACGATGGACGTACTCGACCGCTTCACTTCCAAAGCGTGAGTCCCTAGTGTCTACCCCTAATCCTATATCTAACCTTTAACAAGCTCGGACCCCGTAATCGAGGTCATGCTGCAGACTGTGCCAGACCCCTTCGACGCCTACGGACCGCCACCAGCGAAAGACCAAATTTACTCCATCCTCCCGCCGCTTTCTATTATGGGCGGGCCGACCTCGTCAGCATCAACGCCTACCGCTCAAACGCCCGAGGTGCATTCTAATGGCCTACCCGCGGCGGCTTCGGTTCTGGCATCAATGAACCCGTCGTGGGTTCCCGCGTCCGTCTCAAACGACGACGTCTACCGCTCAGATACCGCGGAGTGGGCCGAGAGTCTGCCGCCCGCCTTCACGCCACCGCGCTCCACATCGCCAACCTCACGCTCTCCGCCAAGCTCGACCTCGCCCACGCACGCGCGACGCCACTCGATACCTCCGCGGAAGGCCGAGTCAAAGCTGCGCTCTGTGCTCTCTGTCATCGACGAGAACAATGCTCGATCAGATCCTGAAGGGCCTGCACATTCGCATTCGACGCCGGATTTACGCGGAGCGGGTGTGGTGTACGAAGCGCCTGATCCGATGAACCCCTCCTGGTCCTTCACGGATGCACATCAGCGGCTGGGCTCTGCAGGCACGGACGAGACGGACGATGCAACGACGCCGCGTCATTCGACGTTCTTCCCGCCAGACACTGATGTCGTGCCGGACGACACTTCGCAGCAGAAGCACGCTGTGGCAGCTGCATGAGCCCCCTGCACCCAGCGACTGCGTAGCTCTTCGTAGTGGTTGCTGCGAAGTCCTTCGCGTCACAACTTATCTTTATGCTTTCCAACGTTGCCCGCGAAGCAGATTCCACACCAGTAGCTTCGGACGCTCTACCAATTGCACCAAGCAACATGTCCTCCATTCGTCTTCTTACCTACCATTAGGGCTGCCCTATGCCCTTGTACACCTTCGGACCTTTTCAGACTATCTCGCATGTACTCATATCGTCGTTCGTATCATGATTCTCTAGCTTCCTCGTTCGTGGGCAGGTTTTTCCTTCAAGGCTATGGACGCGTTACTGGTCGCACGTCCATTCATGTTCGACTACCTTTTCCGGAATCAATGGCCCGGGGTCAATCCCACAATCATTTGTCTGTTCGTATTCGTGAGGCCATTCGGCTATGCCGAACAGAGTGTATGTGTTGCATTAGTTTGAATGTCTATGTTACCAATGATGCAAGTGAGTGGTGGTTCTCGCCAAAAGCTGGCGAAATGAGCTTCTCCGGAGTGGTGTAGCTTTATCGACACTCCTAAGTCGATGCGGTCGGCTTCTTCATGTCGGAGCGAATAGCACTTTCATGTCGACGCAGTCGGCTTCTTCAGGTACTCCAACCGATACTCGCGAAGCACGTCCTCGCCTACTGGCGCAGGGCTACGGAAGAGCAAGTCGGTGCCGCCGCTGGTCTTCGGGAAGGCAATGACGTCGCGAATGGACGGTGTGTTGCAGAGGATGGACATGATGCGGTCGAAGCCTGGGATGTTGTTAGTAGATGAAGCAGGCGAGGAAGAGAAGTTAAGGAAGGAAAGGGCTACATACCCAGTGCGATGCCTCCATGCGGTGGTGCGCCGCAGCGCAGGGCGTGCAATAGATGCTCGAACGGCGCCTTCTCACTGGGGCTCAGCTGATCGCAGTGTCAGTCAGCAAGTCATCAACGACGACATGAATGCCGCGGCTGACCTGCAGAATGTTGGTGAAGATATGGTCCTGCATGGCCGCATCATGCACACGGACGGAGCCACCGCCAATCTCGACGCCGTTCAGCACGAGGTCGTAGTGCTGGCCGCGGACCTGGGAACGACATCGACGTCAGTAATGTGCGGCAGGTAAGGAAGTGGGAGAATTCTGTATAAGTGCAGGCATTCGCACTAACCTCATTGATGCGCCCATCGTACATCTTTGGTACGTCCTCCCACATTGGCGCGGTAAAGGGGTGGTGGGAGCTGCTCCAGCGACCGTGCGCGAGGAACTCCTTGTCCTCATCCGCGTTGGTGAACAATGGGAATTCGGTTATCCATAGGAAATTCCGTGCGTGGGCGGGGAGCGTCAGGTCACCTTACAATTGTCAGTTGGGTAGTGGATGGAGGAGCTAGTGGGCCTGAGAGGAACCTACCACGCTGCTGGGCCAGCTCTGACAGCTGGAGACGGAGTTTGCCAAGGGGCGTGGATCCACCCTGACAGAATCATAAGCGCCGCTGTCCTGGTCACAGGTAATTTGAGCGTACCTGCGCCAGCTTGGTTCTTCGTGCTAACCAGAGATGGTCGCCCGGCTGCAGTGAGGGTATCTCGCACGCGCTGTCAGACGGCGACGGGAGTCCCGCCAAAATGCTGGATGTACGGTGCCACGATGCCCGGTTGCCCTCATCGATGAGGATACGCTCCTGAGGTCGTGTCTGAGTCAAACGACAGCGGGGCGGTGTCATAGGTGCAGCTCACCGTTACAGCCCCGCTTTGGGCAGCGTGCGAGGCAGCGGTAAACTCGCCGCCACGGACAATGAGCGCCTGCAGAATCTCGCCCTCGCGCTCTAGCGCCTCTCGCTGGGCGGAGGGTAGGTAGGGCGTGATATCGCTGATCTTCATTCGCTCGCCGTCATACAGGGGCACGGTCATAAGGCGCCCACGTACTCACCTCTAGGCCAAAGCGCGTGTCCGGCTTGTCCGAGCCAAACTGTACAATAGGATGGCGCGTGAGGATTTGAAGACAAGCGATAACGGCGGGGCTTACGCGATTCATTGCCTCTTGGTAGGTCATGACAGGGAAATCCGAGGGCAGCTCGGTACCCTCGGCGGCGGCCCACATTGCGGGGACGAGGCGCTCGATGGTGTCGCGCACTTCCGCGCCACCGATGCGCCAACCGCGCGCGAGAGAGGCCTCATCTGGGCCCCAAGAGACGAAGGCCATTTCCATATCGATCTGCGTGAACTCCGGCTGCCGGTCCTTGCGGCCGCCCTCGTCGCGGAAGCACTTGGCGAGCTGGAAGTATCGGTCGACGGCGCCCGAGCAGATGAGCAGCTGCTTCGGCTGCTGAGGCGATTGCTGGAGCGCGTAGAATACCGGCCGGTCGTCTTCTGCGCGGGCGATCCGAGAGGGGACGAGGTACTCTCGCGCGCCCTCGGGCGAGGAGCGGAGCAGGACGGGCGTCTCAACCTCGGTGAAGCCTAGGTGAACGTGTTGGCTACGGTCATACACGGAGTGGCGTCGAGAACGTGCCTTCCTGCTCCAATACAGTTCGTGCGGTGTGCGCAACCTTACTGCGCTTCTGGATGTTTTCTGACAAAGCTGTGCGCCTGAGGTCAAGGTACCGGTACCGCGCGCGCAGATCTTCGTTCGCCTGTGATGTTGTGAGAAGGTCAGCAGAGTCGTCCGGTCGCACGCCATCGGCACGCCCGAATACAGCAAATGGGGAACAACTGGAGGAAATGTTGGTTGTGACTGGAGAGCGACGAGGGAGCTGACAGAGAAACCCTCGCGGTGGGAAATTGGCATCAACGTCGTTCGGAGAACAGAGCGTACGGTGACCGCACGGTAAGTAACCGTACGCTCTGATTCTCTGCGAATGTGTACGCCGAGCTCCCATTCGACGAGAAAAGCTATACCCGCTGGGCTTCTGGGTCGACAGCCACGAGAATAACGCCTCAAATCCCTGCGCCGTTGTGCTCTGTGTGCCCAACCCTCTGGGAATGCTCGGGTTTGACCAGCAAAGACTTCCCAATCTCAGCCCAATTCCTTCTGACCTAAGCCCGGAGCGCAGCGCATGGGGTCACAAGCGGGACAGCGCGAACGTTGAGCTGAAGTTCGGGCTGGTCAGTAAAGGACAAGCGTGATACGCAGCAAGAAATGAGAGCTCACTCCACCACTAAACTTTGCCATCACGCGGGGCGGCAGACGACGACAAAAGCGTGGGGCGAGCTGAATGCTGAATTTGCAGAAGAGGCTGGTCGGAGGTCTTCGTACGCAGGATGCGAGCATTTAGGTTCACTGCATCATTGTTCGGTAAGTCGAGACCTATCGTGCCTCTATAGCAGAGGCTCACCCGATGTTCGGACACAAACGCCAAGTCGCCGATTTCTGGCATCGGGTATTCTTGCGAATATTTGGGGTCCCTTGGGTAGCCCGCGCTCGTAGAACACTGGATGTGCCATATCCAGGATTTCGCCCGTATATCCCCACCAGCTGTATTCGGGCGTGCGAGTGGAACTGTGCAAGAAAGGACGTACCAAATGTGTAACGTCCGACGGCACGAACGGTAAGTCCTCTTGAGCAGGATTAAGCACTCTGAAGTCCGACACGACGATGTCTATGTCGGCTGTACCGCCCTTATCAATTTATGAATGCCCGCAGCAAAGTGTTCCGAAGAAAAATACGCACACGCCGTTGATTCTCTGGACGAAGAGAGACCTCGCCCTCAATGAGGACCACGGACTCAACCGTGACGTCGGATAGCCCAGCAGCTGAGCCATCGCGTTTGACAACAAGTTGTGTGGCACCGGATGAATCCTTCAATGGAAAGAAAGACACGTGCTTGCCGGCCTTCCTTCGCGGAGTTGAGTTCATCTGTTGACCGAGGAGGATCTCTGGGCTATACCTTTCAGGGAGTAACCAGCCCGCCAGGACGACCTTCTTCCCGACGTCCGCGGCAGAAAGGGTGCCACAATTGTGGGTCCGTTTGGGGTACGGGGCTAACACAGTTTTAGGGAAATGGAAAGCGGCGAGATTACTTGGGCTGACCGCAGTGCGCATCTCGTGATAGCAAGCGGAGCGCAGGTGCGCCAAGGGTTCTTGACCTGACTCTGGCGCGTAGTGCTAGCATCGCCGTGGTGGTGGGAGTTGAGAGGAGACGTGCAAAGTGCCCAAATGCAGCGCGACGCCGGCGCGTTTGACGCTCGCCGGGACTTGCCGAGCAGGGGAGATCACATCTTGTCTCCGGCGCTGATGAGCCAATGTCCAGTATACTCATCTCCAGATTCTACGCGCATCATCTGGCAGCTATTGAATCTATACAGCCATGACGGGTCTAATGGGCGTTCCATCAACCACTGCCGCCACGTATAAGGCGAGTGATACGCCTGACCGAGCTGTCGCCCTGCAACTCACACTCCCCCCTCGACATGCACTCCATCACAATGCTACCTACAGAGGTACTGGACCGCGTATGTCAGCATCTGTCGCAAGGGGAGCTTGCGTCTATATCCCTGCTCTGCTCTTCCCTCCACCAGACAGCCGTACGTCTCCTCTACCGAGATGTACAGGTATCCTCCGCGGCGGGGAACATGTCCCTCGTCATGACACTTGCCCGGCGACCTCAGCTCGCACAGCATGCGCGTAGCTTCTGCATCACTGGTGCGTCTCACGCGCCCCCACTGCGACCCTTCTACGAATTGGTCGCCCGCGTTCTACGAACGATGCCTTGCCTCACATCCCTCGATCTCGCGCTCGATCACCGAGCGTCCTGGGTTCTAGCGGGCTGCGCGCTACCACATCTCCTTCGCTTTCGCTGCACATTTGTCATGGACGCGCACGTCGCATCCTTCCTGTGCACGACACCTCTTCTGCGCGATCTCGAAGTCCACTCGCTGGCGCCGGACGCGTTCGAGAAGCCCGTCACTCTTCCCGAGCACGCACTGCCGCGCTTGGCGTCATTTACGGGCTCGTGCACTGCCGCCCTCGCCATCATCCCCTCCCGTCACGTCTCAAGTGTTCACCTAGCCAGCGGTGATTGCACGCCCGACGTCGTCGCACGTCTCGCGGGCTCGCGTTCACCCATCCAGCATTTCACCGCGCAGGCCACCTCCCCACCGATCGCGCTTCTGCCGCACTTCGCGCAACACATGCCGCAGCTGCTCTATCTGCGCCTGGATACGAATGACTTCGTTCTGGATCCAGGAGATGTCGTAAGTCGTCATCGTTCATGGGCCTGGCGGGCTGGCGCGCAGGACGCTGCGTCACCTTCATTTCCGACCTCATATCCGACTGACGCGCTGACGGTATCCACAGGGCCTGTACGAGGGCATCGTAGATGAACTGCCAGCGCTGCGCGCGTTGAGAGCCTTCGAGCTGTCCGGCATCTATTGGCCCTCTTCGGAGAAGGAGACGGGTGCGCGAGAATGGAGATCGCCTCTATTGACGATTTCGGAGGGGGAGAGCGATAGCGCAGAAGCTGAACTGCAGTCGGAGCTTCTGTGGGCGTATTACTGACACGCTGTATTCTTTGTCATCCAGGACGCTGGATCCTTTGACGACGTTACACAGTACTCACGCAGTCGATATCTCGAACGCTATATGTATTTACTCTGCCTCCCATTACTGTAGCGATGTAGAACAATATACCCATGTAACAGTATAGCTCTAGCGCTACTAGGAATCCTCTGAACGACTCCTTCAAGCAGAACCAATCTCATACTGATGATGACTTCGCGTGACTGATCGCGTCGATCGAGTGGCCGTTTGCTCCCGCCTTCATCATGTCGGCGCGCAAAGCCAACGACCTCGAGAAGAAACTACACAAGGCGGCACTCAAGGCGCATAACAAGGTTAGCTATCGTACCTCTGGCTATTCGTCTGGATGCTCATGCGACCACAACGCCCTCGCAGGAGCTCTCCGTCGAAGATGTCGCGGAAATCATCCCGGACAACAAGGCGCGGACGGACGCGCTCAACTTCCTGCTCAAGGTCGGGCTGTTCAAGAGCTTGAAGAACGAGAAGGGGAAGGTCAGCTTCCGCGCGGTGACGAAGGAGGAGATTACTGTGTGCGTCTGTGCTTGCTTGTTACTGGCATAAGTGAAGACTGATCAGCGGATAGAACGAAGGACCTAACGGCGGAGGAGGGACTGGTGCTCAGTCATATCAAGGCGTCGAAGAATGAAGGTGCGTGATAGACTCAGTGAAATGGGCGCGTGAAGCGAGCGAGCAATGCAGGCATCTGGACGAAGCACCTAAAGGCGAAGACGAACCTCGCGCAGGCGCTGATCGACAAATGCCTGAAGGTCCTTACGCAGAAAAAGCTCATCAAGCGCGTTCAGTCTGTGCAGGTACGCGCCTCCCCTTCCCATGCTTCGCTCCTAAGCTCATTCCACCGTCCCAGCATCCGACGCGCAAGATATACATGCTGGAGGGCGTCGAGCCGTCCGTCGCGCTCACTGGCGGCCCATGGTATACAGACAACGAGCTGGATGTGGCGTTTATCAATACCCTGATACGTGCTTGTCTGAAGATTGTGCGCGACATGGTGCGTCGGTCGTTCGACTGCATGACTTGAGCTGATGACTGGTGTAGAGCTCGCCTCGTCAATCAGCGGACAAGCAGGGCGCACTGTTCCCGATTGGTTACCAGCCTGAATACCCCACCGCGCAGAAGATCCGCAGCGCACTGCAGCGCGCCCATCTTACGGACACCGACTTGTCGGAAGAGCATGTTGAGAGCTTGTTAAACGTGCTCATCTTGGACGGCGAGATCGAGAGGGTGTGTTCATATGTAACAATTCGTGCGCCGTATACTCAAGGTTTGCAGATACCCGTGGGCATCAGCGTACCTCGTCATGACGACACAGAAAGCAGCGACGAAGAGGTCGAGCGCTCGCACAAGAAGAAGCGCAAGCGGCGAAGCGACTCACAAGAGCGCCCGAGCAAAAAGCGACGGAGAAAAGCTGTCTTTACCAGCGACGAGGAGGACTCGGAGGACTCGAAGGACGAACGCAGGAAGAAGCGCAAGCGCTCGAAATCCAAGTCCAAGTCGAGAGAACACGACAGCGACTCGGAGGACGAGGACGAAACCTCGTCTCAGAAGAAGTTGAAGCAAAATGGCAAGAAGCGCCAGCTTTCGGAATCGGAAGATAGCGACTCCGAGATTGAGCGTGCAGTGAGCAGCAAGAAGAAGAAAAAGCGGCGCTCGCGGAACAGCGACTCGGAGGACGAGGACGAGGATTCAGAAGACGAAGAACGACGCCGGAAGGAGAAGGAAAAGCAGAAGCGCAAGCGCAAGCTCGAAAGGTCACCATCACCGGACCTGCTTTTGGGCGTGGATCTGGGGGAGAGCGAGGGAGTGTACGCGTACCGCGCGGTGCGGCAGGAGCAGCTATCGCTCGGGTGGTCGCAGGCGCCGTGCAGCATCTGCCCGTCGTTCCAGTTCTGCAAGGAGGGCGGGCCGGTGAACCCGACGGAGTGTGTGTACTATACGGACTGGCTGGCGCAGGCGAATGTGCAGGCGGTGGAAGAAGGGGAACAGGCGTAGTTGAAGAGGAATAAAGGTTGTTGCTACAATTGTATGTTGTATCATTTGTCACTGCCTAGCGCTGATACTGCATTGCGTATGAACTCTGCCGCGTCGTAGCGCACTATGGGCGTATCGCTGCCTGCGTCGGTGATGACTGCAGGTGCATTGTTGGTCGTCAGCTCGGCTGCTACGCCTATGTACGGTGCGCCGCTGGAAGATGTAGCTTCGAATCTGGTCAGTCGCCAGCCTTTCGGGATCACTCCGTCGATGCGAATTGTCCGCGCCGCGACGTCGACTTCGACGCGGTTGAAGTCGAAACCTAGACCGATGCCGAGGGCCTTCGTGTACGCCTCTTTCGTTGTCCAGATCCAGAAGAAGTGCCGTAGGCCTTCCTCCGGTTGCAATGCGCGTAGTTGGCGTCGTTCGAGGGTTGTAAGCTGATAATGAGATTGAAATGTCATCTGAGAATAATCAGAACTTTATATTTACTCACCTGTTCGCCAAATGTCTCAGTGAGGGATGCGTACGTCTCACCGCGAGGCATACGAACTTCCATGATATCTATGCCGACGCTGTACGATGGTGGGTTGGCGCCACCTGGAGCGAAAGCCATCGCGACGAAACTGCTGTCGTGAGATACGTTGAAGGCGATTGCAGGGTCAAGAGGCGTCGTCTCAATTTCTACTATCAGTCAAAACCAGCGGCTTTATATGTAGACCTCTCACGAAGTATGGCTTTCCGACGTCTGTCTTGCCAAATGTTATTTGTGCGACTGGCACACCATGCTGCTTCAGAAGCACGCGTGGGAGAAGACGTCCAGTGAGACAGCCTGGTATAGTCAATTTCAGGATAATTATCTTGCGGCTTTATTGAGAGGGCTGACGACAAGCATCTGCGCGGTGGTAGAAGCGCTTGATCCTGGCCTGACTCTCAGCATCTACGAGCTCTAGGCCAGCTTCATAGAGCTTCAGCCGGTTAGAGGACTTTGCGATGGATATAATCATGCCATCATACCTCTACATCGAGAGCGTCTGGCTCATACGCTACGAGCCATATTTCCATCGCAATGGGGAAAGGCAAGATGCATTGTTGCCGAATCAGGTAATCACCTGTCGGTCCGGGCCGGCAAGTCCCGACTCGGGATCAATTCGGATTTCGTTGAAGTTTCACATTCGCACGCTGCTTGCTTTGTGCCATCATGGGCGTCCTTACCTCACGGTGCACACGCCTACCCTGCTGCTCTGATTGGCGCAGAAAATATAGACTCTAACAACGACCCTGATAGTCCGGCCTGTACTCACGCAATGGCACGCTTCATGCGCTCGGTCTTTGTTCTTTCCATTGCCCATCACCGATTTCATCTTCCATTCGCAATCGCTCAGCCTTGCCAAGATGTGATGGATCCTTTTATGTCTGTTAATGCGTCAACCTCTAACATAGCAAGCCGCGCCCCGCTGCTACACAGGGAGTCAAAGGACCCTCAGCAAAAAGGCCGGCAGAACGACGTTGCGGAAGAAAGGCTCGCGATGACCTATAGCTCGGGTCAGGAGGGAGGGAACTGCCCACCCCTCGCATCTTGATGAACAACATCCTCTCTTCCTGTGCAGACGTCTTCCCGCAGCTCGAGGCTTTCTTCGTCAGCCATCTGAATCCTCTCGCCCATTCCTCACATCCCATGGTCGACGATAGCCTTGCCGCACACCAAAGCGAAGGAAGCCCGATGCAATGCGTAGAGAGTGAAGGTGCACGGGTACCTGAGCCCTCGCCGCATCGACTATCCGCCGACCACCCCCTCGTCGATTCCATCGCTGCCAAAGACACTGGAGACAGCACTGTGTCTCAACGTTGGTCGCGTCCCAGAAAGGCCAAGAAGACCAAGTAAGCATCCGCAGGTCCATTGTGCATGCGCAGGTTACCGAAGATATACTTTCTCTCAAGGTTGCATCAGTACTCTCGCAAGGAAAAGGCCATGATTCGCATCTATCGCCTATACGGGAAGACTATCAACCAAGTCACAATATTGACGGGTGCGTCTACAGCTACGATAAGCCGCTATGTCAGAGACGGGGCCATCAACGACATCATCGAGGACTGGGATTATGTGGACGCCGAGTTTTACCGGAAGTACCCTCCTCTAGTGCGTGCGCCAACCCGCCACATCTCTCGTTGCTTTCTAAAAATGTCCTCAGGATACAGATGAGCTCATCCATAGGCACGACTGCCTGAGAAGGGCCGGAGGTGGGCCGCGCAATGTACGCTACAATATTTGTACCGAACATTCACGATCTGATACGTATTGTTAGCTGTTCAGTCACAGACAGGAAGACGTCGATACGCGGTATCTTGACTTTCCTACGACTGGGCTACCCCCCAGCTCCGGTCCAAGCCGCACTCGTGTAACAAGACAGCGTCCTGCGCGAGTGACCCCACTGCCCGCGAACGATGTGAGAAACCAATCATATACTCTGTCTTTGCGGCTGCTTATTCGTCGATCTCTACAGATCGCCACGCCTGCCATGGAAGTACAGGAAGAATCCAACCCCGGGACCGAACCTGAGGATGTGCCGGATCGTGGCCCTTCACCTGGTACCTGCCAGGATGAAGCCATCTACATATCCTCGGATGACGAGGAAGACGACATCGAGCCCACCAGCGATCATCCTCCGACCCAGGCTTCGAGCGAGGACCAAACCACTCTCTTCAAGGCTTTCTACGCCAATCTGGACTTCGATATGTCTCAGCATCACGCCGCGCTTGCGAACTGTGACCTCGGCACCGCTCAGCACGTATTACCATTGCGCCAGTGGCCGCAGGACAGGCTCGTCCAGATTTACCAGAGGTCGATCCCCTCTCTGCACTACTTCGAGTGTCTCGTTCTTGCAAAGGGCGTCAGCAACATCGCGCTGGACGGGACGATTGAGAAGAGTGCTACCAGGGTATGTTCTGCGTCACAAGTGCCAATGTGTGCATACGTTCTAATGCATCCATAGCAACGGTTGGACGAGGCTCCAGCAATTTGGACACTTCCTGTTCAGCGCTTTCTCGCCAGCCTCACGCCAAACCTCTCCATGCACTCTAGCCTCCTTCAGGGTCTAGGGCTTGGTAGCCTTGGGAGACTTATCACAGTCGCCGGGTGGTCCGACAAAGGCTTGCTATCCGATTCTTGCCCCCATATTCGCAGCAGGCTGTCAAGACTGCACCGCTACGTCCTGTACTGCGAGCTGAAGATGGCCATTCAGAATACGGCGCAGGAAGGCTGGCTGGGCAACTACTACGTCCCCTTCATTGTGCAGCGCGCTGAGAGACAGGTACCCCTGGTGGAACCAGCTATGCGAATCCCACTCAACATCGGCTCCTTCGCCGGCCTGGATATCGACTTGTCCACGCATGCCCCAATGCTCATCGAACGTGGCATCAGCACTTTGGAAGACGTTGCTGAGCTCGGGAAGTGGAGCTTGAAGAATATTCGAATCATGCTCATGGAAGTCGCTCCCGAGCTCACCATCCTCGAGCGCTTCGTTCTTGCGCACAGCATCAAGTTTAGTACGCCGGACGGTTACTTCAAAAGAGGAATGATGCGCGTGAGTAACGTTTTCGCCCTCTGGTTTTCGTGTATACCAACCAGCTATCAGGCCCGGCTCAATACGTGCCCCGATTTGTGGAACGGAACGCCGAACAAGATCCTTGCTGGTCGAGAGCAGGACTTGTCCGATTGTCTGCCAAAGCTGGCGGACGCGGGCCTTGGGACGCTGGGCGCGCTGTACGCTATCAGCCACTGGGACGGAGCGGAGCTGGGGGACCTGCTCGAGGAAGCCGCCAAGATCTCGCCTGTGAAGGCCGCCATCATCATCCAGGCCATCAAAGAGACCGTCGGTCCCGCGACAACGAGCCTGAGTGCCATATTCGGCGCTCGTTCGCCGTGAGCTAACGTTCTGTCGTTCTGTCTGTTCCTCTCCGTACTATGTAGGTCAGTCTCGCAACACCCTCTTCTTCGGCGATGATTCTAACGCACAGCGAGTAGATTCTCTGTTATTAGAATGAAGTTATGATGAAAACCCGCTGTTTGGACGCGAATGTATCGCCCCGACTACGCCGAGGGGCCTGACGATGAAGAGGTTCATTATATCACTCCGTCGGAAATGAGTCATGCCAAAGTTGTCCGAGAGCACTCGCTTGGCTGATCTTTGCGCGACCAGGTCACCATCCATGCATCCTGGGCTCAGTCTCAGTCTCTGTTGCATCTGCCTCGTCACCAGTAAAGGCTTCTTCAACTCTTGACATCTGTCAAAGGCGGCCCCCGCGTGCTCGTTGATACAGTGGGTGCAATATCACTCCAGGCCGATTCACCTCCCTGCTCCAGGTCTCCGTGCATATCAAACTGTCAGTGCGCATCTTCCCGTACAATGTCCTATTCAACGAAGTTATGGGGTATGCACGTGTCGCTGCCGAGTGCGGTCGCCTGGCGTCACACTCGCTGGTGCCGTACATGCTTTCGCGCGTCTTGCCTCCTACCCTAACGTCGTCCTCTTTCCCTCAGGCCTCCTTCTACTTTCGCCATCCCGAAGCTTGATGACTGCACGGCAGCATCACCAATGGCGCCGCATAGTATCATTCCTATCGACACTCATCAGACAACCTCACGCTCAATTCCGGCACCTCCAGGCGATGGAACTCGAGGCGCAGGCCAACTTCGGTTCATTCCGTACGACCCCGCAGGTCGCAATCCTCTACGACGTTACTTGTACGTGAGATGATCACTCAGTTTGGAGCCTTGAGATGCTGAATACCCCCAGTGGCGGTGGAAGACGAAACTATTACACGCGCGGTGACAGAGCCAACGTTCGCTGGTTGTACACGATTGGAAAACTGGACTGGAGTGGTATACACGCTATGACGGGAATAAGCCGTGGTACGATCAACTCATACATCGAGAACAATCGTGCGGATCCGGACGACGTGACGCGGGACGTTGATTTTATCAGCGAACGCATTAGGCGAGAATATCCACCACCTTGGGTGCGTCTCGATAGTCTTGTCGCAGGTCATCGTAATCGCGTACTCATTTCCTGACTATCAGGATGATCAAGTACCTCATACGCCCATCTCCGAGCGAGCCGCGCACAGGAAGAGACGCAAAGTGAGTGTCAGTCGTATATGGCCGTATATGGCCGAAGCTGAATGGGACCCGTGCAACAGCTCTCGGACGATGCGAATCAGGAAGAGACGGGGAACACGGACTCTGACCTAACATCATTGGAGGACTCGCCTCCGCCACGACCTTCTACAAGTGATCAAGATCGCTTTGTCGAAGAGCCGCGCTCGAGGAAGAAGCAACGGCTGCTGACCGGCGGCACGCAGGCTGTATTCGAGGTGAGAGTAATAATGACCAGCTTGATTGATGTGCTCAGACTTCCGTACAATGATAGGCAGCGCTTCCTTCGCAAGCATGCGACGACCTACCTCTCTTACAGCCTATGTCAGGGATGCCCATCCTGGAAGGTCAGTATCATTTGGCCAAAGTCAGAGCGTCGAGTGCATCAGAGCTTCGTCTGACTCGAACTCAGACGACGATGCAATGGACGCGACGGAGCCTGCTAACCATAGCGTGCCCCCTCTCGGGAACACAGTGCCTGGCCCACGCTCGCTACAATTTCGCCAGCAGCGCTTTGCCACAGAATTCCTCGCGAACCTCGACTTCGACCTGTCTGCCCATGCTCCGGCTCTCGCACAGTGCGATCTTGGCACGGCGCGGGACGTGTATCCCTTGCGCAACTGGACAACATCAGATCTCATGTTCACCCTTGCGGAGGCGATGCCCCAGCTGCCGTATATCGAGCGCTATGAACTGGCCCGGCGCATCAAGACCATGTCTGCTACCTGCGGTGCTGTGAAGAGCCCAATGAGGGTACGCATGACCTTAAAGATGGAAAGGCGCTGTGGCTTATGCCGACTGTAGATGCAACTGGACGAGGTACAGGAGGTCTTACAAATCCCCATACTGGGGTTCCTCTCACGTTTGTCAGTGGACTGCTCGCAGTATCTACCCAAGCTCGAGGGCGCGGGGCTCAGGACCCTCGGGGCAATTGTCGTGATATCTGGGTGGACAAGTGCTGAGGTCGAAGATGTCTTGAAAGGCGCAGTTCCGGACATGAAGCCCCTCCACCGCTTTATATTGACGAAAGCCTTGGCTCGCTTGTCGGACGCTATAAAAGCTTCGGGTGCGAACGCGACACGAACCCTCATAGACCATTTTCGGGAGGGACCTGCGGGACTATCGAACGCCTCATACCCTGTCCTCGGCGCTTGGTTCTTTAGCTCCCTCGACCACGACTTGTCCGCGCGCACGGGAGTCCTGGCTGCTGTAGGGCTCGTCACCTCGAAGGAAGTCGCCAGCTTGCGACCCTGGAGCGTAGAGGACCTCCATGAGATGTTCAAGGAGCTCCTTCCAGATTTGCTAGCTGTCGAGCGCCACGTGCTCATTCGGGGCATCAAGTCAAGCCTGCACGGTGTTCCGCAACGCTCGCCTCTCAGGGTGAGTAGCGTTTTATTACTTTGAAGCAGCCTGAGTGATACTGACAAGAATAAGGCAAAGTTAGACGCTCGCCCTGACTTGTGGCAGGTGTCCGCTGCCAAATTCCTCGCCAAGAGGGAGCACGATCTGTCTGCCTTCCTCGACGATTTGGATCGTGCAGGCATTGGGAGCCTCGGCGCGCTGCTTGCAGTGAGTCACTGGAGTCGGAATGAACTTCTTGCATTACTGCAAGAAGCTACACCTGCCATGAGCTTCGTCCGCCGCTACATGCTGATACGTGCGCTGCATTCGGAAGGGGATAGGTTACTCGCAGGCGAGCCAGCCTAATGAGATGTTGTAAATGCCGATCTATCGAAATGTACTTTCACGCCTCCTTCGTGTACTGTACTCTCTTGGGCACTCTCAGACGGCGTTTGAGCCATAAATGTTTTCTCTATTGTTCTGCTTTGGGAATGCATCCGCCGGCCCGCCGCGGCCAGTCACACCACGCGGTTATCGCCCAGTTATCGCGGGATCGGGCGGGCTCTAGATGATAAACACCATGGCAGCCGCCGTCGCCGAGACCGCACACTCTTTTGCTCTGGCTCTTGCGCTCACGAGATCGAAGACTATTTCCTCAGGCGACGTGAATCTCTTGACTTCGTACCACACTTTGGTGTCTCGCACAGCAGAATGAGCCTCTCAGACGACGCGCGCTTCGTGACCCTCGGGATGTTCATCATCGACGAGTTCACGTACCAGGATGATGAGGGGAGGCCGCTGGCAGACAAGAAGGGGGATAGTCAAGTGTGTTGGTTATAGCGAAGCCTGAAGTAGCACCTCACGAAAGCCTTCAGATCGGCGGCGGCGGCACCTACGCGGCAGTCGGTGCGCGAATATGGTGCGTCTCGCTTCCTCATCCTCCCGCAAGTGTCCTAACAATGATCATGCAGGCTTCCACCCTCGCAGCTCGGCATGGTAGTCGACAAGGGGAAGGATTGGCCAGGGAATATCGAGGGACAGCTGAATGCTTTCGGCGAAGAGATGTGGCTTTACCGCGACCAGCCAGACGCACTGACGACGCGCGCACTGAACATCTACAAGGGAGAATATAGAGGGTATGTTGCGCACTTGACGTCGCTCTTACCATCTCCACGCTCAGCATCCTCTATCATCCCACCCTCGATCACCAAGCTGACCACCATGCCCTCAGCTTCGAATACCTTACTCCTCGCATCCGCATTACGCCTCGCGACCTACGAGGCACGCGTATTGAGCAGCCAGAAATACTCCACTTCATCTGCTCCCCGACGCGCGCCTCGGTAATCATGTCGGAAGTACGAGAGACGCCAGACTGGCATCCGACGACAATCTACGAGCCTATTCCGGTGAGTGAACAACCAGTCCTTTTTTTGGGACCGAGGAGGAGGGGCAAGAGCATACAATTTTGACGGACGTGCAGAACAGATGTGTGCCCGAGGAGTTGCCCTCGCTCATCAAGGTGTTGCCGTCAATCTCGATACTGAGGTGTGCCACTCGAACAAAGTACGATGGACGAGAAAAGTTCACAGTAAACTAGCCCAAACGCAGAGGAAGCGCAGTGCTTGCTGTCCATGCCCGGTGCACCAACAAGAGAGAGCGTCGAGCAGGCAGCCGCCAAGTTCCTCGCTTATGACATCGGCGAAGCAGGGGAAGGAGCCGTCATCATTCGCAGCGGAGCCCTAGGGGCCTACGTGCTGACAAGAGCCATGGGTGGCAGATGGATTGAAGCATACTGGCAAGACCAGAAGGACGTAGCGGATGTCACGGGTGGGGGGAACTCATTCCTAGGAGGTCTGGGGGCGGGCCTCATCAAGTGCAAGGGGGACGTGTATGAAGGTGATTCCTCGTCCGCATAGTATGATCGTAGCGTCAAAGCTGACTGTCACTGTCCAGCGACCTACTACGCGTCAGTCTCCGCATCCTTCATCATCCAACAATTTGGCCTACCACGCATGGAGGTTACCGAAAACGGCACGCTGTGGAACGGGGAGTCTCCAGAAAAGCGGCTCTCGGATCTGCGTCGGCGGCATGAGGGGAAAAGGCATTAGAATATGTGTACATACAGGGCGCAAGATGCTAAATTTACAGTCCGGGAATAATGATAACAGGCGCAGAGGGAGCCACGGTCATGCAAGAAGAAGGGTCCATCGTGGTCATGGTCATGATCATTGTGCTGTCGATTGGAACTTGGCGCGGCTGGCGGCGAAGAGCTCTTCTTGTGCGGCAAGGAGTTCCTCTTCGGTCATGCCGGAGTTCTCGAACTTGGACACCTTCTTTTCGCGTTCCTGGAGGGATATGAGAGGTGTAAACGGAGGAAGAAGGATGCGGCACACCTTCTGAGCTTGCTTATGGTCCTTAAGGACGTCCTCGACTTCTGCTGTGAAGGAGTCGAAGCCGAGGGTCTGAGAGCCCGGTGAGCTCATTGTGCAAAGTGTACATGGCCTGCACTCACCTTCAGTGCACTGATGATGTGTTCGGGTGCTATGGTCTTCTTGGACTCCTTCTCGCAAACGTCGTTGGCCTCAGAGGATAGTAGATGGATGAATTCTGAGCAGTACAGTCAACAAACGCCGTAGGTGAGCACAGCGCGGGTCCACTCACCGACACAGCACTCAATGACGAGGTCCCTCGTATCCTTCGCGCACACTATATCATTCGGGAGAAGTTCTACGCGTACAGTGAGTGAGCGATGGCGCGCAAACCAGGCGCCACGGACGCGTACCAGTGATCATTTTCGCCACTGTCGCCTTCGGGAGCGAGAGGTCGTCATCTCCGGGGATTCCCCCGCTATGGCCCTCATTATCAGACATGGTGGTGAGCGTGAACGGGGTGGATTCCCCGGGCGGTCGGGATGGAGGCGGGAGACAAAGCGGAGGGCGATCGGGCCGCTTCCAAATCCGTTTGGTCGACGCGTCCTTGTTTGATCTCAACAGCCATGTCGGTGCGTGCCCTGCGCGTCCTGCTCGTCGTCGCTGGCGATACTGAGCGTGACATCGTCTAGGTCAACCCGGTCAACCCCAAGCCGTTTTTGCAGGAGCTCACGGGGAAGCCGGTATTTGTGCGGCTAAAGTGGGGGTTGGAGTACAAGGGTTTTCTCGTCAGCACGGATGGGTACATGAATCTTCAGGTAGATTGCCACATAATTGTCCGTGCTCTGTAGCTAACTTGGAATGCTAGCTGGCAAACACGGAAGAGTTCCAGGATGGTCAGTCGAACGGTACGCTTGGGGAGGTTTTCATTAGGTCCGTACGCTATCCCCGCGATCTCTGATCTTTACTGACTGCCCCCTTCCCCTTCCCCCTTAGGTGTAACAACGTGCTCTACATAATAAGTCCCTCTCACCAGCGTCTGCATCGGCCATCTGATTTGTATCCTTTACAGAGAAGCACCACGAGAAGCCCCAGCCGCATAGTTGATGCCGAAAACTCGCACATTCTGCGCAGAGTACTCGCTTTTCTCGCGCATGTAGCTTTCCGGACGCTTCTCGATAGCGCGTGGGCAAGACTCTCGCCAGACCACTTGTCAACGACGTCTGTAATCCGTGTAAACGCTTCTTGCTCTGCTGTACCATCTATCCACCCTTTTGCGATCGCGCCAGTTCGGTCATTTCATTGAGTCCTCATCCCCTCGAAGCTATCCTCTATGAACCTGGTAAGGACCCTAATCTAGGCTGCCCTCACTGATACTTTCAGGCGATGCACTGCGAGTGTTTTCATTCGTGTCCTACGTTCATACGCCACATTAGCAGGCTCTTGTATCGGCGAAGCCAGTACCCTTCAGTACCTCGACCCGGTCGACCGTGCTTCATGCATTCCGCCATAGTCGGGGGAGTTGTCACTACGGACAACAGTGAAGCGTCTTTGCTAAGTTCGACTTTTATCGCAAGGGAGAACGGATCGGGCCGAGTAAACCAATCTCATCAACGATGATGTCCTTGGCCCTATTGACGGTAAGTTCTTCCGAGTTCAACGCAACTTCAACGGTCTTCAACGGAGCCGTCTTGGCCAGTGAGTGTTATATTCTTGGGAGGCAATGCACCGGTAGCGGGCTCTTAGATCAACGATGGTCCGGTTGCCATACTGACTGTCAATGGCGGCAGGCGGACGAACCGAGGGCCACATGGACGAGATGGGTAAGTCCGCATAAGATCAAGAAGAGAGACTTCGAGCTGAGGGCTGTCCCAGTAGGACAGCGAGACCTGCTTGGGCTTTGCAAGATGCAAACTGCGCGACCCATCGAAGGGCATGCATGCGACGAGCTCGAGGGACGTCCTCACGAGCTCACCGTCGCATAATCGACGGCTCCCGAATGATGACAGGCACCAGAACTCCCGTTCCCGAGGCCCACCATGCCTCGGTGCCTGACCGCCCGCTCACGCCGTCGCTGATCTCGCGTCGGGATCCGTTGCTGTGGTTCCGTCACGGCCCTACCTATATAGCGTGCCCGCGCGCATCGATTCCCCCTCCCTCACGTCCTTCGCCCTTCGTCTTTCCGGCCCCCTTCCCCTTCCCTTCGCTCCCGCACACTTTCGTTCTTCTCTGACGCCGCGCGTCTGTACCCTTTCGCTTCCCCGGACCAGGTGTCGCCTTCGCTCCTCGTCCTTTCGCTCGCTTTCAGCCAACCCTCGTTTTTCGGTCTCTCGTCCATTGTCTTTTTTGTCAGGCTGTTCGGTAGCTTGACATCGACAACTTCTCGCTCTGAAAGAACACCGGCATCCATAATCTGCGACAATGCTGTCCCCCATCCTCTTCACCGCCGTCCTTTCCCTCCTATCTGGCCCCTCGATGGTCGAGGGCCGCTCGCATTGGTTCAAGCGGGACGTTCCCGTGCCTGCGCCTAGCGCCCCTGCGGCCTTGATCGCCCGCGCCGCTTCCGTGGGCAGCTTCGGCTCGTGCACGAAGCCTGAGATTTCCTTCAACACCGGCTTCGACGGGCGCACGGAGACGAGCTTTAGGCCTATCAATCGTCGTATGTCGCTATTCCTTGCCCCCAATCGCGAGTTGCGATACTGACATTTCTGCGCGCCCAACAGGCTCCTACGACCGTGGTTCCGCACTCAACATCGCAACCGTGACGAAAGTTATCTGCGATACGTTGACCACTTGCGGCGCGGACCAGACGGCGCTCGACAACTGCGCGAAGGCGGCTGCAGCAGCGAAGCAGCAGCCCGAGGGCACGGGTGCGCAAGCTGATGCCTTCAACGCGGTCTTTGGGTTGAAGACGGTCAGTTAGTTCTTATCCCACTTGTGCACCCGAGGCTGACAAGACATAACAGAACTTCTCCGCTATCAAAGCCGTCGCGCCCAGCGGAGGGTCTACCAGCTCGGGCAATTCGGGCTCAGGCTCAAGTGCTACGACCACCGCCGCTGCGAGCGCCGCGACAACGCAGGCCGCGTCTTCATCATCTGGGAACCTCGGCGGCGCGAGCTTTGGCAGCTGCTCGGTGCCGCAGATCGAGTTTGCCGCTGGGTTCGATGGGAGGAGGGAGACTTCGTTCCAGCCGACCGACAAGACTTCGTACAGCCACGGGTCTGCGCAGGCGATTGACATCATCTCGTACGTAGACATTGCCATTGACGAGGACGAGTGCCATTCTGACAAGGTCCTCGCAGTCAATTTGTCTGCGACCAGCTCACGAACTCGTGTAAGGCCAACCAGGCTGCGAAGGACCTATGCCAGACTGCGCGTAGTGCGGCTGATGGCAAGACGGCGAAGACGGGTGCGCAGGCGGACGCGTTCAACGCGGTCTTTGGGATCACGACGGTTAGTTTGACCCTTCTTCTTCCACCCACAGATCCTAACAAACCTATCGCAGAACTTCGCCAGCGTTCAGCCCATCGATGACCAGGGGCGGCCCGTCAACCTTTAAGCTCAAGCAGCGCGGATGCATGTAGCGAACACGTCAGGGAGGGTGGGGAGGTCTTGCAACTCGGGACTCGGGGGCAGCTAGGGCCTGCCTCGCCTGGATTTGCAAGGCTGACCGTCCTCCTCTGGCGAAGACACCGGAAGCGTTATCGGTGCATTTCTTTCTTTGTAGAATAAGTTTGCTTCTGTGGAGGGTACATTAGTAGGGTCAATTTCTGGGCAATGTCAAGGGTGAAAGAACAATAGCCAGTGCGAGCCTCGTGGGCGAGGAAGACGGGCACATTCGAGCATCCCACTCATGACGTCAGGCAAGAATGCCTTCCTGATTGGGTTATGCATTGTTCAGTACGTACGCTGCGCGCGTCGGCCTCGTTTGCGCTTTACTTCCTACCACCATCGTCTCTGCTCCCCTTCCTCCCCAGCCTACTGCTGAAGCGTTTGCATCCCGAATACCTGAAAATCATCTCGGAGTCTCCCCTGCACCGCGATCGGCATCGGCACGGGCCTCATTCACGCGCCCCGCGCCGTCCTTGACCAGCGATGGCTACAGTAAGCCCTCCGGAAACTCCCAACACCCGCGCAGTCGTGTCCTTCATTGGAAGCTCCGCCTCCGAATGGCGCCCCATCCTCCAGCACGACAACCAGATCGTGCTCTACCACCCGCGGTCTCACGCCCTGTCCATACGCCCTTCAGTCGACCTCGCCGCGCAACGATGTCCGTACTGCAGACAGGAGCTTCCGGAGGGCTTTGAGCCGCTGGTGCAGGAGCACCATGACCTGGAGGCGGATGAGCATGAGCGATTTGTGTCCGCGGACGGCGCAGAGGATGGGCAGACGGCGCGCGCGCCCAATTACTTTGAGTTGCTCAGCATCGCGAATGCGGAGTCTACGTCCAGCGTTGGGTCGGCGCTGTCAGATGGCGTTCCCGAGGATGAGGACGAACCTGGGGCGAGTGTGTTCCCGAAAGAGGCGATGGCAGAGGGCTACTTCAAGACATTCTTCCAGGAGGAAGAGAAGCTGGGGATGGGTGCAAATGGGAGTGTCTATCTATGTCAGGTGCGCTACTCAGTGCTTTAGTCAAGTGTGCGACGCTGACATATCCATAGCATATGCTAGATGGGAATCCCCTGGGTCACTTCGCCGTCAAGAAGATTGCGGTCGGTGAATCTCACGAGTACCTCCTCAAGACTCTCCGAGAGGCAAGTGCGTACGCCCTCTACGTCTCCCATCTGCTTGACGTCGTACGCAGATTCGTTTGCTTGAGCAGCTGCACCATCCGAACATCATCACATACCAGTGCGTTCTCCGACCTCGCGAGCTATCACTCTTGCTGAACCATCCAACACAGTCACTCATGGCTAGAGACCGCCCAATTCTCCCCCTTCGGTCCCCGAATACCAACACTCCAGTGCGCCTGCAGTATCTGACCATACTTGCGGTCAGCTGACCTCGCTTCCCTTAGCGTCCTAATGCAATGGGCAGAAGGCGGCAGCTTGGACGACCTCATCGACCTCCGACAGGGCAAAGCCGTCAAACACGTCCACTTCCACCCTGTATCCTCCCCTGCAGATGTATTCTCCGCAGTTCAGGATCCCGCATCCGAAGAGCCCGTCGAGGAGTTCGACGTCAGCAGAATGTCGCGCGCGGCGCGCATTAAGGCGTTCCGTGCATTCCAGCGTGCAGCTCCGGATGAGCGCGAGCGTATCAAGGCGCGCATGGGGATGGGGGATAAGAGAAGGAGGGAAGCGGCGTGGAAAGCCATCCACCTGCTCAGCGCGGAGGAGGTGAAGAGTCTATTTGGGGATGTGGTGGAGGGTCTGGCGTTCTTGGTGAGGAAGATCAACGCTGCTGAGTTAGGATGGGAGGCTTATCATCATTTAGCATGCAAAATCCATTCTGCACCTCGACTTGAAGCCGGGCAATGTTCTGCTGACATGGGATGCAGGGCGAATTATGTACGTTCCATCTTCCGCTCGAGGGAGTGGATTGCTGACAACCTTATAGCCCTCGCGCCATGCTCTCCGATTTCGGCACGTCGCGCGATATGCTGAACGCGCCCTCCCTCGCGCGCAGCGGCAACACCGGAACGTGCGTATCCATCATCTTTCTTCCAGTCTCATCTTCCTCCCCCTTCAACGCATTGAGCTCCTTGATGGCTCACACGCTGACGCCCGTCCTCTCACTAGTCTCGAATACACCTCCCCCGAATCGCTCCCCTCGCCCCAAACCGGCCTACTCGGCTCCATCGACAGCAAGACGGACATGTGGTCGCTCGGCATGCTGTTGCACAAGATCCTCTTCTTCCGGCTGCCGTACCGGTTCTCGAGCGATGGGTCGGGCGCGGCGGCGGATAGCAAGATGGGCGAGGGGGAGAAGATGGATAGGCTGCAGGCGGAGGTGTTGGGGTATCAGGGGTGAGTGGAGGTTGAGTGCGGGTGCGAGAGATGCATGCTGACGGTTTGAATAGGTTTAAGAGCACGCCGGTGCACTCGACGGCTTTCAAGGCGAGGCGACTGCCGCGGGCGTACCTCATTCTACTCGAGAGCCTGCTCAACCCGTCGCCGAGCGGCCGACCGAGTTGCGAGAAGGTGGTCAGCGCGGTGCGCATGGGGCAGGTTTGTCCGGATGTCGCGACATTGTCTTCGATGCTGATGAGCGCTGTAGCTCGACCCTCTTTCAGGGCGCCCCACCCCCTCGCCCTCCCGGGAACAGAGTTCCACGCTCATTCCCTCCTTCCGCCGCCGCTCAAGCTCAGACAGCGACAAGAGTGCGCTGTCGGTGAGCTTTGCGAACGGTGTTAACGGGCGGCAGACCCCCGTACCAAAACCGGAAGCGCACGCGCAGGAAGCAGAGGCCTCGCACGACAGTATCAGCACGGAGAAAGGTCCGCTGCTGCAGCTGCACGGGCCTGATCATGACCATGAACATGAGGCAGAGGACGCGGAATCGTACGCGCGACCGCCGTCGCCGTTCAATCGGAGGGGATGGATCAGGAGAACGGTGCTGGGGAGGACGGTTAAGAGTGTGTTGTTGATAGCGAAGGTGCGTGGTCAATGGTTTAGTCGGGCTGAGGCTCTGTGCGGTGTCCAAGTCGAGAAGACGCTGACAGATCATGCAGGTCTACTCGCTCACGACGCTCTGCCCGGACCAGCCACTCGAATGCGTGCACCCTACGGTGCTAGCGGCGGTCCTTATACCTGCAGTGGCGGATACGTGGTTCGATGGACTCGGCGTGTCCGTTGTGCTGGGCCTGGTGCACACTGTCATCGTCGGGTGGGCTTGCCGGCAGGTGAGGTGTTGTGTGTAGTGGGCGTTTGGAGGTTAAGGATGATGTTGGTTGTCGTCTTTGCCGGCGGTGGGATTTACTGGAAGGCATGCTGGACTGGGTGGGCATTGGCACAGATCCTACTTCGCAATGTAAACTATGCAATCATTTCATGGTCCTCCCATCTTCCTTCAGTCTGTTAGCGTGCGTGTATGTCGGGAATAAAGTACCGATCTACGGTAATAGTTTACGGAGCGAAGGCGAGGGCATGATGGAGACGATTAGGCTGGTGCGTTCTGTGCTCGTCGATGCATAAAATGGCTTTCGAATATGGAAGTCAAGGCGGCGCTCATCGCTTCGATAGGTTGTGCAGAATGACCAAGAGGAGGAAGACAGTCTGTTCGTCGTAGGCGGTGTAGGCCGTCTCGATCCGTGCTGACTCGTTTTGACGGAACAAATGTCTTTGAGGTGGCGCGTATGTTCCTGCGACACTGTCGTCCTTGACGTCTATCGCCTACAGCACCATCACCCCTAGGACGTGCGAGATAGAAGGCTAGGGGTGTATATTGTACTGACGTTCACTGTTCTCTTGCCATCTCCGGTGACGAGATACTCCTTCTTGCCCCATCTCCAATTTCTACGGATCGTTATTAACAGTCATCCAATGGAGGCACGCTGGACGTACCGCGAGGAACCAAGCGTGGACTCCTTCCGCTTCGAGCATCTCCATGGGACCTCAATCCCATAGACCATGAAGGCTTTCTCTCGCCAATCAATCCTGCCCAGGGACTCTTTCTCGCCGGCCCTGCACACAATCGACACTGTCCGGGCACCCTGTTCGTCTACTGTTGTCCGTATGTCGTAGGCACGGTCGTGCTTGAACACGAATAACACCGTGTTGAAGATGTCATCTTCACTGACCTTCAGCAAGCACGTCGACATGGCAACGATAAATATGTGCAGATGGTGGCGGTGGTTGAGAGAAAGCCAGTGGCAAGGTGGGCGCCTAATTTGCCCAAGCGCGCGGTGATGGGTATCAGGATCCTGTGTTACGCGCGGAGGAAGTGCGGGTGTAGCGGTGCTGGATTCGGACGGAAGATGGAGGGAAAGCATGTACATTTCGACAGACTGGGCATGCTAGATTATAGGCGACATGGGTCGGCAGCGTATAGGATACAGTCATCATCATGTTCATGCATGTCATGAGACGCAGGGGTATGCAAGTGTAGGGTGTCCATGGGGAGGCGATCACTTCTTCTGGATCGCGTTCACCAGCCTGAAGGCTAGTGAGCATTATTGAGAATGCGCCGAGGGTACTACGCACCAATCCAGCCCATCCTCCAAGCCCTCGCCCTTCGTCGCGCAGCTGCCGCGCACGCTCCACGGGCGTGTCTTCTCCCCGCCCGCGAGGCCGAGCTGCTCGCTGATGTCCTCCGGCTTCATCGCGCCCTCGATGTCCTGCTTGTTGCAGAAGACCAACAGCGGCACGCCCTTCAGTTCTTCCTCTGACAGCATCGTCAGCAGCTCGTTCCGTGATGTAGGGATGCGTGCGTGGTCGGAGGCGTCGATGACATAGATGATGGCGGCAGTGTTGGGAAAGTAGCATCTCCAATAGGGTCTGTGAACGAGCGATTAGCATGGGGAGGAGGAGGATGCAAAGCACGACGCACCTAATGCTGGATTGCCCGCCTAGATCCCATACTTGAAACTTGATGTTCTTATACTGAAGGAGGGGAAGATGAGAAAATGTCATTCCACCGAGATACACAACGCACTTGTACTGTTTCTACGTTGAAGCCGATCGCTGCGGGTGCGTTCAGTACACTGAGCCCAGACCGATGCAATAGCACGCACTTGGTATTGTTGAGACGACTTCTCCAATCTGACGGGTCGCTCAAGCCTGTGAATGCGATGTAGACAACTCCCAGCATACCTGCAACCTGTACAGAATGGTAGTCTACAGGCGCAACATGCTGCTCAGCACTCATGTCAACGCTCTTGATGAAGCTGACAAACCTTTCCGGCGGAGTCTAGTCCCAGCATAAGTATCCGGACATCCTGATCCTTGCTCCAGCGGATAAGGGAAGTCAGAGAGGAGAAGAGCGAGGACACAGAAAGACCCATGGTGATGACGGTGGTGGTGGACACTGGGATCCGGCAACGCGATCCGGCGGCAAGACGCGACGACGTCGGAGCACGTGGGCTCCATGCAGGTCCCCCCTTCGATGCCGCCGTCGTTCAGGGCGTCAGCGGTGCCAAGCCTTAGAAGGATCGCCTATGTGTAGCGTACAAACAAATACGATCGTGCTGTCAACAATGCCTTGCCAGCGATGTCAACCCCCAGCAGAGGCTAGCGTGAAGAACGGCATATATCGAGATTTCTTGCGAACGAGGTCGTCTCCTTGAGTCCAAAGGAAGGCACTCAAAGCTGATTCGAGGAGGAACGGGCTTGAACGTCTGGCCCGCGAGACAAACCTCCAGCTTCAATGTTGGACTTGGCTTCGCAAAGAGGCACGTGACGCACACGGGTTGACCACGAGTATCAATGTCACAAAATTGTGACTTTTGTTATGTGACCTGAGGACAAGACAAGGCTGGTCCTGGCGCCACTCAGCCTTTGTCTCTACACTCATCATCTGCTCACATGGAAAGCTCATCTTCATCTCAACGCGCAGCCGAGATGGCAGACCAATTCTCAACTCACCGCGTCTTCCGAATTTTGTTGCCACAGGGCTTCACACTCACATTCTACACGACCGTGCCGGGCAAGCTTGCTATCAGACCAGCGTACAAGAAATACGATGAAACCATTGTCCAAGTCCTCACGTCGGAAGATCGCGCAAAGAAGGTGAGTAGCAACCCGATGATGAGACGGCTATGTTCATATCTTCATCAAGCTTGAAGCGCTGCGCGCATGCAAAGCGCACTACCGAAGGATCGCGCCAAACCCCCTAACCCCACCCGACGGTCGACTGTTTGACTGGTACTTCAGGACACCTGACACAAGCATCCCTGCCCCGACAATCCTCGGCCAGCGCAACGTCGAGCACTGTGCGATCCAGGTCGTCGACATCAGGGCACTCTATGGCGAGCTGTTTCGGGCCATCGCCTTGAACTCCAAGTACCGCGAAGTCCCTGTCCGCGGCGAGGTTCTGCGCAAGCTACTTGACTTCGAATTCGGGTCGACGAAACCCACACAGCTGGTTCATCTCAAGATGCTCCAGCAAGTGTTGTCTCCTGCGGACTGGGCCGAGCTAAACAAGTACGACAACCTCTTGGAACGACGTGTTAATGAGGGCTACAGGGGTTATAAGGGCTTCCTCGGCCACGAGATCAAAGATGTGTCGCCTCAAGTCCGCGCCAGCCGCCCAGAAACAGGCGAATACCCTTGGGTTGCAAAGGCACCAACGTCTTGGCCCGTGCTACCTAGCCCTCAAGGTGACGCGTGGCATCTGAAAGCGAAGAAAGACGAACTTCGAAGAGTAATGCATGATACCGATTATCGGCGCCAGCTGGCTGCCGATGGATGGAAGAAATACACCCTGCAAGAAAGAGAAAGGCAGAACGCACCGCCCGATGTCACACCGTCCTCCTCTGCAGGCGCAAAGCGCAGCGCCGACGACGCATCACCCTCATCGTCCTCCTCACGTCCTTCCAAGCGTCAACGCCTGAACACCGGCCGCGCCGCCCCCCAAACCGCCAGCCACTCACACGGCGAGCACAATACCACGCAAAGTGCTGAGGACCGCCGATTCCACACTGTCCCCGCCGCCTGGGATGACATTCCCGAGCGCTACCGCACCATCCTCGTGCAACCCGGCGGAGGCGCCCCTCCTTCCGAAGCCACGGAGGCAGGCTCGTCGACACGCGAGAACTCGATCGCGAACATGGAATCCGAGAGCATGAGCCGGCCACGATCACTAGAGCATCCGCCGTCGCAGCAGCAGCAGCCGTTCTTGCAACAACAGCAGCAACAGCCGTTCTTGCAACAGCAGCAGCAACAGCAGCCGTTCCTGCAACAACAGCAGCAACCTCCGTGTCAGCGGCAGCAATGCAGCGCAGGGCTTTCCGCTGCCGTGCTTACTGCTGCACTCACTGCTGCTACCGTCCCCACGCGACCGCCGCCGCCTCCAACTCTGTCACGTACTCGACCTCAGCTGATGCCGCGAAGCCGCTCCATGGCAAATGGGCTGCGAGTCCCGATGGATGACCAGGACGCATTGCCTGTGCCCGATGATAAATCAGACGAATATCCGTCTTTGAGGAGGGGGCACTGATACCGGCACTGGCGCTGTGTACAGAAGATGGTGACCTTACCTCGCTGTGCCTTTACTCGTTTTCGCCCTCAGACATAAAGTTGAAGGTCGTCGTCTGACACCCCAGCATCTTGCGAAGGCATACGAAAGTGCGCCGATTCCTCTCTAGTCGCATTACCCGAGACGTCTACTATACGTACACAAGGATCGGACGCTGATAGCAAGGTATGAGTACAAAGGACATGTACGGTATTTCGCGGACAGCGGTACATTACCAAACAAGCATATTTGTCAACGATTTCCTCGAGTCGATTCGGAGAAGATTGCACAAGATCCCTCGTTGTGTGTGGACGAGGGTAGGATGAGTACGCTCCATAGTTTGCAATGTCTTTGGTGTCAAGCGCTTGCTTTGCACGATATGGTGGTATACAGGATCCGCACGCTGGTCACTGCCTTCGAACCGACTGAGGGAGCTCATGGCTCGTTGCCTTCTGGTGCCGGGTCTGCTGGTGATGTGGGAGTATCCTGTCCTTGCGTTAGACGCTCGTGGCATAGTTTCGCAACGAGGGCGCCGTCGATGGGGATGGCGTTGCCTGATAGTTTATTAGCACCTGAGGGATGCCGATGAGCACAGACGCTGACCTTGGAAGCCTTCTGGATATGCCACTGGTGGCGCATTGGGTGCAGTGAAGTACCTAAACGTAGATGAGTGTCACTTTCTAGAAAGGGTGACCTAATAACTTACTCGTTATTCCAGAAGCCGTAGTGCGTCAGCCCCATGGCTCTCGACGTGTACTCATAGTCGTATGCGAACCCGCCAGGGAAGAAGAACTCCATGACTGTCGCACGCGGCGAGGAGTTCATCCAGATGAGCGAAGTGAGCCCATTGCCATGCACGCCCATCATGATCTGCAAGCAAACTGTGAGCACCTCTCCGATTCGCGGTGCCACATAAGCACCCACCGTCGTCCTCGCCGCCAGCTGGATTTGTTGCATGCGCGACAGCTTGTCCATGCTCACGACGTTGACCTCGTAGCCGTACGTATCCCGCAGCTTGTACAGCTCCTGCACCAGCCGGTCGTGGTCCTCAGGCTTCAGCATGCGGCGACCCCACGTTTGACGGGAAATATACGTGATGACCGGCTTGCCAGTCAGGCCCTCGCCAACCGAGCGGTGCACACCGGCGGCCTCGATCACATTGTTGCGCACCGTCATCCACCAGTTCACGCTCCCAGGCATCTGGAACGCGTTCGCCACAATGCGCTGGTAGCGCTGCACCTCCTTCGACAGGAATGCAGTGGAACGATCCTCGATGAGCACGCGGTCAAAGACGAAAGCGCGGTCCATCTCGGCGCGGTCGCGCCAGTCGTCGACGAACTCCATGGTAATGGAGGGCACGGTGCTGCGGACGACGAACTGGTTCATGTCCGCGTAGTCGCGCCAGTGGTGCGCATCGAGGTGGTGGAACATGAGGCGGCGCGGGGCTTTGAGGTGCGTCTTGCCATCCTTGGCGATGTTGATATCTAGGGAGGAGTAGGTGCGCCAGAGGCCGAACCAGAGCTCGGCGGCCCAATGATAGTAATGTGTGATGCTAGAAGGGAGTTAGCGGGGGGAGGGGGAAAGCTGAGTGTACTCACAATTGTGGGGGGTCGTTCACGAGCCACTGTCACTTGCATGAGCGTCGGTTCGGCACGCGTAGACGGGGACGTACAGTAACACCGTCTATGATCTGAGCAGAAGTTCCGAAAAGCCGTTTGGCCTCCCTAGTGCTGATGACCTGAATGTCCTCAGACGTCGGCAATCTCTTCCGCTCCTCTTCGGGTCCATTCTTGACGAACATGCCTTTGGACATGATCTCCTTGAGGTCCGGAACGCTAGCCCTGTGGTCGCTGACGATGTACATCGTCCCGTTCTTGATGTATAGTTTGTCCAACACGGTCCACCCTGCGTCGACTGTCAGCCTCCACGCCCAACGCACAGAAGTGCACACCTACGCACCATGTGTGTGCGCAGCCACCGTCGTCTCCGGCACCCTCCCACCGCGCCACACGAGCTGCGTGTCCCAGAGCTTCCCGTTCACGGTCCCGCCGTGCTTCTCAATGTCGTCAAGGAAGTCGGGGATTATCGAGTTGAGCGCGTCCCCGCCCTCATCGCTCCTGAACGGGTTCTGTATCCGAAAGCCCTCCGTGCTCGGCCGCGACAGCAGGATGAGGCCGACGAGCAGCAGACAGACGATGAGCAGCTCGCGGCGGGTGGGCATAGTGAGCGACATGGCGTAGCGGTGTGCTGGCCGTCGGCCGCGTTGGTGAAGGGGAGGAGGGGATAGCAACGAGGGGGAGGTAGAGCGACGCTGAGACGAGTGTTTGAAGCGAGATGTCTAGCCTGGTTTCGGTACTGTCATGATGGCGGGGCCCCCTTTGCCGACGATTAGGCGCCCGGGGCCCCCTATGCGCCGATCAGTACTTCTCCAGCTCGTCACTCATCATGGCGGTGGAAAAATCAGCGAAGAGATCCAAGGCGAAATCGCGGTCGGAGGATACGTCCATGGTTGTGGACGAGCCTGCTGCGCCTCAGGAGGGCTCTGCCAAGAAGCACAAGAAGAGCAAGAAGGCCGATCATTCCATCGAAACCACGGTTCCCCCAGCCGTGACCGACGTCCTTTCCCCAGAAAAGCCCAAGAAGAAGCGCAAACGCGACCAGCCTGCGCCTGCTGAGCCCTCGGATGCCACCCAGCGCGATGAGGGCCAGGCCGACGCCGCCGCAAACACCACCGACGCACCCAGGAAAAAGAAGCGAAAGCACGCGAAGGCGGAGGCAGAAGTGAGCACGGAGGCTGCAGATGAAGAGCCACGGAAACGCACAAAGAGGAAGAGTGGCGCACCCGCAGAGCCTCACGGAGAGCTTGCGCCGCCGGTTACGACAGATGAGGCAGACGGGGACGGGGAGGACGTTGGGGATAAGCCCAAGAAGAAGTACCCGCATCCTGCTAAGGACGAGTCCCTCTCCGAACAGGCTGTCAAGGGTACGTCCTAGATCTCTTGGACCTTCCAAAGTGATGATTGACATTGCCGTCCAGCCCTCTCATACGCGTATACCTACCACAAACATCGTGATGTTTGGAAGTTCAGCAAGGCACATCAGAACTGGCTCATTCGCCATTGCTGGTCTACGACCGAGGTACATTGACATGTTTCTACCTCTTGTTCGTGCAGGTGCTCATGGTCACACAGATACCCGACGACTATATACCCCTCCTGAAGAAGTACCTCAAGAATCTGCAAGGTGGCGCGCGAGAGGTACGCTAGCAGAGGACCTCATCCTCAACTATCAGCTAACGTGGCTGATGCAGCGACTACTTGAGACATGCCAGTCCATCCTGACTGCGGCGGAGGCGCCAGAAGAGCATGAGGAAGCAGCAGCGCCTGCGAAAGATAAAGCAGAACCTGCAGCAGAAGGAGACGCGGAGTCCCCAAGCAAGTCCGTCAGGTTCGCTGCGGCCACAAAAGAGACAGATGCCACAACGAAGACGGAGGTTGCAGCGAAGAAAAGCACACGACCGCCGGAGAGCAAGGTTAAGCGAGCGAAGGCTTTTGTCAAGGTCTTGTCATCTTGATTTGTGCTGGTGCGTTCGTTGACGTGTGCGATGTACTATGGATTATGAAAATGATCAAGATTGACAACACTATGCACTATCTCTATGATGACTGGCACACTACTATACAGGATCACAAGAAGCCCTAAACTTGGTCGCTAACAAGCAGCAGTCGTCGAGTACGCAAGTCGCTGCGAAGCTGATTTGCTCACTCCCGCGAGCATTTTGTGCACCGGCAGTTGAACGAGTACATCCCCCACAGCGCGTACTGACGGTGCTGCTTGGGATGGGAGGGTTCCACGTACGCGATGAAGATCTCCTCGCCCTTCTTGATGGGCCGCTCTGCGTACAGCCCAAAGGTCATCGTATCGACATCCCAGTCCGTGTACGCATTGGGCTCGCAGCTGCCGAGTCGATCAGTTCCCCGCGCCTCATAACCTGCACTTATCGACTCACCTATGGTTCAGCCTGGATATATCCCTCGTAACCGCCCCGTAGGGTCCCTTGAAGACCCCACCAGAAGCAATCCCCGACGAGTTCGTGTCCATGATCCCCCGCTTCACCCCATGCGTCTTCGCCGGCTTGCAGTTCACGAACGACATGTACTCTTCTTTGTCCTCCTCCGGCAGCGCCTGGTACACCATCTCCGCGAATATCTCGCCCTGCTGGATCATGGTCTCACCGCCGGGAGCATTCGTCATCATCTGCGACGTGACCACCATCGGCGGCTCGCGCAGCACCAGCCCGCCGCGCTCGATCGCCTCCGTGGCGAACACGCCCTTCCCGTGGACCCGGGACTCGTCGATGCGGTACCGAGCGGGGTCGGGCGTCGTGTACCGCGCGCACAGGCGCGGGCTGTTCTCGATCATGTTCGCGACGCGCGGGGAGACGGCGGCGAGGAAGGGGCGCTGCGCGGGGATGGTAACGATGCGCACGTTGCGGATGTTGATGGCGTCCGCGGCGCCGCCCTGGAGCATGGAGGGGTCGATGCCGGCGATCTTGAGGAGCTCGGAGGCGGTGCCGGCATCGTGCGAGTTGTAGTCGACGCCGTTGGCGGGCTGTGGATTGACATAGGCGCCGTTGGCGTCTCTCGGGAGCATTTCGATCTTGGCTGGGGAGACCTTGTCTTGAGCTTCCTGCACTAGACTGGGAGGGATGGGAACGCGGGTTGGAGGGGCGTTCGGTCTCGAGGAGGGGCGAGTTGGTGGCGCGCCACTCGCAGGCGCCGCGGACGATGACGAGCGCGCCGACGACCCGGAGCTGTTCGAGGCAGCCAGAGACTTATTCTTCAGGAATCCGCGCTTCATCTTGCTTGGTGGATGCAGTCAACAGCGAGTAGATGGGCCAGATAAGCGATGTCGAGCAGCGGCGCGAAAGAGGCGCGGTGAAAGGCGGAAGCGTGTCGTGAGTGCACCCCACCGAACCTTATAAAGGCCACGAGACGTGCAAAGTCCATCGAAGCATGCAAGACCTTCCAATTGTCCCACGGACCTCACACGGACCAGGCAAGACTCCAGGTGCGGCGAACAATGCAAGGACAAGGCGCGTTATATCAACATCCCAATCCGCGTCACATACCACCCGGCTCCCGGCCCGACCCTCATCAATCACTTTCTTTTGTTCTTGTTTGGTCCGTCCGCATCAGGAAGGCTTTCATGCGTGCGGGCGCCAATCAACGCCCACCCAAAATAAGCGCCCGACGTGTTAGGCGCCCTCCGCGCATCACTCCGGCTTCCGTAGGCGCCCCGGGTGCGGTGCGCAACACGCGCGCGCAGCTCAGGCGCGATATCGTCGCTCATCAGTTCGCACTGGATTTCAGCAGGATCAGCCCCCCGCGCGTCGATCCTGTCATGCCATTTGTATGACTTGAGCGCCGGGCGCTCGTGGGTTGTCGCGGCTTACTAGTGTGGGTAAGAGCGACCCCGCGGCGTGCCCGGGATATAAGAACCCTAGGAGGATGAGGGAGCGATACTAGCAACCCCTGCTTCCCTTTCACCTCTCCTAGGATCTCCTCATCCTTGGCTCACATCTTCACCTGTTTCTGCACGTCCTCAGTCCTCCACCATGTCTACCAGCGTCACCCTCACCTTTGGCAAGGAGGACATCCTCAACACCATACTCACCTTTCCCGACGGCACCATCGCTTTTTCCACGACCACCAAGGAGAGCTTCTGGAAAGGCAGGGACACCACCGTCATGCAAGGGCAGAATTACTTCGCTAAGACGCACGCGTCTATTGACTGGCGAGACAAGTACTTCGACATCAATGGCCAGGTCCTCCCCTTCGACCGCATCAAGCACACGAAGACGTTGAGCAGGTGAGTAGGGCGTTCGTGCACCATATTCAAAGAAGGGGTAGCTTCCTAGAGGGGAAGGAGGAGACGGATGGCAGCGGTAGAGCGGCAGTACGGGATTAGAAGCTGACCACCTTTGTTTCAACAGCAAGCGCTGGTGGACCTGGGGCGGCTTCACGGTAGAGATGCAGCATCACCACGGCGAATGGACGGTCAGTGACCCTTCTTCCCATCTTCCTCCCCTTCCGCTACCCCCTTTCCCTTGCTCGCCCATTATCTCATCCTTCCTTCTCCCCATCTCCCAGCCCCATTTCACACTACCTCCTTCCCCCTGCCACCATACTCACTCCCCTCCAGGCCTCCGTCCCCTCCGGCGCCGTCATCGCCCGCTACCGCTCCTACAAGGGCCACCTCTTCCACGACAACGAGCACGCGCAGCTCACCGTCGACTTCGACCTCGCCTCCCCCGAGGCGACGTTCCTGATCCTGTGCTTCCTGTACACGGAGACGCGGCGGTTAGAGGATGAGCAGGTGAGTTTTGCTCAGTGCGGACGTGGTCGCGAGAGAGGGACAATGGGCTGACCTATTTTTTCCAGGCCGCCCGCAACGCATCGCACGCCGCGCACGCCGCGAACTGAGATACCCTCGAGACGACTGCTGTATATCTTATGCATACGCTTGCTACCCGAACTTGCACACATCTGTTCTGTCATATCTATACCACGCCTATTGTATTATCATGTCCTCCCCCCCCGTCTTTGGCTGCGACCATCGCAGCCTGCCAGTGGCCATCTTCAACGCCCTTCGCCGCCCCGACGTCGGCCCTACCGCATTTGTGCACGCCTGAGGTAGCCATCACACCGACGCGCGAGGCCGACGTCGTTGATGTAGCACTACTCTTTGCAAATCCGAGCGGCGGGCAGCGTCGGTTGTATCGCCACGAGCAGACGAGGACAACGCTGGCCATGGATGTGCAGGTGCTGGCAACAAGGCAAGATTCTGAGGCAAAATACACACAAGAGACCTGGCGTGACATGGATACACAAGAACTCCCTGGTGAATATACAAGAAAGCCAGTCGACATACGTAGGCGAACGAAATAGCGGCAGACATGAGCGAGAATAAATACGACGATATCATAGGCATCATAACAGCCCCGACTGGCAGCACCTCATCCCTAAGAGCCCGCAGATCGCCCTCCGTGCACGGGCGAGCCAGAACTTCCAGCCGCATCGTGTCCATGACCGTTCGCCTGCGACGGACGCCCGTTGGGCTGACTTGACCGTCCATTCACCTGGCCAGGATGCCCATTCGCCTGACTCGAAAGCGCGCTGAGCGGAATCGGATCCCCATTGACGAGCGACGAGTGTCTAGGGGCCTGACCCGGATACCCTTTGGGCAGAATCATCCGCCCCAGAGTCGGCGCCGCGCCCCCGCTGCCCTGCCTCGAGTGTCCGGTGGCTTGGCCCGTACTTCCATTGGCCTGCTGTGCATCCCCGTTAGCCTCATGGATAATCTGAACAGCCTCATGGCTGGCTTGAAAAGGATGTCCACTAACCTGACTTGCACTCCCAGTGGATCCACCACCACCACCACCACCACCATTCCCACTCGCAGCCCCCGCCGGCCGCTCGCGCTGCAGACAGGCTTCCATGAACCTGAAGAACGACGCGCCCTCCGTCTCGAGCTGCTCGAGCATGCGGAAGTCGTTGAACTGCAGCTGGTACTCAAGCCCGCCACAGAAGTCGCGCATGGTAGTGATGAGGGAGAGCATGCGGGTGCGGTACTGGAAGTAGTGATTTAGTTTTCTAGTATGCGATCGAGAATCATCGATTCGACTCACTGCTTGCAGATGGGGCGGCAGTGCGACGGGCGTATGTGAGAAGGCGGGATGTGGAGGTAGGGGCAAGGGCGCGGGAGCAGGTGCTGGCTGAGCTGGAGGAGGTGGCTGCGCTTGAGCTTGAGCTTGTTGCGAGGGGGGCGGACGTGCGGGGGAGGGTTCGGGAGGTGGCACGGGCGGATATTGATGTGGTTGGGTAAGATTGGGATGGAGGCGGGTGGGGTGTACAGGGTTTGGCTGAGCAACGGGCTGAGGAGGATGTGAAGCTGAGGATGTATGCGACGCCGATGAGGGATGCGTCGAAGGAGGTGGTACAGGAGGGTGGTTCGTAGACGTCTGAGTAGCAGGAGGGTGGGAGGTCGGCGGCCCATGGGCACTCGTAGGAGGATCCGGTATTTGTTGAGGCTCCGGCGGAGGGGGAGCGTTGGAGGACGGTGGTGGTACAGGCGGTACTGGCGGAGCTTGACCGTTCGCACCACCTTGCGGCACCTGGTAGTACGCGAATTGCGGCGCCATCGTCGGTATGTAGTACACCGGCGCCTGCGGCTGCGCCGCGACGAGCATGCTCGGCGCCTCAGGCGGCAGCTGCTCCGTGAACGGCGGGTGCTTGAAGTGGTGGTGGATGCGGACGGTAACTTGGCGCTCGTTGGGGGCGTAGCCCTCGCGGCATGTCACCTGCAGGCTGCTCTTGCACGGGTAGCGCGTCTTGCCGAGCACCTCGCCCGCGCTGTTGACCCGCGGCTCGAGGCTGCCGTTGTGCTTGCGCGCGCGCTGAATCTCATCCTGGGCGCACCATAAGCGCGTCTTGAACCCGTCCTTGAGTTGCGGATGGTCCTTGATGCTGGGGGGCGTATGTCAGAAAAGAGGTGACGCTGATATTGCGCGGCACATACGTGAACTTGTACCCCGTTGCGCGCCATATCTCGTCTATGACCGCCTTGACGCGATTCCTGTCGTTCGCAGGGCCATCTTGTACGAAGAAGCAGCCGCTGAAGTCGATGCTGTCCTCCGAGTCGAACTTGGCGCGAAGGGCCGCGATGAGATCTGGGGTATCCTTGTACTCGCCCGGCCTCTGCTCACATGCTCAGCATCGGTGGCGCGGGACTCGGGCGGGGTGCGCTCACACTTCGTTTGTTCAGCACTGATCCTCTCGCGGAACCCCCTTCCATGAGCGTACCCCCTGATGGGCCCATATCATTATCCGAGTGCCTGCGCTTTCTTTTCTGTGGCGGCAGCGACTCCTCCGCCGTCGGCTGTCGCGGCGGCTCTGGGGGCGGCATGGGTATCACCTGTCGCGTCGACCACTGGTGCATCTGCGGGTACATTGGCGTACGTTTTCCGCCCATCTTGCTCGGCGGCGTTGTCAAGGAATTTCGGGGCCCAATTTCGAGAAAACGCAGTTTCCGCCTGGTCAAAGCGGCAGCGTGTCACACAGCGGCCCGGCTTAGGCGCTTGACCGCGCTGCTCTCTCTTCGTCTGACCACCATGGACCCATCGACGAGCAGTAGCACTCATGCTGGGGACGTCCCCACTCAATCGCAGCCTGCGCATCAACCAAATGGTCTCTCGATCGACCGCAGATACCCCGCTACGACCCATTTTGCTGTTGCGGCTGCCATACTCCTCCCCGTCGCCTGCATACCATACCTCGTCTATCGCAGGAGAATACGATCATTGGAGTTGCAGCTTCAGCGCTTGAACGATACCCTCCTGACGCTCCAGGACGATGCGACTGGCTATATCCGTCAGCAGGCCTCAGCCTCTTCGAGGGCACACGCGCGCAGTACCGCTGCCATCCAGAATCTCACGAAGGATCTGTCCTCTCTTCGCATTCAGATGAACGAGGATATCTGCGCAAACATGGAGCGTAGCGATAACGCCGCTAAGGATATGGACCAAGTCCTCGCTGCGCTACGGTAGGATTGCAGGACTAGACGCGTAAGCAGCGCCTTACTAATGGTCGTCCAGCCTGCATGCCTCACTCCTCCGATCCCTTGGTGTCTCCCTGGCGGACGTCGCCAACTTCATGCACGATCAGGAGCTTAGGCTGGGTCTCAATGCCTCGCAGAGCCCGCTGGAGGTGGACAAGCTACGGCACATCGCAGTCCGTTTGCGCGAGCTCAAGGATACTGCGTTGGTAAGGCATACGGCCTTTCGCAACTCCAGGACCACCTTGAGCTGAAATTCTTGGCAGCCGAAGGCGACGGACAAGCCTGCGGCGTGAGGGGTATCCCCACTTGCTTTCTCGCTCTGAAGGGGGTCCATGTGAGTAGCTCTGAGCTCCATGAACGTTACGGCGTCTTACTTCGCCAAGACCTGATATGTCTCTTTTCCCGCTACCATCCTTCGGCATCGTGACCCTCTCTACGCCTCTGACTCTCTGGATTCTTTATCACTGTATGTATGCTGTATCACCACTGAAAGTGCTGTTGTAGTCGATCCTTTGTACTTACATTTGAACCCATCTGTTCATGGCTCCTGCTACGTTCAGCCGCCTGTTTCTTTTGCGCTCACGTTTCTGACTGTTCATCCGAGTCCAGCAAGGTGGTATCTCCTAACCGAGGCTCAAACAGTGCTGCCGCCAGACAGTGCTTGAGTCAGAGATTGGCCCAGGGTGCGCGCCACCCACTCGGCCACTCGGCCCGCCCGCCCGAGCCGCGATCGAGCAGACGCGCCACTTGTCAAGTTCCCTTAATACTGCTCGCCATGTCCTGCTTCAGCATCACCAAGCGCAGTCTCTTCTCCAAGTCCTCCTCTGCGCTCAATACTGCAAGCTGTCATGCAAAAGCCATCCCTCACAACACTCTCCCCTTCGTCGTCCAGAAACGCGGCAAGCGCACGCGCGGGTTCCCCGGACTCTTGCAGAATGCGCTGAAGAGGGAGGAGAGGCATCTGAATGTAAGTACACCAACATTTCTTGCGCCGACACATAGTACAAGGCTCTGTATGTGTACTCTACGGCGTAGGTGTACGCTCACGTACACTTCCTGTCGTGGACCTACACTCACGCGCAATGCCCGGACTCTCATCATGAGGACATGTTCTGACGAACTCTCAGCGCCTCACCGAATATCTCGAAACCGTCAAAGTCCGACGAGACAAAGAGGCTGCCTTTGCGCGTGAGGATATGGCGAAGCACGGGATCGACTTGGAGGACGTGGACCCCGAACCGAATGGGACTGCGATGCCTGGTGCGTCCGCGTTGAATCGTACTCTCCACTTCTCTGCTAACTCGCAAACCCCCGACTTCTCTCATTCACCTCCTTCTCCCTCGCACATTGCAATCTCTAACCATCTCTGACCAACTCAAACCTAGACGCCAACAACTACTTCTGGCAGCGTGCATTTACAGCCGAGGAGAGGGAACGAATGAGCTTGAATAAAATTAATGGAGGTGCGTTCCGCCTCCCCTTCTGTTTCGTCCCTTCCCCCCTCCCTCCCCCTTTCTCTCTTCCACTCATAAACCCCTCCCATCCTCTCCCCCTTCGCCCCGCGCTAACCATCCATCCCAGTCGAAGACCTCGTCACCTTCCAAACCGAGGCCAAAATGCTGCTCGAAACACCCGACGAGAAGGGCAGAAAGCGCAAGCTCGCCGACCTCGAGCCGCCGCAGCGCCTCGCGCAGGAGATGTACAAGGTATTGCAGAAGCGGACAGGGCTGGCGGAGAAGGATTTGTGGCAATGAGAGTGAGTAGGTATCGAACGTGTGGCGACGAGGGCGTTTTCAGAAAAATCTACGAGCATCTATAGCATTATACAGGCATAATTTACCAGCAGTCTACGGACACAAGCACTGTAAAGCACGAGCACAAGCGCGGCATCACGCGTCTACGAATCCCTCCTCGTTATCATCCCACCCAAGCGTCTCGGGCGCAATCCCAAGCAGACGCAGCATCGTCCCCAGTGTCTGCTGCGGCTTCGCCTCCTCTTCCTCGTCCTTGTACTGCGAACCATCATCCTTATTCTCCTCCTCAGCCTCCCCATCTCCCTCATTCGCCCACCCCCACGAACTCCCACCCTTCTTCTCATCCTCCTTATCCCACCCCCACCCCTTATTCGCATCCTCCTCCTTCCCAAACCCGCCTCCGAATCCACCCTTCGCCTGCCCACCACTGCCATACCCCCAATCCCCACCCTGCGCCGCCTCCTTCGTCAACCCCCACACCTCCCACGCGACCTCCCGCCCCGCCTCCGTCCACCTTTTCACCAACCCCTCCAACGTGCCTTCCTCGCCCTCCCGCCGCACCTTGACCGCGCGCTTCAGCACCTGCAGTTTACGCTCCAGCGCCTGGATCTGCGGCGTCAGGCGCACGTTCGAGGTCATCGCGGTGGAGGCGCCGGGCGTTAGGGGCGACTTGAACTGCGAGGCGGCGCGCTGGGTGCGGTGTTGTTTCTTTCTGTCGACCGAAGGTGGTTTGGTGACTGTAGAGGGAGTAGGAGAGCTGGCGCGCGGCGGGCTGGTGCAAGGTGGGCTGGAGATTGGTGGTACGGCGTCGTCGGCCTCGACCTTGGGTTTCATCGCGGGAGGTCGGAAGGGTTTAGCGAGCTTCTTGGACTGTGCTTTGTATGCTAGGGCAGTAGGACGCTTCGTGGTGGGCGGGGGAGGTGGAACGTGGCGCAATATCTATAACAGGTCGTTGTCAGTGGTGAACCCATCCATCCCGCTGAGAAACCTTCTTACCTCGATATCGTCCTCGTCAAACTCGAACTTGCGCTTCTGCGGAACCACGGGCTTGGGCTGCAAGACGTGTTATGACCATGCTGATGCGCGGTTGGGACTGACAAAACTCACTTCAGACGAAGCTTCAGTGTCAATGACAACATCAGCCTTGGTGGATGCAGGGGCCTCCATGGTCGAGTCTTCTGCTATCGATGTCGTCGCCACATCGGGTTCTTCACGATGCCACGACGAAGGCTCGCCCTGGTAAAGGTCAGAGTCCGGCTGGAGAGCTGTCTCCGGCAGCAGAAAGTCAGAGTCTACCGGCGTCTCCGGCTGTGACTGAAAGATACCACATCAGCCCAGGAAAGAACGGCCGACAGCTTGACAGACTTGCCGAAAATGGGGCGTCCTTCCTCGTCATCTCCGCGTTGGCTTGGTTGATCCCCTGCGCGACGTCCTCCTGCATTTTGACTGTGACCTCCTCTTTGGCCTCTGCTGCAGCGGCTTCGTCCGAATTCTTCGCAATACCCCCGGCCAATTTGTCCGCCACCTCCACGTCGACCTCCTTCGCCGCATTCTCGTCAATGACAACCTCCGCGGCATCTCCCTCAACGACCTCTGCCTCGACATCCCCATCGGCGATGATCTCGCTATCCCCATCGGCGATGATCTCGCTATTCCCATCGACGATGATGGCTTCCGCAACATCCTCGTCCATCTTCTCCACCGGATCGACGAAGGCCGACGACTGCGAAGACGTGCGCGATGCCTGTGATGAAGAGAAAAAGACGGGAGGCGAGCTGGAAGGCGGGGAGGACGAAGGCGGGCAGATGTAAGCTTCAGGAGCCTGGTTGGCGGTAGGGTCATCGAGGATATCGAGGTTGGCGCTGTGGTCGTCAAGCCGGCGCGCTCGGGTCTCGGGCGGCTCGTCGTCCCGCACGTACAGGTCGTCATCGCTTCCCTCGTCGCCGAGCTGCCAGCCAATCTCTGGTTGCGGCGGGGTGGGAATGTCACTACCATCTTCGCCGGCGTGGGCCATGCGGACGTCCTCGCTATACGCAGGAAAATATGCAGTCCCCGCGTCATCGCTCATCTGCACGTCCGCCGAGTGTTCATCATCACCATGGGATACCTTCCAGTGCTCCTGCTGAGGGTTAGCGCCATCGATCCATGAGAGCAAATCACTGACCACGGGCTCTTCGTCGATAGGATGACCCTGATACTCGTCAGGCTCTGCTATATGCCTAGAGTCGCCGAAGTCATCAACCGCGGCTGGCGAGTCATGATGGGCGCAAACATTCTGGTCGTGCTAGACAGTTGGTTGGCATAAGGTAAGCGTCAAAGAAGCACTGGACTCACTGCATAGTTATGAAGCCCTTCGTTATATGCGCCTCCGCCGATTCCGTCGGGGGCTCCTTGATCTTCAACACCCCCAACGTCGGCAACGAGCTCTACTTGGAGTTCCAACTCCGACCCATGCGCCTGGTGATCATGCACTCTGCGCGCACCATCTTCGCGAAACCCAGACGGCTCTTCGTAGACGTGGGGTTCGGCCGCCGTAAGTATATCTTGCGGCGAATCCGACGGGGCCATATTATCAAACCGTAGATCATCGTGGAAAGTGGGTATATCGGAGTCCTGACTGGGTATATGCGTGTCCTGGTGGATTGTCAGCATCCGCCTGGCTAAGAGGAAACAATGAAAAGCTGTAAAGCGTGCTGACCTCTTGCTGGGCAGATGGCGTAGGTTGAGAACTAGCGCAGGAAGAGATGTCGTCGACAAGCAATGCATCGGTCTCGGTGTCGAGAGTGGGAGAGCGAGTACTATGGGAAGCAGGAGCGAGAGCAGGATCGAAATTAGGAGCAGCGTTGAAAGCAGATAAAAGTTCGAGAGCAGAGGTAGAGTCGAGAACAGTTGCAGACGGAGAGCCAGGCAAAGCTGAGTCAATAGCGTCAATGGCATGCTGGAGCCATCGTCAAGCCAGGTGCACGAGGGGTTAGCTGTACAACGCACTTGATACAGTGAGGGCGAAAGCGGTTGAGATGCAGGCTGTGGATGCGTTGCGTTATTGGTAGATATCGAAGCCTCGGTGATGGGCAATGTATGGTCTTGCATGGGATCGTCGATAACTTGCGGTCCGGGTGCCGGCGAAGGGGCAGTTGTCTGGTCTTCCTGTCCGACGCACGTCGCTTGAGACTGTTGCGACTGGGGTGCATATATGCGTTGGTATGGGACGTATGTTTGCAGAGCATTCCACTGCGCACCTCTGAGTCCGATCCATCCCCAAAGCAAGGACCACCCATCACGCCGTCAAAAAGCTGTGAGAGGTGGCATTATGGTCAAGGGAAAGTAGGGCACAGCAGTGACACGTACGTTCACGTTGAGAGTCGTCGAGTCCGACATGGTCAGTATAACCTCAGCAGGATGGGAACAATAGATGCAGCAATAAGTGGGACCAATGGATGGGATGGGAAGATAATGTGGAAAGGGAAGAGGGAAGGAGGGGGACGGGCGAGCCGAACGGAGGTGTTGACAGCTGTGTACGCGTCTGTACCCCGGACGCGGGGTCTTCCGCGGCGTTAGGCCCGGAGCGCCGTGACAGTGGCACGAGAAACGTGCCGCGGACGATAATGGCGGATCGACAATGTCACCTAATGCAGTGAGGGGCGAAGGAAAGCAGTTCCGCCCAAATATCACTCGTGTTCTTGTGTGAGTTGACCTGCAGTTCGTCTCTCCGAACGCGTAAGATGTTCATTGGTATACAATTACACTCCACTACACCTGCCACAGTACGCGACGCAGGGCTATCGCCTGACGGACTGCGTCTTGACGCGTGGGTCCCCCTTCTCGCTCCTCTTGCGGAGTTTCTCCTGACGCTTGCTCGTCGAGGGCGCGTCTTCGGACTCTTCCGCGGAGGACGACTGTCGGGAGCCGATGAAGTAGGGGTAGATGACGGAGGACCAGACTTTCCAGATCGCGTAGAGGGGGATCTGATGTCGGAGTGAGTTGGATGAAGACAAGGGAACGCGACACACGCACCACGAGGTACAAGTACCAGAACCAGTCACCGAAAGCGCCGCTACCTATCTGACACGTCCCTGTTTATGATGTCTCAGTGAGATGCTCGTGAAAGACAAGAAAGCACGCACAAGTGATATATAGGATGTCAAAGCACCATTCAGTCACGCCCGGTTGACTGAGGTCTTCTCCATACGAGATGAGCGTGCCGGTCGTGGGGTCGCGTCGCGTCGTGCCAATCTTGATGAGATAGGTAGACAGAAAGAACGACGGGAAGAAGGTCAGGATGTAGATGGCGAGGGACCCCTTCGAAGGCGGGAACGCGCTCCTTCTGAACAGAAGGCGTAGCACGACCGAGATGAGGGTGGGCAAAAATAGCCCTAGGCGCAGGGTTTTGACGGTAGACTCATTCTGGTTGGCTGGGGCTTGATGTTGGTATACACCGCAGCGGCGTGTAAAACGTTCTCACCGATGCGTTTCTGAGCTGCCTTTGCCATGACTGCCGGATGCAAGTCGCTGATCGTGATGTCCGTTTTTGCTCTTTTCTCCGAAAGGAAAGACATCTTATCTTATCGGGCCGACGCGTCCTTCGACCGGCGCTTGTCCTCGACCATCGTCTGCGCCGATCATCAATTCGGCGCTCTGCTCAGCGAGACATGTGGCCCTGGACGCAACGCAACGCACACATGGACAGAACAACACACATATCGGTCTCGGCGCAGCTCAGCGGCGGTGCAGGACATGCATGGTCATAGCGACTCTTTGATCACAATGTCAACATTGAAGACACACCCACCGCGCCACCAAGGCCGACAAAAACCAGTCTTGGCCTCATATATAATGCCGCGTCGCGTTCAGGTTCGTCATCCTTACGTTTTCCCCTCCTCCAAGCCTCTCCCTCCACTATGTCTGGATTCCTCTGCAGCGTCAAGCTGCTCGGGCGCAATAACGGGCGCAAGCTCAAGCGTAACGAGCGCTTTACGCAGTCAACCCCTGCGCTGATCCCAAGCCCACTCCCAAGCCCCCAAATCATTGGGAGCCCGATGGAAGCGTTTCCGGCGCCGACGCCGCGGTCGATGGAGGAGCCCCACAAGCGCTTCTTCCCTGACGAGTACGTTCCGAAAAGTGCTTCGTCCGCGAGCCTGAACCGTGCTCGCTCTACTCCTGGGCCGACGCCAACTCCTGCTTGCTCGCACCAGCAACCAGCCCGCGCGCAGACTCCGGTCCAGGAAGGGCGCAGCCACAGTCGGACGCGCCACGTCTCCGAGTCCCAAGCCTCCGATGTCGCGGAAGAGCTCGCCACGCGCTGCGAGAGACGCTCACCACGAACGCAGTCGACCGTCGCGGTCAGGTGTCTGCGCATGCCGGAAGAGGAAGAGCCCCCCCTTCCGCCGCTTCCTGGTGAGTCGACGAAGCTACCGAGGGACGCCACTCGCTCGTCCAGGACGCCGACAAGCAGCGGATACGAGCGGTCTCTGCCGCCCACGCCAAGGCAGTCTGCGTCCACGTTCAAGCAGCCTAGGGGGACACCGCTCAAGCAGTCCATAATGTGTGCGCGGTCTGTGTATTCTACTTACGAATTTGAGGCCGACGCACCGACCATCGTCGTTACGGAGGCCCCCGAGGAGCCACGCGCCACGCCTCGCAAGAAGACCAGCAGCAAGGGCAGGGACACCATCACAGACCACCGCGAGGCGGTCGACGGCAAGCAGCAGAAGCTTGCCCAAGGCGTCAAGCTGTGGAACGACCGCCTTTTCGACGACGCCACGACAACGCGCACTGTGTCGATCTTCACAGAAGTGTCGTCGTTCTCGGCGTCGACTTATGCGGATAACGATGTGTTGGACTCGCATCGCTCTGTGTACGCGGAGCCGCCTGTACCGTTGCATGTAAAGGTCCCGCGTCAGGACCGCGAGCGCGCGCATAAGGACTACGAACCTTCGTCCAAGGCTTCAAGCTCGTCCCGGGCCTCAAGCTCGGGCCGCTCTTCCAAGGCCTCCACCAGCTCATCCATCCCCGAGATGCCTCCGATCCCGCCCAACAGCAAGACCTACCCTGTGCGGCCCCGATCTCGGACTACGGCGCACGCGTCAGCCCGGACCACTGCGCGCTCCCGGTCGCGGACTCCCGCGCGCGCGTCTACTGCGCCAACGTTCGTCTCGACTGCGCCAACGACCGCTTCGGTCTACAGCCAGGCGTCGATGGCGAGGTCTGAGGTGCCACCGGTGCCGCCTCTGCCTCCGGTGCCGCCTCCCAAGACCAAGCACTCTCGATCTCGGCCTCCTAGGTCCGTGGAGGGTACGACGGTTGTGGAATCGGTGTACAGCCAGGGGACCGCCACATCGGACGACACCGTACGGGCCTTTAATGCGTCTCAGTGGGAGGATAGCCCGCCCTCGCAGTCGCACTTGAGCGTGGCGGTGAACTCGGATCTGGACTCTGTTGTGGTTGCGCCGTGGTCGAGCGTCCTGAATGCACCGTCGACGACTCGGGGGTCCGGTGTGGACTCTTACTACTTTGGTAACACCAGTGCACTGATGAGCGAGATCGGCAAGCTCGACCTGATGCGGGACAGCTATGGGGTGGGGGGGTCGCGGCCGCGATCCAAGTCGCAGGGCCACACGTCGCGTCACCGAAGCGGACGAACGAAGGAAGCGGAGGGCAACTACTGAAGCGACGTGAAGAGGAACTGAATGAAGGAGAAGTAATCACGCAGCACTACTGACGACTGTTACGACCTTATCCTACATATTCTATGTAGCGATACCACCATCCTTACCCCTGTATATATATTTTGAGCTGGCTCATGCGTTGTCCGATCTCTCCCTTACCGGAGTTGTTTTTACGGCCACCTCGTCACAGGCAAGTAACAAACCTTCCTCTTACCATATCCGGCCGCCATTGTTTTCCCCACCCGCCATCATCATGGCGCAACAGCCGCAACCTCAGTACCACTACTACACGAACGCGAACTACGCGAGCCCGAACGTGCAGTACCAGACGCCCGCACCCCAGCAACAACAACAGCAACAGCAGCAACAATATGCCTCGTACCAGCTCAACCCGTACAACCAAGCTCCCTTCCAGGCGCAGCCTCCTCCTCGCGGACGCTCGTCGCCCGACCCCGTACCAGACATGACACCAGAGCTCGCGAGCAAGATCATGCGCCGCTTCATAGCAAGGGAGATCAAGAAGCGGGGCTTTGAGGGCGTGGAGAACGCGGAAGTGCTGGCGCGGTTTGAGCGCGAGGTTGCTGGACGTGCGTATCGGACGCGTCTACATAAGCAAAGGAGGTGTGGCTCACGGCTTGTCGTATAATGCAGACATCCAGAACATCTTCGCGATTGCGCACGAATACGCGAATCTGTCGCATAGGTCGTACATTGCGCCGCCGGATGTGTACCAGGCATGTCAGGGCGAGGGTCTGACGACGCAGGATCTGAGAACTAAGGCGAAGAAGAGGAAGAGAAGTGCGTTGCTGTTTTCTTTGCACTCCAGAGCTATTCTGACCCTGGTCAAGGAGCACCTGTGGACAAGCTTGCGCCGCGAGCAGCAAGGACGCCGTCCCCCGAGCTCCTGCCCTCCGATGACGAAGATCAGGCCCACACTTATCAGGGTGCTGCAAAGGGGCCTCTGACCCTGCGAGACGTGCCCTCCTATCTGCCCAAGCTTCCACCCAAGCACACGTACCTCAAATCACCGGTGCGTATCCTTGCCCTGCTTGTTTTTCCTTGCCTCACTCGCCTGTATACGCGACTTCGATTGACCCTCCATCCATCAGCCCACCTCCACCCAACAGCGCAGCCAAACAATGCCCTCGCTCGAGAAGAAGCTCAAGACCGCGTCCCTCGTCCAGGACTCCCTCCGGCACCTCATGTCGAACACGGAGGGCGTGGCCATCCCCGAGGCCGACGTCGAGGGCTACGTCAATTGGGAGCACAATGTGTACGGACACACCCGCAAGAGGTGGAAGGTCGGGTCTTCGTCAACATAGTGTTGTGTACGGAGCATGGGTGTAGATGCAATCGGATGAACGTGTTGAGATTCTGCGCGAAGCAATGACAAGCTACGCGCATCAATGGCAATTCACGCATTGTCAAGGGCAATGGAAGATCCGTAAGTCGTAAGTCAGTGAGGTATCGTACGCGTGGTATCATAGGCAAGGGTATTAGCGGGAGGTATAGTAATGGGCGTAAAGATATCAAGACCGTCCAAAGGAAACGAAGCGTGTCAGCGTAAGATGGATCAGTACATGAGAACCATAAGATTATACAGGCGTCAGAGCAAACAACACGGAAAAGCAATGGCATGAAGGGGACGTAAGGGCGTCAACAGGAGCTGGAATATAGATGGGCAGGCGGGATCATAGATAGAGGAATAAATCAGGGAAACAGCAGGAGCGAGCATGCGAGGCGATGGAAGGGTGGAGGCAGAATGGTCAAGGGGATAGCGAAGGGCGAAGCTACGACCACCGAATCTTGAACATGTGGTACCACTTCTTTTTCTTCTTCGGCTGTGGTTGGGGTATGAGGCCCTCCGTGGGCACCACGATACCTTCGCGCTTGTTCTTCCCCTTGAGGGATCCCTTTTTGCTGAGACGCCGTGTGGGCCGTGGCGGCTGCTGCTGCTGGGAGCCGGACGAGTTCCGCCAAGCGCGCGCGGGCGGGCCTTCGCCTCTGCAAGAGTGTCAGCTAATGCTTACGACGAACAAGCAAACGAAAAGCACGCACGGCTCCAAAAAGATCACATATTTCTCCCTCGCCGGCAGCGCGGCCTTCAGCTCCTCAATCGCCTGCCCGCGCACCGCCAGCACATCCGGGGGCACCTTCAGCTTCACGCGCCACATCGCGACGCTGTTCCCGCTCTCCGACGAGAGGAAGACAAACACCACAACGACCTTCGCGGGGTCGCTGAACGCGACGGAGTCCTGCAGCGTGAAGTCGAGCGTCTGCTGCAGCTGGGGGAAGGTGAGCCAGTCAAAGGCGGGCTCGTCGGGGTGCCCGGGGTGCCGGTAGGTGGCGTTGATGAAGAGGGCGCCGCGCTCGCCTGCAGCAAGGAATTTACTGATACCGAAGTCGGCGATGCTGTGGGAGAGGTGGTGGACCACTGGAGAAGGGTGAGTAACTTGTAAGTGGACTCAAGATTGGGAAATGAACTTACTGTTGATGATGGTCGCGACTTTGACGTTCTTGCCAGGAGGGAAGCCCCAATGTATTCGATCCTTTGCTGGACGGGAACGTCCGAAGAGTGCCCTTTGCACGGGCATGAGAGCCGCGCCATTGCTTTCCACAAAACGCTTGTTGGCCCGGTCGGACAAGCTCCCTCTCGGGCTCGACGCATACGCAAGCGTCCTCGACGTGAAGTCATGCCCGGCGTCACCGCCATACCCAGCGGACGACCCCGGCGTCGAAGGTGTAAAGTGCACCTTCCTAGGTGTCCCCGTGATATCCTCTTCCTCGTCTTCCTCCCAGATGGTGTTTGTTGGCCAGCTGTTGTCGGCGCCTGACGCGCCCCACTCGTCCCAGCCTCCACCCCCGCCATTGCCCTGCGCACTCTTGCCGTTGCCAGTTCCCCAAGCGTCGCCCCACCCACCACCACCTGTGTCGCCAGCGCCCCATCCTCCAGCGTCAGAGCCCCATGCTGTCCCAGCATCTCCCCATCCGCCGCCGACAGGTGCGGGCGCAGGTGGTTCTGGCTTCTTTGAGGATTTCCCCCACCCGCCGAAGAAGCCTGTTTGCCGCTTGGCCTTCTTGTCCGCCGCGGGCTGAGGCGGCGGCGGAGCAGACTTGGCTTGCGTGAACGCGCTGCTATGTCGACCAGATTGTTGAGGGGGCCGGATGCCAGGTGAAGCGGGTTGGCTGAGTAGGGCGTTGAGCGTCTGTGATCGTTGCTGTGGTGTCATGGGGGCGCGAGTGTGAGATGGAGGAAGTTGCGGTGGTGCGTCCACTGGCGTCTTTCCCCAGCTCATCCACGCATTGGCGGGTGCGGTTTGGTGTCCTCTCGATAGTGGTTGGTGTCCCCCTCCGCCGAGAACGTTGTGGCTGTGGGGGACGTATCCCGTGGGATACTCTTCCTCATCGCTCGATTCCTCCTCCTCATCGTCGTAGTGATTCCATCCGTCGCCTGAGTATGCGGCCGTCCAACCTCCCGCCGTTTGTGCCCCAGCGCCCCCGGCGCTCCCCCATCCACCTGCCTTTGAGGAGCGACTTTCCTGTCCCCACGATTGCCAGGCGCCTTGCTTGGAGGCGTTGCTGACCGGTCTGGACATCATCACCGGCGAGGGGGCGCCTGTGGGCATGGACGGTGTCGGCGGCACACTCCAGCCCGCGATGCCTGGCGCAGGGATCGCCTGCGGGGTTGGGACATCGGGCGTGTTGTTGCCCGCGCCCGCCCATGGATCGTAGCTTGCGCCCGCGGGTGGAGGGACTTTGGAGGACGAAGGGTGCCGTAGACGGTGCATCACGATCAGCGCACGACAGGCAGGAGCGATAAGCGTGACCGTCAGCGTCGAAGGCCGCGAATAGACGCCGGAAGCGCGCACCTGAGCCGACGACACCGGCGCCATCATCCTTCTCCGGAAGCGTCACGGGGGCAGCGCTGGCGGCGGTGGCGTCCTTCTTCCGTTCCTTCTTGCTCTTTGCCATCTGATGTCGCTGGTCTGAGAAGAAGAGTCCTCGAGGTTGTCAGACGAGTGTAGGGCGCAGGGCGGTGCAGGTGTGAGTAACCCAGAGTCAGATAGGCGAGCGGCAGTCGTTATCGCACGAGGGAAGAAGACAAGATGCGAGAATATGTCAGGTTTCTAAGCGTGTTTATTGTCGAGCTGTTCGAGAACATCAACGCGCCCGACGCGAAGGGGAGTAACGACGCGCTTGTCCGATCGCGTTCAGATCAACAATTGGGCCGGCCGAACCGTCCATCCGGAATATGCCGACTGTCACATGACTCCATGTTGAACTTCGTCTTTACCTCACAAAATGCGCGTTCAGAGGTCGGCAAGACAGTAAAACGTCCTCGCTAAGATACATACACGCATAAGCATTGTCCCTTGGTTACATATCATACATACACCCCGCCAAACGGCCCTCCAGTCACACTGACATGTCGTACTCGAGATGCTCTCTGAAGTTTCCAGGCGAGCAATCGTAAGCGACCGTCCCTCTAGGTGAGGTAACGGAGTAGGCGTCTGTTGTCTTGACTGTGGGAAAAGACATTGACGTGTCGGTCGATGCCTGCCCTCTCGGCAATGCTTGCAAGGTGACAGTGCGCGCCGCTGGCGTGTCGGACTTTGCCGTACTTCTGCTCCTGATGATTGTGCGTGCATTCACTGAAAGACTATGTAAGTCTCGAGCGAATGGGGGTGAGGGACAGACGTACAAGATGCAAGAAGACTGTTGATAAAGACTACACGAGAGATCAGTCACGGTAAAGTCAGAGCGAAGCGAAAGACGTACATTCGCTTAGGACGAAGTAAATGCCCAAGAATATGAACTCATCCGGGCGGACCGCGTAGCTGATGAAACAAGCGGCCGAGCATACGCTGCAGAGATCGTCAGAGCTTTGCAATGTCAAATGTCATGACACGTACGTCGTGAGCAAGCCTGTTGACGATAACAATAAGCGACCGACACGACACAAGCCAGACAGCCGCACGCACTGGTGTTGATGGTATACATCATCAGGGTATCGATCACCGAGTCCGTATTGCGCAGACCCGTACGGCTCTGCGAGAGCAGGACACACATGGACACGGCGATGAAGGCGTCGGCGACGACGCCGCTGCCGAGAGAGGTGTAGAGCAGGTACTGGAGGGGCGGCGTGAGTGATTGAGTAGCGTCGATGAGAGGATGCGAGAGTGAGAAAGAGAGAGGGAGATGGAGAGACAGTAGAGGGAGGTTACACATACGGAGATCTCATTGAAGGCAGCGAATGTGCCGACCATGAAGCTGTGAACAAAGGATTAGGGGGCGATCCTATGGGGGAGCAGGATTCCTCAACGTACGCTTTGATGCCGAAGGCTTAAGCGTCATGTTAGTCGCGCAGCGCTTCTCCCAATACAGAGAGGCGACGTACCAACGCCGGATGCTTGAGTGGGTATAAGCATGTAAATCATTTGTGACAATCGCACTAAAACTCACAAAACGTCAGGAGTGAAGACGCGCCAATGCAGAACACCAGCACGTAGGCCAGCGGCCGGTTGCGCTGAGCTGTCACTGTACGACGTTAGGCTTTGGCCGCTCGTGACCATAGAGGTAGCTCACAGATCCAGACGCGGCGGCCGAAGAATCTGGAAGACGTTAATCTTCGTCAAAGGGAATTAATAGGGACAGCTCACCCTCGGATGGCGACATCCGTCACACACTGCAAGTCGTCAATCGTGCGTCATGAATTGGAGGAGACGAAGACGCACGGTCACGAATATTTGTGTCTGAAGTCCAGTCAGTTGTGAGGACGTGGTCGAAACATAACGGAAGGCGTACCAAGAGACTCCAAGTCGGGCTGATCATGCTCGCAGGATTGTTGTAGTTCGTGACCATGTAGAAGTAGCAACCGTGCATGACGAGGCCGAGGTGGATGGTCTCAAGTGTCCTGTAAGGATGTGGTAAGCCAAAATCGATGCAGCAGGGGGTGACGAGAAGAGGGAGAGTAGGATAATCACCATAACGAGTACACGAACGCATCCAGCGTCCATGGGTCCTCGAAGCGACCCTTGTGATAGTTATACGTCTGGAAGCAGGTGATCCCGTAGAGACTGCAGAAATGGCGTAAGCAGGGAAGACAAGCGTACTGACACAGGAAAAGGTTGAGGACATATGAAGAGGCAAAGAACATATGAAGCTCCGCGGGACACATCGGAAAAACAACATAAAGTACAGTAGACAAGTCATCACCACTCACATTCCCGCCATAACGCAGCCTATAAACGCTGAGCCGAGCTTCGCGTCGACGTCGAGATGTGGCGCGGCCATTGTGGGGTCCATGGTCGCTCGCAGAAGTATTTAATACCGCAGTACAGTCGGGTATGCGCTGAACGGTCGAAACGAGACGGCAGTCGTTCGAGGAGGCGACAATTGTTGAAGGGTACAGCGGCTTGTCGTGCGAGCAAATGAACGCCCTCCTGCAGCTCAGGCCGCGTATAAGTAGGCTGCACAGCAGCCAGTGACGTGAGTGCGTGGTAAGGCCGACGGTCGACGTCCGGGTTGTTAGTGCGGCCAACGTCCGGCGCGTTGGCGGGTCGTTAGTGCGGGGGAAATGCTCGCGAGTGTTGGCCGGTGGGTGGCCGTCAACGGATCCGCGGGGTCGGCGGGGCTGATGTGCGGGGTCGGGGCTGATATCCACGGGTGAGGGTGCAGCACGGGTCAAGGGCGGGCTGCTAGCGTTTACGGGTGAAGGTCGACTAGCGCGAACGCGTGAACGCGCCAAGGAGGAGTGCCTCGTCCAGTAGGCCCGGTGATATGGCAGGAGGGCCTATATTACGAGGAGCGAAGGTTGGTGATATGCGTGTGGACTGGGCGATGCGAGAGAAGTGATCTAGCGAGATGGGAGGTGCACCTAATCCGTATGAAGGACGGGCTGCCACCGGTACCGGAGGGGGCAGCGTGGACGTGGAGCGTGGTAGGTGTTTGGTGAGCCCTGCTCAGGTTCCTCGACGCGTTCAGAAGGTTTACACAACGCGTTCGCACGGGGCCGAAACTGCAGATCGTGGTTTGCGACGAGGAGTGCGATCTCTTCTACGTCGATGGAGAGAGCGGTCCTGTCGAGAGAGGGTTTGGAGCCGCGCTGAAGAGTGCGCGACCGGTGATGGAGGATGCGAGGCCAGTAATGGAGGACGCGACGCCGTCGATGAAGTGGTGCTCGTCGGTGCTGGAAGCAAAATAACTGACCGTCGGGGACGTGTGAGCGTGCCACGCTGCGCAATGACAATCGCGGAGAGAGAGCGGTCGACCGCTGCAGTAAGCACCTCATGTCGTTCGGTGCCTATGACTGGGAGAAGCGCGGAGGATTGAGCTGGCAGAAGCCGTCGGGGGCCCGATGGGGTCATATGAAGAAGTTAGGTGGTCCTGAAGAAGTTAAGTGGTCTGTGAAGAAGCCATCAGGGCACCGAGGGCCCAGCGACGGGGTCCTATAGCGAAGCTGCGGTCAGTTGCAGGGGTGGTATAAAGAGGTCGAAGCTGAATAAGGGCCCCTCCCTCGACGTCCTGATTGGAAGCACCGCCGAAGAGAAGTGTGGGCGCCTCACGTGCGCATGTTGTCGTGCTCTCCCATAGTTGCCGATTTGCCATGGGAGGCCAGCCGATTCGTCGGTCTCGTACGGAGGCTGCGAAAATGTTATTGAGTATGCCTATCCCACGGATTACTTCCGAGAGATGGCTATTAACGCTGAGGGCATTCAGGTGGCCGATGCTCGAGGATAGAGCCGCTGCGGTAGGAGGGAAAGAGTAAGGACGCTTCTCAATTGGCAAGCATCCTCTTGGGTCACAATTAGCAGCAGTGTCCAGACACCTTAGCAGCGATGTCCAGGCGCCACCTGCAGCATCCCATGACGGCCCCCGTAGCTCGCCCCTGCCGCGTGAAGCGAGGCTCGACCCTCCCCCCTTCACGCGGCAGCACCGCGGCAGGGCAAGCGCGCCAGACCCGCGGATCCCCAACCCACGCTGCATGCGTCTATAACCGACTCTAGTAGCTCTGATAGATCATCCAGTGCTCATAGACAGATCACAAGTATACACTCATCTAGTAGTAGTACTACACCCCGCACGCCTAGATCAAGCGCGTAATCGCATCCACCACCTCCCTCGTCGTGCTCTTCCCGCCCACATCCGGCGTCGCGACCTTGCCTTCGCGCACGACGGTGTCGACGGCCTTGTCGATGCGGTCCGCGCCCTTGGCATAGCCCATGTGGCGCAGCATGAGGGCCGCGGAGCGGATGGAGGCGATCGGGTTCGCGATGTTCTGCCCGGCGATGTCGGGCGCAGAGCCGTGGACGCTGGAAGGGAGGAGTAAGGTTAGCAAAAGAGTGGTGCATGGAAGAATAAGCGCCAGGCGCTAGCACTCACGGCTCGCCCATGACGAAGTTGTCGCCGGCGTTTACGGAGGGGACGAGGCCAAGGGAGCCTACGAGGGCGGCCGCGGCGTCGCTGGATAGGGAGATTCAGACGCGTGAGGGTAACGATTGGCAGAAGAACACGTACGAGAGGATGTCGCCGTAGAGGTTGGGCGCGACCATGACGTCGAATTCTCGTGGGTCACGGAAGAGCCTGAAGAATGTGATTAGGTCCAAGGTTAAAGAAGGTCATGCAATAGACATACTTGTAAACAGCGCTATCGACAAGCTGCTCGAGGACCTTGACGCTGTCGTACTTGCCCTCCGCCTTGAGGGGCACGGCTCGGACGGTCTCGCGGAAGAGACCATCGGTGACGGACAGGACATTTGACTTGTGAATGATGTGCAGTTGCTGCAGAAATGTGCATTAGCATACGAAGGATAGAGGGTGAATAATGTTAGAGTTTTTGTGATCAAAAGCGCACAAATGTATGGCAGACAGCGCAGAGGTCATGTAGAGAGTAACAAAGACATACCTTGGCAGGTCGCTGGAGCGCGAGCTCAAAAGCCATTTTACCGATGCGGGACGATGCCCGCTCGGTGATGAGGCGTGTGGCGCGTGCTTCACGTCCGTTCGGTCCATGCGAAGACTCCTCCTGCTTAATGTACTACGAGGCTGTCAGATTCCATGACACTGAACATATTGATGCACGCACCAAGCATTCAGTGTTCTCGCGCACCACGACGAGGTCGACGTCAGGCTTGGCTTCCGGCGTAGGCGCCACCTTTCCAGATGGTTCAGTGAGCAACGGGGGGATGTACTACAGTGGCGACGTACCGAGAGGACAGGTCGGATGTTAGCGTAGAGGTCGAGCTCCTTGCGCAGAGCGACGATAGGGGAGGAGTAGCCAACGACCTTCTTAGAAGGAGAGCTGGTCTATTGTTCAGAACATGATATCATGGAGAAGCAGTACACACACCTAACGGAACCGAACAGAGCACAGTCGCACTCGGACTTCAAGACCCTACGAGTGATGAGGGCCAGCTGTTCCGGAATGGAGAGCATTACGCACTCGATAGTCTCCTCCGGCAATGCGACGCCTGTCCTGGTGAAGGTCTCCCATCCCGCGAGCAAGGGGATAAACTCCGGCTTCGGAATGTCCGATCCAAGAGCAGAGATGACCTGTTCAGCTGCCTTGTGTCCGCATCAGCCTACCCGGCCATAATCAACGCGCGAATGCAGCATTACTTACCGGGATCACCTCCTTGCCCACACCATCCGCGGGAATGACACCAATCTTGAGTGACGACTTCGCGGCCGTCGACATAGCGCGTGCAGGGCGCAGCATGTGCAAGGATTGCCTGAGCATTTTGGAGGGTTAGAGGGCAATGGAAGGTGAGGTGAGGATGAAGTCAAGCAGCACGACTTCAGTGATCTGCAGGAACGATCGGACCGGACGGGATTCGGGCGAGCAGGTCCGATCAAACGCGGTCGCGTGACCTGGTGATGCGTCTTTGCGTGGCTTGTTTACCGACACCATCTCGCCACTTGCTCGCGTCCAGGCGCACGCTTCATCCGACGCTGAGCATTGCGCGAAGCCGTAACATATACCTTCCAGACTCAGCCTTACAACATGCTACCCAGCCCATCCTCCTCACCTGCGCGTCCTGTTCTCCATGACCGCGTCAACGAAGAGCAGGCAGTGACGCCCACGCACAGGAAGACCACGACCTTCCTGCCAACACCCCGAGCCAGCGAGAAGAAGAGAAGGCCTGGTACCTCCGATCTCTTCTTTGCGAACAAACGCCCAAGGATATCCTCCGACTCGTCCGACGATGAAGATGAGAGCAGCGAGGAAGAGGATGTTTTCAGGGCTCCACGCTGTCGCGTCAGGCTTCCTAATCAGCTGCTGGAGAGCTCGAGACAAAGACAGACCTGGGGCGTGCAGAGCTGTGCGTTCAATTTGTAGTACTCGATGCTTGCTCTGACATGATGTACAGACTCTACTCGCCCAATCCTGCAGACGTTCGTATCGTCATCGAAGACAGACGTATACACATGTCGATCTGAGGACACGGGGAATGTCATTCCACCGTACGCTTGCGAGTATACCAACAGTGCGTGCTCACAGCTGCATCTGGTTAATTTCTAGCTCATTAACACGTATCAGAATCTAGACGAGGAGAAGAGTCGGTACTTGCCGTTGCAACGGAGGAGGGCAGCGTTCAGATCATCAAGACCGCTCCGCGCGATCCATGGGATCCCGAACCTCAGCGCACCAACCTGCGCCCTCACACAAACGGCATTTTCAGCCTCAGATGGGATGCGACGGACACACTACTGGCCACTTCCGGCGGCGATCTCAGTACCCACATCAGCAACGTCACGACAGCCGAACTCGTCTGCACGCTACGCGCTCATGTCTCGACCGTCAAGACATCCATATGGGATCCCGCTCACCGTGATATTCTGGCGACTGGCGGGCGTGACGGATGCATTCATATCTGGGATTTGCGGGCTGCAGAGCGACGGAACGAGGATGGGTCGCTCACGCCCGTGAAGAGCATCGTTCGCGCGCACGAAGAGTCCTCGCAGAAGCCAAAAGGCAGGAAGGCGAAGTCGCCGCCTATGCCGAAAGGCGTCACGAGCTTGGCGTACACGGATACGATGCCCTACGCCTTATTTAGCAGCGGGTCTGCCGACGGGTGAGTCCTTATATCCTGCTGTCCCGGACTTTTGCTCATGTCCGGCCAGGATTCTCCGCTACTGGGACCTCCGCGACCCCAAGCCAGCCCGACGCACCAAGCGAACCAAGCCAATCGAAATCTCCGAACCACTCCTCATATCTCCCACCGACCCCACCATCTCCCAAGGCGCCCGCCGGCCCCGCGGCATCGCAAGCATCGTCTCCGGCCATGGGCCCACCTCCGGCCTGCTCTTCGCCCTCGGCCTCGACTCGCGCATTCACACCTATTCTGCCCACACCCTCGACCCGCTGCCCTTCAGCTGCGCGCACGACCGCATGCAGACGAACAACTTCTACCTCGGGCTGGACTTGTCCCCCTGCGGGCGGTGGCTGGCGAGTGGGAGCACTGGCGGTCAAGGGAGGGCCTTCTTGTATGATGTGGCGAATGCAGGGCGGCCAGGGAGTGCGTCAGTTGCTGGCGTAGAGCTGAAGGGGCAGGTGGGAGATGTGGGCGCGGTCAGCTGGGCAAGGGACTCGCTGGCGACGTGTGCGGACGATGGGACTGTGAGAGTTTGGCGGCCAGACGTCGCGCGGTATCGACAGTGCCGAGCGGATCCTACGGACTCGGAGTGGACGTGGAGTTGGGCAAGGGATTAATTTGTGTGTGCGTGCTGTACTTGTTGCATGTCAATGGAAGCTACTGCCGTACATGTGCTTGGAATCCACAACGATGCTATTGTGATTTAATCAGGGCGAAGCTTGGAGACTGGCCTTTTGTGGCAAGCACTCGGCATTTGCCGCAAAGAACTGGATCGCGACTTTGGCGACTGCTTGACTCAGGAAATCATGTCACCGGAAAAGCCCTTCAACGAGTCGGCTCTCCGCTACACCGACGACACATCCCAAACAGCCCTCGCCTACAGACGACGCGCCCGGAAGCGGTGCGGAGCTTATTCCCTCACCTCGTCGTCAAACCAGTACGTATCATCGTCCTCCGACGCACTACTATCTTGTGTAAGCCGGCGAGCGCAACCTTGTTATATGCCAGGTAAGTCGGTCTGTTCTTCCATCTGATATCAGGGCGGCTGGGGCAGAGCGCCGAGGTTTGGCGCCCACTACTGCCAGACATGGGCGCGCCACGCTGCAGGTGGCAAGCTGTGCCAAGCTCTAGTACTTCATTTGAGACTGTCCATCGAAGCACGGTTTTCCAAGCCGTTGCCACCCCACCGGCCTTTTTCATTGGGTCCACCGCCTCAGCGGCGGCGTTGCTTGTGCGCCTGAAAGGCGTGTTCGGTGCTCTGGCCTGGGCCATCATGAAGGCTACTCGCACTGACTCATATATGGCGTTTTCTACGGGATTGGCTGAGCGGATGGCGCGCGCCTCAAACATCTATTTCAAATGCTGCCGCGTATATAAGACTTGGAGGTGCGCCAGGAAAGAAGCTGCCTTTATCCCCAACCCCCATCCGCCCACATCAATGTCGTCCACTCAGGATCTCGTGGGCTCTGTCCAGGAGCATATTGCGACCAACCGTGCCCATTGGCATACGCGCGAGTTCACCTCAAGTTCACTAGGGAAGACCATCTCCGCGATCCATTTTGTCGCCGATCCCAACGAGAGGAACGAGGGCGCTGGCGATGTTCCTCCGACCAACCACTGGTCGATTTACCTCCAGCTCGACGATGCTTCTTCCGTCCGCCTGGAGGTGATCCCCCTCGACGTTTCTGCGCCCGGTGTGGTTGTCTTAACCGACAAACCCTACGGCGTCGAGAAGAACGCCGCTTGCGTGGTCACCGTCAGCGTGTCCGAGGGAATTACCCTTGCTCACGTTCTCAAACCCATTGTCGACAAGCGCCGCGACCGGTATCAGTTTGATGCCGTTGGCCAAGGATGCCGAATGTGGGCGTTGACGCTCGCGTCCGATCTTGTCGAGGCCGGCGTCCTCGACGTTCAGTCAAAAAAGGAGTTCAGTGACGCCATCCTTCTCTATTGGCCATACCCTCCCGGCACAGCGCCCTACCCAAGGGTCATTGATCAGGGTGTGTTCTTTTAGGGAGCTGTCTAATCAAGGTGAGCAAGGTTCCTACTTATGTTTTTCGGCCTGTTCTGAATAACAATGATACTGTCAAGCTTTCGAATGTTATGTCATGCTGCTTTTCGTTCAGTCCCTTTCCTGATATCTGCATCGTGATTGGAGTGATACGTGGAATACGTTCGCAATCAGTTACATGTTGTGAGCGCAACTGCTTAGTTGCGCAGAGCCGAAGTGCGCTTCAGTGCTATCAAAGAAAGATGCATGTGAGGAAGAGCTCACCTGAGCAGGGAGCACAGACTTACAAATGTACGTTAGGAGCTGGGTATAGGAGCCTATGACTGCTGTGTCGTGGTCAACGTGAATTGAAGCTGTGACAGAGCTTAGTCACGCTCACGCTTGACGCGGTTGAACTTCGTAAGCGCCTGGCAGTCGTGGGCGAATCGTTGCCTTTTGAGAGAGCGATTGACAATCCCCTGTCGAACACTGGCTATGGCGACCAACGACGCCTTACGATGCTTTGCAACACCAACTGTCACCTTCGCCATATATAAGGGCGCTGCCCCTCGCCTCAAACCTTACTTTTCCTGAGCTTTGCATTCTTCCGACAAGCTGTCGTTCAACACAGTTCTGCGCAAACAACTCGCAGTCTCTTCTAGAGGACTTGCACGCTATTCGACCAAATCTACGAACATGAGCTCTGGCGTGAAAATCGTACCCCGCCCTAGCCACGAGCGCGGCGGTGCAGACCATGGGTGGCTGAAGACGTTCCATACGTTCTCTTTCGCATCGTACGTCCCTCCCTCTCTTTCCATCCTCCTTCTACTTGCTCACGAAACGCAGGTACGGCGATCGCACACATCAGAAACACGGTGCCCTGCGCGTCATAAATGAGGATCGTGTAGCGCCCAATACCGGCTTCGGCACTCATGGGCACCAAGAATTCGAGATCTTCTCGTATGTCGTGAGCGGTCAGCTCGCACAGTACGTATCTCCTTTCCCTTTTCCCACTTCCACGTACTAACTACCTCTCAGCCAAGACTCCATGGGCAACACCGAAGTCCTCTCCCGCGGTGCCCTCCAGCTCACCTCCGCCGGCACTGGCATCCTCCACTCCGAGAAAGCGCACGGCCCTGCCGAAGTCCACTTCCTCCAAATCTGGTCCTTCCCCTCCACCCCACGCCTTCAGCCCAAGTACTACACCCGCAACTTCTCCGACGCAGACAAGACGGACAAGTGGGCGCGTGTTGTCGCACCGGTGGGCTCGCAGGGCGTATCGGAGGCGCGCGAGGCAGAGGGCCCCGCACCCGTGCATAGCCCGCTGACGATGTACGCGACGCTGCTGAGCAAGGGGAGGACGGTGTCGCAGGCGATGTCGGGGACGAAGGGGTATATCCACGTCGTCCAGACGTCGGGGTATAATACGGGGAAGGCGACGGGGGCCACGGTGAAGTTCAAAGCGGGAGACGAGCAGCTGGAGTTGAGGGAGGGCGATGGGGCGTACCTGCACTTCCCGCCTGGCGGTATCGACGTCGCGGTGGAGAATACGGGGGATCGCTCGGCAGAGATCGTGCTCTTCGATTTGCAGGAGTAGTTTCTGACTGGTTTTGGGACATGTTGCGGTGTTGTATATGATAGATAAAAGATGTATAGTAATATGGTCCTTCGCTTGCGTGATGGGTCCGGTGGAGATGCAAGTTGTCGGTCACGGAGGAACTCTCCTCAGTTGAGCAAAGATGCGATGCTCATACCGCTCCTGCTGACGGGTGGGTGTGCAGCAGCTTCAGAAGGCGTCGGATCACCCTCAACCTGCGCCGAGCCCGAGGCCTCTTGCGCCGCTGCGCCATCGACCTTTTTCTTCCGCCCTCGTCTCGTCGGAGGCTCCTTTACTGGCGGTTGCTTTCTAACGGGCATTTGTACCTCATCTTCTGACTCCTCCTCCTCTTCGGGGACGAATGCGTACGAGACAGCCTTCCGTGCGCGCCCACTACGTCGGGGTGCCTCGGATGGTGCATTCGCTGGCGAGGTGTCGCCATGCGCTATTTCACTGTGCGCGCTAATAGCTCCAGCATTGCCATTGTCTTCGCTATCCTGGACTGGCGACGCCGCGCGAGCAGCCCCACCCCGACCTCTTCCCCGACCGCGACCCCGTCCACGACCTCTGCCTCTCCCTCGACCGCGCACTGCGGGCATGTCTGCGGACTCGGCGGAGGGGTCAGCTGGCGCGGTGGCGTCAGCTGATTGCGCTCCGTTATCCGTGTTCAAGGATTGAGGCTGTGAGGTCGCAATCGATTGGGCTGTCAAAGGCTGAGAAGTGGACGTCGTAGGCTGCACCGTGGATGGCGCAGGCTGAGAGGCAGGCGTTGCAGGCCGAGAGGCCGACGCTGCAGCCTGTGAGGTAGACGGAACAGCAGCGGTGGTGGTGGCCGTTTGCGCAGCCACTGCATCCGCGGGTGGTGGCGGGGGCACCTTGCGAGGGCGGCCCCGAGGACGCTTGGGTTTGACTGGTGGCTCGGCTGGTGTGGTAATCTCGGTATTGTGAGTTGCTGATACTTCGGTAGGTTTGCCTGATGCTGGTGGTCCGTTGCTCGTTACCGCGGTTGACGAAGACGATGACGCCACGGGCGATGCGTTGGGGATCAGGGCTCGCAGCGATGGATCGATCAAGTCGACTGCAGGTAAGGACGACGTCGGGGGCGCTTCCTGCGCAGTCGTCTTCGGAGCCGCCGCAGTCTTCCTCCTCTTTGCTGGCCTTTCGTCGCTCGCTCTGTCACCCGCACCAGCCGACCCTTCCGCAGGCGCCGGCGTCCCACTTGTCGGTCCTGGCGTCCCCCTCGTGGGTCCTGGTGTTCCACTCGCCGACCCCGCCTGACTCTGCCCCTCCCCCGCCATCTTCTTCCTCTTCTTCGGATTATCCTTGATATCATTCCAATGATCCCGGCACTGCTCATTCGTCCGGCCCTCCAGATACGTCGCGATCTGCATGTACGCGCCCTCGAACAGCCGGTGCGCCTCGCGCAGCCTCCTGTCCTCCGTCGGGGACCAGCGCCCGCTCTTTTGGTTGAGGCGGTTGTAGCGGGTGGCGGCCTGTGTAGCGTTGAGGTGGGGGGAAGTGTGAAAGGCGACTGTGGGAGCGGCATGAGTAACATGTGAGGAGGGAGATGGAGGAAGGGCATACCTGTAGACCAGTTGTCGTCACCCCAGCGCAAAACGTTCTGCTGCAGTAGCTGGTCCTTGTCGGGGGTCCACTGGAACTGCTGCCGGGGTTGTGCGGCTCTCATACAGTCCATGGGTAGCCGATGCGTCTGTGGTCAAGACTGGTCAGCCGGAGGTGGTCAACTTCATTTCAAGCACAGACTTGCCCCAAGCTCATCGGACACCTTCGCCCAATCCACCGCCTCGTTCCGCGCCCGATACCCTTCGACGAGCGTCTGCAACTTTGTCTTCTCCTTCGCAGACCATGCCGACTTGTTGCTGTACTTCGCAGCAGTGATGTAAGAGAAGCGCAGCTCCTCCTGCTTGCGCTTCTGCGCCTGGTTGTTACTCGAGTTGAATTTCTCGGTGATACCCGTCCAGTCCAACAAGCCGAGGGCGGCGTCGTTATCGACGGGGGACTTTGCACCTTGAATGTTGCTACGGGGGTCAGTTTGGGGTTTGTAATGAGCATTAGCGGTCGTACTTTGCTTCCTTGGCGCGGACTCGGTCCCAATCTCGCGCGACTTCCTTCATCAGAAGGTCCATCTCTCGTTTGCTGACTTCATTGCCGTTAGTAGAAGGATGCTGTTCAGCAAGAGATACACGCACGGCTATTGGGTGTGATCAACGATAGATATAGGTTGCGCTCACCAGCGTCTGCGGCGAAAGGGGAGTCCTGGCGTTTACTTAGTGAGTGAGCTTTCACTAAGGTACTGGGGAGGACCACATACCTTCTTCGTGAACTCATTCTGCTGGAAGTACATTGCAGGGCGAGAGGCACCTGGCGCTTGTACACATGTTACAGGCTCGACTTCCTCGGGTGGTGTATCGGTGATATCTTGCGCCTCTACTGCGGCCTGTGCTTGCGTTAGCCACCAGTAAAGCCCAAAAGTAGAGGCACGTACCAGTGCATCAGTGAGCTGCTCCAACTCGCTGTACAACCGATCGAGCTGGGCCGCTACAACTTCCTTCTGTGCGTGATTTGAGGCGATCGCGCGCTCGACGAGTTCAGCTGTTGAAGGTCTACCCGCAACATCAGGAGCGCGGTTGTCATTCTGTGCGTTCTCATCAGAGTCTCTAGATAGCAGGAAGGGGAGTTGAGGTGAAGCCAGCGCATGTTCGACCTCCATGGTCGAAAGTAAGGCGCGCTTGAAGTTGTTCAAGCACGGGGACAATGACCGGCGTTCCGGGCCGGGATCCGTCATCACTGTCAGCCCCATCGACTCATCAGGATAAGGCTTAGATGGGCGCTTGTTAGCCACCGCCGCGATAACTACACTCAATCCCAACCTCCATCTCCTATTTCTATGTCTGATATGGCTGCTCCCGCGCCAGAACCCAGCAAGCAAAGCCTCTTGACACCAGGATCCTCCGTACCGACGTCGGGCGCCGCCACGCCGACGGCAGCGCAGTTACAGGCTGCGCTGTCACATCCTGCAGCGAAGGTATCGACTGAGAGCTTCCGATCCTCGAGAGCGAAGATTGTGGGGAAGGACACGGGGCCGGAGGGGTACTTCCCCATACATATCAAGGGCCCGGTGCAGAGGGGATTTGGGCGAGGAGGGAAGGACCTGGGATGTCCGACAGGTGCGTGGTACATGCCCCTCCCCTGTCCTGTCGCTGATCGAAAGTACAGCCAACCTCCCGGACGAGTCCATCACACCATTGAGCACTGTCGCGAAGCCAGGTGTCTACTTTGGCTACGCCCAAGTGATCCCACCCGCCGACGCTTCCTCATCGTGGAGGAAGGAAGACAGGCAGGTGCTACCTATGGCTATGAGTATGGGATGGAACCCGTACTATAAGAACGAGAAGCTGACCTGCGTCAGTATCGATTCATCTACTATTATGGGTACAAGAGTACTGATAACGCCTGCAGGAGATCCACATCATGCACGACTTCCCTACCGACTTCTACGGCTACGAGATGCGTGCCGTGGTACTTGGGTACATCAGGCCTGAGCTGGACTACGTCTCGAAAGGTGAGTTTGTAATTGCAAGAGTTGCGCACGTCGCACTGACGTTCGTGATCAGAATTACTAATAGCAGACATCGAGACGGACAAACAGGTCGCCATTCATTCGCTAGACAGACCCGCGTGGCGCTGGGAGAACTTCAGGAAAGGACCCGACGGTACTGAGTTCTTCGCTCCCGTAGACGCGTAGTTGGATATTGTCCGGTAGAGGCAAGATTTCGAGGATGTGTAGAGGCTCGCAACGGAATTTAGAATATTGTAATTTTGCAAGGCCAGCGGCACCACTCCGGGCGGCGTATGGGGACAACTATGCGTGGATGCCAGGGTGAAGGAAGGTCTATAGGTCGCTCAGAAGCTGTCTACTCCTCCTCAACGTATTTGTGACGGATGTCCTTCCACTGCTTCTGTGAAGGGAATTAGCGGTTGCGTTCGATTGGAATATCACACCACGCACCCCTGCATTCCACTTGTCATAAGTCGACTGCACAAGCGAGTCGAAGCCCACGCCGAAGAAGAACGCGCCGGCAAAGACCGTGGACGCGAAGACGCCTGGAGGAGGGGAGGGAGTTTAGTTCATTGCGGATCGAGAGTGAACCGCATTCGATGCGTACTGTTGCGCTTGAAGAACACGTTGTAGACGGAGGTCGAGAGCTACAGAGGTCCTTCAGCAACACTCTCTCCACGGTGAACACCACAGCACACTCACGCTCATGGTTGCAGGCAGCGCGGAGGCGGAGTCGTCGGTGAGGAAGGAGAGTCTCGGGATCGGGCCCGGGCCCGTTGTATCCATTTGTTTACGCCGGGCGCCCATTTGCCAGCACGTGACACGCTCGCCCTTCCTGGACGCCGCCATGTTACGCGCCGCCCGCCCGCTACAGACGCTCCGCCGCTCCCTGCACACCACGGCATGCCGCGCGCAGCAGGCGACAGTCACTCCCCTGACTGGGACTGCCACTACCCCATCCCCTTCGACCTCTACCGCATCCACGACTCAGAGCAACGTCCCTAAAGAATACGACCAGCTGCTCGCGAGCCTTACCTCTGCCAGCGGGCGAGGCAGACATGCAGGGACGTCGGGCAAGCAGGCAGCGGCTGCTACGCCCGAAGTCAGGATGCCGCGGTACATTCTGCACTGTCGCAGCTTCCGGAATACGATCGTGACGCTGACGCGCGAGAATGGCGAGCCGATCGGGTCGTGGACGGGCGGGAGTGTCGGGTTCAAGCGCTCGGGGAGGAAGACATACGAGGCGGGATATCAGTGTGCGGTGCAGTCGTTCAAGATGATGGAAGTGCGTCTGTTTGTTTTGCACTTGAAGGGCGTACTGACGGATTGTCAATACGTACAGGACCTCATCGAGAAGGCCCAATCACAGGGTCACTCAGGCATCCACATCGAGCTGAACCTCGCAGGCTTCGGAAAGGGCAGGCAAGCCGTGCAAACGGCCTTCCTCACCGCGGAGGGGGAGAAGATTAGACCCCACGTCAAGTACGTGATCGACAGCACGCCCCTCAAGATTGGTGGTACCAGAGGGAAGAAGCCGAGGGTCTAGAAGGTTTACTCCCTGTTCTCTTGTCTTGGTAGACTACTTCACAGCATGGTGCGCTGCCTATGCTACATTGCTATTGATCGTCGTTGGCGCAGCGCGCTGCCTCCTGCTCTACGTCGCCTGCTTCAACCCATCGACTCTTCACTGGCTTTATTCTCGGCCCACCCAAAATGGATTGTCGAAGACGTTGTCCGCCAAGACAGCCTCTACATACCGCCCTGCCACATTCGGCGAACTTGACTGTCGTAAGCGCCAGACGTCCTTGACCCCGTTCCCTTGAAGGTACTTCTTCATTCTCGTATAGTTCAGGCCTACGGCTTGCGGACCATGGCTATCGTCTGACAACGTTATGCGGCCCTTGTTTGCGAGGATGTACTGCACAGCTCGTCGGCGGAGTCATGAATATCCTTGAACCATTCATGCTCACCTGCAGGACCTCCTTCCCTGGGTAAGCGGTGCTCCATCCCTTTCTGAAAGCCGCCGCATTGATCTCGAATAGCGCGCCGTACCCGATAGCGAACTGAATGTTCCGTTGTACTCGGCCCCAGACGCTCTCGTGTTCGTCCAGCCTCTGATTAGGCGTATAGAGGCGACATAAGTCGAAGTGGCCGATAACTTCTGGTTTCAGTCGTTGCATCACTTCGTATTGCGAGTCTAGATACGAGCCGAGGAAGTCCTTGGACGAGTCGAAGCCGCTGAGGGCTCCTTCGAAGGTGTCCTTATCGAAGTCGATGGGTATGGAGTTGACATGGTGGACGGAGCCGACGAGGAGCTCGATTTCTCTGGGATGTTCGCGTAGTAGGTCCTCGATCTTCGCGAGGTCGATGTCGGTGATGTACTCGGTCTCAAGACCAACAAGGATGGTGATTTGAGGCGCGTAGAGCTTCTTCAGACGGTGGGCTTCCTCTAGGAAGGCTTGGAATTGCGAGGAGAGGTCATGCAGGGAGGTGCCTTGCTGGACGGATGTGTGTGAGACCTGGAGCAGTATACTGTGGGTGAAGCGCTTTCACCTCCTCGGGATAGAGGTCTTCCTCGCGGTATCGCGGGACATGTTCCGTGAGGCAGAAGAGCTGGAACTTCTGCCGTATGGCCTCCTGCACGACCTCCTCCAGCGTCCCCTTCGCATGCTTGCAGAACTGGCCCGAGTGCGAGTGGTGGCTGAAGGGCATGGCGGCTTGTGGTGAGGAGACGTCGAGGGAACGAGTAGGGGAATGCGACTGAGGCCCAGTCCGCGACGATCGACGAGATGATGGGATATCGCCACTCGCGCCGGCCCGGCGCTTGCCGGGGATGTCACTTCTCTTCCGCCACCATGTTCGACTTCATGCCACTCGTTGTATGCGAGCGGCATGGACTCTGCGGCCGGCATGGTCTCCTCCTACCTTCAGACTAGCGTGTAGTCTAGCAAAGCCGCCACCACATAGGGCTTTGATCGAACAGGAACAGATGAACGATGCGAAGCGCTGGGTGCAGGATTTCAAGTCTGTTGAAATTCCGAGGAACCTGGTCGACATTACTTTCTCGAGGAGCTCGGGACCTGGCGGTACATGAGTCTGTGCCCTGTACTAGGCCTCCAGATTGACTCCATATTACCAGGTCAGAACGTGAACAAGGTGAACACGAAAGCGACACTCCGGTGCAGTGTCACTTCATCGTGGATCCCGCAATGGGCAGGCGCTCGCTTAAGAGAATCAGTGAGCAGTTTTTTCTTGTGTTCATCGGATCCGTGATACCGACCCCTTGTAGCCCCACTATGTACGAGCTACCGACTCTATCCTCCTTACTTCGACAGCACACAGGTCGCAGGCGCAGAATATTGAGGAGTGCATGAGGAAGGTGAGGGCCAGCTCACTATCTATGTGGCACAGTCGCTCATTCTTTCTAGCTGCATAACGTGATAGAGACCGCGTCGTCTGCAGACATCCGCAACGAGGCGAGTCCCGAGCAGAAACAGCGAGTCAAGGCGCTCGAGCGAGCCAACAAGGAACGGCAGAAGAGGGAGAAGATGTACCGGAGTCAGTTGAAGAAGAGTCGCTCTGCACGTCCGGATTGATGATAGCTGCGTTGGTATCTTCCCCTCCCTACTCCTTGCTCGCGACGTATATCTCTTCAGTCTGGTAAAATGCATGCAAGTTCGCTCGGAAAGATCTGACGTCTCGAAATCGAGTCAGACGGCAACACCACAATTGAGCAAGGGTCCGGAGCGGGCGTTGACTTCGGAGAGCGGCGGTCGGCATAGCGTCCGTTGCTGCTCAATTGAAGTTGAACTGCCTGTGACGATGCGGTGACCGTCACGCTAATAGTGACGAAAGATCGGGTGACAGCGTGCAAGCGCCCTAGCTCACACGTTGTCGTCGCTGCGTCGTCGCGCCTTTGCCTCACATTGGGAGTCAAAGGATTATGCAGTGCTGCCGCCTCTTTCATATATCTTAGCCGACGTCTTCCCCATCCACGACCACGACCCCTGTTCCCCCTTGTCACCCTAGATGTCACAGCCCGAGATTCCCTCCCCGTCCGGAGAGCCTGCTGCGCGCTCTGAGCAGCTGCCACCGCCCCCAGGAGATGCGGCAGCCGCAGGCGACAGACCACAGCAGGCTGTGGATGGAGAAGAGCAGGCGCTGGAATCCCATGAAGTCATCGAATTACAATCCTTCAGCGTGAAGAAGGCGTGGATCGAGGAGAAGACTAAGGTGAGGCGTGCTTTGTGCGGATGGTCAAGCGCACAATCTGATGTGAACTTCCTCAGTTTCTCGAGCAGCTTCCTTCGATCGACGTCTTCGTCGGCCTGGACGCTATTCGGGCCTCCGCGGAGGAAGTGCCCGGCCTCCCTACGCGCGCGCAGCTGCAGGAATGGGTGACCGAGCACGATCATATCGAGAAGGAGACCGAGATCTTTGATAGGGGAGAGCTCCAGAAACTCAGGAAGCTGACCAAAGGTGCGTGTCCAGCCTGATGCGTGGCGCCCGGATGCTTACTTCCTGACAGCCGCGACTCAACGAAACCTTTCGCCACAAGACACCGACCTCATTGAAATTACGCTCACGACTATTTATGCTTTGGACAAGCTACTCCATCTCCTCCGGGATCGCTCCGACTCGCTCGACTTGCTCGGCGTCAGGCTAACATGGGAGGAACACCGGTCTGCCTCGTGGAAAGAGCGGCGGCAGATTATCGAGGACCTTGCAAACTTTCTCGAGGCTCGTGCTCGCTGGTCGGCATCCGTCTACGATACTATGCAAGCTGCTGAGGCCCATACTCCTTCCCCACTGAGCTCGCCAGCACCTCCACGTCGCAACTCTATCACTTCCATCGCGTCATCAACACTGTCAAACTCCCAGTCCATCTCGAAACTATCAAGAGTTACTCGGTTCAAGCAAGTCGAACACCTAAATCGCGAGGCCGCACAATTTACTGGCCGAATAACGGCCCTCCGCCATGGACGAGTGGCAGCCGCCGGGAAGGTCCTGGACAAGCTCATCGACATGAGCCGAAGACCTGTACCAGAAGAACTCCTCGATGAACAGGACAGACTTGAAGAACGGGCAATAACGGAGTTGGAAGATGTAGGCAAGTTCGCCATGGACGTAGTCATGCAATGGAGAAAGTACTGTCAATCTGTCATCGTCCTTTGTAGTCCATCGTTAAGCTCATCGACCCTAGGTCTGACGAAACTTATGTCGAAACGATGAAGGATCTCTATGGAGCGCAGACGCTGCTCGAGGAGATTGAGACGGCAAAGCTGCAGCATCCGACGCAGGCTCAGAGCAAGACGTTCACGACGCGCTCGAATGAGCTCTTGCGGCGGATGGCCTACAGGGGTCGACCCACCGCACCTACTAGCTCTTTTCCGCGGCCGAGTCATCCGCTCTTTCCTGACCAGGACGAGGCGAACGCATCAATCGCTTACGCCCTTGAAGCGGAGATCAACTCAACAACTGACATCGTGCAGCAAGTAGCTGAGCTTGCGAAGGAGTATAGGGAAGGCTGGAGCGCGGTGCAAGCGGTCGAAGAGCTCAATAAATCCTGCTCAGACCTGTCGGGCACCTTTGAATCTATCATTGACCGCTTGGAGAACGGATTTACGGGAGCTTCGACGGACGGCAGCGCGCCAGATCTTTCGTCGGAAGCCTGCCTCGAGCCCACCCGGCATGCTGCTTACCTCACACTCCTTCCATCCGTCCTGGAAGAGCTCGAGAAGGCGTCAGTCGCGACATCCACCACAATCCAGGGTTCCCATGCGACGTTGCTAAATGCCGACAAGCCCGGCATCGACGCGACTTTCCGCCAGGAGGCGGCGGCCAATGTGCAGAAGTTGGCGGAGACGCGCAGTCGTGCAGACGAAGTACGCAAGTCGGTCACGGCACGCGTTGCACGCCTTCGCGAAGCGAGGAGGATCAAGAGCCTCATGGAGGACCATTTGCGCCAATTGGAGCAACAGCGACATAGGATTGAGGAGTCGATGGAGAAGTACAAGTGGCGCCAGGAGTCTCGCGGCGGCAACAGCCTCCCCACACCCGAGAGCCCCTCATCGACACCTTTGCAAGATGTGCAACCTGCTGATGTCAGGAGACACCTGCAAGAGCTTGTCGTTGCTCGCAGCCAGCAGATCGAGGCACCTCTCGCGCAGCTCAATGCGACACTGGAAGAGCCTATGCAGCAATGGTTGACTAGTAGCCTGTCTACGCTGAAGACCTTGTCTGCACAGCTGGAGACCATGACAACGTTGCTCGAGGGCATTCAGAAGCAGAGCACTGTGATGGCCTCGGTTCGCGACGAGTTCAATGACCTGCACGTACGCGCTGAAGATATCCGGATGCGCTATCAGAGCGCCGCCAACCATGTTCTGTCTGGCGAACTTCACGGCGACAACATCGCTGAGTCCAGGGCGCAGCTGCTAGACACCCTTAACGATCTCGACACGGCGGCCACGACGTTCACTAACGGCCTTTCGTCGCGGATACCCTTCGTTGCTCGTCAGCCTGCGCCTTCACCTGTTAAGAAGGCATTCACCTTTGTCAAGCGGCGACCGTCATTAGCTGACCTTCGACTTGGCGCAAATACCCAGGACGAGCATTCCATCGACCTTCCCTTCGACTTGACCACGCTTGACGAAGCCGTTCGGTCTGACAGCAATTCCTACGCGATGCGCCTGAGTAGCGAAGTCCAGAACCTCCGCCAGCGTGCGGAGTATCTCAACCAGGCTATCCGCGCGAAGGAGTTCGATGCGCGCTTGATCGGTGTTCTGGATGACATCGACGCCTTCGCGGGGCAAATCGACTCGTTGAAGACGACATTGTCCAGTGTCGCGTCTCAACCTGATTGTCTTGACCGCCTGGAGGCTTTGCGCGCGGAGGTACAGGAGACGCTCGCTACACGCCAAGAGGCGCTTGCTCGTTGCATGACTCCTTTGCAAGACATCTTGCAGGAGATGGAGGCCTCCGCCGATTCGCACAGCACATCTCCCCAGGAAGTTTTGCATATCAGTCGCAAGCGCGCACTCAGTGATGCCAAGTCCAAGCTCATGGACATCAAGAACGACGGCGAAGCCCTCGTGTCGCGCATAGCAGACGCGCATGCAGCAGAGGCGCGGCGGTTGGAGGAAGCCAGGCTGGAGGCCGAGCGGTTGGCGCAATTGGAGCGGGAACGCCAGGCCGCCGAAGCCGCTGAGGCTGCGCGACTGGAGCAGGAGCGTCTGGAAGAGGAGCGGAGGCAACGGGAAGAGGACGAACGGTTGACTGAGGAGCAGCGCAAGCGCGAGGAAGAAGAGCGTCTGGCGCTACTTGCTGCAGAGGAGGCCCGCAAGGAGGAGGAGCGCCTTGCTGAGGAGCAGCGCAAGTTGCAGGAAGAGCAAGAGGCGGAGGAGAGGCGGCGTGCTGAGGCGGAGGAAGCGCGTCTGGCGGCGGAGAAGGCGGAGAGGGAGCGCTTGGAGAGCGAAAGGCTGGCAATGGAGGCGCGCCTGAAGGAGACGGAGGAACAGCTTGCGGTCGAACGGCAAGAGCGCGCAAAGCAGGAAGCGGAGGCCGCTCGCCTTGCTGCTGAACGGAGCCCTCCATTCAAGCTCATGCCCGCGTTTGAGGAGGGTAAGTGTTGAAAGCCATCGCGTGAAATGATTGTGTCTCATTAATGACACAGATGTCTTCGGTCTCCGTCTCGCGCCCTCTGGCGGCATGCCGCCGGAGATGTCGTCAGAGATGAAGGAGCTACAGGCACAGATTGTGGCTTTGCGACAACGTTTACGCTCCCTCAGCATCAACGAGTTGGCACGTTCGACGACGAAGTCCTCTAGTCAACTTCCGCGCGACCAGCAGATCCACCACATCATCACCCAGTTCAACGGGATCAAGCAGGAGGTTGAAGCCCTTCCGGCCTCTGCTGAGGACTCGCTGGTGAACGCGGAACTGCGGTCTCTGCGCACGGAGGTCGAGCAGTCTATGGCTTTGGTCCAGGACCTAGACAAGCTGCGCCAATTTGGGCAATGCATCAAGGAGTGCGACGATGCGCTCAGTGACTTGCTTGAGCATATCGATAGCTTCCCCTCCCCGCCACTTGCGACTATCTCTACGCGCATCCAGCCGCCCAATGGCAGTCCCGACGACCAGATGCTGACGAGGCTCAATGCGACGCGCTCGCTTGTCGACGAGATGTCCCTCCAGTTCCGCTTAGTATCCAACGACCCTCGCGCGATCTCGGAGAACGAGCGGGTGCTGCAAACATGGAGCGAGCTCGAGGAGATGGCGAGGGATCGTGTGGGCGGCAAGCGATCGCGGCCTGCCAGCGTGGCGAGCTCGGTGCATAGCTCGACTGGGCCGGCCACCAGCCGCTCGCACTCAAGAACATCGACGCTTAGCAGCACGGTGTCCCGTGGCGGAGGAAAGACCAAGGGGTACGGTAACTTGGGCACGTCGCATACCGCGGGCTCAAAGTTCCTTTCGCCTACGACGCTGCCGCCGAAGCAGCCCGGGGGTCGTCGTGTGGTTTCTGGGTCATCGCGCCCCAGTCGGCCGTCAAGCCGGATGTCGAGCGTGTCCTCGCAGCGCTCCGTATCTGGCTCGTCCCTGTTCAGCTCGACCTTCGCGTCGCGGCAGCGCACCAACAGCGTCACGCTCTCCGAGTCGCCCGTCGCCAAGAAGACATCGACTTCCCGCGTGCGCGCGCAGACTGCGCAGAGCAAGCGTAGCTCCTCGCCCAGCGTTATGTCCGATGCCTCCTCCTTCGGTGTTCCGACATCAGCGTCCTCTTTTGGCGTGCCCTCCCGCTCCTCGACGTCCCTCTCCAGCTGGGCGCGCAGCGGCCCCCGCAACTCTATCTCCTCACTCACGCGCGGTGCTGTGTCGACGCCGACGAAGAAGGCTGCTGCGCCGCGCAAGCGGTACGTCGCGGACCCGAAGAGCAAACTGGATGTCGCGGTCGGCGAGGTGGTGAACAAGTTGCCGGTGGGGATCAATGTGGAGGGTTTGACGGAGACGTACAAGGACCAGAGCGGAAAATACTGGATAGGCGACCAGGAGCCGAAGTTGTGCTTCTGTCGAATTCTGCGGTCGCAGACGGTGATGGTGCGCGTGGGTGGTGGGTGGTCGGAGTTGTCGAAGTGGGTGAAAGCTTTGTTGGTTGTGTCTACGGGGCTGACGCAGTGTTTTCAGGTTCATCTCGGAGCACTTTGCGGACAGCTTTCGTGTGCTAGAGACCTCTCCCCCTCGACCTGGGCAGGCAGAGGAGAAATGGATCAGCTCCGCGACGTTACTCGAGGCTGCCGAGATCACAGATCGGCCTCTGCGCTCACCACACACGCCCGAGCCAGGCGAGCTGCCCTCCTTCGCCATCGTCTCTCCGGATGCACATAGTCCGCGGTCACTCAAGTCATCCCCCGGCTCCAGCCGAGGCAATGGCTCCCCAGGCCTCACACCGCTGCAATTCCTACGACGCGCAGACCCAGAAGCCTCGCCACTGCCGCTGCGTCCAGCGACGCCAACGCGGTCAACGGCGTCCACCGTGCACTCGCGCATGCGCAGTCCCGGCGGGTACACGCCCAACAGAAACTCGGTCTGGCGCCCGTGAATACGTGTACACTGAACGTGAACATAGACTACAAGTATTGTTACACCACCCAGCGTCCTGCGGGCCTACTCACTGGTGGTTATATTCCCTGCTCCCCTCCACTATACTTGTTTGCCTGATTTACGGCTCATTGTTCGATAGACGGTTCGTCACAGGACCGGATACGAGTGCTTCACCATTGACTGTTGGCCTCAATTACACCCCTTCGCCCCTACTTCGTTCGACTTCATGTGTTACTGTATTCCCTGGCATGGCATGGCATGACATTCAAGTTATTTACGCATCCGCACATATTATTGTTGGACCATACTACTTAGTCGTATAAAGCTCTGGGTAAGTTAGCTTACGAACTGCACCTGTACCAGTAACACTCACAGTCTAGAAATGAAATGAGGCGTTAGCATGAGGAAGGATTCGGAGATGCAGAGTTCAGACAAGTTGGACTGTGACCGGGATATGCATCACTGATCGAGGAGAACAATGGGTTAGGCGCCCCGGTCCGATCGAGCTCACCTTCGTTTTCCCATGTTCCGACTCTTGACGCGACAAACCCTCGCGCGAGGCGTGCGCTCGACTCCCGTCTTACGCGCCCGTATACCCAGTCGTGCTGCGTCGAACACCGCAGTCAAGTCAGACCCACCCGTTTGGCCCTTCGTGCTCTCCTTCGTCGCCTTTGCCTCCGCTTCCCTCTACTTCATCATCATCCCCGACGAGTCCCGCGCCGCACCAACCAAGACCACAGGCAGCCTCTCTCCGCGTCATTTCACCCCCCTCCCCATAACCTCCCACAAGCATGTCGGCGCGAACGGGCTGCTTATGACCCTCACGCTGCCGCCGGAGCAACTTGCCGCGCTGCAGTCGACTCCGGATAATGGGTATCAGCCCATATGGTCCGTCTTCATCAAGGACGATGATATACAGGTGGAGAGACCGTATACGCCGCTATATGGGTTAGAGGAAGACGGGAAGATGTCGTTTTGGATCAAGAAGTACCCGAAGGGGGAGGTCGGGCGGTGGCTGCACGGGAAGTCGGAGGGCGACCGCATAGAGATTCGCGGTCCGCTGACGACCTGGCCGTGGAGAGACGATGCGTGGGACGAGGTGGTCATGGTATGTGTGGCTTGCATTAGTGCACGCTTGGTTCGTATTCACTTCTGCATAGATCTCCGGTGGCACAGGCATTACACCCTTCGTGCAACTCTGGTCTTCCGTCATCGCCTCCGAACGTTCGCCAAATACCCGCTTCACCCTCCTCCATTCTTCCCCTTCCTCCGACGAATTGCCACCAGCGGAAGTCCTGAGCACGCTTGCTTCCTATGCCGCCGAGCACCCCGAGCGCTTTCACTTCCGACTGTTCGTCGACCAAGATGCGAAGCCGCAGCCCTACTTGCCTGCGTCTGCTGCAACGCCTGCATTGGGGCGTATAAACAAGCTTGCAGTGGAGAAGGCTGTCGATGCGGGCAAGACGGAGGTGTCGTGGTGGAAGCGGCCCTTCACGTCGAGCAAGTCGAGTGAAGAAAAATCACACCGCAGAATTCTCTTCTTAGTATGTGGTCCTGAGCCGTAAGTGTCTCTTGCTGGTCAGTGGGCTTCGTATGCTGACCCTTTTGTAGCATGATTGGGGCACTTGCAGGCCCGTACGGACGCAATTTCTCTCAGGGCCCTGTTGGTGGCGTGCTCAAGGAGTTGGGGTACGGCAACGACCAGGTTTACAAGTTGTGACCACGTCCCTACGCCGGGGAATAGATTATGAAGACCTGCGAGGACATTGAGATGTATATTTGTGAGATAGCAGCAAGAACTCGATTCGAGGTTGTTACAAGCAGCACCGTCTGAGGTTGCACAAGAAATAGAGCAAGAACACGATCGTACATTACACCGGAGACCGCGACCGCGAGTCCCGAATATCGTCCCTGCTACGGCTCCTGCGGCCACGGCTATAGCTCCTCCCCCGACTATAGCTCCTAGCCCTGCTGGGACTCCTGCTCCTCGAATAACTGTACGACCTTGAGTAGCTCCTGCTCCGCGTCCGGCTGCGGCTGCGCGAGTACGAGAACGACCGCGAGCGCGATGACCGCACCGTGCTCTTCGACCGCGTCCGCCCCCTGCCACGCCCCCCACGCGTATAGCTCGGCGACCGCCTCCTCGGCGGAAGCCCCGGGCCCCGCCTGACCGGCGATCGGCTGCGCGACCGCGAGTACGAGCGCGACGTGTAGCGCCGACGGCCCAGCGCAGGCCGGTACACGTCGCGCGCCCGAGGAGGGGGTGGACGCCCGAAGCGGCCACCACGCCGGGCGCGCAGGGGCGAGCGAGAGCGACTGCGCGAGCGCGAGAAGGAGGGGCGACGGCGAGGGGGGCGGCGCGCGGCGGGAGGAGGGGGCGGGGAGCGCGAGCGCACGGGGAGGTCGGAGAGCTCGAGCTTGAGGACGGCGCCATCGAGCTGGCCGCCGTTCATGTGCGTATACGCCTTGTGCGCGAAGGCGGGCTCGGTGAACTCGACGGCGGCCTTGCCGCGGTTTTGACCGGCTGTGAGAAGGAATTAGTACCGTGATATGTGTTGTGAAAGGTGAGGGGACGCACATTTCGCAAAGGTGGGCAGGTCAATTTTGTTGATTGTGCCGTAGAAGCTGAAGATGGTTTGGAGGTGCGCCTCGACGACATTGCGCGTCAGGTTCTGGACAATGACGACCTTCGCATCAGGGTTCAGGCGTTCGTCGTCGTTCTTGGGCTTCGCGGAGTCGATGTCCATGCCGGGGGACCGCGACCTGGTTCTGCTCCTGCTCCTCGACATGGCTCGGCAGGAAGAAGGTACGAGTGTCACGATGTCACACGAAGGTGACAGTCATTGTTAGGGGACAAAGCCGAACTTCCATGCTTTTTTTCGACTTCCGATACAGCTCTGCTGTATGCTCCCAGAATGTACATCTATACCACACCATATATTCCAATCCTCCTATCCATCCACCCTCCTATAACCCTACTCTTCCAACAACCTCGCCATCAGCTCCGGATTCCTGCACACGAAATCGCACTTGAACGGCTCCGGATGGCTCGTCAGCCCGGTCTTATACTGCACCTTGCGCAAGTCGACGACGTTCCCGTTCTCATCTTTGCCTGGCTTGAGGTCGTATATTGCCAGGAGATTCGTGAGGTTGAAGAAGAGGGAGGTCTCAGCGAAGTAAGCGCCCGGGCAGATGCGGCGACCGAAGCCCTGGGGGTGAGAGGGTCAGAGACGGAAGGGTACGAGTGCACGATGAGGGAATGAGCGGGGAGGAGCATGGATGGACTTGACCGTAGAAAGTATGGTACTAGAGGGGGGCAAACTCACAAAGACCAGCTTCTTGGGCTCGAGCTCGTTCCGAGGTGGCAAGAATCGCTCTGGGTCGAACTTTTCCGGCTCGGAGTATACTGCAGGATCCCTCGTCATGGCCCTGCACTTGTTCAGTGACCATATATCAAGGCTTGCGGGAATGCACATGCCATATGCTCGGCACAATTGTGGTGCCCTTAGGGATGAGATACCCCTCGTAGTAATCGTCTTGCGTGAGACGGTGTGCGGGGCCTATATCTGGTCAGTTCCCAGTTGTCTTCCTGGACAGTGCTACTCACCGATCGGCGCAACGGGCGCGAATCGCTCAACCTCACTGATCACCGCGCGCACGTATGCGATTGCCGGATCGTCGCGGTCCGTCGTGGTCGGCAGCCTATTGTTTTCGGCGACAAACTTATCTATCTCGGCCTGGAAGCGGCGCTGGATGTCGAGATGCCGGGCGAGAGCGAGAACGCAGGAGGACATGGCGGAAACAGTCTGAAGGGGGACGCGCGAATAAGCTCGGCAGAACGATGTTTTTGCGAAGGTGTGCAGCCTACCGTATCTGACCCACCGGCAAAGAAGGAAGTGGCGCAAGTCTGAATAAGGGCCTCCTCCTCTGGGGTGACTTCGTGCTTGTCCTCGGGTAGCAAGAAGTGAGAGGCAAATGAGTCGACGTAGTCGCCCTTGGCCTGTGCGAGCGTTAGTGAGGATTTATCAATAATGAGGACTCATGAAGATGATGCCGCCGGTTACTGCAAAGGACCACACGAATCACTTGAAGACTCACGCACAATTTGCTCTTTCGCCCAAGTGAACGGAATCGTGTCAATCTCCTTCGACCGTGTCGCAACCCTCTTCGCCGTCTTTTTCCACCCGGTGAAGGGGAACCAGTCGGGGACGAAGCGCACTGGGTAGCAGGTTATTGGGAACAGACCCGTATAGGAGCGCTGCGAAACAAGCTGACGCCTTCAAGAGAAAGAGAGGCTTACATATAGGCCACGAGTCCACAGCCCACCTGCCCGGCTGTAGCGCGATACCAGCGAGGTAGAACGCCTCCTTGATCATCTCGATCAGCATGTCGTTGTCGTCCTTCATGGGCCAGCCGTATGCTAGCTTGAGTGATGTGGCGTTGGAGAGTCTGCCGAGGGCAGTCAGTACTTCCCTTCAGTCGGGATCCTCAAGCAGTACGTGTCCGCCACCTCGCTCACTAACCTTCGGATATGCGCAATGAAACCCTCCGGTGCGCTATTGATGTTATTCACCAGCGTCTTCAGCTCCTCGCGCATGATTGGACTGTAGCTCTTCACCGCGCGCTGGTTGAGGCCGTGCCCGAGCATGCGCCGATACGTCTTGTGCAGAGGGTGTTGGGAGGAGATGTTGGTAGGGGACCTGGGGTTGGGCTGTCAGTCAGCTCGGCCATCAGTAAGCTCGCGGCTGGATAGTAAGCTCGCGATCTCGTGCGCCACCTCGACGTCGCGAGCTATGACAAAAGACGCACATTCCTCTGCCCCCAAGCTGCGGCGCCATGAAGAACCACGCCATGGGCCGGTCCGAGTAGATGTTGGAACGCCCCTCCAGGAGATCGAACGCGGCCTTGACATTGTTGATTACGACGAATTGCTTGCGATGCACGCGGTAGTAGATGACAGGACTGCCTGTAGAGGGAGAGGTAGGTTGGAGAGATAAAATGGGGAGAACGAAGGGAGGTGGTGTGGACGAGGTGAAGGGGGGATAAAGATGAAGGGGAATGAGAAGGACGAAGGGGGAGGGGAACGACAAAGGATAGTCAGCACCCAGCACACTTCCCCCGCCGGTTCAACCACGCACCATACTCCTCCGCCCACCGCATATACGTCTCCCATTTCTCTTTCGTTGTCGCCGGCAGCTGGTGCGCGTTCCCCGAGAAGAATTCCCCGGGCGGGCCGGGCGGACGCTTTGAGAGGCTGCGCGAGACGGTCTTGCCGAGGAGGACGAGGACGAGGCTGGCAAGCGCGGTCGCGGTGATGGTCTTGCCGGTGAGTGGGATCGCCTTCACGCCGAGGGGGATGCACTTGATGTCGAAGGGGATTGCCTCCAACAAGTTGGAAGGGATCCCCTTCAGGTTAATGGGGAGTACGTCCATCGTCACGAGCAGCCCTTCAATCGCCGAGGACGGTGTCCGCAGGTAGAAAGAGAGCAGAAGGAGAGATCACGGAAGGGCTAGCCCGCCGTATGTTTTGCTGGTGTTTTGCATCGCTCGCCGACGCCGCTCGGCGCCTCCCAGTGCCCAATGACAGTCTCGGCACCTGTGAGTTGTAGTGGGTTCATCACCATCATGTGTAATCGGGATGGTGTGCAAAGGCACCGTTTGAGGGCGCGATAAGGATGATGTGAGGGGGGAAGGGCGGCAGGGATGTGGATGCAAGGCGCGCCAATGATCGGCTGTTGGTTTGTGAAGAGTATCCGAGCTGAAGATGATACCCCGTCGGATTTCACGGGTTCAGAGTTTCTAGCCAGATTCAGACCTGGAAGGAACGCGTCGGAGGAGGATAATGCATTGCGCCCTTCTCGGGGGACGCGCCAATTCATCCGGAACACGCTCGCGGTCGATGAAATGGCGAAGTGTGACAAGAACAATGGCGGTCCGTATCACATATTGCCACGGTCACGAGGTACAAAGTTGAACGCTCATGTTGATCAAGTGAGGTGAAGAAACGATGCACAAGGAAACCGAAGCAAAAGGGTTACATGTAAGCTATGGCTACAGTGGCAGGTTGTGATACAAGCGTTGGCACTGGGGAGTTATGAGTCTTTGTCTTCTCAAAACGCCGCCTCCTTCCTGGAAACACTCCACGGCGTCCCCGCCCCATAAAAGTCCATCGGATACCTCCCGACCTCCTGCGACGCGTATAGCTTCCCCTGCTCCTCTCTCTCCTTCAATACCCTCCTCTCCTCCCTCTCCTCAAACCACCCCTGCGCCTTCCCCACCGCCACGCACGCCTCATACGGACTGAGCAGCGGCCGGTCGAACGCGTAGCCCCAGTCAATAGATAAGCGGGGGCAAGAAGTTTGTACGAAGGTCGAGATGAAGGGGGTGGGGGATTTCGTGGTGGCGTTCGCGTCGGGCTGGCAGTCTGCGTTGAACAAAGCAAGCTTCGCGGGCGAGAGCTCGGAGAGGAGGATAGGCATGAAGGGGATAGGGATTTGGGAGGCAGAGAGCTGATGTGTGATTGCCTGGAAAGAGAGACGGTGTCAGCATTCGCAAATTGGGGGTGAATGGATAAGGGAAATAAACGAACCTGCAACTGTCTGAAATTCCCCTGCCTGCCTAGCGTACCCAGAATAACACCCCACAGCGGCGCATCGCTTATAGGCGAGTAGGGTTGTGTGCCCGATCTCGACTCAACACCCGCGGCTGATTCTGCGGCCTCCATACCCGACGCCGCTTTATCCTGGAGAGCCCTCCCCTCACCCGCCCTCCCCACAGGAATACTCTTCCTCGCCGTCCGCACCGCATCCTCCCTTATGCGCTGCATCTCCGCATGGTCGTACCGCTCGCGCGTGAGCTTCTTCGAGTAGGGGTCGTACCGGAAGGCGGGCACGGATGGGTTGGCGATCATAATGGACTCAAGGTGGAAGCGGCCGTCGCCGAGGTAGCTGGGGGTGGGCGTTAGTGTGGGTAAGGGCGGAGGGCGAGGGATGCAGAGGGATGGGATGAAGGGACGGGGTTTGGAAAGGATGGAGATAGTGGGTGGGCGGAGAAAGTCAAGGAGGTGATAGACTTACACAAGAGCATCCACATCTTGCAAAGCAGGAGATGTACATCCCAGGATCTCTCCGGGGGAAAGAGGTTTGGCGCGCGGTATACTTGCATCGTACGTGCCAGTCCAAAGGGTGGTCGAAGATGAACCGTCCACAGAGTACGGGGCAGAAAGGTCCTCCTTCAGTCTCTGTAGTGCAGACACGAACTGGATTGTCGAGACAAGAGCAAGCTTCGTAGGTTCTCGCTGGCTTTCTGGGCGGCAGATGAGGGACGAGTCCTCCGGTGCCACATCAGCGTTGGTGGGCGGTGAAGTTGACGCTGCTGGGCCCTCTATCCGTAAGTGACGCGTCTTTCCAATGATACTGCCCGCCGGAATAGCGCGATTGGACTCCTCCGATTTGAGCAGGTTGTCGTAGAATTCGGCGCGGTCGTCGGGGAAGTTGAGGCGTATGGTTTGGTGAAGGTGGGAGGAGTCGATGGCAATTTCGACGAAGACGTATAGAGTCTTAATACTCGTTTGGTCCATCGGGACTTCGGAGAGGGATATAAGTTTGGACTCAGTTGGGCCGATCGGAGGGGGGACGAACCCAAGCAACTATGGCCATAATGCACAAGCATGTCGCAGCCCAGCGCAACGGCAGTGTAGTCGTCTATGCAGCAAGCGCCATACGTGACATCGCCCATGATAACAGTCAAGGCATCGGTGAACCTAGCGGGACATCAGCTCCCTCCCAGCAAACACCGATCACCCCACCTACTGCTCGATAATATCCGCGATCGTGCACGCAAACATCTGCAGCCCCTCCGGCATCTGCAGCGCCACCATTGTCGCCTTGTTCTTCCGCACATGGTGTATCGTCTTGTGGATCTCGAGCGAGTAGTTCGAGGGGAGCAGCTTGATCGCGGCGTTCAGCGCCTCGTCGTTCAGGATCTCCGGCGGGATCTGGTTGCTGACGACGTGCGAGACGCCGGGCTTTGAGGGCGTGGCGGACTTGCTACCCACAAATCGCTTTCGCGGCCTCGACGCGTTCCCCGCCGCCTTCTGTTTGCCCTTCTCTGCAGACATAGCGCTTAGTGAGGGTCCTGTGAGGGTGATGAGGGGATGCAAGATTTGTGATGTGCCGGTCCGGTTCGCCGACATTAATCCACGTGGCCGTCGTGCTACTCAACCGGACGGGTCATTGACGTTGACGCGCACCGCGTCTTGCTTGCCTCCTGCCGTCATCTTGCTGCATGCCAGCATAGTCGGCTTGGAAACACACCAATCATGGACACGATAGGAGAGCCAGGGCGATGCGCTATGCGCTCGTCCTGCGGAAGGAAGGGCTTCTTCGGGAAGGAGCTCCCTTGCCCGTATGACGGACCCGCAGTTGAGGTGAGTCCCCCGCGTCATGCAATGAGATACTCTCTGACGCCAGTAGCCAGAAGATGCGGAAACGCGCAAGTTGCTTGCTGATGTCTGCGGCGCTGAGTTTGCCGAAGGGCCAACGTGCTGCACGTCTGGACAATTGGAGACGCTGAGGGACAACTTCGCAACTGTGGACAACATCATATCCTCCTGTCCTGCTTGCCGGAACAACTTCCACTCTTTCTTCTGCTCATTCACATGCTCGCCTGATCAGGCTACCTTCGTTAACATCACGGAGACGCAGAAGTCACAGACGGGGGAAACGGCGGTCAAGTCTTTGGACTTCTTTGTCGAGGAGCAGTATGCAAAGGGGTTCTTCGACAGCTGCAAGAGCGTGCAGGTCGGCGCGACCAACGGCTATGCTATGGACCTTATAGGAGGTGGCGCGAAGGACTACAAGGCATTTCTTAAGTTCCTCGGTGACGAGAAGGATATTGGCAGCCCCTTCCAGATCAACTTCCCCCATGACACTCCCTCGGAGTTCACCGCATACAACGCGACGCCAAGGAATTGCGCCGATAATGACCTCGCAAGCCGCTGCACATGTATCGACTGCCCGGATATCTGCCCCACTCGCCCACCCATCGACCCGCCTGGCGGCGGCCCAACGTGCCATGTTGGCGCCATCTCCTGCCTTACGTTCGTCCTCACCCTTACGTATGGGCTTGCTGTGGTCGGGTTCTTGTTCGGCTACCTCATCGAGATCACTATACGCAAGCGTCGGGAGCGACTGTACGAGCGCGTCGCGCTGTCGGTGGACAATGCGTCGATATCACCGCGCTCCAATACGCGTGGGCTGGTCGGCGCTGGGTCCCTAGCGCACTACGTGGACGAACCCGCGCGTTCCGCCTCTGAACACGACCTCGGACCCCGCGTCGCGTTGCTCGACCCCGTGGAGACAGTACAGCCGCGCCAATTCCCTCTCCAGAACTTCCTTCGCCGCATGTTCTACCGACTTGGTCTTTTCGCTGCCGGATACCCATGGGCGACCTTCGCACTCGTCTTCACTGCAATTGGCCTCTTGAATATTGGCTGGAAGCGCTTCGAGGTCGAGACGGACCCTGTCAGGCTCTGGGTGGCACCCACATCGGAAAGCAAGCAGCAGAAGGAGTTCTTCGACGAGCATTTCGGGCCATTCTATCGCGCACAGCAGATATTCGTCACTGCGGAGGAAGACGAGCCAGCGATGACCTTCGACCGATTGGAGTACTGGTTCGACGTGGAGCGGGAGATCCGCGAGCTGAAGTCGTCGCCGCACAACTACACCCTCGACGACGTCTGCTTCAAGCCTGCAGGGTCGGAAGGCGCGTGCGTATTCCAGTCAGTTGGAGCATGGTTCGACACATCCTTGGAGGGGTATGACGAGGATACATGGGCAGAGCATGTCCAGCAGTGTGCCCTCAGTCCTGTCGAATGCTTGCCCGATTTCCAGCAGCCATTATCTCCCGAATTCGTTCTGGGAGGCGTCCCACAGGGCGAGAACGACACGACACCTCGTTATACGGATGCCGCCGCCATGGTGGTGAACATCGTCGTCTCCGACTCACTTGACGAAATCGTGCAGGCGAAGGCAATGGAATGGGAGACTGCATTGAAGGACTACTTGCATCAGGTTGCGGAAGAAGCACCGGAGCATGCGGGACTACAGATATCCTTCAGCACCGGTGTCTCCCTCGAAGAGGAGCTCAACAAGAGCACGAACACGGACGTGAAGATCGTCGTCCTCTCATACCTTGCCATGTTCTTTTACGTCGCACTCACGCTCGGCAGCGGCTCCGCCACTCGGGACGAAGAGACCATTGGCTCCTCCCTCAGACGCTGGGCGCGCAACTTCCCTGGTCTCTTCAAGCGCCGCGGCATCATGTCGTCCTCCATCTCTACCGACTCTCGCGAGGTTCCCACCCTGTTCCCGCGCCTCCCGCGGAAGCTCTTCGTGGGCTCGAAAGTCACACTGGGCCTCTTCGGCATCATCCTCGTCATCCTCTCCGTATCCTCCTCCGTCGGCCTATTCTCCGCCATGGGCGTCAAAGTCACGCTCATCATCGCCGAGGTCATCCCCTTCCTCGTCCTCGCCGTCGGCGTCGACAACGTCTTCATCCTCGTGCACGAGCTCGACCGGCAGAACCTGCTGCACGGGCCGAACGCCGCCGCGCTCATCGCGAGCCAGCACGAGCACGAGCGCGATGCGACGTCCCCGATCTCGTCGCACCGCTCGCCGTTCGACTCGACACACGATGACGTGGACGCAGCGAGCATGCCGCTGCTGCTGAGCGCAGAGGAGCGCGTGGCGCGTGCGTTGGCGAAGATGGGCCCAAGTATCTTGTTGAGTGCGACGACGGAGACGATTGCGTTTGCGTTGGGGGCGATCGTGCCAATGCCTGCTGTCCGGAACTTTGCGCTGTATGCGGCGGGGAGCGTGTTCTTGAACGCAGTACTACAAGTCACGGTCTTTGTGAGCGCGCTGTTGTTGGACCTGAAGCGCGTAGAGGTGAGTTGCGTACGTGATATCTGAACTAGGCCGTGCTGATGCGTTCGGTAGTCGAACAGGGTGGACTGCTTCCCTTGCGTGAGGTTGCCGCCGCGGATTGCTCTGTCAGATGGCCCGCCTGGTGGTGCTGGGCTGGGCGTTCTTGCTCGCTTTATCCGCAGATACTATGCCCCCTTCTTGCTCAAGCCCGTCGTCAAAGGCATTGTATTCGCCATCTTTATGGGGATGATGGTCCTATCCGCCATCTCTATGCAACACTTGCGTTTAGGGTTGGGTATGCACGTCTTATCTTGTCACTTTGCGCGCTGGTTGATACTTTCGCAGATCAGCGCCTGGCTCTGCCGTCAGACTCGTACCTCGTCGACTACTTCAATGACATGGATCAGTACCTCGATATCGGCCCGCCTGTCTACTTTGTCGTCGACCACTTGAATGCTACGGATCGCGCGGGTCAGCAAGAACTGTGCGGTCGCTTTACCACCTGCTCGGATGCATCGGTAGCAAACGTCCTCGAAGCCGAGCGTAAGCGCCCGGACGTGTCGTTCATCTCGCAGCCGACTGCGTCATGGATCGACGACTTCCTCCAGTGGCTTGACCCTGCGAAGGAGACCTGTTGTCGCGTTCGCAAGAGGGACCCGTCGGTGTTCTGCACTGGCAGGGAGTCCTCGCGCGTATGTCAGCCCTGTCTTGCTGGCCAGGAGCCGCCCTGGAACATCACCATGGATGGCCTCCCCGAGGACGGCGAGTTCATGCGCTACCTCAACCAGTGGCTCATCTCGCCAACCACTGAAGAATGCCCCCTCGCTGGCGCCGCATCCTTCGGGACTGCCCTTTCCCTGTCCCCTGACAGCGACGACGTCGTGGCCTCGCACTTCCGCACCGCACACCGCCCACTTAAGACCCAAGAGGACTTCATCCACGCCTTCGCCGCCGCGCACCGCATCGCCGACGACCTCTCCGCCGAGACCGGCGCGCGCGTCTTCCCCTACTCCCTCTTCTACGTTTTCTTCGACCAGTACGCGCACATCGCGGCCATCACGCAGGAGGTCCTCGGCTTCGGGCTCGCCGCCGTGCTCGCGGTGACCGCGGTCCTGCTCGGCTCCTGGCGCACGGGCGTCATCGTCACCGCCGTCGTCGGGCTCACCGTGGTGAACGTGATGGGCGTGATGGCGGTGTGGGGGATCATGCTGAATGCGGTCAGTTTGGTGAATCTGGTGATCTCGCTGGGCATTGCGGTAGAGTTTTGCGCGCATGTGGCGAGGGCGTTTATGAGTGCGGGGTCGGGGCTGCCGATGGACCATCCGGCGGGGCAGAAGGAGAGGGACGAGCGGATGTGGAATGCGTTGGTGGATGTTGGGCCGTCGGTGAGTGCGTTATCGGAAGTGTTGAATGTGGGTGCTCAGGATCTGCATAGGTGCTTTCTGGCATCACGTTCACGAAGTTGATTGGGATGTGTGTTCTCGCCCTGACACGGTCTAAGTTGCTTGAGGTATGTGATCTTTATATGCTGTGACAGTGCCCGTACCAACATTCTGCAGATTTACTACTTCCGGATGTGGTTGACCTTGATTATCTCCGGCGCACTTCACGGACTTGTGCTGCTGCCTGTCATTTTGAGTGTTGCTGGAGGTCCCGGCTTCCCTCAGCAAGAAGCAGACGAGGAATGGATGGCTAATGCGATCAGGAACGACTACGAATATGCGTAAGTCATTGAGATCGTCCGCCACTGGTCTCCGCTGACAAGTACCCTCAGGCCATTCCTTGCGGACGACGACTCGTACCACAGCGATTGATTTATACACGACTGACTGTCTTGGAACTTGACCTATCTTACACGCTGTAATTTCTAGTCACTATCTGACCTTGTAGAACGCTCAACCAGAAGATACCTGCAAACTTCACGTCTGCGCAGCGGCCTCTGGCTTGCAGTCCTCCCCCGTCTTGCAGTCCTGCTTATTGTCGCTGTGGCCGAGCGACTTGCCAGGCTGTATGACGTCTCGAATGCGTTGTTTCTGCGTGCTTGTTGGGCAAGGTTGTAGTGACTGCTGATGATTGCTTACCAGGACCTTGAGCTCAGGGAAGCCTCCCTCGGTCTTGCGGTCCCACATGAGCTTTGGCGGCTCAGATGCTGTGATCAGCCATACGCGGAACCGTCCTGCTGTCTCTTCCGTGTTGCGAGGGATGAGGGTGATGGAGGTAACGTTTGGAGGAGGGAAGGTGAGGAAGAGTTCAGTCTGTGTCCATGTTGCGCGATGGAGCCTGCATGATGTTAGTCGCGAGGCACAAGTAGAGGATTCCAGGCGCTTCAGGCTAACCATCGACACTGAAGATGCGTGAGCAAGGTATAAGACGGGCCCAAAGCGCTGCACGTCAACGCACCCGGTCACAGAACTCGATGATGATGGTCGTCGATGTCGGCAACTCAGGAGCGACGAACGTCGCAGGGTTCAGCGGATCGTGCGCAGGCGCCTCAGACATGACCGCAGAAACCAAGTGTATTCCGAATCTACATCGACTCGACGACTGCAGACGCAGTCCCGAGCGCACCTGCTACCGTGACGCCACATAATGCGATGATCACGATCCAGCACTCGCTCACGTGCCCTCGCCCATTGTTTGGCGCCGCCTCATTTGGACGCGACGCGTCGTCCCTTGTTCCCGTCTTCCATGTCCCAGTCCGATATCACGATGGAAAATCAGTCGGATAACAGCACTGTTGTTCCAGAGGACAAGGTCCAGTGGACTGTACATGGTGCGTTCCCGGGTCATACCTCGCCACCGCCTCGAGCTCACCACGCCTCGCGTGTTTAGTCGAAGTCCGACTCAAACCCCGCGCCACTATGCGCTTCGACACCGTCAGAGACATAGTGGACTCTTATCTTCACTCATCCTTCGACCGACTTAGGTGTGTCTATAGCCCTCCCGACCCCACATCTCACTGACGATCGCCGTGATCAGTCCGCCCTCGGTCCTCGAAGGGTGGGATGAAATACCCGAACTCGCTTCCACTGTGGAAAAAATATCCGCCTCCGAATGCTCCTGTCCCCATACCTCACTTGCGATAGACGAGATAGCCTTTGAGATTCACGTTTACCAGCCGAACGACTCGGAGTCGTTCGAGGACTTCAATGCGACTGGCGAAGAAGGCGACGACACGAATGCAGCCACTGTGTGTGAGCTACCGAATAGGAACTGGGAAGGGCTTTGGGACTCCCTGATCTATGCGGACGACACCAAGCTACGACTGCTTGACTACATCCACGCCACTCTGGATTTGAGCGACGCGGACATTGATCGTGAGTTCCTGATTTTGAGTGTTGTAGGGTTGGCTGCTGAAAGCGGTTGGGGACAGTAAACCTGATATCATGGAACCGCGTCGTCCTCCTGCATGGTCCTCCAGGGACAGGAAAGACCTCACTCTGTAGAGCCCTCGCTCAGAAACTGTCCATCCGCCTCTCACATCGGTGGGTATATGCGCCCTGATATCCAGCTCTTGGCTCACCATTTCTCATACACAGATACTCACAAGCTCGTCTCCTCGAGATCAACTCGCACTCCCTGTTCTCCAAGTGGTTCTCCGAGTCCGGCAAGCTGGTCCAGCGCCTCTTCAACAATATCACCGAGTTGATCGACGAGGACGATGCCTTCCTCGTTGTGCTCATTGGTCAGCCTTCTTATGCCTCACCGCTCGAGTATATGCAAATAAAACTTTGCCCTTCAGACGAAGTCGAATCGCTTACCGCCGCTCGCGCTGGTGCAATGGCAGGCACTGAGCCATCAGACGGCCTGAGAGTCGTCAACGCCCTCTTGACGCAACTCGACAAGCTGAAGCAGCGCAAGAACGTGCTTATCATGTCCACGAGCAATCTCGTCAAGGCAATCGGTATGGGTCGACCCTGTTGCGACGTATGAGCTCCTAACCTGTGCCACCTTTTCAACCGACAGACTCCGCCTTCGTCGACCGCGCAGACATCGTGCAGTACATTGACCTCCCGCCGCAGGAGGCGATATACGACATCATGCGCTCCTCGCTGTGCGAGTTGATCGGCAAGGGAATCATCCTCCCGATTGTAAGTGCTTCTTCGATCTTGCGTTTCTTCGTCTATCCTGTCTTGCACTTGCCAGGTTCGAAGCACATACATCCTCGTTTCCACATGCAGACGCACTCTTCCCATCGCGCTTTCCCCCCTCATCATCTCGTGTGCCTCGCTTGGAATTGCTTGCTTACCTACCCTCATAGAACGTCCCTACCCTCGCCCAGGCTAAACTCTGCCAGGACGGGGTACTCGACAAGGAGCGGCAAAGAGAAGAGAACGTGGCCCTGAAACTGCTCGCGCTGGCGGCGATCTGTCGGGTAAGTGGCGGTCGTCCTTGTTCTCTTTCCCTGTTTCTCCTCCCGTTCAAGAAACCTTCCTCTCTTCAATCTTGCTCACGCTCCTTATACCTTTCTCACCCGCCCCTACAGCAACAAAACCTCTCCGGCCGCGCGCTGCGCCGCTTGCCCGTCCTCGCGCTCGCGCGCTACATCAGCGTTGGGAGCGTCCGCGTGCCAGCGGGGACATCATCCGCCACCAAGCAGTCGTCGCGCACCGGCACGCCCAGTCGATCGTCCAAGCCCGGCAGCCGACGCCGCGCGGTCGAGGTCGAGGTCTGGCTCGAGGGCATGGAGAAGGTGGTGCGGGAGCAGGAGAAGGAGCTGCAGCGGTTGTCGTAGTGAGAGGTGTTGAAGAGGATGTCGTAGGGGGAGTCCGTCTGTTGTGGTATGTGATAGAAGTAGAAGGTACATATTGTCGCGCTTTTCGATGTTTTCGAGTCGTGGTGCATGCTGTCAAAAGTACTGTTGTTGGCAATGTTGGATCGCTGTGTACACATTATGCTCGTACACGTGGGGATACAGGGCAAGGATCGATATACTTTTCTGCAAGTGCAATGCTACCAGGGGTTCAAGAGGGGCAACAGGGAAGTTGCAACGTAGTACAAAGCTATGACGAACAAGAGACAGCGAAAGCATATAAATAAGCACAAGTCGAGTGGAACAGCAGTGCAAGATGACCAGAATCGCATGGCAAGGAAAACATTCGAACATCAAGTCCACCAAACAGGATTGTCCCCACGCACGGCAGCCGCGTACGACACGCCAGGCTCAACATGCTCGTGGTGCGCTGGGCCGGCCTTAAACTCCTCGCCATGAGGCACAATACCAGCCTCTTCGTCATCAGACACAGCGTTGACCTGGTCAAGATGCGCACTAACGTCCTCCTCTTCCTCGTCAACACCCTCCGCAATGGGTGACAAGGTGCCGTTGTGAAGGGTGGAGGCGTCGACGATATCCTCCTCTTCCTCTTCTTCGTCCTCCTCTTCTTCCTCGTCCTCGTCCTCCTCCTCTTCATCCGAGTCGTCGAACGCGGAGCGTGGGCCATTGGCAGGCATGACGCTACGTCCATCGGCGGGTAGGATGCTATGGCCATCGGAAGTGGGATCCTCCTGAGCAACACCGCCGGAATGGGCGTCGTCATCGGCTGAGAGCGTGATGTCGCCCTCGGACAGGGAAAGGGTATGATCGCTGTCGGGAGAGACGACGATGGGTTCTTCGGGTGAGTGGCCGCTGCGTCCTGCGAGTTTATGGTCTGTGGCATCTTGCGAGTCATCTGTCGCAGCCTCATGCGAGTCAGCTTTCGAATCCTCCGCGCCGTCTCCTGCTTCATCCGCGGACGATGATGACGCAGCAACCGCATGCACAGGCTCTGCAACATCTTCGGGCGATTGAGATGTCGCTTGGGCGCGAGCCTCGCCGTCGTCGGTGCGCTCGTCTTGTGTGTTCGCGGCGGGTGCGCCTTGAATGTCCATGGTGGGTGACAGACTCGCAGATGTTGACACACTCTGCTCGTCAGAGACAGACGTGCCGTCCTCAAGGGTCGTCCTTGTAGCGGACCGTGATGGCACTGTTCCCGACGCCCCGGCTAGTCTCTCCGCCGGTAGGATTGCTGTGCTGCTAGCCCGTTGGCGAGACGCGGTGCTACTCGCTTGTCGGGACGAAGTGATATCCGCCGCCCGTGGGGCCGTGCTATCCGCGGGTCGAATCGCAGTGTTAGCCACCGGCAGCGAGAGCGTGCTATCCGCCATCGGCGGCAGGCTGAGCGCCTGTTCGATCCCAATGTCGCGCGTAGGATCGGCGGTGGGCGACATCCTCGCCAAGCTGGCGTTGGGAGGGATGATAATTTGCTGTTCCTTGAGTCCCGACTGGACTCCAGTCAAAGGGATGTCCGCGCCATCTGCAGAGACAGGCGCGGCTAAATCATCCGCAGCGATCTCATCCACCGGCGTATCCGCCTTCGCCAGAGGTGCGACGTTGCCGAAGAGCGCATCCCCCTCTACGATCAGCGGAGTGTCGCGCAGAAGCGGCGCATTGGAGGCAAACTCGTCTGCGGGTCCGGCCGAGGACGATGGCTGGCGGAGGGGAGGGACGGGAGCTGGTACGTTCGTCCCGAGCATAGTCTCGCCAGGCGCAAGCCCAGTGCCCAGCTCGTACGTGCCATTGACCGTCGCAGCAAGAGGCTGCTCTGCGAAAGAAGTCCCCGGAAGAGCTAATCTGCTAGTTAGAGGCTCTGACACCCCTTCCTGAGCAGCGATCGCCTCGAGGGTGTGCGCAGGTGTGTATGCCTTGCGAGCGAGTGGCTGTATGCGTACAGGTGCCTTCGTGAGGTTGCCAGCAGGCGAAGTGTGCGAGAGGGAGACGAATGAGGAGGCGCCAGGAGAGATTACTGCAGCGAACATCGGTAGGGGCGGAGGGGTGATTGGTCGCTCGGGCACCTCGACCACGCGAAAGCCCTTCGCCGCCAAAGGAACGTCTCCGTTCACCGACGCCAGTGGTGCAATTGCCAAGTCGTCTTCCGCCGAAGGCCCGCCAGGTAGAAGAGAGCCACTGATTCGGTATCCCCTTCTTCGGGCGAAGTTCGCGAAATCCTTCTGAAACTCGTCCATCTCGTCCTCAGGGACACTGTATTTGTACGCTTTGAAGATCTCGTCGAGCTCGCGCATCTTCTCCTCACGCGTCTTTCGAGTCTCGCCGAGCACCGTTTGCTCGAGGATGGCGTAGGCAGCGTGTAGGACGATGTATATGCAAGAGAAGCTGAGGAGGACCACGGCGAGGTCGAAGGCAATTATTCGGACGAGAGGGGAATTCGACACTAGGCAGCACAAAGAGGAAAGAGAATGGGGTCAGTATGTAGCCCCACCGCGGATAATGAAGATCGCGAACATACCCTGAACATACGCCAAATGCGCATTTGTGGCCAATGCTAGCGCACGCCGCCGAACATATGTCGGAAAACCATGTCGGGCGACATAGTATACCACCGGGCCCAGCGCGGGCGGCTTCATGGACTCTGTGAGATGTTGGGAGAGGGGATCAAGAGCGAAAAGTCTTACGTACGGCAGTCAAGGAAGAAAAAAAAAAAGAGGCAAGTGCCAGAGCTTGTTTGGTTCCGGTCAAGACGTGCGCGTCGTGGCTGATGTCATTGATTAGGCAGTCACGGGAAAGTCACGGGATATGTTGAACTTGCGCAAGAGTTGCAAAGATGCTGTACTCCCAAGTGACAGCCATAGCTATTAGGACGTATTAGAGTGAGTCTGCCCAGGATTTTACAGCGCTTTTTCAAATTCAAAAGCCATTATATTTTGGTGGAAGTTCTTTGGGATCGCCCGAAATCTTTGACCATGTTGGTAGAAATTACTCTGGACGCGCGAATCGCCCGTGACGTCACAGCCTCGCTCGCTCTCCGGCGGGACGACTGACACGCTTCTGCTCTTCCAAACCTCACCACGGGATGCGATACGGTCGTCTCCAGCCCACCTGCCAAATCGATGAGGTCTGACGCTGCCAGCAGCGGGTGTAGAGCATGGGCAGCGTTGAGACCCGTGCCAGAACTTTCCGCAAAGATTGTAAACTCGTCGTAGAAATCATTGCTTTTGTTACAAGAAATTCGTGAAAAAACATTGCTTTTCGGTTTGTTTTTCGTGTAAATTCCTAGGCAGACTCACTCTAATCAACAATCAACGAATCTACTTGACTTTTCACTCGCCTTTTCGTTAGTGAATTCTCTGATATTTATCAAATCTAATACGTCCTATTATGTAATAGAGTGTGTCTGTTCAGTGTTCAGTAATTTCTTTCGATCTTCACAGAAGTTTGAGTAATTTACTTGTCGGGCGGTCATCGTAAATCATTTGGGAGTCGAAATACATTTGAGCGCCGATCAAGTGCTAGCGCGCGCCCAGCTGTGCGACAACCTCTGCTCCAAGGCCCGCATCTTGGTAACATCTTTCGCTTTTCTGTAAACTCCTTAGTAAATCATTTGGGGGAGATGAGACGAGATAGGGACTAGACCCAGAATAAAACACTGAACAGACACACTCTAATACAAAAAACCTCAATACTTTACCATCAATAGCAGCAACTTGTTTCGATCAAGTGACCTCGGGGTTATGAGCCCCGCGCGCTTCCACTGCGCCATGCTGCTGTACATTCCCATCCCCTTCATGGACACTCCGCTCGTAAGGGGCGTACGTACGTCTAGCCAGCCCTCCATCGAGCGCGCGGCAACCTCATTAGATCAGGATAGCGGGCAAAAACCGTTCGGGATGCGTTGAAACTCAATTTTGGAGGGCCGTGATCACCTCATACTGACCTGATGCTACCATTTTTCCTCACCACGGTTATGTTCACATGAGTGCCATGGTATACTAGGACACACGGGCTTGATACACATACTACTTGTCCTTTGGGCGCACCCAGCCAAAGATTACCTAGTAACCAGGCCTTTTCAGCAAAGTGTGCTATGCAATATGAAAATGCATACTTCGACCATAAAGCATCGGATATGGTGTAACGGCTAACATTGCCGCCTCTCAAGTGCAGTGCGCGGCAGCTCGGGGTTCGATTCCCCGTATCCGAAAATCCTCATCATATTCCAATCTTTTTCCTCCTTCTACCACATGCCTCGCTGCGCGTACTGTTACGCACTGCCAATTAGCGTATATAGCGTATTGTTGCAAGTCACGGTAGTGACATCGACCGGCATGCCGCGCTTTATAGTATCATCCAACCAAGTAGTAGTATACACCCATTGCATTCCTAACGTCCCTGAGATGATCTCTAGCCCATAGCACTGCTCCGCTTCATCCAACACTGAACCCATTGCATCGTTGAACCAAGCTTTTGCCTTAAGCGACTGCAATAGCGCCTTCAGACTACCCGGCTTCAGACCATCGGCGCAGCTCCAAGCTCCCCAGCTGCAACGCGCGCTACGACCCGCTCGACGAGGGAGCGCATAATGGGACCCTTCTCAAGGCCAACCTCCAGAACCTCGGCATGCGAGACGGTATCGGAGGCTGGCAGGACGGCAGGTTTTCCGGCGAGCTGGAGAAGACGAGGCAGAGAAGGAAGGTGGAGGAGCGAAGCGAAGGAGATCGGATGGGGAGGGGGAGAGAGAAAGAAGTGAGAAAAGGGACTGAGGGAAATTAAGCAGACGCACCTCCTGCTTCACTTCGTCCTTGATACTCCTGTACTTCTCAGGGATGATCACTGGATTGGTGACAAGGCTGACCGCCATGATATGCGGTACGCCTTCCTGACGCGCCGCGATGACCTCCGGCACTGTGCTCATGCCCACCACGTCTGCACCTGCAGCCCGGAGGAAACGTCCCTCCGCCGGCGTCTCGTACGTCGGCCCAGACACCCAAGCATACGTACCCTCGGCAGTCGCACTATCAGGCAAGCCCAAATCATTCGCAGCAAGGAAGAACAGCCGGCGCAGCGCAGGCGAATACGCGTCCGATAGGGGTACGAAGCGCGGCAGCGGTGGCTGAGCAGGGCCCAACAGCGGGTTCATCCCCGCCAGACTCGGCAGCGCAAGGTGGTCGTGCAGCACGACAAGCGTGCCGACGGGGAGGGCGGGATTAAGCGCGCCCGCGGCGTTGGTGAGGATGAGCGCCTGCACGCCGAGACGCGCGAGAATGCGGATGGGGAAGCAGACGGCGGGGAGCGCGTGCCCCTCGTAGGGGTGCAGGCGCCCGAGCATCGCGACGACGGGCGCGCCGGCGAGGAGGCCGAAGGCGAGGACGCCCTTGTGTCCGGCGACGGTGCTGGTGGCGAAGCCGGGGATCGACGCGTAGGGGATGAAGATGGGATCGGTGAGGGTGTCTGCGAGGGTGGAGAGCCCGGAGCCACAGACAATGGCTGCGACGGGGCGCTGGTACGCGGCGGGCACGGCAGCGTGGATGGCAGCAATCGCCGCCGCGACGGACGTGTCGAGTGCAGAGGGGGTGGCCATGGTGGGAGGAAGTAAGGGGCGCAAGGCTAATCGGTGATCGATGCGACCAACAGGCGCCTAATCTTTGCCAGGTAGCTGAAGAGCTCGTGTACCCCGGGGGGGGGGGGGGGCAGGATGTTTGTCTTTCGCTGCATATCAAGCATACATACATTGCTTCCTCTCCATGCAGGTCAGGCTTGAAGAGGAAGGCATGATGAATAGAGTTGTGGATCCAACAGACGCGAATTACTACGTTGTTCTGCCCTGAGCTGCACGAAAATAGGCTTGCTCAACCTCGCACATAGCCCCTTCACCTTGATCAACCAGATGAGCGCCCACTTGCGTGCGGGATGCCGCGAAACTCTGAGGTGCGAGACTGCTGGCTGAGAGTTCCAACGTCCGATCACTTTTGCGTTTGCCTCCGAATGGGGACGATTCCCACGGAACTCAAGGACGTGGATGCTTGCAATATACCGACCTCATGCACGACTTTGGCGTCCTCGTCCTTCGCCAGTACTATGCCGCCACGGGCTGGAATGGTGAGAATGGGTACGGGTACCTGACGCGCCCCATAGACGCCCTTCTCGACTTCCCTGTCCCGCGCGGCCTCCATCTCGCAGTTGCGAACTCCCCCAACGCGTCCTTCGCCACCGCCGCTGCCCTCCATGCCTCCCCCGCCCTCGCTGCCGACGTCGCATATGCCGCCTCTTCCGCCCCCATAGCCCTTCCCCCGTCCCCCTCGATCGCCCTCCCCCAGGCCTCCTCCGCGTTCGCCGTCCCGCCCGCCCCGCGCCGGCCCGTGCCGAAGGACGAGGAGTGGCGCGCGGGCGAGCGCGTCGATACGAAGGACTGGCTACTCTATGGCCGCCTCTACGCACCGGCAAGCAGGCTTGACGCCCTCGCGGCCCTCCGCATGTCCCCGACCATGCACGGACTCGCGGCAGCCATCTCGCGTCCTCCGCCTGCACCGAGCTCCCTTCTCGTCTCCGTACACCACGACACGGGCCCTTGGGCCACGGATGCCAGCTACTCAGCCGATGATGGGATGTGGGGTCTGCGCGTCCTGCACAACTTCTCCCCAAGGGCGCCGGAAGCGGCTGCCGCGACGCGGGGGGACGACGCGGCCTCGGCACCCCCGGCGCGCGTGGATTCGGAGGACGCGATGGGTGGGCTGCGCGGGCGGTTCAGCGTCGGGGCAGAACTGTACGTCTCTGCGCGCGAGAAGAGCGCGGGGTTATCGACCGGTGTCCGGTTTACCACCCTCGACTTCGACCCCGCGCAGGCGCCTCCGCCTACCCTCACAAATACCCAACCCTCCGATCTCTTCACCTCTCCCACTCTTGCCCCTGCAGAGCCAACACACTCGTTAATGTCCTCTCCTTCACCGTCTGCCTCTACTTCTTCGTCACAATCCCTTCCGACGCTCTGGCAGCCGCCTACGGTCCTTACTGCACTCTTCAACCCCATGCTGGGACACCTTTCCGCTTCGTACGCGGCAAGGGTTGGACGTGACGTTGCTCTCGCTTCCCGCTTTGGCTTCAACATGTATTCATACGAGAGCGAGTGGACGATGGGCGTCGAGTGGTGGCTACGCAAAGCGCCTGATGATGCGGACGAACCTGCAGCGGTTCCTCTACAGGACGCCGTGGAGGACGATTTGAGGAGACCAGGTTTAGGGGATGAGGTTGACAAAGTCGAGGGTCTGGAGGAAAAGGTTGCATCGGCCGGTACACGAGCTTGGGAGCGGGTAACGATGCGGGATCGGGAATCCGACTCAACTGCCACTACGTCTGCTGCAAGTCGGACAAACGGCAGTGCTTCCAGTGAGTTACTCTTGCTATCTTGGCCGCTCGATCCTCTCCCCTGCAAAATCTACTTAATTCGTAACGCTGACCTTGCTTCAGTACCTCCAGGTACCCTCACCGGAGTCGTGAAGGCACGAGCGTCCACCAACAGGGTGAGCTTGCCTCATCCTTTCCCGTTCATCAGCGTCACATCATTCTCCCTTACATGCCATATTTTTTCCTTCCATCCTTTCCCACAGCTTACACTCTTTCTCAGGATCTCGCCCTCCTCTGGGAAGGCCGCGTACGCAATATGCTCGTCGCCCTCGGCGTCGTGGGCGATTTCAGCAGCCGCACGCGCCCCATCCGCGCCATCGGGCTTGAGCTAGCGTACTACAGTGCAGACTGAGCTACATAGGCAGTTTACTGGATAATGCAGACCACCATTCCAGGGAGCTAAAGCGTCGTTTTATTTGCATCATTGCCCCAACGAGAGCAGAAATTGCACTCCCTCCTGTTGTCCCAAGGCGGCGACAAATGCGGGAATCTGGGCAAGTGTACTCGAGTACAGCAGCACGCTCTTTGCGACCGCGCGTTGGATTATCTACTATAGGATGCTTGCCTGTCAGCCCAGCATCAAACACCACCAAAAAGAACGCTGTATCTCATGATAGCAGCAACTTGTTTCGATCAAGTGACCTCGGGGTTATGAGCCCCGCGCGCTTCCACTGCGCCATGCTGCTGATAAACACAATCCAAAATACCATATATGGGAGGCATTGAGCACCGAATTCGTGCCATTCGGAGTAAACACATCAAGGAGGCGGTTGCATGAACTCATCACTCGCTCTCAGTACGCCAGTGATGGGCATTGCAGTGAGTATGTATGATAAAGGGTCTATATGTGAGTATACTGCTATAACGCCGGCGTCACCAGCGGAGTAGATAATGAAGCCTCCTCGTGCGTCCGAGATGCTCGCCTTGAGCTGGTGCTCTCCTGCGATGAGGAGTTCGACAGAGTCGAAGCACTCGTCGACTGCGCTTGCACCTGCGGAGGAGTCGAGGGCGCTGGCGACTCCCACATTCCCGGAATTACCTTCGTCCCTCCCGACGACGACCTCGGGATCTTCACGCGCACACCCGTCGCACCCTTGGGAAACTTGACCGTAGAGGCCCACTTCTCCTTGCTGACGACAGTGCGCTTGCCGGCGTCGCGGACGAAGACATCCTGGCCGGCCCATACGCGCCGGCCACCGCGCTCGAGGACGCGGGTGCGGATGCGGGCGAGAGCCTGGTAGAAAAGTGATGAGCATGCATGTGAGGGAAGGGTATGTGGGAGACGACGAAGGTATGAGAGGAAGGAGTAGAGAACGCACCTTGCTGACATCCTCATGCGCCGCGCGCAACTCCTCAATATCCCGGCCGAGCAACTCGATCTGCACGTCTAGGTCGAGCCGCTTGTCGGGGTTGAATTTCGAGTTCGCCGAGCGCGCATGACTTGGTGAAGGCGCCGTCGAAGTCGACGCCTGCTCATTGCCCCCAGCCGCCTTCGCACGCATAGTCGCCTCCTTCTCGCCTCTCCTAATCTTCTGCTCTTCCTTCTCCTTCGCCACCCTCGCCTCCCGTGCTTGCCACCGTTCCTCTGTGACCTTTTCCCGGAAGTCCTCGAACCATGCCAGTGTGCGCTTCTTGCTCCTTATAGCACGCGCCATTGCGGCTTGTACCCATCGTGCTAGCGCCGTGTCCTTGTTCTTGTTCGCGAGGCCAAGGGCAGCGTACAGCAGATCGCGCGTCGCACTGACGCGGGGGGCGCGGAATTCGGATGGGACGTGCCCTCGCCCTAGACGAGACTTAAGAAGGTGCATGTAGGCGACATCGACGGTGATAGCCTCTTGTGCGTAATGTCGTACAAGGTGGGTCTTCTTCGCGTGGGCGGCGTGACGAACAAGAAGGGTGTAGGTGGTTGTGTTTGCCCTAGCGCAGGGTACACGGGGAGAGGGAGGGGATCGGCTTCGCGGGTCGTCCGGCCCAAAGTCGTCCTCCTCATCGAAGGTGGAGGAGTAGAACTGGGGAGCTTGGGCAGGTAGGGGTCGCGTGAGCACCTCGAAAGCGGCGATCATGCGCGAAATGTCGCCCGCGCGACCGAGGAGGTCGACGGTGGTGTTCAACAGCGCGGTAGAGAAGCGGTGGGGGGCGAGGCGCGTCTTGTCCGCGAGCTCCTCGGGCGTGGGTTGCTGATACTCCGGCGCAAGATGGTCCGGGTTGTCGAGGTCGATGCCGTAGCCCCAGCGCAGGAGACGCGCGAACGCGGGGATGTCCTCGACCTCCTTGAGCACGCGCAGCATGAGGTCGAAGTTGACCGTGCGCAGGCGCTGCCCGCGGGTCTGCATCTCGGCGAGGAGGGTGCTCTGGATCTCTCGCGCGCGCTGCAGGCGGCCTGCGCGGTTCTCGGGGGGCTCCGGGAGTGTGAGGCCGTGCGCGACAGCCTGAAGAACGAGGCCATAGGTACGCGAGGAGGGGTCGAGGCGATGGGAGAGGAGCTCGCGATAGACGGCGAGGGCGCCGACGTCGTTGCCGACGGCGGCGAACTGCGCGAGCACGACGTGGTAGTCGTCCAGCTGGGGTACGGCGCCCGCGGCGCGGATGTTGCGGAGGACTGCGCGGAAACGGGACTCGTAGTGCGAGGTTGGCCGGGCGGATGCGCCTGGCTCAGCAGCCTGCCGGCGTGCCGACCAAGCGCGGAGGGCCGCGGGGGGCGGGGCGCACGCCCGGAGGACTGCACGATGTACGTCGAGAGGGACCCCACCGCCGGACCGGGTGTCAATGAGGTTGGCATAGTGGAGCCAGACCGCGGACGAGCGTTGCTTGCTGATGGCGTCGTTCAGCTCGGCCATTTTCGTGTCGAAGAACGAGTCTCCCGTCGACGGCGCGGCCGACGATGAGGACGAGGCACTGGCATCGTCGGCAGCAGCGGAAAGAGAGTATGGGCGCCGGGGTATTCGTGTCTGGCTGAGGGTCGCCGCGCGCAGGCTCGAGGACACCCGCCAGCCGTGCATGAGCACCGCCGATCGTGACACTGAAGCCGAAGTCAAGTTGCTTTGATGGCGCTGCAAAATAGCGCCCAACACGGTACAAAGGTTGCTAAATGCGGAAATCGCTTGGACCGATGAGTTCCTGCAGAGTCCAGACACCCTATCCGACATTCGACTGAAGCTCAAGCACCATATCGGGTGTTCTAAAGACCTCACAGCAACGCAGAACGCGTAAAGAATATTTAGTCGAATTTTGTCCAACCGGAAGCGCCTCCCGAGGTTTCTGGCGCCGGACTGTCCGTACTTCCCCACAAAACATCTGTACGTGCGGGTACTGGCAGCTTGAAGCAGATGCGCCTGCACAGCTCTCATACGTGGGAGTTCTGAGCAGGTAGCTTCGAGGAAGGCTTGAGAAAGGAGGGGAGCATCGGTTGAAGATGCGTTCTTGTCTACACCAGTCAGATGTCAAGAACGCGCGCGATGGCTTCTGCCAGATGCTAGATGATACAAACAACATGAAAGCAACGGATATGCAACAAGAGTGGGCAATGTTCGTGGCGCCGACAGCGCCTGAGACTGACAAGGCAGTTTTTACATCGCATACAGATCTGAATGGACATTATCACCCGCATCATCTACAGAAGTACAAGCACGCACCACAACGGACGAAACGGAGCCATCCCCCATCCACAGACCGATAGTTGAGCTATTTTATATCGCGTCAACTATCGTATCGCCTCGAGCGTCTCCATCGACGTGACGCTGTTCCCGCGGATGACCTAGTATACGCGTTAGCACGCGTCCTCCTCCTCAGTAACTTCGTATCACGCACCACTGTCCCAATGGGATGCTTCTGCCCTGGCGTCGTCTCCTCGAGCGCCTCGTCGATCACCAGGTTGAGGAAGAGGTCGTACCCGCGTAGCGTGCCGGACACCTTCCGGCCGCCCTGCAGGTGGACGAACAACTTCTTGTCCATGAACTGGTGGGGGAAGTATCCGTCAGTCCACTGCAATACTTTTGGGTTTTTGGAGCGCGCAACGCACCTTCTTCAATTCGGGCTGCGATGCCTTGGACATGATGGCTCCAGACAAACCTCGCTGTTGGCCGCCGTCGATTTCCTTTTCCGGAGGTCTCGCCGCCTGGCCCGACCACGCCTCTCTCAAACCAACGTGAACTCCCTTTTCTGATTCAAACGAACACGCCACGCACCCCACGACCTCTTTCACACACGCACCCCGCCTCCTCCTCCTCCTCCTACCCACATACGAGACCCAACGAATCAACGAATTCTAACCTGAACCAAATTCCAAACGAAACCCTCTGAACGCACACCACTCCACCTGCCACGAACCAACCCCATCACCCCCATCTCATCGCCCACCCTGCCTGCCCTCCTTCTCCAGCCTCTCCGCACGTAAAGACGCCGCATGGCTGCCACCCCTACCGACTCCTGGCGCAGCCGCACCGCGGCGCCCACGCCCTCCGCCGGCAGCTCTGCCTTCCGCTCCGCGCCCGCCCCCGGCAAAGGCCGCCGCGGCGGGGGAGGTGGAGGAGGCGGTGGGCGCCGTCCACATACTCCCAGCGAGGCAGGCGGCGCCGACAAGCCTAAGCCCAGCCGTCAGAACTCGAGTGCGGGAGCGCCCGCTGCAGCAGGAGCGAAGCCGGCTGCGAAGGCTCCTGCGGCGAAACCAGCTCCATCAGGAGCAGGTGGTGCTAAGGCTGCGAAGGCGCCAAATGGGACGACGAATGGGAGGCCGCCCTCGAAGACGGAGCATCACTCGCCTACAGAGTCGGAGAAGAGGACGACTGGGCGAAGGCGCCGTGCCTCGCAGAATAAGGGTGGTCCACGGCCTGAGTCGAGCGCTAGCAAGTTCAACCCTCCACCACCGCTCACGGAAGTACCGTTGCGGGAGGCTGCGAAGGTGCGCTCCGTTCAATCTTCATCTCATATGGATAGGCCGCTGATCAGGATTTATCTCGCTTGCCTATTCTGTCGTGCAACCTATTCAATTTTACCAGCCCGCTGCGCACGATCTTCCACCCCATCTTGCCAAGAACACACCGCCTCATCTCGCCCAGAGTCACGCCCTCTTCGAAAGTCACCTCGAAGAAGTTGTTCGCCACGCGCGTGAAGGCCTCCTCTCCGCGACCCCTGGCTCCGGTTTCGCGCCCGGCACGCCAGGAGGCGACTGGGCAGCAGACGATGATGCGGACGAGCTCCCCGCTCTTGATGACTGGGGAGTACATATCGGTGGCAGTGATGCTGGCGGTGGAGACAAGCAAGAGGAGACGAAGGCCGAAGTGTCGACAAGCAGTGCCGAGGGCTTGAAACCTGACTGGAAGTCTGGGTTGAAGGCTTTTTCGGGCCCGGAGACTTCCTTGATTTCGCCCATAATCGTGGATGGCTTGCGCGCGCTGCCAGATCCGACGGAGACCATCCCAGTCGGAGACAAGGGCAAGGCCAAAGACGACGGCAAAGCCACGGACCCCAAGGGCAAGGCAACTGCTACGAAACCTCCCGCCCCTGCGAAGAACACGCCCGAGGCGAAAGCAAAGGCCGCGCGAGACGCTAAGGCAGACGCGAAAGCCGCTGCGGCCTTCTTCCTCAGAAGCGCTGCCTTCACCAGCACCGCGAACTCCCCTTTGCCGCCTCCGAATACGTTGTATGCGACGAATAACAACGCTTCGTCGCATCCATCGTTGCCTGTCAAGCCCTCTGCGCCGATTCCGGCGCCAGTGTCGCGTGTGCATCCTTCGGCGACGCCCATGCGGGGGAAGAAGGACAGGCAGAAGGAGAAGGAGGCGAGGGACAAGGAGCGGAATGAGAGGGAGGCGAAGGCAGCGGATGAAGGGAAGCCTGCTGAAGGCGAGGTGAAACTCACCGAAGAAGCCAAGCCTGCTGACGAGGTCAAGGTTGCCGATGCACCCAAGACTGAAGAGGTCAAGGCGGAGGAATCCAAGGCCGCTGAAGCGCTCAAGGTGGAGGAGCAACCCGCGGCCGAACCGTCGCACAAGGTCGCGGATGAGGCTCAGGCCGTCGCTGCGCAAGATTCCTCCTCCCTGGGTACGCCTGCTTCCGAGGCCGTGGAAGCATCTCCTTCCGCTCCTAGCCAAGCTTCAGCGTCCCCTTCCGGCGCTCCTTCCACCCCTCCTCAAGCGCAGCCTCTCCGCAATCGCTCGCATACCGCTTCGCGGGTCGTCGGCAACGCGCCCAGCCCTGGACACCGCGCCAGCCCCTCTGCACCGCAGCGCCACGCGCGTGCGCATTCCGCGTTCCAGGCGGGGCACATGAGGACGCAGTCCACACCGAGTCCCACTCATCGTGTGCCCGCTGTGCGTCCGGTCATTGCATCGAGTGCGTTGGCGGGTATTGCTAAGCAGCTCGGAGGCGGCAGCCCAAGGACTGCGGCGGTTGCGTCAAAGCAGTGAGCGGGTAGGAGAAAGCAGGAGGAACGAAGGCGGGGTCTAAATTATGTGCTACGAAGGAAGGACCGTGGTACCCAATAGGTGGCAAACAACGAACGAAAACAAATCAACGCCCTTTCCCTAGGGCCCCTGTGTACGTCTGCTCGATCGAACGAATATTTTCCCCTCATCTGTCTGGATTTTAGTCTGTCTACTACTACAACATATTCATTCGCCCTCATTCCATTCATCTACTGCTACTAGCCATATCATCACATTTTGTTTTACGCCTTGTAGTGCTCGTGCTTCTGGTCACGTATCCTGTGCATTTCTCTCCAGTAATAATGTGTATACCCGCGATTCGCAGATTGCCCCTCGGGGGGCAGGTGTCGTGATTCCTCCTGAATTCGTTCAAATTCGCTTCATATCTCACCTCTGCTCTCACTGGTCCAACTAGCCATATGACTGTATAATAATGACCGCTCATGGCCTCCTCTATGAAATTGATTCGACACAGGCTCGAACCGGAAGCAGAAGTTGAACATGTCACGATTGTCACAAGCTTCGGCAAGTGCCGCGGAAGCTTTCGACATCACTTTGACTGCCGACACTTGCTTCAAACCATCATTACCTCTTTAGTCCCATCGGCAACGTTTGGAAGAAGTTTATACCACACGACCACAGCTCTTTACACAGAGACTCTATGCCTGCGGTCGACGCTTCCGAAAATGCTGGTCCCTCTCTCTTTCCTCTTGGCGCTGGACCCCCGCTTCCGGACTTCTCCAGTCTGCTCGTTCACGGAGCTTATCACCCATCTGCGCCGTTGCATCTATGCTTCTCTGCCTCTCGAATAAGCGCACCAGGCTCGTCTACCTCTGAGTTGCCTGACCTAGTCGCCGACGCCCCTGTCCTACTCGTAACTGCAAACAGGGACGCGCTGAAAGATGGTCTACGCGCAGGTGGCTGGCAGCGGACTGGCAGATCCATGCATGCCGCTAAGCAAGTGCAGGTGCTGTAAGTCCGGCTAGAACTGTACTGCTAAATGCTGTCTTCTTAAACCTCACTACCCTTCCAGCGCCCCACCAACAGCTGTGCACGCTGAGCTCCTGCTATCATTACTGCGCATTTGGACGCCAGGATGCGAGACAACTAGGCCGGTCCTCAGAAAGCCTAAGACGAGCGACGCGTCAACAAGTGGCGAGCCCCGCGCGACAGCCGCAGGCGCTTTGGCTAGTGACGATGCCTCGATAGCGAATGCGCGGGTGTTAGCGCCAAAGCCTGCCACGAGCAACACAATGCGCGCCAACATTCTTCCGGAATGCCCAGCGCTAATCGTGCTACATGAGCCATCGGCGTACTTTGTACAGAGCGAGAGTGAGGACGATGAGGACGGGTGAGTCTGATAGCGTTCATGGTAGTAGCTTGTCGGGACGTGACTGATTGACTGTTCGCAGTGCAACACCCACTATGTCGTCCTATATCGCCTTGGTCTCGCGATTGCTACGCGCAGCAGGTACATTAGCTGGCCTTGGACGGTAAGCTGTTGGCAATCGAGGCTTGGCGAAGAGCTAACAGTCAAGATTTACCTTTCTACCTACACTTGTTTCCGACATGCTGACCATACCATCGCGACATTGGTGCGCTTGCTCGACATTGCCTTGCATGTCTACCAACTCTCTGCGACGTCGAACGGAATCACCGCCACTGTCCGCCCGACCCGCGCTGGCAGACCTCCTGTACCAGTAGCGCTGTTCGATCGTGGCAGTCATACTTTGCGCCTGCCGCTTAGCAGACCTCCAATGTTTCCTCGCGAAGGAGCGGTGGAGCATGAAGGAGAGGACAGAGTGCAGTCAGCCGCGGAAGTATCCGAGTTCGTCCGTGCACTGTTCCAGTGGGAAGCTTTCATAGAGGATGGTGCGTGTCGCTTTCACTGACCCCTTCATACTTCAGTAGCAAGAGGAAGAGCCTCCGCTCCGCACGGTCATTTCACGCTGCCCATGGCTCCTTCTTGCTCCGGAGCTTGCGGCGTAGCTCGTCGCACTCAACCATATGGATTTCCATGGATTAGAACTCCCCTGCCGCCTCGAACGACTAGCCACCCGGTGCTTTCATGTTCATTGTACCCGGCTTGCACTAGGGGAGCCCAAGCTGACCACCGCATCCTCAGATGACACCGTCGTACCATCGTCCCAAGACCAGGAACTTCATGAAGACCACGGCACTCCTCGGCGCCTGACGCTGCGTACCGCCTCGGCGGAAAGGACATTGCTGTTCCGGGAGAGGGGCAGGACCTTCATTTGGGACTCCTAGTCGGCGTGCTCGTCCGGTCCGAGTCGAGGACCGACGATACGCGTGGACTTCATGTCGTCCTTGCCCGTATCCGTGCCGCCGGTAGGCGGCGTCAATGCGCATATACGATCGCCGGTGGCTGTTTACGGCCAAGCCGACCTCTTCTTCTTACCCCCGAGCACGGTCGAGGCCTCCTCGGGGCCCTGACCGCCAAACACGGATCGCCCGACGAAGTGCGATGGTTTGGCACCGACATACGGGTGCATGTTGGGTGCATGCTTGACCTGTATCGATCCATCAATGCAGCCCGCCTTCCCCTGACTTCCTGGCGCTTATCCTCCGATCTGTCCAACACGAATGAGGCAGCTATTTGCGGAGATGAGCGAACATTTCTTCGCGATGCATACTTTCTGCGCGGAGAGGCAATCTACAAGCCAAATAGGCGACGTACGCGGTGGTCGGGGATCATACCATGACATATATGTCTCTGTCTGCCATTCAAGCAATTTGGGCAAGGCATAGATCACAGGGCGCGCGCCAATGAGCCCACTGGTTCCGGCGTGTCAACCGGTGGGCGGTGTCGGGAGGCACGCCGTACAAGGAGCGATCCTGGTTCTATAGCTGTATTATGCGGAGTATATGAAGGCCATCGGGTGGCGATCCATTCAACGAGCACTGCTCCACTCTCTCCCTCCCCGCTTCCTCCACCTTGTCCTCCTCATCATCGCTTACCGATGCCGAAGTTATCATCAATGCTGGCGACGTTCGCCGCCGCGTCCCAAGCGCAGTGGGATCCCGTCGCCGACGACCCCCTCTCCGCCTACTGGACGGCGCTCAACTCTACTGTCGGCGGGCGCCTCTTTCAGGGCACGCCATTTGCGAAACCATGCTTCGGCGATGAACTCGCCGCCCAGTGTGCGTCCGTCCGCGCTGGGTATACCGACGAATGGACGCGCGCCTCGACGCCCGGCGCTTGGATCAACACCCAGTGGGAGACGTGCCAGGCGAGCGGGGCGCAGTGTCTTCTAGGCGATCTCGACAACGTCGACAACGGCTCCGCAAATGGCAGTAGCGCGTCGTGCGAGCAGGGCAGCGTGCCACTATATTTTGTGAGTCCTGTCCGATGGCGTGCGCGACGATGCCTAACAACGCGGGCGCTAGATCGACGTGCGAGAACCACAGGACGCGACGGCAGGCTTCCAATTCTCGCGCGACACTGGTGTGCCCATAGTCGTAAAAAACACCGGGGTTCGTGGCGTCCTATTTTCGCACCCCGACTCCTCCTTGCCACCTCGCCTCGCTGACGGTAATTCCGCCTCTCACAGCACGACTACAAAGGCCGCTCGAGCGCGCCCGGGTCGCTGGGCCTCTGGGTGAGTCGATGAATCTTGTTCCTGATTTCCTGTATGGAGGGCTCATGACACGCGGCAGACGCACAACCTGAAGAACGTGAGCGGGTGTTTGGCTTCTGGAATTCTGACGTGGTTCTAAGCGCGCGGCAGATCTCGCTCGAAGCCGACTTCGTTCCCGAGGGGTGTGGCGAGGCGGATAGCGTGGGGCAGGCGGTCACGGTTGGGGTGCGTGCTCGTATTCAATGGCGATCTTTTTTCTTCTTTTTTCTCTCCTTCTTTCCTTCTCTCTCCTTCCCTTCTCTTTTAGCTCTTTTCTGGCCCATGCTTTCGCCCTCGACGTCTGGAGATTTTTCTGGCGGTCCTATGACTTGGGAGTGGACGACCGGAATTTTTACTGATGTATGGCGCAGGCGGGGGCGCAATGGGCCGATGGATACGCCTTTGCGGAGGAGAATAATATCACGCTCGTTGGCGGGTCCGACCGCTCCGTTGGGATGGTCGGTGGCTGGCTCCAGGTGCGTTTCGGTGCCCTCTTTCGTCTATAATTGCTGACTGACCCTCCAGGGCGGCGGCCATGGCATGCTCTCCGTATCCATGGGCCTCGGCGTAGATCGCGTGGTGAGCGCCCTCCCCACCCTTCGCGCTGACGTCGCTCATTTTCCCTCTCCTTCACAGCTGCAATACAGGATCGTCACGCCAGACGGCAGATACCGCGTCGCGAATCGCTGTCAGAACGAGGATCTGTTTTGGGCGCTGCGCGGGGGCGGCGGGGGCACGTTCGGCGTCGTGATGGAGGCGACGATCCTCGCGAGTCCGCGTGTCGCGCTGCAGACGGTGACTGTCATGATCCCGGCGGGGGATAAGGAGTTGTCGCGGCGGCTGTGGTCGGTGATGGTGGCGAATGGGGTGCGGTGGGCGGAGGAGGGCTGGGGTGCGAATGCTGTCGCCAATTTCGCAGGTGAACTGGGATTCTTTTGGCTCTGTGTCGCAGATTTTCTAATCCTCCGCAGTGTATGTCAACCCGAGGCTCGACAACGAGACGGCTGCGAAGAGCATGGAGCCGTTCTTGAACTTCCAGAAGCAGCTTGAGTCAGAAGGCCATAACGCGACAGTTTTGCTCGTCGAGGCGCCCAGCTGGGGCCAATTTTTCGAAGCCTTCTCGACAGCTCACGTCGCCGTGAGTTCGATCCATCTATCTTTCGTTGTTGCTTTTGACCATCCGAAAGGCCGTCGGGAACAGTCTCGCGCTGGCCTCCCGTCTGATAAACAGGGACAACTTCGCGACTTCTGAGGATCAGGGCGCGCTCGTTGAGGCCCTTCTAGCCGCGGATGAGGCGACCCCTGGCCTGATCATCCTGGCGACGGCACCGACCGCGTTCCCGAGTACGGGAAACGAGACGTCCGTGACGCCTCTGTGGCGGGAGAGCGTGTACCATGTGACGGTGGCCTCGCCGTGGGAGGCCGACGCCGACATACAGGAGAAGCAGGCGCACTATGCGCGGGCGAGTGCGTCGATTGACAACCTGAGGGAAATCACGAAGCAGGGCGCGTACAGCAATGAGGCGGATGTGAATGAGCCTAATTACCAGAGTGAGTCGGGCTCGTCACGGAAGGCCTTTCATGGCTAATTGTCGGTGGCTAGCATCCTTCTGGGGCGAGAATCATGCGGAGCTCCTGAGTATCAAGCACAAGTAGTGCGTGTTCTTTACCTTGCATGCTGAGGTTCTTTCGAACTGACATGGTAACCCCAGCGACCCCGAGGGCCTTCTGAACTGTTGGCAGTGTGGTCAGTACACACAGCGATGCTTGTCGATGTTCAACTAACTCGAGCTTACAGTTGGCTGGAACCCCGATGACGCCAGATATCGCTGCTATCTGTGAAGCTTCTGGACCGTAGTAACATACGAACTTACTTATTTAGACGGTTGTGGGCGTTTTGGCTAGTCAATAGACTCTCTTTTGGTCGAATCCGACCGGTCCGCTAGTGGAGAAGCACGCATATGATGTCCCAGGAGTCCCAGAATTTGATCGTCGCTTAATCTGATCTATGCGTCCGCATCGCGTCTTTCTGCCTCTGCCATCGCCGTCCCTGTCCTCAGATCCCAGAGGCCGTTGACCGATTCGCCCCTCGCAGGCATCGACGTCGAGTTGAACGAGCGAAACCGGGGCGGCCCGACGGGTGCCGTCAGTTTTCCACGTGACCGTTCGAGTGTGAAACGGCAGCGCGTTCGCTCCTCGGCTTCCCTCCTCCTCATTCGAGCGGCCTTCGCGTCGTTTCTGCCTTTTCCATTGGCGCTGCCAGCCACAAAAGTCCCTTAAACCCCAGAAAACATTGCTTGCGCAGTGCTCGCCTCCTACGCATCTCACACACGACGAACGTACGTTTCGCCATCTTATCGCGTGTCGTGATATCCAACTCACATCGCTGTTCAGAGCCTGTACACTTTACGCTCACTACCGACAACATTTTCTCTCTCCCACAGCTTCCCTCTACCCAGTAAATTATATTCAGCTCCCCATGGCCGCTACTCAGGAGCTGGTGCGTGGCCTCGCCACTGAGGCTCTCGAACCGTCTGACAGCGCCCAGCCATCATGGCTGACTGTCTCCACGTCGGTCTACACGGACGCAAACGGAGTTGCGACCACTGCCACCGCTGTCCTATACCTTCCATTGACCTACTACGGTCCCAGCGTGCGTGCTCGCCCCTTCGATACTTCTCGACGCTCACCGTCCTTTCCAGATACCACTAGGTCCTGATTGGACATGGGGAGGCGTCAGCTCCCCCGCATCCACTGCCACAGAAACGACCGCCGTTACGACAGACACGACATCCTCCACTGCGATACCTTCCACCACCTCATCATCATCTCCGACCTCTGCGACACCCTCCTCTACATCCGCAACATCCGCCACTTCTTCAAATTCTTCATCCAGTGGTTCTTCAACCAGCCCCACTTCTTCGGCTTCAAGTACCCCTACTACTCCGGCTCACAATGGCTTGGTACGGATGTCTACTCCCCTTGCATGTGCTTAACTAACGTATTGAGTAGAGCACCGGCGCGATCGTCGGCCTTGTGATCGCGGCAGTGGCTGTCGTCATGCTTCTCGTCCTGCTCTGCGCCTGTTGCTACGTCAGGCGTCGTCGCCGCCGAGGAGAAACCAGCCGCCGCTGGTCCATGCTCACTCCCGCACCAGGCAAGCGGGAGAAAGAGAAGTCACCCAAGGAATCACTCACTGGCGACTACTACATGGTCGGCGCCGAGGATACGGAGGGCGCTTCAGACACCGTCCGAACTCCTGGCGAAGGTTCCCCGCGGCACAGTGGCGAGGAAGCCGACCCCTTCTTGCGCCCACGGTCTGGTGGCATCGCGACGGACGCGGGTTCGATGCGCGAATTCGGTCAGCCCGCGACGAGGACAAAGATGACGGATAGCAGCGGCAGCTCGAACTGGCAGACCACGCAGTCGTCGTCGGGACCGTCCACCTATGCCACCGGTTCATCGGGACTTGGCTCTTTGGGACTCAGCTCTTCGGGACCGGGCTCTTCGGGTAACAACACCAGGTCTACCAGGAGCAGCAGCAAGCCGGGATCCAAGATGACTTCTTCGAGCGGGACCACAGATTATGGCGTCACGCTTGAAGAACCCACCCTGTTCAGGGGCCAGCGTCAGAATTACAACCAGGATTATCGTGGCAGCATACTATCGCCAGAGCAGCAGCGTGAGCTCGACGAGGCAACAAGCTCAGCACCGTCCACGCCATACAAGCAGCCAGCTATCCCAGAGTCGGACAATGAGGCGGACTTCTCGCCGCTCATGCCACCGCCACGACTTGTCGACCCTGAATTCGGCCGAACGCGGTCTTCATCCCCTCTCGACCGCGACGAACCTGTCGTCGTGCAGACCGCTCAGCGCGTCCGGATGTCTGACGTCGGTCCCCGCATGCCGCGCTCGCACTCACCGATCCTGGAGGTTGACGAGACGGAGCACATGACGCCACCTCCTTCTCGCCGCATCAGCGGGCAGAGCTGGCTTGGGTCCCTGGCGAGCGGTATCGGTCTCAGCCGCTTGCTCAAGGGCTCCACGTCCTACAAGGACCCCGAAGCCGGGCGCTCTCTCCTCGGCAGCCCTGAAATGTCCGAGCGCCTTGCCCAGCCGCGCCCTGCTATGGCCGGCGCTGGGTCGTCTCGCCCCATATCGGGTACGAGCGTTCATACCACTGGCTCCGGCAGCACCGTCTTCTTCGACGCGACCTCCAAGCCTGGGACGCCTGCTTTGCCCGCGCCGCCTCGCGCGTTCACGCCTGGCCAAGAGGCGCGGGCGACACCGCCACCGTCCGCCGACAAGCCCATCCAGAGCCAGCCGAACACGACGGTCCGCCGCGTCACGAGCGATATCCTCGACCAGCCTCCGCCGCTCAGCACCTTCACCTCGGCCTCGTCGATGCGGGATACGGTTCACACTGACAGCACCGATGCCACCAAGGTGCCGTCGTTCCCGCCCCCGGGGCTTGCGCTGTTGCCCGCGTCGGCGAGGTGGGGGGATGATACGCCGTCGCTTGCTTCGATTGGTGGGCAGTATCATGATCTGGATGTGCTTGAGGAGGAGCCGCCGGTGGCAGACGCTCAGTGGAGGCAACTCGCGGAGACGCTGCCGCAAGGGCGCGGACCGCGGACGACTTTCGGCATGGTAAGAGTCTTCGTACCATATTCTCCAGCCTCGCTAACAATCTCCTTCAGCCCACCTATATTCACGCCTCTGGCATGACCTCCGAGCAAGCCTCCCTGTACTCCATGCGCTCCCACATTGAGCCCAACATGACGCGCTCAACTGGTTCTGCACCGGCCTCCTCAATCGGCTCCTCCCACCCCTCCCGCCACAAGGGCTCCGGCAGCGTCAGCGGCAGCTCGCTAGCGCACTCCGCCAGCATCACATCCGACGGGCGGAGGAGACATCCCACCGGGCCCACCTCGCCTGTGCTCTCTGCCTTCGGCGACCACTCGCGCGGGGCGACGGGCAGCAGCGGCGGCACCGGGTCCTCGCATGCGCAAGGGTCGAGCTCGTCGCATGGCCATGGGTCCTCGTCCCATCAACATAATGGGTCCTCGTCGCAAGGGCACTACGATAACAACTACTTGTCGCCCGACCGTGCGCTGTCGGATGAGGGTGCTCAGCTCTTCAGGAGCAATAGCATGCCGTGGGCGGGTGGCTTGCCCGTGGACTGGCACCCGACCGGGAACAGCACGGAGTCCGACCCCCACAATGCGACATGACAAGCAGCGTAGGTTTCTCAGCGCGCTTTGTGACCTTGTCCCTCTGCCAATCGCTCTCTTGCATACGCCATACACTTGACGCCGTAGACGAACATCCCGGACGCTGGACGAACTACCTACTTACCACTTCCTTTTTTTCCTTCTCTTCCACTTCATTCCGCGCCTCTTGCGCAGCGCATCTGTTGTTGATATAGCCCTGTTCTCTTGCTTTATCTCTTCTGTCCTCGGTCCCGGCGCTGTGTTTCCCTTGCGCTGGGGATTGTACTCCACCGTGTGGGGATCCGCCCTGCGCGGGGACTCGCGCGGCCGCTGCAACTACCTACTAACGACGCTGACCATGATTACGACTGGAACGTACTAGGCTGTCTCATGTACATCGGTAGCTACCCTGTAGCTTCTACTCGTGTGTATAGATACGATTGGAAAAGGCCATATGAGTGAAGCGCATTTGAGGAAAGGGTGCGAACGGGACCAGCGTTACGCTCAAACCTCCATTGACAGTCACGTCACCATACTTCCTTTTCCGCAACCTCCAAGTCCCGGGGATGAGAGACTGTGTTACCCGTAGCATTTTCGTTTGCGTATGGCAGCCATGCTCTCTTTCTGTGCGCAGGATGCCTGAACATATGATGTCGAGGGTGGCAACCGGCCGGGCCGCTTGTTGAGGTACGTGCGAGAATGGCGCGGTCTGCTGACCCGGTGCGAGTGCACATATATACGCGCGAGGTGCGTTTCTTACGGGCAACCCACTGGTTAGGATGAAGCCCACTTCCCTCTTTCTGGCGCCAATCGTCATTCTGGCGGGTGAGGTGCCTAGATGCTCTTGCTAGCCAGTGTTACTGACTTCGTTGTAAGGGTGCTGTTCTGCACTCATAAACCCCTTCCTACCTGGATGGAACCCTGACCCAACCTTTCTGCGCGTAGGGGAGGACTACTTTGTCGCGACGTCGACGTTCGAGTACTTCCCTGACCATCCCATCTATCACAGCAAGAACTTGGTCGACTGGGAACTCATCGGACACGCGCTCAATCGTCCTTCTCAGCTCAGTCTCTTTGGAACGCCTACTGATGCCGGTGAGCGATCTCAGGATCCGGTGTTGCATGTCCACTCATACCGTTCACCGTTGAGGTTTATGGGCACCTGGATTGAGATACAACAACGGCACCTTCTACCTTGTCGCCACCGCGCGGCATGCGTATACAAGTCAGTTGCTTCAAAATTGCTTGTATCTCGGAGTCTAACATCTGGCAGACGAGTATAGACTGTTCCCAAGGTCGTTCTATGTGACAACAAATGATATCTTTAAGGGAGAGTGGAGCGATCCTATATACTTTAGTGAGAAACACGTCTATCATTTACTGTGGCTTAACTGACCCAGAACGCTTCAGACTCGCTTGGATACGATGCAGACCTCTTCTTCGATGATAATGGCGATGTAAGCATACATCGTACATCTTCGCCTTCTCATTCTTGCTGAACTGAGCGACAGGTGTACAATACGTGGTGCGGTATCAATAACGCGGTGGACAAAATATACGGTAAGAAAGCGTATAGTGCTCACTGTATGGATACCTCCTGACGCTTATATTGTTAGGGATTCATCAGAACAAGATCGACATTGCGACTGGCAATTCTTTGACGCCCGACGAGCTCATCTTCAGTGGCACGCTGCCTCTGAACTCGTCGTCACGTCCAGAAGGCCCGCATGTCTACCTCATCAATGGGACTTACTATCTGCTCATTGCCGAGGGTGCGAGTTCCTATTACTGGCGCAGGATGTAACTTATATTGTTCTGCAGGCGGAACCGACCAGCACCATAGGGCAACGATCCAACGAGGGCCTTCGCCATCTGGGCCATGGGAGAACAACCCAAAGAACCCCATCCTGTTCAACGGCGCGGATCCGACCTTGCCTGTGCAAAGGACTGGCCATGCGGATTTCGTCGAGGGAGCGGACGGTTCTTGGTGGGGAGTGGCTCTAGGAGGGCGGCCGCAAGGCGGCAACGATAGTCACATTCAGCTGGGTATGAGCCCCTTCGGCGGGGCATTTGTAAAGCACTGACATGGTTCTCTCACTAGGTCGAGAGTCATACCTCTTCCCTGTTTCTTGGGAAGACGGTTGGCCGGTGTTCAACAACGGCGATCCCATCAGCGAGCATATCGAGGGCGTCCTCGACGACAAATCGCCCCTCACCAACTACACGAACGACTTCGACACCGACCCCCTCGACAAGACCTTCTACTACGTCCGGACGCCGTACAAGCCTTTCCACTCCCTCACCGCACGGCCTGGATATCTCAGGCTGAATGCCAATGCCTACGCTCCCGGAGACCGCGACAGCGCGGCACTCCTGCTGCGCAAGCAGACGAGTTATAACGAAGTCTTCGAGACGGAGCTCGACTTCCGGCCGACGGATAATTTGACGGAGGCGGGCATCAGTGTCTACTACGGGGATCAGCTGCATAACGAGATTGCGATTACCGGGAACCCCGGTGGTGGCGAGGGCAGGTTCATCAAAGTGAGAACTATTGTGCAAGCGGAGCAGGTTGATCCGTGGTCTCTGACCTACACGAATAATACCATAACGACGGTGAGTCTGAAAATCAGCGCTTGGCCTGAGCTTGCGACTTACAAACGTCATTCAGGTTCAATACTATCCGCTCTCGACCTCCGAGGGGCCAGTAAAGCTGACCGCCATCGGCAAGCCTACCGAGTATACACTTGGGTACGCCGAAGCGAATGAGGACTGGGTATACCCTGTTACCTTCGACAGCGCTGCTATCAGCGTCCCTCCCTTTGGGTTAGTCCTTCACCCTTTATACTCATACTGCTCGCTAATGCAGATACAGAGGTTTCTTCTTCAAAGGCGCCGCCTTCGGAATATACAGCACGGGCAACGGGCGTTCAAGCTTAGTCCCCGCGGACTTCACGTACTGGAAGCAGACTCCTTTCGTGGCTACGTGATGTCGCTAGCAACAATGAACTCACTCATAAAAAGTTCTTCTTTCCTATACCACACCCGGGACTCGGGCAATAACGAACGCTCTTCGAACATGTGATTCCCTATCTGTTCAGGAGCACCATCATCTTGTAAAGTATCAGCGCAATCAGACGCAGGCTTTCAGGTCAATCTGAATAGCAAGTCGTGAGGTCTGTCTGATCGAGGAGGACTACGCATGAAAGTTCAACTTTACACGTGGTATATGTTGCACGATCCCGTGATCGGCAACATCCGGTGGAATGTCGGGTGACCATTGCGGTTTCCTACGGTCCTAAAGTTGGCTTTGTCTCCCACCAAGACAGCTGGATAGGGCTCTTTTTCGCAGCTCGCCTCTGCTTTTGACTCTCACCATGGTCGTCAAGCATCTCCCCCCAGCTGTGAAGCAGCTCCTGACCCTCCGGAACCCTCAATCACTCCCGAGCCCGCCTTTATCTACGCTCAACAATGTCTTGAAGCGCACCTTCCAGGACGCCAAGACCAAGAAGGCCGAAACGGGCTGGCTGGTTCTATCTGTGCGAACAAACTGCCGCTTTACTTGAAATCAGTTTGTGTCGCGCCAAAGGCGACCTGCTGATACTAGCTCGTCTAGACATGCTCATTGCTGACGACGAACCGTCTCGCCACCCTTGGGCAGCTCTATCGCTTCGTGACCCGCGCCGACCCCAATGATGCGAAGACTCGCTATGGAGATCTGGCTCGTGCCGTTAACAGAGCGGCGCTGATGCGCGAGGCGGCCATCAAGAGCACTATCTTTGTTGGCGTCCCGCGGGTGAGTATCCTGGTCTATTCGTTCTTTCGCCTTCACCGAGATCCCGGCTCGGAACTCGTACTGAACTGATATACTCTCAGGTCATCCTATCTCTCGCCGCTTGGCATGAGGCTCTCGACGAAGACGTCAAGGCCTCGCTCAGAACCGAGTCCCGCAGGTCAGTGCTTCCTTGTCTGGCGCTAGCTTTCCACTGGCGCCCTTTGACCGTTGTAGGCTGATGTCGTGCATAAACGTATACCCACACTAGGACACCCACTCCCTACAACATTGAGGCAATTTTGTCCCGAGGCCAGGGTCTGTGGAACTCCATTTATACGCCACACGCCGAGAAACTCTATTCGAAGCTGGGCGGGTACCATCCTGACTTCATTGGTATGTCGCGCCCATCCACACCTAGTCGTGCCGCACCTGCCGCATCTACACGTTGCTTCTTCATGGATCCAGACGCATGGGACGCAATGCATCCTCCCGCCCACGCGCCCTCCCTCGATTCAGGCTGATCGTCCGATTTGATTTAGCTTTCATTATCACTAGCTATGGCGCCCTGCTCTCGCCGATGCCCGGTCAAGTGAGGTCATTCCACGACGAGAGCGGCAAGGACGACGTCGACCAGGGCAACCTCAGCCGCGCGATGGGCTCTATCGTCGGCACGGCCTGCCTTCGCGCTGAGGGCGGCGTCGGACCGCAGCTTACCAGCCACGTCTTCGGGCTGCTCAAGGCGCGCGACGTGGAGGGTCTGACCGAGGAGGACAAGTGGCTCGCGTCGGACGAGGGGACGGCCTGGGTCATCCGCACGGTCGATGACATACTCGACGCCGCGTCGTCGGGGGACCAGATCCCGTCCAAGATGTAGGAGAGCAATGAGGCTGTCAGCTGGCCAGGGTGGGAGGATACTTACATCTGAATCCGCTCTGCCTCGCCGTCCACACGTGAATCAAGCACCCCGATGTTCTGCTATCGATGGATCGCAACCAGCTTCCGTTGCAAAATCGCGCGGAAGAGGACGTGGATTATTGAGGGATAGGAGCCGACGGAGGGTCGCTCGCGTACGCGGCTGTCGCGGAGCGCACCTCCTTTCCGAGAGATGAGACGAGGATATCTTCAAGCGATCAGTTGAGCGTGAGGCTTCGTGCATGGCATTGTCAGAATAAACAGCCGTAAAAGGACATGCGTAATTTGAAACGAAGACAACAACAATTAGGTGACGATCATGGTGGTGCTACAGTGGATGTATGCGGGGCATGGGCATGTACAAGTGCAGGAAAACAGCGAGACGAGCAGAGAAGCAAGCAGAGCGAGCTAGCACATCAGATCCCCCACATCGCGCAGAAGCGGTAGAGCATAGCGGTTATCACCACCATATCCATCATGGGAGGATGCGTCTGGGAAACAAGGAAGACAGATGAGTGGCGCGCTTCCCCATTCAGCCGGGCGATGCTCACCACCGTGCCAGCGCCCGCACTGCGGACGAAGTGAAGCTCCCCGTGGACCTCGTACTTTGTGTACTGCGTTGGTGGGTTGTGGGGGTGGTAGAACGCGATGACGTTGTTGTTCGCGTCTTGCAGCTGCGAGGGAGGCGGCGTCAGCTCTGGCTTAGACCGTACGGTGCGAGCCCGAGCGGGGCGGCACGTACAACAACATCGACGCCATTACTGGCGACTCGCCAGCGGTACTGCGCGCCATCGGGGCCATTGAAAATCCGCCCGTTCTGTATCCGCGCGTCCGGTCGTACCAGGTCCTTCATCGGCATCAGGTTCTGTCCGGGGCGTTAGCTAGAGCTCTTGGCCAGGAGGTGATGCCTCTTCGCCGGTGAATGGTGCTTAGGAGGCCGGGGGCGAGGAGGAGAAAGGTAGGTAGGTGGGGTAGTCAGGTGATAGAGGGGGCTTGGGTGCCACAAACGACGCGCAGGGCACACTTGAGCGATCCAAGGGACCCGCCGCAGACCCAGATTCGAGGGCCCGTCGTAAAGACAAGACCCGCGAAAGATCCACCAGGGGACAATGTAGGGGAGAACGCAAGGAACAATGCAGCGTCCCGGAGAGTGCGCAAGGGCTTCGACGAAGTACTAGGTACCCGCAGGATGACCCAACCAAAAGAAATGGTCGCTGCTCACCTTCCCGACTAGTACTCGTCCCAAGCCACCATTGGCGGCCCATTCGAACTTCGCGACGCGGTCTTCCTTGTTCACGCGAATAGTACGCCAGAGAGTGGTGACGGTGTTGCCGTTGGCGCCGACAGCAGTCTGGCAGGGGCAGTCAGAATTCCGGTCATCATGATATAGCGGCGAGACAATGTAGGGAAATGAGGCGTGTGAGGAGAAGGTAAAGCAAGAGCTGATGGATGAAGAAGGAAAGCAGGAAGAAGGGGGGGATGTGATAGAAAAGCAGGTGAAGATCAAGCACATTCGAGGCCACTCACTTGAAAACGGTATGCGAGGCCGAAGGGGTTGAAGAGCTCGGACTCGCGCGGGTCCTGGTTTGTCCAGGAAAGGATGTCGTTCGATGAGGCGGCCATTGCGAGTCAGTTGGAGAGGAGGAGCGTGTAGTGTAGGGGGAAGATGCTAATGCGAAGGTAGAGGAGGTTGTGGGGGACACACGGGGTACGGTCGCGGGGAGGACGCGTGTAGTTTGCGGAGGGGTTCTGGTCGTGAAGCCCTTAGTGGCTAGACGAAGAGGCGGAGGGAGGTGGGTGTAAAGTCCCAACGCGTGCGCGCCTCCCTTTAATATGCGCGCGCAGGGGGGAAGAACAGATCCGCGCAAGATCAAAACGTGGTGGCGGGTCCTGCAGGTCTCAAGATAAAGTCGACTCGCGGGTTCAGCGTGTCGGCTTGTTGGCAGACGCGATCGACTGGCCATGCATAGTGGAGCGCTCAGGTGGTGTCTGGAGAAGCTGGGCGACCGCGTAGGCGCCCACGGCCCATGGGAGGATTTACCGTAAGGGGCACCCCTTGTCGGCGCTGCCCGATGACGAGCGGCGGGCACACCTGCCTCGCGAGCGGCATATTCACTTCGCGCAGGCTTCGCGAGGGCTGCAAGGTCGATCGTCCCGAGGCAGAGATGCCTGTGGCGATAACGGCATTTGGAAAGTTGATGGTGCGGGATTGGTTATTCAATCGCAATCTACACCTACCCTCTGCCGGAGCCCGCTTGCCTCGTTTCCGCCTCGTGTGTACGGCGAGGCGGGGCGTTTACAGGGGGTGAACTAGACTGGGAGGGGAAGTTGGGAACCCTGGAGGGAGGAAGGCGGCGAGGGATGATGCGCAATAGTCAAAAGCGAGACGTCGAGGAAGGCAGCTCATCGAGCCTTTTGTGACGGTAAAGGCGAAGTCGACCCAGGAGGCGCGGAACGCTCGGTCGGTACCTTTAGGAGGAGGGGAGGAACGTGGCACATTTGATTGTCAAAGGAGGGTAAACTCTAATTCGTGCCGCGCAAGGGACTTTACCAGGATGTGCATACCAAACGTCGTAACGTTAGGGCTACGCGTAGCCGACGCCGCCGTCTAGATTCCCACAAGCGCCATGGTTCGCGAGAGGATGCACTCGGGCCGCAGGCGCGAGCTACTGTGGCTATCGGACTGGCTCACGGACGTGGTACCCGAGATGAAGAGGCAGAGCTGGAGATATGAAGGCGGGCGTGAGACAGAGGGTTGATAATGGGTGCGCGTCCATACCTAGATCAAGGAACTACTTGGACCCCACAGCTGCGCGCAGAGCCGACGACCATCCTCGCGATGGACTCGAGGCTCAGGTGGCGCATGTGCTCGTCAGTGGCCTTGATCTTGGCTATCTCGTACACATGCTTCAAGGACATTGTCGCTAGTATATCGTGCCCTGCAGAACGTAAGCTTGCTGCCACGAATGTGGGAGAAATGCAGACGGACCTGGGCGCCCGGTACCCTTGTCAATGCCTGTCGTCTTCTTGATGAAGTAAGAGACGTGGGGGGTGTTCGTGGTGAAGGTGAATGTGCGGTCCGGATTGACGTTCACGACCGTGGGGACGGGGACGCCAACCTCGAAGTGCGCTGTCCGTGCGTTGAACTCTTTGCAAAAATCCATGGACTTGACACCCTTGGCACCGAGCGCGGGACCAACTGGCTATGGGCGCATGAGCGGGCGTCTATCTGGCTCTGCAAACTACGCACCGGAGTCGGAGCCGCCTTCCCGGCCCCTACCACTAGGCGCTGGAAATTTCGTCAGAAATTGCGCAAAAAGTTAGAGTGAGATACGCACAATCATCTGAGACCGTGCTTGGAGAGCCTTCGACATGGTGCCTCAATCTAGTCCGCCAGAGAAAGAAGGGAGGGAGGCGCGTTCCGCGTCGTCGGCGCGTGAGGAGAGTTGCTGCCTGCTTCCCGATCGGTGCACGTGGTGCACGTGGGCGGGCGGGGTCCGGATCAAACGGCGGCTTCCCCGAAAGTGATGCTGTGACGAGACGCAGGCGCACGCCGCTGGTTGCTCAGGACCATGAAGGGATTACTCGCACTCGCTCTCCTCAGCTCGACCGCCCTCGCGGCCCCAGCCATCGACTACCACGTTGACGGCCAGACCGTCCTCAGCAAGCAGCCCGGTTTCTCCCTCGACCTCACCGAGCAGCGCCTGGTGCTCCTCGAGGGCGACGCGACGCCCAGACGCGTAAGCGAACTCGAGAAGGTAAATAACCCACCCTAAATCGTGGTCACTGTCACTCACACGCACTCAGATCCATCTCAAGGCGCAAGGAATCAACTTCTTCGATGTGTACGCATTCTGTACGTCCTACGCCTTGAGCTGCTCATGAACCAGGCCCTCTTTAGCACGGAGACGCCCGATTTGAGCGCATACGCAGCCAATCTCCAGCGGGAGCGACGTGAGCTACATATCTGATATCACCTACGAACAACTGCTGATGCCGAGCAGAGGCCCTTCCTAAGCCCAACGCCACCGACCTCGTCTTCCCCATCATCAAGTCTCTGTCCACGGACGGCCCGAAGGCGAACCTGGCTAAATTTACCAGCTTCCGGACCAGATGTACGTCCGCCCTCGTATCGCTCTCACTCGTGGTCCTGGTACACAATCTTCTTGGCTCTAGCATCCATTCTCGCAGCACCCTTAGCACTCATCCCCTTGCACCGATGACCATTCATCTACTCGCACCGCTTACCACTGACCTCGCTCGCAGACTATCGCTCAGACGTAAACTTGACCTACTCTTCGCCACGCTCTCCCAACTCATGCCCTTCTAGACTGGCAAGCAGAGTCAGCAGTGGCTTCTATCCAGGATCTCCGAGGTCCGCGCATTCACTCTATCGCTCGAGCTGCTCTGTGGGTGCCGCGGGTCAGCTATCGAATAGCATGGCGCTACTTTGTGGGCGACCAGCGATCGAGTAGCTTCCCCGAGGCACCCACAAAGTGGAGATCTCCGAATCTGGCACTGACGCTCTTCCCAATAGATCACGGACGAGTTCGCGCCGGACGCTTTGCGCGATCTGATCACCTTCAAGGAGTTCCCGCATTCATGGGGCCAGAACTCTATCGTGAGTGGACTTGCTTTGTTCCGTGGGTGGTGGAATGGGTCCCTCGTCGATGAGTATCACATTTCTGGTAGTGGCTGACTTGCCAATAACGCTGGACTTGCCTCCATCGACGAGGCTCAGCGTTCTATCAGCTGTTGACCCGGCTCCCTCCCATTGATCATCTGCGGGTATGGTCCATTTGCTGACCCCGAACTCGCCCACAGATCGTCCGCATCGAGGGCTCCACCAAGCCGGACGAGGTCGTCATCGTGTCTGCCCACCAGGACAGCACGAACATGTGGCCCTTCCTCCCCGCTCCAGGTGCGTTTCTTTCTCCTTCGCACAGCGGTTCCTTTTCCGTCTCCCGCGACGGTCTTACTGGGCTTCGTACGATGTCCATTTGGGCTTCGCTCGATGTCCCGTTGGGCTTCGTTCGATGTCCCTGTGGACTTCGCGCAACGGTCCCTTTGGTGGACCTTGCGCGCCACGGGCCCATGGGCCTTCGGCGCAGCACTTGACAGCATACTGACGCTTCGCTTCTCTCCCTAGGCGCCGACGGTAAGAAGTTGTCTTCACCTCCTGGTTATCATGTGTTTGCTGACGGGACCTTTTCATGTCTTTGCTGAATTGTGGTTGCCTTCGCCCCTTCGTTGAATTGCGGCACCTTTCCCTTCCCTACCATTCATCATCCTGTGATGCCCTTCGCCAATTCGCGCTACCATTCGCTCGATCGCGCTACCCTTCACTCAATTGCATCCCTTCACTGCGCGGGCCGACTCTTCCGCCCTCTTCTCATGTGCCCTGACCTCCCTCTGAACCTATGTATACATTGATCGGCGTCTACCCCTTCCCTCACCTTCGCGTCTATCCCCGCCTTCGCGAACCGGAACCTCCCGTCTTCACCTTCGATATCGCTTCTTCCGTCCCTTCAATGACCCTTCTTTCCACTGCTTCTCTGTCGGTCCCTTTCCACTGCTTCGTTGTCGGTCCCTTTCCGCCCCTCCGATGTCGCTTCTCTTCACCGCTTCGCTGCCTGGTCTTTATCACGCATCCTCCTCATGTCTATTGTCACCACTTTGGCTTCGCTATTGTCACCACTTTGGCTTCGCTATTCTCACCCCTTGACTTCATTTGCATCACTTCTGCGTATCCTTCACCCCCGCATACAAATCGTTCGCTATTGCCTTCGTGCTGTTCACCGTCGCCTACGTACTGTCCACTCTCTTCTGCGTATCCCCACCCTCACAGATGACGGCTCGGGCACTGTCACCATCCTCGAGGCCTACCGCGGGCTCATCGCCGCCGGCTTCCAGCCCGACCGCACGGTCGAGTTCCACTGGTACTCTGCGGAGGTAAGTGTTTGGGTCATCTTTGCTCTTCGACTTTGCTCACACAATGCGGCTCTTCGACATTGCTCACACAATGCACAGGAGGGCGGCCTTCTGGGTTCGCAGGCCGTCGCGAAGGACTATGCGGCGAAGCAGGCGAATGTGATTGCGTCGAGCCAGTTTGATATGACTGCTTGGGTGAAGGTGAAGGGACTTTGTTCATAAGACAAGGGAATAGGAAGCTGACCGTGATTGCAGCGCGGCACCCGCGAGGAGGTTGGGATTATTACAGACTTCGTTGATGAGGAGTGAGTGTCTTTTCTTCTTATGCTTATCTCCTTGTGCGGGCAAGTAACCTATAATGAACTTCGTCTGACCGCTCCTGCCAGGGTCTCCAACTTCAACAAGGCGCTCGTCGACCTCTACCTCGACATCCCCTACGTCGAGACGCAGTGTGGCTATGCGTGCAGCGACCACGCGTCTTGGACGCAGGCCGGGTACCCTTCGTCATTCACGATTGGTGAGTGGGGCTTTTCCAGTGTTGGATATGTGTCGTTCGTCAAGCGGCTTGGGGTAGCTGCTGCGAGTATCCCTTTTGCGGGGATGCAACTGCCTTTCGTTTGTCCTCGTCCTGGCACCCTTGCTCGCGAATCAACATTAACATCACCCCTCCAGAATCCACCTTCCAGAACTCGAACAAGAACATCCACTCGACGAACGACCGCTCCGACATCTCGGACGAGTTCAGCTTCGAGCACATCCTCGAGTTCTCCAAGCTCGCGACGGCGTTCGCGGTAGAGCTTGGTGGGTGGTCGAAGAAGCAGTAGACTTGGTGGAAGTAGACGTGAAAGTAGACCATGCGATCAGGGCGGAGTGGATGCCCTAGGGTGGGCTACATGCTCACGAGCACTCCGATACCAGAGTCGTTCAGGTAGATTGAATACACGGATCGGATGGATATCTCACGACGTACGATGATTGTTTGGATTCGGATATACGCTCAAGACAATAATATAACGCATGATTACTGCATGTACTCGAAGCTTTGGATTGGACGAACGAACAATGGACAACAAACATTGACAGCTAGACAGCATTTGGAAACAAACAACATAGTGGTGACAGGTCTACCCATCGCGCTTCACGTCCGTACAGAACACGTCCGACTTGCCAAACGCAAGTACGGTGCCCGCGCTTCCGGGCTGGAATACAGCGTGCGTGACCACGCATGATGTCGTGCGGGTCAGGACAGGCTGTGAAAGCAAACGTCAGCAACGACCTGAACGAAAAAAAAATACTGGACGTACCGTCTTCACATTGCGGATGTCCCATACACGGAGCGAGTCTGAAGCAAGAGAAATGGATTTCAGTGACGCGCTAGCAGGATGGGGAGGTGGAAAATGGGGAGGGAAAGTGAACGCACGATCAGGATATCCTCGTACGAAGTATGATAGCCAGAAGTCGCCCTTGTAAAATGTGTGGCCTTGTTCGTGTGTTCGATGGCCGAACTGGACGACAGGTGGTTTGTCGAAACCTTCCCTAGTATCGTAGAGCTGATTCTGGTGGTCGCGGTGGTCCGTCTAGGCGTCGTGCAATCAGCAAATGAATACACAAAAGCAGAAGATAACCAGCGTGAGCGATGGATGGATGAGCAACGAGTGATGACGAACCTCAAGCATAATCACCCTCTCCTCTGCCTTATTCACATGCATCTGCTGCACCGAGTTCGACAACTTGGACGTGGCGAGTGCAGCGGCGGGGCGCGCAAGATCCATAGATACGAGCGTCTGCTGGTAGCCGACGAACAATCTATTGCCCGCGTTCGCTAGCGCGCGAGGCACCGCGGCGAGCTGAAGGACTTTCGTTCGAATTAGACTCGAGGAGGCCGTCGTGGTGGTGGTGCGACCGTGGGCGGTGTGCACGCGACCACGAGAGTCGTCCGCGCCAGCATTGGAGTCGCCCGCGCCGACACTCGAGTCGCCCTCATCGTCGCTAATGTCCATATCAGAGGATTCAGCGGTCAGGTCGATTGTATCGGCGTCAGTAGGGTCATGATCAAAAGCCCAAGAGAAGATGTGCTTGTCCCAACCGCCGGTGAAGAAGCCATCCTTGCCAGGACCTACAGCAGGCGTGAGACAGGTAGTCGTCGTGTCGGGACGCTTCTTGCGCGTTATTGGCGTATGCGGTGCGTTTTCCAACGCTGGGATCAGACGGGGATGGTCAGAAGATATCTATGAGCCGCGCAAGATGAGAACAGGACAATGGTGTGTGAGGAAAATGATGGGCACCTCTATGTAGGCGATTTGTACAGGGCCATTGTGATAGGCAACTACCATTCTCCCTTTGGCTGTGACGCACGCGTCCTCTATTAGGTTCCTGCCCTCAGAGGGTATGGACTTGCCAGCCAAGCGAGTCAATCTGAACGCGTATGTCAGTTCCGGTAGGGTGATTGCTTGAGCATCGAGACAACAATCCACTCAGAACTCACTTCGCCTCCCCCATCGCCTCGAACTCATCCTCAGGCTCATACGGGCGGAAGAACTGCAGGTCTCCACGCCGCGAGACAGTCATAATCGGATACTCCTTGCTCGCAGAAGACACCAGGATACGCCGTGCGGCAGCGTGGGCTGCCTTCGGGACGCTCGCAGCCGGCCACAGATCCACGTCTGGGCGCTTATGTGGAATTGTGTAGTCGGGAAAGGTACGGCGACCCTGCGTACGATGCGTTGGCCTTTTCCTCTGTCTCTCTGAGGTACGTTCGGAGTCGTCTTCGGACGAGGACGAGTCGCTTTCCGAATCGCTCGAGATGTAGGAAGGGGACAAGGATTGGCGGCTCGATTGCGAGGGCGTGCTGCTCCCAGTTCGAGACCCCACTGCAGGCGTGCGGATACCTACTGCAGCTGCAGCTCGCGAGGGGCGCACAGACGGCGACCTCGTTTGTGTGGCATTGCTCGCCGCTGACGGCGGAGCCCTCGAAGGCGGTTGTGTATTCATGGGCTGACCGCGAAGGCGGGAGGGACCTGGGGTGGCATTGCGCGACATAGGCCGCCCAGATCGAGGGCCTTGACTGGCAGGACTCCTCGAAGTGGACTGAGATGGATAGGTGGATGACAATGAGCTCGGTTTCGGGCCACTAATCGAATGCGGCTTCGAGCCATCAGATGAGGGTCCCGCAGTCCTCGAGAACGATATCATGTGTCCCGGGGACGGCGTTGTAGCTCCAGAAGGAGGTATAGAGGGATTCGGAGGAGGTACAGAAGCGTTGAGTGTCGGTTTACTCTCATCTTCCTCGTCCCAGGTCAAGTCAATGTGCAGGGGTGATTCCTCGCGTTTGCCGAGGAGTGATTCGTCGGTCAGATCGACTGGATCCTCGCTTTTTCCAGATGGTATGGAGCGAGAGGGGGGCCGTGAGTTAGTTGTGGGTGTGTCTCGTGAGGAGGATGACGGCGCGTCTCGCGAAGAGTCCCCCTTCGCGGTTCCTCTCCTTCGGACATGAACTACGTATGGTACGCCCCCGCTATAGGTTCTTAATGAGCGTCAAGTCTCCATAATAGCGAACCAGACGCACGCAATCTCGTCCTCCCCCGCCCGTATGCTGCAATCCCGCCCGAACTGTTGGCGAATGGCAGGGGTGCAGAGGCGCTTGCTGCTTCCCTCCGGAGATTCCTTCGTAACCTCCCGCTTGACGGGGACCATGGCAAAGTAGCGCAGAAAAGAGGGGATGCGTGGAAGAGAGCAGGAATCTGCCTGGCAAGTCGTAAGTAGGTAATCATGTCCAAGTCGCGTCGCGGTTCCCCATGAGCGCGATCGATCGGACCGAGCATCCGGCCGTAAGAAACAAGCTGGTCTTTGCTTCTCGCGCTGCGAAATGTGCAAGCCTGGGACTTCATCACCATGCCCAAGGCGAGCACACCTAGAAGCCCGTGTTAGCACACGGCCATCCGGCGTTCATCATTTCCCGCCGGACGGTCATCAGTGCACGCTGCGCGTTCCTCGGCAACGCACACCTCTTGATCATCAGCATGCACCTCGCCATTCACCAGGCCACAGTTCATGAAAGCATGCAATAACGCGTCGTGTCCGTGTTTCAAGAATATCTACTGAGGCGCAAGCAAAGACCAGTGCTCACAAGCCACGAAACCACAACAGTCGGACGACGACTAGATCTATGATACGAAGATGCAACACGCGACAAACGGGCGACGCATGAGATGGGAGCAGAAGCGTTCCACGGAGACGGACGCGTATAGGGCAGCGTTCCAGGGACACGCCAGACAGGAGAGCTAAGCGCTTTCAAGACGAGGAGCCAACAGACTGAGCCTGTGAAGGACACCGGTACCCGTCACATCTACAATCAGTACGTACATACAGAAGACGCAAACGCAACCAGCAACCAGTTCGGGGCACGTCGAGTTCGATGAGCCAAACACGTAACCAATAGAGGGAAAAGAGAAAAGAAATGGGAGAGGGAGTAGGGTCCATGACAGCCGCTATGGGCCATGACAGTCGCTATGAGAGTCACACCGACCGCCAGGGACGGCGAACGAGAGAGCGCTACGTGGGGTATGTGTTCCCAGGGTGCGCGGATAGGTATACACCGCGGGCCGGGAAGTCGGTTAGTTGATGTACGAGGCGCCAAGCGCGGTGGGCTTCCCGTCGCCACCCATGAGCTGGTTGTCGTAGTTGACGTTGACCATGTCGTGCATGAAACCTTGGGAGAAGTATGAGTACGTGGACGTCACGACAGCAAAGATGTATGCCTACCGAAGGGGAAGTAGCCGAGGACCCAGTCGGTGTTCTCGAGGAAGGGAGTGACGGCAGCCTTGAACGCCCAGATGTCGTCCATGCTGGCCTGCGCACCACCGTTGAAGTTCTGGTCGGCGAACTCGGTGACGAAGACGGGGTGGCCGAAGCGGTCGTGGTAGTCGGTGACGTAGTCAATGAAGTCCTGGGCGTTGATATCGTACCAGTGGACGGCCTGGGCATCGAACGTGCAGCCCTGGCACTGGTCGTAGAACTTCTGCATCCACTCCTTGCCGGCGGGGTTGCCAGAGGTGGCCGGGGAGACGAGCTTGTAGCCGAGGTCCTTCTTCGGCTGGATGTGCTCCTGCCAGAGCTTGACGGCCTCCTCAGGCGACATGTTGGACTGGCCGACTTCGTTAGGCCTAAGCAGCATCTAATCAGTATACGCGGTCAGGTGGTCGACGATCGGGACGTACTCGTTCATGCCCAAAATCCAGTCGGCGTAGCCTTGCTTGACGTTCTGCTCGAACTCATCGACGTTCTTGTAGCCCCAGAGCTGAACCATGGGCGAAAGGCCGAGGTCGCGGACATTGGAAGGAATGCTGGCGCTCCAGTTGTAGAAGCTAGAGGTAGCATGTGAGATAACAATCTCCGCGGATGGAAGTGGAGCGCACTATTTGGTCTTGCCGGTAACGAAGTTGGCGAGCTCCTGTACGTCCAGTGAGCGGGCAGAGCGGGGGAGAGAAGGCGAGAACACGTACATCGGGGCTACCACCCCAGCAGAAGCCCACCTTGCCGCCGCCGGGCGCGCTGACAGTGCTGCCGCCGTTGTTGGAGCCGGAGGAGCCGCTGCCGCTACCACTGCCGCTGTTGCTACCGCTGTCACCGCCGTTGTTGTCCGACGAGGTGGACTGCGACGCGTCAGAGGTAGAGGTGGGCGTCCAGTCGGTGGACGAGGGCGCGTCGGTAGAGGACGTCTCGGCGGGGGCCTCGCTGCTGGAGCTGGCGAGCTTGACGTTGCCGTCCTTGGCGTTGTCGCGCTGGCGGCACTGGCGCTTGGAGTGGGTGTCGTTGCGGCGCTTCCTGATCATCTGGCCGTGACCGCCGAGGGCGTTGCGGGCGGCGACGTTGTGGTCGGCCGAGAGCGCGTTCGCGGGCATCGCGCCCTGCGAGCATAGCAACACGGCGAGCGTGGAGAGGGCGAGAAGGTTGAGCAATTTGGTAGCCGACATTATTGCGGTGGGCGACGCGGAGTGAGAAGGAAGGGTGTTAACGAGCGTGAGGGAGTCGTCGAGGACGGTGGAGAGAATCCCGGTGGTGGGGAAGAAAAGAGGAAAATGCGGGCGCGGTTGCGGTTTTTGTAGGGTTTCCTAAAGCGGCCCGACAGCTGGAAGGGGACTGATGCCCGCGCTGGCGCCATGAGGTGCAGAAGAGGAGGTTGCGGGGCGCGGCAACGGGTGAGCTTGGGGGTAAGTCGGGGCGTACATTGTGCTAGTGTACTCGATAGGCGTAGTATATATACTATGGTATGTTGCGCAGCGAGGGGGGCGCAGTCGGGCCTGCGCCGACATCGCGCACCCAGTCTCGAACGCGTACCTGGCTCTCGTCCACGCTCTGCTTGGCAACCGTCGCATCGACAAAGGATTATGTCAGCTGTTGTTTGTTTGGCTGGGGCGATGCACCCAAAAGGCGGAATTGAGTGTCGTGGACGGCAACTCTCTTTTCACGATAGTCCAGTCAGAGTTCAGCACAGTTCATCCGTCCATCCACCTCAACCGCTCATCCTAACATCATGTCTGACGCCCCCGCCGCCCCGGTCACCGAAAACGGCGCGCCTCCTGTTACCGAGGAAAACAAGGCCCCGGAGACCCCGAACTTCAAGGTGCGCTTTTTCCGCGTTTTCGACGCGTTTTCTGGCGCTCACAGTCCTCCCTCTCCAGGTCTTCGTTGGCAACCTCGCGTATTCAATCACGGATGAGGGGCTGAAGACGTTCTTTGCGCCGTTTCAGAGCGACATGTGCGTTGCCACCGTCGTCTCTTGTCTCGCGACACAAACTAATCGATTATAATCCAGCCTGTCCGTGCAGGTTATCCAGCGCGGCTCGCGCTCTGCCGGCTACGGGTTCGTCGCTTTTGGCACTCAAGAAACGGCGCAAAAAGCCGTCGAGGCTCTTAACAAGAAAGACCTCGAGGGCCGCGAAGTAATTGTCGAGCTGGCCAAGCCCGCGGAGGAGAAGGAGAAGGAGAAGAAGGAGCGCAAGGCCAAGAGGCGAACCGGCAGGCGTGGCAGCAAGGCTGTCCCCGGGGAGGTCTCGGAGGCCGAGGCCAACGGCGAGAAAGCTGAGGGCGAGCCTGCTGCCGAGGGCGATGCTTCCAAGCCCAAGAAGAAGAAGAAGAAGGCCGTACGTCCCCTGCCTCGTGCCCGCTAATCTTCATATCTGACGATCGCCCGCAGAAGAAGGCTAAGGCCGCGAACGGCGAGGCCGCCGAGGGCGCTCCTGCTGGCGAGGCTGCTGCGTCTGGCGACGCGGCGGCCCCCAAGAAGGAGAAGGCCAAGAAGAAGAAGGCGCCACGCCCTCCTCGCCCCGCGGGCGAGGACCCCGTCGGCGAGCCGTCCAAGACCATGCTCTTCGTCGCGAACCTCGGCTTCAACGTCGACGACGCCGGCCTCTCTGCCCTCTTCACCGAAGCTGGCATCAAGGTCGTCAGCGCGCGCATCGTCCGCCGCCGGTGGGGCAAGCCCCGCAAGAGCAAGGGCTACGGCTTTGTCGACGTCGGCAGCGAGGAGGAGCAGAAGAAGGCGATCGAGACCCTCCAAGGCAAGGAAGTCGGTGGCCGCGCCATCGCTATCAAGGTCGCCGTCAACAGCCCCCAGTCCGACTCGGAGGGCGAGGGCAAGGCCGAGGGTGCCACCAAGGCCGAAGACGCTCCCGCTCAGGCTGCCCCTGCTCCTGCCGCCGCCGCCCCGGCCCCCGCTGCTGAGGCCGCTCCCGTTGCCGCATAAAGCGACTCACCTCCCCCCATCCGCCCCCGTTACTGGTCATCTCACCCGCTCACCTCCCCACTCCTCGACTGCGTTCAGTTAAGTATGTATCGCTTTTGTGGCAGTGATTCGTGTTTCGTACGTTCGTCTCCCTCACGGTCCATGGGCCTATATATGCCGGTTCTTATGCAGAAATTCCTAACGGTCCATGGACTCTGTTACACTTCACTGCTCCAGTCCATATAGCGGTCTGAAGCCGTCCCCTTTAGTTCGTTAATTACTTCGTGTCGATGACCATAACGACACCCTGATGATGCTAATGTATGCTGCTATTCTCACTCTTTACTGGAATAAATTGGTCTGGAGTACAAGGAATCTGCGTGAGTGAGCGCGCGAGGACGCGTTTCGCGTCGTTCGAGGCCGTCGCATACGTCGTAGCGCGCAGAATGATGTAGCCATAAACCTCGCTTGCTCCCCACCATGTCAGACGAAGAGGACGATTACCTATCCGACAAGTTCCTCCTCGCTGCCTCCGCACCTGAGAAGCCCCAGACGTACTCGCAGCGCCGCAAGGAAGCGGAGAAGCGCGCGCATGAGCGCAACGTGCAGAACAGGAAGAAGTCGCGCAGGCAGCTTGAGCAGCAGGCGCGCGAGGAGGGGCTGAGCAAGAGCCTGTTCGAGCGCGCGGCGGAGGAAGCGAGGGCGGTAGAGGAGGCAAGGGCGGAGGAGGAGCAAGGAAAAGCGACGGAGGAAGGGAATGCGCCAGCGGGGAATAAGGCGCTGGCGATGATGATGAAGATGGGGTTTAAGCCGGGCCAGTCGTTGGGGAGGCAGGAGGAGGAGGATGAAGAGAAGGTGGAAGAAGAGCAGAAAGCAGAGTCGTCAACAAGGACGCGCTCTCCTTCTGCATCGGCGGCGACTACGTCGAGGCATCTTATCAATCCTATAGCGATAAATGAGTGGTCTGGTGAGTTAGCAGTCTCGATGCTCTCTTTTGACGGAGTGCCAAACCTAGTTCACTCGCCTCACAGGGAAGGTTGGCATCGGGGTGAAGAGGCGGCCTCCGTCACCGACCTCGACGGAGATGATAGCCAAGATGGCGAAGATGGCCGACGAGACGAAGCACGTCGACTTCCGGGACCGGGCCAGGCAGGAGTACCTCGAGAGGCGAGCGCACGGCCAGCTCAGTACGTATGACTTCATCTCTCTGCACATCGTCTTCGCCTCTCTTCCTCCACTCCCTGACACTAAGATGTATATCTGCTAACCGCTACCTCCCGCAGAGGGCGCGCAGCGCACTTGCTATAACCTTGACGAGAAGGACGGCAAGAAGGTGTGTAACTTCCGCTTGTTTATCCCCTACTTTGTCTGCCCAACTCTTGTCTGCCTCACTAACCGCCTTCGCGCAGTACAACGTCCTCTGGCTAGACCCCGAGGACCGGGACACCTTTCCTCCTGGTCTTATCGACGCGCTGGAGCAGCAGACCACATTCACGATGCCCTTACCTCGCGATCCGCGGCGAGACGATGACATTGAGGGCCGCTTGCGCAGGCAGATGCACAAGGACCGCTTACGCCCTCTGAAAGCGGAGGACGAAGATGAGGGGAAGGCCGCTGCTGTACCCGAATTCGAGCAGTCTACGCTTGAGGAGGCGTGTCAGTTTCTGCGATTGCCGGTGAGCTTGCGCTCTAGAGAGAGTTTCGTGTATGAATGCTGAGGATACAATGTTGCAGGCTGCCGACCGCTTGTATCTCGTACTCAGCTACCTGCGAGACAGATACTCGTACTGCCTATTTTGTGGCACGCAGTACGACGATGAAGAGGATATGGCGAAGAACTGTCCAGGGCCGAGCGAGGATGACCACGATTGATCTTGTTCTGGTACGGTCTTCCATCGCCCAATGTCGAGAACACGTATTGAGGCACTCAACGATGGCTGTAGCTCAGTCGCAAGCAATGTAATGCGCATACTGAACGCCGCCGCTAACGTTCAGGATGACAGTTCACTCATACCCGTTGAGTCTGCTCTGTCACAATGTTCAGGACGGACGGGATGTCGAGAGGCGTAGGTCAGTATCTTAGTGCCATCGCCACGCACAGACGGGTGAGGTTGACGAGAAGCGCCCCCCAGATGAAGGGACATTTCAGTGTATGCTTTTGACACAGTAGCGAAGTCTACGATAGCAAGATTGTTGACAGAGACAATATCTCAAGTGCAGCGAGAGGGGATGGCGACTAAATGAGTGTGGGGTAAAGCGAGCGTGGAGGCAAAAGGAGCGTGATGGAGACGAAAGGAGCGTGGAGATGATTACTTGAGAGATGAGGATAATTTGGACCAGGGAACGCGAGCGCGCAAACGAGCGACAGCTATGTCAGATATCAGACAGTCAACTCGATTGTCAAGAGCACAGATGATAATACAACGCACGGAGGCTATCCAAAACAGCTGGCTATAGTACACGAACGGGGGACAAACAAGATGACAGCGGCGGTAGCGGGCGCCGCGGGGATACTATGGACAATGGAGAGCCTATGCTGAGGGGATGCGGCGGCGGGTATGCGGTTCGGCGTGGTGGTCCAGCGCGTAGGGCGGCGTCGAGATGCGGATGCCGGTCGGGTAGATGCGCCGCGGGGGTGCGGCGACTGTCTCCACGTTATTGGCATCGAGCGCGGGCTTTGTGAGCGCGTCGGATACGGTGTGCAGGGACTGCATCGCCTCGCCCTCCTTCGCCGACTTGGGCGTAATTGGGAGCGAGTCGACGGAGCTCGGTGATGACGGGAAGAAGGGCGGGAGTGTGGGCAGTGTCATCGAACCCATCGGTGAGAGGCCGGGGGTAGGAGTCCGCCGGAACGCTGGGGAGGTGGGCGTCTTTCGCCGGACGTAGCTGGAGATCGGCGTGCTTGCCGTCAGCCGAGGTGGGGAGTCGTGAGGTCCGTGGACGTGCACAGTCAGATTGCCATTCCCTGCGTGTCTGCGCAGCTAAATTGACTGTGAGCAGAGGTAGGATGCGATCGGTCGTATGCACATACCCGCAGTGGCTGGCGTGCCTCCAACTCGGGCGACGACGAATTCAGGCGTCTAGTTGTGGTCTGCGATCGCTGATCAGTATCTCCGGTGTTGCGGTGGGTGGCGGGGAACTCACCGTCGGCGATTCATATGGCGCGAAGCGTGTGTTCTTGCTGCGTAGGGAGCTAGCCTCGCGCAGCGAGGGTGTCGACTTCGCCTTTGTCGGCGCCGCCCTCGTAGGAGAGGGGGGAGTGGCGGCCATGATCGCAGGAATAGGGGACGACATGGACTCAGACGAGGACCGTGTATGCTGTCGTGAGGAAGGCGAACAGGGCTGCTTCGAGTCCAGCCCCAGCGTAGCCATCAGCTCGACGAAGGAAGGGAGGGGAGTGCTACCGCTGTCCATGTATGGCAGCAGAAGGTGAAGGCTGTGGACGGCGACGCGACACGTCTATAAAGCACTTGAGACGCCCTAGAAACGCATTGGAGCGACGCGACGCGGGCTAGCCACCTGCTGGGGCCATCGAAGGGCTTTATATAAAAGTGTCGTTGCGGTCGGCAAGGGGACTGTGCTGTTGCTGATCTCGATGTTGCTCGGCACGGGTGATGCCCTTCAAAGTAGCCGCATGCGGCGGATAGAAGATGAAATTCTGCACCGCCCTGTAAAATGGGCCCTGCTGCTGCGCCCTGACGGGGGTGTCGAGGGCCGTGTCGATGAGCTTCGGACAATTGTATCGGGGAGAAGGCGAGGGACCGGCGCCTGCGCATTGTCGATCGCACGACTGTGGGCGCAGTGAATGTCAGCGCCTGTACCTTTCCCTGCGCCAAGGCAACCGCCCAGTCAGCCGGGGGACGCTGTCACTGGCTCTGCAGCAATCCTAGAAACGAACTTTCCCAGCTTCTATAAACACCTATGCCATATCGACAGATATGGGGATGTGCGTTGCCACAATAAGCGGGGAATCTATGGGGATCGCTGGACGACCGCGGGAAGAGGTAACCAAGTGCACAAGGTACAGGACAGCGGGAGCCGCTGCGCGACGAACATGGGTGTCAGCCAGCTGTCTCAATCACGACCTCTTCGCTCGTGAAGGTGGAGTGCTGGGCATTCAGAAAATTGAGTTGATGAACGATAATGGAACGGTGGCTGCGCTTGACGGCGGGTGGCAACGCGCAACGACGCCTCGATCGACCCGCGGGCATTATAATTGAGCAGTCACGCGTGACATTCCAGCATAATGAACTGCCAAACACGGGCAAGCATCATTTTCCCTTGTTCTCGACAAGCATGAACAATCAGCAAGGCGGCGGCGGGTACATGTCTGGTGGTGGTCAGGGTGGGGGCTTCATGTCGCAGGCGCCCCCGAAGGAGGATATGGCGTATCTCTGCGCAGGTGCGTGCTGAGGTTGTCGCCAAGGGAGCGTGCGTGCTAACGAACGCGACGACCAGATTGCGGCACGGAGACCACGATCAAGGCGCGTGAGCCAATTCGGTGTAGAGAATGCGGACATCGCATCATGTACAAGAAGCGCACGAAGAGAAGTGCGTGGTTATGCCTTAGACACGCCGAAAACATGCCTAACATCTGTCTAGTGGTACAATTCGAAGCGCGATGATCGTCGCTATATTATTGGGGAATCATACTTCCCCGCGCCGAGATATACTTCTCATCACCGCAACTACATGCATATCAGCATCACCAATCGCCCTTTCGCTTCATCCAGAGGTTCAAGAGGCATGTCACGACCACGCGATCGAGGACTCCCTCCAGCCGCTTGGCCACCTTCAAGGATTGCTGCTCTTCATTCCACTCCGCGAGCGTCTTGCCTCTCGTGTCTACGCACTGCAAGAGGTTCGACATAGGTTTCAGGTAGCGCGTCGTAGTACTCACGAATAAATCCTTGTTATTCTCTGCAACCTTCCACTTGTACTCTGAGCCACCGGCTTTAAATCTTCTTGATCTAGGCGAATGCGTTGGCTTGGTAAGCGCACAGTCAAGGGCGCGACTCACTGGCTGCTGTTCTTCTTTGGCTTGCGCAAGTCGCGGAGGTTGACCTAGGGTTAGGATGAGTCGATGTTCGGTGGGTGGCAACCGGGACGTACCTGCTCGACCCCGAATGAGACGGTGGCATTCGTCTCATTCTTCCATTCGATCTCGCAAGCCGTCTCGTAAATTTCAGTATTGGGATTCCTCCTTTGCACGGTTGTCAAGCCGATAGACAGGCCAGTTATCGGGTGGTAGAACTGCACAAGTGGGGGTTGGCGCAACTTTGAGGCAAACGACGCAGACCCACCTTGTATAATTCGGTCTCTTGGCCATTCTCTTGCGAATACACCTGCAGCGTCCGCATGTCGGAATTTGACGAGGTAGAGAAGGCGAAGCGCAGATGGATAGACAACGAATCAGGCATGTCTAGCGGAGGAACGAGCAGAGGATGCAGGGTTTAGCAAGCGGTATGTGCAGAGCAAGTGCCGTCGTCGCCTTATTACCGATGCTGGCCTCCCGTTACCGAGGGTGATATGTTATCCCTCATGTCTCCAAGAGATACGTCGGCGCATCGTGCCAGGCAGCCAGTAGCCCGGTCCAAGTCGACCACACAGAGGCGAACGCAATCGATGAGAGCGATCTCGCGATGACGCCAGCTGTGCATTGTCTCCCCTCTCTTAACTTTAAGGATGCTATTCAGCAGGCCAAAGGCAGCGGGATTGGCCGTTGCGAGGCGCCGACACGCGATCATAAGGTTTGCGGAAGTAACCTCTGGGAGAATGGAGGAGAAAAGCCTCCGCGTTCTAGGCGCTGCCCGCAGGAGGACGTCTGCTGCTTGCCGGGCAGAAATCAGGTCGGCACGGGGCATGTGGCACGCGCGAATGCGCGCCATATCGATTGCGCACTGGACAGTGAGTTGTTCGTAGCAGGTGCCGAGTTCGAGAATCCCTTCTGGCGACCGGTGGCAGAAAGAGATCGACTTAGCCGAGCGGAGAATGCCAGATAACGAGGAAAAGAGCACAGGAGACTGAGAAAATCCACGCAGGAAGGAAAGCAGCAGGTATGGTTCCGAGGTCATCGCTACAAATTGCGGCGCAAGATTTGACGCCATGGAGCGGGCAGACAGAGAGGAAAGAGCCAGGTGTTTCTCGGGAGGCTATCGAGCCGGACTTGATGGGGCTAAGGCCGCGATAGGACTTGCGCCACGAGATGAAGGCCCCGTATCCAGATAATCGACAGCTCGTAGATGGATTGTGGTACTTACCGCGCCACGCACGCATTGTCTCGCGAGCAACGTTGTGGGTGCTGGTCAAGGTCAGAATGTTGAACATCACGTGCAATCTGGTTCCGCTCACGTGCATAAGTGCCGGTGGCCGCCGCCATCGGAATGCCGTGACACACTCTTGTTGACTGATCACAATGCCCGACAGCAGAGCGCGCAGCGAGTCGCAGGATCTCGACGTACGCAGGGCGTTTGGTGTGCAGAATTGCGACTGACGAGCTTGCAGCGGGACTCGGACAACGAGTCTCTGTCCAACCAGCCCAACAAACCCGGTCGAAAAAAGAACCCAAAGTGAGTAATCCGCCCCTTGTCAGCCACTTGACCGCACTCCCGTCATGGATGAGCCTAACGAGATTACGCTCCCAGTGGCTCGCAGGCGGCGCGACGCGACCAGAACAGGATCGCCCAGCGCGAGTTCCGTCTGAGGAAACAGCAGCGAGTACGCCCCTCGTCCGTCCCGTGCGAGCATATGTTCTGAACGCGTGTTTTTCCCCTCTTCCTCCAGATACGCGATCTCGAGGCGCGCGTGGAGATCCTCTCGGGCACGAAGGATGAGGCTCTCGGCGAGATGCGCAACATGCTCAAGGGTGCGTGCACAGCGTACTCCCCGAGGCGGTGTAGCTAACCCTGCGCAGACCTCATGCAGGAGAATCAGACGCTGCGGGGGCTCATTCGCAGTCTGGCGACCTTCATAGGCGATGGCGCGGGTGGCCTGCTTCCCAAGATCGGCTGGGACATGGCCGAGTTCAACAACTTCATCAATCGAGGGGAGACGGACACCGCGTACGAGGGCTACCAGCGGCGCAAGAAGCAGGCTCAAGAAGCCGGCGGCTCCGCTTCGGCGGGGCAGAAGCGGTCTATGGACGACGATGGTGGCGCGAACAAGCGCGCAAAGGCGGACTCCATCTCGTCCACGGGTGGCGCGGAGAAGATCGTCGGCGGGGGCTTCCCTCCCATGATGATGCCTATGGACAGCGGTCTTTCCGGGAATGGTCTATACAGCGCTTCAGGCTCTCGTCCTTCCCCTCAGTCCGGCAATAACAACCTCTTCCCCGACCTTATGCGCGGCCCCGGTACTTCCCCCATGTTCGGTATGCAGGGCTCGTCCACCACACCTATAGGAGGTGGTCCGCCCCTATCCAACTACAACCAGCACTATATGTCTATGAACATCGACCCGTCCCTGCCCATGCCCTCCTTCTCGCCGCCTAACACCAATACGACACCCTCCGTCCAGCACGCCACCCCCGCCAGTCGCTTGCAGACTGCGTCAAGCCAGCTCTCCCCGGATGCCGCAGAGGACGATGATGATCCCAACAAGAATGAGGCGTATAAGCTTATACAGTGGGTCTATCAGTCCTGTAGATCCTGTGTTCCGTGCTGACCCGTTGCCAATCAGCTATCACTTGGATAATTACAAGCGTAATGGCCAGTACTGCCTCCCCTCCTCGCTTCGCCCGACCCTCGTGCAGAGGACCGTACCCCATGGTAGGCTTTCTTTTCTTCATCGAGGATGCCATACTCATCCATCTACAGAGAGCGTCATTGACCGAGTCCTTCATCCTGAATTGCGCGACCGCATGATATTGCTGCGCGGCAAGTTCGACCTGGTCGACTGCTTGCTCGACTATCGTAATGCTGTCACTATCCACGGAGACGACGTTCTTGCCCACAACAACTGGGAGGTCGGCGAGAAATGGCTGCGGCAGTACTAGTACGTGCTCCGGCTTTCCTTTTGCTGCTCCTTTTCTCAACGAATCTCGCAGCTATTTGACGGATCCTGCCACACTGGCTGTAGCCAACCGCTGGAGGAGGGAGAGAGGAGACCCCGAGTTGTCTATGGATGACCTCGCAGGAGAAGGGAGCCCGGGTGGCTCGGCATCATAGAGTAATTGTATAGGTCTTCATGGTTATTTATGCTTTATGAATGGAGGAGGTGCATTATATGGTTTCTTGTCGCTGACGCGACATGGTCTGATCGTGTGCAGGCAGCGGGAGGTGCGAGTTGCATCCGCGCTATAACGGGACTTCTATAAAGCCAAATAGGATATGTGGATGTGGTCCGACTACCAACAAGCCTTCTTGACGCCGTTAAGCTCGCCCCGCAAAGCCTTCAAGCGGAATTGGAACTAAGGGGAGAAGTCAGAACCATTTTTCAAGGCCGCGAGTAGTAAAACGCACTCGGCAGAGTCCAAAGTCGCTGATGATACCCCTCCCTCTCCCCGTCTCTACGCAGCGGTTCTTGACCGTGGTCGGGCGCGTGTAGCGGCCGTAGGTGTTGAGCTGCAGCTGGGCCTGGTGGCGGACCGCAGGCGGGAGCAGCTGGTTGCGCGAGATGTAGAGGTAGGCGCGGCGCGCGACCTCGTTATCCTTGGCGCCCTGGCGCGCCTTCATGTCCCGGAGGACGCGCACGTTGGGCTTGGGGGGCGGCATGAGGGTAGGGGTGACGGTGACGGTTGGTGGTGGGAGGTAATTGACGAGCGCGAACTCGGCCTCGCAGGATCAAACAGGCCGGGCCGATCGCCCAGTTCCGGAAGGGGCAGTCCTTCACGCACCTTGTTCATAACCCTCACGGCTTGAGCACCTCTGCACCGAGGCAAAGGCGATGAGTGCGTGATAAGCTGGCCCTCGAGTCCCCAGTACTGACCCGCACCCCAGGAGCATGTCCTTAGCGCGCGCAATCCGATTCACGCAGCGCCGCAGCTTCATATCCTCCCTCTTCGGGGCCACATTCTTTGGGACGATCGTCACCGTCGCCGCGAGCAGCATCCTCCCATGCCCCGTCGGCGCTGACGGCCAGAGGCGCTACGCGGACGCGGACACCTTCCCCTCAGGCCGCGCCGTCATCCACAAGCGGCCCACGCGGAAATGGATCGAGGAGAAGATCCCCGGGCAGAATGTCTAGCACCATACTTCTATCTCACCGGACATAGCTCTGGAGAATAATATAACATACTGCGCGATGCATGCGTGTATGTAACGCTACACTGCGAACGACGGAATCCCCACTCCCACCGAACAATCGGACAGCCAATAAGCGGTCTGCGCTTAGGAGGACACTGGTAAGGTTAAGTCTGATTCTATTGACACAGTGTGTCCTCGTCTACGGAGGTCCATGGTATAGTATGTATTGCTGCGATGTGCTGGTGGGTGCGAACGGTAGTAATATACACATGGGGGGACATTCAATAAGTGAGTTACTCTGCACGCGTTAAGCGTCATGGCCGTCCCTCTCCTCCTGCTCCCTTTGATTCCGATAGTGTTGTTCCTGCTCCTCGTGCGTTCCGCTGGGAACGGAGCGTCAGTCTCCTGCGGTCGCGCTCAATCGTACCGAAATGCGGCGACTCACGGTAGGGCGTTCTCCTGGATCGGGACGCAGCTCAAGAAAGCGATGATGCACATCACCAGCTGGAAGACGAAGACGACGCGTAAGGCGTCGCCGTACGACCTCACAGCGGCCTCCTTCGTCAGAGGATCGAGGTCCCGGATGGTAGCTATCGAGTGTCTGAGGCGCTGAGTGAGCATTCGGTGTCCATCGATGGGTCCGCATACCTGATTTCGTAAATTATCTGCGAAAAGGAAAGATGGTGGTCAGCAAGTGGTCTGCGGCGAACCTAAAAGCATAGTGACGCACCTCGGCCGCGTTGGGCCCTGTTATACGGTGCCGCAATTGGGATAAGAGGACGGCTTGCAGGATGGCACCGCTTAAGCTAACGCCGAGGACCTGGCCGGTCGTTCTGAAGAGGTAGGTAACTTGATTGGGGGTCAGATCAGCAGGGCGTTCGGTGAAAGCATGCGAAAGATGCGTACTTCCAGTCGCTACAGCCATATCCTCCTTGTAAACGCCGGCAATCATGGCCTAGGAAATAATATCAGTAAATGGGGCAACGTCGGCGAGGTGAACATACAATCAGCGTGCTCGTAATCGAGCTAGCCATGCCAAAGCCCTGCGGTACGATGTCGAACCACAGGTGGAATGCCGACGTCTTGTCCGTCCATAAGACGACAAGGACGTTCGCGAGGACGGTGAGCAGGGAGGACACCAAGGTCAAGGTGTACAGCTTTCCGGTCTTCCTCATGACCCTGAAGAAAAGCCTAAGCATCACCACGGAAATGAGCTCGTTTGACTGCTCACCAGCCGGCAAACACGCTCCCCGTACTGAGTGCCACCTGCAGACATGAGTTCGCAGCACGCTACACCGGCGCGAAGCCACTTACTGAATGCGGTAGGAGATGAAGGCCTAGGTAATGAATCAACAGTCGATTAGACTGTGCGAAGAGGTATGAGTATCCTTGACTCACCTGCGCTGGCCGCGGACTGCAGGCGCACGGCAGAAAAGTACAGAGGCACGTTGTACAGCTGATCATCAAGACAAGCAAGTCAGCTGCAAGCGATAACGAGAACGCCGCTGAGACGTGCCATAGAAAATGCGGCCATGCTAGACACAAGGTTGTTCTGCAGATGGGTCAGAAGACACGCGCGCAGTAGGAGATACCGATACCAACCAAGGAGACTGCGAGCGCCGTACGCTGCTTTAGCAGGCGAAGCGGCATGACCGGAGAATGCGCCCAGTATTTTTCTACCGCGAGGAAGGCTACTGCGAATACAGCGCTCGTCACAAAGAGGCCGACGATGAGGGGCGAGGACCACGGCATCTCTTCCGTCGTCTTCAGGCTGAAGCCTAGTAGAAGACTGCCAACCATGATAACCAACGTTATTGAGCCGCCGAAATCGATTCGCAGTAGTTTTTCCTTGAGCGGCAGGCTCTGGACCTCGGAGGGCAGCACGATGTTGACCTTCCAGGCGACCAATACGAAGCTGAAGATGAGGATTGGGATCTAGGCATTCCTGTAAGCCTCCTCGAATAGCGGAAATTACGATGATTTACCTGCAGGAGAAAGGCGGCGCGCCTGACCATTGGACGTTAGCTGAGATCTCGTGCGCAGGCCGGCAGCAGCGCTCACCATCCCAGATTGTCGTTGATCCACCCACCGAGCGGTCCGCCTAAACCGGCGCCCATACCAAAAAGTCTGGTTCCAACGTCAGCCTGCCCTTCCCTATCGGAAGATCAGGAGCGCGTACATGTTTGCCATGCCCTGATAAAGCCCGCGCTGCTTCCTGCGCCCAGCGGGTCAGCCTTTCCAGAATGCCGGCTATGACACATGCTGGGACTCACAATGGTATAAGGTCCGTCACCGTGACACTTGAAACTGCAGATAACATAGCGGGCGGTTCAGCACACTGATATAAGCGTGCGAGATGAGCGCAGCGTACCGGTCATGACCCTGGAAGGGGAGGAGAGGCAGGCTGTGAGCGTTGATGTCCGACGAGTTAGGAAATGGTGGCAGACTCTCACCCGCCGCCCCCCATGCCCGCTACTGCTCGTGCGGCTAGCAGCGTGTTCATGGATGGTGCGATGCCACAGCACGCCGTTCCGACGCCTTCCGCGCGAGTGAGCGCAGCGTGGGTGCGGTTCAGGCGGTAGGACGTACCAAAAAGCGTAAGCGCGAGCAGCATTGCGCCCTTGCGCCCAAGGATATCAGACAAGCGCCCTGCGTAGAAAAGACCGAGTCGGATGAGGACGAAACGGATATCCCGCGCGCACGCACCATAGAGTGGCGTGAAGCAGCAGACGGAGAGGAGATATGAGGTGCCAATGTATGAGGACTGGTTGGACCTGTTGAACTGACTGCCTATAGGCGTCAGGAGTGTTGCTACAATGGTTCCTGTATTCGGATTAAGGGAGGGGAACGAAGGATCCGATGAGGAAGGTACGTGCCGTCAAGGGCTCCCAAGAAGACGGCGGACCATAAGCCGGCGAGGATCCAAACTATTTCACTCTTGGACTTTGCGTTGATGAGAGGTGGAGAGGACGCGTCGTCGCCATCTAATGTCGCCTCGCTGTCCACATCGGAGGCGGAGTGGTAGGAGGGCGGACGCTGGTCGAGGAGCGGGCGGGACTCGTCCGTGTACGAGTCTGGGGCGACGGTCATGAGCAGCGTCAGGGGGCGGAGGTTCGAGTCCGACGACGTTCGCGCTGGGCGCCTTTTATACGGATTTCGCAGCGGCGATTCCGGCGCGGAGTAGGGTCAGGCAGAGGCGCGAAGGCAAGGCTTATGCTCGCTGAGATCGCAGTGAATCTTGCATCTTCGCAGGCCTAACTTGTGTCATAAGTAACCGTCCGCATTCGTCGGGATTCGGCCCAATTGCCAATGGAGATAAGATCCCAGATTGTCCCGTCCTTCCGGCCAGTCGCCGTCGGCGTCCTCACCTCCTCTCAACGCTCATCCTCTGGCGCCTATTCGTCGTTCTTGGCTGCTAGGATGGTCGCGGAATACTGCCAGCTTTTTCCTCCGCTTTTCTGTACCTCTGGGAATGCAAAGTCAACATTGTCGTCACCCTCACCGGCGTGCGATCCGGTGGACACGTCAAAGTACGAGAAGTACATCAGACTCGCTGAGAAGAGATGGTCCACGAGGGAGCTGGTTCTCTCGCACGAGTCGCTAGCCTGCTGGTCATTCAAGGGCTTGTGAGTGACGCGCGTTGCAGCTCTCTTATGAACCGGTAGTTGCTTACTGCGTCGTATAGCTCTTCGCGCGGAGGTTATAGAAACACACCACCCTCCCTCCCCACCATGAATGTTGAGCCCCCATCATGAGGAGAACCACCCTACGATCCTCGCAGACGCCTTGCTTCTGAGGTCCTGTACTGGAACGGTCCCCCTTCTGCGGCGTCGGTCGCTCCGGCTCCGCACCTCTGCTTCGCACTCTGGACGACCAGACGCGCCTCTCCATCCCGACCCGCCCTGGCCCCGCCGCGCCCGCCGCCTGCTATCGCGCGTGCCGGCTACTCACCCAGATACAACCTACTCATCCTTCATCCCACGCCGGCGGCACGCTATCCGGCGCACTCTGATCGCTCGGCCGTGCTATCAGGCCCGCGTGCAAGATTGACTTTGTGCAGAGATCAGGAGGCCCGCAGATACGCTCACGGGAAGGTCGCCTTCTCAGGCTAATCGAGCGCGCGAGAAGATCGCACCGTGCCCGGAATCTAGGGGCTAGCTCTTCTCTGCAGATACCAACATCCCGCTCCCTTCGTCCCAAGGCCGCCTCGCCTTCGTGCTCGGCAACCAATCTCGCGGCGCGCAAGGCCTAGTGAAGCGGACGCGAGCTAGGGTGCCTATCGGGGTTGCTAGCGATGCTTCGAGGAATATCAACTTCACGTGAGGTACCGGACGATGCGCACATCCAGGCGACCTTTGTAGCTTGCTCGTAGGCTCGGGTGACGCATTTCTAGGCCATCTTACCGCCTATCTCTCGCGCCCCTACTGAATTGCCTCCGTCCCTTACCTTCTCGATAGAGCACAATGGGATTCGGTCGATCCTGGCCTCCTGCTAAAGATCCACTCGTGACTGAGGCCATACATTCCTTTCAATTGTATCCTCCTCTTCTACGACCCATCGTATGCTTCCGGAGTGCCGACCTGTCGCAGGTTGAGGGCTACTCGTCAACTTTGGGCGGTGAAAGGGATCCCTTGACCGTGAACGTTTTCTCCTACCTCGCGCTTCTCGCGCATCTTTCTGCGGGAGAATGCCAGCTGCTGGGGAACTGTATGGGCGCACGTCAACGGGAAACGCCGACCCTCGAGCCATTCGCGGCGCGTGGCTCGTACAGTGCAGCAAGAGCCTGACAAGCGGCCTTCAGTCGGCCCGGACGTTTTCAGAGCGCCCGGCCCCGGTGTGCTCTTGCGCGGTCGTCGGGATGGGTGGCACGCAGCGCGGTATTGAGGCGCCCTTACTGGGTTAACGGCGTCCTGCAGGCCCGCGAGCTCGCTCAGCGTGAGTCACCCACGCACAATGATGGGCGTACACCCCGCGAAAAAGGACCGGCAGGGTCGGAAGCGCGAAGCGAGCTCAGCGCGCGTGTGCATGTGGTGGGCTCGATGCCTCGCACACAGGCTAAATTACCATCGCCGAGCGGTGAAGGAAGACAGAACGAGGGCAGCGGTGGCAGCTTGCGGTATGGTCGGACCGCGTCTGTCGGAGGCCTCTGTCCAATGCCGGAAAGATGTACATATTCAGTGTTCCTGCGCGCACATAGGAAAAGTTTATGCGAAATTCTGAGTGCGTAAGGCTCTGCAGGCGACCCCCATTCACCGGGGAGAGCGTATACCGTGAGGTCCGGGACATAAAGTCACGTTACCGATTCGACTTTCGGAACGAGCCGAGCGCTGTACAGTTGCGCGCACGTGACGCCTTTCGCGCCCGCCCACCAACGCCACATCGGGCACCCCAGCGAGCTCCAGCCCACGGAACCCTCGTCGACGTCGCAATGGCCAAGTCAAAGAAGTGCGCTGGCGTGCTCGACCGCTGTGGGAGGAGGGAATGCTGATCGCGCGCGCTTTGCAGCCATACCAACCACAACCAGAACAAGAAGGCCCACCGTAACGGTATCAAGCGGCCCCAGACCCACAGCACTCGGTCGATGCGTGGCGTGAGTTGCTCTTGTTCGGGATAGTGGACGAAAGTGAATGCTGACGCGCGATCTGATAGGTTGACGCCAAGGTACGATTGAACGATGAGGAGGGCAAGTTTGGTGTACTGATCGACGTGTCTGCAGTTCCGCCGCAACATGCGCTACGCGGCTACGGGCTCGGTGCGTTGGCCATCCCACTCCAGTACGAACAGTTTACTGACTGTCGTTAACAGAGGAAAGCCCGGCTGGAGCAGAAAGCAGCATCATGATCTCTGCCGGCTCACTCTTTCCCTTCATCCCTCACGATGAGCCGATGAGGCGGTCATACACTACTTCCTGCGCAGGAGAGCGCAGGGCCCCTCGCTATGTATCCATATGCATATGCAGTCATCATGCTTTCGAATGTACATGCCAAAAACTGCACCACGAGCGTCCAGCAGCTCCCAGTCTTCGCCTGTTCTCCTCAAAGCACTTGAGCAAGCGAGCGAGTCGCTCGAAGATCCACTACCGTGTGCGAATCGTGAACGCTGTCTTCACGCGCGATATACGTCAACAGGCTCATCAGTACAAGAGGTATACGACATTGCGCTTCATTTTCTTTATCCGAGCGATTGTCCTTGCCTGAACTGCTCTTGGAACTCCTTCGCATTCTTGTCCAGGATCGCGCGCAAGCGCATGGCCTGTACGTTCTTGCATGAGCCTCGTCAGAGTGGGGACTGCGCCAAAGCAACCCACCGCCGCATCCTCTGGCCGCATCGCGCCCTTGGCCATGTTGTGCTTGCCGTGCCTCTTGACGTAGCGCGTTTCGTAGGACGCGTGTCCCTCCGACTTCTCGAGCAGGGCCCAGCATTCCTTCAACAATCATCAGCAAGCAACCCTGGATGTGAAGTAATTCAAACCCACCTCATCCGACGCCACATGCCCCTCCAACAACGAGAAGAACTTGTGCCTCAGCACCATCTTGATCCTCTCCAGCGCGTGCGTCGTATACCACCCGTCCCGGTCATCGCACACCTCCCTCAGCTCCTCCGCGTCCTCGATCATGCCTTTCAGCATCGGGTCCTCGATATCGCACAGCTGGAACGCCGCGGTCTCCTTCGCGATGGTCTTCCCGTCGAATATATGCGAGCGCCTGCGGTCAGGCGAGTCCGCCTCCGCGTCGAGGCGCGCGATGGACGTGCTGCGATCTGCGCGCCGGGCGGTGACGGAGGGGCGCACGATGGGGTGGTTGGCGTTGCGGAAGTAGAAGCGCTGGAAGCTGGGTGGGCGTTAGTGGGTTATGAGATGCGTGAGGGGAGGAGGAACACGAAGGGAAGAAGGGAGCTGTGAGAAGGGAAGGCACGTACAACCGCCCATTGATATCCTTGCGAGGATCGTAGCTAAACTTGACGAGGGTGTCCCGGAAGGGGCCGTCTTGGAAGACGTAGCAGGTCAGAGGAAGAAGAAGTTTTGAGCTGTTCAGGCTGGTGAGTACCATGGATTGTACACCACAGATGAAACGAACTTGTGTATCTCGCGCGCTTCCGCGGGGCTGAACTGGTTGTACAGCGAGAGTCGCGTCCAGACTTTGCGTTGTTCGAATTGCTGCGAGATTGATCAGTCTTTGGTTCGGAGAGACGTATGGAGAGTACGTTGACAGAACGCTATAAGGAGTCGCGCAACGGTACGAAGGGTCAAAACTCACCGCCGCAACACGAGCGAGCAGATCCTGGTTGACGGTACTGCGCGCCTCTTCCACCACGGCGGGTGGTTTGTCGGGGACCTGTGGATTGTTTAGCACCGTTGTAGATCGTATGAGCACCATCCGAGGCCTGCTGAGCACCGCTCAAGGTATCCTTGGCACCATTCAAGGCCTGCGGGAGTATCGCCCGAGGCTTACTGAACGTACAGACCAACGCCTGCTCAAGCGCTATTACACTCACATTCGCATCCGTGAACATGATGGTCGCCGGACCGTATCCTTTCCAGCGGAAGCGGTTGACAAGCCTTTTCTTCTCCTCGCCAGTCATCTCATCCACGGTAGTGGACACGATGGACGAGGGGTTGGCTTTTAGGCTGCGCGAAGCGGTCAGCATCAAATACCACCAGAACCGCGCGCTTACATTCGAGCGGATGCCAGAAGACGCTAACAAAAAAACGGACGCTAACAAAAAAACAAACGCACTTATACATCAACGGAATCGCCTGCCGACTGAACAACGGCGGGGGGAACATGCGCAGGCCGCTCGCTGGGGAAGATTCCGGCAGTTCGGAATCCGGCGCTGCCATTTCGACGTCGAGATTGAACGACTGGGAGCTGCCGGGCAGCGCACTGTTGCGGCGCGAGGGGGTCTGTGCGGCGAGTTGGGGATCGAGGGGAAATGCGAGTGCGGGGTCAAGCGGGATGTCGTGCGGGGGCGGAAGGGGGAGAGGCGCGCGAGGTGTGGCTGAGGTTGGCGGAGCGGGGCGAGAGGGTGTAGGCGGTTGAGTTGATGAAGGGGCTGGTGTGATTGGGCTGCCATCTTCTTTGGGGACGCGATACGAGAAGAGAGCCTCGACTGGGGGAAGTATGCTTGAGCGGCATGCAAATAAGAGGCAGCGTGACACGCACCGTCCATTTTGTCCATCGCGACACGGAGACGAGATATAGGATCATTTGTGTCTGGCTGGTACTGGTAGTCCGCCATGCCTGATCGTATAGCTCAGCAAAAAGTATATCCTCTCAGGCGCTGCACATACCCCGGAACCGCACCGTCCTTGGTACCACACCAGCTATCTCCGCCTTGTACTCCCACTCGGGCTGAGCCAGCGGTACGCCATTACGCCGGACGCGTTTGCGTTTGGTCACCTTGAGCAGCAGATTGTTCGTTTGCACGACCTCGCCGGCGACAGGGTGCGCGAAGGGATTGTCGGGCTGGAGTTTGAGTTCAACTAGAGACTCTTGCTTGCCGATCGCGCGTTTGAAGGCGGTATCCAGAGCTTGTGCGCCCCCAAGTGCGCGCACAGCGGTCGGAACAGACGAGTCCTGCACGTAGCCGGGGTACTCTACCGAGTAAAAAGCAGTCTTTGGAAGGGGAAGTTCGGGCGCAGTCTGCGGTTGTGTCGACGGCGAGGTCGACGAGCCCGCAGCAGCTGTCGACGGTTCGCGAGTGTTCGAGACGTCGAGGTTCATTAAGCAAGATGTATTTGTAGCCCGTATTAGTTGACAGTGAGATGAGATGAGAGAAGGAAGCAAGAAGGAGACGCGATCGGACGCGCCCACGTGATGGCGAGATGTCGCCGTCTACGGCGAGGGCACCTTCCCGCCCGGCTGCGCGTCCCCCGGGTTGTCCGTCGATGACGGCGCGTCCCCGGGCCGCTCCTCCTGGCCATCCCCCTCCCCCTCCTCCTGCCGCACCTCCTCCACCGCCTCCCGCATCGCCTGAGACATCACCTGATCAGGGCATTCAGTCAGCCTTGGCGCGACCGCGGTTAGTCCGGCGCTAAGCCTCACCATGTTCGAGGGGAGGTCGACGCCCTGGTCCTTGAACGCGTCCATGACCTTGTTCATCGCGTCGTCGATCGCCGAGTTGGCGAGCATGCGCATCGTCTGCTCGGGCGTGGGGTTGAAGCGGCCTCCGACGGTGTCCTCTTCCTTGACTGGGGGACCGGGAGGAGAGGCACATCAGCACATCAAGCCCATTGTCAGACGACGTATTGCCACGCACCACCTGTCACCTCACGCGCTACCGCCCAGAACTCCTCCAATGCCGCCTGAATGCCGGGGTCCCTGCTCGCCGCCTCGGTGACCTCCCCCCACTGCAGCTGCCGCGCCGCGTTCGCGTTGATCAGCGCCTGCGTCTCCGGGTCCATCCCCGCCAGCTTCTTCTGCAGCTCCTCGCTCACCCACCCGTACAGCTCTTCCTGCTGCTCCGGCGCGAGCTTATCCGCCTCCGCCCGGAGCTTGTTCAGCGGCTCCACGTCGCCAAACAGCTCCTCGATGTCCCGCATGAGCGCGCCCTCGATTGCCTGCCGCAGGAAGTCGTCGAGCTGCTCGGGGGGCATGTCCTCGGGCATGTTCCGGATCGTCTCGACGTCCTCCTCGAGGAGGTCGAGCTGCTTCAGGTCGTCAAAGGTGTAGTTCTCGTCCGGCCCGCGGTCGGGCAGGTTCTCGACCTTGTGCCGCCAGAACTCCTCGAGCTGCTTGCGCGTCATGCCCGGGAACTTGTGCTTGGGCGGGATGCCGTCGTACTCTGGCTCTGGGACGAGCCCGAGCTCGCGCGCGAAGCCCTGCTTGAGCGACGCGAGGGGGTCCGGCTGGTCGGAATAGAGGCGCGCATAGCGAGGGAATGCAGAGGGGGCGACGATGCGGGTGCGCGGGCGTTGACGGAGGGCGGTATATCCTGCTCGGCGAAGACAAGCAAGCATAGTCGATGACGGCGGCGAGGAAAACACGAAGCGTCACACGGCCCGCCTTCCGCCAGCTTCGCGTCACACATCGCGTCCCCACGCGTCTATTGAGTCGCGCGTGTCTCTTGCCACCATCCCCCGCACGGGCCGCTATTACCTCTTTCTGAACAATAATGGAGGAAGACTATTTCTCGATAGACGCGATTCTCGCCGAAAATCAAGTGCGCGGAGACTGTTACGCGTCAATCATCCCTCACCCGTCACTCAGAAAATACAATGCACCTTCAGGCGCGACATCCCCGACATGGGGCACCTGGGCGGCGGGAACACGAAGGATATCAAGGCGGGAGCCAAGGTGGCGATACCCATATGGCTTGCATATGTCCTCATCTACTCGTGCGTGGCGCCCACCTCACTCAAATGCACGCTCATTACGCCATTAAATGCAGTGAATGGGTCGACTTCACCATCCCCACCGCATTCGGGCCAAAGGTGAAGAACGCACTCAGTGCTGAGGAGAAGAGCGTGCGATTGTCGGGGCTAGTGGGAGCGGGAAGCAGCTGGTACAGCTTCGGGAAGACCGTCATGGACATGTACGTCGCATGCAGTGGCGCCGCGCGCGCCAACCCGCTGACGTGCGCTGCCCATAGACTGATTGAAGAGCAAGGGAAGGACATGTCGGATATGTTGACGAGGGTATGTGCGGCTGGGTCTCGTGGGGTGGGACTGCTTGTTCATGCTAGCGGCTTTAGACGTTCCATAAACGACTACTCGAGATCATCGACCAAGCACAGCACTTTGCCGCGCTCGGGCCCGTTGGAGGGGGCGGGTCGGGCAATGCGGCGCAGAGCTTTCGGGAGGGCCTGGACGCCACGGAGAGAGACCGTAAGTCATCCTCACGGGTATCGCTGGTGATGCTGATTAGTTCCCCTTGCCTTCAATGTTCGGCTCGCGCACGCACCAGTATTCACCATCGCACAAGAGAGCGCAAAGCGGACGAAAAAGTGGTACGAGGAGACGGAGCGTGGCAGACGGTGACATCAAGCGCGGGGGATGTGTCCCATAGTCTCATGTATCCTTCTTCTCAGCCGAAGCACGGGCTTCCATCTCAGTCTTCCTCAGTTCATTCACGAACCTGCATGCCCGCGTAAGCGCGCAGATATGAAATCTATACGACACTGTACACGCACCATTTCACGCTAAGCCACAGTCCGGCCTCTACTAGGATCAGTACCGCGAAGTGCAGGCTTTTTGTTACGAAGAGAAGGGCGAGAAGCACGAAGAAGAGGCCCAGGAAGGCGGCATCGGCAATGAGGAGGAAGGTCGGGTGGAAGGAGGAGCCTGGGGTGAGGATGTTGGCGAAAAAAGAGACCGAGTCGGACGCGGCGTCGAGGGCGGTGGCGGCGTCAGGAGCTGCTGCAGTGGCGTCGGCCATGTCTGTGCCGTCAGCGTGCTCGTGTGGACCTCGGAGCTTGCTCTGCACGGGTGCCAGTCGCTGCCAAACTGTGCCAGCCGCTGGGGGAACGAGGTACGCGAGTTCCTGATCGAGAATGTGCGCGTCAGTACCGGCGCTCGGACCGGGCATGATGACGTCGGGTCTTGCCTTTTCCCCGCATGGACAAGTATCCTCGTTGACGGAGCGTCATGGAGTGCGCGCGCTCAGAATGCTGCAAGCGCCGATAGACAGGGCGGGACCAAACCGTCATCCGTGACGTCCTCGAGGGCGTTCACTGCAAAATGAAGTCATCGCCGCTATCGAGCCTTTATAAGGCCTGTGCGGCGGGAGGGTGAGCAGCAATCACCGAACCAACCAACCACCCAAGCCAACACACACTCACCCCCCACAACAACAACAATGGTGAGCAGCACGGGTGTCGACGATGACGAGCGCAGTCGCTAACGAGCACGCAGGGATCTGTATTCTCCGCAATTGGCGCAGGCCTGAACTCCATCATCTCGGCCATCGCCAGCGTCTTCATGGCCATTGTCAGGTGTGTACCCTCCCTCCCTTTGCTCTCGACGCCCTCGCTGACCCTCCTCTTCAGCGCCATCACCGCTGTCATCGTCACCATCTTCGACCTCATCATGGACATCATCTGCTGCCGCTGCTTCACCGGCCGCAGGCGAGTAGGCACTCGTCGTCGATTCGGTGGCTCGCGAGCAACGGCGACCTACTAGGCGCCTAGCGGCTACTTTGACGTTTCGCAGCCTCGAGCGCGACGTCTAGCAGCCACGCTCCTGACGTGTGGCTGAGGCCAGCGTCGGGCGCATGATACGAATGGAACGACTAGCTCTCTTACTTTATCCACTTCTAACATACCCGCGGCTCTGTAGTTTAGTCTTCTCTGTATCTCTTACTAGACACGCTGTATTGCATCGGAACACGCTTGCATGCTCTTTCAGCCGTCGTCTGCTTCAAACTTGCGTCTTGCGATCTCATGCTCTGCTTGCGCCTCAACTTTTCCGTGCCACTGTGACCGGGAGGATATTTTGTTGGCACTAATCGTAAAGCCGCCATGGCCGTGCACATCCATTCCAGTAGTGCAAGGGAACGGATGGTCGGACCAGTAAATGCACGAAACAGCTCTGCAAACAATGCCCTCGCACTCGCAAAACTCATTCATAATGCATAACGGGGCCAAAGCTGTATGCAGTCTAATATGAAGCCTTCGGCCAACACATGCAAGATACGAAAACACGAGATGAACGTCCAAACCCTCTCCAACGCCCTACCGATACCCCATCCTCCTCGCATACTCCCTCTCCTCCTCCACCGTCAACCGATCCGTCCCCGTCCAATTCGCCGAGCTCGTCCTTGCCCTAAACCGGCTCTGCCGCGTCTTGAACATCTCTTCCATCCGCAACGGCCGGATCTCCCCAAAGATATCGTCCGGGTTAATCGTGCTCTGCACGCGCAGCATGCGCGCGAGGTCCGGCGACTGCGCCCAGTCGGCGACGTCCCGCCCGCGGTCCTCGTCGTCGCTGTCCGAGTACTCGCTGTTGATGTCCGGGAGCTCGATGTTGTCGGTGGGGCCTGGGTTGGGCGGTTCGGCGGCGGCTTGGGCGGCCTGCATCTGGGCTTTGGCGCGCGCGGCCATGGAGCTTTGAACGACTTGGGCGGGCTCGCGGCCGTCGTCGTCCATCTTGGCGGGCGCCTTGCCCTTGCATTTCGACGAAGGAGGGGCTTTCGACATCTCGCCGGCTTTGTGCGCGGGTGTCGTCGACGAGGAGGCGAGCGCGAGCTTCGAGTTGGACTTCACCAACGTCTTGGTGGTCGAGCTCGGAGGCTTGAGGGCGGTCTTCGAAGGCTGCTTCTGGAGCTCGATCTTCCGCTTTTTCGTCGTGTCCTCCTCCTGGCAGCGACGTCAAAACCCGATGCATGGCTTCTGAGAATTGGAAAATCTCACCTTCGACCTCGCCACCGGCACAGGCAGCTTCCCAGTGGTCTCCTCGCGCTCCCGCTTACGACGCTCGCGGTCCTCAGCCGCCTTGCGCTCCTGCTCCTCCTTCCGCGCCTTCTCCTCATCAGCTTTCCGCTGCGCAGCAAGCAGGCGCCTGTTCTCCATCTCCTTCAGCCGTTTCTCCTTCTTCTCCTGCTCGTCCTGTTGCTAATGGGGGCATCAGTAAGCCAAACACATGAAATCTACGCTAGCAGGCCTACCTTCTTCGCAGCGGCGGCCGCCAGCTGGAGGCTCTTGACCTCAGGCTTCGTGGTAGCCTTTGCCTTCTTCCCGCTGCCCAACATGCTGGACACGAACTTATGCGCATGGCCGAACAGGGTCGTCGGCTGCACGGACGAGGCGTCCGAGAGCTGGCTCGCAGGCCGCTCGTCCTGTAAGGGTCATTAGTGAAAGCAAACAGCGGCTGCAAGGCATCCACGCACCTCAGTCGGCGTAGTAGCCTTCGCATTCGTCGGCTGAGCCTCCTTCCGCTCATCCACATCCATAAAGTACTGGTCCGCCTCCGCCAAATCCACCTCCTTATCCTCCTCCGGCGCCTCCTTCTCCTTCATCACAGGTTCCTCCACTGGGACGCCCGTGCCCATGGCCATGGTAGGGCCCACGCTCACCCCCATCTTATAGCTCGCCGTCGTCATCGTCGACGTCGTCTGGTAGATATCCGTCGTATTCGCATTGCTCGGATCCGTCCCCGGGAACACCGGCGGCACCGGGGCCCCGTCGTCGCTCCAGTCGTCGTCGTCCACGATGTCCGCGCCGTCCGTGTTCACCGGGAACGAGTACTCCGTGTCCTGCGTCGTCGGCTCCCACGAGCCCGGGATCTCGACGTCGGTGTCGAAGACCTTGTCGGTGTCGAAGATCTTGTTGGAGGCGATGGACTCGACGGTGGATTGCGCGGACAGGGCGTTCGCTTTGTGCGACGAGGGCGATTGGAGTCGGGGGGAGAGGCCGACGTTGGAGATGGCGGTGGGCACGTTGCGCACGGCGGCGGGCTGGAAGTGGAAGTCCTGCGTGGACGGCTTCTTGTCCGGCGGCGGCACGAAGACGCGCGGCTTAGAGAAGACGGGCGCTGGGTGGCTGGCGGGAGGCGGTGAGTTGGCTGGGGTGGTGCTCACGCGAGCCGTATGCTGCGTAGTAGGCGGAGGCGGTGGCGCAAACTTGAAAACGGAAGCCTTGTCGGCCTTGTCGTTGGAGGGCATGAGCTCCGAGACGCTCATACGGCGGGACGCCTCCGGGTTCACTGGGGCGGGAGCCTCCTTCGTGGGAGCTGATAGGATAGCCTCCGGGAGGGAAGAAGGACCGTCTGCGAAAGACATCGATACAACACTGGCATCTGCCTGGTGCCGTTCGGCCACCTTCGCCTCCGCTGAGGCCTTCGCATCGGCCAGCGCCTCGTTGGCAACCAGAGGCCCCACAGGCTTCATGCCCTGCATCGTCTTGCGCAAGCGGTCCAATATGCCCTCGTCCGCTGCAGCACTGGCAGGCCTGGAGGTTGGCGGCGCGGTTTCGGCGCGCTCCATAGGTTTCGCGGATTCAGCCCGCTCCATCGGCTTCAAGGACTCTGCGCGCTCCATAGGCTTCATCGACTCAGCACGTTCTATTGGCTTTCCAGGCGCAACGTCCGTGTCAAACTTCATTGTCTTCGCATGCCGCGTGTCGTCTTCTGAATACAGGCCCGGAATATGCATCGTGTCCTCGCTCTTGCGCTTCGTGCCTCCCATAGTCGTCCGCGGGACGTGCGCAGGCCCGCCCATACCACTGACCTTCCGGTTGACAGCGCGCGTCTTCATCAACCACGACGTGCGCGAGGCTCCGACAGATGGGCCAGGCGTGGCGGCGCCGACGAGGATGGCGCCGGAGCTCTGCTCGCGGACCGCGCGGAGAGACTTGCGGAGAGGGCTTGGTGGCCTGGCACCGCTCGTACCGTCATCGTCGCGCAAAGGGACTACGTCGTCGGTGTACTGGCCCTTTTCCGCCGAGGGATTGGCCTCCGACATGACGGTGTCGACCGCGTCTTCGGCCTGGGAAGTGGTGGCATCCTGCGACGGAGCGCCCGATTTCCGCTTGGAGTCCTCCGGTGCAGACTCCTCGATAGGCAGGGCGGGATACAATGGTGATGTGTGCTCTGGCGTGGACGCCGAAGGGGCAGCCTTGGAGTCCTCTTGAGGTCGTTCGGTGGAATGGCGAGTATGGTCGGGGCTCATGGGGACAGAGTGGAATGTGTCTGTTGTGCTCGCGAAGGATGGCCCTCTCGGCGAAGCGACTTCCATATCCTCCGGTTGCTCCTTGATCGCTTGACCCTCAAGACGATTGGACACGGCGGCCTGCAGCGGAGCCCGCTCTGCAGCATAGCTTGTATGTGATGAGCCACGGCCCGAGCCTTCATCGTCTTCCACTATCATCGAAAGAGCCACCGGATCCATATGTGGGAATTGCGGGAAGCCGAGGTTGTCCTGGTAATCGAGAGTTGGTGTTGGTAGCGGCGGAGAGACATCGCGGGGGTGGGAGGAGATACGGCGCACAGTCTGCTCGGGTAGAGGACTTGAGTCTGGCGCGCGAGGACTAGGAAGGGCCTTCGTGGGTTCCGGCGATTTGGCTGCTAGCAGTGCTTGATAGAACGTGTTTTGCACCGGAGCCACGTTCTCCTTGCTCTCCATGTCTTCGTCCTGCGATAGAGTCAGCATAAGTCATTTCTTTAGGATTAACACGCACCTGCTCAGATATGGGTACAATGTTCTTCAGGCGAGAACCCGTGGCAGGACCCTTGCGGACCGCCTTCTTACGGCCAGGCGTCTTCATAAGATCGAAAAGCTCATCGTCGCTAGAGCATGGGTTAGTAATTCAGGACTGAGATGGTCCGTCGCGCCATGCTCACCCTTCACGCGCTTTCTCAACCACGTCCTCTAGATATTGATCCAGCCATGAAAAGCCACGAGATTGCATGTGCTCCGAAAATTCGAAGCGCGCTTTGTCGCTCGCCATCGTCATCCGGATTGAGTTCGCCCATAGGAGCAGGCCGTCGGACGCCATCGTCGACGTCGGATGCGGAGGAGATGGTGGGTGTAAACAACGCGCCTCGGTGAGTGACTTAGTCATGTGACGGCGGAGAGCGTCATTTCGGCCTTCGGCCCGATTACGCCCAACATCGTCTCCTCGGCCATTGCCGACCTTAACTTCTGCCTCCTGCCTCCCGCTGTTATCATTGTCACATCCCTCAGTGACTCTCCGTAACTCGGTTGCATAATTCAGGAAGAACAGTAGGCTTTCTCTGTGACATCCCCGCCTTCCGAGGACTCCAGACGCACCTGACTGGGCTTAACTCGGTCACTTGACGGGTGTAGCAGTATGGCGCCCACACCTTCTTGAACCAAGCTTCACGCGTCTCCTGCGGTATTCCGGTAATTGCGATGAGGCCCAGGGTGGTTATGACAAAGTAGAACAACCGCCTCGGTTGCGTTCCGGCCCGTCTCTCAGCTGGAGGTGGCATCATGGGTCAGTCCACCGCGTTCTTATAATCTGCATGTCTCTCCGCATGTCGCGCGCGCACCACTCCCACCCCCCCCCCTCGCGAAGGCTTTCGCTGACTTGACGGCAGAGTCCCGCGCTCACGAAGACTATGCTTGGCGTAGCAAGCTTCCTCTTGGGTCTCGCGGCCTTCACGCATATCACTCACGGGTCTCCTTTACGACGCGACGATGGATCCATCGTTGACCTCGGCTACGCCAAGTACCGCGGCAACAATACGAATGAGAAGACGGTGTCGTATCTGGGTATCCCGTACGCGCAGCCGCCAGTAGGAGATCTGAGGTTCCGAGCGCCAGTGCCGCTCGATACTACTGGATCTGCTGGAGAGGTAGTGGACGCAACAGAGTACCCGGATTTCTGTATTCAGGGGACGACTGGAGGTGCGTTCTTTCGAAGCAAATTCGACGGTTTAAGCTAATGTTTGCGTTGTTAGCTGGCGAGGCCGGTGGTGCGGGAAGTGAGGATTGCTTGAAGTTGAACCTATACGTGCCGGCAGACGCAACAGAGGACTCCAAGCGTAGGCCACGATTACATGTTCGATCCTCGTGACGCTTACCTACACTGGCAGTCCCCGTCCTCGTCTACATTCACGGTGGAGGTGAGCGCGCCTTCCTTTCTACGTTCTCTTCACGAACCTTTTTTGTCTCTCGCGAACCTTTTCTTCGAGCTTCGCGAATCCCTTCTTCAAGCATCGTAAATCCCATCCCAATCACTCGTTTCACAGGCTACTTCTACGGCAACCCCGCCGCCTGGCCCTTCGAGCACTGGATCGCGCAAAGCCCAAACGTCGTCATCGCCAGCGTCTACTACCGCCTCGACTCTATTGGCTTCCTCACCACGCCGGAATTCGCCGATGATGCGTCTTTGGGGGATCTGAATGCGGGATTCCTTGAGTGAGTTGGCTTGCTGCTTGTAGTCTCATGTGAATTAGGCACAGGGCTGCACTGTGAGCTTGTCTGTACTGACGCGAATGCCCATAGCCAGCGAGCAGCCCTGCAATGGGTCCAGGAGCACATCAGCAAGTTTGGCGGCGATCCGGACCAGGTGACGATCAACGGGGAGAGCGCAGGTGGCGCGTCGATTGAGCTGCATCTGTGAGTAAAGGCTTCTCTATTTCCTGCAAACACGACTGACCAGAAAGCTATGCTCAGCGTCGCCACGGAGGAAGAAGGACTCTTCCACGGAGCCATTGCACAGAGCGTGTACAGGACGCCGCTGCCGACGCCTGAGGAGCAGAAGGTGAGCCTTCGCAGCCTTTGCGTCCATGTTTCTTGGGGTGAAGACAGCAGGATAAGGATAATGATTGACCTTCACGCTAGCCCCTTTTCGATCTCTACCTTAACGAGACCGGGTGCGCGGATGGCGATATTGCGGAGCAGATGGCCTGTCTGAGAGCCGCGGACGTGAGCGTTTTGGCTCGCGCACAAGACGCGATACGATATAGCACGGAGGATCTGTGAGGCTTTCTGCACGATACAAGTGTAAGTTCTCGCTGACATACAGTGATTCTAATCAACAGGCCGTATCGCCTCTTCCATCCTGTGCTGGACAAGAAGATATTCACCGACTACCCGACGAGGCTTATTACGTCCGGCCAGTTTGCGCAGGTGCCGCTGATTGTTGGGTGAGCGCTACAACAATGCTGGCGATGTGCGGATCATGACTGAATGTTGCCCAACCAGGGCCACGTCGAACGAGACGCTCGCGAGCGGCGAGACGATCAAAGCGGGTTTGCAGAGCTACTTCCCTGCACTGAGCGATGAGGATGTGGGCAAGATCTTGGAGGTTAGTCAGGGTAGACATATTGTGAGGAGCTATGTAGCTGATACTCGCTCAGCTCTACCCCGAAGATTCAGTCTCGTCTGAGCAAGAATACACGCTGACCGCCACCGGCGACCCGTCCGTGCGATGTGCTGTGCGTAAAACTCATTCTGTCGCTGCGTCGGAAAACTGGTCTGACCTGCAAACACAGAGGACGATCCTGGGTGAAGCATTCTCGCAGAAGGTTCCCGCATGGACCTATCGTTACAACCAGCGCAATCCGACGGAGGAGAATAGCACCCTGGTCAACCACGCCGCGGAGAATTGGATGATGTTCCAGGGGACGAACACCGGGTGAGCTGTCGCTCTTTCCCAGCCACAGCTCTATCTCAACTCATTCATGCCTTACCAGTCCTAACGGCACCTTCACCCTGACCCCCCAATCCGACGTCGAGCAGGCATTTGCAGAAGAGCTCATCGCGTACTGGCTCTCCTTCGTCCGCGCCGGGGATCCCAACACGTACAAGCTCGACCGGTCTCCGGAGTGGACTGGGTATAGCACTGAGGAGCGTGCGAGGATTGTTTTGCAGGAAGGTCCGGAGGATAACGTGGAGGAGAGCGGGAGCTTTGTGGAAGAAGAGGGGAAGGAGGAAACAGAGCGGTGTGAGTTGGTGGCGCAATTGGTGGACGGGCAAGAGGCGTAAGCTGAGCTGGGAGGAGAGGAGAAACTGAGGTCAATGTCTGATACCACAATGTACGATACGCAATGAATTTTACGCCTACGACGAGGACGAGATTGTGGCAACCAAGTTGAACATCACAGCACGTGCATGGATCATCGGACCGAAGGGCGAAGAAGCGCTGGCGGCTGGCGTATTGTTCTTCTCTTGCCCCCCACCTTCACACAATTCCTACGCCGCTAACTTATGCACACGGACTGAGGATATCTACTCATGTCCTTCAGGGAAGACGTACAACCTAATGAAGTCGGCCGCAAGAATCACTCTGTCCCATCGGTCCTCCCAGCATCCTCCTTCAAAGGTCAGCCCTTCCGCGGGCGCGGAGGCCTTCACAGAGGCGCACCGCGCGGCTTCCACTCTCAGGGTGACAACCCCAGACCACACAATCCACATTGGCCCCCTCAATACGACCACCGACCCTTCAATCAAGACCCACGACAGGTTAATGCCTTCGGTGTTTCCCTCGTCCCTGCGAAGCGACCGCGCCACGATTCTGGCCCTCCCCGCGTCTACCATGTTTCTGCGCGAGGACACACACCATTAAAACCGCATCAACGCGCTCCCCCTGCACCACGCGTCCCTCCACGTCCCGTTGCTTCGCATCGCCCTCCCCAGATCGTTGAACCCGCGAAGACGACCGCCTCCGGCCTCCGAACGAGCAATATCAACGTCCCCCTTCCCCCCAACTGCCGCATGGGCGCACCGAATTGCAAACGCAATCGACGCGCATGGCTTTACGATCAACGGAGACAGCTCGAGGAGCGCCACAACATCGTGAACGAGTACATCGACTATGGCGAGCAGGTTGCGCGGTGGACGGTGAAACTGCCTACGTACAAGAATGTGCGTGGCTCGTCTTTCATTATGTGCATACACTGACCTCGGGTTTCGCAGGAATGTACTGTAAATCCATCAACCGAGAATAATGACAGTCGTGATATTCTTGACCCACCACCTACTCTGTGCGCGCCTGCTCCTGCATCCGCATCGAGTTCTGCGCATCCCTCGTCCGATATGGACATCGACTCCTCTGATGCGGGTGTTGATGACCCGCCTGTCATCCAGTGCACAGAGGAAGACACTATGCCTTCGCTCCCAGAGTCTTCCAGTTCTCTGGAAGCACACCCCTCGCCTCGAACTCAGTGGCTCAACCTTCCTGAACGAGCGGCTAGTCCCGCCAGGTCACCATCTCCTTGCCCTCGCCGCGTCGTCCGTGACGATCCTAGCTCTTCCCATGAGCGGACTACGCCACCTTCTACTATTCCACCTATGGCCGGCCCTTCGCGCCAATCCCCTCCCCCTTTGGTGAGTCGAATTTCTGTCAATAGTAGTGCAAGCTCACAGCAACGTCGAGTGAAGTCTGCAACGCTTTCGCATTTATGCCATCCCTCAGCCTTACCTCGCCACAATCCCATCGAGGAGCTATCTCTATTGCTGCAAAGCCCGCCTCAGAGGCAATTCGTGACTAGTGCTTTATCTATCTCCCCGCCCGATCGTGCTGGCGCCAAATGGAAAGGAAAGCAACGCGCAGAGGGCCCTCTCTTCGCCGACCCCTCCCGTCTTTCTCTGCCTCCCATCGAGGTTGACGACCCTATACCCTCGAGCCCTCGGATTCCAGAGGAGGACGAGCTCTCATCTGACGAGGAACCGCTTGCGCGCACGCATCCTACGCGAATACCCGTCAAGCCTCCCGTCATCCTTCCCGATATCCAGCACACCATCCCTGAGAAACCGCCAGACGCCATGGAGGACGATGAGATCATATCAATACCGGACTCGGATAACGAAGAGGAAATGGATTCTCCCACGCGAAGGCCTGTTCTACGGCCTCAGGACGCTATGGTGCACATCGAGGGACACCAACAGCGCGACAAGATGCGGCGCGTCATCTTACGCGGGTCGATCGTTGGCGCAGGCGGACTTGACTCTGCATTCGATATGTATACCATCTCTATGCATGGCGTGGTGAACCGGTTATGTGGAGATCCTTTGAGGTGTGTTGGCCCTTTGTTACTATTTTGGTGCGTTACTGAGACCCTGCGTAGGTTTTCGCACACCCTCTGGTCCCCGGACTCGCAGACTGTCGACAGGCAAAACAGCATCGACGATGCGTGCGTTCTGTCGGATGGTCAGCATGATCTGCTTGTTTTCGGGCACAAGAATGGCTCTCCTGAGCTCTGCATCGCGCGGGTTGTGGAACAGAAGGTATGTGTACTCCTTTGATCACTTGTCCTCTCGCTGATGTCATCCGAATAGGTTGTTCAATACGTACCTATGCCGCAAGTTCGTGCCAAGAAAGGTGTTGGTGCTCTTTGTCCACTGCCCCAGCCGCTCTCCTTCGCCTCCGGCGGCTACGACCACTCCGTCTACATTCACCAACTCGACCATTCCCTCACCTCCACCCCACGCCTCCTCTCCGCCCTCAAGCACAACTCCGTCGTCCAGGCGCTCCTCCCCCTTCACGACAAAAGTTCCAAGCTCGTCACCGCCGGCGCGGACTCGGTTGTCAACGTCTACGACATGCCCTCCGAGCGCGTTGTCAACACGTTCAAGACGTCGGTCTCTGTGTATCATCTACACCAGACGTGCTTCCCGTCGTGTGCGTTGTTAGAGGTCGGGCATCTGGAGCAGCAGTGCGAGATTAGGGATTTGAGGAGGGTTCCGGAGCGGCCTGTGGTGCGCTTTGGGTACACGACGGGCGAGCCGCATGGGAGGTATATGAAGGGTGAGTAGTAGAGCGAAGAGCGGAGAAGTCGTGACTAATCTTGCGCCCTAGGCAGTACGCATGAATACCTCTTCGCTGGGGGCGATCCAAGGGGTAACGTGCGTCTTTGGGATGTGCGGAAGCCTACGAAGCCCTTGTCGGTGGTGAGTAGCAACCTCTGCTGGCGCGTTCTTGTGTTCGGTGCTGACTTGGCTCAGGTTGAAGGACTGCCGGGACAGAAGATCAACCAGGTCTCCTTCAGAACCTCCTCTCAGTTAATCGTTTGCTCAGAAGCCAACTATATTCGTATCTTGGACCTCCAATAATCTATATGTGTATATCATCTGTAGCTTAGCACGCATATCTCCCTGCACTCAGCGTTGAATTTGAAATAGCGCCTAAAAATCCTAGGCAGACGCGCTCTACTATCTCTTGGACTCAAGAGGTGGTCGATCTCAGAATCGGGCATATCCCGAAGGCCACGCGAAAACCACGAGAATGCACTGCCTTGCACCGCCCCACGCAGCGTCGCGACAATATTCCACCCTTGCTACCTGGCCTCCGAGTCTCCTACCTAGTCAGACGGTTCAGATTTCTACTGCTTTCGCTACTACAATGACTTCCCGGCGCCGTTCATCCTTCGCAAGCGTGATACTCGGTCAACGCGGAGGCGAGGCAGTGCATTCTCGTGGTTTTCGCGTGGCCTTCGGGATATGCCCGATTCTGAGATCGACCACCTCTTGCTTGGACTTGAGCACAGTACTCAAATCTACATTTAGTACATACATCCCGACCGTACGCGCCACAAACACGGCTCAAACGTGGGAAACGAACATACCGACATCGTGACATCACGCCGTCGCCGCTCTCAATCCGATTCCGAATTGCGCCCCGCTAAGGACTCAAGAATATACCGCACGCACACACCTTGCTTCCGACTACAACCAGCATAAGTGCTATCCTCCAGCATGGCGACCTCCACCGAGCGACGCCGCGACGAGGTCGAGGAGGCGTACGAGGTCCAGGCGCGCGCCGGCATCAGGGTGGGCTTTGTTTGCATCATCAGCGAGGGATGTGTTGTTGAAGTCGAGCTTTCCGAATCCTCACACATTCCGGATCCCTTTCGCGCCTTGCCATGCTGCTGCATGTAGGGCGGCATACAAGCCTTTGCAATGGGCGTAGGCGCGACGTTGATCGCGCACTACCAATGGCCGTGGTTCAAGTGAGCTTTGGATTACATTCGACCTCGCGAAGCAGACTGACAGCCAGACAGGCGGCAAACGCTGCAGTTCAAGGCCATGATAATCTGCGCGAGTGAGTCTAGGCCTCCTTCGCGAGTTTCGACGTATAGGACTGATTGGCACGTGCGCTAATAGCTACTGTGAGCGGTAAGTTCCTTCTGCTACTTCACTGTTCGTATCGTCTCTGAACTTCTACACAGGTCTGACAATCGCCGCGGAACACGCTCTCCTCGAGCACGAGAACATGCGGCGCCGAGAAGAGGCTGCTATGCGCCGGCAGGCGCGATTAGAGCTCGCCAAACGAGGTCAAGTCGGGACGGAAAGCGAGATTGCCAGTTGGCGACGAGAAATGGCCAACCAGGAGAAGGAATAGGTGGTCATCCTTGTCAGCTTTGCTGCTTCACTTCGTCGTCACTGGGTACCTGTATCTCATCGTGCATCATCACATCTCATTCGCTACGCATACCGCTACAGAAGCATCGTCGCTGCGCACAGTAGCAACTCCGGAAGGGATGATTTATTATGGCCATGGCCTGCTACAATATTTGGACAGGACTGAGGCGTGCAATGCGGCGATACAGGGGATTTGGCTGGTTTGTGTGAGGTCCGTGTGTGTATTCTTCCTCTCATATATAGGTGGGATGCTGACAAGTTCATAAATAGGATGTGCAGAGTGATGAGGAACAACATGTATGCTGGGTTTACTGCGCCCACTGGGCATGCTGCATCAACGATGGAGGCAATGGAGGGGGTGGACCCGGGAACCCAGAGCCAGAGGCCGGTATATGTGACGGAGGTGGTGGCGGCGACGGCTGCATGGGTTGCTCGTGCGGGCTAGGGAGGTATTCGCCGGGCGTTGGTGGCGGCGGTGGCATAGGCTGGAAGCCCGACGCGCCTGCGTAGCCAGGCGGAACGGGCAGGCTGGTACGGCGTCGTGCAGGGTCCGGATGAGCGGGAGGCTGCGGCAACCCGTTGATTGTCGACAACGGGGGCGGTGGCGGCACATTCTGGTAAGGGTACCCCATGTTTTGAGGCGCGACATAGGAGCCAGATGTCGGGAGGGCTGGCGGCTGCGGCATGGGTTGCGACGCCACATATGAGCCTGAGGTCGGCATAGGGGTGACTGGGGCTATCGGTGCGGCTGACGGCTGCATAGGGTATGGTGGCTGTGGACCGGCAATTTGCGACCCTTGAGGATTGACGGGGAGTGGTCGAGAACCACCCTGATTCGAGGCGAACGCACTTCCATCCGGTGGTTGGGGTGGGTATGCGTTGTACCCCTGCGGCGGGGCAGATGCAGCTACCGGTGGGACCGATGGAGGTGGCAACGGAGGCTGAGCCCCGCCAGAGTACTGCTGGGGAAGCGGCGGAGCCGACACCGGCGGCTGAGGTGGCGGATATTGCTGGTAAGGGTATGAGGGTGACGTCGCGAACTGGGATCCGTATGGCGCAGGACTGGGAGTGGGACCAGCAGAACCTGGCGCCGTAGTTGGCGAGGGTGCATAGCCCGAAACGTATGAGGGGAATGGTATCGGCGTAGTCGATGGCGGTATCGACATGGACGAATCCGTTCCGGCTGAGAAGCTTGACGAGCTTGGCAATGGCATGAAGCCAGAGGACGACGTCGGAACGCTATAACGCGGACCACGCCCAGTCGTGCGAACATAACCATTGGTAGGTGGCGGTGCGTATTGAGGTTGGAACGAGCTGGCCTGCCCTGGGGGCGTGAGAGGCCTGCCGTGAGGGTATATGCTACCTTCAGTGTGATGGGATGGTATGGCGGACATGGAGACCATTCTCGTCGACGAACGCGGTGGTATATACGAGCCATCGCTATTCTGTGGTGGCCGCGTGACGCGTGAGTGATTTCAAGTAAGAGAAAAGGGAAGGATGCACATACAGGGAAGCTTTCGCGACGCTGGTGGTCTGGTATGGTTATACGACCAAAGTCATCCGCAAGGGCATCTACACCGGATGGACCTGGTTGTTCGTACGGCGCGACGTACAAGTCGAGATTCGCCAATGATGTCGACCCTCGGATGGTGGATGATCCATCTGAGGCTGTTCGAGGGTTTGCATACAGACTTGTTGTGCGAAGTCCTTGACTGGGACGACCCGCAATGGACGGGGCGCCTTCAGGCAATGGAATGAACGAGCCACGCCCTCCATACTCCTTGTTCGTCTTTGGAACCTTCGGTGCGGCTTTCTTCTCTGGCGGAGGTTCCTAGGAAGATAGATGTCGTCAAGATAGGATAAGGCTCGGCGAAAGGATGAACACACGTTCGACCAGAAGGTCAGTTCCAGATATACCTTCCCTGCGAATCTATCCTTGTATGATAGATCAAACCAATCTGTAAGCCGGATGAGCTCAGAGTAGCGATTTCAGAGTGAGTAACGCACCATCCGTCTCTCCCTTGGTAAGCACCTCCGTCAAGTCTACGTTGGTCTCGCCGATGAGGTCAGGCTCGCGGGGATCGTCCGCAAAGCAGGCCATGTGCATACTCTTCCCGCCCTTTATCTTTTTGGGGCCCTTGCGATTATCCTTGGGTGGGGGAGGCGGTGGCGTGCCATCGTCCTGCGCAGTGCGTTGCAGGATGTCATCGGTGTCCTCATAGAGCGTGAAGCGGATCTCCTCGTCCCACTCGGGGTGCTGCCCGCCGCGCTTGATCGCCTTGGTGCGGCGCTTCTCGCCATTGACGGTGACTACGCAGTAGGGGTCCTGCTTCCCTATGTGCCGCTTATTCGGTAGATGATTCTGAAGCCGTGTGAGCTGCTGGCACTCCTGAGAGTTGCGTGCGGTGGCGTACCGCCTTGAGAATGACGACGATGAGCGTTCCAATCTCGCGCGGCGTGGAGGTCATGAGCAACGTTCGAGGGGGAAAGAAAGGAAGTGGGCGGGAAGCGCTGGGCTATTATGCTCGAAGCCGGCGGCGCGGTCAATGCACACGGGCGCGGGGAAAGCGCTCTCACGTGCGTGACCGAAATGAGCTCACATGACGGCGACACACAAAGGCAAACAGCCCCGGTGCCACAAATTGGCCGGAGTCCCTAACATTCATGAAGTAACTACCAAGTATTCATGTAACAGAACATGCAAGAAAATTTCACTGTCCGGGCGTATAGCTCGTATCATTGACCAAGATCAGGCCCGGCTTGCGTTGTGCAAGATCGAGGACCATCCTAAAGAAATGTCAGTCTGCCTTTGTTCTACAACTGGCAGGTTCACGTACTCGGCAAAGTAGCTATTCGCCCATGCAAACCACGGGCGGGTCCAGTCGGATACGTTGTACACCGAGATAGACTCATGAATAAGCCCCAATCCGTCAGTGGTCTACAGCTTGTGTCAGAAGCCAATGGTGCATTGTCGAATGAGTCTACCCACGTTCATAATGGTATGAAGCCTTGTCAGGATCTCGCTGTCATCGTCAGTGCCGTAGATCGCGGAAACCTGGGACATAGGCCTGCAAAATGCTCAGAAGGCGACCAGACAAGGGACCGGACAACTACGTACCAAGGTGCGTATGGGTTGACGTGCGGACCCCTGGTCAGGAGAAATAATGAGCAGTGCTGATTCTGCGAAGAGCTACCTACGTACCCGACACCGGAGAAGTTCTTGCCCTCAGCGTAGTAGGGGTTGAGCCGCGACAACAGCACATCCTTTGTCTTCACATAAGCAGTGTCGGCCTTGTCGATGAAACCAAGGTACGGCAGAGAAAGCAGCGACTAGAAAACCGTAAGTCAGTCTTCAGCGACAACAGCAATCAGCGGAACGTACCGGCACATTCGCGTCGTCCATCACAAAACGTCCACCAAACCCGTTGGTCTCATAAGCAAAGACATCGTCGATGATCTTGCCTCGTCAGTCAGTGGCCTGCTACGGTCTCAGTCAAGTCTGAGGGCCCACCGTATAGTTGTAAATCGCATCGTGTATCTGCGAGCTCCACTTGCGTGCAGACTCGCTCACGTTCGCAAGCTGACCCGCATCGTCGAGCAGGTCAGCCAAGTGCACCAGCTCAACGCTTAGCATCGCGTTCGCTGGGGTGAGGAAAGCTGGCGGTAAGTCGGAACATTAGCCAGCTAATTCGCAATACCAAGGGTTAACAACGTACCAAAGACGCTCAAATCATCGGACGGGCGGTGGTGAGTGCCAACCTACACATGTGCGTAAGCGTGAGCCATGTTGAAGCGGCATACGTTGTGAGCCCACCATCCCCGTATACTTCTTCGGCTCGCCGTTCCCATCGTTGAACACCTGCGGGGACAAAGCACCACCCCCGCCGGTCCAGTTATAGTACGAGATGTAGTTCCAATCGTCGTCGAACGTGGATTGCGACTGCTCGTCCATGACGCGGAAGATCTGGTCGATGGCGGCCTTCCCTGGAGATGATATAAATAATGCGTATATGCCAGAGACGATTGCTGTGCGCACAGTTGTCGTTGATGATAGACGCGTCCTTCGTAGCGTTGTAGTAGGACCGCGAGAGCTTGATGAAGCCCACGAGCGAATCGAGCTCGTACTGTGCGTATGTGAACTCCTAGTGTACATGAAAAGCACACAAGCCATACGCACCTTGCACTCGAACACCGTTGTGTTGTCCACAGGCCTGCATATGACATGAACTTTAGCTTTGAAATCCGACATACGACCGTTCCCACTCACGGATTCACCGTCACCCCATCCGCCCACTCGTTGTACGAAGGCTCTAGCCCACTCTCCGGCGGAGGCTGGAAGGCGCCGCCTGCATCGCCCTTTCAGTACATGGTCGGCGAAGGAAATCATCCAGACGTACAGTAAGGGTACTCAGCAACGTAGCGCGCCTCGTTGTTGATGACACCCTTGACGAGGGTAGCGAGGTCCTCGTCGATGGAGAGGAGGGGAGCGTAATGGGCGAACTAGATCTCTTCATCAGCGAGGCGTAGGCGGAAAAGAGGAAAAGCACATACCTGGTTCGCAGTGTCGCGAAGCCATTGCGCACTACTCAAGATTCAGCCAAGAGTATGGTAGGTCAAGTGAAGACTAACGTGATATCCTGCAACGAAGGTGAGGAGCGCAATGGATCATACTGAAAGGACTACGCACTCCAGTGATGATGAACGATAAGTTCTCGGTCTGAACGTCATGCTGCTCAGTCGTGGACGACTTGAGGAGATATTCAGGGGACTTACAGCATTGAAGTAGCGGACGGTCGTGTCTGGCAAAGTCGTAAGCGCTTGCTCGCGAAGGAGTGTTCAGCTTGCCCTTACCGAGCGTCTGTAGATGGCAAGCTCGTTAGTACGAGTTATGACCGCCTCATGCGGGAAAGGTACTTGCATTCGGGAACGTATTCTCGAACAGACGCGCCAGATCCGGGTCCTTGATAAGCTGCTTCATGTCCGAAATCACTTTCTGCAGCGCTGTGAGCCACAACACTCCCTGCCCTATCAGCTCGCGTAATGCCTACCTCCACCGCCGAGCTATTGAACGTCCTGCACGCCGGATCCGGACGCATATACGGTAGGCCCAAAGCGCCCTCAGACGGGTCGCCATGCGGGCTCTAGTAGTAGGTGAAGTCAGCCTCTATAACCCCGCATTACCAAGGAGCTTCCCACCCACCTGCGCATACTCCGTATAATCGGGACACTCTGCGCGCACCACCGCGCCAGAACCCAACAGTGCTGCCGCAAGCACCCTCTTCATCGTTATCTTCGTCAAGTCGAGCATATCGAGGGCGTTCAGCCAGTCAAACGAGTTCAACGACCAAGCAATGGACAGAGGGGACCAACGGACGGCAAGGTCTCCCCAGTCCCGCTCATGGCCCGCGAGGACATTTATACGCGGGCGGATAATGGTACGCGTCCGCGGCGCGCGTGACCCCGCGATACACGCGATCCGTACGTCCGCGCCCTGTCTGGGGTCGTCCGGGGCGGGCCCCGTGATAGTAGACGTGCCCATACGGTGTCCTGCTCACCGTGGGCGGTGCCAAGGGGGGCGGTATGTCAGTGGGATGATGAGAAAAGTGGGTCTTGCAGAAGCTCAACGATAAACAACACCACTCGTGGATTCATCGACCCTTACCAGCCCAACCGTCAAACCAATGCAGATCAGAATTGTCAACGAATACGCTGGACGAACGAGGGACGATACACGAGGAAGCAGTCAGTGGTGTCGCGGCGGGCTAGAGAGGAGGGGAACGGGGGAAATAAGCAGCAGTAGATACGCGATACGCTCTCTTCGCAGGACCCTGCCCAAGATGCCTATGTACAAAGATAACCGAGGAAGGTCATGACGATAACCGCGGAAGGTCACAGCAGAAACCGCACAAGTCATAGCGAGAACGCACATAGATACGAGGGAAAGGAACCGGAATAGGCGACGTAGCGTAAGCGAGTGACGAGGATCGGTCCAGTACTCCATCAAGGAGGTAAGCATAGAATACGGGACAACGAAGTTGGAAGACACGAATAACTATGGTACAGTGCTGAGGATAGTGTCAGCATTCTAAAGATCAAGAGGGGCGACAGACGTACTCAGAGGCAAATCATAGCGTCGGCGTCAACAGCAGATCCTTGTCTTTGGGCGACGAAGCAGCCTCATCCTCCTTTACGGAGACTTCCTTGGTAGGGCTCTGCTTGGCCGTCGCCTCGGTGTCGCACGAATCCTTGGGAGCATTCTCCTCAGCCTCGCCAGCACCAGACGGGTTCGGGGTGCCGATCGTCTCGCTGGACAGCTTGCGTACGACGGTATCCTTGACGTCCAACAGAGGGGACTTATCCTCCTCCTTCGGTTTCTTCACAGTCAGACTGGAATCCTTGCCCTTCTCGGCGCTCTCTCCGGTGGTCTCTTCCTCGTCAATCACCTCCACGTCTCCGGGTGCAGACGCACGATCATACTCGTCACCCTCACCGGGGTCAAGCTCGCTGGGGTTGCCCGTCCTCATGCTGTTCGTCGTCCACAGGCTACGCTCGCGCATAAGCGATGCGCCTTGGAGGGAGGGTGTGCCGACACCACTCTGGATTCTAGCGCTCCATCGGCTGACCTCGCTCTCCCAGCTACCCCTCCGAGAGCTGCGCGGACGTAGGGCACGAACACTAGCGTCAAAGTCACGTTCGTCGATGCCTTCATCGCCCAGACCCCAATGGCTCGTGCTCTCGCCATCGGGGTACGCCACACTGTCCATGTGGGAGATGGAATCGCCTGCACCGAACGCAGACGGCGGGGCCGAACTCCAGGCGTTCAGCGCGGCTCCGTTGCGCATGCCCGGAATGGCGTAAGCGGACGAAGCGAGCGTGAAAACAGACGCATTGTCGATAGGCGGAGATGAGGGTCGAGGGTTGTTGCGTGGATGGTGCGCTGTGTGGAGCGGAGCCTGAATGTAGTCACCCGACGCAGAGCCTGCAGCAGTAGACTGCGTGGGAGATGGCGGAAGGGCCGAAAACGTGATAGACCCGCCGCTATTCGCGAGATTCGTGCCTGTGGACGAGGTGCGAGCATGTGCTGTGCGCTGCTGGCGGTAGCTAGATGGCGTCAGCGGCGCTTGCGCAATATGTGCCATGCCGCCCCCGTTTAGGTCGACGCTGAGCAGGGTGGTGGGCTTTGTGCTGGCGGCCATGCTCTTGAAGGTGTGGGGATCGGAGAGGTACGACGAAGATGACCTCGAGGGAGAGGGGGACGGTGGCGCACTGGGAGGGATGGGCCGCATGGAAGCATCTTCGTCGGCCTCCAGCGCGCGAATGGGGGAGTATGTCGAGTCTCGCGCGAAGGACGACGGGAGCGACGATCTATCATCAGAAATCGATGACCGCGGGGAGAAGTCGTCTCCGTTCAGCGACACCGTCTTCCGGCGCACAGGCACGATGGGCTCGAGCTTGTTCGGCCGCGCGTTAACGCCTGGAGAGGGCAAAGGGGACGACACAGCGCGGCTCGACGATCGTGTCGAATGACCTCCCTTCCTGCCCTTTGTCCTTCCTATCTCCTGATGGATGTTCTCCGCAGCGCGCTTCGATCTGACCGTCCCGGTCCACTTCCGTTGGAGCCAGTTGATTATAGGCTTGCCAGAGCGGTGTGGCACCTTCTTCTGCCCAGGTTGTAAAGCATGGTTCTTCGAGGGATGTAGAGGCTGTGCCTTCGTATGCACAGGCTTCGATGTCGTCGACGCTGTCGATGCGCGGTTCCGGGAAGCCGGTGCGAGCGCCTTTGGCTTCGGTTCGTGGGCGGCGTCGGCTGACTGAGCTTTCTTCATGGGAGGAGGAGGAGAAGTACTCGTGCCGGTCATTTCGCACGCAACTGAATAGAGGCCAAGGATGGGAAACTGCTGATGGTGGTTAGGGACGAGTACCGCACGGCAGCACCACATGCACCGTGACCAGCGTCACTAAATCACGCGCGTCACCGCACTGGTCACGGTTCGACTTGCTCGTCGTTGCCTCAGCGTGCTTCCATCTCACACCGTAAGGTCGTCTAATACATTGAATCCTATACATTTAACCTACATAAAGGTTTTCCTATTCCCACTCAGGCCGCGCCTTTTGTCTGTTCAGCACCACTAAATCACATTTCATGCTGCCCTGATCCACCGGGCCTCCCATACACGTCTGGAAAGTCCTACAGGTTTTCCTCCCCAATTTTCCTGATGATTTTTTGAACATTGACCAGCTCATCAGGAAGAGCTGTCGAGCTTGTATATGTTCTTTTGTGGTGTCATTGGCACGGACAAAAGCTGAAGTCGACAGCTCGTTTGCGGATAGATATACAATTTTGCGAGTGTATGCAAGTTACAAGTACGTATGCTACAAGTTTACCAGTCCATCTTCTTCTTGGGCGCCCTCACCGCCGGCACTGCAATCTTGCCCTTGTACCCGAACCCATCCAGCCACGGCCACACCTCACTCCTTCGTTTCTCAAACGTCTCGATCTGCGACTTGCGCTGCATCGTGAGCGCGATGTCGTCGAGGCCGTTCAGCAGGCAGTGTCGCCGGAAGGGATCCGTGGAGAACTTGACTGGCGGCTGACCGTTCGGTCGGCGGATCTCCTCTTTCTCGAGGTCGACTTCGAGCTCGAGGCCGGCCTCTGCGTCCTTCGCGAGCTCGATGCAGTCTTCTTGCGGGATGGCGACGGGGAGCATGCCATTCTGCATTGAGTTATTGCGGAAGATGTCCGCGAAACTGGGTGCGATGATGCACTTGATCCCGAAGTCTTTCCTACACACGAAGTTAGCAAGGAAGGATGGTCACACAGATGGCGTCCACTCACAAACTCCAAGGCGCGTGCTCACGCGAGCTACCGCAGCCAAAGTTCTTCCCAGTGCAGACCATGATCTTTGCCTTGTTATACGGTTCGCGGTTGAGGATGAAATCCGTGTCCTGCCCCGTCACCGGGTCCTTACGCAGCGTGAAGAACAGAGCGTTCGCGAGACCCGTGCGCTTCAGCGTTTTCAGGAACTGCTTCGGGATGATCATATCCGTGTCGACGTTCTCAATGTGCAGCGGCGCCGCGATACCCTTCAGTACGGTGAATTTCTCCACACCAGATGGGCTCTCGGCTGGCGGGAGCTCGGTAGACGAAGACGATGCGGTAGTTTGTATGGGAAGAACTGGCGCAGGCGGCGCCTGAGGCGGGTCGAGGAAGTCGAAGGCGCTGGTGATCTTCAGCTTTGCCGAGGTCGTCTTGTCCTCGGCAGCACCCAGGTATTTCCTGACGTCGACAAGCTTGCCGGCGAGCGCAGCAGCAGCGGCCATAGCCGGGCTCATAAGATGAGTTCGACCGCCAGAACCCTGGCGACCCTCGAAGTTGCGGTTGCTGGTGCTGGCGCAGCGCTCTCCTGGTGCGAGCTGGTCAGGGTTCATACCCAAGCACATCGAGCAGCCAGCCTCGCGCCAGTCGAATCCTGCGCGCTCGAAGATCGCCTGCAGACCTTCCGCCTCCGCCTGTTGCTTGATGAGACCCGAACCCGGAACGATCATTGCATGGACGTTGGGCGCGACGTGCGCCTCGGGACCAGCAGCGATGACGATCCGCGCCGCAGAGCGCAAGTCCTCGATACGGCTGTTCGTGCAGGATCCAATGAACACCTTGTCGACAGGGATCTCCTGCATGGGCGTGTTCGGCGTCAGGCCCATGTACTTGAGCGAGCGCTCGCCCGACGTGCGCTTCACCGGGTCCTCGAACTTCGACGGGTCGGGAACGACGCCGGTGATGGGGACGACATCCTGTGGGGACGTGCCCCACGTCACAGTGGGCACAATGTCGGCGGCGTCGATGACGATCTCGTGGTCGAACGTCGCGCCCTCGTCCGACTTGAGCGTGCGCCAGTACGCGACGGCGCGGTCCCACTCCTCGCCCTGCGGCGCGAGGGGGCGGCCCTTGAGGTACTCGAAGGTGATCTCGTCCGGGGCGACCATGCCTGCACGAGCACCCGCCTCGATACTCATGTTGCAGACGCTCATGCGCGCCTCCATGCTGAAGCCGCGGAAGACTGAGCCGGCATACTCGATGACGCAGCCAGTACCACCAGCGGTGCCGATGATGCCAATAATGTGAAGGATAACATCCTTGGAGGTGACGCCCTCGTGTAGCTCACCGTCGACGGTGATGCGCATGTTCTTCGCCTTCTTCTGCAGCAGCGTCTGGGTGGCGAGGACATGCTCGACTTCCGAGGTACCGATACCGAAGGCAAGGGCACCGAAAGCACCGTGGGCTAGGAAGTAGATAAGTTTCACGTAAGCTGCGGTCCAGAGGAAGCACATACTGGATGTATGGGAGTCACCGCACACGCAGGTGATACCAGGGAGAGTGAAGCCCTGCTCAGGCCCGATGATGTGAACGATACCTAAGTCTCGATCAGCACTGGTCAGTCTATCTCAGAGCAGCTTGGACGCACCCTGTCGCCGATCCTTCATCCCAAAGTAGGTCAGGCCAAACTCCTTGACATTGTCCTCGAGCGCAACACATTGCGCGCGCGAATCAGGCTCCTCGATGAAGGCCTCAACAGTCGTAAGGTTCTTGCGTGATACAGTCCTGTATATTCGTGTCTCAGCATACTTCCTCCGTACAAATGGAGGCTGATAACGCACGGAATGTTGTGGTCCACTGTGGCTAGCGTGCAGTCAGGGCGGCGGACTGGGCGACCTGCAGTCCTCCTGATCGACGTAATGTCAGCGACAACTAGCGGGATGCGGGGTAAAATCGACTTGCAGTCCCTCGAACGCCTGTGGGCTCGTAACTTCGTGAACCAAGTGACTGCGCAGACACTGTCAGCCTCCCCCTCGCGCACACAAGCAATTTCGAGGACGCACCGGTCAATGTAGATGAGCGATAGCCCATCGTCCTTGCTGGCATCACTGCAGACGAAAGATTAGCGCCCGTGGTCTACTTCCTGCATAAAATCGCGCACACGACGTGGTCGTCCCAGATCTTGTCGTACAGAGTACGCGGTGCAGGTACAGCGGTCGGCATGGTGGTGAGAGCAGAGGGGGAAACGAGGATGACTGGATATGCGTTCGCCGCAGAGTTATTATAGACAACGACGATCAATGGCAGAGGCGTCGGAGCTCGGTCGGCCGCCCGAGGCCCGTCTTCGGGCCAGTCGGATTTGGGAATCGCTGGCGCGGGATTGGACCACCGACCGTGCGAATTGATGGACTGGACCCACAACGTCGCCCTCGCCGCCCGCCTTGAACCGTTCTTCGGCGGACTCGGCCTTCCGTACAACGTCCGTCGGACTGCCCCCGAACGACGTCGACGTGTTCAAGTATCGTCGCAGCGCTATCCATATCTCTGCTATCACCCTCGCGTGCGCAGTTGGGTGGCGGAAAGCGCTGAATAACCGCCATCAGTATAATAGGTATGCTAAGGACTATAGGTTACAGTTCGCGCACAATCTAACTAGGGTAACGTGCTTGATGTGAAGGACGGTGGCAAGAGATGAAGATGACAATGTGCAGGGCAAGCAGAGTATATATGGTGTGAAAGCGAGGAGCAGAGAGAATAAAAGATGAAAGAGCGACGTCGAGTGAGTAACCGAAACAACCAACGAGTGACCTCCGAGTGTCCCACGAGAGAAGATAGATACAGGGATGGAGCGAGGGGTGGCAGCCATACCCGGCTATTCGCCATCGTGGTGCAGGGTGACGCTATTGAACGCGCCGAAGAGGTCCTTCTCCTTATCGAGACCGTCGTCAGCTGGTCCGAGCCCAGGGGTGCCGACGTAACCAGCGCCAGCAACGCCCACTATTTGTGCGCTGCCCTTGACATGCTCGTCTTCGAGGTGGAGAGACGTCGACTCCTTCATCGTCCGGAAGTTGACAGCGTCGACGCCGTTGCTGCTGGTCGGCACGATGGGCGGGCGGGTATGTCGCAAGAGGCCCCAGTTGATCTTGGAGAACCACTTGTGCTGCTTGACCTCACTCGCACCAGAGCGAGAGCCGAGCCGTGTCTTCTCGTTCTTGTCCAGCAAGCGCGTAATGACGTCCTTGCCAGACGAGCTGACTTTGGGTTGTTCGCGGAAGTGCACAGGTATCATGCGGATGTTGTCGAATGTCACGTCGCGCTCGGAGCCCTTGAACGGAGTCGTGGCATACTGGAAGGATCATAAGCGCTCGCTATACACCCCAGTAGACTATACGCACGATCATCTCGTAAATCAAGATGCCTAAAGTCCACCAATCGACAGCCGCGGTATGTCCTTGGGCTGCGATGACCTCCGGAGCAATGTACTCTTAACGTCCGATCAGTAGTGCATGCAAGAGAGCATGTACAGAGAGCCGTACCTTCGGTCCCGACGAATGAATTGGTGCGGAAGTTGGCGGTGCAGGACATTGTGTCTACTAATGGTATCTAGTAGAGAAGCAACGTCAGCCTCGAAGACGGCGGTCGTCAAGCTGTAACGCACCCCGTTCGGTTCGTGAATCATGCCCGGTAATGAGGGAGGCTCCTTGGACTGCTTAGCGAGATCGAAGTCCGAAAGCATGATGTGACCGCTCTGGTGCAACAAGATATCTGAGAAGCACAGGTCAGACGACATACGGCGGTATGTGAGGTAACTACGCACTTTCAGGCTTCAGATCTCGATAGATAAAGCCGTTGAGATGGAGATATTCCAACGCCGCGACGACCTCTGCAGCATAGAAACGGGACCCGTCCTCCGGTAGGCACTTCCCTGGTCGTGTCTGTAGTGCGCGGAAAAACTCGCCGCCCATGCAGTATTCCATGCAGAAGTACAGGTAGCCTTCTGACTGGAAGCTGTGATGCAGGGTGACGATGAAGGGATGGTTCGCGGTAGCAAGGATCTCCTGCTCGGTGAGAGCACGCTTGATCTTCTTGCGCTCGATCATCTCCTTCTTTGAGAGAACTACGGAATCATGAGCAAGAGACAAAGTACCATGAGTCGGCGACGCACCCTTCATCGCGAACAGCTTCGACGACTTCTTCTCCCGTACAAGGTATACCTTCCCCACGTCGCCCTTCCCCAGCATCTTCAGCTTCACGAAGCTTGAAGGGCCGACTTCGACCTGGCGAACCTTGATCGAGTTGCTCGAATAGGTTCGCCTGAAGGCCTTGCCGTTCTCGCCAGTCTGCGGCGAGAGGTTACCGTTCGAGTCAACGGTCTTGCCGTTCTTCCCGTAGTGCGAGCTCCCTGAGCTAGATATGGTCTCCAGCGAGTCGCCAGTACTGAGCTTCCCGCCGCTCCGCTTGCCCTTGCTCGAGTCCTTCGGACTTGTGAATCCGTCGTGAAGACCGGGCGAGAGCAAGCCGTTCTTGGTCGTACTTCCCGACAGCTGTGAGCTGGAGGCCGACTTGAAGAGGCCCTTCGCGTTTGGCGCGGAGGCAACGCGTCGTATGAAGCGTGTCATGCTCTTCGTCGTGGACAGCGGGCCTCCAGCGGTTGGAGTACGCGTCGTGTACGGTGATGCAGTCTGGGGCACCTTTTGCTTGGAGGAGGCGGATAAATGGTGGGAGGACTTCGTCCGGGACCTGGACGGTGTGGTGGGCGACGTGGCCATTTCGGGAGTGGAGGTAACGACTGGGGAAGATGTGCCGGCGCTGCTGAAGCTTTCGCTGCGATTGGACGGAGCGGACAAGCCGTTCGTCTGGCCGTTGGCGGAAGGAAAGAGCGACGCGGGTTCAAGACGTGGGGTCTTGTCGTGTTTTTTGCCACCGAGGTTGGAGGTAGAGGCGGATGCGAGTCTAGTGAATCTCTTCCAGCCCGAGCTCGAGGACGAGGGTGATGTGGGTGGTTGAATACGCGGTGAGGACGCCGACTCGGTGGTGGTGGATGCGGATTCCTGCATTCGACTGTCCGTCTGAGTCGTTCTCCGTGCGTGTTCCTCTGCGTCGTCCTTCGTCGTTGTCCGTGGCGGCGGTGAGCAAAGATGCTGAGGAGCTGGGCAAGATATTGGTTTTGGCTCTAGACTGCTTACTTATGTAAGCTCGCGACCCTGCTGATGCACGGAGTGATGGCTCTGTCACGCCTGTCTTGTTCAACTTCCCCTCCTCATGTGCGACCCTTTTATGTGTCCTGCTGTACTCGACCCGCCTTGTCTGTCTTCCTCGTTCTTCATAACAGTGCACTCTTCGTACTTCTCAGCAGCGCCCAGCAAATCATCACACCGTCGCAGAAGCCGCTAGATCGGCGCTTGACTTGGCCAAATGCGATCCTGTCTAGACCAAAAGCCGCCCAGCGTCAGTAAGCTGTACGAAGGCGCTGAAGCGCATCGTAGCTGTGAGGGAAAGACTCGTACTTCCCACATTGCTTCGTGGTAGATCTAACAGCATGCTCCGTTAAGAAGCTGGTCGAAGTAACAGCAGCTGCGCCTCAATTCATAGTTGAGTGGTAGTACGTATCAAGAATTTTGTTCGACGCCTCTAATATCCCTAACCATCCCTATCACATCTCACAGATAACACCAACGTGGAAAACATGCCGTATCTTTGTCGCACTTAGGCGCGCGCCTCTGTGGATGACCCATGCATGAGTAAGGCTTTGGCAAGGTGCCAACTTACTTGAGCTGTTATTGCATGTCATCTATCTGCAGCGAGTGGACATCTCGGAACGTGCCGTCACAGAAAATTCCCTGACTCTTCTCGTGTTTTCTTTCTTTCTCCTGGTGAGTCCTCGACACCAGCTGTAATCCAATAATCCGACGCCGATCGCCAAGGTGGTCGTGTAAAGCGCGCGGCGTCAATGCGCTGTGAGTATACGGGCCATAGTCTTGCAGCAGGAAATTTTGCTCAGCATCCTGAACAAGTTTAGCAATGTCGCTCCAGCAGACGCTCCAGCAGTGTTGATGGCCCTTCGCGCCGATGACATGCGCCTCACCGACATGCCTGCAGGACGTACGTCTTCTCGTCGAAGCGATTCTACAGCACGACTACGCAGGGCACGCGCGCAGGGGTCTGCTCCCTGTATGCAGTTCCATGGCGGCTACTGGCCTTGGGCAATGATTCCTGTCTATAACCGCCGCAGAGGCGTGTTGCAAGGTCCTTTTGCGTGAGGAAGGCGCCCTTCTCACGACTAACTCCCTACGCGCCCGCGCGTGCCATTTTCCGCGCAGTTCACATCCCAGGGCAGGGCCAACCAATTTGTGGCGCACCTACGGCCAGCACCGCATAATGAGGTCAGTTGTTTTCCTCTCAGCCATCTACGCTGCCTCGCGAACGTTCTCGCACCAAGCGCAACACCCAGGCTCGAACTACGGATGCGGACCGTTGCTCGGACCATATCAGATGACAGGACCGGGGCGTTCCTAGTGAAGAAGTGAGCACAGCGTCCCTCTTCCGTGCGCTGCCTTCTCTTCCTCTATGACGCCCCTTATCAGATCAAAGAATCGATGTCAGCAGCTAGTCTGACATCGTCTCCGTTTGGGAGAGGGATGCGGGGCTGTAGGGCGAGTCCTTCCATCCGCAGGTTTGCGGTGTGCTGCCCATTGTTCACTTGCATTGTTTCCCATGAATTCCTGTCCAGGGGCGCAGCAGTGCGTACTGCTGACGGGCACCCGGCCGCCGTCCTCCTCTGCATACGCTGACAACGCAGCCTATCAAGTCACTCACGTCGTCCCTCATTCACTTGTCTCTCCTCAGCCAGGCCCGCAAGCCCTTCGCCGCCGACGCTCGCAGATCCGTGCCTACGGCGAGGCCGCTCCCACCAGAAGGCTCGTGCGCCCTTCTGCTTCCCACCTGCGCGCCCCCGAACATTGCATCCTCAGCTAAGAATATCGGATTTCTCCCGACGATTACACCGGCCGCCCCAGCAGCCCCGCCCAGTATAACGCGCACGCTTCTCCGCCTCAACGATAACGCGACCGTGCAATCGTACTCAGCAGTTGCTCCGTCCGCGCCCGAGGGCGACCGGGAGCATTGAGGTGCTCTGCGGTGCCAGCTGGACGCGGGCTGGTGCCCAGCTTGCGCCATGCCACTCATTCATCCGACCTTACGTCGCAGACGGACCTTTGGCTCGCGTAGGCCATATCTACACCCAAGTAACGCCGCCATGAACAAGCCTGGAGTCTCAAAATGCACCACTACAAATTACCGTGAACCAATAGGTCCAGGTAGGTCAATCGCGTTCATCTTCACAGACCCACCTGCTCATCAACGCATAGGCTTGGTTGGGGATGTGCGCAGAAAGGTCTGGCACCTCCGAATCGCTGGCTCCTGCGCAATATCTGACCCGTGTAACCGCAATGGACCATAACCTTCAGTCAACCGCGTGGTCAACGCAGGGAGGCCTGCGCGGTGCATACTACGTCCGTGAGTAGAGTATACTCTCTTTCCGCTGCCCTCCTTTTCTGGACGACGCAGGGCCACTGCTCTGCTTTCGTGCCACACCCACGTTACCCAGGGTAGCCGGCGCCTCTCACAGCGCTTCTTATTTATTCTAGCGAGTCTCTTTGCCTATCATACGCCTCGTGCACACGGCCTACCAAGGGAAGACATCGCGGGCTGAGTTGCTCGACAATGGATTTTGTGGCATAATTTCAGCCGCAAATCAAGGGAAAATCAATATCATGGACAGTTGCGCGGAGTTGGATTTCGGGGTCCACGCCCGTTCATACTTCCCGCGCAGAGGCTAAGCCTGAGTACGCTCGCAGTAACAGATAGCGGCTGAGTTCAAATCGATGTTCATTTGATGAACGGGAATACGTTGTGATGGGAAGGACAGCCCGGTCGGACCCTCGCGCTGAGCAAACTGGAAATGAGCGGGAAGACATCATACCAGTTCATCTACATCATGCTACTTCATATGCATTATTGGTGCCCATCAACAGGTGCGCCTGTCGATGAACCCTGCCGGCAAGTACCGTCAAACCTACGTAACAAAGAGGGTGCTCCGTGAAAGGGTATGTACGGTAAGTCGGCAGTGAGTAGTGGGACAAAGAGCCCGACGCTCTGGAGCCTGAGGCCTGAGGAGTCAGTTCCAGCTTTAAAAAACGAGCCTCGCACCGCTTGTGGTCGAAGGCATCATCGCATGCAGTGCGCGAACTGTCCAGCTGCGAAGTGGCTAGACGAGAAGGCGCCGAAGCGGTGCTTTCGAGCATACCTATCAATTCGGGGCGCGATGAGGTGAGGCCTTCACGTCACGCTGCCCGAGAGGGACGGAGCGCTTTTCCCTCCTGGAGGGCACGAACTTCCGCCGAGCCGAGTAAACAGCATATCGACTAAGCTAGCTAGGCGCCACCCAGCTGGCGGACGGGAGCGTAGGGCCAACATAGGCCGTGTCGCCGCGAGCGTGCTGGCTTGATAAAGTTGGCCTCGGCCTGTAGGACATGAATACGAGCACCACAAGACATAGTACGGAGCACTGACCATCCGGATTGAGGCAAATGACTGAATGGATCGTACTGCCGGCCCCGGAGTGCCCCTTTAGCAGGCGCGCTATCCCAGACGGACGGACAACATGCCAGGCCGTCGACTACTTCCGTGCAGCAGCAGCGCCTTCGGACAGAATGAGAAGCCTTGGCGCCATATCAGCACCCAATGTTGATCTTTCGGAAGAGTGAAATCGAAGCGGCGTACGTACTTCATAGTATCACGGACGGGAGAGCGCTGCGTTAGTAGCGTGGTCCTGTTCTCATGATGCTCTCGCCGATATCCGGACCATCCGATCTTCACACTCAAGAGCGGTGTCGTGAGTCCCTGGGGTAGGGTGACTCACGCTAAACAATGGAATCTTCCCTGCGGGCCGACAAGACCTTTGACGAGCTCTCGTTACCCAAGTTTGTGTGAAAGAACACGAGAAGGCAGTACTGAGGCGAGATCCTTTGCAAGTCAGACGCTGAAGATCATGTCCGTCATCCTTCCTAATCACAGCACGATCAATAGAACAGTCTACGTACCCAGGCAGTATCCGTGCTCGTCTATAGACTCCGGAGGATAAACACGGAAAAGGGTGCGCTTACGCACGTCGAGCACGCGGATTACATGAGGCGGCGCTTAGCACAAAACAAGAGACCATGAAAGGCTGGTAGCACGTCCGAAAACTTCATGTATTTTAGCGTTCCTGGACGGTCGGAGAGCTTGCAATTATCGGAGACGTCGAAGGCCACGACGAAGGAGCACAGCCGCTGCGCATCTCCCGCCATCTTTAACACGTGGGGGCGTTCTGCCGCGCGCCACAAACCCATCGGGATGCGCCATTGTTGAGGACCTGGCTGGGGATGTTGAGCAACATGCGGACACAACGAATCGAGGGGGAGGGACAGGACTCACCTGGGGGCTTATCGAGTCCGCTCGACTGGTCATATTTACCTACTCGTTGAGTAAGGCGGTCCGAGTCAATGCCGGCATTGTTCACAAGAGTCCGCGAGCCAATACGCGCCTCTCGCCAGCAGAAATCGAGGGTGAGAGCTCTGAAGACAAGGCCTATATTGACGTGTCGATCACGGTAGAACATTGAAGAGCGCAACTCGGCGTCCTCCGGGGGGCCTACCCCGGGCCACACCCTATGGCGCGCCGCGCGCATAACATGTGCGGCGGGGTCACGCTCCCACAGGACGCGAGACAGGCGCGCGAGGGGCATCGATGGACGGCGTGAGTCCAGAAAACCAACGGCGTAGAGTGGGTATAACCGTCAGCAGCTGTGTCCCGCTGCCCCTCTGCATCAGCCAAAGTGGGAAAAGCGCGCGGATAATGCACGCAGAGGCTGACGGACTCACGATGAGATGCAGCCCGTACATCTGATCGAGCCCGCTGGAGGGGAGGACGGCTAGATGGCGCCGCTACCGCGGCTGGAAGGACGCCTAGGTCTGAACATGACAGCGGTGGTAATTCATGGATGAATGTCGCGAGCGCACAAAAATCGGACGCGCCTCATTGTATGCAAACGTACAACCGTCACGAGCCCTCGAGGACAGTGTACGCCATAGCCCACGTTGTGCGCGCACTTGACCGCTGTCGCTTAAAGCAAGCACCCTGCTGTGTTATTCCCCTGCGGACTGGCCCATGACTGGTCAACGTATGCTTATAATGATCTCAAAGGATGGACTTACGAGGTTTACCCTCATGGCGGACATGCGGACGCCCATTAAGCGCGTTATCAACATCATGATAACTGAGGTCGGGGCGATGAACGCCCTGCAATCTATGCAGAAAATAAATCGGACATCATGGGATCACGTTGAAGCCCCGACTAGTAAAGTCCCTTGATACAGAGCTAGTCTCGCTCCGGCGACGTTTGTGGCCTTCTAGGAGTCTACATCTTGCGCGAATCCCGAGCGTGCTTGACGCTTGCGGAGGAGAAGGTCGAAACGTGGGTTGCTAGAGAGCCCAACGAGTTCGGCTCTTGAGCTGAGACGTCGGCGTGACCTTTTTCTCACGATCTCATGTTGAACTTCAACATAACGCGTGACGCGGAAGACTTGCGATTTCCCATCGGACCTCACCATCCTCCGTTCTCTCTCAGAACAAGCAAGACATTGCGAGTCTATAAGCGGCGATGCATTGAAATCAAGGGTATTATCAGTATACAGATTGAGAAGCCTTTGGGTGATGAGCACGAGCGTGAAATAAGTCACGAACAAGGAAAATGCGAGGAAGATGAAGGGGGATGGCAATGAAGTTGTATATACGTGCAAGACAAACAACGAGATTAGGAACGGTCCAACTGAGATCCCAGGTAACCGGTGGTATCGATAGAAGAGCAGCGACTACTAATGCGCATAATCACGAAACAAAAAAGAACGATGACCAACACCCGCACGTAGCTAAGGGGGCCGAGCAGTCCACAGTCCAGGCGGTAGAGCAAGCAGCAAAACATGTCGACGAACAAGACGGGGGCGAGGACGATCCGGGATTTGCAGCCGGTGACGAGAACGGCCGCTCAGCTGATGGTGGGCACGCTAAACCCGAACTCTGGAGAGACTGGATCGAAGATGAGCTTCACAAGTCGCGATATCCGGCGTCCGGCACGTACGTCGTCCATTGACACCCGTCTCAGCGGTTCCCGGCCGCGACGCAAATCCTGACGTGTTCGAGTCGAAGCCGCCGCTCGAGTGCGGCGGGTCGTACGGCGCGTTCGCTCCGTTCTGGTACGTCCCCGGATTCGGCGTGTAGCCGCCGCTCGAGCCCGGAGGGTGGTAGCCGTCCGCGTACGTCCCGTGCGACTCGTAGCCGTGACTGGAGTGCGGCGGATCGTAGCTCGCGGCGCTTGATGGCGGGTGCGTCGGGTAGCCACCGTTCGCCGGGTACGTCGTCGAGCTGTCGTAGCCGTTGGGGGTGTACGGCCCGCTCGAGTTCGGCGTGCTGTGCGACGGCGTGTACGCGCTGCCACTCCCCACCGTCTGGGCGCCCTGGTTAAAACCCGCACTGGACGTGGGCGGTGTGTTGTCCAGTGGGTTATAGGCAAAATCCGGCTGGGCCATGTCCTGACCGCCGCTCGGCGCGTTGAAGGCGAAGTTGTCGCCCGCGCTCCCGTAGGAATAGTCGCCGCGCGAAGGCACGTGCAGACCGTCCATACGAGACATCGACGACAAGGGCTCGATGCGCGAGAAGCTGTCAAGACGCCCTGTCGAGGATATGCGCGGCGGCTGTAATTGCGACCGCGACTCCATCGAGCGCACCGGCGGCGGGAGGTCCATCATGGCGCCGCGCGTGGCAGCAGGCAGAGACGGGAGCTGGATCATGCCACGCCTCGAGTCCTCGTACTGGTCCATCGGCGCAGGGCTAGTGGACGGACGCTGCGTATCGTACATCGGGCTGTTCGACGCGCGGTCGTACGAGCCTGTCGACGGTCGCTGGACGTCCGTGTACGGCGTGGGATACGGGTGCATGGCGTGGCTGTGGCTGCGCTGTCGACGTTCCCTCGAGTGCGAGGGACTTTCTGGCGACAGACGGCGCTGCGAGGAGCCCGGCCTGGAGCTGTAACCGGAGATGCTCGAGATACTTGTCAGGGAGGACGATGTCATGCCGTATCCGGTGGGAGGCCGAGAATCAGTCGACATGCTTGCAGGCGCCGACGTGTGTTGATCCATAGGGAAATAAGAGGTGTTAATGGTCGGATTGGGACGCGACGCCGGGTAGGAGGGGTTCAGGAGGGATGATAGGGATGATGATGTTGAGTTGTACGACTGACTCCATGGCGCCGCAGATGGACTATCGTAGTACTGAGACGACGGATAGATGGGCGAGTGGTCCGCCGGCTGAATGTACGATGATTGGGGCACCGTCAGCGGTGGGAGATGGTTTCCGCGGTACGGGGAATCCCATGAGCCGTTCGGATTGGGGTGGAAGGAGCCAGGGGAGGAAAAGCCACGGGGCCTGCCGTGCAACGGCTTTTGAGGCAGCATGGAAAGCGCGGGTGGTGCGGGGCCCATGCCCATCGCGGAGCGCGGCGGGGGGATACTGTGCAGCTCCTGCTGGTCGCGCTTTCGCGGCTTGGGGAGACGGGGAGGAACGCGTCTCTTGAAGTTGGCCACCACCTCCGGCGGGGAGTGGCGATTGAGGGTGGGGTGGGACCATGTGGAGGCGTCGGGGTCGTCGATGGCGGGGTCGACGTTGCGCAGATTGACCTTGCGCATGAAGCCATAGATCTGCAGAGCCAGTCAGACAAAGTGAAGAAGACGAGAAGCGCGGAGCGGGAACGCACGTTGAGTTGCCGAGAGAAGCTCGCGAAGCGCGACTGACGGTAAATGGAGGGAAGGACGTGCAGGGCCAGCTGCTCCGGACGCTCGACGATGATGTGCTCGCCGGCGTCGTCCCAGCGAATCATGTGGTGATTCTCTGGGCGCTCGAGGAGGCTGGGACGCGTCAGCGGGGGACGGGGAGGACGGCGGCGGCGGGGACGCACGCATAGAGCTTGGTGAGGAAGGTCGCCTGGGGCTTCGCGCCCTCCTTGAGATCCTTCGGGCGGTCGTTGTTCTCTTCTGAGGTTGCGGACATGGGGGGCGCAGAGGAGGGCGGGTAGAGATCACCCATGGCGTGCGCAAAGGGAGTCTATAAGAGGGCCCGAGGACTGAACCCAAATGGCAGGATTGATGGGACGCTCGGCGGCAGAAACTGAAATCGCCAGTATGCTATCACGGATTTAACCAATGGGGATAGCCCTCATCTACAGATCCTCCGTCGGCCCACGGCGCCTCGGCCAGATACACCTAAATATAGCCAAGCAAGGACCCCAGCCCACTCCTTCGCCCATGTGCCCCCGCGAGCACGCGTCCGCACCCAGCCCCGCACCCAGCTCAGAGCCCGCACCCAGCTCGAGAGCTCTGGCCGGGCTCTGCTGCACGTCGCGCTCCCCGTGACACGTTTTGCACGTAGCAGTTCTCGGGCAGCCTAGCGCGCTAGCCCTCCCACGTCACATCAGCCAGCCGCTAGCTGCTTTCGCCCACCCTAACGCACTCTCGTACCCTCCCTCTATTCATTCTCGCAGCCGTTCGCACGCACCCACGCCGGACACCCTGCAATGCAGAGCGCGTATATCCCGGAACCACGCTTATCGTTCCCGTACTCCCCCTCCGAATCTTCCAACTGACAACTGTGTCGCCAACGTGCGGGCCGCCTCTCGTCCTCGATCCCGGCGGTTGCGGCACGCACACTCTGCTCTACTCGCGTCCTTCTGCTCGTCCGTAAGCCACGGCTCGACGTTGCCAGCTGCTACCGCCTCGTCCATGAACCGGGGATTCACCTGCTCCTGTAGCGCGACACCGTCGGTCACCCGCCAGCAAAATACTGATTTCTCTCGGAATCGCCGCTCCCGACAATAGAAAAAATGACGACTCCCTCCTACCGCTTTCGGTGAGTCACCTAACTCCAGCGGGACTTGCCTCTCGCGTCACTCGTCTCCCCGCGCGCACTTCCACCCTCCATATCAGCCAATCCATGCGTTCCTGTGATGCTAACTGCCTGCACAAGCTCTCCAGCTCAGCATCATTGCGGTCCAGCACCCTCAATCCGCCTGAGCCCAGGGTACTGCCTCTACACCGCCGCTGGTCATCAGACAGCGTGATCTGCGCTGTTCGTCTGATTGCGTTTTCTCGTCTCCGCATTCCGGGCCCGTACATGTCCTACTCGAGCCCTCTGCGTCCTGGGGCGTGGCTAACTCGGGACTACCGAGGATGCAGCGCTGTGAGAGCCCGCGTGATCCTGCAGCCGCCCCTTTCCCCGGATCGATGCTGCATCCTCTGGCGGCCCTCCAGCGGGCCTCGGCGGCCAGCCCCAGTCTCGCCGTCACATGCGTCCCGCTCAGTTATCCGTCCGCTCTGTTCTGCGTCCGGTGGCAACATAATTTCCCTGCACGTCATCCCCGCCTGCGATTATGTACGTGAGTAGATCCCCATGTTTACCTCGTTCAAGGGCTATACTTTTTCCTTCTTCCCTGGCCACAATCAATTTATCCATATTTTGTGGCCCGCGTCTCCCATCGGCACGCCGTCAAAAAAATTCGACGGATAGGTCGTGAAGGCGACGGGTTACCCGCTTCCTCCTCAACGTACGACGACGACGACAAGAAGGCGCACCTTCCTAGTACCCAAGGTAGGAAAGGTGCAAGACGCAGATCGTGTCTCGGCAATAGTACAACACGCGCCCCGATCCTGCCAGTTGTAGCGGAATTTTCTTGTGCGGTACCCCAACATGTAGCCGCTCTGCCAACGCTCTGTAGCCTCGGAGCGTAATGATACGATACTCCCCCCAACCAGCCGTCGACAGTTTCCTTTTCCGAGAACGTACGTTTCAACTGGACGGCTCGTTTCACTCCAGCTGCTGGTCTCGCTTCGCTCTGGCGTATTTCGGGGCCGAGAAATATGGGTGAAGTCGTGCCTCAAAGTCTGCTCATGCGTTCATATTTTTTTCTGACAGACTACATAGGCTGCGGGGTTCTCGAAGTCGAAGACTTTGTGAGCAAGGTACGTGGAGCGCACAAATGACGCCTATCTTCCTTCCTCTCCACTCCTGAATTGTACACGGACGGCTCCAAGACCCTTCACCTTTCAGTGGTGATCCTACGCGCATGCAACCGTCGACATTCGCTGTTTGGCGGCTATGTGTCCTGCTCAACCATCTGCCCCGTCTTCGGCGACCCGCTTTTTCGCCCCCGGACCACAACTGCCTCGCACGACCGTTCGCGACGCCGCCGCCTCCCTGCGTCGCGACAAGCTTACCTCTCCTCCCGCGAGCACACACAGAGGCGCTCCATACACTCCCCCACCTGAGACAGCCATTGCATGTCCTCATGACGCACCCGACGCTTCCGCCCCCGCCGTGCGCCCTCTCGCCCTGGCGGACGCCCTCAGCGCGCTTCTCTTCCAGCGCTTCGACGTGTATTGCCGGGCTTCCCGCGAGACTTTGCGGCCTCGGGCTTTAGGCAGCGTCAGCTTCGTGGGGCGTCAGACAAGCTCTGTTCCTTGACAGGTCGATCTCGGGAGCGGCAGCGCCTACGTTTGATGTATACGCCACCTTTGCGAGGGTACGTACAGCGCGTTCCTGCACTGCGCGCCTCGCTTTGTGGCGTCGCGCGAATTTAGTGGGTGCCAGCAGGCATTTTCTGCCAGCACGTAGGCGCGCGCCTGCCCCGTCTGCTCATCCGGAGGTCCTCAAAGGCCATCCCCAGCACATCACTGTTATTCGGTTCTTTTACGAGTACGTGTGCAATAACAAGGGTACTTCCGCTCATCAGCAAATCCCGGGGCTCGCGCCGTTGTCGATTGACATGATGCGGGTGTTGGATGCAGCCAGTGGCAGCAGCGCGCTGATCCAGTGCGCCGCCACACAAGTCGGATCGCACGCGTCCTACACGCTTTCTGCGCCTGTCCTGCGGGCCGCGAGCCCACCCTCGGGGGCGGCCGACCTATCGATGGCCCCCGCCAGCCAGTCGCGGGCGCCGCAGAGGCGTGCTCAGCCTCCCCAAATCCCACCACCCCCTCTCTCCCAAGCGCCGCAGGGTGCTCGGCGCGGACGATAGAGTAGCACGATCGATATGAAAGGCGCCCCGGGGCGTATACATAGCAGTCGTGAGGAAAACAAGCCATGAGTCAACCCTAGCGTTATCGTCCGGAATCGCGTTCACAGGCGAAGGGCGTACGCGTTCAACTCGTACGGCGAGACACGCGCCGCGTTCCCCACATATTGTGGCGCGCCGACGCGTGGCAAGATAAGCGTGACCGTCGACGATCTGAAGTAATCCTATATTCCTTCTTTTTGTGATTGCCCTGATATTCCTGGTTCTTCGAGGCCGGTCCCTATGATGTGACTGACAATATACTGTTCCAAAAAGGACGTCGCTTTGCGGGCGCGAGTCCTCGAGAAGACTGAAGGCTGGCCATCCTCGCGAATTTCTGGCCCCCGGAAGCAAACGCGTCGAAAGTCAGATGTCCATATTTCTGCCCAAATGGGCATAAATGAGCCTTTTGATCCGTTCTGTGAAGAGGAAATTCAATTCCTCGTTTATTTCACCGGGGTGATGGACTCCCGACACCGCTCTCGTGGCCGGTCTACTCGACAATGATGCTGGCTTATGCGTACGCTGGTCAGCGGGCACCCTCCCTGTGCTCATCTAGACACAGTTTCTTCGGGCTTTTGCTTTTTTACTGGGAGTTGTGGGGGCGGACAAGCGGGACGGACGCCTTACGACCGCACGGTCTCTCACGGAGGGTTTCCCGGAGGTTAGCTCGTAGCGGAAGCTTTTGGTGGAAAACCAATCTGGGACCAATTTTCGGAGTCGGGGGCGGAAAGGGGGGCGGGAGAGCGACAGTCGTTGCGGTGCGAGATCGTTGGCGCTTGGTGGATCGCCACGCCAACAGCCACCACAACCGCGCACCTCGTGTCATCGCAACGAGCGGATTATCGGCGCTGTCGACCTTTGTTCATCACTTGCGCAAGAGACTGGGGCCTGCGCCCTCACCGCACATCATCCACCCATCGGCTGCATGTTCAGAGGCCGGAATGACGGACGTGGTCAGGAGACTGCGTCCGTCGTTTATCCCTTCATGCGAGACAGCGTCTTGGCCAGCGCATGATCACTGACGGGCAACTCTCCTCGCTCGTGTCCTGTTAAACGCGACGTGGGAGGGGGCGCTTGTCTCTGCCCAGCGCGCCTACGCGCTCCTACCTGGGGTGCAATAAACCTGCGGGGGACGCCTGGACCGCATGGTGAAAAAACATTATCCTAGCGTATTTCGACCCTCGTGAGTCGTCTGCCATCGCCCGCTCACAAGCTGACGCCTTATCAACGTGCTCCGCTGCAGGGACTTGCATGACTAGGCCCTCCACCAACCGTACACCCGCACGTCCAGATTGCCCAATGTTCTGTTCCTCAGAGCCCGGGACGACCGCACGAGTGGAGTGCACATTACTACCTGGCGTGAACGCGGGACCGGGAGGATGGTCACCCCGCCCCCGCTGAGGGTCCTCGCAGACGACACTGGACTCAAAATTCGAGGGCATTCGTCTTCGCTGTAAGTTCAACTATCAGGTGACCGCTCCCTGACCGCTGCAGTGCATCTGCCGCCGGCACGCCAAAGTACCGCCCCAGCCCACGGCGATGAGACGGTGGACCCCGTCCGCGTCCCGCGGGGTACGATGACGAGCGCTGCAGGGTCGTGGCGAGACCGGAGTCAACGGGCGTCTTCTCTTTATCGAGGAAGGCTTCCGTCATTGTCCTAGAGAGGAAACGCTTTTCTGACCGTCGCTGCTTCTGAGCTTCTCCATTAACGGGACCCCGACGGGGTGCTTAAGCCTATTTTGCGTATTCCTTGTCTCCTACCGTCGACTATCACTGTGTCGTAGTCCGCTGCGCGCGTTTGGGCGCAGTTAAGCTAGGCGCCAACGACTCCTGCAACCTCGGAGACCCTTTGTCGACCCTTGGTAGATTTTTCTTGCTGGAAAGCCTAGTTTCGCGGAAGATGCAGGAAGCCGGTCCGCAAGCAAGCTTATTACGGGCGCACCCTAGGCCTTTCCCTCGGTAGGCGATCTGCGTGGGTTTCCCCATCTCCCCGCTACCCTGGTCCACCTGTGGCGTAACTCAAGCGCAAGTCCGTCGTATCGCACGCGTGTACTCTGCTCTATCGCGATTACGACCTCCTCCTCAAGCTACAAGCGCGGGCCTCCGCTCATTCCTGTCGCAACGACGGTCCCAATGGCTCAGAATCGGAGAAGGTGAATCAAGAAGAGGGAGAAGAGGAGAAGAGGTGCGCCACACTTGAAGGGCTCCCAGGTTCTGAAGTAACTCCTGCTTCCTCTACCCAGCTTACGGCACACTCAATACCAATCCCTGGCCTTATCCCGAGCTGCCCGTTCCCCCGTTGTCAACAAGTCGTCAATGCAGCCCCCCACCCGCTGATCGATAGCATCAGCGACCGGGCCAGCACTCGCCATCTGTGCTCATTCGCGCTTACGTGCATGGGAGCCCGTGTCCAGTCCAGGGTTCCGATACCCCCTCCTTTGTTCTGACGACGCGGACATGATCCTGAACATATCGTACGTATACCCTCCCTTCGGTCCATCGGATGGGCCGACTCTCGTCATTGGGGTGCGCCACAATCCATGTTCGCGGAGTTTTGCAGGCAGAGTACTGCCGTAGCATGTTTGTCAAGATGCGAAAGCTGCATGCGTGACTCACGGCAACCATCGATGTGCTGGCGGGGTGCGGGAGGCCGCTTTTCAGTCGCCTCAAAGTACGGGAAGGGTCTGGGAAGGGACGGAGCTGCGATGGTCGAGAATCAACCTAGCCCTTTCAAGAACAAGGCCTTCCGAATTGGGTAGCTGGACATGAAACAAGTATCGTCGGCTTCTTCTGTCAACGTCGACGCAACGTCCGATGATGCACGTCCGGAATTCTGAGCTTCTAGCCCGACAACACATAATGAAAAGATTCGATCCGGACAACAAGGAGCGCGTCCCATTTGGGGCTAATGCTAGCTGCCATAAAGTTCAGCTTTTTCTATTGCTAGCGCGAACCGGACCTTCTGGTTTACATGAGGAAGACTAAGACGGCTGTTGGCATGGTTGACAAGTAGCAGGCGAGCGCTGTCGCCCACGTCAACCCCAGCGGGGAGTTTGTCAAGCGCCACAATAGAGTTGCTGTCCGGCGACCTTGGCTTCGCGCCAATCCTTCTTTCACGGCTTCAACAGGGCTTTATGCACACTCACACCCGGCCAAATCCTGTCAGTCATCGTATGCACATTGATACGGTATCCCGAAGCCAAAGCGAAAAAGAAAGTCCCCAGACTGTGATCATACACTGCAAGATGCCCTAAGTAACATGCTGGGAGTACTAGGTAATGGATATGTCCATGCGGGTACGAGGTGCATGTCCATGGATGGATGAGAGATGAGAGAGATAGCGAGCGAGCGTGACTAGATGGAGTGAGACGACGGTGAGATGCGAACGAGTGGGAGGTAAGGACAGTGGAAAGTGAGATCCAGAAACCGAGACAGGCGGGAGCGAGGGAGGAGGGAAGGGGAGGGCGGAGTGGAAAGGGTGTGGCGAGTACTATGGGATAGCAGGGCTACTGTAGGGCATGCGGGATGGGGGGATGTATGCTGTGCAATAATCATGAGTCTGGGCGGCTGCGGGATAACTCCCATGTACCCAGCGGACGACGATAGGCGGCAAGAATATGTATAAAGAAACGGGAAGCAAAGTCCGGTTAATAAATACCGAGAGCGATGATGAATATTTGGGAAGGAGGCGCGTATGATGGATGTATACCAGAAAAGGTAGGCGCTTAAGGTAGGTGCGGAGGGGGAGGGGCTAGCCGCGTCCTATGCGGGCGGGCGCAACGCATGAGACAGGCGAAGACGAAGGTGCTTTCGACAGGGAATGTACAGATTTACAACAGGTCATTATCCTGTGCGTTTCGTTCGATGAGTCCGAGGGTGGGCCGGGTTAATGAGTCCGAGGGGAAGCTCAATCGACGAGTCCGGGAGGCGGCTCGTTCGATGAGGCCGAGGGTTATTCGCTGGCTGGAAAAAGACGACATGGAACGGACGTGGACGCTGCGTTGCCATCGCAAGGGGTCACGAGGTTATCGCGAGGGGACGGCGTCGTTATCATGGCGGTCATGAGCAACAACATCGCCAAGCATGGACTAGGCATGCCTCGCGGGTGCGGCGAAAGTTGAAGATGAGTGAGGCTCAAACGAGCGTCCCACTGCGCACCTCCGACATCTCGCGCTCCGCGCCCGGGGCGACGCCAACGTCGACATCATCTTCGTCCGTGTCATCCAGGAAGCCGACCCGTTCCTCCGCGTCCCGCGCGGGGCCTCGTTGGCGGCGGCTTCGCCAGCGGTTGCCTGCAAATCCCTTCGGGTGAGCGCTACCTCCCTAAACTCAGCGACACCATGGACTCACGACACATCCCCTCCTCCTCCTCCCCATCCAACTCCTCATCCACCGCCCGCCTCGCCACAACGCTCAAATACACGAAAATCCCAAGGCAGAGCGCAATCCCCCCAAACGTCCACAACCGCGCGACATGGTCAGCCTCGGCTTCATCGGGCGGGAGCGTCCCGTCGACGACGTTCGAAGCATGGTGCGAAAAGGAGTGTATGCGACCGCCGACCCATGTGTAGAGTGCGATCTTGAAGAGGGAGATCGCGGTCGCCCAGAAGTAGACGGGGAGGGTGACCTGAGAAGGCGTGTGTTAGCAAGGTATTGGGATGGGGTAAGGTGGGAGAGGGACAAGCGAAAGGGCTAGAGCCGACAGCCGTACAGCCGCGAGAAGGATTATCTCACCTTACTAGCCGCCAAGAGGCAGTTCATGACATTGTACGGATAAGGCGCGAGGCGGATGAGGAAGAGCAAGCGCGGGCGCTTCTCAATGGCACGGACGACCTGAAGGCAGTGCTGGTCAGCAGATGTCCGCACCAGAGGCTTCGCATACGGATACTGACCCTGCGTATAGTCCCACTCGAGCCGAGCCACAGGACGATGGGCCGCTGAAGACAGACTGTAGAGTCATATTAGCTTCCCAGATGAACACCACGGTCGAGAACTACGGCACTCACGCAGATACCGACTCGCCCCAAACACGGTCATCGCGCCAGACAGCGCAGCCGCATACGCGATCACGAAACCGGGCGTAGGGCCGAAAGTGTACCCGGAGAGGACGGTGAAGGTGGAGTAGAGCGGGATGGGCGCTAGAGGATGGATGCGTGAGTACCAAGGCTGTGGCTTATCGAGGGGGATACAATGATTTTATCGAGCGAGGTCGTTATAGTGCCGATACTCACGGATCGTCGTCAGGAAAATGAGGGAGAACATGACGACCTTGCCGTAGTCGCCCTCTTCTTGCAAGTAGTGCGCAAGGTCATCGAGACGGGCGAATACTTCGTCCTGCAGGACGGGGCGGTGAGTCTCAGGGAAGGGGAGAGATACCCGTAGAACGGACCTTCCAGAACGCTATTGCGCAGATGAATGCAAGGGTGGTTGCGAGGTAGAGAATGAGGGGAAGCCAAGGCTGTACACCATATCAGCAATCAATTCAAGAAACATGAGGGTCTGGAGACTCACTCTCAATCGAGTGAACAATGGGGAGTACTGTTGCTGATTGGGCGGCGGCGGGTAGCAAGCTGTGGCGTCGCGGGTCAGGATCATGATTCTCCAAAGCAATAGATGATCATGACGCACTGGGAGACCCATGCGCAGACCCATGCGCATTGAATTCGGCGCCCATTGCGCGACTGGTCTGCTGACGGCCCGACTGGGACGCCCGGGGGATCGAAGGAGCAAGCTCGGAGGCCTCTTTCGTAGACAATGACGAGTAGGACTGCGAGCGCGTCTTCGATATCGATCGCCGCGACTTGGACAGCGAGCGGCGCGTGGGCGAGGTCGGGCTGCAGGAGGGCGAAAAGTCGTCGAGCGGCATCGACTTTTCGTTCCAGGCGGCATCGGTGTCGGTAACAATGAGCGTGGGTTTATTGACGGCGCTACCGGACCGCGCGGGCGAGGAGGCAGAGCTGGGGCGCGACGGTGCCTTGCCATGCGCCACGTCATTTGGCGAGAGGGCCCTGCCACCGGCGGCGTTGGAGGACAGGCCGCGGGAGGCGGAGTGCGCGTGGGCCGTACGACTTGATGATGGTGACGACGACGTGGACGGATACGCGGACTGCGAGGAGCCAAGGACCAGGGGCCGCGGCGGCGAGCTGCTAGTGGACGGGGTCTGGTCGAACTGGACGTAGCGCCATGGCGATTGAGATGGCGTATGTGGAGGGGTGTCCGTCGCGACTGGTGCTGCGGGGGAGGTGGAGGTAAGGAGAAGGGGCGGGGCCGCGCGCGATGCGGGGCTGGACGACGCGCGAGCGTGCTTGGAGGGGTTCATGGTGGTGTGGTTGGTGGTGTCGACGATGCTGGATGAGCTGGGGTCCCAGATGCGGGATGTGGAGAGGGCAATCTACGCCCGACTGCGGGGTCGAATCAAAGGAGCTTGAGTGACTGCTGCAGCTTGCTATGCAGGACGACAGTGGGCGAGGAAGCCAGTTCCGGGGGTCGAGTGCGCGCCGTTGCGGATGTTGCGAAGCTGAGAGCGCTGTCGATAATCGTCGTGAACGCCAACGAAAAGAAAAGCAGGACGGCTGCGGATTGAAACGAGTGATGAAATGTGATGGCTGTGTCACCGCTGTCAAGGCTATCGAGCAATAATGATTGATTGATCGCAACAACGTGCGCCACCGTTCGCTGCTCTTCCAGGGCTTTTGGGCGACGACGGGGGCTGCTCGTCGCTGTTCGTGGTGGTGGCGGAGGACAAGAAGAAGATCGCAGTTCTGGCTCTGGGTCTGCTGCGCTAGACTGCGATTTTACCTTCCGGAGACAAATGTGGCTGTCCCCCATCCCCGCGCTGCCCGTCACTATCGCGTGACGTCACGATCCGCGGGCCTCCACTTGCCATCATGCTGCCTTTCCCTGGCTCGCGCCTGCCGCGCACGTTCAACGTGAGTACCTGCCTTGTGCGGACTTGGGGAGCTGCAAACAGTCTCGCGTACTGTCAGAGACTCGCGCGAGCCTCGCTGCTTGCTTCTCGGCCCCGTCTTTTCACCGTTTTCGGAAAGTTCTGGTTCCGACCAAACAAATTGTTCCGCCGCAATCCCGCCCTCCCCTGCCCAGTCCTTCCCGTGACCAGCCCACTCATCCGAACTGCACCCTCAGGCCATGATTCCTACGCGCGCTATCTACCGTCTATCTCGCGCAAGCAGGCCAGCTGCACTCCCAAAAAGCCTGATAACGCGCCCTGCTCCAACCCGATATGCATCGACCTCCGCACCCGCGCCTCCCCCGCCCCGTCGCGCGCCGCCCCCAAACCCGCACGCGTCGTACTACAGCGATATCGTGCCCGCCATGATACCCATCTTCCTGATAGGTTCGGCGGTATATTTGGTGCGACTCCTCTTTCTCCGCGTTCTCCGTGTTCGTGTGTACTGAAGCGATGGGCGGTACGCAGGGTTTGCAGCTGCTACACTCGTCTCTGGAGCACGAGCAGGCGAGCGACAAGGCGCTTGCGCGGATAGCAGAGCTGGAGGCCGAGGTAGATAGGTTGCAGGCCGAGCACTCGGTGCGGGGTGCAGGCACGAACGGGGCTGCTGCACTCCACGGTGGGTCCGGAGCGTGGTGGAAGTTCTGGTAGGAACTTCCAATGTCATTGCTCTGGAGACTGGCGGGGCCCCAGACGACCTGCCCAGATTTATCGTGACCCTCCTTTGTTTGCTCATGGCTCTGAACATGTGGAGGGCGCGCCTTTGCTGGAGTAGCGCGTCTGTCAGTATAGGTTTGCCTTTTGCTCTGTTCTACATCCTTCTTAAGTCCTTTCGCGTCGCTCCCCCTCCCACATTCAACCTCACAACCCCCCATATACTACCCTCCCATCAATCGCCGTCGCCAGCACCTTCGTGCCCATGATCTCCTCCACCGGAACGGTCATGATATCCCGCGAGAGAACCACGAAATCCGCCTTCTTGCCCACCTCGAGCGAGCCGACCTTGTCCTCGCTGAAGGACGCGTGTGCGGGCTCGATGGTCAGGCCGCGGAGGGCCTCGCGGCGGGTGAGGGCTTGCTCGGGGAACCTGGGGGTGAGTTAGTGGGCACATAAGGGTGTCTTGAGTTCGTCGTTTGACGAGGTCTCTTCGGAACTTGGATCTCACCATCCCCCACTCCCCTGTGGCGACCGCCCGTCGTACGTGAGGCGCGTGATCGCGGCGTAGAAACCCGCGAGCGGGTTCATCGTCTCGACGGGGAAGTCCGAGCCAAGAGTGATGCGCGCGCCCGCATTGAGCATGGAGCGGAAGGCGTAGAGGCCGCGGATGCGGGAGGGACCCTGGGGGATTGTTTGTTAGTACAAAGACAGGTAAGAGTATACGGGGAAGGAGAGAGGTGTAGGAGGAGAGGAGGTAGAAGAGGAGGAGTTAGAGGGTGCGAGAGTTGTAGTGAGAGGAAGTCGGGGGTCCCATACCAATCGGTCCTCCGCGTACCACATATCGTCGATGCTGAAAGAGCAAAGACTGAGTCGAATTCCGCTGATCATTTCGACTGAACGTACACATGCGTCGGCTGCACACTGGCGATGACTCCCAACCTTCCCAACCGCTCAATATCCTTGTCCGTCATGAGCTGCGCGTGCTCCAGGCGCGGGCGTACGGCAGAAATATTCGTGTTCTCCAAGGCAGCTTCGAAGGCATCGAGGACGAGGCCGTTGGCGCGGTCGCCGATGGCGTGGACGTTCTGGAGGTAGTGAGGGTAGTCAATGTCAGAGAGGCGTGACTCTTTATTTCTCTTGTCGCCGCAGGCTTCGGGTCTCGGACGAGATGAGGGGAAAATGGGAGAGGGATAGTAAGAAGGGTAGAAGATGCTACGCACCACCTGCCACCCGTTCGCCAGCAATTTGGGTACGACCTTTGCCAGCAGCTCAGGGTCAATGCGCATGGCGCCGCGGCTCGACGGGTTGTCGGAGTAGGGTTCGTAGAGCTGTGTACCAGAGTCAGCATTCCTTTCTTCCCAACACGTATCGTCGTCCAGGTTGATAAAACCTCAGCAGCGTCGGTCGACCACACAGAGAACAACGACCAACGACCAAACAAAGAACAACGACCACAACTCACCGCCGCCCCACCTGTCCTCAACGCCCCATCCGCAAAGATCTTGACGCTGCGCGAGACGAGGTGGTTGTCGAAGGCGAAGTACATGTCATTGGGGTCGCCCGACCAGTCCTCCTCGTTGAAGTATTTCATGCCGAAGACGCGGAGCTGGGAGGGATGTGGTGAGATTAACGACGATACCATCATTTCTTTCCAGGCTTGACAGTTAGATACTTACGGGCAGCACATTCGCCTCCGCTTGCCTTTCAGAGCAATGGCGATTAGCGGACGAGGAGAGCCCGGTACGGGATATCGCACCGTTTGAAGAAGGCCAACGACTCGGGCAGCAGCGCAGCGTCATGTACTGAGGTCAGCCCATAAGCGTGCGCATCCCGTACAGCGGTCATGAGCCGCTTGCGCAGGTCAGCGTCGGTAAGGCTAGGTTTGGGGATGACGTCGATTGCGCTGTCGAGGAAGGTGCCCGTGGGCTTTCCATCCTTATCCCTATAGATCACCCCGCCGGGGACGTCGTCCGGGATGTTCGCCATGTTCTCGTCGAGGACGCGCTGGGAGACCCAGATTGCGTGGCCGTCCTTGCTGGTGAGAATCACTGGGCGCCCGCGGATGATGGGATCGGCGTCGAGGTCGGCCTGTGTAATGTCAGTTAGCAAGAGATTGCAAGGTCGATATTAACCATGATTATATGGGCCAAAGAAAGGAAGGGGAAAGATTACGAGAGCTTACTGACCGCCATCGGGAACCGCTTCTCAGGCCAGGCAGTATGATCCCAGCCCCAGCCAAGGACGGGCTTGCTCGTGTTAGTGAATATCTCATCGTTGCTCATGATGTAGTTGCGGACGTGTTTGACAACGTCTGAGGGTAAGGTAGATTAGCACATTGAGCTCGCGAAGGCTATACAGAGAGAGGGAGTCAACACAAGGAGCGAACCTGGGATACTCTTTCCCTTCTCAAGGGGAATTTGCTTGAAGGCGCCATATTCGAGGACATGGCAGTGAGAATCTAAGGAGAGGGAAAACACGGTCAGATCCAGATCTCGGAAGCAGCTTTGGATACTTACCTGTTAAGCCAGGGACAACTATTGAGTCCTCGTCAATTTCGTGGACCTCCAGCTCCGGTGCTATAAGCGAGAACGGGTACATCGAAAGCGGCCACGGTAGCTCCTTCGTCCACCGCTTCGTGATAGCATCTGTCCATCTCATCAGCCCTTCTCTCTTCTCCCGCACCTACCCCCTTCCTTCCATCTCCCTACACCACCAAACAATCACTCACCCCTCTCCCCCACATCCGCCACCACATCCCCCTGCACCCTCACGCACTCCACCTGGCTGTCCTCCCCATCCACTGTATACACACCCCTCCTCCCCGGCGTGCACACCACGTAGCCGGAGGTCAGGTTCTCGACCTGCGCCCGCATGCGCACGACCGCAGCACTGTGCTGCACGTCCCAGAGCATGGGGAAGGCGTAAAGGCCGAGGAGCACAGCTGCGATGACACCCATGCCGAATGCGAGGCTGTTGAGGAGGGCGGATTCGGAGGTGCAGTCTCGGTCCTTGGGGGTCGAGTGGGCGTTTGGGATGAACTGGTCCTGAGGATCCTTGTGGACAGAACCTGAGATAAGGGCCTTGCTAGAGGTATGGTCTGCGGCAGCCTTGGTTGGGGTGACACGGTCAGTCTTCGTCGTGAGAGCGGCGCTGCTAGAGGGGCCGTCACCTTCTCAGGCGCTATGCTCGCCTTCTCGGGCGCTGCCGCCGACGAAGGGCGCTTTTGTGCCATTTCGAGCGCGCTCGTGGGGAACTGCCGAAGTTCGTTGGGCGCCTAAAAGCAAGGTGTGGCGGTGACGAGATGGGCGCTTAACGGATCGGAGTAGTCGGGCCGGGTCACTGGGTGAGGTTGAACTTCGACGCGCTGGAGCAGCTCTGTTCTGCGTTTACGGATGCTTGCACGAAACTTCTTATTTTTTTTAATGAGGAATGCTCATAGCCACACAGCTCTGGATAGGAGGTCCGCAGGACGACCAGTAGACTCATCCCAATAGTTATGCCTAGTTCGTGTACAAAAGGCCGACGGAACACAAGAATTGTACCCGACACGTCTATGGAAACCCAAGCCCTTGTCCGATGCTCCTCGCTACGAGAGCACATCATAATCCACTGCTGGATCCGCTCGACCGTCGTCTTACAAAATCTTCTTGCGCGGTGAGAGAGCGCGAGCCTGCACCCCCAACTCTCAGGCCTGCTTCATCACGAACGCCAGCACGATGGCGAGAAGCGTAATGAGGATCAGGATGATCGTCGTCCATGCTGAGAGGAGGTCGATCAGCATCTTCATCTTCCTGGGCAACACAAGAGGACAGCTCACCCATCCCATCCCTCGTACCCCCTGCGGGCACACTTATCAAGCGCACCGAGTTATCCGCGCTACCCGAGACGAGGAGCGTCGCCTGTGGGTTGAACGCGAGCGTCGTGGAGGGAAATTCATGTGCTTTGAGAATGGTGACGAGGGGCTGGAAGGATGTCGTCAGTAAAGGCTCGATGGGGACACCTCAAAGAGATAAACGACCCAAACACAAAAAACCCACTCACCGTCAACGTCTTCGTATCTAACAGACTGATACTACAATCCGAAAACCCAAACGCAATCAACCTCCCATCCAGCGACACATCACAGCACGTCAGCGCCCGGTCGCCCAGCTTCTTCGTCCGCTCCACCGTGCCTGCGCCCTTCTCGCCCTTCTCCCCATTTGAGATTGTCCATACGCAGAGGAAGGACTGCCGTGGGACGGCGCGCTTCCCTTTGCCCCGTGCAGGCGTGGTGTTGACGGCGATGAAGAGCTTGGAGGGGTCGGTGGGGGAGAACTTGGCGGCGCGAATTGAGCCGGTGGCAGTCCCGTCAAGGAGAGTAGGTACGTCGATGGTGCGCTGGACGGGGAGGGGAGCAACGGCCTTGCCCTTGCCTTTGGACTTCTTTTTGGAGGATGGGGAGGTGGCAGGAGACGAGGACGAGGTGGGGAGGTCGTGCAGGTGGACTTTGCCGGTGGTGGCGATGGCGAGCTACGGTGGGGTGGGTAAGCCGGGATGAAAAAATTGGGGATGACGAGGGCAGTGTGACGGGTATGGGCATTTCGCAAGTGGCTAGACCAGGCGTGTTGAATGAAACATAGGAGGGGCGACGATGCAGGGGAATGTAGTTAAGGTCAGTGCAAGAAGTAAGACGTACGGTATTGTCCGAGAAGGACGCGTCGTAAATCTCGTCGCCAAAGTGCAAGGGGGCGGCGAGGGGTTCGAGGGAAGGGAAGGAGAGGAGGGTGACCTGGAAGGCGATAAGTAGGAACCACACCCCCGAGAAAATGCGGCATACATCGTGCGTTCCTGCGACAGCGACCATAGATTCATCGGGGGATACTACAGTGACGCGCTGCAAATGGGATTAGCGGGCGCAGGTGTGTTGTGATAGCGCCTACCTGATAGTCCTCCAGAAGATGCTCGATGTCTTCTGTCGGAAGGGTGCCCTGAGAGGATAGAGGGGTAATTCTGAGAAGGGAAATGAGGATGGAAGCATGCGTGTACAGGCATGCGCATACTTCTTGTCTGCGACGTTCAAGACGCGACAGTTATCATTGTGCCCCGCCTTCAGTCTGTCCTCGCTGCTGTTGACACCAGCAATGACCTTGGAGGTCTGTCAAAGAGTTTAAGTGGACAATCCTGTAAGAGCATGTTTCAACACGCACCTTTCTTGCTGCGGCCATACTCATAGGCGCGTCCTCGCCTGGCGCGAGCTCCAGCTCGTCCACCTGCTTGAGTTGCGAGTCATTCTGGGTCTCGAATAGTCTCTATACAGGGTAAGAGTGAGAAGAAGTGGGGGGACTGCACGCGCCACGCACCAGCTTATTCTTGATGCCCGTCTTCGCCTGCCCGCCACCGCCGCCAATAACTAGCTCCGTGTCCGACAGAAAGGCGGAGGAGTAGACGGGGAACGCGGGGAGGTCGTGCTTCGTGTGCTTGGCGCGCATCCCGGGTGCGTCGCGGTGTGGAAGGAGAGGAAAGTGCTGGAACGCGTCTACGCGCGACGTGGGGGAGGAAGTAGAAGTACAGTCCACGTGCGCGGAGGCACGATGCGATGACCAGAGCGGGCGCGGTCGTCCGGCCCGGGGCCATGATGCACGTCCTCCTCGTCCTGCGCGCTCAATGGGAGTCCTAGCTGGTGACAGAAGCACGGGCGCGGCGGGGGGCGACGGTCCTGAGCTCGACACGGCCACCGTTGTCGGCATCTCCGTCGCCATCGCCGGCAACATCCTCATCTCCCTCGCGCTCAACCTCCAGAAGCTCGCCCACAAGCGCATCGAGCGCGAGCGGAACAAACAGCGCGATGAAGAGAGCGGCTCCCACACACCCGACACGCCCTCTGAGCGGCCATATAGTCAACACGAACTAGACAGCGTTCTGGTAGACTCGCCGACTTCCCATCTCCCCGATGAACGCCAGCCCCTCATCCCCTTCCCTCACGAACCTGGTGCCTACTCTGCTACATCCTCGGGTCAGTCTACGCCCATCACAACTCACGCTGTACGCCATAAACCATCCCACCTGGCTCGCCTACTTGCTAGACGGGAGAATCGCCGATCGCTAGTCGACGCAATAGCGCCCTTTCCCGATCGCGACGCCCCGGGCCATATCACCCAAATACCCATAGATGTTGTTGCGGAAGACGACCTCCCGACACATACGCGTAAGAAGGCATCGAATGGGACACCTGCACGCAAGCCACCATCCAGTCCAGTCGATAACGAAACCGCGTACCTGAAATCCAAGCTATGGTACTAGGTTCTCGTTCATCTTCACTCACCACTAAATATCATACAGGTGGACCGGGTTCCTCCTCATGAACGTAGGCGAGCTCGGAAACTTTATCTCGTACGCGTGGGCGCCCGCATCTGTGGTGGCACCCCTTGGCACGGTGAGCACTGATATCCAACAAGCTATCCATCTTGCGAACTCATACGCCTCTAGTTCGCCCTCATTGCCAACTGCTTCTTTGCCCCTCTCATGATCGGCGAGCGGTTTCGCAAAAGGGATCTCCTGGGTATCTGCATTGCTGTCGTGGGCGCCGTCACCGTCGTCTTGTCCACTCAATCCTCGGACACGCGCCTCAACCCCGACGCACTCATCCGGGCTATTTGCAAGACGTCCTTTGCGGTGTACACCATCGTGTACCTCGTCCTGGGACTCATCTTCGTCAGCTTATCGCCAGGACGCCTCGGTCAGAAGTATGTGTTTATCGACGTCGGACTGTGCGCCCTGTTTGGTGAGCGGTTCTCCATATTTATAAGTTTGTTAGCTGACACCATAATTAAGGCGGCTTCACGGTTCTGTCAACAAAGGCTGTGTCCACTCTGCTCACCATGGAATGGGTCAACATATTCACCCACTGGATTACCTACGTCGTAATCATGGTACGTAGCGTCCCTTCCTCCCTCTCGCTTCCCCCCCTCTTTCGTCATCCCCATCCCATCTTCTGACCATACACCAACTAACCACGACCCCACTCTCCAGGTCCTCATCGTCACCGGTGTCGGCCAAATCCGCTACCTGAACCGCGCCCTCATGCGCTTCGACTCCAAAGTCGTCATCCCCATGCAATTCGTCCTCTTCAACCTCTCCGCCATCGTCGGCTCCGCGATCCTCTACGGCGACTTCGAGCGCGCCAAGTTCCACCAGATCGTCACGTTCCTGTATGGATGCGGGGCGACGTTTCTGGGCGTATTCATCATTGCGTGGGCGGGGCCGGGGGATAATGGCGATGGGGAGGGGGAGGAGAATGGGAACGGGGAAGATGGGGAGGAAGAGGAGGACGATGAGAGGGTGTGGCAGGGTAGGGAGGGGAATGGAGGCGGCGAGGCGGATGCGAACGAGCTCCGGAATGCGATACACCGATCGCCGAGAGGGAGTGTGGGGAGGAGACGGAGACCGGTGCTTATTGTGCCGTCTGGCAATCGTGACCTGCCGGTTCTGAGGAGGAAGCAGAGCATTATGGGACTTTCACCCGCGCATGTGAGCTTATATCTGCCCGCTGCGGTGTCAGATGATTTGGATCACCCAACTGACTCTCCTGCCAGCCTCTCCTTCTCGTACATACCCCGCCCAGCGAGATTCCTCGCGAGTGGGACTTCGGACCCTCTCACAGAAGCCGCAGTCCTCCCTTCAATCGCAGCCCGACCTTCGACGCTACAACGCTTCCACGCATACGCGAAACCGGTCAATCCCGACTACGAGGAGACAGCCTCAACGCGCGCCTACAGGGAAGCAGGCTAGGCGGGGATGGCATCGCCCAGAGCGACGTCACACGCGCTGATAGCGCGAGCAACCGCACGCGCCGGCTACGTACAATGAGCTGGTTCGAGGGCGAAGCGGCAGCCCTGAGGCCGCGGGAGCATAGCCTGACGAGACAAGGGGAGTACCACGAAGGGGATTTATCGAGGCAGAACGAGGGTGGATCGACGCTCCGAGGGAGTATCTCGCGGAAACGGGGCAGCTCATTGTCTGGCGAGAGAGGAAAACGGTCGACCGAGCGCTCGACGAGCCCAAGCCGGTCCCGCACGAGGGGTGGCAGTACTGGGGCTTGAGCAGGGCATATTATCCGGCCACTGCCGCCATTCCCAGCTCGAACGAATGCACCCTCCTGCCATGGACATCTTACACCATATATCTGCATCTTGGTTCATGCACTTCATGCACATTCTCGCCTGACTATAGCAGTACACCACTTTATTAGTTCACGAGTATACCCTTGCTCGTTGTAGTATAGCACAGTGCAGGTCATTTATTATACTTGTCTGCGCTGCATTTCCGACAGGTGAACAGACACGAAAGCGGGCGTCAATAGGTCGTAAGCATAGTCGCAGAACGTGCCAGGTGCATATGACGTGACAAGGGTTGAAAAGGCAACAAGTAGTTGCATCAAGATATAGTAGATCCTATGCCCCCTTCTGTCCAACGAACGAGAAGGTGCCAGCCGCGAACCACCGGTCATTGGCCTCCTTGACCCGCGCTGCAGCCGCGGCGCGATTCGTGAGCTCGAAGCCTACAGAAACTTGTCAGTACAGAGAATACGCGCTGGACTTCATATGTACCTTGTGCCGGCGTGACGCTCAACGACGTCGCAAAACCAGACGACGAGGAGCCACCAGATCCACCCGCCTGCGCTTGTTGCGCTGCCCTGGTGAGCGTCGCCGTACGTAGCTTGTTGGCCTTGGAGAGCTTGGCTGGAAGAGAGAAAGCGCAGGTCAGCAATTTGTCCCATGCTAAGTGAAAGGCTACACTTACCTCGACTCTTCGCCTCGCCCATTCCCGCGCGAACCTTGCCCGTGCCCACGCCGATCATACCAAGACCCTTCGTCTGGTCGAAGGCGCCGACTTCCTCCTCGGCCTCGCCAAACGCCATCCGGTTCTGGAGTTTGCGCAGCTCGGTTTGGGCGTAGGCTTCCTTGGCTTTGCGTGCACTGACAGGCAATCGTCAGAACAGACCCTCGAATGTGGAATAGCAGCAAGACTTACCGTCGGCCGCCTCGCCGCTTCTTGGGCCCGTCGTTCGGTATAGGCAAGGCCTTCGTCACCTTCGCAGGTGGTGGTGCGGCGAGCTGGTCAATACGCTTCTCGATCTTCTCGCGAAGTTGTTCGCCGTAGGAACCTATATAAGGACTGAGTCAATGACATCCCTGCTGCGGCAGCAATGTGCACGCTCACCGTCACGCAGCTTCCTCTCGAGATCCATGCGCGCAGCAAGCACACACTTTGCACCGACGGTCCTCTGCACCTTCGCCTGATACTCTGGTGGTGTGTGCTGGACGACCTCAGATTGGTAGACGAAGCCGGAGTGACGACGCTGAGTCGCTGTCGAGAAGCCTGCGGCAATCTTGCGCTGTGCGCCCAAGAGCTGGAAGACAAATGAGAACGGGGCGAAGTCGGCAGAGGGGCGTACTACTCACGAAAACATTGCACGCCGGCATCTTCGCAAGCGCGCTAAGACCTCCTGCCACACCGAGCAACTTTGCGGCTGTAGTAGTGCCCACAATGGCTGATAGGTTCGGCGCAAGCACATTCATTCTTGAGCTGACATACGAGAAGATCTGATAGTACTCTGTCAGCGAGTTGGCCATGTACAGTGAATTCGTAGACGCACCTTCTTCCTTGACTCCTCCAACCGGTCTGCGAGGTCGCAAGCGCGCTGCACAGCTTGCCATTCCGAGTCGCTGAGTTGACGACCAGCGGAAGTCGTCGCAGTCATTGACACGGACATGATGACGGCAGGGGGAAGAACGCCTTGCAGATCGACCGCGGTCAGATCCTGCAAGGGGGTCAGCATGCAAGCAGATACCGTAGAAAGGCATGGGTACGCACCTCATGATTCCCTAGAGTCCTAACGGATTTGATATACATTACAGGATCTGTGACAAGCTGCTCGAGCTCGGGAAACTTGGGCGCATAGTGATCGCGAATGAACTGTGGCGGGGGAAGTCAGACACTGTAAGCCACCCGAAGTCTGTATCACGCACCTTGTGCACCAACATGATATCATTGTCGACCTCTACGGACAAGTTGTTCGCCTGGACAATGACATTGTACTCCGGATTAAGGTGCGCAGGAAGGGACATCTGCTGCATCGTACTCGGGTTCTCCTGGTACTTCTCGATATCCTGAGTAGTCCCAAAGCGTCAGCGGCACGTCCCCCTCCCTTTATGCATGGTCTACGTACCTTGAGAATATCATTCATCCGCTTGCTCCCCTCCAACTTCGCGATCTTAGTAACGTCCGCCACACCCAGCAACTCCATCGCCTGCACGTCCTCCGCGTCGAACTCCTCCGCGGGTCGCACTCCTCCGGTGGGGACAAACCCAGGGTCCTCCTGACTCTCTTCCTGTCCTTCCCCGCCTTCTTCGTCCGACATGTCTGCATCGAGGCCTGCGTCGTCTGCCTTGCGCTTGAGGTCCTTCGACGAGCCAGAAGCTTCCTCTGTCTGCATTTCTTGCTCCTCCTCATGCTGCTCATCGTCCGAGAGACCCTCGAGGTCGTTCAGCAAGTCGTCAGCAAGGCCGCTCATGTTGGCGAGATGATGGTGGTGAACAACAGGTCGGTCGCCCGGTCCGCGTTCAGAGCGCCTCGGCAACCCCCGAAGCCACGCATTTTCGGACCCACACCTTCGTCCTCCTGCCACACAAGGAGACCTTCAGATAATATGGCTTCATTGGGATTCCGGTTGCTTGTAGAGAGTACAGAAGCGTAATCTCATCGTGTATGGAGGAAAATAGTGTTGCATCGTAGTACTGGTACAACTAGTGCGAAAATATTTAAGTACAACGCCGTGGACGACGGGTATACAGTGAGAGGGGCAAGGGGAAACAAGGGGGATGATTGTGTGAGTGAAGTGCATACAAAAAATAGCAATACTATACGAGGTGTTGGCTGTAGTGCTGCAGAGGGGGGAGGGACAATTGTAGCGTGCCGACAGTGTCCGCCAAAATGAGAAGATACGAGGATTAGGCGAGCCACTCCGCTTGTATGTTAGGTATACCGGGGAGCGGGAAGGCCATCAGGAGGGCGTGCGAGGACGCACAAGGGAGCGGAGGGGAGTAAGGAAATAGGCGTCTATGAGACCTGCATGGGGCTGCCGGGATCCAGCGCCATCGGCGAGGTGACAGGCTTGCCCGACAGTGGGCTGCTCATACCAACGGCGCCACCGCGGTGTTGTCTCCTGCCGAGCAGCGTCGCGCCATCGAGGTCAAGCTCGAAGCCCTGCTTCCGACGACTGCCAGATGCAGCGGCCTTCCGCGGCTGAGCCTGACCCTGATCACGGGGACCTGCACGACCATCGTAGCGACGGCTACCCTCCGGTGCGCTCGACTCGCCGTTGATCGTTCCGTCGTCCGAATCCTCCGTCTCATCGTCCTCGTTAAGACCGCCGAGGAATCCGCGCGCACCTGCGCCTCCGGGCCCATTGTACTTCCGACGGCGCGCACCCTCCTCCTCCATACGGTGAACGGCGTAGGTGATGTCGAAAGCTTCCTTGAGCGTTGCAACTCCCGGAGACCTGCCCTCGGGACGTCCGCCACGGGCCGCGCTGAGTAGCGGGGAATCAAGACCGGTAGGGGGTTGGTTCTGGCCATAAATGAACGGCGTAGGAGGTGGAGCTGGAGCAGGTGCTGCGTTACACCACGGGTGCGCCAAGAATTCATCGATAGTGAAACGTTGCGCAGGATCAACGCAGAGCAGATGGGTGATAAGGTCCTTCGCTAGAGGGCAAACGTTAGTGGAGAAATGGCGTATAGGGGGTACGACATACCACTCGCGCTGATGTCATCCCACCAGGGGCTGAGGAACGTGTAGTAACCGCGAGCGACCTTCTCCGTGAGCACGTTGATGCTCTCGTCGTAGAACGGCGGGAAGCCGCAGAGCAAGGTGTAGAGCACACAGCCGAGCGCCCACATATCGACACTCTTGCTGTATCGCTCATCCTTGACGATCTCGGGGGCAGTGTAGCCTACCGTCCCACATGGCGTCATGGTCTCCTCGTTCCAGACAACCTTGCTGAGGCCGAAGTCGGCGATCTTGACGCGACCGATGCCACCACCACCGACACCGGGAATGAACTCACCCTCATCCTCCTTATCCTCGTCGTAAGGCCGCACGACAGGGTTCTTGGAAGGAATGATAGGTATACGCTCGAAAAGGAGGTTTTCGGGCTTGATATCGCGGTGAACAACACCGCGCTCCTCGTGCAGGTAGCGAATCCCGTTCGCGACCTGGAGGATGACGTGTCGAGATAGGTTCTCGCTGAAGTACGTCAACCTGACAATCTGATGGAAGAGTTCGCCGCCCTCCATAACTGCGAAGGCAGGTCAGCGCCACAGGACGGGTACAGGCGGAATCCGCTCACGTTCGAGGGTCAGGAAGTAGTACTCTGGGGACTCGGCGAAGTTGAGAAGCTTGACGATGGATGGATGGTGCGTGCCACGCATGATCTGGACCTCTTCAGACCGGGGTCAGCAAGTATATGGGAAGCGGTAATGAAGGACTTGTACCCTTGAGGATATTCGCGCGCTGAAGGAACCGGTCAGTACAAAGCTCGATACTAGGCGATGACGGAAGGGAGGGGCACCTCTGTTGCGCGAGGTCGTTTCTTAAACTGGGGATTCAAGTGTTTGTCGCCAGCCTATGGAACAGACCGTACAACGCAACAAAGCAAGGAGACAGGGGAATGGTCAGTGGGTTAAAGGGAGAGGGGTGCGGGGGGATGCGGCTGACCTGGGATGCGTTGAGCTCAAACTTGCGCACGACCTTGACTATGCGGAAGTCAGTAATGGTCCCAGAGAATGTACCAGAACACGCACGGGCTACTCGCTGACCAGTCGCAATCTCCACAGCCTTGTACACGTTCGAGAATGCGCCGCTAAAGCGCCGTCAGCAAGACATAGGTATCGACAGGGCGATGGCACGCACTCTCCCATCTTCTCCAACAGCTTGTATTTCTCTAGGCCCTTGTAGGTGGGCATCTTCGACTTCTGCTCGCGTTCCTCGTTGACGATCATCTCCGCAGCCTCCTTGGGCGCGGGGGACTTCTGCGACGCGGCCTGAGACTGCGTCTGCGTCTGCTGTTGCTGGCGTTCCTGCTGCTGTGCGGCATCGCGGTTCTTCTGCTGCGATGAGCGGGCGCTTGAGGGCGAGCTCGGGGACTTGGCGTCGACTGGTGTTTTCGCGTCCTGACGAGCGTGCTGGTGGTGCTTGCCGTGGCGGATGAGATCTATGAAAGATTGAAGGACGGGGAGACGGTGGGAGTCAGACATGGCGATTCTCGAGATGACGGGGAGAGGAAAGAATACTTTTAAACGCGTCCATGACCCCGACCGATGGCATTGTATGGCGGACTATGATTCTGATGCTGACGAAAGCGGTGGGAACTCTGGCGGTCTGCGATGCGCGAGGAGTGGAGAGAAGAAGAAGACGCTTGGAGTTTTACGCTCGCCATGCGCGCGAGTGACGTCCGGTGACGTAGATCGCTTTGTCACCGCTCCAGTGCCAAATATGTGCAATCCTCCCCAGGAACCGTGCTCGGCATCGGCCGCCCCGAGTCCCTCCCGCCCTCCATTTTGCCTGTCGCGTCCTCGAACAAGGCTCAACAAAAGCAAAAGCTCATCGTCGCGGGCGCGCTACTCTGAGCATCGGGACCACACCAACTCATCATCTCAGGATCCGCGCATCAGCCGTGACCTGCGCCACATCGACCGGCGCTCCTCATCTTCAACGGATTGGGTTGCACACCTCTGTTCGGTCCTATCTCTCCTCGATAAGGTTAGCGGTTGCTACGTCCTATGGGGAAGTTGGGGCCGTCGGTTGCAGTACGGAGCCGCGCAGCCTAGGAGCAACGTCCTCTCCTCCCAGTCCGAACTTCATACAGCACTGAATTGGGGGACATCATACCGGAGGCAGAGTATACGTGCCTGCGCGGTCATGAAGGCGGGTCATTGCGAGCACGCAGCATCATCGTATCTACTCCCGCCCGGCGTCAATCGTGACAATATGAGGACTGTCACCGCGTCCCTAGTTTCCTCTTTCGCAGGACGAGGCAGACGCATGGAATGAACATTCGAAGCGCAAACAAGACAGTCGTGAACGCCACCATCCTCTCCGGAGTGTAAAATCGTGAGAACAAACATCGCGCACCCACAAAGGCACTACCCAAAGTAGCAAAGGCGTCTCGAAGTTCCGAAGACATCGCGAAACGAGATGTCGGATGTCCCCCGTCAACTATACCTCGGCGCTTCTTCTTGCCAATAGACGCGTCGGAGCGGAGGAGTCGGGATAGACACGAGGGAGAGAAGGGCATAATTTTGTGCGACCGGCGATCTCTGGGAACATGAGCAGCTCGTGTGACCAGAATATGTTGAGCTGACCTGCCTGTGTCTCTGCCTGTCCAGCGCAACAGCCGCCGACGTCTACTAGCGTCGGTCCTAAGCGAGAAGAGGTGAAGCTGACGTTCTCAAGCGCCGCTGACGACGACGCGGCAGGTATACTCGCACACATGACAGATGGTCTGACATCGCTCGAAGGGAGACTTGCGGACGAGGAGCCGTGGTTCGAGCCGCGCGCGCCTTGCGAGGGAGGAAGAAACGTCTGGTGTGCCTTCAACGGATCGTATTAAAGCAGGGGTTAGCTAAGGTCCAGGGTATCGGTTCATCCAGGGTGCTCCTCTAATATACAACGCACGTAACATGGAGAGGGGGCGGTAAGCGCCGGCGCAGATCGTGGGGGTTCAGTTGGCAGAGGTTCAGCTTGTCCGTATAGCAAACGCGATACATATGCATATCAACGAGTGCTGTAGAAGATGTGAGTGGGGAGGCGGTGAGGATGTTCGCAAGTACGTACATTTGTGAAGACCTCTTGTGCAACGATGTCTGAGTCTTCCCAGTGGCACACTAGGTCGGCTCTGCACACAGGCGTATGTAAGTCGATGGTACGACAGTGAAGTGGTGAATACGCACCTTCCCCCTTGCCCCAGGTTCTCGTTGATCTGCGTCAAGACGACGTACTTGCTATAGTCACCGTCAATATCCAGGTTCAGCCACGCCACATTGTATGATGCACTCACAAGCCCTTCCCTTGGATCTCAACCATCCGCTCCTTTACCCGCTCCCCAATCTCCTTCATCCACGCCTTCACCCGATCCCTATCCTTCGCCTCTGGCCACGCCGCATTCAGCAAGGTCGTCGCCAGCAGCTTCTTCATATACGCCTTCAGCAGCTCCGCGTCAAACTGCGGCCGCGGGATCGGCGACGCGTTGCTCTGGCGCGAGGACAGAGACAAGCCAGGCAGCCTGGGCGACGACTGCGAGCTGCCGAGGCGCGGGGACGGGGAGAGCGGCGGCGGGGAGCGCATGCCTATGGACGCGGACATATTGGTACAGACGCGGGCGCGTGTGATCGCGCGAGAGAGCGAATTCAGAACAAGCAGGCGTGTTCTTTGTCCGTGCTTGGCTGCCACACATATCACCATCACCCGCACCGGCCCGGGGCCCCGCGCCGACCGGATAAGCACGTGCGCGCGCGAGCCGTATTCACGGCGCCCACACACGCAGCGCAGCGCGTACAGCTCGCCTCCGCCACCACCGTCCCTGCCCAGTTGCGCGTGTCGAATCCGTGCAGAATGTCGGGCATATCTTTCCCCGGTCACGAAGAGACCAGCGACAGCGAGTACAACTTCGCGAGCGCGTCCGGTACCGGCAACGGGTTCCCCGCGCAGAATGGCTTCCAGGTCGGGAGCACTAGCGGAGGCGCGAGCAGCGGCTTCCAGATGAACCCCCTCTCCTCGCACCCTCCGCGCACGCCGCGGACGTCTGTCATCTCTTCGTCGACCTATGTTTATGGCGCGAGCGTCTACGAGGACGCGCCGTCGCACGCAATGGCCGAGAAGGTCGAGGTCAAAGAAGAAGTGTACGACCCCGCAGACGAACCAGACGACGATGACGCGGAGACCGCGGCAGCGTCGAAGCGCGTCCGCAGGGAAGATGTATGGCGGGAGATGATCATAACGAGCGACGGGAGGGACAAGGCTTTCGTACGTAACGCGTTTATACCCTGCATCGTTCGAGCACTGAAGTTTGTCGCTCAACCTGTAGAAACTTATCCAATACACGATACGCACGTATCTTCTCTTTCATAATCCTATTGTGAAGCGAATGCAATGGAAGACACCATGGGTGAAGAGACTGGATGATACCGCCAGCGGACTCAGTTTCTCCAGGTAAGCCCCGCCCCGTCTCCTCTACCAACTCAGTATACTAATCTGCGCACTTACAGGAAGACACTCCTTCTCTTTAACTGGCTCTCCCCCCTCACCACCATCATGTCCGCCCAACAGGCCGTACCCTTCTCTTCCGACACCGCAAAACCCTCCGCCTCCCCTCTCAACGAGAAATCCGCCGCCCCAGCGGAATTCACCTTCAACCCACCGCCCTCGCGCGCGAAACTCGCAGCCAAGTCCGCCGCGCAGCGCACGAAGCCGTTCTTGCAAGCGCTCCTGTACGCACCGCCACCCGTCCTGCTCGAGCTCGTGCAGGCGATGGCGGACGATGCGGCGACGTTTGCGAAATTGGGCCTGCTCAGCAAGAAGTTCGGCGACCGTGCGGGCAGGTTTTCGGATTGGTGTTGGTTGTTGAGTACGCTGGCGGGTTTGGTGGAGAACGCTGTTGAGCGCAGCGTGATTGTGAATCTGAAGGATGAGGGTGCGATTTCTTTCGACGCGCTATGTTACTCGAAATACTGACCACGCTCAAGTCCAAGCACGTCTGTACGCCGAATCCATGTCCGGTGCCACCAACCGGTCCCTGCCCAAGGCTTCCAAGCACGACGAGCGCGAGCTCGGCCGGTTGGACAAGCGCGACTACTGGCTGACCATCACGCGGACGAAGCTGCTGATGGACCTGATTTTCGTTTGTGAGTATTCCGATATCTTGCGCCAATGTCAACACTGCGGCCATACCGCTTTTCTGCGTCTATGTCCGCTTCGTTCAAGTCCGCTTACGCCCACTCCAGCGTACGACCTCTTCAACATCAAGCGCGGCAAAAAGTCGATACAGACCTTCTCTGGCCTGACTTCTGGCATCTTGAGCTCGATGAAGCTCTTCGACCGCCATCGGGGGCAGCTCCTTAAGAAGGCCAATGCGCTATAGGACGGTTTCCGTGTTACGGGTCCTACGATCTGTGTCTGTTGGACTCCAAGTATGTGATCTACTACCCCTTCTCTGCGACGCTCATCGCTCTTCGTCCGCATATACCTTTAATCTTTGCTGTATGTATGTTCTTGGTTACTGTAAGCGATACCGTGTCTGCTCAGCCTAATAGTAATACGATCCTAGACCATGTTTTCTACTTCCTATCCAGCTTGACGATGGCTCTACCCTGGCGTGCCCTGCCATCACCTTCACCAAATTCGCCTCTGCAGTCGCCAAGCCCAGTTGCGCGCATCGCACAGACCAGTCAGTCGAATCTCAGGATGTTCAGCGTTCGAGTCCATCCATATTTCGCTCGATGCAATATTATGCGTACAAGTACAGGTTACATATGACTAGACTACTCCCAGCAAGCAGACGATATGCTAGAATAAACAATGCAAGAAGACAACGACGGGGCAGGTAGACAGGATAATTCTAGTAACTACCCATGACGCATCATGACGGTCGTAAGGAGAGGTATGCTGACCGAGACAACGTAGGGCACACGCAGGGGGAACGGCGACCTGCTTTTAGGCTTGGCCGGGGTGCGCGGTCGCTGTTGTCTGGCCGGTGACCGTGCTCTGGGAGACGTCGATGAAGCCCTTCTGCTTGGGTTCCGCCATTGTGTCGCGCTTGCGCTTGTAGTCACGGATGGCGGAACGGATAGCATCCTCGGCAAGCACTAGCGAGATAGTCAGCGAGGGGCGAAGGAGGTAGTACGATGTAACGCACTGGAGCAGTGGAGCTTGACCGGTGGGAGGCACAACTCCTTGGCAATCTCAGTGTTCTTGATCTTGCCAGCCTCCTCGAGCGAGAGGCCCTTGACGCGCTCCGTCATATACGAGCTGGAGGCAATGGCGCTGCCACAGCCGAATGTCTTGAACTTGACATCAGAGATGATGCCGTCTTCGTCGACGCGAATCTGCAACTTCATAACGTCGCCGCATCTGGTCGGGAGTCAGCGACGTCGCGCATACGCATGCAATGTACTCACGCAGGCGCGCCAACAAGGCCTGTACCAACGTCCTTGTCCTCCTTTGGGAGAGAGCCGACCTGCGAAAGTTATCAGATAAAGGCCGGTCGAGGTCGCGGCGGGTCTGGATTCTTACGTTTCTAGGCCTCTCATAGTGGGAGATGACCTTTTCGTGATACATGCGTGCTGGAACAGCGCGCGCGACAGGCGCTGCGCGGGCAGCGAGCGCGGGGCGGCGGGCGGCGCTGAGGACGGTGCGGGCGACTTGGGTGCGGAACATGCTGGCGAAAACTGAGTTGGCTGACGTTTGCCGTACGCCCCCCTCGCTTTATCATCCCGCACGAATGCCGGGCGCCGGCGCGGATTTGGAGCGGAGTCTGAATCTGCGCCATGCCCGCGTCATCGGCCGGCTCGGCATCCCAGGGGCTAACCACGCGGTCCGTCGGCCGACGCAGCACGTGCGCCGCCGAGTCCGAGCTTGTGCGGAGTCCGAATCCAGCAGTCTTTGTTCTCATCAGGCGCGCGTCTCTTCGGGCCGCCATGTCCCGCCCCGTCGACAGCCTCCCGCCGACCGCGCGCTCTATCGCGCTCCTCCTCTCCTCGACGCCGGGCGTCCAGGACGTCCAGCCAGGCGTCCTCCACCAGCTCCTCGAGTTCTCACACAGGTACACGCAGCAGGTCCTCACCGATGCCCAAATGTATGCCGAGCACGCCGGACGCGCCGGCAAGATCGAGCTCGACGATGTCGTGCTCAGCATCCAAGCGCGTGTAGGCTGGGAGTTTGGCGGTCGCGTACCAAAAGAGGTGCGCGTTCATGTACTTCCATGCGACTACTTCTTCAACATTCCCCCAGTACATACTCTCCCTCGCGAATCAAACCAACTCTTTTCCCCTTCCCTCGGTACCCGAAGTGTTTGGCGTCCGGCTACCCTCGGACCCCGATGATACCCTCACTGGCATCAACTTCGACCTTGTCCCCAATCGTCCACCGCCAGGCGTGAAGATATATGACGAGGAAATCGAGGAAATTGAGGAGTCAGAGGAGGAAGATGAGGCCGTGCTCGAGGCCGAAGAGGAAGACGTTGACATGGGAGGCACGAATGCTCAGCCGCAAGGTATGCCGCCCACATACTTAATGACTTACTTCTAACGCCTCAAATAGCATCACAACCGCCACCAGAACCCATGGAGGACTCAGCTCCCTTCCCAATATCCGCCTTCGCACCCGCAACACCCGCCGACATATCCATGGCGACTCCAGGCGACGCCGGCAGCGACGCAGGCGAGGACGGCGACCTATTCGGCGACGAAGGGGAGGCAGAGGACGGTGACCTATTTGGCGAGGACAAAGCGGGCGAGGAAGGTGGCGGGGATGACGAAGATGAGGCGATGGAGGAAGTCGCGGCGCCGACGACGAACGGTGTGGCACGACAATTTGTGGAAGAGGACGATTACGACTAGCGCGCTTGTACTTGTCATGTATGTTTTGTAGCTGCTTATGCTTGCTCAATGTATGCAGTGTTCTTACCAAAGCCCTGAGTCAGGCTGCTTCGCGTTGTGCTAACGCGACGGCTGCAGTTAACTCGCAAAGCCGCTTGTCGAAGTTGAACAGTTGCAACATTGACCAAAGCTTTCAGTCAGGACCGTTCGTCTATGCCGACGCGGCGGACAAGTATGAGGCGCAAAGCTGCTCGTCACAGTCGATGAACTATGTGTACACTAGTAATACATGGAGGAGAAGCCACAGGTACAGACAACACGCGCTTGCACGCAAAGGATCGCAGCGTTCAATACGTGTAGCGGAAATCTGGGTTCTCCTTATCCGTCAAATCGTCGAAGGCATGCGTGTGGCCCAGCTGCTCGTCCGGCGCCTCCCCATTCGCCGCGCTCTCCCTCAACGCCGCCGCGCGTCGCTTCAGCACGTTTTGCCGCATCAGGTACGCGCGCAAAAAGACGAGGACGACGATCTGGAGGACGTAGACGACCATGTGCGCGATGAAGGCGTTGATGTACCGCGGCTTGTCGTTGTCGCGGAAGACCTGGGGGCCGACGGCGTTGCCCACGGCCCAGGCGATGAAGACGAGGGAGGAGGCCATGACCTGCTTGGTGCGGCCGGCGACGTTGTTGGACATGACGGCGAGGTTGAGGACGGAGACGGCGCCGAAGGCCATGGTGAGGTAGAAGGAGATGAGCAGGCCAACTTTGGTGTCGGCGCGCGTGGGCACGACTGGTAAATGTTAGGAAGGGTGTAAGAATGAGGAGGACGAAGAAGACTCACTCAAGAACACAATCGTGCCGATGATGTTGGGCAGGGTATAGATGATGGCGAGGATGATCTTCTGGTTGTATTTCTTGGAAAGGTACGCGCCGCTGAACAAGAAAGTCATGATGATGGCACCCTGGGCGATGGCGAGGAGGTAGGTCTGCAACATCGTGAAGCCGAAAGCTTGGATGATGATGTTTGAGAAGGCGCCCAAACCACCCGTCGGCATGCCGTTCGTAAACTGAGGTGGAGAAGGTGAGTCGACTAGGGTACGTGGCGTACAAGATATGCACTCACGGAGATCAAGGTAACGCTGAGAACCACTGGGTCGGTCAAGGCCTCGCGCACTTGATACCACTGAAGGGCGGTCAGCAAGCATGGTCAAGAAGCAGAGGACGCGAGACGGACCTTGAACTCCTTGTTCTGGATACCCGTCTCATTCTTGCGCACCCGCTCAGCCATTAGCACACGATCCTCCTTCGAGAAGCACTTCGCCCTCATCGGGGAGTCCGGAAGCCAGAAGCCCACGAAGAGACCCCAGACGAACGTCGCACAACCCAACAACTACATCGCGTCGTCAGTACACCTCTTCCCACCATCACAAACAATCACCTCACAAGGAACAAAATCTGCCAATTCTTGATCGCCGCACCCTGGATCTGCGAGATGCCGTACGCGATGAGACCGCCGACGCACTGCTGGAAGCCGTTCATCGAGTAGAAGGCGCCGATGACGAGCGCCTGCTCCTCTCGCGTGTACCACATCGTCGACAGGAAGACGAAGGCCGGCTGGCAGACGCACTCAAAGACGCCGAGGAGCGTGCGCACGATGACGAGGCCCGTGAAGTTGTGGCAGACGGCCGTGCAGGCGAGGACAGCGCCCCATGCGGCGATGTTGAAGGAGAGGTACTTGGCGATGGGGAGGCGTTGGATGAGGCGGTTGGTGGGGAACTCCCAGATAAGGACGGCGATGTAGACTGGAGTAGACATTAGAGGTGTCGGACAGGAGAAGGGGGATAGGGGGTGCATACCACAGGTCGTCAACCATGAATATTGTTGGCCGACAAGGTGCGTGTCTTGTACAATACCCATTATGGACGCAAAGTTGATTGTCCTGGCACAGTACGCGTCAACGAAGGTCATAGAAGCAGGTAGGGGGATCCTCACCCCTTGTCGAGTGTCTGGGCGAAATATGTGACGACCATGACCACCTACGTAGCCAGTGAGTAGGCGCCGTACTCCGCAACAATCTACGTACCAGTACGCGCTTGTGGATCATCATCCGTAGACGCTTGTTCGTCGCCTCGTCAATCACGATGTGGCCATCGCTCTGCGTCGCGAAAAATTCTGCGACCTCAGCATCGATACCGGCGGCGGCTGAGAACGTGTGTGAGTACAATGGAGGGTATGAAGTCTGGGATAGTACGCACGCTGAACCTCTGAACTGGTTATAGACCCGATATCCTTCTCGATGTCCTCGACGCGGTGCTCGTAAACTTGTGCATCCTTCGACGTAGCGGCCATGGTGACGGGTGCAGTGAGCGGCAGGTGAGAGGAGCGCCGGTGGTTCTCATATTCCGCCAGACAAGATTTTATACGCGCCTTCTGCCCAGGGACGAACAGCAGCCAGCTGACCCCACATCATCGCATCACACGAAGCGGGGAATCATGGGGACTGCATGGGGAACTGCGACGGGACCAATTCCAGGGCGGGGGCGGCTCCGGCGGTGCGCGCGGCCCGGGCGGTGTACCGGCCCGCCGAGTGCTCTGAGGAGCGTCGGTCGCTTTAAAGGGGTCGCGACGATTCCGACGATTATCGACGACGGCGCGCCACACGCAGGTCTTCTTTATCCACCACCATGTCCTTCAGAAATGTCAACCCCGCGAAGGTCGCGACGATCAAGCACATCAACAACCTCATAACTTGCCTGGTCAACATCAACGACGAGACGGGCGAGTTCCTCCTAACTCTGCCCGACGGACGTATCATCGACACGAAGGGCTGGAATGACTGGGAGGTTAGTGCGGCTCTCCAAGCGTTCCTGATGCCACGAGCTCACACGCCAACAGTGGACTCACGGAGTCGGTAAGCCCCTCCGCTTCTCCCAAGGTCACGCGGGAGCATCTTCGAGCTGAAGCGCGCTAGGTTTGTATGGCCTTGTGAAGTTCCATGAAATCACCGGGGACGAGCGCCCCCTGAAGATCGCGCTAGATTGGTTCAGAGACAGGTTCGAGATCGGAACCACGAAGGTAGGTGATAGAAGTCTGTCCTCCGGTGTGCCACCTGGCTGACGCCACGGGTAGAATGTGAACACCATGTCGCCCTTCCTCACCGCCGCGTACCTGCACGAGCGGAAGGCCGCGGACTACTTCGCGTATCTCGATACCTGGGCGGAGTGGGTGATGTACGACATGCCGCGAACGGAGGAGGGCGGTCTGCAGCACTGCACGTACCTCACCGACAACTATCAGCAACTATGGGACGACACGCTCATGATGACGGTATTGCCGTTGGCGAAGATTGGCCTTGTCTTGAATCGCCCGCACTATGTCGAAGAGGCGAAGCGGCAATTCCTCCTGCAGTAAGTCCACCCACGCGAAGTTAAGAAATCGTCTCACCAATCTGGTAGTGTGAAGTACCTCCAGGATCTATCCACAGGCCTTTGGTTCCACGGTAAGAGAATTCATCTTTGTTTAGCGTCGGTGATAGAACACTTTCGCAGGTTGGACCTTCGACGGGCGTCACCACTTCAGCAAGGCGCGCTGGGGTCGTGGCAACTGCTGGGTCACTGCCTCCATCCCCGACTTCCTCGAGATGCTGCAGTTACCCGCAACAGACGGCACCCGCCTCTTCCTCACCACCTCCCTCGTCGCGCAGATCGACGCCCTCGTCAAATACCAGGACCCCGAAACCGGACTGTGGCACACCCTTATCGACGACCCCACGTCCTATCTCGAGTCTTCCGCCACCGCGGGCTTCGCGTACGGCATCCTCAAGGCCCTGCGCATGCGCCTGATCCCGAAGGAGGAGCGCTACGTGAACTGCGCGAAGAAGGCGATCGAGGCAGTGCTGGCGAACATCTCGCCGGAGGGCGAGCTGCTGAAGACGTCCTTCGGCACGCCTGTCTTCGACGACCTAGAGGAGTACAAGAAGATCCCGCTCACTAGCATGCCATACGGCCAGAGTCTCGCGCTTCTCGCCCTCACGGAGCACTTGAGAACGTTCATCTAGCGTGGATGCAGGTGGATGCAGATGCTTTATCCAGCGTGTACGCAGTTGCAAGTAGAATGTGTAATAATACAACCTAGACGTCCTTCGGTGAGCCGCGCGCAGTGCGGTAACGCGAGGGACTTCACATGAAAAGATAGAACTGGTGGCGAGATGAGGAAGTACGATATCGAGCTGGGGAGCTACGGTGTCGAGGGCGCTTCGCGAGGAACTATGATATCGAGGGCGGCTTCCCTACGTTGAGATCCAATTGAGAAGCTAGGCGCGTTACATCCTTGACCAGTTTGTTGATGCGCGTGCGTCTGCGAAGGTGATCAGACGCGAGCACGCAAGAAAACCTCGCCACACTCACTCAATCTGGTTGCGCTCGCCCAGCGCAAATGCTTGTGCCTGCCCAAGGGTTTGCGAGCTCTCAGACACTATTTGACGTCGCTTCCTCTCCTGCTCCGCAAATGCCTTGAAGCTAGGCATCAAGCGTGCGTACTCGGACTCGAGCTATATCTCCATCAGCGCTATACCCATGGAGCACATCCGCCCAACTCACCATCTTCGCCCTCACCGCCAACGACCCCTCATCATACTTCCCCACCCCCGCAATCTCGTCCCTCATCCGCTTCAGCTCCTCAAACCACCTCGTCTCATGCTCACTCAGCTCCGGGCTCGCCTTCCGCACCAGCGCCCCCAGCACCCGATCCATGCGCGCCAACAGCGCCTTCTGCTCCTCCTTCGCGCGCACCCACCGCGCCTCGCGGCCGCCATTCCGCATCTTCTCCACCAGCTGCTGCATCTCGCGCGCCTTCGCGCACTGCCGCGCGAGCTCCTGCCGCTGCAGCAGCGTGCGCGCGAGGGCGGTCTTGTACGCGAGCGTCGCGTCGCGGATCTGCCCAGAGATGGCGGAGGCCTTGGAGGCGAGGTAGCGGAGGGTGTCGGGGGTGAGGAGGAAGTCTTTCTGCTTGTCGGCGCCCTCGGGGAGGGATAGGCGGGGTTGGGAGGGGATGCCGGAGGAGCGGAGGATGGGTGGGGGATGGTAGGGGCTGGCTTCGAGTAGCGAGACGTAGGGTGGGTTCTCGCTGGGTGGTTGGAGCCAAGGGTCAGGAGGTTGCACTTGGAGTGCTGATGATGTCGAGGGGGTCTCGGGTGGAGGGAGGGCTGCTGGTGTTGCGCGAGGCGTAGGCTGAGGACTGGGAGTTGATATTCCTAGTCTGAAAGTCGTGATGCGCATGGCGGAGGTAAGGATGAAGATGCTGTAAGTAAGGTAGATGTCGTTGGGGATGGCGACACCAATGACTGGATTCGAGCATCTATTTGAAGTGTTAGATAGCAGAGAGATGGGCGACAGCAGTGGCTCACTTTCGCTCTACCGAGAAGGTCGTCAGCAATGGCTGCACATCGGCACCTGAAGAGCGGCGGACGGCAGATGACAATTGCGCGTCGCCCTCGTCATCGCCTCGCAAAGCAGCTGCGAGCGCACCAAACAGCGGTGCCAGGTCTATGCGATGTGCGCCAAAGGCGTGATAGACGTAGATCGTAGCTTCATGGATGGGATCAGCCATGAACACAGGGAAGTTTCCTTGAAGAAGGTCAAGGGTGTTTCCGGTCAGGCTGTTCAACGCGCCGACGAAGTCGAGGTCGATAGTCTCGTATACAGCAAGCATGGGATACTCTTCCGAGTTCTGCATCGCCTCATTAGACTTGTTCGTTTTTCTACAAAACGACACACATACAGGTTTGGTCTCCCATCTTGCCTCCACTTTCTCGACGTCCAGGCAAGTGTCAATGCGGCCGTCCTGGTAAGCGACGAGAATGGCGCCCAAACGCTCGGTCGCGCTACCGTCGTCATCATCGTCATCCGCAAGGAAATCACCCCCAAAAGCTAGGTAAATGATATCCGTCGCATCTCCTCCATCGGAGCCGTCAAGATTTCGCGGAGAAGGTTGCAACAAGAACGGCCCTTGTCGCTTCGGTTTTGACTTCAGGGTTGTCGGTGGGTGTATAGGTACGCGACGCGAGACGGAGGGAAACATGGTGCCAGGAGGTAGCTGCTTGACGAGGGAGCTGACATATTTGCGCTGGTAGTCGTATAGCGTCGTCATTTTCTGCGTCGCCTCAGATGTCCCTTGCGACAGGAATTCTTGCTTGGCCGAGATGAAGCATTCTAGAGAGTGCACGTAGGAGGACGGTATCGAACTGTAGAAGAGTCAGCTCAAAAAATGAAGGATATGAAGTTATGAAGTCCGACGCACGCATTTTGTGGCATATACGGGCATACCGCGTAGACATCACCAGACTTCATGAGGGCGTATATGGTGAGGGGACCCCAGTCAGCATTTCCTTTGCCTATGGTGAAGGACGCGACTTCGCGTTCAGCTGGATCCTCGGCCAGATAGGACATGCGTCGTTTCTTTTCCGGAACGAACGATAGGACTTGTAAGGGCTCCTCTGGATCGACGGATACATCATACTCTCTGAATCAAGAGTCAGTACCACACAGAGAGACTGTTATGTGATGTGCACCTCATCTTCCCGTCGACTGTCATGACCATGAGGGTTGAGCCTGCTTCTCCCCATGGATGCCAGTCCACCTTGGCTATAGGCGCCGCGGACTTTGAGGCGTGGTAATACTGGCCAACTTGTACAGACCTGCATTTCTTTTAAGCAACTGGGGATGGTGGAATATACAGTGGACGTACTTGCAGTCAATGACGTTTGGTACCAGCCGCATGAATCCAGATCGAGGGAGTACAATGACAGCGACCTGGAACGCGCCAGCCACGGCGAGTAGCTTTCCGCTAGGGTTCAACGCAATTTGGTGGATGTTGAACTGCACATTTGGGCAGTGAAGGGTCTGTTGAAGTCCCGTTAGTGCTATTCAACAGTCTACTTCTTGAGCACGCACCTTGAAGAGCTTCTTCCCCTCACTCTGGTTCAGATGCGTCTCTCCCAGTGTCGTCATGCGTATCTCCTGTCCTGCAGCGACGATCAAGTCCGCACCCTTGAGGACCATAGTCTGCCGTCGTCCGCTAGGGACCGCACTGTCGTCCCTCGAGTCGACATTCTTAAACTGCTGCAGCGTGTTCGTCGAGAGCTGCAAGCTCGTCTCAGAGTTTCCCCCAGGTCCATTGATGCCCTTCGGCAGCCCAAAGATTGGGTGGTCGCGCAAAACGTCGTTCCAGTCCTGCTCGTCCTCCATGGCGCGCGGGAGAACAAAAGCAACCGAGAAGAGACGCGTTTGTTTGTGTCTGTTGTGGTTCTGACGCGTCGAGCCGCGCGTCCTGGCCCTCCTCGTCCTCCTCCCCGCCCTCACCATCCACCATGACCTCCATCGGCACGGGCTACGATCTCTCTGCGAGCACCTACTCCCCCGATGGCCGCATATTCCAGGTGCGTGGTCCGCGACTTACACAATGCCTCGTCTAACACGCGATCTATAGGTCGAGTATGCTAACAAGGCTGTGGAGAACTCGGGGTGCGACACCTATTCCCCTATTGAACCCTCTCTTACACTCTACACAGTACCGCGATTGGCATCAAGTGCAAGGATGGCATCGTTCTCGCCGTCGAGAAGCTCGTCCACTCCAAACTCCTCGTCCCTGGTGCAAACCGCCGGATCCAGACAATAGATCGGCACGTCGGACTTGTATGTCCTGTCCCCTCACCATGAGTATATGCTCAACGCAACGCAGGCCACTGCTGGACTCCTCGCCGATGGCAGACATCTTGCAAACCGTGCTCGTGATGAGACGGCAAGCTATCGCGATCTCTACAAAGCGCCTGTCACGATGAAGGTGCGGCCCTCGTACTACTTCCCTACGTTCACCTCTAAACATTATACAGCACCTCGTCGAGCGCTTGTCCTTGTACGTTCAAGCGTACACCCTCTACTCCTCCGTCCGCCCCTTCGGTATCAGCTCCATCCTCGGTGCCATCGACAAAGATGGCCCTCAACTATTCGTTGTCGAGCCCAGTGGTGTTTTCTACGTGCGTACCGTACTGTATGGCCCTTGAGTTCTGTCCTCATCAAGAAATAGGGCTACCACGGCGCCGCTGTTGGCAAGGGTCGGCAGCTTGCAAAGACTGAGCTTGAGAAGCTCAAGTTGCAAGAGCTGTCAGCGCGGGAAGCTGTAACGGACGCTGCACGAATGTATGTCGTGTCTTTTCAACCGATACGACGCTGCTCATACATCCTAGCATCTACCTTTGCCACGAGGACGCAAAGGAGAAGGATTTCGAGCTCGAAATGACCTGGATCACGGAGGAGACGAAGGGTTTGCACCTCCCCGTACCCAAAGACCTGCACGACGAGGCGGAGCGGAAGGCGAAGGCGGCGCTGGAAGACGACTTCGAGTAGCCGTTGTAATCATAACACCTGTAACACTGCATTGCTCTCTGATTCAGACACTGGATAACTCGGAACGCTGGATAACTCGAGCGCCGGATAACCTGAGCACTGGATCAAGTGAAGCCCTGGTCGACTGGGAACCCATGCAGAATGACAGGACGGATAATTTACACAATTTGCTCTAGCTCTCTGGCGTACATGAGATCGGCGTGGATGAGCTTCTCCTTGGGGATCTCGATCTTCTCCTCCCCCTTCTTCTGGAAGTGGATGGTGCTGGAGTTGAGGTCGACTGACCATCCTCGCTGATGGGAAGGTCAGTAAGAGGACTTGCGCTTGATTTGGAGAAGTGAACACACCGAAGTCGCGAAGTTCATAAGTTCCGACTGCGACTTGAAGAACAACAATGTGGCGGCGTCCTTCATCGGCAGGCTATCATACGCTGCCTCTTCGCAACTCGCGATCTCGTTCCTGCAGGTACATCAGCGTCACCAACACTCCGTACAACGCGTCGAAACACACCGTATCGTCCCCATAAGACTATCGACGAAGAACTTGTATTCCTCCGCCGGCGCCTCCGCGCGCGCGTTCCAGACCTTGCTATAGCTGCCCTCCATTAGCCATCGCTCGAGGTTCACGGGGTGCGCGATGTATGGGTTGTCGGGGATGGCGTCTGTGCGCAGTGGCAGGCTCTCAAGCGTGGCGTGGAAGTCCGCTATGCGGTTCTGGGTGAGGAGGCGGATGAGATTGAGGCCGCGGATGGGGTATTCGCGCTTGGAAGGAGGGAGGACAGAGCTAGGGGAGGGTATAGCGAGTTAGATGCGGTTAGAGGGAGTGTAGGAGATGGGATGCGCACCCGAAGTCGGTGTAGAAGGTCTGCAGTTGCGAGAAGTAGCGATCGAAAGATGGTACGTCCTTCGTCCTGATACTCCAGAACGCGCCAATTTCCAGGATGTCGCCTAGCAGGACCTCAGTCTCCATATACATTATCGTTCGCATAACTACGCACGCGCCACAGCCAGGTCCTCCAAATTGCGGTCGCCCGAGGGTAGTAGGAGCCCGTTCTCAATCAGCCCGAGCTTCAGCTGCGTCAGCAGCGTGCCGCATTTCTTCAGGTCCGGGTTCGGCGCAGTAAACGAGCGCAGCAGATCCTGGTACAGATTCTTCAAGTTCGCCATAGTGAATGCTGGCGCGGATGGAGGTTCGTGGCGGAGAACAAGGGCAGTCGACGCGCGTTGATGGGGGACGCGTGTACGAGACGCGTCATCCCAATCCGGACATCCGCTCCTTGCCTCCTTCCCCCGCTCCGCCCCATTATACACCGCAGCGATGGACCACATCAGCCATGTCGATATCCAGCACTTGAAGAAGGGGGAGGTCAATCTTGGGGTGGGTAGGCCTAGTGTGTGACGAAGAATCGGTGCTGAACGGACGCGCAGACCTCGATCATGGCCGTGCAATTCAAGGATGGCGTCGTGATTGGCGCGGACAGTCGCACGACGACAGGGAGCTACATTGTGAGTGTCGCTATAGGTGGAGACGTGCGGAAGATTGACGCGATGGGTCAGGCAAACAGGGTCACTGACAAGTTGACGCACATTCACGACCGCATCTACTGCTGTCGATCTGGGTCCGCGGCAGACACCCAAGCCGTGGCAGATATCGTCCACTACCAACTACAGATGCATGCGTGAGTCTCACATTCTAATTCTTGCCCATCTCAGTATTTGCTAACCCCATCATCAAGGCAACAAGCCGGCGAGCGCCCATCCGTACACATCGCCGCGTCCATCTTCCAGAAATTATGCTACGAGAACAAGGATGCGCTCTCTGCCGGTATTATTGTCGCAGGCTGGGACAAAGAGATTGGCCCTAGCGTCTACAACATCCCCCTTGGCGGTGGCATGTTCCGTCAACCATGGGCCATTGGAGGTACGCTTTCGCATCCGTGACTGCTTATGCTCTCGCTGATCATCCCATCATCCAGGCTCTGGCTCAACATACGTCTACGGTTACTGCGACGCGACATATCAGGAAGGCTGGGGCCGCGACGAGACCGTGAACTTCGTTAAGAATAGTGTGTTCTTCTTTCCTCCCGTCTCTACTTTCCCCATAATCTAATCCTCCATACAGCCCTCGCCCTCGCCATGTCCCGTGATGGCTCGTCTGGCGGTGTCATCCGCATGTGCGTCATCACCGAGGGCGGCGTCGAGCGTTTGTTCGTTCCAGGTAACGAGCTGCCGCGATTCTGGGAGGGCAAGGAGGTGCTCGGTGCGGACGCGCCCAGCAACAAGGTCATCCCGCCAGATGTTGCTCCGATGGTTGTCGAGGCGTAGGTAGAGATATTCAATGTATAAGTATCCAGCAGGGAAATTACTTCACGCATGTAAAAACCACCTCCCAAAGATTCGGAGCGACAATCTCAGCGCGCTGCCATTTGCTTACCCTCTCCCCCCAAACCGGCTCTTGCAAGCGCATAGCCAACCTGCTGCACGATTTACAGCACTTCAGCTTACCGCCTGCTTTTGGAGAAGGGGAATACATTGCAAAGGGTCATAGAAGTCGTAGGATAGGCTGTCGTAAATCGAGGGTAACTGAGGACAATTACAGGCAGTACAGGCAGCCAGTGTAGACCAAAGGGGCTCAACGCAAATAACCAGACGAAGACAGAGGGGATGCAGTAAAATACAATGCGTTGGTGAGACAGAAAGCGAACATTAAGGGGACAACTGGAAGTGGCAATGGCAAAGCAAAAATGGTTTGCAAGGCTAAGCAAATGGATGGCGAGGCTAAGCAAATGGATGCGATGATGAATGGATAGATAATTTATATGGTACATTCTCCAAGCCTCTAAGCGGAGCTGACGAAGGTGACGGGCTTGTGGGTGTGCGACCGCAGCCAGCCCTTGTATCCGACCATGCAGATCGTCCAGCAGAAGGCGATGCAGGTGAAGGCGACGGCGACGTTCAAAAACATCATCTTGTCTGGATAGTCGTTAGCAAAGCAATTCACTCATAGGAAATGAAGCGAGACGTACCATCCCTTCCACGACGCATCGCAGCGATCGTCACCTCCTCCGTCGACAGCATGAACATGAGGCCACCACAGGTGAGGAAGAAGCTGCCGAGCGCCTCCGTCGGCGGGCGCGAGGGCAGGATCGACCGCGGCGGCGACACCCAGAGGAAGAAATACGTGAGGCAGCGCAGCACCGACCACGCGAGCAGGAGGTTGCCCCACATGACATGGATGTCAACCTGGAAAACATAGGGCTGGAAGTGCGCGGACATCGCGCTGCCGGTCACGCCGATGACGAGGGCGGGGAAGGGATTGAAGCTCGCGATGTAGCTCGGCGGCTCCGCGACGCTGTCCTGGGGCATGTTGGAGGACTGGATGGAGGAAATTGTCGCGGACGAGAGCCAGCGGCGAATGCGGCGCGACTCAATACCCATGCCGACGAGACCAGCGAACCAGAACATGACCTGTGGCGATATTAGCTTTTGTGACCGTTAGAAAATTCAGAAATTACTCACAGCAATGCCGATGTGCTGGATCTGCTTGGTCGTGAACGGGTCGCCCGGGTGCGCACCAAAGCGCTCCATCCAAGTGTTGGTGATACCATAGGTGAAGATGACCAGCGACTCGACGAACTCAGCGGAGACGTTCTTGCCAATCGGTGCACGGTTCCAAGCCCAACCGAGTTCAGAGAAGGAGCCCAAGAAGCGAGCGAACGTGACCAGGCCGTAGCACCAGAAAATGCCGCCCTCTGAGATTGAGTGTAAGATGGATGCCTCATATCGGGTAAGATGGAAACTCACTGATCAAATGTGCCAAGCAGCCGTTCAGATAGTTCTGACGGCAGCCACCAGTGTAAATGACGATGCCGCTGATCGTCATGTACATGCCGAGGAAGACCATGAGACGCTCGAGCGTGGCAAAGACACCATTGCCGATGCGCTTCGCGAGGGGCTTCTTCTCAACGACAGGCTCTGCCACCTCATCGACCGTGTCCGCCGAGTTCGAGCGACCAAGGGTTCGCTCTGAGGCGAGCGAATGTGAGTAGCGGTGCCCGAGTCTCGGTGGCTGGTTGACCCATTCGTCGTGCTCGTCGTCGTTCTGCAACTTCGTCGCATCGAACTCCTCAGGCTCGGACGTGAGGCCAATGTATTCTGGGCCCGCAAGCTGCGTGCTGTTGTCGCGGCCGAGGATCGTCTGGAACCAGAAGCCCTTGAACGTGAACTTGTCGCCGCTTCGGATGAAGGCGACGATGCGGCGGAGGATGCTGGTGATGTCCACGATGGACAGGCACATAGCCAATAATATGACCAAGTAGCCATGCTTGGTGTGGGTGGATCCTGTAAGGGGCAGAAGTGTGAATGGCTGATCGGAAATGGTGCTGCGGGGCGTCACAAACCTTCGTACCTGTCAAGGACGTCAGTGATCGACATTCCCGATTGAGAACAATAGGCGGACGCACATATTCGGGGTCAGCTTCCTGTACAACATGCTAGACGCGCATCCGAGCGCGGTGAGACCGTAGAACGAGAGCACGACAACGCCGTGCCAGGCGTGTCCGACCGACCGCATGATAATCCCTTCGACGAAGGTCAGAGAGCGGGCTAGGCGCGAACAACTCAGCAACGCACCAATTGGGTATGCGACGAAGAAGGCCAGGGACATGAATAGGATGTGGGTCATCATGAGTCCCGGGTGGCGATCTTCGTATCCCTCGTCCTCGAAATCTATGGTATAGTACGACGGCGGGATCGGTGCGTGGTCGAGCTGGAGATCGGTCTCGTTCAGCTCAAGCATTGGTTGTACATGGTGTCCGTGCCCATGCCCGTGCCCGTCCCGGGGCACCAAGGACGCTTCTTCGATTGGCGGGACTGCACCGGCCTCCAGCACGTACGCTGCGGCGTAGGGCGCGATGAGGAGGGGGAGCGCGGCAAGAAGCGCACGGCGTGTCAAACGCATGGCGGCGGGGAAAGGGGGATCAGGCGGGACGAGCGGGGGCGTACACACGAGAGGAGAAAGGTCGCAGCCACAACTCGTTGCTTTATAAGATGCTGGGCGGTTCACTCGGCGCCAGAAGCATAAAATTGAGCGCGTGCGGCTGATATCCCAATCGCCTGTGTAACACACCATTGCGTAATGACTAAGTTGCCGCCGACCATCCCGGTATGCGACAACCTTCGACTCTCCGTCACTCATCGGGACCATCCGGTCCAGAGCTCGTTCTCGATGTTTCGACCCGGATTTAGCCATTTTGACGATCCTTTTCCACGTCCTGGCAGCGTCCTCATCCTCCCTGAAGGCCGATGACCACTTCTGCCTATCCCGCGAGTCCGGGGGGTCCTTACAGTGAGTCTCCGAAAGAGCCACAGGCCGGTTTCGGATGGATCCATCGAGGACGAGTGGAAGCAAAGTGCATGCGGATAATTCCAGAAAAGGTAATTTTCGGTCGAAGTCCTGTGTGACGTAGTGACGTTGAACCGAGATTTCCAATATCTGTCCTTCGCGGCAAACAATCGGCGCGCTCCGTCCCCCCGAAGTGTTGTTTGGATTCAGGTTTTCAGACGTGCTCGCGGTCGTCGCGATCTCCAGCTCGCCAGCTTGTCTGACGGTGACAGCGAGTGGATGCCCGCTCTCGGAGTCTCTATCGTCAGATCTGCGTCCCACTAACACTGCTGACTCAAGCCATCGCATCGCTTCAATTCTGCCCACCAGCCTCGCTACTAGTACTAGGAATGGACTCGTCTCAGGTACGTTGAGCCACCCCATTTCTGCCCATCTTCCACCTTCCTTACACCGCCAAATGTTGTACGTGATACTCGCCCAGGGCCTTCAACTCCGCGCATTCAACAAGCAAAATAGCTCGCGATATTCGACGTTCGAGTCGGGCACTCCCGGTCAGTCGGCGCCCGCCCTCGCAGGGGGCAAGCTCGACATCGGCTAGTCATGACCAATCGTTCGCTAACCCTAGGCCCTCTCGCAATCGGCGGCTTGGCAGTGGGTTGGCGGTGGGCGCTGCGAGCGCACTCAGCCGCCCCCCGAGAAATCGGGTACCCATCCGGGAAGGTGTATGTTTCTCTATTGTATTCTGGCGGGTTCCCTGCATCAAAAACCCGCCCGATCTTCAGGTTTCCCGCCCCGCCGGGCTACGCCGACGGGTCGCCTCCGCGACTGACTGCGAAACGGGCAGCTGACGTTTGCTGACCGCCACGCTGACGGGCGGCGACTCCGCGGGCACACTTGGCCTCGTCGTTCGTCTTCAACTTCTGAGCTTTCGTCCTCCTTCGCGCGCTTGTTTTAGGAGGCGCCTGACCTGCATCCTTCATTCCTACTTGAGGGTATGTGCAAATCCGAGCCCCAGAACAGCAGAACAGGCTCTAGATATTGTACGACGCACCCTGCGAAGCCTGCCCCATCTACGAATACGCTGGCGACCCCTGCAAAGTGAATGGCGTAGATTGCGTTTTCTTAGGTGTCAGGCTATGTCCGAACGGCATATGACCCACGACTGCGCGTACATGACTCATGGGCGTAGCATGAGTTCGACATGAGCTTCCCCCGCACAACCGACGCGGCTATCGGCTTGCCCGCTATCGTATCGACCGACTGTGCGCTTTCACCGCTATCCTGTGCAAGTCCTTCCCTTCGCCTAGGTGGACCTTACTACGACGGACTCTTACCCGTGCTATACTCAGGCCGAACGTCGCACGTCCGCAGAGGACTGCAGAGCCTCGATGCCAGTCGCTTTCGCGGCCCCCGCGACTTTTCCGAATTGCTGAACATGCCTCCCACCATGGGACCGGATGGTGTGCGGATGGTACCCGCAGGCAGCGCTTCAACGCCAAGCCGTCAGAGCAACCCGTTCGCGGAAGCTTCCTGCGCGCTCCAACGTGGCTCGCGCGATCCTCGCATCGTCAAACATCCTCCAAGCATCCGATGACTGACGGCGAACTCCTCGCTCGTCGTGGAAGAAGCGTGGTCGGTGAGAGAGGGACAACTTACGGTCTGACTATCAGACTAGGGTTTTTCTACAATTTAGCGTAGGGGCCACTGCAGGACACCTTCCTCCAATTTCTCTTTGAAGTGAATGCGCTGAAAATGCTGGAGAATGACGCAAAGAATTAGGAAGCAGGCTTTAGGCTTTATGGACAGACAACTCCGGACCACGTTTTTCTTCCCCTTTAGGAAGGCTTTGTGCAAGCCTTCTTCCGGTGACTTTCCGTCATGTCCGATCCGGACCTTGACGTCTATCGCGGATGCAGTTGTTATACTGGATCAGATGACTCCGTGTGTGCAGACATTTTTCTTCAGCTTTATGGCGGCCATGGATTTCAATGAGGGATTGCGCATACCGGCTAATGTATTCGACTCTTGTTCGACTCTACCCAGTTCTACTCAGATAGCCGATGCGGTCTCCTTCTCCTCGTCGTCCTTGATATATACGACATAAATATAGTCACCAAATGCGCCCATCCATATCCAGAAGCCGGTCCACCCGCATCCTACGAAGCCGTCCCAGCAGCTTTTTCTGCTGTTGAAGTCTGTTCTGTAGAGAACACGAGCGAGTTGCGCCGCCCCGACCCCGACTCCGAGGTAGAATGGAGCACCTGCAGCATTGAGGAATCCGGAGTAGGCGACAAGGGACATGGACGCCGTCGATAGAGCGCTAAGGACGGTGCGTGAGTGGTCCCCAAACAGAAGGGCGGTAGACCGGATGCCGGCATGCACGTCGTCGTTTTTGTCCTGGAATTATAATTATTTGTGAGCTGCAAGGATATACGGGCGAGACCAAGCACACCTGATGAGCGTATACGGTATCGTAGACGAGCGTCCAGCATAGGCCACCGGCATATAGTGGCAGGCATACTGTCCAGTCTGTCACACCGGATACGGCTGACCATCCCAGAAGAGCACCCCAGTTGAATGCGAGCCCTACGAAAGGGGTTCAGTAGAGAAGCAAAGATACAGAAGCAATGTATTCACCCAGGACGGCCTGAGGCCAGTGAGTAATGCGCTTCATAAGCGGATATATGGTCACAAGCGACAACGAGGATGCGCCCAAGAGTATACTGGAAGGTGGTTTATCGTCATGAAGTATCAAGTGAATGATTTAGTCCTGGAGCACGCACCTATACCAGTTGAGTTGCGTCAGAACCGCCAGACCTGCGCTCAGTTGCAGTCCCAGGAAAGCGATGGCCTGTGGTGGTGTGATATCGCCAGCAGCGATAGGTCTCGCCTTCGTCCTGGCTGACGAGGATGGTAAGTCCGTGATCGAGCTCGGCAGCCATTGACGCACCTACGGCCTTGTCGAGGTTGCGGTCCCACAGATCGTTGATAGTGCATCCCGCTCCGCGCATAACGAGCGCCCCCAACCCAAACAGCAATGTGTACTTGACTGGCACGCCGAGGGGGAGTTGGTGCGCATAGCTGGCCATAGTGATCGACCAAGCTGGGCAAGAAGTATGCACGTCAGATAGATTCCGTGGATGATGTGCGCCACGCACCACAAGGGTAGAAGAGCAGTAGAGTCCCTATCGGCTTGTCAATCCTTGTGAGGTACAGGTAGGGTCGTAGCTTTGCAGGTGTGTATTCGACCCAGGACGGTTTAGGTGCAAGCGAGCTCTCCTTGACTGGAGGCGAGGAGCTGCTGGTGCGCTTCTGATTGAGTCCATAGTGTACCGAAGGACTTGCGCGCAGGAAGGGATGGCGAAGCAGTAGAGGCGCTGATCGGCGCGTCGAGCACAAGCGCCCGGCCGTGGCGAGAGGTGAGATCATGGTCACGCGTTCGCGTTGCACGCGCGCAGGTGGGCGACGCACGTGGCGCGTTGAAGGTAACGACAGTCACACAACTTCAACATGGGTCACAATACATCTCAAGCGTTTTCGTCTCAAGTTGCTCGTATGCCCCAAGAGCATAGATACCCTAAATTCACTTGTCTCTGCTGAGCGCTCGTTCAAGACATGCTATCACCCAACAACACGTTGGCACGAAGACATATCCTGCTGTCGGATTACATTTTATCAACAGCAACACGCAGCCCATAAGCGAGAAAACATCCATTTGGTGAATCGGAAATATGTATACATTTATTGGAAGGGTGGCGGAGGTGATGCATGCGCGACGAGATATCATATGAAGCCCTGAAGAAAGGAAACGGAACTGGCGACCCAATCACCAGTCCTTCGCGAGCTTGAACTGCCACTCCCAGTCTACGTGGATGTCTCAGTTCGTCTTGTGCGGCGATGGACAAGTAATATTGACGTACCTGCGTAGACTTCGCCGTCATCGTCGACGACGCGACTCCGTACATTGTAGGTGCCGGAGCGCGCAAGCATACCCGAAGGCGACTCCTCGGGGTCGAAATCCTTCGTGTACGGCTTGCCCTCAGGACTTGGGCCGTACGAGCCCAGCATCTGCTCCATCTTGTCCACTACTCTGGTGTCAGTTGCGATCAGGTAGAGCATCGTGCGAAGAACGCACCTCGCACACCCGCGCGCTTCACGACCTGCATATAGCGGACACCCTGTTTCGCGCATGTCAGAGTAACATCAACGTGCGATATGACGAACGTACGGAGATAATGGAGTGGTTGACCTTGAACTGGATGCGAACACTGCAGGCGATTAGATTAGCATCGGAAAGTGATGTTTGTCATGAGGACGCACTTGTACTCGACGCCTTCCTTGATGGTGATGGGCGTCTTCTTCAACTCGGCGACTCGGGCGGGGTTGCTGAGATCAAAGGAGATGGCCTTGCCAGCTGGCAGAGTCGGAGACATCAGCTCGAGGGTCAGAACCGTAACCTGAAAATGACTCAGAATGTGCGACGTATAGCTCAAGTCGGCCACGCACCTTGGGCCCGGAGGCATCGCCAGCAACACCGGGAACGATGCCCAAAGAAGCCTTCCACCGCGCAAGAGACTCGTCCTCGGCGTCCATCTTGGCATACTCGTCGGCTGACTTCGCCTGGCCAAGCTTGTAGCCTTGATTCGCGACGCTCGTAAGCTCGCGCGCTACATGTTGCAGTCTGGGATCGCCGCACCTGGCGTCATGGAAGGCTTGAGCTCATCCTGATCATCGGCCTGGGCGCTGTTAGTGACTGCATACCGAGGCGACAGTCCAGAGTCTACTTACAGACATGTTGGCGAGGATTCGGTCGTGAGTGGTAACGTTCAAAGACAAGTGGGCCGCTCGTCGTCGCGTCGCGGTTGGAGGTCGATCGATTAGACCGTCGGAAGTTGCCGAGTTGAAATTGGGTCCGAACCGGTTTTGCTTCCATCTCCGACGTCGGTGAAGTTGAACTTTGCTGTCCTCCCTCGACGCGGAGGCAATGGATATAGTCGAACTCGGTTGTGCGCTGAAAAACTATATTCCAGGACTACACGTCCTTTACCAAGAAGGCTCTAAATAAATGGTAGCAACTATAAAGCGAATCCAAAGCAATAATAGCGGCGAGCATGCAATTGCCATGCCACCGATAGATGCGTCCTATAAGTATGTACATATCCTAGCAATAGGATGTCCGACGTGAAGATATACATTGATAGATGAGAAAGACCTTATTGCAAACGTCACATCAAGCGGAACCAGGCCCAGGACCAGCTGCGGCATACGAAGTTATCTGGTCAAGAGGTGGGTGCATCGTCTCTTCAAGGAGTGTCAGCGGGTCAACCTTCGACTGTCAAGGAGCTGTGAGTACTGACCTCCCTTGAACCAGCACTTTCCCTTGCCAAGATGGAAACAAGCGGGCCCGTTCGGGCATACGTGCCCCCAGCAGCACTTATCGCCAAAGGGACACTGGACGCCTGCTAATACATTAAACAAGATGGTGTCTAGTATTTGAGCCTGCTTACCGTTTTTGAGCCAGTTGCAAGGCGCTTTTTTGGCGTTAGCCGCCAGGGACTCGAGCTGCTCCGGTGTCAGGACGTAGTCGTGGCCATACTTGCACACGCCAGGCTGCGAAACGAGCGTACATCAGCGGACTGTATCAGTGAACGATCTATTCCCACTTACCCCCTTCGTGCAGGTCATGAGGTAGTGCTCATTGCAAGGCGGTGGGTTCTGCTTGTGTAGAGGCTGCGAGATGAATGTCAGTCCTGTCCCTCGACGCCCGATATGAGTACAACACGTACCAAGCTCGCGTCAATGAGACGGCCCTGAGGATGCTTGGGAGGGGACTGGGGGCTTATGAGCCCGCCGTTGGATATGAGGCGCGACCCGCTCACGGCAAGCGGGCTCGGCCGCTTGATTACCAGCGACGCGTCCTCGGCGACCATTATGTCGGTCGTGAGCTTGGGCACAAGCAGGGCATCGTCTGCGTCCGTGTCATGCGCTCCCCGGAGCAGCGTAATCTTTCCCAGCAGCTGCTCCCGCTCTAGGTCCGAGATCAACGAGGCATAGCGCCCCAGGTCTCGCCCAGCTGCGTCAACATATGAGCCTGACGAGGTCACCGTGTATGGTTATAGGCACTCACCGCCGAAGAAGACACGCAGGGTATGCGGAAGGCATAAGAAGGTCTTGAGGAACTCTGACAGCAACGTCAGCAACAACCTTGATACTGCACCGTGACTACGCACCATTGATCCTCGGGACGCTCTCGCCGTCACTGGTCTCGATGACCGAAAAGCGAGGAGACGACTGGGAAAAGCCCTACATACATTCAGAATGTGGCGCAAGCATAGCCTGACGGTCGAGCTCACAAGGAAGAACCCATCCAGCTGCTCCGGCGAGCAGATGCCACGATCCAAGACCGTCTGCAAAAGGTTCCTTTTATTGACGTATAGGAAGGTCCAGAAGGAGAGGCGCGGGAAATAATGAATGTCCTGGCTCGACAAATTTTCGGCGATGCGTTTAGTGAGTTCCTGCGCGACTATACGGCCACCTTCCTGGCCGCGAGAAAGGAAAGACGGGGCGAATGTGTTCGTGTCGCCGTTTATGACGCAGAAGATGAGGGGGCATGCTTGGGGGGACTGATGATGGCGGCGTCAGCGCCGTGGCCACAAAACGGAAGCAAACTCCACGATCGGCGCTTACCTGGAATATGTGCTGGTTCGAGAGCTGACGGTGGAGGGTCGCGATCTGCACATTATGCGCCTTGGACTCGCGCTCCGCCGCCTCCAGCACTGTTCCGTGCGCCTGCTTCAGGAACGCGACCTCGAGCTCAAGCTCGGCGACGCGGCTATTGAGCTCGACGTTCTGTTTGTACGTGGTTCCCGAGAGCGCTGTGGGGGAGGTTCAGAACCAAGGTACGGTCGTCATGGTGGACGGAGTGGACGAACCCAATATGCGCGCAATCGCGGTGTCCCTATTATTCCCAAGGGGGATTAGACCCTTGAATTCACATGTCACGGAGATGAGTACTCACCACGCTCGGTGGGTAGCATGTATGGCGTCGCCGCTCATTAAACTGGCCATGACAAGGGAGGGGTGGTGGGGGTGGGAAGCAAGGTGCGGACAATGAGCTAGCGGCCGTGCGTCGACTTTAAAGAGGCTGACGTTACGCGTTCACAAATGAACTGCTTCTCCCGCTGCTAGTCCGGCAGGCCCGTGCATTCAAATGGAAAGCCCCGTAATTTAGTCCGTAACATCTCCAACCTTAGGCGCGGACAACAGAGTGTGAGCCGAACCAGAGCCCTGAGCTGTCTCTTAATCTCGCAGGCGGTGCCCTCGACCGATAGAACATCAAGCATTCTGTAGCCATCAGCTGCTTCATCTATGCGCGGCGATCCTGAGATCGTGGGCTGTCACCGCTGTGCTTCCAACTCTCACCGGCAACCTCAGGTGTGAATGGCCCACTCTGAGTCGAACAGGCCCTCAACGGGCCACCTGGGGTGTGCTGCCGAACAATGGCGGGCACTGGACGGTCGTCTGCGACCTCGAGGCGCCGTGAGAGCCATGCATGGAGACCGTCTTCCGCCGAACGCGTACAGCAACGTACAGGTGGCAACTTATTGGAAACAAGCGCATAACGTGTTAAAGTACATTGAACATTACCGTAACAGGCGTGATTACTTCTGGGCCTTGTGCATGTTGGCTGGGAGCACGCGTCATTCCATGTGTGCAGGGCGTCTGAGGGCGCTGCGTACCTCCTATAAACTTGCACGACCTCGTCTTGTAGAAATAGCAAGTGGGACCTCCAGGGCACACGTGTCCGTAGCAGCAGTCGTCGCCCCAGGGGCATTCCAGGTCTGGGCAGTAGGTTGAATGTCAATTACGGCGCCTTGCGTTATGGGCGGGGCGCGTACCTTTGTTGACGCTGGGGCATGGGCCCTTCTTCGCGTTTCGCCTGATCTCCTCCAGATCATCTGGCGTCAATTCGTAGTGATGACCGTACTTGCACTCATCGCCGAACTTGCACTCGGCCAGGTAGAACAAGGTGCACGGCGGGGGCTTGTCTGGAATCAATCAGTGGACGGTAAACACTCGGCGAGCACAGGGGGGACGCGCGCGCACTCTTCGAGAGGGGCTGCGGGAATGTGTCAGAGGGACCTTGAGGTGCATGCGCAGGTCTGGACTCACGACATTATGATTGAGCTTCTTCTTCTGGATAGTAGGATTCCATGTTGGAGAAGCGCTGCGGTCTGAATTGTGCTCCTCACGCTCAGGGGACGCGGTCCTGGGGATGGACCCTCGTCGCTGCTGCAGAAGAGCGGTGGAATAGCTCGCGCCTGCCGCCTTGACAGCAGCCACGGGACGATTGGTGGCAGTCTCAGGGGAGGGGGCGCGCGCCGCTGGCGTGCTCGCCGGCGTAGCGCCGTTCACTACGGCCGGGGTGCTAGCTTCATGTTCGGGGGTGGCGACCTTGACGGCAGCCGCTGGTAGATCCTCCGTCGGCTGCTGCGAGATCGACTTCCGCGAAGGGATAGTGATCTTCGACGGCCTGAACAATTCGGGAATGGTGTAGTCGGGGAGGTCAAGCTCGGTAATGCCTGCAGCCATGTCGGAATAGCCACGAAGGAGGACCAGCTTTTCCTTGAACCCAGCCGTGATGACCGAGCGCAGGGTATTAACATAGCCATTATCGTGGCAGCCTTGGAGGGAGCGCACTGTTCAGCCTCATGCGACATAGCGGATGCACGCTGCCTTACCTGCGAAATAGATCCTAACTGTATGCGGCATGCGTATTTCGTCTTCGAGAAGGACTGGAAGCGCTGATTAGCCTCACGAAGTCGACGGCGTGATCACGGGACTCACCTCTGATCTTAGCGTCAGCGGCTTCCTTGGTCTTACCAACATCCAGCATCATGAAGCGCTCAGCGGACTGGTTAAATCCGAGGACGAACTCATCGAACTTCGCCTTGACGGTACTGAGGCCCGCTCGGCCGAAGGTCTCAGTGAGCCCGCGCTTGTTGAAAAATATGTAAACCCAGACTTGGTACGTGCCAGAGCCCAGCGTAGCTTGAAGATGCTCGGTGATGGACTTGAGAAGGCGTTGGGCTGCCGCATGGCCGCCCTCTTGTCCTCTACTGATCAGCTCATTGACGAAGATCGCTCCATCTCCATCCAGGAGGACGAAGACACGACGCCCCTTCGATGGTATCAGTGAGATTCGTACAAATTGACATGCTTGTAGTGACGAACCTTGCCCTGGGACTCCTTGAGTTCCTCAAGCTCTCGTTCGGCCTGCTTAACCGACAGCTGTGCCTGCTCAGCCAAAAGTTGAGCCTCCTCCTTCTCTCGTCGCATGATCACTAGCTGCGCGTCCACAGCCTTATACGCATTCTTGTACAGATCGAACTCGCCCCGTAATTTCTCAATCTCATCGTCGCGGGTGACGACGGCTTTGTTCGACTTATCAAACTCATCTAGAACACGTGTTAGGTCAATCCTGACAGTAGTAGCGGCTGACGTACCTTTCAGAGCTGATATCAACTTCTCACTGCGAGGAGGTGAGCATAGGCGCCGGGATATGTGGCGCGGCGGCGCACAAGTTCTGGGACGAAGCCAGCGCTTCGAAGGATTGTGCGATATTCTCGGCCATTGTTAGTGTTTTGTGTGCGAGGTTGCGATTTCCGGGCGGTACTGGCGCTGTCGCTATGTCTTTAAGCAATAAGCCTCATGCAAGTTGGTATGCAAGGTGCAGTGACCCTCGAGTCTAGAGAAGGCACAGCACATGCACGTGAACATGTGCGGGCCTCGTTGAATGCAGAAGGCCACAGCCACATTCACAATAAGAAAGCGGACGATTCCCAGGTCTGGCTATGTGAGTATAAGCGATGCTACTGAGAAAACAGACCTTGCATTAGCGGGCTTCACGTCGAACGTTGGCCGAACAATGTGCTGCAATTGGTTCACCAAGAGTCAGACAAATATTTTCGCTTCCCTCTGGGTGGAGGGGAACACGACGTGTGGCGCACGCGGCGCAATACCGCAGTCGAGGGTCGTGGCAAACAGCAGGTCGGCATGAATTAGTTAGGTCAAGACCATGGCAGATGGCGGATGCCGAGGGCGCAAAGTGCATAGGATAGTCATTTGTGCTATTTCAACGAAGAGCTAGAAGTGACAGTGTGAGATCGCCTACCAGTCTCTGTCAGGGAGATGGAAGGAGGCAAAGAGCGGTGGACATGGAGACCGGGGACAGGCCGCACGACAGCAAATTCCCACGCCGGGTGACGCGGACCGGTGTGCCGAATGTTCAAGTCTCGTTTGGGCGTTGTTCGTTTCGTCGTCGTCGTCGCCGTTCCCTCCGTCGTTGTCGCCACTGTTGTCGCGTGCTAGACGCGTCAACTAACCGACTCTAGTCATGGCAGATCTCTACACCTCTCTCCAGGTCTCTCCTAGGAAGAAGCGTTGCCTATCCGACTCTTCCGACGACAACACGGCGACTCCCAAGAAACTCAGGATCTCGTACGTGTCGGCACATATCCCACATTGATCATTTGCTCACTCGAGCATCCCCGCAGCCCGCCTACACCACCCGCGACTCGGTCGCGTAAAGGCGGGAAGACTGAGGCGAAGCCGCTGCCCGACCACCTCTCGCGCCTCTATACCATCCAGAATAGCCTACTGCACGCGCTCTCCCATGCCCTAGCCACTTGCGCCGTTTCCCCCTCTTCGGACACCGGCGTTGTCCGCAACGTCTTGAATCACTTCTCGCTCAACACGTACACGGGCATGACCACCCGGTTCAATGTGGACGACCTCAAGCGGCTCTGCTGGCTATGGGAGTGGGATATGAAGAAGGCGCCGAAGGAAGACGACGAGGATGAGAATCCCTTCTTGGAGTCGTCTTCCCCCTCGGCCTCGCCCTCTAAGGCCAAGGACTGGACTCGAGGCGCGATGGGTATTGTCGTGAGCCCTGCCACTCACAGGGTGGATGGCAAACGCGTTCCCGCATATGGTGTAGGGATCGAAGTCGAGATGGACATCGACAAGGATATGGGTGGCGGAATGGCTGCGGTGGCGCGTTGGACGAGCGCCGCCGAAAGCAGGCGGAAGGAATTTCGCCAAAAGCTCGACCGCTGGGTCGAGGTAAGTTGCTTTACCAACCAGACATCCGATAGTTACTGACCTACCCTGATAGCTTCACGACGGCCAAGTCCCCATACCCAAGGTGCCCGTAGCGGATCTCCCTTCGCTGGACACCACCTCCAAGATGTCGAACCTCACTAAGTTACTGGCTTCAGCTTCGCCCAAGTCGGGCAAGTTCCCGCAGCCCGAGCCTCCTTCCTCCCCAACGTCACCTTCCAAGTCTCCCTCCAAACGAGCGATGCGCGACTTCGCTATACCTTTCCCTATTTCTCCGATGAAGACCCCGACTGCGAACCGCACGATGACTTTCCCCTCTATCTCACCTACTAAGTCCAAGAATACCATCACCTTCCCGAGCTCTCCTACGAAAGCCCGGAATACGATAACGTTCCCCAACTCACCCACGAAGGGCTCCTCTATGCCCCAAACCCCGCGACACCGACACCCTATTGGCGAAGACGCCATCCTCACGCCTGCGAGAACCCCTAGGTCCTCTGTGTCGTCTTTCGACGACGCGTTGGAACCGTCGAGACCGTCTACGCCTACGCGTCAGCGCGGTGCTGATGCATCGACGGTTCCGCAGACACCAACTACCGCACGCCGACAGGCACTTTACGACCGGATTCGTCAGAAATCCGTTACGAGCACACCTACGAAAACCCCGATGAAAGAAGTCCCAGGAAGCAAGATGTCGCGCGACCTCATGCTCAAGATGGGCCAGGAAGAGATGCGCCGACGCTGCCTCCTTGGTCGGCTTAGTGGCGTTGCGCAGAGCGTGTGGATGTGAGCTAACCTCTTTCCTTGTGAGACCGAGCGTACTGACCATATATAGGTTCTTCTCCACGCCTGCTGCGAGCAGCAGCAACGCGACGCCGACCGCGCGCAAGCGCCGGACGCGGCCGACCTCCGAAGTCGCGCAGGCGGTGATCAAGTCCTCCCCCGTGCCGATCTCCCTCGCCGAAGCGAATGAGTCGTTGGAGATGCTCACGAGCCTGTGCCCGTTCTTCCTGAAGCCGCTGAACATCGCGGGCGAGGAATGGCTCGAGATGCCCGCTACGGTGTCGTCGGGGAACAGCAGTACGCCCGCCGGGTTCGCCCCCGCTGCGGTCGACGCCAGTCCCTCGAAGCGTCCTCGGGTCCCGCCGAGTCCGGGGAAGGTCGACAGCGCGACGGAGCTTGTCACGCGCAGCCCGAAGAGGGTGAAGATGGAGACCGGCGGGCTGCGTGAGGTGCGCGAGATCATTCGTCGCGAGCTCGAACTTCAGGACTAGCTTCTTCCATATCGCGCATCGCATCGCCTCTTCATCGTTCATGTCCCGTTTTCATTCACCGTTTTGTCATCCTGTTCATCGATGTGCTTCCCATTTTCATATACTCATCTTCCTCCCTCGACATGATATACCTCACGATTTGTTTCTGACTGCGTCGCGATCTCTTTCTCCTTAACCTCGACTTGTCATTAACCATTCTCGTTTTGTATATCTACAAATACATGTGTGTTATGCCAGCATTGGCTGATAGTAGCTTTGAATTAGTATCCGTGCACCGTATAGATATCCTCAAGTCCCAAGGGTATCGACCGAACAACCAGTGCCCGAATCGAGGACTTACTCGTGCGTAGTTTCTGATAGCATGAGCTCGTCGCGCAAGATCTCGTTCCAGACATCGTTCATGTGGAACAGCACCGACAGGTGACTGCCATTCAGCGTGATGAGCGACGCGGCCTCGATCTTCTTCGCCAGCCATTCAGCGTGCTGGCATGGCACCCACTCGTCCGTGGCTGCGGCGACGATGATGACGCCGCACTTGGCTTGGGTGCCGCCGTCCGGAGCATACCCGCCCCACCCGCTGTGGTATATCGCGGACATGTCCCGGAAGCCGCGCCAGGTGCGGGCGACGCTGCGCGCGGCGTTCGCGGCGAGATCGCGCTCGAGCTGCCCGTCGCGCACCTCCTGTTTCTCGCACCAGCGCTCGAACACGCTGTGCTCGTCGCTCGCGAGCGCGGCATCGACGAGGTAGCTGCGCACGAGCGCCTCGCAACGGGGAGGGTCGCGCAGGCGCGGGGCGTATGTGAGCTGCGCGATGCGCGCGGGTATCCAGGGCAGCAGCCTGGAGGGTGGCCCGAAGAGGAGGTACTGCCCACGCGAAAGGTGCTGTGCGTACTCACGGTAGCCGTGCGGGGGCGCGAGAGGCGACACGAGGACGAGGCGCGCGATGGCGGCGCAGAGGGGGAACTCTGCCTCGGGCGCGCCGTACAGGATCTGCGCGGGGATGCTGCCGTGGCCATGGCCGCAGATGATGATGCGCAGATTGGGGGTGTCTGGGTGCAGGTGGGTGATGAGCGCGTGCATGTCGCGCGCGAGGGTGGCGGCATAGTCGGTGGCGCGCGGGACTGGTGAGGTATGGCCCCAACCGGGAAGGGAGGGCGCGACGAAGTGGGTATGGTGTTCAATGAGTGCTGCGGGCGCCTTTGAGGCATCTCCGACTGCAAAGGCGTCGTGGAGGAAGAGGACGACGGTGGAGGAGGATGTGTTACCGGCGTCGGCGTACGCGAGCGTCCTGCCGTCTGGGAGCGCGAGACGCTTGTCCTCGACGCGGAACATGGTGTGAGCGAAGGTGTTCAAGGTGAGAAGAGAAGCGCGCACAGGCTGATGCGACGCCTTTATTGCCAGCCAACCGGTCACCGGTGATCGACATCAAAGCTAAGGACGAGGCTCGGACGGTCTCATTGTGCTCCAATTAGCAGACACGCGCCGGCCTGATCCCGCCTACGTCACGAGGAGGCCAAGTCCGGGGCCCCGCGTACCTGCAGAACAGAGGTCAGCAAGCGTCGAAGCTCCCTCTAATTTTTTGCGGATACTCCGATGCTCGGGGCTTGGTATACGACGCGAGTGGCGTCCCGGAAATCTCCCCGCAGCATGTCGAACCAGTGCCATATTCAGCGCAGGCCGGACCTGGCCTAGGTAGCCTGACATGGGGGACTGTATTGGGAAGCCGCGACATGTGATGGCGTGCGACTGAGACCATCCTGGGATGCGAGAGAGCCTGCAGCTGACTGCGAACATCGAAACCAGCAAAACTGACACCGTCGTTCGGGACGAGGCACGCTTCGGAATCAATTCCTGATGACGACCCCGCCGGAAGCTCGCGGAAGCAAATCTCGAGAACAACGCGTGCAAATAGCCGCATACAGTAAGACAATGGCGGGCAATATACGAGGGACTCGCGATAAGGCAGATCCCTTGGCAGATGCATTCATCTTCCTCGTTGTTGAAACTCTTTCATGCTGCCGCTTGTCCTTGAGATGTGGATGTGGGATAAGTAGAAGTGCTATGCTCACGATAAATTAGAAGATGCAGGTTCACCACTTCGTCCTACACCAGCGACTGCCTTCCAATTCTCGTGTATCCGTCCGCCCGTCCCGCCCCTTCAACATCTTCTCATCAGCGTCCGCTGTGTTTTGTCCTCCAAAGTTCCATCCCCCACCACTGAGCATGCGCAATCTCCACAGCGCGATACCTAAGGCCGCCACATCAACCCCTCGGGAGACGGTTTCCGCGTTTGACGTGACGAGATACGCGTGCGAGGCCTTGCGCTGCTTTGAATCAACTTCGACAGGTGAGGCATCCGTGGGCGATCGAATGGTTCGCTCATGAGCGATGATTGCGGAGAGAAGTTCGTGTAGCTTTCGTCGGTGAGCAGGGTGAGGAAACAATGCTAGGGAGTGGTATAGCGGAATAAGATGCGGTGCGTGTGGCTCGACGCCTTCGAGAGTAGGCTCAATGGGAGCAACAGAATGCAAAGTAGAATGCGGTGGGGGTGGTCGCGGCGGTTTAGTCGTTACATCAGGTGCGCTTGGCGGCGAGGCAGACATGTCGCCTTCCGGTCGAGTACAAGTTGAAGGATTCCGATTGACGGGAGGGCACATGAGGACGGCGATGGCGTCCGTATGTGGTATCGTGTCCGACTCGCGGATGCAAGCAAGCTCTGCGCGTGTGAGGCGACGCACGATCGGCGACGTGCAGCCCTCTCGGCGTTTGGGATGCTCTCGCTCCAGCGCCAGTCGCAGCACTTCGAGTTCCTGGAGAACGCGCACGCGCAACAGGTGCAGCGTCTGCTCGAGCAGGACTGGGGATACCATCCCGCCGCCATGCATGATCTTTCCAGCAGTACCTGCATATCACTTTAGCCTCACGTTCCCCATCCACTAAGTGCTGGACGACATACCTCGTTGCGGTGCCTGAGCAAGCACCTCCGCCCAGCAAGTTATATACCCCGCCTTCCCGCGCCGCTTGCTCTCGAATTTGGGATGCTGCAGCCCGTCGGGGACAATGATCGCGCGGATGTGACTAGCGCGCGACGCAGGGAGCTTCATGGGGAGCAAGCGTATGAGGAAGTCCGAGGGCATGTATCGCCCCGTCACAGCGCATTTTCGGAGGGGGCTAGCCAGCATGCGTACTGAGAGCGTTCGTCAGTATACATAATATTTGGGCGACGCAAATACGCACAATACGGGCTTGCAAACCAGTCGCGCTCTTCGCGCGTCATCTCGCGCGGGGGATCCACGCTCGTGTCCCGTTTGATGTTCCTCCTCCTACTCAGCCTAGGTACCGGCGGCAGCCGCTTATGCCGCACGAAGTCGCTCTTGTGCGTGAAGGGGCTGTAGTCGGCGAGCATGGGCGAGACGGCATGGTGGGCGGGGTCGACGCTAAAGCGTGGGGGGAGGGGTTTGTAGAGAGATTTTGAGGTCTTCGTGAACTTGGCTTGGAGTGCGTCGCGCTCGGGGCTGAGGCTGGGTGGGTTTTTGCTCAGGCGCTTGATGAGGCGGGGGAGGAGGCGCATCAAAAAGCGTCGGAGGCTGATCGCGTCACGTTGTCGCTCCACCAAGTCGAACTGGCACGTGCGGCCCACAATGGCTGGTCCGACTCTGAGGCTCAGGCTGGTCGTAAGTTATGAGGCGTTCGATTCCTTTCTGGCGACATAGAACAGATAAGATACCATCAGAATAACACGACCTTTGAAGGAGAAGACGAACAGTCTCGGTCAGGTTTAATGAAGCCAGCGCTGCCTGTGCCGTACACGATACGAAGCCTTTGTGTAAGAGGGTTCCGATTCCAAGATGAACGGCACTCATGGTATACAACATACAATAAAATCCATATATGGAGCAAGAAAAACTAGTCTACACAGTCACCTCAACGTGCACCTTCGCCATACCATGGCGGGGTATACCCTCCTCCTTCCCTTCCGTAGAAAACACATCCTCAATTTTCCCCGACTTCAGCGCCTCCTCCCTCGCCTTTTTCTCAAATTCCTCCACCAGGACCACTTGACCGCCCATAAGCCGACTCTGCTCGGCAGCGAACACGGTAACGTGACTCTTCGTCACCTCCTTGATGTCGGTGCCCAGGACGCGCTGATCGCCTGTGCGCACGGCCTCGACGAAAGTGCGCGCGAGGCCGGTGTCGCCGCCGCCATGGCCTCCGCCTTCGGACTTGGGATGGACAGACCGTGTGCGCTTTTCGGTCTTGCGGAAATCGGTGACGGTGAACTGGGGAGGAATAATGAGCTAATCGTATGTTCCGTCGCGCTGGAGCATACCTTGGTCATGTCCCCGATGATCTCTCCGTGCGTGAAGTGCATGCGGAGCTGGCGGTCGCAAATTGCCTCCGTAAAGGCTACCATGGTGAACGACACGGTCGTGTCGTTGTCGAACATGATATTCACGACCTGGTTGTCGCAGACGTCGTTGGGCAGCTCGTATACGCAGCTGCCGTATGACGTGTTGTCAAGCGTCTCCTTGACGCCTTCGACCGTTGGCGTGCCATCTGTCAAGACCTCTACAGGCCAAGCTGTGTGGCCGCGCTTGATGGCATCGTAGTAAACTAGGGATTATCGTTAGCCATGAGTATTCTCCAGAATTTACAACAAGCAGACGTACTCTTCTTAGCGCTATAGGCGCAGTCCTTCTCAGCAGGGCAGCTGAGGCACTTCGTAGCGTCGCCCGCCGCAGGTGGCTTCTGTTCCCTCCTGAAGTGGTATAGCGAGCCGAAGGACGACACGCGAACAGGCTTTGCCGGAGCCATCCAGTGGCACAGAATGTCAATGTCGCTGCATTCGGTTAGCCGATTTGGCGGATGTCACCAACAACCACTTACTGGCAGCACTTCGTCAAGAGCGCGAAGGCGCATTCTGCCTCGCGACCCCAGTTCCCGCGCACATAGCTGTGTGCGAAGTGGAAGTAGCCCACCGGCTCGACTTGCACGATATTGACTAGCCGACCAAGCTCTCCCGAGCGAACGATCTTGGTGATTTCTTGACTGTACGGAGAATAGCGCATGACTACGGTGACGCGTCAGCGCTCCTTCAGGGTCCCCCATCAACGCGGAGCTATGCCACCCACCATGTCCCATCCCAAAGATGATATTCTGCCGCGCCACCGCATCCTCCATCCGCAAGCAGTCTCCGACCGTCGTGGCCATCGGCTTCTCGCACAGAATATTGTAGCCGAGCGCCGCAAATGCGCGTACCACCTTCTCATGCATGTGGTCCTGGACGGTGACCAGCACGGCGTCCGCGAGGCGCTTGCCCACGGTGCGAAGCGTCTCTTCCGAGGCGCGACGTAAGGCTTGCCAAGAGTCGAACACCAGCGTCGCGTCTATCGCGTGGCGAGCAGAGAATTCAGCGCGCGTCTTGGGGCGGGGCTCTGCGCAAGCGACCACCTTGGCGCGGCCAGGAGAAGCCAGAGCATACGCGGAGTAGGCCTGGAGGAGGCACGTCAGTTAGCAATCCGTGGCGCTCTCGCACTCAGATTTGTCGAATATCCGTGCAGACCAGGCGAGGAAGATGGAGCGATACTGATGCTGCATATGTGCAAGAGCCAGAAGGATGGGCTGTCTACTTACGTTGCCACGCTGGCCGCAGCCGATGACCGCGAGCGTAACCGGGACGTCCTTAGCAAGAGTCATGTCCTCAGGCGAGATGGGAGGAGGAGAAGAGTACGGCGTCTGGTGAGGCTTGAACAGTTTCCTCCGCATGACTCCCAATCGAGGCCTTCTCGTTGGCTGAGCGGCTCTGTCGGCGAGATAAGAGGCGGAATCGATTCCTCGATAGCACCCTCAAACTGGGTCGGCAACACAAGTGGGTGATGCTGATGGCGCGTGCAGAGGGCGATCACCCGGCCTGCGGCAGGCTATGAGGAGCGGAAAGCGTCGAGGGCACGCGGTCATCAGAGGGAGCACCAACCAACTTCAACTTGCCTCTTTCGGACATCGGGGCGAACCCCGACGCTGGACCCACAAACAGACCCCCTGCACGTGTCGCGGGTGGCTGACTGCAAAAAAAAAGAGCAGAAGTTTTCAATTCGTGATAGTGGTCTCTGTCACCTTGCTTGTAAGGTCTTTCCCGTGTCTTATTGACCCCATCAAAAATGACCCCATGTGCGTAGCACGTTCCGAAGACAACATCGGTAAACGTGCAGACACCTTCGTCCACAAGTCCTGTGCGGCACAACACGACGAGCTCTGCCAACGATAGCAGGATTCAGACTCACGCGCGAGGTGCAAGCAAGGTATGCATCCGGCGAAGCGGGGGCTTCCTCTAGTTACAGAATGACGGATCCATTACGAACCTATTCTCTGTTACTAGAGAGGGTATGTACGCAAGCAACAGAGCCGGCACATAAGGCTAAGAGTAAGAGCGAAAGGAAAGCAGTCGTCAAGCGTAGCGAGGTCATCATTGGCGAGGTCGTGACGAAGTACAGGCGCAACGGTACGACGGGTGTGAGTACGACGTGTAGCGGTAAGTACGACGCACGGACGCACACCCGTGAACGAAGAAGAATAAATATGAATACCGACATCGCAGGGCCAGGCGACAGCGGTAACCAGGTATCCTATGCGTATGCGGTGGGATAGAGACGTGCAGCATAGGTAAAAAGCAGAGTCAAAGTGGTGTAGCAAGCATGCGGATAGCGGACAGCAAGCCGGCATTGCAAGAACACCGGCTGGCAGAGTCTTTAGCACATGCGACGACGGTAGAATATTAGAGTATCTTTGATGTTGGGTACGTAGCCAGATTGCAGAACAGATTGCAGTGCAGGGCGGGTGCGATGATGGTGGGGGGCGAGGGCGTAGATGGATCCTCCACAGCGGGACGGTCTCCTCTCCGGGTACGGCCTTCCTCTATACTTTTGTCTAGCGTCTAGCGTGCCAGGCCAGCCACCATCTCGTCTCCGCCTAGAAGCCTCCAAGGCAGTCCTCGGTCGGTGATATACTGAAGCTCGACATGGAGCTACAGAGCGCTTCTGACGACCGATTCGACTTTTTCCTGCGAGGCACCGCGCGGCGTTGTGACGGTGAGTAGGAGACCACAGTCTCGTTATCGTCGTCGTACTCGCCATCTTCCTCCTCTTCGCCATACATGCTACTGCGGCGCATTGGGCGCGCTTGCGGCGATTCCCGACGAACGCGGCGCGGGCGCGACGGACGTGCTGGGATCGGCTGCGGCTCGGTGTGCTCGACAGCGTGCTTGGGAGCGTGTGGGAGGAATGCGAGTGCTGAGGGCAGGAGGTCGATGGTGGACGTAGACGCGCTATACACGCCCACCGGCTGCGGCTGGGACTCTGGAGGGGGGCTCATGAAGCCGTCGCTCTCGTCGGACTCGGAGGAGAAGTCGGGGACGAGAGGGGGGAGCGAGGGATAGGATGGGCAGGCGGGGGACGCCGGGGCCGCGCTCGCCGGGGCCAGCGCTCGGGGGTGCACTTCCCCGGAGTCCAGTCGTTCCCGCGACGATCGGGAGCGGCGGGTGGGGGAGCACGGCGCGGGCTCGTCATCCGTGTAGGTGCGCCCACCGCGCTCGGGGAGAGCACACGTGTTGGGGCATACAACGATCGGCGAGCGGTCGTAGTCGCAGGATGGCAGAGCGGAGAAGGTGCGCGTGAGCCGCGGGGAGGGCGGGAAGTGGACGCCCCGGGCGGCGGCGGTGACGCAGGACGCGGAGGGTTTGAGGATAGGGCGAGGAGACATTGCGGGAGGTTTTTACGGGTGAGGCGATTGCAATCGGTGCTGGGTGTGGTTGTAGGACAGAGAGTCTGGACGCGATGGGCAGCGAAGAGACGCCCTACAGGACTGCGTGCGGCAGCGCAACGTGTTAGCAGTCGATATCTGGCATGGCGGGGGACAAGTGGTGGCCGGGTTATGAAAACTAAAAAGCGCCGGTCGATGGGGGTTCGGGTCAAAGAGGTTGTTACCGGTCACGCCTCGGTGGCTACCGCGTGACCTTTGTGACCATTCTCCGAGTCCCGGCGTCCTGATCTTTCCAGCCTTGTCCAGCCATGCAGGTGCACAAACGAGCCTCTCCCCGCCGCCTTTCACGCCCAAAAGAGCTCAAAGACGACGGCCCTGGGCGCCTAACGTGTTCTTGCCTGATCGTCACAGTTGTACGTACTAGATGCCCGGTTCATTCCAGTCTGTACCTGGTCCGTTCATATCCGTCGAGGTCCATAACTACCCCAGCTCTCCCTTTTATCGCGATGCGATCCCCCGCGTTATGACGGAAAGGAAGATGCAGGGAACGTCGCGTATTGTGAGTCCGCATCGAAAGCAATGTGCTCTCTGCAATCGTGGGAAGATAGCGTTGCCGGCAGGGCGCATGCTGCCTGTAGCTATGCCCAAGTCCAGAGCTTCATTTGCGAGCTATGTCCGTCGCCTTCGTGAAGCTTCATGTGAAGGCAAGCCCTCCTTCTGTGAACAAGCTCAAGGCCGCATTGCCCTCGCAATGAAAACCTCTGCTCCCGGCGTAGGCGGAGGGTGCTTTTTCCTCGCATATGCTCAGAGGAGGTGTGCCAACCGCGAGGCAGCCTACCCGGTGAAACCCTCTCCCGCGCGGAGGCCGTCGGACAGCGATAGAGCACGGATGACTTGGGGACGATGATATCGCCTGCAGCCTGCCCGCCCATCTCTACAAATCGCTGCAGATGCGTGCCGGCCCAGAGCAAAGCTCTGGCCACTTCCCGTGTGTGGGATTGCATTCCCGCTAGTGATACATCGACTAGGTATACAACAACTTCACTATGGTGCCAAAGCCAACCGCGCGGAGACCTCCGCTTGCGAGCGGACGAGGTTGGCGAGGTAGGTGAGCATGAGGGTGTCCTGTAAGGATGTGAGCAAAAATGCTGGATATTTTTGTCGACAAAAAGAGCGCACCTGGAGGCTGGCCTGGAAACCGCCCTTTTCGAGGTCTTCCGTGCTCGCGCCGAGGGTGTCCATGAGGTACCGACCGACTGCTGGGTCGCCCTGGCGCTCGCCCGCGAGCACCGCGCGCACGTAGGCGAGAACGCGGTCGAGCATGGTCATGACCTGCGATAAAAGAGACCCGATGAGTCGGCGATGGGATTCGACAGCTACAAATATTCTCACCTGAGTCAGAGTCTCCTCCAAGACCTGAAGGTCGGTGAGCGGCTGTGGTGAGGTCGACGACGGCTCGGCGGCGGTTTTCGAGAGGAGATCAACTGGAGGCTGATGATTAGATTGTACCGGGTGGCTGCGCGGGTTCGAACGCACGTCCGCTTCTTTCCGCATCCTGGAAGCGCAGTTCAACGGGTATAGGTGCGAAAACGCAGTTCTCTGGACGAGGGTTGACACCGACGGGGGAGCTATAGGGTATGAGATATCTGAGGCGAAGGTGTAAGACAACTTCACTGACCTGACGAACGCCTTGACACCCGCTTCCTGGCCGGGTTCGACGCCAGTGTTGAGCGCGACATGTATCGCCTGATGCGGTACAGTCTCTTGCATGTAGAAGTTTTGGATGAGAGCGGAGTAGGTATTCAGGTTCGAGCCCGTGGAGTACCTATCAGGACGCGATTAGATCTACGATGACGGAAATGCAGTTGAAGGGCGAGCGAGGGGGAGTACTGACCATCCGACAATGACCTCCTTCGGGTTGACCTTGTGGTGCAGATCGTATACGGCGCGGTGGTACTCCATGTCGACGGCGACCTGCTCGTCTGTTTCGCTGTGCAGTACCGCGAACGAAGACCGGACTTCGATCTCGGTCTCGTTACGCGTCCCAAGAAGGGTACCAATAACGCGCTCTTGCGTATCATTTCGACGCAGGTAGTGGTCAAGGATGGAAAAGAGGGCGACGGGGTGGATCGTCACTTTCGTTGGCGCGCGCCTACATGTTCAGATGTCCGATCATGAAGAGGGGGAGAGGTAGCCAGTAGTGGGAATGGGCGGGGGATGAGATATTGTAAGGGAATGTGAACCACGAGAGAGGGTGCACATGTCGGGCAGTATGATGTGTTGAAGCATGGATGGAAGGCGCTCGATCAGTAGGGTCGTACGCGGGAAAGCGCGATGGACGCACGAAATGGCTTGTGGGGCGCTGCCATGCGCTGCTGGCTGGAGCGTAATTGCCGACGTCGGGGGTCCCAACGACATTGTTCGACCTGATTTTGCGTGGGGAAGGAGAACAAAGACTTGGGTACAAGGCTGGTCGCGAAAAGGAAAGTGCACCCTTGATTGAAAAAAGTGCGCACGTGGCACCGCCCGATCCGGACCCCTTCATCCCAAACCACCACGACCGCGTCCCCCTCCAACCAACGAAAATATGCCGTCTGAAGATACCAAGGTGCGTAGTTAGGTCGGGGAGGGGATTGGGATGAAGCTGACACGCTGAGCAGGAGCGCATTGCCAAGTTCATTGAGATTGGACGCGTATGTGGTCGCGCAGCATAACGGACGCGTGCGGTAGCTGACTTTGGGCGCGCTTTTTCAGACCATTCTCCACTACGGCTGGGTACCGGCGGTCATCTACATTGGCTTCACGAGGAGCAACCCGCAGCCGTCGCTCATCAAGTACGTCCTGCGTTGTCGTTGTCAGTTGCTTTCGCTGACACGCGCTTTCCTTAGGCTCATCAGCCCTCTGGCGTAATGCCGTCCACCACCACTCGTCTTGTGCCCCTTGTATCATAGCATACGCCTAATTGAATATACCGCGCACCGCTCTATAATATCTCGTGTCCCCGCAAGTCTTCTGGCCGAACCTGCAAGCCCTGGGACATACGCACGCAAGCCTCCAATCGTGCGTACTTCCACCTCTCCTTTCTCCATGATTACATACGTCGTGGTGGTACCGTTGGTACCCTGCATCGACAAGTCCCTGGGACTTTGGTACCTGTAACCGCTGTGCTTCCGCATGAGGCTGGTTTAGGTCACTACTCGTACGTCGACGTGAAGATTTGACAAGGCCAGATATGATCATCTTCCCGCCTCAATCAGTGGATCAAACTGTGTACTGATGTACTCTCTTCAGACGGTGTGCATTGGCGGCGGCGCGCTCAAAGCGGCTGTGACCTGGTCACTTGCACAGTGACTGATGGAGTTGAGTAGGCGCCGAGTTTGCCTTGCTTCGGACGCGAGGCCGCGTCATCCCTCAAGTACGTGCATGAGCAGGAGTACGCGGGCCTACTTTCGTAGCTCGCCGTCGACAAGCCTTTGACAACTATGACTGCAAATGACCCCCCACCATATAATGACAGATTGTGCGTCCTTTCCACACGATGGAGGGCGTATACCCTGATACATCACAGCGGAGAGATTATCGCGCCTCTGAGGGGTGCGTATCGCCGCGTAAATGGTCTTGTTTATCTAGTAACAGCCCCCAGCCGAATTTGACGTCCTCAATGGGTCAATCGCCTCCCTCAATCAAGAGAATAAAACGCTGAAGAGTGACCTCGACCTCTACAAAAATGCATATGAATACACGAACGCCAAGCTGACCGACACTCGGAAGGGCAAGGAGGAAGCGGAAAGGCAAAGAGACCAAGCGTCCCTTCGAGCGGAACGCGCGGAGGAAGAGCTAGAGAAGGCCGTTGTTCATGGCGATACGCACCAGATGAAGGTCAGGACCATCACTTCTCACCCTCTAGCACACCAACTCAAAATTTGCGTAGGGACACCGCGTCACGGTTCTGCTCGACGGCGACGGCGCCATATTCAATGACAGCTACATCCTCGAAGGCCAGGCCGGCGGGCACAAGGCGGCCCAGCGCCTGCAGGCGTCTATTGTCCGGCACTTGAAGGACACACTGGGAGACGCTGCTTACCAGATATGGGTCCACATCTTCTTCAATAAGCGTGGTCTTGCGGACACTCTGAGCCGCATGGGTATCATCGGCAACAAGGAACTTGACGAGTTTGTGCTGGGATTCAACCAGTCTACAGAGCGGTTTACTATGCTCGATGTCGGGAATACGAAGGAGGCAGCTGATGCGAAGCTGAGGGGTGCGAATGTCCGGCTCTGTTTGGTCAATGAAACTGATAGATGAGCTCAAGTACTTCTTGAAGACGAGACTCGCTTGTCTAACACCGTGAGAGTATACTTTGCTGGTATGCACAGTCACTCACGAGGTGCAACCAATCTAATCATTCCTCAGGCTGCCACGATAACGGCTATGCCAATACTCTGCGTACTCTCATCACGGAGGGTTTCCGCGACAAACTCGTCCTACTTCGCGGATACTCGGACATGGCCTCGGAGATCAACAAGCTCAATCTCCACGACTTCGCCGTACCCGACCTATTCAGGACCTCCAAGATCGTCAACCCACATAGCTTTGCTTCCAGACAGGCGACAACCACACCCCACGTCATCTCTTCCCCTAGTTCGTCGACCAACATATCCCAACCCGACTTCGGCTTCAAGCCAGATGGCACTCCCGTGTCGGGTACAAGCTCGCACGCCTTACAGTCGCCCCAAACTGACTTGAGACGCCTGCTAGCCGAGACCCAGACGCGGCAGTCGCCAGACAGGCAGCGTCCTGTCACTGGTCCTCCGCCGGGCCTCGCCAACTTGGGAACTCGACCTTTCAGTAATCCGTCTCCAACGACGCAGACCAAACCTTCTGCGGGACAGCAGCCTCTCAAGCTTGATCCTAACAAGGTAGACTGATATTCTTGCGGCGCTATTCTCCAGAGGCTGACGAAATCATTGTAGCCCGTCTACTCCAGTACGTCGCGTCGAGTATACCTCGTTCCTTTGCTGAGCCTAGCGCGCCCACTGGCAGATAACCCTCGACCTTGCCTCAGTTTCTACCTGCTGGACTATTGCGCGCATGACGAAGACTGCACCTTCAGTCATGACTACGAGATATCTCACGAAGATTGGACGAGGATGCAGAAGGACGCGAAGAATATACCCTGCAAGTGGAGTACGTCGAATGCTTCCGCGCGGTCGGCGCGACTGACGGACCTTGTCCACCAACAGGCCCTTGTAGCTGGGGAGATGATTGCATCTACGGACACGCTTGTCCAAAGGGGCGCGCTTGCGAATTCTACAAGAATGGGCGTTGCAAGTTTGGTGGAGGTGCGCAGTAGTCGGTGGTTCCCATGATCTTGCTGAATGCTGACGCTGAGCTGTCGTAGGCGATAAGCATAAGTAGTAAGGTGATCGCATCTAGTAAGAGCTGGTCGTCCATATTACGCTACCCAATTTCCATCCCCACCTCCGCCTCAAATAAATGCGGGTGCCAATGTTACTGAAATCTCTGCGGGCCCAGACCGATTCTTACTCCCTTTCCGGGGTTCGTGTCTGCTTGCGTCAACTCTTAGTGCGTGTTCATCGCAGCTGGTGCGGCTGTGACCGTGTACCTTTCTTCAGTGGCGGTAGCGCGTCTTAGTGCAGGCAGGCGCCGAGCTTAGGCCAGCCTTGCTGCTGACTCGAGGTTGCAGCACTTGGCGGATGCCTGCATGAGGCGGTTGGCTCTGAATCGACTGACGCTGCTCAGAGCTCGCCACAGGACCTCCTTGCAGCCCCCATGGCCAACAGTCCTCCCGCGTCAGCGGCTGATGCCTTGTACGTCTTCCGTTCATGCCCGAGCGCCACGCCCGCTGATACTTCGCAGTGACGAGCTGGTTTCGCCGCTGCTCTCGCCGCTGAGAAGTGAGTTACGTGGCTCTGCGCTGCCGCATGACTCTTGCTGATATCCTGCACCAGGCGAGTTCGATAGACTTAGCGGTTTGATTTCGTCCCGCGACGAAGAAATTAGGGCCCTGCAAAGCGAGTTGGCCCTGTACAAGAATGCATACGAATCGACGAGCGCCCGACAAGTCGCTGCCGAGAAAGAGAGAGACGACGCCGTCCGTGTTGCGGAAGCGATTAGGAAGGAGCTTGAAGACAGCCAAGCGGTCGCGGATGGCTTGCTCCAGGCGAAGGTGCGTCGGCGTCTTAGCCAACTCGTAACTTGCGATAATCTGGATGCAGGGTCACCGTATTGTCGTTCTGGTTGACGGCGACGGTGCTATATTCGACGATGACCTCATCGTCAGAGGACAGGACGGCGGCCACAACGCTGCCCAGCGTCTGCGATTGTCTATCGCTTCGCACCTGAAGGAAACGCAGGGCGACGCGGCGTATCAAATCTGGGTTTACGTTTTCTTCAACAAGCGTGGTCTCGCCGAGACCTTCAACAATATTGGCTTAATTGGCTTCAAGGAGTTCGACGACTTTGTTCTGGGCTTCAACAAGTCCAGCGAGCGCTTCATCATGGTGGATGTTGGGAATACTAAGGAAGCTGCCGACGCCAAGCTGAGAGGTGCGTGAATGGCGATTTTTTCCACTGCTGTTCATTTACCTTTGGTGCAGCGCTCCTGGAGGACGAGGCCCGCATGCCCAGCACGGCAAGGGTCTACTTCGCGGGTGCGTGATGCGTTTCTCGTCTTCGACGTCCTGCTGATATCATTCCGGCTGTTAGGCTGTCACGACAACGGCTACGCGCACACGTTGCGGTCCCTCATCACCGATGGCTACGGCGATAAACTGGTGCTGCTGCGCGGTTACTCCGATATGGCCAAGGAAATCGCTATGCTCGGTCTGCCTGACTTCACCGTACCCGATCTTTTTAGAGCCTCCAAGATCGAGAGCATATGGCGAAGCCCCCAGCCGGCGCACCAGAACTTCTTCCCTTCGGCAACAATGCCTGCCTCCGGTTTGCCTGAGTTCTATAGTTACAATTATGGTGCAGGCGCGGACAATGTACCACTTCCTTCGTCGCCTGCTGTTTTATCGGGCCGTCCTGATCTCGTCGAGGGCGGCTTCGCGACCTTCCCCAATGTTCCGCAAACCCCCTCGTCCAGTAACACACCGCCTACTCCATCGAAGGCTCTTAAGCTGAATCCCAAGAAGGTATGTAAATGTACCGCTCCTTCGTTGCTCACGTACTCATCATCCCCATAGCCTTTCTGGACGAGTTCGTCACTGCGCCGTACTTCTGAGATATCGCTCACCCGAAACGACCCCAGATGATCCCCCACCATGCCGCACTTTCATCCTGCAGAAGCAATGTCTGCTCAAGAAGTGCAAGTACAGTCACGACTACGTCGTCTCCTCCGAAGACGAGGCTAGGATCCGCGAGGAGACGCAGAGAATGGCTTGCGAACATGCCGTGGAGGGTGGGTCCCTCCTTGAATGCGTATTTTCGTCCAATTGACGGTCTCCGCGCGCTCAGGTAAGCAGTGCCCTTGGGGAAAAAGGTGCATCTATGGGCACACTTGTCCGGATGGTCCCACCTGCGTCAAATATAAGAATGGAAAATGCAAATTTCGCGGAGGTACGTATCGCTCAATGTGCACTTCTCTCGCCGACTCAGCTTCCTCAATGCTGATACTACCTTCAATAGCCGATATGCACAAGTGAGACGCTCGTGAAGCGTCGAACTCTACCAACGCCACGCTATCCACCTTCGCCCCTTCCCGCACATGTACTTTTATTATTACGGGCGTTATCAAGAATGCAACATCTGTCACGCACTTGACTGCCCTGCCGAAGCCTGATTTTGCTTGGGCGATGCAACTTTGAACTATGCAAATATAGTCACGTCTACGACGTGTCTCCTCCAGACGTAATCAGGATACGGGAGGAAACGAAGAGGTCAGTGCCCTGTCACTTGTTTTTGAGAGATCCTTGTGAGCGCTCAAGAGAATCGCTGACCAGTGGGTATTCCAAGAAGGACGCCGTGGTTGGGGGGACCGTTGTATGTATGCATATGCTTGAGCAGAAGGCCCGGCTTGTAAATCGTACCAGCATGGCTGATTAATCTTCCGTGCAGGTGCGTATGGCTATCATTTCCGACGAGTTTGCTCGCCGAGCGATTTTCCGTCGCTGAGGGAGGATCATAGAATCAATCGCTATATGCGGCCCGTCCTCGCGCCTTCGTCAGAAGGCGCTATACGAACAATGGCTGTTTCTCGCCTTACGAAGCATGTTATAGGAAAAGCGGATACAGCATATCGATAGTCCGAGGCGTCGGAAGGGCGACTGCCGACACTGCCGTCAACCTTTGCGCAAATTGGAGATTAGTGTATTGCAGGCGGCTGGGAATGTACAAGGTCATTTGAGCAGGATCAGAGCCTTGCCGCTAAGGAGACCGCATCATGGCAAGCGCCGGTCAGGCGTGCTTCGCTTCCCACCCGGGACACTTGACGAGAGCCGCCATCGGGCTGCACCTCTCAAGACCAGACAACGTTGGGAACCATCTCTGACATGGGACGGCGACCGATCGAGTTGGCGCCCTCGACCGTCATGCCCATTCCCGACTCCTCATCCGATCCATTGTGCGTGCCCTGCGATGTTTTCTTACCGAGCTCATCGTCCGCACAGTGAGCAACTCGTCGCACCGCTGAGAGGTGTGTGATGTAGCATGCGTCCGCCTGCAGATGTAAATAGCAGTGCTCTAGCTGGATACAGCCAACTCAGGGAGTCGATTGGCGATCGCGACAAGGAAATCGACAACCTCAAGGTCGAACGCGACTCGCTCAGGCACGCGTACGAAAAACTAAGGAGCAGCAACAGCCAGCAGTACGCAGAATTTTCCGTCCTGGAAAGACGTCGCAAGTCACTCGGTGACATATCCCTACCCGACAGATCGGTACTTTCGACTCCTTTGTAACGGAATGCGTGCTGACATGAACGCAGGATCCCCGGGTCGTTGTCTTTCTCGACGGCGATGGGATACTTTTTGATCAGAACCTCGTTTCTCGAGGGGAGCAGGGCGGGTTAGATGCTGCGCGACGATTGAGCGACGCAATAACCTCGCATCTCAAGGAAACCCTAGGAGATGCAGTAGTCGGACCACGACTACGTATCTGGATGTTCGGGTTTCTCAACCTGAACGGCCTCGCCTCGGCCTACAATAGGGCCGACATCGCTGACTTCGCGAACGTCAAACATTACTCGAGGGTTCACCTCATCCAGCGTCCGTAACATGATGATCGACGTCGGAGGGACCAAAGATGCGGCAGACGACAAAATCAAAGGTGCTTAGCCATCTACGCGGTTTGCCGATGCGCAACTTGACGGATTTCAGCCCTCTTGGATGACTACGTTCCCATGCCCACAACCCTTCGCGTGTATTTCGGAGGTGTGTGGACCGGTCCGCGTTGCAGCTTTGCGCATGACGCAGTCTACAGGATGCCATGATAATGGATATGGTGCTATTCTCCGCACTCTGATCACCGACGGATACAAGGACAAGATTTATCTGCTTCGCGGATACAGGGACATGGCCAACGAAATTAGCAAGCTCGGCCTTGCTGAATACACCGTGCCAGGCCTTTTCAGACCTGACAAGATTCCACCGAGAGCAGTCAAGCTCAGCACGGACCCTTCGACTGCTCTCGCCCACGACTCTAACAACACTTTGAGCTTCTCATCAGACGAAGCTGTTTCCCCAGGAAGTCCGGCCCCACATGCGGGGCCTTCGAACCCTAGCACACACTCACGCTGGGAGGCCAACTTCTTACAGCCTGACGAGTCATTGGAACTCGAGCCCGAGCCCGAGGTCGAGGTGAAGGTGGCTTCCCAGCCATCTACTTCGTCTCCGGCAACAAATTCTATCAGGCTCGGCCGCTCGGCAAGCGACAGCTCATTGAGCCAGTTACTACTGCAGAGTGGTATTGCGATGCACACGTTCGATCCAAAGAAGGTAGACACATCCACAGACTACCACTTGCTCCCCCGCTAACCTGTAACTGTGCTCGTAGTCGTATTTTGCACGTGCGTTACTGGCCCACTAGCTTGTCGTGAACCACTGATACTGATTCACCCTGCATTAGACTCTCCTATACCCTGCATTTATTTTGTCGCGCGCGGTTATTGCACGCGCAAGGGTTCGTGCAGGCATAGTCACGAATACTACGTGACCGAAGAGGACAGGGAGAGGGTTCTGAAGGAATATCGCATGAATTGCCCTTGCATACATATCGCGAAAGGTGTGTTTATTGGTCCAGAAGCAGCGGAGTATCTTGAGAGTATCACGCTTGCAGATAAACACTGCAACATGGGCAACGACTGTATCTATGGGCACGTCTGCCCAGAGGGCCCGAAATGCGCTTCGTACAAAAAGAGAAAATGCATATTTGCCTCTCGTAAAGTTCCCACTCCTGCACATCTTTGCGCTCGCTAACGTGAGTTTGTAGCGAACTTCCACCTTTGATTGGGTATCGACCTGTTTGCAGGGTTGCGCTTTGAATGATTGCCTTTACGTCAAGGCCTTTGCGCTCGCTTTGCGCGTCGTATCTACCAGATGGCTTAAAGCCTAAACTCGTCGAAAGCCTCGATTGGGGTTGATATGATTGCGTTTGAATTGAAGAATACAATGCCTGTGCTACCCGGAACCGAATTATATCCCAAAATATACATCCTTTGTCCAATGATACTATGTATTTGCTACGCCTGTGCGACCTCGACGACCTGCTTTTCCCCGTTGCCCTCAACGACTGCAACTTTCCGCTTGCGTATGGACGCCCGAACGGGATGGGGGTCGGTGAAGATCTCGTCGAGCTCCTCCCTGTGAAAACGAAGGAGGTCAGACAATTTCGAAGAATTTCAAGGTGGAAGGAGGAATAACGCACAATGTTCGCCCCTTGGTTTCGACGGCGAAGAACCAGATCATGCAGCATTCGAAGATATCCCAGACGACGTAGACGATGTAGTACTAGAAGGGGCTTAGTGTCAAACTCACAGGGGCGACGGGAAAAGACAGGTCTTACCTTCCACTTGATCCGCTCAAGTGCGATGGGGCCAGCGTACGTGTTGACGAAGCTGGCGCAAGATACCGCGAGGGAATAGCTACGCAAGATGTGTCAGTACTCGCTCGAACGTAGCCTGCGTAAGAGATTAACCAAGCCATGCCCTTTGCGCGCGTGTTGTAGTGAAGGACTTCAGCCGGGTACAAGGCTTGTAGCGGCGTGTACGTCAAGCTGTACACAAAGCCGAACAGGACTAAAAAGCGAGTTAGCACCCACCTCGCTCACGTCCCGCGACAACTCACAAATGAACGCAATCGCCGAGTTACTCCCCGACTTGCTGCTCCCGGTCTCGCCGAACTCCGCCGTGCACGCCGTCGCAATCGCGAGCATGGCAGCGCTGCAGAGCGTACCCCAGAACCACATTCTGCGGCGCCCAACCTTGTCCGTAAGGCTCGTGCCGATGAGCGCGCCAACAGCGGAGACGATGGTGTTGACGAAGTTGAGGACGAGACGCGCGCGCTGGGACTCGACTCCCGAGTTCTTGAAGAGCACGGTGAGGAAGTAGCCGAGGCCATTGCCGGACCACTGCCCGAAGAAGGCCATGAGAAGCATCCTGCATATGGAGTCACTTGGTGAACGGCCGACAGAGAAGTGCGTGCAGGACAGACTGACATGAATGTCCGATACCGTGCGTTGGGGGTGTTGACGAGCTCGGAGTAGTCGTACCAGCGCTTGTCGCTGGCGTTCTGCTTGATCGCGTCCTCGAATTCGCGCCATTGGAGCTCGACGAGGGGAGCATGCGGGTCGCCTGCGCCGTGGTATTTGGCGAGGATGGCGCGGGCTTGCTCGGGTTTGCCCGTAGCGAGGAGCCAACGGGGGCTTTCGGGGAGGAAGAGAGAGAAGATAATAAGGATGCCGGCTGGGACGAGCTGGATGGCGAGTGGTGAGCGCCAGGACGTCGTGCTCTGCAGCTGCTCCGTGCCGATGGCAATTCCAGCTGCGGCAATGATGAGCCCCATGACCGGAGTCGCAGAGAGACAGAACACGTACTGCAAAGAATTGAACCCGCGTAGTATGAAGCTAGCACTCGTTAAGTTATACATTTCTTTCGTTGGACGATATCCTTACTGTTGTACAAGCCCGTGAGTCTACCACGCCACTGTGGTGGTGACATCTCTACGACGTATGCAGGGCACGCTGTCGTAGTGATTGAGACGCCGAATCCGAGGACGAAGCGACCGCCAAGCAGGTAATCGGTGTCCTTCGCCACGGTGACGACGATGGCGCCAACGGCGATGATGATTGCGCCGAAGAACTACGATGGATTGAGCATTGACTCGCACTTATAGCGAAGACCTTGACTTACCATGCCACCGCGGCGACCGAGACGGTCAGCAATGGGTCCCGCCACGGCCATACCCGCGATTTGACCTGGGTGATGTGAGAAGCTTGCAGCGCATCAGAGCGGTTCAGCGTACCAATGTAGTACTATGGAGGTCACTGTCAATGAACAGGACATGGAAGGTAGGTTGCGATGCTTACAATACCGAAGATGATGGCAGTCACTGAGGTCTTCTTAGCTTGTGAGAGCCTGCGACGATCAATGGGTCTCACCAGTGCCAACTCCTCCGCCTGCATCGTCGCCGGATATGTCGAAGTAATCCAAGTATTGTCTATATTAACGCGTTCAATTCAGGGCAATTATGTTCTGATCGGGGAGTACTTACTGCATGCCATTCACCGCGCCCATGACTACAGAGATGTCAAACAACCTGAACATCACACTGGAGCTTGGCACACACCTTGACCGTCAAATCCATTCGACATGCTGCCCATAAACGCGACCGCCAAGATTGCGAATAGTCTGATAGATGACCAGCTGTACGGGTCGAGCTTCTGCTCGCTGACAGCGAGAGCATAGTCCGCGTTCGTGACCTCCAAGACCGGTGCAGCCCCTGGTGCTGAAGGCGCGACTGGGGAAGCGATACGCTCCTTCTCGTCCGTGCTGTGAGCGCTGCTGCTGCTCGCGCCCTCGTGTGTTGGTGCCATAGCGTTCGTGTACTCGATCGTGTGCGTTGAGAGAACAGAGGAACGTCGGTGGGAGGGCGCGCAACTTTTATGGGCGAGGGAAAGGGCCCGTAAGGCGGTCGAGGTGGGGAATTCACCGGCGGGGTGTCAGCTGAGCGTTAGAATCTCCGTTGAATGGGCAGGGGCAATAGAGTGCGTGCGCTGATGTCCGAGTACGTATTGCGTGCGCCCGGGTCGGCAGGGAGGATGACCCCTTGCTTCTTCCCGACGGCCAAGTTGTCTACTCTGAACGTTTTCCGAGGCTGGAAGACATGGAGGAAAATCCAGAGGATATCCTGCTCGACGCGCAGGGGTCTGGACAGCGGCCAGGGGTCGACGTCGTGAGGAGCAACCACGGGCGGACTTCGGCAATGGACCGCTGGAGGCTCTCAACGGCTCTGACGCGGAATCTGGGACAAGTGCCCAGGCGCGATAATGTCTCAATAGAACGATCAACAGAGAAGCCGAGCGTGCGGAGCAAGTAGCGTGCCCCGCGGGAGCAACATGGAGTTGTCCTCTTTCCCCGGAACTTCCCACTTGCTCGAAATACAATGGAATTGCCAAATGCGATACAACAATGGGCTTGACAGAATCTCCCAAGGCCGTCGACCTCAAGAATTGGCTGCAGAGCCATGGTGGAGGGTTTCATCAATCAGTGAGGCTCGTGTCAGACGACTCAGGTCAGTCACCACCACGTCCTTCCCGAAGCCTTGCTGACAAGTCGTAGAGACGAAGGGAATCAATGCAGTCGCCCTACGTGACATCCCTGCCAGCGAGCCGGTCGTGTGGTGTCCCATAGACCTTATCGTCACTCCTCAGAAGGCGCGCGAAAGCATAGCGATCGCTTTGGGTCTGACAAATGCGGTAAGGCAGGCAAGTGAAAACTGGTCTGAACGTCAATCGATCGGTCTATACCTCTCTTTGCATTCATTGCTACCTAAGTGAGTGGCTGCTAGCAACCATCCTTTATGACGATACGATCATTGCAGTAACCCCGCGCTGTCGCATCGGCCATACGTGGACCTACTCCCACCCGCCAGCACGCTCCGTGCAGCGATCCATTTCACCGAGGACGAGCTCGCTGCCTTCAGGGGCACCAACCTCTATGGCGCGACAATCGATCGACGACGATTGCTCGAGGCTGAATGGCAGAAGTCCCGAGATCTTCTGCGGACTTGCAAGCCCGAGCTTGCGGATTTGCTGACCTGGTATGGCCGAAGTTTGACTCTCCGAGCGCCCATGGACTAAATCTTTATCAATACTCAGGGACCTCTTCGCGGCGTCTACTACCCACTATACGTCACGGGCCTTCCCGTCCAGCATGCTGGAAGAGAACCCTTCTCTGCAGGTCTCTTCGCAGACTGAGCCGGTTCTCATCCCGGGCGTCGACAGCCTCAATCACTACCGCGCGCGCCCGGTAACATGGCTCGTCGAGACGCGCCCAGTCGGACAGCGCCCCGTTGTTGTAAACGAGCGCGTTCCTGCCGATGCTCCGCCTTTCGTCGCGGTCGTGCCCTTGACAGAAACGCCTGCCGGCGCGGAGATCTTCAATAACTATGGCGCGAAGCCGAATGCGGAGCTCATCCTCGGCTACGGCTTCACCCTGGAGGACAACACGGACGACACGATCGTGCTGAAGCTCGGGGGCGGCGGGGAATCCTGGGAGATCGGCCGGCGGTGGAATGAGGAGTACGAACAGCTGTGGCGCCGCATACTGACGAGCGTTGCCGCAGGGGACGGGGGGAAGGCGACATTCGAAGATCGCCTGGAGGCGGCGGAGATGCTGATGGACATGGTACAGCAGAAGCTGCAGGCATTGCCCGATGCGACGGCAGCGCGAGCACTACGTCCTGAGGTTGCGGTGATGCTCAAGCATTATGTCGATGGTGAGTGGATTGTGGGACCCAATGGATGGTTTGGGATGGCCAATGCGTCTCATCTTCAATGCTTCCAACACCGTCCATTGCACCTGATATTCGCTCCCTCTGACGCCCCGTCGCTTCTAGGACAACGCGAGATCCTACAAAGCCTCCATGCATTTGCCGAGAAGCAGGAGCAAGAGGCCATCGCCGCTGCAAAAGAGCAAGGCATTGAGTTGGTCTTCGACGAAGAAGAGGAAGGCGCGTAACCAGGAGATAGACAGATAATTTCCGAGGTTATCGTCTGTCTCATCTCTATCTGCGTCTAAGGGCTCTCGTCGCCAGTGGAGACGTACCGCTCGGGCCTGCCAGTCAGTGGCTCTTGCGTATGTCTTCCGAGTACAGTCCGAGGCGAGCGACGAGCATTGTCCGCTAGTGTCTGCGGGCACTGAACGAGCATGCTATCTCTTCCTATCTACCTACGCCAAGCATGACGTTCCACGACAAGTATGCCTGTTGCATCAAGAACTGTGCGCGTCCGATCGTCGCGCGTCTTGCGCGACTTCAGGATGAGAAGACTTCGCGAAGAGGGTACGATATGACGTAGCGCCTGTTGTCGACGAAGGACATCTGGCAAGGAAGGCAAAGTATACACAGAAGCCAGGTACCGGGAAATCACGCACGCCTTGTAGCCAAGACCTTGCTCATAAGCAGGCTCGTGCTGCGAATGGTTGTGACCGCACATGTTAAACCGTGGGCAGAAATTTGTTGTTGGACCCACAACTTAAGCCGGCACTTGCCGACAAGTGTTTTTTGCCTCCCCGAGCTTTCTTCCGGTAGACAACAGTACAATATCAAGTGCAAGATATAGTAGAGTACAAATAGATGCAGTACATGAAATCCAAATATCCTCCCGGGGAGCAAAAAGCCCAGAGGTACACTCCTATAGGTACACTCGTCTCAGGTCAGCCGCCGCCGTTATGCGCTTGCAAATGGGGCACAACTTGGTCGAACCAAGGCAGCGCAGCCAGCATTCGCGACAGCAAGTATGCCAGCATCCGGTCGATACCGTCGGCTCGTTGTAGGGGTCTAGACATATTCGACAGAGCAAGGAAGTCGAGGATGAGATGCGGGCAGATTCCTGAGGACGGATATGAGGACACGAAATAGCAAACGTGCAAATGCCACTGACCAATAGATCAACCTTCTCCTGCAACGCCACGATAAGTGCCTTCTTATCACCCTTTCGCTTCGCAGCCAAAATCGCAAGGTCGATCCTATCAGCGTCCCCAACGCCCATAACCTCCTCCATCTCGGCCTTCGCGTTCTCGACAGCGGAGCGCTGCACGACCTTGCCGTCAGCGATGAGGTCGCGAAGTGTCCGGTGGTCGGAGTTCAGGTCGTCTCCCTCAATGTCGATCTCGACGTTCTCGTCTGCATCAGCTTGTGGGGGCTGTACGGGGACGATGTCGCCCTCGTTGAATTGGGGCGCGCCGAACATTTCGGCATCGTCGCCGTCGACATCTATTTCTTCGTCGATGTCTTGTTCGTCCTCGTTTCTGGTGTGGAAGCCGGTGCCTGCGGACGTCAATCAGCATACGCTGCAGAGGGTGATAAGGACTTCAACGCTTACCCCGTACGTCTCCTACGTGGCCTATGTGCTCCGCGTCGCCACTATCCTGCCAGACGACTTCTTCAGCTTCTCGCTGAGCAAGCTCCCGCTGTCGCTCTTCCTCTATTCGTCTGCTTTCGTTCGCCACGCACGCATCAACGTGCGCATCGAGGACATCTTGGTCGCCGTGGACAGTCGTCGAGCAGACCGGGCAGATAATTTCATTGCGCCCAGCAGTCATACTTCGGACAGGTCGCGCATCCTCGTCCTCCTCGCGAACCATGTCCTTGAGTTTGGCATGGCGTTGTTTGCGCCGGCGCCTAATGCTCTGTATCGCCTTCTCGCCCTGATAGAGGGGATCTGAGGGGTCTCGCGCGCTAGCGGAGGAGAAGGACTTCCTAGCCCGTATCGCAGAGCGCCGACTCGCATTGCTGGGGCTGCCACAATGGTCAGTAGGAGCGACATAAACTGTAGGAGTAGTGATGACTCACCCTTCCTCGCGGTCATCTTGGTATACTTCTGGAGACCCGACATTGGCGATGATCTCGTCGACGCGCTCGGACTCGAGCTCCAGGTGTTTGCCCATTAGGCGCAGAGGGATTAGCTCGCTGCATACGGGGCATGGGCGCGTCTCTGCACGCTTCGCTGGGCCCTATTTCAGTGAGAGCCCTACCCGTGCGCCAGAGGAGCAACGTACGTTTTTTCACTGGAGGAGGATCAGACGGTGCAGGAGACAGGGACGAAGTGCTATCGCTATGGTGTAAAGCAGTAGGAGGGTCCCTAGTGCGCTTCTTGCCTCTGTAAAGGGAACTCAAAATTAGAGGTCCGTAAATGAGCAGCTTGAAGGAGGTCCGCACTTTGAGGAACCGCGGGCGACCATGAAGATGTAGTTTGTGCGGGAGTTGCTGAGGTATATGTATACAGAATTTGTGGTATGTGGGTCCACGCAGGATATGACCGTCTTGGGCTGGATTCGGCTGAAGGTCGCTGGATGAGGATGAGTGCCCGATTCGATCTCGGCCACGTGGCGGACTTGCCCACCCCGCGGCAATCAATTCTGGAACAATAACCAGGGACGCGTTCCGTTTCCCCAGATCTCCCCCTTCCCTCTCGCCCTCATGAAAGCCGCGAGATCGCACCTTTCGAATCGTTTAGCCGCCAATTCCACGCCCAGAGCGCAGGCGTCCCCGGACTTCCAGACAGGATAACGGTCAGGAGGAAGAACTCCCCGCGAGGGGCTCCCTTTGCCAATCCGAAGTTACCCCGAGCCCCAGTATACGTTATAAAGTACCCGGCTGGTCGCGCGACGCTCACGGGAGCTCCTCCTTTCGCGACCTCTCACGCACGCTTTACGGCCTATCTGCAGCTATGCTCCCACCCGATTTCGACATCGATGAGGTTCTCTCCAAGCTTTCCGTCTCGCAGAAGGTGAAGCTGCTCTGTGGCAAGGTGAGCACCCGTGTGATCACTGGGGATATTGGCCAACTGACACCCTCTAGGGATGGTGGCATACAGAACCCATTCCCGAAGTAGGGGTACCCTCTATGCGAATGAGCGACGGTGCGTCAAGGTTGCACGTATGTGTACTTCCTCGGCTCACAGCGCATACATAGGACCCAATGGTGTACGCGGGACGCGATGTAAGTCACGTTCTGTCGATTCAAGCCACTTTCAGCCTCTAATTCTGCATCGACAGTCTTCAATGGCGTTCCTTCGAGCGCGTTCCCCTCATCCACCGGTCTTGGCTCCTCCTTCGACATCGACCTCGCCGAGGAAGTAGGCAAAGCCTTAGCGGACGAGTGTCGCGCCAAAGGTATCTATCAATCTACTCCTACCCTGAACCACCTTTGATGACGGCGCCAGGCTGCCACATCCTCCTCGGGCCTACCGTCAACACCCAACGCTCTCCTCTCGGCGGTCGTGGCTTCGAGAGCTTCTCAGAGGACCCAGTCCTCAACGGCACAATTGCTGCCGCATACATCAATGGTCTGCAATCGAAGGGCGTCAGCGCGACCATCAAGCACTTTGTTGCGAATGACCAGGAGTTTGAAAGGTCAGTTCGGCGTCCGTATACTTCTTGCCGACCTCGTATTGACATGAGTTGCCAGGTTCTCCATCAGCGGTACGCACCGTCAAGCACTCAATATGAATCTGGACGTCGTCTGACCCGCATACAGCCGACGTCAGCGAGCGCGCATTGCGCGAAATCTACTTGAAGCCCTTCCAGATTGCGCTAAAGAAGGGGAACCCATGGGCCTTCATGTCTTCGTGAGTGCGCATACATGCTACCCAAGTCTATTGACTAAGAACTCCTTTTACAAGGTACAACCGGGTCAATGGCTTGCACGTATCTGAGGACAAGCGCCTTCTGAATGACGTGCTTCGCAAGGTGAGCTCGCTATCTATATCTTCAACCGTTTATCTGACTTTTGCCAAAGGAATGGGGCTTCGACGGTAAGCTAGACCGACCGAGCTTCATCTGTTTGCTCAACGCCTCGGAGGCCTCATCATGAGTGACTGGATTGGCGTATATTCGACTACTGCGAGTATCAAGGCTGGTCTTGACCTTGAGATGCCGTACGTTCAACGGAGAAATGAAGACGGTCGAGATAACTTATCACTGTCAACAGTGGTCCGACCGCTATGCGGGGACGCGCTATTGAACGTGCGATGGCAGGCGGCAAGCTCGACGTCAGCGACCTTGACTTCTGCGTCCGCCACGTGAGTTGCTCTGTACCAATGACCATCACGATGTGCTCAGAAGTTGCCTGCAGATCCTCGGCCTCCTCAAGCGCGCCTACGCCTCCGGCATCCCCTTCGACGGCCCCGAAGAAGGCCTCGATACCCCCGAGGTCCGCGCCCTCCTCCGCCGCGCCTCCGCCGACGCCACCGTCCTCCTCAAGAACGACAAGGGCGTCCTCCCCCTCAAGCCGTCCACCAAATCCATCGCCGTCATCGGCCCGAACGCCAAGTACGCCATGACCTCCGGCGGCGGGTCCGCGCGGCTCTTGTCTACCTACACCATCTCCCCGCTCGAGGGCATCGAGGGCGAGGCGAAGAAGATCGGCGCGGAGGTGCGGTACAAGATCGGGGCGACGAGCCATAAGTATCTTCCGTTGCTGGATGGGTATATCAAGCAGGCGAATGGGGAGCCGGGCGCGCTTGTGGAGTTTTGGAACGAGGAGCCGTCGGAGGATTTCACGTCGGTGCAGGCGAACTTGAGCTCGAGTATGAAGCCGGCGGTGTGGAGCACGCCGACGAAGAGCACGACCTGCTTCCTTATGGATGGGATTGTGAGTGCAAAAGCGTGGAGGTCAGTATGGCTACTCATCATCATCATCATCATCACAGGACGCATCGAAAGTCAACTACAAGTGCTGGATTCGGGTAAGCTATTCCTGCTTTCCTTGCCGACAAAAGGACGCGCACTCACCCACCCCTACAGTTCAGCACCAAATTTACCCCCGACGAATCCGGCGACTGGGACTTCGGCCTCAACCTCGCCGGCCGCGGGAACCTCTTCCTCGACGGCAAGCTCGTCATTGACCTCTCCACCAACCCCGAGCTCGGCGAGGCCTTCTTCGGCCTCGGCACCGTCGACGTCAAGACCACCGTCAAGGGCCTCAAGGCCGGCCAGACGTACGATCTGGAGATCAGGATCAATAGCGCGGACTTCCAGGCAAGGAGCAGCCCATTCGAGTGTTATGGGGGGATTAGGTTGGGCGCGATGCCGTCGACGGATCCGGAGGTGGCGATTAGGGAGGCGGTGGAGGTGGCGAAGGCGTCGGATGGTGAGTGGCAGTTTGGTGAGGTGGTGGGGATGTGAATGCTTATGGCGTTGGTCAGTTGCGTTGTTGATCATCGGGTTAAACCATGAGTGAGTTCGGTGATCTGAGTGAGAAGGGAGGTCGTACTGATTACTCTGCAGCTGGGAAAGCGAAGGATTCGATCGTCAGGACATGAAGCTGCCGGGCCTCACGAATCGCCTGGTTTCCGAGGTTCTCAAGGCCAATCCCAACACCGTAGTGGTCAACCAGTCGGGCACGCCGGTCGAGATGCCGTGGATTGATGAGGCGCATACTTTGCTGCAGGTATGATCCTTAACTGAGCGAGGTTGATCAGGGGCTAAAGCTCCTTTAGGCGTTCTACGGCGGAAACGAAGTTGGCACGGGTCTGGCGGACGTACTGTTCGGCAATGTCAACCCTTCTGGGAAGTTGGCGCTGACGTTCCCGTGCGATATTGTCATTCTGCTTGCTTGAACCCTGTGCTAACGTGCAGGCAGGAAACGTCTTGAGGATAGCCCCTCTCACCTTTTCTTCGGCAATCAGGGCGAGACGCCCGGTCGGGTGCTCTACAACGAGGTAAGGCGATAACGCATCGTCTTTGATTAATGTCTCAGTTCACTTTCACTGTAGGGTATCTACGTCGGCTACCGTGGCTTCGAGAAGCGTGACCTCGCACCTCTTTTCCCCTTCGGCTATGGGATAACCTACTCTTCCTTCGAATACTCCGACCTCTCCCTCTCGCCGCTATCCGACAAGGGCGACTTGACGGTCACTTTCAAGATCAAGAACACCAGCGGCATCGCTGGCCGCGAGGTTGCGCAGGTCTACGTGACTGACCCGGAGTCGACGGCCCCGAGGCCAGCGAAGGAGCTCAAGGGCTTCACGAAGGTGGCACTGCAGCTGGGCGAGACGAAGACGGCGACGGTGGCGCTGGACAAGGATGCGTTCAGCTACTATGACGAGAGGAAGGCGGCTTGGGTGGCGGAGAAGGGGAAGTTTGGCATCTGGGTCGGCGCGAGCTCGGCGGATATCAAGTTGAAGGGGGAGGCTGAGTTGAAGAAGACGTTCACCTGGACGGGCCTGTAAAGACAAAGTGTCATTGTGTGTATCTGTATGTAACTATCGCCTGTACAAGTATCGATTGAAGAACCTCCGTGTATGCAGTTCATGGTCGCTTTCTCTTCATATTGCGGTGTTTTGGTTGAAGTTCAACCTTGCACGTGAATGTCACGGTTCGCCTTCCGGGCTCGCGGGCCGCAGCGGACGCATTCCATCAGCAACGGTCGCGCTTGCCCTGGGACTTGGCGACAACGATGCAAGCTGGCCGCCAATGATCTGCGATTGAGCCCGTCTCTTGACCGCAGCCTGGTCGATCCGGCTCCCTCCTCCTCCTCCCTCCCTCTACCTCTCTTTGTCCTTGCTTCAGTGGTCTGGCACCCTCCTTCGTTCGCCTGGTGCAACGTCTCCGTCTTTTCTCGGTTCTTTGTCCCTTTCTCCTCGTCAGAGAACACCCGGCGGCAGTCACGAACGATATCTTCACGATTCATGGCTGAGGAAGGCTCCTCTTCCGGCGCGTCCGTCGCCTCTAGACAAGCGGGCCCGCTGCCCTCGAAGCGCGGCGAAATCGGCTTCAGGGAAGACGTCCACGGTGCGCTGAACTCAACAACACCGACAACCGAGCCCGCCGTTCCCCTCCCCGCCCGCCACCCTGCCGAACGCGACCCCCTCCCCTCCAACACGCCCGCGGACGCCACTTTTGCCCCCGTCCCAGTCCGCTCGCCCTCCCCCTCCCTCCCCGACCCACCCCGCAAGGGCCTCCTCAAGCGGCAATTCGGCGGCATGCACATCGGCACGCTCTTCTTCTGCACCGTCCAGACAGCCATGCTCATCGGCACGATCGTCGGCTGGGCGATCACCGCCATCCGCATCCGCGCGCTCGTCGCCGCGCGCCCCGGAGAGGGTATGGGCTCCGCGACGGTGTTCGTGCACGTCGCGTTCTGCCTCGCGACGCTCGGGCAGGTGCTCGTGCTCGAGCGCCGCGTGTTTGCGCTGCGCGCGGAGCGGTGGGCGTATAAGCATCCGGGGGAGATTCTGCCTGTGGCGCATGGGAGGAGGCGGGGCAGGTTTGGTGGCGGGTCGTTGCCGATTGCGCCGTGGCATCGGCCGCCGCTGCCTACGTATGCGAGCGTTGTGGCGGATAGCGGGGCGAGGACTGGGGATGTGGAGGTACGTCCTGATGCTATCATGAAGTACCTGTAGCTGAGGCTTTTGCAGGACGAAATCATCGCAGCGCCGCCCCCGCCAGCTTATGGTCACACGCGCGGCAGCACCCTCCTTCTCTCCGGCTTCCTACGCGAAAGTCTGCGCGCCCAGCGTCCGCCCTCTCAGCACAGTCAACGCAGTCAAAGACCGGCATATGGGCGCTCTAGTATGGCGAGCCAGCGCTCCAAGATGGAGAGCCAACGCGGCTCCCATATTAGCGAGAGTCCGCGCTCCCGAACGAGCCAGCCGCAAATGACCGAACGGCCGGATTCGCGCAGCAGCTTCTTCAGCTTCGAGTCTATCACTCAGGACGCCCAGCGCGCCCGGCAGCTTGAGGATAGCTTGTCGAAGCTGGAAGGCGGGCGGTAACGCTCTCAGCAGCGAACTGCTGTCGGTCGTTGTTGTACCTGACCGCATGAGACTGCACGGACTACATTCCGTTGCTGGGTGGTACCGTTGTCCCACGCAAATGCTCCCTTGTATGTATTTGCATTGTAACACTATCACAAGTTGGCTGTATTCCGGTGGGTCTATGTATGCAGCGCGTACAACGATTGCCGGTCATCCAAGAACATTCGTCACAGATTATTTCCCGCACGCGTCGTCCCTGGCATCTCAAACCTCGTATCCCGCAACGTGCAAGAGCGTAGCGAACTAGGGGTGCATTATATGAATGTTTGGTTCAGAGGTAATTGCAAGTCAAAACACACCTCAACCATAGCGATAGCCTTCAGCTGGTCGAAGTCATAGCCCTCGCGGTCGCTCAGATCTCCACTGTTGTGGTACATGGGGTCGATGACTAGGAGGCCTCGTCAGTACCTCGTGCGCGTGGTGAGCACTGGCGAAGGGGTTACTTGGTCCAGCACGCTCGAACACCTGCGTCGCAGGGAAGCCCAATTGATGGAAGGACTGGTGGTCGGAGCAGCATGCACGCGTCGTGCCAACGGTTAGCTCGGGGACGTAGAGCGACGCAACCTCAGCTACAAGGCCCGCGACCTCGGGGCTGCCGATGCTAGAGGGCATCGTCAGCACTCAGACCACGACATATACCCCCCTCCTCTCGAAAAACATTCATCCAAGCGACTCCCCACTCACGTCTCTGGCAACCCCAACTGCAGCGGCTCCCCTGGTTCATGATACGCAATCATATCCGCTTGGATCACCATCGTGAGGTTCGCGTCCAGATCGCGCAGCTCCTTCGCGTAGGCGCGCGAGCCCAGGAGTCCCTGCTCCTCGCCAGCGAAGAAGACGAGCTCGACGTTGGTGAGGAAGCGGATGTTCTTGCGGTTTATAGCGCGTGCGATGGCGAGGAGGCCGGTGGTCCCAGAGCCATCGTCGTCGGCACCTGGGTGAAGAGTGAGTCGGTGGTAGGGGAGGGATGGAGGGAGGTAAGAGGATTGAGTATGGGAAGGGTGGTCAGAGGGAAGCAGAGGGAAATCCGGAAGTAAGAGGGGAGACTGAACGTACCGGGGGCGCGTAAAGAGCCGAAGGAACCTCTGGAGTCGTAGTGCGCGCTGATGAGAACGGTGTTGTTCGAGGGGACAATGGATGTGTAGCGACTGTGCGCATTTTAGCACGAGACCCTTCCCTAGGGAAGGATACGTACCAAACGACGTTATCCGCGAATCCTAGGAGGAACTGCTTGAACTCGCAAGTTGCGCCGGTCGCCTCGACGCGCTCCTTGAGCCACTCGGCAGCCGTGCGCGAGCCCTCTGAGAACGAATGACGCGATACAATACCGGACTTGCCGTCCTCGCCCGTCAGGAACCGGATGTCGTTTATCATCTGGGGGAGGGACATGCTGTTCACCGTCGACGCGATGACGGGGTCAAACTTGAGGTTGGCGAGGACCTCCTTGACGTGCTCGAGGGCCTCTGAGGGGACGGGGATGAAGGGGACGGGGTCCTTGGGTATGATGGTGGACTTCCAGTATCGGGGGAGGAGGGTGTCGATGGTGAGGGCGGCGGCATCATCGACGGAGACGAGGATAGCAGAGCGAGAGCGGTAGATGATATCGAGGGGAGCGGCATACACGTCGCTGCTGATTACATCTTGGTCGAGCGGGGGCTCTGCAACAGCTGCGAGCTCGCGGCGCAGGTGAGCCTCGATGTCGATGTCGGCATTCAGGGATGCAAGTAGAGACTGGTCCACAGCCTTGCTTTCAATCCAGACGAGAGTCTGCTGCTCGCCTCCAAGAGTAAGAGATATCGAAGCCGAAGGGGCGAACGCGGGCTCCGTCCAAGTCTCCATACACGGTACGTCCGGCATGAACAGCGCAAGTTCAGGACCGTCGGGATGCGACTGGTCCATGACGATGCCGCGGAACGAGTCGCTCAAGCATGAGTCGAAGAGCGACGGCGCAAAAGGCGCGACCAACGTGAGCGAGGGGGCCGTCATCGTTGGAGACAACGAGGAGGCTGCAGGCGACGCGGCCGCGATACGATAGCTCGCCACCCGGAAGTCGGCCCGGGGACGCGATCAGCATACACCGTCATGCCGCGCGCGTTCCTTGCGTCCATGAGGATTGGTTTAGGGAACAATGGGTAGGTGAGGGCAGCAAGGGTCGAATAATTGCTGACTGTATGCACAGACTCGGCCATCGCGAAGCAGCTCGTTGACAAGATCTACGAGAAGCGCAAGGCCGCCGCGCTCGAACTCGAAAAGTAGGACGGGTGCTTCGCCGAAGTCCAACGCTCACAACCTCCCCAGGCAGATCCGAGACTGCCAGCAGCAACGAGATGAGCGGCGCATATCTCAGATAATCGACCAGCTGGTCGACATGTTCAGCAATTCGTCAAACGCGCTGCACGTCCGCAATGGCGGTCTCATCGGCTTGGCGGGCACGGCTATCGCGCTAGGCGTCGAGGTCGCGCCTTACATGGACAAGTTCATCCACCAGCTGCTCGCCTGCTTCGTCGATCCCGAGAACAGGATACGATACTTCTCCGCGGAGTGCCTGTACAATATCGCCAAGGTGTCGAAGGGGGAGGTGCTCGTATATTTCAACGAGATCTTCGACGCGCTCAGCAAGGTGTGTGGCCCGCGCGATGCCACACGCTCCTACACTTACATCCTCGCCAGCTCGCTGCAGACTCCGAACTTTCGGTCAGGAATGGCGCGGAGCTGCTAGATCGCCTGCTGAAGGATATTGTGGCCGAGTCCGCCTCCGTCTACATCCCCCTCTACCCTGAAACTGAGAAGATCCGCGACGAGCACGAGGAGGCCCGTGGTGTTCTCGTCGACTACCCTGACGGCAAGGAGGGCCACCGCGGCATGCCCGGCACCAAGAAGGCGTTCTCCCTCGCGCACTTCATTCCCCTCCTCCGCGAACGGATATACGTCGTTAGCCCGTTCACCAGGACATACTTGGTGTCATGGATCACGGTCCTTGACTCTGTCCCTGAACTAGAGCTGATCACGTACCTGCCTGAATTTCTGGATGGTCTACTGTGAGTTGCGCCATTCACTCACCGACATGTTGCTGAATTGCTTAGGCGATATTTGTCTGACCCAACAGAAGACGTTAGAGTCACGACCGAGATCCTGCTCGCCGACTTCCTACGCGAAATCCAGGACGTTAGCAACGTTCGCCACCGTACTGAGGAGCAGGCAAGAAGACAAAGTACCGACCCGGCAGAGTCTCTCCGTCAATATGACGGCGCAGAGAATGGGCCGGACTCGCCGGTTGAGAATCGTGCGGTCACTCCCTCGCAACAAGACCGAGGCGCGTTCCTGCCCGACAGCGACGATCAGTCAACGCCCCGCGATACCGACTCGCCTGCACAGTTGGACGATGAACGAGATAACGGAGGTGAGAATAGTTTTGTGGAGAGAGCAACGTGTCCTGATTCTTTATGAAGCTTGGGTTCCCGGTCAAGGCGTTCGCATTGACTATTCCGCCATTGTCGACATTCTGTTGAGCCAGCTTGATGGAGAGCGTACGTGTTGCTTCTCTTTTCACTAGCAGGCATGCTGATACAAGTATTACAGATGATGAGATTCAACAGTCAACAGCCCTTCGATGGCTTGCTGAATTCATGACCTTCGCCCCCGAGGTCATGGTCCCCTTTACCCCTCGTCTCGTTCCGGCCGTCCTCCCCAATCTTGCTCATCACGCACCGGGCATACAGACCCAGGCCATACGTCTCAACAAGCTCCTTATGAATGCTATTCTGAACCTTCCCTCACCTTCATCGCCATCTGTGCCGCGATTCCAAGGTCGCACTCCGGCATCACCTTCACCCACAGCTACAACGTCGAGGCAACCCACAACCGCTACCCGGGATAGCAGCTCACGGGACATATCGTCTCCTGAACCGCCTACCGACCCTCCACAGCCTCCCACTCCCGCCGCCGCCAACGCTCCCCTTCCGCGGTCTCGTGGCAGCGGGGCGGACATCTCGATGACCAACATGGTCGGCGCAGTCGCTTCTCGCCCGTTCCCCACGAGCGACGGCGCCAACGCGGCTCCAGCCTCCACGCCCAGCAGACCACACTCGCCGGTGTCCTTAAAGAGCCAGCATACGCAGGCGCAGGCGCAAAGCGTGGTTATGGCGGAGGAGCCGGACTACTTCGACTACCAGGGCACGGTGACGGAGCTGACGGTCCAATTCCTGAGCGAGTTTGAGGAGACGAGGGTCGCTGCGCTCAAGTGGTTAATCATGCTGCATCAGAAGGCGCCAAAGAAGGTGTGTATTGCTTGTGACTCTAATCCGTTGTTTGTCGGGCTGTTCTCCGTCTGTTGACCGAGAGGAGACGATATGCTCACGAGACTGTCATTAGATTCTGGCTATGGATGATGGAACGTTCCCTGCGCTGTTAAAGACGCTTTCGGATAGCTCAGATGAGGTAAGGCTGCCGGCGTTCTCCGTACAGTCTGCCATGATTGACCCAGAACAACAGGTCATCAAGCACGACCTGCAGCTACTGGCGCAAATTTCGTCGTCCTCGGAGGAAACCTATTTCAAGGCCTTTATGATGAACCTCCTCGAGCTATTCAGCACCGACAGGAAATTGTTGGAAACCCGGGGTAGCCTCATCATCCGCCAACTTTGCCTGAACCTAAACCCTGACCGGATATACCGGACATTTGCGGAGATCCTCGAGAAGGAAGATGTGAGTGTTGACCTTACCACTTTGAGGCACGCTAGCGGAATGGCTGATTTGTTGGCCAGGATTTGGAGTTCGCGAGCGTGATTGTGCAAAACTTGAACATGATACTCATCACCTCGCCTGAGCTCACGGACTTCCGCAAGCGGCTAAAGAGCCTGGAGACAAGGGTCAGTGGCGGCGCCTCGAGAAACGCAGCGGCAGGAATCTGACACGCACGCTACAGCAGGACGGGCAAGCGCTGTTCACCACGCTCTATCGGTCATGGTGCCACAACGCCGTATCGGTGTTCTCCTTATGTCTTCTTGCGCAGGCGTACGAGCACGCCTCGAATCTTCTGTACATCTTGTCGGTTCTTCGTTTCCGTGGGCTGCGGCGGGGTGCTTACCGTGTTTGCTCCCTCTAGCGCGGACCTGGAGATCACCGTCCCGATGCTGGTGCAGATCGACAAGCTGGTTCAGCTCATCGAGTCGCCCGTGTTCACCTGTGCGTACGGTTTGCTTTCGAGCGTGACAGACATAAACTGACAAACAACTCACAACAACGGCAGATATCCGACTGCAGCTACTAGAACCCGAGCGCTATCCCCATCTGTTCAAGTGCCTCTACGGACTGCTTATGCTGCTGCCGCAGAGCACTGCGTTCGTCTCCCTGCGCAATCGCTTGAACGCGGTAAATTCCGCGGGCTTCTTGCACATTGCGCCTAAATCGTACGTCTCTGCGCCTGAAGCGTAACGAACCAGTGCTTATGTTGACTTTCTTTCGACTCCTTCTACGCTCACTTTCTGTCTATCCGTCCCCATCCCCATTCTCACCATAACCCTCTACCCTATTCCTGTCTTGCTATCACGCGCGTCGTCTTCGACCCTCTTCAGCTCCATAAGTATACCTGCGCGCTCGAAGGTCAACCGCGACCGGGAGGAAATCCGATGGCAGGAGCTCCTCCAGCACTTCCGCACTGTCCAGGGAAAGCACGAAAAGGCGCGCAGGCTAGCCCTCGGCTCGGATGGATCGCCCTTCACCAGCTTCCTGGAGGCCGAGCGGTACGGGGATCCCTCGGCTACCAGCGGCGGGCCCTCAAGACCATCTACGGTGACCAGGCCGCCGATGCGGCGGAAGGTGACAGGCTCGCCGGAGACGGCAACTGTGAACCCCCAGGCGAGCCCGCCGGCGCAGCAAAGGGGCGGTGGGGCGCTGTCTCCATTGAACCCGAGGGCGAGGGGGCAGACGGGCCTGCTGTCGAGTGTGATGTCGTCGCAGTCGTCGCAGCAGTCGAGCGGGTCAGGGGGACAGGCTGCGAAGCCGAAGAGGGTGCCTTTGAATTTGGGGAGGAAGTAGTATTGTGGTGTGGGGAGGCTTGCATTTTTTTGCATGGATTCTTTGTACATAGTTATTACCCGCGCGCGCACTTTGTACTGTTTATGATGTGGCTCCCTTGTCACGGCCATGATGCATACGGCTGAACATTACGAGTAGTACTGAGGATATGATTACGCCAAGATGCCAGAATCAGAGATTATTGGGAAGGGTAAGTAGGTGCCGCCGGATGACCGTGATATCGTCATCTGTTAGGTCCAGGTATTTCTTGAGGTACGCCTCGACTCCCCCGTATTTCTGGTCTAGCATTGTGAAGAATGCGGGTATAACATCCGCTCTGATGAGTGGTGGATGAGACGATGTCTGTGACGGGTAAGAAGGGCCTTACCTGCAAGACAGCATGTTGAGAGCCATTTCCTTGTTGGAGGCGAACAAGTTCTCCTGTGACAGGCGCTGCATTATCATTTCCCTTGCTGGTTCGCGACCTATTCGTGTGAGGGCATAATCTTGCGCGATGAGCTCGGTGTCGACGCCTGCAAGCTACAAACGGGATGACGGAAGGAAACATGGTGACAAGAACGCGCACACCTTCAGCAAAAGGGCGGCAAGGACACCTGTCCTGTCCTTGCCGGCGGTGCAGTGAAAGAGAAAGCCATCTGATGGCCTATCGCGAACGTGGCGGAAGATGGTACCAAACGAAGAGCCGGCGTGATCCATGATCTGGGAGTACAGTTCCATGAAGGCCTGATTGCTATGTCAGGTCAAGCCTATGGGAATCGAACAGAAGTTCGTACCTCAGTCTTCCCACTCGCGTACAGCTGGAATCGTCTACACCGTCGATTAGGCGCCGGACTGATGAACCGGGGAATGCGACGTACTCACTTCGCCATCATCTCAGGGCTGTAGTCCTCTTTCTCGAAGACGGGGGTGCGCTTGATCTCGACGCCCTCAATGACCGGAATCGGGGAGTGGTATTTCTCCATCTCAGTGTCTGACCGCAGATCGAAGACGGTGGTCACTCCGAGCGCTCTGAGCTGAGCCTTCCCTTGACATGAACATTACGAAAGCACGCAGACAAATGGAGAGAAATCGACCTTCATCCGTGATGCTCGAGAGCTCGGCGGAGCGGTACATGTAGTGAGGCTTGGTGCGCTGGGGAGGGTATGCAGCCGAGGGTAGGTTCCCCAGATCGCGTATGTTTATCACACCCGAGACCTGTACAAAGGGAGGCTTGGAGAGCGCCTCAGCGACCTCCTGCGGGTCCAGTGGCTTCAGTGCGTCGGCCATGGCTATGGGAGAATGCAACGTATGTGGATGAGGGGATGGGCAAGAACAGCTCATGTCGGAAGTTCGGGCCGTGCCCGTAACGCGGTATGACCGGCCCTCAAGCGATCAATTAGCGTGTTGCCTTTGCACTGTCTCTCGCGTTCTGCAACGCGTTCACCGTTCCCCATCACGATGAGCTCAGTCCTAGGATCTTCCCCGCGAAGGGGTCCACCGTCTTCTATGGCGTCTATGCCTCCCAGCAGCGCGCCACAGGGCACCCAATCGTCGCCAGCCAGAGGTCCCGCGCGCCGCACCCCAGACGCGCTCGCGATGAACGATGATGAAGCGGAGGAAGAGGGTGCACCCACTAGAAAGAGGAGAAGACCAAGGAACGCTCAGAACAACGGCAACGTCCCTGTTGTACGCGATGCTGTTGGCGAGAGTGTCGCGGAGAACTTTGAGGGGTTCCTAAAGAAGTGCGTCGACGCGTCTTAACCTTGAATGCGTCATGTCTGACGCGTTCTACAGCTACACTGCCGGCGTGCATCTTGCCGCCACCCCCAACTCGGAAGGGGATGCACCAGAGACCGATGGCGAACGCATCTACATCGACCAAATCCACAGCATGCGCGAATACGAAATCACCACCCTCTACGTTGACTATAGCCACATCCTTGAAACCGATGTCGTCCTAGCCGACGCGATCAAAAATCAGTACTACCGCTTCCTGCCCTACTTGCGTCGCGCCGTGCTTAACTTGGTCGAGGAATACGAACCGGAATACCTGAAAATCAACCCAACTTCCGCCTCCACAGACAGTGCGAACTTGCAATCTCGCGAGTTCAATGTCGCGTTTTACGGCCTTCCTCTGGTCTCTGGCATCCGCGAGCTACGCACGGACAGGATTGGTCAGCTGATGAGCATCAGCGGGACGGTAACTCGAACGAGCGAGGTCAGACCCGAGCTGCTCTATGGCAGCTTTGTTTGCGAAGTCTGCAAGGGCATCATCAACGATGTTGAGCAACAATTCAAGTACACCGAGGTACGCACCCTCACCTGCTCTCGCTTACATGCACACGCTGATCCGAGACACCCTTTTGCAGCCTTCACTCTGTCCAAATCCCACTTGCGGCAATCGAGTGGCCTGGCAACTGCAGATCGACAGCTCCAAGTTCACCGACTGGCAAAAGGTCCGCATTCAGGAGAACCCCTCCGAGATACCTACCGGCTCTATGCCGCGCTCCCTCGACGTTATCCTTCGCTCAGAGATGGTTGAGCGCGCAAAGGCCGGAGACAAATGCGTTTTCACTGGAACGTTCATCGTCGTCCCGGACGTCAGTCAGTTGGGCTTACCTGGAGGCAACAAGGCAGAACTCATGCGCGAAGCCAACCGCGGCGGCGCGAACGCGATGACTGGGGGTGTGGGCGGCACGGGTGTAACGGGTCTGAAGAGCTTGGGTGTGCGCGACTTGCAGTATAAAACTGCCTTCTTGGCGTGTATGGTCAAGGATGCTGATGCTCGGGTAAGCATTACGACTGCCTGATTGTTCTTGATTTCCTAACGTTTTGTCAGAATGGTACCAACGTTCGCGGCGAAGAAGACGTCGGCGAGGACAGCGCGAACACCTTCATTTCATCCTTGACGGAACCTGAGTACGACGAGCTCAAGAGCATGATCAACTCGGAGCACATCTACTCACGGTTGGTGGAGAGTATCGCGCCGACCGTGTATGGACACGAGATCGTGAAGAAGGGTATCTTGCTGCAGCTTATGGGCGGTGTCCACAAGCAGACGGCCGAAGGCATGCATCTGCGTGGTGACATCAACATTTGCATCGTTGGTGACCCGTCTACTTCAAAGTCGCAATTCCTCAAGTGAGCAGCTACCTTTTACCTAGTCTTATGCCTCTGACAGTTCTGTAGATACGTCTGCTCCTTCCTGCCTCGTGCCGTCTACACTTCAGGCAAGGCCTCGTCAGCAGCCGGTCTCACAGCCGCTGTGGTCAAAGACGAAGAAACCGGCGACTTCACCATCGAAGCCGGTGCCCTCATGCTCGCCGACAACGGCATCTGCGCCATCGACGAATTCGACAAAATGGACATCTCCGACCAAGTCGCCATCCACGAAGCTATGGAGCAGCAGACCATCTCCATCGCCAAGGCCGGCATCCACGCCACGCTCAACGCGCGCACGTCCATTCTCGCTGCCGCGAACCCCATTGGGGGCCGGTACGACAAGAAGAAGACGCTCAGGGCGAACGTGCAGATGAGCGCGCCGATAATGAGTCGGTTCGATTTGTTCTTCATCGTGCTGGATGAGTGCGACCAGGCGACGGACTTGAATATTGCGAAGCATATTGTGAATGTGCATAGATTTCAGGATGAGGCGATTCAGCCGGAGTTTAGCACGGAGACGCTGCAGAGGTATATTCGGTATGCGAGGACGTTCAATCCGAAGGTATGCACCGTGCGACTGGTAAAGAAGATGGGTACTAATTGATTTGTCCAGTTGACGCCCGAGGCTGCAGACGTGTTGGTTGAGAAATATCGCTTGCTGCGACAGGACGATGCGACTGGCATCGGGAGGAATTCCTACCGAATCACTGTCCGTCAGCTGGAAAGTATGATCCGGTTGAGCGAGGCCATCGCTCGTTCCAACTGCACGGCTGAGGTATGTCATAACGTTCTTCCGCTCGTTCCACGTCTGACCGTCGACGCAGATCACTCCTGTCATGGTCCGCGAGGCGTTCAGCCTTTTGCGACAGTCCATCATCCACGTTGAGCAGGACAATATCGACTTCGATGCCGAAGATCTCGACGGCGAACAGCCAGAGCAGCCCACAGCTGCTGATGGAGACGAGGACGTCGAGATGTCCGGCGCCACCGATGCCGCGGATGAGAGCTCCATACCTGTCCGCAGAGGCCGAACACCGACAGCCGCGCCAACCACCGACCACACAGCAACGACTCCCGTGCCAGACGCTCCGCCAGCAGCTCCGCAGAAGCGTCGCATGGTCATCACGCACGACAAGTACATGCAGATTCAGGCGATGCTCGTCACGTACATCTCGAACAACGAGCAGAACTCGCAGGGCGGAGGGGTCGATCGGGAGGAGCTGATTGATTGGTACCTCGAGCAGATGGAGGACCAGTTGCAGTCGATTGAGGATCTGGAGTATGAGCGCGAGTTGGTGGTGAAGGTGTTGAAGAAGTTGGTCAAGGTAAGGTATCCATGTTTGTTGCATGGCTCGAGGTTGCTGAATTCTGTCGACAGGACAACTACCTCATCGAGATACGCGGGGCCGTGTCTGACTCCTTGCCTTCTGAGGAGTCACAGTCCTCGGCCACCGAAGGCAGTAACGTCCGGGTGCATTATCTTGTTCATCCGTCGGTGGAGACGGATTCGCAGTCGTCAATCCCGTAAAGAATCAGCTGTTTTGCATGTCTATCTTGTTGTTATGCTTTGTGTCTTGTAGCTCGCGTATGAAATGCTTGTACTGTACTATCGAGGACATATCTGGGCATTTTGCCTTCTGGAATTGACCGGTTGTGGGTCCACTGTAATTCCCGCGTGGCATCAGTTCACATTGTTTCCCGCATTTGGCACTGTCCGTCTCCGCACGGCGAGAAGCGCCTAACGCGTTTACTCATTGCGACGCGGTTGCACCTGATCTTGCTCGAAGTCATACTTGCGGGACTCGTCTCCCAATCCCATCTTGGATCTGGAGCTTGCAGGAGAATCGCAACATCATCCTTCCCTCACCCACGCGTCACCCTCGTCCCTCACATACCCATCGCAGGCGACATCACAGCTTTTGACGAGGAGTAGTGGGAACAGTTTATCCTCTGTGCTTGACTCATGCCAGACCCGCCTCTAGTGGTCCCGGTCATCCTAACGAATGGTGCTCTTCACTTTGCCGAGGTCGCGCCGGACGCGACGGCGCAGGATGTCATAGATGTCCTGGTGGCGAACACGGATGTGACCACGGAAGCGCTAGGGGATGCTGAAGATGATGGATGGGCGCTCCAGATAGTGCGCGTGGAACAACCGGGAAGGACATGGGAGGAGGAAGAATTGGAGGCGTTAGGGGACGGTGCGTGGGGACATCCAGCTTCGTGAATGCGGCACTGACGACCTTGAAGGACTTGTGGACCCATCGAGCTCCGTGGCGCGGCATGTCAACGCGCTCTCCAAGCAGTCCCCCATGCGCCAGTTCTCCTCGTTTCCCCTGACACACCACTTGCACAATCCTGTGCTTCGCCTCGTCTCCCTCAATCCACACTTAAGCATCACCGCGTCGTTCGCGCGCGTCCCAGAGATACACGATGGATTTCAATATAAGCTATTCATCCACACAAGCACAGTCATCAGTGAACTGATCGACCATGTCCTCGAGGAGCTTGGATTGCCTCGGTCGCTACCAATACCGGGCGCTGGAACCTTGGAGTATGTACTGGAGGAAGTGTGGGTGGATGGGGACACGGAGAGTACGTGATTGTCGACGCACTTTACCACGCAGCGGCTGACACTCACGCAGAGTCAACGAGGCTACCTCCGTCCACGCTTGCGTACAGCATCACTAGCGAACCCTTCTGCCCCAACCCCCTCACCCCACAAGCTACCCGTCATTTGCGCTTCTGCGTCCCCGATGAATGGTATCGAAGGTCCAAATCACGCACAGCGTCTCATGCTTCCTACGAGCCTTCTCAAGCGACCATACGCCGCCTCGCCTCGCTACAGGAATCAGAAGACGAGAACGAAGACCAAGAGGACGAGAGTGGCACCGCGAAGATCAGCGTCGGAGCCAGCACCGCGAAAGGCAGCGGTGGAACCGACAACAAGGGCACGTCCTCTGCCAATCGGCTGTCTACCATCTTTGGTGGCTGGCTGGGCGAATCGGCGGCGTCTACATCGACAGCAGGAAACCGGAGCAGTGCAATACATATCGGGTCACCGGAGAGACGCAAGAGCATTGTCAGTGAACCGAAGCTTGTGGCACATCTTACCGGAAGCACGCCTGTTACGAAGGATGCACCGGAATCCGCTACCGACGCGTCAGACGACTACAGTGAGAAGGAATTCGACGCTATGCTGGTAGGTGATTATCATCTTACTGACGAAAGCTCGCTAATGTCTGTCAGGATGACATGGGGCTGAAGGGAGACAAGCGGACAGCTATGAAGGACATGCCCCTCGACCGGAAGAAATACCTCTTGGCGCAGAACAGGCAATTCAAAGCAGGCTCGCCAAAGATACCTCAGAGCAGCTCACCCAAACGGACATCATATGCGCAATCCTATAGTCCAGCTACTGGAGGCGCTCTCCTTCCACGTCTAGTCCCTCAGCTTACCGGTGACGCACTCATGAAGCGATTCTCGTTATCCGGATGGTCTACGCCCACCGCAGATCCAGGTGCTGCTGATGCTAATATAACGGAGGCACCAGCTGAAGAAGCGGCGCCGCTGCAGCCGCAATCGACTGGGAGTCTATGGAGTAGCTGGTGGACATCTTCAGGTGGCGAGAAGACTGGCACCGTCAGTGACAAGAGTAATTCGAAAGAGAAGACGCCAAAGTCCTATGTCGACGGTCTCCGCTATGCCCGCACGGCGGATAAACAGCTAGTCAAGCTATTAATCTCGCTCCGCGTGCATCTGTCGACGGCGAAACTAGTCTGGATAGAGGAGTTTGTGGGCCAGGAGAAGGGATTGGAGGTACTGGGTACACTGTTGTCGGGGCTTGTGAGCAAAGGGGGGAAGCGCAAGTCACTTACGGAAGTCGAGACTACCAATCTACTCGAAGTTGTGAAGTGTCTGCGCGTGTTGCTGAATACAGAGGTATGCGTACTCCAATTTTTCTTGTGCAACAATTACTCATGACTTTTTCTCATAGCCCGGGTTCTCAGGAGTCCTCGCCTCGCCAACGATCATCACCCACATTGCATACTCATTGCACACATCTTCACCCAAATTACGGACACTGTCTGCAGAGCTGCTTGCTGCAATATGCGTCCTCTCCCTTGCCGATGGACACAAAGCTGTCTTGGCTGCTCTGTCGGACTACAGAGTAGCCTTCGACGAGGCGTTCCGCTTCGAAGGTCTCATCGCTTTGCTGCGCGTGGCAGATATGAACGACGACAATGACAATGTCTCTGAAGCGTCGTTTAGTGGCGAAGAAGAGGGTATCTGGGAGGCTCGTACGGCGGCAATGTCGCTCATCAATGCCATCACGAATTGCCCGGACTCACTTGAGGAGCGCATCATGCTACGCGACGAATTCAGCAGGAGAGGGTTGAACGAAGTCATTGTGGTACGCATTGAACGAGTTAATCGAGGGCAAGGAAATGTTGACACCGCGGACAGGCCTTACGATATGTCAAACCTCCAGATCGGCTGCTCACGCAACTCGACGTGTACACTGAAGAGAAATTCGAGGATGAAGAGGACATGCGGGATCGCGCGCGTTCAATGATTAAATCAGGGCAAACGCCTGATCGCGTACGCTCGGATGGAGAGGTTGCGTTGGAGGAGATTGTTCGTTTGGCTCAGCAGCATGGGGAGCTATACCCAATTATGGTGGAGATCCTTAGTCACTACGGTCAGATCCTGCAGAAGGACATTGGGCTGTAAGAGAGGCTGCGTCATCTCGCTCTGAGCGACTGACAACGTACCCTTCGACAGGCAACTCAAGTCCGACCTTTTGACCATTTTGGACAAGTTCGTCGAGCAGGCGGCACTCTTGGACAACTTCGACGACTCATGGCACGTCTTCATGAAGCGCTTCGCCACGTCTGTGCAACATATCACCGGTCAAGAGCTCGAGGTCCGCGCGGCTTCTGAGAGCCCGAACGAGGTTGTGGAAGAGGAGCTTGAAGCCCTGCGCGCCAGGGTGGAAGAGCTGAACGACGAGCGGACTGAGCTGAAGGCGGAGATCAACAACAAGATCGCCGAAGTCAACACGCTCAAATCGCTCCCTCTGAACATCGGGGTGCCGCAAGGCAAAGTCGCTGGAAAGAGCGGGGAGGTCAGTGGCTTTACTGTACACATCACGAGAGGATCGACCGACATCATTACCTTCCCCTGCAGAACTTCAACGGCATTGTCCAGCGCCTGGTACAGAAAGAGAAGGAAGTTCTACAGCTCAAGAGCGATCTTGAGAAGTACAAGGCACAAAGCCCTAGTGAAGGTCGCGATGCAGTACGTGCTGCACGATCTCTCAGGTACTTCAGCTGACCGTGCAAAGGACGAGCGCGCGAAGCGTGAGCGGGATCGCCAGAAATGGAATGTCTTGAACGATGAGATTGCTCGGCTGAAAGTGAAGGGTACCGAGATGGAGTCCACCATATCCATCAAGGAGAAGGAGATCGTCTACCTGAAGCGCGCCATGGAATCCGTGTACACTCGTTTCATATCCCGAGAGGAATCCCGAGAGGAGTCGCGCGCGGCTGAGCTCGACGCGGAAGCTATGGCAAACCGCACCATTCAGAGTCTGCAGCAGAAGGACGAGCAGATTACAACGATGGTTATGGAGGTTGAGGAGCTTCAGCGGACGGTCGAAGAGCTCAGGCGTCGCGAAGAGGTCTTCAGGAAGAGGGAGGATGAACTCAAACGCCAAGTGGAAGAGCTTGCGTCAAGGCCGAAGACGGAACAGGAGTTCAAGCGCTCGGCACCACCACCGCCTCCACCACCAGCTACTCGCGGCAAGCGGGCATCGCTACCTCCTTCACCGTTGTCGAGAAGAGATAGCACGGACTCGCCGAGGTCGCCGCCGCCTCCGCCTCCACCACGGCCTGTGTCAATCGCACCTACTTCGCCAACATTGCAGAGCAATGCGGCCTCTCCACCTCCACCTCCGCCTCCACCTCCGCCACCTCCTCCACCTGCGCCTTCTTCACCAGCTACTACTGCCCCTCCACCCCCTCCACCTCCGCCGCCTCCTCCACCTCCAGCACCACCAGCTTCCTCATCTCCAGGTATACCACCACCTCCTCCGCCCCCTCCACCACCTCCTTCGGGCCTCAACGGTGCTCCACCCCCGCCACCTCCACCCGGTCCTCCACCTCCACCCTCCGCCTTCCGCATGAACCGCGCTGCCAAGCCCGCCGCCCCTCGCGTCAAGACTCGGCAATTCTACTGGGACAAGCTTCCTGCGTTTGCCGTCTCGTCCACCGTCTGGGGAGAACTTGGAAGCAGCGGCAATGGCGCCGCAGGCGTGGACCTTGACATGGGTGATCTAGTCGCGACGTTCGCGATTGACAGCGCGGCGAGCGCTACTGCGAGTACGATGCAGGTGACGAGTCCGACGAGAAAGCAGAGCGTGACGACGGTGTTGGATATCACGAGGGCGAACAATATTGGTGAGTGGCGGGAAAGCAAGGTAGGTAAGGCAAGGGCGCTGATAGCGCTTTACAGCTATCATGCTCTCGCGCATCAAGCTTGACCTGCCCGGTATTCGAAGGGCGTTGCTTGGCATGAGCGATGTGCTATCGGTGGACGACCTGAAGGCCATCAGCAAACAACTTCCTACCGCTGAGGAAGTGCGTTCCACCTGATACCCCTGTCATAGTACCCAATTCATTGCCTTCCCAGATCAACCGCATCAAAGATTTTGGCGACACCTCCAAGCTCGCTAAAGCCGACCAATACTTCAGCCAGATCATGTCTATCCCGCGCCCCTCCTCCCGCCTTGACTGCATGCTCTACCGCCGCAAACTCGACCTCGACATCGAGGAGATTCGGCCCGAGCTGAACATCCTCCGCAACGCCTGTGCCGAGCTCCGTGGCTCAGCCAAGTTCAAGCACGTCCTGGGCGCCGTGCTTGCTATTGGTAATGCTCTCAACGGCTCCACGTTCCGCGGCGGTGCCCGAGGCTTCGCGCTCGAAGGCCTGGGAAAGCTCAAAGAGACGAAGACCGTCAAGGGCGGCGCCGAGTGCCCCACCCTCCTCCATTACCTGGCGAAGGTTCTCCTCCGCAGCGACCCGAGCCTCGTGAACTTCATCGAAGAGATGCCGCACCTCGAGCCCGCGGCGCGCGTCTCGGTGCAGACCATAATGCAGTCGGTGAATCAGCTGGTTAGTGGGCTGAACCAGGTGAGGGACGAGATCGCGTTGGCGAAGGAAGAGATGAAGAGGGGGGAGGTGAATGCGGAGGATAGGTTTGTTGCAGTGATGCAGGTGAGTAGGGAGCAAATTTGTGAGATGGCGGGGGAATTGACGGGAGCCCCGCAGCCCTTCGTCGACAAGGTTGGCCCAAGCGTCGAGGCGCTCAAGAATATGGCACAGTTGTTGGATGGGCAGCTGAAGGCGCTGATGGCGTACTACGGCGAGCAGACGGATTCGGCGGACGCAAAGAAGCCAGAGGACTTCTTCGGGATGATCTCGTCGTTCTCGACGTCGCTGCAGGTGAGTGTTTATTGTTGGATGAGCTTCTATTTCGCCAACGAGGTGTCTAGAAATGCGGCCTCGAAGTACACGATGCGCAGGTCAAGGCGGACGCGGCGAAGCCCAAGGTCGCCATCGAGGAGCCCGCATCGGAACCTGTGAGTCGCTCCCTGCACTCATGGACTCCTATGCTCACATGTCTAGACTATCAAGGCCGACAAGAACGCCCAGCACGCAGACGGGAAGAACGGCCCGGGCATGCTTTCGCCGCCAATGCTCTCCCCACCCGGCTCGCAGGGCTACGCTGCAGGCAAGTCTGTCGGTCGCGGCGACCTCGACCAGGCCATCCGCAGTATGCGCGAAGGCAAGCGTAGAGCAAGGCCTGCAAGACCGCTTAGCAAGATCTTCCTGGACGGCGCGCCGCCGGGGAGGCCGACGAGCCGAATGTTTGACTAGAAGGTGGAATTCGTGAACTGCTGCAAATAAGTAGTATTTGTGGTGCCCTGTTATAACTGATATATAGCTGATGATATACTGACGATTTACTAACCCTTGTACACGGACTATGTTTGCATACTTACATTGTACTCTCTGTACGGTTTACGACCTGTGATGACCTACCAACCACCGATATCTACAACAGATCTGTACTGGCTATGCATTTCTACATCGATTTGCCCCGACAAAAGAGCAAAAAGGTAAGTTACCGGATTGTATCTATCCCGGAAGCAACTGAATAACCCAGTTGTGGGTCCTGATGAACAGACGCACGTGACTGCTTTAGTAGCCCGATGTGGCGTAAATTGATCGAGACATTGTTCTCGACTTCAATCTAGCTCACTGGCTGAATTGCTTCAGTTCACGCGCGGGCTTCGGGGCAGCGTCATGGGCAAGAAAGGGCGCGGGCTCTCGCACCCAAACTTATGGTATCGAGTCCGTTGTAGGGTGCGTGAGCTGTTTACAATGTCTAGGATGTATGTGTACTGACATTCAACATTGTAACAGTACTACGATGACTACGGGGATGCGATAGTTGAGCACCCCAGAGGACCGTGCAAGTTTGCGCATCCAGGGTACGACGAATGGGATAATGCCAAACGGAAGGTGCGATGACAGGGTGACCTTGAAGGTCGTTTGTGGTCCTGACTGCTTGATGCAAGGAAATGGCGGACGCAGACGAGGAGTACAGCGACGAGGATGAAGAGGAAGACAACGGGTGGGGGTACAATGGATACTATGATGACGACGAAGAAGAAGAGGAGGAGGAGGAAGAGGAAGAGGAAGAAGAGCCTTGGTATACTGTTCGGTGTCGTGTGCGCTTACTTCCCTCCTCATGTCCTTTTCCTGGCTTACCTCTCTACAAGTACTTTGATGACGATGGGAACGCCGTCGATGTGTGCCCTCGCGATACATACGAGTGCATGTTCGCACATCCAGATCAGGACGAATGGTGGTCCGCGGTGCGCAGAGTATGTGCACCTGCTCATGGTCGTTCGCAATGAAGGTCACTGATCCGCCTCCCCTTCATATAGCAAGGCCCGCGACCCCCGCCACCGCCGTTCCGCCGGCGCGCTGATAGAGCGCCCCGCCTCGATCGCCCGCGTGCTGATAGCCGTTATGGGGTAGCGCCGCCCCCTCTTCGCTTCCACCCCGACGACGACCAGCCCCCGCCGCGGAGAGCGACGCAGCCGAGTTATGCACAACATCAACAGGAACGTCGACCACCAGATCTGCCTCCATATATCGCACTCCCTCGTCCGAATCCATACATCTACACCGCCGCTGCATATCGACCTCCACCGCCGATATACCAGTTCCCCATGCCGGCATTTCCCCCGCGACCGATAGCCTCAACCTCGACCCTCCCTGCAACGAGTCAGCCTGTGCGGCGAGACCCTCCTCTCGTGACACCACCACGGCCTATAGGCCAACCGACTCAACCCGAGACGCCGCGCAAGCCTACATATCTCCCAGAGGCCAGTACACGCTATTCCCCCACATCGACTATTGTAGCTTCTAGCTCGGCTGGCGCTACCTCCAATACTGCGGCTGTTGCCTCGACGTCAACCACTCCTCTCAACAGCGCTCCCCCGCCCTCCGATAATAACCTCGCCAGCATTCCCACCGCTCAACCCGCCAAGAAAAGACCGCCACGAAAGCCATTCAAGTCACATCCTCGCCCCGTTCCCTCCTTCCCCACTCCGCAAGCAAGGCAGAACGAAAGGGTCCGGTGCGTGCTTCCCTCCCTATATATCTCCCTCCATTCCGAGTGTCGGCCCTCTTCCCACCCCTTGCCATCTCGTACCCTCCTTGCCTTCCCACCCAAACCTTGTCACCAACCTCGACTAACACCTCGCTTCCTCCCCCAGCTCCATGCTCCGTGCCCTCCGCCTCACCCTCCACTACAACGCTACCACTGCTGCTTACCAACAATGGCGCACCGCGCGGCAGGCCGACGAATACGGACACTGCTCCGCCGCAGCCCGGTCGCAGATCGAGGCAGTCAGCCTGTCCAAGAAGTGCGCGATGGAGAGCGCGAGGCGGGAGATGGAGGAAGCGATCGCGTGGGTGGGAAAGTTGGAGGCGGATCCGCGGACGAGGGCGTTAAGTCCCGAGTTCGATCATGAGGGGCAGGGGAAGGCGCTCGAGGAGTATGTGATGGGGGTGGCGGATTGGGTGGAGGCGGTGGGGATGGTGATGGAGGAGGTGGAGGTGGAGGGGTGTGTGAGGGAGGGGGGTGAGGGTGTGAAGGAGGGGGAAGGGGAGGAACCTGAGGCCACCAGCGCTCTTAACGACGACGCTTGGGACGAAGCCTATGCACCCCTCGAACAACGCGTCACGCGGCTTCAGCAAGACACGGCCGAAGGCACCCGCGCCATGGAGGAGGCAGTGGAAGGACTTGCCTTTGATATGAGGCAGGCCAGCTCCGACATGCGACTCAACCTGAAGGAAGGCCTTCGAGGAGCTCGCGACGAGCACCTCCTCGAGTCCACAGCCCAAGCCGCGTCGCATATGGACACCCTCCTGGACGCATCGGATGGGATGCGTGCTGATATCGAGGCTGTGGCGAAGCAGCTGGAGGAGGATATGCAGCGCTTTGAAGCGAATCGGCAGGCGATCCAACAACTGAGGGAGGAGAAGGAGCGGAATTGGGAGTCGGTGAGGAAGGTGAGTGTCTCTTGTTTCCTCTGGGCAACGGGTTTGGGGACGACCGGTCACGATCTCACTGGGGTTTAGCTAGCAGCCCTCCTTAAGCTCACCCTTATAGTTGAGGAATAGACACTGACATGATACTCACAGTTTGAACGAATGCAAGCCGAATGTGACGCAGAGACCCGCGCGATCGATGCGCTGGAGCGGAAGCTTGCCTCGCTTATGAGGGAGTCGACGCCGCCTGCATCAGCTCGACATTCCGTGCGATCTTTGGAGGTGGATGAGCTGGAGTCCACTCTTGGTGACGCGGAGTCGGTCCGCGATGAGGAGCCTTCTCAAGACGAGGCCTCTGTTCGCGACGAATGCTCCACCGTCGAGGAGGAAGACATCCACTCCGAAGACACCCATTCCTGTCCGGAGGACGAGGAGGAGATGAATGACGGGGAGGCGCAGGACATGGACTATCCCGAGGAAGATGAAACGGGTCACGCCGAGGACCAGGAGCTCGAGAGCCTCACCGACGACCTCAACGACCTCGCCGGTTTCCCCGAAGTGACACCTGACGCCATTCCTCGCGGCTCTCCCCCCGCCGACGCCAAACGTCCCTCTTCTCCCTCACGTGGCTATCCTTCCACCCTCCCTGTTGCCTCTTCCACTCTCCCCGATACCTCTTCTACTCTCCCCAACAGCAGCCCTGCTCGCCTCTCCTCACCAATCCACCTCTCCACCCTCCTCCCCCTCGTCGAGCGCGCCGTCTCTGATATATTGGACAACGAGCTGCGCGGCGTCCTTTCCAGGGTCCAGAAGAATGCGTCTGGATTTGGCCCGGCGCTGAAGTACCAGTTCGAGCCTCTGATAGCTCGGGCACAGGACGTACTCCAGAGGGTGTTGGAGGACGCTATGTCGAGCGGGGCGGGAGCTGCGCAGACGACAGGTTCTTAGGCCTGCCGGCCGGAGGAAGTAGACTGACAGGCATGACTTCACTTCTTCACGACTTTACGGCGCTTAGCGCCTTCTTTTGCTCTCCGTTGTCCAACGCTGTCCTGCTTCCTCGTTCTCCTCGCTAACCTTGTATACGACTCGCGGATTTTCTTGGTATACTTAGAATACTGTACTGTACACTAGTATTTATCTGTAAGTATACAGCAGAAGAAGATGTGGTTGGTAACCGTGCGCGCCCAGCGGCGGTGTGTTGAAGCTCACACAGCGTGCTCAAGTTCACACAGCGGGCGTCGTTGCGGACGGCGGCGGGCGCGCCGCCAAACCCGTCGGACGAATGGCTCACTAGTCGGAGAAATATCTAATCTTATCTCTCATCTTCACCTCCACGTTCACCTTGCGCGCGGCCGCCTCCCCATTGCGCCTTTCCTTCGCCTTCCCCTCGCCCGCCACTCGCCCTCTCCTCGGCCTCTCTCCTCCGCTCGCCTACCTGTCCATCGTGCTATTCAGACAGTCTGCTATCCCTTCCACTTGTACACATACACGCCAAGCTAAACCTACTCGCTCCCTTCCACCACCACAACCGTCATGGCCACCGACCAAGCTGCTGCCAAAAAGACGCTGCAGGCGCTCGCCAAGCGCGAGGACCTGGGCAACAAGGCGTGCGTCGACTGCGGGAACCCTAACCCGCAATGGGCGAGCATCAGCTTCGCGGTGCTGCTCTGCCTGCAGTGCGCGGGGACGCACAGAGGGTTTGGGGTGCATATTAGGTGCGTGCGAGTGCATCGAGGAAGGAGAACCTACTGATGCAAAGACTTAAATAGCTTCGTCCGGAGTATCACGATGGATACCTGGACGGAGGACCAGCTGAAGCGGATGGGGGTGCGTGCTAGGCGTGAACTTCTTGCGAGGATGAGGGCTGATACGGGATGCGGTTGGGCAGGCTGGCGGGAATAAGCCTTTCAAGGACTTCATGGCTGCGTATGGTCCGCAGGGAGGATATGCACCAGGTGCCAGTCCTCACGAGACGTACCACTGCTGGGCAGCGACAGAGTACAAGGCAAAGGTGCGTTCGAAATCCTACGCGATCCATTCTATCTACAGTGATTGTACACCCCGAAGCTGACACGGCAACTTCATACAGCTCGACGCCGATCTCGCTGGCAAACCCTTTACACCCTCCGCACCACCAGCAGGCGCGAACACACCCACGAGCGCTGGTCTCCGCAAATCGCGTGCATCCTCTGGAAGGACCGGCTCCCCCGCTTTTGGCCGCACTGTATCTCCCGCCCCAGGATCTACTTCCCCCAACGCACCAGGAACGCCCACGCCAGGCGGCAGCGGCAACGAGTCCTACTTCGCTCGCCTAGGCGCTGCTAATGCTTCGCGTTCTGCCGACCTCCCACCTTCGCAAGGCGGGCGCTATACCGGCTTCGGGTCCACGCCGTCGCCAGAATCCAACCCCTCACACCCCGCCTTCGGCCTGAGTTCGCGCGCCGCCCCCTCATTGCAAGACCTTCAGCAGGACCCCGTTGGCGCGCTCGGCAAGGGCTGGTCGCTCTTCAGCGCCGCCGTGAGTGCCGCGGCAGGAACTGGTCTCGCCGTCGCCGGACAAGGTCTCGCCGCCGTGCAGGACCCCGCCTTCCAGGGCCGCGTGAAGGGCTACGTGAACTCTGCGGGCGAGTACGTGACGACGGCGGGCAGCGCCGCGAACGACTGGAGTCGCACACAGTTTGGCGTCGACGTGGGGGGAGCGGTGAGGGAGAGGCTGGGCGGCGCGGGCGGGGGAGGGTACGGTAGTGGGTACTCCAGCCTCGGGGGTGGGCCCAACAGGACGAGCGGATGGGAGCACGAGGAATCGTCGGCGCTGTATCGTGATGAGGACGATGAGCTGTTCACGGAGTACAAGCGCGCGCAGGCGGCGGCGAATGCGGCACCTCCGGCTGCCACCACGAGCGCCGCGGCTGCGAAGCCTGCACCGAAGAAGGATGAGTGGGATGATGATTGGAAGGATTTCTAGAGCGCTGGGAGGATATCCAGTGAGGATATCTTGAGCGCGAGAATGATGTCGCTCTACGACCATATAGCCATACCCGTCTACGATAGTGTCCCTGCATATTTATTGGGAGGAGGATCACTCGGAATAGCGTATGCGATATTACAGTCGAGATGGGCGGCGATGGGGAACGTGTCTACAGATAAGATTAGATAGCTGTGTGATGGCGCGCTTCCCCAATTCAAGTCGGCATCAGCTCCTTCCTGAACCATATCAATGGCAGCACGATGACCTTCCTCCCCTTCTCGCGCGCCGCATAGCATGTGCGCGCTTCAATTGTATCTCTGCGCGCCAATCGTCGTTAACATATCTTCCCCTGGACCCTCTATCAATCATGAACCCCTCCGACACCGAGACCTACCTGCTCCTCGTCCTCGCCGACAGCAACCTTCCCACCGGCTCTTTCGTCGCTTCCTCTGGCTTGGAATCCTACTTCAAGCATAGCTTTGACGTCCAAGAGGGGAAGCGCGATGCCGCCGTCCTTGCCTTCGTGCGCGATAGCCTCGCGTCCTACGCCCGGACTGCACTGCCCTTCGTCGCGGGGGCGCATAGGGCGGTGGAGGCACTGGCGAACACAGATGTACCAGATTCCAATACTGCATCCGAGTCGCATCCCCCTACCTTGAACTCGCTTGCCCACTGCGACCTCGCCTCGACTCTCACCACACTTGCCGCCCTCGACGCACTATGCGAGGCCACCATGCTCAACCACGTCTCGCGGCGCGCGTCTCGGGCTCAGGGCGTTGCGCTCCTCACACTCTACGCGAAGGGCCTCGCGCCCCCTACCGATGGGGAACTCCTCGGGGGTGCGCTGGACCAATATAAGCTGCGCGTTCGGAGGGAGGAGGCGCCGGGACATCTGCCTGTATGCTGGGGCGCGTTGACTGCTGCACTGGGTTTGCCGTTGGGTGAGCTCGGCACTTTGATGAAAGGTGGGGGACTGCTGACATGAATTTGGCTATCCTAGCCCGCGCTGTTCATCTACATCTCTTCTTGCATGCGCGAGGCTTGCTATCTGCCGCTGTGCGGCTGAATGCGCTAGGACCGTACGCCGCGCAACAGCTTCTGTTACACTCGGTGCGCCCACTTGTCGAGGGCGAGGCAGCCCGGTGGACGGAGAGGGAAGAGGAGAAGCGCAAATCGGAATTGGCCGGCCTCGATGGGAGGGTAAAGTATGAAGGAGGCGTGGAGGAAAAGCATGGTGACAGGGGGAATGAAAAGCACCTGAGCGCTGCAGACCCCGCCCTCGAAGACGCGCTCGACCCTATCACTGGCCCTGTCAATACTTGGCCTCTGGGGGAGATTCTGGCAGCGCGACACGATCTGCAGCATTCGCGAATATTCAATAGCTAAGGGCCTCTTTGAGAAATGTACTACTATCAACTCGCAATCGCATCACGATGACCGGGATACACAGGCTGTAACGAAAAGCTAGCAAGGTCGATCACATAGCCATGAAATCGTCATCCTCAGAATTAGCTACTTTCCCTGCCAGAGCGCCCTTTCAAAATTTATGCGGCCGGGACGTGCTGTGGCTGGGAGTTGTTTGGCTCGGCTTGGCGTGATTTCATAGTGAGAAACCGCGAATCGCAACCTTCCCCATTTGGTAGTGTCGTGGAACGTGTTTCGATGCCCCCGCGCCTCCGCCGCGGCCCATCCGCACCTGGCTCTCTTGCCAGCTACCTTCATATAGGTTTCCTGTGTTGTAATCGTGAATCCTTGTTCATGAAGGTGTCCTTGCGCATTTGGAGGTCCGAAAGTACAGTTGTAGAAAGGACAGACATGTTGACAAACATAACTTAGATGTCTTGCAGAGCAAGAGCGCTAAGGTGGTTTTCGTATGCTGTCGCCAATGACAAGCATGCTTTTCACCGGGCAGAGATGGTCCAACCTCGGTGGGGCCTATGTGTTGCAAGCAACCCATGCCGAGAACGACATGGCAGCCAGAGTCTACACTTTGTGCATGCACAGTCTGCGCCGGTCGCGGAAGATTGCTCGACAGATGGTGAAAGAGAGATGGATAGCGGGGCATGCTGTTCCGCCAGTCGTAACCTATGACGTTATTTTTTCCTAAAAAATACCTGCAGTAGGATGTGGTGTTGTGAGATCTGCAAGCGGGGAGCAGAACGCGCGATTGCACGCGTCATATTGATAGCAGGATGCGATGGTGAATGATATGGTAAATCTATGAGGGAGCACACCACGTAGATAGCAGGTTTGCTCCCAAGGCTAGTGGAAGCATTTTCTATGGCTTGGAGAGCATCCAGTTGGTACGTATGACTCTAGGCCACGAGTCCAAGGCCAGTGTCATTGAGGGTGTTCGGAAATTGCCGTGAATGTCACACGTGGCTGTTTGGAAGGAGACTACGAGGAGGTATGAGCCCCTGCTGGGCTACATTAGCAGGGAGAACAACATATACGACATATAGCTAGCCTGATTAGCTGGAACTGCGATGCAGAATGGCTGCCCACTCTTGTCGACCTCCGGCCGGGTCGGCCTCGGCAATCGCCGGGAGTGGACCCACCAGCATCATCATCGGTTAGCTTTCGTCGAAGTCCAGCTTCCATTCGACCACAAGATGCTACCGCTTTGCAGCTCATATGCTATGAGCGCTTACAGGAGCATCACTGTGAGCCAAATACTGCTCGAGCTTCTGAGGAAAATGCCTCAAGGCAGATGTTTCTTGCTCCATTTATCACACACCTCCGAATTACACAGTGGTTAGATGCACTGTTGACCTAACAAAGACATGGTGGATATGCTTATCGTGTCAAGAGATGCTCTGGACGTGCTTTTGCTATATGCTCCACACTATTCACCACGCTTTCATTATTTTCTAGTGAAAAATAACCTCATAGTAACCATCTCATCATAGATGGTCGTGGGCGATCGCGATATAGGGCTGAGAAGGAGGGTGGGCGAAAAAGACGTAGCACGATAGTCCTCGCAAAAAGGTGATCTCTTGATCCATAAGACTAGAGTTCTCTACACGATGCATCCTTGCCCACGAGCATGAGAGAAGCGAACGAGGGAAAGGAGGTGAGGTGGGACAGGCGCGGTCATTGTGACATCCCAATCCTGCAAAAGTGTGTCGAATTCCACCAGATATCCTCCCTAATGAAGCAAGGTAAGCTGACAGCCCAGTAGACGAGGAAGAGGGGGATTCTGCTCTGCAAGTGAGATGGGGGATGGGAGGAAAGGGGGCGAATAAAAGTGATGAGGGTTGGTGATGGGGGCGGGCCGAACCTTCGCGGACCGAGTGCGAGCGGGCGGGTGCCGCACGCGCGCCAGACGATGGAAACGACGACTGCTCCCTCCCAACATCGTTCTCCATCGTCGACCCCGCCGCGCCTCGATGACTGGATCGATTCCGGGCGCGCCGGCGAAGAGACCGCATACCCGCTAGTCTGGGTCGCGGGGCAGGCGGAGCGGGCCCACAGTTTTGGGTCGCCCGCTCTTTCTTCCTCCGAGTCCTCGCGCGCACTCGCGCCCCTCTAGCCGCTGTCCCGCAAGCTCGGGGCCGCCGGACTCGACGTTTTCCACGGTGGCGAGCACTGCCGGCGCCGGAGATCGCGATATGATCCAGAGGACGACGGACCCGGCGGCGGGCAGCAGTACGAGCGGCCCCCCGACCAACTCGCTCTCCTGGGGGTCGCGGCACAATGGAAAGTGAGTGGCAGGCGACATCGGTCTCTCAGACGCTGACGATGGCAGGCTGTACACGCTCGAGGTCGTCCAGCACCCAATACGCGCCCGCATGTGCGGCTTTGGCGACAAGGTGTGATGACACCCAACCGCGATCATGCCCCCTCTGACCCCAGCAGGACCGCCGGCCTCTCGCCCCCGCTGCTGTCGCCACGATGAACGTGTATCGCGAAGACAATACGCAGGTCGAGGTCGAGTGAGCGCCCGCCCCTGCCCCCGATCGCCCCCACCCACTCATCCCTGCAGCGACATCGACTGCTCCTTCTTCCTCGTCACAGTCGATCTCTGGTCTGAGGACGGCAAGCAGGAGATGAATCTTGTCCTCCATCCCAATGCTGCCCAGGATCGTGGCCCCCCGATGCCCGCCAAGCCGAGGCGCCCGACGAACCCCCCACCGCCATCCAACACACACGTGCGTGCCGCTCGCCATTCCCTCCCTCCTTACACACCACTGACTCGTGCGCAGGGCTCACCACCGGCACCGGCAATCCCATTCCCCTCCTATGGCCCGCCTACCCCGTACTACCCGCCCTGGTCAGCCCCTGCTTCTGATCGCAGCCCAAGTTCTGCCTCTGCCGTGCTGCCCTCGATCAGCACATCGTTCGGTCGTAAGTCGTCGCTTTCGTCACTGTTGTTCTACTGCTAGTCGTCCGCTACCCTCGTCGCCCCTCCCACGCCGCCAAAACCCCTCCTTAGCATCGAGTACCCGCCCGGTCCCACGATCTCACGCCATATTTACTTTTAGGTGCACCCGGGCCCTCATCAGCGACGCCTTATGGCCCGCAGTACGGCCCCCCGTCGGCGTCGAGCTACGGTCCGCCCTCAGCATCAGCGTATGGCCCGCCCTCAGCGTCTGCCTACGGTCCCCCTTCAGCCTCCGCCTATGGCCCTCCCTCCGCCTCTACATACGGCCCGTCCTCGGCGTCCGCATATGGCCCACCGTCTTCAGCAAGCTACGGCCCTCCTACCTCATCCTATGCCTCCTCCTACCCTCCCTATCATTACGGCCCGCCCCCGCCGCCCTTCGGCAACTATGGTTCCACGTCGAATTTCGATCATTCCCAGCCTGTCACTTCGTCCGTTGACCAGGAGACAAATTCGCCTGTTGTCACTACGACCGCGCGCGACGATGATCAGCGGGAGGGCGAGGCCTCGACCTCTGCTGCCGGTAACCCGAGAGCAGATCCCTCGAATTCTGGCGCCCCATCAACCAGCCCGACGGCCTCGACGATGGGCAGGCGCGAGTCGCGGGGGCGCCGGCGTCGTCGCGAGGAGCGCGAAGGCCCCGATGGCGGCCCTGACCTGCGGGAACCCATCGAGCCGGGCAGCACGAAGGCCAGGGAGGAAGAGGACGCAAGGACGGGCACGGAGAAGGGTGAGTACCGTGATAGAATCTCCGCTCCCATCACATCGTTTGGCTGTGCTACGAAGGCCGCCCATATCTTCTCTGCCGCATACTCCTGCGTCGAAACCAAAAATACCTGTGGAACTCTAACCTGATTTTGCCTGTCCCTAGGTGACCCCAAGGACAAGTCCGATGCACAGCGTGCCACGTACACTCGTACGCTCGTTGGCCCACTTTCCTCGAATGCAACAAGATTATTGGACGAGCATAGGAAGCCCGGCATATTCTTTCTATTCCAGGACTTGAGTGTCAGGACGGAGGGTGAGCTGCAACACTTCATTGTACTCGATCACCCTCTCTGCTCGATTCTTCCTCATCGTCTATTTTCCTCATCATTTCTTGCCATTTCATTTGCGCTCCTCACACTTGGCCGACTTCTGACCGTTCATAACGCTCCATACTAACCCTTCTCCCAGGTACCTTTCGCCTTCGCCTCCGCCTTATGAACGTCGGTGCGCCGCCTGCGCCCGAGCCCGGCGCGGCGGGCGTACATACCGGCGTCAGCCCCGTCCTCGCGCAGGTCTTCACGAAGCCGTTCACGGTCTTCTCGGCGAAGCGATTTCCTGGGGTGCCGGGTGAGTGTTCGGTGCTTTTCGGGATGCTTGGGGAGGGATGGTGTTACGACGAGTGTGGAGCCTCTTCGACTTGGCATCTGGCATCGATGGAGCCGTGCTCTTGCCAAGCGCCCGAGAACATGAGGCTGCTGTGTGCGGTTTCCCTCTTCGTCGGCGATGTCCCCTAGCGGGCGCTTCCCATAGGCGTACTCCTTGCGCGCTAACGTAAAGCTTATCATTTCTTCCAGACACGACGGCCCTCTCGATTGCGTTCAACCAGCAGAACATGAAGCTTCCGTTGCGCAATCGACATGGGTCGGGTAGCAAGCGCAGGCGGCGAGGTGCTGGTGGCGGGTCGGACGACGAGGAGTCGGACTAACACGAGGAGATGAGGCTGTGATGTTGAAGGCTCAGCCTCTTAGAGACGTAGCAGGCAGGAGGAAGATGAGTGATTCGAGCACCACCATTACGACGGCGTGGGGATGTTGAGTATGAGGTGCGTAGGCGTTGGGAAGGCGGAAGGGGAGTACCGGTCTGCCTTTTGATTAGTCCTCGCTATATTGTCGAGGTATGAAGGTGAGGAGATGGACGTTCGTTTGTATATAATCGTATAAATTTACTACAGCCTGCTATCGATTCCTGTTACATACTTCAAGCACCGACTCCCTATTTTTTGTTTATATATTGGATTTCGGCGCGTGGTGAAGCATGACTGGTCGGTGTTGCTCATAATGGTGCGGACCGCTTGGCGCGTACGATGTGCGCCACCTATGACCCGCTGAATGATTCCCAAAAGAAATTTGCTTTGCTTCCAAATTAGGCAACTTTTGGCACGGTCAAAGCGTGACAAATACGCACCCACAGTCGGCTTCTGTTTGACTGTCGGCACTGTTGGGGTCTGGAGGATGTATACAAGTGAGCAGGCCTGAGTCGATGTGTCTCTGTGTGGCTCCTCTAGGCATAATCGAACGTGGCCATCCTGATGACTGCCGAGAACGGCTTGAGTGTCTATCATGATAGACAAGCGCGTTCTCAAGTTCTCTTTCACATGTAAGACCCGCCCCTTTAGCGCGTATAAAGCCAGTCTCTACCTGCTTGATTCTTCAGAGGGCACGCCAACTCTCCCGAGTTCATCTCGGTCTATTTGCCCCACACAGCGACGGCCACCCTCAGTGGCTAAATTGGCGCTGGCCAGATGGGGATCATGATCGTCATGTATCTCTGGTTCAGCGGCAGGCATTAGCTTGTGGGGCCGCTTCGGGATATCTGATCATTAGGCTCAGTCGCTGGCACATGCGTGGGGCCCAGGGAAGGGGTTGAACGTCGGGACTCGTTGCATCCCCTCTAGAGCACCAAGGTTGAACAAGATTATCCTGTATCCATAATATATACCGCAAGGTAAACTTATCAGCCGTACGCTTGTGACTTACTTACTGATTTGAGCGTAGAAACATACCCGCGGGCCCCGAGCTGCCTCAGACTGACTTCGCGGAGAGAGAGAGCGCTGAGTGAACGGCATGCATGCCTACGACGGAAGAGGATGCTACATTTTGCAATGAATAATTGATCTGGTCGCCTAACTTTGCGCGCGAACGACCTTTGCGCAACTGCCTGTGAATGCACTGACTTGGAAATCCGACTCGGCAGAGCGGCCTACGCGTCGTGAAGATAGACCATCAATTATAAGGGAACAGATACAATCCATTCATGTACTCGTAGTCCGAATAGGACTGGTCCATGTTGAGGCTCGATAGAGACGTAGGACAAGAGCCGGCGTAAAGAAGTGATAAAGAGCTGCTAGGTACGCGTATCATGCGCTCGCGCACGAAATGGATTATAAGAAAAGACAGACCTACTTCCATTTCGGTAGCGGCGGCGTAGGGCCGAAAGGCTTGCGAAGGAATGCAGCGCTCCTGGAACCCTTCATCTGAGCGCAAGTTCAATTGACAGGGAGCGCAAAGCAGATCACGGTCAACGTACCTTCGGCGCGGCGGACTCGCCGTCACTGGGCGGCGCGGCTACCTCCTTGCCCTTGTCGATCGCAGTTGATTTGCGAGCGACTGGGATCCGACATGCCATGCTGGTGGCGCGCTTGAGGGCCCCCGCAGTAGTCTTCGCCTTCTTCAACGGTGGCGAGCTCATCTCAGGCTGGTCCTCATTCTTGCGCTTCTGGGGCGCTTGGGAGAACCCGATCAGGAACGATTGCAGAAGCAGGATATCTGACGACTCACGCGTCTCTTCGAGCAGCGAGGAGGCCAACTCCTCCGGGAGAGCTATCACCTCAAAGCTGGACACTGCTGGGGCATTGCTGACGGGGTCGACAACGGTGGCTACCTCAGCTACACCGCCGGTCGACGTTACGTCCTCTTGTACACCGCTGACCGACGTGGTCGCAATTGAGATGGTTTGCTCGAGCTCCGCCGGAATGAGAGAAACGACGGGCTCGGACGAGGCCATAGGTTGATCTGTTTTCAGCTCAAGAGAAGAGCGAGCGATCGCGCTGAAGGAGAAAAGGCATGTCAGCACGACTGGTCCGCGAACCGAGGTGACCGTGCAAACCTTGACTGAAGAACATGAGAGACGCGTTCCATGGCGGGTATGAGATTCGCTCTGACCCATAAATCGATGATTATCAGTCCGTGGGTCTCGCGGGAAACGGCAACAAGGAGCGAGAATAAGGAATTGGCCGTGTTCGAAGGCGTGGTCGAGTTTGGGTGAAAATGGTGAGTCTTGGCTTCCAACAGCACGGTCGCTTCGGAGCAGAACTCGTCGATGAGGGCCTGTTTATGGGGAATGAGCGTTGCTGCGTCGAGACGGAACAGCACCTCAATCACCTGGCGATCGACGGGGGACAGGCTTGCAAGGGTGGGCGTAGCTTGTATAACTCGCTCCAAGGAGGGTCTGAGGATGTCGACTCCAAGGCGATTCACGATCGCTCTTTCCTCGAGGTTGAGAGGCAGGTGCTTTGCGGCGGCCATGCGTTCGTGATCAGAAAGGAAGTCCAGAGGGCTACGACATTTGTACATGCGCCCGCGGTCCGAGTAGTATTCGTCCACCGCGAGGTGCAGCTCTGAGATTGGGCTGTCGCCTGCGTTTGGAACATCAGCGATTTCCGTCATGACTCTGGTACGGAGGACTGTAAGCATCGCTCGCGTACATTCTTTGCTGCGGAATTTGGACCTACCGCGAGATCCTGGGGAAAGATGGCGGCACAGAGACAAGGAGCGGCGAGTCGGACGAGAAAGGCAGCCTGAGCAATCTATAAAGGACTAGCGAAAGACTATATCATGTTTGTCACTTTGGTGGCAAAGCAGAGAGGGGTAGGGTGGTCAAAGAAGCTCTACTGCATAATCGAGCTGCGCAGCGTAACGAGTCTTTCCCGTCCTCAGCTTCGGCTGTATGAGAGGATTATGCGAAAGAGAGGAAGAACGCATCCATGCCCGTATATCGTGGGCGCGAGGGCCTGAAAGTTTCGATATGTGGCCAGGTCGAAGTTGTGGACGGAGTTAGGCCAAACAATCACATGCAGGGCCCCCGACAGCAGGTGACCAACCAGTACACCACCCTCGTGAAACGCTGTCACAGCGACATCTTGCCGGCAGCGTCTGATCACATCCGTGCCTTCTCGAGTGACATCTCGGGAGACGTCGCCAGATACTTTCATCGCCAATCATCAGGTGTCGGCAGAGGCCCCTGTCTGCAAACATCGTGAGCAGGACGTCGGGCGACACTTTGACGACGCCAAAATTCCGCCAAAATCCGCCGTAATTCGTTACTTTCTTCTGATGCCCCGCTGCTCAATGAGAATCAGGAAAAACATATTATTGCACACTATCTTGTAATACAGCATATAATGTAATGTATCTCTTAAAAAAGCCCTATCCTCCACCCCCAGACCTTTACAGAAGACTGAACAAAGCCCAGCAACCCCACTCGAGACGGCGAGGAGAGAGGGATATCATGCAAGCCGGCACTCGAAGCGAAGAAGCATTGACGTTAGCGTGGACGAAGGCGGATCCTGTCCACGGAGATGAAGTCAGCGATGGCTTCTTGAAACAGTGCGCGAGCGTCGCATGTCGGAGGAAGCGGGCTGACTCACAGGGGCAAACGGTGAAGGGGGGGAAATGGACCATGGTGTGCACAACGTTGAGGGCTGCGCGCAGGTGGTACGCACCAGTTCGCTGTCGAGAACACAGCTGTGAGAGAGACAGTGAGCACCACATGTTCACATGCATAGATGTATGTGGCCTACCGCTGCTGAAAACTTGCTGTCTCCCCAAACGGGGCACACATCGTGCAGGACTCAGAACTTCCCATATGTCAGCGAGGTGTTCAGATCGAATAAGGCCTAAAGACTCACGAAGGGAACAAAGGCACTGCCTGCGGTTCAACATACCATAATCCTAGACGGGGAGGCAGGGAAGGAGGGTTGGTGAAGTCAGGAGGTAAGGAGGAAAAGCGGACACGCCGGAGTTTATGGTACCACGGATAATGCCGAATCGACGCCACAAAGCGGACTTGAAGGAAATTTCGAGCGAGCCGCTCGTTCCGCGGGAGGGAGCGAAGACCTCTCGCGACATTTCAGCAGGACACCGCCGGACAACAGGAAGCACAGCTCTGGGATACCGCAGCTCTATTCTACGTACACCTTGCTTCTAATATCCCCTGATCCGCCCAAGATGCTTTTCGACATTTCGGCTCAGCAGCGGGAGACAGCGCGGCTCCGACGTCGCGGCGACAGCATTTCATGGGGGTGGTGTAAGCGCGACCAGCTGGACTCTCAACGCGTCCGATGCCTCCACACTGCCAGTAAGGGCGGCTTTATGGCCCTCTCACGAGCACCTTTATACGTAGGAATAGAGTAGAGGCATAGTACGGTGTACTTAATTGTTGCTACGCGCGTCGCGTGTAATAGAGTATGTGATCTAATACTGATCCGACTCGGATGGATAGAGTATTGGGTAGAGTAAAGGCGAAGATAGGTTGTGCTAATCGTAGTCGAGGATGCGCGCGTATACAGGAGGAGGAGATGAACCGCAAGACGTTGCCCGGCGTCATGACTGAAGGTCTTTAGGAGCGCCTCATCAACTGCTGCCAATGGCGGATGATGCCAATGTCCTTGAACACATCCTGGTTCAACATCGCGGCGACGATCTGCTTGTCGGTGCCCATGACGGCCTCGAATGGCGTCAAGCCCAGATGGAAGATGATCCCGTTCTCGCCAAGCCTGATGACATCGCGCAGGTGCTGGCGTTGGGCAGCTACGCGTACGTCAGCAAACTCGAAGCAAGAGGAATGGATAGTGAGGCGGGCACTCACCAAGCGACCGCGTACCGTAGATGTCGTCCGTCCTGGAGCGAAGGGGCGCGACGGCTTTGACCGCCGAGGAAATGAGAGGAGCATAGATCTCCGTAATTCGCGCACGAAGGTTCTCGAGGGGCTGGTGATGAGACGCACGGCCGATGGCGCAGAAGAAGTTATCGCCCAGTTCTGACATGCCGAGCGCCTTTTCAATGCGTTTCGTCATCTCGCTCCCCAGAAGATGCTCCATCGCAAGCTGCGGCAAACTCAGTCAGATGCGGGTGTACAGCATCATGAAGTAGAACGTACCGTAATCCCCCGTTCACTGAGCGCTCCCGGCGGCGCCGCGCGGTGTATGGCGGTCATGACGACGTACTGAAGGATATCCTCGCCAATGAGGGCGTCGCTCTGGTCACCATAGGTAAGGGGCCCTTGCAGGAAGATGCACTCCATCTCTAAGACATGCTGTAGCGGACCCTTATCAACGAGGTCATTGAGGGAACTGATAACAAGTTGCTCCTTAAAGCCTAGAGAACGTGAGCTCATGTAAAGCGATTGTGGCATGTAGACATACCACCCTTCTTGATTTGGACCTTCTTGATGTGGACCTTCGTCGCTGCTCGACTATGCCGACTCCCCGATTGCTCGCTTTGAACATACTCGTGCTCTAGAAAAGCAAGGAGAGCACCGCTATCGGTCTTGCGCTTCTTCTGCGGTGGTTCAAGCCCGCTTCCTTCGGCGTGCGCGGTAAGGGTACTCGTGGCGCCGACGTTGTTGGCACGCAACCTCTTGGATGTGCTGGCGCCTCCGGGAGCATCGGCGGACGCCTGAGCGGGCGGCGTAGCGGTTGAGATGGGATGGCCTTGCTGTTCGAAATCCCTCGCTGATAACTCGGGTGGCGTGTGTTGCAGGCGAAGCTCGAAGGTGAACTCGTAGTCCGGCTCGGCGATGGTAACGCTTTGGCGTTGGCTGAGAAGGATGGTGAGGACAGTGCATAAAATGCGGGGATAACTACGCACCGGCTTATACAACCATGCACAGCTGGTCCGACGAAGGGATCGAGCAGCGCAGTGACCAGAGAGCGGGCGTTCGGAGTCCCGTTGTCGGCGGTGTCGATGCAGCCAACAATCGCCCGCAATAGATTTCCCGCCACCTTCAGAGGGGTTTTTCCTCTCCAGATATTCGAGACCTTGGCAAGCGCATCCAGGACCATATCGTCGACCAGCACGCGCGAGGATACCTGAGGCGGATTGCGTTATAAGGACCTGTGTTGGTAAAGGAGGATATGGCAGCGCACCTCCAGGATTTCCGGGGACATAGCACACAGGTCGGGATACGCTTTTATGACCAGGTCGTTGGCATGCATCTGGATCAGATAGCCTCCTCTCTTCACGGCGAGATCGTAAGCGCTGCGCGTTCCGCCTAGCATGCCGGCCTCAAGCGCTTTGGCGTTGCTGACCAGGTAATGCACTATGTTGATGGACAATGTGCGACCAGACATAGCCAGCAGCACGCGCGCTATAGCAGCCTGAGCCGTCCCTTCACTCCGCTGCAACTTCATGTTGTAACCTTCGAAGAGGCGAGTGCTGAATATCGCCTAGGGCAAGCGATCAGTACCGCGCAGAATGTACAGCGAGTAAATAACTGCAGAAACCCACTACAAAGTCGCTCAAAGCGCGTTAACACGCCGTTGCCAAGAGACACGACGAGAAAGGATGTATAGACAGGTGTGTACAATGGATGCGTCGAGGCACTGACAGCTGCAGCGCTCAGCGCAGGCGGTATAGTAGATGGGCGGGAAAGAGAAAGAGCAGATACACGTCCACTTAGCGGATGTGAAAGTGGTCCCGCCCGTGATGTTGGCCGAGATTAGGTATTCGTTGAATTCGCAGGCACCACGCCTTCATCATTGCACTGAAAGTACCCAAACAGGTTAAAAGGCGTTTGTGTCCGGTATGCATTTTGCTGGTTCCGTCAGCCAGCCCTCAATGTGGCTGGAGGAGAATCGCGATAAAGAACCGTTGCCAGCGTGTGAACTTGATCGCCCACGTGTTTTATATCTCCAAAAGGGGATTCGATGGAGATCAGATCAATCAAGCAGCCCCAAAGGGTAACAAACAAGCAATTAGTCAGTTCGGATTGCTCATGTTGTTGACGTTCACAGACAAGCTATAGGTCAACAGTGGACACTCGGAATGGATCCTAGCTAGCTGTGCTTTCGACCCATGCGGATGGGCCTATGATTGCACGGCTGCCTCCGGACGCTCAGATCGAAACTCGATTAAACATGTCTGAACTGTTAGACATTAGTCTCTCGTCTGCGCAAGTTTTCACATGTCAAACCCCATCCCCAAAACGTATAAAGGACACTTCGGTCTGTCTGATTCTGCAGAGGGCACGCCAACTCTCCGAGTATATCTCGTACATTTGCTCCACATAGCGACGGCCACCCTTAGCGGTTAAATTGGCGTTGGCCAGATGGGGATCATGCTAAGCATGTACCACTGGTTCAGCGACAGGCATCAGCTTGTGGGGTCGCTTCGGGATATCTGACCACTAGGTTCTGTCGCAGGCGCTCGACTAGTTCGCGGACAGTCGAGGACTGACCTTGGCGGGCGGGGCTGACCGTCGGGACCCGTTGCATCCCCTTTAGGTCGCGGTTTGCGCATCAAGTCTACTCAGCGTCGTATGAACCCCAAGGTAGCTCTTTCGTCACGTATGTATAGCATCTTGCTAATGTCAGCATACAGGTCCGACCGCAGGCCCTCTCAGAGCCTTCGAGGTTGCAAAATATATCGACGGGATGAAGGGTAGGGCTTGGGGAATGTTCGGGCTGGGTTGGGTCAACGGGCCCGGCTGCTGATTCTGTGGGATGTAATGTTTGTTTGTCTCGCCCCGACTTGTATTCAGCACGCTGGCGTACAATGTAGTAGTCTGGTAGGCGCTGGATGTCCACTAGACGGTCCACAGTCGACGTCAAAGATTCGAATGTAGTCGCAGGAGCATTGACGACGCTTTCCCATGCAATGGGTTCACTAAGATTGACCATATAAAATGCACGATGCCTTGCTTGGTAATAAATGCAAGATACTCATATCCGACTACACCGCCGTTCTCATCTTCCTCATCCTCTGGATCTCCCTCTGCAGTAACCTCCTCTTCGCCTTCACCTTCCGCCCCACCACTCTTCTCCTCGCCTTCTCATTAACCTCCTCCTGTTTCACTAGCGCCACCGCACCCGGGTACCGCGACTCGATCTGCCGCCTGACCTCCTCCGCTTCCTCCTTGGCCATGACCTGCTCCTCTGGGGCTAGACGGGGCAGGAAAGCCGACTGGATGTATGTCGAGCGCTCGTAGGCGATGCGCCGTTCGGGCTCGGGGGCGGGACGTGGGCCGATGACCTCTGCGGGCGCACGGGCGCGCAAACGGTGATAGGCGAGCTTTAGCAGGCGGACGAGCGCACGGTGCGGTCGGTATGAGCTGAAGGCCGGCGCGACCTGCTGCAAGACATGCATCGCGCCCGCGGCGTCCTTGGCGAGCGCGCCGCTGGGGACATCCTGGAACAACCGCCTTGCAGGGCGCTTGAGCCTGCGCTGCATGTACGCACGCCTCGTCGCGCGATCCAGAGGCGGGTCCATTGGTGGAGCAGTCGAAGCCGCTAGCGGGGTCTCTGGCTCGGCGTCGCGGGATGCACGATATGTCACACTGCGCTGGCCCATCGGGATGAGCACCTTCTCCACGAGCTCGAACGCGCGCGTAACCTGACCGGCACGCAGCAGGGCAATGGCAAGCTGATTCCAGTTATGCCCATCGAGCTCAACACCTGCATCCGCGCATGCCTGCCACACGCTCGGGATCGCTTCGTGTTGTCCAGCGGCAGAAAGGGCGTCGACGTAGATTGAAAGCGCAGGGCAGAGCACCTGAGTGTCCCGCTTGGCATCGGCACCCTCCTCTCCAGCAAAGAGCACGCTTGGGCGCATGATCCTCACGCCCTTCCTGAAGATACGCTGCCAGAGAGCGGTGGCGTCGTCCAGCCTGTAGGTCCGGCGATAGGCGTCGAGCTGCACAGTGAGAGTCGGAATGGACGGCCTGACGCCGCGCGCCTGAATTTCCTCGACGAGCTCCTCGACCGCCTCCGGCCGCCGCTGCTTGGCAAGGGCGCGCAGAAGCGGGAAGTAGAGCCGTTCGACGACGGTCATGCCATTGACCGGACGCTCATCGAGTGCGCGTCGCATGGCGGGATTGGGCGAATCCAGGATCGAGCGAACCAGATCATGCGCGAACTCCAGAGCGTGCGTCCTGCCCCCAGGCGTGCGCTTGTATGCATGCATGCGCACCAGCGCGACATACGCCGCCGGACGCAACGGGATCCGCTGTTCCTTCGCCTCGCGCAACACCTGCATCGCCCGCGCATACATCCGCCGGCGCAAGAAGCCGATGAGCAGTATGCTCACCACATACTCATTCGGCCGCAGATCCTGATCCGTCTCCCCCAAGCGCTTCATCTCCACGTACAGCTCGTCCGCCACGCGCATCTTCCCCGCGTCGACCGCCGATTGCATCACCAGCGCGTACGTGTACTGGTTCGGGCGCACACCGAGCTCGCGCAGGCGCAGGAAGAGGCGCGAGACGAGGCGGAAGGGCGCGCCCATGCGGAGGTAGCCCTTGAACAGCTGGTTGTAGAGCTCGATGGAGAGGCGGAGCTGCCGCTCGGGGTTCTTGGACGCGAAGTCGAAGGCGCGGACGAGGCCTTGCCAGTTCCCGCCCTCGGCGTACGTGTCCATGAGCGCGCGCAGCATGCGGCGGTCAGGCTTGACGCCATGTCGGAGCGCGCGGTCGAAGATGTGCTCCGCGCCGTCGATGTCACGTTGCTTGGCCAGGAGATTGATGACGGAGGTGTACGGCGCCGCGGTCAGCACGATGTCAGACCTCTCCATCTGCCGCATGACGCGCTGCAGCGCCTTATGATCCCCACGCCGCGCGTGCATCTGTAGCACCATCGCATAGATATCGACGGAGGGCATGTACCCATCGTTGCGCATCATCTCAACCCAACGCTTGGCGGCAGCGCGGTCACCAGCGCGTGTGTAGGCCTGGATGACGAGGGAGTAGTGCAGATAGCTGGGGCGAACACGATGGTGGCGCCAGCTCCTGCCTTCCCATGCGAAGTGCTGAGAGAAGAGCCTGGCCGTCTGCGTGCCAGCTCCGTGAACGGCGTACGAGAGCATGTACATGGCAGTGTCGAATGGCTGAACGGCGCGTGCGCGAATGAGGCGACGGTAGTAACCTTCAGCGACTAGGGTATCCCCTCGGTGGCTAGCGATGAAAAGGTTGACCTTGGCACGCGACCGGCGTTCGAGGTTCGGCGTAGAATCGTTGACCCTGTTCGCTGCCGCATCCATGCTTTCCCTAGCCAGCAACCGGATGAGTCGGGACCGCGCATGTAGTGAAATGTCGATGTGCTCGCGTTCCATGTACTCGAAGATGTCCAAAGCGTCCTGTGGCAGTTCGTGTCGAAGGCAGACCTCCAGTAGTGTCGCGGCGGCGTGCGCGCGCTGCTCCTGGGTCCATCCTGGCCGATTATCGAGGATCTGGGCCGGATTCTCCACCTTGTAAAGGATGCCGAAGACCGTATTCCGAAGCGCCTTGCTGGAATGTCCCCCGAACGTCCGCCGTAGCACATGCGCACCCAGCAGGTTCCATTCAAGGACCACGTAGTCGAGGACGCGAGCGGCGTCGTAGTACCGGTTGGCAGCCAGGACGAGGCTTTCGTAAGCTTGAAGCACTCGAGCATTCTGCCGTGAGTGTCCGTGCATCGTGGCAATTGACCGAAGAATGGTTGCAGCCTCCGCTAAGCGCCCACACAATGACAAGGCCTCGCTGAGCATGCAGTGATGCTGATAATCGAAGATCGACGAGGGTGCAAACCGCCCGCGAAGGGGTTCCAGGATCGAGACGAGGACTTCGCCGAATTGACGCTGCCGATTCCAGCCCTGCTTGCTGTCGTGCCAGGCCTGGGTTTTGCGCAACATCTTGGAAGAAAGCATTAAGACTTCGTGTGGTTCCAGATGACTGCCATCGCGCAGGCACGTAAGCAGAGTTTGTACTTCCTCGCCGAGGATGTCGGCGGTAGGACCATTGATCAAGTTCCTGAGCCGGTGAAGGGCGATGACAGGGGATGGCGACGACTTGGGATCTAGCCGTGGCCGTTTGACGGGGCGAAGATGCTCGGGTTCGTAAGGGGGAAAGAGAGCTACAGCGTTGTTAGCACACATGCGATTGGTGGCGTGACATACGTACTGTCAAGGGTTATGGGTGTGTGCGAATGTTCATATTCAGGAGCAACTGATGAAGGCGATTGCTCCTCTTCCGCTGCAGACGAAGGCGCCTCTTCGTGGGAGGTGTGTAGCAGCGCCTGCGGAACGGCGGATGACAGCTCTTGTCTCCGCTCGGGTGCGGCAGCAGCAGGAAAAAGATGGGACGCCCACGACTCTCGTCTTCGACTATGTGTCGATGTCTCGTAGGGCGGGTGGTAATCTGGCGGGCGGCCCTCCTCCTCCTGAAGCGCCTCCGAGCTATGTGAGACGTGCCGCTTCTGGCTGGCGACGAACACACGCCCAGCCGAGTTCGTCCGAGGGGAGGGGATAGTGCGGGGTACCCTGCGTGAGCGGCCGCGGGTGGGGCGGAGCTCCTCCATGAGCTCGGCGCGGTGGTGGACTGAGGGGGAAGTATGCATCAGTACTGGGCTACTCATCGCAACTGTCGCACGCACTGTTGCACCACACGTGGGGCGAGCACAACCACTCCTGGCACTGCCATGCAGGCCAGTCATTGAGCGTGAGGCCCGGGTCTAAGGCGCGCTCCTTGCCCTTCACACTGCGCGGCCGCGGATTGAAGAAATCGGCGGGGAGCGCCGGCCTCAGCGGGCGCGCGACGAGTTTGGCAGCAGCAATGCCGGGGAGGGCGTGTGTGAGGCGCGCATTGAGGGAGTTGAAGGCGAGCGCGACAGGCTCGACCATGGACACTGACCCTGCGCGCGCTGCGATGCGTCCTGTTTGCGAAAGCGATTACTGAGGATGTGGAAGGAGCGGAAGAGGTGGGAGGAGCGAACCTGGCCGTGCGGCGTCGATAAGGCAGGCTGTTCGCCTGTCCGCACGCCGCTCAGCACTCGTTATGGATTCGAATTCGGAGTGGACAAGGTTCGCGGGGAGCGGAAAATGTACAATATTTGCCACGTGATGTCGGAATCCAGGCCTTCGGTCCGGCCTCAGGTTCGACTTTGAATGTGTGTCGTCGACGGACGCTGGAGACTCGTCCGACTCAGCCCGAGGGCGTACGTATACCTTCACGAGCGGTGGAGAGGTTGCGCGCGTCGCCCGCTGCACATTGGGTCCTCTAATGCATCCGAAGTCTCTCAAACGGAGCTCCCTTGGGCGACTGACGTGTGTGGCCACAAATTGCAACCAATGTCATCCAGCACCTCCATATCCTCTCCCATCAGTTGAGCATGACCTCCAAAGTATCATCAGGGTGCGTCGGTCAAGTTTTCCTCATCGAATTTGGCAGTGGGCGCCTACCTCGGGAATAGCCGCCAAAGTCCGCGGCCAATAACCGGCATCCGGCTCCGATCACCCGGGTTGCCCCCGTCCATTGTCACCGGTTCACCCTCGACAGAAACGACCACCTTCACTGATCTCTTGGCTTCTACTGACTGCATCTATACCACCCCGTGCTTGGATATATTCCGACGACAATGCGGGTCAATGCTCTGCGCGGCGCGCACCTCACAGAACTAGCTATCCCCCGGCGGCGCTTCAAGAGCGCAGTCATCTATCAGCAGCGCTCCCCTCTACCTTCAACGTCTCGACTCGTCATACCGCCACGTCCGCAATGCGCGTACAGCTCTACTGTATCTACGCCTCAAACCTCGTCTGGCCCCTCTAGCATGGGTCAGTACAGCTTTGGTACTCCGGCTGCAGACGGTGCGTGCGTGTCACGAAGAGGAGGGGGGACTTCCTTCTGACTCTCCCTCCTTTCCCCTCCCCTCTCCCTAATCACTAGATCTCCGACCCATCGCCGTCTACGACAAGCGCGTCGATTCCGGCATGATCCGCCACGACAACCACCAGCGCCGGATCATCCTCAAGCTACAGTCCCTCCACGACCAGCTTCTCCACTACCACCCCCCGCCCATCGCCCCTCACTCCTCCACCGGCTTCTTCACCCGTCTCTTCTCCCCTGCACCCACGGGACCCGCCGCGCCGCCCGCTGACGCGCCTAAGGGGCTCTATCTGTTCGGCGACGTCGGCACGGGGAAGACGATGCTCATGGACCTGTTCTACTCGACTTTGCCGCCCTCGATCACGCGCAAGCGCCGGGTGCACTTCCATGCATTTATGATTGACGTGCACAAGAGGATACACGCGGCGAAGCAGCATCTGGGGAGGCATGGGGGCGATCCGATCGCGCCTGTGGCGCGCGACTTGGCGGAGCAGGCCTATGTGCTTTGTTTTGATGAGTTCCAGGTGCGTCTTGAATGACCCCCCGATGAATTTGTGTTTAAGCTCTCGCAGGTCACCGATATCGCGGACGCAATGATTCTGAGAAGATTACTCGAGACGCTGCTCAACCACGGTGTCGTGATCGTCATGACGTCCAAGTTAGTGCACACAATGTCCTCTCCCTTTGCCTCCTTTCAATATTGACGTATGAATCCAGCCGACATCCAGACGACCTCTACAAGAACGGCATCCAGCGCTCGAGCTTCATCCCCGCCATCGAGCTCCTCAAGTCACACTTTGAAGTGACGGACCTCGACTCGGGTACCGGTATGTGGCTTGCATGGTGCAACGTATACATCCATCTTACATCGAGACAGATTACCGCCGTATCCCTCGCGCCCTTTCCCAGGTCTACTTCGATCCCCTCACTGAGGAGAACAAGCGCGAAGTCGAGAAGATCTTCGAGTCTTTGACTGACGACCCTGCTGTGCGTCATTCTCTCAGAGTTGTCTCAATACTCCGTCCTATCGTCCTACTACCACGCTTCCCTCCATATATCCGCTCACACTCATCTTCCTCTCAGGACCCCATCGAACTCAACCGCGAACTCGAGACCTGGGGCCGCAAGATCATCGTCCCCGAATCGACGAAGCGGGTGGCCAAGTTCAGCTTTCACGACCTTTGTGGCAAGCCGATGAGCGCAGCGGACTACATCAAGGTGAGTTGGGTGTTACGCTTGGGCTGTGGGTGTGCTGCCTGGGTGCTTCCGGGCTTGCACGCAATATCCCCTACACGGAAAGTGGTGCTAACTCGCTCCTTCTCAGGTCACCGAGACCTTCGACACTATCTTCCTCATGGATGTGCCCAAGATGGGTCTGGAGAGCAAGGATATGGCACGGCGGTTCATCACCTTCATCGACGGTTGGTTCGTTTACTTGCAGCTGCCGTTCATCATCTGACGACCGCCTAGCATGTTACGAGAGCAAGACGAAGTTGTTTGTCACCTCCGAGGTGCCGATTTACCAGGTCTTCTCTGATGAGGGCCAAACTGCGTCGGACCAGCTGCAGCGCACCATGGAAGAGATGGTAAGCAATGCAACTCCCCGTTGAGTCAACTTGCCGGGCTAATGGGAGTCTACAGGGCGTATCGACCGATCTCGTCGGTGCGTCGTCCATGTTCAGTGGAGACGAGGAGTTGTTCGCGTTTGCGCGGGCCTGTAGTCGGTTGGTGCAGATGGGAAGCCGGGAGTGGGCTGAGACGGCTAGGTAGCAAGTATGCGATACCAATACCATGATCTACTGCATAGGACTCTAGGTTCCTCGATGTACATATACCTTGATTAGCACAAGAACAATCACTATACCTTCACACACTGAAATCGAACTCGACATGTACTCCAGAACACCCAGCCCCTCCGGAGTATTACGCGCGGATATCACACGTTCGCGAGCCATCTCGAGCCATCGATAGAGTACGCGAGCCTGACGCGCGCTGACTCGCCATCCCGCGCCTGTTCCGCGCGCCATGTGTGCATGCTCACGGCGCGTGACGTCAGGCAGCCAATGGGGTGACATCACCGGGCTCGCCAGCGTATATAGGCCGCCCTCCCGCCGTCCAGATCCTTCCCCACTTGATTCCCATCTGCACACGAACAAACCAGCTCACACCCACCACCTCCACCACACCCACCATGACCAAGAACGTCACGAAGGTCGCGTACAAGCCGGACACGCAGTCCACGGACGAGTACATCGTCATCGTCAACGCGGACGAGGTGAGCAGCGATCGCGCGTCCCCTCCCCCGATGGACGGCGATCTGACCATCGGCGCAGTACAAGCGGTGGAAGGACGGTGACACGACGATACCGCTCGTCGAGGTCGTTGACTGTGCGTAATCTGCCCTCGCGGTCGCGCGCCCTTTGTACTGACGCTTCCCCCACAGCCTTCGACGTCTTCCACTCCGGCCAGGGCAACCAGGGCATCCTCGGCCGCGCATCAAAGCAGCAGCTCGACACCGTTTTCGGCACGACAAAAGACGACGAGGTCGTAGCGAAGATCTTGAAGGACGGCCAAACGCGCGTCGGCGACAAGTTCGACCGCGAATTGGGGAGCAAGCTCGGACGGAATGCTGCGATCGGTGGCAACACCATCGACAACAGGGGCAAGGGCTTGCAGGGGATCTAATGTGAACGGACAAGCAAACCAAGAAGTGTAACTGTTGTACAATTGTCGCCGCATAACTTATAAATCGCACATAATCTGCTGAACATCTATCCTTGTCTGTCCGCTGTAATTGCTGACTGGACCACTCCGTAGTTGTGCTCACAAAGGTTGGGCGGTTGTGCGCATCCCGGCGTTGGCCGCCTGAGTCAATGGAGGTCATCGGTTCCTGAGCTTCTGGGCGTACGATGCGAACCCCGTGGTTATTGCAGGCTCTTCCAATCCAGCCGAGAACGCGTTCGATGCTCAGCTTTGTCATTCAGGTCGATGAGCGGTACAAGTGAGGGCCTGCTGCGCGTCAGATTCCCCTCTCCCTTGTCCAATACGTGACGCTTACCTCCCATGAGCGCACTGGAATGGGAACGCCGTCTCGGTCAACTGCTTGATGAGCTTCTCGCATTGGGCCATGGATAGCGGATCGTTGAACATGATGGCTCCTACAGACAAGGTAAGTACATGTACACCCATCGTCGCCTTGCGCCCACTTACCTCGACACGCTTTCGAGTTGAGGATGTCGACAAGCTCCTTCGGGCACCACCGTAGGGCCTTCAGCCATCCGGATGAACCATCTGCCGCGACGTTGGAGGTCCGCGGAGGAGCACCTTCGTCCGCAAGCTTAGCCAAGTATCCCTTGACCAAGTCGCGTAACTCGTTCTCGAGCAGAAGCTACGATAACTTCAGCCACCGAGTTCCACAAATTGTCAAGATACCTCACCTTCTCCGCAATCATCTCCGGCACAAAAACTACCTCAACCTGCGCATACGCGCTGCCACCCTTCCCCGCGTCGTCCATATCGCCTTCAAGCGCATCTCCATGCACGTCTTCCCCCTCATCCGTAAACCGAAATCCCCACCATCCAAACGCCCGTCGATTCTCCTCAACGTACAGCTGCTGGCGCTCCTTGCGCGTGAGGAGTATGGCCTTGGGCGGATCGAGCGCCCTACATCGCACGCCCTGCTGTCCCGCGCGCGCAGCGGTGAAGCCCGTGCATAGCTCGCGCATGTACCGTTCAACGCGCACCCGCTCGTCCGCTGCGTGTTGGTCGATGAGGACGAGACCCGACCGGGCGCGTTGTTTTTCTGAGCTGTCGTCTTTCGTGCTTGCTGCGGCCGGCTGCATCATGCACGCAATAAACTTGCAGTCAACCTGCGCAATGACGCGCGCTCGGCGGAGGTCGTCGGTGCTAAACTGGTATGCTCGTCGTTCTTCTTGCGCCGTTCGCCCCTGTGGCTGGCTCGCGCGCGCTTGCTGCTCCTGCAACATACGGCGCTGCTGGAAGCTGAGCGCCCTTTGCGGCTCCTGCTGTCCGTCGGGGCAACATCGGGTCAGCGAGCTCGTCTCGACGGCGCGTACTCGATTCTGAGTCGGTGCGTATGATACGTTTGCCTGGAGGTAGGTTCGGTACGCTAGCCGCACGATTATACAGAGTACGGACCTCGAGTGCTTTCCGAATCCACAAAGGAGTTTCCGCTGGCGTCGCACTCGACTGGTGTCCCAACTTCAGCGTTCGGCGCGCGCCTCGATGGGTGATACCGTTTGGATCTTCTTCCGGCTCTGCGTCTCTTTGCCGCTCGTCTTTCAGACGGTACGAGTTCCCGGACCGCTTGTCGATGATGTATACTTCGCCAGTCGTCTCATCCGTCCATATCTCCTCATGTTCCTCTCGACGTGTCGCAGTCGAGGGTCGCCCATTGTCTAGGCGAGCGCCGCTGGCAATAGGGAATGACGACGCGCGATCAATGTAAACCGGCGCTGACACCCTCTTCGGCATGCTAGCAGCTCGCCGGGGAGGTGTAACATCGACGCCTGGCCCGTCCGGAGCGACCTTCCTTCGTTTACGCGGTGATGGCGTAGCAGCGCGGAATCCATTGCGAGACAGAAAGGAGGAAACCGCTCTGTCGAGTAGGTCGATGACGCTGCGCCTGTCCTGTTGCAAAAGTTTAGCCAGGTATCCCCAACACCGGGATGATATCGTTTACCTCGAAATTGACCTCGGCCTTCGCAGGTTCCAGACAGTTGTCTATCTGATGCGGCGGGACGGTGATGTTCAGCACATACACGGGCCTCTTCTCACTCTTCCTTGGTGAACGTCGTACAGCTCAGGATGCCGGTTAGTTTGTGGTATACAACGAGTGCAGGGGATCCTTACTCGCTAACGGCAGGTCATTCTGCCCATCCTCATCAAGCGCGTGCATGCCGAATGAGCTCGAAGCAAACCGCTGGTCAATCAACCGATGCATGTCGCTAGGTGCAAGCGGATGGCGGTTGACGTCTACGAGGAGTCAGATATTGCAGATATAGCAGAAGGGAGAACATGCATAGGAATTGATGCGCCTGACAGAAGTCAGAATCGCCAGCCTAGTATGCGAAGCGGCGCGGCCAGAAGGATGGTATCTCACCTTGGAGGTTGTCCCTTCGAGGCTGATGAAACCCTCAATAGATAGGCCACCTTGTTCAGCCTTAATCTCATCGACGTGCTAAGAACTCTGTTTAACAATAGGCGCACCAATGTGTAAGTATATGCGCACCTGCACCAGAGCACGCCCATGTATATGTCTGAAGGTCGTCAACATCGAGTTTGTCTGCAGCAAGGGTCAAAACAAGCCCAGAGTCATGAGAAGGTACGCATACAGCCGGTATTCTGAGAATGTTCGAGGATGAAGAAGTGCTCTGCTGCGAAGTGCTCGTGTTCTCTAGGCTGAAAGTGACGTGGGGGAAGACAAGCGCATATGCGCTGAGTTCCTGACGTATGAGCTCGAGGGTTCGTGAGGGTGAAGGGTGCGAGCGTCTTCGGACAGGAAGCTGCATCAGATCAGCGAAAGTTCGCTCATGACGCTGATTCTGCGACCTACGTTGTAGAATGCGTCCCGTACGCATACAACGGTGCCAGGCGTCTCGCGACGCCATCGAACGGCTGGTCCATTGTACAGAGTCTTCCTATCCTGTAGCATAAGTCCATAAGCCGGTTGTGAGGTCCTAGGTTGAGGTGAACAGGCGAACCTTGAGGATTATGGACCACGACTCTCGGGAGCGAGCTGTCCGCGACGCGATCTCAAGACAGCACAAGTCGGCAGCCGACGCGAGCGCTAGAGAGGATAACGACTGTCAGCATCTCCAGTAGCATATTTTCAGTCAAGCACATACCCTCTCCCCGAAAGCCAAAGGTAGCTTGCTCCCCGACCTGGTTGGGCGCATATACCTTGGACGAGACTGCACTTCGCTGTCAGCATTCTCTTCAGATCCATCAGATCTGCCACGCAGCCACGCACCATATCTCTCCCCTCCTCCACCCGCCGCTAGCGCATCTAAATCCGTCCTCCCCATCCCGCACCCATCATCGCGCACCCAGCAACCGTACTCCTCGCAGTTCACGCCAACATCGACATGGCGAGCACCCGCGTCCAGAGAGTTCTGTACAAGTTCTGAGACAAGTTGAGGGAGGGACGTAAGGATTTGTGTGGAGCGCAGGCGCGTCTGAGTTGCCTCCGAGAGCCGTTCGAGGCGCCGAGACATGGTGGACGGGAATAACAACGCGGAAGTAGAGAACAGTGATAGGCGCGCGTGTCCGGGAGTTCGCGCCGATATCCGAACTGCTGCTTCACTCCCATCACACAAATGTTCACGACTCAGGGTACACCGAGCGCACAGAAAGCAGCAAGAACCGTGCTTGACTATTGTACAGTGATTGCCCGCAGTTTCTCATCGTCCCAACGTTACTTCTCGGCGTTCCAATGAACATCCTCCTCACATCCTGAAAACACCAAATCCTCTCCCGCTCCCATCCCACGTCGTCGACGCGCTCCCTCCTCCCTGAGCTGCCTTCTTGCGAGCAGAAAGAGCCAAGGCCAGGCCAACAACATCCCTCGTGTCTGTTGGGCGGATGATGCCGTCGTCCCAGAGTCGTGCGCTTGAGTACAGCGCCGTCGACTGCTCTTCAATGCGAGCCTTCAGTTGCGCGTGTTGAGACGGGTCCCTGGGACCGTAGGTCAACAAGGTAGCATGTCTGATAGCTTACGGAAGCACTGACTTCGAGACCTGCGCCATGACCTGCGAAAGCTGTCCGGCCCCCATAACGCTGACCTTCGCGTTCTAACACCAAGGTGAGCTCTCAGCACATCTGTTGGATGCGATATTACTTACAGGCCACATCCAGAGGAAGCGCGGCGAGTACTGCGGCAAAGATCAGCGACACGAATGCTTGGTAGTCGCACTTGGTCTCACCGCTCGGCCAGCCATGCCTACACCGCTGTCAGTTCCAGACTTGTAAAGTAGGCCAGGGAGACGCACCATAGTTGCCCGCGCCAAAGCTACCGCCCACGACGACGGTAAGCTTTGGCACGTCCGCGCAGGCCACTGCGCGAACCATCTTCGCGCCTGGAGTACGATATCAGAAGAAGTTCTCTTGATATACTGGCTCACGCCTTACCGTCCTTCGCAATTCCTCCGCGCTCAGCCTTGGAGCCAACCATGTACCCTGGTGAGTTCAGCAATCGAGTCTGTACGTTCCCAAAGCATGTTATTACCCGTCACGTTGACTAGAAATAGCAGCGGAATCTTCCGCTGTGAGCAGAGCTGGATGAAATGGGTCGCCTTCAGGGCTGACGGCGAGAACAGGATGCCGTTGTTTGCGACGATCCCAACTTCATAGCCGTGAACGTGCGCGAATCCCTACCGAGCGAGGCAATGGTCAACTCCGGCGCAGGCAAGCAGAGCAAGGCATACCGTAACGATCGTCGGACCGTATTCCTTCTTGAACTCCCTGAATCGACTGCCATCCACAATGCGCGCAATGACGTCCCGCATATCGAACGCCTGCCGCACATCTGTGCCAACAATACCATGCAACTCCTCTGCAGGATAGAGCGGGGCTTCCGGCGTGCGCGCAGGCTTGCCGAAAGGGATCAGTCTCGCGCGACGGCTGGAATCGGCCAGCGGCACTCACAGGCACCAGTGCGCCTCCTGCTGCTCCCAGGTCGCCTACTATGCTCCTGGCTATCGAGATGGCGTGTTCATCGTCGCGCGCGAGGTGGTCGGTGACGCCGCTCTCGCTGGAGTGCATCATACCACCGCCCAAATGCTCCTCGTCTACCTCTTCTCCGGTGGCGGCGCGCACGAGCGGCGGCCCGGCTAGGAAGATGCGCCCCTGGTCGCGCACGATGATGTTCTCGTCGGCCATCGCGGGCACGTAGGCGCCTCCTGCTACGCTAATGCCATGCACGACGGCAATCTGCGGTATACCGAGGGCAGACATCTGCGCCTAGTGAAACGAGCCGCATCGTTCAGAGCGCCGCAGGGTGTGAAAGAGGACGCGACTTGCCATGTTGTAAAAGATCCGACCAAAATGCTCTTTGTCAGGGAAGACATCTGCCTGATGAGGCAGGGCGGCGCCTCCAGACTCGACTGCGATGCGAGCTCAGCGACTAGTGGCACGATGAGGTGCGCGCTTACCGATGTAGACGCACGGAAGGCCATGTTCCTTCGCGATCTCTTGCGCGCGCAGGTGTTTCTTGACCTAGTTCGGCCTTCCGCTCAGTGCCCCATTCAAGGATGGGGGTGTGAGCGGTCAAATGATGAGGCGAATCCTCACCGTCAATGGATAGTACGAGCCACCCTTGACCGTCGCGTCGTTGACTACAATCACGCATTCCATTCCCGCGATACGACCGATACCCGTGATGATCCCTGCGCCTGGGATGCTCTCGGGGTATACTTCGTGCGCGGCGAGAGCAGATAGCTCGAGGAAGGGCGTGTGTTTGTCAAGAAGGAGCGACAGTCTAGGGTGTGACGACGGGGGTGTAACGTAACACGTACAATGATACCTGATTAGCGCTCTTCGGACGAGGAAGGTGACGAAGACGTACCGTTCTCGCGGGAGCTTCTTGCCTTTCGAACGCATCCGCTCCGCGGCTCTGGGACCACCACCTTGTCTTGCATCCGCAAGCTTCTCTTCCAACTCCCTCACGAGGGCATCCATATTTGTCTGGGGCAGCCAATGCAGCTGTGAGCTGGGAGGATCATCGAACTAAGCCCACGGCTTAGCACGCACCTTTTTCTCCTGGAATTCGGGCGAAGACGGCGTCAGAAGTGACGGGAGAACACCTGCATGATAGCCTCTCGTGCTACATCGTCCAGGCAGGCGCGAGAAGGTGAGCTGGGCGGTCCTCGTGGCGCATCGAGCGGCGGACATGGTGGGCAGAGGAATGCGGGGCACGAAGCGCCGGATCTAGTGCGGGGTAGCACCCGATCATCACTCGGCGTCCTCGGTCCGGCGCGGGGTCACTCATGCACGTCAAATTCCGGCCATTGTTCCCTGACCACCATTAGCGGAAGCAAATTGGGCATAAAGTACGTCTGGTAACCTTGCTCGAACCCGTTCTCGAGCTGATGCGCCTGATAGCAGCTGTCCAGGGTACTATACGTGAGCATTGTTCGGCCGTTACATCCGCGGGAATATCTGGCACGAGTCATTACAGCGCATACTGACTTGCATCTCTTTCACAGCTCCGTCAGAGAACAATAGAAAGCATCGCAGAAACATCCGTGCATCTGTCTCCCCTCCCTGATCCTCATGTCTGAGCCAGCTCCCCCTCACGAACTAATCATCGCCGAGTCGCGCACGGCCAAGACGCAGTGCTTCTCAATCCGCACACGGGTCTTCTTCGATGAGCAGCAGTTCCCCATATCAACAGAGTTCGACGAGTAATGAGTCATTTGTCTTCATCTCCCTTTATCGCCTGCTTATCACGGTCAACAAAGGCACGACGATGACCCAGCCACTGGCCATATCCTGCTTCGCCTGACACCTTCGCTAGAGCCCATCGGGACGATCCGCGCCATCAGACCGCCTGGGGCCACCTATTACAAACTGACCCGGCTCGCCGTGCTCAAGGACTATCGACAGTACCGCTTCGGCCGCGCACTCGTTCACGCGCTCCATGACTGGGTCCGCCGTCACGTCGCTGCCGCACAGCCAGACGCAGCTACGGCGGAGATCGTCTGTCATTCGCAATTATACGTCAAGGGATTTTATGCGAAGTCAGTGCACCAATCCATTCATCGATGGCTAGTATGCGCTGACGCCCGTACCCCTTTGTTCACAGGTTCGGATACGAGCCTGTCGTGAGTGCGGGAACGCCCGCAGTGTCCAGTGACTCTGCGTTCGTTGACAGAATTCTTGCATTCCATAGGGCGAAGAGTTCGACGAAGATGGCGCGCCGCATCAGAAGATGGTCCTGCGTTTGCCCCTCCATCCGGCCACATGAACCTGCAGGTACCCCGGCCTTCCGCCACCGCAGATCCCTCGTCTATATCCAACTCATGCTCGCTTGTACAACGTCATCATAATCGATGGGTATTCTGCCCGCCTAAACCTCGCCCTGCTTTCTGTAGACGCCCTCACGTGACCACGCTCGAAAAGACCTTCCAAATGTGGGACTGTTGGACGGCAACGCCTCGTGCATCAACACGAGCTATCACCAGAAAACACGATGCTCGCAACCAAACCTTGTTGCGCTTCCCTTCTGCGGCTCACAGCGAACTGACATTCCGCTGGAACTCGTGCACGGCGCGCTGAACCCCGACGGACTTTCTCAGCCTCCGCATGATGCGAAGAGAGCGGCTTTCCGCTGTTCCTTTCTGTTCTTCGACGCACACCCCGTGCCACAATTCCCAGGGTTTCGAACAGGTCGGCTTGCCCCAGATCCTGGCCGTTACAGCTTCGAGAGCTCGACGCGCCCGCAGTCACAAACACGAGAGCATGTGTCGCTCTGCTCCTCCCAAATTATACGTGTTCACGCGCTCTCGGACGGCCAGTCGAGCTCCGACCAGCCGAAATACAACTCAATTCAGCCACTCGGTCTGCGGCTACCGGTCATTGAACAGCAAAGGCTTACTTTGACGTCGTATGTCAGCTTTTTTAGCTGACTAGAGTCTGTGGCCCACCGTTGCTGTGTTGCGTAGCAGGTGCGCAGTGAATCGCACAAGCTCTCGGTGTCTTCCCGCGAGGTGGAACGAGCTACCTTGACTGAATGCGCATCCCATCTGCGGTTAGCTATGCCCTCTTCCGCGCTTGAATGACTCAGCCGCCGCGCCGCGCAACCCGCCGGCGCGGATGGGAGACCCGCAGATGGATCTGCGCGATCTCGATGTTCGTCCCTCAATCAGTCCTCGATAAGCCCTCTTGCAGGATCGTTATATCGCCCATCGAGGTATCCCGACATCGGTGAGCTCATTATTCGGTCAGCGCTATGTCCTGGCGTCGCTCATACGTCCTGACAAGTATCACAGCCCGGCGCCAGCGCTTGGCTAACTCCTGTGGCGCAGTCATGTCAGGCGCTACTACAGCCTCTGCAGTTCAGCATCCGTGTATTTCGCAGTGCAAATATGATAAATAGATCAACTTCATTCAGACACGTCCATCGAGATATGATACAGATGGGGGAGAGATGCGTGCATAGGTATATACCCTCGTACAGTGTCCGTGGTGTAGGTATATTGAGGCTCAAGTAAATAATAGACAGTGAAGTGGAAGTCGTAAGGTCGTAAAGGCGTCAAGGATTGAGCGGGGAGAACACGAACACGATAGACAAGGTCATCATCAAAGAAGGAGAAAGACATAAGGATAGCGAAAGGCAAATAAGCAGATACCACTATCCATCGATCAGTTGTCGCGCTTGCGACGGCTTCCGTCAAAGCGAGTGCCCTCGCTTTCACTCTCCGACTCGATGCGGAGCGCACCAAACGTCGGGCTCTGCTGAAGGATGCTGAAGTTGATGTTCGTACCCGGGGTCGTGGTCCCCTCCTCGTAGAGACGACGCGCGGCCTCGTACTCCAACTTGTCCTTCTCCGCCTGAGCCAAGAAGGGCTGCGAACACCCATCAGAACATACCCCATGTGGACAGAAAAGCGAACGTGACGTACCCGGCGACCCTCGTCTGTCATCTCGCGCCAGTATTGCGCGGCGAGCGAACTCTGGCGAGTGGTCTCCTGTTCATCGCCAAAGATCTCCTTGACAAGGTGGGGGTTCGATCGGATATGACTGAGGAACATAAAATACGCGCTCAGAGGCTTCTTCGGGGCTGATGGGTCCCGTGTCAGCGATAGCTCCGAGATGGGAGACATCTAGACGTACCATTGGGGTCCCGAAGGTTCCCCTTCCTCGATTTCCCCGCCTGATAAGAAGTATCGTCAGCATGGGCTTGATGACATGGGAACCGAGGGACATACCTTGCGCTGAGCAGTACGGAAGGCGTTCTCCCGCTTGATATCCTCAGGAGTGAGTTTCCGCAGATACGAATCTAGTTCCTTCTCGCGCTGCGCCTTCAACGCTTCGGACCTGGCCTTGTAGGGCTACCACGACAGTCAGCTTAGAGAATGACGTCACAAAGCAACGACCAAATACCTCCTTCTCTGCCGCAGAAAGGGCAGCGTAGTCCTGCCCGGCCTCCTTCGCCGCTTGAGCCACGTTTAGCTTCCGTGTGCTGGAAGCTTGCTGCTTCTGAATCCAGTCGGTGAAGTACAGCTGCCACGCCGAGGGAGCGAGCTTGGGAGGGCGTAGCTCTGACTTCGTAGGGGCTGTGTAGAACAATGAGCGATCGAAGTGTAACGGCGACGGGCAACGTACCGCCTGACTCAGCCTGAGAACCCTCCGACGGTGCCGCACGCTTGCGCCGCCGAACCGTGGCGTCGGGATCGTCTTGGCTGACGGATTCAGAACGCCGGCTGTATGGTCGACTCGAGCTCGGGGTGCGCTGAGTCATGGACGGGGCACTGGACGATTGGAACGAATGCGGCGACGATAAGGAATCGTGACGAGAGTGCAAGCGCGGTCGCTGGGATGCCATGAGCGACGTGTGACGGACGTGCGTCCGGCTAGGAGCTGGAGACGGAGCATGAGTGCCCGGGTGCCATAGATCGTTGGCCCAAGCAGGAGCGGCAAAGGTAGTATCGCCTGGGGAGATCGAGTCGACGTGATGACCACCGTCCATCCGCGCCTGATGGTGATGCGAATACGGATCCGCATCTTCATACGAGGATGGCGACATGGGGAGGGGGTGCATCGCGGCGAACTCGGTGGGAGAGAAGCCATCCTGAGGTAGGGGCTGGCTGTTGTTGAAAGGGGAGTAGGGAGAGAGGCTGGATACGGAAGATGGGATGGGTATTGGCGACGATGGCCCGAGCACATCGGTGTCGTTGATCCAGCTCGAGAGCGAGAACTTGGTCTCCTCCTGCGCGTACATCGGCGATGTGTGCTGCTGATGCATCGGCGGATACATGTCAAAGCCCTGCTGCAGCTGGGGCGGAGGCTTCTGCTCGAAGTCGAACTCCGTCGACGGGTCCCAGGGGAAGGTGACCTGGTTGCTGGCCATCGCGTCGTCGAAGTCAAAGATCATCTGATCGGTAGCATCGCCAAAGCCAACGGGAGGCTGGTTGGGATCGTGCATGTAAGCCATGGGGGAGAGCGGTGGTGAGGACGCGTGAGTGCGATGGTATGTCGCGGACGGCATGGGGGAGGGAGGGAAAGGGCGGGCAGGAGGGGACGCGGCGCTTCCGCGGGGGTTATATAGCGATCTATAGGCGGAGATGATGGGGGACCGGAAGCAAGGCGCGAGGGCCGTCTTGAGCCGGCACCGGGGCTTAAATGGGGGGAAGAATGCCATTTTTGTAACTGGCTTTAGGGCTATACCCTTTGGGCGACCGACTCGAGTTCACTTCGAGTCAGTGACCGGTGACAATGGGGTGACAAAGGCACAGCACCGCGGACACCGGGCAGCTGAGCCGTGTGGACTATCTTGCCTGATCAGGTGGTCAATAGCTTATTAGAGAGTCACCGAATGGAAGACACGCACTGGAGTGATACCCTGTCCTTCTGCGCACGCTGAGCATATGTTTCCCAGACCAGCTGTCTTCCTGTCTTTGTGCAGTGCTGATCCGCGCCAAATCGCCTGGCAATCGACTCGGACACCGGCTGGTCGGGCAGGCTGCAAGGTTTGGCGCTAGACGGAAGAGCGCTAAGCGTTCTGCTGTGATGCGTGGCTAGCGGTCCCAATGGGACAAGGACAACCAAAATACAGAAAACTTCTTCGGAAAATCATGTCACTCCCAACCCGCATCCCCCATGTGGCAAATCTGCCCCCGGCCGGCGGCACGTCGGAACCTATTGTTGGAAGCCCGTCCCTTGGCGGCAGTGCCTCGTCAGCCGCTTGCGCATTCGTCGAACCGGATTTGACGAAGCTTCGACCACGGACAAGCGCGCGCGGATTCAACAGTGCACCAGCCCCGAAATGGAGTCGTAGCATGAGTCTGCATTGCATCACTCGAAGCAGGAGTCCCGAAGCAACGTAATATTCTACAAGACTGCTCTACGTGATCACAATCTCGTTCGGCTGGTACTTGGTGTTGTTGTAGACACTCTTCCCCGCCTTTTAGGGTGGACAACAGGAGAGCAGAGGGATCAGATACATGAGAAGCGCGCCAAGTCGAGTGCGGCGGATCGGAAAGCAATCACCAGTCAGTAGTGTTAGGGGTCGGAAAAGCTTCTTATACGCACCTCCCATCCCTTCACGTCCTTCATCGCCTCCTTCTCGCGTGCAAGAGCCGCTTGTTGGAGTCGGTACGCGTCACGGTCAGCTTCCGCCATGAGCAGAGGGACAAGGTGAATCCGTCCCCATCTCTTCTCTCGCACGATTTCCCTGTCGGTACCGTCAGCAGTCCGTTCGCAGAGCTTCCCGTTCCAAAGCGGACCGAGGTTGTGATGTTATCCAGCGATAAGTCGCCCGAGGAACGGCCGGATCCTCAAACACGCCACGTTCAACGATGGGTGCGTTAGGATTAGACACGTTCTACAGCCAGCTGACCCACTCGGACGGCACTGGCCGCATTCGTCACGATTGGCTACTCACCTCATTTCCCAGTTACCCTGAACAATTCGGTACCAGCCGTAGGCCGAGAGGATGGAGATGCCCGTCATCACAGCCCATGCTGGGAGGCCTCGGTTGGGCAGATTCCGCTTGTACTTGACGGCCTCAAACCCGCCGGGGGGTGGCATATCCCTGGCATGGACATCAGACGCGCGCGCACATCGAGACGCGATGCAAGTCTACGCACTGTCGGTAGTTATGCGACACTGCACATGCGTTTAGCGTTTAGCATTCCTCGGAAAATGGAGGGCATACTGTTCGCGCGGGCGGAGAGATAGAGAGGGCGACTATATGTGTGCTGTCGGAACTACTCGATGAGGGTGCTGGCTAAGAAAGCGATCGTGGGAGACCTCAAAATAGCCACGCGAGCTACGGCACTTGAGCCGGCGCGTTCCGGACGTCCATGCAAGAGTTTGGCGGCCCAGGACCAAGGAACGTGTGCGGATTCTCGAGCTCAAAAGTGTACTTTGCTACTGATACTTGGCTGGAATTCCGTCCATGTCCGGACAATGAAAGTACACTTTCGGTGTGAAGTCGAACGACCGACGCGGGGTGGGTTTACCCCTTATGAAGGGTCAAAGCGTAAAATCGCAAGCCCGTTTTGTCGAATCCAAAGGGTCAATCCCGCGCGCTTGTTCCCCGACGTCCATGTCGCGTCAGTCGACTCCGGCGCCTCGGGACTCTGAAAGCCCAGCACCTGACGGCCAGTCCCTCGAGCGACCTGCAGAGACCCTGCAAGCTGGACCGCAGTTGACTGAGCCGGATTATGATTCGAAATGCAGGGATCTCAAGCGGAAGGTTGAGGATATTGAAGCAGTGCGTCTATTGTACTTGGTCGAGAACATAGTCTGACCTACCGTAGGAAAATGATAGACTGTATCTCAAGGTCCTGCACGCGAAGCGGAATATCCAACGAATGAAGCTGGAACGAGCGTGAGTGCTGTCGCGTCCCTCACATCCGATCAACATCTCATTAAGAGTAGTGTCTTGTACGAACGCCTCACGACCATTCCGCCGTCTCCTGAGCTGAGGGATCGTCCCCTTCCTGTACCTCCACCGCCGGTCATATCCCACGAGCCGCCTGTCCCTCCTCCCCCGCTTCCACCACCGTCGCCGCGTACGATGCAAGCGGCGAATGGCGAAGGATATCGACTACGACCTATCCCCCCAGAGGCTAGAAGGTCGCCAGGCCCTCCAAAAGTTGTTCCCGGCCCTGGTGGACGACCAATGGTGGTGCAGGATCCTGTAATTCCGCCGCCAGAGATGTCCTCGTCACGCAGCATGTCCGCCGGTCACTCAGCGCGAGCTGACAGCTATGGTCACATACCTCCACCCCCTCCACCCTCTGACGCGCGTCATATGCCCCGCGGCCCTCCAGGACCGCCAGGACCTCCACCAGAAGCGACATACGACGCGCGACAGGCTCGTGTTGCCCCTAGCGCGTCAATGACATACTCTCCGCGCAGTTCCCATCCTGCACCGTATTCTCACGCACCACCTGACCCGCACTATGGGCATGTGCCTTCTGCGCACCCGTCGCGGACACGTTCGCACTCGCGAAGTAGGCCGGTCCCGCCGACTCCGCCACACAACGTTTCCTCTGGGTATCCGCCTCATCCGTCTCATCACACGGATGCCATACCGGGGCCTTCAATGCAAAGTCCGCCTCATTTGGACCGACGCAGGATGTATCCTTATGATCCGCATGAACACCCGATACCCCATGATACCCATAATAACCATCGTCCTCGCAGTCCCCGTGTTCTCATGTCACCCGTGGACACTCATAGTCCCTACACGCTACACGATCGTCCGCGAGCTGGGCCCGGTTCATATGCGGATGATACTCGACGTGATCGCGAGTGGGACGGCGAGTGGGATCGTGACCGAGGAGAATACCCGCCTCGGAGAGTGCGCGAAAGCGAAGCGTCGCCTTCCTATGGACCGCCACCGCCTCCTGGGACGCGTCCTCGTCAGGTGACGGCGAATGGCGACTATGTCGATCACCGCGCATCTTCGCGGCGAGACGACCCGTACTTCCCGCCCGTGCCAGCGCCCGATTATGGACCATCGGCTACGAGCCCTGGTCCGGTATCGGGATCTGGTTCAGTACCTTCGGATGGTCCGCACCGAGTGGCGCCATATCCCCGTCCGCGCGAGGCCGAGCAGGGCTCCTATAGACTGCGCCCGGTGGCACAGGATGCAGAGTACGACGAACGCTGGGCGCATCCTTCGCGGGATCGCGCAGCTTCTAGTAGTCGTAGCGCGTACCCCTACCCGGATCCTTCTCGCCCAGCGCGGGGGCCCCCTCCATCGTATCCGCCGGTCCATCCAGCGCCGCCGCCGCCCCCGTCACAAACTGCCCCTCGCAAAAGACCGCGAGAAGACGTCGAAATGGCAGATGCCGACGATCGTAGACCGCCTCCTCCGAGATCGTCGTATCCCGGACATTCCCCTCACGATTCAAACTATGCTTACTATCACGAAAGCCATCAAAGCCGACCTCCGCCCTCATCGCATCACTACCATCATCGCCATTACCGCCACGACGAAGACAACAGAGGACCTTAGCTGAGTAATGTGTTGTATACCTCTTCGCTCTGGCACGCCACTATGTTTCGCTCTCCATTCCTTGTATCATCTTGCTTTGCTATCGTGATTGGTGCTATCCGGGTAAAAAAATGCCTTTCTACACTCTACATCCACGGACATCGAAAACCGACCGACGCGGACATGGGGCAGCTAACATTCAGCATTCGGACTGTCCTACCACATTACGATGTACGATGCGGGTATGTAGCTATTGTGTATGGTTTTAGGGATGAAGATGACTAGCCGGTGGGCAGGCCCTCGTGCAACTTGTCGATGCGTCGCCTCGAAGTAGGCTCTCTTCCTCGCCTTAGCGAGCACTAGCCCCGAGCATGTCGTGACCTCTGCCAGACCTACGGCTCTCTCACGAGATGTCGTTCGAAGCTGTCAGGGAAGGTAAGGCTACTGGCAGGAGCGCTTATCTCGGAGGATGACCCGGACCAAAAAAGCGGGCTACGCGGCGTCGAGCCAGAGGGTGAAGAGGAGGCCTGCTGTAAACGGGGGGCGAGAAGCATCGCAAGCGCGACATTGTCCAGCGCCACCTCCCCCTGCAGTCCGAATGCTTCTTGCCTCCTGTCGAGGACAAAGTCCATCAGCGCTCGGCGTCCGCGACTCTTCGAGGTGGTCTGTCTGTCCGACTTGCGTGCAGCACGAGTTTGTATCGCTCGGCTATCGTAGGAAGTGGCGGCCAACGCCGCGTCGGATAATCGCGGTCGCATCGCGGGGCGTCCATGCCCTTCGGCGTGCTGTCGTTTCCGAGAATTGGTGGGTACAGACGCGTCTCGGCTGTACCCATGATGCTTGCGCTGGACATCTGCTGACGACGGCGTGGAAAATGCGGTCGTGGATACGCGGAGTGGACTCCCTACGCTTGTATTCATCGCAGTAGACTTGCTTCTGTCAGGGGTATGTGAAGGTCTTCTGGGTAGAACCGTCATTGGAAGCCCATGGAGCGATTGCATTTCTTGCACACGTACCGCGAACGAGGACTAGACGCGACGCGCGACTTTCTAGAGATCGGATAGGTCTGGGATGAAGTGGTCATGTTAAAGAAGAAGATGCGAAGCAGTTAGGACGACAGTCAACTTTATAAGCCACCTCGCAGATGAGACTATTTCAGAATCTCCTATTTCGTGTTCAAGCCAAGACACTGGCGTCATGGGGAGTTCTTTCACCTCCAGCATGCAAAGCCACACAGCATCGAATAGGGGGGCTCGTCGGGACTCTGCCTCGCTGCACGTGTCGTTGCACCGCTTGCGACGCCGTAGCCGTAGGGATGTCCAATAATACTCGGATTGATATTCCCAAGGTTATGAAGACGAAATAGAATCGGGAGACACTGAGTGCTTTATGCGGCTCTGCCGCACTGCGAGCGAAGAAACCGGGTCGAAGGCAAAAGGCGCTGAGCTCCGTGCAAGTTCAACTTCAAACTCCCACGGTCACCATCCATGGACCCACAACCATTTGTGGTCACTTGTTGACAAGGATCAACAACGCGCTACATGCAGTGCTCGCCGCTTCTAAAACATCCCAAAAACAATCTCATCTGGCATCTCGGGGTGGTTAGCATGCTGCCCGACGACTAACTTCCGCGAAGCGATGCGTTGGAGGTATGGTGCTGGGAATATATACAGCTTGTGAGTCACGCTGAGTATTGCCACTAAATGCCGTTATAAGGGCTATAGGGCTCATTCAATTGATCACTTGCCCTCCCTAGCGTTTCACGTCCTCCTGTATATACGCTCTTTCAACACTACCTGGAGCTTTTTCAACATCACACACCTTCCCCACCAGGCGAACGAATCACGATGTCCGGACCACCTGCAGATTACGGTAAAGGCGACATGCATGAACGACCTTCCTCCCGCTAAATAATTTCACAGCACCTGGAAGTCTATGGTGTTACGCGCCGAACAAAGGCGCGCCGATAGCGTTCGCCGTGCTTTTCTTCGCGTCAGGAATTGTGCATACGTACCAGTGCTTGTGAGTCGTTCATCGAGGCATTCAGTCTTGTCCTCTGAGCACCCCTATAGTCGCTATAAATCCTGGAAAGTCAGCGGCTTACTACCCTGGGCCGCTGTTCTCTTCACCGCAGGTTTTATAACGCGTGACATTGGAGCATACCACTACGATAGCATAGGGATATATATCGCGTCGAGCGTCCTGTTGCTCATTGCGCCGTGAGTGATTGAACCTGTTCTTTTAAGACAAAGACTCACAACTCTATAGTCCAGTCTACGAGGGCGCAAATTACTTTCTCCTCGGACGCATCCTCTACTACGTCCCATATCACGCTCCCCTTCACCCCGGACGCGTCGTTTCGACTTTCCTCGGCATCGATGCGGCCATCGGTGCCCTCACCGGAACTGGCGCCTCCTACGTCGCCAATAGCTCGCTTCCCGAGTCGCAGCAAAAGCTAGGGCAGAACCTCCTGAAAGCCGCGCTCCTGCTGCAGATCGCCTCCATGACCCTATACGTAGGCATCGCGGCCAGGTACCACTATCGCTGCCGCCGCACGGGCGTCCTCAACGCCAACCTGCGCAAGGTCCTCATCGTCTTGTACTGCAGCTGCACGCTCATCACTGCGCGCACCATCTACCGCACCGTCGAGTACTTCGCCGTCGCGTCCATCAGCACTACGACGGACGATCCGGGTAGCATCAGCCCCGTCGTCTGCCATGAGTGGTACTTCTGGGTGTTCGAGTCGACGTTCATGTTCGGTAACACCGTTCTCCTGAATGTGTTCTACCCGTCGCGCTACCTGCCCAAGAATAACAAGATATACCTGTCGGAGGATGGCAAGACGGAGATCGAGGGACCCGGGTACGAGGACAAGCGGCACTTCCTGCTCACCCTGTTCGACCCATTCGACATCGTTGGCCTCTTCAGGAAGAAGGACGTAAAGTACTGGGAAATGCAGAACAGAGGAGAGCGTTATGGGACCGTAGCGGGTCCGCATAGTACGGTCTGAGGCTTATAGACTCAGGTAGTGTAGAGGGTTCGTCGGTAGCGCCATTTGGGTATACCAGAGACAACTTGCTTGTAAGGTCTCCGCGGTCACTCAAAAGGCTCCCTCCGACTTCATCTGAAGCAATGGTTCTCTGGGTTTCGAGACGCTACAGTTTCTATCAATACTACGACGCGTAGACCCCGATTCAAGCCTCATCGCTGCCGCTGCGTCCGGCGACGTCAAGGCGGCCGACGGCTCCCATGTTGCACTCCGGCACATAATGTGCAGTTCCGGCATGTACTCACCAAATACTGTCACTATCTCACCTGGACAATTTCTATGCGAGTCGCTTCCTGTACCTTCGCGTACTTATCGGCAGTTGGCAGACTTAGACACACAGTCAGCCTACTATTACTCTCCCCGTGTTCTCGGCAAGCAGGGTGGCCAAGAGGCGGAGCCGACACTTCTCTAGTGAGGATTTCTCGCACCTTGTGTTAACAACAAATGCAACAACACTGACCCTCGCTGCCTCACCAGTTACCTTCGCACCCTCGGGCACTTGCAGTCCGCAGCGATAGGAGCCGAGGTGCCCCACCGCGTAATATGCGTAGTCTACCCGAGGGCGAATAGGGCCGTTCCCCTCGGGAACCTTCCCTTCCATCCTTCCATCCTTACTTCCTTCCTTCCAGCGCTGAATAGGGGGGTACTTATGGAGACCCCTTCCTCACTACATGTGCCGTTTCACTGCTTGCTACGCCGTGGCCGTAGGAATGTCTAATAATACTTGGTGAAGTTCTCCTCAGAGTTTGGAGACGATGTAGTCGTAGGTAGCCAGCGAGTTGTACCGCGAAACGCGCCAAAATTCATGAGGGCGAATGTCAAGGCGCAGAGTTCGGCTCCGTGCAAGTTCAACTTCAAGCTCCCACGGTCACCATACATGGACCCGTAAGGATCCACAACGCTCCATATGTAGTGTTTTGCGCTCCCACAGTCATTCCAACAATTGGATGTATCTGACGGAGTAGTCATCATGCTGCTCGACGATCAACCTGCTCGAAGCGATGTGTAAGTAAATGTGATGCTGGGAATCTATACAGCTTGTGAATCACGCTGGGTATAGCCACAATATGCTGTTATAAGAGCTACCGACATTACATGGATCACCTGCTTCTTATGTGCGTTTCATGTCCTACTATATATACCCTCTTTTAAAACTACGAGGACTGCTCCAGTCGTTCACACATCCACCAACGCACCAACGATGTCGTCTGGACCACCTGCAGATTACGGTGAGGAGGACACATATGCACGACTTCCCCATGCTCAACAATCCTGCAGCACCCGGCAGTCTATGGTGTTACGCACCGAACAAAGGCGCGCCAATAGCTTTCGCTGTGATTTTCTTCGCGTCAGGTATTGTGCACGCCTACCAATGCTTGTCAGTCGTTTATCGAGGCGTTCGATGTCGTTCTCTGACCGCGCACCCAGCCGCTATAATTCCTGGAAAGTCAGCGGCTTGCTGCCATGGGCCGCTATACTCTTCACCGCGGGTTTTATAACGCGAGAGATCGGAGCATACCACTACGATAGTATAGGCATATACATCGCGTCGAGCGTTCTGTTGCTCATTGCAGCGTGAGTATCAGCCTATTATTCTTTCGGAAGCAGGAACTCACAGCCGTACAGTCCGATCTACGAAGGCGCAAACTACTTCCTGCTCGGACGCATCCTCTACTACGTTCCATATCACGCTCCCCTTCATCCCGGCCGCGTCGTTTCGACCTTCCTCGGCATCGATGCGGCCATCGGTGCCCTCACTGGTACTGGCGCGTCCTACGTCGCCAACAGCTCGCTGCCCGAGTCCCAGCAGAAGCTAGGACAAAACCTCCTCAAGGCCGCGCTCCTGCTCCAGATCGCCTCCATGACCCTGTACGTGGGTATAGCAGCCCGGTACCACTACCGCTGCCGCCGCACTGGCGTCCTCAGCGCCAACCTACGCAAGGTCCTCGTCGTCCTGTACTGCAGCTGCACGCTCATCACCGCGCGCACCATCTACCGCACCGTCGAGTACTTCGCCGTCGCGTCGATCAGCACTACGACGGACGACCCGGGTAACATCAGCCCCGTCGTTTGCCACGAGTGGTATTTTTGGGTGTTCGAGGCGACGTTCATGTTCGGGAACACCGTCCTCTTGAACATCTTCTACCCCTCGCGCTACCTGCCCAAGAATAACAGAATATATCTGTCGGAGGACGGTCAGACGGAAATCGAAGGACCCGGGTACGAGGACAAGCGGCACTTCTTACTCACCCTTTTCGACCCCTTCGACATTGTTGGTCTCTTCAGAAAGAAGGATGTGAGGTACTGGGAGATGCAGAACAGAGGCGAATGTTCTGAGACGGCGACGCGTCCCCATACGGCCTGAAGTTCTCACATAGTAGGTGTTCGTTGGTAGTGCCATTTGGGTATGCTCGAGTCTTCCTTGTAGAGGCCGCGTGCCACTTCAGTACGGCCCAACGAGTTTGGTGAGACGAGAGCGAGCCGGACGTGGACAGAAGACGGAAGATTAAGGTACCACTCGCTGGTTCGTGGGCAAAGGCGAACCAACTCACGAGCACATCGAGGGCTTATCCCCTTCCGTCGAACAATTGGTAGATAGCATGGGTCTGTCATGATTGGTGTACTCGTTAAGCCGTCGGCGACGTCCAGCCCGCTACTTCTTCGACATGGCTCATGGTGGGAGGGCGAAGGGCAGAAGGACGCAAGCATCCATGATGATGGTATGACATTTATTCCAGACGAACGAAGATATACCGACGACAGGGCATCGCAGGCCGTATCTATCAACACCCTCATCGGTACACATGCTCCGCTGTGGGAGGGAAGGTCAGAAACAGTGTTGCGAGCAGAAGGACGCCGGTGTACGCACAATGCAGGTTGGCGGCGATCTCCGCTTCCATTCTGTCGCCGTTGGAAAGAAGCTTCTCCTTGTTGTACAGCAACTCCTCGCGAGTTTCGGTAGCAAACTCTTGGTTCTGAGCTGTCAAGTGTTATAATTGTAAGCAGGGTGATTTGCAGGACCGAACAATGGACGTACTCTCAACAATGGCGTCGACGGGGCAAGCCTCCTGGCAGAAGCCACAGTAGATGCACTTGATCATGTCAATGTCTGCAAGGGAAGTAAGTATGCATTCCATGACCTCCCTGTAGCCACGTACCGTATTTGGTGGTCTTCCTTGACCCATCCGCGCGCGCCTCGCTCTCGATCGTGATGGCCTGCGCAGGGCAGATGGCCTCGCACAACTTGCAAGCTGAGGCACGTTAAGGTCCGCTGTTCCATTGCAATATTGAACATGCTTACCAATGCAGCGCTCCTCGCCGCTTGGGTATCTGCGCAGGGCGTGCTCACCGCGGAAGCGCGGGGACAGAGGCCCCTTCTCGAACGGATACATGATGGTGTATGGTGGGCGGAAGAACTGCTCCAATACAATCCACATGCCTGTAAAGCGACCATTCTCGTCAACATTTGCTCGAGTATGGACGAACTCCTTCACGCACCCCGCATAATCTCGGAGATGAAGAACATATGCACGGCCTTGTTCAGCGCGCTCGGACCACCAGCGTACGGGTCCACATCCTTCGCGCCAGCGGTCGCATAGCCGCGGGTCGCAGGCTTGGCCTGGTGAGAATGCGAGTGGTGCGAGTGCGAGCAGGCCGTCGAGGTCGACAGAAGTCTACGAGCAACGAGAGTGGAAGCAGCGGGCGAGCGCTGGGCCGCCTGCGCGCGGAACGCAGACGCAACACCCGCGAGAGCCGTCCTGCGGGCGAGAGACATGGTGCTCGTCGTTGTGGACGGCGATGAAGGAGTATGGTCACGGTCGGGCCCGCTGACGCGCGAACAGTTTGCCGGCCTGATCCGGTCCGCCAATCAGCGGGCGTGTTTTGGTGAGGGGTTAACCGCCGGGTTAACTCCCCAAAACGGGAGTTAGCAGGAAAAGTAACAATTGTAATTCTTGCCTCCTGCATCGATGGCGTCGACGAAAGACACGAAGGCGAAGTCGAAGGTGCCACCTTTGAGTGATCAGGGTAAGGCTCGCCAACTGCTTCCCTCCTGGTAAGCTGATCATAGCGAACCAGCCAGAGATCCAGCAAAACTACACTCGAATGCAAAATGAGTTGCAGTCTATCGCACAAAAGATAGGCGAGCTGGAAACAGAAGCAGACGAGCATGCGTGCGTTTTGTCCTCCCTCCTCATCCACCGAATTACTGACCAGTCGCAGTCTCGTGCTGAACAGCCTCACCGACACGCTGGCTGAAGAGCCTGACCGCAAGTGCTTTCGCTTGATCGGAGGCGTCCTTGTCGAACGGACAGTGAAGGATGTCGTTCCTGCATTGAAGCTGAATCACGACAACGTGCGCTCTCGTCTCCTGTTCTCGCTCACCCATCTGACCTATTGAACAGATCGTGTCAGCGATCAAGACCCTTGCGGAGCAATACAAGACGAAAGAGCAGACTTTCGATAGCTTCAAGCGCGACTATGGCATTCGTCCCGTTCGCGCATGAAATCTGCAAAAGGCTTCCTAGCACAACAGCAGTAAAGCACTGTATTATATCCACGCCACTCGCGCGTAATCAACACTTGGACCAGGCGGTCGAACTACGTTCTCGTCTGCTTTGCTTGATCTCGAAACGAATTCTATGCGTCCGCGGTCCATCTTGAATGGAGGCAGGTCGGGTAGGCGTGGGCTTGCGCGCCTCATCAGCAGCATCGACCTCTTGTCTATCCTCTCAATCTCTAGCGGCGTTAGCGCTGTTCGCCTCCGAACTCGCACCCCGGTTGAACAAATGATACCCATATTCTCAGATCTCGCGGTAAGCATATACCATTGTCTTCGAAGAGCCGTAGCTTATGATCGCATCAATAGCTCGTCGCTTTGAGTCCCCCCTTCGTATCGTCAGGGCGTCACACCTGAATCTTGCATGCAACCCACTGAATGTGGACCTCGCAGTCTTCTGTCGGATGCTCTCCCTAAGTATGACCATGACACACTAATCGTCCGTGCACTTCCGTCCGGACTTAGATGGACTCAATGCACTGGCCGCTAACTGCTAGCGCGTCATGGCATTCATCGTGCTCATCATCAAGACGGTATCTCCTTGCATGCGTAACGCGAGTTGTTGGACCAGGTGTCGCTGCCAGCATCTCGGACCTACAAAAACCGTTCGATCCAACAAGACGTCGAGAGTACGACGCCGTGCTCGAGATTCAATCATACAGTCACGTTCCTGAAGACCCTGCGATGAAACTTGCATCGCAAGCGCGTAACGCTCTCCAGGACTTGCTGCTTGCAAGGCGGCCTTGACAATATGAAGGTTCCTCGCTTGTCAGCTTCCGGGTATGCCTCCACTATCCACTGACATCGTCGGGCTCATCCGGTTGGACGATTGTCGCCCACGGACCGAAGGCAGATACCTCTGCAGGTCGTTTTGGGGCTAACAAGCACCGGAGAGTTTCCAAAGGGTAACTTCGACACCTGGGGTATTCAGCGATCTTCCCGTGCTCCCGCGATGTAGATCTCTTGGCTCTCGTGCCCATTGTTTCGTCCGCCTTCCCCGACCGGACTCTCACACTGAGTTAGCATCGAAGTTGCCAGTCCCATGCTGTTCCCGCATTGTACCCATCTTAGAATAGGCTTTCCCATGCACCTAAGTTATCGACTGCTATGTAGCGAGCGCTTGCGATACCGAGGGTATCGTTTGCAGAGCATAGGCCAGGCCAGCAAGATTGCAGGATCGGCGCGCAACTCCGCAAGCACGGGCTGAAGATCAGCGGGAAAACGCCGTTGCGTGGGCGGCTCGGGGCGCGTCATGTTACACAGCTTGTCCATCACCATCACACGGAAGCGGGCGCGTCCTATTTGCGCTCGATGAGCCTGAGACGCCATGCCTATAAAAGCCCTGTCGCGAAGTCGCGCCGGCCAGCATCCTTTCCCCCTTCCCCCTCCCGCCCCCCATGATCTCCAAAGGCTCCCTCGTCCTCCCCACCCTCCTTTCCGCGTCCCTTGCCCTCGCGCAGGGCCAGGGTAATGACACCGGGAGCTCGAAGGTCGCGACAGCATGGTGAGCGCGTACATCGATAGGACACGGTGCACGGGCGCTTAACCCTCCCCTCAGGTTCGCCGGCTGGCACACCAACACCACCCCGGCCTTCACGCTGGACGACGTGTCTTGGGACAAGTACACCAAGCTCACGTACTCGTTCGCCGAGACCGCGCCCGACGGCTCCCTCGACCTGGGCAACTCAAACGCGACCCTCCTGCCCGAGTTCGTCGCCCGGGCGAAGCAAAACGTACGTCGCGTACCTATCTGCACTGCCCACTCCATACTCATTCCATACAGAACGTCACCCCCGCGGTCAGCATCGGCGGCTGGGCAGGCTCGCGCTTCTTCTCCTCCGCAGTTGCCACCCCGGAGAACCGGACAGCATACGTGAAGACGGTCGTCGATGTGCGTGGCCGAGAATCCTTCCGTCCATTCTATCTTCACGGAGTTCTGAAACCCCTCCCCCAGTTCGCCAAGCAGTACGAGCTTCCGGCCATTGACTTCGACTGGGAGTACCCCAACAACCAGGGCCTGGGCTGCAATGTCATCAGCGCGAACGACACCGCGAACTTCCTCGCGTTCCTGCAGGAGCTCAAGGCAGATGAGTTTGGTGCCACCCTTCAGCTCTCCGCGGCCACGGCCGTCAACCCTTTCATGGACGAGACGGGCTCACCCTCGACGAATGTGACCGCTTTCGCTGAGGTCTTTGACTACATTGCCATCATGAAGTTCGTGTAGTTCACTGCTATACAAGACCGGTCAACTAACTTTAGATTCTTAGCTACGACCTCTGGGGGACCTGGAGTGCGTCTGTCGGCCCCAACGCCCCGCTGAACGACTCTTGCGCCGCACCCGAGAACCAGCAGGGCTCCGCCGTCTCCGCGGTTACCGCCTGGAACGACGCCGGCATGCCCCTCGACAAGATCGTCCTCGGCGTCCCCGCCTACGGCCACTCCTTCGCCGTGAACAAGACCTCTGCGTTCAACGGCACCGAACTCGCGCTCTACCCGCCCTTCAACGCTACCGGCTTCCCCAAGGGCGACTCGTGGGACGACGAACCGGGCGTCGACACTTGCGGCAACAAGACCAACCAGGGTGGCGTTATCAACTTCTGGGGCCTCGTCGACCAGGGCTACCTTGGCTGTGATGGCCAGCCTGAGGATGACGTTCCTTACCTCTTCGACGACTGCAGCAAGACTGGTAAGCGCACTTGACCCGCGCGCCATGCATCCAGCGTCTGACCATTTCCGCAGCTTACGTCTACAACACTACCACGGAGGTCTTGATCAGCTACGACTCGGAGGAGACCTTCCAGGCCAAGGGCGAGTTCATTCAAACCAAGGGTCTCCGCGGCTTCGCGATCTGGGAAGCTGGCGGTGACTACGAGGATATCTTGCTCGATGCTATCAGGCAAGGCGCTGGTTTCAACTAAAAACTGGAACTCAAGGGAAATTGGACCATGGCTATCGTACATACACTCGTTGTGATCTATTTATTGGCGATCTCCCGCAGTGGGAACGCTTACTATCATGTTAATGCAGATACGTCTGCGCGCACTCTCGCAAGGAACGCTGAGCTTGACCTGCGCCTTCCGTCAGCATCGGTGCAAACAGCAAAGGGGGGCTATTCACGGAAGACCCGAACGAGAAGAGAACATCACCATCTCTGTTGTATGCTACCATGGTCGTCGGATCGATAACCTTGCTGAGGCGCTCCAGCATACTGCACGTAGCCACCGTCCTCCGCGACCTCCATCAGACGCCTCGTTAGGATTGCCTTCACCTCCTCCTGCGTTATCTGCTGCGGTCCTCTGTGATGGAGGTCTGCACTGCGGCGGTCGGGCAGAGGAGGATGCGGAGGACCACCGTACGCATCGCCGAGACTAACATTCGAGCTGAAAGGTGGACCGTGGGTGAGGTCGATAGGCGGTCCATTGGCGAGATCGATGGGCCGCTGCGAGTAGTACTGGTCGCTCACGCTTGGCTGAGGCTGACGCGGTAGCGGGCGATAGTTGGCAGTGCTGTGCATGTTGCCTGGTCCGCCGGGATGAGCCTGAAATGCCTGCTGAGGCGGCGCAGTGCGCGGAGCAGAGGGATGAGAGCCATCGGGGGAAGCAGTGGAGTAGAGCCCTTGCGCGCGGAGCACTTTCGCAGCGTGGGCGTAAGCAAGAGCAGCAACATCCTTTTGAGATGGAGTGCGGACGCGCATGGAAGACACAGACTCGAGGAGTTCTTCACTGAGACGAGCAGGTCCGCCACGCGGGGCATACGCGTACTGTTGATGCTGATGCGAAACCTGCCGATGATATTGGGGCGTCTGAGCAGGCTGCAACTGGTGGACGTATGCCTGATTGTCGTAGAAAGCGTTCTCAGACGGCGCATACTGGTATTCAGGATTAACATCGTACGCGAGACGGATGTCGTCGACGTCGCTGGGGTAGTATTGCGGACTGTCGATCACTCTCTGCTCGCGCGGAGGAGTGCGGCGAGTGTTGGCTTGGAGCGGAGACCAGACGTCGGCGGGCGACTGGACAGGTGGTGGGGTGCAGTTGGTAGGAGATGACCCGGCGCTAGACTGCGGGAGGCGGTAGTCGGTGTAGACATTCCACTTCGAGGCTTCGTCGCCTGGCGAGCTCGGCTGAGGCAATGGCACAGAGGGGCGTCGCCGCTGCATGGGTTCCACTTTTGGGGGCCCTGACGATGGAGGTAGTGTGCTATCGACTTCATCGGCTATGCCGGCGGCGTTGCGAGCTCTGCACTCGTCGAGCATCGCGCGCCAGACCTCGGAATCAGACGAAGGTATGCAGGGCGATGGCGGCAGAGAAGCACCAGGATGAGAGGCACCAACGCCGACAGTCGAACCTGGAGACGAGGATGACGCGAAATATGTGTTCTGACGTGGTTGACTATGGTTGCGGCTAGTGTTCTGAGCATTTTGCGAGGCAGGCGGAGCACGACGACGCTGTGACATGGTTTGATGCTGATGTCGAGTACGCGACCGCCAGTCGGAGTCGATGCCTTGCGCCTGCGGGATCTGGTGCTGGGCTGCAGCACCGTGTTGATGTGGAGACGACGGACCGTGATCCTGCAGTGCGAAGAGCCTAGGCGAGGGTAACGAGGACACAGCGGACGGTCCGTCTTGTTGAGGATTGGCGCGAGACGTACGAGAAGCTTTGGACGCATCATGCTGAGTTGTGGCGCTCGAGAGCGGTTGAGGTTGCGAAGAAGTAGGCTGCACAGTCTGTACCACTTCTGCTGTAGGTTGGGCTTCGGGTGATGCTTGACGGTCAGCCGAAAACCTGGGCTTGATTTTGTGCCCCAAAAGGGCTTCAGCATCGCTACCAATGGTAAGCGCGAGGACGTCTTTAGCGATCTCCGGGTATTCGAACGCGATCTATGGGCGTCCGTGAGTGAACGCAGAAGCATCGTAGCGGGACGCGAACATTCGTCGCTACACCGAATGTTGTGATAATCGGTAACGGCGAGCGTTGTTCGACGATTGGGTCCGCCGACGACCCCACGGTCTCGCCTGCAGGGAATGGCGCAGAATCGCCTGTCTGAGATGATCCAGTCAATTGCATGCCCGCCAGAACTGCATATATGCGTACCGTGTGGTCGCTACTAGCCCCGGCAGGGTCCGGATCCTCACATGCAAGAGCGAGCGGGGCATCGGCACCGCCTTGGGCGTCCATTTCGTCAGTAGAAGAGGTATCCGGTGGGGTAGGGCTTGCGACTCTGTCGGCGGAGACGGACTCCGGGATGCCCGCCAACGCGACCTAGCAATGCTCAGAAATCACGAAGATCGTGCCTCAAGGCACTTACCTGGGTGAAGCTATCGACCTTGCCGAGGACCGGGATTGAGAGCTAGGTTTGTCAGAACTATGTATTGCCATTCTACATATCTGGGCTCACCTTTGCGTCAACGTGACGATCATCATGGCCGTTCACCTGTACAAGCGCGTAAGTGGCCTTTCTGCAATGAAAAATCGGCGCAGACGCACCTCCGACGCGTCGAGACGTGTCGCCGGGTCAGAGATGTTGCTGTCGTCGACTGTACTTCCCATTTTAGGTGCTTGAATGAGGCTGAGGCGCGCTTGAGGTGACGGTGAGAGACAAGGACAGGCGTCGGGCCCAGCGACGAAGGAATCCAGTGACCAAACAAGGTACATCAAAAATACTTCTTTGCGTCAATGACATGCCGCGGCTATTTTGCAGGGCTTCTGAAGTATATCCTGACAGCGAGAGTGGCAGTCCATGGCAAACACGCTTCGAGCCGCGCCAAATGCCCTTCGGGAAGTCTTCGTCATTTCTACCAGTTCGTCGAGGAGGACATCTTCATAGCAGCGCTTATTCTGTCCATGATAGAGGACAATATCCAGCATCAGTCTCCTCGCGCTCTTGAAAACAAAGGGACTGCCATAAGAGTGAGAACAAGCCGTAGCGTGTGAAGTTCCTCCGTGCCGACTTCCACCGGCGATCCGATCAGCCTGATCCCACCTCTTGACCTCGAGGTGCAACTGACCGACTCTACGACCTCTGGCAGGTTCCCTAATTCTTTCCTTCGTTCTTTTCGCCTCCTCGCGTCCGTTCTTCCTTCACAATGGCGTCCAGCAGCCGCGCGGCAGAGCCGTCCCTCGTGTTTGACAAGCTTGACATTGACATGGTTGTCAAGGTCCTCACGCATACTGCGTTCGGTAAGTTGCGAGTACATGGACATTTATGAAGCTTGCAATTGATTGAATGACCTTTAGGTCCCTTCTTCCTGTTCCTTGTCCCTGTTTTCTTCTTCTTCCAGGGAGTTCCCCTCGATGATCCTCTCATCCGCTACTCGACGTATTGGTTCCTCCTCGTGTGCTTTGGCTGTATGTTGACGATTCAAACTTGCAACGCGGGCCATACTCACATATATAGGGTTCGTCAAATGGTGGTCTACGCTACACCGCAACCAAGGCAGCTTCCTGTTTGCTCCGCCTCCTCTGGACTGGAGCGAGCAGGTCGTGCTCATCACCGGAGGTTCGCGCCGGTTTCGTAACATTTTATGGCCGATTGATGACACCTGGTAGGCGCTTCTGGCATCGGCGAACTCCTGGCGAACACGCTGGCAGTACGCAACGTCGCAGTAGTTGTCCTAGACATCGCGCCTATACAGAGTGACCATTGTAAGGGTTGCCCTCGCTATCTGAGTGAGCAGTCCGTTCACACAGTATAGATAACATCGCATACTACAAGTGCGACGTGTCCAAATGGGAGGAAGTAGAGGCCGTTGCCAAGACGGTCATCGAAGAGGTCAGCGAGGACGCGTCAAGTTTCTGTAACTGGATCATTGACTGAGTCCTACAGATCGGCCAACCTACGATCATCGTTAATAACGCAGGTATCGTGCAGACGAAGCTTATTCTTGATTTGTCGCCCGCCGAGATCGAGAGGTTCGTATGGCGATGCTTCGTCTCGTCGATTCCGTCGCTTACCCAACGCAGGACATTCGCCGTCAACACCTTGTCCCACTTCTGGACTCTGAAGGCTTTCCTTCCGGGGATGATTGAACAGAAGGCCGGCCATATTGCAAGTGCTTTCCATCCTTTCGCTTTGGCAAAATGACCAATTTGTGTGCAGATTACCATGTCGTCTGCGCTGGGCTTCGTTGGCACCGCTCAAATGGGTATGCACTTCTCTGCCACAGCGTACTTCTGAATGCCAAATTTTGTGTTTGTAGCCGACTACAACGCCTCCAAGGCGGCGGTGCTGTCTCTCAACAAGTCGCTGCGTTACGAGCTTGACAAGAGGTAACCTCATCCCTCTTTGCCTACCTCCCCCCAGCTGACCCCTTGAACTTCAGGTACAACTGCCCCGCCATCCGCACCACCGTCGTCTGCCCCGGCCACGTCTGGACGAAGATGTTCCGCGACGTCCGCCTGCCCACCTACCCGCTCTTCTCCTTCTTCGCACCCTCCATCGAGCCCGTCGCGGTGGTCAAGCGCATCGTCCAAGCCATCGACGACCAGAACTCGCAGGAGATTTTGCTGCCGTTCTATGTCAAGTTCATCCCGTTCTCGCAGCTGCTGCCGAGTTTCTTGGTGGACCTTGTGCAGAAGGTGCGTGGTGTGTGGCAGCCGTAAAGGATTCGCGAGTAGCTGAGTTTATGCCCACAGATGTCGGGCGCAGACTACGCGTACGCTCACCTGAGCGGCGCCGAGACCATGAAGAGTGGGTAGTTGGCCTTATTGTTGTACCTCGGACCGTCGTCTTCGTGGCGGTGATGAATGTATCGCCATTTGGTGTCCTTTGTTGTCGGCACGGATGGAGCGAGGCCGTACGGTCGGACAGCCTGCATAGTTGAAGAGCGTGCCTCGTGGTCGGCGGCTAGCGGGTACAAAGGCGCGCTTGAACATAAAGGATGTCTCGGGCAGACCGTCGGAAACAAAGATTTTCTGGCGACCCGGGTACTATATAACCAGTGTGACCTACCCACGCATACCTTCCTGCGCCCGCCTCTCTTTCTGTACTGCCTCTACTAGAGCCCGCCCGCCACAAACCGTCTGGTGCCTCATACCCTGCAATAGGCTGGCCCGTTGCATTCTCGAAACCTCTACGCATACTACAGTCGCTCGCTCTTCCCGGCCTAGACCTTCTCCCCCTTTCTCTGCATTCTACCCTATAACGGAACCTATACAGAGCTTTCATCGCGATATGCTTCGCGTTCTCAACTCCATGGCCTCCCTGGCGCCTGCTCGTCGAGCTCGCTCGCCAGGCGTTTGCGGCCCTGAAGGCGCGCGCCGCGGGCATGCTGATGACATCACGGAGCGCGATTGCGCGCTTGTCACCAACACGTGCCCGCGGGTCACAGTGCGCGCCCTTCAATCGATTACTCTTCTTGAAGACTGCCATCACCCAGTCGACGAGGTCGACGCCCAGCACTACTCTAAGCTTGCCGACGATGGCGTAGGTGATTTAGTGGCGAGCTAGGGAGCATTGCTGACGCCGGGGACGTTGCCAGGTCGACTCAGCAGTGAATGCGATGCTAGAAGCGCCGCCTGCGACTGCCTACTTCCCCTGCGCCACCCGCTTTACGCCTCAGGACGTCAGCGGTCCTGAATACCAACTCACCGCGCTCAACGAGTGCGAGCCCAACGAGGACGAAAGTGCCTCGCCCGAACTTGTCGGCGGCAAGAGACTGCCGACCCCGATCTTCCCCGCTTCCTATACCGCCTCAGTATACCCAGACCTCTCCTCCCCCTCGTCGTCGGAGTCCTCGGCGGAGTCATATGTCAGCGAGCCTCCTTTCGACAGGCAGGCGGACGATGTGCGTGGCGTACCCTATTGCGACTATGCGGCGGGCTGACCACAAATATAGGATGCGCTGAGACCCTACATAGAGAGTCACCAGCTCGTCCTCGATTCCACCACGCCTTGGAAGACGCCACACATCGCTATCTGCCCCACGCCGCAAAGCTGGGAACAGCATGTCATACCGTCGTATAACAGCGTTCCCCCACAAGACCTCGGTCATCTTGGCGTCCCACCTCGACCCTTACACGATACCTGTCCCCTAAACACCGACACTGATATCCGGCACGAGGGGGACGAGCCAGCAGCTCACGAGGAGCCTGGTCCCGCTCGCGTGTTCAGTCACGCCGCATTCGCTATCTGGGTACGCATCTTCCTACATAATACTCAAGTCAACTTCTTAATCTTCATTACAGACTCAGAAGACGTCCGTCGAGCGATTGATCTTCTGCTCAGTCGTTGCCGCGCTGCAGCGACGCAACTTCCAGCTGGTGGCGCGCGCTGCTAGCCAGCTTGCCGGCCTTCTCTACGGCCGATATGAATCTCCTGATGTGTTTAGCCACCTTGAGCCGCCCTTCGTATGGTCGGATCAGGCTCTGGTGGGTCTTCATTTACCTCTATCGCTCTATGAAGGCGCTAATCACTCATCTTAGCCCCTCCTTGACGCATCCCAACATCCGCCGGGCACCCTCATCCTGGAGTCTGACCACCCGTTGACGGTGCCACACATCATCATCACGCCGGAGCCGAACGACGACCCGTGGGTGGCCGCGATGAACCTGCCTACGTTCCCTCAGGACGGGCGATTCCTCATGGTCTACTACCACAACATGCAGGTCTGGTGGGGCCCGGAGTGGCTGCAGGCGCAGATGGAGGCGCAATGGCAGTATCAGCTCCAATGCGCCCAGTGCCAGGGCTGCGCCCAGCTTGCGGCCGAGTGTTGCTGCAATGCGCCTGTGGCCGAAGCTGTCGCCGAGCCGACTCCGGAGGAGGCGGGCTACTGGCCGATCGAAGATGACGACTGCGCCCAGTACGCCTCGTCCCCGACGACGGACGAATCGAGCTGCGACGAGAGCACGCCACCCATGACCCCAGAGCCCGAGCCCGATGTGCGCCCGGCATGTAACATATTCAGCGTCGACGAGGATGACGACGAGCTACCCTCCATAGAGGAGTGGTGCAAGTCGCTCGAGCGCAACAGGGGACAGAGCTAGATCTACCCCCTACTGCACCCACCTCCCCCCTTTACGCCACGCCCTTCTCCCACGTCCCATAACGCCACACCCACACACATCCCACTGCTCGTCGCTCATTCATACCTGTGCATGCGCTCTCGATCTCATGGCTCGACGTCAGGCATGGATTCTGCATATCTCACACCTGCGTCCCTGCATCTCTCGCTCACGTCGCATTGCTTTGTACACTATCTCTTTCTGCCCACAAGTTCTCTCCCCCTCCACCTCACACGATTTCGGATCGCTTTGCCATATGTACTATAGCCTACCACACTCATTACCTTACAGCTTCAGCCTACTCACCGATACGCTACGAGGCTCCACGGAGCGTATGTAGATATGGTGCTCCGCGACATAATCAATCCTTGGTCATTATTTTCTGCTGCGAGAACGGGTCTGAGGTTGAAGGTCACGACATGAAAGAGCTGAGGTGGAATAGACCTTTCGAGTTTGCAGGCCAATCGCAGCGTGAAAAATTGGGAATGATATTCCTGCAAAATCACGCTCTACCGAAAGGCGAAGGGGCAGCCTACAGGGATGCGGAGACGGGGTGTATAAGAAGGTTACAAATACAACATAAATCCTCGAGAGTATCTGGCGTTACAACAACAGAGGGTAGTGCACCGTATGTACAATGGATGCGTGTCCGCAGCTCACAACATAATTTAGCAATGAAGCTGCGCAGAGGCTGGAACGAAGGTGCAATTGGTGGTGACGAGGGTGTGGCTCGATGCAAAACCACGACTTGATCAGGTATTGCAAGGATCGGAATCTGAGGAAATCAAGCGTGGTGCGTGAGGAGATCAAGCATAGTGCGTGGTATGGGTTTTTTTTTGAAGAGCACCTCGTATGGGTGCTGTGGCGTACGGCGATGCGAACGTAGAACAAAAGATCCAATAGGTGGAGGCGCCACCACCTGTCTTAGCACCCGCGCAAAACCGCCGCCGCCCGGTTCGCGTGTCGTTTGCTAACCTGCGACGGGCGTCAGACACAGGACCCCGCAACGCAAGATCCGTCCCGACTCACCAGAAGGTTAGCCGTGTGGCTGGTCGACGAATACATATGATTGATGCCGTGCTCCTCCAGGATGCGCGAGTAGCGATTGATGATGCCGTGTTTGTCTGCATTCCCCGGTCAGCATCGATCCCCGAAGAGCAGGTGCGAGGAGAAAGCAGGGAGACTGCCGCGCAGAAGCGATGGTGGCGGCAGCCAAGAAGCCATCATACCGAATCGAGGGAATCGGAATCACTAACCTAGGCCGAATCGACGGAGATCGATCTGGAGGCATTTTAGGCAGGCGCTGTCGTCTGCGTCATCGTCGAGGACGGGCTGGCCCGCTGCGCGCGCGTCGGCCGCGTCGAGTTCGCCGCCGCAGAGCACCATGTGCCGCTCTGCGGGTGGGAAGAGGGCGGCGAGGAGGTCGCTCCCGGCGGTGAGGGATGATCCTTCCGGTGAGCGCGTGAACGAGAAGAATGATACGGTTGAGCGCTTGGAAGAGGATGGGAACGGCGTCGCCCGAGGGGTATCGGCGTTGAGGCTCGTTAAGGGCGTGAGGGAAGACACCACATGTTTTGACGCCGGGGTCAAGTGAGAGGGCTCCCGCGTGGAAGTCAAATCCGTGGAAGACCGTGACGCGGAGGCTGATGTGGCGGAGGAGGAGGATGACGAGTGCTCGCCCCCTGGTGAGTGGGAGAAGTACCCATCTTCGTCTGACGAAGAGCTTGAATCATCGGATGGAGCGCTGTGGCTGCTAGAGAAGAATGGCTCTGCATCCTCGAATAGCGGCGTCGACGGTGTGAGCGGACGGTCCTGCGGGTGGGGTGTCGCAGCGGCATCTTGGGAGGGCAACTGGATGAGATCCGGGAACGCAACCAGTTTGATGATTTTGAGGGCCCAGCTCTCGACCTCGGAGTCGACAAGGCCGATGCAGGTGAGATCTTCTCCGAGCACCTTCACGTCGCCGTTGACAGGTGAGTGTGATTTGCGAGAACTTTCGTGGTCGTTGTCCATGCTGGACGATCGTGATGGCGCGGTAGAGGCACCGTCGACGTTACTTCTCGTGCGTGTAAGGACGGCACCGGTACTATGCTTGTCGGCGGCGTGGGTGTCGTCCAGAGAGGGTGATGTGATGGGGGATAGCATAGGTGACTCGGGCGGGCAGGTAGAGTAGAGATCAAAGCCAGCGACACTGAAGAGGTTCATGACCTCTGCCAGTCGTGACTCTTTCACCTAGCGCACAGTCAGACGAAATGCGGGGACCGCAGCGGTATGCGACTCACGATGATGAAGTCGCTCATGTACGACGACTGGTATAGGATGGAGATGCCCGCCGCAGCAATGGGGGCAGAGAGCTCATTGACGCGCGCACCGGAGTTGTCTGACAAGTTTTGCATGAGCGTCGATCATTCAGGGGGGTACAGCGGACGGAACTCACCCAGCTGGTCACTGTGCGAGTCGATCTGCAGGACGTTCCATCGGTCGATGGATATTTCCACAAGGTCCTGTGGCTGGAGAGCGCGCTTGCGACTCGATCCAGAGCCTGAGCCCGAGCGTTGGCGCCGCTGGCGGTCGTGGCGCGCAAGCGGCTCGAAGTCCTTGAGCATGTTCCCCTCCGCGAAGAGGGAGAGCTCGATCTCATTGCATGTGATGTTGAGGAATGTGGGGTTAGGGTGGAGGATCTGGCGTAGGACCGGGTGCGAGAGCTGGGGGAGACGCGAGCGGGGTATGCGGACGAGGGAGAGAGCGATGGGGAGGAGCGAGACGGTGAACTGTGACTCAGACATTGCGCGTGCACGGAAGAAGAGATGAACGGGGGGATCTCTCCCTGGTGCTTCAAGAGTAGCGCAGAGCCTCGGAGCCTTGTAGGCTGGAGCTGGGATGGAGGGAGAAGGCAAGGGCGAGAGATCCTTGAGCCAGGCCCCTTCTGCATTTAGCCAATTGGAAATCGGACCGGGTCCCCGTAGGCCGTAGCGCATTCGTGAGCATCGGGATCCCGCTCAACGTTCCTGGCCTTTGGCTTTCCAAACGTGACTCGGTTGGTGTGCAGAGCCGATCCCGGTGGCTCAGCGTACGTCCTGCCGTTGCACTATGCGTGAACGGGCTCACCATCTCTGCAAGCGTGCGCATGTTCGAGGGGGGTCATGGGAGCAGCGTGGGGATGGTGTGCTTCTGGCGCACAATGGATGGCCTGGCGCAGTGGTCAGCGGATGGCATGGCGCGTCGCGGGACCCACGCCGGGCGATGGTGGCGAGGCCGCGCTGATTGCCGGCTGGGCAGCTTTCGCATGACCCCGTTTGGTAATCAATTGGTTGAACTTCCTTCGCGAGAGTATCGCGTCCGACTTCAGTCTGGGACTTCAGGCTCTCGAAACTGGCTCTCAGACAAGCACTACCCTAGTCGAGATAAGTGCTAACGCGAGGGAAGCGGAGACGAAGAATGCCCGTATAGAATCCGGAGCGGACTACCGTAAGCCCTTCGAGATGAATGCCTTCTGATGATTAGCTTGACAGAGCTATACAGATCATCCTACTTCAGCCTTGCACGTACGTAGGTCCCCAACTGGCCGACGGCGGATGACACTGTTCAGTGATCGTCGGTTCTTCACGTCCCCGTACATCGGGTAGTCCTACTTCACTATCGAAGGAAAAGGAAACTGAACCCCTCGACCCTTCCCATGCACCATATTACATTTATTGGTGTGTACCCCAAGATCTTCTCATCTTGTTCAGTCGCTGTTGCATTGCATCATCACAATCATCCAACTCACTTGTTCATATCCCATTATAACTGGATTTAGCGTGTACATTGCAGGGAGCAGAACGAAAATAGCATGTACTACAGACCGCCTAGGCTGACGGCGGATGACAACATACAACACGGGGAAGCACCGGATAGCCATACAACAACGCGCGATAGGAAGGATACATACCGTGTACATCCAATAAATACGACTTTACGTGTCCGTGCAATCACTGCTGCTTCTACCTGTTGGGAGCACCTTCATCCACTGACGGTTACGCGCCGTCAATGCCCGCTTCACTTCGACGTCCTCGCTGGGCGATACCCAGACCCGCACACCCGCTGACGTTCTGGGGTGGCGCGTCGACTGGAGCGCTTCAGCCGTCCTGCCTGCGCACCCCGCGCTGGCCCCCATTCCGAGCGTCGCGTACGACACGTAGCGGACTAGAGCCAGGCGATGCCGTACGCGCCTGCGTCCCTTTCCTCGCCTTTAGCGGGGGAGACGAGGATATGGGGCGGCGGCGGAGATTGTAGCGTCTAGGGGACAGCTGCTTCGCTGGGCGCGAGCGCCGCGTAGCGGGCCCGAGAGGGGCGGCAGTAGGAGGGGGGTAAGACGAGCTCATTTCAGGCGGGGCGGTGTCGCTGGGAACCACGTCCACGTCCATCGAGTCATCGTCCATGTTCGAACCGGCCACAAAGTCTGAGTCATCACGTTGTCTGCTCGGCTCCGCGAAGTTATTGCTTCCGTTCGCAGCGCCCGGAGATGAACGTGTAGACGGGCAGGCGTCGTCGGCAAACGGTGGCACGCCTGCAAACTCGAAGTACATTTGGGATTGCTCGCTCAAGGCTTGCGAATCCATAGGCTGAGATATTGCCGCCAGAGATGCGCTTTGCGCGTCTGTTGGGTGATTGCCAGAACGTGAAGTCGGTGGCGGCGAAGGAGATGCTCTGGGGGTAGGCACCCATGGCGACGGAGACCTTGAAGGCGCTCGTGCAGGTAAGGTCGAGCCACCAAAAGCACCATAGGTTTGCGGCGGAGTCACCTCGCGCTGAAAATTACCTTGCGACTGCGATGAGATTTCATCGATAGCCGGCTCCGTGTCCTCCCTTTGGAGACGAGATCTCTTCGACTGGGGCTTGCTGCTAGGCTCGTTCTTCGCCTCTGCACATGAGCGCTTCAGCTTTTCCGGGTCTGGCTGAAACTGCTTGCGGAGTACTGGGTGGCTCGCCGGTAGACGCGGATCGTTTGGGACGATTGGTGGGATACCGGTGGCAAAGGCGAAATCGCGCACTTTGACGCCGAGTTGCCTGAGCTCGCCGACGGCAAGCTGTCCTGCGCGTGAGGGAGTAGGTAGGGTGTTGGGTAGCGCGGCGGATATTTGTAGGAAGAAATTGCTGTGTGTCCGCTGTAATGATGATGGGCCCTGGATTGTCTGTCAATTTTGGCGAACGCTGGATAATGCTGGCTGATTACTCACGGCTAGAGCAGACGACGAGGCGCGCACGTCAGAAGGGGTGTCTTCCTCAAAGAGGGAGCTCATGGTCCTAGTCCGCTGAAGGGTTGGGCTCATGAAAGCGATGCTGCTCCTGTGGCAAGTTGGGGCTTTGCGGGGTGTCGCGATGGGGAGAGAGCAAGAGGGGTCAAGGGGGATCGCGGTAATATATACAGCACTGGCTGAGGGGGCGAGGCGAACACGGAGTGTGGCGCGGGCTAACAGTAGATGACGGGAGATGGGTGAAAGCAGTTGTAGGCTCCGAGACTTCGACTCATCAACGGAACGGAGCCACGTGGCTGACATCAACAAACCCGCGGACCAATCACGGGCCGCGTACCATACTTCTCGGTTGGAGCACGTGGCTCTCCGCCGGTACGCGTCCGCCGCTCTTGCCGGGCGATTTGGACATTGGACGACCAGCTGACAGACGGGGACGAGCACCTGAATATGTGAGTGTCGGTTTCTATCTCCGTATCTCTGAATGCTCACCAGGACGACGCGCAAGACACTCCAGCACACCTCTGCGTCGCTGCACAGAACCGCTCCTTGTCCCGTTATCGCCAGGTGACTTCGCGACCTCCGGTGCGTGGCAGGCATCGTACGCTGGACAAGTGCTGAGTGTGCCCTATGCAGTCCCCCGCTTATGCTCTCGCGCGCCTGGAAGCCGGCCTTGGCAGCGGCTGCGGTTGGCGTGCCGTCGTACTATGCGTACAAGCACTACGGCCGGAACGACACATTCGAGATCGTGGTGAGAGTCACTGGCGCCGACGGGAAACCCGAGCGCCAGAAGATGGTCCTCCCCCTCCAATCTATGGCGCAGATCAATGCGCGGCTGCACGAGCACGAGACCTCAAAGACTTGGCACCGTCCGGGTGTAGTCTGGAAGTCAACCACCTCTTTCCTCCCGAGCAATGATCCCATCGAGGACGCGAATGCGGCGCAGATCGTGCAGAAGAGCGCTGGCGAGCTTGGCGACTACGTCTTCTACGCTGTCATGGACGGCCATGGCGGCAGCAACACCTCGAAGCTCCTCTCGCACGTCCTCATACCCACCGTCGCGCGCGAGCTGGCGTCCCTGACACAGCCCGAGGAATCAGCAGGCCTGGGGAAGCGTGTCGCATCGCTGATCTGGTCAAAGCCAAAACTCGAAACCGACCCCTTGAGCATCTCAAAGGCCATTCAGAACGCGTTTACTCGGCTCGACGATGAGATCCTGAAGATGCCCGTCCAATACCTCGCTTCTGCCATGGATTCCTCCTCTCGCGACAAGGACCTGATTCCTGACCTTCGTGAAGACCAGGTAGCCCTGCTGGCGCTGAAGACAGCCGTGTCGGGTACAGTGGAAGTCCATGTACTACGTACACAATATATTTACACTTCATCTAGGCAGCTGCGCTCTCTTGACGTTACTTGATACGGATAAGAGGGATTTGTACGTTGCCTGCGTTGGTGACAGCCGTGCTGTCGCTGGCGTTAAGAAGGCGGACTCTTGGGGTGTCGACGTCTTGACACAGGACCAGACTGGGAGGAATCCTGATGAGGTCGCAAGGTCAGTTCCCCCCGTCATATCGCAAACCCAACTCTAATACGAAGGATGGTCCTCAGAATCAAGTCAGAACACCCTGCGGAAGAGGCTGATAACCTCGTCCGAAACGGTCGTATATTCGGTGGCTTGGAGCCCTCTCGAGCATTTGGCGACGCGAAGTACAAGTGGCCTAGACAAGTGCAGCATATGTACGCGTCGCACTTTGATCCCTGTTTCCCTCATGACTGACTCTCGCCAGCCTCTCCGACACCATCGCCCCCGTCGGCACTCGGCCTCACATGATGAACCTCCTCGAGACCCCGCCGTACGTGATTGCCCGACCTGCCATTACCCATCGCAAGCTTGCGCTACCTGCGGACCCGCAAACCGGGAAGGAGATGAAGTTCATCGTGATGGCTACTGACGGTCTTTGGGATCAGCTGAGGTAGGATATCCTGCACATCCTTCTACCTGTTCCCGTCTGAACCCAATGATCAGCTCAGAAGAAGTCGTCAGCCTCGTAGCTGGCCACTTCGCCGGCCTCAAGGGCGCAATTCCAAAAGCCGACCTCGAGCAGCGCATCCCGACGACAATCTCGAGCCCCACGGTCGAAGGCAAGGTCAAAACTCGTCGCACGTCGGAGGGCACCTGGGCGTTCACCGACGACAATGTCAGCACTCACCTGATTCGCAACGCTTTCGGCGGCGCGGACGAGGACAAGTTGAGGCATATTCTGAGCATTCCTGCTCCGCATTCGCGTAGGTATCGCGACGATATCACGGTCACGGTGGTTTGGTGGGAGGGTGAGGAAGATCCTCAACAGGTCAAGGCGAAGCTGTAATGTGGTAGACAGTGGGATATCTAATCTTGGTAGTCATCCATGGCGCTTTATGAGGATCGGCTGATATCGGGGTCAACTGGATTGGGAGGCTCGCCTTGTGCGCCAGCAACGTCTCCTGGACGTTGTTCTGTTCTGGGTAGCATGTGGCGTGAGAAAGTGTGCATCATCGCCGCGATCTTGACTTGTCCGCGTCGCCTCGCACTGTCAGCGCGCTCTCACACTGTACTCATCATTTCTGCCTGCATCTACCATGGAGGCCCTCCCCGTCGAACTCATAGCCGACATCATGGGCGAACTCGACCTCCCCTCCCTCGTCGTCATGTCTCAACTCTCCTCGAGATGCCTATCCATAGCGTCCGATCGCCAACTTAACCCCTGGCGGCGACCCATCTTACGTGCTTTGCGTTCCTCGGGATACGAAGATGACCTGAGGAATCTTTCTGTGCGACAATTCGTACCTCGGCAGAACTGGATTGAGATCCTCAGCCTTGCGTCGCCCTCGTTCCTGCTCTTCGAGGCGAACCTGCCCAAGCTTAGCGCGGAGGACTGGGAAGAGTGTTTTCGACGACGATTTCTGCCAAGCTGGACGAAGTGGAAGAAGGAGACGTCGTGGAGGCATGCTTTCATGAAGTACGCCTACCATGTTCATGGTTGGAAAGTACGACTCAATGTGGTCAACTTCAGGATGCTATTCCGAGTCTACCACCGCTCAACGTCTTCGTGTACCGTCGACGAGAACTGGACGAAGTACGTATCATAAGTAATGAACGCTGCTTCATACCTCTCATGCGTTGTCCTAGATTCATAACACTGAATAGGAATGGTTCAGCGAACTTGTTAGAACATGCCTCGAGGGCATTTAACCCTCGCATGTCGTTCGATGAAATGAAGTGAGACGCTTCCATATTGGCTTGTCTAACCGCTCAACATTTTCAGGCTTCAATCAAATTTGATGCATCTTGCGACGCGAGTACGGGTAGGCGTGCCTTCTTCGGACCCCGTATTTTCTGCTTACCCCTGCTTAGGTTCTTGTTGAGCTCGCGGACGTACGAATCATCGTCCTAGGTTGCCTCAATAAACCACGAAGCGGGCTGACCGTAAACGTCAACGCTCATGATCTCCTACATCCTCCCGGAATTGACTCGAGTGAACCACTATTATTGCCGAGCATGAAGAGAAATTCTGTCTCGTCTCAATATAGCACCCTGATGTCCGACGACGACCCCGGGTTCACGGCGCATGCGTTGCAAAGAAGGATGTGGGGTACGTCCGTGTATGTGGCCAGAAAGAGCAGTGCTTATTGTGCCAATTCAGGCGTACCGTCCGATTTCGCCATAATGACACATCCATTGCCTACTACCAATTTCTCGAACTACCCCTTCTTCACTCCTAGTGGACAGGACAGAAGATGGCAGTCCACAGGTGGCGTAGAAGAGGATGGTTTGCTCTGGGTGGGGCCGCTGATGTTCGTACTTCTGTTTTGTGGCAATATTTTCGACGACGAGCGCTTATCGTCCAGGATCCTTGCTCAACTGAAGTGCCCACAATTTGAGGTCGACGACGGCGACCTAGAAGACCTGGATATCGTCGGCGCGCCTGGGCGGCAGCAATACAGTTCTTTCACATGGGAAGATCTCCTCGCCGTAGCACCGTGGATGGACGAAAGAATTACGAAGAAGATTGATGGTGCCGGGCTGGGGCACTGATTCCTCTTTCGCAGTGTGAATCTCGCTTGCCTTGTTTCCTTCCAAGAGACAATTATCGATGGGACAATGGCAATCAGCTGTCGCCATTGCGTACTGCCTTCCGTCCACGTTCGGCATTCAGCACCGCGTAAGTCCCCATCACTGCTTCTAGCCGAAAGCAGTCGAGACAAAGTGCATCCCGCCGGCTTCGCCGATAGAAGAAAAGGAACCGGATCAGCCACCGGAGGCCTGGGTGAAAGACTCGGATGTCACATGGAATTGAACAAGGCAAGTTATTTCCTTTTCTGGCAACCAAAACATTCAACGCCGCTCTCGATATCAGTTCTTTTGTTCTTTGTCCGGACGGGCGTAATGTACCCTTGTGCGTGAAGCTCCCTTTATGCCTTTCCCGGGAAGCCGGAGCGGCGAATGAAAACCCTACCTGCTTCATTGATGACAATAAGCCACCTGTTTCTTTGTAGGCCGAGCGCTTATAAGGACGTGTGACGGCTCGACAAGCCATCGTTCCTTCCTTTCATTTCCCCTGCTTCTCAGTCCCCGCCTCGAATCCGACGTTGCTGGTCAACGTTGCACGACTGCCCGTCTCACGCTCACGCTTTCACGCCCGCTATCCTAATCGACGAACCATGACTGCTGCTCGAACCACGACTGCTGCTCGCATCAACACTCACATTCGTGCTACTCGTACACGCAACCGCTCGCTCGTGCGTCCTTGTCCCTCGTTATGAGCTTCGCACTAATGCCCTCTCAGAAGTCGAAGGCCTACTCCTGCCCACGTCCGGATTGCCGGAGCGCTTTCATGAGAAAGGCAGATCGGGACAGGCATATGCGTCATGTCCACGGCGGTATCAAGTGCGCGACACACACCATTGACCCTTCCATTTGAAACTCACATCTTCCCCAGGAAGTGGTCTTGCGACTGGCCCGGCTGCGCCATGAAGTTTGCGCACGAGGGCGCTTACAACAACCACATGAACACCCAGTACGTTGTGGTCCGTTCCACACCCTACCTCTCATTAACCAGCTCGTTTTCAGCACGGGAGCGCAGCCTCATGCCTGCAGGATCTGCGACCATAGGTTTGGTGACCCGTCATCCCGCTCGCGCCACATGCGGGAGAGGCACCTGCAACCGGGCTCCTACACCTGCTGCATCTCGGGTTGTACGAAACAGCTCAAGCGCCGTGCAGCGTTCGTGGACCATTTCAAGAAGGATCACCATATTCTCGACGCGGAGGAGAGGTTCGACATTGACTCGATGGCGCCTCCGCTCCGAACCATGGAGGAGGCGTACATGCTGCACAATCGCGTCCCTATGCCTTCTACTTCGTCCGCCCACGAGGAGGAGGAGGATGAAGTCGTGGCTGTCCCTTGTGCGCCGGCGGGCTGTGAGTCGGGTCTATACCACGCTATGCGCACTCTTGTCTCACCTCCGCTTCAGATGATTGTGGCTACTACGGGCAACCTGACCCTTACGTCGCCTACGTCGAGCCGTATCAGCCCATCCCGCCCTACGACTACGGCTACTACTACGACGCGCCCTACCTGCCGCCTCAGCAGCCTTACGGCTACGAGATGTCACCCGCGGGCTCGTGGGACCAGTACGCGTCGTCTTCATCATCGTCGTCCCCGGCCTCTTCCCGCGAGAGCTCGTCCGACCCGTCCTTGTCGGATCAGTCTCCGGGGCCGTTCGCCAACATCAAGCTTCGCCAGGAGTCGCCCGACTTCTTCTCCCCGCCAGCCCCTCTCGACGCGAGCGAGCCCTTCGTCGATTTCACCACCATCAAGCGCGAGGACAACACCGCCGATCTGCTGGTCAGCGACGGTTATGACGGGTACGACGGGTATGGGTACAGCTCGCCCGTCGCCGACTGGGACCTCCAGTTGACCCCCACCGCATGAGCCACACACTACTCTTCACGTCTTTCCACGACACCTACTATCTTTCATGGACCTTTCGTTGACGACCTACAGTCTCGTATAATCCCCCCTACCACCTGTTTTAATCTGTAACGACCTACATTGAGGCCCAGCGCCTGTGTTTCGATACCACCCGGACTACTGTAGCATAGCATTGTTGGCACATGTTGCCATTGTCCCGTCTTCTGTATCTCTTCGCGATTGTGTTCAATAAAGTGACCTGGCCAGTCTTCGAATCCGCGTGAAGTCGAGAACAATAAGGAAGGAGGAGAACAATGGTAAAACGGGGCGCCTTATTCTCGTTAGTGGCGCGCACATCATCTTTACGTAAGGGGACCATTTGCGGCACGTGCAAAATTGCCGATTGATTGAGCGCGTCCAGTCTTTCTCCCCCACCTTTGTTGACCGTCTGCCCACCATCCTGCTCCTCGCCCGCCTCTCCCGCATACTCCTCCCGAACGCGCCTGCACATACTGCGCGCAGAATGCTCGCAGTTGCTCCGTCGCTGCCCCACCAGCTCAACGGCCAGTCTAGCGCCGAGGACTCGTCCAGCTTCCGTCCCCTCAAGGACATAGACGCGTTCAAGCAGCATCTCCCCCCTCCAATTGAGTTTGTTCAAGGGTCCTCTACGGGCGCCGTAGCCGTCCCCAGCGACAAGTATGAGTGTATCAACGATACCCCGCCCTCGGACAAGCCAGACGCTTCCCCAGAGAAGGTGCGTTCCCTGCTAATCATCGTGGCATTGACTGCGCGATCTAATCTGCTTCATTAGGCGCCTGAGTCTGCGCCGCCCTCCCCCAAGCTATCACGCAAAGCGAAGCTTGCGTCATCACGAGTGGCGCAGAGCCTCCACGTCGAGCCCATCGACATCTCCTGGCCGGACAATGTTAATGGCGTCGGCGCTGGTCTCTTCAACACCGGCAACACCTGCTTCATGAACAGCGCACTGCAATGCCTCTTCCACACCCCTCCCCTTCTCCGTCTACTGTCGGCGCACTCCAAGGATACCTGTGAGTGCTTTCCTTTGCTTTCTTCGAGTCGCCACTCATTGCCACGCAGGCAAGTCGTCCGGATTCTGCATGACCTGCTGCATGAAGTATACCGCAATGCGATCACAGTCGAGCAATAAGTCGGCTTTCAACCCTGACGGGATAACGCGCAACCTGAAAGGTACGAATCTGTCGCGCTCGTCGTGTCATCGCGTCTCACGCCGTCGCAGCCTTTGCCAAGTCTCTAAGATACGGTAGACAAGAAGACAGTCACGAATTTCTGCGGCACGCGATAGAGGGCCTGCAGCGATCGTGCTTGGCGGGTCAACCTCAGTGCGTCTTATTCTGCTTTGTATGAGGTATGCAATGCTCATCGTCCCACAGGAAGGTTGATCCCAAGCTGGCGGAGACTTCGTGGGTGCACCAGCTCTTTGGTGGTCAGCTACGTTCGCGAGTGCACTGCAAGGGCTGCGGGCACAACAGCGACACGTACGACAGCATCCTCGACCTCAGCCTTGATATCCATAGAACGAGTTCTCTCAAAGACGCATTGAAAAGTTTCGTTGCTCCGGACTACTTAAAGGGATCGGACAAGTACAAGTGCGACCAGTACGTGTAATTCGTCCGATGGTTAGTGCTCAGGCTGACCAGTACTCTAGCTGCAAGAAGTACGTGAACGCTGAGAAGCGCTTCACGATAAACAAAGCACCCCTAGTACTCACCATCCACCTGAAACGCTTCTCGCCCTTCGGCAGCAAGCTCACCAACCTCCTTCACTACGACGAGCACATCACGCTCAAGCCCTACATGAGCGAGGGCTCCTTCGGCCCACGCTACTCCCTCTACGGCGTCATCTGCCACTCCGGCTCCGGACCCAACTCGGGGCACTACTTCTCGTTCGTGAAGAGCAAGCAGGGGCGGTGGTACGAGATGAACGACGAGTCGGTGACGCCGTGCTCGAAGCCGTACCCCATGTTGAAGACCGCGTACATGCTCATGTACATCCAAGACAAGGGCCAGAACCTGGATGCGGCGATACACTCGACAGGCGCGCCGTCGCCTGCGCGCACGACGCTCTCCTCTGGGATGAAGCGGAAGGAGCGGGAGGAGCCGAGCGCGGAGGCGCAGGAGGATGACCTCGGCGAGCAGGTGGAGCAGCCCTTCATTGGCCCTGAGCTGCCGCCGCATCTCAAGCGCGAGGCGCCCTCTCCCGCGAAGCGCTTGAAGGTGGAGGAGTCGACCGAGAAGGTCGACGTGAAGAAGGAGGCGAAGGAGAAGCCCTCGGCGCTCGGTGACGCGCTGGCTGGCTACGGCTCCGACGACGATGAGGACGCTGGCAAGCCCGCATCTACGCCAGCGACGCCTGCTGCCAAGGCAGGGTCGGGCGCGACGGTGTCGCCTATTCCTACGTCTTCCTTCTACGCCTCATCAACCTCGGCCTCGAAGAAGAGGAAGTCGACGGACACCGCGCCGGACGAGAAGCCGGCGAAGAAAAACAGCACCGCGGCCTTCCTCAACAATCCGTTTAGCAGCCGGCTCACCAGCAAGCCCGGTGGAATAACGACCTACGGGAAGAAGAACAGGCGAATGCGGGGGATCTGAGGAGCGATGTGACTAGTGCTTGGTATTGGGGAGTGAGGGAGGGGGGGGGTGGTAATGGGGTGCATTTGCGGCGGATGCGTGCGTGTATCGGGCTCTCGCCGTGTTGTATTGTTAATGTCTATAGTATCTGACGGAAGTGTGGAATGTATATTGATGGAGTCCGAATCGAATGGAGAAATCAAGCAGTTCTGTCGAATGGAACAATCGAGCGAATTTTCAAAGTGCATGATGGCGCGGGCGATGCATGGAACGCAAGTGTGGGAGGCAAGGAAGGAGGCCGGTGCAAGGAGGCAGATCCGACGGCGATCCGTGGACTGTAGCAAGTAGTAACGACAAGGCCTTCCTAAATTGGAAGTCCTTGTCGGCGGTTCTCATGAGCAGACAGGAGGCGCCGCTCCGAAGCACGCTAACGCGGATCAGGGCGACGACAATAGACGACAACGAGGACGATTATAGACGACAATGGGCAGGATCGAGGAAGCCTAATGGACATGGGGAAGTATTGGCGGCCAGGGCTTCCATTCCGCCATCGCGCGCCTCGCCCTCGACAGCGAGTCGCTGCGGTGCACATCGCCTTCCTAGGGCCACAATCCCCTTTGCAAGAGCGCCCTTCTTTCGCCACACTCGCTATCTACCCACACGCTCTCTTCTACCCTCACACTCGCTTTCCTATCACCAGACTCGCTTTCCTATCATCAGACTCGCTCTCCTGCCCCACCCCACTGAAGCTCCATGTCAAAGGTTACACAGGGCACGACCCTCGTCGACGCGCTCATCCACTCCTTCCTCTTCGGCTTCGTCGTCTCGCAGGCGCTCAAGTATGGGAGCGACTATGGGCGGGACTCGTGGAAGAAGCGCGCACTCGTGGGGATCGTGGTCGCGTTTTCGGTGTGAGTGGGGTTTTTTTGGTTGCGGAGGATGAACTGATTATTCATCGCGTACGCAAAGTGGACAGACCATCCTTCAATACTACAAGGCGTGGTACATCCTCATCGACGCGCATCCGACATGGGTGAGCGCCACATTTCCCTCTCCCAGTCCACCACTCTTCCCGTCTTGCTCACGTCTTCACCGCACAGGGCACCAGCGGCTTGACCTGGCTCGACTTTACCCTGAACGGCGTCATCTGCTCGATCTGCCAGGGCTTCTACATCAGACGATGCTGGAAATTGACACAAAGGAACCCTTGGGTGTTGTACCCTCTTGCTACTATACATGCGCTGGCGGCGATCGCATGGATTGGGCTGGTGCGTAGCTGATTCATGGGTGAGGGTAAAAACTGACCAACTCCCCACTTACATAGGTTATCAGCATGCAGTTGCGGTATAGCGCGACAAGTGTGAGGGCTGCCGCACTCGGGAATCATCATCGATCTCACACAGTGTATATTGCAGGACTCCGCTGCGATGGCCCTGTCCGAAATTGTACGCAATCTACTGTCAGGCGTAGAGGACCCCGACGTTGACCACCCTATAGAGCAAGGTATCCTTCGCGACATGGACACTGGGCAGCTTGGGTGCGCTCGCCGTAATCGTGGTCATACAAGACCTGACCCTTTGCCTTTTCCCTAGTCCTCGACAGCGCTGCTGCCTTCACTAGTGAGTTGAGTACCACCCTTTCAAGGACTTTTACCTAACAACTTCACAGTCACGCACCGACTGTACACATCCAGAGCTGGAAATAAGGGCTCCGATTCAGTCGTGAAGGATGTTATCGCCGTCACCTGGGAAGCGGCCATTCTTCCTGCAGGGTGCATGTTCATCGCGGTCGTGCTTTACAACCAGCCGGTTAGTCATCCGTTCCCTCTCCCGCGCATGTCAGACTGACGCTTGGGCTGCCCTAGAATCCGCGTAACTTGCCTGTCCTGCTGTTCGCTCTGATCTGCGGAAAGCTGTACGCCATAGGTCTCTTACGGACCCTAAACGCGCGAGACAAGCTCCGGGCACGGATGAAGAGTCAGGACCTTGGACGGGTTTCCTTGGGTAATTGGGATTGGGCGAGCGCGTCCATCATGCCCCCCATCGAACGACAGCCGTCCTTCGTGAGCCCGAATGCTACGGTGGGTAATTTGTTTGCACTGATTATTCGCTCACTGACGCTGCACTGTGCGCAGCTCGTCCATAGTACGCCAGCCGACACGAGCTGCAAGCGCTCGATCTCGTCGCCTGCCGGTGGCTGGGCCGACCTCGAGAAGTCCTCTGCAGCCAGCAGTCCGACCATCGTCGCCAGGAGCCCGGCTGTGCACTTCGCTACCGCCATAGCAAACACGGGAGCTGGCGATGCTCGGATGCGCAGCCATACATCGCTACTGCAACGAGACGCGTCACTGCTTCGGAATGCATCGCTGTCCCGATGCAGTAGCTGCGGCTCTGACGTGGGCAGGCATTCAGAGAAGGGCCTCGGCGTGCCGGTAAGGAAGTCTTCCACGCTGAGCAGTGTATAGCGCAGTAGAAGGAGTGCTGGGGCGATGATTTCTATATATTTTGGGGCAATAGATGGACTGCGTACTTGGGCATCTGACTGTTCGTTTGCGCGCCACAATGCATTATCTTATCGCACCGGCAAGCGGTCCGGGTGTGCAATACGCGCGCCGCGGCATGATGCCGATAATGCGCAATCCGGCGCGAGACTGCCCCTAGATTGCTCCTTGACTCTGGCTTGCATCCTCTCCGTGTCGCTCCTGCATCTTTAGCGAGCGCCATGATATTGCCAGCAGCGGCCGAGAAGCGGCTGCTCGAGAAGGGGGAGGACGGCCTTCCCCAGCACAATGTCGCCGTCCAGCGGCAGCAGAGGCGCTCCAAGCGTGTCTTGATGCACCTCAAGCTGTTCACGGTCGTGCTTACGTGCTTACTTATCTACACGGCGACGAAGAGGCCTCCGCACAAGCCGTTTGATGCAAAGAGGGTCCGTCCGCGGCTGACTCTGGAGGAGCGCGAGCAGATCTTCCTGTGCGTCCTACCTACCTGCATGCGATCGTCCTATTGACTCGCCCCATAGCTCCGTACCCAACAACGAGAGCGCCCTCGAGGCCTCGCGCGCCTACGCGACGCACCCCCATCTCGCCGGCGCCCCCGAGGACTTCGAGGACGCGAAGGTCATCCTCGAGCTCTTCCAGACCGAGTTCGGCATCCACGCGCCCCACGACGAGCCCATCTTCCCCGCGGGCACGCGCGCCTCGCAGCTGTCGACGCGCCTACTCACCTCGAAGCTGGGCCCGCGCCACCCGACGGCGTGGATCGATGTGTACTACCCCGTGATGAACACGCCGCTGGACCGCAGTCTGGAGATCCTGGGTGACGACGGTGAAGTGGAGTGGGCGGCGGATTTGGTGGAGGATGGGGATCCGCTAGACCCGGAGGCGGCTAAGTATAGGGATGCAGTTCCTACTTGGCACGGGCTGAGCAAGGACGGCGAGGCGACTGGCCAGGTTATCTTTGCTGAGTATGGCAGGCAGGAAGTAGGTGCTCATCTGCTGAGACACAGCGCTGCGCACTGATGTTCCATCCAGGACTACAAAGCCCTCGTCAAGAAAGGCGTCGACTTCACCGGCAAGATCGTCCTGACCCGCTACGGGGGCATCTTCCGCGGTCTCAAGATCAAGGGTGCCCAGGAGCTCGGCGCAGCAGCTGTCCTCATCTATGACGACCCGCGCGACGATGGTCAGCATACTTCACTTTTCCCTTTTTCTGTTCTCCCCATTCCTCCTTCTCACCTCGGAGGCCTCACTTTCTTGGCCAAGGCTCGCTCAGTTTCACTACGGAATTCTCACCTTTCGCCTCGGTGAACATTGCTGACCTCAAACAGGCTACGTGACGGCCGAGAACGGCTACGAGGTCTATCCGGCCGGCCCTGCGCGCAACCCCTCTTCGGTGCAGCGCGGCAGCGTTCAATACCTTTCGGCCTATCCAGGTGACCCGACGACGCCTGGATATCCTGCGTACGAGGATGCCGAGCGTACGGAGGGGGAGAACATTCCGAAGGTGAGTGACCGTCATCCTCATTTCTGCATGTCGCTAACGACTTCGTAGATCCCCTCCCTACCGATCTCGTATAACAACGCGAAGAAGCTCATTGAGGAGATCGGTGAGATCTACGCCGAGGAGGATGGCGTGAAGTCCCTCTCTGGAAAGGCCAGCGAGAAGAAGATCAAGTTGGTCAACCATGGTGAGCAAAGCTTTCGTGCAATAGGCAAACATCAGTTCACTGACCCATGTCCTCCAGTCGACACCAAGGTCACGCCCATCTGGAACACCATGGCTGCTATCCCTGGTCACTCGCGTGACGAGGTGGTCATCATTGGGTGCCATCGGGATGGTGAGCCTGTCGTTCGTACATCGATACGTTGCAGGGATAACGGAGTTGTCCAGCTTGGGTCATGGGCGCCGCCGACCCCACCAGCGGCACTGTCTCTCTGCACGAGGTGATCAAGGGCTTCGGCGAGCTCTACCGCCAGGGCTGGCGGCCCCTGCGCACGCTGCTCTTTGCGAGCTGGGATGCAGAGGAGGTAAGCGTATCTTAGGTTTGACTCTGGTAACTGTGCTTATGTAGACTGCAGTACGGCCTCATCGGCTCGACCGAGTACGGCGAGGACTTTGCGGACTGGCTCGCCAAGTACGCCGTTGCCTACATCAACGTCGACGTATCGGTCGCTGGCTCGAAATGGCGGGCGAGTGGGTCACCGTCGCTGGCGCATCTTATCACGAAGACGGCGAAAGATGTAGAGTATAATGGTGTGCATCCTTCAGCCTTGCCTCCGTAAGTATGGTCGTTAACAACCTTATGAAGGCTCTAGCCTCTGGGACGCCCGCAAGGCCGTTGGTCCCTATGGTGGTCCTGAGGAGCTCCTCGCCCCCGAGTTCATCGCGGCAACCAAGGAGAACAAGCTCAAGGCGTCGAAGACGGAGATCGGCCCCCTCGGTAGCGGCAGTGACTACACTGTTTTCTTGCAGAGGCTTGGGGTGAGTGCAGTCCTTTTTCAGCATTTGGACTCGGTCTGACATGTTGCAGATTGCGGCCACTGATCAGGGCTTCGGGAATGCGGATGGCACGGATGCACCGTATCACTATCATTCGTATGCTCTTTCTCGTTGAGCGGAATTTCTGCGATGTCTGACGATTACCTCTCAGCATTTACGACTCCCAGCGCTGGCAGGAGCTCTATGCCGACCCGGGCTTCCACCGCCACGTCGCTGTAGCGAAGCACCTTGGACTGCTTACTCTGCGCATCGTGGATAGCATTGCGCTGCCCCTCAACGTTACGCAGTACGCGTACCAGCTTGATGACTACCTTGAGAGGTACGTGAATCTCTCGCTCTTTTGCCTCACTCCATGTTAAAGCACCTTTCAGCGTCCGTGCCCTCCTCCCCACCTCCCAGGTTTCCGCCGACCTCAAGGAGTTCGCCGAGCTTGGCGCCGCCATCGCCAAGCTCCAGGAAGCTAGCGCCGCCCTCGACAAGGATAAGTATGAGGCGGAGAAGGCATTCTTGGATGCGCTGAAGAAGCTCCCGCCGTTCCCTCCCACGTCGAAGTGCGCGAAGAAGCGGAACAGCTTCCTTGGGAAGGCGGCGATGTGGGTGAAGAGCGTGTTTGGGGTGCCGCCGCCGGATGTGGAGGCGGAGCGGGATTGGGTGGCGTGGGTTTATCGGCAGTTGGAGAGGGTGGAGGAGCGAGGCGAGCAGCTCGAGCAGGTTCACCCAGAGTACAAGAGCGAGCAGGTCGACAAGCTCGAGAACCACCCCCACCACGAGCACGACCACCATCGCGAGCATCATCACCATGATGACCAGCACCACCCCAAGCTCCCGCACTTCCCTCTGCGCGAGTTCCTCAAGGCGGCCAGGCGCGTGCAGGCTGCGAACCACAAGGTGCGCTCGTTCGAGCGTGGATTTATCTCCGAGGAGGGGATCCCCGAGCGCGAGTGGTACCGCCATCTTGGCGTGGCGCCGGGCAAGTGGTTAGGTGAGTCCCGATTTCTTTCCAGCGACCCGATTTGCGAAAAAATGGTTTTACTGACACGGTCGCTACAGGGTACGGCGCGACTACCTTCCCCGCGCTCACTGAGGCGATCACCTTCGAAGAGGATGAGGAACGGGCCGCGTATGAGGCGGCGCGCTTAACACAAAAGCTGCTTGAGCTTGCGGATGATATTGCGGTGTAAAGAGCAAGGACAAGGAAGTGTTCATTGACTTTTTGGTTTTCTGAATTGCAATGTATGGTGTGAATGTAACTTGGTTTCATCCTATCTTGCATGTTGTGAGCCCGAAGCCTACTACATAGCCCAATGGTCAGGAGAGGTTAAACGCCTACCATCCATTTTATGGCCATGACTGACCAGAAGCATTCCGACTTGTTGTGATGTCATGAAGAGAGATCAGAACATTGACCTGGCCAGTGACGCGACGCCGCGGGTGTCAGCTACGCCGACCACCGGGGACGATCGAGCCTGTGGCGAGAGCATGTAATCCCTCCTTGAACAGAACGACCATCTTGCACGTCTTTACGCCCACACGCTGCGACTGAACACCTGAATTCCATATCCGCGTACGATTGAACGACTCGCAATGGTGAACATCCTTGCTGCCCTCTTGCACGCGCCCAGCGCGGCGATCATGGCATGGGGCTATAACAGCCTGCGTGGGCTGCCCATCGACAAGTTTATATCCACCCAGTATGGGGGTCATCTGAGGTTTTTGACGATACAAGGGTGAGTGCATTGGTCTCCTTGGTAGGATATGGGCGTTTTAATCTGCTCTCCCAGGCTCGCAGCAGCTTTCCTGACGATGGTCTTGAGTCTGCTAGTGGATCTGTTCCCTGGTGCTTCAGGTTCGTACTCTATTAGCTACCTTCGTACATAAGGAGCTCATGACATGGCTCTCTCGCTCAGGTATACGCACCATCAAGCGAGCAGTCATGATGGTCTCCCTTCCTGTTCGTGTCTTCTCCTAGTAGTCTCGCAACCACTCATCGGCTTCGTAGGTTTCCATCGTTGTGTCCTCCATATATTGGACCTTGCTCTCCGTCGCACCCTTCCTCCTCCTTGCTGAGGACCCAGGCGAAGCGACGCCGTCCTCATCATCGGAGATGCTCGCGCTGATGCGCATTCCCCTCAACATGGACCTGGCTCTCCACGCCGTCCCAGCAGTCACGCTGCTCCTCGACTTCCTGGTCTTCGAGCGCAAGTACTCCGCAGGCGCCGTTCGCTACGGCGCCCCTCTAGCAGTCGTGCTCAGCACTGTTGGCTACGGGTCCTGGGCCGAGCATTGCGCGAAGTATACGGATGGCGTCTGTGAGTATACCTGCCTGCTATCGTGTACACTATAGGTATACTGACCTGGACTCGCAGTCCCGTATCCGTTCTTGACGGCGAGTCCCTTCTGGGGACGTGTTTGCATATATGCGGGGGCTGGGGCGATTGCCTACTATTCCTTCCTCGGCCTCAACAAACTGCACCGTGCGTGAGCTACGCGCCAGATGTGCATGCGAGACATATTGTGAATGTACACGTTGAAGGATAGAATTGTTCGGAGTAGAAACTACAGCATATATAGGGCAAGCATATAGTCAGATGAGAACAATGACATTCTTCTACCTTTCTTCGGTAGTATATCGGATAGTACACCCGCCTGTCATTTCCAAAGCAACGCACATAGCTTATTCGCGGGAGAGCGGGGTTCGACTCCCCGCCGAAGAGTGCAGTTTTTGTTGCTGAATGGTAGTAGGCAGGAGGCGCGCATCATGATCAATCCGCGTCGCGTCACCCATATCTTGCCTTCCACCTCCACGACGGTCCTCATCTCTACTTCCACCACACCTTACGACAGCCATGCCCGTAAGACCTACCAGACGGGAAGACGCGTTGATATCTGATCCATCATAGGCGTACCACTCCTCGTTCAATGAAGTCCCCGACGTGCGCCAGGTCGGGAACATGGCCTGCCTCCCCATCAAGACCAGAATCCGCGGCCCTGCTCCCATAGGTGCGTTCACCGACTCTGTTGCTCGGCCTTTCACTCACCTTACCCTTCCTCATCTCCTCCCTTGCATCCTACACCATCATGCCCTACGCTACCCACACCACGCCAGCCGACCCCGAAGCCGCGGACATCATCGACGAGACGCTCGACCTCTTCCGCGCCAACTCCCTCTTCCGCAACTTCGAGATCAAGGGCCCCGCGGACCGCGAGCTCATCGTGCTCATCCTCTTCGTCTCCGACTGCCTCGCGAAGCTCGGCGCGGCGCGCACGGTGCCCACCCAGATCGAGGCGCAGAAGCTGCTCAACACGCTCGCGGTCGACCAGTTTGCGATCCCGGGGGATGCGGGGTTCCCGCTGAATGCGCACTATGCGCCCCCGGCGGGGAGGTCGGATGCGGGTGCGTGTTTGCGTTGCTGGATGTGGTGGGGAGGGTGGAGAGGCGGAGAGGTGGAGAGGGTGGAAGAGGGTGGGGTATAGGGAAGGGGACAGTGTGCTAACGAAACCCTTCGCAGAATTCCTCCGCCAGTACTTGACGCAGGTGCGCCAGGAGCTGGCGCTGCGGTTGATCGAGCGGCTGTACGCGGATGGGACGGGGAAGCCGTCCAAGTGGTGGATGAGCTTCCAGAAGCGCCGCTTCATGCACCGTGCGCTGTGAGCGTGCGCGCAGCATAGGAATGTACAATAGAATCCGTGGATATTGGATCTACACGCGTTTGATCCCTCGATGGTCGTGCTAATCCCAACCAACGCTTCCATGCTTCAGCAATATCGCAACACCCATGACATCTATACAAAAGCGACGCATACGCGAAATGCACCACCCAGATCATCAGGGTACGTCCCCTACCCTCACTTCTTACTCCGTCTCCGCTCGTTCGGGTTTTTCCTCCCATACCCAATGGAGGGCATATCCCCATCCTTCCGCGACGTCCTCCCCTTCCCTCCCGCCCCCACCGCAATCATCTCCGGCACCCAATCCGGGTCCATCCAGCTGCCGACGGCTGTGGCCCCCCGCCCCTCCGCTCCCCGGTTCAGTATCCCCTTCAGCATCCGCGCCTCCTCCCGCTCACGCTTCGTATCCGCGCGCTTCTTCGCGCGCATGTACTCCGCTTGGTCCTCGCGCAAAATCAGACCCTCGCCCGCGCCCGTTTTCGCGGACCCGGGTTTGGGGGCGGGGATGGAGTATTTGGTGCCGCGGAGGCGGTATTGGAAGTTGGGCTTGAGGTGGATTTCCATGGCGGGGGTGGATGTAGGGGTATCGGGTGCGCTGACGGTCACGGAGGCGCGGAGGAGGGTGGGGTTCCCGCAGGAGGGGCAGAACTTTTTGGATTGGTCTTTGCAGATTCTGAAGAGATGGGGATGAGTAGATTTTGGGATACGGAGCAGGGTAAGGGAGGAGGGGAAGGACAGACACGCACTTGAAGCACGCATGACAACGCAGGACCCAGCTCTTCACGCGCGCGATGCGCTTACCCTCGACGCCCACCAAGCTCAACCCCATTTGCAGGATGACGTTCTGCATGGCGAAGTCGGCGGTCATGCAACCCGCGAGGACCTTTTCGTCCGTCTGGGGCTCTTGCTCGCCACTTGGGAGGAGGTCGAGCGCCCGTGACTTGTGGAGGCCGACGTTGGAGGGAGTGATCCACTCGCCCTCGCCGTCGTCGTCGTCGGAGGGGTTTTCGTAGATGGGGGAGGACGATTGGGGAGGGGAAGGAGTGGTGATGGGTTGAGATGGTGAGATGGGGGCGTTGTCAGTTGCGGGTGCGTTAGCCGCAGGAGTATCGTTGGCAGCAGGGGCAGCGTCGGAGGCAGGGGCGTCGGTTGTGGTGAGGGAAGCGAGGTCATCGGCGACGCGCTCAAGAGTGACATCCAGAGGCTCGGTGTCTTCGAGGGTCTCTTTGATCGTGTCGTCTGGGTTTGTAGGCTCCCTCGGATCGCTCTCATCGCGCTCATCGTCGGAGGGGAGGGATGAAGTGGGCGACGAAGAGGAGGGGGCCGCAGCCTGCTCGGCAGCGGGATCTGTGCTAGCTGTGGCTTCGGTTGTCGTCGTCTCTTCTGTTGCGGCTTCCTCCTTTGCCTGCTTGAGAAGGTCAGAGACTGACTGTCGAGGTATGCCCAGACGCACCTTAGCTTCAGCCTTCTTCTTCTCTTCTTGTTGCAGTGCGTAGGTGAGCGCAATTACGCACAGATCAGCTTGAGAGAGAACAGAGTAGTCTCCCGTCTTCTTTGCCCACTTGATCACTAAAGCTAGATGAGCTGCAGAACTTGATGTGATCGAGGGGAACACACCTTCAGCAAGGCTCGCAGCGTCGGGTGAGCGCACAGCAACGTTGACGCCTGAACTAAGTCCCAGTTGTTCGAAGTGCTGCCTCGCCCTCGAATCCTTCAACTCGTCAAGGACCTGGGGAACCGTGTAGTACGTCTCGGCCAGCCCACGGATGGGGGAGAGGGACAGCAAGGGTCCTGCATCCAGAACAAGGTGCTTGCAGCGCGGTTCAGTTATCGGAGCTGCCATACTTGGCAGATGGCGCGAGGGTGGGTGCAGCTAGAGGGGATATCGACGATGAAGAAAAAAGTACGGAGAGGGATCAGATGCAGGTGCTAATGGTCTCGCGCACGTGGTTATCGAGATGATCGAGAGTTATCTTATCGCGGTGCGGGCCGCCGTTCCGCGGCATCGGCCGAGACGGAAGGATCGCTGCCTGAAGATCCGACGGCGCCTATGTCGAGGTCGCGGCCGACTTCGACGTCGACTCACGCCTTCCTTCCTCCCACAATGGCCCCCAAGCAGTGAGCAGGAGATGCCAGAGAGTGTAGGGATATGGCTCACATATGCTTTGTCGCAGATTCCGCATTGTCGTGCTCCCGGGTGACGGTATCGGTGAGTAGCCAAAGGCGCGTCGCGTCGCAGTCTACTGATCGTACATCATCTCGCGTACAGGCCCCGAAGTCACGGAGCAGGCCGTCAAGGTCCTCCAGGCTGTTGCCAATGCATCCTCCAGCTTTGACTTGATGCTCGAGACGCACCTCTTCGGAGGATGTGCAATCGACGCTGAGGGCGATCCCCTCCCCGCGAAGACGCTCGAGGCTTGCCAGTCCGCCGATGCTATCCTGATGGGTATGTATCCCTCCCCCTTCCAATCTCATCTCCTAATCTTCTACCCAAGGCTCCATCGGTGGCCCCAAATGGGGCGTCGACGCCAAAGTGCGCCCTGAACCCGGCCTACTCAAGCTCCGCAAGGAGCTCGGCCTCTACGCCAACATCCGCCCCGCCAACTTCGCCTCCGACGCCCTCCTCGCCCACTCCCCCCTGCGCCCCGAGGTCGTCCAGGGCGTCGACCTCATCGTCGTCCGCGAGCTCATCGGCGGCGCGTACTTCGGCAAGCGCAAGGAGCAGGGTGTCGAGCCCGAGCCCGATGTCGCATGGGACACCACTCCTTATAGTGTAGCGGAGGTGCAGCGCATCACGCGCGTGGCGGCGAAGATCGCGCTTACAGCGAACCCGCCGCTGGCGATCCACAGCATCGACAAGGCGAATGTGCTCGCGAGCAGCCGGCTGTGGCGCAAGGTCGTCACTGAGACGATCAAGGCGGAGTTCCCGCAGTTGGAGCTGGACCATCATCTGGTGGACTCGGCAGCGATGTTGATTGTGGGCAACCCGCGGAAGCTGAACGGTGTTGTGCTCACGGAGAATCTGTTTGGTGACATGTAAGTCTTGTAATCACCCTACAGTATCAGTAAACAGATCTGACTACCTATTGCAGTTTGTCCGACGAATCCAGTGTTATTCCTGGATCCCTCGGGCTCTTGCCATCCGCTTCTTTGGCAGGTCCACCAACGCTGCCAACAGGGGGTAATGCTTTTAATACCTCTTACCACCTCTTGCTAGCTCTAACGGAGGATTACCAGACGACTTCAAGCCGACCTCCGGCCTCTACGAGCCCATCCACGGCTCCGCCCCCGACATCGCTGGCCAGGGCATCGCCAACCCCGTTGGCACCATCCTGAGTGCAGCTATGCTCTTGAGGTTAGTCTTCGTCCTGCCCAGGCTGAATCGTGGCCTACACCACCCTCGCCTGACTTGTATACTGACCCTCTCCTAGATACTCCCTCGGCCTCAACACCGCCGCGCAAGCAGTCGAGAGCGCGGTGCGCAAGGTGCTCGACAACGGGCTCCGCACCGCGGACCTCAAGGGCTCGACAAAGACGAGCGAGTTTGGCGACGCGGTCGTGGCAGCGTTGAAGGGATTTTTGTAGACGGTGAAGGGGTCTTCATAGGCGCTTCTGTAAGCCACCGAGCTGAAGCAAATTCTCCGACCTGCGAAAACAAATGAAATGTATTCTAGCATCCTTCGATCCCTCTTGCGTCCAGGCAGCGCCCGTCTAATGTGCCAAGCAAAGCTCCCTCGATAGTGAAACGCTTCGTGAGTCTCAGTGAATAAGGGAAGGGAAGAGCGCGCGCATGGGATCCGAGTGCGGTGTATGAAGATTCCAAGAGGCTGTGCGGAGGTGTATCGCATTCACGGCGAAGGCGGCATCGAGGGGTATATGACGGCGACGCTTGCGGTCCTCGCGAACGAATGTCATGCCGCCCATGTCTGCAGGCTCTGGTGAGTTTTCTAATAATTCATCAGTTCTTGGTATTCCTTGACAAGATGTCTCGATTATTAGCACCGGGTAGCCTCTGGTGTTACGCGCCCGATAAAGGCGCACCCATTGCTTTCGCCGTTCTGTTTCTTCTATCGGGCCTCGTTCATGTATACCAGTCACTGTGAGCAGCTACACAGTCTTGCCTGCACCTGGCACTGATCAGCGAGGAACAAGGCATTATCACTCTTGGAAAGTGACTGGCCTCCTACCATGGGCAGCCGCACTCTTCGTAGCTGGCTTCATCACCCGCGAAGTCGGTGCATACAACTATGATAGCGAAGGCCTATACATCTCCTCGACCAGGCTTCTGCTCATCGCGCCGTAAGCAACTGTCTCCTCCCAGCCCAACCAAATCCCAGTCCAACCAAAGTCAAACACACTCACGCACTCACCCACCCCAGCGCCGTCTACGAAGGCGCCAACTACTTCGTCCTCGGCCGCGTCCTCTACTACGTCCCCTACTACGCCCCCCTCCACCCCGGCCGCGTCGTCACCACCTTCTTCGGCATCGACGTCCTCATCGGCGTCCTCACCGGCGTCTCCGGCTCCTACATCGCCGACCCCTCCCTCCCCACAGCCAAACAGAATCTCGGCCGCGACCTCCTCCGCGCGGCCATGCTCCTCCAGCTCGCCACCATGGCCCTGTTCGTCGGCATCACCATCCGCTTTCATATCCTCTGCCGGCGGGCGGGCGTGCTGAAGCGCAATTTGCGGATTGTGATCTCGGTGGTGTATGGAAGCTGCACGATTATCACGATACGCACCGTGTATCGGACGGTGGAGTATCTTGAGGGGGCGATTCCTGCGGCGGCGGCGGAGAGTGGGGAAGGGCATAGGAGCCCCATCGTCTGCAACGAGTGGTTCTTTTGGGTGTTCGAGGCGACGTTGATGTTTTTGAACAGCACATGGCTGAATGTGTTCCATCCAGCGCGCTTCTTGCCTAGAGACTACAAGGTCTTCCTTGCAAGAGACGGACAGACGGAGATCGAAGGTCCAGGAGATACGGACAAGCGAGGGTGGATACAGTCGATCTTGGATCCCTTCGACTTGATCGGCCTGGTTAGGAAGAAAGACGTGAAGTATTGGGAGGAAGATAATAGGCAGTTGTGCCACGACGAAACGGAAATGAGGGATCAATAGCACATCGTAGGACTTACCAAGCAGTATTCTGATTCCATGAGAAGGTCGTGATTCGGGGACCGCGGATATTGAACATGCCATTCATGATAGGAGCAGCAAACATAGTCCATAGATCGATGCTCATCAATACAATGTTCGTCTGTGGGGAGGTGTCAGCACGAAGTGAATATTGCAGCCCTTGAGAGAGTACGCACATAGAAATGTCCATAAGCTGTTCGTCAACCTATCCTTTCAGTCATTCGAATCACTATCTCACATTTCACTGCGCCTGCGTCCTCAGTGTCGACCCCGACGACGCCGGGTCCAGACGTTGCAAAATGAGGTCCAGCTTCTTCCTAAGCTCGTCGACTTCCTTTAAGATGGTCGCCTCGCTCGACTTTGGAAGATCATCAACACATAATCCTGACCTTCGAGTCATTTCCAATAACATACCTGCCGCGTATTCGGGAACACCTTGATCAGCTCCTCAAACGGCACCTTGCTGATGATGCCCTCTTCGTCGTCGACCTGGGGATCGCGAGCCTGCAAAGTTCAGGCGTTCGTCAGAACCCTACATCGATCGATGCTCCATTGCCCAACGTACCTCCGGGGACTCATCATCAATCGCATCGGGGCCCGCCAGCCAGTCCTTCATCCACTGGTTTTTCTGGACGATTGAGCCCGACTCGTACAATGCGATGAGCGCGAGAGGGAGGCAGAACAGGGCAGACATGACGATGCGGTTGAGCTGAGGACTCCGTTAGTGGCGTGGAGGATAGGGCAGAGCAAGCAACGCGCACCTTCGCATATTTCTCCTTGCTGAGGCCGAGCAGCTCAAAGGGCGCGATGAAGAAAATCTCGATCCTGTTGACCGTGAATATCACTTGGTTGGTATGCTATGACATCAAGTACGCACAGATTCGTCGGTGGCGGGTACACGTAGTGGTCGGGCGCACGGATCATGCCCACCGTCTTAGCAGAGAAGAACGCCAAGTATTGTGCCTCCGCGTTGTCGATCACCTGGGCCAAACATCAGAGGCGGTCCATTGTTGTGTAATGAATGTACGTACGTCCTCGTAGGCCGAAGAAAAAAGGGAAATGAGCACGTTGAGGAGCACAACGGCAGTGACAACGTTCCAACTAATGGGTCATCAGCAATGTCCTTTTACAGTGCCCGAACACACGTACAGGTAGTAAAGCCAAAGACTCGCTGGGCTATGCTCAAAGATCTCGTAATTCGGCGATCTGAGGATGTTCAGCATGGTGGAAACCCATCCTGGGATGTAAGGCTTACTGGAGTAATGCTTGAACCAGGACATTGACGACCTTTGCTATGTATCAGGCGACCGCTTTGTGGACAAGACGTAAGCGGCGTACCGTTGACGGATCCTCGACTTGACCATCCGCTGCATCGACTGCGTACAGACCCTGTGCGAAGCCGAGGGCGAGCACCGAGAGAAGCTATGGGAGCTGAGCACTAATGTCCTCTACGTGATCCAGACCAACTAACCGCAAAGAAGATCCCAGACTCCTGCAGCATGCGAGCAACACAGATCTGCATTGTTCCGATATACCTGCAGGTTGTCAGAAATCGAGGCCATGCTCCCATGTCTCAACGCACTTGTAGCCATCAAATACAGTGATGAGCTCTGCAGAATGTTAGCACCGGCACACAAAGCGCAGCAAAGGCTGCACGTACTCATCCTGGTCGCAAAATTAGCCCATCTCTCCGACGCCTCAAAAAAGTAAAACGCACCATAATAAAGGTGCAGCATAACTGAGCACTTGGAACGTCCGCACGCGTATTGCAACCATCTTGTCGCCTTCCAGCGTCAAGCTCATTATACGCAAGGCCAGAGCAGTGACAAGCAGGGCATCCGTGATGATAGCGACCACATTCCAGAAGGTGAAGGCGCGCCAGGTGGCGAAGCGGAGGAGCTTGAAGAACTACACGAAAGATGAGGAACCAATTTTCAGGCTGCGTTCGAAGGAGGCACACCCTTTGCAAGTCTGGCGAACTTCGATATCAGTGACTTGTAGAAGAGATGAGTAGAGATTTGATGTACCTTCCAAACAGAACGAGACGGCAAACACATAGAGGACGACCTCCCATTCATCCAAAGGCATGCTTTCGGAATGTAGCTTCTCGAGCGGCTCACGCACTGAAGAAGGTGAGTATTTGAAGGTCATGTTTGGCGCAAATACGAACCTGCTTGTGAGTACGCTAGCAGGAAGAAAAGCCATATGAATATGCGGAACATATTCTGGAATCTGTTTGCGTTGGCAAGCCATTCAGTGAGAGGGTTAAGACGATGGGATTGATTTTACTCACCGAGGAACAGAGAGCCTCGATGCATGGAAGTGACCCCAGAAGGTGGCTTCGCGAGTCTCACTATATGGCACGTCTAGAGGTCATATTAAGGCTCTGATATACGGATGTCCAAAGAAGCCTTACAGTCGATATCATGCTGCTCGTTGTTTTGCTGCACAAGCTCGCCGCGCCAGAGCGCCATGATGACTGCATGTGTTAGTGACAATTACAAAATGCTGGCAGAAGCTTACCATCTTGCGCCTCCGACGAAGACAGGAAAATCGTGCTATAGCACATTGTCATTAGCATAGGCACGAGTGGTCATAAGAAAGAAATCAGCGTACCAGTTCGTGTCAATCGCCAGCTCCAGAGCACTGGACATGTCGCTCTCGTCACCGTCGGACTCAAGGTGCCTGAAGCGCGTCGACATGACCACCCGGATCCTATCCGGCGGCGAGAGGTGCACTATACGACGAGCCAGAACCTCGCAAGCGATTGCTGTGGTGGCTGGTCAGCTAAAAGGAAGGGGAATCGCGAGCAGCGATGGGAGACCTACCGCGTGCATAGTTCTCGTCATAGTCGGCAGGATTGCTGTTCGCATCCCGGATGAACTGCGACCTGCAGCGAAGGAGGCAATAGGGAAGCTGTCAATCTGCTGTCAGCCTGATGTCTCTACTGAACATCCCAAGGCAACGCACAGCTTCGACAAAGTCCCCCGCCGCGGCGCGGTACGCCCCAATGACCGCTGGCGTTATCGTCCGGCTCGTAGGCTCAATAATGCTCGCAGGATCCACCTCAACAGGGAGTAGGGTCAGCGTGAGGGTCCGCAGACGCTTCACCAGCTCTGTCATACGTTCAGCAAGCTGTATGCACCGATGGATGGAACTGCTACTCACTGGTCAAGGTATCCGGCGACGGCTGCACCGACTTCACCGAGAGCAGGGAGAGCTGCTCCTCCGCGTCAATGACCATCTGCGCGGACATGGACATGATGGGCGTTGCGGACAAGACGCGTCGTGAGCGACGTGCAGCTCGATCGGGACGCGGTGTGCGCGGGACTCAATTGATCGACGTCATCGATGCGCGAGCCCAAGGCACCGTCAACGAAGTCGAACTTGCGAAGGTTCAAGTCAATCACAAGGGACGCAGATGCCTGGTTGGCGTCCAACAGCAGCCAAGAGCTGGCTGGCTTGCATTCGGCAGCTGCTTGGTTAAGACTCGACATCGGTCTCCAACTCATTCAAGCTCCAAGGTTCACATCATCTGGTATACAGCACACCGAGATAGATACATACAAATCGGGGTTCTTACAAAACGAGAAGGAACGCAAAGGAAAGGTCGTTGAAAGGCCATCACACCAACTTTGCCTGCTCGAGCACCAGCCCCACTGCCTACTCAAGCTCAAGGCACTCACTGGCCCACAGGCCTAATCCACCCTTTCTTCACACCGTACGCGACGACTTCTCCAGCACAGGCAGGCGAGATACTCGCAGGAACAACTGCCGCACTCTTCTTCCCGGCCGTGTGCTGGCTCTTCACCGCCATCGACTTCCTCGTCCTCGTCGGCGCACCCTGTTTCTTCGCACTCGCCACCACCTCCGCGACACACCTCCCCAACCACTCCTCGATATCCACCAGCGCCTTATAGCACTCCATCTCGCTGAAGACGCCCGGCTGTGCTGCGGGCGAGGGCGTCCTTCGCGAGGGCTCCTTCAGGCCCTTCTTCGTGAGCAGTTGCAGGACGAGGTAGTGCAGCCACTGAGGTGGGAGGGGGGCTAGTAAGTAAAACGTGAGTCCGCGACCAGAAAGGCTGAGCTTACCATCACGTTCGTCAACGGCTTGAAATCGCTCCAGGAGCGACCGGTGTGCACCAATCGCATCATGCGGTAGATCTCGTACTGGTATTCGCCTGGGCACCCATCAGCACTCTCCCTTGGACCCTTCCCAGACAACCAAACCTCAAAATATGACACATACCTTCCCCATCGAACACCTCACTATCGAACGGTGTCCAATGCACCCGCTCGCCGCCCTTTCCATCGCCAGCGTCCATGCGCGATAAGCCGAGGTCGATCAGGGTGGCCTCGATGCCATGTATGGGATCATCCATCATGGCCTTGTGCGTGCTGGACGAAGGTCGCACGTTCTGTGACCTGGGGGCGAGGGGCGTCTTGTGCGCTGTTGTCTTATTCTGGACGAGGACTTGACCCCAGTGTAGGTCGCGGTGCTGAGAGCGGAATTGAGTACATGCTTGTGATGCAAACTCAAAGGAAATTGTACCTCGAACGAGACAAGCTGCTCCGCATGCCCAAGGGCTTTCGCCACCTGCCAGAAGATACTGCACGCTTGCCTCCACCCAGTCCTTGATGGCGTCGCAAACTGATACGCTTCCAGGTCCGGTCCACCATTGGGCAGAATGATGATTGCGTACAGCTGGGACACGCTGAACGTGTCTACGCGATGCTTTAGTATCTGCTGAACACACAACGAAACATGAGAAACCTACCTGGCCGTACACTCTCCGACCCCTTCACCTCGTTATACTCGTCCCACAACGACAACAAATGCTCCGGGTACCGCCCGCGCACCACATACGCCTTCAACAGTCGCACAAACCGATCGCACACCTGCCCCATCGCGCGCGTCACGATAATCTCCTTCACCACATCCTTCAGATCACTCGGCGGCGGGCCCTCGTCGTCCTCGTCATCCGACGTGCTATCCCTTCGCGCCTTGAGCTTCCCCGCCCCCGTCGCCGCGCGCCCCTCCTCGTCCTTGAGCGGAATGATCTTCAACACCACGTCCCCAATCCCAAAGACCTCCGAGTAGCTCGCCTCGCCGATCTTGCGGAAAGACGCATGCCCACGCGTCCCGCCTACGACCGGGTCGAAGGGGAAGGTGTTCAGGAAGGCGGAGAACTCGTACGGGCCGCTGTCCAGCTGGTTGCACTCGGCGAGGAGCGGGCGGACGTACTCGGGGAACGTGGGCGGCTCGTCGAGCGATGAGAGGGAGGAGTCGAGGTCGAGGTCGTCGGCGGAAGAGGCGAAGGAAATGTCCTCGAGGTCGGAGGAGGTAAGGGGAGAGGGTGGCGAGGGCGGGACGAAGAGGCCCTTGCGCCGCGCGCCGCGAATGGGCGTAAGCTGGCGCGGCCTGGACGAAGGCTGCATGACGAAGCTCCTCTGAGGGGCGGCGGCAGGGGCAGGGGAGGAATCGGGGGAGGGTGAGAGCGAAGACATTGGCGATAGGCTACTCGTCGACGGTGGCGCTGGTATAACTTTCACATTGGTGTATCGCGGGGTAGGAAGCAGTACGATGGGCGGGGTAGGTAGCTTGAAGGAGGTGGTTGGTTTGGCGGGGGCAGGTGTCACGGGCTGTACTTCTTCCTCGTAGTCAGGCTCTGGTTCTTGTTCGGAGTCCGACTGTATCTCGATGACCCTGGGTGCTGGCTTCGGCACGTCTGAGACGAGCCGCTTCCGTCGCTGAACACGGGGTGGGGGCACGTATTCGTCTTCGTCGTCGCTCGCCTCGACAGGCGCGTTGCTCAGACGGGCTGCGAGTGATTGCAATGGCTTCTTCGCCTGAGGGGGGTTCACGTCCGCGCGCGGATGAGATACGCGCCGCTCCTGCTTGAGAGGCGTGCCGTCATGGTCGAGGGTGATGATATCTACATTGGTGGTAGACGAGCGGTTCATCAAGCCAGTGGGCCTGCCTTTCCCCAGTGTGACGCGGGGACGCTTCGCCTTGACGGCGGGAGAGTTGAGGGGGACTGCTTGCAGAGGTGATCGCGGGGCATCCTCCGCACTGGCAGCCTCCCTGAGCTTGTTGATAGTCGTCTTCGCAGCGGGGCGCATCTTGTCAGCCGCCTTCACCGCAGCGTCCGACCTTCGCGCAGGCACCGCTGCAGGCTTGCTTCGCTTGACATGCACGACCTTGGGGGAGCCGGGCTTTGTCGTCGTCGTGTTCTCCCTCTTCTTCATCCGACATGCTACGGGCGCATACTGCGGAGGGGGGAGGTCGTCAAAGATGCTCGGCGCCCTATACGCCGCCCGCAGGTCACTCGATCCCGAGGCCGGGACGATGCGCTGGCTGCGCTTGCCGTATGTCTTGACCTGCTTCGTCCGCGCGCCGAACATGATGATGGTGGCTATAACACAGAGGGTGGCGGCTCCCACGTATATGAGCGAGGGAGTGGGGAGAGTAGAGGGGGAGATGGAGAGGAAAGTGGGGATAGGAGGGAAGGCGATTTGCTGCAGAGTCGCGGTCGGGAGCATCAGCAGGCGCAACACGAGGCCATGCAACCAGACGCGTCAAATCACGTGGGCACGTCGCGACAGCAAGTTCCCACGCCCACGGACGCGACGCGACGCGACGCGACTTGCCACCCGCCACCAACTCCTGCGCCTCGCTCTGGCACCGGATACTCCTACAATCTCTGCTCTGCGTTGGATCTGCTAACATGTCTCTACCTCAGTCACTCAGAGAATCAGCCTCACCTGCTGAACTGGAATTTATCGCCTCTCAACAACTCCTTGAAATCATCCCCCTCATCGCCATGGAACGAACCGTGTTCATCAGCGTAAGTACACTCGCCCATGACCCATCTTGAAATTACAACTTTAGCTTGATAGGGCACATATGGCCCACTACAACCACCTCGCAGAGCGAAGGTCCCAATTTGGCTTGCCACAAATCTCAAGCTAAAGAAGAAGTGCCGCATTATACCTCCTGACTGGCTGACGGTAGGCACGTTTGCAACTTTTCTCATCTTGGAACGACCTCTTAACAACCGCTTAGACCATCTGAGAGACTGCTGCGAAGAGGAAACAAATAACCCGAAGTTCAGCAAGCTTCCCTTCCGTTTCGCTGAAGTAGCAAAGGTCTTGTTAGACGTGTGAGTAGTAAGCCTCTCTAGTGTATCGTGGATCCTTGCTCATGTTACTTGCTAGCGCACCAGACGACCTCGAAGACGCTGACCAACTTCGCCTCCTCTTGAAGAACCTCCGCGAAGCACGACAAGCAAAAACACGAGACGGTCTACAGAACCTCAATCCGAACGAGCTTCACGTGAGTCTGCCGTTTTCCATCCCTCCATCTCTTTCGTCTCTCAGCGCCGTCCGTGCGTGGGTTTGATTAGTCTGACCTCCCTCACAGGTCGAGAACATGTGCTCCATGGAGATCAACGAGATCAGGCCCTTCTTCGTCCAGTCGATGGCGATCTTGGGCCAGTTGACGCGCAGACCAGCCGCGGAGGCGGATATCTCAGCTTTCGCGGACTAGGGCCTTCATCTCGAACTGCTTTGTGGTAGGAAGCCTCGATTGGCATAAGGGTCACGCTGGGTATAATATACATGCACCCAAACACTGTAGCTGCACGTCCTTATACGACGCGCTCGAATAATGAGATTGGGGTAGGGCGTTGCCAAGAAGGTCGTAAGTAGCGTCGTAAGTACAAGCACACCCGACAGAAAGGGGGATCGAGAGCATAATAACAACGATAACAAGGATCGAACTCGAGGGATACAAAAAAAAGCAGAGCAGGGAGTCCACGCGTATGCATGTGGGACCTTAAGCATATGTATGTAGGATCTTACGCGTACGTATGTAGGACCAAGTAAACGAGGGAGGTAGCGGCAAACGAAAGACCGTCTATGCGCGGCAGATATAATGAAGGATTCAAGAAGCCACTCAGAATTTCCCCGCACGAACATCGTCCCAGACGAAATTATGTTGTGTTTTGCAGTGCTCCAACAGCTCCTCGTAGGTCGGATTCTGGAAGCGCGATGGCGCGTCGATCTGGCCTTCTGCGAACAATAGGCTGCGAAAAGGGTTAGCACGGGATCCGCAAAAGAATGATTACACGAGACAGGAAGAGGAGGACGAGAAAATGGATGTTGGACAGATGAAAGTAAGAAAAAGACAGGATGAACGCACTTGCACTGCTCGCACTCCGTCACCAGCCCCCAATCCTCCTCGACGCCAATGATCTGGCTGACGCAGTCGGGCTCGAGTTGCAGGCCGTCGGCGTCTCGCCTAATCCCGTCGTCTTCTGAGCCATCGTCCATGGGCACCTCTGTTCCGTCGTCCATAGGGACCTCTGCTTCTTCGTCCATCGGGACCTCTGTTGCGGTCTGCACGTCCTCTGGCGCGGGGCGCACGTTCTTCAAGGCGACCGGAGCGGGTGTCTCTCCAGGAGGTTGCATCGAAGATCGAGACGAAGACTGAGGTTCCGGTGGGACCGAAGATTGTGACTCTCCAGCAGGTGGCTGGTCTCGCTGCTGCTCAGGTGCAAGCGCGAGCGCGCCCAAGGCGGGCGTCACAGGACTGCTCGGCGGTGGCAAAGGCGGATCCGACGACATGAGGGGAGTATCCTCGACCTCCTCCTTCACCAACACCCTCGGCTCGTCTCTCCTCCGCGGTGGTGCTCGGCTCGGGCCCGCGCTCGCGTGCAGCGTTGCAGGGGCGCTCGGCGACGGCTGGAACGCTGACTGGGATGTGTTGATTCGTTGCTGCTCTGCCTGTGGTTGACCCCTCTGCATCGGGCCAGACGGCGTGCGCTGCGGCGTAGGTCGCGCTGGTACGCCTTGAGGAGGCGCTTGCATTCCTTGAGAAGGTGCCTGCACACTCTGGGAGGGCGCCTGCACGCTCTGAGGAGGCGCCTGCTGCCCAGACATCGTCCGCTGCCGCTTCGCCGGGTCGCGCATCGCTGCCATCTCATTCGGTCGCTTGAGGCTGGACACGCTGGGTCCCAGCACCTCTGGAGAAGCCATGTCATAGCTGCTTTGGCGACGGGAAGAGGGGATGCTAGTGCCGCTCGAGCTACGGGCGTGACCTGGTCTGACTGACTGAGAAGGAGGAGGAGGAGGTAGGCTGGCATTACTCGAAGTCGAGCCCTGTCGTGAGCGAGCCGGTGGTGGGGGACCGTCGGGCGGCGCACTCAGCCCAAGCGCGGCTCGATGCGTCATCTCGTACGTCTCGTGCGGGCGCGGCGGCCTGAAGCCTTCGGGCATGGTGGAGTGCAGGATGGGTTGCGGAGGCGGAGGACCCATGGTCTGAGGCGCCTGCGGCGGCATGAAGGGCCTAAACTGCGGGTTGGGTCCAGCTCGTTGGGCCGTCGGCATAGGTCGAGGAACGGGAGCTGGCTGAGGGGGTCCCTGCGCGCCAGGCATAGGCTGCGATGCTCGACGTTGAGGTTCGCGCATGCCGGACATGAGCTGTATCTGTGACGGCGCCATGGGTGCGGGACCAGCGGATGCGGGCTGGTGCCGCGACGGCCCTGGCATATTCATCTGCGCGATGGACAGTGTCCTGCGGTCAGCGTCCGAGAGCGGAGGGGTTGGCATCCCCATCGCGTGCCGGACGGTGTTGGATAGAGGCGGGGCGGAAAGGGGTGGCGTGGGCATCGACGGAGACCCTAGCGCCGTATTGATCATGAGCTGTTGACGCTCTGGCATGACCATATAGCCCCTGCCACCGTCCATAGAGTTTCGCATGGTAGCAGGACCAGGCGTCAATTGTACAGCGACAGGCGGAGGCCCATGTTGACTCCCCGGACGCGATCGAATTTGTTGCTGACCAGAAGACGATGGCCCGGCCTGACCTGGGTGAGGCGGGGAATGCTGCTGCATCGACTGTCGCGCGTTCTGCTCGCGTAGTGCTTGCCGTAGTTGTTGCTGCTGGATCTCCCTCTGCTGCTGCTGCTGCTGCTGCTGCTGTTGCATACTACGCTGCTGGATTCGCTGCGCCTGTTGTTCTTGCTCATGTTGTTGCCGTGCCAGAAGATGCTCGTAAGTGAGATGCGGGGGAATGTGCTGTGGCAAAGGAGCGGAGGAAGATTGCTGCATCTTGTGAAAATAGACGTTAGGCGCCGTGTGACGAGGCGCGCGTGAGTCACTCACAGGCATAGGCTGTCCCTCTATACAAGATCGTGAGTATGCAGTAGGATGGCGAGCAAGTAGAACGTACGTTGAGATATATTCGCGGCTGGATGGGAAGATGGGTGTTGAGGTTGGGGTGGCACTTGAGTTTGGGCGACAACATGGGCGGACGAGCGTTGTGGGCCACCCTGTGGCACACGGGTCAACTCGTACTGCTGCAGCTTCTGGTACATCTCGGCCGTCACGGCCTGGTATCGTCGCAGCTCCTCCGTCACCCGTGCATGCTCAGAAGCTAGTTGCTTATGGGCCGTCGGGTTTGCTAGTTGCTGAAGCTGGGCAATTTGGCGGTCACGCTCCTCAAGTGTCTGGCGAAGCGCGCTGTTCTCCCTCGCCAGCCCCTCATTGTCTACAGTGACCTGATTGAGACGTGCTGCCAAGGATTCCGACTTCCGACATTCCTCATTGAGGGCGCCGTGAAGCTGTCGATTGTCCGAGAACAATTTCACGTTCTCCTTCTTGTATTCGGCGACCTGCGCTTGCAAGTCGCGATCGGTCGCTGGGCGTCTCTCCTCGAGGGTGCTAACAACCCCGTTGAACGCGTTCATGATCTTGTTCTTCAATACAGAGTCGTCATTCTCGTTGTTCGAGCTGCGGGGTGGAGGGGGACTGGTAGATCACAAGCAGAGGTATGTCAGCGTATTTGGGAAGTACACAGAGTTGTGATTACGCACGGTGCGGCGCTTGTTGATGCAAATGCGCTCATGTCGAGCGCAGGGTAGAGCTCGTCCCTAAAATTCGACAGGAGTATGCTCTTCCGGGTGTACAGCGACGGCGACGACGAGGGAGTCTAAGACAAGGAGGGATGCCAAATTGGGGGAATGCGACTGGGCGCTTCCCGATTACTCCTTGTCTTTGTCCTCCTCGTGCGCGTCTTCCGTACTTCCTCATCGCGCGCATGACTGGGGAACGTCGTGGCTGCAGGAAGATGACCTGAAGACCGCTACCTGAACGCCTTGCTCGATGTCGATCATGGTGGCTGTCGTCGGCAACTGGGATGTCTGATCGGCGCCGGTTACATACCCTTCGAGCCTTCCTAGGGGGTCTATTCGCGTCCTGCTCGACCAGGACGCTTCCATCTGACACTCGGGAACTACGGGCGACGTTCCACGCCGAGGCCGTGCTGCCTCCGCGCCGCGTTGCTATCATGACTCTCATGATGCCCATCACTCTCACCTGCTGCTCCCCACCTCCATGGCGGACTCTGCCCTCATAAACGCTGTCCCTCGCAGTCCGTTCGAGACGCTACTCAACTTTCGGGATGTGGGGGAGACGGTCAACATCTTGCATGGTTCGCCGTACGTCTTTGACTTCTTTGCCATGGACGTGTCTGATACTCATCCGTCGCAGAATCCTCCGACCGGGTGTACTCTTTCGGAGCGCGCAACCCTCCACCGCATCAGACGAAGAGCTTGCCGTTCTGACGAACAAGTACAAGCTCAAGAGCGTACTCGATTTACGCACGCAGTCCGAGCTGGATGTTGCTGCCCGCGCACGACAAAACGCGCACATCACGGCCGACTTCAGCTCTCTGAACTCCACCACGTCTTCCCCATCTCCGACCGGGTCAATCAATGTACCCAACACCAGCACCTACTACGCCAGTCTCACGGGACGCGCCTTCCAGCTAATGCTACTCTGGCGGCTCAGCTGGCGGAGCATGGGGTGCGCGTGCCTCGCGATATTGCTTGCCTTCTGATCTCACCCATCCATAGTCGCCTAATCTACAACATGTCGACTGGCAATCGCCTCGCGGGCATGGCCATCATTGGCTCTGAGGCCATGGCGCCCCGCGGTCTTCTCGGTCTGGCTACCGACACCCTCACGTCCTCTTCCGCCGAGGTCAGGAGCATGTTCACCCTGCTTGCTGACCCAGCGACCTATCCGATCCTTGTTCATTGCACCCATGGCAAGGACCGTACTGGAATCACCATCATTCTTCTGCTGCTGCTTTGCGAGGTTGATCTCAATATCATCAGGGCGGACTACATGGCCACGGAACGCGAGTTAGAGCCGGCCATGGATAAGAGGTTGAACGAGCTTCACGCGCTCGCTCTGCCGGACGAATTCCTCGGATGTCCGCCAGGATTCGTCGGCGGTGTGGCTGCATGGCTGCAGGAGCAGCATGGAGGGATCGAAGGCTACCTACAGAATATCGGCGTCAACAGTGATACAATGACGAGAGTGAAAGCAAACTTACGAGCTGCATGACACGGAATCCTCAATGTACGTCGTTGGGGCTACATCATACATCCAAACGATTGTCTGTATACTGATGAAGCCAGATGCATCCTCTCGAAGCAGTATAGGTGGGTGAAGAGCTATCAAGGGCTCGTATACGAGAAGGTACTGACAATGGCTCCTTTCGCTTTCTCCTGCTCTATCCAATAATCGTACGCCCTGCAGCTGCACTTATACCGCTCACAACCGCGCGAGTGAGATGACATGCGTTTTGTTGGCCTCGCACCTTCTACAGTACGCTCCATTACTATTGAGCACAGTCATGCTGTCAGAGCATTACAATCACTTTGTTAATGAGCTGGCAGTAGAACCCACCTCTCTGTACAACCTCGACTTAGCGTTCGAATGAGGTCGTGAAGGTCGTGACACTGCAACTGCAGCTGACGCCGCTTGGACCAGAAATTCGTGGGAACTTGTCGGGTCTCATCCCAATTAGGCAGGTCTTGCAACCTTCTCCTCCTCCCCCTTCTTCCGCGAAACTTCGTGCTCTCTCCGGATCTGTTTCATCCCCGCTTTTACGAATCCAACGACATGAAAAAGATGTGACGAGAGTGGGATTCGAACCCACGCCCCGAAAGACCAGATGAGATGATGGGTTCGAATCCCCCCCCCAGATATGCCAGTTACTACTGACTGATCCTTAGTCTTCTCGCCTTGCTCTGAAGGTGCTTCTGAGCAAACCTAACTCATTCATGGTGACGCCAACACGGCTTCTTCAATGCCCAATGTTGCCACCATCAGCCTCCTTGTTTATGGCCGTCATGTCCATGGGCTAGCTGACCTCTACTCCGCTCACACGGTGGCGCGCTGTGACGAACTATCATCATCATATTGTAAGTACTTATGAGAAGGATTTCCCCCCGATGACCACTAAGGTTCAGGTAACACCCTACTTTGAGCGCTTTGTCCCCTCTTCGACCGGCATGCTCCATGGTATCAGATGCACTGCCGTCAACCATGCCTAGCGGCAGTACACCTGCTTCCCGACACCTCTCGTCATGTTGGACCTATCAGACTGCATAAGCTACGTTGTAGGGCTTGCATGCCTATATGCTTTCGCAGTCGGTATACACCGGTGAGTGTCTCGATCTCTCACCCAAGAAACGCCTCAACTGACTGCGGACTGTACAGGCGATACTTCCATCCTCTATCCCGCGTCCCAGGTCCCCTCATGGCTGCTTTGACGGATTACTATGTTATGTACTATGAAGTCGTCAAAGACGGCTCATTAGTCGACCAACTCGAGAAGTTGCACGCAATATACGGTGTGCTCCAGCGCAGCCTTTATCGTGCAACGTTGCGCTGACGCAAGGCTTTTGTAGGCCCTGCCGTAAGGATTGGCCCCAATTCAGTTAGTGCTCCCTTTCTCTGCACGCCCATGTGATATCATGTGTACCCCCTCACAAGGTGCACTTCAGCAATCCGGACGTCTACGACAAGATCTACACCCGAGGCACGGCCTTCGTGAAAGATATCGCTCTGTACCGTGGCTTTCCCGAGGAAACCACCTTCGGAAGCGCGGACCCCGTCTTCGCGAAAGCTCGCAGAGATGCAATCAGCCCTCTATTTTCTCGTCGTGCTGTTTCTAAGCTGGAGCCCTTCGTACGCGAGAAGGTGGGTAGCCACGTCGCATCCAAATCCCTCCGCCAGAAATATTGCTAAGCAATCACCTCAGGTTGACAAAATGACGGAGAAACTTGTTCAGCATGACGAGCGCCGGCCAGTCGATTTGTTCAGAGCATTCAGGGCGGTCAGCCTCGAAGTCATATTTTCCTACTGCTTCGGAGAACCCTGCAATGCACTCGACGCGTCTAATTTCGATGACCCCCTTCTTGCCGATCTCGCTTCCTTCGCTCGCATGAACATGGTGTTCAAGGCCTTTCCTGCGCTTGTTCCGCTAGTTCAGGCCATCCTCACTAAAATTCTCAAACCCTTCGGTCGACGCGTAGCCGGGCGCTCCTTGCTTACGGACAAACTATTAGCGCAGATCGATCTACTCCTGGAAAGCCCTGCCTTGCTCGAGGATGCGCCTCACGAAACGGTTTATCACCACCTTATATCAACGGACTCCGGCGAGGCTTCTGTGGAGACGCCGTCGCGTCAGTCACTCCTCGGCGAAGCCATCAACCTGCTGCTCGCGGGAAATCATACTGTCGCAGCCGCGTGCGCCGTGGGGTGCTACCACATTCTCAGCAACAAAGACATTCTTCACAAACTCGTTGTTGAGCTCAAGAATGCGATCCCGCAGCCTTCGAGCTTGATTGAGTTCGACGTGGTGGAGAAGTTGCCCTACTTGGTGTGTTTCGTGCCCTGTAGTAGCCATTAAAAGAAGACCACTAACCACAGCATAATAGACCGCGGTTATCAAGGAGTCCCTGCGCCTCTCCCATGGTGTCGTATCACCCATGCTTCGCAAAGTCAACACGGATGGGATGGTGCTGGATGGTATTGCCGTTCCTCCGGGCGTAAGTCGACTGTGAAACCCAGTAGTACTAGTACTCTCTGTTGACATCTTGCCCTTGCAGACCACAGTCGCCATCGGGAACACCTTCGTGCACCTCAATCCAGACATATTTCCCAACCCTCACACCTTTGATCCCGAGCGCTGGCTTCAGGGCGACTCGGCCATTCTGGAAAACTACCTGGTCCCCTTTTCGAAAGGCCAGCGAAATTGCGTGGGGATGAAGTGCGCCTCCCCACTCATCGACCTCACAATAGGTCCTGATCATTGCATTTTGCAGCCTGGCCTGGTGCGAGTTATATCTCATCTTCGCCAGCGTATTTCGCAGGGTAGATCTCGAGCTTCACGATAGCAGGTGTGTCTGCAACCTCGCCAATGACACTAGAAATTCACATCGTTGCTCTTAGCCCAGAGGACATGAAGTTCAAGGCGCACTTCGTCGGCACCTTTCGAGGCAATCCCGTCCGAGCATTCACCAAGCCGATGACAGCCTGAACCCTCACCTTGCGCCCCGCTACTCCATTCAAGGAGCCTGCGAAACGAGTGCGGATCTCTGAAGAGTGCAAAGCTATGGAATTTCTACATGATGTATTACTATGTACTATATCGCACCCATGCTACAGAGGTATAAATGACGAGACTACCCAGAGTCGCCACAAGCGCTGCAATCCCCAGCGTCCAACCAAGGCACACAAATCTACGAGTCCTCCCCATTCATATTCATCGCGCTCGCCATCCGCCGCACAGACGGCCTGCTCTTCGCCCCGCTCCGCAGGACGGGCGAGCCCTCGTCTATCGTGTTCGCGCGCATGTTTTGTAATGAGCGGCGCGGCGGGGTGCTGAGCTTGAACGAGTCGGGCTGCGGTGAGCCGTAGCCAACTGTCGGGGATAGCAGTACGTCAGGGTTGGGCGAGCGCCGGCCGGATAGATTGGGCGAGCCGTAACCGGTGAATGGCGACGTAGGCGTGCGTGGGGTGGGCGGGGCGATGATGCCGGTAGCGTCGCGGCGGGACCCGCGGCCTCGGACGAAACCGAACATAGACCTGAAGAGCGACGTGCGGGATACGGCTGGCGGCGGCGCATCAGGTTGAACTGAAGGGATGGTAAGTTCCAGAACGGCATTCAAAGGATGTCACACGAACCGGCAGACCGCGTAGGTAGCGCGTTATCGTTCGCGCTCAGGCTGAGGAACAGGAATAGCGGTGCCAGCCATACGCAGAGCCCAAAGAACGTCGCGACCTCCGTGAACTCAGGCGCACGAGGGTCCTTGCGGTAGCGCGAATGGCGCGCCGCAGCGGACATCTGCGCAAAGTAGAAGAACCAGATGAAGTGGTCGGCGATGACGAGGATGCATGAGAGCACGAAGGAGGGGGAGGCGAGGGAGATGAGGGGCCAGTCGGCGGAGAAGTTTTGGAGGTAGACGATGTGGCAGACGATGGAGAATATCGTGCGCCAGAAGGGGAGGGAGTCGGTCAAGTAGAGGAGGATGTGGAGGAGAATTATCGCCTGTGACAGAGTCGTTAGGCGGTAGGCTCAGGCGGGGAAAGCAGGACGTACATAGATTCCTCGTTGCCCTATGGTCTTGGCTGTCCTCGAGTGCTCCTCGATCAACTCTGAGGGTATGTGAGCATTCGCTTAGAAGGTTAGAGTGCACGAAGCTCACCTGAGACATATAGTAGCCCGCTCGCTAGAAATGTATGAGTGATTGGCGCGGCAAGCTACAAGCACCGAACACGTACCCAGCGAAAGGGTCACGAAGCCAAACGCTGCGAGAACAGCGATGTAACTGCAACAGAGTTCAGAGATTTCGCCGTGTAGCAGGTTGGCGAGCTTGCCTGATATAATACAGCAGGCCCATGGTGAGGCAGGGTGGGAGGTGGTTGGGAAGAAGACGCGATGCAGACACGCGAGCGCACGCGTCGACATCATGACGTCACGTGCTGCGCTACTATCCTGTCCTCCGCGACCATCATCACCGAGTACCAACCACAATGAGCAACCTAGAGAGTAAGTGTGCGATGGGCGCATCCAGACATAGACTGATGGGTCCCAGAGACTCTGTTCCAGCTTAAGGTGTGCACTTTTCTCGAAATACAACGACACCCTGAGTAACGCGTGCGCAGTTCACGGCGAAGAGCCTCAATCGGCAGGCGAAGAAGGCGCAGAAAGATGAGAATACCGAGAAGGCTCGCTTGAAGAAGGTGCGCAACTCAATTTCGCATTAAACTCTCGCTGACATGCCTAGGCGCTTCAACAAGGGAACAACGAGGGTGCCAGGATCTACGCTTCCAATGCTATCCGCAAGAAAAGCGAAGCCCTCAACCTCCTCCGACTGTCCAGCAGGATAGATGCTGTGGCAAGCCGCGTCGAGACGGCGGTGACTATGCGCCAAGTGACCGGCAACATGACGTCCGTTGTGCGGGGAATGGACAAGGCGATGGAGAGTATGAACCTTGAGCGGGTGCGTGATCAGCTTCCCAAACCAGCCGCTTCTCATCCTCCGCCAGATATCGCTCGTAATGGATAAGTTTGAGACGCAGTTTGCGGATATGGACGTCCAGACCTCCTACATGGAGGACGCGATGTCGTCTACAACAGCCGTATCGACGCCGCAGGACCAGGTCGACCAGCTCATGCGACAGGCAGCTGAGGAGGCCAACATCGAGCTACAGCAGGATCTCGAGCGGGCTCCAGACGCTGCACCAGCACTTAGTGCGAAGGAGAAAGTTGGAGAGGAGGACGCCAACCTGGTCGAGCGTCTGCGCGCCCTGAGACCAGCCACATGAGATCATACGCGCGCCGTTTCATTCTCGTTCGCATTTCCGCCTCCATATCTATACTATATCAGTCAGTGTACAACAGCGCCGGTCAGACGATGACGGGACGGTTCATTCATACATTCTGCGTGGATCGACGACGGAGGGGAAGGGGCTATAACTACAAGATTTGCTAGACGATCTGCGTGCTACTATCTCCCCCCACTGCCGCCATGGTGTTGTTGACGCTTCCCCGGCGCGAGCCAACACCAGCGACTGCGAACGATGAGCACGATGAATGGTTCAGAACGATACGCGGGAAGAGCATCAGCGATGTGAGTCTTTGGGAGGCCTGGCCTGATGCTGGCCCGCGGCCATCGTCGCGGGCAGCGTGCAGGGCGCGTAGCTTTGGGACCGTTCAAAGTAGCGTGTGAAAGCCAGCTGATGATTGTCTCCCCATCAAGTTCGCCTCGAAATTCGCCGTTCGCCCTGCTCTTCCCCAAGTCCGTCACCGTCGCTCGCTCTTTGAGGTGCCTGCGCCTTCTCCATGAAGAGCGTCGCGCTCACCGCGCTCCAGACGACACAGGTCTTCGGCGAGAAGATCGTGGCAGAATATGACGGAGCGATGAAGCATCCGCTACGACAAGCATCCGCATCTAGCACGACCGCCACCAGCAGCGACGAGAATCATGTTCTTGAAGCACGACAGAGTCGGAAGCCCAAGCCAGCCAGCCGAGTACGCCGCACGTGTCCCATCGCGAGATAAGCAGGCCACTGACGCCCGCCAACAGCTATACACGTTTCTTACGCGCTCGCGTTCCCGGTCCACACCGCGCGAGCTCTCGACGAAATCGACCCTTGACCACGCCCCGGATCCCCCTCGCTCTTATCACTCAATTGACCTCAACTCCCCGCAGTCGAAGGCGCCGTCACGAGCATCCTCACGACCCCTCTCAACTACCACGACCGCCACAAACACCACGATCACCCCCCAGGCGTTTTCGCTTACCCCGCGCGCCGAAAAGCGCAGGCAGCAAGCAGCGGCAGTGGCATCGGCCATGAACTCCCCTCCGACGTCGCGTCCCCCATCTCCCAGTCACACGTCCAGTGGCACGCGTAGGCGCCTGCACAATCTCTTTGGCCTGACTCTCGGCGCGTCGCGCAAGTCGAGTGGCGGCAGCAACAGCTCTCGGGGGGACACCAGCCGCTCAAGGCCCAGTACACCCGTCACTGCCCACTCAATACCCGAACATCCCCCGCAGCAGCAACAGCAGCCGACGCCCGGCTCGTCACGGTCCAGGAAAGACGGGTCTTCTCGCGGGAGGGGCTTGTTATCAGTCCAGCGTCCAACCTCTCCCCTCATGCCGCAGTCCGACTCTTCTGTCCACAACTCGAGCACATCGTCAGTCCAACGGCGCTTCCGCCCAACGCGTCTGGGTCCCTTCCTAGGCTCGAGCGAGCAAGGTCCCTCCTCGTCCACCACCGGATCTTTCGACCAGCCGGGATCACCGACATCGATATCGCCCCCTCAGCCGCCTCGCGCCGCACACGCGTCTAACACGCCTCGAATATCCCACACCCCTGCGTCACCCTCACGGCACTCACGGCAGAAGGAATCGATGGACTCGTGCTTCAGCGACTCGGAGGTTGTCCGTCCGCAGAAGGGCAAGGAGCGCGCGAGCCTCGATAACCGCTCCGGGGGCCGGTATGCAAAGAAGACCCCCGGGCAGCCCATATTGACGCGCGAGGTGAAGCACGGCAGCTTTGACTTCGAGCGGCCAGGGTGGGGGCGCATCAATACGCGCGGCGTCGCCCCTGCCCTTGCCATGGACCGCAGCGGGAGCGGGCGCTCGGGTCGGAGTCGAGACAGCGATATGACTCCGACGTCTACGAGGGGTGCCCTGCGCGAACTACGACCCAACCTGACGGGCGGCTCGAATAGCTCATACGAGCCCGGTGGCAGCTTAGGTCGTCGCGGTGGCACGCACGTTCGTTTCCGCGCAGGTCATGGCCCCTTCCGCTTCGAGCCAGCCGTACCCGCCAGCCCAACCAGCCCCACCAGCCAGTCATCCGTAGAGCCCACGCGGAGTAGGCGAAGGCGCATGCGGGACGAGGACGATGAGGAAGACGACGAGTTCGAGGCGTACGACTTCGAGAGGGAGCAGATACGCCAAGCGAGGCATGGGATGGGTGGTCCATCTCCGCTGTCCAGCGCGGTGTCCGTGTCTGCGCCCTCTACCAAGTCTATCGGGTACCGGTCGGGTACGAAGGGGCGGTCGTTGGATTTGAACCTTGGACTGGCCTGGGCTCCGACGAAGATGCGGGCGGATGCGGTGCTACCAGGTCTTTCCCGTTCGTTGAGCCAGGGTCGTTCCAATGGCACTGGTCCTCGACGGCGCGATACAGACTTAGCGGAGGTTGGGAAGGATTTGTCGGATCTCTACCGTCAGGCGTTGGATGACGACAGCTACGCGCTGTTCAAGAAGTGTAAGTCGTACAGAACAACGAGCTAAGCAGTTGCTTGACATCGCACCGCAGACGTACACCGCTTCGACGCGAAGGACATCCCCTTCGACGGCCCTACCGGGATCGTCTCCCGCGTCGAACGCCTTCTGAACCGCCAGCCCCATCTCACAGACGAGAGTCGCAAGCAGATGCTCAACACCCTCGTCAAGATCATCCTACGCAACGCCTGAGCGGACTCTTCGCATCTTCCACTTTCTACTTATCTGGATTCCCCTGTCAAGTGTCAATGGAATATTCCCCGTAATTGCGTTTCCCCTTCCTCCTTCATGTCCATCGTCACCGTGTTCACTTTATGCATCACTTCAGTCTACGTCCTACAGTCTACACTCTAACCGTCCGCTACCCCATGCCCACTCTTTACTGACCACTGACCACTGCCTCTGCCCCCATCCCATCTGTCACCATAGCATATATCCCCTCATCTAGTCCTGAGTCGTCCCCTGCGCCCGTCTATCTATTGCGCTTAGTTGCCTAGTACACCGTCTACAGCGCCTAGTGTTGTCTACGGCGATTAGCATCTACAGCGCCCCTGCTTGCATATCTTCCCCCCGCTTGCTTTTGCTCCCTGCTTTCGATTCACGGCTCCCTACGTGTTTACCCTTAGCGTACCTGTAGCTTCTGGGGGCTTGTTGCGTAATGTCCTTTTTCGATACCGGCCATTTATGTTTGTGGATGATAGCATTCCTCATAGGCGTCCGGGTTCTGAATACATGTCGTGCTTCTGTGGAGGCGTCTTCCTGCGTACTTTTGGTTCGATCCAAGGAGAAGTCGACCCGCAAGTAACTGCTTTACGCAGGAAACTAAGCAGCAAAGTCATTCGGATTCGTGCACTCTTCTAACTTCGCGCTAAGAGAGTATTCCATTTTTTGCCTCTATTATTCCGTTCGTAAGGTGTGCTACAACTGCTCGTAATGTACATGTTGGATGCCGAAAGTGCCGTACAGTATGCCATGAAGAATAAATGAAAGACCATGATGTGCGAAGTTAAATAACATGAAGGTCATTATGACGACAGGAATCCCAAGAAGCCCTTGCACTATGATGACAAGAAGCCCTTGATCGCGCCCCCGACGTTCTGCACGTCCAGGAGGAACGTGTCGTGACCCCAGACGCCGCCAAGCTCGTAGTAGCTCACCCACTCGTTGCCCGCCATCCGGAGCGCATCAGCCATCTCGCGCTGCTGCTCGACGGTGAAGAGGATGTCGCTCTGCACGCCGAGGATGAGCGTCGGCGTGTTGGCGAGCGGCGCCATGCCCGCTGCGAGATCCTCGAGGTGCTGCGGCGGATTGGGCGGTGGTGGGTGCGACTTCGAGTGCGAGGTCTTATGCGGCACGTCCTGCGCGGCAATGTCCGGGTTGACATGCTCGGGCGACGTGGCCGGCGGCGGAGGTACCATGTTGAGCTCCTCCAGCGTGGACTGGGTGAGGTCGAACAGATCCATCGCCTTCGAAACGTAGATGAGCGAGTTCGCGTCGTACTTGAGGCAGAACTGCTCGCCCTGGTGGTCGAGGTAGGTTTCGATGAGGAAGTCGGGGCAGAGCGCAGGCTTGCGCGGCTGGCCTGGCTCGGGAGGGCTGGCGAAGGGCTGGTTGGGGGGCGTCGGGCGCACTTTGCGTCCGAAGCGGAGGTCCCACTCAGGGCCTGAGCGGTACGTAATTGTGGCAATTTCTGGAAGAAGGGTCAGCGTCCGCCTTCGCGAAGCCTCAAGCAAAGTACTCACGGCGTGCGAGCTTCATGCCAGCGTGTGGGGGAAGACGGTCGTAGTAGAAGCCGTTGTTCCAATTGGGATCGGCCATGAGAACTGGGCATGTGTCAGGGGCTACTACGTCGTCGCGAGAAAACGCTACTCACCACTTCGCTGCGCAAAGCGCATCGCGATAGCTGATGGACTGCTCCTGGCAGTACCGCTAATGCTGATGACCTTGCCCACGCGCTCGGGGTGAAGCCAGGCAGCTGCCAATGACTGCATGCCACCCATCGAGCAGCCCACGCTAGCGTAGAGCTTGTCGATGCCAAGGTGGTCCAGGAGGTGGTACTGCGCGCGAAGCATGTCGAAGATGGTGATCACGGGGAATCGTGTGCCGTAGTGCTGGCCGGTGGACGGCTCGATCGATGAGGGGCCCGTCGATCCATAGCACCCACCAAGCACATTCGTGCAAATGATGAAGTACTGGTTCGTATCGAGCGCCTTCCGTGGCCCGATGAACTTTTCCCACCAGCCTGGTGTGGGGTTCATGGGCGTTGATGCGGCGTGCGAGGAGGCAGAGAGGCCGGTGTGTAGAAGGATGACGTTGTCCTTGTTCGGGGAGAGCGTCCCCCACGTCTCGTATGCGATGTCGAACTGAGGAAGCTCCTCGCCGTAAGTGAGCTTCATCGGCGACTTGTGGTGGTAGGTGTGATAGGACGTGGGGCTGGGGCGAGAGTACGCTGGCTCAGGACCGGATTCAGTGCCGGGAGCCTCGCGCGGCTGGCTGTGGGATGAGGGGAGCGCTACCGACGTCGCCATGAGCCGATCTGAGCGAGTTTTGTGCGCCTCGACGCAGGGGAAAAACGGCTTGTTGGGGGATTTTGGTGGGGCGGCGACAGAGGTCGAGGTGTGAAGGGGGCGCGGGGCGGGCGCGCGCCTCGGTGCGCGCGACGCCGCTGCTCTGGGGATGCGCTTGATAGCCTGCATGATGTGGACGGCGACGAGGAGGGCAAAGTGCCGGCTGCTGTCGCCATTTTGTGTTTATAAGACGCCTGAGTCGCACCAATGAGCCGAAATTGCGTGCTTTGAGCGCCATGACGATGGCGTCTGCCAGGCGCGGTCACGTGCATTTACCTCCAGCATTTCCGAATTCGGGAACCAAATAGTTCGTGCGCGAGTTCTTGCCTTTGCGGCGTACCTGATCTCTCCCAGCCCGCACTCGACGCGCCGCTTTTGGTACAATACCATCCGTGGATTAGGAAGCAGGTATATTAGATACATCGCAACTGAGTGGTCCGCCATAAATACGCGAAGATGAGGTCGTAGTCTGTCCAGAAAACGCGTCGCCGCGCGAATGCCATGTCCATCGATACCGTGAGGAATATGCCTATACATACGGAGGTCGTCGGAGAGTTATGAGCCTTCCATCCGGCCTCTACCGTGTATTCGGAATCGGACGTGGTTCGCCTGCCCAGGCGGGGTTATAGCCTGGAGGCAGCACCTCCGGCTCTTCCGCGGGTTGCAGCGCGAGCGGACCCGCGTCTACCTCCTGCCGCGGGGCCGGAGATACGCGCGACTCTGGCGTGCGTCGGCCTTTCACCATGGTGGCGTCAGACCCGGACGAGCTGGAGGCAGTGGGCGCGCTCAGCAGGTCGCCCGAGTTTGATCTTGAGCGCGACGCCTCTGTATTGACTTCACTGCCGCGGAAGGACGACAACTTGGAGGGTGGTATGTTGCCGTTGTGCGTAGACGAGTTGCCGCCAGCCGCAGCGCTCGCAGAGCTGGCCATGTACAAGGAGGCGGGATTGAACTCTGACGATGCAGGCGTCGGGATGGCTTCGTAGGGGGAGATGGTGACTGCGTGGATGGGCATGTGAGTCGCTTGCCAAGCAGCGTGAGCATTGAACGAATCAGAGGCTGTTGACTCACAGAAACCGTTCTGGTGCATGCCGTAGCCTGGCGCATCCATGTCAAAGCTGCCGCTCATACGTTTACTCCTGGTGATTGTTATCGTTAGCACATCGCTCGAATGGCAAGGAGGGCACGGGAACGCTATGCCGGCAGGTCCAAGTGCTACGAAGATGATAATTCGGAATGGGTAGTATACATACCTTCGCCTCCGCCATAAGAGCACCGTGAGTATCGCGAGGAGCACAGCAATTACTGCGCCCACCTGCTCTTCATCAGAATGGCGACTTCAACACCCACGGACAGACTCACTGCTATGCCAGCGATAGCGCCTGTCGATATTGATGGAGAGCTGCGATTGATGAGCGTATGACCGTGTTGACATCGACTGTACGTACTCCTTCGGGATAGCATCTATGAGGATGATCTACAACCAATGAGCTCCGTCCAGGCGTCCGTCAAGGGTAGCTTACCTGATGAAGGTCCATATACAAGTCCTGATCCAGGTTTTTCATGGTGATTTGGTATGTCTCGTCTCTGTCCAAACCTGACTCGAAGAACAGGATGCTGATAGCGTGAGTCAGCAACTTCCAGGATCGCTCTCCTACGCATCACGCACCTATCATAGGCAAACCATAGTGAAGACGCATTGAAGGTGCGCGTCTCATCTGATGCGCCCACCGAAGGGCTGATCGACACACTGTATTGGCCGTGGTCATAGTTCATCGTCCCCAACAACTGAATGATGGTTCTTTCGGGTGTAACATGTGAGTGTTTCGCAGCGATCTCTGACGCAGGCTACTCACGCGCTCGTGAACGTGAAGGAAATCGTGCCCAGTCCGCTGGTGTCGAGTCGTGGGTAACCCGCCGCATCGTGATCGGTGTTGAACGTCGCGCCCGATGTCGAAAAGAACGGATTTTTCTCAGTGTGGTAGCCGCCTTGCGAGACCTCGACGGTGTCGATGTTGGTTTTATTGAGGGAGGCGCTATGGGGCAAATTAAGAGAGGAGAAGCATCGAAGGGCTCCTTCGGACGCACTTGTTCTCTCCAAGGCCCAGCACGACGTCCGCGTGCTGAATTTCTACAGGCTTGCCTCCTGACACGGTGAGGGTCTTTGTGATCGCAGTCAGCTTAGCCCTCCGTTCTTATCGGACGCAGACGCACCAAGGTATGCTTGCCGTAGTCAAGGCCTTCGTATGCGACAAGCGTGTTGGAGCCACTGGGGGACCCATCCTGCTCGTCCCCGTCGTCCAACTTCGTCTTGTACGTTCCCGCATCCGCCGTCCCGTACAGCGTGCACGCAGACCCGTAGAACTCGATGGTCGCACTCGCGCCCGATGAGGTGCTCGCGTGGTGGCTCTGTCCGCGACCCAGATTGTTTAAAGTGTGCGTGAGGTCGTAGGACGAGTCGGGTGTGTCCTGATAAAACACCTTCCACCCATCGTCCGTGCTGTTGCTCATGTACGGGGAGAACTGGAAGACGGGGGACTGGTCGACGATGCTGAGCGTGTGCGTCGTCTGGGGGGCGGACATGGTGGTGGTGGCGGCGCGCAGCGGCGGGCGGAGGCCGTGGAGGTAGAAAACACGATGTGCGCACGCGGGGAGATGGGGGGCTCGAGGCGCGAGCGCCCAGACAGTGATCTGAGTGGGGCGGCCGTGGACTAAATCACCTTTGTAACGTCACCAGTATCACGGAGTGCAGGGTCGGGGGGCCTTCGTCTCCCGCCCGTCGATTAATGGCCGCGTTGAGAGCGGTATGAAGTAACGTGAACTGCCCATTATTTAGCCTGGTCGATGGGGCCTGGTAAGCACATCTATAGCAAGCTCTACGAAGAACAAAAGCCTATAGACAAAGCCAACAGCTTAGGGGCGATAGCAGGACAAGCAGCGAGGGACGGACCTGGGACGCCCTTTTGAGGCGTTTCAGGAGACTGTGCCACCGAGCTAGTGATGGTGATATCGCTCCATAACTGTGCTGTCAGAGGGATTTTCGGGGGTCCCGTTTGTTTTTGCAGTTTGCCGGCCGACAAGCGCGTCTGTTCGATGCGATCCCAAAAGCAGTGGTCGTGAAGGTGTTACAGATCTGTGGGTCCAAATGCCGACGCGACGCGTGACTCATCATCTTCTGCGCTTTTGTGGCGAATGTTCCCACGCCATTCCTTACGCCGGATGCAGAGTTGGACGCGAACTTACTTCTGGACTCCATCACTGCCCATTCTTCAGAAACACTCAGCATCTCAACAGAACACACCGGGACTAGACATCTTCTTCCCTCTCGTTTTACCTTTTGCAGGCGCGGTGCTGCAAGCCCATTATGCACCTTTACCTCACGAACAATCCACGGACGCTCCTGCTCGTCACCGCATCGCAAGAGGAAATCATAGGAAGGCCTCGACGCGCTCTCGTATTCCGCGCGAAGCCAGACGATCCAACACAGGCTATCGTCGAATTCTTACCCAAGGATCAAGTCGACCTTAGCAATGCTGTACGGCTCACGACGCGCGGCGTCAAGGGCTGCCTCGGGCTCATATCCATCGAGAACGGTGCGCATCCACCGCATACACGAGATCCTTGCGCTCACTGAGCCCAGATCTCTTCCTCTCTGTTGTGACGAGCGCGACCGAGATCGGTAACACGCGCCCATCTGCCTCCTCGCCTGAATCAGTCGCGCGTATACACGAAGTCCGCTTTTATAGCCTCATTTCCTCCGCATGGGACGACCAGCCTCTCAACTCCGATCAACTACCCGACCCTGACATCGAGCGATACTCGCAGCAGAATGCGGCGGTCTTTCAGCACCCATGTCTTCCACTGACCAAGATCCTGTCGTCTGGCTCGTTCTACTACGCTCATGATACCCACTGGGACCTCTCTTCGCGCTTGTACAAACGACTAGCTCGCGGTCGTGATCCATCTCTAAACGACATGTCCAACTTCGACGAGCGCTTTGTCTGGAACGAGTATATCATACGCAGCCTGCTTGACTTTAGAGACCGGCTGGATGCTCAGGAGCGAGATGAGTTTGATCAGTGTCAATTCATAGTGCGTCGCCATCCATGACTGGGACGTTCATCTTTTCATCCGTGCCGTCAGATCCTCGCCATCCAAGGCTATGTAGGCGCCTTTACGATGGCGTTGCCTGCTCCCCCTACGAATGGCGCCCCTACTATAGCTACCTTGTCCTTGATCTCGCGGCTGAGCTGGAAACGTGCCGGCACCCGTTTCAACACGCGCGGCGTCGACGACGACGGCAACTGCGCGAACTTCGTCGAGGTGCGGCTCCTCTCCTGCCGCACCATACCCGATCGCTGAGGCCCCTCGCAGACGGAAGTCATCTTCTCTACGGATCAGCACTGTGTTAGCTACGTACAAGTCCGCGGCAGCGTACCGCGTATGTACCTTTCACCTTTAAATATAATGCATGCCGTCCTCAACCGATGTGTGAACCCACAGTCTTCTGGGAACAGCAAGGGCTCCAGACGTTCGGCCAGCGCATCCAGATCACGCGCCCGAATGCGAGCCAGCCGGCGTTCGATCGGCATATTCAGCAGCTGGTTGAGGAGTATAACGGGACGGTGCATGCGATTAATTTGCTGGGAACGAAGGAGAATGAGGCGATTTTGACGGCGGCGTATGTTCGACACGTCCAAGCTGCGCGTAATGGCCTGGGCGATGTTCTTCGTATCACCAACTACGACTTCCACAATGCGGTAAGGATAGGCGGACACGACAGTGTTGTTCGTGATCTACGGTGAGCGTTTGTACCTCAGAGCGGGATGGCGTGTCTTACACGGAATCTAGTCGACTAGAAAGCATCACGGACGATGTCGATGGCTTCGGCTTCACGATGTGCGACGCGAGCCTGGACGAAATCGTCACCGAGCAGAAGGGCATCTTCCGCACCAACTGCCTCGATTGGTACGTTATCGCCCGTGCACTCATCCCTCTCAACACCCCATTGACTAACGCACCATCAGCCTCGACCGCACGAACTTTGTTCAGGACATCATGTCGCGGACAACTTTAGAGCAATACCTGAAGCTCGTACGTCGCGAGTGGTGCTACGCCAACTCGCTATGGTCCTACCATCGCGAGCTGTGGGCGGAGAATGGAGATGCGCTGTCGAAGATATATGCTGGCACGGGTGCGCTAAATACGAGCTTCACGCGAAGTGGGAAGCGGACACTGGCTGGTAAGGCTGAAAGGGGTGCAGTGTGTATGGTGTGCCAGGACTGAGTCGGCTTTTAGGCGTGCTATCGGATGCGACGAAGAGCGTGTCGCGCGCGTACATTAACAACTTCCAGGACAAGGCGAAGCAGGTCGCTATAGACATGTTCCTGGTGCGGCTACCTGCTTTCATTGAATTTTTTGCAACAAGGCGCTAACGTTTATCTAGGGCAACATGAGCCACCAGAAGCAGGTTGTCATATTCGATCCCATCCACGACTCCGTGCGCGCCGCTTTGGAGGCAAGGTGAGGGAAGGATGTGCCCACAGAATGATCTATGGCTAACGATTGCAGGCTGCCTGAGTATTCTTCCACAAGACATTGCACCATCTTCGCTGGTACATGGAACGTCAATGGACGTGTGAGTGGCATTGCTCAGGTCTTACGCGCGCGGTGAATAATTTCCACCCCAGCCTCCTTCGGAGTCGTTGCTACCGTGGCTGTTCCCAAGACCAAGTGCGTGCCCTTCAGTTTACCTGGCTCTATGACACCAACCAATACCTATAGACTTTGAGGAGCCGGATATCTTTGCAATCGGGTTCCAAGAGATTGTTCCCCTCACCGCGCAACAGATTCTGCAGACAGATCCTGATAAGAGGTTCGTGTGTGCTACTCTTTGGAGGTAACATGTCACCCATCCTCATCCTCTCTTAGGCGCGTCTGGGAAGCAAGTTTGCTTGAGGCGCTCGATCGCAGACCCAATAAGAAGAGCAACTACGTCCTTTTGAGGTCAGAACAGGTGCGTATTTGTCACGGCGCCTTGAACTTCACACAAACTTCCGTCAGCTTGTTGGCACTGCGCTCCTAGTCCTCGTCAAGGCAGAGCTCACTGCGATAATACGTGGCGTGGAGGCAGCGACCCGCAAAGTGCGTTATATCCTTTCACGTGTAGGCCGTGACTTGTCATTTTGCCACCTCTCAGACCGGTCTTCGTGGGATGTCAGGCAATAAGGGCGCCGTAGCCATACGCCTTGCATACCACGACACCGACTTCTGCTTCGTGACTGCACATCTAGCAGCTGGGCATTCGAATGTCGAGGAGCGGAATGCGGACTACCACACTATTACCAGCGGTTTGCACTTCCAGAAGGGCAAAAATATTGGAAGCCATCAGTACGAGTTTACACTATGGGGTGATATCTGAAGCATGCTGACAAGAACATAGGAACATCGTCTGGCTCGCGGACACCAACTATCGCATCGATCTGGACAACGAGACCGTGCGCTCGTTTGCAGAGCATGACGACTACGACGCACTGCTTGCAGGAGATCAGGTTCGTATCGTACATCCGCTCCTATGATGCTTCACTCACCCACCTTCCTACCCTTCAAGCTCAAGCAAATGATGGACGAGAACCAAGTCTTCGCCGGCTACCAAGAAGGCCCTCTCCTCTTCCGCCCTACATATCGTTACGACCTCGGCACCGACACCTACGACACAAGCGAGAAGATGCGCATCCCTGCGTGGACGGATCGTATCTTGTACAGGGGTGACGCGCTAAACCTCCAGGCCTACTCGCGTGCCGAACTGAGGGGGTCGGATCACAAGCCTGGTGAGTGACTGATCGTGGCCTGGAGTCTATGTCTGGATCGACTGATGAATGCGTTCGCAGTATACGCCGTCTTCGGCGCAGACGTGCGCATCATCGACCCAGTGAAGCGAGCGGCGCTCTCGCAGCTCTTGCTGCAAAGCGTCACCAGCACGGCTCCTGGGGAGAAGCTCGATGAGAAGCTGGCGAAGCTCGTGTTGCCGTCGGACATTGCACACGATCGTGAGTGGCCACCCTTTCCCCTGGCAGCATCAATCACTGACAACGCTGCCTCAGTACCACCACCAAGCACTGACGATTCGGCATGGTGGAATACGCCAGGTAAGCTCGCCCTGCCTACCATCGAATGACTTGCTGACCCAATGACCCCCTTCCTAGACTGCCCCCACGGCATCATCCCCCTCTCCGACTTCCCGCCACCCATCGATACCGACAACGCCCAATCGCGAGCCAACCCCTTCGAGTCCGAGAACTCTTCGCTGTCCGAGTCGCCCTCGACGTCGGATGAGGAGTTGTACACGAACGCGATGTCGCTGCCAACGCCGATGGCGCCGTCACCTGCGCCTGCACGGAGGCCAGCACCACCGCCGCCGGTGAGGAATGCAGCAGCAGCATAGACCTACGTGTCGAGTCTGCGACGACTGCGGTCATAGACGATCTCCCGCACGAAAGACAGGGACTCGGTGGTCAGAGATGTATTAGGTCGTCCACAGCATACAGTAGACGACCAGCAAGAAGTATATACGAACATCGGAACCGAGCCAATGCTTGGCGTAAGTACAACAACACGTCCTCAGATGAGACCCTGCTTCTTCAAGTCCTCGTACGTCTTGCGGTTGTAGACGTTACCTTCGTCGTCCTCGAGCTCCTCCATGGTCTCCTGCTCGAAGATCTCATGCCGCCCCTCGGCCTTGAGCTTTTCGGCGACTGCAGGACAATTGTTATATCAGGGATGGAGAGCAGGCGGAGGAAAGACTCACGCGAGAGCGCATCCTCGATGCGAGTGATCTCATGGAAGTGCTTCGTATTGGGCAAGCCCAAAGCGCGCATACCGAAGGCGTGCCGCGACTCTTGGAAGTGACGGTCGAAGTTTTTCCTAATAGATTGTCAGCTACAATCCTATGATTTGTCGAGGTCATGAAGCTCACCTCCCATAGTACACCTGGTCCGAGCAAATCTCGCACCGATATTCCACCCCCAACCCATGCAACTTGTATAACCAATACGGAATCGGCTTCCCATCCCACCCGAGCGGCAGCTTCAACGGGTTATATATCCTCTCCTCCTCCTCTTCCTCCCCGCCCTCCTCATCGTCCTCGCCCTTCTTCCCCGCATTCGCCACAGGCGGCGGCGGCGCGCGCTTCCGCTGCTGCTGCTCCAGCAATTCCTGCTCGCGCTCGTTCGCCGTAAGCGAGAACCGGCGCTCCACGTTCGACTTCGTGTCCTCAAGTACGGGGAGGAGGGTCTTGAGAAGGTCCGTCGTGAGGTAGGTGTGCTGCGCGCAGGACCGCTGGCGCTGGGTGGCGCCGGAGGAGTGATGCGACTTGGCGGCGTCGCCGTTGGGCTTGCTGTTGGGTTCGGAGGAGGGGGCGTCGCCGGAGGCAAGCTTTGCAGCGGCTTTGATGTGCTTCTTAGAGGTGAGGTGCGCGTCGTAGACGGTTTGCTTGGAGTACATCTTCTGGCCTGAGGAGATAATGAGTACATATTGCAGATAGATAAAGAACGTACTTACATGCTGCACACCAAATACCATCCCCATTGGCAACGTTCTTAGGCTCTTCCCTCCACTCAGCGAAACCGCCCTCTTCCCATTGCTTGTCGAACTCCTCTTGCGCAGTGCGCAATTGGGTGTCGAGGTCGCGTAGAGGTTGTGTTCGCTGCACAAATGATACCAAGTAGGAGTAGAGGTCTTTGATGTAACTGTGAAGTGTTAGAAAGAGAGAGGGGAGCATGCACAAAAGCTCACGTTTCGTAATCCTTTGATAGACGCGTCTCCTTCGGTATGTTCTGATGTATGAGACCGTTCGGTGCCGCAAGAAGTATGTCGAGGTACTGGAGGTAGCCGGGACGCTTCCCTATGTTTTTGAGGTTGGTGTAGGCGACATGGTGCGCGTACAGATCGACGTATTTGCCATAGGATTCCTCGCCAGAGAAGAGCAATGAGATGGCTGTATAACATCAGGACATGCACTTGCAGAAGTGCAGAAGACGCACGATCTTCCTCCTCGTATTCCTCGTCTTCTTGACCCGGCTCGTCGAGGAATGCCGCGATTTCCAGGTCAAGACCACCTGGAGCAGAATCAGGGTACTTGGCGTGGTACTCCTGGATCTTGACCAACCGCGAATAGAATTCGGTGAGGTCGTCCGGTCTTGACGCAGCAGAGATGCGGTCAGCCTCTGCCTTGATCGTGTCCTTGTCCTGATATAATGTGTTCAACGTCGTCGCCTTGGATGATATGCGGTCCAATATTTGCGAAGCCTTGTGCTCGGTCTGCAGCTTCCCCTCGTGCGTCGGCTGGTTCCTGGAGAGCAGCGTATAAAGAGCGCGCTCGTATCTCTCGACCTCCTCGTGCGTCTGGCGCTGCACCTCGAATATTGAGTCCATTGTGGGGGGGACCTGTTGAACGCGAAGAACAAGGAACGGCGCTGGTCTAAGCGGCGCCGGACGGGGTGCCGAGAAAGGAAGTGTTCAAACTTCGTCAGCGCCTTTCCCTCTTACTCGACGAAATGGCAGGCATCAACGCAAACGACGACGTGCGCGACCTCTCCAGTTACTCAAGCATATATACTGACCTCCCTTGCATAGAAACTCGTCTTCGAGTCATCAGAGGCGGTCAATGTCGTCTCCACATTCGACGATCTCAACCTGAAGGAGGACCTCCTGCGCGGAATTTACGCGTACAGTACGTGGCATATACCCTCCTCCGAGCCCAGAAACTCATTCCCCTCGCTCAGACTTCGAAAAGCCTTCCGCCATCCAGCAGCGCGCCATTCTCCCCATCACCCAGGGCCGCGATGTCATTGCCCAAGCCCAGTCTGGTACCGGTAAAACCGCGACCTTCTCGATTTCCATCTTGCAATCTATCGACGTCACCGTGCGCGAGACGCAGGCGCTCGTGCTTTCCCCCACTCGCGAACTCGCGACGCAGATCCAATCCGTCGTCCTCGCGCTCGGTGACTACATGAACGTGCAGTGTCACGCGTGCATTGGCGGTACTTCCGTGGGCGAGGACATCCGCAAGCTCGAGTACGGCCAGCACGTCGTATCCGGCACGCCGGGGCGCGTCTTCGACATGATTCGCAGGAGAAGTCTCCGCACACGGAACATCAAGATGCTGGTTCTGGATGAGGCGGATGAGCTGCTGAACAAGGGCTTCAAGGACCAGATTTACGATGTGTACCGCTATCTTCCTCCCGCCACCCAGGTTGTCCTTCTTAGCGCCACTCTGCCTTACGACGTGCTCGAGATGACGCAGAAGTTCATGACCGATCCCATACGCATCCTCGTCAAGCGTGACGAGTTGACGCTGGAAGGCATCAAGCAGTTCTTCGTCGCCGTGGAGAAGGAGGACTGGAAGTTCGACACACTCTGCGACTTGTACGACACCCTTACCATCACGCAAGCCGTCATCTTCTGCAACACCAGGCGAAAGGTGCGTAGCTTGCCGGAGACCATGGACGTGACTAAATAGCGTCCACAGGTTGACTGGCTAACGGAGAAGATGAGGCAGTCCAACTTCACTGTCTCCTCGATGCACGGAGAGATGGTGCAGAAGGAACGCGATGCTATCATGGCCGAGTTCCGCGCGGGCACTTCGTGAGTTCCGCCGTCCGCTATACTTCACATCTGCTCATGGCATCTCTACTAGTCGCGTCTTGATAACAACGGACGTCTGGGCCCGCGGCATTGACGTGCAGCAAGTGTCGTTGGTGATCAACTACGACCTTCCTGCGTAAGTCCTTGTTCTAACCTCTCCTGGGCGCCACTGATTATATATGCTTACAGAAACCGTGAAAATTACATCCACCGTATTGGTCGCTCTGGCCGCTTCGGACGGAAAGGTGTTGCTATCAACGTGAGTTGATCTTTCTGGACTTACACTGACCCTCGAGTACCAATCTGACCGCCACTTTCAGTTCGTCACTGTTGACGATGTTCGCATCCTCCGTGATATCGAACAGTTCTATAGCACCCAGATTGTGAGTATCCGCGTTGTTAGTGATTAGCCCTCACTCACGACCTGCTTACAGGACGAAATGCCCGTGAATGCCGCTGAGCTCATCTAAGGGTGGGACGACGATGACTATAGCAATGGATCGACCGGACTGATGTATTCGTGTGTTCATGATTGTTCTCTGTATCTTATACTGTTGCGCTCTTATTCTGCAAGAAAACGTGTTTTCCTGTATATGGCGTGAGTGGGAAGTGCATTCTGGCGCCCGCGCTCACGATAGGTAAAGTACAATCATCTATGCCAGCTGAGAACCCTGGATTTATTCCCAGCGCCTTCGCCTTGTGATCACGGTATCCCTGCTTTTCATTGGCGGCATGTCTGATGCTCCCCGATAGATCTTGTACACATTAAGTGCTATGCTTCACGGAGTTCGGATTCGTTGTAGGGAATTCGAGAGATTGATGAAGGAAACAAACCCATGGGTATACCGGCATTCGCCGGCCTTTCATGTTGAACTTCGCCGCCGCGCTTGCGCTCGCGCTAACTGCTAGCGTCCCGATGCGGGACAAACGTCAATCCTAGCGCTGCATCTATCAGAGGGTAAACGCATATTGGCCGCCGGTTCGATGGCTTGTTGACTGCCGATTCGCTGGTTTGTTGACCGCCGTGTCATCGATTGTCGGGGCAGAAGTGTATTGACCGCCGGCTCCTTAGCCTTGTTCATAGGCATTTGTTGGGAATGCCGTCTCCTTGGGAGCATCAGCGAGCGGCTGCGCGGCTTAACTTCACCTCGGCCATGCTAGCACAAGAGAGGAAGGTCGCGTCACCTTGACTTTACCTTGCGAGGTCCATCGCTGTCGGTACCGTAGTCATTGAAAATGACCCTCCGCTGCGGCAAATCAGGGGAGAGAACAATTCCTCACAAGCTTACAGAGCCTCTCTGGTTTTTCCGCTTCGTCAACACTTCGCTGGCGCATGGAAAGCGACTTCAGAAGAGATTCATAACCGGCGAGCCCGGAGCCTCCCTGGTAGCAAGATGCCTACGAAAGACAGGTAGGGACTGCGGTATTCCCATCAGAGCCATACAACGGCAAGTCTGTCAGGAGGGTGGTGTAATCCTGGCCTTTGCCCGCGGGCGGCCTGGACTTTGCAGCGGATATCATGAGAACGATGAGCGCGACTATACCTCCCGGTCCTCCCTCGAAACTCGATACCCTGTATAGCTAGCTGGGCTCCTCTGCCGGCGACCATGGGAGAGCTACCTTGTCGATGGGAATGCGAGGGAAGCCTTGTATTGATGGAGTGAAGATGGGCTGCATTGAGACGGTGGAGGTGCCCTGTAATGGCGCGGCCAAGCGGGAGACAATCCGAATTCGGTGGTGATAAGATGCGTAAGACTGGACTGCGCTATGCGACCGCCGCTTGCGGTCTAGATATTCCAGGTCGATTACCGATCGTTCACTCGGCGTAGGGGAGTGGTAGTAAGCCGTCTCGTGCCCTGAATAATTTTCTGGTAAATTGTGGCAACGAAGGGCAATTTTGGACGCCGCAAAGAGACACTGTAATTTCGGCGCGCACCAAAATAGGCTAAAGCGAGGGAGACCATAACCGGGATGTGGGTCGTAGTCTATCGTATGGTAAGTTCAACAAGGACGCGGCAAGAACTTCAGGAACTCATAGAAAACGGGTCATACATCGCCGATCTGATCCATATGGTGGACGGCGCATCGCCCCTCCGCGGTGAACTACATCGCATTCTTGTATGACCACCCCGTAAGGACGTTATACCATCTAGACCGTTGCGGAATAGCTCGCCAGAGCGCAGGCCTGGAGTTGCCCGAAAAGTAGCACACACCTGCAGATGCCTACGAGCCCAGGTCACGTACGAGGCTGCGCTGTCAAGGCCGGCGTTCCTTGCTGCTGACAGAAACGCATCCGTTGTGCAGGGAGATGAATACGCGGAATTGCGAAGCTTCGAGATAGGCGAGTTTGAGTGTAGGGCGCAGCGCATAGGTGGAGCGGCGGCGGCGGCGTCTCTGTATCACCTATACGGCAGGTAGGCGCCCGATATGCCAGTCGACGACTATAAGAGAGGGCAATGACTGACGTTGTAGACCCCATCGTGCTTTCCTCCCTCCGGCGCCACACTTACAAGCTCTACAATTCATTATTCATCGATACAAGGATGTGCTTCTGGCGCAAGTGAGTACTCACCGACCCATTTGCTTCTCGACGCGTGCTTAGGCAGCTTCTTTGGCAGAGTTGAGTGGCGGTACAGGTACGGGCAGCGACGGGGCTTCTACGCCAGCGCTGATAGACTCTTAGATGCGGCAACGTGATCCGGCCGCCTCTGGTAAGTCCCGTACCTTCGCGGCGCCGCATTCGCCCTGATCAGCTTCCTTCAGGAGAGGGTAGGACCGAAAAACGACGGGGCAGCTCGCCACTAACAACCAGACAGGTCGACTGCGGGAAACCCAACTGCAGGGTATCCGCATACCATCGCACGGACGCGCACCACTGCCGTCAGATGTGCAACCAGGCAGTAACGGGGGCCGACTGGATTCGTGAGTAGCACAATCCCGAACGGAGCGGGGAAACCTTGGGCTCACCATGTCGCCCGCGCAGCCATTACGAAAGCGCACAGGTGTGGTAGACCGGATTGTCCCAATGCACAATGCCGCGCCGGGGCGTAGACATGCGCGATGATGGTCAATGACGACCTCGTACTGGATCAGCATGCCAAGTACGACGGCAAGACTGGTTCTCCTGTATCTGTCAAACACATAGATGTACCTTACCGTGTAGCCACGAACGTCCTCGCATGCCATAATAAGCGTTGAGCACTGACTCACTGCATTGAAGGAACGGCCTGAGCGAGGAGCAAGCAGTGAAGGTCATCGTATTCGGAGCTGCCCGCGTAGCGAGAAACTATGGTAGGCGAATCATCGAGAACATCGCGCTCGTCGATCTGTTGCGGTTGCCTATAATACATGTATATGAGCGCAAGCGCGGTCCCGAGCGTACTTGCGTGCGTGCCCGCATGTTGAGCATACCGGAAAATCCCCCTCGCGCCGGTGAAGAAGGAAGGAAACATAGCGTGCGAGTTCACTCGTCAGGGATGTTATGCTTCTGCTTCAACTTCTCTAGCTCCTCTTCTCTTTGCTGCAGCTCTAACTTGGCCTGCGCAGCGTTCTGCTTTTCCGGCATGTGATATAGCACGACGATGTAGCGCTCCTGCAAGTGGAAACCATTCAAGTGGTCCAGCGCGTTCTTCGCCTTTCATAATCGTGAGCCTTCGTAAAAATCATGACCTGGTGAGACTTACATCCATGACATCCTCAAAGACGACAAATGCCGTTCCTTTCGTCTTCTGTTCATTGCCTATCCGTATTTGACGAATACGGCCATAACGGCCAAAGAGGTCGTACAGGTCCTCTCCAGTAATTTGGTAGTTCAAATTCTTGACGAAGAGGATGCGGTTCGCGCCTGGGGGAAGCTTCGGCTAGTCAGAGGATAAGTTCATTTTCTAAAGGAGCGCATTATGACAGGCTTTACTCACTGCGGGCTTCAACGACATGACGGTCACAACCAAGTTGAAAACCACGAGCTCGATGACTAATTTGTGGCGAGTCGGTGGCACGGGCCGACTGACCGCGCGCGTGTTGACCGAACGTCAGCGGCGCTGCGCTGCTTGCTCTTAACCACTTCTGCCCAGCCGTACGGCGGCGGCGAAACCCACGTTAAACGTTCTTGACGACCTGGACGACTGTACAATACCACTACATGTCCCAGACACGAGAACCTCCACGGGAACAGCGACCAGCTTGGTATCGATATTCGAGGCGACAAGTAACATCACCCGTGAACTCGGAGACGACGCTACCATCTCCTGCAGAGAACCTACAGCAGATTGAGGAAGGCCATAATGACTTCGATCCCACGATAGGCTACCTAGGCCCGGCATCGGAGGCAGGAGGGCAGGGGGACGACTCGCCGAGCGAAAAGAGTAGGAAGAGGAGGTTCGTCGGTGGCTTCGTTCGGAATATGGCAGGCTCCCTCCGTCAATCGCTTTGGCCAAGGTGGGACCAGCACCCGTCACACCACCAACCACAAGCAGACTGGCATCAAATGCCATCGACGCCCCATGTACCCCACCCACCCAATGATCACTACCCCGCACAAAGCCCTGCCCAGCCTAGTATGCGCTCCATGCAGAGTCCGGCTATTGAGCGCTGGGAGTATTCGCCGAACTACGAAGGGGCTCAATTCGTGTACGACCCTCCCATTCCGCACGCATCCGTCCCGCCACCTGTCCCTCCCGAGCTTGCCACGCCCTACGCCGGACCTGGATCGGACACGCACCAGTCTCCCCCGCACGAGACCTGGGATGGCACTACTGCAGTGCACCACGAGGTACGGCAGGAGGCACCTCCGATCTCCGTGTATCCGTATCCGATGCAGCAGGTCGAGAAACCTCTCTCCGACAGTCCAGCAGTGCCACCTCGCGGGGGACTAGCAGCGCGTATTCGTACCTTCTTCAAAGAGCTGAATAGCCTTCCTTGGATTGCGCCTGAGCGCATCACGGTCGACTACGTACCCGCACGCCTTCGGCAGCCCGGTCAATCTACCCCCGCGCAGGGCCCACTCTCGTGGTATGGTGGCCCTCCTGACGCGTCACGGTACACAGTCTTCAATAATCGCTACTCCGCTGCTTTCTCCAGTCCCTCCGACCCTTCGACAGATCACCCTCGGGAGATGTCGCAAGCGTGGGCGCCACCTCCCGGTCTCAGGACATCACCTCAGCCAGAGGCGGTCCCTGCACCGTATTATGCCAACGTCGCCACGCCGTCCCCCACCGCAAATGTCGTCGAGCTCGGTGAGCCGACAGTGACGAGCGGATGGGGCACGTATCCGACTGGGTACTTTCACCAGCCAGCCACGGAGCGCCCACAGGCGAGTAATCTCTCTGTACCGCCTTTCCCGGTTCCTGGGTCCGCAACGTCTGCCTCTCCACAAATGGCGCAGCAGCGGCCGATGCCTTCTATCTCGCGACCGCAGGCTACGTATGCGCATGTCCCAATGAAGGGCATACCACCGCCACCTTGATTTCGTGCGCGAGCGTTTGCCATTGCGGATTCTTCTCTTTCCTGCTCTGACTTTGCGCTGTGCGCACTGGAACTACGAACTCTAGTACTGAAATACTTACGACCCACGCGATTCGAGATGAAGTTGAAGCTACAGATCAAATGAAGGACTGATAGTTACTACTGGTAGTAACACTTACTGTACTTAGTACCGACAAACGAAGAAGAAAGCATATTGGAAGCTCCAGTCTAATCACAGTAATAAGGTACTAGACCTGCACTGCATGACCATAGTGCATCTCTTCAAGGTCGAAAAAGAGCGCCAACGTAAGTTCAACTTCATCTGCACGTGGCCAACACACACGCACAATCGGAGTCCGGCCCGGCTCGACGACGCGCCCCCGCGATCGTGCTCCGCGGCGCTATCGCACTTGCCGCCAACGGCGACGGCGACCTCCGTGAATCTTGTGTTATCTCTGAAGCTGCCTCTGTGCCCCTCATGATCGCACGCTCGACCCTCAGGATAGGACGGGCTCTCCCTCGCTCTGTACGCCTTGTCTCTCCCACGGCTTCGAGCGCGTCATTGAGTTCAGCGCGCCCAGCTCAGCCGGCAGATGCATCAGAAGTTGTATGGTCCCTATGCGGCACATATTGTGCAGGAACTGGATGCGGCGTCCACGACCAGGGAAACGTGCGTCTTGAACTATGAAGGGGGCCGACTAGCGCTCACGGGAAGCATACAGGTTTCCTGTGATCAATCCAGCAAATGGCGTTGAGCTATGCAAGTGCGTGTACACTACGTCTTGTAATTGTAAATGCAGGGGGGCTCATTATCCAACTGTCCAGAGTCGCCGCTGCATCCACCGAGGATGTGAATGAGACCATCAAGCACGCACAGATCGCCCACGAGACTGGTGTCTGGTCGAAGATGCCTGCTGTTACGCGGTCGAAGGTCCTGTCGAAGCTAGCCCGCATTCTCGAGTCGAGGATACAAGAGATCGCGGAGATAGAGACGCGTCAAACAGGCCGTGCATTGCGCGAGATGAAGGCGCAGCTGGGTCGTTTGCCGGACTGGCTGTGCGTGTCGCATCAACTGGCGTATAACAATCCCATTGAGCTTCACACAGAGATTACTATGCTGCTTTACTGCGAACGAATCACGCCTATGTCGCGCCTACCCAGGGCAAGCTAATCAATTACGTCCAGCGCGTCCCTCTCGGGGTAGTCGCCCAAATTACTGTACGCCTTGCCCTGACCCTCCGCCCTTGATCGCAGATCATTAACCATACCTTCAGCCATTCAACCACCCACTCCTTATTGCTGTCAAGAAGATTGCGCCAGCTCTCGCGGCAGGGAACTGTGTCATCGTCAAACCCTCCGAGGCATGTCGCGTCAGCTTGCATATTACCGCTGTACCTTGGGTCCTCACACGACTAAATAGCTGGCACCCATCAGCGTCCTTGAATTTGCGAAGATGGCAGAGTCAGCAGGAGGTACGGTGTCGCAGGATGTATGGTGATAATGGAGACGGATCAGGCTAACTCCTTCCAGTGCCCCCTGGCGTGCTCAGCGTTCTCCCGGGCTTCGGACCAACGACTGGGAAAACTCTTGTTAGCCATCCGTTAATTAGGAAAGTCGACATTACGGTGAGAACTGAGATGTGGCATCTTGTGTGTCGACTGACGGGTTCTCAGGCCGGTACAGCGACAGGAAGAGCTATCGGCAGCATTGTCGGCGCAAATCTGGCGAGCTATACGGCTGAGCTTGGTGGCAAGGTGCGCATCCCACTTTTCCTGCCACTTATCCGCGCATTGGACTTACATTCGCCAGGCTCCCATAGTCGTTTTCAACGACGCCGACCTCGACTCCGCCGTGAATGGCGCGGCCTTCGCATGCTTCGTCGCATCCGGACAAACTTGCGTCTCTGGGACGCGACTCATCGTACAAGATGGTATTTACCTGACGTTCATGGCCAAATTTCTGGAGAAAGTCGAGGGCATACGGGCGAGGATGGGCGATCGTGAGTGCCCCCGTTCGTCTGCTGTCTTTCTTATTCACCAGCCTGTTCCACGCAGCATTAAACCCCAAATCCACAATGGGCACCGTCATCTCAATGCGCCAGCTCGAGAAGATTGAGGCAATGATGTCGAGGAGCAAGGGTGCTGTGTTAGCAGGCGGGAAGCGCTTGGAAGGGAAGTCGGAACTGGATGGCTATGACTTTTCGAAGGGCGCGTTCTTCCCACCGACGGTCGTCGCGGATGTGGGTGTTGAGGACGAGTTGTGGCAGGAAGAGGTCTTTGGGCCAGTTGTTGTCGTGAAGAACTTCCAGGTACGTCAGGAGGACACGATTACTAGTTATGAGGTGACGAGGCTCACTCGATGGTAGACGGAAGACGAGGGCGTGCGGCTGGCGAATAACTGCAAATATGGACTGGGCGCAGGCATTTGGACGCAGGATCTCTCCAGAGCGCATCGTGTCTCCGCCGAGATGGAGGCAGGGCTCAGTACGTGGCAGTATTGCTCCAACCGTCCCTTATTTTCACATCGTTTTGCTAGCCTGGGTGAACACGCATCACCGAAACGACCCAAGCTCTCCGTGGGGTGGCATGAAGGAGAGCGGGATAGGAAGGGAGAACGGCCTAGAAGCCTTTGCAGCCTGTGAGTAGATGTCGGAAACTTCCTGTTTTCTCTTACCGACACATCCCTAGACACGCAAAGCAAGTCAACTATCGTCAACATCGCGTCGGCGGAGGAGACTCGGGAAGTAGACGACTGGTTTGCGGAAACGTCAGAGGGGAAGCGTTACGGTTGAGCGTCAGACCCTTTTCAAGCTTTCTCTTTGGAAATATGTACAAATAGGAGTAAAATGCTATACCGCGGCAAGTATGCATGTTGAGGAACCCGAAGGTCCATTGTGTTCCGAAAAGGAAGTTCATTCACACATCACACATCAATCACACCAGCAGTGACGCTGCCGCGCAGCACTGAGTTGATTCCGCCTGACCTGACCGGCACCCACCTTCGTCTTCCACTCCCACCATGAATCGCATCTTCGGCTCCTCCTCAAGCAGGAAACCTAAGCCGTCGCTGCAGGATGCTATAGCATCGGTCCGCCCTTCCCAAGCCTGCGATTAGCACATCCATAACCAACAGGCAGACAGACGCGCGGGTATCCTCCATTGAGGTCAAGATCCGCAAGCTCGACGGCGAGCTCGCGCGGTACAAGGAGCAGATGTCGAAGCTGAGGAATGGGCCGGGGAAGGTGCGTGTGCTTCGAACGCTGCGGCGCCATTGCTGACTGACATCGCTGCCAGAACGCCATCCAGCAGCGCGCGCTCCGGACGCTTAAGCAGAAGCGCATGTACGAGTCGCAGCTGGAGCAGCTCACGCAACAGACGTTCAACATGGAGTCCGCCGCGCTCACGACGGAGAACCTGCGAAACACGATGGCCACGGTCGACGCGATGAAGATGGCGAACAAGGAGATGCGCAAGCAGTACGGGAAGATCGACATTGACAAGATCGAGGTGCGTTGAATGAATATGTGCCTAGGAGAGCTCCACTGCAAAAGCTAATCGCGCCACGTACAGAACGTGCAATTCGAGATGGAAGATCTCATTGAGCAGGCGAACGAGATACAGGAGTCACTGGGCAGGTCATATGCCGTCCCGGATGAACTGGACGAGGCAGATCTAGAAGCAGGCGCGTAGGCTGTACGTGTGCGTGCGGCATTGTGCTGACTCTTCATTCGCAGAACTTGACGCTCTGGCGTTGGAGGGCCCCGATGAAGAGGAAACATCGTATCTGGCCGACCTCAACAAAGCTCCCGACTTCATAGATGAGGCACCGGTTGAGGCACCCGAGGTTCGTCATTGCGTGCACGCTTAAGATTGTAACTCATGGCATCTTCAGACTCCTCAGCATGCAGAAGCAGTCAAGGCAACATAGGGCGTTCACTGCGGCTATCATCAGGCTACCAACATTGAAATAGGTCATGACGTTGTAACATATAATTTCCATTAGGCATCATCAAGGGAATATGAAGAACTATCTTGCTCTTCCACAGTCAGACGTGTATCCCTCATCATCACGAAGACATTGGCCTCACTACCGCCTGAATCGGTTCCCCATGAAATACGGCAACGAGATGCGCTGAGTATTCCATGCTTGCAGGACTGCAGGAGTTTGATCAACCAACGCACATACTGATCCTTCCAGGGCGCACCTGCTATTGACGAGCTCAAGGTCGAGCCGTCGAAAGAGGGTGGCGAGGATCAAGTACAACTCGCACCATGCAAGACTGCGAGTCGGTTCAGCACCTTTCAAGTGGCGCACTCGGAGAAGACGTACTTGATACCGGTGCAGCTGCGCTGTCCTTTTGAGAAGGCGACAAGGTAGTGTTCTAGTGCAGCCGCATCCTCTTTTAACCACCGCTCGGGATCGAAGGTGTGGGGGTTAGGGAAGATCTCCGGGTTGAGATGAACGAAGGTGTTCCCAACGGCCACGGTAGTCTGCGAGCAGGTCAGGTAGAGGGCGACGAGCTGACGGGGCAACGCACCCCTCGAGGCACAGCTATTCCATCCAGAACGACACCGTCCGAGTTGACCGTCCGTAGCATGGGCGATACGATACCGTGCGAGAGACGCAAAGCCTCCTTAATCACGGCCGTCTAGCTGTATCTCAGCGAGCACCAGAAATTGCAAGCCGTCGACCACTCACCAGATATGGCAGCTTCTCGACCATCTCTAACCGGACGGCGTCCGTAACGTCGGGAATTGCGTCCTTCAGGTCGACGGTAAGGCGTTGGTGGACGCTTCTGTTGTTCAAGACGTGGAAGCACCCCACATAGCAGGCTGCCGCCACAGTATGGCTCCCTGCAATCTGCAGACTCAAGGCTTCATCTAAGAGGCTTCTACGCGTCGCAAATGCCGTCGATTTCTTGTTCGCGCTCGCTCCCGGCAGTATGTGATGAAAGATCGTTTCATGCGGCGCATCTGCCAACGCCTTAGAGTCGGCGAGCAGTCCATCCAGCTGCGTAGAGATCTTGTTGACGAGTAGGCCAGGTCCAAAGGCAGGACAACCTAGAAGCTGAAGGAGCCAGATGAGGAATCTGTGGACATAGATCAATGCGGGAAAGGCTTTGAAGATCAGGGTCGCGCGGTTGACAGAGTCCGCGCCCATGAGGATGGGGTGCTTGAAGTCGGGTGCGTCCAGAGCATAGCAGTCTTCGCCGAAGCAGTAGGAGTATATGATATCTAGAGTTGCGGCCCTCAGCGCTTGCAGCAGATCGACGGGCTTCGAGACGTCATGGTAGTTGAGCAGCCTGTTGGTGAGCTTGTCGATCTGAGGACGAGGTGAGGATCAGTAAGCTCGCAAGCCTAGTCGAGAGGCCTACCTTCTCCTGTATGAAAGGCTCCAGCTTCGCGATCGCGCGGCGGGAGAAGAGAGGGCTGATGGCGTCTCGACGAGCCTTCGCTTGCACTGGATCTATGCTGCCGAAGCTCGACTTATCCGGGAAAGCACGGTAAAGGGCAGGGTCCTTGAGGAATGAAGTCCCTCGGGTGTATATTTGGTGGTAGACGTCGGGGTTGCTGAAGTGCAGCTAATTTGTGCACTTGGGGTCAGCATCATGGATTATAGCCTCGAAGGTCCTGCTTACCGCGTTGGGTCCGATCCGCACGACAGGACCTAGCCGCGGGTTCAGTCAGGAGATGAGGGAGAATCAACATCTTACACACCGTAGATAGCGTGCAATTTCTGCAGCTGATCAACAGTAGCGCCGTCCTTGACGATATCGTAGTAGGTAACGTAGTAATCCGTCAGCGCCCCGAGGAGAGGTCCTGGCACGCGCGCTAGTGGGTGGAAGTGGAGCCTGGGCAAGCGTCAGAAGGCATCCTCGCGAGGTTGTCATCGCAAGACATACCGGTGTACGCAAACGGTTACGGAGTATACAAGCGCGGCGATAGAAACGTAACTTGCGGATGCGCAGAAACTCATCGAGTAAACAGTGCAGAGAGAACGAGCAGTGGACGAGGGCGGAGGGGCAAAAGGCAGGAATGCTAATGCCGGTTTACAGCTGCGACGGGCAGCATTTTTATTGATGAGTCCATACCGACTAGCACGGCGCGCTTAAAGACGCAGGAAGGCGTTCAACAGCCAGGATGGCTCTACGTCGCCTGTCACGGCATCTCAGAGGAAGCGACGTCAGTAAGGTGCTCACCACTCCCTAATACGGCGTGGCCGTGTGCAAAACCTCGAATCCGAATGGTTGCACTTACCGTCCTAGATCATACCACGAGCGGCAGTTACGTCTTAGGAATAGTCAGATCTTTACGTTGTTCAGGGACTGGCATACCGGTTCGTGCTATTTTTCGTGTATGATATAGTTGGACAGTGGAACAGCATGCTGCCTAGGAGCAGTTGCTCCGCTTTTCGAGCCATAAGGCGCATCTTTTATGCCGCTACTCCTTTCACAATCGCCCGCACTGGACGCGGCGGGAAGACAGGGATGAAGTGCGCTCTGAATATCATGTCGTCGGGGCTAACAGTCCGCGCGTGAGCACATTCACAACTGGCACTGCTGGCGAGACGTACCTGCTGTTACTCAACTCAAGATCCACGCGGCGGTACATGCTGGAGAAGATGAGGTAGAGCTCGCACCACGCGAGGCTGGAAGGGTTGTAAGCGCCGGGCGTCAATATTCAATCAACGTCACAGAACGTACTTCATGCCCAGACAATTGCGTTGACCCCGCGAGAAGGGTACCAAGTAATTTTCTTGTGTGCTTGCGTCCTCTCCCAGCCATCTCTCCGGGATGAAGGTGTAAGGGTCGGGGAATATGTCGGGGTTGAGATGAACGAAGGAGTTGCCGATGGCAACGGAAGTCTGTCAGAAGAGTCAGCTAGAGCGGGAAGAGGGTACTTGTGGACGACGTGCGCCTCGAGGTACAGCTATGCCGTCAAGCTCTGTGTCGTCGGCGTTGACTACGCGGAGCATAGGTGAGACTACGCCGTGCGACAGGCGTAGGGATTCCTTGATCACCGCAGTCTGAAGGAGCAAATACTGTAAGAAACAGATCTTCATTACCTACGTCGGGCTTACCAAGTACGGCAGCTTCTCCACAACCTCGAATGAGATAGCTTGAGGGTCCGGGATCGCCTCCTTCAGCTCAGCGACGAGCCTGCTATGAACCTTCGGATTATTCAGGATATGGTAACACCCAACGATGCTCGCATTCGCCGTAGTGTGGCTTCCCGCGAGCTGCAAGTTCATAGCCTCGTCGAGCAGCGAGCTTCGAGGCGGGATATCAGGGAAGCCCTTCTCCGGATGCGGCCTGAGTAAGTAGTGATAGACTGTCTCGTGCGGCGCGTCTTCGAGCGCACTCGGGTCTCGCAGCAGCCTGTCAATCTGCGCAAGGAGCTTCGTCCGCATTTGCGCGCGCCCGGGTACGCTGCGACCGAAGGGCTTCAGGAGCTTGACGACGAGGGCTTGGAGCGGCAGAAGTCCAGGGATAGCTTTAAAGACTAGGTTGTAGCTCGAGGATAGCTCGGCATCGATGATGATGGGGTGGCTGAAGTTAGGCGCGTCAAGGGCGTCATAGCACTCGCCGAAGCAGTAAGAGTAGATGATGTCGAAGGTCATAGAACGAATGGCGCGGAAGACGTCGACAGGCTTGGAGGTGTCCTTGTACTCGAGAAGCTTTCCTGTGAATTTATCGACCTTCATACGACGCGCAAGTCAGCAGGTCCATGTACACACGTGTGTATTGCAGTTCGCGGGCTCACCTTCTCGCGAATGAAAGGCTCCAGCTTGAGGATAGCGCGACGGGAGAAGAGGGGGCTGATCACGTCCCGACGGGCTTTCGCAAAGGCGGGGTCCACGCTTCCAAAGGACGACATGGGCTGCGAGAACCCGCGGTACAGAGCGTGGTCCTTCACGAAGGACGTCCCTCTCGTGTAAACCTTGCTGTACACGTCGGGATTACTGGAGTGAAGCTGCGAAGAGTAAGCGTCATGTGCATTGGATCGTAAGGTCGCTTACAGAGTTGGGGCCCATTCGCACGACAGGGCCTGGAAGAAGTTCGTCTGAGTACCCTCGGGAAGGACATAGAGCCGAGAAGCTGACCATAGATAGCGTGCAGCTTCTGCAGCTGGTAAACCAAGTCTCCGTTCCTCAGAACCTCAAAGTACGTGACGTAGTAGTCCGTGAGGGCGCCTAGAAGAGGACCTGGGATACCGGCGAGTGGGTGAAAGAGTAGTCTGAGGTTTTACTGAGCGCAGTACTTTGCGTAGCGGCAGAGGATGTACTCACCTGTACACTCCCAAGCCGATGAGATAGAGGGCGATGAGAGCAGCCCCGTACGTCGAAAATGTCCAGAGGTCAGTCATTGTGTGGGGATGGAGAGGCTGCGGAAGAGGCAGGGCCGCCTTATAAGGAGAGGAACTGAATAACAACGTCACTGTTCTATTGCTACCCCGAGACTTACATACAGCGGCGTATGTTAGCTCATAGCGTGCTCTTATAGCGCTCAACTGTCAGGAGGAAAGCGGTCATTCCATGCGCCTCAGCCGTGGCCCAGGTGGGTAAAGTGCACTAGGCTTATGGATCAAGAATGAAGGCGTTGAGTGGACCCGCGTCGATGTATCTCATCGTGAACGACATGGCGGTTGGAAGCAAGCCGTAAATGAACTTGACATCGGGAATTGCCGACGGAAGTATCGCGCGGGGCGGAACCGGGCCGGACAGCGAGTGTGTCGAAATAAGCGCCCACGCGCTCTGCCCTGACCTTTGGACGGACAGCCGATGTCTGACCTTGCCCGCACCTCAACGCCTTTGTCCTCCTCGCCTGGTCGTCCCGTACCTCTCGCTCGCCCTGGGTGGCCCTGGTCGTCCAACATAATCTCTCACCGCGGCTCGCTGTCGTCGGTGCACTCAACGGCGTCGACACCGGTCTCTGCACCTGCGCCACCGGGCTGGGACAACAGGCCATCTGTGATACCCGGGTCGTCTGGCACGCTTCCGGCTACTGTGTGGCATCCGGGAACTTTTGGGAGGTCTTCGAGAACGGGCATGTCTTCGATGGAAGAGAACACGCGGCAATGGACGTTCATGGTGCGTTTGTCCATGCAACGGACATACCCTTAGATCTGACCAGCATGAAGGGATTTGAGTGGATGGTCAAGGATGTGCAGAAGCTGCGCGATGCAATTGAGGGTGTCGGGGAGGGCGAGAGCAGCGAAGAACACGAGGACTTCGACGTCCTGAAGCAATCGCCCGTCCTCGACAATCGCTTTAAGCTCGAAATTGGTATGGGATATGTCGCTCCTTACGATATCATTTAACGCTGACATGCTGCACAAAGCACGCACACCCATAGCTGAAGGCGACGAGAATCAGAAGCCTTCCCTTTCCCTCTACATCACCCTCCTCACGTTTGACTTCGCGCACCCTGAGTACGAGATGTGCGCCACGATGATGACTGCTATCAAGAGCCTAGACGACCGCGTCGGTGGCCCTCGTCCAAACTGGGTCTGGGAGCATTGGCATCCCGACTGGGTCTTCCGACGTGAAAGTGAAGTGTGGGGTGAGTGAATTCCTCATCATCAGGACGCGAATGATGCTGATTTTCGCAGAATGCCCTCTGCCACCATTGTCAGCTCTGCTGCAGAATCCTGCTGTGAAGGAGAAGGATGCTTTAGTGATCAGTAAGTTGACCTGCTCCACTGTTTTGATTGCGTCTGACCTGCGAACAAGGCCTTGAGATCCACTGCCCTGTCAGCGTATTCCCGCAACATCCCTCTGGCTACTATGTTCCTCGAGACCTGCTTGAAGGCATCGAGGCATCTTTGGATAACCCAAGTGCGTATTCCCATTGTGGCCAGGCGCGTCGGCTGACCAACTTCCGCAGACACTGGAGACGTTCGCTTCGTCTGTCTGGAGCGATACAACGAAGCTCAACATTCGCCAAATCCCAATGAGGGCGATAGACGCGAATCCGCTGGCTCTTCGTCGCACTCCAGCCTCCCTTTGACAGCGCGCAAGCGTGTCATCTACGCGCACTCCGACATCCTGACGCGCCGCTCTGAGTACTTCGCCACCATGCTAAACTCTTCCTTCGCCGAGAACCCTACTTTGGCACCGGGAGAACGCAAGACATACACCATCGTGGTCGAAGAAGCGGACTTCGAGACGATCTACTGGCTCCTCAAGTACTGCTACGCGAACTGGCTGATGCTCAAGGAGCAGGATGACCCGCGCGCGGCGGTCAACAACATCGGCACTGGCTGGAGCGCGCGATGGCTGACAACGCGGGGCGGGGAGTGGGACTGGAAGACCTACAGCAGCGGTACGGACGAGAGTGTCGCCGAGGGAAGCGTGGCTAGTGCGGAGACGCATCCCACGGAAGACAGCGGACCAACGAAGGCAAGGATGGCGACGACTATCCCGCCTTCTGTTTCAACCATGCGCACAACGTCGACTGCGCGACCACCTCCTTCATCTGCGGCCAAGCCGCCAACGACACCAGGTCGTCCCTCACAGCCGACCACTGCCCGCCGCGCCGCCTCACAGGGCACCTCCCCCATCCCCATCGACCGCGGCAAGACCGTACCCCCCATGCCCCTCACCATGCCCTCCTCCAACTACCCCGCCGGCGCCCACTACCCCGTCTCCCCCCACAACACCCGCGCCGCCCTCGTCGCCTCCCCCGACCCGCACCCACACCCGACGCCCGCGCCGCAGCCCGCGAGCGCGCTCTCGATGTACCAGGTCGCGCACCGCTACGCGATGCCCGCGCTCGCCGCGCTGGCGCAGGAGCACATGATGAACACGCTGACGCCGCGGGGGAGCTTCGCGCTGTTGCTGGCTACGGCGGTGTGGGAGGAGCTGCATGCGCTGGTGCAGGATTATGTGGTGGAGAAGTGGGACGAGGTGAGCGCGAGTGAGGAGTTTGAGGAGTGCTGTCGGGAGGTGGCGGCGGGAGAGTGAGTGCTCGGATCGACTACATTGAATTGGGCGAGTGCTGATTACTTTATTAGGTGGGGCGACGATGGTGGCAAGACGATGATGGCGCTGTTCCGGAGGCTGCGCGCGCCGACACACTGATGAAAGGAATCGCCATAACATCTACTGGACGTCGTTGTTTCTTGGAACTTGCATATGGATTGGACCCTGGAGGTTTTTGTCTGCACTCACCTGAATGTGTATCAACATCGTATCTCCATGAAGACTTGGAAGGCGCGCTGCGAATTACGAGGCGGTGCCACGCCCAACGTTCGATCTGTCCGTGGGTACCGGTAAGAGGCTGGTCCATTCTAGCGTGGACAGCTATAGGGCGTTGTGCGTGGTAGGTGAATTGTCTTTCGTGGCCAACGACGCTCAACATGTGGCCCCTGCCAAGCTTTAGGTCGACTCCTTCGAATCCTTGCATTGTATTATGTCGTTGTATCGAAAGTGCATATGTCATATCGGGACCTGACTAGAGCCAGCCATGACATGCATGCTTCACGTTCGGCAAACCTTTGTTTGTGTATGACTTCACGTGCGCGCAACCGAGTCCGGCTCCCGTTCTTTGGCCACGTCACTGAGCCACACGCGAACATGACCAAACGGATATATCTCCATCTATGAAAGGATTGTGTCGAGAGCAATCAAGGATGTTGCCCGCCTGAAGTTATATAAACGGCCCCGTTGGGAGCGCTCTCCTCACTCGCCCAGCCCCTACAGGCTTACCAGACACCCTCCCGCTTCCCAATACGCCAACGAAGTTCCTCCATGGCGAAGAGGCCCGGCCCCTCGCGTACTCAGGTGGGTGTGCAGTTTTTGTTTTCGGGTGGCACGCCACTGACGACGGTATCTTCGGATTCTTCCAGTCCAAGAAGGACTACACCCCGGAGACCCTCCCTGGGTTCACGAGGCTACGCTGTGATGACTGTGGCAAGCGCGTCGTCAACCGGCGCGACCAGCAGCGCCATGCGAACTTACATCTCCCCGACACGCCCGAATACGAGGAAATCAAGAAGTGCGTCTCTTTACGCAGTTCATTTATGTGCTTAGGGTTGACCGCAATTTCCTCAGCCCATATCCTTGCCGCTGGCCAGGATGCACCAAGCGGTTTTCGCAGAAAACCCCTCTGAGGGATCATCTGAACGTGCAGTGAGTCCTTGTCACGGTGAATCTGCCACAGCGATGCTAATCAGACGCTGTAGCACCGGTGCACGGCCCCACAGGTGCCCTGAATGCCGCAAGGGCTTCAGAAACGCCGGTGGTCTTCATCATCATCGCGAACGGGATCACCAGTACAAGTCAAAAAAGGCTCGGGGCTCGCGCGAGTCGCCTCGCACAGGCCCATACACGAAGAAGCCCAAGGCAAAGAAGGCTGCACGCACTACATCACCCACAGTGTCAAGTCCGTTCGAGGATGTGCACGGATCCACAGACTCGCCACTGCCTGTCGATGCCCCTACCCTGGCCTCTGGCTCTGCCACAGCATATGTGCCCGAGCTCTCGCCTGATGCCTCATCTTCGTCGGGCTTCGCTGAGCCGTCGTCGCAGCCCTCGCCTGCGGATGCTGTCTTCTTCTCTTGGACTAGCGACAACATCCCTGCTTGCGTCCCCGTCGCCGGGCCGTCCCACTGCTACGCGCCTTCTCCTGCTGAGGCATCGTATACTTTCGACGCGTTCCTGCCTGCCGAGGTATCGTACCCCGTCTATGGCCAGAATTTTAACGATTTTACCAACGTTCCGGCTCAGCAGCCGGATGATGGGCTCTTATTTACTCCCCCTCGAAGCAGCGTCAGCCTTCCTTTGGACGACCCTACTATTCCTCAAGACTTCTCAAACGCGCCCTTCGACACCTCTGCTTTCTCGGTGGACTCCGCTTTCCCCGTCGATGCCACCTTACCCTTCGACGCGTCCAACATTCCTGCGAACTCCTTTGGTTTCGACTTCGCCGGGTTCCCCATGGGTGCTCCTCTTCCGCCGCTGTATGATCCTCTCTTCGCGCTCGATGCTCCCGCTCCGCGCTCCTTTGAGGGTCAGATCCCCTTCAGCGGTCGGACCCCCTTTAACGGTCAGAACTCGTGGAATGACCAGCCGCCCTACCTTCCCACCCTGCCGCAGCTGCCAATCGATTTCGCATATGACAGCCTCGAGGAGGCTCCCCGTGACACCTTCGCGAGCTTCCGGTTCACCCACCCTTAGTGACTTGTCGCTGGGATGTCATTGCTGTGAAACCAGCGAGTCGTTGTCTGAGCTGACGGGCGCTGTGGCATACTTACACTGGTACTTTACTGACTTCTACCTAATCATTTATTCGGAATACCAACGGAACTTTGGAAGCATCTCACACATATACTCATTGTACACTACATAGACGACTCGGTGCATAGAATAGAACTTGGCTGCATGGATACCCAACATCTTCAGTGTGTGTCGATAGGACGTATTAGTTTCGATAATTAGGACGTATTAGTAGAGAGAATTATCAAGTTCTGCACTTAAGAAATGGAGCTCCACTTGATGAAGCAGCAAATTCAGAACTTACGATGACTGATGAATTTCCTTGCGATACAAGTGCGTAGAGTACCGACAAGGGTGCAGCCTTGGCGGGGGGTTCGGCGAATGGCAGGCAGCGCAGGGAGGAGCTTTGAGGTATGTTGGAGCACACATTGTTGGGGAGTGCGGGCGAGGTCCTTGCGCGTCCGTTGGCGCAGACTAACGCTACGCGAGGGTCATCCGAGTCGGCTTGCCGTCCAGTGCAGACTCTGAGTCCTTCCTGCATTTCATCGTTCTGCCTCTTCATTTGATCAACGAATTTACTTGACTTTTCACTGACCTTCTCGTTAGTGAATTCTCTGATAATGATCTCGAGGCCCTCAAAACTTCTTGCTACAAGCCGTCAGAAATAGGGAAGGATTAGACTTGAGCCTGTCCATAGGAAAGTGAGATGCCGCACGCAGCTCTATACCACCCGGTCGCCGTCTGAAACCTCGATAGAGCCCTTGCCGGAACCCCTCGCGGCCACTTATGGACCCCACGCCGGCCATTGTGGACGCCCCGCCGGCAGCACACGTGACCTTATCTCGCGGGGCAAGGTCGATCGGATTCTGGACAACGCGCCGCTCGCCCTCGCGATCCGCGCGGGGCATATAAAGCCTGATAGCGCTACGTTCCTCGCGTGAATCGTTCCTTGCCTCCTACCCCTGCATTCCCTTCCCTAACCTTTTGCCCTCGATTTCACCCGAGCACGACCGCGACGATGCCCCTCCTCACGGCGCGTCTGGCGCACTTTGCGCGTGCATCTACCTCCAGCTCATTCACCTCTACTTCCTTCACCACCCCCCTCACCCTCGCCCGCACCCTCGCGACCATCTCCTCCACCCCATCCTCTCCCACCTCTCCCTCCTTCCACATCCCCGTGATCGACTTCAGCAAGTTCCGCGCCGCGGCGACGCCCGCGGAGAAGAAGGCGACCGCGGGCGAGATCGTCGGCGCGCTGAAGGGCGCGGGGTTCATGTACCTCGCGAAGCACGGGATACCCGAAGCGACGGTGGAGCGGGCGTTTGCGGAGAGCAGGGGGTTCTTTGGGATGCCGAGGGAGAGGAAGGTGAGGGTTGCTCTGAGCTGGATGGGCGCGTATCCGACATTCTATGAACCATTGACCTTCTTATGAACCATTGACCTTCTTATGAACCATTGACCTCCCTATGAATCATAGACTTCTCCTCCGAACTCGATCCTTGCGCGCCATCTCTTCTATCTCCCCTATAGTCTTTCTAGTCTCGTGCTGATACATTTCCGCCTCTTAGGACCGGCTCGCTTGGGCAGACCCGCGGTCGAACCGTGGCTATGTTGCTGTAGGTCGGGAGCGCGTGACGCAGAGCCAGGACGCGGCAGCCATCGCGGCGATGCGTGAGAAGGCGCCGGACTACAAGGGTGAGTATCCCAGTCATCCCATTGCTTTGAGAGTCAATTGGCGGCCCCTCAACGGCCCGCGCTTTCAAGCCGAAGACTTCAGCCCTCTTTATCCTCTCTGCCCCCTGTCACCGCCATCCTTCTCCTCCAGCCTCACCTCGAAAGACGGGATAGCCTCATGCTGATGGATTTGCAGAGAGTATGGAGATCGGCCGCGACTGGGACTCCGTATGGCCGAACCAATGGCCAACCGATGAGGAGCTTCCCACCTTCAAGCCGTTCATGCTGCAATTCTTCCAGGCGGGTTCAAACGTTGTTTTGGCTGGCAAGTCATGCTGACACCGTTTACAGACGTGCCACGAGTTGCACATGGTTGTTATGCGCTCGATTGCTCTCGGCTTGGATCTGCAGGAGGACTTCTTCGACGACAAGATTGACAAGCAGTGCCACAACCTTCGCCTGCTGTCTTACCCGCCTATCAAGCGGGCAATTTTGGATAAGGACACCGACCAGGCCCGCGCTGGCGCGCACAGCGGTGCGCACAAGGTTTTGACCGTTTCGCAAAGCAGCTACTCATGACATTCGCCCAGATTACGGCACCTTGACACTCCTCTTCCAGGTGATAGCGAAGACCCTTCTCTGTCGATGAAGCTCAAACCTTCCCCAGGATCAAGTAGGCGGCCTGCAGGTCCAGAACCCGCACACGGGTGAATACCTTCCGGCGACGCCCATTCCGGGCACGATCGTCATCAACGTCGGCGACCTGCTCTCGCGATGGAGCAACGACGTCCTGCGGTCGACCCTCCATCGCGTCGTTGCGCCGCCTGCGCAGGCGATCAGTGAGACGGAGGCGATGACGCCGGCCAGGCAGTCGATTGCGTTCTTCAGCAATCCGAACTTTGACGCAGAGATTGAGTGCCTGCCGAATTGTGGGACGACGGTGAGTTGCGACTGTACAGGTATAGTACGTTGGCTGACACGCAATGAACAGCCGAAGTACCCGCCGGTCAACACCGAAAAGTACATTGTCGGGCGCCTGGCGGATACCTATGTTTGAGGGATCAGGGTAGTTAGGACTACGCGATGTATACTTGGATTATGGGCATAGGAACCTTGCACAGGGGCTGCTGCTGCCCGGATCGCTGTTGATCGGATATGCGACGCGTCCTGGTCACGACACCGCGGTTGTGGCGTTGACGTCACGTGTCGGCGTCTGATGGGCCATCGGAGGCATAAAAATGGGCTGGTAGTTGGTGTCCGCCATCTCCCGTCTTGCTGCCTGCCTCATTCCGTGACTAAGCATCGCCAACGATGCCTCCCCGTCGCGCCCGTGCAGCGTCCGCAAAGCCAGCCGACGACCAGGAAGCCCCCGCAGTGAACGGTCGGGCAAAACCAAAGTCCACAGCCGCCGCCGCCACCACTCGCAAGCGGACACCATCGAAAGCGCGCTCCGTATCACCCCCCGCGAAGCGCCAGCGCAAGACCCTCCAGCCGGCCGACAACGTCCCGCAGGAGGAGGCGAAGAAGGCGCCCGCGCGCCCCCGAGCCGGCCAGAAGGCGAAAGCAGAGGACGAGCCCGCGCCGCCCGCCAGACGCGGCCGCCAGCGCACCCCCGGCCCCACGAAGGCGGCTGCTACTGAGGCACCCAAGGCCCAGCCCAAGCCACGCGCAAAAACACCCGTCAAGGCCGCCGAGAAGCGACCCCAGGTCAAGCCCTACCTCAATCCCCTCCCGACTCCCCCACCCAAGCAGCGCCCCGGGCTCGTCGCCTTCGCATGGGGCGCAGGCAACTTCGGACAGTTCGGCATGGGCCCCGATTATCTCGGCGAGTTTGACAAGCCGAAGAAAAATGCTTGGGTGGAGGAGGGGATCGAGGACGGCAAGTTCGGCGAGGAAGGCGCTGGCATCGAGAGCGTCGCATCTGGTGGCCTCCACAGCGTGTTCGTAGATGAACGTGGCACGGTGAGTGTTCTTCGCATTAGTCATGCGCTGGGTGCTGACCTCATCGGCTAGGTGTGGACGTGTGGTGTAAACGATGATGCTGCCCTAGGCCGTGTCACGCAGAACGTCCCTAACCCGGAGAAACCCAACGAATTCCTCGATGTCGACGAACTCACGTCCTACCCCCACCCTATCCAAAGCCTCGTTGACGAGGGCTTCCGCGCAGTCAAGGTTGTCGCCGGCGATAGTATCAATGCCGCTCTCAGTGACGCTGGTGAACTTCGCCTCTGGGGTTCCTTCCGGGTATGTAAAGATGTGTCTGACGTTATTTACGATACTGACGCAACTTAGGCCAATGAAGGCTCCCTGGGTTTCTCGAAAGCCCTCAAGCATCAGTTCAACCCCGTTCCCGTCACGATGGACCTCATCAACAAGCCTGGCGACTACGAAAAGATAGCGTCTGTCGCCTGTGGCGGCAACCACATCCTCGCTCTCACCACCTACGGCAACATCTTCACCTGGGGCGCCGGCGAGCAATGTCAGCTTGGCCGCAAAGTCCTCGAGGGGCGGAAGATTGACGGTACTACGCCACGGAAAATCAAGGTCGGCAAGCGCAATAACGCACCGGTCCTGATCGGCGCGGGCATGTACCATTCCTTCGCTGTCACCGAGAAGGGCGACGTCTACGGCTGGGGCCTGAACACCATGGGTCAAACCGGCACCGGCTACTACCGCCCCTCCGACAGCGAGGTCGTCCTCCCCAAGCCCGTCATTGGGCTGCACCCCGACGACCTCGACGGCGCGCGCGTCATCAAGATCGTCGGCGGCGAGCACCACACGCTCTTCCTCATCTCCGATGGGCGCGTCTTCGCCTGCGGGCGGTCCAACGTCGGCCAGCTCGGGCTCCCCGACGACCACGAGGCGTTCCAGGACCGGGAGGACAGCGACTTCGTGGACGTGCCCGTGCAGGTGCCGATGCCCGACGAGCACGACGACGACCCGGTGGTCGACATCTCGTGCGGGCCGCACAGCAACATGGCGGTCACGCGCGACGGCGCGCTCTACTCGTGGGGGCAGGGCACGCAGGGCGAGCTGGGCGTGCCGGATGTGGAGGTGCGCACGCCGCGGCAGATCGTGCGGCGTGAGGGCGGGTCGTGGGCGGCGGTCACCGTTGCGTGCGGCGGGCAGCATACCATCGGGCTGTTTAGGAAGAAGCAGAAGTAGGCGAGCGAAGGCATCTAGCCGAGTTTGCCATGCTTCACCTGCTTCGTCGCATTCCTGCCCCTTCACTTGCCTCTCATCCCCCGGATCTACCCGCGATATCGTCCAAGAACCTCTGCTTATAGAGCATATTCTGTATTCCCTGCACCACTGACGATCTTCCATACGCCTTGTCCTCCACATTTGCCATGCGCTGTGTCCTCGACAACCTCATACATTTTACCAATTCATACGCCTGCCGTCGACAACTTCATACGCCTTACCATCCACAAATTCACTTACGTGCTTTCATGTCTGTTCACGGACTGTTATTCTCTGTCATGGACTCCTGTCATGATACTCTATCTTATGGCGCGTAGCAGTACGTACCATCATCACAAAGCATGTTACGCGACACACAACAACAGTAGGTAGATTTTTTTTGCATTTCAATCGATACAGCCAGAAAAGCATGTTTACGTGCTGCACGCATTGTTGTGACCCCGAACGTCTGTCAAAGGCAAGACGGAAATGATGGCTTTTGTTGTGATGACCATAAAATACCAATTTTGGCGTAATGGTGTACACTGGACATGAGACTGGTCCTCAATGCCTGATAGTACAGAGCGGAGTAGATAGTCTACAGAATAGTTATACAATAGGGCATGCCATTGCAGAGAGCTGCAGTGCACGCAATGATGGTGTACATTTTATTTGGAACGGCGCGGTGTGTGCCACCCACATATTCCCGTCATGCGCCAACAGTCCCGAAGGACTCGACAGAGCCCCCACCAAGGCCATCTGCGTACTGGAACTCGTTCGAGTTCTCGTACTGTGCAAGTGATTAGCGTCCCCTTTAACACCAAGACAATCACCACCGTAACAATCGCCACCAGAAACAATCAACCTTGTACTCACCTCCCACATATCGATCGCCACCTGGCAGCTCTCGCGCACCACCCGCGGACAGTCCTCCCGCTTCATCCACTCCTTGAGATGCGGGAGCACCTCCGGTGTCGCGATCCCGCCGAGTGCCTCCGCGGCCTCGTGCCGGACCATCTCGGACTCGGAGGGGTCGGTGAGGACTTTGAGGAGCGCGGGGACGGAGTGGGGGGAGAGGAGTTGGCCGAAGACGAAGGCGATTTCGTGTCTGAGGGGTGGGTTAGTGGGAAGTCAGGGAGGGTGAGGGGGGGGGCAGATGGCTGATGGAGAGGGGAATGAGGTATGACATGGGGGAAAGGAGAGGGAGAAGCAAACGCACTTGAACAGCGCACTATCATCGTTCAACCCATCGGCGAGCGCGTCGACAGCAGGCGCCGTGCCGATATTTCGTAGCGCAAACATGGCGCGGTAGCGCTCGAAAAGGGAGAGGTTCTTGTCGAGTAGCTGGGCGCGGAGTTTGGCGATATTAGACTCGGATACGTCCTCTGGTTTTGGCGGGCCGCGCAGTAAGCCGGACGTGGGTGGCGCGGGGTCGATGGACATGTACATTCTGTACAGTGCAGAAAGGGCTGGTGTGAGCACATGAAGGACAGAGGTATGGGGGTTTTGTCACGCACGGAATTTCCTCCGGGTCCTTCTGCGCCTGCTGGGCCTTGCGACCCTCCTCAGACGCGTCCCACTCTATGCGAGCGATCGCGATCTCGCATGTCTCGCGTACTGCTCGGTTCTCGTCCTTGAGGAACTCCCTCAATACGGGAAGACTTGCGGAAGCAGAGATCGCGCCCATCGCCTCTGCGGCCTAAAGTGAAGGGGTGAACATGATCAGTATTCGATGCTCTTCAGCGCAGGGTGGCACACGCACTTCATGGCGGACCATTGGATCCTGATTCTTGTCCCGGAGAACGGCTTCGAGAACGGGGAGTGCTTTGGGACTCTTGATCTGCCCGAGGCAATATGCGAGCTCATGCTTGAGGAGGGCAGAGTCGTCCGCGAAGCCTAGTGTGCAGTGATCGGGGTGAACGTGATCGAGGGGAAGAGAAGAAGTTGTCAGTAGAGTGAGGCGCAGTGAGAATGCGCTGCGTACCCTTCGAAATTATGTCAATTGCCTTCTGGCTCTTGAGCGCCTTCAGAGTGAAGAGGGCACGGAACCGATTGTGAAGGAGCACCTCGCCAGAGGTATTGAGGAGCGTCTCCTCAAGACTCTTCAGCTCAGCGGGCGATGGGCGCTCTGGTGCGGCCATTGTGTGCTGGAAGGAGTTGTAGAAGTGCCGAGGGTTTGGGAAGATCAGGTATCCCGTATAATGATCGACTGAGCGAGCGGGGAAGATGGCGGCCGGAGGTAAAGACGAATGCGGAAGGTCCCATTGTTCTTAAAATTTGGCGCCCAGCGCCTTGAACCCGACCTCGATCTGCTCGAGACCAACATCGTTCTTCGAGGCATCTCTGGGCTGCATTTCAAGATGTCGAGTGACTGCGAATAATAGCTACCCGAAACAGGCGACGAGCATCTGGAATTACAATGGATCGTGGCCCCATTCAGCCCAGTTCTCTCCGGACCGGTCGACATTCGCGTCGATCTCCTTCATTCCCCGTTCCCCGTGGAGCACCCTGGGGCTCCTCTCTATGTGCCACACGCCATCTGCGTAGGATCCGACTGCCTTATCGCCCCTGCAGTCTTCTGTTCTTAAACTTGAATGCTTGAGCAGCTATTTCCTCGAAGCAGCAGTGTTCTTGGCCTCATCTCTCCACGAGAAGCCCATTTCCTCAAAGTACGCTATTTTATCCACAAGAGATTTCTTGCAACGCTGCTGTAAAGCCTCGAAGAATATGCCATCTACACATTTCCAGTATCAATGCGCTCACACACCGCCAACTTGTAGCTCTTGCCTCTGTGCGCCTCTCGTTCCATGCGACTTTTCCAGCGATCGTATTGCTTACAACTAAGCGCGTACGGAGGCATGGACGCCCGAGCTCTTACAGCCGCTTTCGAACTTTCGGAACTTCATCTCTTCATCCGAGGCACTATCGCCTACCAGCAATGCGAGGCTAAAATGAGATAGATGGCTTGTCAGTCACTCACGGAAGGCTGGAGGTGCGATATACTGTATCTTTTTTCTCAACCCACAGTCTGACTCGGATGTTCATCTTCAGCACGCCGGCTGCGTCATCTGCTCGACACCCGCACCGACTCCCACCAACGTGAGCATCAGCATGCTGACCCGTGCGGTCGAAGTCAAGCCGAAGTTGAACTTCCCAGTCCGTGACCGCGGAAAAGGCTTGGCATCGCTGACGGAGGAGGTCCAGAGCCGCCAGGCACCTTCATTTTTCCGTCGTCGTCGTCGGCAAACGCCCAACGGAACCGCGTCTCCCCCCTGGCAACCATAATGGACGCGCCCTTCCGAGCTCAATGACCGCGTTTTGCTGCTCATTCTTTGCCTATTCTTTTTCGGAGAGACCGCTCTGCCTCGTCAACGAGTCCACCAGATACGCAGTATGAGCCAGCTACTATGAGAACCACTTCTACCATGCGCGCTCCCCTCCCCCTCGGAAAATTCGACCTCGTCTGCACATGCCCAACCACCCCGCCGCGCCGGACTTTTCCCATGACCGCGCCATCCCAGGATCAGCTGCATCTTCACCACCGCTGTCCAAGGGAGATCGGCGGCCTCGGCCCAAGCCCGTCGCGATGCGAACGGGCATTGGGATCATGAACGGCATCGACGGCTCCTGTCGAGCGAGGTATAAAGCTGGGCTCGGGGAGACTCACCGACTTCATCACCAGATCCCTTTCCTCCCTCCTTCTTACCAGCCGCGTCTCCTTACCCGACCGCGTCTCTTCATCTCATCGGCGTCTCTTCACTGAACACGTCCGACTCTTGACTTTATAGTCCCTTCACACTCGCGTCTGAGGTCGCACTTTCGTTCTTACCTGCCTTTCTTTACCGTCCTAGCGACTTTTGAAACCTTTGCATCTCCCTTGCACTCGCAACAAGATGAAGTTCTCTGCCGTCTTCACACTTGCGGCGCTCATCGCATCCCCCATTGTCTCGGTGAGTATCCGCATTGTGTAACGGGTTAGCATATGCTGACATTATCATCAGGCGCTTCCCGTCCAGACCCCCGCTCGCCGTAATGTCATCATGAGGCGCGCGGACGTTGGCGACGTCCCCGACGTCGGCTTCGCTGCTCAGGCGGGGTAAGTCGACATTTAACTCATGTCAAGTCCGTCGCTCATCAGCTATAGCACGACCGGCGGCTCTGGTGGAACCACCACCACCGTCACCTCACTCGAGGAGCTCACCGCCGCTGTTCAGGGCGACGACCCCAAGGTCGTCATCATCGACGGCACCATCACCGGCTCCGAGGTCGTCAAGGTCGGCTCGAACACCTCCGTGCTCGGCAAGGCGGGCTCCCTCCTCGACGGCGTCGGCCTGCGCGCGTACAAGGTCGACAACGTCATCTTCCGGAACATCAAGATCCAGAAGGTGCTCGCGGAGGCGGGCGACGCGATCGGCGTGCAGGAGGCGAGCAAGGTGTGGGTCGACCATTGCGACCTGAGCTCGGACCGGGACCACGACAAGGACTTCTACGATGGGTTGTTGGATGTGACGCACGGCTCGACGGGCGTGACGCTGTCGAACAACTACCTCCACGACCACTGGAAGGCGTCGCTTGTTGGCCACTCTGACAACAACGGTGATGAGGACAAGGGTAAGCGAACTTCCTCCGGTCTAGGCAAACTTCGAGACTGACCACTTTCCTCCAGCCCTCCAGGTCACATACGCCAACAACTTCTTCGAGAACCTCAACTCCCGCGGCCCGTCCTTCCGCTTCGGCACCGGCCACATCTTCAACAACTACTACTCCGGCGTCAGCGACGGCATCAACACCCGCGACGGCGCCCAGCTCCTCGTCGAAAACAACGTCTTCGTCTCTTCCAAGAAGGCGCTCTACTCGACCGACGAGGGCTTCGCCGTCGCCAAGGGCAACGACTTTGGCGACTCGGAGAACACCGCGCCCGAGGGCACGCTCACGTCCGTCGACTACGAGTACACGCTGCTCGATACGGCCGAGGTCGCCTCGTCCGTGCAGTCCTCCGCGGGCCAGACGCTCGACTTCAGCGCGTAAATGGAGAGGGTGGGCGTGTAGCCTGCCCTCGCTGGTCGGGAGTGGGCGTTGAAAAGGGAAAACTTGCTCGTGTTTTTGCTGTATTTTGCTACTGGGAATTGCATGCATCTGGAATCTGGACCTTGCTGTGGGATGAATTTGAATGAATGCGAAGGGGGGAATCATGAGTGGCCTTCAGTCGGAAGCTCCCCTCCCCTCCATAGATAAGGTCCCGGTTATGGCCCACGCAACAGCGAGAGCGCTTGTCAAGCCACCCGAAACATCACTGGGGCAAGATCCTCAACTAAGTTATTGAACTTTGTTCGTACACTCACCAGCGAACCGTCCGCGTCAGGATTCAGACTCAGCAGTCACAATCCCGAAGCACAGATTTCAAATATACGCTGTTTCTTATCCATGTAAATCACCAGAGCATCACGCCCAACCAGTACAACATCTAGTACGTTTCCCAAAAGACGTCCGGCAACACCATACGCATAACTAGCACGTCAAGTCAGAATTCATTGTCGAAGTCCTCGATATATGAACCACTCACCCTCCCAATGATGCCCTCCCTGTTCTTCCTGCAGCTTTCCCAGTGGGTTGTGGGCGTCCGTTAGGATGTACTTTTGTTGCTCCTCCGCGTCGGCCTTGAGATATCCAAGGTTGACTTCCCTCTGCTCTATTGTGGTAAGGATTTTGTGCCGCATGTATGAGCCGAGGAAGTCCTGGCTTGTCGCGTTGCGGAACGCGAGGGGCTCATCGGCAGAGGTGCAAAAGAACACCTAACGGAACTCGTCAACCAAGATAAAACAAGCGCAGGTGAAGGAATGTCTACCATGTTGAGGAACTCGGTCTTATACTTCTCCTCGGTCATTGGGCGGTCCATGTCGTGAAAAGCACGGCACTGCTTGAATTGCGACAGCAAGGTGAAGTACACTAACCTCGTCGCTTCCGAGTCCACAATGCCTACGAAGTTCTACGGTTCCGATATCGGCAATCAGCCAAATAACACGTACGCCAAAAGGAAACCTCACCAGCACCAATTTGCCCTCCGGTGTCATGATACGCTTAGCCTGCTGCAGGAATTCTACGGTGTACAGATGCTGTGGCACACCGCCTCCGCTGAAGCAGTCATGTACAACGAAATCGAAGAGCTCGGTTGAGGTGTTGTCGCCAAATGCGTCCTTGGGCTTTTGCTGCGCCGCCCGTCGCTCAACCCAGGCGCGCGCATCTTCGAGGAAGACATGGTCCTTGCCGGGATCGGGGAGACCGAAGTAGGTGCGCGCAGCGCGGTATACTTCAGGGTCAATCTCGATTATGGTTGTTGAGACTCCATGACGCATGAAAGCAGTCGTAGACATGCCGATACCGAGGCCACTATGACGGACGTCAACGAAAGATGTCCGTAAGCTGGGGTGGGCTACCTACATGACGAGCGCGCTGGGCGTATCCGTCCCCAGGTCGAGCAACCGGACGGCCTCTTGTACATTGAAGGTGGCGTAGATTGAATCGCCGAGGGGGGCGCCGAAGGAGTCCCTCAGTGGTGCTGTGCCGTTAAGAGTGTATACGTGGGATCCAACATATACACCACCGAGGAGGGAATGCGATGCGCGTAGGTATCTCACATCCTGGATGGCGCCGGCTGAGGCTTGATCCTCTGGCAGCGCAAGGGCTTCACCAACGACAATCAGCCCCGTGTCTGACTGCACCGACGAATGAATGCGGAGGGGATACTCAGGGTGGGTGTACGGCTTCTCAAGAGGATGTGGAAGGACAGGAGACCGCAAGATGGGGAACAGCACGCGAGCCCCAGCAAAGAGCACGACCAGGGAGACAAGCTTGAGGAAGAACGGAGGCGGTGGCGCCTGTTTCTTCTTGCTCCCCTTCGCCTTTACCTGACCTTCCGCAGCCCTCTGAATGGCCTCGTAGTCAAACGTGGAGGTGATGTTGCGGATGGCCGCTGCAGCGACGGCAATGGAGATGAACTGGCAAAGCCTGTATCAACCACCGATAGACGACACGGGGAACTGGAATATGTACGATTTTGCTCTCGGACGTGTGACGAAGATATCCCCATTGTTCCCAGAAGTCGTGAAGGCCAACGACAGCCGCATATGATACCGCAGACACCACGATACGCCGGACAAGATTGTTCAATGAATATTGCGGCGCCTTGTCGGAGGACTAGGGACACGTCAGTGTTTTGCTAAGGAGAAAGGTACTGCAACGCACCACTGCTTGCATGATCGCGGAGGCAAGTACCAGTATCAAAGGATTGAGGACCGCCATATGCGACATGTGAGGTGCAGCCACGGGGTCCTTCTTCCACCGCGCGAGCCAGACCGGCACGTAGTACGTCGCCTTCGGTGCAATCCCGTACACAAACACAATGTAGTTCAGCCATGCACGACTTGTCATTTTCCATGGCTGCAAGCTTGCAGCCAAGAGGCCGCCAATGACGGCCTGGTTAAGCGCCGCCGTTGTTGGACCATATGCGAAGATCGGGGTGAGGGCGCGCTCATAGAGGAAGACAACGAGCGACAACGTGACGATTCCGCTCGCGGCTAGGATCAGCTTGAAAGGACTGACGCCCATAGTGGGCGCACCGGGAGGGGAAGAGGAGAAGGGGGATGAGGGGAGGCCTTGAGGACGTTGGGGGAACGGTCCGACAAGGCGAGGGGTCTCGGCATTTACCGCCGCATTGACCTTCGAAGTTCTACCCAATAGAATACAGTCATTTCATAGTCAAAGTTCACATAGCGTACATATAGCGTACATACAGCCCTCCGTCCAATGATCCTACAGTGAGTAAAAAGAAAGTCGAAAAAACTAGATACACACTACTCCGAGACCCTGATCTTATCCGCGACAGCGTCAACAGCCTGCTTCAGCCTTGCGAGCTCGTACTCCGCCAGGGAAGCGTCCTTGTCGATAGTCAAGGCCTCCTTCAGCCCAGGAAGCGTCGTCGCGCCATATCCTGAGATGCAAGTCAGTTTCATATACACCCCGCGCTCGAAAAGACTTCACCTGTCCACTTCCCCGGCGCCACCAGCAAGTGCTGATACCACTCGCGATCCTTCAGCCCGTCTGGCGAGATGAACCCGCGCTCGAACGCCAAGAGCTTCGAGTTCACCGCCCTGATCTCCTTAAGGACCTTGAGGAAGTCTTCCAGTGGGAAACCCTCCGTGCGAACGTCGAGCTGGACGCCATACGCCTGCTCCGCAACGTGGGCCAAGACCTTGACCTCCTTCTGCTTCTTCTCCCGGATCGCTGCAGGTGCGCGCCCAATCCTCGGCTTGATCGTCTTGCCTCCAATATGCAGCATAGGCGAGGGAGGAAGAGGCGGCAAGTCGTCGGAGTTCTCGAGCTCCTCATGGTGCGGCGGCTTCTTGTGCTCGCATCGCTTGTCGAACTTCTTCGCGATCTTGCAGTACTTCTTCCACGCCTTGCGTCTAAGCTTGCGCAAGGCCGAACGCTGCTTCTTCCACCTCTTCACCAGGTGCTTCAAGTCTTGCTCTGCCTTGAACTTGGCGAAGTCGAGGCTGAGACTGGCGGCTTGAAGAGCGCGTGCAGAGGATCGGAGTTCAGCGACATCGAGAGACGAAGATGTGGCCTTGACGATGTCTTCAACTCTGCTCGAAGATCAGAAAGTAGCAAATGCAAAGAGACTAAGCGACTCACTCGTCCACAAAACGCTCGATGAGGAGCGAGTAATGCGTCGTGTTGAACGGCAGAATCACATCGTTGGCCAGTCGGAGCGTCTGCAATCCCAACAACTTCGCCACCGCGACATGACGGTGGAAGCCCGGATCCGCATATAGCTCTTGCCAGCACTGCGAGTCGTAAATCGAGTGATAGTGATACCTAGCAAATCGTTGATCAGCTTGCTGATTCGCACTTCTTCGATACGGATTTAACTCACGCTGGACTCCTCGACGTCGCGCCCATTCCCATATGGCCGCTCGTTACGCCGATGCGCTGCACGAACGCCGTGAAGTCGCTGCCAGAGCCCAGGAAGCCGACGCCGGTGTCGTCCGCGCGGGTCGTGTGGACACCGTCGACGCCAGCCGCATTGGCATCGAACATGGCTTCAACGCCTGCATCGACCTCTCCCTCATAGTCACCCTTGTCGAAGTGCGCATCCCATAACGTACGGCCTTCGTCCGTAGGGTGAGGGAGATCGAGGGCTGCCTGACGCAGGAAGTGTGCGAGCAAAGGAGAAGCGAGCATGTTGAGCTGCGGTCCGGACACGGAGGAGTCTGAGGGAGTATGTAAGTTAAGACTCATGATCAGGATACTGAAATTGGTCACGTACCCAAGTTCAGATACGCGACGACCGTCGCATCGAAGAATTTCTCAAAGTCTTCAACGTATTCCGTCGAGCCGATGAGGCCGTACTCTTCAGCGTCCCAAAGGGCGATGACGATAGTGCGAAGGGGCTTCCAACCCTGCTTAAGCAAAGCTCCGAAACCTTTGACGACTTCGTGCATGGACACGGTTCCGCTGGTGGCGTCCGTACCGCCCTGTAATCTAGAGTCAAAAGACGATTACACAAGCAAAGGAATCTCGACGTACCATAACCCACGCATCGCGATGATTTCCGATGACTACCAGCTCGTCCTTGATATGGCCAGGAATGACGGCAACATTGTTCCAGATCGGCGTCACCTTCGTGTCCACTACATTCCCAATTAGCCTCTCGATTTCACCATCGCACAACCGCACTTACCCTTGTTGACCAACCGGATGCTCTTGCCTTCCCACTCGCCACCCTTGTCGAACTTAGAGAGTAGCTTCTCGGCGTTCGCCCAAGAAATCGGCAAACTAGGGATAGACGGAATGTTCGTTCCCTCCGTGCGCGTAGCGTTTTCGTAAGCAGGGTAACCGGGCGTAGTCGGGTCGCCAGGGTATATGCTGAGAAACTGGACGGAGCCGCGCTGGACGGACGAGGGATTGCGGGCGGGGCCACCAGGATACCTGGATAATTGGTGAGCATACTCGATCGCAATGGGGGGATGCGGCATACGGCTCATATCCGTTCTCGATGGTCACGGCGCCATCGTCCTTGGGGTCGGAGAAGATCAGGATGCCTGCAGCGCCGTGCTCTTGGGCACCCTTGACCTGAACGTTACATGAGTTACGGCATCTTCGCTGAGCTATGGTCATAGCTCACCTTCAACCCTCGAAAGAGGCCGCCATAGCGAGCGATGACGACGCTGCCGGTCAAGTCAACACCCTTCTCAACCAGTTCGTCGAAGTCCTAGTCTAGTCAGACCCACGCCATACCACGAATGGCTCGCAATTACTCACATCGTTCGTCCCATAATTTGCATATGTCAACTTGCCCGTCACATCACCCTCCTTGCTCAGCCCGTGGAACACCGGTACTGCCGTCCTATACCGCCCCGCTTCCGGGTCTGTCTCATCCGCTTCTTCCTCCACATCCAGTTCCGCCAGCACCTCCCCATCGTCCCCGACCACCTGCAGCCTCCGCTCCAGCGGGGTGTTCATCACGGGATAGTACTCGTCTATCCACGCTTGCGGTTTCTCGAGGAAGGGAATACCGCGCGTGGCGCCCTGCGAGGCGGGGGAGCCAGCAGGGAAGATAGGAATCGTGGAGGGCGGCTCGATGTTGAACTCGGTCTGGACGAGGGAGAGGAACTCCTTGGCGAGGGCTAGGTCTTGAAGTGAGCCGGCGAGATGAGGCTTGGTAGCGTAGCGGCGTGAGGCGTTGAGAGCGCTCTCTTCGTCAGGGACAGAGCTGTAGAGTACTCGTCAACGTCTGAGATGACCGGGAGGAGAGGGATAACGCACAGAAAGACTTTCTCTGCCTTCTTAGCGGTCAGAGGCTTGCGCTTCTTCTCATGATCATGGCCGTGATGTCCGTGGTCATGTCCGTGCTCCTCAAAGCGCTCAGGAAGAGATAGCGCAACTAGAGACGCGCCGAGCTCATCAAAGTACACGAAGCAGAAGCTAAGGAGTGCAAAGGCCAGCAGCAGGCGATAGACAAGACGGTGGCGGTTGCGCGGCGTGCTGATCGCCGCCTGAGTCTCCTGCCCGGCGGCCTCGGTCCTTGCCTTGCGGTTGCGGTAGATAGGCATCATCGGGGGCTCTATGCGGCCCATCAGAGTTGAATGTCCCGCTTGGGACCTATAGACAATGCAGATGAGTTTGCTAGTGGTGGTGGGGAAGGACAAGTGGCGAGTAAGTAATGTCGAGATGGCGACTTCTCGGATATTTATCTACGTCACGCGAAACCGCCACAGGCGCAGCTCATCGCACGCAACCTGTGCCGTCGGGACGTCCTGAGCGAGCCCAGACCTCAGCGAAGAACACTGTTGCAGCGCGCAGGCCTGCAGGATGCAACGTGCAAGCCTTCGAGAGGCCATATGCATATCAACACGACATGTACTTGTACATTCCACTTTATACTACCACTGTTCGCCCTGTGTTCGTCTACTGTGTCTTGCACTTCTCGGAATCTTGCGGCTTCGGATTCTTCACTTCGCCAACACCAAGCACGTCCTCGACGGAATATAGACCTGTAACTGTGTTCAATTATATGAGGACACTCCCCTCACCCCATCACTCTCACATGCATCCAGTTCTTCCTTCCATTCCACTCGATCGGCGTGGTGTGGTACGTCGTGCCCATCGAGATGTTCTCAAACCCGCCAAAGTCCTTCTCGTCGCTGCTTAGCACGGCGTGGTACTCGCCCGCGTCCTCGACGCCGATGCGGTAGTCAGAGAAGCTCTGGGTGGGGTGGAAGTTGAAGATGAAGACAAGGCCGGCGCGCTCATAAACGATGACCTTGTCGCCCTCGTGCTTGAGGGAAACGTAGGCCTGTGGCGCCTCGAGCCAGCGGTACTTTCCGGCGGCGCGGTTCATGGCACGGTCGAAGTTGTTGAGGTACCGGTAGCGCAAGAGCGGGTCGTCAACAACGTTCCACTGCCGGCGAGCATAGTGGAAGGAGTTGCCATTGCCTTCGCGAGGGAAGTCGAGCCACTATGGAGAGCATTAGCTCTCACGAAGTGAAGCATCAATATAATTGTTACCTCGGGATGTCCGAACTCGTTCCCCTCGAAGTTCAGGTAGCCTTCTCCACCCAGTGAGTGGGTGATGAGCCTGTAGATCGTCAGTAGACCAATTACCGAAAAGGACAGAAAGCCTCACCTGATCATCTTGTGCAACGCAAGCCCACGAGCAATGACCGGCGTCATAGGCGTCAAGTCCGACATATGCGTGTCTGCCTTCCCGTCAGTCTTCTTCTCGATCCCTAGAATTCTAAAACTTACACATCTCTTTGTCCATCAACCAAAACGCCAACGTCTTATCGCCGACCAGCGCCTGGTCGTGGCTCTCCGCATATGCGATGCTCTTCTCCCCATGGCGGCGGTTCGTCAAGGTGTGCACGATGTTGCCAATGTCCCATTCGTCGTCCGCCTTGTGCTTGAGCAGCTTGATCCACATGTCCCGGGACGGCCATGGAGAGACGGTAGTCGAAGCCGACGCCGCCCTTGTCGACGGGGATGCAGAGCAAGGGCATGCCAGAGACATCCTCGGCGATGGTGAGTGCAGTCGGGAACATGGAGTGGACTGCGTCGTTAGCCTGCGCAGAGGGTCTCAGAAGGTATTGCGGACGTTCGTCTTGAAGCTCTCACCAGCATGAGGTAAACAACGGCCTCGACGTCCTGAGAATCACCAAAGTACTCGTGGTACCCGCCAGAGAAACCAGTGCCAATACCATGATGCTTGTACATCATGCTCGTCACACCATCAAAGCGGAAGCCGTCGAACTGGTATTCCTCCAGCCAGAACCGCAGGTTGCTGAGAAGGAAGCGCAGGACTTCGTAAGAGCCATAGTTGAACAGACGGCTGTCCCAAAGCTCGTGCTTGCCCTTCGGACCACCGTGGAAATAGAGGTGATCGGTGCCGTCGAGCTCGTTGAGACCGTCCAGGACGTTCTTGCATGCGTGGGAGTGGACCACGTCAAGGAGGACGGTCAGGCCCATGCCATGAGCGGTATCGACGAGTTCCTTGAGCTCCTCGGGCGTGCCATACCGGGAACTAGCAGCAAAGAAGTTGGTGACCTGGTATCCGAACGCTATAGCATTGTCAGTGCGCATATATGCTCCGAAAGGGCGCATACATACAGGCATAGTACGCGTGCTCCATGACGGCCATCAGCTGGATGACATTATAGCCCAGATCGGCGATGCGGGGAAGGATGTTCTGTGTGAACTCCTTGTACGTCCCCACTCGTCCATCGGGAGTGGAGATGCCAACATGCGCCTCGTATACGCGCACATTGTCTGCCTTGGGAGGTCGCGAGTTCTTGAACTTGTACTTCTGCGACTCGGGCGGGTTCCAGAAGCGCGCCTCGTAGACGGGGGAGACATTGAGGTCCTGCGTGACGCGCTTGATCCAGGCTGGGATACGCTCAATGCGCTCCCCATGGGGCAGAATCAGCGAGATCTTCGCATGACATCAGTATGTGGGCAAAGGTCTTCGGGACGCGCCGCGCACCTTGAGCTTTGAGTCGTGCGGGATAGCGCAGACACCGTCCTTCGCGGGGACCGTAACCTCCCAGACGCCATAGTTGTCCTTCTTCATGGGGTGACTGATGCGGTTCCAGTCGTCTGCACGAAGGTGAGCTCGCGCGAACGCGGGTACGCACGGGCACTCACTGAACTCCCCGATGAGGTACGCCTCCGTCGCGTTGGGCGCCCACTCGCGGTACACCACGTCCCCATTCTCCCTCACATTGAGCCCGAACTTGTTGAAGCCCTTCGAGAAGCCCTCGTAGCCGCCTTCGTGCTCGTCGATCCTGTCCTTCCACTGCCGGTACAGGTCGTGCCTGTGCACGATCGCGGGTACGTTGGGCTCGAGGTAGCCGTCGACCTCGAGAACAGCCTTGGGGTCGAGGGGCGCGGTGGGCATTCTGCTATCGATGCGGGGCTCGATGTGATGAACGTTGGAGCGAGAGAGAGCAGTCGGCCGTCCTGGTCCCCATTATCGACGCGTCCAGGACCTGACCGTGACGTCGATGATGCCCACGCACGTGTCACATGCCCCGCAATCAACCCCGCATGGGGATCCGTCGGCCAGGCGCGCCTCAGGCTCTTGCCTCTGCACTCAAGTTCTCACACTTGGCTTACAGAGCGACTTTGGCGACTCCATGGCCTACTTGCCTTTGATTCGCACATAGACCTGTGCATATATAAAGCTATGATGGTAGTAGCAGGTGCCAATCCTTCATGCATATTCCGCAAGGATCGAACAACGGCTCGCTCGAGTAAACTATCGAGGTATTGATGGAAGGAAAGATCGCCTGGGCATGCTATCAGCAAGAACATCGAGCCGCATCCACACCACCGCTTACCGATTCAGCACCAAGCCCTTCAGCGCCCTAATCTCCTTCCGCATGTCCTCCTCCACTGGCCCAAGCCCTGACGAGCCCAAACCATATTGCGGCCCGCTCGGGCGGAAGGGCGCGTACACTTGCGAGCTAAGGTAGCCGGTGAAGTCTCCGAGCGTCTGCAGCGTGCGCTGGAAGGGACGGTTCTCCGTCTCTGAGGGGAGCTTCGCCATGCTCTCAGAGAGGGAACTAAGAGTGGACAGCAGAGGGGGTGTGGGTGGAACGGCTGGAGCCACATATCGCCACCGCTGCAGGCCTTGCACGCTGTCGACCTCCGAGGCAAACAGAGGCGATGTGCTGAGCGTGTCCCATAGCTGGCCCTGCGCCTAATTCAGAACGCAAGGAAGAGAAAACAAGGCAAAGGACCCACCTCCCGCACCGACCCCTCTTCACTCAACAACCACGGTATCCTCCCCTCCAACACCCTGAACACATCCTCCGTCGTCGGCAGCGCACCCTCCTTCTTCCTTTCCGCACCCTCTTTCTTCTCCCTCCCTTTCAACTCCTCCAACGCGCACCGCAGCAGTGTAACCGTGGGGATATCCCCCACTTCCACCTTCTCTGCCTCCGCCTGCTGCAGGGCGGCTTTCACGGTGTGGCAGTCCCTCCACTTGACAGGTTCAGTGTTAGGGTCAGGGCGCGGGAGGTCTTTGAAATCTTCCGTAAGGGAGACTTTAGTAGACTTGAGGGAGGTGTTGAATCTTTTCATGAGAGACCGCTGGTGGGTGAGGAGGCCTCTGCGAGCGGTGGCCGTGCGAAGTATGCGGGGGAGGAGGAAGCGCTGGCAAGTCGGTCAGGGATGGTGAGTAGGAGTACAGGTATACGTACATAGTAGATGAAGATCAGGACGGCAGATCCACCAGCAAGCCATGAGAGCGCACGCGCAGCGGCAAGCAGAAGGCCTGGCAAGTTGGAAGGGGGAGGCTGGGGATATGTTGGGGGAGGAGGGAGCAGGCGTTGTGATTGAATAGCCTGAGGCTGAGATTGAGCAGGCTGTGGCTGGAGCTGAGACATTTGAGGTTGCGGCTGAGCAGGCTGGGACTGAGACTGAAGCTGAGGGATGCCATGAACGATTAGCATGTCGTCCATACGCATGACCAGCACCACTTACCGCTTCCCGCAGAACCGCATCCACCTCTTCCGCCTTCAATCCCTTCTCAGATAGAAACCTTCGCTTCCCTGCGTCATCTTGTTGCTGGATCTGCGGGGAAGCAAGGAAGTGGCGAGCGCGTTCGAGGAGGGTGGTTCTGTTCTCAGGTGCTATGGTCGCAGCTTCGGGTGTCGTCGTCGTAGCAGGTCCTGGCGTCGTCGCAGCGACTTCAGGTATTGAAGGGGAATTCGTATTCGAGTTCGCTAGAGGATCAGAGGGGGGCTGAGGAGCACTGTCGGCGACAGATGGCTCTTGCGGGGGAACATCAGGCGCGGTTGGGATGACCGAAGGTTCGCCTTGAGAAGTGGATCCCGAACTCTCTAAGGCAGCAGGACCCGTATAGTCCTTTCCGTCAGACATAACCAGAGATCAAGGAGATTCCAGTCCAAGCGGGAGACGATGCGAGCAAGCCTTGAGTCGCGCGCCTGCCAGCGTTCGCGTCAAGTGCGGATATGCGCCCCGAACGAGCCGGTCCTTGCCATGTGATTTCCACGCCTTTGTCCTTCCAAATCCGGAAAACAATGGCAAGCCGAGATGGTATTTCCTTGCAAGTGTACAACAGTGAGGAGACGAGTATACAGATCAGCAACAAGACGAGGATGGGAGTGGAGAGTGAAAAAATGGGATTCGAGAGTGAGGGAGAGGAGAGAAAGTGTAACGAAGAAGAACAACACAGTATAAAAGCCAAACGAAGGCGCGAATCAAATGCTCCAGTATAACAACGGAAGTCTGATCAGTGGAAGACGATTGGAAGATGGGAAATGCTAGTAGCTGTATGAGCTGCTGAAAAATTGTCCGGTTGGGAATAAATGGAACGAACGACCCTATAAGCTGTCGATAATGAGAGGTAAAAGAAAACAACGAAATGTCCGAGAAGGGTATAAAGATGGCAAAGAGCAGGTGGGATGCTACGGGCACAGAGAATGTCGTCCTATGGGTATTTTTGGTGCAAATCTAATCGCATGGCTCGGGAGCGTCGTTCTGTGAGCAGCGGTCAGACCAGCTAAGATAACGGCGTGGTAGAAGTCAACGTACCCCGCGCACAAACGTCCACATATGGCAGGTTATATATCCCCTCGCAAACCCGGCTCCAGCATACGCAAAAAGGTATCTCCACTTCCTCTTGAACGCGTCAAAGTCTCCTGGATTATTCGCCAGACTGGGGAAATCCTTGGCGACAAGGTCTTGCGTAAGATTGGTATCCAACCGCCGGTCCCATTCTCTCAACGTCCGGGGGTAGTCTGTGAAGCGTCAGCAATGATAAAAGGTCATTATATGCGCGACTTACGAGCTGAGTGGTTGACGACGGACTCCAGGGCTAAGCGTCCATGGCAAGCACTATGCGCAGCGGTGATAATGGCGGTAGCGCTAGGCAGACACGAATTTGGCCACATATAGCGACGCATGAAGTCCTCCGCTCTACACCCCATCAGTTTTGTTTCATCGACGGACCGAAATGCGAGATACTCACTGGTATGTGGTGAATCGGCACTCGGGGAAAGTCGATGAGCTGATGACGGCGGTGGCATTGCGTGATTTCAAGGCGAAGTCAATGAGCTTGAAGTACATGTTGTAGTATTTGGCACCGACATGCTGCGTGAGAGGTTAGCTGGAGCATACACGACAGGGAAACGTCGGAGAACGCACCTCAACCATCTCGATGCTGATAAATGCATCGAAGGCCTTCTCAAACTCGAGTGGTATCTCTCGGTAGTCGAGCAGGTGTACGCGGACCTTGTCCTCAACGCCAGCCTCTCGTATACGCTCCTCGGCGAGCCGCTTCTGCTCGATGGAGAGTGTAAGCGTGTCAACCTCGCACCCATAATCGACGGCTGCGGTGATGGCCAGCGCGCCCCAGCCAGAGCCAAATTCGAGAATTCGGTGGCCTGGTCCAACGCGAGCCTTTTGCAGCACGAAGTGTATCTTCCGCTGTTGGGCGGCCTCGAGGTCGCCAGGTGTGGTCCCGGAGATCACATCGCCGCGGACGCCTCCCTCCTCCTCGTCCCACAGCGCGCAAGAGTACATCATCTCCTTGCTGAGGAAAGCCTGGAAGCCATGTTCAGCGACGTCAACGTCGATAAGCTCACCGCTTACCTTGAACAGTTCGTTGGACTGATCATAGCTGGCGATCACGTTGAGTCTGGAGTTTGCTCGGGTCTGGCCGAGCAACCCGTTGTATAGCGCTGATGTTGCCGCCGAGAGACGGGAGAATGTCGACGATAATGAGCTTTCCATTCCCGCCTCGTTGTCTATCCATAGCTGACGGACGATGAGAACATGAAATTGGGTGGGAGATCGCGTACACGCACCTTCATCACATCCCGCAGGTTGTCGACCTGGACGTCGCCGATCATGTATGCTTCACTGACTGATGTCGCGATCAGCGTACTGTACCCATCATGCAAGAACGGCAGGCTTACAACCAAGGTCCGAAGCGCTGTATAGATGATGAGCAATGGACACAACACAGGTTCCGAAGCACGCACAGCAGCATTCGTAACCAAAAGTTATCGTTCGTGACGATGAGGGTGACATTGTTGCATCCGGGCTCGTAGCGTCCGTAGCTACGCGTTCCTTCGCTGTCGGTGACGGTGAGGACGCCGTCGGTGATCGCGTCGTTGAGGACGGCTAATATGGACTTTCGCGCTGCGAAACGCGGTCAGCTCGACGCGTCGCGTACGCGATGTGTCGGGGATCCGCACCGAAGGAGACAAGCGACGCTCTGGGGCTGAGCAAGGCGAGGGAGAACGGGGACCGTCGTTTTCTTAACGAGATCATGGACGCGGAGAAGAAACTGAGGCGGGTCTCGATGGAGGACGGCGTCATCGGGATCTGGGCGAGCGAAGGAAACGGTGAGGGAAAGGAGCAGGCGGGCCAGCTATATGTATCGGTGTTGACAGAGAAACAGGGACAAAGCCCGGCTCGCAGATTCGGGTCAAGAAGATGACGACTGCAGGAAAAGGTTGAGCCAGGCCCAGCAGCCTTCGCAAAGAGCGCTGGCAAGCAACAGTAATGCCGTGGTTCCCATTCCGGTTCGCCCTGTCAAGCATTCGCTAAAATCTGGGCGCGTCTTTGCGGTCTTGTACGACGGCTTGTCAACGAGCGGAGCGGTACGCAGCGCTTCCTTCAGAATAAGTCGGCTCCCAGTTGACAGACAGTCCGCGAGAGCACGGGAAAAATACTGGGGAAGTATCCGACGAAAAAACAAGCAGCAGCGATTTCTTGGGGTCCAACCATCCCGAGAAGCCCGCGTCTGTGCAACCATCGAGGATCCTGAGGCCTTACAGCCGCCTTCGCCAGTGCTTGAGCGTTCGAATTTGTGGAACCAGGAAACAGAGTTTCAGTTTGCCCCCGCATGATGATCACCGGGACGTTCCCGGACAGCGTATCTGAACGTCGATCTCGGCATCACCCGAAGATACACCCATATGCGCCCACATGAAGTTGAACATCCAAACCAGCTCGTCTGTGTATGTCGGCAGCAATCGTGGAGATGGCGAGCATGCCTACCTCTCCATCGATGATGTTGAGGGTAAGAGTCGTGGGGTAGGAGCCGAAACGTCGCAGAAGCACTCGTTATCAAGACGAACGAAGTCGGTAGCAATAATATCTCAAGCCCTCGAGTCCTCGACCAGGGACAGATGTCCTTCTTCACGGCTGTCGTTACGCAGAAGCCTAATCTCAATGCAACGCCGATATCTTCTCTTCTATGAAGTTCTATCAGCCGCATACAACACCCAGAAACCGACTCGAATACGTACTGGATCATGCTGAAGAGTGTCTGAAGATAGCGACCAAGGCGCCCGGAGCACCATAATGATAGCAAGGAGCAGTCTTCCACCAAACCCTGAGTAGCCCCAGCGCGCCAAGTCAAGCAACGAGCCTGCGTATCGCCCATCCAGCACATGCATCAGCGCCAACGCTTTGACGACCGCTCGAAAAAGGACGCCTTCCAGCCCTGTGACGGATTCGATTCAGGAACACTTGACTGCGCTCCTGCCACCCCCTCCAGATCATCGTCCTTGGATCGTCGGCGTATCATCCAGCCCATGACGCCCCCATGCGCCAATACAAGCAAACGCAAAAACGCCACATTCAGCGCCTCTGTCAGTGTCGGAGTCTGTCTGTCCACGAGCAAAGACGCCGACGCTGCAGGTACGGTCCGAGCGTCGACTAACGCCGCTATATCACCTTCCGTGAAGTCAAGTGCCGTCGGTGGTGTCAAGTACCTCCCGCTGTGTCAAGGACCGTCCGAGAAGGACAAGAAAACCACAGGCGAGCGCCTATGCGGCTTCCCTCCGGGACATCGGAGAGGGCGAGGGCGGTCGTTCGTGTTCCTCGCAGAATATTCCTCTACCGATTTGTCCCTCGACGTGACATTGCAACTGAATAAACGAGAAGCAGCGATGGAGCAGATAAAGACTTGATGAAGCAGGTGAAGGCACAAATGTGCAGTAGACGACACAGCGAAGCCGTCGAAGGCGTAAAAAACACTAGAAGGCACCGCTAATTTCCTGGTGCGAGCAGTTCGGACGAAGCATCGACCAGGGACATCGCTTCTCCCTGCTGCCGGCGGTTGGATAGAACAGAGTTGAAGGATTCCTGTATTCGCGGGTTAGCTCAGCTTCGCAGGGGAGGTTGGGTTACGTGATAGAAAGGGACGTACCACCCGGTCGACGCCAATGAAGGGTCCGAAGAAAACGAGGCGCTGCTTCGGGGACATATTCAGGACGTCCTGCATGGTAAGGTCCTCCTGGCAGAGCATGATAATGGCGGCAAAGACGTTCATCCCCTTTACAGCGGCAAAATCCATCTCTCCCTGCGACCTTCACTTAGTCACGGCCCTCAACGCAGACAAATCGTGGGCGTACCTCGTAAGGCTCATCGTCCAACCACTCCCTCCCTCCCCACAGTGCCCCATCCGTTGTGTCCATCTCCTCCGCCTCATTCCCAAACATGCGCACAAACAACGCCGCCTCCGACACAGTGTCCGCGAACGCGATCTTCAGCTCTGTCGCCTCCCGACTCGTCCCACACGCCTGCTCGATATTCAGATCGCGCCGCAGCTTCTGCAGCGCCTTCAGAACCGGCGGCGTATACGCGAACGGCGCCGCGCTACGCCTCTCGATCTTCTTCGCATACGTCGAGGGGTATGCTTCAAGAACGACGAGCAGACGATCGAAGTTCCAGGTCTGCGTCGCGATGCGCGCGACGGCGTCTGCACAGTCGCCAGGGAGGGACAGGAGAGATACGAGCATGACGCCTGTATGCGCGTCGATGATGAAGTCCACGCCTCCCAGGCTGTCGCGCTCGACGACGTCAACTGCGCACTCCTCGGAGCGCAGGCCGCGCATGAGAGCCTGCTTTTGAACACAGTCGATCGAAGCGAGGTAGCGGTGCACGGTCCCTGGGATCGTCCAAGTCGAGGGCAATCGTAGAGTATTCGCGTCGTAGATGGTTTCGGGCGGTTTGCGCGGTTCTTCTGGCGTCGCGGGTCGCGAGATAATGGGAGGCGGCGGGGGTGCAGGCGCAGTGACCTTCTTCGCGCGTAAGAGAGCGAAGTCGAATATTCCGAGCGAGTGGTTAGCGAGGTCAGCAGCGGCAGCAATATCGAAGTTGTCAGCATGAAGAGTCGCGCGGGTGAATCGCGCAGAGGGCTTTGAGGAACTATCGAAGATGTCCTCCCTCGCAGTTGTGGTATCGCCGAAGCTCGAAGGATCGTCGCGTACGCGAGATTGCGATCGGCGAGAGGTGGCTGGCTGCAAGGAGTCGAAGGAAAGCGGGATGAACTGCGATCCACCGACATAGTCTGGCTCCGGCGTGATTAAGGACAGTTGCGACTCGACCTCGACCTCACTCTGCGTACGCGATGGGTATGCTTGCGGCGGCTCGAATGTCAGCTGTAGAGCATTCGAAGATAGCATCGACAGATCGTCCATATCGGCGTTGCCGTCGTCAATTGCGGAAGAAAAAAAGCTGGGGGAGCGAGCGGCAGGCATGTCATAGTCAGCGTAGTCCAAAGAGGAGATCTCGGTGTAGGCGTCTTGCGCGAGTTGCGGAATGTTCTCCTTATTGTCGTCGCAGTACTCGTAGGGCACTTGTTGGTCGTATTCGGGTTCACCGTAGGGAAGTTGCTGACCATTGAAAGGCTGGTCGAAGATGGGCTCGTGGTCGTAGGGGTGTTCGTTCGCATAGGTCGAAGCAGATGGCGACAGTGTAGGCGCACGGGCCTCAAAAGCAGATGTAACAGGGGCGAGCAGAGCATGATTAGAGCGCATATAATCAGCAAACGGAATGTCGGCATGAGCAGGCTGAGCAGTGATAGAGTTCTGTAGAGCAGCGTCATCTCGTGGGCGTTCGACAGCCTTGGAAGCCGGTAGGTCGTCGAGAAGCACGATCCCGGAGTCGTCTATGATGGTTGTCACCGTGTCAGTGGGCGCCTGAGCAGTGTATGTGGGCGCATCGGTGCGCGCTCGTTTTGCAATTCGTTCCGGCTCTTGCTCTGCTGCGCCCTCGAGTAGAGTTTCCCTGACCGTGTCGTCTACGGGCGGCACATACCCCGAGCGTCGCCAGCGCTCTTCTCTCGTCAAAAGAAGGTCTCCACGCCATAGGTCCTCCTCGATCGAGTCCTGAATCGCAAACCGACAATTCTTGTCGTCCCACTGATCCTTGGCTTTCTCATCCTCGTTGATGATGCACGCCTTCGCGAATAGGGTCTGAACTTGCTCGTTCATAGTCTCGAGCGACGTGCCGTCGAAGTCCTGATGGTCGAAAAGAGTCGCCGCGCCGCAAGCTTCGTCTCGTGTCGGGAGCATAGCGTCGCTCTTGAAGAGCCTATCCAAACATGAACAAGACTTAAGAAACATGCCGAAGGCATACGCACATCCAGGACAAACTAGTATTCAGCGAGGGCAGGCCCTTCGCGCGGCGCAAAAATTGGTGGACCTCCTTCGCCTTGCTGTCCGACTTTGGGGGCGGGAGCAACTGCGCGAATTTCTCTGGAATGATTAGCCCTCCAGGCGCGTGCTCGTTTGGCGGCGATAGTTCCGGGACTAAATCTATCGTCACCACCCCACCTCATACACGCACAGCAATCACCTACCCTCCATGAGCAAATCCGCCTTATCGTCCGGTCGGTCCTTCATGATCAGATCCGCTGGATGCTCCTTCACTTCTCGGTATATCTGCCCCACGTCCAAACTCAGCTCCTCGTCCCCGAGCAGCCTGCGCAACCGGTCTTCCCGGCCCACCGGCGACGGCGGCGCGCCCACAAGCGAGAGCGATGGCGGGGATGAAGCGGGCGCAGAGTCAGGTGTTTGTGGGCGTTCATCTGCTTTGGTGCTGCCGTCGTGTTGGGCGGAGATTAAGGGCATGAGGAATGCGCTTAGACTTGGGATGCAGGGTCAGGATCGGATCGAGAACATGAGTATGAATGGTACGCACGCTTTGTCGGAGCCGAGGGGCTTCTGCGAAGTAGCACGACCGTCCAACCTTTCCTTGCGAGGGAATATAACCGTGTCTTGGGGAAATGAGCGAGGTCGAGTAGACAGGGACTGAGCGAGCGTACCCATGGTTTCGAAGAGCGACAGAGGTTCTGTAGGTGGTGTGCTAGTCTGAAACAGCTCATCCAGATGGTCATCCTCCTGGGATGCCGATGGCGTCGTAAGCGGCGAGGGAGATGATTGTAACGCCGCTATGATAGAAATCCATGAATGTGCCTCCTGCTCGATGGGATAATCACTTACACCAGCCGTCGACGACGACCATGTTGGTAATGTGGGACTGCTGGTCCTCCCCAGCGGGTAGCGTAGGCAAAGATGCTTGCGCCAAGTCTGCAGTCGTTTGAGGTGCCTTCGGCGCAGGCGGCGGCGGTTGACCATTTCCGGGTCGTTGTAGACGCGCAAACAATGGCATAAACGGAGAAGGCGAGCGCGAACGCACAGCAGGCGGGGACGGTGGTCGTCGTGGGTCCAGCCATGAATTACAGTGTTCCGCGGAGTTGAACTGGCTAGACTTGATCAAGTTGCGAACGGGGGCTAATTCATGGGCGGGGAGCTGGAATTTGACGTCCCTGCATATGCATCAGCACCCACAAAGTCATTTCTATCCAACACGGACTCACAGACATGCCGACAGGTCAAGGTCAGGCTCGGGGATAGGTTGAACGTCCACCGGCTGCAGCGAATGCGCGGATTGTACTGCATCGTATGTGGACGCGGGTCCTTTGCCAAGTTTGCCTAAATGAGGGGTCTCTGAACGGGCCTTCCGCGACATGGCAGGCGTCGGGGGCCGATACGGTGGCGAGAGGCACTCGTCTGCATGGAACTCAGCGTTGTACCAGGAAGAGAAGTTTCATTGACTACGTTGATCGTCGTAGGCGGCTTGCTCAGCTCTGTTGCGAGGTAGGACCTTTGTATACTTCTTGATGTATTCCACGATATGCTGGTCGATCTGAAGCTTCTCATCGAAGGACAGGGACTCGATGGCATGCTTGGCCAGAAATTTCTCGAGAGGGTCGACGTCGACAGGGAGACGTAACGAGCTCGTGTCGTGTTCAGGAATTTGAGTGAGGAAGCCAGAGATCAGCTAGAACCTGATTGGCGACGTGAAGTCCTCGTAATGCGAATTGAATACCTGATCGAAGAGGCTCTCAGTGTACTCGATGTAGTCCGTCGCTAGATGCTGCAGGCAGTAGTCGAGGAGCAGCGAGCGGACGTGGTTGCGCAGCTTGGGGTCCTCGTACTCCTGCATGGTGGTCGGGAGCAAGCCGCGTCGCGCGTCATGTCACGATCACATGCGGAGGTGACAGCACGTTCCCCGACTGCGCCATATTTGTGATTATGGGAGCAACGGCTCTTGTCTCCTGCCGTCGTGCAACGTGTTGTCCCCCTCGTGCCTGCTGGTCCATATCGGACTCAGATCCGATAGCCAGGCGCGTGCTTGCCAAAGGCGGGCAGAAAGGGATCACGATAAACGGCAAGTCTCCGGGCCCTTTCATTTGATCCCACACTGATTCCGTCCACCCTGCGCATCCAGGCGGCGTGCTGGATCATATACGAAGCGCCCGGATCGATGCTCGTCGTGTGAGAGGATGACGAAGCCGGAGAGTATTCGCCAGCTTGTGGGAATGTTGCTTTTAGCCCCGCCCGCCTCACTATTACCGCCGCTCCCTCGCTGTTCTTTGTACGTCTTGCCCTCTTCCACGAGGGAACAGTGCGCTGAACACGGGGGACACCGCCCCCGACGTAGCCTGCACTCTTGCTTTCGCGATCATGTCCAAGGAGACTACTGCACGAAGTCCCGGCGAATCGCAAGACGCGACCCGTCCTCTGTTCAGTGCGCAGGTGTCGCACCAAGAAGACGACGGAGAAGACGCGCCCGATGAAGTAGACGATGGCCCCCCACCTCTAGTTGACCCGCCTCCATCCATGACTTTTACATTCAACACAGACATGACTCCGTACGAAGGCGGTCTTCAGCAGACGGCACCGTTCCCCACTGCTTTCCCTTCCTTCACAACTGCTTCTTCGGGTCCCCCTTCAGGCGGAGAGCTCGTCTCGCTCTATCCCAACGACGCGTTTATTGGCGGTGGTCGAACGAACAGACGACGCGCTCAAGACCCGGACTACATCCCCAGAGCGCCGAACGCGTTCATCTTGTTTCGCGCCTCTTTCGTGCGTACACACCAACTTGAAGCAGGCAGTGGAGGAAAGAAGGATCGTCTTGGCAAGCTTGTTGGTGCGTTCGCTACTCTAAAGTTTTGTGCCACATTTCTTGATACTTCCGCAGGGCAAGCCTGGCGCGCTCTGCCAGCGCACGAGCGCAAAGAATGGGAAGTCAGGGCAGCCCTCGCACAAGAGGAGCACCGTCGGCGCTACCCAGATTGGCGCTTCAAGCCACAGCAAATCGCGGCCGGCCTTGGGCAACCCTCGGGCCCGCGACCGCGCAAGGGCAGGATCAAAGACGGGGGCGGCGGGAATCATGACAGAGGCGAAGGCAGCAGCAAGGACACCGCAGCAGCTTCGCGAAGTCGCACAGAGGAAAGCGCCGCACAAGAAGAGAGCCAGAACGCCTCATCCTCGGCAAACGTGTACGAATTCCCAGGGCCCCAAATATTGCTCGATGCTCCTACTGGCAATATTCCTTCCGAGGAGCAGCCTTCAGCTTTACCATCGACATCTCCTTCCTTGAATCAACAGGATGCTCGTCAAACTTTTCCAGTACCCACGACGCGACAGTACCTTGTCCCTCCGCCACCATCTGATGCGGCGTCTGGCCGAGTGCGCTCGAGGTCACTGGCGACGTCTACGCGTTCAAGGTCGACCCCTTCGCGTCGAGGGCGTGGGAGGAGTGTTGATCTGAGCGGCGTCTCTCGCCCCGTTCCTCAACCTCCAGAAAGTCCTCGCAAACGCTCCGCGAAGGTCGCCCAGCTCTCCACATCCGACGAGCACGACCCATTGCGTGGGCGCAATGCGGGCGTCTCCCCGCCTCGCAAGAGGCAGGACAAGGGCAAGGGTCGCGAGGCGAGCGTGTCTGGAGGTCTTTTCGCCACTGTCGCGTCTAGCTCTGAGCAGCAGGAGCAGGCGCAATGGGACGGACCACCGTCGACCCCCGAGTCTTCCTTCAGCTCGCCAGTGCTAAGCGAGGCAGCAGCGTCTACCGCATCCACACAGCCCCTGCAGGCGCCCACACAGGGTCCACTGAACATCCGCTTCTTCCACGACCCCCGCAGCGCGTCGAGTCCCAAGAAAGCACCTCGAGACTCGTCTAATGATCCATATGCCTCCTCAGTGCCCTTGCACCCCATACCCTTCCCGACAACGGCGCCTCGCACACCGACCATGTCGCCTGCGACGACAGTTCTATCGCCCCTGACGTCACCTGCCACTTCATATGCGTCGCCCGTCATGCAAACTGCAGCCGTGCAAGAGTCCGAGCGCAATCCTTTCAGCACCGTCCCGCTCACGGAGATGTTCAAACGCGCATCGTCAGCGCCGCCAGTGGAGAAGGGCTCATCATCGTCGTCGTCTTCATCTTCGTCTACTTCGACGCGCGTCCCAGACTTCATCGCTCGCCGTGAGGAGGAAGAGGAGTCCGATGGGGACGGAGGTAGCAGCAGCGGGAGCACAACACCGCAGAACGTCGTACGCGCAGCGCCCCCCGGCAGCGCGCCCATATCGATTCCTTTCGGAGTGGGGAAAGTTGGGCAGCCTGGTGTCGGGTGGGACGGTACGGGGCCGTTGTTCCCCTTCGCTGCCTCGGGTGGGAGCCTGGGCGGCATTGGTGCGCGACCGACACACGGCAGGAGAGAGACGATATCACTGCCAGTGCAGAGGGCGCCGCCTATTCACCAGACGCCTCCGGTGCATCAGCACGAGTACTCTTTTGCCTCGGGCGTAAGCTCAGGTCATTCTTCGCCCCATTTTGCAGCTGTGCATGCCCCCATCCCAGCTAGCTACGCTGAGGGGTATCAGCACCACCAGCAGATCCAGCCAACGGCTCAAGTCGAGAACCAACCAGCCGCTCGCGACGCATCTGCACAGCAAAATCCACAGCAGAACTGGGCGCCACTAACGACCGAAGGCATGGGCTACGATTGCAGCGACTGGCAGGCAAGACCACTTCTTCTCTGTCGCCCACGACCTCAGCTGATAATCGCCCAGCCATACCACCACCAACAGCCTGAAGACACGGGCGGCATTTCATGGACGAGGGCGGAAGGACGGCAGGGCGTGGTTGCGGCTATCGACGCCCCCAAAGCGCAAGAGAAGTGGCCATCAGAGTACGAGGGGGAGACGTTACAGTATCCGGAGACGATGGATTGGACGACGCAAGACTCGCCTGAGCCTCCGCCGGTCATGCTGCCGGCGCCGAACGAGCCAGCTTATGGACAGCATCAGCAACAGCCTATCGAATACCCAACTTACCAGAGCACGGGATGGGCGGAGACAGGATGGACTGCTCATGCTTCGCGTGAGCCTGCGCAAGCAGGCTACAACCCTGGCGTGTGGCCACCTCAGCAAACGACATGGGCGCAGAATACGACCTGGGATCAGCAGCAATACTACCAGCAGTACACGCAGTCGCCGTATACCCATTCTCAGCCTTCCCTTCTGTCCCAACCACAGCAATCCTGGACCCAGCCGCAGCACTCCCCATACATGCATGCCCAGCACTCTCCCTATGCGCATCCCATGCACTCGCCCTACGCGCAGACGGAGCATCCGTCGGCGCAGGTGTCTCCACTGGCGAGTCCCGCAATGAAGAGCCTGCCGCCGACTGAGCAGCCGAGATCGAATTGGGGCGGCGGGTGGGCTGCCGAGAGCGAGGATTTGAGCTCCAATACGGCTGGTATGTATCCCTCGGGGTCAGGCTGGTCATCTTATCAGGGAGGATGGGACGCACCATCGGAGGAGCGTCGCTAACGAACATGAACGACTGCATATTTCTTGGACTGTGCATCCCTCAGTTGTATACTTCAGACCTGCTTCATCTGTACCTATATTGCATACCCACTAGCCTCAACGAGCTGGTCTCATCTGTAGCTTCTTTTCTGTAAAACATATCGGGACTTCGACTTGAACTGTGGGTCCACGCCGCGTGGCTTGCTGACGGCCGAGGTGTTATGTAACGGCGCATACGGAGGTAACATCTTGACCTTGTACTCCTCCGGGCGCCATTGGCAAGCTCAAGAAACGCCGGACGAGCACCGTCGTCGCCGTTCCTCTCACCATGTTTGACCCTCTCAGCTCGTCCGCAGCCGCGTTCGGCGGCAGCAACGAGGAGCCGCCGCCGTGGCCGACGACGCCCCACCTCCCCAACTCACGTCAGTCCTCGGCCGTGTCCGCGTCGGCTGCCCCGCTGACAGTCTGCAGCCATCCCCCACCTAGGCCGCGGCTCGTCTCCCAAGCCCCCGACGCCCGAGAAGGGCCCGGCGAATGGCCCGTTCGGGAAGCAGCCGCAAATCTACGGCCAGCCCGAGGCGGGACTGATCTCCCCGCGCGAGACGACGGCCTCGGATGGGACGCGCTTCGAGCGCGGGGACCCCTACTTGCGCGTGCGCATCACCGGACTCGACCGCAACCGGCGCGACATCCTCATCAAGTTCGACGCGCAGACGAACCTCTCCAACTTCACCGGCACCACGTACCGCAATGTGTCGCGCTCCTACCTCGAGTTCCAACAGTTCTACGAGAGCATCGTACACAGCAACCCGCAAACAATCGTCCCTGCCCTCCCTCTTGCGCAGACATCGGCGCCGACGGATGAGGAGGATGACAGGCTCGTGCGAATCATGCTGCAGCGGTGGATGACGAGGATCTGCGAGGACCCGATCCTGCTTGCAGATGAGGATCTCAGGTCGTTCATTGAGAGTGACTTCGGCTACCAGCCCACCCCTCGACCACGCCGGAAGACCTCCTCCGGCTTCAGCCTCATCCGACGCGGCGTGCCTGATGAGGACGAGGAGTTGCAACGCGCCCGGTTCGAGCTCACCAAGCTGGAGGGGCAGTTCTTCGAGACGGCACGCGCAGTCGACAAACTTGCATTGGCGCGTAAAAGTGAGTGTCAAATGCCTAAGAATACCTGCAGCCGCTCACAGTTGCGCAGCCCTCGCAGGAGCTCACTCGGAAATGGGCAACAAACTCATCAACGTCGCGATCACTGAAGCCCACCCTCCCCTTGCCAATGCCTTCCGCAAGATTGGTCGGACATGGCACAGCGTTGCTGACCTCGATCAGGCGCAAGCTATAAGCGAGTGCGTTGTAATCGGCGACTCCCTTGGCTACCAAGGCATGAACGCGCGGTCGGCCAAGGAGACGCTCCAGATGCGCACTGGAGTGTTGGAGGAATATCAGGCCGCAGTGAAGACGACTATCTCGAAGCGCAGGCAGATTGAGCGCTTAAAGGCGAGCTCGAATATCCGGCCAGACAAGGTCGACGACGCGCTCGAAGACATGGAGGAGGTACGTCTTGCGCATGTTGTCATTGCAGCAGTGTACTGACGAATGCTTCAGGCAAATAAGTACGAGCAAGTACTTGCCCGGCGAGCGGAAGGCATCTCGCAAAACTTGCATCGCGCCCTGGAAACCCATAACCGCTACGCGAACGACGACATCATGACCGCGCTCATCGAGCATGCTCGATCCTCCATCATGTATGAACGTCAGCTCCTCCGAGAGCTGGAAGCCCTGCGTACGGACGTCAACAACGCAGACAAGCCCGCGCCTCCCACGACAAATGGTGTCCCGCGCCCCACCATTATACCCCCCTTGGAGGACTTCTCAAAGCCACCAGTACCCCCTCCGTCAGCGCCTGCGACATCGTCGCGCATGCCTCCTCAGATACAGACCCCTCCGCAAAGCGCGTCCATAGGTCCCAGCCGTGCAGCTTCAATCTCCGCGCAGCCATCTCCGGTTCGTCCATCGTATCCGGAACCGCCCTCGTCTTCAGCTTCGACGACGGGTATATACTCGAACGAGGCGCCGCCCTCGCCATCACCGTCGGGTCCTGCCGCGCGCGCTGATCCGTTGCTGTCGACTCCAACGCCGACGCGCGCTGGCTCCAGCTCGCAACCACCCCAGTCGCCCGGCGCCGGGCCCTCCTCCCCGTCATCGCTCACCCCTGCTGTGAGCCCGCGCCCTCAGCAGGATGGTCCCCCACTTGGCGGCCGTTTCGATGGCACGAAGTCCATGTTCGTCAAGCCCTCGCCCTCGCCGCTTGCCTCCGGCCCGCCGCTCTCTGCATCCGCCATCGTGCAGCACCCGAGCGCCGTACCCGGTCCCCTAGGTCCCCTCGGCGCGCCAACCACCACCAATGGCGCCTCCGACCCACTCCTCGGGGCCCCTCTTGGCGGCGGCAGCACCGTCCCTTCCAGCTCCGGGCAGCACCCCGCCTCCCTGCAGAACGGGTTGGACCCCCTAGGCCAGTTCAAGCCCGCCTTCGCATCTGCATCGGTGCGCGTGAACCCTGGGCGCCCGCGGCTAGACGCAAAGGAGGCGGCGAGCAAGTTGGCGAATATGTTTTAGGGGGGGATAAGTAGAGTACGGTTCAGGATAATGTTGTGATGGTTTCAACCCATGTTTCTTGTGTTGTACCTATTTACTACTACTGCAGGAGGATGGAACGACTTTGACATGCGTAAGCTCGAGTGTGAAAGTAATCTGGCTTGAAGATGTGCAACTTCGAAGCCCTCGACGCAGGTAAACCAGAAGAAAATTCGCTGTTTTCGTATAAATTACGGCCGATGTACATCCCTAGCATCAGGCCAAGTCCATTCAATGGTTCCCATTCGATGTATACCGTGGTACCCATACAATGCCCGAAAGTCCGTGTACAAAGCGAGTCTGATAGCTGAGAGTAGGAACCTGTAACTCTCGAAGCATGTCCGTTGGAATAGCAAGTGATCGAGCGCGTATAGTAGCGGGCGAGCACGTAAACGCGGTGGCCAGCAGGCGAGCGAGTGCAGCAGCAAGTACAGTCATGCAGCTGCAGGAGCAGAAAGCAACCACACACGTCACCAGCAACCGCGCGTACGTAGTCATTAAGGTGGGCGGGAGGATAGCATGCGGATAGGCCGTATAGACAGGACGAAAAATTAATCGTGTGCAAGTACGGAAAGTCTGCTTAGCGGTGGAATAGCGGTGCGATGACTGTCACATAAAGCGGGGTGGGATGGGGCAGGCAGGGAAAGTGGGGGAGGGGGGACGAACGGAGCGGCAGACCAATATATAACGAGCAGGTTGGCACGCTTAGGGCGCCGCGCAGTCGGGGATCGTCAGGTCCTTGAGTTGGCGGCTAGAAAGCTTTAGCATCGTGTGCATCGTGCAGGACTGAAGCAACGTACTCCTTCGTGAAGAGACCCCACCAGCCCTCAACGCCGCCGTACATCTCATCCTTCCACTCCTCATCGAAGAACTGATATGCTCCGTCAGCAATGTGTGTACCATTAAGTGTTCAGTAAGACTCTACACTGACCTCGAAAAAGAAGTAGCCAGTGTTGTTGGCGTTCGCTTGGCAGACAAAGTCGTCAAGGAAGATCTGGAAGCTAGGTCAGAGAGAATGTCGAAAGGCTCATTACTTCTAGGCCCACCTGAAGGTTGGCCACGGATGCATCGCTAGCACCGTTGTTGGCATTGCCCTCGTCAGACGATTTCTGTGGGTATATTCAATCTGTGTCCATAGTATAACCGTGCCAAATTCCTCACCGTCGGCCAGCCAGTCTCCGCAATGTACATCTGCGGCTTGTTGCTCAGCTGCGACGCGGGCTCGACGTTGGTTTCCTCGAAGAACGAGAACACCCATGATGCTGCGTCATCCGCCGTGGTGTTCGCGAACCAAGCGTGAACGTTCGACATCTGGAAAAAATGAGCTCGATGCCCACTAAGCGTCACCAATAGGAATACGCACGCCGTAGTCAACGCTCTCAAGGACCTGGTCGTTGAAGTAGCTGCCCGCATCAGAGTTGCCAACCGGGAGGTCGACGCCAAGGTCGCTCAGCATCTGCTTGGTGTCATCGATGTCGGCGATGAGAAGCTTGGCGCCCGCGTTGCCGACAGAGTCATTGGGGTCCGTGCCGCCATTGTCGTTGAGGTAGCTGCACCACTCATCAGCTTGTAGTCCCTCCTACGAGCAGGACGCGCGCTTACTTGAGGATGTACTCGTTGCCCACGGTGATGCCCGCAATATGGTCCGTGCCGTAGGTCTGGATCGCCTCCTTGAGGGTATCACGCTGGCGCGTATACGCGTCCGAGTCGCCAGGAACGTCGTAGTTGGCGAGGTACACTTGCATACTGCAGGCCACGAGTCAACTCATTGAGGTTTCAGCGGGCACAGAAGCACTTACTCGACCTTGGTCTGCTGGATGGCCTCCAGCTGTGAGAAGCAATTCAATGCTTAGATCAGGCTGCAAGGAACTCGGTCTCGAGGACGTACCACAAGCGCCGACTGGTTGCAGTCCGCGCCATACAAGCGCACACGCTTCGTTAGCTGCGACATAAGCTGCGCAACGTGTCAATCGGGAATCTCAAAACGACGGCTTTCTCTGCCCACCTGGATATCCTTGATGACATTCTCTGCGCGCCACATTAGCCTGCAAGTAGCCTGTCTGACACGTCGCGCTCACCAAGCGTAGCGCCACAGTTCGGCATGATCGAGCCCTCCGGCGTGTAAGCAATGCCGTAGAAGGACTGGTGCAAGCGGTCGTCCTTGACGAAGTTGGACGGGTCGCTGCCGACCGAGTCTGACGACTCGGGGTTGGTCGCTCCGCCCTTGCTGCCAGAGGAAGAGGACTTGTTGTTGCGCGAGAGACCGACACCAAGACCGACGGCCAGTGCGATGATCACGACGAGGGCGACGACACTGCCGATGACCTGGCAGCACAGCCCGTTAGCCCAGCACAACCGCATGCATACGAGCACAACGCACGATCTTCTTCGCCCGCCGCGAGCGCGCCTCGCTCTTCTCAAGCGCTGCGGCCATTCCGCTCTTGTAGTCCGACATGTTGGGTGTGTGTACGCGCGCGATTAATCGAGAGGTGTACGGGGAATGGGACGCTGAAGGAGTGACGGGGACGTTCGTGGACGGATCAAGAGTTGGAAAAGGTGAAGGAAGACAAAGTCAAGAGGTGAAAGAGCAACAGAAAGCTTTCGGGTCTCGACCGGTCGCAGGAGACGAGCTGGCCAAGCAGCTAAGATATAAAAGGGCAGGGGGAGGGAACAAGCCGTCGAAACACACCGCATGTCAGTATTCATATCACCCGTAGCGACCGGATCGGCGACGCCTCGCCGGCCGAGTCCCGAGGATTCATCGAGCCTCCCCTCGAGATCATCGAAGGTCGTACAAGCCACAGAGAGCAAGTCTAGTGAGCTGGCTATTGTGGACGAGAGTGGAAAGTGCACGATTAATTTGCGCAGTAGCGCCTACTGCGCTTCGGCAGGGTGGAGAAGCCGCGAAGCGGGCCATGCACCGGCGCCAGAATAGGAAATATTCTGCCGTGGACCCACAACGCGAAGGCGGCGATGGTGCATTGTTCAGACGAACCAGAGTCATATTTGAGTGAAGTACAGTGCCTAAGGGTCTACACGAGGGATCAAGGATCCGATTCGGGGTACCGACGAAGCGCAAAGTTTCCGTTACAGCAGCAGAAAGACAGCGTCAGGCAGAATGATCTCGAGCAGCCCACACGAGGAGACAAGATAACAAAGAGACAAATTGGTACATTAGCTTATACAGCGACCTACCCAACGACCCAGCATTCCATGCAATTCATGCGAGTGATGTTTATTGAAATGGATGACCGAGAGCTCCTTTACTGCTGCTTGCACTCCTCGGGGTTGACGTTGCTGCCAGCACCCTTGCCACCCTTCTTGGCCGGACGTCGCCTTGATGGGAGGTCGTCATCATCGTCATCGTCAGTCTCGTCCGACCCCTCCGTCTCGTAGTCATCCTCGTCTTCGGACTCAGAGTAGTCGTCAAAGGCAAGGGCCTTGCCAGTGAAGTAGTCAATGGCTCGCGGGACAACCTTGGTTTCCGTCAGCGCGTGAACCCCGATACAGAACTATAGGTGAACTGACCTTCTCTTTGATGTCCTCGCCAATCTGGTAGTCAATCTCCAATCGCTCGTCAATCTCCTCCATCGCCTCAGCCTCTTCTTCGGTCTTATATCCAAATCAGCATATGGAACTCGGCACTGGGTAAACGACCACTCACCTGAGCCTGGTCAGAGTTGGGCGGGAGAGGCGGGTCGAAGAAGTTGAAGAATGACTGTGTGGGCTTCGCCTTGCGCACGAGACGTGTACGATTGGTGCCTGCCAGCTCATTAAGCGCCTTGTCACTTGAACATTCGTGCATCAGAGCTCACTCTTATTCCTTTGCCTCTTGACCTCCCACTCCCTGGTAAGATCCATGTCTTCCTCCTTCCAGTCGATCTTCGTCCCGATCGCCTTGTCGTAGACTGATATATCTTCAGCGCGACGCTCATGGTGCTGATTTGGCGGAAAACTTACTCCAGTCGCCCAGATCATCGACAGTCGGCTGGTAGAAGTAGGTCTTCACCAGCACGTCATTTGAGAAGTACGGGTTCTCTGCGGCGTTGAAGTAGAACAATAGGCTATACCCCGGACTCGAGGCAGACTCCTCGGGTATTGACACCAATTTCTTGAGTTCTGGAAAGGTTAGTGAGTAAGTGCCGGCGCCGCTGACACAAGCGCATTCCCGCACCTTCGTCAGTATCTTTTAACGGCAAGTTGGCCACGCGGATATCCGTTAGCCACTTAAGCGCCTCCTCATCGCGCTCAGTAATGAGCTCCATGAGGCCCGGATGTGTGCGGAGGGCATTGAGCCAGAACGAGGGGATCGCAGAGGGTCCTGTGACGACGTCAGACACGCGTCGGCTCGCCGCGATGGCCAACATACCCGCTTCGCCCTCGACGACGGACTCCTTGTAGTCCTCATCCTCCTCCTTGAAGAGCTCCGCGCCCTTCTTCACCTCATCCTCCTTCGGCGCGGCCGCACCGGTAATAATGGCCTTTCTGCGGTCGTACAGAGGCTGCTGAAGCGCGTTGTACTACACGATCGGCCATCTTCATCAGCATCTCGATCGCGATGGGACGCGACAGCGCTCACCTTCCGCTCGAGCTCGAGCGCCTCCCACTTGAACTTGTTGAGCAGCGCGTCCTGCTCGGTCTGAATGCCCTTCAGCGCCTCGACGCTGCGCTTGACATCGTCCGGCAGGCTCTCGACGTAGCCGCTGCTCGCGCCCACGAGCGAGCCGAGGCGGCTCGTCACCATCGACTGCAGCGCGCCCGCGACCGCGCTCCCCGACAGCCCCGCCTCGGCCTCCTCGCCCTCGGCGTCCTCGCTGATCGCGGCGACGGTGGGGCGGGAGAGCCCACTGGTGATCGGGGCGTGGTTGAGGGGCGTGTTCTGGGGAGTGGGCGCGGTGATGTTGGAAGAGGACATGGGGATGCCCGCAGGCTGGTCACTGTCGCTGGACGAGGCCATGGTGGTCACAGTCTAAGAAGCGTTCGAGCGATCACCCAACGTCAACCCTCGACCCAAAATCGGATCTCCTGCTTGGACAGTCATGCGGTCATGTGCGCTCGCTGGATCATGTTGAAGTTGAACTTTGCGCGATTCGATCTCGATGACCGGGTTGGAATAGCCATGATACGAGTCGAGTAGCATACTACATCGCTCGTTGTACGAGGAATATATAACGACATTTACCCCTCATATAAAGTGCATAACATGCAGTTGTCCTCTCCTCTCCCTATCGCGCACAAGTGCCATCACATGTAACATCCCCGAAATACTTGACGCGAAAGAAGAAGGTGCGTTCTGCGCTTGTATCAATCGCAAGTTTGGGAAGACGTCGGACAGGAACAGGGCGAGGGAGACCATAGTCGGTGGTTGCGACAGTGCATCGCCATCGGGTCCCACTAGAGACAAGTTGCGCAGACGTCCTTGCACGATGCCCCTACCAGGGTGAGCTTCGAGGGAAGTGAGAAGCGGCGATGCATTCAGCGGCATGGCGAGGTGCTCTAGCCGTGGACAATGGGAGGCAAGGGATAGCAAGGATTCTGGGGTGATGCGAATAGCGGGAGGGGTCAAAGACTCGGCGGTCGATTGGTCGTTCGGGGTCATCCCTACGCGGGGTATCATTCTTAAGGACTTGAGCAAGGGCAGGGCCTTGGCGATAGTATGCATCTGGTAATCGCTGAAATCCGCATATCCAGGCCAAGTCAAGAACAGCGTCTCTAGACGACTGAAGACCAGAAGAGGACGTATATGGTTGAGAGCGAGGCTGTATAGGTTGTCTTGAGGAGTATAGTCCCCCAAAGACAGGTTAGACAGCTGTTTGGCACCACAACCACGTACGACCGCAGCAACGAGCAGTGAGAAGTATCGCTCAGGGTGCCCCTCCGATAACATAAGATAGAAAATGTTCAGTTTTTGAAGGCTCTGAGCATGTTTGAGCATCCCTATAAGCGGTAGAACGTCGCGAAGGTTCGCCATGCCAGAGAAGTCTATGAGTGCAGGGAAGTAGGGGCCTCCATCAGCCCTGCATGAAATGTTCATCAAGGTCGAAACCTCTACTGAGCGCAGAGCAGTCAGCTCGGAGAGTGCATGCATGCATGCTCCCGAAGCATGATGCAGAGAAACCCTTTCAAGGGCCGGGCATGAGCGGACCAAGGACGATACAGCTGGGTCCAGTTGAATTGCTTCGTCGCGGTTGTTATTCTTGATCGAGAGTCTCTTAAGTGTAGGTATCGCCAGAGCTGGAAGTGTCGCGACGAACGCGGAGCGCAGATGTGCAGGGACATGGTCGCTGACCGTAAGACGTACAAGGACATTGGACAGGATGAATGGAGTTTCTCGTCCCATCGACTGAGGGTCCCGGATATTCCAGTGTAGTTCGGTCGCACGAGGACAGAAGGCGCGACTCATTCCTCTGCGCTGGGTGTATGACGACCAAAGAGACAGAATGTCCTCGGAAAAGTGGACAGCAAGCGCATCGGGTCCTTCACCGCTAGTTGCTGTTGACTTGATGCGAACACCGTACATGGCCACCCTGCACCACTGGTCATCGTCAGGGACATTCCGATCGGGATTCAGCTGGCGAAGCTGATCAGTATGGCCAATGAGTATAGAGCGCGGCCCATACCTCCATAACCAGATACCCATCCTTCTCGGTGAGCCGTACTGTGTTATGGGGCAGGACACTGAGAAACAAGTTGGGTAGTGATCGCTCTTTCCAGAGCGCATTCAGAGCCGATTCGCTGAAGAAGCGACAAGTCCGAGCGAGGGTGGCTTGTGTTTGCGGGGTAGCGTATCCGCATATGAGGGAAATGGTGTATTTGTCCAATCTCTGCAGCGCCGAAAGCATCATGAATGAAGGATTCAAGGAAGGAACGCGACCGTCGCGACGCGTGCGGAAGTGTCACGGGCGTGAGTCCGTGACACGTTGATTTATCCGGCCCGAACATCCGCCCTATAGGTGCTTGAGTGTCTCCGCCTATCATCGAGCTATCTACTTCATCGCTCAACTAGCTATGCATCGAGCTCTGCAGATCCCAGAGTTGCTCTCCTTGATCTGCAAGTATGCGGACTCACGCTCGAAAGCCGACCTCGCCCAAACATGCCGCTATCTCCTCGAGCCCGTGCTCGACGAGCTCTGGGCGCTGCAGATCGCGGACACTGCAATCCTCGGTGTCCTTCCCCCCGATTCGATAGTAACAATGGAGGACGAAGACGATGTCACATTGGTAGGTCCCTGCAAGTCCTTGTTTTCGTCGATCCGACTGAATGGCGCTGCATAGGAATTTATGCGATATACGCCTTCAGACAAAGAATGGGACAGGATCTACTACTACACGAAACGCGTGCGCGTACTCAACGTCGAGCTGAATCAGCGGAACGGGTGCCCACCCCAATTCGCGCTCTCCGACAACTTCCTCCGTCAATGGATGAAGTACACACGGAAACGGGGGATAGGGCTGGCTCTGTATCCAAACGCTACCGACGTTTACTGGACGGTCGAAGGCCCGCAGTCCTTGCAACGCGATCAGATGATATGGCTTCCCCCCGGGATTACCTGTCTGACACTAGATCTCAAGTCTCTCAACAAACACTCTGCGCTCACGTTGGCGAATGCGTTGAACCCCCTCGCTAGGCGGAAGCTCGCGTCCTTGAGAAAGCTTTGGATCCAACAGCTCATGATTCGCCCCATGGAAATGTCGGCCCTCGAACCTTTGATGCGCTCTTGTCCTGCCTTGAACGACGTCGGCTTCCTCAACACGACACCGGACTGCGTGCGGCAGCTCGCCACATTTCCCAATGTACGGCATCTGAACATAGGGAATGTCGCTCTGTACGGGTCGAGAATGAATGTCCGAAACAGAGATGATCTTCCAGACCACAGCCGACTGGATGAAGGTATCCTTTCTTTCTGGCGCCAGCTCTGCAGTTCACTCCCTCTCGAGACCTTGCGCGTGAGATACCGTCCGCACGCTCTTCTACCCGCCGATGTTCTCGTGCCATTCTTCCAAATCTTCGGCCAGTCTCTCAATCCCGCCCTGATAACCAGCCTGCGCCTCATCGCGCTGAGCGCCCGAACTCGCAGCCCGGCCATCCTATCACATGCCGAGATCGACCACGAGCTGACGCGCGACCACATCGCCCCACTCATGGCGCTGCGCAATCTTCGCGAGCTCGAGATATCCCCACGCGGATGGGTGAACGTCGACGATGCGGACGTACTCGCGTTCGCGCAGGCGTGGCCTCACCTAGAAGAACTACGCTTCAGTGGAAGGCTTTCGCGCACGTATCCGCCGCATGCAGAGAATGAAATCCCTATTCGGACGACGATGGCAGCGTTGTACGCGCTCGCCACCCACTGCCCTCGTCTGCGCGTGCTCGAGCTGTCTTTCGACGCGTCCACCGTTCCTCCCAGTCCCATCACCACTCCCGTGGTCCAACATGCACTCAGAGAGCTATTTCTTGGGGGTACAGAATGGCAGGATAGCCAAAGGCTCGCCGAATTCCTGCTGTCCGTGTTTCCCCAGCTACGCGAAGTCGACTCTCACGCGTCGCACTGGATGGAGATGCGCGAAGGCGTTATAGACATATTCAGTCGTCCTGGCCCCGCGCAGCAGAGATTGCGCGAGCTGAGGGAGCTGGTATCGCCAGGGCCAGCGGCGCCTATATCGTAGTTGGAGCTGAGGCTTCGTAGGTTTGATATCTGTGCCACCCCCAGTGAAAGGCTGCCTTCGGACGTAGTACAGATGTACAAAAGGGTTTGTGAAACGGATTGTGCTCCACTTCTGTGCCCTTCGGCATCTTAAACTGTCCACTCCCCTCCCCTCGTAAATTTCTGAACACCCTTGAAGCTTCTAAGATTGTATTTACAAGTCGATGAATTCCAAGAGAGCGTGCATAGCCGATTCGGCTGCGTATATACTACACATACGGCGCACGTATGCTGGCCGAATTCGGGTACTGAATGTACATACAGAGTCCGAGGCGAGGGTTAAGGATACAGCGCCCGATGAAAGGTACGCATACAGAGATCGTGAGGAGACGTGATCATGGAGAACAATGCATGAGATACTCAGCGAAGGTCATTCGTGAGACGCCACCTTGGGGCGGTCATCCGTATACTGAATGGGTGTCCTGGAGCGGTCGTGAGAGGGAGGGTTCTGGCACCTCGACAATCACGAGGGTCATGGGGTGGCTTATGGGAGATCGTCGGTGCTGCCGTGTTGGGTGTCGGCGCTAGAGGTCGGTCAGCTACCAATGGGAAGGGCAACTGACAGGCGAACGCACCTGCGCGATGAGATCACAGGCCCTCAATGAAGCGCGTGCCGCTCTCGAGCGACCGCATAGACTGCATGGACTGCACCGAATGTGCTGATTCGGTGGAGAAGGGTCGGCTTGAGGGATGAGGCCTGCGCGGCGCGGACTCTTCTCGCCCGGTGTAACCTTCCATTGGCTGAGGGGAGTGCGACCGAGGAGTAGCATCCCCCAAGCCGGGAGGTGTCGCCGTCTCTCTCGTCTCGGAGTCGTGAATATGTACGGAGGACTCGGATACGGTGGTCGCATACGAGCCCTTCGGTGGCCGAAAGGGCGTGTCGCGTGGGGTCCCATCGTACGCGGTGTCTTTGCCATTGTGGCGGAGGTCGCTCGTGTCGTCGTCCCACTCATCGCCTGCCGCTTGCACGAAACCACGCATGCGCGTCGCCTCTTGGTTGCGCTTGCGTCCCTGGACGAGACGGCGGATGCGATCGAGGACCGATGGGGAGGGTGTAGTGGTCGACATATCAGTAGCCGCGCGGTACTTGAAGTCGTATGCCGAGGCAGGGAGCTGGGTGTGTCGGTGGCGGCGCGCGCGACGTTCCTCGTCAGACTGGCTGTGGTCGCGAAGGAGGATGAAGACGGCGGTGCAAAGCACGACGACGACCACGGCAAGAACAACCACAAGTGCGATGAAGCCTGAAGGAAAGAGGTGAAATCAGCTGCCGCCCGGGTTTTGTTCCTCGTCCAGGAGCGGGGCGGGGTGACAGAAGCGGTCCCTGCGGAGCACGCGGTACGCACCTCCCTCTGAGCCGCCTATTTTGGGTGTGGCGCGCTTCAATGGTGGGGGTGCGTTTGTGACCTGAATGAACATGACTGGCGGGCTGCGTGGGGCGGGGGCTGGCTAGTTGCGCATCCGCAGCAGCTGGCGATGGGAGAATGCGGGCCAACCAAGTCCCAGAGCAGAGCTTGGAGCGTCGAGGAGAGAAGCAAGAGACGAGCCAGCTTCCGTCGCACGCATTCTGTACCGGCGCACGCTTCCCCGCATCCATCCACGTGCATGACGTCGCCGGGGAATCAAGTGACCTCCGCCACTCTCTTCGCACGGTCATGACGCTCGCAGGCATCAAAGTCGTCCTGTTCGACTTGATGGGCACCTGCGTCGACTGGAAGTCCTCCATCGTCGCCGCCCTCCACGACTGCCCGCACGCACTTGGCCTCCATCCGAACGACTACGAGGTGCTTGCGACCGACTGGCGCGCCGGCTTCTTCGAACGCATCCTAGCGCTCTCGGGCCAGCAATCCCCTGACATTGACGAAATACACCGCGACGTCCTGAACGCGCTTCTCGCTGATCGTGGCGTGTCAGAAGACGACTGGGACGCGGACGTCCGCGCGCGTCTCGTCGCTGCCTGGCACCATCAGCTACGTACTCAAACGCCTCAATGTCTGCCCTGAAGCCCACCTGACTGCTCGCTAGCCTGGCCGGACAGCGCCAATGGTCTGCGCAGGATTTCTGCGAAGTATCCGGCGTGAGCTACCCTCTACAGGCGAGCTTCCAGGCGGCTAACGCCCTGTAGCGTCGTCTTGGCGAACGGTACGACCAAGCTGCAGCTCGACATAGTTCGCTCTGCTGGCATCCATTTTGACGCGCTCTTCTCGTCGAAGCTACTTGGATATACCAAGGTCAGTTATGTAGCTTTACGAAGGGCATCTTGGACCAACTCACGACAGCCTGATCCACGGATCTACGAGAAGGCGCTCGAGATGCTGGAATGCGCACCCACGGAAGCGGTCATGGTTGCCGCTCACGCATACGACTTGCGAGCCGCTAACAAGCTGTTTGTCTTTCCCTGCGACCTCTGCATGCTTGCTCACCCCGGCCAGTGGCATCCGCACGATATACGTGCGGCGTTCGACGGAAGACCCGACTGAGGACATGGACGCTGTCCGCCATGACGTTGACTTCTTTGTAGACGGCACGATAGGCGACGGCCTGTGTGAAGTCGCAGCGCTATTAGGCTGCTAATCGACAGGCAATCGACACATATCTCAACGAAAGGTAGAGCGCAGTAACGGTGGTTGGAAGCAAGCTCGGCCTTGACGGAAGAAGGGCCCTACTCCCACCGCATCCGGTGCGGCTACGATGCGCAGCCAGGGGGCTGACGATCATAACCCTCGGAGAGACACGGAGTCCATGTCTTCTATGAACTAATCGCTGTACAAGGTCGTACTCATCGGCCACCAATCCCTGCCGATCTTCATTCCTGGATGCATTTCAGCGATCCCCATTTGGCTGCCCTTGTTCTCTCCCAAAACAGGCATTCCATCATCAAGAATCTGCAAGGTCTGGCCACATTCACACTCAATCGGACTGTCTGCCGATGAAGGGGAGCAGCAGTATCAGACTGGTCGGCCGGGACAGACTTCGCCAGAGGTACGCAGCGACGACATCGAATGAAGGGCATATTTCTGCTGCATATTGCCTGAGAAGTACTGCCCGATAATCAGGAGCTCCCAAGTCTATCAAAACTTGTGAGGCTTACATTCGTGACAACCAGGGGCACTCGATTCAGAATGACCTACCAGAGGGCATGAGATGCAGGAAAGGTCTTCGTTATGACCATATCGCTCACGCCAAAGTGCTTACAACTTCGGTATGAATACAAGACCGCTGATTACATTTGGTATGAGTACTGAACGTACTTTTGCTTCTATGTGAATGATATATATGAGTGATAGCGATGCAATGATAGTCTGAGCTCCAGCACCCACTGCCCGCTGCTGCATCTCCCCTACTCTTCACAGCGCATCTCCGACTATTGCACCAGCGCACCGTCCATCCACAAAGGTAGCATGTGTCCCATCTTCAACACCTTCGTCCGCAAATACTTGTCCAAGTCCTCACCATGAACAGCACCGCCACCGATCAATGTCGCGCCAGCAGGGGCATACTCCTCTTCCCCTGGTGTGGCTGGCAATCCGTCCTCAGCACCGGCAATGGCCGCTGAGCGCGCCTGCCAGCTGCGCGGGACCATGGGGACGCGCTCGACGACGCGCATGCCCTCCGACTCCAGCGCAGCGACCTTGTCCGGGTTGTTCGTGAGCACGCGGACGCCGTCGGCGAGCCCGAGATCGCGCAGGATGGCGCCAGCGATGTCGTACGCGCGCTCGTCCGCACCGTGGCCGAGCAGGAGGTTCGCCGCAACCGTGTCGTGGCCGATGTCCTGCAGGTTGTACGCGCGCAGCTTGCTGAGCAGCCCGATGCCGCGGCCCTCCTGGCGGAGGTAGACGACGGCGCCGCGGCCGGCGCGCGCGATGCGGCGGATGGCCTCGTCGAGCTGCTCGCCGCAGTCGCAGCGCTGGCTGCCGACGGTCTCGCCGGTGAAGCACTCGGAGTGGATGCGGATGAGGGGGGCGGAGGCGGGGGCGGCGGAGGGGTTCCCGGCTTTATGCGAGTCCGGGGTGGACGGGGTCTGAGTGGAGGGGGATAGGCGGCCGACGTATGCGCCGCGGGTGATGCGGTCCATTGGTGTCTCATTGGGGGACCAGACGGCATCGAGAGAGCGAGAGCGGATGGGTGGCACGGAGGGTGGGTCGTCGGAGAGCTGGGCGGGGTCGACGACGAGGGCGAGGTGCTCCTTGTTGTCGCGGTTGTTGTGGTAGAGGTGGAGGAAGGCGGGGCCGTGTGGTGTGGGGATGCGGGCGCGCGCCATGCATTTGACTTCAACGGGAGGCAAGTCTTCAGTAGCAGGTGGGGTGGTGACTCCTGCGGCCTTGAGCTCCGCTTTTAGCTCCTCCGCATCGGTGGGTGTCTGCTCTGTCGCCACGGCGTTGTCAGGTAGTGGCTCCGCCTGCTCAAGCCCAAGGCGTTGACTTCGGGGGGCTTGCCGGCTCACATACCGCAGACGTGGCTTCTCCTCGTCCTCCTCCGTTTTCTCCGCGCCCTTCCACTTGCTCCAGTCCCAAGCCCCTTCGGCTTGCGGAAGGGAAACTCCTGGAAAGAAGTCGTGCGCATAGTGGTTTCGCGTGACGTGCGGGCCTACTGAGGCGGCAGCGGCCAGCAGAAGGGGGTCGAGCTCGGCGTCGCGCCGCGGAAGAGAGCGTCGGCGGCGGATGTCGGCGGGATTCGCAGGCCCAGTAAGAAAGTCAAGCAGGGCGGCGTCGGCGGCGAGCTCAGGGTGGTCGTGCATGATGAGTATAAGTTAGAGGGCTCTAGTGAGGTACTGGATTCGACAAGAGATGTGGGGGAATACAAGCTGCAGATCGCAGTGATTAAAGCATGTGCGAGAAACGTCCGGCTGAGTGAGCCGATGTGCCGGATCTAATCTCACGCGAGCGCTGTCCCGTAAGCGCTGACATGGCATCGCGCGGACGCTGACCTGCCCGCCATCCGCCGTGTACGGTGGACAACTCATCAGGCTTACGACGACGTCGGGCAACGATTGGATCGCAGGGCATCCTTGTACGTCGGGTTACTGAATGCAGATAGTCTCTTTGCAAGGGGGAAGGGGAACTCGATCAAAGCTTCGACTTCGGCCGCACAGATTCCAGCCCTCCTCGCAGCTCGGCCGACAGCGCTGCACTATTTCGCGACTTGCTGTCGACAAACACGTGCGTGTAGCCTCCAACTGCGGCTGGCTCGTCCTTTCCCTGCTCGAAGACGCCCACCTCGTACTCGACTGAGCTACGTCCTAATTGCTTGACCTGCATACCCAAGTCTAGCACCTGTGGGAAAGATACTGGGCGAAAGAACTATACAAATGAAGGGAAGTCGTCGGCTTCTCAGATCGCTGGGAGGGGAGGCGTGCGCTTACCTGGCATTGCGACTTCACGACTAAACCGATGAGGGGAGATGAGGACGGTTCGATGCCACAGCGCTCAGAGAGAAAGGCATTTATGATGGAGTCGAAGAGGTGGTAGTATATCGAATTGTTCATATGGGCATACTGGTCGTTGTCGCTCCTGCATGCTCTCAGCATCTCTACAAGGGAAGGACGGGACGACAAACCATCGTGTCCGGTATTCCAGGAAGAAAGGGTAGTCCGCTCTTCGCCGCGTCCTGAGATCTTCTGTGGCCATTGTGAAGAAGCAAGAGAGCCAAAAGACGGCCGTTAGGTCACCTGCGAAGTTCAACTATGCCCACGTGAGATACGGCTATTGCCGAGTTCCCCATTCATCCCGCTCCCAGCATGAGCATCTTGGCCTTCCACATAGCGCCTTGCCTCGACAACAATCGTATGCAGCGTCTTCTGTCCCACTGAGTAAATTGACCACGAACAATGGCAGAGGTTCAACAGGAACCGGGCCTATAAATAGGCGCCGCCATATCGAGCGGTGACCTCACAGCGGAGTGAAACTGGAAGCGCTGGACGCCGTGAGCGCGGTGGACTGTCATTCTGAACGCTTCGATCTCTACCTTCTCACCTCCCCCCATCATGACCGACTACGTACGCCGACTTGTATCAGGAAACAAGGCTCGTTTCAAGGACAAGAAGCTCGATGTAGAGCTTGGTGCGTGTACGCGATCTCCTCAGTATCACAGCGCTCACGCGGGGTGCAGATCTTGTATACCTGACGGACCAGGTGATCATCATGGGCTACCCTGCATCTGGTGTCGAGGGATGGTACCGTAATCCACGAGAAGACGTGAAGAAGTTTCTTGGTGCGCTCAGCTCAATATCTACGCGATGCCAGTCCGATCTAATCACTCGCTTTCAGAACATCGTCATGGGAAGAACTACTGGATATTCAACTTCTGCCCCCTTCGCGAGAATTCATACGACGCGTCGTACTTTGACAATCGTGTCAGCCGGTTCCCCTTCCCCGACCATCAGTATGTGGTGGCCTTGACGTGTTACGATCTACAAGTGTACTCATTCAGATATGTAGCGCGCCACCGTTAGCCATTCTTCCCCTCGTAGCCCGAGAGATACACGCTTGGCTGGATGGGTCGAAAGAGAGGGTTGCTGTGTTGCATTGCAAAGGTATGTTCACTCCGAGTGCATTTGGATATACGCTCAATACGCAACCCCAGCTGGCAAGGGACGTTCGGGCACGATGGCATGCGCATACCTCCTCACCCTGCATAAGGAGCCTTCAGCACCCGAGCTCGAACGCAGCTACACCGCGAAGCAGTGGGCCAAGCTGCGCGCCGACGACACCATGAAGGTCGTGCCAGACGATGTCGACAGCGACAACGAAGAAGCAAAGGCAGTCACTGAATCAGAGCTCGCTACTCCTTCGGAGGTCAAGGATTGGTCGAGCAGCGGTGCATCCTCTATATCTTCAGCGACTCCGAACGGCAACGAGAAGGCAAGCACGGATAAGCCTACAGATTCCAGCGCGCCGCCAAAGTCCTTCACCGACTCGCTGAAGGGTGTACTTGACTTGCACACCGCGCGACGCATGAAGCCCGCTGAGTCGGGCAAGAAGGTCAAGCAGGGTGTCAGCATCCCGTCGCAGCGGCGCTGGCTCTACTATTGGGCGCTCCTTTTGTCGAATGAGGCGCCCAAGCACCTATGGCCTCCGCTCGGCGCACCCGCTGCGCCGCCGCCTCGCGTACGCTTGACGGAGGTCCGTGTTCGGATGACCGAGGAGACCGGCGTCAAGCTCACCGTCGCACGCGCTGCGAATGCGCTGCTTGACCGCGCTGGCGTCGGCTCTGCCGCCAAGAACGGGACGAGCAGCTGCGTCTGGGCATCACTCGCGCGCTACGACGATGACTTCGTGAAGACGCTCGAGGACTGGGAGCGGCATACACGAGGTAATACCATCGGCGAGCGACGAGCGGGGTCGGACCATCTGGGCGACGATGAGCTTCGCTCAATTTTTGCGGATGGGAAGTGGGACAAGGGCAAGATGGTGCGCAGCTTCGCGCGGATGGGTATCCTGGGCGAGGACGCGATCACCAAATCGGGCGAAGGGAAAGAGGAGCGGGTAACGACCTATGCCCTCCGTCCTCTGACCGCCGCATCCTGGGGCGAGGTCCTTCAGGGCTTGAAAGACGGCGGCGACGGCAAGGACGCCGACGCCACGGCTGCCCGCGCCGACATCCCTCGTTCCGAAGCCAACTCCATGCTTGACGTTACCGCCGATGCCCGCGAGCGCGGCATCGTCGTCGACGCCGGGCGCGAAGTCCGCGTCAAGCTCTACATGGGCCAGATCTTCATGGGCTGGTGCTGGTTCATCCCCACCTTCCACATGCCGCAGCCGCCGCCAGGGGCGGGGACCCCGCCGGACGCGACGCCGAGCAGGGCGACGATGCACCTGAGCTGGACTTTCCGATTGGCATTGGGGAGCATTTGGTTGATGTGGATATTGAGATGGAATGGCTGAGGCCGGAGGACGCGGAGGCGGTGCAGCCTCCGGCTAGGGAGGATAGCTTGGAGGAGGAGGAAGCGGGAGAGCCGAAGGGGTTGGCGGCCCAGGCGCCTGCTGTTGTGGCGGGGCGTACGATGGGGGACGTCGTAGAGGCAGGGGAGGCGGCAACGGACTAGGTGTAACTGACGGATAACTACGTTTACTACTGTAAATCACTGCTTCTATAGCTCAGTAAGACCACTGCATTTGGACGATCCTGCTGGAGAGACTACCGGAGTTCAACTATGGGCTCGGGCTTTGCCGACCTCGGTGCTTCGTCCCGATTTGGCGAGGCGCACACGCGTCGCGGTCAGTGACGCGTCCGCGCCCTTCACTCACCTTTTCCTCCTCCTCTGCATCCCCCAGTCGCGCTCAAATACAAACGATGGAGTGCTCATTTGCCTTGACGGGGAAGGACTATGTCATCGTTGCGGCCGACACGACCGCCGCGCGCTCCATCGTGAAGATGAAGGCGGACGAGGACAAGATCAAGACGCTCAGCCCGCATCTGCTCATGGCGTACTCTGGCGAGCCGGGTGCGTGTTCATCATCTTTGCGCGCGATCTCGAAGCTGACCCATGATCTTCCCAACTAGGTGACACCGTGCAGTTCGCCGAGTACGTCGAGCGCAACATCCGTCTGTACCAGATCCGCCACCATTACGCGCTGCGTCCATCCGCGGCTGCATCCTGGATCCGCCGCTCCCTCGCCGAGTCGTTGCGCTCGAGGCACCCTTATTCAGTCAATCTGCTTGTCGGCGGATTCGACACTGCACAGGAGACGGCGCACCTTTATTGGATCGACTATCTCGGTACCTCGACTCCCGTGCCATTTGCCGCGCATGGCTACGGCAGCTACTTCGCGCTTAGTACCTTCGATCGGTGCGTAAATCACCCTTGTGTCTATAGCAAGGATACTGAATGATTACCTCGCAGGTACCATAACCCCGATGCCACGGTTGAGGAGGGGCTCGCGACCTTGAAGCGCTGCATAGATGAGGTCGCGCTGCGTTTGGTTGTCTCGCCGGGAAAGTACAAAGTGAAGATTGTGGACAAGAACGGCATCAGAGAGCTCGAGATCTGAAGCAGTCTCTGTTCTTACTGTATTTCTATTCATCTTGTGAACTTGGGATATCCCGCCAGCTTGACGCGTCATATCATGCAGATCGAGTTATAAGGTAATTTACCTCCAGTACTTCCTCGAGTGCATACGACTTTTGCCTGGCATCCACCATTCCCCTGGATTCGGCCTTTCGAACAGATACGGTATCAACGCGCAAACTGGTCGTTGACGTTGCTGGTGGCACATGATGTGCAGCAACTCAGCAGAGGGCGGCCTCATTATTCGATAGCAAGTCATATTCGAGGGGCTCTAATATCCAACCTTTCCTGCCGTCTCACTTTCGAAACAATAGGCAAAAGCTCCAACAGCTTCTTGTATCCATCATACCCCTCCGGAATTCCCTCTCCTTCCTCCTTGGCCACTTCCGCTTGCAGCTTCGTGTCACTGTCGACTTCATCCAATGCAAGGAATACGTCCGATAGGAACAAGGCGAGAGGCAGCGCTTCGTCAGGCTGGATTATGGTGTGCAGCGTATCAAGCTTCCGTAGCGCGTGCTGCACCAGTCCGCCGCCGGGGCGACCGCCTGAATCAGAGCTTGTCAAGTCCACGGCGTTGAAGGTTATTGCGAGCTCGCGGAGGTTGGGACAATGTCTGGCGATGGACAACAAGCTCTTGGTCGTGGCCCGAGGCACGAAGGGGTGGGCACCCTTCACATCTGTGTCGAACTCGTAGACCGATTCGGTTGGTTTATCCAGTCGAAAGCTCTCAAGCGCAGGCCACGTGGATACCAGCGATTCGATGTCGCTATCGTCGACGTCGGCGTGCCCCCAGACCTCGATGTGCAGGGTTTTCAATCCTCTGAGCGATCGCAGTGCACGGATATGCTCGTACTTCGCCGCGTAGTACGGCACTTCGTCACAGGTCGTGGAGAGGGAGCCCCCCGTTTCGTCGGCGATGGAGAGGTGGGTAAGCCCCACGGGACTGCAGCGCTCGGCCACGAACTCGCAGACGGCCGTCAGCTCCCCAAGGCCATTGAGAGCGTCCGACGGCCGGAAGCCCAGGGTGAGAGTGTCCAGGTTCGGCAGGACATCATCGATTTTGTGCAGAAAATTCATCAGCGCGGCGTGTCGAGTCCAGTTGAAGTATAGCGAGCGAAGGGCGGGGAATGCAGGCTTTGGCAGCTCCTCGTCGAACACCGGCAGGCGCATGATCCTGAGCTCGCGCAATGAGCGCAGAGCGGCCAGCGCCAATATGCGATCCGGGGAGATCATGTGTCGGAGCTCGACTACTTCGAGGGCAGGAGACTGGCGCAGAATCTGCGTTATGGCGTCCTCGATCGTCCTGAATGTCGTACTTGCATCGACCCGAAGCTCCACAAGGGATTTGGATCCCAGCGTCGTGAGCGCAGACGCGAACTCCGGCCTGGGATGCCAGTTTTCGACCGACCGCATGTGCAGTCGAAGTACAGGCAGGCCTGGTCGGATCCACAGAGAGTGTTCGAAGCGCAACTGTTCCTTGTCTAGGACGATCCAATCGACGCGCGAGGTATGTGCGCAGAGGATTTTGGAGTGCTTCAGTTTGTGTTTATGTGCGCAGAGCGTCCACGCTGCTATGACCGTGGGGCATAATCCGACCGCAGAGTCTTCTTCGCCATCTCTGCGACCGATAATAAGCCGCCTTATCCGACGTCCATAGGAATAAACTCGACGCCAGTCAATGGATCTCGGGGCAGGGTTGCAGGTCTACGTTGTCGACGTCAATAATCAGGACGATCATTGCAGTTCGTAAAATATCCAGAGCTGACCATAATTGTATTCTTCCCACTTGGTAAGGGCGTGTGCACGATGCAGGAGGATAACGCATACGTGAGCAGATTATAAGTGGACTGCGTTTCCCAAAGTGCGTTGAGCGCTGGTTCGAGGAGGCCCTTGCATGTTCGCGCCAGACATGCGCGCGAGTACGGAGTCAGAAACGAGCAGATGAGGTATACGAGTTCAGGAATCCTCAAGACGGTGGGTATCATCGGCCTCATACCCCATAAGCGCAGGTCGAGCGCGAGAGGTCGAGTGAGAGATCAAAAGGCGCTTTCTCCATAAGTATACGGTCCACGTGGTCCTTTCAGTCCCTTCCGGGTCACTTTTTTTTTGGCAGGAGTACCTTCTTCTCAACCACCATGTAAGTCTCCTCTTCCTGCGCTGTGTGTTTTCGCGCATCGCAACGTCTGATATGCTGACGAGGGATTGCAAAGAGCTCTGTCATCTAGTACGCGTACCAGGAGCTCGTACGCAGGAGAGGGCTTAGATCCAAGGGGATCATTGTGTTGACTAATACGTGACGGTTTCCCGGGCTGGAACCACCTTGACAACGCCAGTTCCTTGTATACATTGTATAAGAGTTGATCAAGCTGAAGTGAGTGTAAACTGTTGTCCTATGATCAAGGAGAAATTTGCTTGTTCGATTCCATGCCAACAAAGCCCTTCCATCGCGATCTTCATTGCGTAGACGCCCTCTCCTGCTGTCGAATCTCCCTCGCGAAAGACAGCATCTCAAGTAGCTTATCCCAACGGTCCAATGCCTCCGGCACCTCGTCCTCGTCATCCATTATTTCTGCGTCTCGCTGCACATCCGACGTAACGTGCTCGAGTGAAGGGAACACATCCGACAAGAGCGACGCAAGCGCACGCGTGCTTTCATCTGTCCAGATGCTTCCGCCTATGTCCATCTTGTAGAGCGCGCTCTGCGTCAGCCCATGTCCGGGACGGCCTTCGGCTGCAGCGTAGTTTGACGCGTCAAAGGAGAAGATGAGCTCGCGAAGGTGTGGGCAGCGCGAGGCGATCGTCAACAGGCTCCCAGGTGTCGCGCGTATGGGGAAATCCGTCCGTAAGGAGTGCGAGTACGTCCTCTCGAGGGTGAGTTTCTCCATGTGTGGCCATGCTGATACCAGCTCCTCCACCTGGCTGTCGTCGAGATCAATGTATCCCCAGGGTACGATGGCGAGCTCCTTGAGCGCAGAGAGCGCACGGAGAGGGCGGATGTGTTCGAACTTTACGGTGTAGAATATAAGGTCTTCGTCGTTCTGATACGTCGCCCAGTATGTCTCGTCCAGAATCGAGAGGCTGGAGAGGCCAACAGGATTGCAATGCCGGGCGATGGCATCGCACAGTCCGGCGAACTCATGGGGCCGGCGTCGTGCGATAGATGCCGTGGGCTGTGTGTAGGGGTACTGAAAGGCTATGATGAGACTTCTGAGATTCTGCGCGCCGCCAAGCTTGCGAAGGAAGTATACGGTCTGACTGTGCGATGCGAGGGGGACATTCAGGTCGCGCAGCGCGCCGAACCCATTATCGTCCACCTTGTCATCGAGACCGAAGAGGCGATCAATGTATAGCTCGCGCAGCGCGGGTAGGGCTGCAAGCGCTTTCACGCAGGAAGCGGAGGCATAGGGCAGGTAAACGACCTCGAGGGCAGTGGCGATGCGAACCACGTTCGCCAGGGCGGACTCGAGCAACAGACTTTTGTTGAACAGGTCATCCACCCGAAGCTTCACCAGCGAAGGACTGGCGAGAGTCTCCAGCGCGTGCGCGAACTCGGGTGGCGCTTTGTCTGTGTTTCGCATGACCAAGTGGAGCGAGGGCAAGTCTGGCCGTAGCCAGAGTAGGCCTTCGAGCTGCATGGCGTAGGCATCCAGGTCCTTCCAGTAGACGTGTGCGGCGCGAGGGCACAGCGATGTCCCTACAGAAGGTTGACTTCCCGTGAACCCCGCCCAGGCGTACACCACAGCGGGAGATAGTCGAAGTGCGTAGTCAATCCAGCCGACAGTGTGCTCGACCCTGAGACGCTTTATGCGGGCGCCGTAGAAGGCGAGTCTGGCCCATTCGGTATCTGTTGGTGCTCGATGCTGTGGACGAGTTGTCAGTCGAGTTGTGGTTGCGAGGCAACAACACAAGACTAACAAAGTTGACCTGGTACAAATCTGTGTCTGGTATCCGAACGATGTCGAAGACACCTGGAAGGATCCTTGAAAACAGCTCAGACGCCGTCCGTCTCTCCCAGAGGGCATCGAGCGCAGGCACGAGGAAGGCCCTGCAGGTGCGCGCAAGACGGGCGTGCGAGCCATGCGTCGCGAACGAGCATATGAGTGTGACGAGTTCAGTGGTTTGCAGCACTGGATGGACCATAGTATGGTGATGGACGTGAAAGGAAAAGGATGATGAACGTAGGAGGCAATGTAGTACTGAAGGATCAATCCAAACAGCAGCAAATGTCATCATGGCGCGCTCAAGCTTGGAGCTTTTGATGCAATGCTCTTCATGTGGTGAGGTGAGGGTGGAGCGCGAGTTCATAGACAAGGCAGCATCTATGTTACACCCAGCTGCCCGAGTCTTTGTTTGAACTTTGTAGTCGCGCAAGTAGTACTGCCGGCCTTTCGGCAAATCCTAGTTTATATACGGAGCCCTATACTGATACGCGCATAAGAACCCAAGAAGCTACATCTACGCATGCCGACCAGATACAGCAAAAATATCCGACGTCGAACTACTCCCCTTCCGAGTCTGAGCTCATGTCGATTGCCGGCATCTCCTCGTCGTCCTCGTCGTCCACAACCATTGACACAGCCTCGGTCTGAGTTTCCACTCTCATGCTTGAGGTACCGGTGATCGTGCCCAAGGGTGCTTTGGGCGGCGCAGGGGCGACCGGGACAGTCGTTGTGGACGAAGCGGCCGCGGTCGAAGGTGCTGGCGTGTACACCGATTCGGCAGCCGCTGGTGCGGGAGTGGGCGGCGGCATCGTCGCGATTGGCGGGGCAGAGGGGTAAGTTTTGAGAGTCGGTGGCTGCGAGAAGATCGACGAAGCGGCGCTGGCTGCCGGCGCAATTGTAGGCGCTGGGTCCTGCAGCTGGTCTTGGTCCATAGCGTTCGCCTCGTTCGCCTCGTTCGAGGGCGCAGTAGGGGCGTCCGTGGGCATCGAGAAGCCCAAATCGAGCCGCGTGCGTTTTTCTTCTGCACTTTCCTCGCCGGCGAAGAGGGCGAGCGCGTCCACGTGTGGGAGCGGGCGCACCAAGGGCGGCAGACGCGGGTGCAGGAGTAGGTCGAGGGTGCGGAAGGCGTCCTAGTCCAGAGTATCAGAACTGCTCAATATGCCCGTACCAGACCAATTCACCTCATTGACCCCCGCCAGAACCCCCTTCATCGCCAACGGCAGCCCCTTCCCCATCGCACAACTCGACCCCGCGCCCACTTCCACCACCGCCGCCTGCACCTTCGCCAACACCTTCCCATACACCGCCAAATCCCCCGCCACGGCCCCCGGCGCCATCCCCGGCAGCGCCAAATGCACCGACAACAGCACCCGGCTCGCTATCGACCGCAGCATCGGCGCCAACTCCGCGGCCCTCAGCAAATACCGCACGACATCGAGTGCATGGAGGAGCGCGTCGACGTCGTCAGAAGTGGGGCAGATCACGGTGCGCGTGAGGCGGAGGGATTCGTCGCCTTCGAAGCCGCGGGCGCGCTTTTTGCCCTTTTTGGAGGTGGTTGAAGGGGTGGCGGAGGGGGCTTGAGAGGAAGAGTCGGTGAGGGCGTCGCGGGAGATGAGGACTGCGAGTTGGGGGATCGAGGCGCGGGCGAGGCGGTTGATGATGAGGGGCGCGTGGAAGGAGGGGTGGCGCTCGAGGATGCAGGCAATGGTGTGAAGGACTTGGGCGCGGAGGGCACTGTACACTTTGTCAGAGACAAGAAAGGGGATAAAAAGGTGTAAATACACGGGCTGAGGCTCCTCCAGAAGATATGCCAATGACGTGAGCCAGTGCGAGAGATGAGGCGATACATGGTGCGGAAGGCTAAACAGAGTCAGTCTGAGAGCGTCGGGTCGTCAGTTGCATAACTCACGATACAATTAGCTTTTGCAAGAGTTCGCATCCCTGACCGACGATGAATGCGTTTGCCGACAATTGCATCGCTCGCGCGTTGACGTCCAGAACCGCCACGGACTGTATGATCATTAGTGAAGAAGGTGAGAGACGGCGCCGAACTCACAGCATCGGCGTCGCCCGCGTTCAGCAACGCGACAGCGAAGGCGTTCAAGGGTCCCAGGGGAACTTGCACGGCTCGAGGTGTATGAGCGCTGTCGAGAAGGTCAAGAAAAGCTGGTACGTGGAATAATGGGCGAAGTACCTTAGAAGATCGCACAGTATGTATACTGCACAGTGGAGGCGATCTTTGTCGAGTGCGACGGCGGCGGCAGGATCGGCAGGTTGCGCTGCTCCTGATAGAACGTCAACAAATAAGTTGAAGAAATTTGCACAAAAAGATTACCTGGCGTAAACGTTGACCGCAAACCATGGAACGCAGACCAACCGAAGGCAAGGGTATCGTCGAGGGTTTTCCGCCAGGCAGTGGCCGCCCCGACCTTCCCACCAGTCAGGTGAAGACAGCAGTACAAGCCTGATGCTGCTTCAAGGATTCTGGGAGGGGTTGGTGAAGGGTATTGGCCGCTGAGCAGGTTCAGAGTCAATTTATTGAGGGCGCCGCTGGATGGCCGGAGAAGCGTGGGGTAGAGAGGGATGAGTCGTGACAGAGTTTGCAAGCATAGCGTCTGCGTCTAGTTAGATGAGTGCGATTATGGCATGAACGCTGGTACGTACCTTCAACTCTACATCGGTATACTTCTCGACGAGGGGGATAATAGCGGTCGCGAACTTTGGCACGTTGGGGGTGGATATTTGCCTCTGAAATTCAGGCACGTCCGTCGCGGCAGAGAAGATAGTATAGGTGAGCCTAATCGCGGCCTTGTTGACGGGCAATGTTTCGTTCCTCTACATAAACTGAGTGGATGTCCTGCATTGTTCGTGATCGTACACACCGAGAGCAGTGCGAAGGTCACAGAGAGCCAATCTTGTGCGCAATCAATCATAAGGCTCCTTGACAGTCTCGCAGACGCCATAGCAAGGGAAAGCCCTGCCCATCGTCCCCCAGGCTCCTTGGAATGCAGCAGGGAGTGTATGCGATTCGTCCATTTCGGTAGATGTGACGAGGGAGCCAGATGTTCGGGCTTCAGCGTAGCCAAAATATAGGGAACATGGAGTGTAGCACTCGCATCCGAGGCTAGATGAATCTGAAGCAGAGTCTTGAGTACGTGCGCGTCCATTCTGGCGCGTCGGGGACAAAAAGTGAACTCGAGCAGTTTAGCGCCCGATCGGTGTGATCGCGCCTGCACGTGGCATGTGATAGGACACGTCGCGTCTCCCCCGCGCCACCAGCCTTCTGCCTCCGTCTTCCATTATGGTACACTCGTCGGTGCTCGCGCTGATATGTCTGTGGATGGCGACCATGGTGTCTGCACAGTTCGGCTTCTTTGACCATATGTTTGGGAACCAGCAGCAGCAGTTTCAGCAACAGCAGCAACAGCGTTCGCATGCGTCCCAGTGGGCAGCATATCAGGAGAGCGGTGCGTGGATATGCCTTAGAGGAAGAGCGAGTGTCTGAATATCCCCTCACAGTACCATGCTCAAAATACCTCTGCCCTGGAACTCTTGACTGCGTCGCAAAGCCCTCGGAATGCCCATGCCCCCACGTCCAAGACATCAAGTGCCTCATACCCGACAAGGACGGCGACGCGACGGTGGTTTGCGTTCGAGGAGAGGAAGGGTGTAGTCAAGTGGGGAAGCTTGCACGAACGAAGGTCGTCCAGGCATAGAATACGCGAGGTACGTAACGGCCCGCTATAGCTTACACTATCCTAGTGCGCTAACCATAACCTTGCAATGAAGTCCCTCTTGACTCCGGAGAGCCCTTCGAGAACTATCATACTGTACCACAACACACCTGCATTGCATATCTTCATCATTTCGGCTTACCAGACAATCGTGCGTGAGTGTAAGAGGCAGAAGGGAGCCTGATTATGATCCAAAACCGGGAGGGAAACAAGATACCACTATGGTCAAGCCCGAATCACTTCTTCGCCTTACTTGACCCCGCAGCCTTACTTGCACCGGCATTCTTCCTCGGCGCCTTCGTCGCAGCCGCTTTCTTCTTCTTGGCCGCAGCGATGAGCTTGTCCTTCGATATATCCTCATCGTCGTCGTCGTTCTCGCCCTCGTCTGAGACGACCTCCGGTTCGTCCTGTATCATCAACCATGAGCAAATAGATCCCTCGTAGCAAGCATCAACGGACAACACGCACCTCGAACGCATCCTCAATATCCGGTGCAGGGCCCCCTGGTAGCTTCTTCGGCGCCTTCCCCAAGTCCGTCGCCTTATGGAATGGTATCGGATGCTCGCCGGCGTTGTACTTGCGCGTGAATGCCGACTTCGTCTGCGTCGATATCTTCTTGAGCACGTCCTCGTCCTTGTGCGGGCCAACGCCGAGTTCGACGATGGTGTCCCAGTCCTCGCGAGAGAGGAAGTACTCATCCATGTACTCGATGACTTCATCGACGGCGCTCTGAATGGAAGGTCATTCGTAAGTCCTTGTTGATGCCAACGAACAGACAGAAGTCTACGCACCGCTCCCTCATCCATGAGTGGTTGCACGATATGCGGGAACAGGTGTGGAATATACGACTGTCGTATCTCCGGCTTGTCGCCCGACACCTTCAGCCGCATGCGGATCTGTACATCGCTCAGCTGCCTCGCGAGCTTGTTCTGCTTGGAGTTCTGGCCGAGCCATCTAGAGAGAAGTGCGTTAGCCTTGAACGTCTGAGGCTAAGGCAAAGACAGAACACATACTGCGGGAACGAAACCTGATTAGGCGACCCATATCCCCCGCCCGAGCCGTACATTTCGTACGCCGGGCGCACAGTCGAGCACACCGCATGCAACGGCATAAGCCCCCAATGCTGTTCCGGCCTACGACAATACTATCAATTCCGGCATACACGTCCAAAAGTGAACCACTCACCCATGAATTAACGCATCCACCAAATCCCCATCCGACACCGCCATCGACGCCCGCTCCATCAGCTTCATCAACTTCATCTCCTTCTCCGGCCCGTCCAGATTCCGCACCCGCGCCGGGCTCATCTTCAGGTAGTTCTCCTGGATGAAGAGCGGCATGAAGGAGAAGTCCTGGAAGTACAGCTCCATCTTGTCGTTGAGGGTCTCGCGCGCGGTCGCGGAGAACATGTACGGCCCGAGGATCTTGTGCGTGATATCGAAGGGGGTCATCATGGCGTATTTTTCGTTCGCTTTGACGCTGGGGGAGGGGCGGGGTTATTGAGGAGTACTAAGGGATGGGTGAAGGGGGGGAGGAAGGGAGCAACGAGAGGGGTAGCGAAGGGAGGAAGATAACACGTACAGTGCCTTCCCCTGGTCGAAGTCGATGGTATTGCTGGAGAGCTTCCAGGTGGACATCATATTGAGGACTTGCCGGATATCGGACTGGGAGCCCTGGATGAGCTGGTCAACGACGTTCGCCGGTATCTTCATCTTCTCCTTGAAGGCGATGGTGAGCACGCGTGACCGGACAGCCTGCACTTGTGGCTTCTGGAAGGGCAGGTTGAAGCACGTCCCTTTGAGGGGGGTTAGCTTTTGCGCATTTCGGTCGTTGGCGATGCAGATGATGGGGATCTGGGTTGTTGTCAGCCTATGGGTGCAACGAAGGCTTTCGTGCCAACCTTAGTCTTCTTGATCAGGGCGTTCAGAGCACCAACGCCTCCTCTGTCGCCAGCGGACATGCCATCCACCTCGTCCATGATCAAGCAACTCCTATCTGTGATAGTGACTCCGTCCGTGTTGACGGCCTAGCGAACGGTTAACAACATGCGCGAAGAGCAGGTGATGTGTACTTACGCCCTTCCCTTGGTACCACTTGTCAATTGTGGTATTGTTGATGTTCATGCCGTTCTAGATACTCGTTCGGTGATACTGCCAAACGCGGACGAAGCGACCGCGTACCTCAACCAACTTCTTACTCCTCGCATCGCTTGCATTGAGCTCAACAGGGGTAAAGCCAGCCAACTTGGCACACAGATGCGCGCTAGTGGTCTTCCCAATACCCGGAGACCCTGTAATCAAAACGGCCCGGTAGGTGTTCATGGCATTCTTGCCAGGCTTTTTGAATCCGCATGCCAAACTTCCTGACCAGTCGTTGAGCCATTGCAGCAGCTTATCGACGCCGGCCTTGTTGCCGCAGATCTCCTTGAGCGATTGCGGCGCATAACGTGATGTCCAAAGCTGCATGCTTGGGTCGACACCTTTGGGGCCGCTGCACGAAACTCGGTCAGCATCATCCCCTTTCTCTCCCAAAAAGAAAACCAACAACGCACTTCCCCTCCGCCACCTGCTTCCCCTTCCCCGCCGCCCTCTCCCGCGACGCCAGCTCCGCCGCCGCCTTCTCAATATCCGCTTGCTCCTTCTCCATCTTCTTCCGCGTCTTCTCGTCCACCTTCATCTTCCCGTCCTTGTTCCGCGAGCCGACGAGCGCGAGGAACTCGTCTTCGTTCAGGGTTTTAAGCCCGTGCTTCTTAATCGCGCGCAGCTTGCTGTCGCCGGCGTTGTCGCCGAGGACGACGTAGTCAGTCTTGCCGGAGGGCTGGCCGGTGACGCGGCTATGGTGAGGGTTAGTTGGGGTAAAAATTTAGTGAAAGTGAGGGAGGGGGACAAGGGGGTCAGGGGAGGAAGAGGGGAGCGTGGAAAGAGGGAAGGGAGGAATACGCACCCGCCGAAGCGTTTAGCGAGCTCGACGGCCTCGTCGCGCGAGAAGGCGGAGAGCTCGCCGGTGAAGACGAAGGCGAGCCCCGCAAGTGCGTTTGGTGCACCATCGGGCACTTCCTTGGAGCCTGGCGCCGAAGGGCCTGCTAACCTTGCAGCTTTCATAGCCGCCCAGCTGTATTCCTTGTCAGCACATGCCTCATTCGTTGCGCTGGTTCACTTACTTGCTGGGTTTCTTGACCTCTTCTTTCTTCACTGGCTTCTCGTCGTCAGCTGGTGGTGGAGCTTTGGCGGCGGACTTGCGTGGAGCGGCTGCTTTCTTCTGTGGTGACGCTTTCTTGGGCGGCTTGACATCTGGCTCGGCCTCGCTCTCGCTGGGCGAGTCCATCTCGTAGTCCTCATCTTTCTTCGCTTTGGGCTTCGCCTTCGGTTTAGCCACTGCAGATGGTCTTGGCTTAGCCTTCGAAGAGCCGGACTTGTTTGTGGGCGCAACAGCGGACTTCTTCTTTGGCGGCGTGGGCTCGGCCTCGTCTTCGTCGTCGCTAGAGTCAAGTACGGCGGGTTTCTTGCGTTTCACGCCAGCAGACCTCTTCACAGGCTTCTCATCTTCGGAATCGGAGTCTATGGTAATGGCATTGGCCTGCACGCGATTAGGCGCCGTCGTCGATATGGGGCCGGATGGACGCACTTTGGACGTTGAGGGCTTGGGTTTAGTCTGGATAGCCATTGAGTGGATGGGAGGAGGGGTGAAGGGGGTAAGGAGCTCACCGGCGCGGGCTGTTTCGCGGGTGTCTTCGATCTGCGGCGAAGTTAGTTTGGCAAGCAGCCACTGCGATGCGTGGAACACTCACAGGGAGGGTCTGAAAGAGGGGGGCAGACGGTTAGACTGAATTGGGGAAGAGAATAGGGATTGCGCACTCGTCATCGCCTACAGAAAGCCGTTAGCATTCGATTACTCAGGAGAGGCGCGTCTACGCACTGAGGAGGTCCACCACGTCCTTCGGCTTGTTTATAGAGGGTTTCTATTACTCGTATCAGCTCCTGTCCTTCTACGAATATTCAAGTCACGCACAGGCTGACTGGACTTCGGTGTCGGCTGCGACCACTTGGGCTGAGAGAAGGCTTTCGTCTGACTACCCGAAGGAGCGGAGAAAAACGTCCGGATATCCTTGCCATTCGACACCTTCGTGGCTTTTGCGGGAGGCATGGCAGTGGCGGAGAAGGCGAGCTCGCTGCTGGGGACGCGATGTGGGGTGTTCCGAGGAAGCTCGAGCGGACTGGTTGGGAGTCCGGATCCGGTTGACGCGCCGATGAATCAATGAATTGCACGTGAGGTGCGACGCGTCGCGTAACGTCACGGTTGATGTGCATTTTGTGGCCATCCGGGGGTACATAATGTGGTCTACGAGATTGTGCGCTACAGGTTTATTTGACTGGTCTGTCCATCTGAGCATGGGCAAGACACTCTCGTAATCAAGGCTGCGAAAAAAAAAGGCGCGACCTGGCGCGCCGTGCATGCCCCTGCCACCTCCAGCACACCCGCGACGTTTACGGTCAATCCCTTCAACGTGATCATGAGCATTGCTCAGGCAGTAAAACTCCTTCCAGTTCGTCGCTACAGATATGTATGCTACAGATACTAGCTTCAAGTCATCCCACTCGATCTCCTCAACGGTTGTCTCACGTTCTTCCCTGACCGTACCCGCTGCGCCTCCGACACCAGCTCTGCTATCAGCTTGTTATACGTCTCCGAGTCGTGCTGCAGCGAGTCGCGGACCTGCAACAAGTATGTGAGGAGTGTTGATGTGTTTGCTATCTGTGTGCGGATCTCCGTGTGCGTGCGCTCGAGGGATGCAAGTGGTTGTAGAGCGAGAGCGTCTGTGCCGAAGTCAGAAGCAAGTCGGAGTAGTGTAATCGGTGCAAGTACTTACCAGCTTCCAGCGCTAGCAACTCCGCTATACGGTCCGTATCTAGTGACGGCTTCGGGCCAAATGGTGACTGTGCCGTTCTTCTCCCTCCTACAGGCGTCCCCGACCGCGAATTCGCAGCAGACCCAGGTGCGCTACTCGACGGCGTATGCCGCGGCCCAGGAGGCGCAGACATCGGTCGAGTAGAGACATGAAGCTGAGGAAGCGCAGACTTCGCGCCCGTACTCGGAAGGACTTCGTCTAGGTTCACGGGTATACCCAGTGTAATGAGGTGCTGCCGCCGAATGCGAGAGCGGATCCAGTTTGGTGGTTTGGTGGGTAAGGGTGCTTGCATCAGGGTGTTGAACATGTTACGGCTGGAAGTGGGTTATGCGTATAAGCACGGATCCTGTGTACAACATATAACCACGAACGTACCTCTCCGGCGTTGTCAAAATCTGGTTCACGCCCTCCGCCTCCCGCTCCGCCTCGTCCGTCACATACCCCTGCACATCGTCGTGCTCCCATATGGGCGCTATAATCGCGTTGATATCGTCCATGAGTCCCTCCCTCGAAGGCATCGGCTCGAGTCGCAATGGTGCCCAGTCCGGGCGGGATGGACCAGGGACACCGAAGCCCGCTGCGTCGTCAAAGCCAGACGGGCTACCGAAACCATTTGCATCGTCGAATCCAGACACGCTGTCGAAGCCAGATGCCTCTCCAAAGCCTGCACTCGCGTCGCCTCCATCCCCTGCGTCGCCAAAGTTGCCAAAATCCCCGAAGTCGTCGTCATCCCCGCCCGCCTGCGCAGGCCCGGCGAAGTCGTCGAAGTCGCCGAAACCGTCGTCGGCTTGACCATTCGTTGTGTCGTTGGCTCCTGGTGCACCAAACCCGTCGTCCTCCGGCACACCTAGCGCAGGTGTGCCATTCGTGCGCGGCGTGGTAAATTCGTCTTCTGTCGTATCCGAGTGAGGTGCGCCGTTCGTCGTCGGCGCATCCACTAACGTCGTCGGCACATCCATCAGCGTCTGCGGAGCATCCGCAAACTCATCCTCGTCCTCGAAGGGGGATTTCGGCGTTATGAGCGAGGATTGCTTGTCCGCAAAGATGTCGACGGGCGCGGGGGTCTCCCAGACGGAGGGGGCGAAGGGGTCGTCCATGAGTGTGGATGAGCTCTCCCGAGACTTAGTTCTTGGTCGACAGGAAGAGCAGTGGGCACGGCGAAGACTGTGCGCCGGTCGAGGACGAGATAGCGAGCTGGTGCAGGCTTGGTGCAGGCGGACGATGCGCGGTCGCGATGTGGAGAGAGAAGGGCGGCACGTGTCCCCTTCGGTCATCTTGCCCGGATGATGATCGCGCGACGCGCCACTCTGAGACTTTCTTCGCGTCTCCCATCCCTCTCTCACCATCCACTCTTCCCCTCTGACCGTCCCCACTTCTCACTCTCCCTCTTCCCCTACGTTCCATCTCCTCCCCTCGCTCACCCCTCCCCCACCATGTCCCCCACCCCCTTCCTCTTCGCCTCCCTCGACTCCAAGCGCCCCCTCACCGCCCGCAAACTCCATCTCCGCCGCCTCTGGGACGTCCTCCACCTCTGTATCCAGCGCAACGACATTCCTCGTGCCTGCCGCGCCTGGCTCATACTCGCGCGCTGCAAGGAGATACCATGGACGGAGCATTGGAATGTGGCAACACTGATCCTCGCGGCAGGGTCCAGCCCCAATAACGCTGCGAACGAGAAGGACACGCCTGCGCATACCGTGGAAGACGAAGAGCTGCCTGCCGTGGACTTCCTGCGCACGATGATGCTGCAGCATCCGGATGCAAGGGAGGATATGCTGAGGGAGCTTGTGTTGCACCTCATCAGCCACAATCGGTGTAGGGAGGCGCTGGACGAGTTAGAGTTGTATGTATATTCGTTCTCAATGCAACTTCTGTTTTTGAGAAGACTTTCGAGATATCTGCCGTCCTTTCCCTTTTCTGATAATCCGACCCTGCACGTCTACGCTGGATTGACAAGACTGTACCTGGCTCAGCCACCTGCAGGCGGAGGTGCGCAAGTTCTCTTTGTCTTGCATCCTGAGGCTAAATCATAGGCAGGCGTATTCAACAAGGCCGGGCTGCGAGACGCGCAGTCGTATTTCGAAAGAGCTTTGGTTCTGGATAAGGACAACGTCGCAGCGAGAGTTTTCCTTGAGAAGGTCGGTCCCTGTTGGTGTCTCCCTGATGCCGTCGCCTCAAATACCAAATGACATTATCGCTTAGATACCTCGTCTGTTGGACTCGGACAATATGGCTATCGATCACGACTCTGAGGATGAGAACGAGATGCGCACCGACGATCGCGCCCGGGATTCCCCAGAAACCCCGTCGAGAAAGAGAATACGAGTCTGAACGGCCTTCTCGCCGTGCGCACTCATCAGAGTGGCCGTCACTCCGCAATCATCAGCCATCTCAATCTCGCACAGCTCCCTAACTTGCATACTGGATTCCCGGAGGAACCTAGCTGGGCAACATCTACCTCATCCCGCCCGAGACGCTCAGGTCCTACATGACCGAGAACTACCTCATCCGCGTAGACGCGGAGCTGCTCAAGCCGTATCTCGCCTTGCAATCGGACTGGGCTCCGTCGAGAAGGGCTTCGCGGCAACGCCGGGGTTGGACGGCGCGGCACCGGAGGCCGAGGAGAGCCGTAGTCGGTTCGGGAGGCTCAGTGTGATGATGACGGAGCTGGATGGCTTGAAGCTGACGGAGGGGATCAACATGCCGGCGATGCCCGCCATGCCGGGAATTCCAAGCAGTCTCACTGGCAACTTTACGCTGAACTCTCTCAGTGCATTTAGGTGATTGTCGGTAGGTATCGTGCACTGCATGGCGTCTTGCAAACTCGCTCGCGGACAATGTCTGCACGTAAGGTCCACCACAATGCTGGAGATTGTCAGTAATCCATCTACGACCTTTGTATGACGCGCAATACTACCGACGCATCACGGCAGCACATCAGGAAGGCCTGCAGAATTTGCCAATGGTGCGCATGTCTACCCAGGTCCCGTACGCTGCTGCAGTGCTCACATCCAACCGTATAGTCAGCGGCACGGTTGCTTGACAAAGAGTTGGCTCTGCAGACGAACGCCGTCGGTTCAGAGGCGTCCTAACTGCTGACAGTCACTAATCCCTACCGCGAAGCTCATGACATATGCGCCGCGCTGATTGAACGGCCCTTCCCAGCGCGTACGTTCGTCAATCGACCATGTAGACCTGACCACCTCTTCATGACCGTCTCAGCCGTATGTTCACAGGCGACAACCACAAGCGTCCATACGCTCTCTTCACCCTGCCGTGATCAAGGGTTGACTTCCCATGTCGCGGCGCAACATTCCCAACCAACTCGGAGCAGCTCGCGCCGCTCACAGCTCGTCCTTTGTCGTCCACTGAGGTGTCGTTCTTGCGCCGGCCGATTACCAAGTCCGTCCAAGTCTTGTGCACCGGCGATCCTTCATAAGAAATGGATAGTGCGCAGAACCTTCCTAAACCCAGGAACTCCGTCCGTGAACTTTGTCGAGGCCCTCAGTCCTTGATATCGATTACGTGCAACGCATCGACTCGCACGCCCCGGGGTCAGTGTATAAAAGCCAGCCCCATCTTCGAAGGATCGCTAGACTTCTTGCCGGGCATGTTCGCCACTATCTTGTTGGCTCTTTCTACCGCCATCCTCGCGCGTGCCATCTGGTTCATCATCACGCGCTTCTTCCTCCGAAGTTCTTTGGATGAGATTCCAGGCCCGGCGCCGCAATCTCTCTTCTCGGGCAAGTGCCTTTCTCATCATGGGTGGTGGCGTTGATCTGACCCTCATGCAGGTAATTTCCTCCAATTGTTCCACGAGGATGCGTGGGCATTTCACGACGAGCTCGCGGACAGATGTGCGTCGCGTTTGAAGATCGATCCGATTGTATTACTGACTTCGTATGCATATAGATGGGAACATCGTGCGGACGACTGGACTTCTCGGGGTGAAGGAGAGCGTCTCTCACCACTACTTGAAGGTGCTAACCAGATTCTTAGGAGAGAGAGCTTTACGTGGCTGACCCGAAGGCGCTTCAACATGTCCTTCTCAAGGTGAGTGCAGGCGCTTAAGGGAATCTAAAGCTGACCACAGGATGACCTGCAGGACCAGGAAATCTGGGAAGAGCATCCCCAATTCATTTCGTGCGTTGACTGGATGAGTTTATGCGACAGCTGAACTCACGATATCAGTGATAATTACTTGTTCTTTGGTGAAGGGCTCCTGGCCACTATTGGTGAGCCACAAGTCCTCTCATCCATGTCGATCTCTTATCGGTTATTCGAAGGTGCCCGGCATAAGAAACAACGCAAACTCATGAACCCCGTCTTCTCGACCGCACATATGCGTAACATGAGTGCGTTTACCGCTGCCTGTATACGCGCGATTGCTGAAACATCGATTTCCTACTCGCAGTTCCTATCTTCCAGGAAACTGTTGGCCGTGTAAGTCTCCGCCTTTCGAAGTGGAAGTGCTGGGCTAATCGCATGAACAGCTTCGCACAACGCTTGAGGATCTCACAAAGAACGGCCCGCAAGAGGTCGACATGCTGCACTGGATGGGACGGACCGCGATGGAGCTCATTGGTCGCAGCGGTCTCGGGTTCTCATTTGATTCTCTCGCGGTCGATGATCCAGGGCACCCTGCTGCCGCCTGCTTCAAGGAGGTCCTGTAGGTGCTCGCATAATTTGGACAGAACATTGGCTGATGACATTTGCGCAGACCTTCCGCATCCAAAGGCTTGATGATGTTCTGGCGTGCATACCTTCTTCCCCACGTTTACAGACTGGGTCCCCCCTGGATTCGCCGCGCCATCGTGGACCTCATCCCGTCGCGTGATCTCCATAGCGTGCGGGATAAGATCGACACGATCTGGGCCACTTCGCAGGAGATCTACGCGCAGAAGAAGGCGGCGCTGTCCTCCGGTGATGAAGCTGTGAAGCAGCAGATTGGCCTCGGCAAGGATATTTTGAGCTTGTTGAGTACGCATCCCGCTTTTGCGAAGCGTCTGTCTTATACTGACTGCTCTTGTAGTTCGCGCGAACATGAAGACGGACGATCCTTTGGACGAGACAGAGCTCCTGGGACAGATGTCGTGAGTAACTTGGTCGTACACGCGTTCACCGTGGCTAAGCCAGTCCTCAGCACTCTGATATTCGCGGCAACGGATACGACTTCCTCTGCTCTGTCACAGATCTTCTATCTTCTCGCGCAACATCCAGACGTCCAGAATCGCATCAGGCAAGAGCTTCGTACAGTCAAGGAGGCCGCCGGCAACGAGATGACCTATGACGATTATGAGGCACTCACTTACATGGACGCCGTCATCCGAGAGACGCTTCGTGTGTAAGCCGATCCCCTTCTTCTGCATGCTCTTGTTGTGCTGACCCTCCACGTAGCTACCCGCCTCTCACCCTTCTCAAGCGCAAGTGAGCAGTTCCATTCCATCACCGCTTTCAGTCGCTCATGAACTTTCAGGGCTAACAAAGACGTGATCCTCCCCTTCGGCAAGCCCATCACTGGCGCAGATGGCCGCGAATTGTCCGAGGTCCATGTCCCCGCCGGCTCGTCCGTGATCATCTCCGTCATCAACGCCAGCCGGAGCAAGGAAATATGGGGCGCTGACGCGCTGGAGTGGAAGCCAGAACGATGGCTGTCGCCGCTCCCAGATTCGATCACGAGCGCCCATATGCCTGGTGCGTGTGAGGCTTTTGTCTTGTCGGGATAAACAATATTAATGGCTGATGATTATGCAGGCATCTACAGCAACCTACTTACCTTCCTGGGCGGCGGGCGCGCGTGCATTGGCTTTAAGTTCTCGCAGCTTGAGATGAGTAAGTGGTAGATTCCTTCACCGTTGTCGTCAATTGAAGGTCTTTGCAACAGAGGTCGCCCTTGCTGAGATTCTGGACGCCTTCCAGCTTGCTCCTAGCGCGAAGGCGGTGAAGTGGCGCATGGGGAACATCAGTACCGCGTGTGTTGAGGGCGAGCCGGATGTGTCGCAGCTTCCAGTGATGCTCTCTAGAGCCAACTGAGGCCCAAGCCACCGCTATCGAAGTACTGCCATGAGTTTTCCGTATTCCCATTGTCAGCATCAATCTACTTTTGTAACGCGGCCTCGAGAGCATCGGCAAGGCGACATGTTGTTTATACCAATGTGCCCCCTCCCCTCGATCACGTTTCCGTATCGTATTTCCCTCGACGACATCGTCCCCTTCTACGACATCTACGATAATCGCCAAACCGACGTCGAGAAGGTCTTTATAGAGACGCAGCTCTAGCCCGCCCAGCAGGGGCTTCCCAGCTACGACACGAGTGAAAGACTGAGTCCTGTAGGAAACTATAACGAATAGGAGAAATCCATTATATTTTATCCCCTTGTACTTTATGTGGTCCACGCCTTTGCTCTATATCCGGCTCCCACAGTCACCATGATGAGACCGGCGTCACGAAGAACAAAAGCTTCCTGTTTTGGTCAATTGGAGGGTGATCGAGATGATCATTGATTTGTGTTCCTCGAGAGCGTTGACCAAAACTTTGAAGTCGCGCGAGGAGGCGCGCCGTCGCCGCCATGAACATCTCCCACTCCATTCCCTCCACCGTCACCGGTATCTCCTTCTCCTTCCTCACTACCGACGACGTCAAGCGCATATCCGTCAAGCAGATCGTGAACCCTGTCCTCCTCGACGATCTCAACCGACCTAACAATGGCGGTCTCTACGATCCCGCCCTCGGACCCAGTGAGCGGAACGATATGTGAGCATACGAGCCGCTGGAAGGGGACCTTGCCTGACGCGTTCGCAGCTGCGCGACATGCCGCCTGAGCTACTTCACCTGTCCCGGGCACTTTGGGCACATCGAGCTCCCCGCACCAGTCTTCCACCCCCTCTTCATGTCGAACATGCTGAACCTGCTGCGAGGGACGTGTCTCTTCTGTCACCAGTTCAAGATGTCAAGAACGGTGGTGCGTAGACGTGCGCCGATAGCTCATCGCTTCCCTCACACTCCCGCAGTTGTGGAAGTACATGGCGAAGCTCAAATTGCTGGAGAGGGGACTGTTGGACGCGGCGCAGGGTGTCGACGATATCCACATACGCGTGTCACGTCGGAGTAGGGATAAGGACGCCATGGATGTCGACGTGCCTGCTCAGACGAAGTCGGTGGACGAGACGCCTGAGCAGTTCATGATGCGTTTGAACTTGTATGTTGCTCTGCAAATACGGCGCGCATCGACTAGCAAACGCGACAACTACAAGGATGGCCTTGTATACCAGACACGGAAGGACGTGATCCATGACTTCCTTAAGGCTACGAGCTTGAACAGGTGTCAGAACGAGGCATGTGGCTGGTGCGTATGCTTGTTATGTAGATGAGGTGATGACTGATGCTCTACAGCCCCGCGTATACCTTCCGAAAGGAGGGCTCGACCAAGATTATCGAATACGATCTGTCAATAAAGCAGAAGGCGCAGCTCACGCGGAGACGGCCGGACGTCCTGGCTCTCGAGCGACTGAGCGCGCAAGCAGCAGCAGCTCAGGAGAACGCTACCGGTCCCCCTTCCGACGTCGAGGACGAGGACGACGAAACCGACGAAGGCGAGGCCGACGATCTCACGCCAGGCGCTACGACAGACGCCAACGCCCTTCCCCGCGCCGCGAACGGGAAGGTCAAGACAAAGCGTGGGCGCAATGAGCGCGTCATGGCTCCCGAGGAGTGCCGCGCGCATCTGCGCCGGCTCTTCCGCAAGGAGCCCGTGATGTGCGCACTCATCTACGGCCGACACGGCGCGTGCGCCCCCTCGACCCCCATCGCCTCCGCGGACATGTTCTTCCTTGAGGTCATCTCCGTCGCCCCTACGCGTTTCCGCCCGCCTGCGAAAATGAACGACACGTTGTTTGAACACCCGCAGAATGAGCTGTTGGCAAAGGTGCTCAATACGTGCTACCGGCTGCGCGACCTGAATGTGAACTTGCGGCAAGCGTCGGAGAAGGGGGCGGAGTTCAATGACACGGAGAGGAGGAGGGTGATGGGGATGCTGTTAGAGGCGTTGGTGCAGTTGCAGGTGGATGTGAACAGTTTCATGGACAGCAGCAAGAACCCGGCGCCGATGCGACAAGGGAAGCTGCCCCCTCCTGGTGTGAAGCAGGGCCTCGAGCGGAAGGAAGGTCTGTTCCGTAAGCACATGATGGTGAGTGCCTACACACCGACAATACTAGAGCTTCACTAATCCCGGAATAGGGTAAGCGCGTCAACTACGCCGCTCGCTCCGTCATTTCGCCCGACGCCAACATTGAGCCAAACGAGATCGGTATACCACCCGTCTTCGCGCGCAAGCTCACCTTCCCGGAGCCTGTTACGCACCACAACGTGAACGCTCTTCGCCAACTCGTCATCAACGGACCTCGCAATCACCCCGGCGCGGCGATCATCGAGCACGAAGATGGTCACAAACAGTCTTTGGACAAGCTTACTGTCGAGCAGCGTACCGCGCTCGCCAATCAGCTTATGACCCCGCAAGGCGACACGCACAACCGACATGGACTGTCGACAAGAACACCCGCAATCAACAAGAAAGTGTACCGACACTTGCAGGACGGCGACATGCTCATTCTGAATCGTCAACCCACCTTGCATAAACCGAGTATGATGACACATCGAGCGAAGGTGCTGCAGGGCGAGAAGACCATTCGCATGCACTACGCAAACTGTAACTCGTACAACGCTGACTTCGACGGTGATGGTAGGTGTTTCGCCTGCTATGCATTTGGGCATGTGCTGACCCGTCTTCTCAGAGATGAACATTCATTTCCCTCGTAAGTAGTAAGGTTGTTCTTCCAACTTCTCACTCTAATTGCCTCCAAGAGAACGAGATCGCTCGCGCCGAGGCTACCTTCATCGCCAACACCGACAACCAGTACTTGGTACCCACATCCGGCAACCCTTTGCGTGGCCTCATCCAAGATCACGTCGTAGCCGGTGTCTGGATGACTTGTCAAGATGCCTTCTTCGAGCGCGAAGAGTACTTCCAGCTACTATACGGTGCGTTACGACCGGAGGACCAGACGGTCGCAACCTCAAGAATCGTCACATTGCCGCCGACCATCTGGAAGCCGAGGCCCTTGTGGACGGGAAAGCAGATCGTGAGCTGTGCCCAGAGCGTATGGGTGATACAATTGCTCATGTATCGCTAGATCTCCACTGTCCTCAAGAACGTCACCCCTACTGAGTTCGACGGCATCACGCTCAACGCCAAGACGAAGGTTCCCGGAAAGCTCTGGGGCAACGCATCCAAGGAGGATAAGGTCATCTTCATGGACGGCGAGCTCTTGTGCGGTGTCCTCGATAAGGCTGCCTTTGGTGCCTCCGAATACGGTATCGTGCACTCTGTATATGAGCTCTATGGTGCCGATGTCGCTGGCCGCCTTCTTGGCATCCTCTCCCGCCTCTTCACTAAGTTCTTGCAGCATCGCGCCTTCACGTGTCGCATGGACGATCTCATCCTCACTCCAAACGGTGACGCGACGCGCCGCGACATCCTCGCGAAGAACAAGGAGCTTGGCACGGAGGCTGCCATCGAGAATTTCCCCTCGCTCAAGGGCGTGGCCAAGGAGGAGGTTCCGACCGTCCTGCGTTCCCTCCTCGGCGAGGTTTTGCGCGACGACAACAAGATGGCTGGACTGGATGTGACGGTCAAGACCCGCCTCTCCTCGCTCACATCGAAGATCTCCGACGCCTGCTTGCCTGACGGTCTGTACCGCAAATTCCCGCACAACCACATGCAGGCCATGACGCAGTCCGGTGCGAAGGGCTCGGCTGTCAACGTTCGCCAGATCTCCTGTGGTCTTGGGCAGCAGGAGCTCGAAGGTCGCCGTGTTCCGGTGATGGTATCTGGCAAGACGCTGCCCTCCTTCAAAGCCTTCGAGACGAAAGCCATCGCCGGTGGCTACGTCGCCAGCCGCTTCTTGACCGGAATCAAGCCCCAGGAGTTCTACTTCCACTGCATGGCCGGTCGCGAAGGTCTCATCGACACCGCCGTCAAGACCTCGCGCTCCGGCTACCTCCAGCGCTGTCTCATCAAGCACCTCGAGGGCATCCGCGTGCACTACGACAACACCGTGCGCGGGAGCGACTCCAGCGTCTACCAGTTCAACTACGGCGGCGACGGGCTGGACGTGACGAAGCAGAAGCACCTGTACCAGTTCGACTTCATCGCGCAGAACGAGGTCTCGTTCGTCAACCGGCTGCGCCCCTCGGAGGTCAGCACGGTCACGGACAGCAAGCTCGCGGCGTCGTATATGAAGAAGGTGCTTAAGAAGTCGTTGGTGAGGGAGGGCAACACGCCACCGCCGCGCAACCAGTTCGACCCCGTGCTTTCGGTGTACAATCCCGCGAAGTACCTTGGCGCGACGTCGGAGCAGTTTGCGACGGCGGTGGGCGAGTACGCGAAGAAGAACCCGAGCAAGCTACTATTGCTGAAGGGCGAGGAGGACCCAATCAAGCGGAAGAAGGCGCTGGTGAAGGTGAACAACTTCAAGACGCTCATGAACATTAAGTATATGCGCAGCCTGGTCGAACCGGGCGAAGCCGTCGGACTACTTGCGTCGCAGGGGTGCGCTCGTTTCACCTCGTTCACGCTTGCTTTGTGCTGATTTTGCGATAGTGTCGGGGAGCCGTCCACGCAGATGACGCTGAACACTTTCCATTTCGCCGGTACGCACTTCTCATGCCCTTCCAGGTTTTAGTGCGAAGGCTGACCCCCCGCAGGCCACGGTGCCGCCAACGTCACCCTCGGTATCCCCCGCCTGCGCGAAATCGTCATGACTGCCTCGCAAAAACCCAAGACGCCCTCTATGACCATGAAGGTCCGCAAGGGCGTCTCCGCCGAGGACATCGCCCTGTTCTGCAAGCGCGCCTCGCGCCTCACGCTCTCCCAAATCGTCGACACCGTCACCGTCAAGGAGCGCCTCGTCGTCGAGGGCGACGCGCGGCGCACGCGCTTCGCCGTCGATCTCGCTTTTTTCCCGCGCGCCGAGTACGCCGCGGAGTACGATGTGGAACCGGCGGAGATCCTGGCCGCGTTTGCGACGCGCTTCCCGCTGACGCTGAAGAAGGAACTGCAGGCGGAGCTGAAGAAGCTGGATGCGGATCTGCGCGCGCAGATCCAGGAGCTGGGGAAGGGGATGAAGCCGAGGGAGACGGAGGGACAAGAGTCGCCGGATGATGAGGATGGCGAGGCTGCTGCTTCTGCGCCGAGGAGACGGGACGACGATGAGGAGAGCGAGGACGGTGACGGCGATGCGGATGAGGAGAAGCGGCAACGCCAGCGCAAGCAGATGGCGACGTACGAGGATGACGAGGATGAGGAAGATGAGGACGAGGTACAGGGCGAGATAGGCGAGGAGGAGCTCGAAGCCGCGTTCGCGTCTGACGATGAGGAGGAGAAAGTGCAGAAGGAGGTCAAGGGCGCGAAGAAGCGGGGCATAGCGAAGCAGGTCGACAAGGTCCGGAATGTCTTCAAGAAGAACCTGGTGCAGGCCGTCGACTTTGACTTTACCGAGTCGCACTGTACGTTCCAAATTGAGGTGAGTGGGGGATGTGTCAGAATAACATCGTCCGTGCTGATCGGTACCGACAGTTCTCCTCGGATATGCCCAAGCTGTTGTTCGTCGGCATTGTCGAGCGAACATGTAAGGCGACCGTCGTGCGCGAGATCAAGGGTATCACGGACTGCTTCGCCGTCAAGGACGATAGCAAGAACAAGGCCGAACCCGAGATCAAGGTAAGCTCGCTTCGAAACATCACTTTTCATCTTTTCACCGTGCTTGCAGCTCACGACGAATGGCTCCAACCTGCCCGGTGTCTGGGACTTCACCGCGGACCTGGAGGAGAGCATCATCGACGAGGACGACATGTACTCGAACGATATCTACGCGATCCTCAAGACGTACGGTGTCGAGATGGCGCGGGCGGCGATCTTGCGCGAGATGGGTGGTGTCTTCGGCGCGTACAACATTCAGGTGGACCGCCGGCATCTGGAGCTCATCGCCGACTACATGGTACGTGTTTTCTATGGAAGAAAAGGACAGAGTGGCTCACGTACCATTTTCAGACCTTCGATGGCGGCTACAAGCCCTTCAACCGCAAGGGTATCTCAACAAACTCCTCGCCTCTGCTCAAGGCGTCCTACGAGACCACTGCTGCGTTTTTGTCAGACGCGACGCTGTACGGTGACTACGACGACCTATCCAGTCCGTCAGGAAACGTCGTAATGGGCAAGCCGAACCGGATCGGCACAGGTGTCTTCGATGTGGTCATGCCGTTGCCACAATAGTATATTCCAGCTGTGTTGTCTCGAAAAGTAGCATACGTATCTACTGCTCCTTGCTATCTTGTTGTACTGTAGTGACTGTAATTGAACCTGGTCCCTCATCGCATATTCTATCAAAAACCCAGGCGCCCTCGTCCCTTCCCAAATGTACCCGAATTAAGCGGTTTTTTTCATGCCTTGGCTAGTCAATCATTGTAACATTACAGACGGAAGACTGAAAAAAAGGTATGCTCAGGTTGGGCGGCCGCCACAAGTCCGACAGACGACGACAGGTGCGGGGGTGATCTTTCGGGGAACAATGCAAAGTGCCAGAGCACATCACATATCACACGCACCTATCAACGATCGCCGTCACGAACGCGTCCGGTCACATGTGACAGCGGTGTTCTGGGGTCCAACATACCGCGCTTTGCATTCTTTTCCTTCAACCACCACGCGCATAAGGGCCAGCTCTTTGTCAGCCCTGATATCCGCGCACAGATTCCCACAACTATTTCTCAGTGAACTCACGAATACTTCCTGCGACTGTTCGAAGCCATAGGACAAAGGAAGAGGTGCGTGAACCATGTTGAAATCCCCTGCCACACCCCCTCACCCCTCGCTCAGAATCGATCAGAAGGAAGTCATCAGGGGTATCCGTTGGGCACGCTGCGCAATTTGGTCCTCCCATTGTTCGACTAGCTACAAATCGCGACGCGCGTGCGCCACCCCTCTTCCTCGACTACCAGCTGCCTCAAGACACCGGCCAGCAAGAGCACGCACTCTGCATCGCGTATCCCGACATGTCCGTCTCTCAACCCTCCGCGTCAAGGCGCGCTCCCCTCCGCGAGATGCCCCTCGACCTGTTCGTCGCGCCACAGCCAAGGCCGATCAAGACCAACATCTTTGGTGCTAGCCCATCGTCGCGCCCGAACAAGCGTCCGCACTCGCCCGGAGACGTCAGCATGTACAGCCCCGCCAAGCGCCGCATCATGGAGGTGGAGGGCATCATCTCGCCACAGAAGATGAAGTCGCCGTCTTCGTCTGCGGCGGCGAAGTCGCCCTTCTCGTCTGCGAAGTCGCCCTTCTCGTCCGCGAAATCGCCCATTTCGTCCGCGTATCGCAACCTGTACACAGCCGCCACCGCCAAGTTCGCGGACGCGCTGATAGGGCCCGACAGTCCTGCGAAGAAGCTCGACTTCTCGGCGGCGTGCGAGGAGGATGAGGAAGGACGAAGCATCTCTGCACTATCGGCCAGCCGCTCGGGCATGCGCACGCCAAAGGCATCCTGCGCGCGACTTGCGCCGTCTCCGAAGATGAAGCTGCTGGGGTCGAAGTCGGCCCGCGCCTCGTCTCCAGACGATTGCGAGATGACGGACTACTTCGCGTCGCCGGGACCGTCTCCCGACCTCTTTACATCGCGTGGTCCTTCTCTCGATCGCGATCCTGCTTCACTCCATCCCAACCCCGCGTCTTTCCATCCTCAGCACGCGTCCCTCCATCCTGCTCCCCTCCACCAACACCCTGTCCCCATCCGTCACATTCCCCGCGTCCCGCCTCCGCCCATCCATGCCACCTCGATCCACTACCCTGGCTTCCAGATCCATCTGGACGATTTCGATGTTGTCGTCGATGAGCAGGAGGGTAGCCAGGCGTCGGTGGATACTGGTGAGGCGGCCTCAGCGCATGCCCGTGGTGAGCCAACGGAGATAGCGAACACCCGCACCCAGTCGGCGGAGAAGGAAAACGTGCCCGCCCCGCGCAGGGCGAGCGCCAAGGATTCGGCGACGGCGAGTCTCAAACGATCATCGACGGACCCCATCCCAGAGCTCACCGCCCTCCTGTTCTCCCCCGAGGGCAAAAAGAGCGTGCTGAATGTGCCGGATCGCGCGTCGTCGATGCCTAGCATGCTCAGGTCGTCCTCGCCTAGCACGCTAGGCTCGCCCGCGCGGGCGAAGGGTCCGACTCTGCCTGCGATGACGAAGAGTCCGTCTCTGCCTGCGCGGGAGAAAGGCAAGCGCCGCGAGGGATCGCTCACGCCCAAGGCGTGCTCGGGACTCGCCCGAGAAGTCCGCGCTTCACCTGCGCGCGACGTTCGTCCTTCGCCCGCGCAAAGGAAGGAGCGGCGTCGGATGTTGGAGGACGAGGTGGACGCCATGGAGGAAGACGATGACTGTGAGGGCGTGTTCCTGTGAGACCGCGCAATCAAGCCATCCGCATCCCTCGCGAGCAGGGACCTACGCTCCCCCGCGGTCAGAGAGCCTACGCTCCTCACCATGAAGTCACGCTCTCTCCGCTCGCATATCTATGTCTCGCTATCTGCTCTGTCATGTCCATCTCCTCCATTATTTAGTTCCCCTCCTCCACTATTCAGTTCCCGAATGAATCCAATCCCCACCACTACACCCTACGTCCCTCCCCTCGCTATCCATTATTTACGACTCGCCACGACCCACCACTTTCCCTTTCTATGTACAATCATGGCCTTTGCCTTTTCTCCTTCACCCCATGTACGACACACCCTTCCCTTCTGATCGGGGAGACGAGGCGCCGCCGTCAGGTCGACACCGAACACGCACTGGCAGCCTCGTCTCACCCACTTTCCCAATTCCCTTATAAGTAGCGTATACGTACCCAGTAGTCAGTAGTAGTATATTGCTCGTCCTGTTGGGCATGCATAGTTCCAGTCAAGCAATACTATGACGGATCGACAGGATTTAGAGCGGAGGGTGTTGGAGAGGTTGGTTGCAACTTGCACAGCAAGCGGGAATAAGTTCACGTGATCGAATCGTTGTGGTCCACTGGCGCAAATAATGGTCAACACACTGGCGCCGACAATGGTCAGGGTCGCGCTATGAAAGTACGTCGAGGTAGAGATGATGATCGCCGGACATCAAGCATCAGTACTGTGATGCTCTAGCACTGCGATGCTTGAGTTCTGTGATACAGGTAGCTAGAAGCTCAGTCCGCCCTGGACAGCACCACCGGAAGCTGCGACAAGTCCGGTTCGCCCTCAACGCATGCGGTGCTGATGTTCCCCATGCGCCACTTGACCGCCTTCGGGCTAGGCGCGAGCTGGAATGCGTCGAGGATCTCAGCGAGGGCGACCTCTGTTTCGAGATACGTTAAATGACGACAGCGACGAAAAGGCTTTTCACGTACTCATCTCCAGCTGCGAGAACTTGAAGCCGATACAGGCGCGCCCGCCGCCCAGGAAGGTGAGAAGGTTGCTATATATGCCTTCAGAGCCATCAGCCTTCACCGCCCCGAGCTCCTTCCTTGACAACACTCACCAGGCATATGCGCACTCATAATCGACTCGGGCAACGGCGCCAGCCACCTTTCGGGCTTCCACTCCAGCGCATCCGCGCCCCACAGCTCTTTGCTCCGGTTCGCGTTGTTGATGGAGACTATGAGGGAGGAGCCGGCGGGGACGAGGACCTCGGAGAGCTCGCGGCCGTCGGTGCCTAAGATGGGCTTACCGAAGGGGAGGATCACGTCCTTGTTGGCTCTGAGGTTTGGTGAGTAACCGAAAGTGTCCACGTATATAGGGACTACACACTTGCGCATGAGCAGGGTGACAGGCGGATAGCTGCATGGAAGGTCAGCACGTCGACGATTATTGGAGGGAACTGACTAACAGCCGAAGGGTCTCCCGAATGACAGTATCCATGTAAGTGAGCGCCTCATAATCGTCGTAGGCCATCACACCGCCGGCAGCCTCATTCACTGTCCGGATCTCCTGGCGGATGCGGTCCTGGACTCCTGGATGCTGAGCGAGAAGGTAGAAAATGCGCGACAGGGCAGAAGAAGTCGTATCCGTGGCTGCGAATATAAGAGTTCTGGGAAAATGCCGTCAGTATGCCATGGCAGCGCAGAACCGATAGCCACATACGACATCTGCCCGAGGAGCTCCGTCTCGTCCAGCGGATCTTCCGTCTTCAGATTCGCGCGAACTGTTGAATGGGTGAGCACCTGACACACGCCTCGACACGACGGGCAAGCGTACTCAGCAAACTCAGAATATCCTTCCCCAGCCCAATCTGCCGCTTCACCGCCTCATCCCCAGACGACAGCGCCGCCTTCTTCTGCGCATAGATCTCCTGCGACGTGGCCCAAATCGTATCAATCTTGTCCCGCACGCTGTGCAAGTCGCGTGAGGGAATGAGGTCTACGATGGCGCGGCGGATCCAGGCGGGGCCAAGCTTGGATACGTGGGGGAGGAGATAGGCGCGCAAGAACATCATGGAGCCTTTGGAGGCGGACGGTCTAGAGGAAGAATGTGGTCAGTCGGTACTTTCGCTAGGGATGGTAAGGACGTACAGAATCTCTTTGAAGCAGGCGGCAGCAGGATGTCCGGGGTCATCGACCGCGAGAGAATCGAATGAGAAACCGAGACCGCTGCGGCCGATGAGCTCCATTGCGGTGCGACCCATCCAGTGCAACATGTCGACTTCTTGTGGGCCATTCTTGGTGAGATCCTCGAGGGTCGTGCGAAGCTGCTCATGCGTCAAGATACGGCAGTCAAGCGGGATGGCGGAGACTTACACGACCAACAGTCTCCTGGAAAATAGGGACTACAAGAGATCACTTATGATTTAGCCATCGCGCACATGTAGGTAGCGGTATACGCACTCATGTTACGCATATGCGCGGTCGAAAACACGGGGTTCATAAGCTTGCGCTGCTTCTTGTGCCGGGCACCTTGGGGGAATTGAAGAGAGAATGACATGGACAGGACGACGTAGGCTCACCAATCGTAGCCAGAAGGCCTTCGCCAAAGAACAAGTAATTGTCACTGGTAGCATCAGCTTGAACACCACTTCATCGCATCTGGCCGACGCACGAAAGGAACTGGGGATGCTCTTCCCAGATTTCCTGATCCTATAGGTCGTCATTGAGTCAATGTAAGCCTCGGAACCAGCTTCGACGTCCACAATCACCTTGAGAAGGACATGGTGAAGCGCCTTCGGATCAGCCACGTAAAGCAGTTTCTCCTGCGAGTCTGGTCAGCATCTTCAGGCAGTGGCAGAGAACGCTCTTCGTCACCCCTAGAAGTCCAGTGGTTCGAACGATGTTACCATCTGGGGACATGCGCAGTCAGATATAACATTGATTCAGCAATCGAGAGCGACGTGCATCTGTCCGCAAGCTCGTCATGAAAGGCCCACGCATCCTCGTGGAACAATTGCAGGAAATTTCCTGTACGAAGGTCAGATCAACGCCACCACTCATACTGAAAGAAGCACTTGCCCGAGAAGAGAGATTGCGGCGCCGGGCCTGGAATCTTATCCAAAGAACTTTGCAAAAAGAAGCGCGTGATGATGGACCAAATGGCACGCGCGAGGATAGCAGTAGAGAGAGCCAGCAAGACAGTCGCGAACATGCCCGGAAAGAAGACCAGCGATCCTTCGACGATGGGGCTGGGTTTTATACACTCACGTCCGGGCGTGCGGGTCGATGCGATGCACGTAATCGATATCGAGGACTGAGGACTTTTGACAAAGTTCACGGACGCAGTTCCTGGGTTTCGGAAGGTTCTGAGCGCCAGAGTTCACTTATGAGGGATCGCCGCTGCACAAGGCTTGGACACAATCGGTATGGCCGGTGCAACCCGCTGTAAGCGACAAAGGGCGAGGTATATCAGCTGCGGAACTCTTCCGAGTCGGCTGGGAGTCGCGACGCAACATGGGAAGACGACCCTTGGCCACGGCTGCGGTAAGTAGAACGGATGGACGCTTGTGATCGTCGCCTGTGAAAATACGGCTGGGACAGTCATGAAGGCCTGGTCAAATAGTACACGGTCGATCTCCGAATGTGAGCACCGTGGAAGTCCGACCAATCAGCGCGGCGCATATGACCAGCGACCTGTGTCGATGTTAGGACCTTCGCGGTAGGCTTTAGAGACTGTCAGCAGTCAAGACGCCTCTAAACCGACGGCGCTCATCCGCAGAGAAAGTCCATGCCAAGGAACCGTGCCGCTGACTGCAGGGTTGAATATGAGCATTGCAGCAGCGTACATGACCTGGGTAGAGACGCGCACCAGGACCGAAATTTTGCAGGCGTTCTGTATGTCGGAAGTTATGCGCTGACCATATTGCACGTCTTACACCAATCGAGAACGGAATACTACTGGCAGTCTCAAGCATTGCGGGGGATCTTGCACGCAATGGGTCGTACACTGAACGAGTGTCCAAGATGTGATGCAATGCAGGATACCTACTCATGTTCACCTAAATGCACTAAGCGAGTTCAGTGTGAAGTTCCCCGTCAGACTGCTCGGCATAGCAGGCATCGCCGGCATGTTGATTCCCTCCGTCAGCTTCAGGCCCTCTAGCTCCTTCATCATAACACTTAGCCTCCCGAACCGACTACGGCTCTCCTCGGCCTCCGGTGCCGCACCGTCCAGCCCCGGCGTTGCCGCGAAGCCCTTCTCGACGGAGCCCCAGTCTGAGCGTAGAGCAAGATATGGCTTGAGCAGCTCCGCATCCACCCGTCCGAGGTAGTTCTCAGTGATGTAGGATTTGAGCGTCTCGGGCGGAATGAGGTAGATGTTGCCTAGCTGCCGCAGGAATTCGAAACGTTCGAAGAGCGCGGGAATACCGAAGCCTGCGATAGCGTCCTGATACGACTTGATATCCCTGTAAGGGAAGCAAATCTATCAACAAACACCTCGCTGAGGCGGCGGCCCAGAGACATACTTGGTGAGCATGAGTGCGCCAGTGGCGCTCACCGGGAATTTGCGCATATGGTCGAGGAGGAGGCTGCGTAGTGTCAGAGCGCCGGCGAGGACAGAGCCCATTGAACTCACCCATGGAAGGCCACGCCGACCTCAGTAAGGAAGACCTCGAGGTTCTTCCCACTCAGATGTTGCTTGGCCGCATTTCTGACCTTCTCTAGCATATCACAGCAGGCGACACACGGCTCCGTGTTGACTCGTGCAAATGAGATGTCATCATTGCGCGGCTTGAAGTCGTTCTTGTTCTGCTTGCGCAGCTGTTGGGACAGCCAGTTGATCACCGCTGAGGAACTGTTAGTGGCGCACAGAAGGGAAGGTAGATGAGAAGGGCTTACACTCGGTGACCTTCTGTAGCAGATTGTTTGCGCCACCTTCTAATCGGCTGATAGTCTGGTTGTTGAACATGACCATCTCTCGCCTTGTAGTGACAGACGAGCTTGCGAGGGGGAGGAGTGCAGTATTGACATATTGTTGCCATAAATGGCAAATCAATGCGACCTGGCGAAGGATGCTTAAGGGCTGGAGACTCGGCTCTGCCTTCGTGTCTGCTGTATCAAGACGGTTCTGCGCACTGCAACACTCGTCGTCAACAAAAAAAAATCTGGGCAGGCGAGGGATGTATACGTACGTCTCGATGGCAGCCTCGATGTACGCGTTACCAATGGCCTCCGCGAGTACTCGCAGCAGCGCAAACGTGTTCTTCGCCACATCATTCGGCGGACTTAACTCAACGCAGCGGCCGATAGCCTCCGCATGCCACTTCAGCATCTTCTCCGCGATGTCGACCTTCAGCTCGCCATCCTCCTCCTTCACCGGCTCCTCGCCCGACTTGTCTTGCTCCTTCTGTATCCCACCGAACCGCATCAGCGCCGCCGCGGCAGTTTGCGCAGAAGTCGCCGTCGCACCACCCGAGTTCTGCGCCGCGGCGCTCAGCTGGTTCACCATACGGTCGAACATCGTGGGCTTCCCTTTCTGCGTCTTCTCGTGGTACCGCGTGAAGTCGGCGAGTAGGCCGGAGTACAGCGCACCGAGACTGCGACTTTCGCGCTCGAGGTAGCGCTGGCCTTCCGTGTAGGGGACGAAAAGCTCTTCCATGGCAGTCTCTAGCATGCCGACCATGGAGGTGGAGGTGCCAGTTGTGATGGAGGATGCGGGGAGGGAGCGGCGGAATTCTCCAGACTCGAGGGGTGTGCGCGGGGCAACGTTTGGTAACTCGTAGGTTTTGAGGTCCTCGACGAGGGTTGAGGCTTGTAAATGCACGAGCTGCAAGACGCGAAGATAGGCGAGGTCAGAGAGGGCGGTGGCGCGATGAAGGAGTTGCTCCATGTGTTGTTGGATCTGCGTGAAGTTGAGAGACAGTTGCTCGGGATGCTAGGTCCTACGTACGGATTGCGCGAAAATACGCTGCAGGAAGACCTGCATGACGACAGGTGGATTGGGGAAGACGGCCTTCACGATCTGCGATTCCGTATCTACTGTCGAACGGATCTCATGGAAGAGCTCCCCTAATCCTTTCTCCGTCTTTGGCGGACTTTCGTCAGGGTCTGAGACGGTCTCCCATCTGCATACAGCATATGAGACGATGACACTAGGTGCATAGAGGGGCATACAGATGGGTGTCTTCCGCGTCTTTCCACTCTCGTACGTTGTTGATGAAGAAGTCATGCTGGTTGACGTAGACCTGTACGCAAGAGGAGCCGCCATTGAACTCCAGCAATGTCTGCGCGCAATGCTGTACCATCATGTCAATTCGCATCCTGCCAGCCGAGGACACACCACTGACATGCATCATTTTCGGATCCCCCTTCCTATAGCACCGATCGAACAAGTTCAGCATCTCCTTCTCGAACTTCTCGCAGTACTTCTCGATGTTCTCCCGCGTCTTGTCCGCCGTCGGCAGGTCCACCTCCTTCGCCACGGTGCTCAGGCGGCGGAGCAGAACGGCGACCTGCCTGCGGCCTTGTCTTCCCTCCTTGCGCATGGCGTCGAGCCGTGTGGTGTCCCCGCGCGTGAACTGGTTGTAGAAATCGATGAGGTCGTAGGCGGCCTGCGCGCGCTGGCGCTCGATGTGCACGGTCTCCAGCTGCTCGCCTGGGCTGGTCAGTGGGAGTTGTGTGGGAACTCTAGGGCAGGACGCACCAATCCGGATAGCATTACTGCTGACTTCGTTCATGCGGCTCTCCATGCCGGAGAAGGAGTTGCCGACTGTCTGCATGGGTCTCGCGTCAGTAAAGTATGAAGCAGCATAGCTGGCAACGCACCTCGAACCCGCGATTCAGGCCGTCCATCTTCTTCGAGTACTCCCGCTCCGAGACGCGCACACTCTTCTCCATCTGCTCCGTCTTTGCCTGCACATCCTTGCGGATCGAGATGAGCTGGTCTACAGCCGCTTCGAAGGACCGGATGAAGGGTTTGGGGTCGAAGGCTGGGTAGTCTCTCAGTAACACTTCGGATCTCCCGTACGAGCCAACCACGTACGTCCAGAGTTCTCCTTCGACTGCGCGATGAGCTTCTCGGAGACTGAGCCCACGAACTCTGTGACGTCGAACTTTCCCTGCGCGACGTCGGTAGCGATCAAGTGAGGACGATGATTGCCCGTACAGTGAATTTCGAGATATCCAGCTGCTCCTCCATGCTCTGATCCATGGGGTCGCCGGGTCGCCGTCGCGACATGGTGGCGTATGAGAAGGGAACAATAGCATTTGTGATTACATGGCTTTGTCCCTTTGCTTTCCATCATCACATCGCCGTTCATGGGCGCGGCTTATGGGCACGAAACGTATGCAGTGTGTAGGCTAGAAACTACATCGAAAATATAGTACAGGTGGTTGATACACATTCAACTTTCTCCATTCGTCGATCTCTTCCTATAGTACCCAGTCCTTCACCCGCGTCGTGGCCGGGAAGCCCTTGCTCGGCGGGCTAGAGAACTGTGTCTCGATGAAGACCTTCTCGACGTCGGCCTGCCGGTTGTTGAAGATGTCGTAAAAGGGGACGATGTCGTCGAGGGGAATCCGGTGGGTGACGACGCTGTTGGAAGGTTAGACAACTGCCCTTCGTTGACGACGAGGGGCACTCACAACGAGGTGTCAAACTTGCCCGTTCGAATGTAGTCATTCAAGATCGTCTCCCAGTACCGGAGCACAGGCGCTTGCCCATTGCCGATAAAGCGAATGCCCTTCTCCATGAGCGCACCGATGGCGAACCCGTTCGCATAGCCCGAGTACGCCGCAATTACCCCACACCTCCCCATCTTCCTTACCGACACGATCATCTCGTTTACGATCTCCGGCACATCCGTCTCCAACATGAGCGTCTTCTGCACCTTGTGCAGCAGCGTCTTCGGCTCGTGGAACGTCCCGCAGTCGATGGCAACGTCCAGCCCGCGCGGGACGAGCTCGTAGATGCGCTTCGGGACGTCCTTGTACTCGGTGAAGTTGACCGTCTCGATGCCGAGCCTGGACTCTGCGAAGGCGAGGCGGTCGGCGACCTTGTCAATGCCGATGACGCGCTTCGCGCCCTTCAAGAGTGCCCATTTAGCGACACAGAGACCGATGGGTCCCATGCCCCAGACGCCGACGACATCGCCAGGTTCGACGCCTGTGTCGTACACGGCGTGGTAGCTTGTAGGGAGGATGTCGGATAGGTAGAGGGCTTGCTCGTCTGGTACGTCGTCCGGTATGGGTAGCAAGGCGACCTCGGCGCGTGGTACGCGGACGTATTCTGCTTGTCCGCCCGGGAAGCCGCCAGTGAAGTGCGAATATCCAAAGAAGCCTGCGTCGCGCTGGCCATACATAGCATTCATTAGTCTATAGACAATTAGGTATAGAGACGGACGGAGGAAGAAGGCAACTGACGATGAGTTGTTCGTATTGTCACAGAAGGACGAGAGCTTCTTCTGACAGTACTCGCAGTGACCACAGGGAATCTGGAACGCAGCGACGACACGATCGCCCTCCTTGAACTTCGTGACCTTGGGTCCGACCTTCCAGACTTTGCCCATGAACTACGCGATATCATTTAGCTTGAGCGCATATACCGTGATGGATGACACGCACCTCATGGCCAAGGATATCGCCCTTCTGCAGGGTCACGATCTCGCCGTTCTTCAGGTGATTATCCGAGCCACAGACAGTCGTCCCAGTAACCTTCAGGATCACGTCGTCGTCCTGAGTGATATCGGGAACGGGCGCGTCAATCAGGCGAAGGTCGTTCGTCCCGAACCAGGCAAGCGCCTTCATCGTCTTGCCCGTAGGATCATGCTTGTACTCCGGCTTGACCTCGGTCTCAATCGGACCCATATGCTATAGAACACGATTAGCATGTTCATACCATGTCCATTGGGATCACACGCACGTCCTGGATAGCGTTCGCAGCTGCTTGCATGATAATTTCGATGTGATGGGGGCAAAAGAAAAGATTAACAGACTCTTCACGGCTATCCCGCCCTTATAAGACATCCCCGAGGAAGCTTAGAAGGCATGTTACGATGATGAAAGCGATGATAAGCGGATGACGACGAGAAACAAGCGAAGTGGCTCTGCCATTGTTCTTCCCGGCGCGGTTAGCAGCCCTGATGTCATGATCGGCGCGCGTCTCGGGATCCCGTGATCAAGTTGAACTTCATTGCTGCCATACTCACAAACAACTCGTTGAAGTTGTACTTACTCCCCCTTAAACACCGGCTTCCGCTTCTCCTTGAACGCTGCTAGAGCCTCCAGACGGTCTTTGCTGTGAAGCAGACCCTCGTAACATGCTCGCTCGAAGTCAAGTCCTATAGTGAAGTCGGATAGTCAGCAGGAACTCCAACACCGCGGCATGACGCGCGTGCTCAGAAGAATGCATACCTGATTCCAGCGGCAGATCGACAGCCCTCGATATCGTCTGTTTAGCCGCACGAAGGGCCAGAGGAGCTGCTGACTGTGAGCAGGGCGAAGGTTGAGGCAGCTCTCCACTCGCACGCACCATTTGACGCGATCTTCTCCGCGAGCTGCAGCGCGCGGTCGAAGCCTGTTGACCCCGAATCGGAGATGTAGTCCACGACGCCTGAAAGTTGTTCAGTGGTGAGGGAGTTGGAAGATGTAATTCGATCTTACCATATTCTAATGCTTCGGACGCGCTCAGTACGCGTGCGGTGAAGATCAAGTCCTTCGCTTTCGCCACGCCCAGCAATCGCGTCGCTCGCTGCGTGCCCCCTGCACCAGGTATGATACCCAGCCCAGTCTCGGGCAAACCAATCTTAGTCACATCGCGTCCTATTCGACAATCAGTACCCTCGTCCTTCCAGTACCCTTCACGCTCTTTTTTCACTCACCTGCCACCCTCAAGTCGCACGCCAGTGCCATCTCGAGGCCACCACCGAGCGCCGGACCATCAATGGCAGCGAGAACCGGCATGGGCAGGTTCTCTAGACACCCCAAAGCATCTCGTAGGTCCGCGAGGAATTTGTTGACCTGAGCTTGGGACATTGTCCGACGCTCTGCAAGGTCCGCACCGGCACAGAAAGAGCCGACGGTGGAGGAACGCAGGATGACGGTGCGCACACTGAGCGGAATGGGGTCGGTGAGCTCTTTCCCATCTCAATAGGCGATCCTCACAGTGAAGGACCTACCTATTGTCGAACCGAAGCTCTTCCAAGCATTGGCGTAGTTCCTGACGCAATCGAGCTCACTTAGAGGGACATCGGTATATTCCGCACTTCTCACATGCAGCAAAGTCGTTGATATAGCATTCTTCGCCTGCGGTCGGTTCAGATTGATGCAAGAGATACCCTCGTGCGTGGTGAGTGGTTCGATGTAGGCCTGCCTGGAGGCCGCCAGCGATGAGTTCTGCATCACGCCCAACGTTCTGAATCGTTCCTGCTGGGTTGCGCCCCATGTTCGCTTGAGCTGGAGCGCACGAGATGAGGTATGTCTGGCGACAGTCCGAGTGCGTGCGGTGAGGCGGAGAGGTGCAGCAGCAGCCAACATGGTGGGCGGGAGGAACTGAAGGTGCGGGGTAGGAGGCGCACGTGGTTGTCTTCCCCGCATTTACATGGACTCCCACGGTTATTCGTGTTCGACTCTTGCGTTGGCAACCTCGCCTCAGATCACTGCATTACAATATGCCTCTGAAGGCCTATGGCCTCTGAGCGGTAGGCCTCCGCCATCAGGAACAGGCAGCGAGCATCATGTACTCGATAGGAAGGCTCGAACTGCTGGACTAAAGGATTCAGGATATAGGTCACCCTCCGTCCCTTGCCTGCTAAGCGCCATCGTCCAAGGAATGGATGCGGAGGGAGGTTGCAGAGGCACAGTTCTGCGCGGCGGTAATGCACAACAGTTGCAACTGTAGAGCTTAAGACTGGTCTTGAGACTGCACGTTGCCGGTGAACTCTGCATATCTGTCATGGTGGTGAAGGGTGGTCTACTGCATGATATTCCTCCTATATAGGGTAGAAAGCTGCGGGCCCATGCAATTACGATGCCACAGGATGATGGGCGTTTGTCGGCGGATTATGGGCATATATTGTTGCAAGTCTACGCAGGGCGCTGAAGGCGCCGTGGGGCGTCGAGGGGGGTGGGGCGAACACTGCCGCGTGATGTGTTGAGGCCTGAGATAAATGGATGACTATTTAGTATCAATACGAATGTCACGAAGGGAAGAAACGCACTGTTTACGAAGGTCGAGCAATGGGCGGCTACTTCTTCCGCTTGCCATCGTCCTTCTTCGCGTCCTTGACCTCCGGTGCAGGCTCACCTGCTTGCGCAGCCGGAGGTGCACCCTCAAACTGCTCCATCCACGTATTCCGGTCGATCCCATCGTCCCGGAACCTCCTGCTGAACCGTCCCAAACGACCAGTAACCGCGTTCTCATCATCAATCCCGCCTGACTCTCCCAGCCACATCGACGTGTTCCACACCGGGTTGTTCGTCACGTCGCGCGCCAGACGAATGAACGACCGCGGCGACGTCGTAAAGTGCGTGAAGGAGCTGCCGTCCGCGCGGATCACGCGCTGCGGGAACTTGGGCACGACGGGGGCCGGGAGCTCGGCAGACCGTCCGCGCTTCCATACGTGGGTGCGGCCATAGGGTGAGGAGGAGACACTGCGCGCGAAGGCGGTCGGGAGTGGTGGGCGCGCGAGTGCCGGGCGGGTGGACGCGAGCATGATGACCGCGGAAGGGAAAAAGCGCTGGTGTGGCTGTGCCGACTCGGGCCGTACTGAGCGGAATAGACGCGCCAACCGTCGCCGAACGAAGTTCACTCTTTACCACCACCTTCATCATGCCTCCCCGACGACGACCGCAATTTACGCAGGAACAGATCGACCAGCAGCTGCAGCAGATACATCTGCTCGACCAGTCCTCGTCGTCCGAGAACCTCGAGCAACTCGGGCCCATCATCAAGCAGGTGCACGCCAGCCGCCAGCAGGAGACCTTCCTCCGCACCGTCAAGGGCCTCGTCGACGCCAAGGATGCCGAGATCGAGAAGATATGCGCGGACAATTACCAGGACTTCATCCACTCCGTCTCCACGCTCTTCACCGTGAAGTCGTACACGGAGAAGATGAAGCAGAACATCCTGCAGCTCGAAGGCAGTGTCAGCCAGCTCGGGAAGGGCCTTGTCGACAAGAAGCGCGCGCTGCTGCAGACGAAGAAGACCGCGAGCAACCTTGACGAGGCGATCGACACACTGCAGGCTTGCCTTCGCGTGCTCGATGTCGTCAACCGCGTCGGGGACATGATCAAAGACGGGAAATACTGGGGTGCCCTTAGGGTCCGTCCAAGCTACCTAGTGCTTGTTCTAGCTAGTGATAATGACGATGAGTTTGCAGTCATTGGAAGACATCGAGAGCATGCCGCCTACGTCCCTCTCGCATACACCCTTCTTCGAGCACCTTCTATCTTCCCTTCCCTCCCTCCGACGACAGATTAAGGATGCCGTTACCGCTTCTATGAAGCAATGGTTGCTTGAAATTCGTAACGTGAGCGCGCAGGTTGGCGCTCTGGCTCTCGAAGGTATGGACATGCGGATACGCAAGTGGCGCAGCCGGCGAGAGAAGGACCCGCTTCTGCGCATGAGCAAGGTCGGCAGCGCGGTGGAGATGGTCACCTATGAGAAGACAGAATGTGAGTACGAGTTGTCACGGTCGTAGGTTGCTGTTAACGCTGCCAAGTCAACGTGCTGGACAACCCCCAGCTCCGCATCGACTTTCGCCCGCTGTACGAATGCATACACATCTATACCACGCTCGACTCTCTGGAAGAGCTGCAGAAATCATACCAGGCCGATCGCAAGGTACGCTTCGTCTATAGACGAGCTTGCGCGCTAGATATAACAACACCCTGCAGGCCCAATCCGACCTCATCCTGCCCTCTCCCCTTCCCCTCGCGTCCCTCTCCGAATATACCCAGGAAATCTCCGGCTTCTTCATCGTCGAAACCAACGTCTTGCAAACAACGAACAACTTCCGCTCCGAACGCGATGTCGTTGAACTATGGGACTTGCTCATCGCACGTCTCATCGCTGGAATAGAGGCCTCCTTAACTACCGAAACCGACCCGGATGTGTTCTTGAAAGTGAAGGAGTGCTTGCTTGGGTTCATCATGACCGTGGAGGCGCCGTACTATAGCACGCAGCCGCTGAACTCATTCATCATGGTGCTGTTCGAGAAGTACGCGAAGTTGCTGGAGTCGCACTTTAGCAAGCGCTTCGAGACTGTATGTTCTTATTGTGGTGTAAAGTCGATTGCATGCTCACCTGCTCGCAGATTGTCTCGCAAGATGACCACTTGCCCATGCAGGTGGAGAACGACAACGAAGTTGACGGTGTCTTGGAAGTCATCTTGGTCACGGAGCAGGAGAAATACGATATTCGCAGGTGAGGATTGACGCCACTCTTCTGTTGAACGGCAAATTCACATTCACCAGGGCGCCGCTCCCGCAGATTCTGCCATGGTCGCAGACCTTCTACCTGTCTTGTCAGGACGTGAGCTCTCGTGCCCCGCTGCAAGTACAGCTTGTGCTCATGCACTGTAACAGATCCGCGGCTTCATCCAGAAATTCTACACCTTCGTGGAAGGCGTGTCCGACCACCACCGAAACATCGACGACCTTCTGAGCAAGGTGAGCTTAGAGCTCAGCCCGGCCCCATCTCTTATAACATCATGTCCCAGTCACTCGATAGCCTCCTGAAGGACCACATCAGCGAGCCCGTCGCCCAGCGCCTCGCCGGCACCTCCACATTCTCCCAGATCGCCCAGATCATCACGAACCTCGAGTATTTCCAAGGCGCCTGCATCGAGCTCGAGAAATCCTTGACTAAGCTACGGTGAGCACATAGCATACAACACACTGCCTCTTTCCACGTCACCCCAACGGCCATGCTGATGGCACTTAACCAACTCGCTGGTTTCACTGTCCCAACTTGCTGATGTCTTCCACCAGCTCTGCCAACCGCGGCGGCGCGATCTCCCTCAACGCCTCGACCGCCTTTGAATCGACAATCACCCGCGCCCTCACCCGCCTGAACACCCTCACCACCTCCAAGCTCGATGACTTCTTCGAGCTTTCCGAGTACGACTGGACACCGCCCGCGCGCGAGTCGGCCCCCAGCATGTACCTCTACGAGCTGATCAACTGGCTCACGACCGTCGTGGACTCGCTGCAGGTGAAGGAGACGTACAAGGACGAGGCGTACAGAGGCGCGGTCATCTACATTTCGGACTGCTTGATGGTGAGTCCGCGCGGAGAGTGGTGGTGATAACGCGCTAATATCAACCGTAGGACTTCCTCACTGGAAACAGCATCCCTATGATGAACGAGAATGCCATATCGAACATCTTGCTAGACGTCGACTTCCTCGAGGACGAGCTGAAGCGTATCGGCCGCGGGCATCTGGTGGCTGTCTTTGCCGAGCTGCGGGCGGTAAGCTCTTTTCTTCGGTGCTGCTGCAGACGGTCTCATCCGACCTTCCAGACCTGCGGCATTGCTCTGAACAATACTGTTCAAGAGTATCTCGTACCTGCGAATCGCAGAGCTGCGTACAGCATGGTCAAGCACAAGCGCCTGCAAGCCCTTTTGGAGAAGCTTGCCAGGTACGGCGCCCAACAGCGGGCCAATCCGGAGCGCGAGCTAGGCGAGCGTAGACGTAAGGAAGCAGAGGCAGTTGGCCGCCTTTTCCCCGGAGAGGTATAATGCACAACCCCAGCTTGTATTATATTAGTACCGCCATCCTCTAGTCTGACAACTGCGCGTACCGCTCTATAAGGCAAAAAGCACTGGCATTGGTCGACCCATGCCTTCGCATGTACAAAGGAAGTGCGGAGCGCTAGGCAAACACAATGCGTAACAGAAATCGTGAAAAAATATAGAACTCCGAAAGAGGAAGGAGGGCAGTTATAAGACCGTTATGATAAGGCGAGTGTACGAGGTGGACAGGTGGAAGCTGGGACGGTTTTCGTATGTATCGTGGAGAATCATGACACGTGCAACAGCGGAATCCGACCAGTGTCTATACCCCCCGGCGCTTCATGTTGGTGCTTAGCCACTCCAGACCCTCGTAAAGACCGTCACCAGACGTGGCGCAGGCAGCCTGTGGGGCGGGATTCGTCAGCCGACCGAGCAGCGAACACGCGGTCTGCATACCTGGATGTACCACGTCCGCTGGCGCAGCCCGTGCAGACCCAGCTTGTCAGTGATCTCCGCCGCGTTCATCGCATTGGGCAGATCCTGCTTGTTCGCGAACACGAGAAGGAGGGCGTCGCGCAGCTCGTCCTCGTTAAGCATTCTTTGCAGCTCTTCCCGGGCCTCGGAGACACGCTCGCGATCGTTGGAGTCAACAACGAAGATAATGCCCTGCGTGTTCTGGAAGTCTGGGATAGGGCGGGTCATAAGCCAAGGCGCGGTCGGGTATGCGCGGGTGACGCACAGTGCCTCCAGAGCGGACGAATCTTGTCCTGGCCTCCGACATCCCACACGGTGAACGAGATGTTCTTGTACTCGACCGTCTCAACGTTGAAGCCTACGCGGCATGTGAGCTCACGCGCCGGAACGCGCAAGGCGGGCTATGCACGCACCGATTGTGGGGATGGTCGTGACGATTTCACCAAGCTTGAGCTTGTACAGGATGGTGGTTTTACCAGCTGCGTCGAGACCAACCTAGGACGCCTGAGGGTGAGAATATGCGGGGAGGAAGGGCGCGAGCGTGCAGACCATCAATATACCTGGATACGAAAATGAGTACAGTCGACGCGCAGAACGGCGGGCACTTACGCATTTCCTTCTTGCCAAAGAGGCCGGAGAGAAGGCGGGAGACGGAGAGACCCATGGCTGGCGAGTGGCGGGAGGGAACAAGAAACGGATTGGCGGATTTGAACGACGGTGCGCTGAGGGCAAGTGCGATGCGCTGGGCACAACACTTTGCGGGCTTTGTTTGCTTGCGCCGTTTATATACTCCCACGCTTAGGGGTTCCACGACACCCGTACGTGGTCGCCGCCCTGCGCGGTCCTCGACGCTCTCTGACTCGTCCGCCACCACACAGCTTGCTCTTGGGCGCCAGTTTTCCAGGAATATACATCCATTAGCCGCTATGTACGATTCGGTTACTGTTACATAGGTGATACAAGCGACAGCACCGACAGCTGTACACAACTATAGTATTTACACGGTGGGACCTGGGAGTTGGGGATAGCTTGTGGAGAGAATAAATAGTGCATGCAGGAAAACCATTAAACGGCGCCTGGGGAAGTATGGTCAGCTTAGACACATGGGGAGACAACGAGAAAGACATACCAAGGATCTATAATCTACCAAGGGTATTTTCAATGCGGAAGCCCGGCCGCGCGGAGACGACGGTCCAGCTTCGTTCTCCAAGAACTGTATATGCCATTAGAACGCGATGGCGCGTATTGGCAGAGCTCAAACAGGACCAGCTGCTCTTGAAAACCAGGGTTCGGCCATATTTGGTCGCGAGCTAGCCGCCTGTTCAGTAAATTGAGATAGGTGGTGACGAGCTACTTACCCTTTCGTGTCTCTTCCAACGCCTGAGTCGCGCTTATTCGTCGTGACCACATTACTGGAAAGCGTGTTGGTACGTCTCGCGTTGATTTTCGGTTGCCTGCACTCACAGTAAGCAGCGACGACAGTCGCGCTACGAGAAAGACCTTGACCACAATGGACTAATACAACGCCACCGCTCCGAAGCGCATTATCGATGAACTGACAGGCAGTCGGTAGCCATATAAGGAGATCGTCATAGTCACGGTCCTCAACCTGTGCCCGGGAAATTAGCTGGGGTCGACGCGGGGAAAGAGTTAGACTTACGGGTATGCGATAGTGGCTGATGCCCGACGCGGGGCTTTCTGCCGGGATGGCATCGTTACACACAGAAATGATATGAGTTATCCGATTCTCCCCCAGGGTGCGTGTGGATCTGGCGGCGGACAGACTATGTCGGGTTAATACATTGTGATGAGACGGGGAGACGAGACGCGTCGCCGGTCAAGGGGCTTGCCGTGCTAGCTTACTGACTTGCCAAGGAGGAGTCGGTCAGGAATAACGGCGTTCACGTTCTTCCAGCCCATGGCGCGTCGACCCGGCGATGAGTCGACGGTCCATCCCGCTCGAGCTGACCTTTGTAGTCCAGGGCGTCATCGGAATCCTCTGGGCCGTGCACAGATTTTGGCAGTCGGAGGCACGGAAATGCGATCGTCCGCGTTGAGTTCTCCAGAAAGTATGCATAGATGTTGGGCGAAGTGCGGGGGCGGTGTGCGCTAAAGGCGCTGATGGCGGTGCATCCCGACTCACCCGCCCACGTGCTGGCTACGTCACGCGCAAAACATGGTGCGCGGACACAGCCGAGCGCCCCCCACGAGGCAAAAAGCGCGTCCGGGGCTAACATACGGGCCATTGCGGTGAGCGTGCCCCAATGACGTCGACGCTCGTCGCCATCAGCAAGAGTCAAGCGCGCGAGGGGGCGGTGCAGCTGAACGTTGAGCTCGCTTGGGAACGTCACTACATCGGCCGAGTTGCATAGATACTTCCGTGGCCGGGTGGCGGACTCGCTATCGGGCAATGATTGAGTGGCACCGCGCGAACACGGCCCAAACTCGCGCATCCGGCCCCGGCAGAGGTAAGCGGTGAGGGCGAAGGGTGGCCTTGAAGTCTAATCCAGCTGAGCTTGTGCTGAGCACCGGGACGTATCCAGCCACGCGCAAGTCGTGAGGCAGGCAACAGGTAACCAAACATGATGGTCGTCCATTACGTAATGCCCTACTTAAGCAGGGGAACGACATGTCGGTGACCGTACCTTTCACTTTTCCTCCTTGTCCTGAACCACCATCATGTTCGGCAACATCACGATCGAGTGGGATGCGCACGTAAGGATCGCCTTTTCTTGCCTCTGAAATTTCTACCTACACATACTACGTAGTTCAACCCGGATGGGACGCGCCGCAAAAACGGTCCCCCTCCATCACAAATGCACGGCTGGTTGGCGAAATGGCGCGGAACCTTCAGCGGAAACGAGCACTTACGAAACGAGGTGGGCGATCAGTCACACATAAGCTTCAACCGTTACTAAATACATGCACAGGGCCTGCGCGAGATAGCCAAGGCAAAGGCGCGGAAGAAGATGCTGAAGGAGCGCAAGCGCAAGAATCAGGGCGGCCTCTTCACTCGGTGGTTTGGCAACCCGCCGAGCAAGCCGAGCCGCAAGTCGTCCACACACAAGCCTGCGCGGCGGCCCTCTGGCGCAAGTGGGCAGCGCCATAATTCACAGCGGCGAATCCAGGCGCCTCCGCCACCCCCGCAGCGGCGACCGTCGCAGGCAGCGCCCCCTCAGCGACGCCCCTCCCAGGCAGGGACGCCACAACGCCGGCCCTCGCAGGCCAGTCATACACCTCAGCGGCGCGCGTCGCAGCCTACGCCGGTCAGGCAAGGCTCCGTGACCCGCCCCCGCGCCACCCCGCGTCGCTCGAACACGACGCCAACTGGGCACACCCCCGTCGCCCGCCCGGGCCAACGCAGTGGACATCGCCCAAGCCAGTCGAGGCGGCCCACTCGCTGATGTGCTGCCTCCGTGTATGAGGTCGACTGTCGTCCGCGCTGGCGTCATACACCGCTCTCCATTTCTCGGCCTCTTTGCCTCCCCTCGCGTCACCTTCGCCGTTTCCTATCTCGAAGATCAGCCTTCGAAGGTCTTCTCTCGGAGCTCATATCTATACTTAATATCCGGGTATCGCGCACCGGGCTGGCCTCACGCATATATCTATTCTATTGTATTGCAACGCGGTCTCCGCGTTCTGGGTCCACACCTCTACTTATATGTCGGACTGCCATACGTACCTCATGTCTGCGCCATGACTACTACGACTTTACGAACATGTACGCGACAATAATACGAGCATTTTTCTTTACGAGTACTTTGCATCCGGAGTCACGGTTGGACTTTGTGATCCCGCGGAAGCAGCGCGGGTGAGCTCACGTGGCAAAAGTTACTTGTTTCCGGAATAGGAAGGCATTGTTGAGCGTTTCTGTGGGCTGCATTATTTCAGCGCTAGTGCGTTGAACAGCAAGGTTCATCCTCGACAAGTGATAGAAGCGGTGATGCTTGTATAGTGACACAGGCGCTACAGTGACTGCATTATGGTCCGCCATGAGTGATAATATACACGGGAAAGACACCGCGCAGCGGGTCGAAACGAACATACGAAGAAGAAGGAGGCGCAAGAGGGCAAGAGAAATTAGGCCCAAGGTAGGATAAGCAGCTGCAAGGAGAAGAATATAATACGAAGGGCGAGAAGAAAAACGGAATTATGAAAGACGAACGAAGTGAAGGCTTATAAGAAGATTTCGGACAGACGGTCACCGGACAGAATGACGAGCCTGTTCTGGCGCGGGTCGAGTCCGCGCTCGACTGGGACTATACGAATGTTTTCGCCGCGAATGACCTGTACGAGGTCGCCCGTCTCGGCATCGTGGACCTCGATGAAGGACGGCTCAGCTGCGATTATATATGGCCCAAACAATGCTATCAGACCCGTGAGCGAACGCAGGCCGAAGATGAGCGTTGAGACGCACCGAAGCTCGTTGGTTTGCCTTGCCAGAGAATTTTCGTGTTGCCCATCATATGCCCATTCCTGTCGATCCAGATGGCGCAGTCTGATACAGCGTGAGTATGACAGTGTCAGGCGCCATATAGTGAACGCACAGTTGAAGCAGGCCAAGATACGACCTGGCACCTGGAACAGGTCGAGCGAGTCAACGCCGACCTCTCTCGCGAACCGGACGCGATCATCTCCCATGACGTCCAGCAGATGTTGTAACTCAAGCGTCTCGATGTCGATCGTCTGGAACCCCTCGTACGTGATCGCGCATAACTTATTGTCGAGGAACTGTGCGGAGCTGAGCGATGTATTTGCCATGACGATTTCCTAGACATCGTGTCAGCAATGAAGGCGTTGGCGAGATATGTGGCGACGCACTGTCAAGCCTCGCAGTGAGTGCGAGTTTTTGGCGGGGACGAGATCGAAGACGCGGGCGGACGCCTTCGTGTGCCCTGCCTTAACGGTGCAGACCATGGGCCTCCCGAGGCAGCGGCCGGTGACGAAGAACTCGGAGTCGACAGCGATGCGTTCTGCATAGCGCTGGAATAGCTCGGGCTTTTCTAGTGTAATGGCGGGGATGGGGGCAGCGAGGACTTCCTTGTCTGCGAGGAGATTTTAGTAAATGAAGGAACGCCGCAAATCGGGCACGCACGTATCACACAGAGGAAGACATCCATCGTGACGCCGATCTGTCGTACGCCATCCAAGGTCAGCACCTTGCGAGGCTTGCCGACGTTCTGCATGTCGAACTCGTATACTCCATCGGGGGTCCCGACGTACAAGCGTTGACCTTGTTGCCAGAGGAAAGAGCAGCGGACGGTGGTAAAGAATCCGTTCGATGCGAGCTTCTTGACCCTCAAAGGCGTGGTACTGACGAGCTCGCCGGCTTGCGTCGTGATTCGCAGCGTCCACTCCGCCTGTGCGTCCTTGTCTTCGGTATACAAGGTCAGCGGCTTTCGGCCTGGGCAGACTATGGTGATGCCGCATTCTGGGCCGCTGTCGTACGTGGATACTGACAACAAGAGCAGGGGAATTGGCTGCGTAGGTCGTGTGAGTAAATCACTGTGGGCTGATGCAGGCCGCGCACCCGCTTGTAATCCTTCATTGGCTTTCCTCCTGGCTTCATGACGAGCACAGCGTCTCGAACGAGCCGGAATTCCACGGGATCTCGCTTGAAGCGCGACATATATAGGGTCCCTTCGTACAGCGTGCCGCTATGAACGGCCTTGTCCCATTCCAGAGCGCGTGCGGCATCGCCAGAGGGCGGAAGGCCCAGCATATTGCGGACGGCCTTCATTGCGCGTATGTGAGGAGAGAGGGGATGGAAAGGGAGCTCGAGGGAAGAAGCTCGCAAGCGCCGGGCCCTGATATGGGCGGACACCTTCATTGTTCCAAATGCGGATAGGCAATCAGCTGCCGTTCCTTTCAGGGAAACGATCCGGAGCTATCGATGTAACCATCGCGATGCAAGGAGTCTGATTCCGACAGCAGGCGATGTGAAACCGAGCAAATGCAGCGAAAACAAGAGAGTCAGCGGCCCGTTGGCGCTGCCTTGCGGTCGAGGCGCGCGGAGCCTCGCTGGAAATCTTTCTGTTATTGTGTTATCCATCACCTATTGTTTTTCGAGGGTGGAGTCTAAGAAATCCATCAGCCATCTGCAGGGGGTGGTGGAGGGCGAAGACAATGAGCTCAATGATCTTCTGCCGCTCACTGCCGCGGTCAGCGCGACACGCGACGCCGCGCGCGTCGCACGTGGCGCGCCTCCTGCTAGCGATTGTCGGAGATGAAGTCGAACTTTCCCATCAAGTACGTCCAGGACCGGGAACCTGCCAGGGTCTCTCCACGCCCGCGCTGCCGACGGACACAGGCCAGGCAATAGGAACGCGGGGATCTCGTGCGCCTTAGGCTCGCTACTACCAATCACCCCAGCTCCCTCGCCACAAACGCCGCCCTCATGACGCGGCAACGGCCCGACTTTGCTGCGCTCAGCCTTCCGGGAAAGGAACACTCAAGGCAACTTCCCTCTTGTTTCCTGAGACACCGCTTGCGCTTCATCTGCCCGGGGCCGATAACTGAAGAAGCTTGCCGCCATGTGTACCTGGGTGCATGCGGGAGCGGTCTCACGCCTTGCACTTTGCTTTCTCATGCCCACGCCTTGTATCGTCTAAGCCGGACAGGGCACGCTGGAATACAAAGCACTGCTGCCCCGTCGCCACAGGCACTGTACCTAGTAGCTGAGCGGCTGTGTCGGTACGCCGATCTCCTGACACTTTGTACTGAAGATACAATGCAGCCTCGTCCGAGGAGACCATCCGGCTTCATTGCAATCCATCGCTATACACTGAATCGTGATCCTTGACTTCCGCAGCCGCGTTCTCCGCGCACCTTACAGTCATTTGACGCCTCATGACCGCCGTTGGTGGTCACTTCAGCGGTGATGGCTGAATTACTGCACAAGCTCTAGGTTCTCCCCATCTTTCGGCGAGGACGATGCCGAGCGTTCTCTAACTTTGGTATAGCGCTCAAAGCAATGTGGCTCGATGCTGCCTCCTTGGGATACGCTGACGCTGCTCAATGAATATTCCGGGCCTCTAGAGAGCTCCTACCTGGCGATTCTTCCCGACCCCAATCGGCACCCTGTCGGCTGCTCAATCACTCTGAGAAGATGGAGATGGACTTCCCCTCCTTGCTCTCGACCCACTCGTGCAAGCCTGAGATGCTCCTTTTTGCCAGCAATTTGCCTATCTGCCGACAGGATGTCCTCGCTACGCCATCTTGTTACGTGGAATTTCTTTTCTACAAATCCCAGTACAAGGAGTCCGAATCGCTGCGCGACTACTGATCATGGGCTGCACGAGGGAACCCCATATCTAGGGAATTCCGCTATTTGTCAAGGGCGCTCGAAGCAAGTACTACGTGGCGATGTTGTACACCTTGGTTCGCGCCCACCGGCATCGAATCACTCGTCCGCAAGATATTCTCACCCTGTTTGACCGGCAGGAAAGAATTCCGACTATTCCAAGGCATATGAGGACCCGGCGTCCTTGGCTCGACGTTGGACTGTCAGAGGTCATGACATTCGCGTATATTGCCGCAAATGATCTACCCACCTTTCAATCTTCAACCATCCACTTGAAGGGAAAAGACGAGACGGTCAGGTCATGTATAACCAAGATCGAGGTCTATAGATTGGGGGAGAGTACAAGATGATGCACAAACAACATAGATAGGCAAATACAGCATAAGCATACGCGCACCCTACGGCGCCTGCTCCCCTCCCGCCGGCACAGCCCCATTTTTCTTCTTCTTCTTCCGTCTCCTACGCTTCTTAGAGGACGATGTAATTGTGACCTCGGGCTTCTCGTCGTCATCCTCGGACTCGTCTGACGGAGGTGGGCCGTCGAGGTTGAGTATAGGTTGCTTGAGAATATCCGCGTCCGAGCCGCGCTTCTTGACTGGAGGGGACGAAGCGGGAAGGGGTGGCTTAGTTTTCGGCGGCGACGTAGGTGTTGCTGTTGTGGGTGGCGCAGCCCTATTCTGTGTGGGTGACGCTGCTGTGAAAATGTCAGGAGTGCGCAATCTGCGCGCCGGAGGAATTTGCGTACCGGAGTTAGATCCTTGCATTTGAGACGAGGAGACACCGTTCATTGCTACGGATGGACTCGCGAGGTTACTGCTCGACACCAATGTGCCACTGGCCTGCGAGCTCAGGACCTCCGCGTTGCCCCGATTTTTCTTCTTCTTTTTCTTCGGGGTCGCATTGGACGTCCCTGCGCTGCCTTCGGGAGAAGAGGTTTGTGCTTTTTCATCCAGAGGCGTAACCTTCATAGGCGCTGGCGCTGACGGAGCGGCGGCTTGCTCGCTCTCGCCCTCCTTCAGTGGAGGTTTCTTCGGCGAGGTCGCGGCCTGCTCCCGCGTTGAGGGGCCTGCCTTAGCCTGAGTCTCCACGCCCTTCTTCTTTTTCTTGTTCGTGGAAAAGGGGTCTAGTCGCGCACGCTTTTGTACGGCTTTACCCCGACTCTCCATGTCGTCGTCATCGTCCCCGCTTGCGCCACCGGCCTCGTCGTCGTCGTGAGCCCGCTTCTTGCCAGTGAGAGCATGCTTCAGCTTCGCTTGCTCTCTCGTCAAGCTCGCTGCCTGGGGAACGCTCGCGCCAACACCAAGTCTGCGCAAACCATTAGCATTACAGTATTTTTGGAGAATTTCTACTCACCTGGCTGGGCGACGCATGTGCTCCTTGAGCTCGTTCTCGTAGTCCTTGTGCGTATGCTGGAGTTTCCCGCTGGCAGGTTTAAGCCAAGAAGAGACTAAGCTGTCCGCGAAGGACATGGACAGCGCGACCTGCGCCTGCAGCGCTTCCGGGTCGATATCATTGTCAAGCTCAGCCATAGTTTGCGGTAAATATTCAAGAAAGCCTTCGGTAGCGCGCTATAGCCGTGGCGAAGACGCAGGGAAAATTGCGCCGTGGCAGACCATGAACGACGTGAGGGGAGAAGTCAACAATAAGTCGAGCAAAGCGCTGATCACTGCCTCTTGTTCTCTGCCGTCATCAGGCGCGCTCTGGTCTTGCGCTAAATCGCCGCGCACTACTCGCAAAGGGCTCTGAAGCGGACGGAGACTCATCCGGAGAACTGACATCTATCACAAATGGTCAAACGCAAGCGTGAGGAGGTCGACGATGACAGCCAGGACGAGCGCCCGACCGGTCAGGCGCAGATCTTGCCTGTCGCCACAAAGCTCCCTGAGTCGGGTGAAATCACTAATGGAATGGAGTATTTACTTACAGTACGGTACGTGGTACGCTATCCCTACCATCTCCAGCTGACTTCCATGCTACAGACGCGACGCGTACCGCCTGCCTAATATCACGAGCGTCCCGAATCCCTATGCTCAGCCAGAACCTGCCCCTCTCCCTTGCGCGCGCAATAGCGTGCATGCTCTTCTTCCATCTAGCGAATGGCGCAAGCAGCATGTCCAGCGATTCAATAACTTCCGAAAGGTACGCGCATTGTCTTCACGCTCGATCACCTTGTCGCTGATCAAGCCATCGGACAGAACCTCGTCCAACCTGCAAAAGCGCCGACGATCGGTCCGCAAGCCGAGCCTCCTGCTGCCACGCCAGGCAACAGGGAACGTGTCTTGTGGTGGAAGTTCCTGTGCGGTGAACCCGAGTCAGTGTGGAATCCACCCCTGTCGCGCGCCGCAAAACGCCGGCGCTTCTTCCGAGGCGAAGAAGTAGATGAGCCTGAGGAAGCGAACACTGAGATGGTCTTCAATGAGGATGGCGAACTGGTTTCTGCTGCACCCCAGAATGGCGCGGTATCATCGGATGGAAACACGATTCCCAGAGAGCCTACGCCATATTTGCTTAGGTCGTTTAACGAGGTGCGTTCCCCGACCAGGAGGTGGACAAGGCTAATGCGCCTACTTGCAGGACCTATCCGTGCAATTACTACGGCATTTCGCGTTCTGGATCCGCGGGCATGTCAAGGACCCTGCAATGTACGACATGACAGAGCTGCACGCGCGATGGATGTTCTCGCTGCTCGCTCGGCTGGGCCAGCACATCTCTGCCGACCACATGAACTCGCTTCGACAAGTAGCACGTGCCTGCATATCGCTGCTGGAGGCGCGAATGCGGACGCGACTGCAAGGCCCTGAGGCAGTTGCGCCAGCGCAAGAGGACGACGACATCGCGTCGAGTACGGCATCTTCGCCTCGCTCGCCCGAGACGTATCCGACACCAGAGGTGACCCCTCGAGCGGATGCGGGACGGAACGAGTCGACTTCTCCCCAGAAGGCAGAGTCGTCTACGGCCATGGATGTCAAGTTTGCGGAGCGTACGGCTGTTGGCAAGGCCAGCGCGTTCAGTGAGAGGTCATGTTGGGTGCTTCTTGGGACCATCATTGGCGTATGGGGCCAATTGGACTTGTGGGACGACGTGGAAAGTATGCTAAGAGGCCTTCCAGCAACTTGACTAGCGCAGCCTGCTTATGTACCCGCGACTAAAGTTGAAAAGTTGAGTGCCCCTCCTCGTATCAAGTATCGATGTCGCACTATCACCGTCTTCGCTAGACCAGTGCTCGAGGGAGGTCGGAACCGCGTGCGCAACACAGCCCCCCTTTCAATTTTGCGAGAGCCTCAACGGGCCCTGGAGGCTTCGGAAATTGTTCCACCTGGCTGCCACTGCCTGTCCCCGATGGCCATAATGGCTGGCGGGATGTTTTGCCCGCCTTTGGTCGACATCAATCGCGTCTGATGTGCAAGGCGAGCATAACTAGACATGAAGCGCACGTTCTGACCCTAAGTGGGCTTCTGCTACATGATCCCATGGTGGCGAGGTCGTAAGACCCTGCTCTTCAAGCTCTTTCTGTTGGGCGCTTATTCGCCTTCACCCTCGCTACACTGCCAATTGACTTCCGGAATGACATGAATCTGTATCATCGCGGCGTTGCGCCCGGACGCGCATCGCCTCCGACGGTGGTCGCCCTGCGTTTCAATCGGCTTCGAGGCTTTGAAACGAACACGGCGCTATTGCCCGCCCGCCCATATAAACCACGGCCTTTCGCCCATCTTCCCCATCCCTTCGTCCCTCCCATTCCCATCGTCGCATTTTCTCGTGTCACTTTCTTCCCCACCATCTTCACCATGCGTTCCGCTGCTGCCATCGCTGTTCTCTCGCTCGCCTCCTTCGCGGCGGCGTTCACCGTTACGCAGCCTTCGGACAAGAAGGGCTGGACTGACTGCAATGCTCAGACGTGAGTATCTCGCTATTGGCTCATGTTGTCATCGACTAAAGTTGCTCGCAGCCTCGAGTGGAAGACCGTCCAGACCGACGCCAAGAACTTCACTGTCGTTCTCGTGAACCAGGACTCTTCGGTTCTGAGCGATCCCATCGTCCTCGCGGAGGACGTCGATGCTAGCAAGGACAGCCTCGACATCGACGCCCCCGAGGGTGGCTGGCCGTCGGGTGACGACTTCCAGGTCAACCTCGTCTACAGCAAGAAGCAGTCGGACAGGATTTACGCCCAGTCCGTCATGTTCGACATCAAGGAGGACAAGGATTGGTGAGTCTGCTTCTGATGCTTGCTGTAGTCCTCGTTGCTAATGCAGTTTTCCAGCTCTGAGTCTTCGACCACGAAGTCCGGCAGCCAGACCTCTACTGCCACGTCTTCCGGCGCCTCTTCTTCTGCCAGCTCAGGCAGCAGCGGTGACGACAACAACGGTGCGCTCGCCACGACCGCCCAGACCGGCCTCATTGGCGCGGTCGCCCTTCTCGGTGCCTTCCTCGCGTAAAGCGCATGTTCTCGAGGACTTCATATTGGCCCCTTCATCACGGACGCTACTTACGATCATCTAATGGACCTTCGGTGCAATGGTGGCAGCGGTGACACGACTCATGTCGACTTCTACTTGCTAGTCTCTAATCTATTACGGCGTCCGCGCCATCATCCTTACCTTCATATACCACATCGCAATCGCTCTTACGACTCGTTTCATGGTATTTAGACGACTGCAATGGACTCTGGACTGGCCAGGTGTGGCGCTTCAATTGATGATCTGTGTGAGTCAGTGAGCAGGACGAGCGCTTAGTACGCCAATCCGGATCTTGGATCGATGTTGTGATCCTCACCCTCCTCTGGCCGTCATGCCTTACGAGCATCTGTTGCCCCCGAGCTGGAAGCCCCAGGTCACCGCCTGGCTGGCGGAAGATACGCCTTCCTTTGACTATGCTGGCTTCGTCGTCGGCGATGTTGAGCGCGAAGCGTTCCTATTCGGCAAGGGGGACGAGCCTGCAGTCCTTGCGGGATCGCCGTTCTTCACGGAGGTCTTCGAGCAACTTGGTTGTCAGTGCGTGTCCAGCATTATGTCCCACGCCTTTTCTCATATCTCGCAGAGTAGAATGGCATGTGAAGGAAGGCGACACCTTCAAGCCGGTGAAGCATGTCGCTACTGTGCGCGGTCGGGCGCGCCACTTGCTCCTGGGCGAGCGTGTAGCGCTCAACATGCTCGCACGATGCAGTGGTATTGCCACTAAGTGCGTCCACATACTTTCCTTGGGCGTTCGTGGGCTGACTTGCGCAGATCGAAGCGCGTGAAGGACTTGGCGACTGGCTATGGATTCAAGGGCATCATCGCCGGCACTCGAAAGACGACACCAGGTGCGTCCAAGCCTCTACTTCGTCAGGGACTGCGCGGGCTTACTATCCTCATGCAGGCTTCCGTCTCGTCGAGAAGTACGGGATGCTTGTAGGTGGGATCGACCCGCACAGGCATGATCTCTCAAGCATGATCATGCTCAAGGATAATCATATCTGGTCCCATGGTACGCATAGGATCCACGTAGTATGAGAGCAACTTGCTTACAGCATGCGCAGGGTCCATAACCGCTGCCATCAAGCAAGCGCGCCTCGTCGGCGGCTTCAGTCTTTTGCTCGACGTCGAGGTTCGATCTGAAGAGGAGGCCAACGAGGCCATCGACGCCGGCGCAGATATCGTCATGCTCGACAATATCGAGGGCGATGAGCTCGTTGCCGTAGCTCAGCGACTCAAGGAGAAGTGGCGCGGTCAGCGCAAGTTCCTCATCGAGACCAGTGGTGGTATCACAGAGGGAAACTTGCAAGAGCGCGCGATCAATGGTAAGCTCGTGGATCCTCTTTCACATGCGCAGGGTTAACGCTGTTCCCTTCAGAGGTCGATATTCTAAGCACCAGCATGGTCCATCAATCCGTCCAACACATCGACTTCAGCCTCAAGATCCAGAAGCCTAAGAACTAGGACGAAACCACTTGTAACCTTATAGGCAACTAACTTATCTCTCGCTGATCTTCAGTCATGATGATTGCAATGGGCGGTGCGATGTAACAGACCAAACTGTCAAGGCCAGAGTTCTCTCTATTCACCAGACAGTTGCACGCAGCACCATTGGTTAGCGGAACCCACACCATACCGCACGAACTACCACTCTCTCGTTCATTGTCTTGCTGCGGATACCCTCTTTTTTGCCTAAATTTGGGAATCCCGACCGCTGTCACTACTGACACACAGGATACCGGACCCTTGCTTCGCCGCTGATTGTGGATTGCCACGATGCGGGAGGCACAGTCCCACGAGGGTGCTGGGTTGCTCATAGTCAATTGAATTGCCTCCCAGCGGTGATGGCAGGGATAGCAAGTCGCCCATCCTATCACTGATCAGCGCCGATCGTCCACGGGCGCATCTGCTCATGGACACCGCCGGATGGCGGCTGCTTGCGGCTTCCATGTATGCGCTCCTGACGTATAAAAGGCCTGACACTTACTGGAGCCTCAAGCAGAGCACTCCCCACAATGATCAGCCTGCGGGCAAGGACCATCTACAACCCCTTGGGCGCTGCCGACGTGCGTGACCTTCAGAGGGTATACACACAGATTGCTCTCGATCTTGTCTTCTTCGGTGCGTATCCTGACCGCGCGGGTATCCCAGAACTCGCCGCACGCTGCTGAAGTCGACGGTATTGACGGAAAATTTGGCAGGCATACAGACAGCCTTCTCAATCGCCGCTGCAAGCGTACTTGCGTTAGTTCGGATACAACTTCTCCGACTAAACCTCATCGAGCTTACGGCTGACTGTCTAGACGTCGAGCAGGCCGCTCGCTTCTGATGCTTGTCGCCATCGGCGTACTCTTCTTCTGCGCCGCGATCTCCGTAATCACCAATGTGTTGTACTACATGGTCCAACTCCCAGTATATTCTGGGAAAGACGTCAGGAGTATACTGCAGCTACTCTTTCGTCTGGACATCGTAGGTGCGGTGGCTGCACGCATAGAAGTGAGTATGGAACGTGTACCGATCCGAAAATTATATGCTCAACAGCCACAGTACGTCCTCAGCGATGTGATTGTTGTCTGGCGGGCATGGGTTATATGGTCAGATAATCGCATTGCGAAGGGTATACTGCTGTTGTGCACATGCGGAAGTTTGGGTAAGCGACCCATCCTCTGTCTCTAAATATGTCGACTGAACCCCATCTGCTCTAGTCGGGGCCATCCTCGATGCCGTGTGGCATATAACGGGAAAGATGCACCCCCATCCAGTGCCGAAGGCGCAACCCCTCATAATGTTGATTCTGCTCATGCTCACCAACGTCGTCGCGACGATACTGGTCGCGGTCAAAGTATGGTGAGCCTTGGAGTGCTTTTATCCGCTGCACACAATAACACATGTTCGTAGGCAGTACTTCCGTGACATCAAGAGCGCCCTAGGTCTATCGGCGCGGAAAACCCAGGTCGAGCGGGTGCTGGTCTTGCTCTTGGAGTCGGGATGCTTCTACAGCGTCGTATGGGTAAGCTTTGCGTCCTAAGAACGACGGTTTGCCCTTACCTGCATCCAATAGATCAGCTTCCTCGCTGTTCAGGCTACCATCGGAACATCGAAGTTCACGGTTGCGGAGCTCGTGGCCTCAGTTGTGCTCAGTATTTCTGTAAGATCATTCTTTATCGCTAATACATGCGCTGATCATGCACCTCTTCAGGGCATTTACCCTACTATCGTCGTCCTCACCGCTATGTACGACGACAAGGAACGGTCTCTGCTTGACAGCGCACAAGTATCGCACGCCATGCGCTTCGCAGATGGGGACAAGGCTCAAGGAGGGGACACTATGGACGACAATTTTGCCTTGACAGGGCCAAGCACCGATACCGATGGCTCGACTGAGCCATCAATACGGATGTACGACATGACCGAGACGCATGCCTCAGAGCAAGGAGAAAACAGCGAGGAAACGAGAACCTTTATGGCTGGATAAAAGCCAATGTCTATGCATAGGTACTTTACGGACTGCGATAATCGTGTATCATTATTGACAAATTTGAGCCTGCACGTCGACGCTAGGGATCCAAGATGAGGGGAGGTTTGACCTTCCGCAACCGTGTATGCATTCTCAAAGTAGTAGTACATTGTTCGGTAGGATACACAGTAGGGAGGCAACAAAATAGCTTACATCGTATCTAGTATCTTCGTCCTCAATGTTCCCTATCCCATGCCCAACCTATCCGCGCCCCGAGCCACCCAGATTGAAGAGAGCGATAGCGTTAGCACCGAAGACGCCATTCTTGCTCTCTGGCGTCCAGCCTGGGACCGCGTCGATCGCCTCCGTGTTCTCCGTCACACTTCGCCACCGCTCCCCATTGCCGTTCGCAGGCGGGAAGAAGGGGTTGTCCGTGCCGAAGAGTATTCGCTGGGTCCCGATATTGCGGTCCGGTGGCGCGGTGCTGCCCGTGGAGGACTCGTAGCGGCCCGCGCGCGCGACGACTTCGCTGAGGAAGCCAAGCTCCTCGGGGCCGTAGGCGACGGCGTCGTAGTAGAGCCTACCGAGGTAGTAGCGCGCGTCGTGCTTGAGGCGGTTGGCGACTTGTTCGTCGTGGGTTATGCAGGACGCGAGGCGGGAGGAGAGGGCAGGTAGCGCCCCACCGGAGTGAGCAAGCAAAAGGCGGAGGAAGGGGAAGCGGTCGAGCACGCCAGATAGGATAAGGCGCGTCGCAGCCTATAAGGATGTCAGATAGAGTAAGTTATCCAGCATCTGATACGCACCGTGGCTGTCTCGAATGGGAAGCCCAGCGCGAGGGGAAGGACATGGCCATTGCCGTGTGTCACCCATCGCTCGCCACCAACGCCATAGTGCGGGTGGATGAACACGACAAGCCCGGCTTTCTCCACCGCATCCCACACGGGGTCGAGAGCGGGATCGTCCAGGCCCTTGCCGAGGCCTTGTGTGCCCAGAATTACGCCCCGGAGGTGGGGCAGCGCGTGGATCTGGTGCACCGCGTTCACCACGGACGTAACCTGCGCGCCGGGAACGAGGGGAACGAGACCGAAGCCGTACATTCGGCGGAAGGTGGTATCTGGGAGGATCGGGGAGCTCATGCAGTACTCCTCGAGATCTTCGTTCAGCTCGGAGGCCATCCCCTGAGCCTCGGACGGGGTAAGGAAGTCAAGCCAGGGGTTCGCAGTGCTGCATGGAATGTGAGATGAGTATGGGTCCACATGTAAAGGGATATGAGCGCGCACCTGACCACGGAAATGTCGATGTCATGCTTGTTCATGAATGCGAGCTTCTCCGCGCGATCCCAGTACTGAGGCCCAACCGGACGCCCCTCCGCAGGCTCGTCACTAAGGATAACGAGGCGCTCCTCAGTCTTGCCCTTCGGGTCCTGGTGGCTGATGATGCGCGGGATGTTCGTGCGCTGCCGGAGGAGCGCGGCATAGCGAGGGAGGTAGACGTGCGTGTGCACATCCACAATCATGCGCTGGACGACGGCAGCCATTGCTTGCGGTCACTTTCCGCGCCTGGGCTGGCGGTTGCGGGGGTCGGAAAGGTGCACTCGCCGTCGTTCGCGATGGGCGCGCTATGAGAGGCGGGTGTGATGGTCAACTTGTGGCGGCAAATCCGGACCGGTAATACTTGTTCCTTCTGCTTGCAGCCCTCGTTGCCCAGAATCCACTCTCTTCGGTGCTATCCAAAACTCAGAGATGAACCTCGGAAGGGGGTATGGCAGGAATGTAGAAGGTGAGACGGAAGGGTAGGGAGGAGCACTGTGACCTTGCCGTGACGATTCAAGTCTCGGCACGTGCGGGCCGTGTTGAACTTCAACTTCTTTCCATCAACGTGAACTTGATTTTGAGCCATGACTGCTCGTCCCCCCGTACATGAGGAGCTACGTACGCTGACAGGAGAGGTACATACAAACTTTCCGATGTCCATACATTGTCAACAAAACATACCAGGTCCAACGCCTCGCATCGTCTGTCGTAGATGTGCATGGTCGATTGGCTGCGATCTCTGAAAGATCAGAGCAAGAGATTACTCTACTGCTTCGAAGGTTATCCGAAAGTGAACGGAGGAGAACAGAGCTACTGAGCTCGCGACGATTGGACAGCTCACAAGGACGCCAACAACTGGAAACCTTGGAGCGGCAGCGTGAGGCAGATCGCCGCAAGCTTCGACATGCAAGGAAGTTTATCAAGGATCTGCTCGACGACAAAACTCCAAATGAGGTATGCACGCAATCAGGGAATGCTTGCATGTCGCCATGGACTGATGACCCTAGTCGAGTAGCTCGTCCAGTAGTCCAAGCAGGCGAGAAAACGCGGTGAACGCTGCTCCCTCGCGTGCTTCGCCAAGCAGCAGCTCGAGCAGCTCTACATCCAGCATGCATGCTTCGACCCAACCAGATGAACGTCACCAACCTTCACCTCAACCAAGCGTCTCGCAGGAGAGCGAGGCAACAGTAAGGCCCCAGAGGCCTTCACCGAATGAAGACGCCAGTAATGGTGTGGCAACTACCTCAAGCGAGGAGGCTCGTGAGTCAGGTACACAGGCGCTCTCGACGTCTTTGGATACGCCAAGCGGAGAAGATGGAATATCGTTGAGAATCCGTCACGGTGTTGCTCCAGCCTCCGCCAAGTTCTCGTCGCCGAGGCTATCAGTCAGCGACATCAAAGAGGCATTGCACCTAAGCAACGAACAGGTAAGATAGAATCATTCATTAGGTATGTAGACTGACTGGCCTCCATAGACCGCTCTGCTCGACGAAATGGGAACGCATCCATCGCCGCACCTGCAGTTCAGGATTGTTGGCCCGCATATTTTCCTGTATGATCCCACGTTTCTCGAAGAGCAGACCCAGGAAAGGACCTTCCTCATAGACTGGGGAGAGGAGGCGGAGAGTAGACGCGTCTTGGATGCAATCGAGAGTGCGCAAGCGGCGAACACCGTTCTGCACACGTTCATATTCCCTATGCACGGTATAGTGAGCTTCAAAGGATGATTTTCGCCGGGAAATGGACTAAACCACAATAGAATGCTGGGTGGCGCTACGTGGGGGCGCATACCTATCACGTATTCCCCGAAGCGTGGAATGTTTGGCGTTGCATGCGTCGTCGTGAAGGAGTAGGTTTTCCATCCCTCGGAGCGGATGCTAACTTGTCTAACTCATTGCCTGCAGACACGATCCAGAATTGTTGACCGACTCTGTACTCGCCGTGGGCTGCCAGAGGATGGACATGAGCTTGACGAATACACGCCCGAATGCGCACAAATGCTGGAGGACGGCCATTTGCGTCAAGTCTGCGTGGAGATGACTTTTGAAACAGAGCCTTACAGCGAAACGAAACGAATGCGCAAAATATTGAGCCACCGGAACGCCCAGACGAGTCCGACGGTGCCTACTGGGGGACGAGCGACGGCGGAGCCTAGCAATCGTACGTGAGACGAGATGAACATGAGGAGACCGAAGGTTGGGTCGATAAATCATTGTGACTTCCATTCGTTGCCACAAATTATCTTGAAAAAAAAAAAGTGACGCGTTCCCAGGGAATTCACAGTTTGATTAGCTGGTTCGGTAGGTTCGTGCCTTGGAGGACTTCAAGGAGCAGTTCTATACTTCTTGTTACTGCAGGACGCTGATATTGTCGATCCCCGGAAGATCGGCGTAGCTATTACTCGTGATCAATAGTCAAGTCAACGCCACCCTCCAGTGAGCGCTTGACCGTAACGCTGTCGAGAGATTCAGCTGTAAGTCGGATGATTCGAGCCATAACGAAGATACCTGGAAAGATCCTTGACGAGGTAAGTCGGGTTGGCAGCAAGCATGGCCTCGCGGCTATGGGTCGTCAACAGGCCGATGGTAATGGCCCCTGCTGCAATGCCAGCACGAATGCCAGGCGGGGTGTCCTCTACAACGACACATTTGTCGGGACTGACGCCACATCCATGCGCGCCCTCGAGGTAGGGATCCGGGCTTGGCGCGGTCAGTATATTGTGTTACGGTCGGCAAGAGAAACTGACTTGGGCTTGCCACGCTCAACATCTTCCGAGCGGATGAAGACATCTGGCTCAGCGATACCCGCGGCCGCGATGGCTGGCGACGCATATTTGCGGGTCGCAGACGTGCATACTGCCCAGAGAGGTTTTGGTAGATGTCTGGCGGGGGCGAGCTGGTCGACGCTCAGACGAAACTCGTGCGATGACCGGAGTTCAAGTAGATATTGAATTTACCTCGTCCATGATCTCCTTCACACCCGGAAGCTTGACGATGCCCTGGCTTCCCGGGCGACGGGCAGCCTCTATGATGGCCGTTTCGAAGCGTTCTGCCTCTTTCTATCCATGCGTAAGCAGACGGAATAGCACCCAAATAGGAGCAAGTACCTCGATTGTCTCAGGGTCTGTCAGGCCACAGTGTATTCTGAGGTTGTCAACGGTGCGGAAACCGTGTGCAGCTGCATCGAGGTCAGTGTTATCGAACAGAGTCAATGCGACGGTGCTTGAGACACATACTACTGAGGACCTTGTCCATGTCCATATGTGGATAGTCCTTGTGGAATATTTCCCAAGCACCGTTGATACCGGCAGTCGAGTCTATGAGAGTGCCATCCATGTCGAAGAGGCTGATGACGAAGGGCTCTACTCAAACCGCGGTCGGACAAGTCGTACAGTATCTCTTACATGGCATCGACGTGTATCTTTGAGATCGGCATAGTAGCAAGCGAGTGACTAGTATGAGCGATGGATTCAGATGAAGGCGAGAGCAAAAAGCGGCGCTAACCAAATTCACCTTTACGGCCGAATATGGCGCATGTCACGTCGTCACGAGTACGGAGATCTCCGAGGTTGAACTTGAACTTCGATTAGGGAGAGTAAAGCATGCGAAAGCAAGGGAAAGCAACTGAAAGAAGTACTATGCGCGTGTCTATCGTACTCTAAAGGTAGGCAGGAGGCATCATGTGTCATAAGAGAATAGCAATCGCGGCCCCGAGGCCTATACACAAAGCCCACACCGGTCCTAGCAAGGAGTGCGGCGACGCCATGCTACCGGTATTGCTGTTAGGTTTCACTGTTAGGGTATAGAAAGGGACCACAGTTCCCGTATAGGTCGTCGGCTTCTGGACCACGCCCGAGCTCGCCTCTATGTCCCACAGCACCGTGAACTCGCAGTCCGCGGTTCCATTCTCGTGGACAGAGCACGATTGCACGAAGCCGGCCTCGAAGTAGCCACGACTTGAGTCCGCAGGCACGGATTGATAGATCTTCGACGCGCCTTCTACAAATGTGTCTGTGGGAAGGGGCGGGTAAAGTGATTAGCAGCACGAGAGTAAGGGAAGAAGACATGGGATCATCGGAGAGGAAACCGCACTGACATGTCGCTGTTGTGGGCTCGCTGATGAGGGTCCATGTCGTGGTCGCGTCCCGAAAGTCGGAGTATTTCGTTGGATAGGGTTGTGCGGCATACGACACGACTACTTCCTGCACATATGTTGTCTCATCCGCCGCCGTATTCGTCCCTACTGCAGCGATAGTCGTCGAGGCAGAGAATATCGGAGGACCTGCCCATGTCGCCCCCTCCGGCACGTAGTTGTGAAGTGTAACCTTCGTGGCCTCTTGCCCGAACACCGCTACACGACGAATCGAAGCGTTCAGTGAATCGATTAGCAGGAGAACCATGGCGTACGGACCTGAAGGCAGAACGTTGAGAAGCGCAACCACCACCGCCACCCACCGCGACACCATGGCGAGAGGCAGGACAGCAGAGGAGGCCACCGAAGCGGCCGCGGAAGAGACGTGATCGACGTGCTCTGGCGCACGTCGCCGACTTATATACGGCCTCAATCATGGGCAAGCCTCGGTGCCTGAAAGACAATTGATGATCCCGCTCGAGCATCGTGGTCCGCCGCCGAGGACGTAAATTGATTGGGTTGTCCGAGCCGGGACCGGGAAAGAGGATCGATAAGCTGCATGTCCGCCCACGGTGGCAGTATTCGTCCGTGCGGAAGGATGGAAGGGAACGAGGCAACGGCGACCTGGCTCCTCGAGCCTAACTTGCAGCGTTTTTCCTCCCAGATGTCCTCGGATGCCATAAAGTGGCGGAGGTCAGACGGGGGATATGGTCACGCCAAGCACCACCGGACCTGCTGCAGAATTCCAGTCGCGGGCGGACACCTCGGTGGTGCGCTTCGGATGCCGATTGATTCGCAAAGGCGTCGAGCGCACAACTCCCTCAACATCGAGCAGAACGTCTCTGAACTGGGAAGCACTGTGGTGGAAGGAAACAAGCTGCGCAGCGAACGACTTCGTTATGTCACGCGCGCGCACCCGGCTGATAACAATATATAGAATAAATACAGCACAATAAATACGCCAATAGACCAGACCACAGCTTGCTATGGTGAGCCTCATGGACACGCTGGCGCTCCATGAGACACTCGAACACACGTCGTCGCCCGCGCGACTGGTAGTAGCCGCCTGCGGCGGAAACAAGGCCACACGGAAACCTTATGCTCCGCAGGCCAAAAAGGGTAGGTCAGCTCGGGGAAGGCAGCTCAGTTCAACTGGCGCCAACGACGCAAGGTGGGGCGGGAGGGTGTCCACAAGGACGATGTGACGACGGCGAAGTCAATAGATCCATGCATCCTGGCAACGAACACGGTCGTCAGCTTCAGAGTATGGAGGACACACGTCGATGCGACGCACAAGTTCAGAAACCACCACGAGGAGAACGGTTTCCGGATGACGGACTGCGGTTCGAGCCCGCAGGTCCGTAAAACGAGTCCTGGTCCGAATACTTCGACACGGGAGACGTCCGGTCATCGCTATACGCGGGACGGGGCGCGGATGGAGGGACGGTGAAGAGGTCATAAGTGCTCGGCGGCTGGTAGCGCCGCACTTGCACGGGTGGCGTCGTCGGCGACGGCGTGCGCGTGTGAGTGTAGCGCACGGGCGACGGTGGCGACGGTGCACGGCGCGTAGGCGTCAGAGACGGGGGCGATGGCGACCGACGCGGGTTCAGCGGGGAGATGATCGGCATCGGGGCCTCGCTCTGACGCGAGGGGAAGCCCGAGACCATGGCGAAGTCGTAGCCGTCGTACTGGTAGGTCGGTTGGCCGCGCGCTTCAACGTCACGATACTGCTGCATCTGCTGTTCCTGCTCCTGCTGATAGTGCTGAGCGCTGTATGCAGGCGCAGGGGGCGCGGGCGTAGGTGCTTTCTCCTGCGGGTATCTCTCATTGGTGTCCGGGAGCTTGCTGAAGCGGCCGAAGTCGATCGTGCGAGGGCGCGACTTCTGACGCTTGTAGTAGCCGACGACGAGAAGTACGAGGCAGATGAAGACGCCGACACCGGCGAAGGTACCTGCAACTGCCCCCGTGTTCGACCAGAATTTACTAGGAGTATGAATGAGCGAAGGTTCACGGCTGATTCATAGCAGGCACTCACTCAGACGAGTCGTCAGATGCAGCTGCAGAGACGGGAGCATTCGCAGCACCACCGCTGGTGCCAGCGGCACTGGATGAGGTCGCAGCGGCTTCGCTGGTAGGTGATGACCTCTGAGCAGAGCCGTAGTCATAAGTATACGAGTTGGACAAGGTCGTGGCTTGATATGGGGTCATAGTAGGAGGGATGGAGGACGCAGTGGAGGTTGCAGCAGGGGATTCGTTACTGCTAGAGTCGGCAGCAGCGGAAGCGCCCTGGTCCTGCGACTGTGTGTTGCCAGGAGAGTCAAAGCCAGCTAGATCAGTGCTGGAGGGTGCTTGCACAGTCCAGGTAGTCGTCCAGCTGGTCACCACCGAGCCGGAGAAGGACTTGAAGGCGTCGGATGCATCGATCGTAGTGGTCTCAGTGCTGTGAAGCAGTCAGTGAGAGGCTCCCCTCTGTATTTGATAGCACGCACTATACACTGGAGGACGTCGTCCAGGCAGTAGCGACTGCAGTCACGATAGGTCCACTGGAAGCGTCCACTGATGCAGACGAGGTCCAGGCCGGGTCGAAGGCAGTCGACTCAGGTGCTGATGACGAGGAGTCCGAAGACTCAGAAGGAGAGCCCGAGTCAGAGGCACCGTTTGAAGGGGAGGGGGATGACGAGTCGCTGGACCACGTCTCCGTGGCGGACTCTGTCGAGGACCATTCATCGGTAGACTGCGAATTCCATGACTCCGTCGTGTGCCGTGCTGCAAGGTGTCGTCTGTGGATCGTAGAGGGGGACTTGAGGAAGGAGGGTGCGCCGTTGACGAGAAGGAAACTGAGCTGAAGAGCAAGAATGAAGGTGAGGGAAACGAAGGTCGACATAGCGCGATCGTCGGAAGCTAACAAGCTGATCGAAGGAAAGGGAGCCGTAGTCTTGGGGCGGGACGACGATTAGGAAGTCCACGGGCCCAGCGGCGTGGTAGAAGAACGAAAGCAAGGGGTGTCTGGCAGTCCAAAGTGGAGCGCAAGTCCAGAAGGCGCCCGCGGGCGCACCTTGGATAAACCGGCCCGCGTTCAATTGTGCGCTGATGGCAACGGCGCAGCCACTCGATCACTGACTGTGGCGGGCGGACTTGGCCTTGCATGCCACCACGCTGACGAGAATCCCAGCCCCTCCGAGGTTGCGCGCCACCACCCTATGCAAAATTCCATCTTCCATTTCAAGAAGCTCTGCCTGTACGCGTTCCTCCTGCCCAGCAAGCGCTCTCTCATCCAGACGACGTGCCTGTGGCTTGAGAGCTTTGCGAATTGGACGCGAAGTTCCTGCACCTACCCCTGCCATGCCACCAGCTGTAGACAAAGCTGGTCTCTCTCACGGTCATTCAGACTTCCAGCACGGATGGGAAATCCTCCGTGTCATCGGAGAGCAAAAGCGCTTCCCCTCATCGTCCCTGGCGAGCACGGATCCGGGTGGTTTCCCTTCGCAAAGTCCCCTGTCAACGAGTTACTCCGGGCGAATGCGCTGGAAGATGGAACAGGATGGAACTGACGTGGCAGGGTTGTGATGCCCGCGTCGACTTGCACGATCGATAAAGAGCGCGGGGTCAGAGGAATTCATGGAAAGGACCTTGAGTTGCTGCTGAGGTTCACCAAATTAAGGTTGGCCTGGTCGTCTTTGTTTCACCAACATAGGGTATCGTACTTTACTGCAGTCATCATGATCTGTGCCACAAAATATCATTTGGCTTGAATTCCGGTTTTATGTCGTGTATTCCGAAGGCAAGTGCGTACTGAGCGTTTAAAGTTGGATTAGCATGCACAAGGCGATGTCGCAGTCGTTACTGACTCTTGTAACATGGTGAAAGGAAGCAAGAAGAGCGTTATTTCCCAAAAGGGAAGTCGTCGAGTTGAGCGAACGGCACGTGCGACAGCGCCGATGTAGACAATTGTGGCAACAGTTTCCGTCCACCGCGATTTCATGCGCAACATCTAGCCAGCAAAGCACTTTTCTGAACAGCAAGTCAAAGTTCATATACACCCTACGCCGATACAAGTGCATGCAAGTTATAGATCTCCTTCCTCACCGCATAGTACGTCTCCGACACATTCCCCTCCATCTCCACATTCCCCCTCGCCGTCTTCCGCACCGCAACGCTCTCCGCGAGCGGATCCGCACCGTCGCCCTTCCGATGCGTCACGCCGCAGATGAGCACACCCTCGCCCACTAGCTCCGCGTGCACGCCAACCTGCGCGAGGCGCGCTTTGAGCGCGGTGAGCTTGAGCTCGCCGATCATGGTCGAGCGCGGCAGCTGCGCGGCAGGGCGAGAGCCGAGCACGCGAGGCGCACGGAGAGGCAGGCGCGTGGCGGCCGCGGCGGTTTTTGCGGCGGGCTCGAGGGTGGGGAGCAGCGTCGTGGCGTGCATGACGACGCGGCCGGTGATGTATCCCACTTCGTTGTCCTCGAACTGTGATTGGTGAGTGGAAGGCAAATAGGGATGTGATGGGGAAATACGTACGCGAGACATGCGCAAGGAGGCGAGCAACTCGTCGCTGATGGAGATGGAGAAGCTGCTTGTTTGTTGACCGATTTGGACGCTCTGGCCAAACTCGGGCGCGTAGATGTCCTTCGTCATGGCTTGGATATTGCCACAGCTCTCGATGAGCGAGTCGGCCGCGTCCGAAGTAGCGTGTACGATTATCTAGGACGGCGTTAGTGCTTCTGGTATGAACAGGAAGGAAGAGAACATACCATCTTGCGCGGGTTGACCTTGGGCACGATCGTCTTCACAGCACGACTATCGTTCAAACCCTCCATGTCTACAAATAGGAGCCGGCAAGCCATCTGCACCTCGACCTCCGTCTCGACGAACTTTGATGGAGGCTCCAAGATCGCTTTCTGTGCTCAAGTCAGCTCAATTGTTTATCATGAGACGCACAATTGCAAACCTTCGCCTCCTCCTCTTCCTGCTGCTTCCGCCTCGCCTCCTTCACCTCCTCGCTCTCCGCCTCCTCCTCAAACACCTTCCCCTTCCGCAACCACATCCCCACATCCACCGTCTCCCCATACTCATCCACCCGCCTCTTCTTCTCCACATACGGGAACATCCTAAACCTCTGCTGCGCTGCCGCGCCCGCATTCCTAAAGAACGACGTCGCCTTCGAGACATTGCCCTTAAGGTAGATATCAAACGACACGAGTTGCTTCGGGTGCTCGTCATCGCCGTCCAGCCCGGCCCAATCGGCCTCGCCCTTGCGCCGCTCGGCATCGAGGTCCATGACTTCTTCGTTGAAGGCCTTTTCGGAGGCGTCGTCCTCGCCGTCGGAGTCGGAGTCGGATTCGGAGTCGCCCTCGTCGGCTTCGAGCATGCGCTGGTTGCGCGCTGCGGCGGCTTGTTGGGCGGCCTCTTTTTCTTTGGCGGCGCGTTCTTTGGCGAGGTAGGCTTCGAGCTCGTCGCCCTGGAGAGGGACTTTGCGGCGCATCTGCACTGCTGTGAACTTCGGGCGGATGGGAGGGTGGGATTGGGGCGTACCTTCAAGGTGAGGTTATCGTCGAGCATGACATTGCTGCCGACCTTGCCCTTGTCCCATTTGGCTTCCGCTCGCTGGGAGTCATTCCACTTCTCAAAGAGGGCGCGAGCGAGGGTACCAGGATCCCCGCGCTGAGTCAACAAGATAACATTGTCGGGAATGGCAGCAAACTCGGAAAAGATAGAGCGTGATGGTCCATGAGACAAGTTGAGAGGCACGGCAAGGATTAACTTGGGGTCCTTCGACGAGTACGTCTGCAGCAGAGCCTGTGGTGTCGGAAAGAACTCGAGGTGCCTGTACCGTAATTCAGATCGCTGCAAATGGTACATTGGGAGGCACTCACTGGAAGCGTAGCGCGAAAGCACCCAACGCGTCCTCATCATTGTCATCGTCCGCGCGCTTCCTCTTGTTGCCATGTCGTCCCTTCATACCGTCCTCTCCGACATCCTCCTTGCTAATAGTACCACCAAGCCACTCCATCATACTCCGCACGAATGTGAGCATCTCCCTTCCTGTCCTTGAAACAAGACATATGGGGTAGCGCAATCGGGAGTAGTTCCAGTGCTGGTCGAGGAGGACGAGCAACTCCAGCAGTCGTGTGCCCGAATCGCAGGGAAGGAGTAGAGATGAGCGGGATGATAATGCAGTGGTGACAGTATCTTGCAGGAGAGTGAGGTAGGTTTACAGAGGATAGTGAACGCCACATACCGATGAGGGACGCGTCTCGATCCTTTCGTCGACTGGTGATGACATTGGCGCGGTCGGCGTCCGTGATGAACAAATCCGGTCTTGCAAGGGGTTCGAAGATACCACCAGCTTGACGAATAAGGACCGTGCCGTCTAGATGGCGCTCTCGCATGTGGTTCATGTTGACGGCATAGAGGATTGTACCAGACGAGGGGGATCGTATCTTCCATATGGTGCCTCCGAGAGTATGGCCAGCGTTGAAAGGGGTGATGGTGATCCCCTGGCATTTACCTGTTCTATTGTAAGCTTTGGTACACAATGGACTGATCAGAGGACACACCTTGCAAATGACAAGGCTGGGAGTACCGAAGTACATTGACGGAGTCGAACGCGTCTTGTACTTCTTGAAGTGTGGCAACATACTTCCCCCTCAGCTTTCGCATCTTTGGCTCTTGCTTCTCGCCTTCCTCTTGGCCTTCCGGTTGCTCCTCCGTGGGTTGAGTGGCCTCCGGGACGAGAAGACCTTCAGCGTCTACGTCTTCCTCATCGCGCAAGCCTTCCACGTCTTCTGCAGCAGCTATGCGCGCCATGGCTTGAACGGGGAGCGTGGTGTACGTTTGCGCCTTGAGACCCCATCTCGAATACGCATAGGGATACAAGCCGGAATGCTGCAGGTCTCCGTGCGAGAGGAGAACAAGGTCAACGCTGGCGGCATGCCTAGTAGAGACTTAGAAAGTTCCGCAAGTGTATTTTCATTGCAACGCACTGTCGTAAGATACTACAGTACTCCTCCCATGAATAACTGGTGTCCTCCACCTTCACCTCCGACGTGGATGGCTCTGGGGACCAATCCGGAGAGCCGCAGTCAAGCAGAATTTTGACATCGTCAACTTGTAAGATGAAGCAGAGGGGCGTCGTCCGGTTCGAGCACGCCGCGCCCGCCAGCGGCGTGAAGGTGAGCATGAGCGTCAAGTCCGACGCGTGAACTCGACGATCAGCCGTGACCAGCCGAGCAGTCACACACACGTGCAGTGGGTTTCGTCCGCGAAAGGAAAGCATTGTCTTCGGCTCATCCCTTCATCCGCGGACCGGCCTGTGCGGGGCGGCTGCCCCGCGAACGACAGCCCACTTCCCTCTCCAAGCCGCCACTGTCCTCGTATCTCTCCGGCCTCGATAGCATCTCAATGGCGTTCTCATGCTATATTGCCTGTATATAGCCCTCTACTACCCGAAATTCTGGCCTGCGACATCTGCGTTTACCCCGCCCCGAGGGGCTTCAAGCGCTTCTCCGTCGGGCTATTCAAGTTTTCTACTAAAACGGATTGCCTTCTCATGATCCACTCGTATCCTCCGACCTGTCCGCTTGCGTGCCTGGCGGTATCTCTGCTTCTTCATGATACGCCTCGGATTGTGGCCCCCGTCAAACTCTAGGCAGCACTGGGAGCATGGAACCTGCGCCAGCCCGTCCTTGCGGGGAAAGCCACTTATCGGCTCCCATTCAGCCTTCAGGTCAGGGTGATGCCCGTGCCATCAACCCCACCACATGATTGGGACGCGGTATATAACGCGTACGATATCCTGATATGCGGTGCCCTCCTTGCCCGCCGCCACTCGACAGCCCACCATGTCGCACAGCTCCGAGAGCATCGACAAGAAGGACATCACGTCCACCGCGTCCCCCGCTCCCGAGGATGCGTCCATCGCGAAGGTGGAGGAGGCGTACAACCCAGAGCTCGTCAAGGCGCTGGAGAACACCAAGCTTGACCCGCTCAGCAGGCGCGCGTTCTCGGTGAGTCTTCTTGCGTTCATTCAGCGATGTGGAAGGCTCATTCACTGCAGCTCTACTTCGTCATCATGGTCGGCTTCCTCAACGCTGCTTCGTCCGGCTTCGACGGCTCGCTCATGGGCGGCATCAACGCCATGGAACAGTACCTCGACTACGTGAGCTCGCTGCCCCACCCCTCCCTCCCCATCCCCCTGACCTTGCTCCCCCCAGTTCGGCTACGAGTCGACCGGAGCTTCAACGGTGAGTAGCTCGCCCAGCCGTCATGTGCCCCCACTCACGCCGCTTCCCCCGTCGTATCAGGGCATCGTCTTCATGATCTAGTGCGTGAAACGCGGTGTGTGCGGTCACGTTGACTAAGTGCCATCCGTATCTTCAGCGTCGTCGGCAACTGTGTTGGCTCGCTGGTTGCGGGTCCCTGCTCAGACAAGGTGCGTCGCCGAGGTAGCCATCATGGATCTGCGGTCGCTAATTGAGTCGCACAGTGGGGCCGCCGTGGGGGCATGTTTATCGTGCGTTTGGCGTCTGCGGGTAGGATTGGGCTCATCGTGCTCTGTAGGGAGGCTTCTTCATCCTGGTGGGCGCTGCCATCATCACCGCGGCCCAGAATCCTGGATACTTCCTCGGTGGACGAGTGAGTCCCTGCCATTGGTCATATCCTTCGCACATTGGCTCACCTTCTGTAGTTCTTACTCGGTTTCGGTATCGCTATCTCGACTACAGCCGCGCCCACTTGGGTCACCGAACTCGCGCCCCCTCAATGGCGTGGCCGTATCGGTGCTTGCTATAACTCGTGCGCCCACAGATTCTGACTCTGGTGTCTGTTCTCATGTGCATACATAGCTGCTTCTTCATCGGCTCCATTCCCGCCACCGGCGCCATGGTAGGCACGGAGAAAATGGCCTCGACATGGGCTTGGAGGTTGCCTCTCATCCTCCAGGTCATTCCTCCCGTGCGTCAACATTCTCCCATGCCCTATCACTCGAGAATCTGAAGTCGCTTCCAGTCCATTGTCATGGCTTGCGTGTGGTTCTGCCCCGAGAGTCCCCGTTGGCTGATTTCCCGGGGCCGGGAGGAGGAGGCGCGCCAGGTGCTGGTGGACTACCACAGTAGTGACGGCAAGATGAACTCGATCATCGAACTCGAAATCGCCGAATTCAAGGAAGCCATCCAGGTCAAGACGAACGAGCCCGTAAGTCCCATCCTTTTTCCCCCCTCCACCACCCCACATATCCTGACCTCCCCGCCAGTGGTGGGACTACCGCCCCCTCGTCAACACCGCCAACGCGCGCTGGCGCACCCTCTGCCTCGCGCTCATGTGCATCAACGGGCAGCTCGCCGGCAACGGCCTCATCACCTACTACCTCCCCGTCATGATGGCCAACGCCGGCGTCACGTCCTCGCACCAGCAGCTCGTGTACAACTTCGCGAACTCGATCCTGTCGGCGTTCGGCGCGTTCACGGGCGCGGCGCTGACGGATAAGCTGGGGAGGAGGAGGCGGTTGTATATTGGGGCGTTTGTGCTGGGCGTGCTTTTGGCGATGGTGGCGGCGCTGTGAGTGGTGTGGGATTTGGGAAAGAGGTCGAGGCTAATTGAGAATGTTCACCAGGTCATCCGAATACGGCAAGAAGGGCAACACGAACATCCAGGGCGCGAACGCGTCTATTGCGCTCGTTTTCGTGAGTAAATTCCCAAATAATTTTGGATAGAAGCTAAAGCCTCGTCAGCTCTTCGGTATCACCTACAGCTTCACCTACACTGGCCTGCAGGCGCTATACTGCGCTGAGGTGATGACCCAAGAGATGCGTGCGAAGGGCATGGGACGTGAGTACCTGAAATATATCTTGGTTTATTCCGAGCTGAATCTTTCGCAGTGCACATCCTCATCTCAAACTGCGCGGGCTTCATCAACACCTTCGCGAACAGCGTCGGCCTAAAGAAGCTCGGGTGGAAGTACTATTTCGTCTTCGTTGCCTGGGACTTCGTGTACGCGCAGCATTTCTCAGTGATCAAGCAGGAACTAACATCATTGTAGCGCTTCCGGCCTCTGGTTCTTCTTCTGCGTCGAGACTCGGGGGTATGTCACTATAGCCTGCACAGAAAATCAGTCGCTGACAATTGAAACAGACGCACCCTCGAGGAGCTCAACGAGGTCTTCGACTCGCCATACCCTGCAAGGTACAGCGCGAAGAAGCTGAAGGTCGCAGTGAAGGCAGACGGTGACATCAAGGTCGTCGGCGAGGCATGATGCACGACTATACTACCCCGGACGAACGCTGCTTCCGCTCTGGGACGACGATGTTTCTCTTGGATTCGTGAGGTACTTGCTAGGATTACTTTGGGTAGTTTAATTTATTGCGTATACGAAAGGATGATGCTCTCGCCCAAAGGTATTATGTATGAGTCAGTGGGTCATGAGCTCGGCGAGGGCATGGCGAATAGGTCAAGCTTGATTTGGTGGCCCATATGGGCTCGAGAGGAAACCATTGACAGACAAGGCCGAAGCTGGAACAAGGCGACCTGAGAATCACGAGAAACGTTTGTGACGTCAGACGGCGCTTGCACTTCGAATTCAGGGCACTTCCCTTCATCGTGTCAATCGCGCGCCACACCGGAGCCCGAGGCGCAGCTGCACCTTGGACCCGACCACGACTCTGCACGCCGTACACAAACTACTCCAGTCGCTCGTTCTACATTTCTTCTATCCATCTCACACATAAATCTACTGCACCTACACCGCGATGCCCGTCAGCACGCTGTCGTCGGCGGTGTACATCACACCAAGTGCGTTCGCGACGGGGTTATGTAGTGGGAAGCGAGAGTGACTGACGGTATGGCCTGCAGCGGTTATCAAGACCTTCGCTCAGCATAGCAAGCGCAAGGCGAGGAAGTTCAAGGATGGGGATACGGAGGAGGACGCGAAGGATGATATCTTCTTCGACGAGTGCGTGGTTACTGCTTGCAGCGACTGTATATGTGGCTGACGATCGATGCAGGGCTTTCCACATCGTGAAAGGCGCGTACAGACGTTGATCTTGCAGATGAATTACGTTCTGAACTATTATATAGCCTTCATCGAGATGGGCACCAAGAACACTGTCGAATCCCTTCAAGCCTTGTGCGTTTCCCTTCCCAACATTCGCTCGTACAGTCCCTCACGCTTCCCCACAGCACCAACACCCACGTCCCCTCCCCTTACTGGGCCGCCGTCGCCGCGATCCAAATCCCCTTCCACACATGCAATCAAGCCGCCGACGCGCTCATCGAGTGGTTCGGCCCGGAGGACCTCAAGCGCGTCGTCGGTGGCGAGCGCTGGTGGCAGGTCCGCGGTCTCGACGGCATCGACGCGGAGTGGATCACGCAGAAGGACTACTTGGGCGATGGCGAGGAGCTGCGTCACGGCGGTAAGGATCTCTCGTCGGCGGAGGAGACAATACAGAGGATGGAGCACCTGGACCGCGTCATGGTGAGCTTTGCCGTGCCTTATATGATGCAGTAGGCTAAACGCATGCCTAGCTTTATGTTCATGGAGGTGAGCTTCATGCAGGGTGTTGTGTGGCAAGCGAGGCTGACGGAATATGCGCAAGGCGGGTACTTCTGGGGCTCAGTCAGTGAGTGACGACCACACAAAGTATACAGCCACATATTTACCTCGCCTCAGACACGCATCGATACCAGATCATACGATATGGTGGGTACACTACGTACACGAAAGCTCTTCTTCGACTGACCAACTACAGCTCGCAAATTCAAGGGAAGGGCCTTCGCAGTAAATTATAGGTAACGTGAGCGTGCAAACTCGTCATGAAGACAAGACAAACCTGGCTGCATAGAAAAGCGCCGCAGTACCCTTGGCCGTGCCCGGTTCACGATGTCCTCGCTGCATGTGCGTGCCCGAAGTTTTCATGGCAGGCTCTTGCTGACTGTATGTCTAGACCTCTATCTAATCACCCCTCCGCCCGGCGCGCCCCATAAGCCCGTCAACCCGTCGAAGATCGTCTTTGCAGGCGATTCTGCTGGTATGTGCGCGCATTGGTTGTGGGAATACATTCTCACCTTGCGTCAGGTGGCGGCCTATCCCTGACTGTCATGACCATCCTGCGCGACTTGGGATTACCCTTGCCCGCGGGAGGCGTCCTAATCAGCCCTTGGGTCGACCTCACCCACAGCTTCCCAAGCGTCATGTCCAATACCCCTACGGTGAGGCACGACCTGTGTTGTCCTGCTTCTGGTACGCTGACGATCAACAGGACATCATCCCTCCCCACGGCTTCCTCGCCAAGCCCTCTCCCGTCTGGCCCGTTGACCCTATACCCCCTCCCGAGGGCAGAGTACGGCAAGCAGAACATGGTCCGCCGCCGAAACCCGGCCATGCCGGGAAACTCGTCCCTTCAAAGGACGAACTTAAGCAGGCGGAGAAGCGTCAGAAAAGCGCTCCCGCCAATGGCGACAGTCCTGCCAACGATGGAAGCCCTGCAGATGGCGACAATGCTGGCGAGAACGGTGGCAGCCCCGTCGCTGACCGCCGAAGCCCCGTCGAGAACCAAGAGAAAATGCTTGACAGTGGCGCGTCTAGCAAAACGAACGCCACGGTACCCTCGAGACGCGACTCGAAGACGAACGAGATCGAGGCGAAGGAGGAGTTTGAGGACGCGTTTTGGGAGCCGAAGCCGCCGAAGGTGTTGATGAGGGATCCGAAGTCGGTACCGCTGGAGTTGCATTCGCAAATTCAGCAGTATGGGACGAATGAGTGAGTTACCTTTCATCGCAGAGCTGGGGATCACAGAAGCTGACGCTGGTTACTTACAGGCAACTCTCTCATCCTCTCGTTTCGCCCGTCTTGCAGGGCTCGTTGGGTAACCTCCCGCCTCTGTATATCCTTGCTGGCGACGGCGAGGTCCTACGAGACGAGATCATGTACATTGCGCACAAGGCGGCGCATCCAGATAAGTACCCTGCGCGGGCTGGCGTGCTGCGGGAGGGATGGCGCCAGAAAGAGAATGCAGAGAAGTTCAAGACGCCTACCAAGGTTCATCTGCAGGTTTTCGATGGTATGGTAATTGGCGTGATTGGTGTTCAAATTTGCTCACCGTAGTCGTAGGCATGTGCCACGTCCTCACCGTCTTCAGCTTCACGAATAGCGTATGTGCTGTGAATTTTCGGGACAGATCCAGTAGACTGACACTACTCATAGGCTAAGTACGCGTACCGCTCAATCGCGCAGTTCGTCAAGCACGTCACGGACAATGACGCCGACCACTTGGACACAAATCCCTTCCCCGAGCTGCATCGACCGTCAGGCGAAGTATCAAGCAGTAGCTCTTCTGGTCAGGACTCCATTCCCCCGCTGAAAATGAAGCCGCCTTTCGTGCCGGACAAGAAGGCCAAAGTTGACAACACGAGCACGGTGCTGTACGAGGCGAATGAGGCCGAGATTGCGAGGGATATCGCGGGACGGGTGGAGGGGAATGCACCGGCTCAGGATGGCGACAATGTTAGCCGCATCGAGAGCGCGACGGAGGTCAGTCTGTCCGGGATTGCTTGAGGACTGGTACTAACTTGACTCCAGGACGCTACCAGCGCCTTGATGATCCGCGAGCGCGTCGATGTCAAGGGCTTCACTCGACCCATGGAACCCGAAGCCGAGATCCCCGCCCTCCAGCTCAAGCCGCACGAGATCGGACTCATCCGCGAGGAGCCCGCCATCCGCTGGCACGAAGGCCAGAAGAAGTGGGACAAGCGGTACCGCAAGCGCGCGCACAAGGTCGTGCAGAAGCGCAAGCGGATGGAGGCGAGGGCGGCGGAGCTCATCGAGCGCGCGAAGGCGCAGGGGCTGGAGTTCCAGGTAAACGATCGGCCGTCGCATGTGAGGCAGGACTCGGGGGCGTCGAGGGCGAGTGTGAGGACGACGGATGGGGTGATTCAGGAGGATAGAAGGTGGGGGCCGTTGGATCTGGATGAGGAGAATCCGCCGCCGAGTGCGATTGCGGGTAGGAGAGATACGGTGAGCACACCTACTATATAACCTCGATGATGGTGCTGATATTTTCTAGCACGAGTCGCTTGCGCTCTTGCGGAAGACCATCTACCACACCGCGCCGCAAACTCACACAACCATCCCTCGGATGAAAACGATGCAGGTCATTCGTGCCGCTTTCGACCCGCACGATGACCCGTTGCAACCTCCGAAGCAGTCTGTGTCCGAACAGCAGACCAAGACGCACATCATACCCATGCACGGCTTGCGGATCTGGGACACGCTGCTCAGCTACTTTATGCGCAAGAGTCAGAAGAAGGCGTTGGATGGCGGTCGGTCGGCGTCGGCAGCTTTCTCGAGCGCGAAGAGCAAGCTCAACGGGAGCTCGGACTCGCCTCTGCCCACTCCACCGAAGCTTGGCCTGGGCGAGGAGGGCAAGGAGCCTGGCAAGAAGTAGGACAGTACATACTATATTACATACCACGGACTGCAGTTTAGACACTTCTACACTGGACTTTGATACCATACACATACGCTAGAGTACCCCGCCATAGTCTACCTTATTTTCAATGCTAGCCGCTTGTTGGCTGCCCACTCGTGGGTGGGCTCCAAGCCACCTGCCAATCAGTCTCGGGGAAGCGCGTAGGGCACGTGGTGAAAACACGCGAGTGTATAAAACGACGCGCCTGCCGGCAACGCCTTTCTGCCTGTCTCGTCCCACCACCCAGGAGACTTATCCTACCCTTTACTACCGCGTACGTCGCTGCTCGCTGGTCAGACCGCTGCCCGCCTTTGCTCATCTGCCTTCCGTATAGTTTTAATTCACGAGAATGCGCGAAGTTGTGTCCATCCACGTCGGTCAGGCCGGTGTGCAGATCGGCAATGCGTGCTGTGAGTAGCGTTTTGTGGCCCGGGCGTCGATGTATGCGTCCTATGCCGCGTCGATGTGCGATGAGAACGCGTGTTATCGAGCCCAGGGTCGTGAAATTGGGGTCCCGAATGAGGCGTGCTAACGTCGGTTTTAGGGGAGCTTTACACCATTGAGCATGGCCTCAGCGTGCGTGTTGCCGATTCGCGTACGAATACGCCATGTGCTGACACTTCTGTAGCCTGACGGTCGTCTCTCGGACGATTCGCCCTCCAAGCACGATGATGGCTTCAGCACCTTCTTCTCCGAGACCTCGTCTGGCAAATACGTGCCGCGTTCGCTCTACGTCGATCTCGAGCCCAATGTCATCGATGAGGTTCGCAACGGTCCTTACCGCAGCCTCTTCCACCCGGAGACGATGATCACCGGCAAGGAGGACGCGGCGAGCAACTGTGCGTGTAGTCCCTGGCGATCGCCACCACAACATAATTAACGGTCGCCACCCAGACGCCCGTGGCCACTACACGATCGGCAAGGAGCAGATCGACGTCGTGATGGACAAGGTCCGCCGCCTCGTGGACAACTGCAATGGTCTGCAGGGCTTCTTCGTCTTCCATTCCTTTGGTGGTGGGACGGGGTCCGGCTTCGGCGCGCTCATCCTTGAGCGCCTGTCGACGGACTACGGGAAGAAGTCCAAGCTCGAGTTCAGCGTGTACCCTGCGCCGACCCTTGCGAGCTCCGTTGTCGAGCCCTACAACTCGGTCTTGACGACCCACACGACGCTCGAGCACTCGGACTGCTCCTTCATGGTATGTGGCGCGTTTCGTGGCATGAACAGATGTTAACCGTGGAATAGGTTGACAACGAGGCGATCTACGACATCTGCAAGAAGAACCTGAACATCGCGCAGCCGGGTTTGACCAACCTCAACCGCCTCATCGCGCAGGTCGTGTCCTCCATTACGGCCTCGTTGCGCTTCGATGGTTCCCTGAACGTCGACTTGAACGAGTTCCAGACCAACTTGGTGCCGTAAGTGACGCATATATGCGTTACGCGCGTCGTGTTTGACGATGTCCCAGCTTCCCCCGTATCCACTTCCCTCTCGCCACCCTTGCTCCCATTGTGTCCGTCGACAAAGCGGGCCATGAGAGCAACTCGGTTGCCGAGATGACCTACTCGTGCTTCGAACCGGGCAACCAGATGGTTAAGTGCGACCCGCGCGACGGGAAGTACAGTACGTATGAATGCACATCTGGCATTGACAGGTCGCTTATGTTTTACCCAGTGGCCTGCGCGCTGCTCTACCGCGGTGACGTCGTCCCGAAGGACACGAACGCTGCCGTCGCCTTGATCAAGACGAAGCGCACCATCCAGTTCGTCGACTGGTGCCCGACCGGCTTCAAGCTCGGCATCTGCAACGAGCCTCCTGCGCACGTCCCGGGCGGTGACCTCGCCAAGGTCAAGCGCAGCATGTGCATGCTTTCCAACACGACCGCCATCTCCAGCGCCTGGAGCCGCCTGGACCACAAGTTCGACCTGCTCTACTCCAAGCGCGCCTTCGTGCACTGGTACGTCGGTGAGGGTATGGAGGAGGGTGAGTTTTCGGAGGCGCGCGAGGACCTTGCGGCGCTGGAGAAGGACTACGAGGAGGTCGGCATGGACTCTGCCGATGCGGAGGAGGAGGCTGCGGAGTACTAGATGGTACCCGTGAATACCTGGCGGAGTGCTAGATGATACCTGTCCGGTTACGCTTTCTCTGTCGCATAGTTCTCGTCGCTCTCGTCTTTCAGCTTTGGAGGATCTCCCCACTTGTACCACATCATTCTCCTTTAATCCTGCACTATTACCTTTACGATTATCACGCGTACTTCTGGAAAATTGACGCTTTGTTTCTCTGAACTTGTTGATGGGCGGGGAGTGGGCACCTTGGTGGCAGCAAGTCAGGACAAGTTTGTTGGGTTGCTGTTACAGACATTCGTAAGACGGGCGAGGGTGACGGCCCACGATCAAGGGTATACGATTGAAATCACGAATGAAATCGAACAGGTCCACGCAGACGTTCGTAAAGATCTTGCGAATTATTGTGCGAGAGGATGGACGAAATTTGGAGTGAGAGACGGTCCGATAGACGCATCTCAGGAGGCCCGTAGTTGCGCATGGCAAGAGCCCACTCGCGGTGAGCAGACTCTGGGAGTCCCTCGAGGACAACGTCAAGCGCGTCCTGTCGCAGTGTTGCGCCTTCGAAAGGAGAAACCCGCTCGCGTTGGAGGTGAGCGTCTTGCTCACGTTCAGAAAAGGACGGTGGTGGGACGGATTGGTGGGCTGAGGCTCGTGCAGAGCTCTGCGCCCGGTGTGGGTGTGCAAAGCTCTGCGCGGTGGGCGGCTGTGCAAGGCTCTCCGCTACATGTGAGTATGCGGAGCTCTGCACCGCACGCGAGTGTGCAAGGCTCTCTGCTGATTGCGAATGTGCAGCCTTCTCCGCGGCATACGAGTGAACCAACTTCAAAGCTCGACTGTTGAGAGGAGACGGGAACACGGCCGAAGTCTGGATGAGATCGGATGAGCGGTGTGTAAGATGCATGAGATTCCAGCGTACCGAAGGATCAGGATTTGCGACAAGTGGGGGTGGAGGAAGGGTGCCAGATAGGCTCACGGCGGATGCCGGCCAGCGCAAGGTCCTGCTGGTCGGTGGGACACATTGATGGCCTGAAGCTCGTGCGGATGGCTAAGAAACTATCAGTGCACGTCCGGGGGCACGGTCGAACGACTTGCCTGCAATGGTGGTTGGGCTTTACTCACATGGAATTCCGATATAGGTATGCCTGGGAGCGGCCCTTTAGTGACCTTACGCTGACCCATGACGGGATAGATCCATGAGGCGGGCAACAGCTGTCTTTGACGAAGGTCATTAAGTAGCCACTGAAAGTCGAATTCATCTTTATAGAAGGCGACCATCCTCTGAAGACTATCGTGAGCGCCAAAGCAGGTCAGAGGGATGGGCAGATGTAACACACCATGTGCTCGAAAGACAGACGAGCTTCCTCAGCGGGATTCTCTACGTATGGTAGCAGGCTGCCATCTGCGCATAAAATGGGGTCTGGAAGTGGTGACTCAGCAAGCCAAGGATTATAGGATGTCTTCGAGGGATATCAGGCAGCAGAAACGGGCGAGGGGGGAGAACCGGTTACCTTCGGCGGAGGAATAGAGTCTGGTATATAGATGGGCCAGTCGGGAAATTGCAAGGGAAAGGATCTCTAAAAAGAAGTAGGCGCAAGCTATGGATGACCGAGGGATCGCCTAGACTTGCTCGCCCTTCGAGCTTGGGCGCGGCCAAGCCGTCGTGACGTGCATTGCCCACAGAATCTGCGAGTTCTCAGCAGGCGCAGAGAGCAGCGGCCAGATGAGATCTCACGAGCGCGCTCGACATGCATTCGAAAAGTGCAGGTTGCCTGCTCTTCTCACAGTTTACGAAAGCGTTGTGAATGTCTCGGGCAGAGGGAAGCTCCTCAGATTCGGCAATAAGTGGAAAGTAGTTCTTCACGATGCGCATGAGCTCGTGTATATGACACGCATAATCGGGCACGCCTGCTGAGGGCATGGCCAGACCACTGACGCGGTTCGAGTTAAGCCAACACGGTACGTGTCACGAGGGGTGATGTGACGGTAACGCGGGAACGGCAAATGCCGGGTGGGGATTTTTGCCCTCTGACCAGACGACGGGTTGACCATCGACCGTTCAGTTCCAGCTTTTGTCACCAACCATGCGCGAAGTTATCTCAGTCCACGTCGGTCAGGCTGGTGTCCAGATCGGAAATGCCTGCTGTGAGTGATGAAAAGCGCGTCGTCGCGTCGTGCACGGCGATGTTGACGGGTTTATCAGGGGAGCTCTACACGCTCGAACACGGGCTGAGCGTGCGTTTCCACCGCGATTTTCGCGTTTTCTATGCTCACAGTCTCCCAGCCTGACGGTCGTCTCATGGATGACTCGCCGTCGAAGCATGACTCCGGTTTCTCCACTTTCTTCTCCGAGACGGGCAACGGCAAGCACGTCCCGAGATCGCTCTACGTCGATCTCGAGCCGGGCGTCATTGACGACGTGAAGAACGGCCCGTACAGGTCGCTCTTCCACCCGGAGACGATGATCACCGGGAAGGAGGACGCCGCGAACAACTGTGCGTTGCGTGGTCGCCTTACAAATTCAGCCCCTTTAACGCGTCTTTTTTGTAATTTTCAGATGCTCGCGGACACTACACCGTCGGCAAGGAGCTCATTGACCCCGTCATGGACAAGCTTCGCCGTTTGGCGGACAACTGCTCTGGTCTCCAGGGCTTCTTTGTCTTCCACTCCTTCGGTGGCGGCACTGGCTCTGGTTTCGGTGCGCTCCTGCTCGAGCGTCTCTCGACGGACTACGGCAAGAAGTCCAAGCTCGAGTTCTGCGTGTACCCGGCCCCGCAGCTGTCCAGCTCCGTCGTTGAGCCGTACAACTCGGTGCTCACCACGCACACGACCCTGGAGCACTCCGACTGTTCTTTCATGGTACGTCTAGGCGTATGTGAGAGAATTGAATTTGGCTAACATACGCGATACAGGTTGATAACGAGGCTATCTACGACATCTGCAAGAAGAACCTCGGCGTTGCGCAGCCCGGCTTCACCAACCTGAACCGCCTCATCGCTCAGGTCGTCTCGTCGATCACGGCTTCACTCCGTTTCGACGGCTCGCTCAACGTCGACTTGAACGAGTTCCAGACCAACTTGGTTCCGTGAGTTTCTATCGCATTCTAGTCCAACCGCAGTCTGATATGGCAACAGGTTCCCGCGTATCCACTTCCCTCTGGCCTCCTACGCGCCGCTGCTCTCTGCCGCCAAGGCGCAGCACGAGCAGAACTCCGTCGCAGAGATGACCTTCTCCTGCTTCGAGAGCGGCAACCAGATGGTCAAGTGTGACCCGAAGGACGGCAAATACAGTGAGTCAAGATGACAGGGAGCTTACGCGCAGGGATCTGACAATACTTCTCAGTGGCTTGCTGCTTGCTCTACCGTGGCGACGTTGTTCCCAAAGATACCCAGGCCGCTGTTGCCAGCATCAAGACCAAGCGCACCATTCAGTTCGTCGACTGGTGCCCGACTGGCTTCAAAGTGAGCTACACCCACAATCACTGGTGTATCTCTAGGTGCTAACATATCTTCAGCTCGGTGTCTGCAACGAGGCTCCTGCCACCGTTCCGGGCGGTGACCTTGCCAAGGTTCCCCGCAGCCTTTGCATGCTCTCCAAGTACGTGCAATTGTCCAAAATATCGACGAGACATACTTACTGACTTCGCTTCAGCACCACCGCCATCGCTGCTGCGTGGAACCGCCTCGACTACAAGTTCGACCTCATGTACTCGAAGCGTGCCTTCGTCCACTGGTACGTTGGTGAGGGTATGGAGGAGGGTGAGTTCTCCGAGGCTCGCGAGGATCTCGCCGCGCTCGAGAAGGACTACGAGGAGGTCGGGACCGACTCCGCTGACGCCGAGGAGGAGGGCGAGTACTAAAGGGTTCTGACCTTCGTCGAATCGTCGATTTCCACCTGTCGAATACCTGCTTCCTTTTGGCTTATGAGTAGTCCTCCCATCGCTTATTGCTCCGTATCTCTATCTCCTTGTTAGTTTAGCTGTCATGCTTTTATTACGACGTTTAAGGAAATGTGGCTTGTGGATATCGTTGATGATCTTTGTGTTTGTTCTTCTGACGCAGGCAGATGTCGCTTACTTTCCTCGTACTGATACTACGGGCATTGATAATTCAGTCGACGCCTTGTATGAAGTTGATCTTAATGTGTTCGTGTGGTCTGAAGCTCTTGGGGCAAAAACAAAGCAAGGCATGATCAATCCAACGGGACGAGATATGGTACATATTTATGATACATGGGCAAAAGTCCCAGCGAAGACTAAGCCTCCCTCTTGTCGACCAGATTGTTGTCGTACGACGAGGACCGACTGCCCCAAGCGCCGGGAATGATAGCAGGTGTCCCAGGCGCCTCACCAGGGTGGATGTACGCCGGCGAGTACGACGGGTGCATCGGCGCGGGCAGGTTGACCTGCGGGACAGGCGAGTCGACCTGCGGGACGGGCATCGTCGGCCCATTCCCAACATCCCCGGACACGAAGATGCGCTCCGCGTTCCTGCCGGCCTCCTCGAAAAGCGCGCGCAGCCGCTGTCCGCTCTCACCCAGCACCTCGTTCGCGTTCTGGCGCTGGACGGAGTCGTTGAGGGCATCCAGGAGCGCGCGGACGTCGCGGTCAGATTGGGTGTTGGTGGTGGAGTCGCTCAGGGCGTCCAGCAGTGCGCGAACGTCGCGGTTCGACTGAGTGCCACTGTCGCTGCCATTCCTGAGATCACCAGCCTGGCGCTGAGCATTCATGTTCATGTTCGCAAATTGATTGTCGAGGAACCCGCGAGGGGCGGACATGGAGTCGCAGAGCGCGTCGAAGAGGGCGCGGATGTCGCCCGACTCGCCGCCACGGGTCGTGGTAGAGGGCGATGAGGTAGCGCCACCAGCAGAGTGGACACGCGAAGACGACGACGGCGCCTTGTCGAGCTCCTTGCGGAGGGCAGCAATCTGGTCCTTGACGACGTGCTCGAAGGTGGGACGGTCGCCGTCTTCCCAGCCGGCGAGGACGACGAGAGAGGATACGCTGGGATAGTGGTCAGTATGGAGTGACGGCGAAGGTATGGGACGATTGAGGAGATGAGAATTGGGGGATGATGAAGTGGTTGATGGGGCGAGACTTACAAGACCTCCTTCAAGTAAGCAAAGCTAAAGTCGTTCGTCTGCTCAGATATCTCCTTGGCGAGACTGTCCGGGAAGTCGATAGATTTGTTGCTCTCGAGCTTGTTCTGCCAGTACTGGCAGTACAGTACGCGCTCGTCGGCGTCGGGATTGTCGAAGAGGCTATGAGCCAACCGTGAGCAATGTAACTTTCTGAACGACTGAACCCCACTCACAACTTCCTATCAAACCTCGACGGCCGATTCGTCAAGCTCGAGTCAATCTTGCTCAGATGGTTTGTCGTCCCAATGATCAGCATCCCATCGTTGCTCTCCAGGCCATCGAGCTGGTTGAGGAAGAACGAGCGGTTGGAGTCGTTGATCAGGCTGTCGAGGTCCTCGAAGATAACCACGCAAGGGGAGAGCTGGCGCGCTTTGCCGAAGACGTCAGCCATGGCTCCCTCTTCGCCTTTGTAGCCTGGTGGTCGGGGTGAGTAATTGAAATAGAGAGGTGAGGGGACGCTGCTTACTGCGGAAGGAGCGGACGTAGAGAGGCAGGAAGCCCTTGGCGCCGCATTCCTTCATGATAGCCTTGAGGCTGATAGTCTTGCCGTTACCTGGCGGGCCATGCATGACGATGCCGCGCTGGACAACAAGTGAGCCAGCGTCCCGTGCAGGCGAGTTAACATGCATCATACCTTCCATGGAATAGCAAGCTCTTTGTAGAGCGCCTCCGAATCGAAGAAACCATACACATCCTTCTTAATCTTCTTCTTGAACTCGTCCTTGAGGATCACATCCTTCCAGTTCGCCTTCTGCACCTCGCTGTACAGGCGGGCATTCTTGTTCCAGAAGCCCCCGTCAAACACCCAGATCTCCTCGTGGACCTCGTACGCCCACAGCCCGGCCGCGCGCAGCAAGTCACGGGCGGGCTTGTCAGAGCCCTCGTGCAGGATGGCGGTCGTGGTCTGTACGCCGAAGCCAAAGGGGTAATTCATCACGTAGACGGTGAAGTCGTACGCATCCCAGGCGACCCGGAAGGCACCGTACTCGACCTTGTCGACGAGGACGCCGGGCTCGGGGCCAGCGCTGCGTGCGAGGGGCACGTATTGAAGCTGGGTGATGAGTGGGTCGTCGGGGATGGGGACGGAAACTGCGTGGGGGTAACGGGTGAGGTTTAGGGAGTAGTCTGAGCTGAGAACGAGGGAGTGGTTGGGGTACGCCTTGCGGAGGATGTCCGTGCTAGATGGTGATTAGATGGCAGGAATCCAATCAAGGCCGACGACATACATGTAGACAGGCGGGTTGCTGTGCCTAGCCGACGACTTGTCGAGCCATCCAGCAAACGCCCCCGACGAAGCCGCCGCAGGAGCAGGCTGCGTCGGCGCTACCGGGCTCGGATGACCACGCTCGCTGTCTGACCAGGCATCCACAAAGTCATCGCCGAGGTCCGAGTGCGAGAAGGACATGATGGCTGCAGGAGTCAACCAGGGGTGCCGCAGCGGACGAACAGCCACCTCACCGGGCAGGTTACGGCTACCCCACCAGATAAGATAAGATGACGGGATCAAACGCCGGGCCGGAGTTCCGCTCATTATTGCACCTTTGCTTCCCCCACCATGGCGGTCTCGGCGGCGGACGTTCGCAGCGCACTCGCTTTGCCAGAATCATCGACTTCGGCGGCTCAGAACAAGAAGGGAAAGCAGAGGGATGGGATACCACGCGAGCTTTACCGTCTCATTGGCCCTTCCATGCCTTCATTGGCCGTACCCAAGCCACCGCGCTTAAAGCAGAAGCCGAACCTGGGGGTGGAGGTGAAGTGGTGAGTGCACGCGGATCTGCATCCTACACCTCTCTCATGCATGTAGGGAGAAACGCAAGTTTAAGAACCCAGCGCGAAAGGACGGTCTAGAGCTCGAGCACTGGGTGAGGGCATCCACTGATCCCAACGAAGGCGCGTCTACTATGATGTTCACGCGTTTGCGTGTTATTCTCACGCTGTCACAGAGTACCCCTTTGCCAAGTATAACACCAGACCACCCATCCACCGATATAGTGAAGAGGAGTACGCGAATTGGCTGCAAGGCATGTAACCATTCCTTGAAGGCGCGCGCGCGCGCTGACACCTACGCCAGATGAGCAATGGAACAAGGAAGAGACAGATTACCTCTTCAGCGTGCTCAACGAATACGACATGCGCTGGTACATCGTTCATGACCGCTACGACTATACAGGCCCCAAGAAAGATGAGAAGCAGCCGCACAAGAAACGCACACTAGAAGTATGGCGCGCCTTTGCCACATTCGCTTTTCCCTGACCGTATGCAGGATCTTAAAGAGAGATACTACAGCGTCTGTCGAAAGCTTATACGCAACCGCAATGCGCACGTCGACGAGGCAACTAGGGCATCGATGTTGTCCAACTTTCAGTTCGACAAAGGTTTGTGCTACACGCGCTCACTCCAAACTGAGACTAACGGCCTCTGTAGAACGGGAGGTCACGCGGCGAAAGTACATTGAGAGCCTGGACAAACGCGGTCAGGACGCCTTGGAGGAGGAGGAAGCGCTGTACATCGAGATCAAGCGCCTCGAGCAGAACGAGCGCAAGTTCAAGAAAGACCGCGACGAACTCCTGCGCGTCCTCGCCGGCATCGACTCAGGCCTCCCCGACGTCATTGAGGACGCGGACCTCTCGCTCATCGCTGTCGATACCAAGCGCAGCAAGAAGAAAGGCACCCTCGAGCCCGACACGCCGACCACGCCCTCTGCCTCCGCTGCCTCGCGGCCTGTCGTCAAGTCCCTCCCCACCGATGCGCTCCACTGCATCACGCGCACGGAGCCCTCGTCGAGCCTGCCTTCGACGAAGGCCGCGCACACTGCTGCGTATGTGCGTTCGTACAAGATCCCCGTCGCGAAGGCGTCGATGGCGCAGCGCGTGCAGGAGATTATGGCCGAGCTGGGCTTGTCTGCGGGCAGGCTCGTTATGCCCACGGCGGGGAATGTGGCGCAGATGGAGTCGCTGATGGACGCCATCTACGTTCTTATCGACGCGAAGAAGGCAGTGGATAAGGTAGAGATGGACATCCGGACGGCGAAGGAGCGACTCAATATGCGCGGGAGCGAGGGTGCGGATGAGGGGGCTGGGGATCAGCTTATGCACAGCAGGTCGCAGAGCGTGGCAAGTGGGCGAGGGAGGAAGCAGGCAAGGCGGTCGGCGTCAGTGGCGTCGTCTGTCGACGCGTCGGTCAGCGCCAGGCCGACGAAGCGGCAGAGGCGGTAAAGGGGAGTGTTCTGCACGATCGTCTTGTTACCTGGAGCTTGTAGTGTACGGTCTAGTGTGTCCATTCTGATAATGCATGTATTCGTACGCGAGCACGCATGCGATAGGGGCAGCATGGGGGAACGTTCGTTCATACAAAAAGCGGCGGCGTAGGCTGCGGCTTGAAGTGAGACTACTACAGGATGCAGAGCAAAGAGGATAGCGGTGAAGGACAGGACGGGGCGGGGGGAGGGGAGTAGGGGAAGGCGTAGAGGAGTGTGAGGTATAGGGGAAGACGAGGAGCAGGTCGTCTGCGTTCACTCGGGTCCGGCGAACCGTAGGGCAAAATTGACGATGATCGCGACTGCATGTGGGCGTCAGTGGCGCGCACGGACGGGAATAAAGGGGCGAGACATCGCGTACCGAGCAGCGCGATACACAGTACTGTCTGCATCGGCCAGTCAGTATACACCTCTCGAAAGCACTAGCAAAAGCACGCACCGGACCCAGCCTGTCGTCATACGGGCCCTTGCCACCTCTCCGGATCGAGGCGGCGCGCCAGTGGTACGTATACAACGCGTATATCATGATCGCCACCGCTGCGGCTCGTTAAGATGGCTACTCCTCTTCGGCAAATAACCACAACGCACCGACGACAGAGAACATGGCCGCGCTGATCTTGCCAATCTGCGCACAAAACAGATTGAGCACCGCAGACGCAACCCCGATCGGCACTGCGCACCTTGTCGCCAAAGTTCAGAAGCCCGACGGCGAGGCCGCCGAGCACGACCGTGAAGTGCAGCCAGGAGAGGAACGTGCGCTCGTTCGCGAAGGAGACCTTCGGCTCAACACGCACGGGGAGCGCGATGCGCTTGTTCGCGGTCCTCTGGAGCAGCGGCTGGGTGGACATGGGGGGCGGAGGCTAAGAGGTAAGAACTAGAGCGTCGATCGCAGCCGAGGAAGGTTCGGTGGGTGTCGATGACGATGAGCACAGCCAAGAACGCAGAAAGAAGGAAAGGAACAAGACGACAAGACTAACTGGGCGCGGAGCGCTTCAGGCGTCACATCGGGGCGCGACGCACGTTCGTCGTCGGGTAGCACGAGGTGGGCCCGGATCCTGCGCGCGCTGATCCGTTCGCACGAGCGCGTACAGCTGACGGGGGAGGGGCTTACAGTCAGCGAAGAGGTGTGCAGTTCTTATTGCGCCCGTGTACGAGAAGAGTACTTCGCTTGCAAGTTCTCTCAATAGGTAGGCGAACGCCTGCGCAGTGGGACCAGAGTTCGAAGCACTGGCGTGTAATGGCCAGACTGAAAATACGTCAAATGCGATCCTACCTCTGCCTCCCAGACTCGCTGCTGGTACATAACAACGGTCTGCTGACCCTTTTGAGGTAAGAAATCGAGTAGTCGAACATGGATGGTGACATGGAGAAACCATGGCGGCGTAAACTCTCCTTTTCGGATGACATTGTGAGGGAAGCAGTACACAGAGGATTTGCCATAAGCATGAAAGAAAAAGCACAAGCCCTAACAAACCTGCATGCAGAGAGGAAAGCTGCACAACATTACTGATATTCGCAACCGGCTGCCAAACGTACCATACCCCTCTCGTCAAGAAAAATATGCTCCTCACCTACCTCCCCATCATCCTCAACCTGTCAGGGTGAATAGCTGGTCCTGCGCCTGCAGGCGGAGCATTGGGAGCAGAACTCATCGGGGGAGGGGATGGACCTGGAACCCCATTAGGCCCACCGTTGGGGAAAGCTGCAGCAGGAGGACCATTTGGAGGGAAAGGAGGCGCAGGAAGACCGTTGGGAGCGAAGGGAGGGGCTACGCCACCCGAGGGTCCGTTGGGAGGGAACGGTGGGGCACCTAGGAGGGCGTTAGAACGGAGACGTAAGCAAGATCGAAGGACCACTCACCACCTGGGAAAGCCGCAGCGGGCGGGAGGTTGGGAGGGAAGGGCGGCGCGACACCGGGTGCGCCATTGGGAGGGAAGGGTGGAGCGAAAGGCGGACGCGCTGGGAGGTGTGTTAGCGGACGAACGATGATGGTGTGGAAGGGGTCACGTACGCGCGCCATAGCCAGGTGGGGGCCCAAAGCCCATAGGAGGGCCCATTCCTGGAGGGGGAGGGCCACCAAGATGCTGTGGCCCGAAACCGAACCCTCCTGGAGGGGGGCCGCCACCGGTTTCGTACGCTGCTGTGATTTGGTCAATGATGTTCTGGGCTTTGTCGTGTCCTAGAGCTGGGGATGCGTCAGTAGATGCGTCGACTGTAAGGCCAAGCGGCGCACAAGCATAGTAGTCGCGGACGTTCGCGAGGTGGTTGCGTCCATTGTTGTGAGCTTTGCGCACTGCAACGATACGTCAGCCGTCCGCCCCAGTTCGCAAGTTCACTACTCACCTGATGCCGAGTCGTGCGTGAGGAAAACGTCGCAGTAGTCACAGTAGTGTTTCTGTGAGACGCTCGTCAGTCTCTCAATGTTTCAAGGTCCAAGGACGCGTAGACTCACGGGCATGATGAAGGTAAAGGACAAGAAGCCAGCCTGGCGTCGGAGGTTCCCCGATCAGCCTTGCCCTTTCCAGGCAGCGCACGTGACGTAGCGCCTGCTTGACCTCCTCCTTCACGCTCGCCCTGGATGGACTCAACATCTAGCATCCAGGAGCCCTTTGACCTCATCCGGCTCTCTCTGAGCGAGCGCGTCTTTGTCAAACTCAGAGGGGATCGCCAACTTGAGGGCGTTCTGCACGTACGTCCTCCCCGCCAGACGCGCGTCGCGGTCGTTTGACGCGTCTCTCAGGCGTATGATGGGCATATGAACTTGATCCTCAGCGATGTCGAGGAGACCATAATGATTGTGGATGTACCCGAAGGTGCGCCAGAAAGCCAAGGAACGGTGAATGTGCGTACTTCCTACCCATGCGATCGACTCGTCCGACTGAACCTCCGCGCGAAGGTCGCGAAGAGGAAAATGGGCATGCTCTTTGTGCGAGGGGATGGTGTCATTCTGGTGAGATCTCTTATACTTCTCCGTGCGACCGCCGCTGACAGGACCCTTGCCGCAGGTTTCGCCGCCTTCTCGCTGACACTGCGTACCTGCGATCGCATATCTCGTTGGGGTGACGATCACCCCCTGCCATAGAATCGTTTTTGGCAGTCATGCTGCCGCTCAAGTAGTGGCACGCACATCTCTACACTCTGTATTTGTTGTATTTCATCGCTGTCGATGCTGATGCTTTGTGGCCATGCGAGGACTCTCAATCCCCTCCCTGCGCGTGAATGCCCTGTGCAACGTCCTCGTCCCACGCAAACAGCTCTCAAGCGCCTTGGTTGCATGTCGGTCCCATTAGGAAGTGCCTATCAGTGCGCGGTGTTCGTTCAACAGAGTTCGGACGACAGGTGCGCGTTCATTTGTAGTGGTCCTTGCCAGATCTGGACCGCAGCCCGTTGAACCAGTGAGAGAGCGCTAAGCACGCACATGCACGTGTGACGGACCCACAGTGTGTTCGTTTGTCGAGATGTACGCGGTGGACGAGCGATGCCGTGGGCAGGAGGGGTGATATCGGTACACAGTCTAGTTGGATCCGATGTTGATACATGAGGTGTGCTACATCTTGATACAACGCAGAGCATCTGGAAATACAAGCGTGGGTGAACGCCCTCGGAGGACGGCAGGGTATGTTCTTCAATTGACCATCGACTCATCTCTCGCTTCCATGACCTGACCTACGGCTGACGCCGACGACGACTGCCCCTCCGCAAACGTAAACGCTGGCGCCTCCAACTCCGCATCAGAGGTAGACGCAACCACCATGCCTGGTGGCCAGATATTATCGCGCAACCAAGCCGCCTGCGCTATCCTGACCTACCCCAACAGATCAATGCGCAAGAAAATGCGATTCAATATTCGAACACACCACGATGCGCAAGGGCATGGGATATTTGAACCTGTCTCCAGCTGCCAGGCTTTTCCAGATCTTTTGTAGGTGGGCTGCCCACACCTGGTCGTTGTAGATCACGTCCGGTGAGGCCGTCTGCTGCTCAAGCCTCTGGCGAGCGGAAGACGGCGGCGGAGGGGGCGTGCGCCGTTTAGACTCGGCTTTTTTCCAATCTGAGTTCCAAAGAGCTCTCCGAGCGGCAAAGTAGTCGGGCCCGGGAGGTGGCATAGGCGTTAGGCTGAGCAGCTCGTCAAAGGATTCGGCCTTGATGGCGGAAGCATTATCGGTTTCCGAGGACCCGGTGGCGGGAGAGCTGGCGTAGGCGGCATGCAGCTGGGCCTGCCAGTCGTCATTGACCGCACTCATGCGGTATACTCGTCGTGCTCGTCGACGGCGCTGCCGTGTGTCAAATGCAAGTTGAAGTCGGTGCGATCGGCACTGGCAATGAGGGTACACGTGCGGTTAACCACTTAAAAACGCTAAAAACGAGGTTAACCGCAAAATCCACATTTCCTCGGTTGGATTCCACTTCGGGCCGCACGTGCTGCGTCAACGGGCTCTTCACATTCTCCCTCATCATGGTGTTCTACAAGCACAATGCGCCCTCGACGACGTCGCTGTCCGACGACGACGACGACCGCGATGATGTTGACGTCGGCAAGCAGGTCTTCTTCCCCGTCGACACCCGTTCGTACGTCGTATCACCCGCCCAGTGGTCAGGAAGGACACACAAGCAGGCCCCGACGCCGCTCGCCAGGGCACCGCGCCATCATCGCTGCCCCATCGCGCGCCTCCCCGCCGAGCTACTCATCTACACCTTCAAGTTTCTCCACTCGCCCCGCGACATCTATCACTGCCTCTTTGTGTCGCGCACCTGGTGCGAGTGCTCCGTCGAGCTGCTCTGGCACAAGCCCATGTTCTCCCGCATCGATACGCTCGCCAAAATGCGCCGCGTGCTCTCGGCCACCGAGCACACGTTTGCCTACGCCAGCTTTATCCGCCGCCTCAACTTCCTCAACCTCGCCAAGGAGATGCAGGATGGGAACTTCTGCATCATCTCGCGCTGCGATCGCCTGGAGCGTCTCACGCTCGTCAACTGCGAGCACATCTCCAACATTGCACTAGAGCGCGTGCTCCCCTCATTCCCCTGCCTTGTTGCGGTGGACCTCAATGGCGTGGTGAACACGACCAACGAGGCCATCGTCGGCCTCGCCCTCTCATCAAAGCGGTTGCAAGGGATCAACTTGGCGGGTTGCAAGCATGTGTCTGACGAAGGAGTGATGGCGCTCGCGAAGAATTGCCCCCTTCTCCGCCGCGTCAAGTTGAGTGGCCTTGAGCAGCTGACGGACGAGCCCGTCCGCGCTCTCACTCGCATGTGTCCCCATCTCCTTGAACTCGACCTCCATCACTGCTCCCTCATAACCGATGTCGCTATCCGCGATGTCTGGCAATACTGCCACAACATGCGCGAGCTGCGTGTGGCGTACTGTCCCGAACTCACCTCGGCCGCGTTCCCGGCTCCAATCCCCGAGAACGCGTCCGCCGCGTTGAACCCCTTCCCTTCGCAGCAGCCGAATGGGGGCCGCAACGACGACCTTCCGCCACTCGTGATCAACCGCACTTGCGAACAGCTGCGCATGCTTGATATGACGGGATGCAGCGACATAACCGACGATGCCATCGAAGGCATCATCGCTCACGCGCCCAAGATTCGCAACCTAGTGCTGTCCAAGTGCTCCAAGCTGACAGACCGGGCGGTGGAAAATATTTGCAAGCTCGGCAAGCATCTACACTACCTGCACCTCGGACATGCCTCCAAGATAACGGATAGCTCCGTGCGAACGCTGGCGCGCTCGTGCACCCGCCTGCGATACGTCGACTTCGCTAGTGAGTTTTGGTAGCGCTAATTCACGATGTCAACGGCGGCTCACAGTCATCATAGACTGCGTCTTGTTGACGGATATGTCTGTCTTCGAGCTGTCGTCGCTCACCAAGCTTCGTCGCGTCGGCCTCGTCAGGGTGAACAACCTTACTGATGAAGCTATATTTGCGCTTGCCGAGCGGCATGCGACGCTTGAGCGCATCCATCTCTCGTACTGCGACCAGCTTACCGTCATGGCCATCCACTTCTTGCTCCAGAAGCTGCACAAATTAACGCACCTAAGCCTCACGGGCGTGCCTGCCTTCATTCAGCCCGATCTCCAGCAGTTCTGTCGTCCGCCGCCTCAGGCAAGTCTTTGTCATCATTAGCCTGTCGCTCGTATTCATGACCCACGCAGGAGTTCACTACTGTTCAGCGCGATCAGTTTTGTGTATACTCTGGCAAAGGCGTCTCGAACCTCCGGGCATTTCTTACAGAGCTTTTCGACCACATCACCGAGATGAATTACACGGACGACACCGACTACGACGAGGAAACCGACGGTGAGGACTACCAGGCGGAGCATACTCCGGAGCCCGAGGCGCCTGAGGAAGAAGTGCAGAACCCTGAGAGCGCATACAGGATGACTTTCAACGCTCAACAGCTGCCGTCCGCTCGTCGGGTAACGGAGTCCACCCAGACGGTGGCCCAGTCGTCGGGACCTAGTATTGTCGAAGCGCAGAGGCCTTCGCGCTCGTCGACCATGACCGCCTTTGGGAATGCCTTCGAGGGAGGCTCAAGGTCGACCTTGGCGTCTGGTCCGTCGTCGGCGTCGTCGAGCCAGCAGCGTCTGCATCCTGTCCCGTCGAGCAGCCGCATGCATCTGCCGATGCGCCGGTCCATCCTGGACGACATCCCCATCGTAGAGCCCTCTACATCGCCACCGCTCAGCGACGTCGCGTCCAACCGTAGTGTGGGCACCAACCAGTCGAACGGTGCAGGTTTCTTCCGCACCTACGATCCAGCTGTGGTCTCATCGTCGAGGAGCAATGGCGCGCTCACGCCAGACTTGAACTACGCCGAGTTGGGACACGGTCGAGGTATCCAGTCGACGCTCATGATGCGACGAGGTGGCAATGAGCTGCCGCATTCGCGGTCGTCTGGCGATATGCGCTCATCGTCCCCTTCGCTCGTCGTAGAGGAGGATGGTGACGAGGACGACGAGGACGGGCCGTCGCTGTCGACGCAGACGCCGGTTCCACCACGACGTACGCTGCCCTCGGAAGCTGGGCCGTCATGGCCGCATCGCGAGCCGGCGAGTCCGACCGAGGAGACGCACGGCGATGGGAGAGGGAGGAACGTCAAGCGCAGTATCAGGAACACGCTCAACATCGCAGAGCACTACGCTAGCTCGCTCCTTTTCGGTGGCCGTCAGCAGGAGGGGTCTTCGTCGGGCCACACGCGCATGTAGACATCTATCTCGTCCCTTTCTCGTTTCGGTGCCGTGCCAGTCGCGGCGGTTGGACAGTGTTCGCTCATATCGCATCGCTCGTTCTCTGGTTGGTCTTGTCTATCGTCTCGTCGTCTTCCTTGTATGAACACCACTATCGTATTATATATCCGCTCCCTCATAGTAACATAGCTATCGCATAACCCACTATGTATATATTCCCCGATCCCTCCTGCACTAGATGAACACTGTCGTTGTCGTTTTCGGCACGCGTGCGGCACAGACTGAGAAAGGGAAATACGCTTTGGGATCAACGGCCGGATGACGCGATCTCAGGCAGAATCGCGCCTTGTCTTGCGCGCCACAGTGTGGGGAAATGCTTCCCCGCCGCCTACTCCTCGATACAAAGTGCCCTTCAGTCCTTCGACTCCGTCGCTCTGTCGTCGTCGTGCACCACAGCAGTCCCCTAATTCCGAATCTCACTTATCTCTGCCTTGCTCCGGTTGACTTATCCGGACAGTCAGCGGCATGATACCGTGGCTTTATAATCGTGTCTAAACTGCGACGCGGTCGAAGTCATTGCATCCATTCGCACCTTGCCTCCCACCACCATGTTCTCAGAGAAGCCGCTCCCCGATGCCATCGACCTGAGCCACCACCTGTCGAAGGTGGCGGTGGCGCGCCAGGTCTCGCCGCTGAAGGGGCTGCAGAAGTACATGGACAAGCCGGGCCTAATCTCGCTGGCGGGAGGTGCGTATTCTGGACGCCCCTCTATCATCCGTAGTACTGAACAAATGTGTTTCTAGGCATGCCGAACCCGTCGTACTTCCCCTTCCACTCTCTAGGCGCCGAGGTTCTCGTGGAGGATCAGTTCCCCCTTAACCCGAGCCAGTCGTCCTCAGGCCTCTCATGGTTCTGGAAGCTCTTTGGCTCCAAGCAGGTCGAACGCACGACCGCTGTATCAATCCCCAAGTTTGCCAACAAGCCTGGCGAGATAGACTTGGCCACGGCGCTTCAGTACAGTGCGTATCTCAGTGTGCGCCACATGGGTGTGAGGTGCTAATCTTAACGCGTCAGGTATGGCGAAGGGCCTGAAGCCGCTGCAAGACTTCATCAACGACTTCGTCGGCAATGTCTACCAGCCGGGGTACGCGAACTACACAACTATCGTGCACGCTGGGAACACAGATGGTGTGAACAAGTCGATCATGACGCTTTGCAACCCGGGAGAAGGCGTGCTCGTGTCCGAGTGGACTTACCCAAGGTCTGTTGCCAGTCCGATGATTGCGGGCCAATTACTGACAGACATCTAGTACTATGGCCACAATGAAGCCGCTCGGCGTCAGCCCGGTACCTGTAGGCATGGACGGGCAGGGCATGTCCGCGGTCGCCCTCGATAAGCTGCTCAGCGAGTGGGACGTTGAGGCGCGCGGCGGTATGCCACGCCCTCATGTTCTCTACACCGTGCCTATCGGTCAGAACCCGACTGGCGCCACCATGGGAGCTCAACGCAAGAAGGAGATCTACGCCATTGCCGTGAAATACGACATTATCATCATCGAGGATGATCCGTACTACTTCCTCCAGCAGGGCGAATATGTGCCTAAAGGGGAGCGTAAGGAAGAGGAGGTGAAGACACACAAGGACGAGGCGAAGCACTTCATTGCTTCGCTCGCGCCGTCCTTCCTCAAGTGAGTTGTTTATTTGTGCTTGGTGACATATCATACTTACTTTTTCTTCAGGTTCGACTATCAAGGACGCGTTGTCCGGTTGGAGACGTTTTCCAAGGTTTGCACGCTTCTGCTCACGCATCTATCATATCAGCTCATGTAAGCTTAGACCGTCGCTCCCGGAAGCCGTCTTGGTTTCTTCACCTGCAATGCTGTATTTGCGGAGCGCTTCGAGCGTCAGGGCGAGACTAGCACGCAGGCTCCTTGCGGCTTTGGTCAGGTACTCATATCTCTCGGGGATCGTCCTTCTCTTGTCTGATATACGTCTTCTAGTCCATGGTCGCCTCCCTACTCCTTCAATGGCAGTACTCGGGCTACATCCGCTGGCTCCGAGGTGCGCATCTGACGACCCATCTGAACTTCGCAAACTCATATCCGTCCTAGCTCTGCGTCTTCAATACAAGCAGCGCCGCGACTTCTTCATTGATTGCTTCGACGATGAGTTCAACATGAGACGATCGATCGCGGTGTCTGGCGCGCACCAGGGCGCAGTCGTGTACGAGGGATCGTTGAAGCCCTTGCGGGGCGAGAAGTTCGCCGCGTCGGGCAAGACGCTGTTCTCCTTCGTTCCGCCGACCTCTGGGATGTTCGTATGGATCAAGCTTCATTTCGATGAGCATCCGGAGGTGTCGACGCATGGTATGAAGGAGCTTGAGATGAAGCTGTGGACGGCTTTGGCCGAGGAGGGTCTTCTGTTTGGCCCAGGCAACATGTTCTCGTCTGCCAACCTGACGGATGACTATGAGGGACCTGGCCATTTCCGGATCTCCTTCAGCAACGCAGACGTGAGTTTCTCCTTTATTCCCCCTTGCAACTACTAATCACGTCCCAGTTTGATGAGCTTAAGAGGGCAGTTGAGCTGTTCCAGCATGTGACACGGAAGTTCTTCAAGGACCTGTGAGGGATGGACGCTAACACTGGATTGGATCAGATATATGTATGCATGTACTATAATCCCTTGTGGAGGCTAAAGGGCATAGACTTTGGATATTAATGGGGCTTGGAAGAACACGCGCCTCGCCTTGTGTCTTCAGCAACCTATCGAGAACGTTCGCCGCAGTCTCATCGAGTCGGCCCTCGGCCAGAACAATGGTGGCGCAAACAACGTGTCGCCACTGCTTGCCTTCGAACACCCGACATGCGCGTGTCCCGTACCCTTTTGTCAGCCCGCTTGGGGGCGGCGGGCCTCGGGTCAGAGGCAGCTGATCGGGAGCGCTGCCAATGCGCGACACCCCCGTGTCGGAGGGGTGCCCTGGGCCCATAGCGCGTATAAAGACTACACGAGGAGGTAGCCGAGGTGCGTTATCCGACCATGGTCGCAGTGAGTGGCGCTTGTCAGCGTGCAGGATACGTAAACTGACGGCGGTGACCTTCGAGAAACAGCAGACGAGACGGCGTGATACTCGCTCTATGGCTCACCCTCCGAGGGAGCAGTGCCTCTTCATCGCAGAGTTGGCGGGCGAGGCGGAACGATTCGACGGTGCGTATGCCTTTGACGACTTGGGCTATCAGCTTACGAGCTCTCGCAGATGTCGTCACGCAGATTAAGACTATTATCATGAACATTGACCAACGGTTGGCCATCGAGGAGCGAAATCTGCTATCCGTGGCGTACAAGAATATTACCAATAACCTTCGGGCCAGCTGGCGCATTGTCGACACGCTCGAGAAGGTGCAGGCGGCCCGCTCGAAGAACGCGGCGTCCAGGCAGCTCCAGCTTATCCGCCACCAACGAGAGACCATCGAGAAAGAGCTCACGAACGTCTGCAAGGACATCGTAGAGCTGCTTGACAAGCAACTCCTCCCTCACGCCCAGCCGGGCGAGGAACAGGTGTTCTACTCGAAGATGTGCGTGTTCCGACATCCTCATGTCGTGATACCGAAGCTGACTTCTCGTACAGGAAGGGCGACTACTACCGATACTTGGCCGAATTCGCGCAGAAGCATGAACGCGAGAAGTTCGGTGACTACTCCTTGAACGCGTACAAGATTGCGTACCAGCGCGCAGTGACGACTTTGGATCCCATACATCCAACACGACTCGGTCTCGCCCTCAACTTCTCCGTGTTCTACCACGGTGTGTACTCGCTGCCTTGCGCATGTTTGCTTCTCGGTCTGACGTACCGCTTCTAGATGTTCGCAAGAGCCCGGAACGCGCTTGCTTCGTGGCCAAGAGCGCGTTCGACGACGCCATCTCCGTACTCGAGGGCACCGACCCCTCGCAAAGTACGGCCTTCCGCGACTCCCTCATGATCCTCCAGCTCCTCAAGGACGACCTACTACTGTGGGCAGACGAAATGAAAGAGGCGGATTGACGAAGGGATCGGATCGAGGAAGGATGCACATCGAGGAAGAGAAGGAACGAGGAGCTCTATGCAATAAGTTATCTACCGTCTACCACGCTTTCGAAATCGCACGCACGCACACCCCGCCTCATGTATCGATGCCATCGCTACAACATATACCTGTACCCCGGGGTATCGTCTCCGTCATCGAGCTCCTTCTTCGCTGCTTCGTCATTGAGTCGGGTGAGGTGGTGTCTGAAGGCGAGGGCCATGCCGATAGCAATGAGGGCCGTCAATGAGGTCAGGACGAAGGAACCACGATAGGTCGGGCCCCATTCGGAAGGCCATTCGTACCTGCGAATTCGGTATGAGCTCGGCACTGTGAAATATGGGCCACGATATACGCACGAGCCAAAGACATTGCCAAAGGAAGCGACGGAGTTCATGAACGCGAGTGCTACCGCGCGCTTTGCTGGCGGGTGGGCAACGGAGGCGCTCGCCCAAGCCGTGAAGACAATGTTCCCGGCGTACATTTGGGCCATCATGAACCTGTGCTGACCATGAGTACGCTGTGAGGATGCGGACGAAGAAGACTGTACATTGCAATGTAGCGTAGGAATGCATTCATGCTCCAGAAGGCCAACATAAATCCAGCGATCCCGAGGCAGACAGACATGATCATGTGTTTGCACCGTTCTTCTGCTCGGTCAGAATGCCTGCGTGGATGTCAGTATACATTCGGTATGAGGATGCAGGAAATGCACCTTGCCCACACGAACGCCTCGAATGTGGCAAACAGCCAAGGTGGCGCACACAATAACAAAGTCGTTGTGCGCCCGTACCCCAGCGTGCTCACCAGCGTCGGAAAGTACGCATTGAAAGACAGCGAGAGGTTCATGAACGTCATCAGCAGGGTCAAGTACCACACTTTGCCGTCCCGAAGCGCTAGCCCTAGTCCGGCGAGCTGTCCCGTCTTCGTCGAGGTCTTCGGCCCGTGCGAGTCTGCCTCCTCTGCCATGCGCTTGAGGGCGACGGCGCGCTCTTCTGGTGTGATCCATCCTGAAGAGTTCTCCGGGAAGTCGGGAAGGACAAATATGGAGATGATGGCGACAATGACCGTCATCCCACCTTCGACGAAGAATAACCACCTTCGGATTGGGTTAGAACGATAATGAAAGCAGAGTGATGCCACTGCGTACCGCCAGGCTCTGTAACCCCAGACGCCCTCCATGAGATCAAGGATCCCGGAAGCAATCAAGGACCCAAAGGCGCTGCTGATGAGACTGCCACAGACGAGCATGGCTGTTCGCTGTGACAGTTCGTTTCGTTTGTACCATTTCGAGATTAGGAACTGCAATGCCTGAGACCCCAAAGCCGATATGAGCGCGAGAGCGTTCGTACCAGTGCTCCGGGAAAGAAGGCGCACTCGGAGACCCCAATAAAGAAGCGTGTGACGACAACGCCATAAAAACTGCAACGAAAGGTCAGTAATCGAGGCCACGAATTTGCGGGCATCATACTTAGTCGCAAGGCCTATGAGAGGATGTGTGAGTGTGCCAAATTGAAGCAACTAGAGGTCTTACCTGTCGCCATGGAGAGGAGTCCCCAGATAGCCATGCAACAACCCATGTAGAGCGACGGCCTGCCCATGTGGTTAAGGAACATATTACTGGCAATGTTTAGTACAATCGCATCGAGCATGAAGATGACGGGCTCACGATGGAACTTGCATAGTGATATATCCGATGTAGAGTATAGATAGAACGGTAGCGAACTGTGAGCCTTGAAGACCAAGGTCTTCCTCGAAGCCGCGCAGTCTCGCCGCTCTGGGAGATGTCAGAGGGCTAGTCGGACTGCTTTGTATCGTTAGGACTCACGCAGCATTATTTCTGTCGATGTCTGCAGAAGTTCAGGAGCTGTAGTCAATTTCTGGGAAGGTGGATGGCACTTACAGTTAAGAATATAAATAAGAATGAGAATGGACATCCGCCTGTCCAGCTTGTGCAACAGCGCTTTCTCCACCTCAGCTCTTCGTGGGGAGTCCTCCACGTCGTACACCTCATTCCCTTCGGCGTCTTCTGTGGGCGCTAGAGGGCCCGGATGAGCGCGTCCGGCCTAGCTATTGTATATGTCGAATGCAACCTCACGCACCTGAATGTCTATGAAGCAGCAAGGGGGCACCCTCCTCAATCTCGGAGGGCCCTAGGTTCGTCATGGCGGTGGCGGTCAAGAGATAGCGGTATCGGTATACTACTCAACGGCGACCGCCATCCTGCGACGTGCGTGTCGAGATAGAGGCACTCGGCCCGGCAGCCGGCGGGGAACCGATGCTCGGCAGATTCCGAAAGTTCAACCAAGAGCGTGACTTGCACTTTGAGTGCCGCCGTCAAGATACGAGAACAAGTAAACGATACAGATCGTGGCTCGTGCCTCAAGATATGATTCATGCCCATTTCCCTCCCATTTTCTGCATTCCTAATATCCCTCGATGTGGCGCGAGCGAGAACCGCGTTGTGTCCTCTTCCGCCTAGAAGAGATAGCTATGCGCTACAGAGTTGAGGTTAGCTCGTGTCTGTAGAGAATCAACATGGACGCACACAAAATGTTTCTCATAACATTCATCCGACTGGCGAAGCGCTCGTGGAGGCGAGGCAGAACGCTCGCTACCAATCCGCCGGCCACCTCACCGCGAGGTACGGTGGCGTAGTTCAGGTAAATAGAGATGTGTCCGATACGTATATCCTCTCGTCCAAGTATTTCATCCAAATTCTTCCACTCGGGTGTATCTTGTCGGAAGATTTCGAACGAGGGGACAGAGAAAATGAGACTGAGCCGCGCCAGCAGCTGAACCTTCTGCATTATGGAGAAGAATGGCGATCTCGCGGTGTTTATGTTCGCGATTTCCATCCCAACAAAGGACAGATGCTGCAGACGTGGAAGCACGCCCAGGTCCAATAGACTGGCCACTGCAATCATGCTCGTCAGAATTGCAAACGAGGCCAGGGGCACAACTCACAGATTCGGTCAGGGCACGCAATCTCGAGTCTCTCGAGTCGATCTTTGCAGAGTTCTATCACCAATATGAGATCTGCGTATAGGCCGAGGACGCTGGAGAGCCTGAGCGTGGTGATGTGATTGAAGGCAGGTGGATAAGACGATGCAAGTCCCACAAAAAGGTGCAATTGGCGGGGGTCCTGCGTCCCAATCTCAAGGTCCTCCATGCGCTGTGTTTCGATCAGGAGTGGGCGGCCCGCTCGTATCATGGGAATCCAACGCATAACGTGACAAGCAAGGGCGCGGAGACGGGGGAAGCCATCGAGGATGTAGATAGGCACGCTTATGTCCCATAATACCAGAGTCTCCACATGCGGAAAACAAAGAGCGTTCAGGAAGTCGTCTCCGACATGAGTTCTCGCTTTTGCGCTCAGCTTCAACGATTGCACTGTCCCTTGAATCAATGGCAGGATTTGGAGCAGTGTGGTCTCGTGAATGATGCCGTGCGTCCTAGTTCGGATGACCGCTGGTGACAACAGTCCACTTTCCATGATTTGAAGGGAGATGATATAGCCCGCCAGATGCCTCGACCCGCGCAGAACGTTGAGCAAACGCTGACTAGGCGTTTGGCGCCCTCCCTTGAGCGGAAGGGACGACGGGACCACGATTGTGACGGAAGAGAAAAGGCGCCGCTGGCATTTCTCGAGGAAGACCGAGTGTACAAGAGCGAAAGAGCGTAGGCTTGCGTTAAGCTCCGGTTCACTCAGCTCGTCCATTATGGCCTCAATCAGCTCAATCGGCAGAGCCGGAGGGGTCATTCTGGACTGTGGATGACGCGTAAGATACTTGCAGATATCTAGATGACGGACTTGATTGCGACCGTCAATGGAAGTTAGCACAATGCATACCTTTGATTCGGGAGTGCAATGAGGAGGGACGTTAGGTTGGATGTCAAGGTCAAGTCCGATTGCTTTCGTGGTGCACCACGTTTCAGCCACGCGATCGGAATTTGCCGGAGCTTTTGAGGCAATGAACTTGAAGGAGGTGCAGCATGAAGGCACTCTCGCAGCATTCGTTTCGTAGTGTACATATAGGTATACATTGATGCATCCCAAGCATGCTTTTGTTTGCTTAAGCGTTCGCCTCCATATCCCGAGCGAAGGTGGCGGCAACGACCATAGGGAAGACGAGAGTTGCGTCGGCGTACACCTTCATAACGGGCATGAGCAAGAGAGGATATGGCTGTTGGGAGATGCCCTACCTTCACTGTCTCTGCTCCTCCTTTGATTTTCCCCCAGGAGACAGCCTCGTCTGGGCGGGCGCCTGAGTCTGAGCCATCGAACTCCTGCCCGGTGTTCTGCGGTGCTGTGAGTAGCGCGAAGGAGGATGGTATGACGGGACATACGATGTACACAGAGTAGTCAGCTCCGTTGCGCTGCAGCCTCGTTAGAAGTATGCAGTTTAGATGGGTAAGGTGCATTTACGATGAGCATAGCGTTGGCGATCTGGTGCTTGCAAACGCCACCGCCCAGAATTATCATCCCTGCCTTCTTCGACCGTCGCGCCTTCTCGTTAATCTCACGGATGTCGCGCGCGATGTCGATGATCAATCCTGGGCTGCGGAAAGAGTGAAAATAAATCATGTCTCCAATCGACCCGTCCGTCAACGCAGGGCAGAAGACGGGGATGTCGTTCTGGAGAACAGCGTCTCAGAAATCCCATGTCAAGTAGTAAAGGATGTCTATTTACTTTGTAGGCCCAATAGTACACGGACTCCTCGTTATTGATCTCCTTCCCTAGCCTGCGGATGAAGGTACTCGGCGTCCACACCTCGCCTGTCGCCTTCTGTTCCTCCAACATAGCGTCGAGAATGGGTGTGAGCCAGTCTTCAAACTTGCAGTAATTGTCGTTGGGGACGATGAGATTGCCTATACGGTTCATACCGCGGCGACGGAGATCTGCACCATCGAGATTAAAGTCGGCGAGGTAGGTCTTTCCCAGGCATTTGATAAAGTCCTCTTCGATACCGCCAGCCGTAGTAACGAGAGCAGCGACGTGCTTGTGCTTGACGAGGTGTAGAATTACTTCACGAAGGCCGGAAGAGATCAGATTAGAGGTGTAGCCGAGGAAGATGTTGCATTTCGTCTGAGCGCGGACTTGAGGATCCTTATACTCCTCCGGCTCGTCTGGAGCGATCGGATCGTCAGACAATCTCCATTTACGCTGGTGATACTCGAGTTAGTTCCAACGAGTAGGATGGCGGTGGTGCGTACCATTTTATTGATGATGTTGATCGCCTTGCCCAGGCTGTTTGCCTGAAATCCGATCCGCTCATAGCTGCCTAGAAATTCTTGGAGAGAAAGAGGTTTCTCAAAGTTTGGACCCTCAACTGTTACGGCTGAGTCCGGTACCTTCTCCGAGGGCTGGAGGACGGCAGCCGATGCGGCACTCGGGACGGAGGCGGCCATTGTTCTTTTGGTGATGGGGGCGGAGAACAAGAATTTTGATGCACGTGACCTGTTCACGCTTTCTGTCCCGCCGCGTCCGGTCTTGTCCCGCCGCTGACGCTCACACGTACCCGGACGCTGTCACGTTCGCAGCGCTCATCGTCGGAAATGGCGGCGGTCGACGTTGCCGCCAATGTTCCTCTCCCCACATCACCGCCCCTCGGACAGTCCGTGACGACCGCGTCATTGGACGGACACATCAGCAATAGCGCGTCGGAAGAGCCAGTCTCTACACCTGCAGCAGAGCCAACGGAGAACCGGACGGATGAAGACACTGTGCATGCAGAAGCGCCGGCTCAGGATGCTACACCAGCGACTACGGAGCCTGTCGTCTCTACGGACTCGGAAGCCGCGCCGGCAATGGGCCCTGAACCTGCTGAGGCGACGCACGACGCGACGGAGCAGTCAAGTGCGCCGACGGAACAGATGTCTGCCCCTCAGATGGAACCCTCTGTCTCCCAGTCGACAAGCACCGAGAGCGCGACGAGTGCGCCGGACGCCCCGGCCTCTGAGCCTGCTATCCAAGCACCTGCGCCGGTCCCCTACCAAAATGGCGCAGCAGCACCCTCCACCTCCCATCTACCAAGCCTGCCGCAGTCCCCAGCTCCAGTCTTACCCCCCACGACCGGGCATCGTCGATCACTCACGCTCTCCAAAGGCAACACCGTCTCAGTAGTCCTGATCTCCACTGCCCTCGAGACGATAGCCGCGTCCAAAGAGGCCAAGCGCTCTGCACCCCTCAAGGAGAGCGTGCAGAAGGCGCTGGATCTGGTCAAGAGCAACCAGGGCGGTGACCGCCCTCGCGAGATATTCGAGCCCCTCCGCCTAGCATGCGAGACTCGCAGCGAGAAGCTCATGATCGCGAGCTTGGATTGCATCTCAAAGCTCATCTCCTACTCGTTCTTCGAGGAGACCGTCACGCCGACTGCGTATACTTCCCCGCCAGGCACTCCGACCACCGCGAACGGCTCAGCACGGTCCGATGCACCGCCCTTACCTCTGGTCGATCTGGTCGTAAACACCATTACCCAATGCCACAACGAGTCGACGCCGGAGTCAGTGTCGTTGCAAATTGTGAAGGCCCTTCTCGCGCTGGTGCTCTCCCAGACCATCCTCGTCCACCACTCTTCCCTCCTCAAGGCCGTCCGCACCGTATACAACATCTTCCTCCTCAGCAACGACCCTGTCAACCAGACAGTTGCTCAGGGCGGCCTTACACAGATGGTCAACCACGTCTTCAGCCGCGCGCGAAGCCTAAGCGCTTCCGACTCGGGTACCTTCAGCTCGGACTTGGCAACCTTGAACGACCAGGAGCCGTCCTCTGCCAAGCGCTCGTCGTTCTCTATACCCCGCCCATCATCACGCTTGTCGAGGTTATCCTCGCAGTATGACCCCAGGTCTCCGGTAGACCTGCCAACGAACGACTCAATTACCTCCCTTCCTGCCAGCAGTCAGCCGACCGCGTCCAAGGAAGATGTGGACACAGAGGACCATGATGCCGCTGAAGATGGGAAGCCCAAGATCCTGACCCTGTAAGTATCCTATCAGCTCCAGGGAGCTTGAATGCTGACTCAACCCCAGCGATAGCTTCGAAGCGGCTAATCCTCACGACACGCTGCCTGCAAACGGCGGCCATGCTCATCAGCTTACGACGCACGACCTCTTCATCAAGGATGCCTTCTTGGTGTTCCGCGCGTTGTGCAAGTTGACGATGAAGCCGCTCAACACGGAGAGGTCAGTACAGTTCGAATCCCTATGCTAACGTCAGCCTAACCTATGCGACAGCGAGCGGGACCTAAAGTCGCATGCCATGCGCTCCAAGCTGCTTTCTCTGCACCTGGTCTTGTCGATACTCAACTCGCACATGCCGCTGCTCGTGGACCCGTCAGCTATCATCTACTCTAGCTCTTCCCATGACGCGACGACCTTCGTGCAGGCCATCAACCAATATCTCTGTCTCAGCCTGAGCAGGAATGCGGTTAGCCCTGTCTTACAGGTCTTCGAGCTGAGCGTGGAGATTTTCTGGCGCGTTCTCTCCGGCATGCGGACGAAATTGAAGGTACGAGAGCCACGCCATTAAGTGCAGCAAGAGGCTGACGCTTGTGCTCAGAAAGAGATCGAGGTTTTGTTCCGCGAGATCTTCATGCCAATATTGGAGATGAAGACTTCGACGCTGAAGCAGAAGGCGATCATCTTGGGCATGTTCTCTCGTTTATGCCAGGATCCGCAGGCGCTCGTCGAGATCTACCTCAACTACGATTGTGACAGGGAGTCCGCGGACAACATCTACGAGCAGTGAGTCAGCTTGACGCAGCAATGAGGGCACCCCTGACATCGTTTAGCTTGATGAACATCATCTCCAAGATTGGCTCGACGTCGGCACCCAAGGAACCCGGCAAGGGCAACGAGCCGCCGCCGAGCCCTGGTATGCCGCCACAGAAGGGCTCGCAAGGCAATGTCCCGCCAGCGCTCAGCACACAGGCCATGTCCATCGCAGGCAGCATGGATACGTCGAACATGGGTCACTCCGAAGCCCAGTTAAAGCGTCAAGGCCTCGAATGCCTGGTCACCGTCCTACGCTCGCTCGTCGCATGGGGGACCACCGCGCCGAAGTCGACGGTCGAGTCCGCCGCATCCGCCTCGGCGTCGCGCGCGCATCTGAACAACGACGATGTCCGGCGGGACTCGATGACGCCGGATAATTCGGTTGACCGGATGTCGACGGCGACGGCAGGGAGCTCAGAGACGCTGAGGCAGCCAACGCCGGATTTTACCGACGACCCGAGCAAGTTTGAGACGGCGAAGCAGAGGAAGACGACGCTGTTGGAGGGCATCAAGAAGTTCAACTTCAAGCCGAAGCGGGTGCGTTGGCCACCGTTCCATCCGTGAATATCCACTCATGATTGTTCGTTTACAGGGTATCCAATTCCTCATTGAGAATGGATTCATCCCCAGCAACTCGCCCCAAGACATCGCTGCCTTCCTGTTGCACACCGACGGTCTCAGCAAAGCCATGATTGGCGAGTATCTTGGCGAGGGGTGAGCAGATTGTTTCCTCTTATCACATCACCCATTGTTGACAATGGTCTCTCAGTGATGAGGCCAACGTGACGATCATGCACGCTTTCGTGGACATGATGGACTTCAGAGGACTGGGCTTCGTCGATGCTCTGCGGACATTCTTGCAGTCCTTCCGTCTACCTGGAGAGGCTCAGAAGATCGATCGCTACATGCTCAAATTCGCCGACAAGTACATGGCCAACAATGAGAAGACGCCTTTCATCAATGCTAGTAAGTAGTCTCGCCTGCCAATCAGAATGAAGACTGATAGAGACCTCTAGACGCCGCTTATGTCTTCGCTTACTCGGTCATCTTGCTCAACACGGACGCGCACAACCCGCAGGTCAAGAAGCGTATGACCAAGGCTGACTTCATCAAGAACAATCGCGGGATCAATGCTGATGAGGATTCGCCTGCCGACCATGACCCCAACTTGCCAGAGGACTTCCTAACGACCGTCTACGACGAGATCGTGAGCAATGAGATCCGCATGAAGGATGAGGTGGAGGCCGTGGGCCCTGCTGCTACTCCCGGTGGTATCGCTGGAGCTCTGGCGAACGTTGGTCGTGACCTGCAGAAGGAGGCGTACGTGATGCAGTCGAGCGGGATGGCGAGCAAGACGGAGGTAAGCGCGATGGAGCATGTCCCAAGCTTGTGCTGACGGTGATGCACAGGCCTTGTTCAAAACGATGATGCGGACACAACGCAGAGCGTCGAAGGCAGCCGAGCAGTTCTTCAGCGCGACGCAGTTCGTCCACGTCCGCCCAATGTTCGAGGTCGCCTGGATCCCCTTCCTGGCCGGTCTTTCTGGTCCTTTGCAAGAGACCGACGACATCGAAATCGTCGAGCTCTGCCTGGACGGGTTCAAGAGCGCCATCCACATCGCCTGCTTCTTTGACATGGAGCTGCAGCGCAATGCATTCGTCACCACACTAGCGAAGTTCACGTTCTTGAATAACCTTGGCGAGATGAAGGCAAAGAACATGGAGGCCATCAAGACGCTGTTGGACATCGCACTGCATGAGGGCAACCACTTGAAGGGCTCTTGGCACGAGGTGCTGACTTGCGTCAGCCAGCTCGAGCACATGCAGCTCCTGAGCAGTGGTGTCGACCTGCCGGAGGGTCAGAAGGGGTCAGTTACATTTTATATGTCTACTTCGCTCGCTGACAGTCTTTAGTCGCTCGAAGAAGCTGCCGGCGGAGGCTTTGGCCAACGAGAGTCGATCCACGCACATCACAGTCGCGAGTGACATGGTTTTCTCACTTAGCCACTACTTGTCTGGCGTGCGTATTTATGGCAAGTCCACCCGCCAATGTTACTTACTGGTATACAGACGGCAATTGTGGACTTCGTTCAAGCGCTCTGCGACGTCTCGTGGGAGGAGATCCAGGGCTCGGGCCTCTCGCAAAACCCTCGACTGTTCAGCTTGCAGAAGCTCGTGGAGATCTCGTACTACAACATGAACCGCATTCGTGTCGAATGGACGAACATCTGGGCGATTCTGGGAGAGCACTTCAACCAGGTCTGCTGCCACAACAACCCGCACGTCGGCTTCTTCGCCTTGGATGCCCTCCGACAACTGGCTATGCGCTTTTTGGAAAAGGAGGAATTGCCGCAGTTCAAGTTCCAGAAGGACTTCTTGAAGCCGTTCGAGTACACGATGGTGCACAACCAGAATCCGGAAATCCGCGACTTGGTAGGTCACATTGCATACATGATAGCAAGTTGTTGCTGATGATACGTGTGTAGGTCCTCGTTTGCTTGCAGCAGATGATCCAGGCGAGAGTGGAGAACATGCGCTCTGGTTGGCGGACAATGTTCCACGTATTCTCTGCTGCGTCAAGAGTGCTTACAGGTGCGTTTGCTGAATTATGTCGCGACATTGTTCTCACTTTCCATAAGAACGCATCGTCAACTCTGCTTTCGAGATTGTGACTCGCTTGAACAAGGAGCACTTCGGCGCCATTGTTCGACATGGCGCGTTCGCCGACCTTACGAACTGCATCACCCAGTTCTGCAAGGTCAGCAAGTTCCAGAAGATCAGTCTCCTGGCCATTGCGATGCTTCGCGACGTTATCACTGTCATGCTCGAATCGCCTGAGTGCGCCGTCACTGCCGAGGGACCTGCGGAAAGTCAGCCATCAGATCATTTCTGGCATCCCGTTCTGTTCGGCTTCTACGACATTATCATGACTGGCGAAGACCTGGAAGTCCGGCGATTGTGAGTGCGGGGCTCGTGACGATTTACGCAGGAGCTAATGATGCTTGCAGGGCTCTCGACTCCATGTTCAGCACCTTGAAGACGTATGGCGCCGGTTTCCCTCTGGAGTACTGGGACGCTATCTGCTCGGAGCTCCTGTTCCCCATCTTCTCTGTCTTGAAGTCGAGCCAAGACCTTTCGCGCTTCAGCACCCAGGAGGACATGAGCGTCTGGCTATCGACAACGATGATTCAGGCTCTGAGGAATCTCATCGACCTGTATACCTACTACTTCGAGATACTCGAGCGCTCATTAGACGGGCTGCTGGACTTGCTTTGCGTATGCATTTGTCAAGGTCCGTACATCGCCCCAAAGAGGTCATATCCAGGCTGATAATCCGGCAGAGAACGATACGCTATCACGGATCGGCACTTCGTGTTTGCAACAACTGCTCGAGAACAACGTCAAGAAGCTCAGCCCAGCGCGATGGGAGCGTGTTGTCACTACGTTCATCAAACTCTTCAAGACCACCACCCCACACCAGCTCTTCGACGAGAGTCTCCGTATCGAGATCGATGGGCTTGGGAATGGCACCGAGTCTCCCGACGCCGGTTCGGAGAACAGTGGCCAGACCATCCTCCCCGCGCCCCTCTCGCCTACGACAGAGCGTCCTCGCTCGGATCCGCGAGTCACATTGGCCGATAGGCGACGGATCTTCAAGCAGATCATCGTCAAATGCGTGTTGCAGCTGCTGCTCATTGAGACAACAAGCGACCTCCTGCGGAACGACGAGGTATACTCTACGATCCCGCCCGAGCATCTGTTACGCTTGATGGGTGTGCTGGATCAGAGCTACCGGTTCGCACGCGATTTCAACGAGGACAAGGAGCTACGGACAGGGCTCTGGAAAGTCGGTGAGTGCAGCAAGTGCGGCACCCTCCCTTAAATTTGTGCTAATCTTACCGTCAGGCTTCATGCGCCACCTTCCGAACTTGCTGAAGCAGGAGTCAAGTAGCGCAGCAACCCTCATCCACATCTTGACACAGATGTACTTTGACCCTCGACCAGAGCACCGAAAGGCGCGGCCGCAGATATCGGAACGCCTGCTGCCGCTCGGGTTGGGTGTCATCGAGGACTTCAACAAGCTGCGCCAGGAGTCGCAGGCGAAGAACATCCTCGCATGGACGCCGGTCGTGTCGGAGATCTTGGACTGCTTCAGTCGGTTAGACGACAAGTCGGCGAGTACCCTCCCTGTTTAGACCTGGGCTCGATCAGCTGACTCCGCATAGTTCAAGATGTACCTCCCTGCCATCTACCCTCTGGCTACCCATCTGCTTGACCGAGATCTGGCGCCCGAGATTCGCGCTGGTCTCAAGGCGTACTACCTGCGTGTGGGCTTCGCGCAGGGTATCATAGACAGCTCATGAGCATCTCTGTAGTGTAGCCTATTTATTACTGTATTGCACCATCTGGGATAATTCTACTCGCACATATGAACGGACTGCATTCCAGTGTTGCGAGGTGTGTAGGAAAGATGGTGAGTTCAAGGATCTCAGTTTGACTTTGACATCACGCCTTCGAGGTCGCTGTTCACCGAAGTATGTCTCGACCATTGGCATGCAAATAGAGGCCTTGCTGACTATACAACACAGTTACAACATTCAGTACGCTACAGGGACAATTGCGCATCTATTCAGTACTACCACTACGAGGACTTGCCCGCATCCTCCTTCAAGCTGACGATGCGGTTGAGCACAAGGTAGTCGCCTTGGCGCCTGCCTGGCTCGACGTTGTCCGGCTCGTCCAAGCATGCGATGCGGGAATCTTTGTCCAGAGCAAAGTACGCAACACGCAAGCCCTGGAAGCGCACGCACTCCAATCCAATGAGCTGCTCCGCGGTTGCGCTCGGCGCATCAGTAGGCGCGCCTCCCCTGGGTGCATCGCCCGATTCAGCGGTTGCCTTCTCCGTCCTTGCCTTCGCATCTCGCTTTGCCTCCGTATACAAGCGCTTTGCGAGCGGCCAGAATCCTGCCTCCACCATCGCGCCCTTGATCACCTCCAGGCTGTTCTTGTCGACGTCCGAGCGGAAGTCCGATGGTGGCTCGTCGCTCTTGAACAGCTTGTGGAATACCCGCGTCTCGTCGATGCGCACAGGGCTACCTGACGGTGCATGCTCGGCGACCCACTGGATGAACGCCTTGGGCTTTTTGGTCGCGCCCTCGTTCTCCAAACGGCAGACCAGCTCCGTAACATTTCCCTCCGCATCCGTCTTATACGACACGCAGGTAATGGGATGAGGTGCCTGGTACAGGCCGACGGTCTTCCCCGGCGCAAGACGGAAGTAGTCCGGCGAGTCCTCGAGGCGGAAGTCGCCGCGGTCGATGTACAGCACCTTCGCCAGCGGTATGCGCGACGTGCCGAGCGCGGGGACCTTCGGGTGCAGCGGCTTCTCAACTTCGAGCACGAAGTCGTCTGGCACATTTTCCAAAACAACCTTGAGCGGGTTGAGCACCATGAGCAGCCGCGGGGCCGAGCCCTCGAGGTAGTCGCGCACGGACTGCTCGAAGCGGACAAGCTGAATGTTTGAGGGGGAGGTCGTGACGCCGAGGACGCTGACGAAGTTCGTGATGGCGCCGGGCGGGACGCCGCGGCGGCGGAGGGCGATGAGGGTGTAGAGGCGCGGGTCGTCCCAGCCGTTGACGTAGCCCTCGTCGACGAGCGCGAGGATTTTTCGCTTGGACATGATGGTGCCCTCGAGGTTGAGGCGGCCGTATTCGCTCTGGCGGGGTTTGTAGACCTCCAGGGCGTCACATAGCCATTCATAGGATTGGCGGGACGCGACGAATTCGGTCGTGCATAGTGAGTGGCTGCACTCATGAGTACGTATATCCCCGCTAGATGACAAGGCACTCACGAAATGTTCTCCATGCTATCGACCAGGCAGTGCGTGAAGTCATATGTCGGGTAGATCTTCCATTTCGTGCCCGTGCGATGATGTGGCGCGTCAAGCACTCGGTACGCCGTCAGATCCCACATCTGCGGGTTTCCGTCCTCCAAATCCTGCTTCATCCGCAAGTTCGCCTCCTTCGGGCGGTACTTCCCATCCTTCATCGCCTCGAACTCCTTCACGCTCTCCTCTATAGACCTTGTCCGATGCACACACGCCCTCGGTTTCTGCCCCGTCTTCTCCCCTCTCGCCTGCTTGATTTCCTCCTGCGTGCAATGGCACACATATGCCTTGTCCCTTCTAATCAGCTCCACCGCCAAATCGTACAGCTGCTGGAAGTAGTCGCTCGAGTACGTGATCTTCCACGGCTCGTACCCCAGCCACCGGATCATCTCCAGGATGCTCTCAAAGTAGCGCGCCTCCTCCTTCTCCGGGTTCGTGTCGTCGTAGCGGAGGTAGCACTTGCCGTTGTGGTGCGCGGCGTAGCCGAAGTTGACGAAGATCGCTTTGGAGTGGCCGATGTGGAGGTAGCCGTTGGGCTCGGGCGGGAAGCGCGTCCAGACCTGGCCGCCGGTGGCGGCGAGGTGCTGTTCGCGGAGGTGCGGGTGGATCTGGGGGTTCTCGCCGGGCTTGTGGAGGGCGCCGAGGAAGCCCTCTTCGAAGACCGATTTGCGAGAGGACGAAGGATCTTCAGAAACCTCTGTCTTCGCTGCTTTTGCGGGCTTCTTGGGCTCCTGCGAGGAGTGAGATGGTTGCGCGTAGAGAGCAAGAGTAGGGCGCGTACCTTTGCCTTAGGCTTCGCGGCCTCCTTAGGACCAAATTTCTCCAGGAAGAGCTTCTCCACCGTAGCCTTCACCTCGAGCGCGTTCGCCCATCGCAATGAGGGGACGGCCTTTGCAGCGCTGATCACAGCGCCGAGCCCTGCCCACCCCTTGGACGCACTGGGTTCTGCTATTTCAGCAATTTGCTTGTATAGCTCTTCTGGTGTTATGCTGAAGCCTGCAACATGTTAGCGAGCACCGATCGCGGTGGCACAGATCGTACGCACCCACACCACACTCCTTGTCAAAATCCTGGACGTCTATAGGTGGGGGACGAGTCTCTACATACTTCACCGCCGCTGCAACTACCATTAGCCACATCCACCACATCCTCCATATCACATACCAACAGCCTGATCTGTCGTCTTCAACTTCCCCTCCAAGATCTTGTCCACCACGAAGTCGCGCGCCTCCTCCGTCGTATCTGGCGCCTTCGCGACCTGTCCCGCGAGCGCTGAGATCAAGCCCGCCTGCTTCTCCTCAAGCTTGGGCTCGCGCTTGTCCAACTGGTACTTCTCGATGATATCCTTGAGTGCCGCCGCTTGCTTCGCGGACTTGGCCGCCTCGACCGCCTTCGCGTGAGGGAGGCCGATCGCCTCGAAGAGCGGGACGTGCTCCGCCGCCACTGGGGCCTTTGACATTAGAGCCGATGGGTCGCGATAGGGAGGGGGGATAGGAAAGGGTCTGTTTGCACCCGATAAGTCGAGTCAGAAGGCGGTCAGAAGTTGGAGGCAAGATCGATGATGGAAGGCGCGGTTACGTTCAGTGATCAGAGTGCAGAGGATGTCGAACTCCAGATATGCCTGCAAATGAATCGAGTGAGCCGACATATAGCACTCAGAGATATGACTCGTCCGCGATAATGGTGATGGACCCAGATTTATTAGGACGTATTAGTTTCGATAATTATTAGAGAATTCACTAACGAGAAGGTCAGTGAAAAGTCAAGTACCTTCGTTGATTAAATGAAGAGGCAGAACGATGAAATGCAGGAAGGACTCAGAGTCTGCACTGGACGGCAAGCCGACTCGGATGACCCTCGCGTAGCGTGAGTCTGCGCCAACGGACGCGCAAGGACCTCGCCCGCACTCCCCAACAATGTGTGCTCCAACATACCTCAAAGCTCCTCCCTGCGCTGCCTGCCATTCGCCGAACCCCCCGCCAAGGCTGCACCCTTGTCGGTACTCTACGCACTTGCATCGCAAGGATATTCATCAGCCATCGTAAGTTCTGAATTTGCTGCTTCATCAAGTGGAGCTCCATTTCTTAAGTGCAGAACTTGATAATTCTCTCTACTAATACGTCCTATTGAAGAAGCAAAGTACCACCCCGTCTCGGGATATGCAACAGTTTCCGATGACGTCGTGTTGCACGGACAGCACCAGCCCTTGTAGGCCTCGCGCTCGGACGAAAAATCGTATACATGTCCCTTACATGTCTCTCTGCTCACAGTAATATTTTCATGAATATTGGGCCAGAAGCGCTCGCCGTATACGCCGTGCAACACCCAACGAAGGGCAATGCAACACTTTCTCGGCCGTTGCCGAGCACCTTGTGGATTTTCTGCAGGACGCCCAAGGTGCTCTATCCGCTCCAAAATCGCACACGGTATACAATGCCATGCATAGAAGAGGTGTACGAAGTATCTAAGCTATACCTGTCTTAAGAGGCCAGGAAAGCGGTGTGTTGCATTTCTGATACACCCCGCCATTTTGTTGCATATCCCGAGACGGGGTGGTATGTGTAGCGGGGTACATAGTTATGGGCGGTATAGTGTCCGGAAAATACCTGGATACCAAAATGGAAAGCTCGCGGCTAAGTTCGCTAAAAAATCGGAAGGTGAGTGTCGATCGCGCGGATTTGCGAAGGTCTGGAAGGGACTTAGTCGTTTAACGTGCCATCTGTGACTCATTTCCTAGTTGAGTTCGTCCGAGCCGGTACATGTGTTCCGTTCAACGTGTATCGGGACTTGCCGTGCGCCTCTGATGCGCCCTTTGTCGGTACTCACGACGACGACAACGGCCTATATAGCGGTGCTCAGGTCGCGGCAAAGCGCGCAACGAGGTTTCATACACTGTCCTAGCTATCTGTGGGCCTTATTGTGAGGCAGCGAAGCGCCGAGGCGGTGTCGCCGAGGACTGTCAGTTGGCACGTGCGAGGCGGGAGGCGGGAGACGGGGAACGGCAACGACATAGAGCCGTCCACGTGCAGCGACGATGGGCCCTATGCAGGTCATGGCGAGGGCTCCCCACGACTAAGTCCATTCCAGACCTTCACAAATTCGCGCGGTCGACACTCACCTTCCGATTTTTTAGCGAACTTAGCCGCGAGCTTTCCATTTTGGTATCCAGGTATTTTCCGGACACTATACCGCCCATACATAGTCAATGTCACCCTTCGAACATGCCCGCCTAGCTCAATCGGATAGAGCGTCAGACTCTTAGGCTTGGCTTGGGCAATCTGAAGGCTGCGAGTTCGACCCTCGCGGTGGGCTATGTTGCACGAAGCGTCTTTCTTTTTCTGGTAGACGGCGCGTTTTTCTTTTCCTGACCTCCCACCTTCCTTGTGCGGTATCCTTACTTTCTGTGATAACGAATACGTGCGCATCCTTCACCGTCTTGCGATGCATTTCGTTCAAATATACAACAGATCAATAATTGGGAAAGGTGTAAGGTAGGTCGACGGTGCACAATCTGGCAATAAGTTTTACAGGCATGTGTTAGTACATCCGCCTCAGCAGCGACTACTACGAGCAATGACAGATCAGTAATGGGGATGAAGTGCATGCCGTCTGGTCCTACGCGCGCACTGATGGGCCTACGCCACGTACTCAGTGGCAGCCTCAGGGCAGTCGCGCGCGATCTATGTGGAATCAGTGAGTTGAATTGAAGCCCCGCAGTGTAACTTACGTGTCCCTCTTGGTGGCACTAAGCGAGCATTTGTTAGTTCGGGATAGCGCAGGCTTCAAGGTGGGTAACATACCTTGTAGCAAGTCTTGTTCCTGTTTAGAGCAGGACCAGTGGGCGCAGTCTCAAATGTGGTACCGGCTGCGGCAAGGCAGTCCCTGCAGGAAGGCTCAGCAATGCATTCATCGGAACAAGTGGGAAGGAACGCACCTCGCCATATGGTTCGGACCACCGCAACGATAGCACTTGACAGGGGGCAGGGCAGACGTGTTCAGCCCGCGGCCCGGGGGCGGCGCGCGAGAGGCGAAGCCTCCGGCAGCGGCGCTCGGGCAGTTGCGCGCAAAGTGTCCAAAGCGGCCACAATTCTGCAGCAATGTCAGTGCACGTTGTTTTCCGAGATGACGGGACGTACGTAGCACTTGGAGTTCGAGCCCTGCTGCTGCAGACGCAGGGTCGGACATTCAGCTGCCCAGATGCAATCAGCCCGATGCGCCGATCGCGGGAGGGGGACATACCTTGGATGTGCCCGACGCCACCACACGAGTAGCATTGCTTGGACGCGACCGTGCGCGGGGAGGGGCACGCGGAGCTCTCGTGTCCGGGCTGGCGGCAGTTGTAGCAGAGCCGCTGCTCAGACGAGCAGTTCTCGGCAATGTGACCGACTGGGGAAGGGGGATCTGAGCGCCAGAAGCACAGTCTAGATTGGATGCCGAAAACTTACGATTGCCGCACTTGAAGCATCCCTTCCTGGAAAACTGGTATGCCATGCTCGCTGCTGTATCCTGGCGGCGCGTCGCTGGGTCAGAAAACGCGCGCCTCCTTCGCCGCCGTGCCGCGCACCTCAGCACTTCACACCCACTCGACTATCGACAGCGATCCCAACTCCTCGACACCTCCGGTATGCGAAGGGGAGCAGTCAACGAGGTGATGGTTGATGGTTAAGGAGACCGGACGGACGCCATCGGCTATCGGTCGCCCATCCCGCCCGGCCGACGCCGTCCAGGCCGCGGATCGCGACGAGCGGGGCGCCGGCATTTGCCGCTGTCAGTTGGCCCATCATTCCAACGCCGCTGGGATGGAAGGTGCAATGGCGCTGGGTCGCATTCAACAGCGCGGAGTCTGCCCGGCGCGCGTCTAGCGCTTTCGCCACGCCCCTGCCCGACCGATGGCTTATCGCCCCATCGATAACTTGCCCAAGGTTGGTTCCGGCATCCAGTTATAAGGTGCAGCGAGCGCAAACAACTCCTCAGGGCCTTCCTGCTCCTTCCTCCATCCTCAGCTAGGTTTACACGGTGAGTACGAGTATACCCCACCCCTCTCCTTCTCCCCTTCATGCACCTCCTTCATGTCACCCGTCGATCGCGCTAACGTGCCTACGCTAGATCCCTGTATACCTTGCAACTTGTTGAGGCAACCTTCGTCCGTTGTCATACATCACGCTTCTTGTAAGGCCTGTTGAGTGTCTTCACCCGAGGTGAGCCCGTCTTCCTGCGTCCTACTCTCCCGACCCTTCATACTTCCTCGCTGCTACCTACAGTACAAATCCCCCAAATCCCCCAACTCTCCCCGTCCCAGACGCTTACTGATGCTCTTCCAGTGGTTTCGATCCTCCGGTGAAGCGTTTCACCAGGCTTGCAACAAGCTGAGTAGCCCGCGGACGCAGTATGGTTTAATGTGTGGAAGCCGTATCGGGGGTCATTGTCTCGACCGCCGTGCGCCGCTGTTCATCTGGCGCACGTTGACACGCTGCTCTTCTTACCTATCACCGGGATCTCTCGACCACTCGGGGTCCCGCCCTTGTATGGGGTTCCATCTCACCCTCAGGTACCTTACTTACCTCACTGTCGGGCTTGGGATGGGCGGATCTGTAGCTATCGTCGTCGAGTACAACCTGCTTACGGGGTTCGGAGAATGAATATACATTGGAAGCCTAATTGCACGGAGCATCGAGGATCTACGTGTGAATGGTGCTTCTAGAGTGCCCTGCTCAAGGTACTAACAGGGCCGTGTAACCTCGCGGGAGCTTTTTGCGGAGCCCCGCGCTGAAGAATACCTTCCTAATCGGGTTGAAAAGGCAATCACTGCCGCTATCACCAAGGTAGATTTATGCATGTTCAATTTCCTTTGCGTGTAGCTCGAGATTACTTGGCGAAAATATCGGCATAGGGACAAATGCTCGTACGGTAGGGACTATGGGAGTTTGGATGCGTTATCTGTCTTCCAGGTGAGAAGGGATGTATGTACATGGCGATATGTGAGATGTGAGTGAACAGGAGAAGAGGAATAAAATAACAATAAGGCCAAGCCAAAAGTACAACTAGTAAGTACGAACCGAGAAACAAAAGAGAGGCAAAGGTCATGCATACGTATAGTCATCCAGCACGTTCAACGCGCTATAATCCACTATCTCCCCTCCACAAAATCCAATGCATCCTCCAGCCGCTCCACGATCCACTCCGACTTGCTCATCTTCTTCTTCTTCGTCGAGCTGCCCTCGCTCTTCTTCGAGCTCGCTTGGCTCGCCGCGTCCGCCTCCCGGGCCATCTCCTCCCGCACCACGCCTTCCCGCATCGACACTGGCTCGCGCATCGCGTGCTCCCGCAGCGCCGCGCCCTCGTCCCGCAGGTTCGACCCCGACGTCGCGCGCCGCAGCATCGTGCGCGTGCGAGACATGCCAGATTGGGTCTGTTGCTGTTGCTGCTGGGGATGATGGCCGGAGCCGGAGGAAATGGAGAGCTTCTTGCGGTGGCCCTTCTTTTCCTTTTCCTTTTCCTTCTCCGCCGGCGCGTCTTTTTGCGAGGACTTCTCTGCCTTGCCGTGCTCCTTCTCGAGGCGGCGGCGGGCGCGTTGCTGCTGGTCGCGCTCGCGCTCGCGAATGTCGCGTTCTCGGTTGTCCTGGTCGATGCTCGTCTTCTTCTTCAGGCCGTTGAAGCCGAGTATGCCAGCAGAGCTCGCGCGACGTGGCAAGGGTGCGCCGTTGGCCGTGGTCCTACTGGATGAAGAGGACTGGGAGCCTGCCAAGGTCGAGGAGCCAGCGAAAGCGGAGGCAGATATAGGAGTGGGTGTCAAGGGGATCGTGGCAAGCGTCGCCGGATTGGACGCCGCTCGATTCGGCGACGATTTCGAGGATGGCGTAGGTGATACGGGGATGTTCGGTAGACTCGGTCGACGGCCAGCGTAGGACGGTGAGAGCAGTTCGTCTGGCGGTATGAGGTTTTGCCCAGCCCACTGAGCTTTGGGATGCTGGAACGCGGCCGGTAGAGCCATACGCGAAGGTAACTTATTTGAGTGCGAATGAGATGGCTGTGCGTTCGTACTCCAGGCATGACTTCGCGGACTGCGCGTGCCGCCAGACGACGAGACTGACACCTGCGCAGACGAAGAGTACGACTCCATCGTGTAGGGCGCCGTCGATCCGGACTCGTCTCGGTAGTGGTTAACAACTGACTGTCGCTTGCGCACGTACGCTTGCCGCCGAATGTCGCTCATCCACCCATGCCACTCGGCCTCGCTCTCGCTCTCCGAGCCGTCGATGTCCGAGGGAGACCACGACAAGGATTCCCCCGTATCTCGTTGCTTTCCCCGCTTCTTCTCGCTCATCACCTCTGGCACGCTTGTCGTGAAGCCCAAAGCCATCCTCAGGACCGCCGACTCGGTGCAGCCAGCATCGCGGGCTCGGCGCGTCGCCCACAGGCGCCATTCTGGATACATGGACGCCATAGGACGCGGCCTTGGGCTCTCGCTGGCTACGTACGTGCTGGACTCGGTGCCGGGAGCACCGGCGGCATAGGGCGAGTCATCAGACATGTCGAAGTCGTCTGGGAAGTACCCAGGTCCGGATGCGACCCAGGGAATGAAGGTAGAGTTGATGGAACCATGTTCGTTCTGAACCGGCCATCGGTGCAGTATGCGAAGGAAGGAAGTATAGGCTATGAATCATTGTCAGCAATGTATACGGACTTCGCGCTCGTGTAACAGCTGACCATCGTCGTCCCCTAGGTCGAAGACGACCCACTGGCCCTGGATCGGGGTCGAGGCTGGCGTCGGTGTCTTCGACCGCTTGTTCTGCGCGAAAGACGCTTCCTCCGGCGTACTAGCCTCGTAGTCGACGTGTAGCTTCCCTCCTAACTTCACCGACCCAAATTTCGGCCTGTACGCGTCCTTCAGCCGCGCCTTCGAGTTCAGCCTCTGCAGCCCCGGGTACTCAAAATCGCTGACTTCTTCATCATCTTTCTCCGTCAGCGGCGTGTGCGCAAACACCGGGGATGACAGCCCGCTCTCCGACGACGAGTGATTCCCGGAATCATCGTCGCTCATAGCTCGGCGATGGCCCTCTGAGCGGGCTCGTGACGGCTTGGGCGTGTCCCCCTCCAGCGGGTCATCGTGCGGCGTCATGGCGGCCATGATGGAGGGAACCGGTTGCGAGGGCGGAGGGGAGCCACGCCGCTCGGTGTTAATGGCACTAATGTCCAGAGTGGGTCGCAGGCGAGAGGGGGCGGGGACGACTTGCTTCAGCTGACTGCCAGCCCGTTGAACGAAGGAGGCGGAGCCGTGAGGAGAGCTTGAACCTGGGTCCAGTCCGAAGGGGCCTTCGTCTTTGCTCTTGCTGAGGCGAAGCTTCTTTAGAGATTTGACCTTCTCTCGCTTCGCTCCCGTCAGAGCACCAATATCGGTGGGCACGGCAAACTTGGCACAGACGATCCGTCGTTGTTCTACCCCGGAGGAGTTAATCCACGATGTCGTGGCCATGTTCAGGTGGTCGGGCGTGCAGATAGCGTTGAGCGTGTCCAGTGGAAGCTCGTGCGTAGGATCGTGATCCTAAGATACGGTTAATCTTCGCCTGAGATGCAGCTGAAACTGCAGACTCACGTTCTGATTTCGGCAGATGCTCAGAATCCCGTCGCGGGCGACGATGAACTTGTCGCGCCATTCGTACTCGGATTCGCGTGTCGACTTCAAGACCTTGACGTGGCCTTCCCAGAAGGGCTGACAGTAGTCCTCAAGAGCATGCCGTCTCAAAGGGATGATAGAACCAGCGCGATGGACTTCCAGGAGCTCGTAGGGTGCGAAGTCATACATGCCGACGGTGAAGTCGTCTTCCAATGTCTGTCCGGTAGAGAAGCGGATGATGGTAACATTATGGGGATGTACGCGCTTCTTCTTGTTGATGTCCTTTGGCTTTGGTGGAACCTTGGGAGGCCGATGAACGAAGACTACCTCGTCCATATCCTGGTCGTCCCATTCATCGTCTTCCTCGTAGCCGCCGTCCTCAGCAGGCTTGTTACCGCCTTCTTCGTTTGCCTGGTCCACATCGGGCGTCTCTGGTCTTGCAAACTGGATAGGAGATACCGAGCGGCGCTCTTGGACGTGCGGCTGCTTCGCGAATGTGATCGGGGATGGCGGACGCGCTCCTTGTCGCGGGTCCGCTGGCGGAGGCTCGAGGTCCGGCGCATCGAAGTGCGAGAGGCACTTTGCAAGGATGTAGGACTTGACCTGGCGGATTTTCCAGGACGAGGCGAGATGGGTTGTCAGCCACTGATCGTGGGGGACTGGCGCGATGGGTGCGGTTAGCGCAGTGCACGAAGCGCGTCGCCGAACACGCACTGAAGCGGCAGGTAATGGGGACGAGGTCACCGTCAGCGTCCTTCGCCGCGCACGACGCGACGTTCATCGGGCTGGTATGCGCGTCGGGGCTGAGGACAGGCTGCGGTCAAGGATCATCAGACGGCCTGCATCAGCGGACGGCGCGCTCTGATGGCGGCGAATTGGTTTACCCCGAGCCGTACCGGGCCCCTGCTTCCCGACTTCGACGCTCGAGAGCGCGGCCGACGACGGCGTGCGCGACGATCTTTGCTCACCGAGCCCCGCGACGCCCGCCGCTGGATCACGCGGCCGCAAGCGACAGAACACGACGGTCCAAGCGAGCACCCGCCCCCGGCTCCCGAACCACCATGTTGAAGACCCTCCTCCGGCCCACCACCCGCGCCCCCTGCGCGCGCGCACTCGCGCGTCGCCGCATATTCTCATTCCCCCCACTACCAGAAGCTTTCTCTAACGCGCCCCAGACCGTGCATGAGAGCAAAGTCCTTCCGTACGTCACGCACTCGCACCTTCTCCCCCTGTCCCTCTGATCCTCGCTCACGGCCTTCCCAGGTATACACAAAAGGAGCTGTACGAGGTTGTGTCCAACGTCGAATCCTATCCACGGTTCATCCCCTATTGCTCAGGCTCGCGAATACTCGAGAGGCCATCGCATGAAGATGGCAAGCACTTCATGAAGGCCGAATTGACTGTCGGCTTCAAGCCCTTCAACGTGAGCTACACCAGCCATGTCACCTGCATACCGCACTCCTTCGTCGAGGTACGCGTGCCTACTTCACATGATCGCTGGCACGCTGACACTGCGTAAGGCGGTCGCCGCTCCCTCTGCGTCCAAGACCTTCAAGACCCTGTCTACTGTCTGGAACTTCAAGCCGGCACAAGAAGATCCCAACTCCACCCATGTCACCATCGACCTTTCCTATGCTTTTACCAATCCCTTGCATGCTGCCGCCATGACGGCCGTCTTCAGCAAAGACCCGAACATCATGATACGCGCTTTCGAAAAGCGTTGCGCTCATGTCTTCGGCAGAAGATAGCAAGGCGAGGGTCAAGCTACGCAGTCCGGGGCGGACAATCTTACTGTCATCGTTATCACCATTCGTTCGTGGACATGACTATTGCATTGTATTGGGCTTGACAATTTCACCCGAATTCCACCCATCTCAATAATCGTTCTGCCCAAAACCGCAGTGGTCCAATAAAGGGTATAACATTGCAGCATTACGCTAAAGCTTCGCCTCCTTTGCCTTCCCAGCTACCACCGCATACCTCAAACGCGGGAAGTGGCAGAGGAAAGTACCTGCCTTCCCCTTGATCTCCAGCACAACTTCCTCGTCGCTCAGACCCACCAACAATCCCTTCGTCGGGTAGTCGCGCGCTGCAACAACGTCAGCTTGGTTTGCCACACAAGATCACTCCCAATTGGCTCACAATTGTCCTCGGGGATAACAGCCACGGGCTCACCGCGCTTGACGCCGAGCAATGCGGCAGTCTTCTCGTCGAACGGCGGCTGCTCTCGCTCGACCGATGCAGAAGCAATGCGCTGCGCTGCCTCCTTGCCAGACACCTTCTCCGTCTTCAGGAGCGCAGCTTGTTGATTCTGGATGTGCTTATGCACATTGCGAAGCCACTGAGACGGGCATGAGCGAGACGTTCGGTATGAGCGACCGAAATATGGAGAAAGCAACGGCGTAGGAGATTCATCGCAAAGCACCATACTCACCTCTAGCGTCTTCGCAAACTTCGCCTTGTCGCCGAACAATTCAGTCGTCCCCGGTAGCGAACGGGCCCAGTTGAGAACGAAGAAGACGGACAGATCGGCCAGGCCAGGCGTCTCAGTGTCGAAGAGCCATTGACGACCGTCTTGGAGTTGCTCTTCGATGAGGGTCTGATGAGAAGATCAGTGCGTTTAGATGATGTGCATGCCAGAGAGCAAGTGAGAGGACAGACCATATGCGAGGCCGAAGTACTCAGACTGCGTCCTCGAACTGCTTTCATGACCTTGGGGTCGATGTTGCCGCCGGACATCTGATGGATATCAGGGGCATGAGATGCGTGAGTCAACGTATACGTTCGTCGAAGTACTTGCTTTGCTTCTGTCCGCTAGAAAGGCAGCGGGAACCTTGTCCCACGGGACGAAAGGAACAGCGGTCGGGAACAGCGCACTGTCGGCGTAGAATTGGGCAAAGGCCTTGACGAGGCCTGCGGATTATATGAGAACGAGGGCAACGGTGGCGACGATTAGGAGATTTGAGGATTGCACGGTTACCAGGCGTCACTGGAGCAATGAAGGTGTCACTCACCGGTATCGGTCGTCGACCCATCTCTCCTCTTCGGGAATAGTGTACCGTAACCCGCGCTCGCGGGGAAGCGTCGCTCGATAACGGAGGCGATGAGGCTAAGATAGAGATGAGCAGGGAAACATTTGCGACGACAATCACGGATTTATGAGGCAAATGTAGGACGGCGACAGGCTGTAATAAGAACACATACCTGGTATCACAGTACAGGTCCCTGCCAATGGCCAAGACAGGAATTCTGCGATAGCCGAGGCCCAGAAGCTCCGATAATTCGGGACGAGGAAGAAGAGGGGCGACCTGAGGAGGTATTCAGCGTCTAAAGTCAACTAGGCAAGCGTAGAAAACCCAAAAATCAATATAACACTCACATCGACATGGGCCGCAGGAAGTCGCTTGACTGCGAGCATGCTCTCGACTTTGGCACCGAAGGGAGAACCGTCGTAACTGATCAACGAATCTGTTAGCTGACTGCGATGCTTGATCCCAGTACGAGCATGCTCACCGATACAGGATAACCGACATGATTGGAACTTGCTGTAGGACGTGTATTGAGATACTAGTGGGAAATATTGGGATAGAAGGGTGAGTGGAAGACGCAAGGAGCGTTCTTCAAGCTGCTTTCATATGGAACGGCGACGGCTTTCGTAGTTACCGGTGATCGACGTGAACGTCCTCATGATGGGCGTGCTAAGCAAGTGGAGCCAGAATAGGGCGTCAATGGAAGTCGGAACGCATCGTGTATTCAGCAGCCACAGAAGGCACAGTGCGGGCGAAGCCAACGAACGGAGGAGAGCTCGAAAAGGGTAAGTAATGACCATTGTCGTAAGCACCCATAAGGCCAAACAAAGCCAAGCAAGCGAGGTTGTTCGAAGTCTCCGCTTCTTCGGCGCCCGACCGTCCTCGAGGAGGTGTACGAATATCTGTTTACCACACAGGGAATCGGCACACAGCCGATGGGGTGACGAAATACGGGCCTTGCTGCCCTGGTGTGAATGCTCGTCTTACACGAAGAGTTTTGGCAGTGCTCGTCCGCAAAGCCACAACCTCGTCAGTTTTGTCGCAGTGACGCATGCTTACCGGGCGTCGACTTTTTTTTTTGCAAAGATGCGAACAAGAGGCAGGGAGGGGAAGCTTGCGCAGTCATTGTTGTACGCATGCCGATTCCATTGGCGCAGGAAAACGGCTAAATCCTGGGCTGAAGAAGGGAAGAGTTTCGGAATCTCGGGTCTTCGCTGAAATGGCCGGTAAGAGAACAAGGTGAACCTCACCCCAGGCAAAGAAGGCCTATCCTGTTCGGTCATTCCATCCCGTACCCCGCAGAGGTCCTTCAGGGCGGAAGTAATTATTCGGTGCGGGGGTCATGTGTCCATGCGGGGGCAAAAGGGGACAAGCAATTGAAAGACATCGCCCAACGTGGAAACAATACAAGTTCCAGCCGTCAACATGCACAGAAAAACGGAGAGCGGGAGGGTGCGACTTTCGGCCCCTGTCGGCTCGCGATATTCCAATCATCGTCGAGAGATGGTTGAAGATGAGTAGAGATGGGAGGACGAGGGAGCATGCGAGGTTGAGCTGCGGAGAGTGGGAAGATGCGCATGGGGGTTAGGATCGTGAGGTGAGGCTGTGGTGTTCGCACATTGGGCTATCGGAATTTGTGCGCTGGCGTTGTCTGCTACGCTGCCTCGGATGTGGCGCGTCGTCGAGCATAGCTGTTGGGCGCGCGTGTCAGTGGCACTCAGGCACATAAGTTCAACAGGGTGGCCTGACCTACCAGTCGGAGATGAGTGGAGGTCAGAGGTGAAGGGATAGGAGATCGTCGTTGAAAGATGGGGTCTGCTGAAGAAGTGTAGAGATGGAAGGGAGAAGGGATGCGCTATTGATGGCGAGCGAGCGCGTTCAAGTGTTGGCAAGCGTGCATCCGGCCGAGAGCCGTGGCTATCGGATGCTGTCGACCCGGCGTTCCCTTTACAAGGTCGCTCTCGGCGATGCCAGGGCACTGCGACGCGAGCTGCGACAGGAGACGAGGTGAAAGCATTCCATAGCAGGACTCCCATTGTTTTCGCGGAAGTAGAGCTGGGAGGCATCGCATTGTTCGTAGGCCCCCACAATAGAAGTCTTACAGGGAAAGCTCTGAGCCATCCGGCCATCGCGAAGCGATGCAGGTGCAAACAAGTGACAAGCCCGAAGAGATGGGTCCGGCTGCGTTGCCATCAGAATATTAAATTCCACTCTCCCACAACCACCGCAGTCCAACCCACTCCTTCTCCCGCCTCTGGTTGTCGTCCAAGTCGTCACGCCGCCGTCGCCGCTAGCAGCGCCCATCGCCCTTCACCATCATGACCGACCGCTACGGCGACCCCTTCGCAGACCGCCCGCGGCAGACGCACTTTGCTGAGCCTGCGCCCACCTACCCCAGCGAGAGCACCAGCACCCTTCATCCTTACGAGAGTACCCCGTCGCTGGCGACCAATGACTTTGGCCAGCACGACGATGACTACGTGGAGAAGCAGCCCTTGACGAGTGGGCAAGAGTTTGCGGGCGGGTTTTACCCTCCAGCGTGCGTCTAAGCCGATTATGTCGGTTTACCGATGGATCTGACGCGCCATTAACAGTGCCGCCGATCCCAACGCCTATGGCGACCCGTACGCGCACGGCCGCCCGGGGTCCATCATGTCCACGTCGAGCGTGGGCGTTGATTCCGCCTGGCGCAGACGGCAGACCATCAAGCGAGGTGTTACCCGCAAGGTCAAGCTCACCAGTGGCAACTTCATCACCGAGTACGCTGTGCCCACGCCGGTGCACAGCGCCATCGAGGCGAAGTACGCCGCCACCAACACCACCGAGTTCTCGTGAGTACCGCCCTGCTGCGACACGTGGCTGTACGCTCACGACCGCGCAGCCACATGCGCTACACCGCCGCGACGTGCGATCCAGACGACTTCTCGGAAGCGAATGGCTACTCGCTGCGCCAGAAGATCTACAATCGCGAGACCGACCTCCTCATCGCGGTCACGTCGTACAATGAAGACAAGACGCTGTATGCGCGTACCCTGCACGGTGTGATGCTCAACATCCGCGACATCTGCAAGACGAAGCAGTCCAAGTACTGGCGTCGCCAAGCCGAAGAGGGAAACCCCGGCTGGAAGCGCATCACCGTAGCCCTCATCGTCGATGGCCTCGAGGCAATGGATAAGAGCGTGCTAGACATTTTGGCGACTATCGGGTTCGTACATATCACTCGCCATCGTTACCTACCCCTAACATCTCTTCAGTGTCTACCAGGACGGTGTCATGAAGAAGCAGGTTGATGGCAAGGAGACTGTCGGACACATCTTCGAGGTATGTCAATTGCTCCATCGCGCAGAAGGCGAAACTAATTGGTCCACAGTACACAACACAACTGTCCGTCGATGCAACGCCGCAGCTCGTCTTGCCCCAACCGAACGACGCGAACAACCTTGTTCCCGTTCAGATCATCTTCGTCCTGAAGGCGAAGAACCAGAAGAAGATCAACTCCCACCGTTGGCTTTTCAATGCTATCGGCAAAATGCTTCAAGTGAGTCGATTGCCCGAACCATCTATTCATCGTTGCTGAAACTGCGGCAGCCCGAGATCTGCGTTCTCATCGACGCTGGTACGAAGCCCGGTCACAAGTCGATCTACTACCTCTGGGAGGCGTTCTACAACGACCCCAACCTTGGTGGATGCTGTGGCGAGATTCACGCTATGATTAAGGGCGGCAAGAAATTGCTCAACCCCCTCGTCGCGGCCCAGAACTTCGAGTACAAGATGTCGAACATCCTGGACAAGCCTCTAGAGTCCAGCTTCGGCTACGTGTCTGTGCTGCCTGGTGCCTTCTCGGCGTACCGCTACCGCGCGATCCTCGGGCGCCCGCTCGAGCAGTACTTCCACGGTGACCACTCGCTTGCGGACCGGCTCGGGCAGAAGGGTATCTACGGCATGAACATCTTCACGAAGAACATGTTCTTGGCCGAGGATCGTATCCTCTGTTTCGAGCTCGTCGCGAAGAAGGGCGACAAGTGGACTTTGACCTATGTCAAGCCTTCGAAGGCTGAGACGGATGTGCCGGAGCAGGCTGCTGAGCTTATTGGTCAGCGTCGTCGTTGGCTGAACGGTTCGTTCGCCGCGTCGATCTACGCTCTGGTCCACTTCTTCTCGTTCTACCGGTCTGGCCACAACCCCATCCGCATGTTCTTCCTCCATGTCCAGGCATTGGTAAGCATTGCAACCGAGCACCATACATTCGTAGCTGACCCCCGCTGCAGTACAGCACGTTCTCCCTCGTCTTCTCATGGTTCGCGCTTGCCAACTTGTGGCTCACGTTCAGCATCATCATCGACTTGCTCCCGGATCAGACGCCTGCTATCAACATCTTCGGTACCGCGGAAATCGTGAGCACCAGCGTCGCACGCTTTGGCAACTATAACTCACCGCCTCTCAGACTCACTGGGTTAACTTGGCATTCAAATGGACGTATCTCGCTTTCCTGGGCTTGCAGTTCATTCTGGCCCTGGGTAATCGACCGAAGGGAGAACGAATGGCGTATACCATCACATTATGGGTGTACGCCATTCTAGCGGTCTATCTTCTGGTTTGCTCGTTCTGGCTCACGATCAAGGCGTTTGCGGTATGTGGACCCCCCTTCGCTTCATCAGGCGTTCCTCATGGTCTATGCAGAATATACCGGAAACGCTGAAAGGCAAATCGGGCTCTGACGCAGTCAAGGTCTTCATATCAGGCGATGTGGGCACACTAATAGCGGCCATGTTCGCAACGTTCGGCATCTACTTCATTGCGTCCTTCCTCTACGTGCGTGCTGGTCTTCCCTTGTCGAGTCCTTGGTTGACATCTGCTGTAGCGCGACCCATGGCACATGTTCTCCAGTTTCCCGCAGTACCTCTGCTTGGCGCCGTCCTTCACGAACATCCTCAACGTATACGCCTTCTGCAACCTTCACGACGTATCATGGGGTACGAAGGGTTCTGACAAGGCGGAGGCACTCCCGTCTGTCAACTCCAAGAAGACGAAGGATGCGGAGGCGCCTGTCGTCGAGGATACCGCCCGCGTGCAGGAGGAGATCGACGCGAACTTCAAGGAGACGGTTACGCGTGCCATCACCAAGGTCGAGGTGAAGGAGGAGATCGAGAAGCCGACGATGGACGACCAGAACAAGACTTTCCGTACGCGTCTCGTCAGCTTTTGGATGCTGTCCAACGCCGCGCTGGCCATCGCGATTGCGAACATCAACGGTCTGCCGAGCGACGACTTGGAGCAGGACCAGAAGGACCTGCACGAAAAGCAAAACACGTACTTCAAGTTCATCCTATGGTCGACCTTCGGGTTGGCCTTGGTACGTTTCGCTGGCGTAAGTACCTCCCTCCTCATCTCTCAGTCTACACGTATTAACGCCCCCTCCAGTGCTTGTACTACTTCTTCCGCCGCAACCTTTTCCGGTGCTGCCGGAGGAACTGAGCGACTGCTACGCCCCCATGTGTTTACGCCCCCTTCCCACCATTTATGTGCATATACGGTGACATGCTGCGTCGCCACACTTGGCTTGGACTCGTCTCGGCGGACACGCGTATGATATCCCTTTTTGTTGGAAAGCTGCTATCTCCCCGAATCACCCTCTCGCTGCTTTCCCCACCAAACACCCTCACGCTGGCACTCATTACGCTACGATCCTTATTTATTTCCCTACGACGTTCTATAGTTTTGGTCGGTGAAGCTTGACGCGTTCATTGATGTATCTACCAGCGATTGTGGAAATGCTGCCTGGAGCAATTGGACTAAAGGCGGAATTCAATAAGGATCGTAACCCTCGCTTTGTATTCCGATGCTTGAGGGAGGGGAAGGTGTCTGGGGTGCAGTGGTGGACAAGTGCAAGACGTGTTCATGATACGAGTGAGATACATGAAATGAGGAGTACAAGTACAGTATGCGCCGGCGAGACAATTGCTACGAGTACATGCCGGAGAACTCATGCCTGTCGTCGTCGTGCGCGTCTCGAGACGTTGGGCGTGGCAAGACCCCGAAATTGGCACCGAGGCCTGTGCCTGGTATGCCGAAGAGGAAACCTGTGTCCTCTGAACCGAGGAAGCCCAGTGGCGTAATTTGGATGGGCGACCCGGGGCCTTGTCCAAAAGGCGGCGCCTGACCCGCTTCGCCCTGTGGCGACGGCACGCCTGTTGATTGGGCATCCGGCGAGGGCGAGGGCCGCTGGACTAGCTTGGCCCGACAAGCGGGGCAGGAATCGTGCTGTGAGGATGTGAGTACGACACGGAAAGACAGCCAAGATAAAGACACATACGCCATCCCTGATCCACTTCGAGATGCTGAAGCGCTGTGAGGCACTCGGGACGCGTGGATAGAGAGGGGACGTACTCTCGACGACAGAATATGTGTCCGCACTGCCATTCGGCAGCCAGACGCGTCACGCCGAGCTCCTCGATAGGGTGCGCAGGCGAGTCCATAGCAATGGCCGTCTCTTCTTCCGATATAATAGCTAGCAGGGTATTGTAGCAAATAGGGCAGACGGATTCTAAAGGCGTAGTTGGGTCAGTGGGCCGAGGCAACAGTCCGCGCGGGCATTATTCATGGCGGCGCTTACCTTTATGGCCAAGCCGCTCGACCTCTTGCTCGGTGAGGCGGGGGAGACCCTCTAGCAAGGTATCTACATCTCTTCGAGAGGGGTCATTCTAATGAATTGCTCGCATCACTGTGTGTGTTCAAACCTACTGAGGGGACAGTTCGTTCGACGCTGAGCGCATCGCATTGGCTACTTGTAGCAGGCGCTGTCGTACTTCCTCGTCATTAGCCAAGGGCCCTGCGAGCAGGAAGTCCTCGAGAGAGAACAAAGTAGGGTCGTCGGACATGAGTACAGCTAGGACGTTGACGTTGAGTGATGGTCCAGGACGAGATGAGCTCCATAGTAAACCTGCGGGGCCGCGTCACGTTCACGTTCAACTTCGTGTTCAAGTGACGCAAATTTGAGCAATGATTATAAATATTTAAATAGGACGACCATCGCCCGCCTAGCTCAATCGGATAGAGCGTCAGACTCTTATGACTAGGCGATCTGAAGGCTGCGAGTTCGACCCTCGCGGTGGGCTACTTTCTTTTCTTTTGCCTTCCTCTCACCTGTTTTCTCTTTTTGTCTCCTTCACTGTTTCACAAACGCTTGAGGCACTGAGCTACTAGCGAACATCGGTTGTTGTCAACTCGAGATGGATCCTGACAATAATATGTATTGGTGTACAGACGAAAGCAGCTAGTCAAATCGTGGGGCGTCAAGAGACGAAATGTGGTGGTACACCAAGCAATACAACGAGCTATAAAGATGCGACAATGGACAGACAGAGCGAAGGGACTGGTACATGAGAGCCAATGGGGTAAACCGCAAGGGCCACCAGGATGGGCTGAATGCATGGGTCGTACACTGTCTGCAGACTACCAGCCGATGGGAACGATGTGGATCGACTAGAATGGGTTTTCATCGTCATCCATCTTGACGTCCTTCGAGTCGGGTGCTGGTGCTGCCACCTCGTCTTCGTCGTCGCTCTCTTTCTGCTCCTGTGGTGCGGCAAACAGCTGGGTCGGCTTCGCCCTGCCGAAATTCAGTCAGCGGTTGCCACGTGAAGGCAGCGGAGCACGCACTTGGAGAACTGCTTTTTCTTCGCAGCGTTCAGCTTCTGTGTGCATGGGGTCATCATGTTGTCTGTTGGCGAGACGTAGGAGGCGTTCCTGCGAGGGCAGCGCGCATCAGTGCAAAGATCAACATGCGCGGTGGCGTCACGTACGCCTTCGGCATGCGCTTCGCCAAGAGCGCCTTCGCGCCCATTCCCGGCGCCTGGTTAAGCACGTTGCCAAGCGGTGCTTGTGGAAGCACGACCTTCGCCGCCTGAGAGGGGTTGTGCAGCGGCTGGACGGAGCTCGGGGAGTCGTTCGGGGTAGACGTGGTAGACATGATGAGCGGCAATGGGAGGATAGCTGGTGAGCGCAAACAGCGGCTACGCTAAGGCGGATATGCAGATGAGCGGTGCGCGCGGCGGGTTGAGCAGTGGAAGTTCGTGTTGAACAAGGGAAAGAGTCGCACGCGGCCTGCCTTTTATGCGTTCAACGATCACGTGTTCGCGACAGGAATTCATTTTTGCTGGACTTTGATCTCTGGCGTTCATTTCCCGCCACCATGGCGATGAACTTGCTCGCGCTCGCCACGGAGTTCATGACAGAGACTTGACGTCTTATGGACTACAAAGACCTCGCGCGCATGAAAACGGTGCGACTCCCCAACAGAATCCCCCTCAAGTTTGGACACTGGCGCGACTGAAGGCCTGCAAACTACGCGATGCTATCGACAACCCCGCGGCCCTATTCTATATACTGGCTCTGGAAATCAATGAGATGAAGGATTGCTCAATTGGCGGACCGGGATCGACGCACCGATTACAGGAGCTGAAGGAGTATCACAGGAACTAGCGTCGCCTTCGCTTCTCCTCGCGCACCGATCTCCCCTTCACAGAGCTTGCCGATTCGTTCGTAGGCTTCTTCATCGGTGAAGAGGAAAGGAAGATACTTCCTTCTGCGTGGCACCGGGTACATGCGCGGTGGGTAATCAGGTGACCGCGCCGCCCCTCGAAGAGCTGAAAGGCGCGGCGCGTCTTCTTTCAAACTGTCGTCTCTGCGATCATGGGCCTCCTCAGTATGCCAAACGAGCTCCTGGTCAGGTCTCTGACCCTTTTATCCTACGCAGACCTTGCTCGCTGTGCTATGGTGCGTCCAGACACCATCGTCGTTCTGATTCAAGGCATTGACGGTTTCGCGTTCCCTTTCAACAGGTTTGCACGCGTCTCCGGGACATTGTCAATGACACGACTGTTCTGCAGTACGCGTTCCTGCTGGGTCTCACTGGCATGCAGGACGGCGTGGGCGCGGAGGGTGTTGCCGCCCGTCTCGCGAAGCTGCGGCAGTACCAGAAGGCGCGCAGCAAGCCGCTTGAGAACGCGACCGCTACCATTCAGCCCTTGCCTGAAGAGTGTATAGAGGAGAGCAGCGGCAACATTGTCGCGTATGTGGACTGCGCCGAAGACGCTGATGATACTGTCATACACCTGGTGCAGCTACCGTCTCCCTTGCGGGGTGTGGAGTCCAGACGGTGGACGATCTTCTGCTCTGACTCCGTCACCGCTTTCTCCGTGGAGTCGAGCATGGACCTGCTCGTGGTGGTGATCGAGCGCGCGTAAGTCCAGTCTCGCAGACCTGCTTTGCTGTCCAGCTCATGCTTGACGTAGCCCTCGTGTCGTCGAGGTTCGGCTACTTACCATATCCAGCGGCGAGCCCCATCCACGCGCCCAGAAGCCGAGTTGGACGTGCGAGCTTCCGGACGCCTATGCTCCCAACGTATCTATACTCATCATCGAGGACAAGCTCGCGATGGACTTTGTTCATGGGACTACTACGGCATCAAGCTCCTTCAGGCTATGGAACTGGGAAACCGGCGAGCAATACTCGGTGCGTGCAATGTCGCGCGCTCAAAGACCGTACTATATTTCATGTGCAGCTTCCTGCAATCGCGCGTGAAGGCGCATGCTGCTTCTTAGATTCGCAGCACATTGCAGTCCTCGCGGAGCCGGCGAACGATCCTTCATGCAAGAAGACGAGGACGGCGGCGTTTGACATTCTGCGTCTGAAGTCCCCATCCGACGTTAGACGCGTTGTCCGCCTGTGCCTTCCCCGATACAAGAAGTGGAGTCGCCCTGGGCTCTTGGAGTGGGTGAGCGACCAGCGGCCGGCCTCGTGCGATTACAATCGTACGCGGAACGCCCTCAGCGCTGGATGCTTTGCGGCAGGGCCTTGCGCTCGCATTGTTGGACTGCGGGTCCCGTCGCACGACTGCTTCGAGGAGACGCCCTTGTTCATCATGTCCGTGACCAAGCTACTGCGTCTAGTGAGTCAGCTCCAGTCTACGTCCGGTCAGACCGTGGGCTGGGAAGACTGGGGACCGCGCACGACGCGTTTGTTCCTCCACCACGAGAGCACGTATATGAGCATTCGTGTAACGCGCTACGTGCTACAGCGCACGCCACTGGCACATCGCCCAGGCTTCTTCGTCTTCGACTTTGGGTGCGACAAGTTCAGGGCCGAGCAGGGCGACGAGCAGTTCGAACGCAGTGGCGCACGCGTGACCGCATCCACTCGCGACACGTCCAAGTACTTCGACGGGCCTATAACAACTCACTTGCCTTATCATTCTTTGGTGCATCATCTGGACGAAGATACATGGAACCGGTGTGACTTGACAACGGTCAGGGAGATCGACGATGGGGTGATTGTAGGCCAGGTGAATATTTTCTGTTCCGTGCATATCAATCGACTGACACCTCATGCAGTTGGACCACGAAGAGATGGGTGAGGTGCTCACTGCATTTACTGTATGAATGTACCAGATGCGGCCTGCACGTCTACATTGTTATGGGGCTGGTTGTCTAGAACAATGAGCACGACATTGGTTGATTCTGAAGTGCTATGCTGCTCGTGCGTCTCTTTGCCTTCGGACTCACTACCAGAGGCTGTCGGCCCATAAATTCTGGATTTAACGAAGGTGACATCGACATTTCAACTCTGTGAGCGCCTGCAGGATAATTCTAAGTGGCCGCGGTCATCCGCGGTCCCCAGGCAGTCATGTGATAGAGCGCGCTTCGTTGAACCCAAACGCGCCTTGTCCCCAACAGTCACCCACAGCCATGCCCCTGCTCAGCTTGCCAACGGAGCTGCTTGTCCAGTCACTGAAGCTGCTACCCCATGACGATCTTGCGCGTCTGATGATGGTACGTTCGTGGATTTCCGACAAAAAGCAGATACGATGCTCAGGCCAAGCGCGCCCTTTCCCCAGGTCTGCACGGGTCTGCGAGACGTCATCAGAGAGACCGCGTCTCTTCAGTACGCCTTCCTGCTCGGTCTCAATGGCATGCAAGACGGCGCGGGCGCGATGGACACGGCTACACGCCTCGCAAGGCTCAGGCAGTACGAAACGGACATGCGACAGCTCCGCTTTTCCGCCACTATCATACCCATCCCTGCCCGCGATCCGATATATAAGGTCGCCGGGGACACCATCGCGTACATGACGGACGATGAAGGCACCAAGCGACTGGATTTTGTTCGAACGCCGTCACATTTGCGGGGCGTGGGCGATACCATTAAGTGGAGGGTCGATTGCCCTGTTGGTATCCGGGAGTTCTTCATAGAGCCCAGCCAGAATCTTCTTGTGGTGTTGCGGATACACTCGTAAGTTACGACTGATGAGTTCGATGTCCAGACACTCACACACACACACTAGTCTCATACACTGCGACATCCAGTCACTGGATATGTCTAACGGCCGTCCTCATCCACTCGCACATGACGAAAGTTGGACATGCGAGCTGGAAGACATCCCGCTGCATATTTCGGCATATGTCTTCGCAGACAAACTGGCAATATCCTTCGGTTGTGAGAGCTCGACCTCGTTCAGGTTATGGAATTGGCAGACGGGCGAGGCGTATGCGGTGCGCATGTTCCATGACTCAGTCTCTGTGTTGCATTCTGATCGTACGATGTAGCTCCCGACTTTTGCACAGGAGAGCGCGTGCTGCATATTGGACCCACAGCATATTGCAGTCGCGGTAGTGGCTGCATCTCCCAGAATGAAGATATCCACGATTGATATCATTCGAGTCAAGTCTCCATCTACCACTGAGCATATACTCTCCCTGCGTCTCCCCCAGTACCGGACGGCCGCGAAGGACAAGTTCATGCGTTGGGTGTGGGATGGTGTCCCCGCATCTCGCGACCATGAGTGCACGGACCGGAACTCTTCGACTTCTGGATGCTTTGCGTCGAGGCCTCATTCCCGCCCTCTCGGACTACAAATCTCGTCAGGTCGCTCGACAAGTACGTTACCCATGTTTATCATATCAACGACAAGCCTTCTTCGCCTATCCCGGGCCGGAGATCATAGCCTTCAGCAGCAGTCATTCCGCACTGTAGATTGGGCGGATTGGGGACCGCAGGCGACCCGCTTGTTCCTACACAAGCGACCTTTGCCTACTCTACCCGACGGTCCTTTTCGTGGTACGAGATACACCGTGCTACACGAGTCGCCAGGGCCGTCGCCGGGCTTTCATGTCTTTGACTTTGCGTGCGACAAGTATAGGACCGCCCTGGCACTCGGAGAAAAACTCGAAGGACAGCTTGTGACACGACCCTCTACACACGAACTTCATGGACTCTTTTCCTCCGCTATCACGACTCGTCTTCCCTACTACCGTGCATATCAGGAACTACAACACGATGCCACAGCACCTTTTGTCGGGGTCTTGAGCATTGATGATGGCGTGGTTTTGGTCCAGGTAAGATTCTATCTCCAGATGCTAGACTGTTGGCTCATGTGTCACATCTAGGCTCAGGAGGGGGACGAAGTGACGCTCACTGCGTTTACCGCATGAAATCTGAATGTAGCATATTCTTGACGTACGCTCTTGTACCATACACTTTGTATGTAGCACCGTACCATCTACAGCTTTCTTGACTCGAATAAGTGTCCCTACGATGTGTAGCAACTAGACCACCCGCGAATAATAATCCACTTCTGAAGTAGCAAACCTTGAGCGCGACGACGAGATGTCACATGTCAACAATCACAGTAGCGGAAACAAAGCCTTCCTTATCGGGAATTGCTTTTTGTGATCACATCACTTCTTGTCCTCTGCGCTCACTGCGCGTGAGGCTACAATCATGATGTTACTGGAAATGCCCTCAGAAATAATCTTGGAGATTCTCCATTACCTAGATGCTGTGGATATCGCCCGCTGCAGAGCTGTAAGTGCCGCTCACAGCCGAGCTCACCATCGCGCGCTTACAGTCAACGCTGATGTTCTGCTCCTCAGGTATGCCGCGTGCTATGCGGGGCTATCGACGGTACGCCAACTCTGTGGTACAAACAGAAGCTGGGAATGCATAACATGGTCAACGGAGGAGATCAGCACGAAACCCTTCTGGCAGACCGAGTACAACGTGCGGAGCGCTATGTCAAGGCCTGGCGCTCGCTCGAGTGGTCCACGGAGACTCGCATCCCCTTCGGCGGGAACTTGTGGGAAATTGCGGGGGGCGTCGTCGCGTGTACGACCAGCGCGGGAAGCGGGGAGATCAGCTTTACGCAGCTGCCGTCTCCGCTGCGTGATATAGAGCGCAAGACGTGGAGGCTGACTTTGAGGCATGTCCCGCGCGATTTTACCATTGATCCGAGCCAGGATCTGCTCGTCTCGATACACTCTGAAAGGTGAGCTTGTGGCATCGCTGTGTTCTGATCGTCGAATTGATTTTGTTAGACAAAATGAGTACGACGTTCACTTGCTTTCGATGTCGACCGGGGAGCAGCATCCGGCCGCCCAGATATCGCCCCTGGTCTACAAGACCAATCGTACGCCTGTTCAGTATGAGCTCCTTGTCTATGAAGATAGGCTTGGGATACTCTTTGTCTCCAATGACGAGGCGGCACGCTTCAACGTCTGGGATTGGAAAACGGGACAGGAGTACAGGGTAAGCTCAATAGACGCTAATTCTGTTACTATCTACCTGACACTCGCCCCAGCCTCCTTTCCAGGACGCTTTCATCACGTCTGCATGTTTTCTCGACGCCAACACGGTCATGGCGACCGCGTACACCCACCAAATCACTGCGCCGAACAACGTCTTCCTGAAGGTCGTTGACATCACGACTCCCGACGCGCCTATGCCTATCTCCCACCTGCAATTCCCTATCATGCATCCCAACACGGACGCGATGGCGGACCTGATCTGGGACTCGCCGCCAACCTGGGAGGGCGGCGTGCCACCCATAGGCTGCTTCGCGCACACCCGCACACGCCTCATCGGCATCGCCATGAGTGCGTGGGTAATGACAGTAGACCTCGCCGCCGGCCCCGCCGCGCGGCGCGTCCCTCTGATGTTCATACTATCCATCTCCGAGATCCTGGCGCGCCTCCCGCGACGGGAGACCGCCTCGTTCCCCGTCTCCGTCTCCTGGGAGGACTGGGGCACACACGCGGCGCACATCTTCGACCGCGAGACCTCGCAGGTGTGGGTGTGCTATGTCCGCGGCCCGCGCTACGCGCTGCTGGACGAGCTTCCGCTGGACGCGCCCCCGTCGGCGTATACGGTCTACGACTTCAGCCCGGGCCCGACGAGGGCGGAGACGGCCGAGCTGAAGGGATCGTTTTATGAGGACCGGGACGTCTTCGTCGACCCGGTGAAAGCCTGCTTGCCGTGTCGCAAGATTCAGGGACGGATACCGCTGAGGCCGAACATGCCCGAGTTCATGTCTGTTATGCTAGCCGACGATGGAGTAGTGTTTGTCTCAGTATGTTGCCTGGCGCTTTTTGGATGGATTCACTGATATAACCATAGGATTCGGGCGAGGAGTTTTGGGCGTGGACGTCTTGAGCTCTTTGCACTCGCTAGCAGTCCTCGCAGCTGAACCTACCGCATAAGTATCGCAAAAATATACAATATGTTGATTTCCCCGACACACCCTCGCTTTGCTCGCGACAGGAGCCCAGCGGATCGACTTTTCATCTCAGCAAGAGACTGGGATGTCAGCAAAGTCAGAGACCTCCAAAGCCGCTATAGCGACCGTATACGGCCAAGTCCTTGCGTTGTATTGGATTTGTGACTCACACTCACACCTTTTGATCGCTTCTCCGATTCGGACATTCTCCGTCCTGCTAGCGCTCTGCACCGATACGGCCCGCCCATACCCAAGTGCGTCCACTGTAGCTCGCTGACTCCGTTTTTGCTGCTCCAGTAGAGATGCTCGCTACTCTGTTTGCTCTCCAAGAGATGGTATAAAAGGTGCGTCTCGAGAAGAGGCAAAAGTACCACCTCGATTCTCACCTAGCCATGGCCTCCAAGATCCTCATTGTCTTCACCTCTTGCGACAAGCTTCCCAACGGCAGCGAAGCTGTATGTCTCTAGTCTTTTGAGAGTCGTCGAGGCACTGATGACACCTCCGATGCAGGGATGGTACCTTCCCGAGGCGGCCCACCCCTACTACGTTTTGTCGCCGTCCTTCACCATCGACTTCGCATCGCCAAAGGGCGCAAACCCTCCCGTATCTCAAGGGAGCGTCGAAGTCAGCATTCTCTGTCGCTTCCCTCTCATCCTAACGCCTCTAATAATCTTTGCAGCTCTTCAAGGAGGACGCAGAGAGCGTGCAGTTCCTGGCAGACGAGATCGTGAAGCAGAAGCTCGCCTCCGCCAAGATACTGTCTGAGGTCAACCCGGACGACTATGCCGCCGTCTTCTACGTTGGCGGCCACGGGCCGTGCATCGACCTTCCGAACGACGAGACCAACATCAAGCTCGCCAACTCTGTGAGCTCACGAGCAACGCGCTTGAACATCATTGTGCTGACTGACCACTGTACAGTTCTGGCGCGCGGGCAAGATTGTCTCCGCTGTCTGCCACGGGCCTGCCGCGCTCGTCAGGATCACCGACGCCTCTGGCCAATCCATCTTCAAAGGCCGCCGCGCGACGTGCTTCACGGTCGCTGAGGAAAAAATCCTCGGTACCGTTGACGCCATCCCCTTTCAGCCCGAGGAGACGCTCAAGGAGCTTGGGGCGCAGTTTGAGAATGCGGGGCCATTCGAGGTGAACTTGTGTTTCTCGAGTGTTACCTTGGGGAAGGGAAAGCTGACGATTGTCTCTCAGTCGAAGGTCGTCGTTGACGGGCGGCTTCTTACTGGGCAGAACCCAGCTTCGTCTCGTGCTCTTGCGGAGGAGGTTTTGAAGGCGCTGAAAGGCTGAGGAACGCAAGCCATAGCTAACTATGTCCATAAAAGAACGCGAAGTCCTGTAATATGATTGCCGAGGCCCATACACATCGCCTTCCTTATTCTATTGCGGCGGCTGTAGGCACAAGAACGTACGTTCGTGAGTCCGCAGTAATTTGGATGCTCAAGGCAACACACTCCATCTCCATTCAACAAGGGCGTCGTCTATGGCTGGCATGTATTGAGTTGTGGGGACATTCGGTCAGCAAACCGACTCGGTTCATGACAAATTCAAGAGGCAACGCGAAAAGACCCTAATTAGGCAAATTTTCCCGCACCCTCGGTTGTTTAGAACTGCCATCGTCCAGTGCAGCCTATGGGGTCGCTATTTACAGGCAATCGAGGCACATACACCACGTGTCGCCAACATGTTTCTCCAGCCGAGTCGGACAGTAGGAGACTCTGCAAGATTATGAAGAAAGTGTTTTGCGCGATATCGACAACAATGCCCGATATGTCGGTCTTCCCTCGGTATATAGGCTAGTACTTCTCTGTTTCCGGCTAAACCACTGCACTCTCTTCAGTCCTCTTGCATCCTCTTCGAAAGATGACCCTCACTTCCACTCCCAAACTTTTCCAGCCTCTCAAGGTCGGCAACGTCCAGCTCTCGCACCGTGTCGTTTTTGCACCTTCGACGCGTCTGCGCAATAACAAGCAGCACGCTGCTCTACCGATATCTAAAGAGTACTACCGCCAGCGCTCAGGTGTGCCCGGAAGTCTTATCATACACGAAGGCACCGCCATTTCAGCCAATGCGTGCGGCTTCGGTCACGCTCCCGGTATATGGACCGACGAGCAAGTGGCAGCGCTGAAAGAGGTTGGTGACTTCTTCTTTGCCTTGTCTTGTCTTACTGAAGACTGCTCAGGTGGTCGAGGGAGTTCATGCGCAAGGCAGCCACATATTCCTGCAAATAGTCGCTGCTGGATTTTCGTCTCGCTTGCATTTCCTCCTCGAGGACGACCCGACAGCCGAGTACGTTGGTGCATCAGACATCCCACTCAAGGGCCACGAGAACGATCCTCATCCTCGGCCTCTCACCGTCGACGAGATCCATGAATATGCAGAGTGGTTCGCGCAGGCCGCGCGCAACGCCGTCTTTGGCGCTGGCTTTGACGGAGTTGAGATCCATGGCGCACACGGGTATCTCATCGAGCAGTTCCTCTCGGACCGCTCGAACAACCGCACAGACGAGTACGGCGGTAGCATCGAGAACCGCGCGCGCTTCGCGCTCGAGGTCACCGAGGCCGTTGTCAAAGCTGTTGGCGAAGAGCGCACGGGCTTTCGAATCAGTCCGTGGAGCCCTTACCAAGGTACATTGTCCATCGTCCGCTCTGATTCTACCTTATACGTTGCGTAGACATCAACATGCCTGACCCCAAGCCTACATTCGGATACCTAGCGACGCAGCTTCGTGACCGCTACCCTCGCTTCGCGTACCTGCATGTCGTCGAGCCCGGCGCGTCTGCAGCGTTCGTGGCTGATCCAAGTAAATACGACAATGACGCCTCCAACGACTTCCTACGCAAGATCTGGGATCCCAAGACGCGTCCCTTTATCTCTGCTGGTGGATATACCCGCGAGACAGCTATCGCGGCTGCCGAGGAGAAAGGGGATTTGATTGCTTTCTCTAAACTCTACATCGCTAATGTACGTACCTTTCATTCTGGATTGGTGTCGCAGCCTCAGCTGATTTCTCTCGATCAGCCGGATCTTCCACGACGGTTGATGGAGGACGCACAGCTGACTACGGCGGACGAAACGACCTTTTACGCTCCTGGGTCGGAGGATGCGAAGGGTTATACAGACTACCCCTTCATGTCTGCGATCTCCGCCTAGAGTGACCGTGTCTTCAAGCAGTGAGAGCGATAGATGTCATATGTGCTATAGGCGCTGTTATAAACATTAGAGTGTATTCGCCCGTTAATAATCTCATTGTGAGCATGCTAAATTGTTTCCGAATCTTCAAAACATTTTCGTAGCAAGACTGACCAGATTCGAGATCTTAGCAGTGGCTCGCGGCGAGCTGGCCAGTGCGACCCTTCCTGTATCGCTCGTGCTTCGACTTTCCAAGGCGAGACTTGGCAGACAGTCTCCGACAGCTGTTGAGCACCGCCCGCCGTCGTAAAGCAGCGTGAAGACAAGGTGGTTGAAGGGCTGCCTGCGCTTGCGAGTGTAGAGCCCACTGATGGTTTTCGTAACATACCAAAACAAATTTGTAGTATAGATATGTTCGGTGCTCAATTGGATTCGTATGTACCGATTTTGGATCTTGAATTTTTAATGGGCGAATACACTCTATTGCGACTTTCTCAGGACATTCTAATCTTCCTCATCAGCTGCTTGCCGTACTCTCGTATCTGAAGCGTGGGTGTGTGCTTGTTTACGTCGACGAACACTGACCATCCCACGTTAGTCTGGGACGTCGTTATTGTGGATGAGGTTGGCAGTCGGAAGGATCACAATGGTATGTCATTGCAATCGCCTCGTGTGTCTGCTAGCGCGATCAAGTCCAACATCATACCCTATCGACGAGCGCCTACCGGTCATCTCAGGCCTCATAGGTGCCTTCTCCTGCCCGAAGAGCCCTGCTTTTGCCCCCCGAAGATCATCGATGGCGCGCCCACAGCGGACCGCATCCCCGCCGCATGTTGTGGCGCAGGCCCGTGTCGCGTCCCAAGGTGGTCTCAAGCCCCTTCAGAAGACTGGCAGGACCGTCACTTTCGCCCAGGCGCCCTCACGCGCGTTCGCACGCCTCGCCATCGCTCTCCACCTTCCGCTGATCTTCCGCCTCCGGACTGATCGTTGTATCTCCCTCGGGGAAAGCGGCGTGGGCCACGAGTTGGGGTGCACACCTGGTTGTGGAACCTGCGCACTTAAAAGAAGCGGTTTATGTGCCTGCGATGATCCCCTCTTCGCGCCCTCTCCGTTACAGTGCGCTGCTCCCGCCGCCCCGATGTCGCAGTCAGACGGCCTGAAGCGGCGCAAGATCGCTGTGATGGGCTCGCGCTCGGTTGGTGAGTACGAGTCAGGTCTTCTGTTGCTTCTGACCGTGTATCTATCGTTCGTCTAGGCAAGTCCTCGCTGGTTGGTCAATTCATCGACTGCCGCTTCGAGTCCGCCTACTATCCGACGATCGAGAACAGCCACCAGAGGAATCTAGTCTTCAATGGATCGGAATACGAAGTTGAAGTACTAGACACTGCGGGCCAGGTTCGTTTGCGATTCTCTTCTATCTGCATGTATCAGGCTGACCTCTGCTGATGTTAGGACGAGTATTCTTTCTTGAACCCCCATCATGCTGTAGGACATATCCATGGATATGTCCTGGTCTACTCGATCAATTCGCGTCGGTCATTCGAAATGGTGTACGCTGCGAATGCTATGCGCTCGCTTACCCTCTGACAAACCTTCAGACAAACAATCCACGATAAGATAGCAGACTGGGGGATTGCGGACGTCCCGTGTGTCATCGCCGCATCCAAGGTTGATCTCCGAGATGGGTAAGTGGACACCAACTTCGTATCGGGTCCGCCCTCATAAGCGCAGCCGTCAAGTGGATCCTGCGGAAGGGCGATCGCTCGCGTCTACACACAATGCCGCGTGGATAGAAACAAGCGCAAAAGAGAATGTGAATGTCGGTAAGTTTCTGGAGCGTCCGAACCTGTCTTCTAAGACTGAGTTCATTGATTAGGGAAGGTATTCGAACTTTGCCTTGAAGAAATCGAGAAGAGGCTGTCCCCTTATACGGAGCCCAAGAGCTCCCGCTACAACTGTGCTATCATGTAGTTCTGCCGTCTCGTCTGACATGGGCTGGTGCGTTTGCTGTGAAAATCGCTCTCAATCGCTGTATTTGTACTGTTTTTACGATGTATCTGGCTTCTATCTCTGTACTCAATGACATCCAGCCTCTCATCCGCCCTCTCGACCGCGACTACCCTGTTTCTCAGTACCTCCTTGAGCACACTGTCGCTTACGCTGACGAGATACAGGATCCTCTCCCTATTCTTACAAACGCGGCGCCGTCGAAGCACCCGATGATAGTCCGCCGCGCCCGTCGCATACTGGAATGCTCTCGCCAGCGCGCCGTCTCGCGTCGTCCGACGCATCCCGGTCGACAATGCCAAGCGGCCCTTGCAGCTGAGCATCACGCAGAGGTGGGGATGGGATCTGTCAGCCCCCACGCTGCCCCATGGCCAATAAACAATATGCGCTTGCCCCGTGGTGCCTGGTGGGGAATGCGGGTGAATTGCGGGGCGGTTCATCCATCTCCCTCGCACAAAAAAGCGTTGCTTTTGTTCCCTATCCTGCACCTCCTCCCGAGCGTTATGGGCTCTCACGGACGCAAAGTCGCGACGGACTTAAGCGCGGGCGGACGAGGTCGCCTGACCGCTTTGCTCACGGCGATCCTCGACGCGCGCCCACACCGTTAAACCCGAACAATCAAATCGCGCACCTTCCCCACGGTAAGAACCATATGGCATCCGCCCCCACGGGCAGCATGTGGGCAAGGCGCGCTGTCCCCTAAGTTTGCCCCCGGATTCTGCGAGATCAGTACATCCGGCCGCGGCTCGAAAGGAAGCTGGTAAATGCCGAAGTACCGCAGGCGTATAAGAGCGCCCCAGCGCGTCCGCACCCTTCGGTTGCTCTTCGCTTCGCCCCCCTTCATCCATAGCGCTCGCCTCATCACCAGCGCCCAATATGTCGGTCGAGAAAGCAACATCCGTTCGCTCGGAGGACATTGAGAAGGGTGGGCAGCCGTCGACCTCGAATCAGCCCCAAGTCGACCCGGACGCGGAGTTTGGAGGCACGGAGGAGAGGAAGAAAATTGAGCGCCGATTGCTTTTGAAGATCGACTTGCGGATGTCGGTGCTCATCGTCCTGTACATCTTGAACTACGTAAGTTCCCATCACTCATCAGCGTTAGATGTGCGAGGACAGAGCTGACGATACCTCCAGATCGACCGCAACAATGCCAGTGCGGCTCGCTTGCGAGGGTTTGAGAAGGACTTGCACCTCAAGGACCAGGAATTTCCGACCCTGTTGTCCATCCTCTATGTCGGCTACATTCTCATGCAGGTGCCATCGTAAGTCTATGCCACTTAGCTCACCAGTGACGACGACGTTCATCTGCATTCCTTCAGCAACATGTTCTTGAACTGGGTCGGCCGCCCGTCGATCTACATCCCGTCCTGCATGATCATCTGGGGCATGATTAGTGTCCTGACCGGCATCTGCCACAAGTACGTGGATAGCGACTCACCGGCCATGACGTGCCTCCGTACTAACGATGTCCTGTGAACAGCTTCGTCGGCGCGCTCCTCACCCGGTTCTTCCTCGGCTTCGTGGAGGCGGCGTTCTTCCCGGGCGCGCTCTTCCTGCTCTCCAAATGGGTGCGTCTGTCTGCATAGTCTGCGTCTAGACTCGGTGGCACTAACACATCCCCATACAGTACAAGCGCGAGGAGATGGGCTCGCGGACGGCTATCCTGTACTGCGGTAACATCATCAGCAACGGCTTCGGTGCGCTCATCGCGTCGGGCATCCTCTCTGGCATGGAGGGCAAGCTCGGGCATGCGGCGTGGCGCTGGCTCTTCTACATCGAGGGCGCCTTGACGATGTTCTTCGCGCTTTTGGCCATGCTTATCCTGCCCGACTTCCCCGCCACGACGCGCGGGCTGACGGACATGGAGCGCCGTCTTGCCATCCGTCGTATGGAGGAGGATGTCGGTGTCGGCGATGAGGGCGAGACGGAGGGCAACGGCCACGCACAGGGTCTCATCATGGCGTTGACGGACTGGAAGGTCTGGTGGATCACCATTTTCTTGACGAGCATTGTCGTCTCGCTGTCCTTCAACGCATACTTCCCGACTCTCGCCAAGACGATGGGATACGATGACACCGTGACGCTGCTATTGTGCGCCCCGCCCTGGGTCTTCGCTGCCATCGTTGTCTACCTGTGGTCGAAGTAAGCGAAGCACCTTTTCCGATTTCGTCTGCATCCCCTTACTCACGCACCCTAGGCACTCCGATATGAAGAACGAGCGTTGCTTCCACATCGTCGCTTCCATTCTCGTCGGCATTATTGGCTTCATCATCGCAATTGCGACCATGAACACCGCCGCGCGCTATGTCTCGCTCTTCCTCATGGCGCAGATGTACGCCGCGCAGGTCCTCATCTTCACCTGGATCAGCAACTCGTTCCCGCGCCCGCCATCGAAGCGTGCAGTCGCTCTGGCGTTGCCGAACGCGTTCTCGCAGCTCGGAAATGTTGCTGGATCGTACGTCAACCTTCCTTGTAATCCGCTCAGCACTCGTCTAACCCACCTGTCAGCTACGTCTGGCCCAACCCATGGGGTCCCTCTTTCAGGAACTCCTATGGCATTTGCATTGCCTGTGCCGGCCTGACGATCCTCATGGCCATCGTCTACCGTTTCCACCTCGCATCTCTAAACAAGAGGATCGACAAGGAGGAGGAAGAGAATGGCAACAAGACGAAGTTCCGCTTCACGTTGTAGGCGACCTACGATGAGATGCATGACATGACTGAACCTATGTACTTACTATCTTCTACGCTTCTGCCTCACTCGCAATGTAACATTAGTACGCAATTTCTGCTTATATTGTGCGAGAGCTTGAAGGTCATGATCGGGGAAACTGAGGATGCATGCGGCGCGCACAAAATGTTGAACTGTTCGTCGACAGGATGGTGGTTCGGGATGAGTTGTGCATTGTCCGGGCCGGAAGTCCCGCTCGCCCACGTGCTAAAGTCGATCGCGAATCCTCGATCATCCGTCCAACATCTCGTCCCCCTCACCATCTCTCGCTGCTCCCCTCACCTATACGCCTCCGGGGACAATGTCCCCGTCCCAGAAACACAAGCCCTCACGCAACGCAATTAAGCAAAAGATGATACGCAAATCCAATCCGCGAAACCTCGTGCTGCCCCCGGTCCAGAAACACTCCCTGAAGAGCGCGAAGCTTGCTAACGAGAAGGCAAAGCCGCCTCCTCAGGCGAGGGTATCTGCACAGAAGCGACACGCGGACGATGAAGCACAGGGAAGAAGAAAAAGGAGGAGGTTGAGCGAGGCCAGCGAGATCACGTCGGATGCGGACGAGGCAATACGCAGTGACTTGGCAGGCGCGAGCGGCATCGAGGAGGACTCGGATGAGATCATGGAAGCTGAGCCGAGAAACGGAAGGGAAGGGACTCGATCCGAAGGAGAGGAAGAAGGCAGCGATGCATTCGATGCCAGTGAAGACGAGCGAAGCGATGAGGAAGAGGACGACAACATGCAAGTTGACTCCGCGACTGCCGATCGAAGTTCAGCAGCTATGGATGATGGCTCGAATAGCGATTCAGACGGCTGGGTACCCCAAGAGGAGCTAGGAAGCCGTCTCGGTGGGATCGCAACGCGCGACACGGGTGCCGCACCCTCCCGCATTCCGGATTCCGCTCTCTCGCGCGCCGCAGCGGGCGCCGCCGACCACGAAGGACGAAAAGCTCCGAATCAGGCTCGCGATGAGCAGCATTCAGCCGCTCAAACGACATCGTGGACTACACTGGGGGTCAGCACGTCGCTGCAGAATGCGCTCCGTGCCATGTCGATTCGCGCGCCGACGGATATCCAGGCGGCGTGTATTCCACCTTTGCTCGAGGGTGCGTGTCATTCCCAATTCTTTCCACTATCCCGTATTCCCTAGGCTCTCGTTCTTGCACTCGATCTGTTCAGTCCTGACGCATATACCCAGGCCGCGACTGCATCGGCAACGCGAAGACAGGCTCGGGAAAGACCATCGCATTCGCCCTTCCAATCCTCCAAAAGCTATCCGTCGATCCATTTGGCATCTTCGCCCTGGTCCTCACGCCAACGAGGTGCGTTTGCCACAAATGATTCTTCCTTCCACCACCCTACCACTTTTATGATGACCACCTCTCCATTTCTTTAATATGCGACTATAGCAACACTACTCACACCACTTCAGAGAACTTGCGTTCCAGATCGCCGAACAATTCGCCGTGCTCGGCGCACCCCTCAGCGTACGAACCGCGGTCATCGTCGGTGGCATGGACTTCGTCGCGCAGGCCATCGAGCTGGGGCAAAGGCCGCATGTTGTCGTTGCCACACCTGGAAGGATTGTGGACCATCTGAAGAGCAGTGGGGGCGAATGGGATTTGTCGAGGGTGCGGATGTTGGTGAGTGTTATATTGTTCGCGTCGTTGATTTTGTCAAGCGGAAGGGTTGAGTGGTTAGTGGTGGAGTTGCTGACGATCCACGTAGGTTTTGGACGAGGCGGACAGGTTATTGACGTCAACCTTCACACCGGAGCTGTCGTATCTTTTCGGCGTACTGCCGAAGGATAGGCAGACGGCGTTGTTCACGGCAACGTTGACGGACGCCATTGAGAAGCTCGCGGACGCGCCACCGCGCCCAGGCAAGCAGAAGCCCGTTATTCATCGCATGAAGGAATCGTGAGTACTTCCCTGTCCCAAACCACCTACCCTTCTGATATTGTATACAGCGTCGAAACCGTGGCTACCCTCAAACAATACTATATTCTCGTCCCCTCGCACGTCCGCGAGGCCTACCTCTTCCACCTCCTCGCCCACCCGCCCGAATCCACCCTCGCCCTCCGGCGCGCCCCACCCGAACCCACCACCAAACAACGCAAGCCCAAAAAAGCCTCCGCCGTCCTCCCCGACGACGAAGTGCCCCCACCGCCCCCACCCACCATCATCTTCTGCCACAAACCCCGCACGGCCGCCTACCTCACCCTCCTCCTTCAAACCCTCGGCATTCGGAGCACCGCGTTGCATTCGCGGCTGACGCAAAGGGAGCGGCTGGCGTCGCTGGGTCTGTTCCGCGCAGCGGTCGTGCCGGTGCTGGTGTCGACGGATGTGGGCGCGCGTGGTTTGGATATTTCGGACGTGGCGCTGGTGGTGAATTGGGATGTGCCGGGGGAGGCGGAGGAGTATACGCATCGGGTGGGACGGACGGCGCGTGCGGGGCGGCATGGTGTGGCCGTGAGCTTTGTGACGGAGAGGGATGAGGAGAGGGTGCTGAAGGTTGAGGAGAGGATTAGTGAGTACTTTTTTGGATGGAGATAAAAGGACGGGTAACTGATTGTGATCGTAGAAACGAAGTTGGAGGAGCTAGTGCTCCCGGAGGAGGCCGTGCTGTCGAAGCTAAATGCGGTCTCTACAGCGAAGCGGCTGGCTAACATGGTGATTTCTTTTAAACATGGTATGTAGGAGGGTATAATTCTAACGGCAACACAGGAGCTGCACGACTCGAACTTTGGCAAGCGGGAGGAAATACACCGCGCCAAGGCGGCCAAACGGCGGCGCGACGAAGGAGCGGACGATTCATAAATTTCCTCCGCTGCGCCGCGCCTTAATTCAATTAGTTGCCGCCATATAGCGACAACCGAATACAACTGCGACCTACCGTCTTATCTCCCTGCGCGGACTGCCCCTCGCCAGCCCATAGCAGGGTGCGATTCATCCCGGTCCGCGCACTGCCGGCGATTGTGGCACCGAGGATGGAGCGCGGGAGGGTGATGGATGGTGCATGGTGGCCAAGTGGAGCGTTCGTGTGCGCTGGCCCTGGGCGGAACTACTGGGGGGAGAGGTGCGCTCCATGCGTCCGTCTTGTATGGTGTCTGCCGCTATTCAGACACGCCATAGCACTGAGATCCGGGTACGATGGAAATTATTGCCTCCGCGCTCAAGTGCTCGTCGTCGTCGTCCCGTGAGGTGTGAGCGCTGCCCGGTGACCTCGCGAGTGCGCAGAGTGCCGGCGCCGTTGACAGAAACCACAAGGGCGGGCGAATCAAGTTGATCGGCGTCCATTTGCGGGATTATCCCCCTGGAAGCAGGTCCGGGGAAATGACGTCGGTGATCCGACACGTCACGCGTCTCCGGGTGACAGGCGTTCCTCAGAGTTCTGCACGGTTCGCGTGAACGGCAGCCACTTTCTTTTTTCGTCTCAACGGCCATGGACGACTGGCAGACGACGTTCTCGTTTCTCGCCGACGCTGGCGACGTCCGCGGACGCTCTGTTCTTGGCTCCCCCATCGACGTCCCCGGCATCCAGGTCCCCACCCCGCCGGTGCGCACCCATCCCGTCCCCGCCGCTTCCTCCGGTGCTGACCTTATTTCCAGGAATCCCACAAAGGGACGCCGATAGACGAGCCGACCGAGGCCCAGACCCAGATCCATGACGTCCCGACGGTCTCTGTGTCGACCACGTTCCACGCCGCCTCCCAGTTGCGCGCACGGCCGCCCGACATCATCCTCGTCTCCGAGGACGGTGTCTACTTCTACCTTCATCAGGATGTCCTACTCTCATCCTCGGATAATGCCTTCGATGGCCTTGTCCCCGCCGCGCCGCTCGACGGCCAGCCTCCAGTCACTCGCATCAGCGACTCCAGCCAGGTCTTCAATGTCATCGCGCACACCGTATACGACATGGCCTGCGCCCACTACTCGCCCGCGTTTGACACGCTGGTCACTGCTGTACACCGTCTCCCCGCATACGGTGTCAGCGTGCGCTCCCGCCTAGCGCCTGGCACGCCACTTTACGCCCTCCTTCTCTGTCACTCACCCTTACGTCCGCTCGACACCTACGCCCTCGCCGCGCAATACGACCTCTTCGACCTCGCTCAGGCCACCAGCAGCCACTTACTCTCGCTTCCGCTATACACGGTATCGGACGAGATGGCTCAGCGTATAGGCCCTGTCTACCTCAAGCGCCTCTTCTTCTTGCATTTCGGCCGCACGGAGGCATTGAAACGCATCCTCTTGCAGCCTCCGCACCCGCACCCGCCCACCCCTTGGTGCGATTTTACGGAGCAGAAGAAGCTAGTACGCGCTTGGGCTCTCGCTACCGCCTACCTCGCATGGGAGGCCCGTCCTGGTCCGTGGCTACCCCACGTCATCTTTCGCTAAGCTAACATTCGCATAGATCTCTCGACAAGCACGATTGAGTCTTCACTCAATCCGCTCGCCGAGCACCTGACGTGCGACGAGTGCCTCAAGACCCTCACTGAACGCATCAAGAACCTCTTGATACAATGGTCGCTTGTCAAGGTGCGTCGCTCCTCACACACCCTCCTCGGCACCTATACTGATCATCACCTGCCCTCTCCAGCGCACGATATGACGTCTCCGACCACCAAAACTCCTCGCATTCACGCCCTCGCTTTGCCATGACCTGTATTGATAGTCCCACGAAACCCCCGACCCCGATCCCCACACACGCACACGCATCTCTTAGAACCCTTCGCCGGAGTCCCTTTTCTTCCCCGGTTCCCACTCTTCCTCTCCCCTTTCCCCCAGTCGACCCTCTCGAACACACGCACGCTCTCGCTGTCGTATTTATTCGCTCGGGATACCTGGGCGCCCGCGCGCCCGCTCGCATCATCGCACCAACCTCGCATTCGTACGCCGCCCTATACACGGACTGGCAGGCGTGCATCTGTATCACTTACGGTTTCTCCCCTCTTGTTCTGAGTTACTCTAACGCATACCAGCCATATAACCCAGAATACGGACTTCCCCGGCTAGTTATCGACTCGGCTACGATACCAGTTCCCGACTTGCGTAGTCCCCGACTCAGCTAGCTACTGGCATCCTCACTCTTACCTTCTCCACCCAGCCTCGTCACACACGCACCCGAGGTCTGTTTATTGTTGTACGGCACGAAGCATTTAAATGTACTATATACGGCGTTTACTCTACGTGTACACTGCGGTGTTACTGTGTACGGTGCAGTTGGATGGAGGCTGCATACGTCTCTTATTCTTGGTGTTTATGGTGAATTTGATGGTCACACTTGATGGATATCCTTGGGGGAGGCGCTTGCACACAACGTTGGTATTGATTGCAAAGGTGCGGTGATAAAAGCTGCGCTGCTGAGGTGAGCTGACGATCTGGGGCGCCACCATGATTGGAGGGTATGTGGGTCCGTACCCTAGTAGGAGGCACCCCCGGATGGTATGTGGTGCGCGGGTTCCTCGCTGGCCTCGACGTCATCCAGCGGTAGGGTCCTTGAGGCGCTCGCTGGTGCCCTTCTCCGGGCTCGCAGGGCCCTCTTGAGGAGCTTGCTGTGGCTTCGTTCATGGGAGCATACAGGTGGTGCAGATCTGATCCCTCTGAAGCGCTTCTAGGCATGAAGAGTAGCTTCTTCGTATGAAGGGGCGGGCTTCGGAAAGACTTCGAAGGTATCCCCTTCCGTACTGCATTGTACTTCAACGGTGGGCTTCGTTTGGTGGACTTCATTCGTAAGCTTCGTCAGGCTTCAGCAATAGAGAGTCAATAGAGTCAGGCTTTCGGGTGTTGCTGCGCAATAGCGTCAGCGGATGTTGCTCTGGCTAACTCTGAGTAGCCGTGGGATGTGAGGTCAGACGCGGAGCCACTCTGGCAGTCGGTGGCAGGGAAGAGAAGGGATGAGGATCCGCATGCGACCGGAAGTGTGAGCTTGGAGATTCATTTGAATGGGTTTGGTGGACTGTGCGAGGGACCTCACACGAGAAGATACCCCTTCCACCGGCCGCACGAGCGCTGATGGAGGGGAGGGTTGAAGTGGAGTGTGCTGCCGCAGGTGGCACATATACGACGCTCTCGTGACCATCCTGCATCCTCAAAATCCGACTGGACAGAGAACTGGGTTGCAGAGACCCTCCAATATATTTACTCTGTCATACGAGGCAGAAAACCTCGAGAAAACCCATTCAGACAATACTCGGAATCAGAGCACGTGACGGAAAATCAACCGTGACGTAGTAGTCACAAACGCAAACTGCCTGAAATGGAAGACGTTCATGATGCTCTTCGTAAGTTAGTATACTTACTGCTCTGAGTTTGGACCGACTACTCAGCTTCATGCAGCTGAGAGAAGCTCCATATTGGAGGTGAGCCTGAGGCATGAGAGTACTATAATGGATCCAACCGGGTGTCATAAGAGTACATTGAGGGCAGGCATGATCACTACACTGCACGGGTATGTTACAGCGCTGAAGAGATGCGCGGTAGTGGATAGACTGCCTATTGCTGAACGTGAGACACTTTGATGAGCACCAAGAGATATGCATTCACCCGTTAATCTCTCCTTCATCGTGCCTTGTCCTCGGCGAGGATCGCATCGTTGAGTTCGTCGAGCGGGGCAAGCTCCTTCTTGTCCACTAGATCGAACTGTGTATAAGTAGAAGAGCGGAGACAAGAAGAAAGGAGATGAGAGCATCGCAAGGCGGACGACGTAGGGGTAGACAGAGATATGAGGCGCAGCGGTTGAAGCACAGCATAAGTTCGAATAATAGCGCATGAAGATGAAGGCACAGAGGCGGAAGTAGGGGAAGCATCGTTAGCGCAGCCGAGGAACACTTTTGTGAAACGAACAAACCTCGTTCACGAAGAGGAAGAAGTGGCGATAGCTGGTATTGAGGTGGGCTAAAGATGAATGAACAATCTGGTACATACAGGTTTGGGTTTCCGCGGACTCACCTTCAATACCAAGCGCGCATATCTGGTCGAAGTGATTGCTATATATGTGCGCATATACGCGGAATAGACGGCGTGTGATGGTGCGGACAGTGTCGCGGAAGTTCTTGGGGAATGGGACACCTAGAGGCACGGAAGGCGGCCATGAGAGGTCATTTACGCGTTGAGATGGGTATATTACTCACCTATCTTGTTCGGGAATATAGACTCATCGTCCAGGAGGCCCTGAGCCCAGTTCATCAACGCGTCGACGTACTCGGGGGCGGGTAGCTTCGTTGGGCGCCTGTATTTCACGCCGTCTTCCCACAGGTATTCGTATCTGGGGGTCAAGGCGATATAAGGCGGGGACGGGGGAGGGTACCAATTGGACAGTCATACCGTGGGCCTGCGGACATGATGGGGCACTAAGCAAGATCATGAGCATTAACGATGATAGAGGGGTAATTAACGCACCTCATGCGCGGTGCAGAACTCGGTGACTGTGCCGTAAAGCATGTTGAGGTGGTTAAAGAAGTCGACGGCTGCAGGCGGTCGACATAAGAGCTCGATTCAGCGTTCAGAGTTGGTGGCGCACCATGGACCGCGAGCCACTCATTCAGGTCTTCACCATCAGGGAGTTGCACCGCGAGACGCAGGTTTCCTGAGCCCTACACACCGCAAGTTAGTAGGACTCCACGCGTAGAGGATCGCAACGCACCAGTGTCGCCTCCGCATACTTCCTCAGCTGGTACTGCTTCGTCCCCTCCGGGACGTCCTTGCGCGGCTTGAACGTGCGCGTCTTGCCGCTACCCCAACGATCAACAAGGCATCCGGCGCGTTTTGCATGACGCCTTACATGCCAAAGAACGAAGACATGATGACTTGGATGCTGTCGTGGTCGTCGTCTCGCGCGATGGACAGTGGATGTCGCTGAACGCGGCTGGCAGCGACGACACTGGATATCGGCGGACGTTGCCGAGATGCGTTCTGCCCCCGCCGGGCCGGGGCACCGGAAGCTCAAGCTTGCTTGTCCGCAACTTTCATCTTGAAACGTGCTTGATGCTCTCATGCTGGCTCCCGGTGCTTGGCTTGATAGGCTACGCTGCTGATCCCGAGATCTTCGAATGAATGGCAACCCAACGGTCTCCGTAATGGTGCCCGAGGTCTTGAGTCAGCTCTATAAAGCTCTGAGCTAGGGTGCCCGTCAATATACAGAAATCCGTTCGAGATGACCAGCACGGTGACTCCCTTCGAATGTCGTCTCGTAACCTACGAGACTTCCATGTCTTTCGACGAGGTGATCACTCGCCTCAACGATGCAATCAACAGGGAGGGATCCCCCTCTATCTTGAGTAACGTCTGGCGGGCTACAAACAAGGACACGATAGACGACCTGCTACCTTCAAATGGATTCATGTGAGCGACTCGACATCCTCGCGCTACTGAGCTCAAGTCCCACCTAGCTTCTTCAACGAGTTTCCCCACCACAAATGGTTGAACCCGTACCATGGCGTTTCAAACACTCCGAGGACGAGTGTCTACGTTATAGGCGGGTGTACCCTCTTCAATGACTACAATCGCCTGCTTACCATCTTACCCATAGGTAACCCTCGTTTTGCAGACTCCATGCTCAAACACGACCTACGCGCTGCCTTGCATATTCCACCGCGTCTCCTTGTCCTCGAGAAAGCAGACCGATCCGGCACTTCTGTACAGTACCATCTGCCATCCTCGGACATCGCCCTCCCAGGAAGCAGCGCGGCATTGAGGGAAGGTGCTGAGATGCTAGATGCGAAGTTTGAGGCGCTGGTGAAGCGCATCACACACGAGTAGGCAGTCTTCAAGCAGGAGATGGCGGGAGGTTGTGTGCAGAACTCTATTCAGAACGTAGGCTAGCGGTACAATGCGAGACAGAACATATCAGGAGACGACGATGCGACAGGGATAACACGAGCGCGAGCGTATCCAGATACAACAGGGCTATAAATACAATGAGGTGCGATGAGAGACAGTTCGATACGGGAAGGATATCAGGGACAATGAGAAAAGTCGTCAAAGGGAAGCATAAGAGGCTACAGCACACCAGTTCCATCTACTCGGCCGGCGAGTGCTCAGGGAACTGTGGCTGCTGCGAGCCCGAGTCGGTCGGCGCATGCTCCGCGGGCCAGAGCGTGTCGAAGCCATAGTTGTTGAAGTTCGTGCCCATGAGGAAGTCTACATCGCCAAGGTCTCCGTTGCCAACAGGGACGGATAAAGGCGCCCAAGCGTTGGCGAGGCTGAAGTCAAAGCCACCATTGGAGGTGAAGTCGAACCCCAGAGGCGGATACGCAAGCAGGCCGCTGTTCGAGCCCCTCTGCATGACGATGAGCACCCAATCTCAGGACAGGTAGAACAAAGCACGTACCCTTTCCTGCGAGATACTCTGCCGCTTGAGCGAATCGTAGTCGGTTGCGGAGAGCGGGCGGTCGAGCACCGGCTGCGCGAACACATCGTCCGCCTTGGGCTTCTCGTCCCCCGGGCGGATGCCCGTGGCCGTCGACGGCCGGCGCCGCAGAGTGTTGGCAGGCTGCACGGGGTGATGATACGGGATCGTCGGGCCGAGCATGCGCGGTACCTCGGGCGTGGGATTCGGCGGATCGATGTCGAGCGGCGGGGGAGGGGGCAGCGTCGGGCGCAGGGGCGGCAGGGCGGAGGACGAGCGGGCCCCCTCGAGGGTGGGTGAGATGATCTGGGGGGAGTCGCCGCCGCTGGAGGAGGCCTCGGTGGGCGACTTGGGCGAGTGGCGGCGCCTGCGCTTGCGCGAACTCTCCACGTACTCGTCGTCGTCACCGTCCCGCGCGCGCCGGCGCGACGACGGCTTCGTCGCCTTCGCGCTTCCACTGCCGCTCGAGGTAGCCGCAATCGCAACAGGATCGGCACCCTCTCCCGGCACCGGCACCCCGCCCGCCCTCGGCGCGGGCGTGAACCGATACGTCGGGTGCTCCTCGCTGTGCTTCTGCGCCACGCTCGCCGCGAGCTCCATCCACTTCGTGCGCTCCTCCTCCTCGAGCTTGTGCCACTCCTCGCCCGCCAGCCGGCTCAGGTGCTGCTGCCGCTTCTCTGAGTGCTGCGTCTTGCGCAGGTAGTCCGAGCGGAAGAGCATGAACGCGTTCGGAGGGCGCGGCACGTGCGGCTTCTTCGCGGCGCGGCGGGCTTGTGCGGGGAGCGGGCCGGGGGGCAGGGAGTGCATATACGGCGGCGGCGGGCGGGGGAAGTAGAAGGGCGGCGGGTAGGGCGCGTAGGGGTGGGGTGCGCGACGGGGGTAGGGGAAGTGGGGGTAGTAGCGCTCGGCGCCGCGGGCGGAGCGGGCCATCATGGGCTGCGGCGGGATGTGGAAGGGCATGGGGTGGTACATGGGATGAGGGGGGTATGGATGGAAGCCGCGGTATGCTTGATCGGGTGGCGGGGGAGGGAGGCCAGGGCCAGGTTCTCCAGGGAAGCCGGGGAAGAAGTCGTACTGGGGCACCATCTGCGGCGTGCGGCATTGGAGTTGCGGCGGTATGGGCTGCTGCAGCTGGGGAGGTGGTTGCTGGAGTTGCTGAAGCAGCTGGTGCTGCTGAGGTTGAAGGTGAACTTGATGCTGGGGTTGCGGCTGGAGCTGCGGCGGAAACTGCTGCTGCTGCTGATCCTGCGGCAGCAGCTGCAGCTCAGGCTGGGGGACATCGGGCGTGCTGGGCGCTGGTGCGTATGAGTACAATGGGAACAAAGCAGCAGCCGCTACCCACTCACCGTTAGGGTTCATTGTGCGTGCAACAACAGCGGCGAAGGGGTAAACAAGGTAGGGGTACTCGTCTGGATGAGAGGAAAGGTCGTAAAGGTCGTTAACGCATGGCCACCAAAGCCAGCCGTGCTTTTAAAGCCGAAGCTTCAAAGGCGGCGCTGGAAGACGCCCGCTGTGGATCCTAAAGCACGTTACGCCGAAAATTCACATCACAGTGCGCGTCAAAGGGGCGAGGCAGCGCGCACATGATCGCGTCCGCACAAAGTACAAAGGCTGGAGAGGGTACATGCCCACGACGATCGGGGATGTGATAGATCAGAAAAACCGTTTTATGAACTCTCCTACTCTTTCAGGCAGGAGGGCCGCCGCGTGTATCACATTTTCTATCGCAAGTTGGTAAGGGAAGTACCGAATAGTGGGCACATGAGGCGTACCTAGGCATTCGGGGATATAGGGTTTGGTGCGTGTCTCCGTGGGCGGGCAGCGTGTTTGCGGGCAGGCATGAAATAGCTGAGAAGCGCATCAGAGCGACACCCAGACTGTCTCGCCAGCTGCCTTGCGGACGCGGTTCATGACTGCCAGACCCTCCTCCTCCTCTGCTACGCCCTCTATCAGTATGGCGTCCACTCCTTCGCGGTCCAGAGTGAGGAAACCATCGAACAATCGCTGTGCTATGACGGCCGGCTCGGAGACTTTGCCCAAGGGGAAGAGCCGCCACGAGATGCTCTCGTGGGTGTGAAGGACTTGTGCCAATCGAGAGTCGTCCGGCGTCATGAGGCCGGCGTGGATGGGCCGGGCGGGATATCGAGCTTGTAGTGACGCTACAAGACTATCGATTGTCTGCCGCTGCTTGGGCTCGGATGGGTTGGATAATGTGTTCACGAGGATCACAGGTACAGACGGCGAGTAGTGCTTGTACTTCATCCCTGGCGTCGTCGGCGCCGCCTCCATCGCCTCATCGCGATAGTCGCGTCGGTGGACAAGGACGCGTGGCACGCTTCCGCTCGCCTGGAGCTCCTCCCGCAGCGTCCGTTCAAGATCTTCTACCGTCACACCGCCTGGACGTAGTACGCGGAGGTGGCCGTCGGCGTTGAGGCCGTCTACCACAGTGCTTTCTAGCCCGACACCGCACGGCCCTCCGTCCAATATCACGTCGACCTTGTCCCCCAGGTCGCGGTACACGTGTTCGGCACGGGTGGGACTGGGCTTCCCGGACGAATTTGCGCTCGGCGCGGCTAGCGGTGCGTTCGCGACTGCGATAAGCGCGCGTGCGACGGGATGGGAGGGCATTCGGATGGCGACGGTGTCCTGACCGGCTGTGATGATGTCGGGGACGATGGCGGCGTGACGGGGGAAGAGCATGGTGAGAGGGCCGGGCCAGAAATGCTTCATGAGGACTTGGTAAGACGGGGGGAAGGTATAGTCCGGGGGAAGTATAGAGTGTAACATAGACATGGACGAGACGTGCACGATGAGGGGATTGTCGGCTGGCCGTCCCTTCGTGCTGAAGATCAGAGACGCCGCCGAGCTATCGAGAGCGAGCGCGCCGAGTCCATACACAGTCTCCGTAGGGAATACGACAGGTCTCCGGAGCGTGATAAGATTATGACTGGCGATATTCAGCGCGTCGCGCGTTGCGTCAGACGAAATCTCGGGCGTGTCTCTCGCGCCAAACGAGATGGTCGCGGGGTCGCATTTGAGCAGCTGGCAGGGCATGGTGGAGACGCAGCGTCTGAGCAGCCGTCGCGGGAGGAGGAAACGTGCGGCATTCCTCAGCAGCATCCAGGAAAGAACAATAGTCACGATCGATCGACGACCACGCCAATCGGCATCAAAGTTGGACCCATACTCGCCCTCCGGATGCATCATCGCCAACCTCGTCTACCGAATAGCCGGTTGCCGACTTCGCTGACAGAACGCGCGCCTTCGTGGAGGGCCTCTTGGAGCTTGCTGGTCCTCGCTGCTGGGGACGCCTCCCGAGTGGCTACCTTGTACAGTCCTCAATACACCGTCTACTATTGCCTTGAAGAGCGCGCAGCTCGACGTGCATCACTTGAGCTCGCCCACAGTACCCTCCCAGTATCTGCATGTTCAACAGCCTCCAATGCCGCGCCGTGTGCTCTAGTTCTTGCTTCCGCCTTCTCGATGATTCAGCTGACCAAAGCCTCTTCCAAAGTGACCGGCTCGGTAAGTATGACGTGCGGATATCTCGACTCTGGGCGCATATAAGAGCGTGCGCGCGGGCCAAGGAGCTGCATCTATTTGCTCTTGATCCCCTTCACCTTCACTTACACCCAGCCCCATCTGCAATAATGTCCAACAAGATCCTCTTCGTCTTCACCTCTGTCAACAAGACCCTCACGGGCGAGCCTACCGTACGTCCTCCGCTCCCTCAGTCACATCCCCACTCCTCGCGCATACTCACCTTCACCCAGGGCTGGTACCTCCCCGAGGCCGCGCACCCCTACTACGTCCTCGCCCCGCACTTTGACATCGACTTCGCCGCGCCCGCAGGCCCGAACCCGCCGCTCGACCCCGTCAGCAAGGAGATGTTCCAGGACGAGGAGAGCCAGAAGTTCCTCACGGACAAGGTCCCGCAGGAGAAGCTCGCGAACGCGAAGAAGCTCGCCGACGTGAACCCGGACGACTACGCGGCCGTGTTCTACGTCGGCGGCCATGGACCCGTCATCGACCTCGCCACGGATCCGACGAACGTGAAATTGGCGAGCAAGGTAAGTTCGAATTATTTGGTTCCATTTGGATTGATGTATGCTGACGCCTTCTCTAGTTCTGGCAGCAGGGCAAGATTGTCTCCGCCGTCTGCCACGGCCCCGCCGCGCTCGTCGGCGCCACCGACGCGTCCGGCCAATCCATCTTCAAGGGCCGCCGCGCGACGTGCTTCACCTACGACGAGGAGCTGCAGGTCAAGAAGGTCGACTCCATCCCCTTCCAGCCCGAGCACAAGATCGTCGAGCTGGGAGGGAAGTTCGAGAAGACCGAACCGTGGGGCGTCAAGGTCGTCGCGGACGGCCAGCTCTACACCGGTCAGAACCCCGCGTCGGCGGGCCCGCTCGGGCAGGAGTTGTTGAAGGCGCTGAAGAAGTAAGCGCCGGTTGCCACACTCTAGCCAGGTAGGCGCCTAGGGAGTGGATGAGATTGTGACGAGATATCGGACGCTGTACGATATGATGAAAAGTGTACTATAGCCCTAATTTCAGCTTGAGATCACCGAGATGGTGATCTTCATAAAACTCGCTATATTCACCGTGCTCTGAAGACATCACTGCGCGTTCGCAGTTTGAGGCATTGCTCGGCGCGACGAAGTCGATGATGTGCCACTGGAGGTGTCACTGCGTGTTCCCGGAATGAAGTTGGGTGTGTACATTTAGCAAGATAAAGATCGGTATACATACAACATCTGGAAGAAAGGGATTGGAGGATATACAAGGAAGGGGGACTGGGTTCGAAAGGGCCTGGTGAAAGACAATGTCGCTGCACGTGGCAGGAAGAAAGAGCCATCGAGAACAAAGACGGTGCACAAGACGGAACTCGGCAGACACTCCGCTACACAGCGCGCCACGAGGTCCGCCTCATGGTGCTAGAAATCCGTCACGTATAACAGAAAGGCGAACGCTGCATGTGCGAGGGAGAGTACGAGCAGATATGCGCTGCCGACGTCCGTGCTTGAGGGCAATATGCACGTGAAGAAGGACAGGAGAGCGTAGGTGACGTTCATGTAGTCTGCAAGGGTAGCGTCAGCGCTGATTGGGGACACTGTGGGAGGTTTTGGAGGTAGGCCCCGCGCGAAGAGCTGAGAAGAAAGGGGGAAGACAAAGAAGTCGGACTCACAGAACGCCGGGCGTGCCGCGGGTCCTTGTCTACTGGCCACAATGTGACCCACCCCGAAAGTGGCGGTCAGACATGCGAGCGCCTGGTTGAAGGCGGGAGCGACGTCGGCGTCGAAGAGAGGCTATATGAACGTGAGAGGAGTCAGTTATCTCATAATCACAGAAGACGATTCAGGATGAATGAAAGTCAATCGCGTGAACTTGTAAAGTAGAAGAGCGATCCTTGGATCCCCGGGCGCGCAAGTGAGCGCGTCTACTTCTCAGGAAAGAGCGCAGCGACGTGTGTGCCTGCCGCAAGCCACGAGTTGTGCTGGACGCGTCGAGCACGTCGTCAACGCGTCTGATCTATGCAGATAGAGAAAGAATTGTATTCACTCACCAGGCCGGTGATATACGACGCGAGACGGACGGGTACAGAGGAATAGATAACATCAGGCTTCGCGGCGAGGACGACGGCGAACAGCACGTCCGCCATGCCCTTGTACTGGAGCAAGACGTCGGAGGACATAGCAATTAAATCTCGTGTGCAGCAGAGGTAGTGTGTCGCTCAGAGGGACGCGAGCGCTCGCAAGCAACGCGAAAGATGGAAGTCGAACTCAACGATGTGCGTGCAATGCACGTGCGCCGTGACCGCGTTCAACATCGCGGGCCGCGCGTGATCCGGGCCCGCGTGGAGGTGGATCGGCTCCCGCGCCGGAATGTCGGGATGATGTCGGGCTGGGTGGCGTTGGTTGCCGGCCGGCGCTCATAAAGCCAGTGCTCTCCTCGGACCCTCACTTGACGACTCTTGTTTCTCTCGAGCTCGCTGTTGCTGGCGGCACGCGCAGATTGCCTCAGCCCTTCCTTCGACATGTTTTCGGGCTCTGTCAGTGCGGATGAGATTGTGCCAGGGCAGGTTTTCCTTGGAAAGTGCGTCTAAATTGATCGACGCGTAGGGCATGGAGCTGACCCCCGCCCTCGTCGCAGCTTGTCCGCGGCTCTCAGCCTAGAGTACCGCCAGCAGCACGGGATTACCCACATTCTCTCTGTCTGCCCAGAATACGAGCCGACTAAGCGAGACCACCTGATGATCCCTGTGGACGACACTGAGTACGACGATCTGCTCACTCATTTGCCGAAAGCGTGCGACTTCATCCAGGATGCGCTGAACGGAGGGGGGAAGGTCCTTGTGCACTGTGTCATGGGCGTCTCGAGGAGCACGACGGCGCTGGCTGCATACTGTGCGTACTATATCCTCCACCGCCACAACAATAATTGACCTCCAGCATAGTAATGCGAACTCATTGCTGGACAGCTGGCGAGGCCCTCTCATACATCAGGAAGTGTGAGCTAATCTTCCTTCACTGCATGACATCTACTGATATTTTCCAGCTCGCCCGAGGATCCGCCCCAACTATGGCTTCCTCAGCCAGCTCGACGTCTTCGCAGAGTGCGACTACGCTCCTTCACCAGCAGTCCCCGCTTACCTGTCGTGGAAGCGGCGTCACAAGCAAGAGATGACAGCGTTCTTGAGTAAGATTGTGGATACCACTGGCATTATACCCGACCAATTATACCTTAGCGAGTGCGTTGTCCATTCCCTGCGTCTAACTATCTACTGACCGTTACTCAGTGACTTTCCCGAGGACAGCGACCAGGCAGATTCCATACTCGCTACCCTCGGCGTTACGCATATGCTGACGCTCTCCCCGGCATGCAAAGTCCCACCCTCCTCTCTGCTGACCAGCTGCGAAAACATCGTGATGTCGCCCAATAGAAAAGAGGAGCTCCTCCTCGCGCTCCCCGCGGTATGCCAATACATCACTGACGCCATCCACGGCGGCGGCATCGTTCTCGTGCACAGCGAGGCGGAGTCGAAGGCCTGCACGGCGGTTTGCGCATACCGTGAGTGTATCACAAACGTCATGTGGCTCGTCCCACCATACTGGTCGATAGCACCCGACTGACGATTGTCTCCCAGTTATGACCGCGCAAGGTCTCTCCGCCCAGGCTGCCCGCGACAAGATTGAAAAAGGTTACGGTCTCCTTCCTCTGTCTCAATTCAGCCGCGCGGAGAATGTATACAACTGTGCTCACCCAGGACCCTTTTTCTAGATATGCCGCTGTTCAACGCCACCAGCACGTTCCGGCGCAACCTCGACCTCTTTGAGGCGTGTGGGCACAAGCCACATTTAGAGCACCCCGCCGTGCAGCAATGGCTATATGGCGGCACGGCCACGCCGCCGAATATGCTCGTCGACATGAACCCTAACCTCACGGCAGCAGCGCTTCTTGGTGCTTTCAACCACGCCCAACGGGCGAGGAACGAAAGTGCTATGCTCGCTGTTGCTTCTGCATCCCAGGGCAGCGGGAATAGCAGGGTCCCGGAGAACGTACCTCCAGCAGCAGATACGAGGCGGCGCAAACGTCCGGAGAGGTCGTGCTCGCCGAAAAGACCGACGGTCATTAGTGTTGCAGACGAGGCGAAGCTGCGTGCGACAGCGGCGCGTCTGCTGGGTGACACGTCGTTGGACATGCCGACCTTCGGCCAGGCGCTTGGGGCCTTGACGCTAAACGCGGGTGCAAGGGCAAAGACCAACGAGGGATTACCGGAACCGCACGCTGTTGTGGTAGATAGTAGTTGACACGGTGAATATACTTGCAGTACTCAGTGTTTCGTGCCTATCGAAGCCTTTGATTTAATGTTGGCCCTGCTGCAAGCATGCAACGGAGCCTGAATGTAGCCGGACTTGCGGATGTATATAGCCCGCTTATAAGTACGCTGCATCTTCCCTCTGGGCAGAGGCAAAAAGAGAAATATGATTCGTCGGATTCATTTCGGATACGGGGAATCGAACCCCGAGCTGCCGCGCACTTCACTGAATGAGAGGCGGCAATGTTGGCCGTTACACCATATCCGATATGGGATAGGATGTGCAGACAAATTATGAATCTGCTCTATGATCCTCGCAGCTGCCTGAGAACCATCGCTTAGATGTGAATATCGCCTTCCTGGCTGCAGGCATCTAGCAGCGACCAGCAAGCAAGCTGGACACTTATTGAAGTTACAGTACTAAACCACGAGTACAACGGCAAACTCCGAACTCACTTGAATCGTGTTGATGTTCGGTCCGGCTGACTATTCTCTGCCTTTAGAGCCTGCTTACGACCCTCATGATCTTTACGACTCTCCTAAGTTTCTGCTTGTTTATTTGCACTTTGGCGGACTACTACCCTCTGCGCGAATACTCTGGCGGCAGCTTCTTCAATGGCTGGGATTTCTACGACAATGTTGACAATACCACCTGGGGTAGACGCTGTCGCCCGCATCTCAATTGATTTGGATAGCACTGAGATACATATAGGCAACGTTCGCTACGTCGACCAGACGACGGCGATTGAACAAGGCCTGGCTTATGTGACCGACAAAGGCAACGCTGTCATCAGGGTCGATGACGAAACCTACATCCCAGGCGGATGGGACTTCACGAACCGTCAGTCTGTAAGTGTGGCATATCTATCTGCATCGCTTGCACTAGACGTTGACCTACGTACGTAGGTTCGCATCACAACGACCGACACGTATCCTCTGACTGGCCTTGTCATCATCGACCTGGTTCATATGCCATATGGTTGCTCGGTACGAAGACAATTTCTTCCGTCTAGAATTTCTATTGAACTGTTAGCTGCCAGGTATGGCCCAGCTTCTGGAGCTTTGGTCCCTCTGCAGGCGAATGGCCCGCTGGCGGTGAAATCGACATTATTGAGGGCGTCAATCTCGTCGGCCATAATCAGATGGCGCTGCACTCGACGGAGGGCTGCTTTCAAGCCAACAACAGCGGTGGGACTGGCCAGACACTTGAGCGCGACTGCTCGACGCCAACGGGGTGCGCTGTTCGCGAGAACAAGAACGATAGCTACGGGCAGGCCTTCAACGAAGCTGGAGGCGGTGTCTTCGCACTGCAGATGGCGCAGTCCGGCTTCTACATCTGGTTCTGGGGTGTAAGTCGTATTCTTCCTCTTTACTTTATCGCAAAAGCATGCTGACGACGCTGGCTAAGCGCGACGATATCCCCGACTCAATCAGTAGCGCAAATTCGCAGTCGACTATGGACACTACCAAGGATTGGGGTACGCCGAGCGCATCTTACCCTGCTTCAGGCTGTAATGATACCCTGTGGAAATACTTTGCACCGCAGCAGCTCGTGCTGGACATAACGCTCTGCGGTAATTGGTGAGTTTCTTTCTCTACATGACCGAGGACTCGTCGTGCGGGTCTGCCTCTAACTTTGACAGGGCCGGCCTTCCCACAGTCTATGGCGCAACCTGCGTGAATCAGTACGCATGCGTACGTGACCCTTCCCCGTTCATTCACCACGCTTACCAGGCGCCCGTATTCACCCTACTCGTCTGCGCTTTCGTGCCGGATCTACCCTTATACGGACCTGCTCTTGTCCAGCTGACCGACAATGTCGTCGGAGACGGCTCGAACTACGCGGAGGCTTACTTCGAGATCCGATGGATCCGAACTTACACGGGGGACAAGGCACTGGTCCCTTCCTTCACGCCGTCGCCTACTTTCTCGCTTTCGGTTTCGACGTCGTCATCGAGGTCTAGCGCGAGCGCTACCTCGTCGTCAAATGATTCAGAGAGTGTTCTTCCAACACCTTGGTTGTCTATGATCTTGTATTGTTTGCTCGGTGCTGTGCTTACTTTATGCTGTATTTCGCTGTGACCATGCTGACCACTTCGCGCTGTGAACACTAGAGACGCTGTTCGACCTGTAGCTATCTTCCCTGCCTGGCACTATATCCTATACCTATGGTGATCAATGGACCTGGACTGCCTGCGGTACTGTAGTCCTGGAACACTTGGAGCTTCGAACCGACCTGGAAGGCAAACGAAAGCAGCGTGCGAGTCACTTGCCGAACTCGGCAAGTTCTGGACCTTCAACTACTCACGTGACTCGCTCTATGGACCGTCCGCTGACCCGCCGCTCATGTTCTCGACGGGAACTGCCTCGTTCTCGGCTGCAAGCCTGTCAAGCGTCCACCGCGCGATTTCGGAACGCGCAAAAGTACTTATGGGGGCTTCGAACTCGTCCGATTTCTCTTCTCATCGAACCCCAACAACCCTGCCAACCCCACTATATGCTACGCACACTAGCCGCCCCTGCCGCGCTTGCCGTCGTCCGGTCTCAACAACTCCAGCGTGCTGGTGTCTGCCTCGCTGCGGCTGCCGCTAAGCGGCGCATCGCGTCTTCGGCGAACCCGAACAGCGCACACTACGGGCCTGATGACCCTCGTCATTCGCCCTTCCTGAAGGACCTCATCGCCGCTGCTGGCGTGGGTATCGTCGCTTATGTGAGTGTGCTGTCTGCCCATTTGCCTTGACGGTAGACTGACGTTGATCGTTTAGACCGGCTACGCGTTGTGGTCGCCTCGCGACTCGCACGCGCACCTGCCTAATTCCTCTTGGATATCGGGAGAGCCATCCCACTTCCTACCTGTGATACAGCCCTCGGAGGTCGCGAAACACACGTCTCGCAACGATTGCTGGGTGATCTTCGACGGGGAGGTGTACGACGTCACGAATTTCCTCGACAAGCACAGCGCAGGCGCCGAGTCGATCCTGAAGAACGCTGGGAAGGATGTCACGTAAGTACTTGCGTGCGTTCATTGAGATGGACGTCGATGGCTGACGGACAATGCCCAGGCCGATGTTCGTGCACTTCCACAAACCCGGAACGATCGATAAGCTGCCCGCTGAGTGCCACATTGGCACGCTACCTGTCGCTGCGCCACCAGTCTCCGAGGAGCATCGAGTTCGCCCCGACAAGGAGGACGTCCTCAAGTTCTTCTCGGCCTTGTAAGTGACTTTCATAAAGGTGCCGTATCTCTAAAGCTTACCTAGAGCCTCCCGCTGACCATTTTTCTAGTCTGTATTTGTACGTACCGGATATATGGTTGTGAATACTCGAAGGACTGGATATGTACCATAGCACTAATCATCGCACCTGTATATCGATACCAAACACTGTTTCATTCGCACTTGACTTTTGAACGTTTGTACCTTTGAACGTGTACGCCGCGTACCCGAGGCTGGGGGACAATTCCGCAACGTTCGTACGAGTTCGTTTACGATCGGTCAGCGTCAGCTGGCGATTGCTGGACGATAGAAGGCCCGATTATCACAGAGTCCATCTGAAGGGGGAATCACGAGCGGGGTATATGAGGCGAGAAAGAGCAAGGTCTGATCTCGACGACCACGTATCAGAAAGCCGCAGTGTCGCGCCAGTTGCCCCAGCAAACGCCCAACTTCCACGGTTGGGGAAGCAAAGTCGAGCGATTCGGCGACCGGCCCGGTTATATATAGCCGCAAGCTCTCTTTCGCGTGTTGCGCTCACTGCCGCCGTCTGTCCTCGCCGTCGTCACCAGCGTCGAGCTCGTCGCCAAGCACAGCGACGGGGTCGCGTCTCGATGAACTCCCTCACCTATCTCTCGCGCCAGTTTGACGTCCTCGCCGCGCCGCACACGCCGCCCTCCACCCCTACCGCCGAGCATACCGAGTACGCGCTGCACAATGGCCACGCACGATACAGCGCCATTCCGCGCGTCAAGACCTGGACCAAATCGTTCCTCTTCCCCCAGTACCGCCAGCCGCCGAACCCGTCACCCCCTACCCGCCCACCGCGTCGGACGATGTCATCCCCAGCGGACTTCATTACCCTCGCCAGCCTCCAGGAATCACCCCTGTATCCGACCACCCCTCCCGCCTCCGACGAAGCGTCTACCTCCACGAAGGCCCCTGCACCCACACCATTCGAAGCCGAGATTCGGCGCATATTCCTCATCCGAATATGTCTCCTCGTCTGGCGCTGTCTTTGCATGGCGTGGACGTCTCTCTCCGGGGCACCGCTAGTCGAGACGCCCGAGAAGCGCTCGAGGGAAGGCACGGAAGAGCTGAGCTCCATTGGCGGGAGCACCATCGCGGATAGCGACTCGGATGGAACGGACGAAGAGGCGCCGCCACTCGTCCCGAAGATCAGCTTACACAGAGCCCCCCATTTACACTCAATACCAGGCTCCCGGACAGCGTCGGACCCCATCGTACATCTGAAGCCGCCAGAAAGTCAAGCGACGACGTCGCTGTCCGTAACAGAGCAAGCGCCCTCCGTCCCGGCATCCGGCTCATGTACACCTCCCGCACGGAAGACGCCCTTCCACAGACAGAAGACCCTCGTGCTCGATCTCGACGAGACACTCATTCACTCCACCTCGCGACCACTTCACCACGCAACCTCAGGCGGCTTCTTCGGCCTTAGTCCCTTTGGACGACGCAACAAGGGCGCAGCGCACACCGTCGAGGTCATGCTCGGGGGGAAGAGCACATTATACCACGTCTACAAGCGGCCGTTTGTGGATTTCTTCTTGCGCACGGTGAGTGCCGCCCGAATGTACGCCAGCGAACCCAGCTGACCCACGCCGTCTCGCGCAGGTGTCGGGCTGGTACACGCTCGTGATCTTCACCGCGTCGATGCCAGAGTACGCGGATCCGGTGATCGACTGGCTAGACGCAGGGAGGGGGATACTGGCGCGGAGGTTATTTCGTGACGTGCGTGGACTAAGCCTGGCCGTTGACAAGGGCGTGCTGACGAACGGTCTCAGTCGTGTACGCAGCTGCCGAACGGGTCGTATACCAAGGACCTCGCGCTGGTGGAGGCGGACTTGTCATGTGTATGCCTCATCGACAATTCGCCGGTGAGCTACAAAGTCAATGAAGGTGCGCTCCCGTTCCCCTTTGCTGTGCCACATACCGCCTTCTATACGATCCCCTCTCTATCCCCCTCTGGCAACGTTTCAGCACTGTGTCCCCTCGCGCCTTTCATATCGATGCAGATAACTTCCATCTACCTCAGTACCCTTCGTGTACCACGGTCGGCGTCTTCAGTCCTGCCACCCTGCTTCAAAACAGCACCCCCGTTCCATCATAGCAACCTTCTCTTACTTTCGTTTGTCAATAACGCGCAACTGACCTCACACCCAGCTAACGGCATCCCAATCGAGGGCTGGACGCACGATCCCTACGACGAGGCGCTTCTCGACCTACTTCCAGTCCTTGACTCGCTACGCTTCACGTCCGACGTCCGACGCGTGCTGGGCCTGCGCTGTGTTGGGGGCTCGGGCCGGTGACGCGGGCGGGAGGGCGCGGCTCGATGAGCCTGCTGCCTATAAACCTCCCACACCCGCCCCCTTCCACCCTTCCGCATCGCACGCATCAGCATCCCCTTCGCCTCTCCAGCACTCCCCATCGCAACGCCTCAACGCGCCAATAGTTCGCACATACCTCCGAATTCTCCAACCGCAACCACCCTGTCCATCTTGATTCGCCTCACCCATCCGTTCCGCGCGTGGGCTGCACCCGCCCCTTCCACGCATCACTTATTCCCTTCGTGTTCGCATATACTCTGTACATAGACTAATCACCGTCGTACTGTTGTCGCGTTCTTTGTTGTCGTAATCGAGCCCTTGTCCGTGGCTGTCGTGTTTACTTCCTGGCGTGCGAGGGTGTGCGGATGGTTTGCGGATGAGTGGGATGCGAGCGGCTGAACGGCTTGTAAGGCAGGGATGGAGCAGTGTGGAGGCAGGAATTCGCGCAAGGGACGCTGCATATGGGACTTGGTTGAATGTGGCGCGCATCGCGAGAGCGACAGTAACTTAATCCTGTAATATATTGCAAAAGAAAGACCGTCATTTCTCGTGTATAGTTTAGCTGTAGTGGCCTGATGGTAAGTAAGCCTGAGGAAGTGCATGGTTGCAAGGGAAGCTCCTTGGAAAGCGCTGGAAGAACAGAGTGACTCACGATGACTTATTCCCTCCATCTTGTATACTTACCTTCAAGGGATCGCAGCTAGGACACTCGCGCTCTATAGCCTGATGATACATTTATTGGTCCTGGATACGTGTAAATAATTATTCAAACAAGACAACATGCCGCAGAGGCGAGACGGACCCGATGTCAGGATGAGCGAAGCCCAATGTGAGGGCGAGGATAGCGCAAAGATGCAGATGAAGGGTACAATGAAGAGAGGAAGAAGAGAAGGATAATATAACAGCAGAGGCGAGGCGAGCGGTGCTGGAAGGATGGTTGGCATCCCGGAGAGCAGACGGCGCTCAAAAGGTGCGAGACGATGCTTAGAAGGGACGAGGGGACCGCACTCGACAGAGGGGCGCATCTACCGCAGCAATCCGTCTGACCCGGCTACCAAAGGCCCGGAGCGCACGAGACGGCAACGCCCCCTGCACGGAGAGCGGAGGTCATATCGCCATTGATGCCTGCAATTCCCTGAGCTGCGCCTCCTCGTCGTCTTCCACTGCTGCCTTCGCCGCTGTAGGATGGGAGTCAGGTATATTTCGGGTGGGATAGTGATTGTACACGCACGCTCCTGCGCCTTTGCTGCGCCTGGCGGTAGGTGCAGCGGAACGTGCTCTGCACCGACCAAGCGCTCGTCCAGTTGCTCCTGCTCGAGTTCGCCCAGCTCCGCGGCCAGCTCGTCCTAGGATTGACGTCAGATAGGGTGTTACTGTGGAATGCAGGCGCACACGCACCTCGTCGATATCGAGGCCAAGGTTGGCAGTATTGGATATCGCGTCCGCGACCTCGTTCGCAAGTTCGCGCTGCTCGTTGATTTCGGCCATCGTCGCGTCGACCTTGTCGATTGAGCTAGAGTGGGGCGGACGGTAAGTAATCAAAGACACTAGTCAGGTAATGGGGATAACGCACAGGTTGCCGTGTATATCTTTGAGGGCTTTCGTAGCCTGCTTCATTGCCTGCATCGTCTCCGCGTTGAGGTTAGCGTTCTCGAGCGTGTTGACCTGCATCTCGAGCTGCAAGCGTGTCTGGCCGAGGCGGTCAAGCTCGGATTGCGCCATCTGCTTGCGCTTGAGCGCAGCGGTCGCCACTGCGCGCGATGAGCATGAGATGGCTGGCGGAGCGAGCGGGATACACACCTGGCTTGTTGGAGACGGCATTCGCTTTCGCCTTCTTGAGCTCCTCCTCGATCTTCTTCTGGAGGAACTCCTCCTTCTTCTCTATCATCTGGAGATGCTGACGGAGGCCAACGATGGCATCTCGTGCGCTCTGCTTGGGATCGCGGCGTGCGCCAAAGAGGCCCATGAGTCCAGACATCATGTCGCGCAGTGACAGTCAGTGTTTAGAATGAGCTCAAGAGCAGCGGAGGCGGTCACGGCGGCAGCGCTCGGCCACGCGGCGCCGGATGGGGAAAGGACTCCGGGCCGGGCCCCGCGCCTGCGGGCGACTGGCGTCTGGATTGCGCGACCCCGTCTTGTCTCCCACCACCACCACGATGGAGGAGAGCATCAGCACGAGCGTATCCACCGTCAGGTCCCTTCACTTCCCAACCATTGAAATACCGCCGCCGTCAGCGGGACCCAGCTCCGTCCCCTCGTCGTCTCCGCGGTCCAGTGCACTTCCCTCCCCGCCAGACAGCCCATCCTCCGATTCGGTGTCTTCATTCCCCTCCGTTGCCTCTTCCGTCTTCTTCAGCTCTAATGCTGACAGCCCGTATCCGCACCATCCCTCGGACTCAGACCACGCTCGCGATAGCACGCAAGGTCTCGTCATTCCATCACTAATCCTTCCCGATGCCCTTCCACGCCCTACGCCCTTCGGTCAGACGCTCGGGGACGTACGGCTTCTCCTCCTCGGCGGAAGAGGTTCGGGAAAGACTACTCTAGCGAACCTACTCGTCGAAGACAACGAAGAGGTCGTGGAGAGAGGCGTGTGGGAAGACATCGACGGCGGCCGTGTCCTGCGCGCTTCCACATACTGGATAGAACACCGCGATGCACACGGTCTCGAGAAGTTCGAACCTGCGCACAACATTGAGATAGTCGAGCTCGCAGGGTACGACTATCACGACGACGTGCGTGCTTCTGATCTAAGCGCGCCTCACCTCTCGCTAACACGCGCCCCCAGGTGAACGGGATCGTCCACACTATCTTGTCGATCGTCCACGCGCCATTCATATCGGTCGCCCAGGCCCTCACACCCGAGAGCGCGCTCTCGCCCGTCGTCGCGAACCTCCTCGCCTCCTCGACGTCCCCGCTGTACACCGGCCTCGTGTTCCTCTCCCCATCAAGTACGCCCCCCACACGTTGTGTTTATCTGATTTTCTGACACCACAGGATACTTAGCCCCATCATCATACGAGCAGACGATTGTCGATCGCTTGGGGCTTCATATACCCATCGTGGTCCTCCCGCGCGCTGCAAGGTCACGGTACCCCGCCACATCACGGCTGTCTTCGCTGAGCCCACCGTCTGCTCTGTCGCTGCGTGCTACACTCTTCCGCGCACCTGACGCCCTCAATGCATTGAGAGGGGAAGCCGTTGACCGCTTCATGCGCTGGCGCGAGGTTGAGCACATCGCGAGCGAGATTTCCGTCGCGCGGCAGCACTCACTCGCCGCCAGTGACCGGACGTGGAGCAAGGCGCAGTGGGAGGCCGAGTGGGAGGCGACGCTTTCGCAGGACGTTTCTCGGCGACTGCGCGAACGCCGCGGAACGGTGACAGCGGCGCCCAAGTTGCCTTGTGGGGTGCAAGGCGCGCTCGATCCGCTACACCTGCCGTCCCTGGTGATGTTCTCGCTGTCTTTGGTTGACCCGCTGAGGAAGCGAGTGTCGGCCTGGGTGGCATCGATACCTGCGGGGCTCGCCATGCTCGGTGGGTTCTGCCTAGGACTTGGCATCGGATTCTACGTGCGCGTTTGAAGGCCCTCTCATCGCGTCCATACATGGCATCATTTCCTGTATCATTGTATGCGAGGTCATCCTTCTTCGCATACCCATCTGACCTGGTCGTGTACCTTTGATTTTCTCCCTCACGAACCCTTTACGCCTACTCACGTTTCTCTCCTTTCTCTTAACCTCGCGTTTCTCTCCTGCCTCACGCTCCATTGATCTCTAGACATGGCATCCGTATCTATGTATGTATTACCAGCTGTTGTATGTTGTCGTGCTGTATGTAGCTGGTGTGGAGGGTGGTTGGCTGTTTTTCAGATGGTGGTTGCTTTGAATATATGCATATGCGCAGTTTTAAGTGATCTTCATCGCAGCAAGATGAGTTGCCACAAATCATGACGCTGAACCTTCAACGAGCCCTCTGCTCGCGCCTTTGAGGCCCGGTGGCAAGTTACCACAAATGGTTCATACTATAGCTTTATGCAACCCATTGGATGAAGGATGAGCAAGGGGATATCGTTGTTGTCGTCAGTAGATGATAGTACATTGTCAACTTGTCTATTTCAATCGACTTCCTCCTTTTCCGCCGAAGCTCCCTCAGCCTCGCCCTCCGGCTGCTTCGGCCACCAATGCGGCCACCAGTGCGACGCCTCGATCTGCGTAACCTCGCTCCCGTCCCCGCTCGTCGGTACGTCCAGCTCGAAGCGCAGATCACCGGCTTCAGCGCCCTTGACTTGCTCGAGGCGCAACAGGGCCAGACCGACGCCGTGAATATTGGAGAGGAGCTTGCCGGTTCCGCGCGGGCGGGGAATGCGCTTGTGAGGTTGGTCGGGGGAAGGGGTATCCGGTTGGGGGGCTATTCGTGCGTTGACGGCGATGTTTTCGGGGAGGTGGGGGGCGGTGGGAGACGGTTGGACGAGGGTGGGTCTGAGAGGAGGTATGAAGTAATTAGCAAGTGTGACCACTGCATGCGTAGATCACTGACCTTTCGCCGGGCAAGTGAAGCGCGACGGGGAGAATGCGCTTGCGGACGACACCAGTGTGGTATGTCCGCACGGTAAGCTCCTGACCGACGTAGCAGCCCTTGCGGAAGTTGACTGCAGAGCTTTCAGTTGCAAAAGGAGAAAAAGGAGAGATGCTACGTACGTCCGCCCATTATGTCGAGGTTCGACTCCATCGGAAAGGCTTGTGTTGGCGGAATGTCTGCTGTACCCTCCGGCACACCGTGTAGTATCCTGTGCAGCTTGTACGCGTCTGTAGATGCTATGTCGTGGTCCGATGCGGCTTCCGCTTCAGGGAGAGTCAATACGACTTCGTCCACTCGTCTGCGCATACGCACGCTTATCCCCCTTCCGCACGAGCATCCGCGTCCCCATCCCAGGGGCGCGCCTGTCGTGCAGCGCCAGATCCCACGTCCCCCACGGCCACGCATTCAGCACATCCCAAGCAGGCTCGACCGCGCCGCTCTTCGCAAACGCCCACCGACGCTCGTGGTCCCAGAAGCGCTCGGCCTGCGGGGAGCCCCAGGCCTGCCAGACGTCGTACTCGTTCGTGACGTCCCGCAGCTTGACCTTGGAGCGGAGGATGTAGCGCTTGAGGAGGTCGGGTAGGGCGGTGGAAAGCTCGCCGGGGCGGGTGTCGTATTCGATCACGTAGCCTTTGGCGCCGGAGGTAGGATCAGTGGTGGTGTAGACGAAAGCGTCATGGAGGACGCGGCCCTGGGTGAATGCTCCAATGCAAGTGAGAGGAAGTAGGGAATGCTACGCACCTGCGGATGGAGGAAAGCCGTATAGAATGGCTTGTGAGGGGCATGAACCTCCGAGGCGACGAGTCCGTTGAGGAACTCGACTGCTTGGGAGCCTGTCACTGCAAGCAATGCACGGTTCGCCACGGGTGCGACCGTAGGCACATAGTAGATGAGCGCTCTCAGCGGCGCGAGCGACATGGGGGGCCAGGAGCGTAGTATGCAGGGTACGATCGCGCGGAGTCAGAAGCTAAATGGCTCGGAGGGGGCGTCGAGGCCGACAATCTAGACTCCAGGGGGCGTGTGAGGCGCGGAACAGCAGAGTCAACGGCGAGTGAATCTCAATGATAAGGGCCTTAGACCAGCTCTGGCACTGAGCGGGTGCGGAAGCTGAGGGCAAGCCGGGGCGGGCGGCGGAGGCGCGCGAGCGCGTCGATCGGCGAAGCGTCGGCACGCTCGGGCACCGGCCCTTGCCTCCGCCCGCCATGTCGTCCTCCTGCCAAGGGCTCATCGCCGCTCTCAAGGACTGCCTCATGCATTCCGACTGCGTTATTAAGGACGGGCGGATGCCCTCGGACTGCCTGCATAACCACGCAGATGAACTCCCGCTGGAATGCCAGACCCTCCGCCGCGCAACCTTCGAGTGCAAACGGGGCATGGTGCGTGGTATCCCTCTTCTCCATCATTTGACGCTGACGAATATTGCAGCTGGACATGCGCAAGCGGTTCCGGGGGAACATCGTCGGCTCGCAGTACACATACCAGGCGGACCCGGAAGAGAAGGAGCGGGAGGCAAAGCTATTGGCAGAGGCCATGGCAAAGCACTCAAAGCCGTCAGAAACCGCATCGTCTTCATGATTCTTCTCCCTCGAATGAACCCCCACTCAACCACCCCTCACGCCCAGCGTGCCGTCGCATACAGCTCTCGCATCCCAGCCCGAGCCCGCCGCGGAAGATATGCATGTTCGTCAGTGTGGCACTCTCAACGTCGCAATCGTAGGTATAGCATTTGGATGTATGTGCGACGATCCCCATCCTATCTTCAGGCTGCTTGCAGGATTCCTCAGTCGCATCTTCGAACTCCGGTCCGGAGAACACCAACGTCGTTTTGCATGTAACGGTGAATTCACAAGATACTACTAGCCATTGCTTCGTGGTCTTCTTACCGCAATGGTGTGTATGGGAATAGAACAATGCTGCCCGTGCAGTTCACTCCTCAGTGGCGCAGTCTTGTTTGGTCGTTTTGTTTGCTCGTCTCGACCGTGGGATAATCACACATTGTTCCATTCGATCTCCTCGGTGATCCGCGGATTCGATTTTGAACTTCAGCCACCACCTCTGAACAAGCGCCCAAGCACCTCTGGCAGTACAGACGAGCGCTATCTGCTTCATCATCTGTCGCTCGTATAGAAGATAACACCTACCAGAAGACTTTGCTCGCAATGGAGGCCTCTTCTGTTTACATCGCTGCCTCGACGAACCGACACTCTCATGCCGCAGATGTATCTAGTGAAGATCTTGTCGCCTTCGGTACAGGAACAATGATTGCTCTCTGGCCAGCAGAGGGCTGCGGCGATGCTGGAGTGCAGGAAACTCTGGCTAGCGACCATGCGCGGGTGACTTGTGTGCGCTTCATTGCCGCTGACCGCCTGGCGAGCGCGGATGAACATGGCTTGTTGAGACTCTGGCGTAGGAGGAAAGGGCAGGTGAGGAATATCTGCGTAGAGACTATGCCTGAGTGTACTTACACAAGGTAGTGGACATCAACAGCTAGCGTGAAGGGTCATTCTCAGGGCGTTTCGTCCTTGTGCGTGCGCGGGACGCTGCTCGTGTCTGGGTCCTCCGACGCTACAGTACGACTATGGGACTTGCAATACGAAGGTACAATATTTATCGGTCGCCTATTCAACCTATCTGACATCCGGCAGACAAAATCGCTGAAGTACAAACAATATCGCTCAACGGGCGCTATCCGCTTTCTCTGGCCTTGGCAAACTTGCCAGGGACATCCAGTAGGTCTCCGTTATGCAGCAAATAACCAGGGGGGCTCATGAATATCGCCAAGCTATTATCTTGGCCATCGGCGACACCAGTCGCAATGTGCAGTTATGGACTCGTTCTGAGGACAAGGTTTGCCTCAAAATGCAGTACACACTAATCGGCTCGTAATGACGACCCCTGTCAGTTCATAAAGGCTGCTACTCTTTCCGGACACGAAGACTGGGTCCGTGCCCTCGCTTTCCGCGAGCCGGGCCCAGCGTCTGGCAGCGAAGGGTCTTCTTCATCAGGCGGAAGCCACGAGCTATCCGCGCTTGTCCTGGCCTCTGGGGCGCAGGATGCGTCCATTCGGCTATGGAATATTGAGCCTGTGCAGAGAGGTTTTGCGGATGGCACGGATGACCTCCTGGACGCATTCGAGGCGTCGCTTGGCGAGACGACCGATGGAGAGGAGGGTGGAAGGCAAATCACGACGAAGCGACATCTGATCACTGTGAAGGCAGGCGAGAGGTAGGCTTGACAACAACTACTCAAGGTACTTTCTCGAAAGACTAAAACCTCCCTATAGCACGCAGCAGTACTCCGTCACCTTCGACGCTCTCCTCGTTGGTCACGAAGCCGGCGTTACCTCCCTCTCCTGGCGCCCCGCCGGGAACCACCCTGATCCCGCTCCGACCCTCCTCTCCAATTCCACCGATTCCTCCCTCATTCTTTGGTCGCCTGCGGCTACAGGCACCCTCTGGGTTACCCGCCAGCGCTTTGGTGACGTAGGCGGGCAGCGGCTCGGCGGTTTCGTTGGCGGTCTGTGGGTGGCGCGCGGTGAGAGCGCTCTGGCCTGTGGCTGGGCGGGAGGCTGGAGGAGATGGGGATGCGCGGCTGTGGAAGGTGTCGCTGGGGAGACTTGGGAGGAAAAGGGTGCGATCACTGGGCATAGTGGCCCGGTGAGGGGATTGGCGTGGGCGCCGGGTGGGGAGTATCTGTTGTCGACTGGGTGCGTTCTTTCACTTCCATCAAGATTCCTAAGGATGTCTTCGACGCTCACAACTTCTGTAGCCTCGACCAGACGGCGCGAATACACGGACCAGTAGTGACCGCTGGAGGTGCATGGCACGAGATCGCACGTCCGCAGGTACATGGCTACGATCTGCTTCGCGGCGTTTTCCTCGACAGGCTACGGTATACAAGTATCGCGGACGAGAAAGTCGCACGCGTATTCGATGCACCGCGGAGTTTTGTCGAATCGGCAGAGCGGTTGGGTGTGGCCACGTTCGATGCGGCTGAGGTGAGTCAACTGTAGATTCACCAACCAGTTCTGACAGTGATGTTTGGATGTAGAAGCATACGAGGCCACAAATGGCCAGCTTGGCGCCTCTGCAGCTTTCGAATAAGGCTACGAGCCAAGGTATGTCTTCACGCCACCAATGTCCTGTCCAGGTTCAAGGATTCCTTCTACAGACCCCTCCGCTATGTCTGCCACCGGAGATATCACAGATCATCGTCCTTTCGAAGGCGAGCTTGCCGCAATTACGCTTTGGCCAGAGGCTGAGAAGGTGTTTGGTCATGGTTATGAGGTGCGCTGCCAATTTCGATTAAACTGCGGTCTCCTACTTTAACGATACGTCGCTATTAGCTCATCGCCCTCGCGGCCTCCAACTCGAAGAAAATTATCGCGACCGCATGCAAAGCAACAACGCCAGAGCACGCCGTCGTACGCCTCCACGACACGGAGCGATGGCAGCCCGTCGGCCAGCCACTACCAGGTCACTCGCTCACGGTCACCCGCATTGCATTCAGCCCAGACGATTCTCTTGTACTATCTGTGTCTCGCGACCGTACGTGGCGGTTGTTTGCGAGGCAAGAGGATGGCGGTGCGTGTTTTGTGGCACCGAGGCTCCTTCAGTGTCTCACTGTAACAAATCTCCTTCAGGCTATACACCGCTCGCTGCAGACAAGTCCCACGGCCGCATCATCTGGGACTGCGCGTGGGCTCACGAGGGCGACGTCTTCGCTACCGCATCTCGCGACAAGACGGTGAGCATGGGTAGAGACTTTTCTTGCTCATAGAATTGACGTCTGCGGTAGGTGAAAGTCTGGCAGAGCGATGGAAGTAAGTGGACAGCAGTGGCCAGCATCAAGACCAAGGAGGCAGCGACGGCGGTGGACTTCGCACCGAGGAATGAGAATGGACGGTATGCTGACTACGACTCTCTTCTCTGAGAGGAGCTCATATTCGTACAGTCGCCTCCTCGCCGTCGGGCTCGAAAACGGGGATATTCTTATTTACGCTGGCTCCACTACCGACACCTCGAAATGGGAGCTCGTCACCTCGAAGTACGTTTTTGAAGCACCACCCCGTTCCCCACTTACCCTTTCCAGAACACAATGGCACGTCGGCCAACTGCAGCAGCTCAGCTGGCGGCCCTCTCCACCCGCAGGGGCCGGCCAGCAGCTCGCAAGCTGCAGTGAAGATGGTACATTGCGGATACTTTGTGTCCGAGACAGATAAAGTATGGCATCCTAAGGGCTACGTGAACGAGGTGAGAATCTGGATACAGTATACAGTCAATGCTAGCGAGTAAGACGAAGAAAGATATTCAGTATCGAGACAGTAGTGGGCTGCGTGCGATATGGGTATCGTCGATGGAGATGGGTTTGGTTTGTATGCAGCATGGTTGGTGGGCAGTGAGTAAAGGACGAGCACGAGAGTGAGGTTATGAGAACATGGTGAATGGACATAGAACGAGCAGGGACCTGTGCGATAGAGATACAAGAGTTTAGACACCGGGCGTTAGTCAGACTTCAAACAATGTCACGCAGACTCATAGGAACTTCGGGCTGTAGTGCTGTTAGCGCACGCTCGACAAGAACAGGTCGAGGTTCACTTACACATTTGATCTTGTAGAAGCACTCTATGGAGCGCAGCATCTCAACGTCGCCGCCGGTCGCCGTCACGAAATTCACGACAACGCCAGCACGCGCGTAGTTGGGCGCCACCGCAGGGGCAACACGATGAGCGTACTCCTCAACCGCCTTGGGCAAGTCTGAAGAAAAGGTAAGTATGTGTTTCAACGTCCGAGATTTTGGACATACCATAGTTTATGATGAGCGGCACATGCGACACCTCGTTCGTCTTGACCTGCACGTCGTACACGACGAGGATCTTCGTGTTCGAGGGACGCATCAGCACCGACGCAGTGCTCCTAAACTTATTCAGCGCGGCCAGCTTTGTTCCCGCGTTCATGTCGCCGTGCTGCAAGGTTAATCAGCACGCGAATGCAATCGAAATGAATCGACACTAACCAGGGGCACGGCCTCCAATCCTCGACTCGCAAGCTTATACACAACCGCATCAAGCGAGGTCATCCCTCCGACATGCACGATCGCCTGCGGAACCTCGACATCGTCGAACAGGTCCGCCAGCGCATCCAACTTCCACTCGCGGGCCTGCGTGCTCTCCGCGCTCGTCGCGCCGCGTCCCGAACCGATGATCCCCAGCCCGTTTTGACCTGGAGTCGCCCCCGAGGCATCCGTACGCCCTCCACCCGCCGTAAAAGCCAGGTAGAGGTAGAACTGCCGCAGGTTGCGCGACCCCTGGTTGTCCGAGTGTGTAACGTTCCCATCGCGGCGCACGAGCACGCGCACAGGCTCCTTGAGGTTTATCGCGGTCGCCAGGTTGAGAACATCTTGCGGGACCGTGTTCGAGAACAGGGCCGTCTGGCGCTCGATGCCGGCAGGCGAGTTCGGCGAACCGTCGCCGTTGCTGGGGGACGGGGCGAGGGAGAATTTACGCGGCGCCTGCCCAGTGCCGAGGCTGCCGAAGGGGTTGGCCATCCCAGCAGAACCGGCAGGCGGCGTATCCGGGAAGACACTTCCTGGCGCGGGAGGCGGTGCGGGAAGGCTAGGGCCTCCGGAAGGCCGCGAGCGCGGCGGCGGAAGCAGCTTGACAATATGGAACACGAACTCGTGCAGGTTGCGGGCAATGAGTTGGTCGACCTCGTCAAGCACGAGGAAGCGAACGTCCGCGCCGCTGAGACCACCTGGACTGGTAAAGAGCGCATGCAGCTTGTGCGGCGTACCACAAATAATGTGGGGCATGTTCTGCTGAAGGAGACGCAACTCTGCGCTGAGGTCGCTGTTAGCCGAAGCCGCACCGACACCAAGGGCTGAGCGGACACCAATGGGACCGCCAAGGTCGCGGATCATCCGCTGCGCTTGCGTAGCCTGGTCCACTGTGGTAGATACCAAAATCGCCAGAGGACCGCGATTAGCACTGCGCGGCGGCATATGCGTCACCGCGATCTGAATGGCCGGTATAACGTAGGCCGCAATTCGCTCCTGCGTAGGGGGCGCCTGTGCAATGATGTCCGAGCCGCGCAGGAGGAACGGCAGCGCCCTCTGCTGGATCTTATTCGGCGGTCCGAGACTGATACGAACTTGAGTTATGGCGGGAGTACGGACCCTGTTGGCCACTCACCCAAATTTGGTGAGAGACCGCAGCAGCTCTGGCGCGAGCGGCAGCTGCTCCCATTTTGACAACATCGGGCCCTCCCGCTGAGAGCCCCCCTGAGTCCATTCACCATTCGCATCGAGGACCTATAGATCATTGTCAGCAGAAAAACATGTAATATTCCTGTGCAGATACTCACGCCAGAAGAGTCCCTCCGCTGCAAGCCCGAGACCGACCGCCTTTTGGGGCCCAGCAGGCTGTCACCGACATTGCTCTGGCGAATAACACTGTCCGTCGGGCGCGGCGGGAGATCCAGGTTGCCCGTCGACCACGTCCTCATAGGCGGGTTCGGCAGGTTCGCGAGCCGCGCCTGCGCAATAGAAGGCCGACTCGGCAGTCCCGCATTCATCATTGGGTTGTTCTGCATCAATGAGCCGGAGGACAAAACTTGGTTGGGGGCGATGTCCGGCGTGCTCGGGTTGCCTAGCATACCCGGGTTGAGCGGGGTCTGATTGGAGAGGCCTGGCGTGTTGGTCTGAAGTTGCTGCGTCTGGAGAGCTAGGAGCTGCCCGACGGACGACGTGAGCGTGTTCAGCCGCTGGGAGATGGACGAGATGTCATCGTTGGGTCCCTGCTGGTTTGGCGCAACGCCGCCGAAGGACGGGCGGGGTCCGGCTAGCGGCGGAGGGATAATGGAAGGATTGTTGGGAGCGAATGGGTCCTTGAATTCGGGCATGCCATTGTTCAGCGACATTGACTGCTGGGGCGTATTGAGCGATCGATCAACGAGAAGGTTGACCTTGCGATGCATTTCGCCGATATCGCGCTGGATCTCGCGCGTCGTGAACTCGCAGCGAACGAGTCGGTCGAGGATGTCGCGGATCATGGGGGACGCCTTGAGTTGCGCCTCGAAAGTAGACTCGTTACTGGCGAACACGCTCGCAGAGTCCAGGGACGAGACAGGCGACGACGAGAACGGGAATGATGAAGGACCATTATTTGCGTTGCCACTGGAGCCACCACCACCGACGGGAAGCGGAGGAGTGTTCATGGGCTCGCGACTCTTCTGATGCTGTAGGAAGAACGCGGCCGCTCCCGAGCCGCGCATTTCGTCTGGTGCGGGCGTACTGTGCAGGATGTCGACGCCCTCTGGGAAACCATCCAGCGTGCCTAGCTGGCTAGGTTCGCGCGTCTGTCGGCTTTCCATGTTGGCGAACGAGGTTCTGCCTTCATTGACCTGTCGTATAGACGGGCTCGGACGGCGTTGCTGCTCGTCGCCAATGGGACGAGCGGCGGGGCTACCACGCGCAGAGAAGCGTTGCTGGTTCTCATCGTGTTCCGATGGCGGGCTCGGTGACGAGCGGACGGAGCGATAGTCGGAGGGAGAGATGGAAAGGGTGGAGGAGGACCGTTCCTGCCGCTGAGGGCGGGCAGCGAAGGTTGGGCCGCCGTCATCCTGCGGACGGCCTGCTCCGGGAAAGAACGGCATCGAGGACGGGTTAAGCGTCCTCGCCATGGTGGTTCGAGACAAGGAAGGGGTCCGATGGTCCCGCGACAATCAGAGCTTGCTGGCAATCAATTGGAGGTCAGCGGCTGCAGCGTGCGCCGCCCTATATGAACGCACCTGGCGCGCGCAGAGCCTTCACAACACGCTTTCCATGCGCGGTCTTCGCTGTCGGGCACCTGCTCGCGAGTACACGGCTGGAAAGCGCCTTTGAGGTGGACGCTCGAGGATCAAGAGATGCGTTGACTGCCGCATGTTCATCCGACCGCCAAATGTAGCAATCATCTCTCGCGCTCACGCTTATTGTTCAACTTGTCACATGGACCCAAAACTATTGTTCTGAAATTTGTTTATTTCGATGCCGACCGGCGGTTCTACCAACGAGATTCCCACAACCAAGAGACCCAAAACATGCGAACAGAACGCGCTCAAGCGGCGGGAGCGCTACTTCGAAGCCCTTCTACCCTTGAGCTTGAGCATCTTGATTTCCTCCTGGCGAGACAGTTGGAGGAACATCTCCTGATCGAGACTGGAGGAAAGAAGTCAGCGTTGCTGCGCAGCGTAGTACCCTGTGAGAGAACACACCTGTCGCATTTGGTATGGGAGCGGGTCCTCGGCAAGCCCTTCCTTTCGACCTCTTGCACTACACACAGCACGCTCAGCCGCTTCACCAGGTCAAAAATTACAGAACTCACGATTCTTCAGCCAGCTCATCTCAGGAAGCGAGCTCGCCGACAACGTCACCAAGATCTTGTTCTGACCTCCTTCGTCGAGCGGCGTGCCGTTTAACGACAGGGCAATCGGGAGGGCTTCCTTGTCCGTAAACTGCACCACTGCGTACTGAGAATCGCAGTCGCCGACGAAGCCAGTTGGGTAGTGTGTATACTGGAAGACCATGTTACCGTACGCGGTCCGTATCTCGGGGTCCCCCAGGACACGGGCCTTGGATTCGGCTTTGGTAAGCTTATCATCGAAGAGCTTCCGCAACGCAGTGCGCGTAAAGCTGGTCTTGAGCTGTGGACGTTCACGGTCAGCGTGGGAGGGTAAAAGAGTGGTTCCGAAAAGCTCACGCAGCCCACAAACACATAGGGAGCCCGAGTTGGTTTCAAGCCCGCCAATTCTAGCTCCTTCAGACGCTCCTTTTGCCTCTCTTCGGACTTGCGCTTCAGGTTCTGTATGTAGGCAATAGTAGCCTCATCGATCTTTTTCTCGCGCTCCTGCTTGCGCTTCTCCGAGGTCGGGAAGGCGCGGCGACCCCTCTGATTGATGTAGTCGCCATTATCGAGGATGGACTTCGCGCGAGCAAGGGGACGGTGAGCAGGAGGACGATGAGCAAGGGGACGGCGATGCTTAGGCGCAGGCTGAGAGAGGGCAGATGACACGGAGAACGTAGGGGTATGAGCGGAAGTGTCGAGGCAAGATGGGGGAATCGAGGGGCCCGGACCAGAGGGTATAGCCTGAGTGGCAAAGACGTTTGCCGTCTGAGGATACTCCATCGCCCTGTTGGCGGTAGAGAAATCCACAGACCCAGGATTGGTGGCCGGGCCAAAAGGTATCGCATGGGCAGTCTGAGTAGACATCATAGAGGTCGACGAGAGGACCAAATTTCGGAAGGTATAACGCAGAGAAAAGAATGCCGGCGCTTGAGGGAACTTGAGGACGACGTCCCAACGACAAACCATCCACATATTTATATTCCTCCCCGCGGGAACATATGCTGGCAGGTCCAAACCCTTGACGTCCAGCTCAGGGCTCATTGCGCAGCCATCCATTGTACCTGCATTGGCGCCGGGCCATGATGGCCCCAAAATGGTCAAGAACAAACGCAAGTCCGGTGTTTGTCAGTGCACGCGCGTGGAGGCATGTGTGACCGATCGCGGGGTGGAACTGAACACGTGGGCGCGGCTTTTGCTTTCGGGCCGGGCAGTCCGCGCCGGCGCTTACTCTCGTGCATTCATTAACATTGCTCGTTGGCTTTGACCATGTCTATTACCACTCCTACGGGCGCGTATCGCGCTTTGTTGCGTGAATTGAGCAAGTCGGTGAGTGGAGCGCGTGATATGAATGGAAATTGTGGTTGACGACGGCGAAACGAGGCGGTGAACAAGGGCAAGGTGCCACCTCAGATACGCGGACACTACCGGACGCTGGTAACTCGGTACGGCGCAGACGAGCAGACTCGTACGTCTACAGCGACCTCCCCCCGCTTTGCTTGCTGATGAATGACTTCTCTTTGCACTGCATGCCTGCCCTGGACCGCGCAACGCTCACCTCAATGCATGGCATTCCCTCTCCCCTGCCTTCCTCCGCTTTGCCAAAACACCTCCGTTCCAATTACCCCAGGCCAAGCATTCAGCTCCGACATAGAGAATGCCGTGCTATTCTTGCGATCACAGCGCGAACATAAGGTACGCCTCCATGCTGTGTCTCGTTCATCTCCCCGCAACATTGCCCTCGCTCTCGCTTGTCGAGCAAATTCCGTGGATGGCTCTGTTTTGCCGACATGCTGACAATCCGTTGTCAGGCTTTGCTCGAGCGCTACAACCCCTTGTTCAACCTGACAGCCGAGGAACACATCAAAGCCACCGCGAACCGCGTCGGCCTCAACATGCCCATCACACCAGACGGCAGTAACCCGGAGGGCAAGGAGTAGCACGACGCATCCGCTACGACGCAGTCATTCACACATATCATGCAGTGAAGCATCCCTGCCCTCACATTCGCACATTAGAGTGGTACAGTAATAGCATAACAGGCTCCCCATCTAAACAAGCAAGCGAGCGAGTCTCCGAGTAGCGTACGGAGCGGCACTGGGTTTTCTGGCGTAAAGCAGGCCAGCTGAGTTACATAGGGACAGACGGCGAGCGCCCCGTTCCCAAATTCGAGTCGGGGTCGCATGATGTCGAGCACTAGTCCGGTACAGCACTGGTAAATGGTCCTCTACTGAGCACATTTTCTACGTCACGTCGATCCTGCGCCGCGCTGGATATGTGGCATGCTCACGCGAACGTGGCGGCAGCGGCAGAAGACAGCGGCCAGGTAAGCCAGGGGACTGAAGGAGGTCATTGAGACTTCTTCTCGTCCTCGTCTACGAGAGCACTGGTAGGGTGTAAGTTCCCGTAGGCAGGGTTGTGAAGGGCGAAGAGCTCACTCTTCCTCGTCACTGCGGTCGTCTGAGGCGGTCTCCCCATGGAAAACCACCCTGAATGCGATTCGCAAGACAAGATAGAACCAGATACACTGTATTACCTACACAAGGATCAGCATAGTAGCTCACGGAAGGAAAGGAGGAAATTCACCTGTAATGCAGCCAATGCACCGTTAAAGGCCCAGTAAAAGTTCTTGGTGAGGAAGTGTCCCTCCTCGGGTGCCCATTTGAGCTCGATGATCTTGTCTATCGACCAAGTTGACCGCATAACCATAAGGAAGAGGACGTGTCGCGTGATAAACCATGACACAAGGAAGATCGCGAAAGCGTAGTCGTAAATTTGGTGTGGAATATCCAGGTAGCGGCCCATCTTGGCTAGCTTGGGGTGGGGTCAGCTGGGGGACATTAAAACGCGCGAACATGCGTACCGGTAGCCAGATATCACACCAGTCCATGAGAACCATGATGAGGCAGCCGATGCGCGTGAAGTTCGTGTAGTAGCTAGAGAGCATGAGGAAGATGGTGATAACGTGATGCGTGAACATCTGCCAGTGGTCCTTGCGGCGCGCCTCGGCGTTCAGGACGAGCATCTGGTGCATGTAGCACGCGATCTCCATGAGATAGAAGAACTTGACGGGAGCGGCGAGGGTGGCGTGGGGATACTCCGTCCACAGGTCAGAGAGGTCGGCGAACTTGGTGGGGAGGTTGATGTGAATGTACTTGGGGGTAGAGGGATCAGCACAAAATTACGTTTTAGTGGGGGAGGACGTACGAGGCCGAAGGCGAATTGCCAGATGTAGTATATCGCGGACCAGCCCTGCTCTGCGAAGCGTAGTACGGACCGCTTCATGCGCTTCTCCTCCTTCGAGTAGGAAGACGCGTGCCCGTTCGCGTGTCCGTTCGATGCGCCGTTCGCAGACGCCGCACGACGCCTCTTCTCCGCCCATCGCGCGTCGAGGTCCCGCTTCAGCTTCCAGTGCGCAAAGGGCTCGAAGAGGTAGATGCGAAAGACATCGCGCAGGACGGCCATGGCGGCCATTAATGTGATCATGAAGCAGAGGTCGAGCGGCCCAGTTCCGTAGTAGCGCGATTCGGGGAAGGAGTCGGGATTTTTGGGGGTGGGGATGGGGTAGGAGAGCTGAAGGAAGGGCGTGACCATCTCTGACCATGAGATGGAGGCCATGGCGGGCAGGGGGGCGGGTTGACGTGGAGGGGAGGAGCAAGGTACGCGCCTCGCCGCTCTGGAGGATGTCGGCTCAACTTGAACGAAAAAGTCGAGCGACCCGGACGCGCTTTCATTTCTGCAACGCACGTGCGCCTGCACACATCACAGGCTAATCCGAACCAGCGAGCGCGATGGCTCGAGCTCGTCCACTCTAGTCCCTCCCAGACCTCGATACAAAGCCTAATCCCCTCGGTTGGACGTGTACTGTGTTGCCAAGGCAAGCAGCGAATTTTCTACGTGTTTAGACGTCGAATTTTAAAGGCGCCCGAACAAGTCGAGGGCCCCCAAGTGACCCCCTTGACCGCCACAAATTCGTCCGCTTTTGCTCTCAACGATGGCGGCGACGACGAGCACGGGGCAGCCCAACACTACGCTCTACATCAAGAACCTGAATGACAAGGTCCAAAAGGATGAGCTTCGCCACCAGCTCTACGCGCTCTTCACCACATACGGGCGCATCATCGATATGGTTGTTTCCAAAGCCCCACGCATGCGCGGCCAGGCATGGCTCGTCTTCGCCGATCTCGCGAGCGCAACGACGGCGTTGAGGGCATGTCAGGGGATGGTCTTCTATGACAAGCCGATGGTGCGTAGCGCGTTCCCCTGGCTTGGTACTCTCGATTAAAGTCGCATGCAGCACATAGACTATGCGAAGTCAAAATCCTTCGCGACATTGAAGCGCGAAGACCCCAACTTCGTCCCCCCAACAGCTGTACATGCGAGCCCCTTCGTCAATGGCAAGGACCCGAACAAGCGCGCGCGCGACGAGGACACCGCCGATACGCGACAGGCGAAGCGTGAAAAGGCAGATGAGTCGTCCGACGAAGAGATGGAAATCGACGACGAAGACGAGCAACCGACCCAGCAGGCACCGCCTCCACCTCTGACTTGTACGTCCCCCCTTCAACCGTGTCGCAACATTAGCTTCATGCGTCATTCATTCGAAGCTTCTGCCGTGCCTACGATCGTGCACCAAGCCTCCTCAAGATTACTTTGCACGAATTTGCCGCAAGAGGTTACCGAGGATGTACTCTCTGTACTCTTCCAACAGTGCGTCTGCTCACAATGCCTTCTGAAACTGGCTGACGCGGTACTTTTAGGTACCGGGGATTGATTTCCACCCAGGTCGTGCAATCGCCGACTCCTGGACCCGACGGATCGAAAGCAAAGATGGCGCAGGTCTTGTACGAGTCGGCAGCGCTGGGATCAGTGGCGAAGGAGGCCCTCGATGGCTTCCAGCTGAAAAAGGGATGGAACATGTCGGTCGCGTACATCTGAACACCCTCTGCTCGCTGTCCTGCGTGCTTGCCCTCTGCCGGTATGTCCCACCGGACTCCATTCGCCCTTGCAACTTTCGTGTAGCATTTTGTTCAGATGTACCCGACATTCACATATTCTCTGTATTCTATCGTCTTGCTTGCAGCTTCGGACCACACGACTCAACATGCGATTTCCGCTCGTCGGTCATTGGGAGTGCTAAAGGTCAAGAAGTCGATGATATGACTGGCAAGATGAGCAAGGTGCATTCCTTCAGAAATAGCGTATGTAAGACCGCACGGTCCGCACTGCAGTCTTCCAAGAACATGAGCGGCATACTCATCAATAAATAGTTCCACGACGGTGGCGCAGGCCTCAAGAAGGCAGGACTTGCTTCAGCTGCTTCATGATGTCGAGTGCTTTCTGCAGGTCGGGATCGATGTTCTTGCGCGCCTCCGCCTCGAACTTGCCCGCGCTCAAGGACATGGCTTCCAGCGCGGAAAGGACCTCCTTGTCGTAGATGTCTTTTACGATGCGATCCACGGCGGGCTGCATGTACTTCTCGAGCGCTTCCGGAGTGATGCCTTCCTGCTGGCGCGGCAGCGGGTGTTGTGGTATGGGATCCCGGGCTAGAAGATGGACGAGCCCGTCGTTGAGTGAATGAACTTGCGCTTCGAGGGCCTCGCATTCGTCTTTCTTCGCAGCGATCTGACAGGAGTAAGCAAGAGGGCATGCAGAAGGTGCAAATGACGCGTACTCTGTCCTTGATTGCCTCGTTCTCCGCCTTCTTCGCCCGCAACTGCAGGATGAGCAACTGATTCGCGCGTATCTGTCGCAAGGACACAACGCTCTCCTTCGCCCGCATCTCCATTACTTCGTCGATTCCCTGCATCCGCGCCGCCGTGTGGTCAGCCATCTCCATCTTCCGTGCCTTCACGGCAGCAGCGACGCGCGGCTCCAGTCGTGCGCGTATCTGCTCTTCTTTCTCGGCGGCGATATTCGGGGCTGGCGGTGCGTAATCGTACTCGTCACGCTTGTATTTCTCGATCTCAGCATCTAGGAGCTTGACGCGCGTGTGCAAGTCGGTAGGTGGAACCTCTCTGAGTTCCTCATCCACGTCCATTAGATCATCAGGCGTAGTGGACGAATGGCTTGCTTTCGTGTTGCGCTCAGGTGCAGGAGCGTCGGGATCTGGCAATACAGGAAGCATCGCGAACGCCGGCGCAATACGACCTAGCCATGCATTCAGCTCTGCCGTGTAGCGTTTGACCTCTTCGTAGTCGCGATCGGCGTCGAAAGTCGGCGGAGGGGTGAACACGTCCTTGTCGGCGCACACGAAGGTCAGATGCGCGAGAGCTTTCTTGAGATCTGCCTTTGCCTTGTCGCGCGCGCGACGCAGCTCTGTACTGTCGTCGTTGATCATTTCCTGCGCGCGTACGGATGCGTGAGCGTAGTCTGCTGAGGACCTTGCCTTGCGCCACCTCTCGTAGCGCTCGTGCGTCTCTACGGACGCTAATTTGCACCGGATGACTGCGAGCATCGCGCTGTCAATGGCTTAGCAAAAGGATGATACACAGTCACAAAGGAACGACGTACTGAACCACTTCGACGTATGCCTCGGCGCGCTTGGGATGGTGCGCCATAGCAGCTTCATCAGGTTTGACCCGTGTCTTTGGCGGCCTAGAGAGCGAGCGACGCTCGGGAGGACGTGAAGTAGTCGCTGCAGGTGAAGGCGGCGTTTGGGGGCGTGGAACGTTGCGCTCGGGCGAGAAGACAGCTGCCCTAGGTGAAGGGACCTCCGCCCGTGACGATGATGGCTCCGGTCGAATGGGCGACGACGATGGAGGGGGTGGAGGTGGCATGTCGGGCTTCTTTGCAAGCTTCTTGAGTGGGATTTGACTGCCCGACGCACGCGGGGTATCTGGTTTCTTGAGAGAAGGAGGAGGTACGGCAGGCGTCGCTGGTGTGGCCGCCGGCTGGGGATCCCATGTAGACGGGCCACCCCATCCACTGTCTCCTGTATCCCAATCGTCACCTCCAATGCCCCAGCCACCGACATTGCCCACTCCAGACGATGCGCCGTCTCCGCCACTCTCAGTGTTCACGCTGGACTTGGTTTCCCCGGATTTCCAGCCAAAGAGACCTGAAGATCCCGACGGCGGGCCCTCTCTGCCTTTGCCCTTGTCGACTGGCAAGGACGGTGTCGTCGACGTAGAGCCACTTTCAAACTTGACGACGGGCGCGTCTCGATGTGGTGTTCTGTTGGAAGAGTTGCTACGAGAGGGAAGGGCCCATCCCGCACGATCGAAGGTATCGTCCGGCGGTGGTGGCCCACGATGCGGTACAGGCGCAGCAGGCTGCCTACCGGCCGCGGATGATCTACCAAAGGCAGAGCGCGGTTGGGGCTCCTCGTTCACATCGAAGCGTAATGGAGGGGGAGCAGAGGGAGCGACAGCGTTGCGATCTTCGTGGCGTGGGTAGTTGCGCTGATACACGGTATCAACACAGGTATTGCGCGTCAATGGTAATGCCAAATTCACTGTGGTTGGCCATTCTGGGTCCTCAGGGTGTACCCATGGACAGTTTTGCCACCCAGCATGGCAATCGCTGATAGGATTTTGGGAGTCGGGATTGCGCACATACTGCAGCATCGTTAACGGGTTGCATTGATGACGAGACAGTGGCGCACCCTGCAGCGCACTCGACGTTTTTGCAAGGTCATGATTGATAACGGTAGGCGCACCAAAAGCACACTTCCTCACGGTGGCGAGAGTCAAAAGTGGCTTCGTCAGGCTTCGTCGCTGTTCGTGGCGGCGCGTGCATCAAGAGTGACCAAAAGGAGATGTCTGCGCGTTCGATACTGTTACAGCAGATGCAGTAACTTTACAAGCTTCAAGCTTACTCAAGAGGGCTTGTTGCTAGCCAACGGCCACGAATTTTGTCTGCATCGCTACACCAAATGTTTCCATTCGCATTATACAAAGCTACCATGTCCCACTCAATGACATCCAATCTCGCAAGATCGTCGCGCGCTCCGTCCCAATCTGCCGTGTCATCTCATCCTGGCGAGTGATGGGTAGATGCTCGAAGTATGCAATCAGATTGCCGTCCAGGATACCCTTCGAAAGCGGTCGCGAGACATGCTCGTTGCGCACGATTCTGATGGCACGCATCTGGTGAGCGAAGGTCAAGACGAATCTGGGATGAACTCACCTCAAGGCTTTGGGGTTCAGGCCGGCAACGTGCTGCATATTTCGAGTGAGCTGCAGCTGTAGCGGCTGTAATCTCTTTGCCGCATCATCGGGCACGGGTGTCAAGCAACTCAGGGTGCCGTCGGTGCCACCTGTACGAGCATAAGATGCTACTGTCGATGGGGGCGTGAGGTCGCTTACCGAAGATGAGGATACCCTGCGGTATAATAGGGTCGTCCTTGGTTCTTCTTGCGATCAAGGTCGATGTCCTGAAGTCCGTATGCAGGTTGAACTCAGTCTGCTTCAGCAAGAGTCGGCCGTCGTGCGAGTCGGGTGCTTTTCACGGTGAATGTCAGCCCATGAAACGAAGAAGGGAGTCTTTCCCTCACCTTCGGGGTCGTAGTTATACATGCTCATCACTCCATTTTCGTCTGTGGTCACAATGGCCAGCGCTTCCTCTGCGAAGAAGAAGTCGACTGTGGTGGCACACATGCGGCTGACGTCCCTTCCCAGGGTGACGAGCTTATACGGGTCTTCCTACAGTACTTGCGTCACCAAGGAGAGCATCTGAAGCAGGAACATCCTAACCTGGAAGGCGACAAACTGGATCCCTCGCACGACGTCTCCGATGAGGAGCAGGTTCTTGAGAGCGCGCAGCGATGTCACGTATACACCGACGTCCATGAACGCAACCCCAACGAGTCGCTCATCAAGGTCGAAGGCGCGAACAAAAATCTGCAGACAGTAAGTTCCACGCTACTGGCCCGCATCGATGACTAACCTTCTGTCCCATCGAAGAGACCAGATAGTTGTTAATGCCGCACAGGGCTGTCACCGGGCCCTTCGCATCGTCACGACACCGAAGCTTGAGCCTGTACCACCGTTTCGGACCATTGCTCTGGTCGGGGACAACCTCGACGACCTCAAAGATGTATGTCTGACAATCAAGATATGAGTTGCGTTCATGAGATGAATCTGCACCTATACTCACCGCGCCCTTCACCGCGAGATCCTCGCCGCGAACAATGCTCGTGCCAACAGCAATGAAGTGCTTCACACCGGCCTCCGTGCTCACGGTCTCGAGAGGCACACACTCCATCGTGTTTACGAACTCATTCGTGGCGAATTCGTATCCGTCGACTGTCGCCCAGACCTCAGGGGAGATTAACTCCAGCGTGGAGCACTCAACGGTGGGCTCTGTGATACCGGGGCCTGGACGATGGTGAGGCCTTGAAAGGTTGTCAGGTAGGTCTGCTCACCATCAGGTGCCCATATTTGATTGCCATCTTCGTCAAAGGACGCGAATCGTGCACGCAAGGAGGCGGCAGCGACGATCATCGACGACGCAGGTTCGTACACAATATTTGAGTACGCTCGCCCCCGAGGGATATGGCGCATAGGTAATGGTCGACCAATTTCGTACTCCGTTATCCACTCGCACAGCGTTTGACCCTATCCGTGTTGTGATGCATAATTCGAAAATAAGTTTTCTCATACGCACCTCCTCACTATAAATCAGGAACTCTGTGGACCTCTCCCACAGCGTACACGCACTGAACGCATACACCGCCGCATGCCCTGACGGGTACATCTGCACCCCGCCCTTATCCGTCGCCACAATCCAATGTGGCCTGTCCCCCGTGAAGAACACGCCCGCGGGCGCCCCCGCGCAAGCGAAAGGCACGAAGGTGCGCAGGGCCTTCTTCTGCTCCGCGAGAATGCCCTTCTCCGTCTCGTCGGTGCGCTGCATCTCGAAGGCCTTCGAGGCAATCTTGACGAATTGGATCTGCAGGCTGCTGGCGCGAGGCTTAAGCGGAGGCTCGACGATGGGGGCTTGATTGGTCGCGAAGGCTTCGTAGATGGCGAGGTGGCCGCTGCGGAGGAGAACCTACGAAAGTGTCAGATAGGCTGGTAACATACAACGAAGGGCGCACGAGGAGGTGTGGCTTCGGGTCAGACTGTCCAAGGTTGGTGAGCAGGATCTGCTCGATGTCGAGCTCTTGCGGTTTGCGCGGTGGATCCTGAGGCGGTGAGAGTGCTGGTGGCTCTTGAGAATCGGTCAGGACATTCTGCAGTGTTGCCAGGAGCGTAGTCGAGAAGACCAGGGTCAGCTTGGGCAATGTCCAGATCTAGTGACAGGGGTCAGATGAATAATGATGGATAACACCGTATCCACACACCTCGACTACGCCCTGTGGGCGCACAAGCACCAACCACTGGCTCTTGGACGAGGCGTCGACAACGGAGTGCATAGGAATCGTTGTCTCCGTGTTCGCATCGGCGTTCTGGTGGTATACCCTAAAGACGCTCGCAGTGTCGGTGAAAAAGCCACCAGCTGTATAGCGAGACGACTATCCTCATATTCAGTACAGTTGGCTGCATCGCCATCGCAAGTATCATACCTTCTCCCCCATGGGCGACATGTCTTTCCGCCTGATCTTGCCGCGGGTCGTCTCTCCAATGAACAGCCCAATCGTATCGTCCTCGCGGAAGATGAGCACATACGGGTCGCAGATGCTGCACGACTTGATCTTGGCACGGGGCACGTTGCCCTCCATGTCCTTGATTATCTGACGCTCGTTGCCGTCTGCGGAGACCTCTCAGCACAACCGGCTTCTAGGAGCAATAATCAGGTCATACCTGGTTCAAGCACTCGTATCGCGTTCGTCATGACGTGAAGTATAGCCGTGCGTTGAAAGAAGGGGCCCGCGCCAATGGTCATGCCGTTGACGCGAGAGACGACGGAGAGATCGCCCTTCGTAGCGCGAACGGCCAACTGCGCGGGACATCAGCTATTCAAATCTCAGACGCTCAGCGGCAACACATACGCGAGAGAAACCAGGGGAGGGGTTGGCATCCGTACTAATGATGAGCGTGTCGTGTTCGGCCACAGCTGCGCTGCTACTTCTGCGTATAGGCAGCGACCAGACCCCGCGCGCACCGCTGATGATTGGTAGCTTTTTCTTTTTCCGCAAGGGCAGATCCTTTTGGAACAGGGTGAAGCCGCCCAAATGACCCGAACCGGTCGCAGTTACTAGTTCAGCGACGGGGCGATCCTGCAAATGTATGTTAAAACTTGCCTGAAGGTACAGATGCGCTCACGTACACCATTCTTGCCAACCGTGAACGTTAGATCGGCTATGGGACCATACGCAGGTAGGGCATCGCAGAAGGATAGTCGAAGCACAGACCGTGTCTTCTTGCTCATCGGCGCCGCGCTCTCCTTCTGAGACGTGCCAGTCTTAATGATCGAAGGTCCATAGATATCTTCAGGAAAGAGATCGCATTGAATTTTACGAGGACAAACAGGTAAACATATAATGACTGACCGTCATCATCGTCATCCATCTCGATGTCCTGCTGCTCGAGCGCAGCCACGGACGTGTTAGCTTCCATGTCCACGTCGTCGTCAATCACTTCTTCTACCCAGCTTGTGCTTAGAAGTGCAGAGTCTCCGGAGGCGCTGCCAACCAGGAGATAGTCATTATTGATGCGACGGAGTATGGAGGGGATCGTCGTCTTCGCGAGAGGGGTGCCAAGAGCCAGCTTTGAGACTACACGTCCTGCGGTGACGAGCTCGACAGGATAAATTGTGCCGTCCTTGAGGATGATGAAAGCCGTCTTATCGTCGACGAAGATCGAGCGAGAGCCCTCCAGCTCCAACGTGCGTGCTTGTTCCTCGGGAGTAAGGTTCGTAGGTAGCGCGATGTCGCTCATGCGCGGGATCCAGGCATTGACAGGAAGGACGACCTTACGGCCGGACTGGTCGACGTAGATGATGGAGTTGCTCGCTACAACCATGACACCGCCGGTGCTTGGACAAGCCAGGACAGATAGACAGTCGCAAGGAAGGCCGGTGGCCAGTCCTATGACGGGGTACCTTCTGTTGACGATGTCGAGGGTGAAGAAAGCCATTTTGACGGTGTCCTTTTGCTCGTTCAGACGACTGTAAGTGTGTAAGTCAGGTGAAGTCAGAGGCGGAGATGTAGCGGTGTTCGTACCCTGTCCATGTCTGGTACGTCTCATACAAGACGGCGACAGTAGGATTACTGAAGCCAGGGAGGAACGTGAAGTCAATGACGTTACGTATCCCAGACTCGACCTCGCTTGGGAGGTTGAGAATGAAGCTAGGTGAGTACGGTACGTCTCTGCATACAGAGTCAGAAACCTGACAAGGGCTGGTCAAAAGATCGTCATACTTCGACTGGACCTGCTCCTGGTCCATCATGTCGATATCCTCTTGCGTTTGGTAGAACGGAAGGATAGCGAAGGCATCCTTTGGCAAAGACAACGCAGCGCAGCGTGACTGTGGGTCTACGCGCAGCTCAGAGGTGAAAGCTGAGATATCAGTGGCGACCTGTCGCTTCGTGTCAGCTCAGTCAGACATTTACGCGAGCAAGGCAATATACCATCTGGATGGCACGTTCGTAAGTGTGGATGGAGACAGTCAGCAGATCTTGTGTAGCAGTTGACCATTCCAGGAGGGCAATCTACGAAGCTTGTGAGGCCACCATCAATTGTATCGTCGGGTGCACCCACTTTCGCATCTTTGAATGATACCAGCAAACGGTCCAAATGATCTTCAAGGGAGGATATGATCTTGACTGCCTGAAGACCAGTGACAACACCGTGAAGACGGTGCTCGCGAACAAGATGGAATTTCGTGGATAACGGCTGCGCTTGCGCGCTCGTGCTCGGAGGCTATACAATGAGAATCAGAGTCTGGGTACGTCTTCTTGCTCAGTGAACGCACCTGAACAACGGGCGTTTGCCGCTCCTCCTTTACGCCTTCCATCGCATCGTCCTTCTTCTGACTTTTCGCCTCAGTAGGTGATTTGCTCGTCGCCGTTTCTTCTCGGACTTCATATATGCTCAAAGTGTTCCCTCTTGCCGTCACGACGTTGCAGAGCACCTCCCGACGCGAAGACTGGCCTAGAGTCGAGGGCGTCAACTTGAGAGTTGCGGCAAACTCGACACCACTGGGAGGAAGCCATTCTTCGTAAAGTGCATGCATCGTAGTAGAGTGTCAGGAGGTCCTTGTCGTCGTGCTCGCCAGCGCCGTGAACTCCGTCAGACGCGTCGACGTCGTTGTCGGCGAGTGAACAAGCACTCATTGCAAACGCGCTCTCGCGATCGTCGCGGACCAGCCTGCCGTCACTTTCTCACGCCTCTCGGACCGCGGCGCCGAGGACGCTTCGACGACTGTGACAGTGTAACTTGCCGACACAGTGATGAGTCTTCCATTCTTCTTTGATCTTTGCTCCCAGGGCCTTCACAGCTTTGGTAGGCCCTCCAGCACTATATAAACGACGGAGTGCAGTAGACGAGGCCTCCCAGACACCATGCGCATGCCGACTCTCGCGTACTTCTTCGCTGGCTACGATCTGGAGCTTTCGAGGGATAATCGCTCGACCCTCCTCTTTGCCCTCGCCGCGTACGCTGCCTATGATTTCTACGGTGCAACTGTGGCGCCGGTCTCTGCTCAGCTTAGGGCCGCGTTCAGACTGAAGGGGACTCTGGCGCGAGCAGGTACGTCTGCCGCGCATACGCGATCAATGAGGCTCCCCCAACTGAACGATCTTTCAGGGCAGATGCATAAGGCTCCCCTCGTTCCAGGGGTCAGCATCTCCTCCGAGCTCTTTCAGAGGACGCTTCAGTACATCATCACTCGGGCCTGCTACCTTGTCGTTGTCGCCTTCGCCACTCGTACAGTGATCCTCGTGGCAATGGTGGCCCTCCGCGCCTTGCAGCTCACCTCCGCCAAGGCAGACCGTGCGATAAATGATGCTTTGAAGGATAGCAGGAACGCTGGACCCTCATCTGACCATCGTGTGTCGCCACTTGACGCCGATGACGGATTCCCTCAGTCTCCCGCAGGCGGTGGTCGGGGTTGGGACCTCCCACCCTCAGTTAGTCTCCAGAGCTTTGTGGACCTTGCCGCAATCAGCATGGTTGTGACATGTGTCTCCGTGCTCTGTGCTGCGTTCCTGCGCGCAGATGGCACGCCTCTCATTCCGGGGACGCTCGCCACGCTGCGTGCCGTGATCCCCTGGCACGCTGGTGCTCTCGTTGTGCTTGTCGCTTCAGCGGCGTGCACGCTCGCGGTCACGCCATTTGCCGTCCTGTCTGTGTTCAATCTGTGGCAAGCCTGGCGCGCCGGGTTGCCTACGCCGCAGATATTCTCGTGGGCCAGGGGGCGCGGCTCATCGGATGGTCAGGCAATCACAGCGACGGGCTCTAAGGCTGCCGAGCATGTGGGGGGTGGGACGAGGATGAGGGCGGTCAATGGTCGTGCTGACTGATGCTGTTGTATCGTAGCCTCATTTGCATTGTATTGTCAGGATTCAGTCACGTCGTGCCTTCGACATCAACAAGGAAGGGCGGGACTAACGTTCGTTACTTCTGAGTCCAGACATAATATAGCAAGATATCTTGATCCGTATGGCACTCAGTGGCACCAATCCAGTCCCGGAAGATCCTCCATGAGATAACTGCGCCACCGTTTGTGGGTCCAAGGCCAATCCAAGGCGCCCACACACGCGTTACTGCCCACGCGATTATCTTATCTTGATGAACGCTGATAGTAATTCTATCACGGCACCCCTCTCGTGCCGCCCGAAGCACGTCTCTTGCCTCCCACCTCCACGCACTTTTCCCTAGCCGCTGCAGACTAAGACCCTCAATTTTGAGCATGTCACGTCCACCCATCAGCGAAGACAAGACTCTCGCTGGCATCGCCGTTGATCCCTACACCCAGCAGCGTGTCATCCCCCAGTCCCGAAGACCAGATGGATCGTGCGTGGTGTAATTCGTGGCACAAACGACCTACTGACATATCCCCCTCGACGTCACCTCTACTCATGCTGCTTATACCTGCCTTCTTCTCTCATCATGCACTCGCCCACTCATCACCCTCGCCACATTCACCACCCCTCAGAGTCCGCAAGGAAATCAAGATCCGCCCTGGGTACACACCTCAGGAGGATGTGAAGCGCTTCCGAGGTACACGCCAGGCTCAGATGGACTCCAACCAGCTCCCCAAAGGCCACATTATCGGCTGGGCGCCCCCATCTGGTGCCTCTGCATCCAAGAAGCCCGGCGCGGCTGGCGCCTCGAAACCTGGTGCAGGTACGTCTCAGCCCATTCATATGTGCTCAGTACGAGAGCTGACGAAAATGCAGCTCCAGGCTCCGGCGTCGCCCTAAGTAAGAGCGCGAAGAAGAACGCGAAGCGCAAAGAGAAGCGCGCGGAGGAGCACGCGCAAAAGATCAAGAATAATTGGGAGGACGATGATGAGGATGAGCAGGATGCGAGCAAGAACGTGAAGGAGGGGAAGGCAGGGAGTGCGAGGCCGGAGAAGGCGCCGGACGCGGCGGAGCAACTCGCGGAGGAGATGGATAAGTTAGACGTGAAGAAGTAGGCGTCGTGGGATTCGGACCCCCATCACGTCCCTCTAGGTATGTGGCGATTTGCACAACGCATTCGCGCTGTGCCCAAATTCGTTGCTCTGCAGGACATCCAGTGGTTCGGATTGATCTAGCTATCTCGATATATCGCCCACCCATTGACGGGAGTGCCATTGTCCTTTGTTGTTGTGATATTATTGTACACTTATCATGGGTGGATGCAGCTCGCGCTATCCAAGTCTGCGTTCAGCACGCACAGAAACTATCTAGAACCAACAAGTAACAAGGAGAAGTAGATGAAGATAAGGCCAGGACTCGGAGCCATTACGACCCTCCAAACCGCGCCAGCCTCATCCTCCTAATCTCATCTACACTCGGTGCCGGTGCAGGTTCAGGCGCATCCGACGACGCATCAAATGACGCCTCGGACTTCTCATCCTCTTCCCTTGCAGGCGGCGCCAGACTTGACGAAGTCGCCGCAGGTGCTGGCGGTGGTGGCGCAGCCGGCTTCCTCGTCTCGAACTCGGGCGGTGGCGTCCACCCCTCAGGCAACCCCTCCATCGATGCCTTCAAGGCTGCCTGCAACTCGGCATCCTCGTCGTCGTACACTCTGTGCCCTGCCGGGCGAGTGGTCGCCGGCGGGATCGCCGGGGGCCTCCCCGCGGGCGTGTGGCTGACATCCTCGTCTTCATCGTCGTCCGGTATCGAGTGGCCCTGCGCCCTCGCCATTGCCTCGCTCTCCGCGATGGCGCGTCGGAGCATCTCCTCTTCCTCTTCGTACTCGCGATTAGGTCGCCCTCCGCCTGCTGCGAGCAGCTCTTGCTGCGCCATCTGCTGCTCGCGCTGCATCTGCGCGAGTAGTCGCTGGTTCCGCGCTGCGCTAGTTTCGACGGAGCCTCTGGGTTCCGAGGTATCCACCACATCGTGCATATCATTCCTGTCCCATTCGTCGTCGTCATCCTCTTCCTCTATGAGATCACCGGGTATAGGGCGCGATGCGAAGTCCTGGGTAGCTGGTCCTGGCCTGTTGAAGGGAACGTCGAATTCGTGATAAGCGCCCCCTAGCGAAGCCTGCAACGCCGCTTGCAATTCCATGTCTTCGTCTTCAAGGCCGTCGATGTGTCCGAAGGGCGACTTGTGGTCTCCGCCGGGCATCCTTGTCGAGGACGCGCGAGGCGCAAACGCATTTTCTGGCACAGCCCTCGCGAGCTCGTCCGCGTCCGTGCGAGGAATCTCGATTGGCGCGTTAGGGTTCTTCTGGCGAACGACAAAGACAGAGTAGCCTTCGAAGAACACGGAAATTAGACATTATCTACGAGGGACTCGCAGTGTGGCGCGCACCTTCGGTCTCGGCTTGCTGGATGAACATGCCCAAGTAAAGCTTGCTGACCCATTGCGGGGACTCGTTGAAGGAATTGAGGTCGAACCAGTGACCGCTTGTAGAGCCAACTGTGAGCTCTCCGAACCGTCGGAGGGTGTACCAGTGCTGGTTCTGATTGAAGATGAACGCGATTTGGGCCCTACATGCAGGTCAGACCTAGTAACGATCATGCAAATGTTTACACGCACTCAGGATGATCCTGGAACGACCGCATCTCCTCGCTCCGCCATCTCGTTAATCTACACCAGTTAGGTTAACACTAGGATTGGACAAGACGAATGCTACAACGCACGTCAGATTCCACACATCGACTGCCCTGTCAAGGACCTGTACGGAGAAGAAACCCGTATCATCCATGTTCGTGCTCGTGGTCCCGGTATTATCGTCGTCGTAACTCATCTCGAGATCATCGAGCTGACGCGCGTGCTCTGAGAGATCGGGCGCGGTGAACTGACAAGATGATCGCGTTGAGCTTTGGAATTGATACAGGACAGTATAAGATACACACATATGGCCCCTCTGGAGGACAGGTAAGCTACATATAACGCGCACTCCATGACACAGCACTCACGTAGGAGCGCGTTAAGCGCATGTTGGGCGCAGAGCATTGACCCCGGCTGCTGTTTCTCGTGATAGATCAGCGGCACCAGGTCATCGAGGGTCGCCATCGTAGTCTTCTTCGGTTGAGGGAGCAAGGGGTAGTAGTGGGAGGTTGCGAGATGGGAGTTGTGGTCAAGCCCGATTGATCGTTTGGCGCCACTCATAGACGCGTGACGCGTGATGTTCGAGAGACGCGCGTCGATGAGAGCGCGTCGCCCTTCCCTATGCGAGAATGCTAAGGTGAATTTCCCTCATAGCAGCTCAGAGAAGTGCAATGAGCATAGCTCATATTTCATGAGCGGCGTAGGTAATTATACATTGGATCTATTAGTGAAGTACAAGGTGCTCGCACCCGCGCGTGCTGTAGCTTCAGTGGTCTCTAAAGTTAATAAATATCCTCCATGAGGGGTATGGGATAGAGCTTGTTGCGATGTTGTAGTCCTAGTCGACGGATAGCTGAGTGGCCCATAATTGGCTACCAGCGCCTCCGTGCCGCGCACAATCGCTAGCTCAGCAGATCAAGTCCACTCGTCGTGCTCTCTCTCCCCTTCTCCGCGAGGTTGGCCTATATCCATATGCCCTCTGGGCATGAGGCCTATGCCAGCACTCTGCATCATGGGAGGAGCCTGAGGGGCGACAGGCGGTGGGGGCGTAGGCCGAGGGCTGAGCTCCATGCCGAGCACGACGGTGATGATGAGGACAGCCAGCGTAGCTGGGAAATTGAGGTGAGAGATAGCCACACAAAGAGAACGCTGGGCACTCACTGACGGCGCGTCGCATGTTCTCCCACTTGTTCTCTTCGACAAGCGTCCGAAGGTCACTGACGCTCACGATTGCCTTGTTCAACAGGCCCTCGATAGCGATATCCTGCTGCTTGATCTGCGACCTAGCCTCGTTCTTCCGCGTATCGAGCTCCATCTGGATCTCGTGCTTGAGCGTGCCAATGTCCTCCTTCATCTTCACGTCAAGGCGGTCGACCTCGCGCCGCAGCGCGCCTGAGGCCGTGCGTATGGCAGCCGAGTCATTCTTTGTGTTCATCGTGATCTCAGCACGAAGCTCGGAGATGGCGGCGCGAAAGAGATACGCTTGCTGCAGGGGAGGGGGAGTGAGGAGAAGGACACAACGCGCGTCGCGGGATCACGCACGTTGTCCAGGTCCTTGCGGGTAACAGCCTCCCGGCGCACGCGCCCTATACGGTCGACGAGGAGCGCTCGTGTTGCACGCATAAGATGCCGAGCCGTGCTTGGGGGGAAGGTCTTCTCGAGGGCGGCATAGAAGGCATGCGTGTGGAAGGGTGGAGGAGTATACGCTGGCTGCATGTACGTGGGTACTGGGACTGGGAGGTTGTCCCCCTCGTGAGGGATCTCATGTTCTTCGCCCCGACCCGCCTGTATTATAGGTGGAGGTGGTGGAGGAGGGCGCGAGGAACCGGCTTGCGTCGAGGAGCCTGGGTCCTTGGGGTGCGGTGCCATATTGATACTGCTCCCTGAGGACGAGGGGTCACCCATGGTGTGCGCATCGCGAGTGGCGATTAGGACCGGTACGGGCAAGTTCGCAGAGGAAGTTGCGTAGGCTTCTGTGTGCAAGGAGCGCGAAAGACGACCGAACTGTCGAATGATGTTGTTCATAGAGGAGGACGGAAAGATAAGATTAGAGAGAAGGCGAGAAGGGAGCTGGGTGACTGAATTGAAGTGACAGAGTGAGTAGAGATCGATATAAGCCGGAACGCAGTAGTGTTGCCGAAGATCCGATTTCGAGTCGAGTCGAGTTAGAAAATGCGAAGAAATAGAAACGATCCGAGTCGAGTTGAGTCGAGTTCAGCTCGATCATTTCCATCAATATAGTCGGACTTTGCCGATATGCCCTCTGGCGTGCAGCCACAATGGTTCCTGCACGCAGAGAGGGTATGGCCCCCGATAGCTCTTGAGAATTGGAGTGGTACCCACCTTTTTGAGTGCCTAGAAGCATAGTAGACACACACTGCAGCCAGGTCCCTTTGAGAAAGGGTATCAAGTCGAGCAGTCACGTGCCTTCAACGCCATTTTGGAGGAAAGAGGGCATTTCTAGATATAAAGGACATTCGATGGACTACTTTGGGCTCATATAGTTGCATTATAAGATGCCACTTGGTAAACTAGAGGCGCCATTGCGCCTGCCTTGGTCGAAGGCAGCGAGACCGAAATTTCTGGAAGTTCCTGCGCCTTCGAGGGGAAGAGGTACAGCGCGGTCGCCTCGACCTCTCGGGGCCTCAGACGAAATATTCTCCGAGACATAGCAGCGCCAGAACCTGCAGCTTTTCTCAAGAGCAGGCATCGAGGCGTACAGGCAGTGGCCGAGTATATCAGCGAATTTCGAGAATCGAGTTGGGATTCGATCCGAGTTGCCATCAACTCGCATGCCTATTCAGGCAAGCGATCTCAACTCGACTCGGATCGCCACCCGAGTTAGCTCGGATCGTCGACAACACTAGAACGCAGCAGGCGGAGAGTCGGAGCACGCGCGCAGGCATGACGCGGGGCCCGACCCCTCAGCGCCACATATTGCCATAAGCGCGAGATTCCATTGTCCGGCGATTTTATCACGTCCTTGTTCTCGCCGCTGTCATGCGCTACGCCGTTCTCGTCACTGGGCCAGCCGGCGCCGGAAAGACGACGTTCTCAAACTCGTTCATTACCCATTTGACTGCGTCTAAACGTACGGCACACCTTGTCAACCTCGACCCTGCCGTGAATCCTGCTAGCTTCGAGTATGAGCCTGCGATCGACATTAAGGACCTTGTCAGCCTTGAAGATGTCATGTCTGAGCTGAATTATGGTCCAAACGGCGGTCTCGTATACTGCTTTGAGTGAGTGAGTGCTTTGAATTCTACGCGTCGCGACAGCCGCTAACAAGAGGTTCGCAGGTACCTGCTCGAGAATATGGACTGGCTCGACGAGGAACTGGGCGGCTATGATGACGACTACCTCATCTTCGATTGCCCTGGTCAAATCGAACTTTATACGCACCATCCCTTTCTGCCGACGCTCGTCAAGCATCTCCAGCAAATGGGCATACGGACAAGTGCTGTCTACCTGATCGAGTCGCAATTCATGGAAGATAAGTACAAGTTCTTCAGGTGAGTAATTTACTCCTCTCCCTTTCAAGTTTTCGTCAGCTAAACTTCGGCAAGCGGTGTGCTGTCGGCTATGTCGGCCATGGTCAACCTGGAAATCCCTTGGATCAACATCATGTCCAAAATGGACCTGGTTACAAGCCAACATAAGAAGAATGAGGAGGGCTTTGAGGAGCCCAGAAATGGTCTGCGCGTTCGCAGAGACATTGCACGGTACGTTTCGAGGCACAAATAGCACGGCAAAGCTTATTGTTGGGCAGATACCTTGACCCTGACCCCATGCTACTTGCCTCGCGGCGAGGGCTTGAGGGTAAAACTGAGAACCCCAAGTTCCACGCCCTGAACCAGGCCATAGTGCAACTTGTGAGTCCCCGTCTTTCGTCGCTCACTTTCGAGGGATCGTTGATATCATATGTAGATCGAGGAACATCCGCTAGTGTCCTTCCTCCCCCTTGACCTGACGGACACGGAATCCCTTGAAATGGTTGTATCGCACATCGATCATACAATGCAGTATGGGGAAGACGAAGAACCGAAAGAGCCCCACGACTTGGACGAGGGCGATTTCGCAGAGCTCGAGTGAGGCGTAGTCGGCCAGGAAGTACCCTGAAAGATATGTACCATAGCGCGTGTACTATAGAAGACGGGAATGCTGTGTGGCATTACGCTTCACGGCTATATTGTGGGCGTGCGGTCGACTGTCGGCTACACGTGTAGCGCTAATATACAGTCACATCAGCACACGAATGATCTTGACCAATCTTGACCTCGAGGGTGAGCAGACCCTGAGCCGTCTTTTCGATCGCGTTCCCACCTTGTCTGGTGCTTGTCTCTGACCATGTCCTACTACACGCCGAGTCGTGCGCATTCGCATCGCAGTCACAGCCGCTCGCATTCACACTCGTATCCAGCGTCCCCATACTATGACCCCAACATGAACAATGGCTACCAGCAACAATACCAGACTCCGGGCACTCCCTACTACCCCGGCACGCAGCCCTCAATGGGTGTCCCCATGCCCCAGCCGACCGTCTACCAGAACGGATACGGGGGAGTCGCGCAGACGCAGCCGACCATGGTCTACACGCCTTCCTCGCACCGTAGCCATAGCCGCAGGCATGGTCGACGCCACTCCAGCCGTCACCACCGTCACCATTCAGAACCGGTGGTGATGAACGTCCCTACTGGTGGTGTGTCCCCCACGATCATCACAGTGCGTCTATCAGCCTTTCAACTGAGATTAGCTACTGACCCTATACGCCACAGACGGGTTCACACCGCTCGCGACGCTCCCACTCGCGGCACGGCAGGCACCACTCTAACATCCAGGTTATCCAGCCGCAGGCGCAGTATGGTGGTACCCAGCAGTACTATCGCAAGGATTCGTTCGGGGAGCGGCTCAAGCGATTCTTCGGCTTCGGGCACCCGCCTGGGGTGAAGCACGAGTCAAAGAACAGCTCCTGGGGATTCCTGGGTCACTCCAAGCGGCGCCGCTACATCGATCTCAACACGGGTATGGAGGTCGACAGGCGCGGCCGCCCCATCATGCGCGTGTAAAGTCCTCGAAGGGGGACTCGAAGCAAAAAGGGAGCCATCACGCTATGGCAGCGATGGATCGGGCAGGGTCGGTTGGGGCGTACGGTGCCACCTGATGCATTCGGGTCGCCGCTGGGGAATTGTGTGCGTGCGTTCGTCGATCTTCGTCGTCGCATGTTGTACTATATACGCTGCTTTGCCTGTTGTACTTACTTACCTTGGGATGTTAGAGACAGCTCGCATCCCACTGCACGATGTAGATATGGCCATCGGACTTGTGTGTGGTTACTTGTCTTATTCTAGCTGGAAGATCCCTTTTATGTACCTGACGTAGCTCACGTTCCGAATATACCTTCACGATGTTCACGTTCATCAAGGCTTGATTCGACCTGCGGCGCTTCGAGCGGTCGCGCCTTGCAAGTCATGATCTCAAGTGAAATCAGATATTTAATACTCTAATTCCACATCTGTATCTGTACCCCAAATGAGTACTTAGAAGGACCCAACGTCCTTGAACCAAGCATTCACAGGACGGGCAGACTTCGCATCGTCGGACGCCGCCGAAGACGAGTCCGCACGACGCGCGGGGCCGACCCTCTTCTCGCCTGTGCTTCGCTTACGCTCGGCAGGCTTCTTCCACTTCGCCAGCCAGGTCGCCATTGACTTCAGTGCGCCCTGCTGAACAGCATTGACGGTAGGGTCCGCTCTACCCGAAGATGCGCCCAGGTCCGAGCAGTGGATGCCGTCGCTGATCATGATGGGCTGCTCAGCCGTACTGGCGACATTGAGGCCACTGGCAGACATCGTGGCTTCACGCCATGGGTCCTCTGGGGATCCGTCAGCGACTCGCGCGAATTCAAGGTGGAATCAATAGACAACATACTGTGACCATTGGCGAAGAAGAGGCGCTGCTCGCGGACATCCCATCCCTTGTACTCGGTGTTGGTCCGATTGATTTGCGTTACCGGCGGCTCTGGGAACGCCTCCGGGAACATGTACTGGCATTGGCGCTGTGCATCGTCAGCAGATGAATTATCACGGTAAACTCGGGTCGTACAAGATCGTACTCGGGATGTACGAGGCGGGTTACGAGCGACGGATGGTCCTCGGGTGCGCCGTCCTGCATAGTCTCAGTACCGAGGCCTCATCGGCGGAAGTGAAGGAGCGCACCTGTAGGAAACCCACTTCGTTGCAACTATCAGAGCGTGAGTCCAATTCAGCACCTGTAACAACACCAGACAACTTACACAATCCAATACCAGGACCGATAGGCTGAATATTCACGTGAGTTGAGGGACCACAGGTTGACGACGCGAACCTCACCTTGATCTACGAGCCAAGTCAGTCTTGTTTCAATTACAACAGCTCGTTATATGCTCACCTATGGAAGTGTCCGTGTAGTACGTCTGGGTAGGATCATACGTTCCGAGGCATGTCCTGCGAATCGATCAGTCAGTCAGTCCTGTCTTGTCAGTCGCAGGTGCACCCACTCAGCGTCAGTATCGCCGCAAACTGGATACCCATCTTGTGAGAGGAAGCAAGCCGCCAAGTAGGATCACGTACGGCTTGGAAGATATGTGTTCTTGAAGTACGAAGACCAAGCCGCAAAGGCGTGCTCAAGCCCAAAGCCCTCTTCCGGCGCAAGCGTGCCACTGGCGTCGACCTCGAGGGCGTCGCAGAACTGGTAGAACTGCGCTACACCAGGGAATCAGCACGGGTGCGGTGTGTGAAACTGACAACGAACCGTTCGGCCCAGATGTGATCTGCAGGCTTTGCCAATCCCACAAGTTGTTGCGCACTAAGAATCCACATGAGCACCGCGTCCGAGTTGGCGGCATTTGGGGGCTTACGAGCGCCAGCCGCATCATCGAGGTGTGTGATTGCGCCCAATCCAAAGGCATCCTTGACTTCTTCGATGGCAGTTTGGTTCGTACCAGTGAATACTTCGTCGACATAGCTGATAACAGCTTGAACGTCTGCTGAGCAGTTCTTCGGCATGTTTTCCCTGATGGGTTCGAAGTAGGCCCAGAAGTCCCTGAATTCCATCAGCAGAGCATATTCTGAAGAGTTGTCCTTCTTACAAGATCGCTTCCACCACGGCGGAGCTTGCGTAGCCCGCCCAGAAAACGTCGCCCGTGCTGGATTGACTTCAGTAATCAACACGAGGTACTCCCGCGCCCGTTACTTACTCGACTAAGGTCCAGCTGGTAAGCGCACCAGAGTAACTTCCGCCGACAAGGATCCAGGGAGCATTGTCCGGGCCAACCTGATCACCATTCGGCATTGGAAGCTTCACGTTCTCGGCGAAGTACACGAGATCGTCGATGGCTTGCTGGATAGTGTGCACTTTCAGGCTGTTCACGGTCAGGTCGGAGTACGGGTTTGAATACCCATAAAAGCGATGCTCGAGGACGATTGTGCTTCCGTTCTGCTGTTGCGCAATCAGGCCGTTGATCGTCCGGTTTGTAAGGTATCCGTCGTATCCATCAGCATTACCCTCGCCAGGGGTCGAGAGGATGATGGGGCCGCCTAATGCGCTCCAATGAGCTCAATTGCTGAAGGTGTTCGCGGCCATGGACTCACCCTCCTCGTAGAACTCGTAGGTGTGCCAGTAGCGCTGCTGAAAGGTGCCTAGTCCTGGATTGTTATGATCTATGGATGTCTTGTTCAGTGTCTGTTTATTTGGGATACGTTTCACACACCGATGAGCTGGTCGAAGTAGTATACCGTGTCGTATGGTGGCAATTCCGTGCCATTACGACTGACGACAGGCCCTACACTCTCCATAGGCACCTTGGGTACCTGCGGATGAGGCATCATATTGCCGTGAGCGCGTCCATCGTGAAGGCGCGCCTGAGATGCACGTAGTCCGGCAATGAGTACAGCTGCATGGAGAAGCAGTTTGCGAGCGCTGAGGCCTGCCATCGGAGCGAGAAGGACGAGACACGATTGGCAAGCTGTAGAGCCTCTTTATAAACTCCGGATGTCCACTCTATCGGCCTGAGAGATCTCAGGGCCATTTGCATGGCGGGTCCTTGTGGTAGGCTTCTTAATAGAGCGTTATCTGGGTTCGAGAAGATGTGCTGGCCAGCCGCGGGTGGGCGCGGCGGTAATATGCCGGTCTATAGCAAAGTGATGGTCCAAGCTGTGGAGGATGTCGGTAGAGCGCGTACATGCTCATTGTGTTAGGACGCGAGTGTGGGGCCTCATAGTGATTCATCGTTGGTGAGCTCGTAATTTGCTGCCAGTGCACGGTCGTTGTCGCTCCTCGCCCCGCTGTAGGCGGAACGAAGATAGCCTGTTGACAGCAGAGATTCCATGTATGCTCAGCATCACTTGCAGAACCATGGGGTGTATTTGCGTGATGTTCGTACAGACACAAGCCTTCCGTCCAGTCCGGGGGTCCCATGCTTCGACTAGGTACCGTAGCATGCGTCGTCCATCAGCGATAAGCAAGCAGAGAATGACTTGACGAAGGAAAACCATATCCCTCAGCAAGGTATGAAGCTGACGGCGGCCACTGGCGCATGGCAGCAGACGTTGAACACCACGGCAATCCCCGGGGCGGTTGATGAACTAAGGGGGAAATTCCCACACACAAAGGGGCAGTTCAGATCTCCTGCGAACGATGTGCATAACCGCAGCCAAGGGTTCGCCCAGCAGAAAGCTACACAATTATCTTTGTATTGAGTAGCGGATGCCCATTGAGATACAGTATCCTATTCTCCTGGCCCGACTCCTCCACCCTCTCCTCTTCCTCCCCGTCCATCTCCGCCCCCACCGACCGCACCTCCGACAGCCTCCCCTCCGGATCCAAAAGCAGCATCACCTGCCCCAGTCGCCGCTGCTCAGCGTCCGCGAGCATCTTCCTCAGCGTGCGACCCGCTGACCGTGTGAGGGTCAGCAACACGACACCGCTGAGGTCGCCGGCAGTCGCCAGTTCGTCGGCGTCCGCTGTTGGGTTGACGGCCGCGTCTTCATTGCCGACCACGAGGACGCCAACCGCGCCGGCATCGCGAGCGTGGATGAGCTTCTCGAGGAATGTACATTGGCCACGATCGACGACGAGCACGCCACCGTTGAATCGTTCGTCAGGAGCGAACGGTGCGCATCCTATCGAATTGCTTGGGTCCGTGTGTATTGGAACACCACCGCGATGCGCGAAGGGCAAGGCTGAGGTGACATCGCCGCCGAAGTGAGCTGTGTATCCAGTTACGAAGTGAGCGTCAGCCGGGTCGTAATTCGGTCTCTCAAGCTCGGCGTCTGCCAAAGCCATGTCGTCTGGTAGGGAGTGATACAACTGCAGCTGCACATCGTGCTCGATGCGAAGGGCGTCCCCGAGGTCGTCCGATACTCGGAAGAGGGTGGTATCGTTGATGTAGACGACCTGTCCCGATCGTACGTTGTAGTGGCCCACTAGCAGTTCATCAACTCTAACTTGTTTGCGACCAATGCGGCAATGGTTCACTCACATTTGCGCACGTCGTACCCCTTGCCATCCAGACGCTGCACGATATGCGTGCGCACGCCAGTCACGTTGTGGATGATGTACCCATCCCGGACGGGCGCGAGCTTTAGCAGACTTGGACTCAGGTCCTCCGGCGGTACTGTGCCATCCGTCGACAGTATGAAGTCATACGCCTATGGTGTGGTCAGTCCACCATCTCCATGTCATGACTAAGAATAATGAGATATACGCACGAAAAGCTCAACCTTCGGCCTCTCGCACCACCCATCTGGACTCCACGCCCTCATATCCGCCCCTTCCGGACGGCCGTCGACAAGCTCGCGGGCATAATCGTAGTCCGGGCGACCGCGGATGCCTACAGTCAGGCCCGTGTTCGATCCTAGTGAATCTGGTACAGCGATATGCGGCTCGTACGCGGGACACTGATGACCCTCAATCCCGCGCAGCTTTCGACGCTTTGGGCGCTGCTTCTCCTTGCCGAGCTTCAGGATGTGGCCTTCGGTGGTGAAGACCCAATTTGAGTCGTCGCGATGCAGGTAGTTGTCCTCATCAAACAAAAGGTACAAGTACTGAAGCCCGTCAGTCAAACTTGTGACCGTTACTTGATTATATGTACTGACCTTCAGCGTCTCTGACAAAGCGAACGACTCCATGCGGTCGTCTCGCTTGTTCGTCCGAAGGTCTTGTATGCCAGCAAGGCCGCACTCTACCTTCGAGCGTGTTGTGATGTCGAACAGAATGCGCTCAGCGACGTCAAGGTAGTACGGGTCTTGCGTTGCTCGGTAGAGGTACCACGTCGACTCTACGAACTCGGGTCGTAGAGGGTACTGGAACGACGTCGCAACCTTGAAGCTCGTATCATAAACCTCCGGTATGCCCGAGTAGAGCTTCCAAATATCGGTGTCTGCATACTCATTAACGATGTTCCCTCATCGATGACCAGGAGCTCACAAAGCATGTGTAACCGGATCGCGCTCTGGACGTCGCCTGCAAGGACTTGCAATCCTGGCCAGAAAGCCGCAAGGGAGTCTATCGTAGCATACGCTGGATCGCCGGTGTTCATGTTAACCTGTCGATACTGCAATGCGTCAGATACATCGAGCAGATATGCGAAGGGCTTACCCAAAAGCCGTCTGGCGAGCGTATGTAGCGCATGATCGCTGAATAGGCGTCATCCCAGACGTCGAGAAACTCGACGTCGCCTGCACTAGGATCTCAGTGACCGGTACTTCCTACAGACAGCCTTCGCTCACCACTCATAATATACCACTTGAGCGCGTACTCAAAAAACGAGTCGATGCCCGCGCCGATCCCAGTGGCCAGCGGGCTGGTCCACGCCTTCGTTTTGAGTAAGCATCCTCAATGCACCATACCGCAACCACTCACCCCTGTCCAGGTGTTGACGGTGTTCCCAACCAACCCGACGTCTGACTTGCGATTCCACAAGGCAAAGAAGGCTTTGTGAGCGACCTTCTCAAAGCGCTCGTCCCCTGTCAGGCGGCTGAGGGTGGCAAATTCGAGGATTAAGGAGCCGGCTCCTGCAGTGCCTGTTCAAAGTTGGCTATCGCGCGCGTGGAAGGGGCAGGTGGACTTACAAGTCTCAACGGACTCTCCCCTTTGAATCCCATGTCGTAAGTTTATCTGGAGGGATATCAGTACAAGGTCTTCAGTCAGCAAAGGGGAACGCCTACGCGTGCTACAGGCAAGCCTGTTGGGGTACCGAAGGCAGGAAGTAGCCTCTTTCCCAAATCATGTGCAAGGTTCAGAAGCTCTCCTCTGTACCACGGCAAGTAGAAAGGTCCTGGCTCGCTTGCGAATATATGCCCCGACAGCAGTCCACCCAACACTCGAATTGTTGTCTCGAAAACCTGCGGCTTGGTATTCACATCGAAGTGAACCCAGTCTATAACATTTCGGACGGCATTATTGAAGCCCTCGGGGTCATTGAGGATGACAAAGGTGTCGAGGACGTCGATGAGGGTGAGAGAGAAGTTGCCCGCAACGTCGTTGGATGCAATGTTTGCACTGCGAGGGATATATTGTGGGTATGGGAGCGAGTGCAATGCAGGTGGGACTCACTCACGGGTTCGCCCAGTCGGGGCCTTGGCCATTACATGAGAGGGGTGTCAACTGTAGGCTTGGTGAGATGAATGTGGCGCGGGGCGGGGAGATGGTGAATCACCTCATCTAGAGGGAATGCTATGCAGGATGTCAGCAGTAATGGTAGCGTAGTATAAGTGCGACGCACCATGCTCCATATAGTTGTCAAATCCATGATACCAGAGCTCTCGTGTCTTCTCGCTGTTGGTGGGTTAGCACTTCCCTACTTCCCGACCAGACTACACGCACCGAGCAGCTAGCATCCGATCTGACGTCCATGCTGCCGAGTGGGGGGAAGGATGGATTGCCGCACGTGTCGTCTTGACGAGGAACTGGCCTCGGAGGAAAAGAAGAATAGCAAGGAACGTCGGAGACCAGACCATGTACCACTGCATAAACCCTGCCCAGACGCGCTCGCAGGCTTCGCGGGTGTCGTGTCGCGGTGCCCAAGGCTACCGTCTATCGTCGTGTACAGGTACAGGGGAGATGGAGAGCGCGAAGGTGGCGGCGTCGCCGACGGACGCGTCGACGTGGAGGTGAATGTCACGAACAGCGACGTGTCCCCGATTGGTCACCGGGGTAATCACCGAGGACCCCGCGGACTTGCTCGCACTTTGTCTTCGACCGCCATCATCCAATACTTCCTGATCGACCTCGCATCTACGCAGCGATGGACATCGACAAGGCCACCGCGAAAATGGGCGAATATATGCTCAAGGGATGGGTCATGACGGATAAGACGTGCAGCACGGTCAACTGCCCTGTACCGCTGATGCGCTCGCCGAATGGCCAGACGCCCGTGGTGCATTTTTGCACGAGATGCCATGGAGGCCCGGAAGGTGTGCGTTATGCGTAGATCTCAGCCATTGGACTGACGAACAACAGGTATAGGCGCACCGAGCGCAGCCGCCAGCACAACATCGGCCTCGACCTCGATCGCGTCTGCGTCTCACATCTCGCGCGCTTCAACGCCGCCCACTGAGCTTTCAAACGAGTCCAGTTTTGAGGACTTTGTACTCCCTCCTGAGACGGAAGAGTCAAGGCGACGGAGGGAGCAGTCCGATACCGCTTCAACCGAGATCGGCAAACGTTTGCTGAAGGGTTGGGCTATGCTCGCCGACGAATGCCCATCTACGAACTGCTGGGGTGTTCCCCTTGTTCGTCCACCGAAAGCCGGCGGTGAGAAGGATCCGCGCATGGTGAGCTCCCAATGAGACCATAAGAAAGCTTGTCGGTCTAATCAACTTTAGGAATGCGTGATCTGCGGTAACGTGTACATCTCGGAGCGCTCTGCTGCCGGTGTCGACACGCTTGTAGCGCAGAGCTTACCTTCAGTGACTGCGACGCCGGCGCCCGCTTCAACGTCCGGCCCTTCTGCACTACCGCGCGGCGCCGTAGTGCAAGAATACGGCATGAACGCCAATTATACCTCCACGCCTTCCCTCTTCGCGTCCTATCAGCCAGCGGACAGTGTACCCTCTCGAGCAGCGCCACCGTCTCAACCTGTACCGCCTACCTTCGTGTCCGAGCAGGCGCCGCCGCCAAACGTTGATGCCCCAAGTGACCCTGTAGGTTTACGTGCTACACGTCTAAGCTCGACGCGCTGACTTGGCATGATATAGGCCGGCCCATCCTCGGTCAAGGCATCTATCGTTGCACTGGAATTGAGCCTAAAGACGCTTTCGCAAAAGTTGACGTCTCTCTGCTCTTCTGGCGGCTCCGCTGCTTCGATTTCTTCCACGGCAGAGGCGATTGACAAGGCCGCGCACGCTCTGCAGACATGCAAGCAGCTCGAATGGAGCTTGGACCACGACCTGTAGGCGCGAACGTATTGCGTTTATAACGAAGATCATCCGAGAAGTTCGCAAGCTTTGCCTGACTGCTTTCACCTATCCCTGCCTCTCAAGCAACTCCAGTACGCTTTCTGTGCCTACAGAGACGTATGAGCTTCAACGTTGATGCTACTCATACGCGCCGTCAGGTTCTGCTGGCCACGACGTTGACGTGGTCAGTCCTTGCAGGGTACGCATCTTTCGTTATATCGTAAACGAGTCGCGCGGTGATGCTATAGCTCAGCTTGCCAGCTCATATGCTCAGTCTGCTTGAAGATCTGCGGCGAGCCTTGGCAGCGCATCCTTTCACGCGTGTTGACTCATAGAGTACCTATACAGTTGCGAAGAGTATTCAGCCAGCAGTCCCTCTTTCCCAGCACTGTTCACGAGACGGGCACTCAGTTGCGCGAAGTCCCGTCAGTGTTACGGAATGTGTGTTTTGTTGCGATGAGTTCCGGTTTATTGGCACTGGATCTGCTCGCCCATGTCGTCGACAGGGACAAGAGCAAGGCACTATCAAGCTGAGCTCGTCGGAGGGCTATTTTCCACGCGATACGATAGCCGGCTTCACGATCTTTTGTCTTCAGGATCGTGTATGACGGGGGCGAGCGCGTGGTCGCGGGCACATGCACCGCCATAGAGCGGAGAAATCCAGACGCGAGCTCGCGTCAAGGACGGCCGCCCATTTGCCGCCCAGCATGCTACTATCTATCCCCGCGCGGGCGCACAATGGCAACGGGAGAAGCGTATAAAGCCCGGCTGCTTGGCAGTCCACCCCCGCCCGCGTTCCCACCGCGCATCCCTCGGAGTCAACGTCGACGATGAACGGCCTCACCTGGCGCGCTCTCCTCTCCCTCGTCCTCGCCGCTGCCGCCGTCGCGTCCCCGACGCGCCGCGCAGGCTACAAGGTCAGGCAGACCGTGCGCGCCCCGTCGTACTGGGTCCAGCACTCGGCGGCGCCTGAGGACCATGTCATCCGCCTCCGTATCGGTCTTCCCCAGCCGAACTACCATCTGCTGGAGGAGGCCGTGTACGCGGTCAGCGACCCCGCGCACAGGAGCTACGGGAAGCACCTCTCGAAGGAGGAAGTCGAGACGTTGATCGCACCCGAGGACGCCAGCCTCAGCGCTGTCAACGACTGGCTGGCTGAGCATGGGCTGTCGGAGGAGCACATTGAGCGCTCCCCCGCTCGCGACTGGGTGATTGTCAACATCCCCGTCGCGCTGGCCGAGGATATGCTCGACACGGTGCGCGACATACATCTACTTCCTCGTACGCCCCTATTGACCTCATTTGCCGCAGACCTACAACGTCTGGAAGAACACTCGCACCGGCGAGACCATCGTCCGCACGACCGAGTACTCCCTCCCCGAGTCCCTCCACGAGCATGTCGACGTCGTTCAGCCCACGACCAGCTTCGCCACCTGGAGCAAGCACAAGGCTGGCTACATCATCGACGACGACTACCAGGAGTTCTCCCAGTTCGGCTCTGACCGCGCCTCCTTCGCCCCGGCCGTCAACGTTGTCGACTCCATCGCCGCCGCGAACTACCCGCCGGTCGATGCTAGCTGCTACGACAATGTCACGCTTACGTGCATTCGCCAGCTCTACAACATCTCCGATTACACTCCGGACGCGAGCCTGAACAACTCGATTGCGACCACGGGCTACCTCGAGCAGTTCGCCAACTTCGAGGATCTCGCAAGCTTCTACGAGGCTCAGCTGCCCGAGGCGGTTGGCACGAACTTCTCTGTCGTGTCTGTCAAGGGTGGGTTAAATAACCAGTCCCTTGAGGAGGCCGGTGCCGAGGCGAACTTGGATGTCCAGTTCGCGTTCGGCCTTAGCTGGCCTATCAACGTGAGTAGATGTATGTTCCTATTCGTTAGACAGACATCTGACGCATTTCACCAAGGCTACGTACTACACCACCGCCGGCCGTCCCCCATTCATTCCGGACCAGTCCACGACGACGAACACGAACGAGCCGTACAATGATTGGCTTGACTACGTTCTCGCCCTTGAGGAGGTTCCCCTCGTCATCTCCACCTCCTACGGTGAGGCCGAGCAGACCATTCCCGAGGATTACGCCCGCAGGGCATGTGCCGGTTTGGCGCAGCTTGCTGCGCGTGGCGTGACGCTCACCTTCTCGTCTGGTGATAACGGTGTTGGTGATGGCAATGCTGGCAGCAACCACACCTGCTACTCGAACGACGGCCAGGACACCTACAAGTTCCTGCCCGCTTTCCCTGCGTCTTGCCCCTTGTGCGTCGACCTAGTTGCCTCATCTATCTTTGCAACTAACGTATCTCTAGCGTGACTGCCGTCGGTGGTACCACGATCAAGGCTGGCCTGCCTGAGGTTGCCGTCTCGCGCTTCTACTCTGGCTCCGGCTTCTCCGACTACGTGAGCTTGGCATCTTTGTACATTCTTTCACTTGGCTAACAACGCTCCCCAGTTCGAGCGCCCCGACTACCAGTCTGAGGTCGTCCAGGCCTACGTCGACGCTCTCGGCGAGGACACCTACGCCGGTCTCTTCAACCGCTCCGGCCGCGCATACCCCGACGTCGCCGCCCTTGGCGACTATTTCGTCATCTACCTCTCCGGCCGCGCGGTCCACATTGGTGGCACGTCCGCCTCGTCGCCCGCTTTCGCTGGCATCGTCGCTCTCCTTAATGATGCCCGCCTCAAGGCCGGCCTCTCCCCGCTCGGTTTCTTGAACCCGCTCATTTACTCATTGAACGGCTACGGCTTCAACGATATCCTGAACGGTACTTCGACCGGTACGTTCGCAGCTATATGTACGCAGGAATCGAATGCTGACTATCAAACAGGTTGCGGCACCACCGGCTTCAACGTCACCGAGGGTTGGGACCCGGTCACTGGGTTCGGCTCCCCCAACTTCGGTGTCCTGAAGGACTACGTCGTGTCGTTGGATTAATTTACTAACGAGCGCTTTGGCACGAGTGCACTAACACCAAACGGGCACCTTTGTGGTATTTATCAAGGGTCTGAATATTCATTCGCTGAAGAGACGATTTCACTGGGACTTCTTTCTTGCAAGGGGATCCTGCTACTTGCGTATGTCGTTACGCCAACATTCTCACAAGGTAATCGCGGTCACGGGTTTCTCTATCTCTATCACATCTCGGCAGGCCCTCGTGTCCGCTGCGTTCCTTTGTCCTCTTACAGTCTTTCACGGATGTACCCCGCCGTCCTGCTGCCACCTTCCATCCTGCCTTCATCCTCCTCCTCACTCACGTCTTCGCCACTATGTATCCTATTGGCCGGGTAGCATACCCGGCATCCTCGCAATTCAGTGGAGGCCCTTGGAATCCGAAGGCAGCAGCCCAGCGCGTTGAGAAAATGGTCATGACTGTCGAGCAGAGAACACGCGCCTTTGAGACGAGCGAACAGCGCAAGACGACATGGGCGAAGCAATCTGATGGGTGCGTACTGGTCTGCTCTGCCTATTCAACCGCGAGCACTGAAGGCCGTCAAGCGTGCTACGCTACGAGCTCGAGCAGGAGGTGAAGATTTGCTTCGTCGGTGGTAAGCATCAGGGTCGTCGTTGAACTAGGGGTTCGCTCAATGATCCTCGCAGTGGCTGGCGGTGGAAAATCATCTCTGTTGAATGCATTGCTCGGAAGTAAGTCTCGGAGCTGCCTTGTGCTTGCGTGTCCCTGACGGCTAGTCAGTGGATGTCGTGCCAACGAGTGGCCAACAAGCTTGCACGGCCGCACCTATGCGTATCCAATACCACAACTCTTCCGCGATCGTCGCCCATGTTGAATTCCTCACGCAACAAGAATGGCTAGACGAACTTCGTCTCCTGTTCTCGTCGCTTGTAGACGAGAACGGACGTATGAAGTCGAACGAGGATATGGGGAAGGATGGTGCTGCAGCGCTTCAGAAGGTACGGTCCTTGGGATAAGATTGCAAACCTATCTTCATCGATCTTCAGCTTCGCGTCCTATGCCCCTCTGTGACCAACGACCAGATCGTTGAGTGGTCACGAGATGCGGGTCTTTTTCTCCAGCATAACCCTGGTACGTGGTGAACGATATCATAGCTGCATCCTTTCGAAGCTTACCTACTGCCAGATGTTCATATGTATCTCGGGCAGAACGTGTGCATTTCTGGTACAGATGCGCAGAATTTTCAAGCCAATCTCGCCCCTTTCGCATCGTCAAAAGACGCTCGCCGAGGATTGGTGCGCCGGGGAAGGTCCGCTGCTGATCTAGAGGCTCAGGAGCCTCTGTTCTGGCCCCTCGTTCGCATAATTACCTTACGATGCAACGCTCCCGCAATAGCGGATGGTGCTATTCTTCTGGATCTCCCCGGTATGTATTGCACGTCACGTGTTGCACCGCCGACTCGCTCACATCAATACCAGGCGCGGGGGACAGCAATCGCGCAAGAGTTCAGGTCGCTGAGAAATGGATGAAGGACTGCAAGTTCGTTTTCATCGTCGCTCCGATACAGCGAGCTGTTGATGATAAGATCGCGCGAGGTGAGTGATTGGTCCGAAGGCGGGGAGACGCAGGCTTATGCACGTGTACGCAGATCTACTGGGGGATGCATTTCGTTATCAACTACTAAGTGCGTGTCGTTGCCATGTATATGTAGGTTCCTTGCTAACAACCCCCCTTAGTGGGTACGTGTGGCTCAACCACCCTGGTGTGGGTACATTGCTGACGGTCGCTTCAATCATTGCAGACGGGCGGTGAGGAGAAGTTTGTGCACATCTTGTACCTATCTGGCTAACTTTTCCCGTATTCCAGTTACGATGACCACGCGATTACGATGATAGGTGGGCTGGTCACAACATTGTTCTCTTATAGATGTCTTCTGATAGCCGCGAAGCGACGAAATGCGACGACGTTTCGGCCGCGGAAGTCATGCGCGATCTGAGGCTACGTCGAGAGCCCGACTTTGACGCTCTCTGTGCCGAACGCGATCGAGTCGAAGCGGAGTGCCACCGATATGAGGCGCTGAAGGCAGCAAAGGGTATGTGTTCTGCAACCATGAACGTATCCTTTTGTACTGATCATCGGCGTAGAGGATGAAGGCGATCACATGAGCTACCCGGAGTATATCAGTCACTCGAATTCGAAGAAGCGACTAGACGAGCTTGAGAGGAGCATTGACGCCTATTGCGCAAAGAAGCGATCCGCTGTATGTACCTGGGAATGGTCCTCTCGCTGACATCGTGACTGACTTTTCGTGACCAGTGGACAGTCAATGCGGTCCAACAAGACTTCCGGCAAGGCTTACATGATATCGATGGTGCGTATCGTCCATGCTTTGGATAAATCGGCAACCTGGCTGATACATACGTAGGCATGGCCGCCGAAACTCGCGATCCGGCGAGCTTCGACCCTTCGGCCCACAACAGAGGTACCGTCATATCTGTATGTTCTCATTCACACTGTTTACGCTGACGTGGTGGGCCAGACTACTCGGCAGTCAGTATTACAGTGCTTCCTTGCTCTGCTCGTGACTATATACGCCTCAAGGGTAAGCTATTGCCACTGTCCAATTGTTCTTACCTCTCAACGTTGGGGCATAGGCATCGTGCCAGGCGACAGCAAAAGGACAACTTTCAGTACTGTCGACGATACGGGTGTACCTGCCATCATATCGTGGATTCGCGAGCTAGCGCAGTCCGGCGTGGGTAAGCGAGCCGTGCACAAGCTGGAACTTGCGAGGGGATACCTCACATCCGTCCGGAACTTCTGTGAAGAGACTTCGATGCATGGGGACGCCACTGAACACTCTGCGCACTCGTACAACGGCAGCTTCAGCAACCTCGACCTTGTCATGCAACATCGTGCAGAAGCTGGGCGCCATGCGCCACGAACAACTACTCCTGCTGGTCGAGCACCTTTCTCTAGCTCTACTGAGATTGGGAAGTTCCTGTACGATGTACGTGCATATGTGGTCAACCGCATATAAAGTACTCATAATCGTTAAAGGAACTCATCAATATGGCTATCACGTTCGCTCAAGGGATGCGAGCTCGTATGGGGAACATCTTGACTGCTCTTCTCATGTCTGGAGCAGACCGCGTACGTCTAGCTGTGTAACGAGCAACGTAATAAGATTTTGACCACTGTTCCCCTTTCGTAGTCGGCTGAAGCGGCATCTCAAGCATTCTGGACTCTGGTCAACACCATGCATTTTCAGACGATGCGAGCAGGTCAGTACAAGGAAGCCCTCGGCCCGGTTTCGCTGCTCATCATTTCCAGCCTTCGTGAGGGAAGGCGAATACAGGAATAAGCGGGGAGAATACGACTTCAACTGGGCCGAGATCGAGCCAATGCAAAAGCACATTGCGAAGGGCTGGAGTCAAGTCTTCAATGTCAACCACGTCGCGCCCCTCGCGGCAAGCTACAGGATCATCATCGACCAAGCGTTTGCTTTGCTTCCTCAGCACGTTTGGAGCCACCCCAAGTGCGGTGCGGTCTACAACAGCTGCTGCGAGCAGGCGCGCGTCACTTTCTCGGGGCTATCTGACAGCTCGAGTACGCTGCTTGGCGACGGCCAACGGTCGGCGTCGCGAGAGTTAAAACCCTCAGTTCGACGGCGCCTGACTCCTGGTTACTTTGAGACTCTGGATCTCCGACCGAAAGGAGCAGGTATAGTACAGCGACAGAAGGTGCGCGGTAACGACCTCTTCTCTCATTCTTATTGGACTTCATCGTCTTATGCAGGATTTCTTTGCCGCATATGTCGATCAGTGCAAGACCAATATGTTCCATAGCGCCGGACGCGAGATGCTGCAGAAACTCGAGAAGCCGATGGACGAACTCAAGCAATCCCTCGTGAACGAGATGAAGGTTCTGGCGCAGCAGGCGGGTGGCAGCTCTCACTTACTGTACTGCATCACTGAACACATGCATTGCAGCTCGAGGCGAACATGTCCACTTTATGGGAGCAACAAAACACCATGAACGCCTGGGAGAGGGATGCCCGGCAGCGCACATTCGCGACGGCGACGCGCTACATACAGGAGATCGATTCTTTGCTGCAAGCAGCGAACGCTACGACAGGGACGAAGCAGCTGGCGACCGCGATGCGCAGCATGTCCTTCAGCAGCCTGTAGACCACTGGAATTCGAGAGCGTTGATCGCCCATTCTCCGTTATTTTTGCTTGAAGCGTACTGTACAACATGACTAGTAGATGATGATATGCACAATGATACTTGCCAATCTGCCGAACGTCCACCCGCTCAAGCACGTATGCTGACGCGCTTGCGCTTCTTCCCCTCCGCGATCTTCTCGCGAATCTTCTCCTCGTCCATCTCCTGCTCGTAGAACTCAGCCGTGCGGTCTGCATCGACCTTGCGCTTCATAAATTGTAGCGCGGCGAGGTTGTAACCGAGCACCTCCTTCTGCTTTTGCAGTGCAGCGCGTAGATGACGGCGAAGAGGAATGAGGGACGTGCGCATTATGCGGTTGGCGACGATTTGGTGGTGGTGGGTGCGAAGGAGGAAGAAGATTATCTGAGAGGTGAGAATAATGTTCCAGTCCTATAACACGACGTGAGCTTGATGACCAGCGATACAAGCACACCAGACTCACCTTCTGAGCCCAAACGTTCAGATACCACATCAAGGACACCACCTTGTCGAAGGGCAGCACCAACAGCGCATCCTGCAGGGCCGTACTCGGTACCTTCTCCACCACCCTCAGCACATACGCATCAGGCTCCTCATCATACGCAGCCAAAATCGGATTTCTCGGCGGCGGTTGCAACCCCATCGCCTCCCCCCTCGCCACCGCCTCCTCGTACCCCGCGAACGTCTCGCGCTCCTTGTCCGCGAGGTCCAGCGCCTCCATGATGCGCTCGCCCGCCATCAGCGTCTCCGTCGTCTGCTTGCTCACTGCGGTTGCCTCCGCGCGATTCTCCTCACCATCGCCGTCGACATTCATCGCGTCGGCGATGCCGGACTCGTAGATGCCCTCCAGCTCACGCTCGCGCTCTTCTTCGAGGAAGAGCGGCTCGTCGAGCTTCTCCCAGACGCGGATGGATTTGTCGTGCGAGCCAGTAACGACGAATTTACCATGATGGCTGACGGCGAGCGCCCAGACTTCGCTGTGGTGGCCCTCGAGCTTCTGGATGTTTTCGAACTGAGGGCATGCGTCAGCGTAAGGTAAATCACCAATCATTTCCGTGGACATACCTTGTCACCATCCCAGTACTTCAACAAACCATCCTTGCCGACACTCCAGAAGTAGTGAGAGCTGCGCTCGAACGCGACCTGCATCACACTCCCATCGTGCGCGAACAACGATTTGTGGCAGTCGCCGAAGTCGAGACCCCATATCTTGACGTTCTTGTCCGCGGAGCAGGATACGAGGAGCTTCGAGTCGTCAGAGATGTCCATGGCGAGGACGGGAAGCTAAAGGACAAGATGAACTTCGTGAAAGCAGTGACATTGAGCGGAGGGCTGACCTTATGCCCATATAGCGAAAGGAAGAATTTGAGGGTGTCTTGGTAGAAGACCTTGACGGTAGCGTCGAGCAGGGCGACTGCGAGCAACTTCCCATCGGGGCTGAAGCGCACAGATAAGACCTCGTCCGACATCTTGAGCGTACGCGTATGTGCGAGCGTCAAATGGCGACCGCTGTGCTCCTGGAAGAGTACATGAGCAACTCAAATTACCTCTACAGCCAGAGGATCACAGCTCACCTTCCCCTCCTGTCTCCACTCGAACTCCCAGAACTTGACCTCCTTGTCCGCACTCCCGCTGACAAGCACTTCGTCATCCTCCCGCACATGCAACGACCACGCCGTGCTGGTGTGCGCCTTGATGGTGTCGATGAGTGCGGACGCCGCAACGTCGTATATCAGGATCTCGCCGGACTTGGTGCCGACGGCGAGGTGTCGGTCGCCGGGGAGGAAGGTGCAGCAAATGGCATAACCGCAGTCCATGGTGCGGATGCAGGAGGTGGTCTTCATGTTCCAGATTTTGACGGAGCCTGGAGGAAAGTTAGATGAGAGATACTCTATAGAGAATGATATACATACCATTAGACGCGGAAGCCAGTATCTGGTCGTCGCGGGTCAACGACAGCGCTCGGACGTCAGTCCTATGCCCAGGAATGTCGACGGTGTACAGGCGCGAAGCCTCTGGTGGAGATTCCTTATTCTTCGTCGGAGGTGGGATGGAGTAGATCTCGACAGAGTTCGTACTCAGTCCCAGCAGAATCTGAACGGCCCCCGTCTTCGAGTTATCCGACCCAAAGTCAAACGAGCGACACTTCCCACTCGCCCGGATGACGAGATATGGCGTGAACAGATCCACCAACTGGATCTCCTCCGCATCCTCCGCGACGGGCACCTCCTTCCCCTTCGCCTTCGCGCGCTTCTGCCTGCGCGCCTGCTTCTTCCGCACCTCCTCCTCCGTGCGTATGCGGAAGATCTCGACCGTGCGGTCGTGCGACTGCACCGCGAGGTACGGCTTCGTCGGATGGAACGCGATCTGCGCCACGCGGTGCTTGGAGGCGAGCGGGAGGGTAGCGGCGGGGGTGATTATCTTGACGATGTCGCCCGACTCAGTCTCCTTGAGGCCCTCGGCAAGCGCGTCGCGGTCGATGGACCAGGCTTTGAGCTCGCCATCTGCAGAGCCGGTGAAGAAGAGGGACTCGTCGGCGTCGACGGCGAGGGACCAGACGTCTGTTCGGTGAGCGACGACGGTCTGTATGCAGTGCTGGGTAGAAAGGTCCCAAAGCTTGACGAACGTGTCTTTGGAGGAGGTGAGGAGGAGGCCTGCGGCAGTTGCAGTAGAGGATGAGGGCGCATTGTCGGCGCTCTGGAGGAATCGTATGGCAGTAATCTGGTCGCGGTGACCGCGCAAACTACAAGACTGTTAGCGACATGGAAAGATGGCACTGAAGGGGTACGCACCGGAACAGGCCAGCCTCGGCAACTACGTCCCAGACGATGAGATCCGTGTCTTGCGAGCCAGACGCGAGCCGCGTTCCCTTCTCATCGAACGCGAGAACGGTCACAGCCTTCTTGTGACCATTGAAAGTGGTGGTGACAGAGGCAGCGGAAGCGCTCCAGAGGCGAACTGATCCATCGGCGTACCCAACCGCGAAGATGTCTGGCTGAGGCGAGTGCAAGATGCAAGTGACTTCAGATCTGAATCCGGTCTCGTGCCACATTGCGACCTAGTGATTAAATAAGTATCTTGAGCCTTTACTGTGGATAGTCACGCACCTGTACACCCTTCTTCACGTCCCACACGAGCACATCCTCCAAAGCGGGGACGTACGCATACTTTCCATCGTAGCACGAGTTGGACGAAGAGCTGCAGACCAAACCAAAGGCCTACGCGCACAAGTCAGTCCCCCCTTCATTCTACATATGTTTTCGTAATCACCTGGGTCGGCCCGTGTCGCAGATAGCTCTGTACCATGGCGCGCTGGAGAACAAGGACCGCTTCCAAAAATCTCGATCGCGATCACCTGAGCCGGCGCTTGCCGCGCTATCCCCGTATGGGGCTTTGTTCCGCGCGGCGCGAGTCAGGCGCCCATGATGCCGCGGCGATACCGCGCGATACTCCCTCTTCCTCTTCCCCTGCGATGACAATGCTCTACGGATCCAGCCCCGAGGCGGCGACACGTTTTCTCAGCTTCGTGAACGCGTCTCCGACGCCGTTCCATGCCGTGCACAACGCCGCAGTACGTCTGGAGAAGGCGGGCTTCAGCAAGGTGCGTTCGCCGCGGCGGGTGATTCTGGGTCGCTGACTCTGGCGGTGAGCACAGATTAGGGAGAAGGATGAGTGGGAGAAGACCGTGAAGCCTGGGGGGAAGTACTACTTTACACGGTGAGTCGTTCATCTGCCATAAAAACGGCTAGTTGATTTGGTATGGGTCTAGCAATCAGGCAGCCCTGATCGCCTTCACCTTGCCCAAGTCCTGGAAGGCTGGCACTGGCTTGAGCATTGTTGGCACCCACGTCGACAGCCCCAATTTCCGGGTGCGTACTTCTGCCATGTAGCTTCACATTTGCCAGCTCACAACTGTCCCTTCCCGCCAGGTTCGTCCGATTTCCAAGCGCGAGAAGGCTGGGTACCTGCAGGTCGCAGTAGAGACTTATGGCGGCGGTATTTGGCACTCGTGGCTAGACAGAGATCTGTCCATTGCTGGCAGGATCATCCACTCCACCAAGAACGGTGGCTACGAGTCCAAGCTTGTCAAGGTTGACCGCCCCATCCTGCGGATCCCCACTCTTGCTATCCATCGTACGTGACGCATACTGTCTGCTATATTCATGTCCAGTCCTGACTCATACTCTCCCAGTGGATCGCGGCGTCAACGACAACCTGAAGATCAACCAGGAGACCGAGCTCCTCCCTGTCCTCGGGATCGTTGAGAATCAACTCAACGCGAAGAAGGACGATGCGAAGAAAAGCGAAAAGGTGTCTGCGCAGAGCGTGCAGGAGAACCACCACTCGGATCTCATGACACTACTTGCGGACGAGATGAACGTCGCTGCGGATGAGATCTACGACTTCGAGCTGTGCGTGTCAGCATTTATGCCTTATTTCGCCATCCAGCGCAGTACTGACTTTCACGCGACCCACATAGCTCCCTCTACGACACCCAGCCTGCCGTTCTTGGTGGCTTGAACAATGAGTTCATCTTCAGCCCGCGTATGGACAACCTCGTGTCCTCGTCCGTCCTTCATCTGCATCCCCTCTACCACCCACTTACCCACACGCTCAGCTTCTGCGCCGTAGAAGCCCTCGCTTCCACCCCGCCCCCCGCCACCGGCAACGTCTCCGTCATCGCCCTCTTCAATCACGAAGAAATCGGCTCCGTCTCCACCACCGGCGCCGAATCCAACCTCATCCCCACCCTCCTCGCGCGCCTCAACCCCACGCCCACCGAGCACGGTCTCTCGGTAGCGAACTCCTTCCTCGTCTCCTGCGACATGGCGCACGGCGTGCACCCCAACTACACGTCGAAGTACGAGGAGGGGCACAGGCCGATGCTGAACGGCGGCGTGGTGGTGAAGACGAATGCGAAGCAGCGGTATACGAGCGATGCGGTGACGACGTTTTTGGTGAAGGCGTTGGTGGAGAAGAAGGGTGGGCGGGTGCAAAACTTTGAGGTTCGGAATGATATGTGAGTGTCGTTTCTCGAGCTCTCGCCGTGCACCCTTCACCATTCCCTTTGCTTTACGACATGACATCTGACCCTTCTCCCTTCAGGGCCTGCGGCTCCACCATCGGCCCCTTCCTTTCCAAGATGGGCATCCGCTCCGTCGATGTTGGCAACCCCATGCTCTCGATGCACTCCATCCGCGAGACCGCCGGCGCACACGACGTGCAGGCGTGCATCGACCTCTTCGAGAGCCTGTTCGAGAACTTCGCGGAGGTGGACGCGACGCTGAACGTGGACTAGACGAATGTCACCGAAGCGATCAATTTTCATCGACGCCGCCATTCGTAGACCAGAGGGTCAATCGGCAGTCAACAACGCATCTCGCAAGTTCGATAATGCACGCATATTCCTTAATATGTGAAGTCGAGCGGAATACAGAACGAACGAGGTTTAAATAATGATCGTCCGGAAAATGCGAATCCCTCCTCCCACGCAAGCAAGCTCTGCTGCTGCTCAGCGCACGAGCTCTGCCCCTGCGTTGCCGAGGAGAGCGAGTCCTGCTCGACTCAGAGCTTCGCATCGCCACCAATGGGGATCTTCGGCAGCCATGCACGCTTGGTGTGGTCGTAGAACTCCTTGGTGGGTGCTGCGATGGAAGGTCAGTAACTGGACGAGGACAAGGAGCGAGCCGGTGCGAGGAGAGGAGAGGCGAGGTTGACGTGGACTAACGGAACGAGGAGAGGAACGCGACGCGACGAAGCGCAAACGACGTCGACGCAGGGGATGCGCAGCACAACCACGACCATGATGAACATCTAACTCACCCGTCCTCGCCCTGCTCTCCGCATCCAGCGAGCCCGTGCTCACTGTCCTGATGCTCGGGTCGACCATGGGCGTCCCGAACAGCGGCGTGCCGCACTTCGAACAGAACGAGCGCTCGAAGGGCTTGCCCGAGTCGGTGTTCTTATCGGCGAAGGTGCTGAGGCTGCGCGCGCCCTTAGTGATAGCGAGTTGCTAGGGGACGTGTCAGTGAATGTGTAGCAGAGACGTGGCCGGGGCAGAGGACGAGTGTGAGTAGACGTGACGCGTGAGGGGAGGCGCGGACAGATGAGGCTGGGAGTACTCACGTCTTTATGGCACCAGAGATTCGACGTGAACACCGAGCCAGACACCTTCTGGCACGATGGGCAGTGGCACACCACGCTCATCATCGGCGCGCCCGTGACCGTGTAGGCGACCGCGCCGCACATGCACGCGCCAGTGTACTTCGGTGAGGCCATATCGGTGATTGTTTGCGAGTGTTTGTGGATGTGGGTGTATGCGTGTGGGAGGAGGAAACGACGAGGTCGGGCGTTCAAGCAGGGACACGAGCGCGAGCGGGAAGGTACTTCTGACCTTGAAGGTACGCACAGCAGGTTTATGTAGCGCGTCGACAACGGGGGCGACGAGACCGGCTTGAGGTGCGGCGCCGGAGTTAGGCGCGTATCTGTTCGTAGGGGTGATCTAGCGGGGTTGGTAGGTCTGGTGGAACGTGTCATTCGCGGGAAGTGGTGATTGCAGGTTGGAAAGGGGGTGTTTCAGCGATATAGGACTGCGGAAATGGCTACAGGAGATGTGTGTGGGATTTACCAGGCAGGGCGAGACGTTGCCACAAATGTAGACTATGACTATCTTCAAAGCTTCCCCTTCGCCTTCCATGTCATCTGGAGACCTTCGCTGAGCCACGGACGCTTGCATTGCGTGAAGAGCTCCTTCCTAGGGCCTGTAGAGAGTTGAGTCTAGCTCGATACGTAGTTGCCACATATTATATCCTCGCCACCGCTGCTTTCGGCTGATACCGAGTGAACAATATCTAGCCCGAGTGTATCTATACGCACCCCATTTACCCTGGAATTCTGCATCCAGAGACCCCGATGCAACAATCGCAATTTTGGGATTCTGCTCCGGAAATCCCAACACGAAAGACCCGCATTCACCACAGAAGGCGCGGCGGTACGGCTTGCCGGATTGGGTGTGGGGATCTGCGTATTCTTTCAAGGCCTCTTTGCCTTTGGTGACGCTGACTTGCTACAGGAAGGAGTCAGTGTATAAAGATGATATGAAAGCGTTGCGGAAATGACGGCTGGTAGTTGGTTGAAAGAGGCATAGTAAGGGATGATGACTTCCACCCCCCGCCCTGTTCATGAGCTGATGAGCATGTGGACGCGCACCTCTTTATTGAAGAACACATTGGACGCGAACGCAGTTCCAGTGACCTTCTGGCAATTGACGCAGTGGCATACGAGATGCGTGAAGGCCTCGCCGGTGAGCCCATACTCAACAGCGCCACAGAGGCAAGAGCCGTGATATTTCGGTTGCTGTGAGGAGCCAGACATCCCCTTCCAGACTTCGCAAGCACTCGTAGCGATGGCGAGTTCCCGCGGATGTGGTGACAGGTCCAGCAAAGGGCAAAGTTGGACTTCAGGCACGCAGTGCGCGTGAAATTCGGGCTCGGTATCCGGTAAAGCCATACCCGGAACGTGGCCATAAATGTCCGTCCCCGATTGTGGCACCGACATGGCACAGACGGGATTATCCCGCGGCTGATGTATCCTCGTTCCTTTCCTACAGAGTAAGCGGATAAATTGCCTGCCATACATTGTACAGTGAGTAGTTTGTTGACACCGTAGACATGAGTGAGCGAGTGGGTATAGCGACGGAGAGGTATAAACATGAATACGTGATACAGTTCTCCAGGTGTTCGTAGCACACGACCTGCGTGAGCCTGTAGTAAGATGTCGTGAGGCAGGCGGAGCACGATAGAGCCGAGAAGACGTGTGAGAGGGTAGCGTTGAGTAAGAAAGAGGCGCACGTCGTCATAGAAATAAATCGTCGAATGCTCTCACGCCTTCGGGCCCCACAAGTTCTCAAACCTGCGCAGGATGGTGAGGTTTGAACAGACAGAAGCATTAGATGGAACTAACCAGCCTTCGGGGTCAGTAGCACCTCGCATCTGAACCGTGGTGATACCCTCATCGAAGTCGGCGAGGCTTCCGAAAGCGGCGCGCGTGAGGTCGACATGACGGCTACCAGTAGCACATCCTGCGCATGTGTCGACAACACGTACAAAGACGCATTTCTTCTCCGTGCGGCAAACTGTTGCGAGATCAGTTCACGAGAAATAGTCGGATCGGACTGGACGCACGCTCCAAGAACTTGTAGCACTTCGGCTTGTTCGTCCACCCTTGAAGCGTCAATGCGGCAGCAAAGGAGGCATCCTGTAGGTAATAAGCGAGCGACTGTAGATACCGTCGCTTTCACATACCGTAGGTGCCCAGTTGCCATTCGCCCAGCAGCTCGGATTCTGGAGATCATGGCCAGTATACCTACTTCGCGTAAGTATGAATCGTAGCGACATGACTATAGCGTACCAGGTGATTGTCACGGCCTCTGGTTTGCCGATGCCTTGGATCGTCTTGATGACCTTCGCCACGGCGGCGCTGACGCCTTTTCCAACGCCTTTACCGACGTTCTTGAGGTGATCGACGGAGAGCTTCCGCCTGCTTAGGGACGAGGCGGAAGAATCGTCGTCCATAGTGTCAAGCGCCGACGACTCGTTGCCAGCCAGAAGAGGTAAAGCGGCGAGGGGCGAGTCCTCCATAGGCAAGTCGCGTCGGTACTTGTATTGCATGTCGGTCACGTTAACGGTTTCCCAGCCATCTCGAGGGTCGAAGACGTAGTTATCGCCTAGGGAATGAGGGCGAGTGTAGCGACTTTCGAGGACAGCGCGAGAGGGAGATCCTAGGGAAGCGCGCGCAGCGACAGAGAGCGCGCTAATGAGAGGCACGAGGACGAGAAGCTTGAAGTTCATGATGGCGTGTGGCGGCGAGTTAAAGAGGGAAAAGCGAGCGTCTGAGTTGGCTCGATAGTTGGCAGTTGGTGCAGGGCGAGTTGGCGAGTTCCTGGAAAGATGGTGATGGGAGGAAGCAAAGAGCGAGGTTGACAATGTTTGGCCGCCCGGTAGCTTTTCAGCCGTCGAAAGGCTGTTTGACGTTCAAATGACAAGTTCGTCGGGATATCCCCTAGGCGTTGTTGCGAAGAGCTCGGGCATACAGCTGGTCAGCCGATGGTATACATAGCGCCAGCTTGGTAAGAAACGAAGCGACCGCGACAGTCATAGTCCAGGAGTGAATGGGGGATGAGACGCAGTGGCGGAGGGAGCGTGGGTTATCAGATATGATAACTAGCTATGCGGTCATCGTGACTCACACGATCGGACGGACCGCAACGGCCGGTCCGGGGAAGGAACCGCCGCCTCGATATATGTAACTTGCCGCTGACCAACCAACATTCCAAGTCCCCTCCCCGCGCCTGTCTGCTCCCAAATATTCCACAGCCTTTCTGGCTTTCTATTTGGGTGACTCGCTAGTCAAGGATGCCGGCAGATACTTCAGGCGTCCATGCCCGACGACATTCAGTTCGCAAGTCCTCTGGCGACGACGATCTCGAGGTTCGGCGGGCACGGGGCGAGCTCTCTTGTGCTGAGTGCAGACGACTGAAGGTGCGTCGTATATCCATGTCGATCATGCCCGTTGCTCATTTTACTTCGTCGCTCAGCTCAAGTGCGACAAGAAAATCCCGTGTGGCAGTTGTGGTATGTGCCTTTCGGTGCATCTATTTACGCATTTACCGACATGAGCAGTACGCAGAGGTTGTCCATCGATATGCCCCAATGGAAGCTTGTCTTCAGGCCAAGGCATGAGGTGCGCCTCAATGCCTCGGATTCTGTACACCTCTAATACCCTATCACCAGCCGCTTCGTGCTCGCAGATACCACCGAGCTCCATGGCAAAATACAAGAGATGGGACAGCGCATACGGCAACTGGAGGTGCGTTTACCACGTCTTTGACTAGAGGTCAATCCTTGACGACTGCTCAGGACGCTCTGGCGATCTTCCAAGCCGGTGTTTCCAACGAGACACATCCTCTCCTTCGCCCAGAACTACTCTCCATTAAGTTTGGCCCAGAACGCCTCATCGCACCCGAGCGAGAGAAGCCTCGCAGGGACCACTCTGTCGACTCAATTGACGCCCTTGGCACCCTTACTATAGGCGAACGCGGCGACGCAAAGTACTTTGGACGCTCCGCTGGCTCTGAAACTCTCTTCCTCGCCGGCGCAGAGCTTGAGCCACCTATCGACGAAGACGACGACTACTCCCCCCTTGCGGCCGAAATCGCCCGCCTCTCGTCCTCCTTCCCCTTCAATGACGGCTTCGCCGTGACAGAGCGCACTCTCGATCTTCTCTACACCTATCTACCTGAACAACCTCGCGCCTGGACACTCTGCGAGACCTACTTGGAACACGCTGCTTGGTCTTTCCGCCCTCTCAAGCGGGATGAGATCATAGACGATCTGTTGACGCCTGTGTACAAGCTCAAGAAGCAAAGGGCAACAGACCCCACAGTCCCCCACAGCGTATCGGCGCACAAGCTCGCTGTGCTATACTGCCTCTTCGCCATCGGCGCCCTAGTCGATCTGACCCTACCTCCATGTGAGCTAGCCAATCATTGCCGTCGCATGTCTAATCCTCATGCTTGCTGTAGTTAACGCCGAGGCGCGTAATTACCACCATCTCGGCCGCGCCGCTCTTTCGTCCCGCTCTGTCTTCGACTCGCCGGAGATCGCGACTGTGCAGGCCGTCCTGCTCATGGCGAACTTCCACACCCTGGGTGGCAAGCGATATACAATGGACAGCGCTTGGAGCCTGACAAGCTTGGCGTGCAAGCTATCTCAAAGTGTGAGTCCCTCGTCCATCGTTGTCAGCCCTCCTCTGACTTCTGGCTAGCTTGGTCTACGTAAATATCATGCTTCCCACTGGCCGCGGCGTGTTCTTATGAGCTCTCATCGCAGACCGTGATCCTGCGCGATGGCACATGGATCCGAAGACGGTTCAACGTAGACGCAACCTATTTTGGGAGCTGTTTGCGCATGAGCATTTTTTGGTAGGTCTTCGTGGGCTCGTCGGCAAATTTGTCTAACATCACCGACAGAGTCTGGCTCTCGGGCGACCAGCGGCCATCCGCCTCTCGTATTGTGACTGCGAGTTCCCCTACGACGACGAGCAGACGCTTGATGATAAGGGCCAACCTCGAATAGGACGTGGGTACTCACGCGTCTATGCCCCGATCAAATGACTCAAGTCCATCGCTCCTCAGATCACCGCTGGAAAATCGAGTTTGCGCGCGATATCCTCGCCGTGGTCACTGAGTCGGTCTTGACGGCCGACCCACCCAGCTATGAAACTATCTTAGACCTCGACCGCAAGGTTCGCGAGAAGGTGCTCCCCGAACATCTAGATGTTTTCTTGAGCCCACATGACGAGCACTATACGCCGTTCACCTTCATGAAGGGCGGCTTGTTGTCACAATATAGGGCCATCAGTACGTGTCCATCCGCTCCTTTATCTGACGGTCGCTTATACGGTATGATAGCCTTGTTGTACATCCACCGTAGCTTCTTCGCGCAAGCTATGCTCGACCACCCCGCCAACCCCCTTCGAAGCGCATACGCGCCTTCCTTCCTTGCCGCATATCGCTGTGCGTCCAAGATGATCAAGACCAGTCTCAACCACTTCGAGCGCTTCCCGGAACTCTGCCTGAGATGGTGGAATGTTTGGACCCATCGTGCGTCTACCTAGTTCACTTCAGCGTGGCCTTCGCTAACGTCCCCTTCAGTCTTCTCTGCAGCAGTATGTTGTTACTAGCCAATGGTCTTGAGCGTCTGCTCACACGTACACAGATAACCGTGGGGTGCATCGTCACGCGCGCGCCGTCCTCGACCATGGCGTCCAGCGCCTTCATCGAGCTCGGTCTCGCCTGTGACATGTTTGCGAAAGGTGCCGTGCACTCTCGTCGTGCTCGTAGTGGCTTCGTGCGCACATTTTTCTCTACTGACCTGCCCCGTGTTCACATGTCTCTTCTTTTCCTTCTATCAAGGCGGTCCTATGCAAGCTACGACTCAAGGCATTCAAGGCATACTCGCAATTCATGTCCGGCGGCAAGCTGCCCAAGTCGGAAGATACAAACTATTGCGACGACGAGCTCGCCATCTTTGGCGGCCACACGCGCGTCCTCGTTAGCAAGATGATGTCGAGGTGGCAAATCGACAAGGCTGGTTGCAATGGGAAGAGTCCCAAGCAACTCAATGGCACCTCTCCGACAGCGAGCACCGACTCCGCACCGGCAAGCCCAATGACCGAGGTGCATCCCAGCCTCGTCGAGTACCTTTCGCTGCTGCCTCCAGGGTCGCAAGTCCCTAGCCCGCCTTCTGCGAGCGAGGGGCTCACAGACTCCGAAGCCGCGGCGAGGCAATCAGCTTTCTCCTACGTGACTGGTCCTGCTCACAAGCCCACAACGCTGCCGAGCCTGACGCAGCAGTTCACTCCGGCGCTTTGCAATGGGTGGACTGCTCCGTCGACTACGCTGAACGGCAACGGTGGAGTCTCTGCGTCGACCAACGGGACCACGACCCAGATGCCGCCAGATGCCAGTATGTTCTTCGACATGTACGGACAGTCGTTCCCAACAACGGATGCCACAGCGCCGCTGCACGCGACCGAGGACGCGGGCTTAATGGACCTCGGTATGCTGATCTCGGGAGAGAGCGCGATCGACGAGCAGTGGATGTCGTTCATGCGCGACACGGTGTTGACGGACAAGAACTCGCGACATGCGTAGGTGGTGTAGTGCATAATATAATAGCTTCGTATTAGAGCGGATCCGTTAGTAGTTATTTATCGTAGTACGAGCCGTGTAGTGTTGGCGCGTCCTCCCGCCTGCTTCTGTTTACGACCCCGTGTAGCATACATCTTGCATTATAGAGAGCTGGACGCGCTTCGCTCGCGTATCGTATGGACTTGGCTGACCTTCGCCTGGGTGTGAACTGCCGTCGGGCGTTCGCGGCGCGTATCGCGCGCAATTGTCTTTGGTATTTGCGCAATGGGTCACATGATCGCGCCTCATCATTGATTCCACACTCATGTCGAATCGGAATTCTCCTTCTTCTGTCGAGTCACTTGCCTGGCAGACGTTCTGCGGCGCTATCGCTGTAGAGCTACGATACACGCTATCCGCTTCCTAACAACCTAGATGGCGCCTCCTAAAGTCAGTGGGACAGACCTCATCCACGGCGATGGTGTTCTCGGACACACGCCGGAGGTCGCGCCCTCCATTTCTATGTCCACCAGTAAGCATCCAGCCACCTCTTCCCCAAAGTTATCTTTTGGAAAGTTCTGTGTACACCTTGTGCTATCTAGCTATCTATGAAAAAGCCTCGGGACATGCTGACAAGTCGGTGTAGCCTTCAGAGCGCCTCTACCGAAGCCCGATGCAGGCCCGGTCGACCTGTCTACCGAGGACCTGCGCAATCCGACGCGCAACCTATATTCGCGGTACACACAGCCTGTGAGCACCCGTGCTGAGCACATTCTCAGCAAGGTCAACGTACGTCATTTCGCTGTATGATTCCTTCGTGTACAGCGTACGAATGACCCTCTGACCAACAGGAGGGCTTCGCTATTACCTACTCGTCCGGCCTGGCTGCCTTCTTCTCGGTAAGCGTCGACGGCGTCTTGGTAAGAACACTTACTGACGTCGAGTCAGGCGCTCGTCCACGTTCGCCCCAAGCGCGTCGCCGTGCAGGGCGGGTACCACGGCTGCCATGTCGCGCTGCAAGTGTACAATAGGGCTCGCGACGAGGTCGTCCCCAGCATCGGCCTGGACGACGAGTATCAGCCCGGCGACATGTGCTGGCTGGAGACCCCGCTGAATCCTACGGGAGAAGCCAGGTACTGACTTTTTGTGAACGTCGAAGGTGAAGCATGCGCTGACGGAGGGTTCCGTAGGGACATCCAGTACTACGCAGACAAGGCAGGTTCTCTTCTTTGACTGATGCCGAATGCCTGGCTGAGACAGCTTGCAGATTCACAAGGTCGGGGGAGTGCTTCTCGTCGATGCCACGTTTGGGCCGCCGCCGCTCCAGTACCCCTTCAGGTTTGGCGCCGACATGTGAGTCATGCCATGACCCTCAGGTCCTCTGACTGACATTACGACTAGTATCATGCACTCGGGCACCAAGTACTTTGGCGGCCATTCCGACCTACTTTGTGGCGTTCTTATCGTCAAGACGCACGAGCAGTGGATGAAGGTAAACCATTGCACGATTCACATCAATTATTCCATGGCTCACGCTCACTCGTATAGCTGTGGACCGACCGCACCTACATGGGCAACATGATGGGCTCCATGGAGGCCTGGCTATTGCTTCGCTCTCTCCGCACTTTGCACTTGCGCGTCGAAAGGCAGTCCGAGAACGCGACTAAGCTAGCTCAATGGCTCTCCCAAGTCTCCAAGACGCCGGAGGGTCAGACGTTCAATGGCGTCCCAGGGGGCATCATTAAGACCGTCTGGCACTCGTCCCTTCAGAGAGTCGACAAGCGAGGCTTTGACCCCAAGAAGCAGATGACTGGTGGCTGGAATGCGACGTTCGCGATGGAGGTATGCTCTTGAGCGTGCAGCACCGCCGGTCCCTCACATGGTTGTAGATGGCAAATACGGAGTACGCCAGGTTGCTGCCGCATACTTTGAAGTATTACATCGTACGTTGGCGGTTTTCATGGTATTCGAAAAGATATACTGACCGTGACATAGCCTGCGACCAGTCTCGGCGGTGTCGAAACTTTGGTCGAGCAGCGCATTCAGAGCGATCCCGGCGCTCCGCCTGGTCTAATCCGCATCAGCGTTGGAGTCGAGGACATAGAGGACCTGAAATCGGACATGAAGCAGGCGTTGCTCAGCATCAAGGTGAGTATCTTCTTAACCACGATACAGTACCCAGGACCTAACAAAAGCCTATAGGGGAACGCGAAGCTCTAGCTGGCACATAGATAGGTCATGTTGTCCCGTCGACAGTGCTTCCCAGTCAAGAACAATGTACTTCTGACAGCCCGGTCCGATTTTCTGACACTTTAAACTAAGTGCGAAGCCATACCCTGACTTTCGGCCTTCCTTCTTGAGTTTATCGGGGTGAGAATGACCACGCGATCCCCATCGAGGTAAATAGACGGCCGGTATATATTGACGTGTCTGCTTCGATTGCCTTCATCTCCTCTTCTTTCCCTCCTCCATCCCATTGTCAGCTCATCGATAACGATGTCGCGCACGCGCCTGTATCTGAAGAGTTAGTAGTCAGTGTCTCCCTCGGTACGTGCGCTGATGAGAGGCCTCCAGATCTGCCCACCGATCTTACGGAGGCTGAGGTCAGAAAGGTAGGACACCACATACTCGGTGGACTACACGGCACTCACTATTTGACCGCAGTATCTGGATGGCTTCGGCCCTATAGTCTCCCTCAAGATCGGTCATGGTGAGCTCCAGAGCGCAAACCCGCGATTCACCGACGCTGACCAGATGCCAGATCGGTCCTACGCTTTCGTACAATATCTACAGGAAGAGGTACGTGTCACTTCGATCGCGGATGCACGAATCGATCTCATCAGAACCAGGATGCGCAAGGCCTTTGTCGTACTGCGAAACACCATCGTCTTATGGGTGCTGGTGCGATATACCATACACCTTTTGCTCAAATGACTGATCCCCTTCATACAGACGTTGCTGTGGAATACGCGGTCAGTCGACCTCGGGAACGATTCCCGGTCTTCGTCGATAATGTACCAAAAGAGCTTTGCTGGTACGCTCTTCGAAAACCCTGATTTACGACGTTACCGACGCATATATCCACAGGCAGCAATTGAAGGACTTCGGACGCCTGGCTGGTGGCTTGGTAGCCTTTTGCGACATCGATCGTCTGAATCGCACGCGAGGGTAGGCTCACTACATCGCAAGTCCCGAACAATGACTGATAGCCTCCCAGTTTTCTCGAATACTGGAGCATGGCCGAGGCTCTCGATGCCATCTCGAAATTGGACGGCCAAGAGCTCGGGGGTCAGCCGGTTCAATTGTCTGCAAATGTAAGTCCTCTTACTACGTTTGCGGTGCTCCTGAGTCTAACATACTTAGTTTGATATGCCACCACCCAAGAAACGTCGCACACGGTCATCCCGCTCATCGCACGAACGCTCGCATCTTTCTTCGCGCTCAAGCAAAAGAGGGTCCCCGTACCCCGCTCTGCACCACAAGGAAATGTATCATTTGGGTGTAGATGACCATTATCGGCAGGCCAGATCACGACGTGTGAGCCGTCGCTCGATGTCTCCTCGGTCGCGGCGTCGGGACTCGACCTGTACAATCGAGTCAGAGTATGGCCATGAACTCTCGGGCCTCCAGCAGCACCCCACTTCATCCTATCCCATCCCAGCGCATGGCCCAGTCCGACATTCGACGTCGTACTACAGCCTGCGCCACTACTCGGTCTCTCCTCCTTCAACGGCGCTGCCATGGGGCTACAGCGCGATTGGCACTCGCCCGCTTGGCCGTGACCACGATTCGGCTGTGGCCTACGACAGGCCAGGCTTCGAGGACGTCGCCGCCGATCCTTACGACGACAGGGCCTACCTCCATCGGGGCGTCCATGGAGGCCGTCCTACCTCTGACGAGGACCGCGGATATGTCGACCCGTATGCATACGAGCACCGTCTCGCACCTTCTTGGGAAGACTACCACCATCCGCACGCTCGCATCAACTAGATTTTCTATTCCTCGCACGCATTTCTCACCAAAGCATAACGCTTCTTCTGCACTGACCTCGTACATCGGAATCACTCATAGCTCTGTTTATTGCACTTACAACTGGTTTCCTCGTCACTTCGCATATCGTTACGCATTCGCGTTCTCGCATACTCATACATCGCTCACCCTTCGCTTCACCATGGTGCCTTGCTCTCTCAAGCTTCCCCAGTTCCATGTGTCCCTCGCTCTCAACATGCACGCTACCTACATCGTCAACCTTCATACCGAGCTCATCGTTTCGATCAGAACTTGTAATTCTGTACTTACCGCTGCTCTTCCCTCTGTAACACTCACTCATACCTCTGTATCAGCTACGTCGTCTCACATACGAGCACCATTACTTCCGTCTGTACCTCTCATGTCGCATAACCGCACCGCATCCTGCTTTTGATGTCCTACACCCATGTTGTGGGTCCTCGGCTCCGCTTTCGGCTTTTGCCGTGGATGCATCACGTGTCCATGTTCGACTTGGTGCTGTGGTTCAAGCCGTTCGGAAGGCGATGCTGAAGAGTAGAGCCATGTGCAGTGAACTTTGATCAGAATGTCCGATACAGAGACCGTCTATTCAGCCGAATACCCTGATCGTATTGTATGTATTGAGGCAAGAAGGCGGCTATCGTACCCTAATCTCGTGTCACTTCCGTCATTTCCAGGGTCGACTTCATGGATGACTCGGCGAATTTCGTCACAGTGCTGGGGCGATTTTCGTGGTCCTCTGTGCTGCCAGCTCCGCCGCCGCTTCCCTTGACATTGCCGCTCCTCCACACACCTGCAGGTCGAGTGTCCGAACTTCCGTCCTGTAGCTCGCGTCCTGTTATGTTGGCACCTGTGGCGTTGGATATCACCGCGCGTGCATGTATGAGAATCGCCGTGAGTGCGGATATGTACGGAACGCAGTCCGTAAGGAAATAAGTCGAAACGTTGTCGACGTCGTACATGATCTGGGAGAGCAAGATGACCGTACTGGAGGCAAGGGTTAAGTATTCTCGAAAAATTTAGAGGGAGATCGAGGTGTATGCTCACGTATTTAAGGCGGCGCTTTCGACTACGATGATGAGAGCGGTCTGACTCGACCAGCGCGATAGATAAAGTGATTTGAGCGAGAACAAGACAAAGAAATAGCCGTGCGTTAGCAAGAAGCAGATCGCTTTGAAGGGCGCGCACCTTGATTGACTGGCTGATACCATGGTCCATGGTTTGCCGCCGGATATGAGCCAGTCTCCAGACTACCAGCGCTGTACGTATTCCCTCTGAGCGATGGTCGAAAACTCAGCATAGTATGCCACATACCGGTGCAATAGAAATTGATACTGAAGGGAAAGATCTGTTAGAGAAATATAGTGGAGCAGCTGATATTATACCTTAGCGAAGGGACGGCTCGCGCAAGCCTCCAGTGATGTAGGGACGTAAGGGTCTCAGGGATCGAGGGATCGAACTGAAGTATATTCTTTCAAGCATAAGATCCCAGACAGTCCATTCATCACTTACCACGCCATACGCATACGTAGTTCCAATGGCTGTGACTAGGAGCGCACGTCAAGCTGCAATTTGAGTCTTCCATTGAGGACTTTACCAGAGAACCCCGCGAGGCAGACGAGGGGGAAAACGACCACTGGTTTGCTGTAGTCCCAGATGATGAAGAACCGGGATATCTGAGAGCGGTTAGGTCAGATATCTGTGGGAAGGCTTGATCACACGTAGGTGAAGATCAGGAAATGGCCGGAGATTATAAAGTGGAAAACATGAAGACTCACTACGAAGGCATCCGAGATGAGGCCGTTTGCCCCATGAAAGGCGAACCTCACGATCCCGATGGAGCCTGCAGATTCCACGTAGTACATGGATGCCTGCTGCGCGCCGTGCCAGTATATGAATGCTTGGAAGGATCGGATAACAAGGCTGATCCAATGCTATCGTGTTTCTAGTCAATAAAACACTTTTCCCCTCTCATTATCTGGACACTTACACCGGTCAATGTGGTGGTAAGTATACACAATCCAACAAGAAGCCGACCCTTGGTAGAGTGTCGGGCTGTGCTTGTACTTGCCCATCCAGCACGACGATGGCGAAGGAGGTAGAACATGGCCAGAGCGAGAGTAAGATACGTGCCGAAGAGAAGCGACTGTATCGACAGTCCTATGAGCTTCATCTGCGCCTCCTTTCCTCGGGATTGCAGTGTATAGTCAAAGCTGGCAGGTCGAGGTGTAGCCATATCCGAGCGACAGAGATGATCAGCACTGCATTGAGTGCAACGTTATATAGCGACTCAGGTAAATCATCTTTACCGAACTTCGCTGAGCTTTGAGTGGATTAGTAAGCGCGTCCATCGTAGCAGTAGAGGAAGAGAAGATCTTCGTGAAGTCACTTCCATAGCGGCATCGATAGATCAGGCGATTTCGCTATTTAAGGCTATGCCGTTGTGGTCGGAAACGAGGTCAGGTCGTTCGTATAGAGCACTACATATTGGCGGTGCCTTTGAGCTCCGTCTCGTCTGAAGCTCCTTAAGGTGGAGTGAGGGGGCTTACTGTTACTGAATGTGTTGTGGAAAGAGACCCTACGCATCGCCGGCAAAGTCATAGCCGCGATACCCGACTTTGTTGAGCAGTGATGTCCTATTATGAGACAAGAATTCTCCTTGTACATGGGTGGAGGTGAATGGAGTGACAGACACGTCGAACGAACGAAAACGATGGCGAGATAAGGCGGCTGACCGGGGCGGAAACTTGACCGATCCTTCGAACGCTGGTGCGGTGTAGGCTTTTGAACGGCGGAGGGCCACTGTTCAGGGCCACTGCTTGGAGCAAGAGAGCAGAGCGTACCGACAGCCGGGAGAACGGAGCGCGCAGGTACGAGGAACGTGGATGTCGTTCGTCCAAGATGGGTGTTGACTTGCAGGAAGTGACCCGGATCCGACAATGGATTCGGCAAGCGCCGCTTCATCACATGATTCGAAGTTGAGCTTCGACAGTCCCCCCTGAAGAATCTTAGCCTGCAAACCCGGCAGCGGTGCACAGTAAAAAAGGCGGTGGCTATAAGCGGTGTCTTTCTCGGCCTAACCCTCCCCAGGTTGACGTCGTACAGGTCAGAGTATACAGGCGCAATACAATGATGTTCCACGCACTGCACATATATGCTACGGGTAGAAGGTCTAATGATTCATCATGAAAGAGGACCACCGAGGATCAAGCATAGGCTCTGCTGGCGGCCCGCCCTGGGCAGGCCCCATCGGCGCATCATAGCCCACACCCATCTGCATCCCATAGAACCCATCCGCGTTCCGATACGGTGCCTGCTGGCCATGGTGCATCGGGAACGGGGTGAAGCGCGACATCCCCGGGTTCACGAAGCCCTGCGGCGGCGGCACCGGAGCCCCAGCGTTCGTATCCCACCCCAGCCTCGCCGGACTGAAGCCGTCGAAGTCGCCCGCGAGAAAGCCCTGACTCTGCGGCTGCTGCTGATTAAACGCACGCGAGAGCAGGCTGTCGAGCTCACGATCGTCGTGCATGATGGCCGCGAGCGACTGCGCGGGTGCAGGCGGCGGCCCCTGGCGGATCGGCGAGGGTGCTGGTGGGCTGTATTGGAACTTGACGGGCGCGCAGCTGGTTGCGCCCCGGCGCGAGAACGTGGACTTCGCCGCCGGAGAGACGAAGCGGGCATGGCCGGCGAAGATGGCGAGCACGTCCTCGTCGTCTTGGTCTTGCCGGGCAGTGTTGGGCAGCTGGGGCGGAGCGTTTTCGCTGTCGTTGTTCAGCGCCGAGCGCGCCTGGGCGGAGAGCTTCTGCAGGATAGGCTACACGAATACAGGTCAGTCGTTTGCTATCCAGTTTGCGATGGTCAACATACCAAAGCCGCAACCGCGCGCTTACTGCGCACTGCAGCCTTTGCAAACAACGTGCATGCTTGGTCGAGTTCCTGCATAGCTGAACTCGCTAGAGGCGACTTCGGACCGCGAGTGACCACTGTCCCGAAGACGATCTAGTCGGGGGTTAGTCAGGAGGCCATAGCGCAAGACTATTGCATACCGCCGCGCCGAAGGCTTGCGTCCACATACTCAGATGCCGCGCTGCTGAAGTAGGCGCGATCTCGTAAAGCTCCTTCACAGACTTGAGTATGGTCGTAGACGCGCGGTACGCAGCGAGGAAGGATGGCGCATAATTTGACTTCAACGGATTAATGGGCTGTTCGAGGATGGCCTGTGCAAAAAATGACCGATGGATGAACAAAAGCACTGGAGTAACGCCGTCAGCAAGGATGTGACGAGCGATGGACTTGTCTGCACTCACCGGTCTCCTTCACATGTTCTAGCATACCATAGCCCACTTTGTTCTTCGTCTCCCTCTTCAGCGCGTCCTTACCCTCCGGCAGGGCGAACTCGCGGACCTTCTTGTCGAGGGCCATGACGACGGCGTAGTTCGGCGACTCCGCCACGACCATCCGGGCGACGACCTCAGAAAGGCATTCGGAAGCGAACTTGAAGTGCCACGTCTCCACTGCATCTCGTTCAACGAGAGTTCTAAGAAGGAAGGAACGGGGCACATACATATGCCTGTGTCCTGCTCGTTCGCCGGGTATTCAGGGAAATTGCAGTCGATGTAGTGTCTGGAGAAAGCTGGTGGTCGGCCGGTATTTAGGCTCTGTCGAAGCGTTAGATCAAGTTAAGAAAAGTAGAGAACCATACGCACCTGCCAAATATCTGCGGTGAACAGTTGCCAGAACAGATGTCGACGTCGTCGTATCATCTTGGCTGACAGGCCCCAGCGCTCTGAGTCGCGATCTATGAGATGCGTCAGTTTCAAGTCCACGCATTGAATCTGCCTATGCTCACGTAGACCGATCTGAATAAACTGTGAGCTTCACCGAGTCCAGGTCAGAGAGGTAATGCTCACCGTCTGACACAAATGACACGCGAAAGTGAGCAAACTCCAAGACGTCTCCATGGTGGTCTCAGCGCTCTCATCATGCGGCCCAACGCCACCCTGGCTCATGAGCGCGCAGTACATGCTCATGAGATGCAGCGCCTGAATAGTGAAGATGCTCGGTGTCTCCATTAGATGGCGCAACTGTAAGGCTGCATGCGCGAGCTGCCGGTAGTGCACAGCGAGCTCCGTGCCACCAGGTTCACCACAGCGTACGAGGGCTCCCACAGAGAAGACCATGAACAGAAGCGCTAGTGCATGCGGTCCCGTGCAGTCCTTGCCATACCGGTCGTCGTCGACGTGGTCTTCGTCGGGCATTGGCGGCTGTGGCGGTAGGTAATCGGGGTATAGTCGCGGGAGCATGTCGCACTTGACCTGCGCCCAGGGTGTGGCCCGCCGAAGGGCGTTCGCGGGGTCGTAATACGCGTCAATGAGCGCGAGGGCGTCTCGTAGAGGTGGGAGGTAGGTCAGAATGAGTGCGTAGACGTCGCCTTGACTGCCGATGGGGGTGAATGGGAAGGTATGCGAGAACAATGTCGGATTCGCCGTGTATGATGCGGGGGACGTTGGTGGCGAGGAGGGCACAGGGCTTGGTGTCGTGGTAGTTTGGGAGCTCCCTGACCAGTGTGGGGACTTGCCGCCAATGATTGAAGTTGTAGCCATAAGCAAGCTCTGGCGGAACTTATTAGATTACGACTCAACATTTCTGTAGGAGCACATACCTCTGCGCCGCCTGTCGGGCCAAAGAAACGAGAAACGCCATGGTCGCTGATGGAGAGCGTCCCAAAGGCGTCTATCATATCGTCGCGCGCCTGTGGCGCTGGAGATGGACTTGGCGAGCTCTCAGCTTCAGCTATGAGTTGATCGACGTTGACAAGTAGCTTGTCCTCCGCGAGTAGGGGATGTGGCTCCTTCGAAACCCGCCTTTGTGAGGCCTCAAGCCCAGCTTCAAGGGCCCTGATGCGTTCTCCCAAGCGGCCAAGACGGCGATGAAGGTGTTCTGTGGCCGCGAGCACGTAGCGCGTGCCTTGCCCTGTCGCGAGCGCGCCATTCGGGCAAAGGGACGCACATCCGCGTCGTGTGCACGATTGGCATGGGATTTGCTGAAGAGAATGTGTTGGCAATGGGAGGGGTAAACTTGGAGGGAGACGCACCTTGTCGCATCGTATCTTTAGCCTATGGCAAGAGCGGGGAATTGGTCAGGGGAAACAACAGAGACGGAGGGCGTGACATCGCACCGTCTACACTCGGCACAGCTAACCTCGCCTATAGTAAGACCTCCGTTAGCACGGGTATCTTACTCTCTGCGTGTTGTCGGCAACACTCACCTCGTGCGCGCTTCAATTCGATCTCCCGAGCCTGCGGGTTGGTCGCATCTTGCGCTGGTTCCTTGCGCGAAGGGCGGCGAGAGAGCTTGCTTTTCTCTGGCGGCATGATAGTGGCAGTCAGGATTCAAGGAGAGACATATATTGTATGCAGTGTCGCCATTGACCCCTGCGACTGCGGCAGCGGAATTGCTGGCAGCTGGACTGCGGTCACCATTGTGAGCTTCGGGCGGCCCGGCCGACCGACGCGCGCCCACGGGTCACGATGAGCCGCTTGGACCTATGGGCGCGCCCTCACCCTCCCCCTGCTACTTTGACGGATGTCGGCGGTGACTTTGATATACAGTCGAACCTCTTCACAGCGAGAATCCTGCGAAGGAATTTCTTAGGGCTGCTCCTCCCCAAGAACTCTCCCGAAACCTTCACGACAACGCAATTGTGGCAATCGATGCATGGCAGACGTGACTAGTACAATTGATAGCCAACAGTCAGGTATGGTATCTCGTTGTCAGACTCAACAGCAGATACCGAATTAGCTCACTAACGGCTTCGACCCCTCCCTCACCGTCACAATCGTCGGGCACACTCCACGGCCAGCTAGCCGGTAGTCCTCGATATCATGCACTCCCGCGGGCAAGCTCAGCGTCATCCGCTGCAGGATCGCGCATGCTGCCATCCGCATCTGCATGTACGCGAGTGGACGCCCTACGCACATTGCCGGACCAAAGGAGAAGGGGAAGAAGGCCGTTACATCGTGAACGAAGCTAGTCTTATCGCCCTTCTCGCCTGCAGAGCCGATGAGCCCCTTGAAGGCGGACGCGCGGTCACTTTCGGGAAGCCATCTGTCGGGCCAGAAGTCATTGGGGGCGGGAGAGAAGTAGGCGGGGTCGCGTTGTAAGGCGTATGTGTTTCTGTGATTCTCTGTTCAGCAAGGACGGCCAACACAAAACAGAATCCACTCACATGTTGACTTGCGTTCCAGCGGGGATGTAGCTACAAGAGCAAATGAGCAAAGCGATACAATAGCAAGGATGTAGGCCCGTACCGATCTCCAATTATACGCGCGCCAATATGCTGGGTACTGCGTTGAGCACCGTTGGGCACTGGCGGCTGCAGACGCATCGCTTCGTTCCTATGAAGCCCATGTAAGCCGCTATCGCTACCGGTAAATGATCACCCACAAAACGGCATTCAGATACGGCATGTTTGCCTGCTTGACGGGGTCAAACGGCGACGAGCCGGGAGGGAATGACTCGTCGATCTCCCGTTGCAGACGCGCCTGCATCTCGGGGTGCTTCATCAGGAAGTAGAACGCGTTGATCATGACGTGGGAGGTCGTATCGGAGCCGGCGACGATGGCGAGTAGGCCGTCGCTCATGAGCTCGTTCATTTTGGGCGGGTGGGATTCGTGGCCGTCTTCGTCGATCTGAGGAACAGTACGAGGTCAGGCAGTACAGTAAAGAGGTGAGGATGGCAACGGACCAGGTAGTGGAAGAGGTCCTTGCGCATTGAACCCTCGCGCTTGCGGATCTCGACGCGTTCGGCGGCGAACTGGGCGAACTTGTTTGTGACTGCGCCCTTGGACTCGAGCATGTTGAGGTAGCGAAGTGTGTATGGGACATGTGCCGTGATGTTGTTGCGCCTACAAACCAACGGTTGGCCACCGAAAATGTCTTTGGGCTTAAAAAGACTGACCGGAAGGAACCATCCATGAGCTCAATGACGCCTGTGTGGTCCTCGCCGTGGCGCATGAGCTCGAAGCCTCCACCGAAACTGGGTCGTAATCAGTACATCTCAAGACACCCGCAACTCGACGTACGCCATGTCACCCATGAAGTCGAATCTGTATACCCGTCAGTTCTCTCTTCAAACTACACGCTCACAACATCACGCACGTATAGTAACTCAGCCACTGGTCAAGGTCGAACGGCTCCTTCATCTTCTCTAGCAACTGCACGAACTGCACGGTCCGGTCGCGGATGATTCCTTCGTACTGGTGCAGCGCGGACTGGCTGAAGCCGCGGTTCCATACTTTGCGACGGCGAAGGTGTTCGGCGGGGTCGCGCTCGCTGATCAGAGAGCGAGTGGCGCCGGGAGGTACGCGGCCGTCCCAGACTGTGGTTGACGAGCCTTCAGCAAGCGGTAGAGCACTGATAAGTTTAGCAGCGTACATGGTCCCTTGGGAAAGCCCTGAGCACCGAGGACAGGGAAGATGGCATCTGCATCGCAGATAGAGAGCTCGTTCGGGCCTGAGGAATAAGGTCAGTCGGTAAGAGTTGAAGGCTGAGGCAGAATTGTGATGTACCGATGCGAACGTAGCGCTATGGTTTTGTCAGGTCTCTTTGTACTTCTTCTTCTAGCATGATTACTCACCCCATACTTCTCGTGCAGCTTCTTGAAGTAGGTGATGTCGACTCCGAGGTGCTCCTTGCGCGCGAACAGAACGTACGCCATACGGAACTTGCTCAACTTGTGCAAGAAGGGGCCAGGATACTTTGCGAGCCTGATGTATAGTTATGAGTACGAGTCGGCGATGCGATACCAGAGGTGCTCACGGGTGGAAGGGCGAGACGCGGTATGCGAGCGTGCACGCGACGATCGTGGTATAGTAGAGCGCGAATGCTGTGGTCACAGTATAGAGCAGGCTGCCTGGGGATGCAAGGTAGAGCACGCCGCTCAAGGCGCCTGGGATGGCGCCGAGCAGACCAAGCAGCGGCAGAGGCGTATCCGGTTCATAACGCTTGAAGATGTAGTACACGATCTGCAGACGCGTTCAGCATGCGATCAAGTTGTAGAGGAACGGGCGTACGCACCGATCCAGCCGCTACTGTCGTCGCCAACGGGTGCTCCGCGAGCACTGTTTGCACTAGAGAAGTCATGACGAGGGGGAGAGGGAGCGCACAAGGCCCACCGTAAGCCCTCGTATGTAGTCAAGCCCGTATGACCAGTCACCAGCGTACGAGTGGGGTGCAATCTGTATGCGTCCCGCGGATCTCCCATCTTGGACGCAAGAGCAAGTCGACATCTACGCGTCGCGGACGAGTTGCGCGTGCCTCGACGGACCACGGATGGGCTGGCTTATCGCGCGCACGAGCTGGTGCACCGCGGTCCCACGCCACCGGTGAGCTGGTGTAGATGGCTTCGAGCTGGTCTAAGAGGCCTCTGAGCTGGTGTATCTTGCTATGAACTGGGGTATGGCCGACCCATCATGCGTCCGGCGCGCCACCCCGGTAGCGACCCAGCAGCAACGAGTTTGCCAATGCAGCGCAGCCCTGACGGCACGTTCAGCACCCCCCGGACTCTTTGCCGACAAGTGTTGTCAATACACGATGCGTGCAGCTGTCCTGCCCAGCCTCCGACGGACTCGCGAGGAAGGTCTGCTGAGGCTTGACCGCGCGGTGGACGTCCTTCAGTCGGGGTTTGGTGGCTATTGTCCTCCTGCAATAGGCTGGATCGAGATGGAATAGTGATAGCATCTATACTGATGGCGATGGAGATTACTCTTCCTGCTTCAGATCGTTCCATGGTCGGAAGACTTTGAGGCCCGACCATCATTATTGGTAAGCGTTCTGATACGCCCTGCGGCTGAAAAACGCGGAAAAACATACATAAACAAGCGATATATAGTCGACTTGGTCTAGATTGTATGGGCGGATCCGTATATACTGCACCGACGTCGCGACTGTACAACGGGCGCGTTGGGGGTATTTTATGACATAGAAAACCAGGAGCGCCACGCTTCCTAACCTTCAATACTACTAGTCCGCAGCACTATCCGTCTGCAATGACTGACCAAGGATAGCAGCGAGCTCTTCGGCGCCTGATCACGAGTCTGCGCGTCGTCGATGACATCCTGCGAGTCCTCTGGCGGGCCCTACTTAATCAAGTAGCCGCGCTATACGCGCCTCAAGCCTTCAGTCCTCTTGCCCTGCTGTGTCAAGAGAATCTAGATTATTGTTGGGGCTCGGACAAGCCTTCCTGCTGCTCGCCGTCATGCGGAGACACGCAGAGCACCGCGCAAGCGGAACTCGAACCATCAACGTGACTACACGTGACTTCGGGTCCGAGACCGGAACTTCGGGTCCGAGCTCGTGATCTCGGACATCGCCGAGTTGAACTCCGAACCGAGCGTCGGCGCCGCCAAGCGCTGTCCGCCCCGGCAAGGGCTTCGCTCCCCGCGTATCGACAGTCCAGACTGTACGCTCCCCGCCGCGCAGGCCTCTGAGCCGCGTCGCGCACAAGGGAACGGGTGGAAACCAGGCCGGCCTTGCCTTGGTAAACATCAACAAGTGCGGAATCGCGCCCGGCATCGCGGCGCAGGAGGATACCCGACCAGTCAACCGCTCTACCGCCAGGAACCGCAGTCATTGCGCGATTATTCGGACAGGAGAACGCGCGGATAGGCGTTATAGTTGGATTTTGACTCAGAGATAGGCATTGTGTGTTACCGCGCGGTCTGGACGGCCGAGACGACGCGTTCAAGTTATATACCGAGACCTACATACGATTCGGGACTTTTCCCGCCCCGCGCAGAGAAGCCCTAGTACCTACACACCACACCAAATAAACACAACCGCGTTAACCCGCACTTTACACATCATAAAAGCCTGAACTTCCGAGCGCATTAAACCGCCTTGTGAACTTCAATCAAACCCGAAAGCGCTCGTAAGAACGTCGAGACGTCCGATTGCCCCACTCGACTTCTCGCTTCAGTCCAGCTCGTCTGGAACTGGCATAAACAACACAATCTATCCCCTAGTAATATAAATACTCGGACTCGCCCGCTCTCGTAGCGCCTCCAGTCTAGCGTGTTCATTGCTATCGTGGTTGTTGGTGTTTGGTTGTGTGGATCGTCTAGCTAGACTGTACTTCGCGTCTTTCGTGAGCGTACGATCCCATCATCTGGAGCCCACCGCGAGGGGATATTTCTGTGTTAGCCAGCAAATTACTAGCTGCTGAGCGAACTTCGAGAGTCATATTAAGGCCCTCTCCAATTCTACTTGTGTTTTCGGGTACCGTCACGACGGCTCCTGGACAAAAATCCAGCCTCTCGGCTCTAAGACCGGACTGGGATAGCTCTACATCCGAGCGATCCAAGAGAAAGGCCAAAGAGCGAGCGCGTCTAGCGGAACAAGCCAGTCGCCCATCGCGATCAGCATCACCCCGGAAATCCGTTACCCAACGTCCGGTAGAAACATCCAAAGCGGACGACACCTTACCAGGTGCTTTCCCTGAGGACACAGAACCGAACCCTCCTTCTCCTACTTCTCTCTCGGTCGCCAACGACCTCTCTGCTTCATTCTCTCGTCTTTCCATCGAGCCCGAACCGGCCGCGACACAGGGTCCACGCGCTTCATCCCCCTTGAGCTCTCTGTCCGACGATTCGACTCCGTCTCTCTCTGAATTATTTCCGACTCGCGACCGTACCGAACCAGCCTCGACCGAAGAACCGACTCCGACTCCAGCTTCCAGAATCATTCCGACTCCGAATTCGACTCCAGTATCTCGTCCCGTTCCTTCTATTCCGACTTCGACTTCTACTTCCATTCCCAAACCAATGTCTACCGCTCGCTACTCTCATACGGCGTCTGACGCCCCTCGCTTCGACGAGGATGATATGAGTGGCTTGCCTTTGTTCCTACGAGATCTTGATACATACCTCAAAGATCACGGGATCACGTCCGACGCGGACAAAATCGCTAAGGCGCCTCTCCACGCTAAAAAGACTGCTACGCGCATCTTGTGGGAGGAGCTGGCGCTCGCATTCAAAAACAAACCATGGGAGGACTTTGTTAAAGCGATCCTGGAACAGTACCCTGAAATATCGGGTCAGCAGTCCGGAACGCTTGCAGAGCTCAGCCAAATCTGTAGCGAGTTCCGCGGACTTGGCGAGCAGGATGGGACTCGTGGAAACGTGTTCCTCCGTCGCTTTGCACCGTGTATTCTCAAACTCGGCCGTAGCAACTACAAGATTTCGAATTTTGAAGTCTGCTCGCGCCTCGCCGCTGTCTGCACGCCTCAGTTCCTTGCGACCCTCGACATGATGTTGGTCGGCAAGTCGAGCAGTCTTGAGGTACCCGGCAAGGAAAACGCGAATCCTCCGGAACGGCCGACTAACACATCCATCGTCGAAGGAGGTTACCGATGGGAAGATATTGTTGCCACCATGCGCGAAGTCTGGCGCCGCGGTTTTACTGCAGCTCAGAACGCCATTGGCGACGCTTATCCCGTCGCGTCTATCAAGACCTCCGTGGCTTCCGCCTCGCACGCGGCATCCTACTCGGGCGACAGTGAATCTCGCTTAGTTAAACTCGAGCAGGATTTCCATGAATTTGCTGAGCGCGCTAGCCAAGGCGAAAAGGAAACTAAGACCGCTATAATGGGATCGTACGTCTCGAAAGACCTCTGATCGACTCAGGCCTCAACCACACACAACAAGCACACAGTAGAATGGTCAATCACCGGTCAGAGACGCAGCGAGTCCGGGTTTTTGTATTGCTTGGGAGTAACTAGTCTACTGGAGAAATAATAGGTTCCGTGCTCTGGGAGTCGCGGTTACTGAGAGGGTCTGTGCTCAAAGCTTTCGCAGGCGCTTGGGAAGCGTTATACGAAGGTTACGACGAGATATTCAGGTGCTTAGTTGCCCAAAGGCTGATCAGACGGTCAAATGCTGGTTAAGCTTATGATTCTAGCGGTGCGCTGTACTGGGGCTTCTCGGGGTCCGAAAAAGTCCCTGAATCCATCCTACAGTCTGGTATTTGAACGTTCGCCCCTCCTAGGCCAGCCCGACGCCTCGCCGCGGCACTTCTCCTATCTCCTCCCAATAATTCCCTCATATCGCGCCATCCCCTGCAAATCCCGCCCAATTCCTGCCTATCGCGAGCGCCGGAGCGCTGATACCGGGCTTAGGACGATACTGTCAGCCGGTTGGAAGATTGCCGGTGTCGAAGAGGCGCCAGAGAGTCGAGATACCGAGATATGGATCTTATCCGCCTAGGGAGCGCGCGGTTTCTCCTGGGGACCGCACGAGTCCGCAGTCGAATTCTCCGCTCGCCGAGGTGTATCGAGGCACGCGTGGTGGGGCCGCAAACCGAGCGCGCGTCGCGGAGGAAGCGTCGCGCCGGTGCGAGTTGGTTTCGGCAAAGTCCGAACCGCGTCACGGTTCGAGTTACACGGTCAGGTGACGCGCGTGCGGCACCGGCAACAGGCTTTGCTTCGGGAAAGATTCCCTTGGCAGACTTCCCTTAGGTAGCTAGCAGAGACTGCCTGAATGGGTGCGACATATTCCTATACGAGATTCCGGCGCTGCTAAAGCATGTTATAGCCGTGAGTGGCGGTCTTAGAGCGACTGCATCCCACTCAGCCCTTTCAGGGATCCAAAGGATGTCATCTAAGGCGCGCAGACATGGCGGTCAGGTGCCTCGGAGCTCCTAGTGGCCCTCAGGGTAGCCCGCTAACCGGTTTCTCTTATAGTACCCGCTTATAGAAGCTGGACAGGCTGACAGTCTCTTGCACCAGCACCTTTGGTACCATCTAGGCTAAGCTCCCTGTACAGTAGTAGCTTGCTATTTCATAGCCCTGATTGCTTGCCGGCGATCCGCTTCATATTGCTTAATTTCCCCTTATAAAACGCGATTTTCTTAGCCCCGGCGTATCAGCTATACGTAGTCTACAGTCCGAAGTTCATACCGAGCTCGCTCAAGGACGTACCAAGTCCGATCAGAACTTCGCGATGATCCAAGAGACTATTCAGCGCCTCACCAACCAGCTGTCGCTCAACACGAACAGCGCCGCCCCGCAAGGCGGTGGGTTCCGGCCCAACTACCCTGGATCGTTCAACCGACCCCAAAATAATTATGGTGGCGGCCAGCGCGGTCCCCCTCGACCTCAATACACTTGCAACTGGTGTGGCGAGGTCGGCCACTTCATGAACAATTGCCCTGATTGTCAGAATGCGATTAAGTCCGGCGAGATCGTACCCGATAACGCTGGAGGCTTCCGCACTAAGTCAGGCGAAATTATACCGCGTCGCAATGGTCCGCTTGACCTGCCGATGCGTACTAAGTGGCAGCAAATGAAAGCGGCTGTTAACCAATATGTGGTCGCTCCCTTCATGAACTACATTGGTCAATACAC